ATAAGACTTGAACAGGTTATCTTTATGAAATATATTTTACTTAGATTATCTATGGCTATATGACATTTACTGTAGGTACAGTGACTCACAAAAGTGTTACAATGTTTTACAAAATCAAACAAATTTCCAATTCAAATCACTATTGCACCTGATATGATTAATAAACCCCCCTCCAAACTAATATCATTAGAAAGTATATATTGTTGGGTTTCTAATGATATAACTTTCAAACATATTAGCGTTCTTTGGAATTACTTAAACTATAGAGCTTAATTTGCATATGCGTAAAATTTTCATTTTTGTGATAGTCAGATTTATTTAAACGTGCAGTTAGTACTTTGTTTGACCACCTTTGGCTTTTATAACAGCTTCAATTCTTTTTGGCATGTTTTCGATATGTTTTAGGCATAAATCGGCTGTAACTTTATTGTACCATACGTCTCCTACTCTTTGCCAGAGTTCGTCCATATTCTTGGGTAGGGTGTCATAAGCAGCTAGCTTGCACTTCAGGTAAAACCATAAGTTTTCGATTGGGTTCAAGTCTGGTGAATAAGAAGGCCAATCTAGAACATTTATCTTGTGCTTTTTAAAGAATTTTTTGGTATATTGGGACGTATGTTTAGGATCATTATCCTGTTGAAGGATAACGTCCTTCAATTTCAGGCCATAATCCTTTAGTGTATCCATGAAGTCGCCTTTCAGAATCTCGCAATATAATTGCGAGTCCATTCCCCCCTGTATCTTGGCAATGAAGCCAGGACCATGCTGAGTGAAGCAGCTCCACAATATGAGGCTGCCACCTCCGCCTTTATACTTGTAGTTGACGTTGTGCTCCTTGAGGGGTTCTCCCTTCTTTACCCAAGTCCACTGTTTCCCATCCGATCCAAGACGATTGATTTTGGTCTCGTCGCTAAAAACGACTTTCTTCCTGTTGTATCCAAGATACAACTATACGTCTTAAACTACAGAACGACTTCAGTACCTGCTTGACAATCTGATACACATCTACTTTGACACCCGCTTGCGGCTAAGATCTTATCATTCTCATGATAGTTTTAGTTCAGTTGTATTAATAGTTGAATACCCGTTAATAACCCCGTTTCTCATATAAAAGTATCATTCTCAACAAACTTGAATAAAGAGTATCTTTGTTGTGTCTGGTCATTTTACTGTCTTATTTTATTTTTATAAGTCTTTCAAAGTAACTGGATATATCAGGGAGAACCGAAACCAACACCATCGCCCTGAGACGATGAGGGGTGGACCACACCACATGGCACGGAGAGATCAGAGGGAGGGAGCCGTCATCACCGCCCGAGGACGATGAAGGATGGACCACATCATGTCGTATTTGAGGGTAGATGATATACAAATATTAAAGATATAATTCACTTTATGAAGGATAAAGATGAATTATACAATATTGCAAACCAGAAATAATTAGAAACTACATAAACTCTAATATACAGTATGTTGTATACGATCAGATAAAAGTATAAAGGAAAAGAAAACAAAAAGGAAATCAGTGAAGACCAAGTTATCTTCTTTTATTCGCTGGAATATTCTGATAAAGAACTCAATTAAGAATGAAGACAAAAACCATGTAGGAAAAAAGTACTTCTATTTATATTTGTGGATATTGTAAAAAACTTTTTCTATCGAGACTCTTAGGTACAAGATGCCTTGATGATAAAAGAAAAGACATACCCAATTGTTACTGCACGGTTCATCATGCTATAGCGGTGCCTTGACCGATTGGATCGGTGACAGGAGGTAAGTGGGTTGATCTAACTAAAGGTTCCTTTGACCCGTACTTCAGCAGTTTCATTATAACTAACGTGACGGACAGGATAAACTCTTCCTTAATTCTGCCGACGTCTACGTTTCAGTCTTATTGAATTCTGTCAGAATGTAAAGGGTTAAAGTAAGGATCAACAAGTTAGAAGATAATAGCTTAAATAGATTAGATTTATGTATTGTGGTTTGATGTGCTAAATAAAGTTATCTGATTTAATCAAATCCAAATACTATAATATCTTATTTCTAAATGAAGTCAATTACTCATCCAATGTTGTCTCGGATATACAGATGAAATATTCTTCCGCTAAAGAAAAGAATTGTTCTAACAAACCTATCACTCACGGTTATTCTAACCTTCATAAGGATCCGCAATCTCTTATTTCAGTATTATGTAATAATCCAAGAGTAATATGCTGTTGGATACAACACTGTATGAGTACCGTGACTTAAGTGTTGTGTTTAGTTGACAGCATCATATGAGATGTGGAGAACTCGTATACAAATTATACAAGATCCTCACACCTCATTACTGCTGAAATAATATAAAGCAGAGTAGGAAACGAATATAGAATAAGTGATGATTCTTATACGAGATTAGCTACCTCGTAGAAGGCTGAACAGGTTGTCATTTAGGATATATAGTTTACTTATTTTGCTATAATACGTTACTATATGACATAGGACATATAGTAGAATTAATATATGGACATGCAGGATATATTGATTCAACACCAAGGTATAATAGGTTATAAGTACTATTCTCTGCCTTCGGCATAAAGAATGATTACAAGATAATAGGTTGTGATCATCCTTTACAATAACTGTTCACTCAACTCAAACACCACGCACGAATACTATTTTCCTAATTAATTCTATTTTCCTGCAAGCAGTGCTACATAATGGTTAGCACGGGAAAATAGGTTAGTTGCATGATCAGTAGATCAAGCCATGGATACGTTTACAAGTCCACCCGCTCCGGGTAGATGCGTAATCTCCTCAAGGGAGAATTCTATTCTTTTACGGTTCAGAAGACGTACGTCTTCTTTGAGTAGAATAACTCAGCTATCAGTTTCTAGTGTCACGTTCTGACCTCTAATTCATATAACAATCTGAGAAACAATCCAGATTTACTGCCTTTACCAGTTATAGTGTACTGGAACAAATAAGATTCCAGGCACACTGGGACAAATAAGATTTCATCAGGCACACTTCAACCTTACTGGTAATCTAGATATATCTCAGTGGCGTTGTACAATTCATTAACAGGAACAATATTACTCGGTTGTCACTACTACTTTCTTAATTCCACTATAAGCTCAGTTTAACCTCGCATTCATATAAAAGACCATTCAATTTCTAAACCAAAATAAAAGGATCTAAGAACTATTGTTCGGTCTCGCTGACTCACTCAGTCTCTACATATAAAACTCATTAAACTATAACTCCTGATATTTAAGAATATCACATCTAGGTCCCGCAATATGAAGAAGATATTTAAATTTTTGCAGTAGATTTTTTTCTTCTCTTTGAACTTAACTTGATTCAAAATAAAGACCTACTAGTTTGATCTCGTTAAGCTTTTTACTGTTTTTAATTAAGTGATATTTAACTCTACAAGTCGTCAAATACCACATATGTGCCTGCCTCTCAATCTTAATACAGTAACTCATAAAACTGCGACAATGTTTTCAAATTTTGCCTAAATCGCAACTGTGCCATCAATTTTCCTTATAAAGATACAAAATGAAAACGAGTAATAGAATAAGAACCCTTCAAGCTCTTAGTTCATATATAGTTTGTGGCATTTGCATGAACCGATCATCCATCATTTAGGAAAATTGATCGATGGCCGAATTTTTAGACATCACGCATAAAATGAGAGATGTCAAAAGATGGCTTGCCTGCAGAAAAGCGAAAGGATTTCTGAGTTCTAATGGAGTCAATTACTATTCGTACCATTCACTTAATGGTTTCATATGATTGAATATTTGCACCAAACTCATTAGTCATTCCTCCACATTTACAACTACTTACCTTTAATTCAAGCGATGAGACCAATTCCTTATTTAATAGCTCCCCGGGGCCAGTGGCCACGGTTTCATTAGTCAATGGCTGACGTGTTTGGTGAGTTAATAACTACAATACTCGAGTACGTACAACCAGGTAGAGAATACATTCTACCACGGTCTATCTAAATTGCATCTTATATAGGTTATGTACAACATAGAACAAGATACAGGCCTAAGTATAATAATCACACAATAAGCATCTGAACCTGAAATTAGTGACTAGCATACGCGTCCTCAAATAATGTATTCCCATTAAACCTCACAGAGTAAATAATCTTTCTACTTCATCTGAAGAATAATAAAGAGAACTAAGTTCATAGTCATCGACTTACAACAGTTATCAATTTCTCAATTAAGCAAACACAACAATGGCATTGCCGACTTCTTGAATCGATAGCAAAAGTTTTGAGGAAGGTGCGAATTGTTTGCACAGAGATTTCGCATCCAACAATTTTTCGACCGAACAACCTGAAATCTTCGCAGGCCTGCACTTTTTACGACTAGATGCACACGCAAGATCGTTAGTTGCACGAGGAACGGCAAGTTGTTTTTGCAATATATTTGTAAGACTCGCTTCTGTTCAGCCTGGATTTAATTTCCATTTTCTTTCGTAAGTATTGGCTCTATATTACATTCAACGATAAAGCAGTTGAAACATTGGGTAACGGTAATTAAACGAATTTGGTTATAGTTCTGTTGAAATCTCATGCAATAAAGTCAAACATGCTTACTTTGGAATACAGTATGCCAAACTGCCAAACCCTCAAAATCATTTTTTTTGGGGGGGGGGGTGTTTTTGAAAGCTCTTTAGGTTATTGAATGTATGCAAAATGCCTGGTTGTCAACATTTCAACAATCCATAATCATAGGGGCAGTTGAAGTGGTATGATGGCACCAAAGCTTACACCAACAGTATATGTTGTATTGCTCTTTAGTCTCGTATAGCTAAAATGGTGCTAAAAATCCCGAGGATTTAATGAGTACATGTATATCTTGATCCAGCATAATTTTATCAGTTCTCCATCAATGATAGTGTAGATTCGAACGACTAAATAAGAACCAATGCATTTTAAGCTTGACCTTTATAAAGGGTCAAAAAGCGGAAGGATTCTGTCAAAAAAGTAGATTTTATTATGCTTTCGATTTTTTAGAAACAGCACTATTTTCGTTTTCGTTATGAAGGCTTCGTTTAGCAATATTCCTGTTCTCATGAGTAGTAATAGGCTTTAAAGGCGAAGATTTATGTTGTTGTTGCTGTGTAGTAGCTGATGGCCACTGAAAAGCATGTCCATTGTTTGCCCGATATTGTGCCGTAACTGGGGTAGCAGAGAAAGTCAGTGGGCTAGGAATTTCTGTCTGTTCAGGAAACATACCAAGTGCAGACGGAAAAGGTACATTGTAAGCAAATTGGGATGGTAAAGCAGAAGAAGGTGAACTTGAGTCCTTTTGCTGACTTGGATAACTGGAAGAAGTTATTGTTGTAGTAGCTGTATTTGAATCATTGTTTTGTTGCTTTTGATAGCTATGTGCGTTAGAGGCGGTTGTAGATACCGATGAGATAGGCGATTGATGTGTGTGATGCTGTTTCATATTGTTATTTATGATTCTACATGTGTCAATATTATCTGGAATGAGTAGGCGTAGTTTTGGTGGTTTATTCTTCAAAGAGATGCTACTAACATTACTCAGAATGGACATGGCTGGGCTTCCAGGTGCACCTATACTAGTACAGCAGTTGCTTATATTTGGGGAGGACATTGTACTCACACCATGATATCGTTGGTGGTGGCTATTAGGTTGAGGCGAAGCAGAGATGAAATATTGATACGGGTAAGGTTGGGAGTATTGCGGCAATAGAGGCGGTGGCAGGGCGTGAGAATGAACTGGTGGGGCAAAAGGATAGGATGAGTCGGCCGGAGGCTGCTTGGAAAGATGCGGTGATAGAGCCTGTGTTGTTATATTTCCTGTCATTAAGTAGCCATGTTGATGCGGTAGTATGTTAGATGTTTTATAGCCTAAAGGAGGTGGTGACTGAAGTGGTACTCCCGCATATCGCAGGGCTGAAGAATAATACACCGGGGAATCATTTTGTAGCTGTAATGTCTGGGGATTTGGAGGCGACTCTTGACTGCGGATTTTTATGGGATTCTGCTGCATAAGATGATGATATACTCCAGGTGTCAACCCCTGATTTGATAACATATTAGCAGGCTTCTTGCTTTTATATTTTATATCAGTAGCATTTGTTCCTTCCTGCTCCATTGCTGGATGTGTTGTTGCTGTTTTGGCGTTTCCTTCCTCCTCTTCATTTTCTACATTTTCTATAACGTCAAGCTCTGCTCCTCCACCTTCATCATCGTCACCCTGTTTAATTATCGCATCATCTAGATTCGTTGCGTTGATAAAATCCTGGTTTGATTTGCTTTCATGAGGCTCACTATACTATATCAATATGTAATGTGTTTTAGTGCGCCCTTCTAAGTAATTGTGGCACAACGATGAAATCAATTACCTCTGTATATTGCATCAATATCTTGTCAATATCTGTACTAGCGTATTGCACAAGCTTTCCATTAGTATTAAATATTATTAGGGCGATTTCGCATTCGCATAGAACACTTAATTCATATGCTTTCTTCATTAAACCATGTTTTCGCTTCAGAAAAGTAACCTATTATGGATTAGTCGTTATTAATGAGAGATTTAAGCAATACTATATGTATTTCAACAAAATACAGTCGGGCTCTGTACCTGTCTGTTACGATCGTCTTTAATCAGCTGGATCTTGATTTTCTTACGTCCCATGATGACTTCCTTATTGGAATTGGTTTGGTTGTTGTAGTCAGGGAAGAGGAATTTGGTAGGTATTATATATGCTTATAAGCTGAGTTGAGAGGAGTAAAAAAAGGCTTCTTTACATACGGATATAATATATATGTATATTTAGATGCTGTCAAACGGGGTTATCTGAGGGTCTACTTCTTAATTTAAAGTACGGTATCGATTGTATATAAACAGAATACTGATCAAAGAAAGAGGAAATTCACTAAATTTGCTAGTATCTGTAGATACTATAATGATAAATCATGCTCTGTTGGTTAGAGTTTCCCAGATAAATTGGCCAAATAAGCTATAAATAACGAACTCGTTGCGTGTTTAAATATACAAGACACCAAACTTTTCCTTTTTTTGGTGATACTCAACCTCCTTATTTCGCCTCGAAAACGCTTGTTCCAAAAGGTCCGCTACTGCCTGCGCTCTAATACATATACAGTTTCCAATCTTTACGTTTAAACAAAGGATTTTTATTACTGACATTTTTTTAGCCCAATGGACACGAGATATTAAACTTATCTAAATTGCCCGGGGCAGCTCCAAAGGCTGAAAAGAATCTAAAAACCCCTTAGGGCTCAAGGGTAAAAAGGATGATGGACTAAAGGGTTGGAGGAGGGGAAGAGGGTAACCAGTCGAGCAATAGATGCCCTAACCGAGGAGTTGTAGGTGGCTCTCGAGAGTAGTGTAAGTAGTCGAGTTCAAACAAGATGTGACAAAGTGCTGGCCATAGAAAATGCCAATTTTGTATTTGGGATGGGTTGTTGATCAGATGTGTAGGAAGACGGTTGAGGACATAGGATATGGGATCACAGACTGATGTGGGGAGTCGTAGGCGGTGGTGCATGTTTAAACAGGAAATAGCGTGGAACTTTGTAAGTGATGACGAGGGATGTTTAAGGCAATAGGTTCGGTAGCCTCCAGGAAGCCAACCCAAACGCCATCGGATACATCGGCTGCGTTGATTAGTTGACATTGGAATGTAAAGGATCGGGTCGATCGTTAATCGAGAACGGCATTGAGAGATCAATTTGGAGTTGTAGCTGTTCGATTGTTGGATGTGAAGGAGGCTAGTACGGAAGTTAGCGGTACAGCGTCGCAGAGCAGCGTTTCCAATCTTTACAGTGTTTTTACTTCCGTACGAGACACTTCTGAATTTTTAGTGGATAATCTGAGTTTTATTTGGAGACGTTTCTAGATACCAGGACACGAATTGAAATAATCCTACAAAATCAAACTTTTACCGAGCGAGACTACCCTTCAATCTCCAATCCAACAACTGCATTATGGAAGATTTTATTCACTTTAACCCCGTCAAGGAAGGCTATTATGTAGCAGACAATAAATCTAATGAAATGGATATTGATTACAACGATATTTAAATACTGGTTCAGTACGGTGAACCACAACAGCTTGCAAAGCCTCCTAATGATGAGGTATCTGACGTAGTTGATGAGCTGCAATCGCATATGGAGGCGCTTGATATCAAGGAGACGAAACAACGATGAGGATATAATACCGCTCAAATTAAGAAAATGTTTTATCTTTTGCAAGAAGAAGGCAAAAGTGTTACAGAAGCTGCGTTACTTTCAGGGATTCCGCGCAGCTCAGCATACAAGTTAGTTAAGAAGTTCAACGATAGTAATGGTACTATAATCCCATTAAACCCTACAGTAGATAAATCAAAGAAACGAACGATGTCCACCAGGAAGTTTTCGCCTGAGCATACTGCTTTCATTTTGAAACTATTGACGAAAATTCGTCACTTACTCTTTCCTTAGTCCGTCTAGAATTGATTAGTAACTTTGAGGGTTTTACTATCTCTATTTCTGGTTTATGAAGCATATAATTGAGAAATGTGCTCTTTCTTTGGAAAAAGTATCCAAATATACTATTGAAAGAGACTCACCTAGAACACTTGACCTTCGTGTCAGTGTCATAACACAATGGATGGCTGCAGGCGTCGATTTTCAAACAAATTGTGTATTTATGGATGAGGCTGGTTTCAATATGCATATGATTAGAAATCGCGCATGGTCGAAGGTTGGGAAAGCAGCAAACGTGAAAGTATTTTTCAACAGGGTGTGAATATAAGTATTATAGGCTGCATCTCTCACTTCGGTATTGTCGATTTTTGAGAAGTCAAACCTATGACATTCAAGGAGGCCGAAATCATTTCAAAAGAATTCCAAAGTGAGAAAAAACGGAAATTAGACAATGACGAAAAACAAGCTTAGGAAAGGGACTACTACTTATCATGTTGTTAAATTTGTCGAGAGTGTAATGGATATTTTGGATCAGCTTAACAAAAAGGATATGTTCATTGTTATGGATAACTGCAGAATACACCATTCTGAATTTGTCGCGAAAGCAATCAATTCACGTGGATACAAGCCTCTTTTCCTGCCACCATATTCACCCTTTCTAAATCCCATCAAAGAGTGCTGGTCCAAAATTAAAAAGATCATTTAACGAAACCCGTTAAATTCCAATGATACCTTAACTCCTAGAATTAAGCAAGCCTGCCTCTCAGTCTCTGTAGAAGATTGCTTAGGTTGGATCAGACACTCCGAAACTTTTTGGTACAGATGCTTAGATAGAGAAGTTTTGTTAAGATGAAGTTTTTATTTTTATTTTTGTCTCCTAAGAAAATCTAATCTGGTCTCATAGGATATTTCAATTCGTATCCTGGTTTACCTAGAAACGTCTCCAAATAAAACTCAGATTATCCACTAAAAACTCAAAAGTGTCTGGTACGGAAGTAAAAACACTGTAGTGCATGAGGCTGTATGAAGAAACTATAGTTTTTTATCTCTGCTTTGCTTAACATTAAAAAAGACTGTGTGTGAATTCTTTGACATCGACCCGAAAGATTTAGGGAAAATGGTCCTGAGGTATCTCCACTGCGTTAAGTGGACGAAGCATCGTGAAATTTGACAGCCTATCTTCCACAACAGAGGTGTAGTGTAGACCTCGACTGTCAAGGCACTTTAACAGTTTAGTTTGTATAATTTACCTTCCAGAACAAGAGAGATAGCTTTAGAAAGTAGTTCTCTAGTGGCTCGCAGACATTAGTGTGCTTCCTGGAACTTCCCTTTCCATTTTCACCGTATTCCTGAAAACACTTTGATATATAACCAACACCTGCACCTTCATATCGTTTATCAGTTAAGTGTCGACCTAATAACACAGTGGCAATAAGAAACGCATAGATTGTTCTGAATAAGGATATTTATGTTTCTCTGTACTTTGAGTCTAGTTATCGTAATTATTAAATAGTAAGTTTGGCTTGATTGAATAACAAGAGAGACAGGTCGATTTCTCGATTAGTTACACTTAACAATTACTTCTCAAATGCTTTCCATTGCATTTTATACCCGTAAGGTAATAACAAAGCACGTTCTTAATTAGGGGTTAATGCTTGCCATTATTGCCAAGTTAATGTCGTTTCTTGCTTAGTCCATGTTGTCCAAGCAATACTAGGAAGTCAAAAAAATTGTAGCTTTATAGGCATCCTAAGCCATGTTAGTTATTATCTCTTGAAGAATGTTAATGGGGATGTTCTGTCTTAAGAAAGTCTAGCCAATGTTGTAAAAGACAAATTTCCTTACCCGCAAGCTAAGCTCATGAAACTCTACTGCTTAATACTGCTCTTTTCTTGTTGTTTTCAGATTCTCGAACTGATGTTATATGCTAGTCGATTTCCCTAGTCTGTCTAGCTATAATACTTGAAATTATATTACCTTTTTTTGGGGGGAGGGATGCGAAATTCTATCCATAGCCGGCAAACATGCATTTACATTGATAAACATCTCTTTACAATTACGCGATGCTAGCATTTTCGTGTCCTTTTCTTAATTATTTGCTTTTGCTGATCACAGCCGGCTATTTTACGTACGCTTCTTAAATGATGGCTTTACTTTGAATTTGGACAAGCTTGAAACTACGTAAAGCTTTACAAAACAAAAAATGGAAATCCTGAAAGAAAAATTAGCTCGTTCTTCCTGCTGTAAACTGAGCTGAAGTATTAAGCCTAATAAATAAACTAACCACAACATGTTCGCTTGATGAAGATTAAATATTCTCAGCTTTAATATAGATTTTTTCAAATGAAGTACTCTATTAAAACCACGAAAGATACGAAGGCGATCATTAGCATAAACCAGGTATGCGTGACTAAAAATCACGGCATTGGTTACTTACCTATTCTACCATAAATTGAAACCCTGGGTATACTTTACGATTTGAGTCGTCTTGCTACAACTTTAATGTAATTTAGTCAAATATTTAATGTGAAGAACGACACCGTATGAGCTGTAAATAAACAACGTTATTGGCACACGATTTTTTTAGTCATGTAAAAACAATAAAAATTGACACATATTCTAATTTTTATTGGAATACATATTGTAGAAGTCTATTTATATTGCTTAGCATTATCCGAGAGTAGATCGTCTACCAATACCTTTATCACCTTCCCCCGAGGGCAATTCACCTGTTCTGCCTGTGACAAATTCGTTATAGATTGAACCAAGTCTATATGCCTCTTCTGCAGTAATTGATGGTCTAGTCGATCGCAATGATTTATCCAAATACTGCTTTTTGATTATTGCTTCTTGGGTACAGCCTGCTATTGTAGATGCGTTCCTTCCTTCTTCTTCCTTTGGTGGGCTCGTAATATCAGTAGTAGAAGGATGATCATCATCAGTTTGCTTTTGTTTGACCCCTTTTTTTATCATTGCCAGCTAAAGAAATTTTGGATGCGTGTGATTAACAGAGATGTTTACATTTTATAAAATAATTTAATTACCCTCTGAGATATCTGTCCTTTTTCAGCTAATGTTAGTGCTACTTTCTTCGAAGGTCCCCAATTCATAACAAATTCACTTTTTTCATCTCTTGATTTGTACGACTGTTTCGTATCTTGTGATTCTTTGAACGTGTCCATATCGATAGCTCCATGAATAGCCTCTAAATGAGCATTGTACAAGAAGCCTTGAAGGTCTGCTCCCGAAAATCCTTCAGTTTTTTCGGCGTATACTCTTAGATCCACATCTGCTGCTAAATGCATTTTCGAAGAGAGAGCTTGGAGAATCTTTTTTGTTTTAGTGTTTGTATGTTCATAGCATCAAAGTCAGTACACACTATTCACTCTATTTTCAGTCTATATCTAATAGTTACCTCTAATCTTTCTTCCAAAGTGGGCATACCACAAAGAAGCGCCTTATCCAAACGCCCTGGACGAAGTAAAGCTGGATCAATCAAATCAGGTCGGCTGGTAGCCGCTAAAACGTAAACGCCATCCAAACCTTCAGCACCATCCATCTGTGTCAACAGTTGATTGACAACACGGTCTGTTACACCTGTACTATCATGACCTCTTCTGGGCGCAATGGAATCAAATTCATCAAAAAATAATATACAAGGTTTTGCAGCTTGTGCTCTTTCAAATAAATCACGCACTGACTTCTCACTAGCACCAATGTACTTGTTTAAAATTTCCGGACCTTTGACGCTGATAAAGTTTAAGCCGCATTCTTTTGCTACGGCCGATGCCAATAGTGTCTTACCGCAACCAGGATAACCATATAATAGCAAACTATTTTATTTTATTTTTGAAATTCTCATCATATGAATATATTTGTCAATGCAACAGAAACGCGAGATAGAAACTTACCCTGATCTTAAACGGAGAGGACATTGTGAGAATACGGCTGCATACTTGGTTGGCCATTCTAAGGTCTCCAAAAGAGTTTTTCTGGTTTCATTGAGACCTAGACAATAGTAACAGATTCTAATCAGATAATCAAATCACTTCAATTTGAGCTTATCTTCATAATTCGCAATTTTACCGCCAATATCTGTCCAGTTTACACCCGAGCTTTGTAATTTAACACCACGTAAAGACGAAGGTACAAAACCCTCTCTTGCTTTTGCGAAGTCTTCTTGAATCAATTTCAGTTGTTCTTTTTCATCTTCACATGGTTCGGTATCTGATATAGCTACTGTTTTTATTTCCTTCAATTTCTTTCTGATTTGGCGGATGGCACCCTCGTGCACAGTACGCTCGATAAGCGCTTTCAAATCGGCTGCCAAAAAACCCTCGGTTTCTGATGCCACAGACACTAAATCAATTCCAGGCAGGCTTCTGCTCAAAATTCCGCTCGTATTAGCAGTCATCATGGCTTCCATTATTTGCTTTCTTTCTTCACGATTGGGTGGTTGTAAATGTATGAACTGACTAAAAATATGGTGAGTAATTAAAGCAGTGTGAATGGACTGTTGTTGCTGAGCTGTAGCGATGAACATAATAGAATGCTTTTTTTCAAAACAGACGCTTTTTGTCATACGGACAAATAGCTCTGCTAAGTGGCGGCTCCGCGTAGAATCAGCATGTTCTACCTCGGCGGGGATCAAGCGATCCAGATCATCAAAAAAAATGAGAGAGGGGCCATGCCAAATAGCTTCATCTAGCCACCTATGTAAGAGGTCTCTTATGACAGGTATTCTTTCATCAGCAAACTCAGAGCAATTGATGGTCATCGTGTCTAAGGATCAAAGAGAGCATATAAAGGTATGGTGCGAAGGATATATTAACAATCTTTTTGGCAGTAACAATTAGACGAAAAAAGTAATGAATCTTACAAATAAGCGCTATTTTTGAACTAGCCAATATTTTTTCAACGATGCTCGATTTGCCAGACCCATGAGCACCGGTAAGGAGAATACCACCTGCACCTGGCACTTGAAGCTTATCTCTTAAAGTACACTTTGCAAGATTGGCAAAGGTATACTGCTCTATTTTTTGCACTACTTTTGCTACGCCTCCAAGCACTGCTATCTCTTTTGCGCCTTTTTCTTCTTCTTCCTTAAGTGGAGGGGTCTGTATATCGTCATCAATCTCAATCGGTATATCAGAATGTTGTACTTTCGAAATGACGGCATACCGTTCTATTGCTTGTGAATCTGTCGTGTCGTTATCCGATGCTAGGCTGAATAATCCTTTCTTAACGCCCAGTTGCAGTATAAACGTTTCCTGAGCATCGTCAACGTTAAAATCGAAATGTAAGCCTTGACTTAAAACAAAGTCCTTGTCTGATGCTGCTGCTGTTGTTGCAAGCCATTTCCGAATAGAATTTTTCACTTCTTTCTGGAAATTGTCTTCTTGTTGCATTTGTGGTTGCGCACTGTCTAGTCCTAATTTTAAAGTAGATGAGGACCATGGCGACGAAGCAACTGCTGGTGTCACTATTTTCCGTAGAATCAAGGAACCCAATGGTATCCTTTTGGCAAGAGTTGTGGAAACTCTAGTTAGGGGGTAGAATGTCATGTTCTTCAGTTTATAAATAGTGCTCAATCAAATCCTTTCTCACTACCTACTTAATCTACTTACTTGACTATATCAAAATCTTTTAATTTCAGCGTTGCCCGAAGGACAGATCCAAGGATAATATGGCCTGGTGGGATGTCATTTAAAGGAATAATTTTTGCGAAAACTGCGTTTGTATTCAATAAGATATCTTTTGGCATTTCCTGTTGCTGTTGTTGCTGTTCTTCTTCGCGTTTTCTTATGTTGTTACTACCATTCTTGATAGAAGTAGGTATGACTTTCGATATATTCACAACGTCGGGCATTTTCTGATTTATTGTTAAGTTCTCAATAGACTCTGGATGAACATAGACAAATACAGATTCTTTGTCTTTAATATCAAAGCCAATAGCAGAGCAAGTTCTTAGCATAATCGCACGTAGTTGTTGTTGCTGGATATTTTCATCAGTAGGAGCTTTTGATAAATCAGAAACGTCCTCAGCATTTGATGGTTGCTTACTTCCCCTAACTTTTGGTGCTACAATGACTTCTGAAGTATTTGATAACTTCAGTACATCATGTTTGGGAGGGTCTAATGTGGCAACAACAAGGCGGACCAAGGTTTTACCATTAATCCAGACGCACATGATTTGGTTGGCATAAACCGCACGAATTTGGCTCAAAAGATTGTCCTCGACATATCCAGCATGCAATTCCTATGTTTTTACGTCAAGAAATTTATATCAAAGTACATTTTATACTTCTTACATAGACTTGAAAGGATAGAATTATAGCTTACCAGTATTTCCCAATCATCTTCTGTTAAAGGCTCCACTGATACGGTAGCGCAGTCAGGTACAGACCGGCAGAACTCTACATTAACCTGGTTTGTTGAAGAAAAGGCTTAAGTTTATTTATTGTAAATGAAGTATGAGCTGACCAAATTGCCTGTTATGTACCCTTTGACCTTCTTGTAAGCCGAATGCTGTTCCTAATTGAGAATCCAATTCCAACACATCCAGTTTACCATTGGCTCCATGAGTAAAGACTGAATTAGGTTGTAAAGGTTTGGACGCTGCACCGGACCATCCACAATAAAATCTTCTGTCATCAGCTGATGTCTTACTGCTCGTACTGTCGTTCCCGTTACTACTCGTTATTTCAAGAATAATATTTTGCGGTAACTACTTTTGATAAAATATTGGACGAGTTTATTAGTTTGCTTGTGAAGACATAAAAAAGGCAAAATAATATTTTTGGATTTCTTTTTTCTTTGCAAACCTTTCTTTGTTCTAGTAGCGCATTCACCCATCGGCTTGGTAAATTCACAAGACAGGACTTCAGGGGCGTGAATTGAACTATAAGCGCTTTTGGCATTTTGACATTTACTTTACTTTATATGTAAAATTGAATATGGGGTAAAGAATTAAATGAACTAAATTAAGGGAAAAGGGGCCTGTTGCTTCTGATTTGTTCTTAGCTTACACAAAATAAAACAAACAGATTTCACACTGAATGATGACTAAAATCAAACTGTTTTTGAAAAGCATAATACTTCCATTTCAAACCTCATATGCTTGTATCTTGTCCTTGAACAATCATTATACACATTTTATGAAACTGTAAGAATTATCAACAGCTTCAAGTTTCTCTTCTCTCGCGAGTTTCTTACGTCCATAACATAACCATCTTCAACATACAGCAATGATCTATTTAAAAGAAGTACGTCATATTTATCCAACGCTTTTTACATTACCAAAATCGTTCTCAATGTAAGCTTGATACATATGGTTTAAACTAGTGTTCGCAAATTATAATATACAACTTAATCATCTAATTCTACTACGTTTAAACAAAGATTTTATTAGATAATATTAGTTTTAAAGCCCAATGGACACGAGATATGAAACCTATCAAAATTTCCCGGTGCAGCTCCAAAGGCTGAGTAGTATCTAAAAAACCCTTGGGGCTCAAAGGTAAAAGGAATTATGTGCTAAAGGGTTAGGGGGGAAGAGGGTAACCAGTCGAGCAATAGATGCCCTAACCGAGGAGTTGTAGGTGGTTCTTGAGAGTGGTATAAGTAGTTGAGTCTAATTCTACTACGATTAAACATGATTTTTAATATAATTTAAACCCCAATGGGCACACAGATAAACTACATATCAGAAAATTGCCCTGGGCAGGTCCAAAATCCGTGCAGGAATTAAAAAACCCTAAAAAATACTAGGAAAAAAAAAAAGATAAGTGATCACAATGCAGACTAGGTTAAAAAAAAAATGGAACAATCAAGTAGTGATCGAAGTCCAGTCTAGCAAGGGCTATACTAATGTTTCTGACGGGGTAGGGAATCGATTTAATGTTGCATTATCTACACTGAAATTGATATCTATCTAAGATTCAAACTTCTTTAAATTACGAGGCATTTTCTCGTGCTGAAGATAATCGATTTCATAAAAAGCATTTGGACAATTGGCCAAGATATACTCCAATTAACTGGGGCATTGACATGCTGTTTTATGGGTCGAGTAGGGAGTTGGTTCAACAAATGAGAAATGGGGTCAACGATAGTTGTCGGAAGTTGCAGGCGGTTATGCATTTTTAGGCATTCAATGGCGTGAGCTTTAGTGAGAATGCATAGAGTGTGGAATAGGCATTGGGCTGAGTAGTTGTTAGGGAGCCAGCCCAGTCTCCAACGAAGACAGCGACTACGCTCAATAAAGCTCATTGGGAGCCAAAGAATGGGATCAAGAAAAATGTTAGGGCGGCATTGGTTCATTAACTTTGAGTTGGGCGCTGAACATATGGCATCTAAGTTCTCTTGACGATATGCTTTGATGGCCTGGTGTAAAGCCTTGAACGGGGATTTTTTTATTTATTTTTTTTTTATTTACGAACTTTATTAGAAGTGACTAGAAAGAAAATTTGGATGATATATGGCAATAAAAGAAATGAAAAGGCATAAACGGTAAAACTACTGAAAAAACCATTAAAAGTATACTACGAGCTCGTACGGAGTGTTCTGAATCGAACCTCGTCTTGGTAGACGGTATGAACTCCTGCTAGGGACCAAGAGATGCGATCAAAATGGCAACGCCAATGACATTTCCAGATACTTAAAAGTATCAAACTAACCTGGAAGATTGTGTGATCAGGCAGAGGAGAATTGTCTAACGGGGAATAGAGTGTTAACAATATATGCCAAATGCCGGTAGGTGTGGCAGGAAAAGATATGATTCGATTTTCCTGCAGTGCCGTGATCCGAAATTGCCATATAGGTGGACAACCAACGAAAAAAAAACCATCCTCAGGAGAGTCTCGGCAATGGTGGCAAAGGGGAGAGTCAGCTATGACAGGATTGATGGAAAACAGCCAAGGTCTGTACCCAATGCAATTATGCCATAAACGCCACTATGGAGTTAGCACTGCATGAGGGATCGAGAGTGACCAGAACCGTTTCCACTGAGCCGGAGGCCGATACCAAAGAGGAAACACTTGAGGAATCCGAGGAGGGTCACTAAAAACGGAATAATCAGGATGCCAGTATAGCCGTAGCGTACCAAGCGATAGCCGTAATACGGTGGTATTCTTCTGAGATTCAGGAGGTACTCCCCAATGGGACATATCAGGCAACCATGAGGTGCTGTAAAATACATTGAGCCATCGTGAAGTGGGCGTAGGAGCAGCAGCCGGAGGAGGGGCCCGGACATCAATCAATCGGTTCTGGATAAAAGGAAGCCATTGTATTACACCTTGGGAAAGCAAGCTAGGAATCCTTTTCAACTTCGGATAGTCCTGAAAATATTTATAGCCTAGCGTGTAGAAGCAGTTAGTTATCGAAGACCAATGTAGAACAGTAGAGACGATTAAATGCAGTGTGAGGCTATTGAGATCCATGGGTAAGGAGCCTACAAACTTGGGGGGACGCTGTAAGGCATTACGAAGGAGCAAATCAGCAACCCAGCGGCCATGCCATGAGGATGAAAGAGATAAAGAAGGAAGTCTCAGCAGCAGTGAACATAGTTGGATCATATTCGGAAGGAAGCGAAAGGATGAACGATAAGTGGCAGTCGATAAAATCCATAGTAGTAAGGACAACTGACCAGTATACACTTGGATACAATGGGCCAGTAATGGAGAGACAAAATCAGTTGATGAAGGGGGCTGTGGGAGGCGCTGAACATACACAAGATGAAGAGCTAAACGTTGTTTGCGCAGATCCACAAAAAACGGGGAATGCCTTCACCAAATTGTATTGGAGTGTGACAGTTGGGACCAAATCCAATTGTTACTACGTTTAAACAAGGATTATTATTACTGACATTTTAAAGCCCAATGGACACGAGATATTAAAGCTTATCTAAATTGCCCGGGGCAGCTCGATTTTCTGAGAATAGGGCGATGCATAGTTTCGGTCAGGGTGCCGTGGTGGGCGAAAAAGCACACTATCTAAATGGGGGAGTACCTTCGAACATGCCTGAAACACATATTTCCTGTAATTCTATACGTTATTATTTGACTGTTACCTTCTCCCTCTTCCTTTTTCTCTCCTTCTTACCTTTTGTCTCTTAAGAGGGTTTTAGTTCTATACAACTACTGGAACTGGCCAGAGCAGACCCAATGTGTTAAAGGCATTACGTGCTCACAGGTCATTAAAAATTTTATCCAATAAAATAAATTATCTAACCATACAATACAGTAGTCAGTATATCAGCTACCATTGAAAACCCCGAAAGGTTTTTGATCCTTGACACTTTTCGGCTATTGATAAATCAAGTAAATAACTACGTATATTCTTCAAAGCAGTTGATAAAACAAGTCAATCGTTAAAAATCGAGATTTTTATGAAGTTCAAAGAACTTTTTTTTATGTAAACATTAATAGAAAAAAAAAAAAAAGCTTGGCTGTGGACATGAACAATTAACCATGTTTATTTGTCAAGGGTGGGTACATTGACAAGAGAAAAAAGGAAACGATAGGTGTGCGATCAATAAAATTTTTGTTAATTTACTTGTTGGAAGTGGGCAGAACATTGATGACAATTCAAGAATTTATAAACCTGCCACAACCATGGCAGCAGCAAAGACGTACAGGATTTAACAGAGTAGCCTTCCGATAATAGATTTCACTCGCCCTGAAACAGCTCTAATGAGACTGGTTCCTCGATACGCTCATTTATCAAAACTATAAATTTTCTAAGGACGGTACAACATCCTGCACCTCAGAAAAAAATGTACGATATTATTCGGTCGAAACTTATAAGTGTGCTTATTTGCAAGGCATCCGAATAGATGTCTCATAGACACTTGTTTCACGTTTTTAGTTTCGTTGTATCATATACTTTATTGTCTATCTGATAATAACTTCATTTCAGTCTGAATTAAATCTTCCCATTCTTTCACGATCGACTTCACAATACCAGGCTGATTTATCCATACGGAGAGTAGAGTAATTCCTTCTTCTCTAGTTGCTACATTTAAATAACCCTTCAAAGAGGTACATGACCTTTTGGTATTTAGCTCTCTTTTATACATTTGTATGATCGGCTTCATACGCGTCACTGTGATGAGCAAAAAATTAGAATAAGTAATGAAAATATGATAAACTCTATAACCAGCCTTACGATAGGTTTTTAGGGGGCATGTTAAAAAGACTGGCCGTCCATCAACATTTTCAACACCATATTTGCATTTTAAATCCTCGTACAATATGTAGAGTTCTTTATAAAATCCTACCATTTTATGGTATTGCTTTGCCTTTCGGCCTTACTGTGAGCATAGCTGCAAGCTTTCATTATCAGACGCTAGTCGAATTCACTCACCAATTTTTCAACTAAATCTACCAATCGCAAGTTTTGATTTTCGACAATCCTTTGTATTTTAGCATCAAACTTTTGAGCGAGATTGGGATGATTCACTCTTAGTAGAGGATGCCAATATTGCGGTTCGTCTACATATCTAGACAAGTTTCACTAAGTATGTTTGTCCGGCGGAAATTGTGCTTCGTTTGATTTTAGTACCTTGACTGTATTACTGAATTGCAAAGCGTGTTAGCTGTTGTATAGGCATGTGTATTAATCTCGCCCCAAGTTTCTCTAACCCGCTTGAAGTCTTCAACAATAGCAATTAGCTTTCTTTGAATCGAACCGGTATTGAAAACCATGCCATATGGTAAAGCAAATTTATAGAGAAGAAAGCAGTCAAATTATTCAATCATGGAAACTTGCTAGTGATGAGTATTGAATTTTTATTTATTTATAACCCCGCCGATGTATATAGGCTTTACCTGCCTACCAGTTGAGAAGTTTCATCTTTCTCATATTTATCATTTTTCTCAATTGGTTTTTGTAGTTGTGTGCAACTTTCGAGAATAGCTATAAGTTACAGAAAGATCAAATTACAATATTTTAATTAGAGTCTAAATCCCGTGCCAGTTACAGTTTTTTAACTGCGGGTTAGACGCAGCTTAAAAATAACTGGATGGAATGACCAAAATTTTGAGACGATTGAGTTAGAGTTTGAAGATCGAACTACACTAAAATGGAGACGTTTACCTGTAAATATCAAGCCAGTTTCGTTCTGGCGATAATAAATATCAAAAGACTAAAAAGTTGTCTTCCGGCTGAACTCCGTAGGATGTTTCTTGTCTTTCCATACCGAAATGCTGATGTCCATCATGTTTTTTGCTGCATTGACATCGCGGTTCCATAGTATCTTACAGGTTTTGCAAACAAGGATACTACAGCCACGCACGGTGTCTAATTCCCTTCTTTTTTTCCGTAATTCTTTGTCGTATTTGACACCTCCATTAACAAGCATGTTCGACATTGTATCTGCAGCACGCTTGCTGCCCTTGATACAGACGGAATCTTGTTTCACCCATATCAGACCCGTAGAATGAGAACAGAGTGCCTAAATGTTGCAGTATATAAGTAGTATATATTTTATACTGTTCAGGCGAGCCTGTTTTGCAACTCGGTATATTGCTTTCTATCGCTTTTATCGTACAATCGACCTTTTTCCTTTCTAATTCTGCGTTGACACGAGTACTACCCGTCATGTGATAATATTCTTCTGTCGAGCAGCGCCGTATCTCATGTCTGTTTGTTTCTAACCCGATTGCTGCTGTAAATACTGTCTTTCGGCCAGGATGTAGTCTTGGATAAACCACAAGGGCTTGACAAATTTGACCGGTCGGCCGCCAATGACAGAAGCGTAACCTTTTCCTCCACAAGGTCTGCAAAGTTCTTGCGAACAAGCAGTGGTATGGCGATCTTGTCCACAGCTGAGGCACTTTGCAGCTTGTGGGGTGGTCTTTTTCCGTTTAACTGCTTTCTTCTTCTCTTTCACTTGGTCACTCTGTTTTCTCTTTTTACTATTGCTACCAACGTTAAGGAGGTTACTCACAAGCAATTAAGTCTGTGCGTAAGATAGATTTAGGTTTATTGCTTACCATCATCAGCATTTACGGCTTTGTAATACTTGCATTTGTAGTAACGCTTGTCAAAATGACCTGGTTCATAGCAATCTCGACACTTGGTATGTTCTAAAAAGTTACAACAAATATCTGAATCCTTATATCTTAATCTGACGGTTCTCTCACAATTATCAAGCATTTTACCAAATGGGTTCGTTTAACCTGGTTCTTATGCTTTTCTTTAATAGATCTAATCTTCTGTATAATGAAACTTTTGTACATGAATAGAGCTGGAAGGGATCTTATTCTCGTTAAAAAAACTTCTTCATTACAATTTAACTTTGACAACAAAAACGCGAGAAAAGAAAGACACGTCTTTATCATTGGCCAAAGTTCCAAAAAAGGCACTGACGAACATCTGGTTGGTCTTATAACACGTCGTCATTTGACGAAAAAGTTGTCAAGCTTTTTGTAGCTCACCCTATTGCAAAGTGACGCCAATCAGAGCTTTCTTAGCGACTTCCTTACTAATGAAGACTCATTTTTAGGACTAGCTTGTACGCCATCCTTAATGCTGCTTGGATGATACTGGATAATTGATTATCAGCGAAATCGTCCAAGAATAATATACTGCTTCATCGTAAAATAATTGAAAGTTGTCTAAATTAAAGATTTAATAGTGTCCAATAAGATTTGTGAAAAGTTTGAAATAGCAGTTAAAACACTGTATTTTCCCCCGTATCACTTGCAGTGTTAAATGCCAGTGAGTGACCGAAGTCACATAGCTCCGCTCGCTTCTATTCCTTAACTACAGCGCTTAGCTGTTCTTCGTCCTTCCTTTCCTCATCAGTGTACAGAATGACCGAAGGCAAGTAGTAACGATTGTAGTTAATATAGATACAGTTGTTAGCTTACAATAACTCTTGATTTTTAATAGCTAAAGAGGTCAGTAACTGCTAAGAATTTATTGCTGTAGTAAGACATATTCGAAACTCACAGTTTATACAGTTATTTGAAAAGCAATTGGCAGATCTGACGAAGCAACTAACAGTAAATAGAAATGACGATAAGCTAACAGCCAATACTCTGCTTGAAAGGGGAAAAATATATGAAGAATTAGGTCAAATTGACCGAGCAATAGAAGATGTCCAGACGGCTCTTAAACGTCATAAGGATGTAGAACAACATGCTAAAAGCATGCTTTTGCACTTAACTACCCTTAAACAGTCACCTCAGAAACTGTCTACAGTTGATACCATTATTAATAATACCCAGGAACCTGAAATTGACATACGTCTTACTTCCTTTCAAAAATGTTTGATGAATATTGATGATCCTACTGATAACTCCAAAATCCGCACATTCGTTGACTCTAATGACTTTGTACAAGTTCTTACAGCTTGCGGTACGCCTAGCACGCCATCCCGCGTCAGAAGTCTAGCCTTCATGGTTTTAACCAAGCTTTTCAATCCATCCACTACTCAAAAGGATCATCCAATGACGTTTATCATTGAAAAATGTGCCGCATGTTTTGCGCAATGTATTGATCAAGGAAAGAATGAATCAAAGCTCCTTGCTTACCGCACCTTAAACGCTATTTTCCAAGCAAGCATGACAGTAGGTGCGGCTATTTTATGTCAAGAGGGAACTGTAGAGGAGATGATGGATGTTGTAGAGTTTGAAATTGAGCCTGTTCAATTGGCCATCGCAGAGCTTTTGTGCATCGCTTCGTCTGATAAATCATGTAGAAAGCAGATCTTAGCATACGCTACTAATTGGCTGGCAAAAATGGCTAGTCAAACAAAGACAGACACTCAGTTAAAAGCAGCGGCAAGTACAGCATTAGCTAAATTAAAAGCTCAGAACGATTTGTCCGAGAGTGATGATATACCTACGGTTGTCAACAGAACTGTTGATCCCACGAATACTGGAGCTCATGATCAACTGGAAGATGCTATGCGTAAAATGAATTTGACCGATGATAAACTCATCGATGCTTTATGTGAAACAATCGTATCAAATTCATCGGATGTCACTTCAATATTGAATTCCGTAGAAGGTCTAGCCTATTCTAGTCTGAAACCAAATGTCAAAGAGAAGCTGGGTAGCAACGAAGACTTTCTGAAATGCTTATCAGCATTGGCTGTAAGTGCAGCAAATGATAATTTAGCAATCAACAACCCTCTACTGTTTGGCATCGGTACTATATTTGCCAATTTGACAATGTACAAGCCGGTTCTGGACGAGCAACAGAAACAGATGAAAAAATTACGTGATCTCGCCAATGCCAAACAAAAACAGGCAGCCGCAGGCGTTAAAAGTGTTTACACAGAGGATGCAGCAATTGCAAACGATCCCACAGACGATGATGAAGCTGTGGAGGAACGCATTAAAAGGTCTGTAAAGAATGGTGTTGCCGTAGCGTTGATGGTACTTGCAAAGAGTCAAAGCGTCAATCTAAGAGCTATAGCTGCACAGACATATTTAAATTTGGTCACACCACAGAGTACGAGAGGTCAATTGTTGCAACAAGGTATTGTGAAGAGCTTACTACTATTGACGAGAGATACGACAATAGACGATATAGGTATAATAGCATCACAAGCCTTGGCGAAATTAGCTATCACTACAGATCCTCGCATAGCTTTTCAAGGCGGCGCCTTACTCGATTTAGTAAGACCATTTTTGAATCTATGTAAAGACAGCAAGAGTCAGTTGCGTCAATTTGAAGGGCTGATGGCATTAACAAATCTGGCATCCGTGGATGATCGGGTTCGACTATCAATTGATAAAGCTGGTGGTATGGCTATCTTCGAAAACTTGCAGCTTTCAGATCATAATATGGTACAGCGAGCAGCAACGGAAATGGTGTGTAATATGACTTTTTGTGAGCCTGTATTTGATCGTTATAGTGATCCTAGGAAATCGCAAAACAAAATTCGTCTATTAATGATTTTATCTGATCACGAAGACCCAGCGACAAGAAGGGCTGCATCCGGCGCTCTTGCTATATTAGCGAATAGTAAAGGCACGTGTGAAATGATATTGAAAGTGGATAAGGCCTATGAGAGAATATTACGTTGGCTGGATGTTGAAGAAACAGCAGATGTACAGCATAGAGGCATTGAAGTGATTCGTTGTTTGATAGAATATGAAGGGGGGAAAGTAGTGAAAGGATTGATGGGAGAAGGTGTGGATAAAAGGTTGATAACTTTGATCCAAAAATGCCAAGTACCTGCAGTTCAAAGTGCAGCTGTTGAAGTTTTAAGAATGTTTTCCAAGAACGGCGCACAAATTACTTTGTCAAATTGATGAAAAGGTCCATTTGAGGTTAGAAGATAACTATTATACTTTTTATGTTATGTAATAAAAAGGAAAAGGATGTTAGAAGGAGTATCCGAGCAGTACCGTGTATTCACCACCGGGTGCCTTTTCAGTCACGAAGATTAAATTTCCGCTCGAAATTCCCCTCATTTGTCCCAAGGTTTGAACCCCACCCTCAAGAACCCTGTTTTCTTTTCTTTTTCTTTTTTTTATCTTCTTTGTTTGAACATCACTGCCTTTGATAAGATGAAATATAGACAACTCAAAGTTAAACCAAGAAAGATATTTGAAGTAACACCCTGTCTTGCAGAGATGGGTGCTGTATTTGAATGTTGGGCTACGACGGGTAGTGTAGATTCCAAGAATTGTGCAGCTGTAGCAAAGAATTTATCCACCTGCATGGGCAAATCTGTAAAGTGTCAACTCTAGTTTCAAAACGGAAAGACGGTCTATAAGATAGTACTAATACTTAGATTTTCATGCTATAATAGAGGCTTAGACAAAGACCAACAAATACGATCAACTACCACTTAGCACGCTTAAGCAAGCAATTATAAATCTGTTAATTGGAACCTTAAAAGCTAGATCCTGACAGCAGTTATGATAGAAAGTCTAAATGTACAGAACAGCCACACATATTAGTTAGCTCGCTATTTCTCCACAAGCTTCGAGTAGAATAATCATACCTTTGTAATATGAATAATTAGCACGCCGTGTACAACGATCAAAACGAAAGAACATCAATAAAAAATTGGAAATGTACGATATATAAATGTTCGTGGATAGATTTTGATTTCTACCTTGATGGGTGATGGTTGAAGTATAACGGTTGCTTAGCTAATATACAATTCGCAGGACAGCGACGGAAGATCAAATATCTTAGGAAATCATTCGTATAGAACCCTTTGTACGCTGTACCATTCATTTCATGAACCGCATCTTTTGCATCCTCTTTTGCTTTGTATTCTGCGAAAGCATATGTGAGACAGGAAAAAGCATTCCCATTGATCTTTTTATATTTTTTATCTCTTATTAAAAGGTATAGATGCTCGACTATTGCGTGCAGGAATGTTATAGTCGAAGCAGAGAGCCAAATTTGAAATTATACAAAACCAACCTTAAATAGGCTAAAATTCACTTCGATCCGAAGAGAAAAGTAGTGCATCCTCCAAAGCCGTAAACAAGGACCTTAGCTCTAATGTTCGAGTCTGTGAAGACAGAGTAATCGTGAATTGGAAAAGCTTGAAAATTTGAGTATTGTGAAGCTGTGTGCTTTTTTAGCTTGAAAAAAAGAGCGTTCCCTAATTAGCAACAATCAGGAAGTCCAGAAATAGAAGCTTAGATAATTCTTTTAATTCAATCGTTAAATGTGGTGGGGATGATAATAATAATTAATACTTTATGTGCGAAATGTAAATAAATGAGTGTATGTTCTGAAGTTTGAAATAGCTTTACTAGTGGCGCCAACCTGCATTCAATTGCATTAAAGTAAGAACAGCGTCCATAGGATATTCAGACTTTTTTTCTTCCCTTCCATCTTCATTTCCACCATCCTCCTGCTTGTTTTCCTCTGTGCTAGTACTTAGGAGTTGTTTGCTCATGATATCTTCGTTTGTCTTTTCTTCAGTAATGTTTTCAGTTGAAGTTGATGTAGTTTTATCTTCCGATTCTGCTGCTTTTGATTCTCCATCTACTGTCATCATTTCATTTGTAGAGGTATTATTTGATAAGAGGGCAGTATCATCTGATGTTGTAGGAATCTGACTGATTTCTATAGACTTATGATCCTCAGTATGTGTGGGAGAAATTGCCTCAGTCATTGTCGTATCATTGTTGGAGTTCGTTTGTTCGTTCGTAATGGTGGGAGTTAGATTCTCTGCTGCTGCTGCTGCTGCTGCTGCTTGTGTCGATTGTAGAATTCCGTTAGACAAGGCCTGCTCCGAAACAAAACATAAAATCATTTAAGGAATGAGTACAGAACATCAAAATGAAAAGAAGTATGAGCTTACCATCAAATTTCCATTCAACTGTTCCAATAATTGTCGATGCAAATCAGAAGAGAGTCCCAAAATCTTGGCTGCAGCTTCTGTATCAATTTGCGGTAAGTAGAAGGAGTTAGCGAGTTGATTAGCTTGGGCAAGATTTTGCGCAGCTAAGTTATCATCAAGGCGAGGAGTGGCAGTTGGTGTGGTAGTTGAACTTTCGGCCGCACTTCCAGTGGGAATATTAGAAGCAGCACTTGGTACACTTAATACATTGTTCACGATATGCTTTCTTCGTTCTTTATCCATGCGTTTCTGACGTCGTTTCTCAAACTCTTCCTGTATCCAAGCTTGTTTTTGTGGTGAATCTTCTGCACCGAATACTTTATTTGCCCTCTTGTTGACTCTGCATCTCAAATCGTTATCTTTATCTAAAATCAAAAATCATGAAAATTAGTATTGCTCAGCAGACTTGACAAAATTATTTAACATACTTCTCTCTTCATTATGAAGACGCCATTTTTTCTTTCTTTCTCTGTTCGAAGCACGGATACTTTCTCTCTTGGCTTCATCAAGCTCCGAAATAGCTGTTGTGCGTTTAGCGGGCTTTTCAGTATGCTGTGGTTGCGAATGTGATTGCAATGATGCTTGAGTTTGCGCAGCAACCTGAACTTGCGTTTGATCAAGGTCTGTTTGATCAAACGTTTGAGGGTGAATGGGGACATTCTGACTAGCGGCGGCGGCGGCGGCGGCGGCGGCAAAGAAGCTATTTGGTAAGGAATTGCTGTTCACTGCAGCTAAAACGGCTTCATGGAGTTGTTGAAAGGAAGTTGGAAAATCGTTGGGATCGGCTGCAGTTGGAGAACTGCTATTTACAGTTGCAATTGAATCTTCAGCAGCAGCATTTGTGGTGTTGCTGTTATTATTATTATTCGTAGTAACAGTGGTACTGTCAGTATCAGAAGCAGCAACGGTGGCAGTCTCACTGTTGGAAGTCACAAGAGGTTGTTCTTCACTTTTAATGGGCGTATTCTCCATAGTTTTAGAATTTCTTTTCACTTCAAAGCTTATTTTAGACTTTTTTTTTCTAAAAGATAGGATAAATCAAAGATTGAATAATTGAAAGGACAGCTTCTCCTTACAAAGCTTCTTTTTGGATTTTCAAATTTTTTCAAATATGGTTTTAAAAGGTCAAACAAAATTGTCCTTTTCCGCTCTATGTAAGAGAAAAAAAAAGAAGAAAAAACTTACTCCCCTCTTCTGTTGTCCTTTCCTCTCGTGGAATTTATCCAATCACATCAACGCGTAGTGATGACGTATACTCTTGGAGTTTAAAAAATTTAATGAGAAAATTATTTGTTGCACCCATTCCCATTTGGCCTTGTATATGTTTGTTCGAACCATTACTTTTGAACACGCAGCAATCTTCACTTTTGATCCAGCTCCACGATACTGACAGGTAATAAATCCAGATTACTTCCGTCGAACAAGAATGCAACGTGCTAGTTTTTGTTACAGGAGCAGCAATATTATTCATAAGCCAGCATTACATTCGCATTATCCGTGGTACAACACTATTGTTTAGGAGTCTTGATCATCGGACGCGTTTTCAATAGCATCTTTGATATCGGAATTGTGATAGATACTTTCTGTTCAATTTAAGGTTATTGAATATGTGGGATTGAGACGTCTTATTCATATTATAGCATTCAGCAGTAAATAATGTCATTCTTTCCAAAAGAAATGTAATCAATTCGCCAAAGAGGATTCCTGTCAAGTGTTTGAGAAGTCTTTCCGTTTCATCTTAAAGTATCAATTGACTTGGTACATGATGTCAGTCTTCAATGTCGTCCTTTTTAATGGCATGTCCTTTCTTAGGTTTACATGCACTTGAGCAAAAGGATGACTGTACCTCGTTCATATAGGGAGGTGGCTGTGAGGGAGCTGTTGTATTGGCGCATAGATGTTTTGATGCATAAACTAATTTTTTCTTTCCGCATTACAGAAGTCCTTTTTCAAGTAGGCCTTTTAATAGTTTTCTTTAAAGGCTTACGATTTGTAACATATTACGATGCTCGGGTGCTTCATCTGATAAGCTTTCTATAATAAAGACAGGTTGTGACTGGTGGTTGAAAAAAATCCTGGCTTAGAGAAAAATCTATACGAAAGTCCTTTTGATCATTTTATCAAAAAATTGGTTCTGTTTGACGGGTAAAAAAAGTTGACGATGATGCTTTAATATGTCAACTGAAACAGGTATTTATGGATTTAGAGTCGCTACTCGACTAATTATTGTTAACAATGCTAAACGTTCCTGAGTCTTGTTGACATTCTTGCCCATTATGGTCAACCAGTATTCTGCAAAAATAGTAAATGTAACATTGAGTTAGAAATTGAAGAAGGACAATATTTATTTTTAAAAATGAGTTTACCTAAAGCAGAAAGATTCGGCTTTGTTCGATGAGAAAGTATGTCCGTCGAGCTTTTTCTGAACGGAAGTGATTCTATATAAGCTCTCGTCTCCTTCATATATACTATCTATGGCTTTTTCTGTCGCTTCATCTTTATTAAAGTGAACGAGCGATACTTTACGAAGCTTATAATCTTCGTTTGTGTTGCCTGCCATGAGTTTAATGCAAGAAATGGTAAGCACGTAGAATACAGTAAAATTTTTGATTGTGCCCTTCCCCTGGATCGTCAAAAGCTGCTTTTCTTGCCGAATAAAAACGTGTTGTCTCTACCAGATCAGAAACAAAACCTACCTAGGATTAAATATAACGATTTCTCGATCGCGCTGTCAATAATCGTGTCTGCTTTCGGATATAAAAATTGTATATCTATTACAAAATTACAATGAGATGAAACACTATAGCATAAAATAAAATGCTTGAATAAGCTACCTTCACATGTAGGCAAAGCGAATAAATACTCAGCATAAATTAGCAAGAGAACTATCGATAGTGCAACAATGTTCATTATTGTTTTAAAAGAAGGGAATCTAGCTAAAATAAAATAAAAAAAAATAATAAAAAAAAAGAAAAGGCAAGCTTAGGTCTAGGAAAAAACGGCACCAAACATAATAAGATTTTTCTATTCCTGGAACTAGAAAATAAAATAGAAACAGCAGTGGTTTATAAGGTGTTACAAACAAGCAATAGCCCTTTATTGCAGTGAAAAGTAGTGGCTTAATTGGTTAACGACCTACATGATTACCCCGCTTTTGCACATCTACTTTCTTTCTGGCTATTTAACCTGACTGTATTCTTTATTATTTTTTCTTCTTCTTCCTTAACTTTTTCTTTCCCTTTACTCTAGCTACTTTATACCATATGAAATTCTCTATCTCTACCGCCTCCGTCCTCGCCTTTGCTTTCCTATCCACTATTGTTAAAGCTGACAGTTACTCCGATGCCATCAAAGAATTTTGCGATGGTATGAAGATGAAAGAAAAGCCGAGAAAAAAAGAAAGAGAAGGAACTGATATTCTATATTTTGCTTGATAGGCCTTGAAGTAACCGCACCTACTGAAAGCGATGTCTTTGTAGCTGGTCAAAACGCTACTGTTACTGTCAGTAAGTTGTTTTTCTCTATTTTTAACGGAGAACCGGCTTGATCTTCGTTACTTGTTATTGCTTTTAATTAAGTTACTTACTATTTATTGGTCTAATTTTAGCTCGTGTTCCCAACAACCATGAAAAGACAATTACTGGTCTTGATGTAGGGACATTCTATAATGTTAACTTCATGTCTGATTAACTACAAGTACTAATTATTCCTATATATTAGTTGTACTCCGTTGATAGCAATGGTACTCCCAAGTATGTCCAAAACACCTGGGCTGGACAATACAGTTTGAATAGCCAAGCTTCTATTTCCGACGATATTCCTACCTCAGTAGCTGCTGGCTATTATTACTATCGGTAAGAATCCATAGCCAACGATTTTAACAATACTCCGTACTGATGCTGTGGTTTTTCCTTTATATATATGTAGTGTTTGGGTTACAAACATGATTAATGGTCAACATGGACCTGACTGTCTTAAAACCTCTCGAACTTTCAAGGTTACCACATCTTCCCATACAAATGCCGATGGTGTCACATCGTATGCCGAGCATTTAGATGACACAACTTACTTCAAACCGGAATTCGCTAGAGGATGTTTCGGTTTAACAGTCCAACAGCCTGCACAAGATTCATCTTATAAGCAAGGAGACTTTGTTACTGTCCTCTTAAACCGTGATAGTGCTTCTCAAACAGATTCCTTGAAGAAGGTTGAACTCTATAAATTTGTTGATGGTCAAAACGATGAGTCCATCGAGACTATTTGGAGCGGTGAAGAAGGTCTCACTAATGCCTTTAGTTTCAAAGACCACTTGAACATCCCCAGTGACAAATTGGAAAACGGTGCTTTGTATTATTACAAGGTTGATGTCAGCAGTCAAGTTCAGGGTGAAAGCTGTAGTTTCCAATCTGGTGCTTTCAAAGTTACCGCTTAAACAGAAAGAAAATATTGTAATATCCTATCCCTAACATCATCCTTCCATATCCCCCAGTAACGACAGTGTTACTTTATGTATTCATATCTTCGTTGTTAGAATTTATAATATTTATGATCCTCCTCTCCAACGTAACCGCTCCAAACGTTTACGTACCTCACATTGACTGTCTCAATGTTCCGTTTCCGGATTAAAATTTTATGTGTATTACAATTCATTAGACACAATTACTGTTAAATCGGATAAAATGAGAACAATTTATACATCATATGCAAAAATGCTTGCCGCTGTGGTAACTGTAAAACCTACTTCCCTATCTTCAAAGTCAGGAAAAATAAAAATTAAAATAGCTGCAGTTTGAGCAAATAGGAAGAACTGTTGCCATGTGTTACTGCATGTCCATGGCGAAACCGCCAAAAAACTAGTCTTTTGATTGATCAATTATTGCTTTCCCCTTAAGGTATATATTGTTATAATGGATCAGCGAAAGATTCTAGATCGTTCAGCTATAACATATATACATCATCTTTATTGGCCGGCTTTCTGTGAATGATTTACCCTCTAATTAGATTTATAGTGGGAACAAACAGGGGTTTTTTGTTTCATTTTTTTTTTTTCCTTTTTGCTAAATGTTCATATCTTCTAAAATGTACAAACCTTTTATACACATTTACTCCTTAACATTGGGCATATCGGCTGTGCACTGTAATTTACTGAAGAGTAATCTAACTCATTGACATTTGCCATGCTTCCCTTCATCTTAACTTATCCTTATCCATTTAAAAAAAAAAAAAAAAAAGGTAACCGTCCGTAGGCGAATTGTCCGCTGGACACGTAAAAACACATATTCATTGCCATATTGCCTGATCTAGTGACTATGTAGGAGAAATATAACATAGAAATAAAAAAAAGGACGTATACAAACATTTCAAACGTCGGCGGGTCATTTTTGGATAAAGTGCTAAATACTGAAATGGCAATATCGGCAGGTACCAGAGGCATTATGGCCGGAGCATCTAATGAGCACTTTCATTATCGTTGCGCATCTTAAAACAGAATGTTAACGATGTTTGTGATACTAGCAATACTTAAATGCTGTCCATTGTCAGTTTACTTCTATTAAGTGCGATATAAGGTAGCCTTCGTAAAAACATAGTAAAATACTCAAATCAGATAGACGTTTGTAATGCAGTCTGCCTATGGTATATCTTCCTTTAGTTGTAGTCACCTCAATGACAGAGTACAATTCATCCCTCAAAGTTCACGCACAGTCTGAAACTCATGAGTTATATTATCAATGTGCACTGATGTAATCTGTACGCCACTATTCAAAGAAAAACTTAGTGGATCATATTTATGATCGTCTCCTATGTGTAACTTTAAAAATCATCGAACTTCCAGAAGGTTAATATAGAAGTCTGCACCCGTCATACAGCCTGTAACTTCTTCTTTTTATTATTGATAATAAGTAATACAATATTTGTTATTGAATGGAATTTTGCAAATTGCCTTTCGGTTGATGATTATTGAACAATTTTCAAGATAGAGCTATAAAAACAAATACACTTTTCGTCAAAAAAGAAAAACAAAGAAAAAAAAAGCAAATAAAAGACAAAATTTCTCATCGAGCACTTTTACAGAAGTCTAGCAGTCAGGTTTTTACCTGCAGAATCACCACCTACAGCTACTCGGTTAAATCAATGTTAAATCTTGAGGAGCCATCTAAACTCGTAACACACTTTTTGACAGAGTTCACTTCTTCAAATGTTTCAGGGAGTTGTACATCGAGGCTGAGGGAGTAATGGAAAAAAATGACAGTACAGTTAACCCTACCTGCAAGCAGATGGAGTATCTTTGAGATTTTATCAATTTTTAATTCAAGTATTGCAAACCTTGAATGCACCTGATCCGCTAGGTATTTCTGTCCTTGTCTACCACGCTTGTCATGTAATTTAAGTCTTATAAAATTGAAAGTCTTTTATAATGCGGTTCCACAAATAACTTACAGAACAATCAATGCTAGTAGCCTTATATCTTTTTTAAACCTCCTGTATTATATTGATAGACATAGGTGTTGTCGATAATTCTGGGACAGCACTCTTCAATGCCGACACTAGCGTTTGAAAGGTTTCTATTAAAGATTCCTGAATAAGCAGAGTGTCATTAGTTTGGTAATGAGCGAATTGCCTTTCATTAGACAGGTTTCACTTGATAAATATATAAATATGACCTGCCTCTTAATCGATAAATATCTTCAGTGTTTTCATCTGCTCTTTCTGTTCTTCCTGGATATTATATTTTACTCTTAATAAACAGTTTCTTATTATGCTTTGTTTTAATATCTGTTCAGAGTTGCAAATAACACCAACACACGTGGCGTTATCTTGAGTGATCCTTCTTTCAACTAGTCGCTTTACATAATTGATAAATGTTAGCGTTCTCATTACATGAATGATTCAAGGTATTTTTAATGGATAGATCACATATCAATAGAAGTATCCATTCTCAAGCTTGGAAAACGATGGGTGTAGACCTTTTTGTTGAAGATGAAGGGTATAGGTTAAAAAAGGTGGTCCACTGAAAAAGCATTACAACGTCTTCAGTTATCAGTCACTTTAGCGATCACTTTTCCAAGATGTAGAACAGCTGTCACTATAAGACGCAGGCTAACTGCCTTGTTGGGTTTTGCTAGTATTAGTCACTTTCCAGTGCACTTGCCTTATTCCTCTATTTCCAATTGTCCGTCATATGGTCTCTTTTTTTTGCCCCTTCATATAAACTGTAACCCGACTTTAAACGGAAAAATGGGAATTGTTAACTTGCTCTCTATTTTACTTCTAACTAAAATCTGTAGGCTGTTGTCCAAACAAAGTGTTACCATTACTGATAATGTGCCTGTAAATCTTATCAATTAGAATTAGTGGACTAAATTAAGTAGCGAGAATATAAAAAGATGTTGTTTGTCTTTATTTCGAGTTAACATTTGGGTCTCTTTTATATCTTTTGAGATAAGTAATTTGTTTAGAGAAAAGGCATGTCTGAGACCTTGTAAATAAAATATAGGTAGATAGGAAAATACATGTAGTGTTGTTTAGGTGAATAACTACATATATTTGACCTAAGTAATTATAGAAGACATCACAAGAAAGATACTTTAGGCAGGAATTGAGCGCCGTTATTGAAATAGCCTCGGGTCGGGTATATCCGGAATTGACCAACAGCATCACGTGAATACAAAATGGTTTGCTATATATATAAATTAACATTTTCTAATTTTGAAAATTAGTCACTTTGTCCGAGTGGTTAAGGAGTGAGACTTGAAATCTCATACGCTATGCGTGCGCAGGTTCAAACCCTGCAGGTGACGATATTTTTTGATTTTTGTCTGTGACGGTTTTCTTCGAAAAGATCTTTGTCGCACTACGAAATACGGGTATGCAAATCAATATGCTTATGTAACAATGTAATTGCATAGAATTACCAACAATACACAATAAAGAATGGGATTAAACTCTTCTCTCACTTGAAAAATATGCAAGGAATTCCATAACGAATACAAATAAAATGTATCTTGTGAAATCAATTTGCAGTTTTCTGTGAACTTAAATTGCGGTAAAGCCAAAAAGGATTTATATGATTATAAGGGTTCTTTATTTCTACATTTTCGAATTGATTACTTGAGTGTTGTATAAAAGCTTCCACAGGTTGGATAGGAACATTGTCGCATGCATCTGCAATTCTTGTCTTGAGATCTTTATCATCAGAAAACGTGCCCCTCTTGACCTTGTTCTTTACAACAGACCAAAATGACTCAATTGGGTTTAGCTCAGGTGAATATGGCGGAAGATATATGCTTCTATAGTTTCTTGAAGTGATCAATTCGTCAATACCACTATGTGTATGAATAAGTGCATTGTCCATAACAATATAAAAGCCGTTCATAAGAGGGTTTGTATCCATTTTATCTAGGGTTTTTCGAATAAAATTTAAATAGTGACCGGCTGTGGTACACCGTCAATTCTACGTTGTTTACGCTTTTCTGCCACCCCCATTGCACTGATAGCACCGAGTATTGTATGGGAAGTTGCTTTTCGTTGATTTGGTTTCCACAATTGCCGTTGTACCAACTGTGGACCAAGCTACGTATTTATCAAACTTCTTTTGCTCAATGATTGCTCTACGATTCCCATCTCTGCAAATTTTATAGTCTGAGTACATCAAACATCTATTCCTCATCTAGTCGTTTCCTGAATTATCAACTAATTTATGATTTATCTGAACAAAGCACATTGGCGAAAACTCCACAGCCAAAATAATCGTCAGTAAAGCGAGTGGCAATTGATGGAGTCCGGTCATAGGTAAAGAAAAACTAAGCAAAGCGTGAGGCAGGCCCTTTTTTAAAGTAACAAGCCTTCGATCAACAAAACCTCCATTCAGGTAATTTGGCACATTCTCTACACTCTAATTATTTCTTTAACCCTTTGTGGTTAGGCGCCGCTACGCGTTGAAAAGAGCTCGTTAAAAATAACGAATCTAGATAAAATCACAACTTCAACGACTGTAGCTTCCTCTGGATCTGATGATAACCTTGACGTTGGCCAACTGTATAACAAGTTTGCCAATTCATCTTGTCGTTGCCAATTTGCTTCATGTATGTCTCAACAAACTGCCAATTTTTACTGATTTCTGAAGTAGTTGGCATTTGAGAGGAAGGTTCTTGAATACTGCTGGCTGGTGACGGGCTTCCTGATTCCCGCGCGGATGATAGGGGGTACTGTGATGGTGTTGACGATCCGCTAGAAACACATTGCCGCTTGCACGCTTTTAGGACGTCCTTGCTGTGATATTTATGGTTGTTTTATGCTTAGTGAACGCGACTTATAATTTAATATAAACTGCAAGGTGAAATGAGTCTTCTTACCTTCTATTATACACTAAAAATCAGAGAGGGAAGCGTTCATGGCGAATTGGATGTTTGTATTGACAACAAAAGAAAGAAGGAAAGGAAAGAGAAACATTAAAAAAAAGGAGTTAAATACTTGTACCTAAATTTCTCAACCAGTAATAATGCAGCATTACATATGCACATATTTAGAAATACAAGATGACGTGTACAAGTGTTATTATGATTATGATCATAATAACGAGTCAAATGCCTGAAAGTGTGTCTAATTCGTCTTTATGTATTATAGGAGGTATGGAGATACCACAATAAGCACTTTGTTTTTATGCGTTGTCATGGCAAAAATTATTGTTGTCGGCAACAAGCTTTTTTTTATGTTGTCGATACGGCAACCCATATTGGTCCACCCAGTTCGCAGTCCGCCTTCGATGTCAATTTCTGATGAAGCATCATTCTCTAATGAATTATTAACATCAACACCACTGTCTTTAGCGTTGCACGTACCGAGTCCAAATCGATTTTACGTTGGGACGGTTTCAATTTTTATTTCCAAAAAAAAATAAAAAAAAGTTAGTGGATACTGGTGAACTGATGTTTATGCTAGGGCTAGCAGCCTTTTTAATTGCTCATTTGGCTTGTTCTATCAAAAAAGCAAATCTCAACAAAGTAGTTTGATGCACATTTTGCTGGCTATTGGCACTGTCTACTTTTCTCGTCTATATAAGAATGTTTACGAAGAGGGTGGTTATCTCATGTTACTAGCGGTGCTTACATATATGGCGGCAATAACTGTCATGTTTTATTATGCCAGCTTGAATGAGAATATAGTATTGACAATGGGTGTATTCATGTTCTATATCTCTGATGCTACAAATTGCGTTAGATAAGTTTTTGGTTCATTCAGCAGCCTCCAACCACGCATTTGAGTATATAATCATGTCAACCTATTACTCTGCACAATCATGCATAGCGAAATATGTTTAGGCTGTGGCAAGAATTATAGATCAGTCCTTCCGAAGGCAAGGTAGGGATTTCGTATATTTTCTTAGACAAGACAGTTTAAGGATGCTTTAACAACTATTCATCAAATTTAGGTCACGTTGAACACGATTTGACGACGTTACGTATCATATCTTTGTAGATATTGGAATCTAGATAAAGGCATATAGCATATTGAACTCGTGCAGAATCCAGCTTTTTTGTTGATCGCAATTACCCCTTAATTACAATCGTCATGTTTGAACCATTATCAACGTTATATTAACACATTTAGTCAATAAGAATTGTAATGAACACTTTGCCTACTCTCGAGGTTTTTTGTCAATTCAGTCACTCTTATGTATACGAAGCATTCACCGTTTACTGAATAATAAATAATACACAGTTTTATATATCCTTCAAGGACAACAGTGATAGCTCATGTAAAGTTTTTATAACTCAAAGAGTCTGCCTTCCTTTTCTCATTCAAGCTCATAGAATGGATTGATACAGCCTTGATATGTGCTTTTTTAGCACCTTCCACAGACAGTTCATGTATACTCCTATACAAAAACGACGAGTTGTAGATGTGTTAGTTAAAAATGTCTTGAGAAGCTGTTTCGCAAGTCCACTTTAATTTTCTATTTAGGATAACGAACACGATCGTCTTTTCTATTATAAAAAGTGCATATTCATGCTGTCTATTTAAGATACAATACTTTTGTTGGTAATTTCACAAATAATTCTATACAAACTAGCCATGAGCGTTACTAAACCATCACATTTGAGAGCCTTTCATGAATAAATGTATTGCTGATGCACCCTTTGGATAAGCAAGCACTATAAACCACCAGCATCTATTTTTAGAAAAAAAGTAGCTAGCTTGAGTAAACTCTTTTTTATTACAGGATTCAAGCCAAAATGCAAGATGGAATATTGTGGGTGGTAGCTAATTACTTTATGTGTGACATTGAAGAGACGCGGGTTTTTCAAAAGGAACGAACACAAAATAAATTCATTGTTGTGCAATCTTTTGTTAAGGCACGCTTTTTTTTTCAACACTTCCTTGTTAATCCCTAATTGTATAAATAAATGCTCTTGGCCAATTTGATGTAATTCATCATTCTTCTTTTCTTTTCAACTTACTTCAACCCAAACACAACTTTCCTTTTCATTTCATTTCAGAAAACTTTTCAGTTATTCTCCCCTTCCTTTCACTAACACAAAAAAAGAAAAATGAAATTTGCTATTGCTGCCACTGCTCTTGCTCTTGCTGCGTCCGTCTCAGCCATCGTCCCTAACTGCATTCAAGAAATTGTTGGTAAGAAGTTCGTTTCTGGGCATATCCAAATCAAACATTTTAGAGATTAACAGAAGAATTGATTTATAATAGCTCAAGAAGGTGACAATTGTCGTACTATCGCTCAACAACACAAGGTTTCTCTTGTTCAATTATACAGGTGGAACTTTGTTACTAATGATGCTCCTGTTGGCGATTGTTCTGCATTTGTTCCTGGCGAATCCTACTGTGTTAAAGTCGATCATAGTCTTCGTAAGAGAAACTGGTTCTATAAGACCAGGGGTCTTAAAGGTGCCAAGTTAGATCTTGCTAAAAAGAGAATTGCCGCTGCTAAAGCTCAAAAAGCTGCCAGCAATGACAACAAAGGTCAAAAGAAGAAGGCCTCCAAGAAGTCAACTACTAAGAAGACGACAAAGAAGACTACAAAAAAGACGACGAAGAAGACTACCAAGAAGACAACCACTAAAAAGCCGAACACCACGAAGCCTTCCACTGGTAAGGCTACACAATCCAAGCCTGGAGATGACTGGAGCTCCACACCTGCCAATGCTCCTTCCAATGCTGTCAGACATATTATTTCTACTTGCACGAAGTATGCTACCGTTACTGTCAGTGATTCCTGGTGTGGTCCCTTCGCTGAAAAGTACGGTATCACCCAAGCTCAACTTTACAGCTGGAACGCTGGTCTCCATGGCCCTGGTGCTCATGAATGTGATAATCTCGATGATGGTAAGGCATATTGTGTTGCTGCTTAAGCCCTGGATGTGCAAGCTACCCCCTCATTTTCTATCTATCAATAAATTCTGTTTGTACTATTATTACCCATTCTTTCTCAATTGATATTTCTATTCCTCCCTTTGTGTACAATTAAAGTATCCTGATTCTCAATAAAGCTAACTATTAGACACAACCTTAAGAAATATATAACCTCGTTCGTTTTTCCTTTCTCTTCTATCTTTCTTCCTTTTTTATTCAGTCTCTTCAGACAGAGTGAGCATTGATTCCTTCTCTAATAATTGATCTATGTCAATAATTCGCCAACTCCAATTGGAGTTGGGTATAGGTTCACCAGTTTCATCGAAAGCGTTCAGAAACTTTTTGGCTGGTATAAAGTACGGTGTGCCAAATCTCACTCGCAGTGTTCTCACACCCTCGTCATATATTAAAATATCATCCTCTGCACCCTTTTTCGACATCTTATAAGTTACATTAGCTTCAAATAAGACATCTACGTTAATTTGGAGACCCTGTGTTAACGTATTAATAGCAGATGTATTCGTTAACGTTGATGTGAAGGTCTCTTTATCTGGATTGGGCACAGGCAATCGTACTGTTACAACATTGACGACGGAATAATCAGGGCTGCTGTAAGTGGCAGGATTACCCATGGTAGTCCAGATATCGCCGAGTCTTGTGTGTCGCACATCCCGTAGATGAAGACCTATATTCACATCAGATGGAGCCGCCTTTACAAATCGTTCTAGAAGACTAGGTGATAGTATCCGTTGTAATTGCTCCTTTTTTACTTTATCTTCTGGATTATTTAAGTAGTCTGATAATGAAGTGATGGTTTGTCGTACTGCTTCACCAGCTATTGAATAGATTTATTTGTTAAAAGATAGCCCTCATGTGTAAACAATTGAGATAGAAGAAGCAGCTTTACCTCCTGCTAGAAATTGTTCAGGAAAGAAGTTTTGCCCTAAGGAAGCTTTCAGCAAGTTTGCACCAAGCAAATTAGTAAAGTATTTTTGGAGACTTAAAGGTAATAACGGTACTGCTTCATATGGATATTTCTCAATGCGTGGTTTATCAGTAGTGAGTAGCCAAGCTATTTTTATAAATAGATGATTATTGAGTTTGAGGTGTGCCAAATGTTGCTATAAACAGCTGATTCTTACGAAAGTCATATGCTGATTCTGAAGGTTGAGATTGTTCATTGCAGCAGTATCTCGACGTTGAGAAGCGATGTACTCTTATATATGGTAGTATCCTTATAGGTGTTGAGCGCGCCACAGAACAGTTAAATGGTTGTGTCTTTTGTATAGCTCTCAACATTAGCTTCTTTATAAGTTGGATACAAAAAGGAATATTTTGAAATCCCATGCCCCACATTATTCAACATAGCGGAGAAAAAGAATGATGGAGTTGATAAAATTTCTCAAGCAGCGCTTACCTAGCAGTTTGATCATAGAAGTAAAGAGAAAAAACTTCTCACCAATACATCAGCGCTTAAGTCTCTACACAAGCTCAATCCTCACAGTATTTCCCGGCCCCTTCAAAGGGGTATATTTTAGTCTCCTTTTGATGCCTTTATTTCAAGCAAACCAATTATGTCGAGTAAGATTAGTCGTTGAAAGTCTCTCACTTCAAAAGAAATCGTAAAAGAGTTGCTATGGCCCCAGCTTTAGGGCTTCAACAATTATATTTCGAGCTTCTCTCCTGTTACATTTTGTATAACAATTAAACAGTACTTAAAATTGACCATAGCCGCTCGAGCAATAGCCAGAAAGCAGCCAATTATCAACATTTTCTTTCGTAAACACACATACCCCTCAGAGGGAAGAGGGGAGGGGCGCTTATTATGAAATCAATATCGATGTTCAAATACTGAACTCAATCTCTTTAAGTCAACGAGAGAACCTCTTAGTTTTTGAAACCGATTTTGAGAACTTTCGAAAAAGATACATCATAATATAGAATAACGGAAAAAAAAAGAGAAAAAATGAGCTAGTGAAATCTGATTTTCCTCCATGACAACTACCACGATTAATTTTCCAACGAACTCTAATTCTACAAAAACAAATATTTGAAGAAATTATAAGTGCTGAAACTGTGTGTCCAATTATTCTGTACATCAATGGCAGTTGCTTAACCAAAAATGGGATCCCTTCCTTGGTGCTCTTCATGATATCACCAGAAGATAGATGTGCGTTCATTCATAACTTTCTCACAGGTTGAAAAGATTTCTATGCAAAGAAACCGTAAGTTACCCCTCAAACACTTATCTAAATGCATGGCAATTGTTCACGCAGTTTATTACAAGCAATTTGATAATATTGCTGCTATTTTGTCTTGAGTAAGGCTGACAGGAGAAAGACATCTGGTATAAGCATTGGATAGGACTTCCTGGAGCAAGGATGAGGCCCATCTATTACAGTAAATGTGAAAAGTCAACCTCTGTAAATACCTCTACTCAATAAACTAACACTTACTTTTCATCACCAGCATACGGCCATATCATTCTCTGTACATACTCAACATCTACTTGTAATTGTTGGTAAGCTACTCCGTCTACCTGCGTTTCTCTCATCACTTCCAAAAATGCTTTCAAGACCATCATAATCAACGCTGTGCATACGTCCTTCGCTGTCGGCTCCACAGAACGATAGACATCAATACGTTCTGCAAATAGCTTATCGATATTGCTACTCATCATATTCAATGCAACATTATCCTCAACCTCGAAGTATGTTTTACCAGGAGTTTCGGAAATAGAGGACATAGTAGCCACACTATGTGTAGATGGAGGAACATGGCGTGTAGAATAAGGCCCACCACTATAGTTGCAGTCTAGCATAGATACGTTATCGGTTGCAGAATCAGACTGTTGTAGATGCTGTTGCTGAGGAAAAAATATACCTAATATTCGGTCAGTATAACGTAACCGCTTGGTGAAATAGGTCCAAACATCAGAGGATCGCTGCACCGAAGAGGAATCCCTATTGGGATATATATAATCTCGTTGTAAACGACATGTCAACATATAAGCTTCTAACATCAAATGCTTTTTCAGCAAGAATTGTCCTCTATTTAAGTAGTAGTCCACTACATCATTGAAGTCCGAAATAATAGTAGGATCCAACACTGTATCTGACAATTCAGCGAAATGAGTGCTGCTGCTATTAACCAGATTTTTATCATATGACGATTGGGTTGAGAAAGCAACATAAACACGATAAATTCCATTATTGGCTAGATTATAGCATAAGCGTGATTCGAGTAGAAGCAATACGCTGAGATATTTACTTGAACTAGACGCACCAAAACTGTTCCCTATGTCTTGCCACATATTTTTCAATCCTGACTGTAGTCTTTCGGCCGTTGCTGCGTTGGTTATATCGAGATTCATATTCAGTGGTAATAAACATGATTTGGTGATGTATTCTGCAAGCCATATTTGGGTATCTTGAATAAAATCTGCAGTTCTGTCAGCATCTATTTCTATTTCACTGCCGTTATCTTTCATATCCAAATCAGTAACAAACTGACACAAATGCTCTGAAGAGTGTATATGTGTTCAATAAGGAGCTGAAAAAAAAACTATAAAATAACAGAAACTTTTACCTCTCACGGCTTTTTTTACAGAATCCAGTGAACCTTTTATTAGTTCGTATTCCCAACGGGCATATAAGGAATGCAATTTCCTCTGCACTGGCTGTATTACTCGTAGTAGCGATTGTCCTTTATCTCTGAAGGCGACTTTTAGCTTGTTCATATTTTGTAATCGCTGCTCAATTGAAGTGGCGGTAGTAATCTGCACTGGCAATTCAATAAGTTTAGAAGCAGAATATAGCATTTTATCGGTGTAGGGCTTTATCGCTGTGAATAAATCATCTTTTGCCTTTTCTCGATCCTGTTTGAACATACGATTATAAACACTTCTATTCATACAAGTTGAGCATCAAGAATGAAGAATGTAATTCCTTACTTACCTCATCACTTAAACGAATGGAGGCAGTTACTGTATCAGATTTCGGATCCTCGCTACTGCCATTTTCTCCGGAGAGAAATAATGCCTCAAATTGATGAACAATTTCTTCCAATGGCATAATGTAATCCGATAATAACTCTTCCACAGTCATTGGATCCGAGTGAGATACATTCTTTCTAGACAGGCATGTCATTTGTATGTTGACGTATTGTTTCCATAAGTTTGATGTCTCTTCTTTCAAAAGTAACAATAACTTTGTCAATTCTGCTGTTCGTTTAATCGTCAAATCACTTTCAGCCATTTTATGCCATATAGCGTCCTTTACATTGTTCATAATATCCATGCAGTCGTGATTGATTCCTTTAAATGCTGCCATATGCTTATAATGATTTAATAAAGGACTTGCTCTCGAATAATACTTCACCGCCTGGCTGTATTTGCCTCTGTTCAAACAGTGTTGCAATCGAGTCGGTAATTCAAATATGAATTGCAGTCTTTTTAACGAGTTGTGAGCGTTTGTAAGATCCTGGATCTTTCTACTATGGGGCTCCAAATGCCGATTGATATCCCTCGTCTGTTTTGATATGCACTCAATGTTTTCGTTTAGGTGGCCCATTTCAGATTCCATGCTCTCTATATTCATTTTCATCTATGCAGCCGATAGAGGGCGACGAAGACAACACAGTGAAAGCAGGAGACTGAATATCTGTTTTCTTGCCCGACCAGCATTGTAGAAATAAAAGATGCATTCTTACCTTTCTTATAGTATCTGTCGCGCTTATAAACTTGTTGTAGTTTTCATAAACCAGTGTCTTCATATCACCGTCAATTTCTCGTATCTCTAAGTCAGCAGATAACCGCTTTAAACAACAGTAACTTGCCTTCCATTATACGTACTATATATTGATTACCTCCAACAAGTTGATTATCTTTTCCCATAAGACTGTATAGTGTCTTTTCCTTTAAAAGTGAGGCGAAATATTTGTTTGCGTTGAAAGAACTACCATCTTGAAGTTAAGATTAAGTTTACAGAATTCTTGAGCATTCGCATTCTAGTCCATTACCTATGTCATGTTTATCCATGTTATTTAATGGTGTTTGAGCTATCGTAGGCTTAGCATCTTTCAATCCATAATACTTTTTCAATAAAGAATTTCGTTCACGAGCTTGGTTAGGCGGTGAACGAGCCTTCGCTGCAGGCTTATTGTCCATGTAAAAAGGCTACAGTTGAAGACGAGCCTGTGCGTTTGCTTTTTTGCTTTTTTCTTATCTGCCTTTAAAATTACGGAAAGCAATTGTACCTCCATAATATGCTTTTCTCTTTTTCTGGAACCAAATTCTTATATGTCCATTATGTTGAATTATGTTCGTACGCTCGTCTCAGAAAATAGAAAAAGATTCATTGATAATGATGTTAATTTGGACTTAAGCTGTTCGTAATATTCTCCTTGCTTAACGGTAAAGCGTAAACTCAAGAATAACTCATGTTGACCCTATGTTCTGTAGACATTACGGACCGAATTATTGCAATGTCATATCCTTCAGAGGGCCTTGAATGTTTATACCGTAATTCAATAACAGAAGTGAAAAAGTAAAACAGAAAGGCTGTATTACTATTATCGTTGTGGAATATTAAATTGATAATGTACACATCCCTTTTTTGTCTGTCAAGATTCCTCGACCGTAGACATGCAGGCCATTACAAAGTGTATAATTTGTAAAGTGCAGTTCTCATGTTTTCATTTTCTGCTTTACGCGGTTGTCACTGATGACCAATATATAATATATACTATTATATCTGTCTAGACGAAGTGAAAAACAGTATACTCTCTCAAAGTTCAGCAAAGGTATTTACGCCTGCTAACCTGAGAGTTCAAAAAAATGCATGGTTCTAAAAGGAGACGAATTTCAATAAGCTGCCAATTATCCATTTCTAGATCATCAGGCACCACCTTTTACTATTTTAATAGAATTTTGTCAAGATGCATCATCATGGTTGAGAGAGGACGCTAAAAATGTAGTCGCTATTCATTGCAAGGCAGGTAAAGGGCGAACAGGTACTGTCATTGCTGCTTTATTACTTCACCTGGGTATTTCGAATACTTCTTCTGAGGCGATTCGAATGTATGGGGAAAAGCGTACAAAAGATTCCAAGGTAATAAGGGAATGACATACACCATTCTTTTCTCACAATATTGTTAAATAAGTAAAGTCTGTTGTTGTACGTATATATTTGACTGTAGGGTATAACTATTCCTAGCCAAGTTCGTTACGTTGAATACTATGAATTCATGTTGAGGCATAAAGAGCTTTACTATGAAAAAAAAGATGGTGTGGGTTTCCAACTAATGCAAATTGTAATACAAAATTTGCCTTTTATTTCGAAAAACCATACAGACTTTACGCTTCGAATTGAAGATAGTTTTGGAAACTGTATATTTGAGAAACACGCTTCTAGCTTGGTAATTTGGATTGGTTTTCTTTTTATTTTACATTTCCATTATTCATACTTAAAAGGTTCAATTTTAGTGTTTAAGTCGCACGACAGATGAAATTCTAATCGATAAATTGAATATACAGTTGAACAATGATTTTCAAGTTATGTTCTTGAAGGTAAAGAAACAACTTACAAGGAAGTTATTCGTAAACAAAGCAAGTATTAATGATCTGTTTTAGAAGAATGGGCAAACAATGTTTACTGCATGTTTAAACTCTACCTTTGTAAACATAATGAATAATAACGTAGTACGCTTGTGTAAAGAGGCCGTAGATATAGCACATAAGGATGACAAATGTGAGAAGTTTAGTGATATGTTTTCTATAACACTCACCTTTATCTCTCAGTAAACAATAAAATGCATTATGCAACTGGATTCCAAAATATCGGGATTTTATGCACATCATGCGCCTCATACATAGCCATGTATAAGTTTTGTTTATTTACGTTGACAGTTGAGTGGCTGGTAATACATTGTTTCGACGTACAAATTAAAATAAGTTATAGATAAAAGGGAGATAGTAATAAATAGTATAAGTTATAGACATAATGGTAGGATATAGAGGTCTTGAATAAAGAGTTGAAAAATTAGTAAAAATGTACGGTTGATTGAATCAACGATACACGACATTAACAGATTATAGCTGTGTTGTATAATGTGTAGAAAATGAAACGTAAGGGATGATTATAGTAGTAATGATGGTTGTCGTTTGGTTAGTGTATGCATACAATGAATAAAGTATGATAATCCGCTGATGGCTAGTATATCGCATATAAGCAGTTGCAGAACTATACAAACTGTATTTCTTAACGATGTCGAGATTTATATTCTTGCCGCAGTTTATTTACTGTATTATTTCTTGTGTTCTTTTCGAATAAACTCTCAACTGCTTTCATAAACTTGTCATCATTTGGTACCGATAAAGTTGATCCTAGTATTTCCATACAGCCATCAAGATCGGAAGCCAATAGGCGAGCTATGAACAAAAAAATTAACGTCAGCATGTTGTTTGTGTCATACGGGGAAGTCTTCTCTTTTTACCTTCGTAAGCTCTTAGTAATGCTATGGCTACGAAAAAGAAGACGTCAAATCCGCATAAATAGTATACATCCCATATACGAATTAAAGTGTGATAATTTATAACACCGCCGGAGAATAACGTAATGTACCATCTTGTCGAATATATATCGCTTGATAAGCCCAGACTTGTCAAATGATGATATAGCTTTGGAAGATACCTTTTCAGTAGACCATCTTGGATGTAGAAGCTCTCCATAAGGGCAGGAAAGCCCGGTTTATATAGATTATGTAATTTATCGCGTAGAAACATATGAACAAAAATCAAAAATGCTCTCTAAGTAAGATATGAAGGTTGATTTAGTTTCTCTTGCCCACGTTCATCCAATTAGTAATAGCTTATTTTATATATTACCTCCTCTTCACAATACATCAGTATGGTGGCTACAATATTTGTCATCCCTTGGCAATATCCAACTTCTTCATCATAATTGGCAAAAGCTCGAAGCACGTTAAATAAAGCACGTTGGCTATTTTGAAAATGTATTATTCAATTTCAATCTAAACACAGCATGAAAAAAAAAAAAAAAAACGAAAAAATAGAAGCTGAGAAAAATTTACCCTGATCCGTAACGTTGCTTGAACATGATATGATCTCGTAACGTTCTTGGTATATCCAGATCAATTTGACGTTCGTGTATACTACTCTTTGATAATAGTTCTCGATAGGAAGTCTTCAGTTGATGGTCTTTTGAGGCATCTTTCAAGCGATCCGTGACCAGAAAGTACCAAGCCTCTCGTCTCCAACAATCTGGTATGCCTTTGTATACTCTCTTCTTAAATTTTGATGTATAACTGAATTTGTGAATATGATCATCGTGAAGCATAAGGCTCGTTGACATTTTTGCCCATTTTCCTGACCTTTTCACTTCTTTTGTTTTATGTCTATTTACATAAGAGGGTAATGAGATCTTTTCATCTTTTGTCATTGTTCAGGAAAGCAAATATGCTGCAAGAAACGTACTTGTCGTTTGATGTTGAAGAAGCTTTTTCTTCCAAGAAACCATATCTTTTCGAAGATTTGTGTAAATAGATATGTCAGAGTTAGCGATGGTACCTTATATATGAACAAAAATGACAATACCTATCAGTCATAGCAAACCATTTCTCCATTTCGGCCGCTATATCAGGGACACTTTCAGGCTTTTGATCATACTGCATTTTTAGCTCTGAACTAACTTTACTCAGAACATATGTGTTTGAATCTGATGTCCGAGTAGGCACGGTTCTTATCGAAGAAGTTGTAGTTAGCGTTTGTTGAGTAAAATCTGATTCACTGGAGTAGGTTGTCAACTGTGAAGGAGGATCCAATAGTTGTTGCTGCGATTGTTGTCCTTCAATTTCGTTTATAGCATTCGACATGTCTAACCAAGTAGAAGGTGATGTAGGAGAAGTCAGAATGGCACCCGTTTCCATAATTGTATCATAGAGAAAAGAAGAAACAGAAAAGAAAAGCGAAAAGTAGATTCCTTCTTTTTTTCTGCTTCTATCAAAAAAATCAAAAATTATCTGTTTGCTTGCTGGGCTGGAAGAGGAAATAATTTCCCTACCCCGCCCTCTGTATCTCCCTTTTTTCTGAACTTGTTGTGTTCATTTGCTCGGTTTCCCTTTGAGACATCACACGTTTGACGCTACAGCAGCAAGCATACCTAAACAGCCATTAAATACCTCCAGTTATAGACATGAGATAAGTAATATAGTCCAATTGTTCCTGTTATGAATACTATTGGGCAGATTCTGAATAGATTTGTTGGATTTCAGCCTTGACGAAACAAACAACGTTTCAAGAGCATTCTTATGCATGACCTCCTGACATTCATAAGAAGCCTTTCCTTTCTTTTGCCACCGATCCATCGCTGGTAAGATAGATAGTCATCATGCTTAACAATTGAAATACTACAATAGCGTTCTTTACCTCGAGGTTATTCTTCGTCGTGGATTACATTCTGCAAAAAATGTCGTAATCATTTGTCTGCATAAAGATTTAAAGACTTTCAAATTGAAATCACTGTATATGCTTATTGATCAAATGAGATAAACAAAGCTTGATCACCTGCTCTAACCCCTTAACTCTTCCCTTACAATGTTATCGTCTGAATAGTAGACAGATGTATAAATACACAATACACCATTTGAAGGCAATAGCTAGATAAAAGTGCTGAGCGCGTTGCTTAGTAATTAACTAGCATAGAGTTACATGCATCTGGACGACTGCTTTGGATGATCTAATGGAGATGATACATGTCTCTGATGTGTTTTATTGAATAAGATCTTATAAACTAATAAATACAAATGAAGAGTTTGATCTACATCTTTACTCGTCATTATCAGCCTTCTGTTCTAAACTTGCTCTATGATCTTTCAATGCTTCTTTTGCTTTATTTCGTAAAATTTTCGTGGAACCTTCTGTTGACAAAACTGTTATGGGTCTACTGAGTTCTTCCAGAGGGACTTCATCTACATTGACTTTTTCTTTTTCATCATCATCCTCTTTTCCTTCTGTATGAGTGCCTTCTATGACCTTTCTCAACTCTTCAAAATATATATCAATAATGTGGTATCTGATTGCATCAGGATTCTGTCTATCTGATGGGCTTAAGGGTCCTTCCAATAACATATCAGTATAGGCCTCTACGTAGCCATTATCCCATTTCTCTCTAGCCAAGAATTGGAATGAAAAATAAAGCACTCGACGGAAAAGCAAATAGTATTTATCAATTCTGAGACGATCTAATCCATGCCATTCTTTACAATGAATCTGCCAGAAAGCCTTTAAAAATGGAACGGCGTTGGCAGCTGGCAAGTCCATCACTAGTGAGCCTAAATCATTGGCTAGTTGTTGCTGAATCAATGGTTTATCTGACATCCAAAAGCCTACACAATAACGGAAGTAGTGGTTAAAAAAAAGTGCACAAGAAAACCATGACAATTAAAAAAAGGCTAATAGAGAGTCTTACAATAAAACAAGCCTTTCCAAAGTTTCAAAAGTTCTACTTCATCCAAGTTGCTTTCACCGGACGATAAGAATTTACGAAGTGAACGAACTGCCTTATCTCTGGTTTTTTTTTCTAAGAAAAAGAAACGTTCGAAAAATGGGTAAGCTCTTTTCAAATACAGGCAACTGCTTATCCAGTCCTTGTCAAAAGCATCATTTTGCTTTACCATTCGCAGCTAATTGCTTCCCAAGGGGAAGGTACGATTCCTCAATCTCTGGCATTGTATTATTAAAAAGGGAAGTTGGTTGTCACTTTTACGGAAAGAGAGCGAAAATGAGAAAAGGATCAGAATATGTTTGCATGAGCAAAGCCACAGTGAATTGTTACAGATGAATTGCAGTCAGCAGCAACAGAAAAATAAATTCCTTTTTTAGCAATATTCTAGAAGGAATAGGGATCCTTGAGCATCATTGTGATTGTGCTACATATTTTTGAATTCTAACGATAGGCGTGACAGTCAGATGTAGACGTATATAAATCAATAAGACCACTAGACTATACACAAGAAAATCGGGGTCAGGACAGCGGGTTTAAGAACTTACATTGTAACCAAAAAGCTATAGAAATGTTATGGGACTGAATGATTTTTATAAGTGAGTCCGTCGAAGTGCATGAGCCAATTATATTCCAAGTTTAATTTTGTTGCCGCCCTGGAAATTGAGGGGTTGAACATTGCTCATATTTCGTATCTTTTCAAAGGGTTAAATACTACAATAACATAACCATGTTTGGCGCATTCAGACCGTCGATTATAGCACAAGGAGGTTTACTATGGTGAGATGGACTATTCAAGATTTGAGCTTGCATATTTCTCGGCTCTGTCGCTAATGCTTTGACTCGTTTAAATCAACAATAGGAAGAACCCATTCCGCATGTCAACTACGAGAAAAGCCAATCTTCGTAAGAGATTAAAGGATGTCGACAATGTTATTTCAACTGTAGCTGATTCTGGAGTGCAATGCAAGGCTCTTGATAGAGCACTTGCACTACCCAAAGAATCAGAAATGCTTCCGAGAGAAAAGTATACTGTCTTCACTCGTACTGGCAAGAACTATCGTAAATCAATCCATAAAGTACCAAAATTTACAAAAACTACAAACAGAACAAGTCCTCGTGGTTTTTAGAAAAAACGTGCGCTGCACAAATACCTCCTGTACACGTAAACACCTAACTATTAGTATATGTATATCTTAACCGGGTTGGCATCTTTGGCGCCATCATTTGTATAAAGATTTTGTCGTAGTATTTCTGCTTTAGCTGTAGAGGTCTAAAGTGTGGCGCCTGCTAAGACTCAAATTCGCAACAAAATAAAAAACTTATATAGCTGCTTCCATGATTATAGAGTAGAGTAGACAAGGAGCTATTTCTACGAAATGTATGGTTTAGATATTTTATGTGCTGAGATATACCTTAAAATGACAAACCACTGAAAAGACTAGCTATTGGTAAGTTGAGCTCTCGATAATAGATATCGAGATTTTTGAACTGCCTATAAAGTTGGCAATTAAAACCATCCCAGTCGATTTGGGCACAGAAGACCGAACGGCGTTACGACGGTATTGACCCTTTTTGGTGCATCACCAATAATTATACAAAGTTCATCTGCTTTCCTTCATTATTTGGTTAAGCAAAAATTAAGAAAAAAAAGGCCAAAATGGCCTGGAACACGGTCCACAAGAAGCCGTCTATTTTCAATTCTTTATTGTTCCACTCGATTTTGCAGGCAAAATGGTATAATACAGTCAATAAATAGTGGAGTAGCTTTCTCAAAGAAGCAGTAACGAGTGCTTGCTCTTCACTGTATAAGATTGTGCTTTGATTAATGAAGAGATTCTCTCAAAATGAGAATGCTAAAAAGATAGGAATACATGAATGATTCTATTAAGAGCCATAAGCTACTAGATAGATAGTAGTAATGAGAAATTGTATGGTCAAATATTCTTGAAAGGAAAAGTAAGAAAATAAAAGGAAGCAATAAGTAAAACAAAATGAAAAGGTGTGAAGAGGGTATGTTTGAAATACAAGTGATTAGTTAAAATACAAGTGTAATAACAATAGTAGTAATAATAGTAGGAGTAGAAGTAGGAGTAAGAGTAAGTAGAAGTAGGCCGTCATAATAGTGGTAAAAATTAAGACTAGAGCTATCTGCACTGAATCGAAGAGAATTGTTTTAGTGTGATGCTTTCCACATCCACCATGGTCCGCCATATTCTTCATCGCCCCATCGGCCGCAAAGACCCATTGGCCAGGCGAATCTACCAGAATATTCCCAAGTTTCACCAGAATCAATATAGTTTTTCTCCCATGTAACTTGGCCTTCTTCTGTGTCATCAATCAAACCAGTAATGGTAAAAGTTCCTAGGTTATCGACGCCTGTGCCTTCAAAACGAGTCAAAGGACATGCTTTTAAATGCATTGTAGGAAATTGCTCTTTTCTCTTTAATTTAGATGAAATTGCTGAAGCATTCTGAATTGTATTAGCTAAGTTGTTGTTGTTTGTTTTTCGTCTTTTTCTTGGTTCGGTAATGTTACTGTTCTCATCATTTATGAGATCTTGGTCCAGCCAACGCGAAAGCCATGATGATTGGTTAATAGGTTCGCCTGAGGTATCTTCTAGTGGAACAATTTTTATTGTGATCCGCATAGGACCATCAAACCAGTCTTCGGTACTTGAGGCAGTCAAGACATTATTATTATTATTGTTGTTGTTGTTGTTGTTGTTTGTTCTATTGTTATTAGGATTGTTATTGTCTTGTTGACTGTCATTTTCATCAAGGTCTTGGAAGGTATAATAACCGATCCATTCGCCTTCAATTAGATGGGCTTCACTCACAAAATAATTCGGTGAAGCAAATCCAGAGTCAGCATATATATTTCGTAAAGATCTGTCTTTACATAGACTGTCAATAAATAAGTTTCGTTCATAACGTCGTAAGAATTCGACGTCAAACATTTTTGAATTTAAAGTATACACAGGGATGGGGATGCAGCCTGGTACAGCCTGATAAATATTTGGATGATTGGCGAAAATGGTGGCGAAGAATAAATGAAAGGCTGACGCTAGGGAATCTTGGGCAGGATAGAATGTATTGAGCTGGTGCTGCTGCTGCTGTATCTGTTCACGTATTTGTTGTTGATCTGCTGAAGAGGAAAGTGAATTAAAGTAACGTAACGGTGTATGCTGTGTGATAAGGGCATCTGCATCAAAGTTGTAAGCAAATTGACTTAATTCTTGAGACACTATAGCATCTGTTGAAGTGAGAAATCGAGCAAGGGTAAAGTCTACGTGATTATAAAAAAGCTGATGATAAGTGCCTGTCCGCAGATGGAAATGCAATGTTTGATTGGTGAATAATTTTTACCATAATTGACAAGCAACGATAAAATAGGTAACACCACGGGATAGATTTCTCGATCACAGTAAGGACCCAATTGGAAGGCTATGCCTGCAGCAAAGTGGACTTGGTAGCAGAAAAGGTGGGGAATGTTACATTGGTCTATTTAAGTAAAAATAAGTACAGCTGTTACAAAAGAGACCATTTTTTTATAGTTTCCTAAAATTTAATGTCCTACCGTGTTCAGTAAGTATATCCCAAATGGCTTCCCAATCGATGGCCTTTAGTGCGGCTATTTGCGTCGTCCGATTGGAGACAAAGGATCGACATTGAGATAAGGCTCGACAACGTCTTTTCAAAGTTGCCTGCCAATTCATTTTATAATGCAATCTGCGCCGATAAATGGCACCAGTATCAAATCGACTATGAAATGCACGAGGCCACAATGCTTGTTGTCTCCAAGGATCTTTATGAACAAGATAATGTAAATATTTACAGCATTGAGACAATTCTAATAGTGAAGTTGGAAATAAATCAAATGAGTGGCTGGATTGCAAGGCGACATAGGAGACGATTTCGAGTAATAATTCTTTTGGCAAGGCTAATAACTGTGAAGAAGTTATATTTGAATGCCAAATATGCTGAGCTGTCATTCTAAGTGGATGATAGTGGTATGTGTATGTGTATATGTATGTGTATGTGTGTAAGTGTGTATGTGTGGTGTGTGGTGTGTGTGTGTGTGTGTGTATATATAGAAATGATAGGTTGATCGACTATAATAGCTTGACAAGGAACTATTTATGTTATGTTTAGAGACTACAGATTCATATAAAGGCCAGTTCAATAATGATGAAATAAAAAGAAATATGAAAAACAGTTAATGAAAGTGGAAAAGGGGCTTTAATGAAAAGAAGAAAAAAAATGTTTCGTCTTAACCCGTTTTTGAAGGTCTAGAATTTTTTACGCTAAATTAGGCAAGTTTTAGGGTTAAAAAAGGTTTTTTTTTTGTTCCTGTGGGTTCACCCGAAAACATAGTTTTTCTTTGGTGCTAGATAGATTTTTAGTATCCATTTCCTAAAAATGAAACTAGCTCACATCACACGATATAATCGCGAAGAAAACCCATACTTTATTGAAACACTTGGATTGAGACATCATGCTGCTTTTCTGTCTGCTCGGAGACTGTATGCTTGGAATGCAACCCTCATCCTGAAAAAAAGACAGTGAATTCCTTTTTATGTCCATAGATGAAAGGCTATCATCTTTAGACTAAACAATAAACATAAAAGCTTTAAATTTAAGGAGAGACGTATACTTAGCCTAATAAACTATAGACTAAAAAAGACTCTTAGTTTGATTTTTGCATCACCTACAGAAGAATGATTCTATGGAATTATAAGAAAACATTCACTTTAAGACTAACATACATTGACATCAACGATATATTGCGAAGGAAGGGTCCACATTAGCCGTGATTAGGTTCCACTGAATAACTTTCGTTTGAACCAACTTCTTTTCGCTTTTCCAGGGATATATCACCAATTTCTTCCTGTTGCTCCTCAACCCACGAATTTAACGATCGTTCCATAGAGAGGTAAATGTTGTTGATTTGCTTAGCCATCCAATCATAAAATTGACTTGCTGTGTACAAGATATCTTGTTGCAAAGAAGTCCAATTGCAAGAACTTCTGATAGTCTCATATGACTTTTGTAATATGCGTGAAAGTACAGGAGCTTGTTTCATAAGCCATAATTGGAGCAGTGTATACACTTCTTTGGCGTAAACCGCTACAAGTTCGATAATTGTACTCATTACCGACCAGATTTTTCCTGCTAAGTTTTGCGATATGCATGCCGCTGCGGTACTTTGAATTGTGTAAATTTCACAGTATAATGGCAATGCTAAATTCATGTACACCCAGAATAGTGGTATATTGAGGTAGGGATACAATCTAATCCACGCAGGAAAAACCTTGGATCTAAGCCAATGATCAATGCAGGTAGCGAATGATTTATAAGCGATGGACAGTCGTGGCTTGACATGCTTGACGAAGAGTCGGTACGCTGGGTAAAGCAATTCAGCCCAAAAATGGCGAACTAGTGCCATTGAATCAAAAAGAATTCCACTAATTTCAACTGTCACCCACACTAATTTAGGCCCATAAATTCTGTACAGCTTGGCCAGTTTTTTCTGAAATGTACGCTGTTGTAATAGTAAAATAAGCTTATCGATTGCTTTCACAATCCCTGTCAACAACCGCCCAACGGTCGGTGCTAGAATGTATGTATTAAGCAGCGTAAAAAGCAATTGCAGTTTCTCTTTTATCCAAACTGATCCATTATATACTGCTTTTGCTAACCGCGTGGAAACGATGTATTGGTAAGCTGTAGGAATGGCTACTGTACAAATCCACTTTGCTTCGTTAACTATTGATATGACAGTAGCACGGATACCGGCGTAAATGAATTTATACAAATTGATGGCTCTTGTCAATACTAAGGTGGAAGGGATCCAGAAGCGATCATACACAATGTTGCCTAGGTCTTCCATCAACTGCTGCCAGTCATGTCGTTTTATGAATTTATTCAGAGCAGCAACGAATTCTTTAATCCCATTTTGTGCAACGCAACTTGCTTTATAGAGACTTAGAAAGAATTTTTCAAGTTTGTCAATTATGCTTGGAAAAATCACTTGCTTTATGTAAGCTTTTCGTTTCAAATAAGCAGGCTTTCCGCGTTGTAGCCACCATTGCTCTGTTTGCTCATATGCTTTGGGTATGGTAATAGTGACAAATGCAAATAGCCAGTCATCGAGGTATGGCAATGCCTTTTCGCACCACCACAGGAAAAAATAAAGACTGTATTTTATCGTATCAATAACTGCTCTAACGATAATGTAAAGAGCTGCAAATGGTGATACAAGTACATAATGAATGATAGATAGCTTTTCATCTCCTTTGGATGGATTCTTTCTGTTTGCCGCAGCGCCTGCACCATCAGTTTGTGTTCGGCTGCTTTGTTTAGCTGCTGTCACTGAGTGCTTGAAACCGACATTCTCATTTTTGCCGAGCTTTTTTATGGCATCTGATCTCTCATGCTGCGATTTCCAATGTGGGTAGTCTTTAAAAATCCACACAAGGAAGGAAGCAATGGCAATAGTGTAAATTCCTTTCCATGAAAATAAGAACTTAAAGCTGACAAAGAACAGCATTTGCTCGTTCTATTTTAGCTAAAGGAAACAACCAAAGGAAAAAAAAAAAAAAGGGTGGAAGAGATAATCTTAGAAGCTGCTTAGCAAGTAGGATATTGAAAGCGGAGCAACAATTATTCAATTGCTCTCTGCTCCAGTTAATGCACACATACACGGAAAAGACTGCAAAGTTCTCATGGAAGTAGTGGACATGATTTCATTAAACGTTCTACATAAATTATATACAAATAAACAAAAGAGAGCTCTATGGTACAGGACGTTGAACGATAATGGACGGAAAAGGCACAAAATTAATTTAATGTATTATGGTGCTGTCTAACCTCTTGTGGATCGTCGTGTAGACCGCTTAAATCTGGTCTCACGACGTAACCGTCTGATATTTCGTTCTTGAGCAATCAAAAGCTTTTCTAATTCATCATTTGATAGCACTTCTAGCTTGGGTGCCCATTTACTGGCATCAGACACTTTTCGGAATGCTGTTTCTATGCGTTCCTCTCTCCTGTCTAAACCTTCGAACTCTTCTACTATCTTTTTCCTATGCTGAAATAACTGATCGCGTATTCCATGAGCAATAATACCGATATATTCACCTCCTAAACCTAATTCTGCTGCTAACTGTCGTGCGAAGAGTTCAGGCGCATTTGTATGTATATTGTTGAGGTTCCACTCAAATTTATCTCTTAGATTAACTTTACCAATTTGAAGATCGAGCTATAAAAAGTTAAGTATACGTTAGATCAATTCAGGAAACCTCAAACTGTTCCAAGCTTCCTCCCCCATAACACCAACCCGCCCCCCTCACAATCTATGGCTGGAGTGATTTCTGATACATACATTTATTTCTACAAGTTGATCTCCTCCATTCGGTAACTCGTATTCGTTAATTGCTTCAAAATCGACAACTTGCGCTCGAATAGATTCTGATATCGGTTTCACAAACTTATATGCGTCCAAGCGCAGGTCTTCGCATAACAATTCCGCAAACATTTCCGGTGTTAAATATTGCTCTATTGTTTTGGGTAAAAAAAATGCAGTTGATTCATTCGTTAGCAAGAAAACAAAGAATTTAAAATCAATTCCTATGGTTCGAGTTCTAACCATTCATATTCCATAGAAAAACATCCCGTAATTTGACTTCGTCTAAATCGATATCTAAACGGATAGGCACTAATAATTCATTTGACTCTGAAACTCGTTTAAGGTCATCCATGGTGGCGGGAGCCATTCCATTTCTTCTATGCTCATATCTTGGTAAATTTTTATTCTGTTCTACCAAAGAGGCTTCTGATTCTAATCTTCCGGCCGCTGTTGTCGTTGCTTGCTTTGATTCCGCGTTACTATCATCATCAGATTCTTCCAGCATTTCTTCAAATTCATCGTCAGAATCCGTAAACATTCCACTTTGTCCGCGCCCCTTTCGACCAGAAGTGTAGCTACTGGGTAGCAAAAGAGCATTGTCTTCGGAATACTTGATTCGGGCTGAATAAGAAGAATAAAGCCCTTGAGTGTTTGGAGTCGGACCAGCATTATTATATACCAGATGAGGTTGATTCGGTGGTGGTACTGGTGGTGGTGCTGCTGTTGGTATTGAAGCAGGAATCTGTGGCATTAAAGGTTGGAGATATGGATAAGGTTGCGTACTCATTTTCTTTCTTCATAGATATGGTTGAGAACAACTTTTGCGATACGAGTATCGTTGAGAGACAGAGAAATAGGAGAGTATCTTGCAAAAAAGTCGATTTGATTTCGAAACGGCACAAAAATTACCGTGTGCTGTGACGACGGACGTGCAGAGGCGGTGAGTAAAATAAACTGGCTTCCGTGAATCATAGCTGTGGCCAATACGGCCTGTTTTCTCTTTTTCTTTTTAAGCAACCTAACCAGCGACGGCGTAAATAGCGTGCATGAAGCGAACTTTGACAGATGAGATTGGAGATGCTCCAGAAATGAATGAGCAGCGGAAGGAAATTTCAAAGTATGAGTCAACCTATTGTGCAATAAGAAATTTTGGCGTTGCAAGATCTATAGCAGATCAATTTTTAAATAGGCAACTTGTATCTGTCAAAGCAGTACCTCAACAGGTAGCACCCGGCGTTGACGAGACGCCTGTAAGTATCGATTATTATATCCATACATATATTTATGATTATAGATGGGCTTAAAATTCAGTTACTTCTACAGTTAAACTTGACCTTATTAAACTCGGTTAGAGTAAACGACCGCATTCAAGTAAGTAAAATACATAAATCTTCCGTCTGATTGCTTAAAATAAGGAGTAGTGCTTATATATTCCATTTTAAACTAGTGTTTACTTGGCATAGCTCGCCAAATAAATCTTGTTACTGTAGAACAGCAAAGATTCCTTTTGGAAAATTTGTTGAGCCATCTAGTTAACGAAACGGATAACGATGCCAAAGTGAGTTTGTAGGTCTATGATATCAAATAGAATAATACTTAAATTGATACGCTTTCATAGGCCATGCTGATCTTGCTGATTGAAAAGTTATCGAGACATCCGAATATAAATGCCACCACTGTTATAGTATTACTGTCAAATGAGGTTAGATACTGCAATTTTACAAGAGATCATAACAGACCCAAAAAAAAACGAAAACCAACACTTAATTTAAAATGCATATAGCTTCGATCAGAATCAACCAAGGTCAGATGGCATATATATCGGTGTATATATCATATGTTGAAGGTAAACAACCCACTCTTGCGATACGAACAGCCATTCACTGCATGCACAGATACACTGATGTTGCACGCTCAAATTTAGACACGACAAATTAACCAAGATTCAAAAGACATCGAGGCATTATTTGAGAGTTTGAAAAACGATCTATCAAACGCACATCATAAGATTAGATCTATCAGCATCACTTTATTGTCACTGTTACCCTTCATTTCCTTTTCAAACGACACGCTGAAAACCATGTCAGCGGCAGAAATTCAGAACATCATAAGTCATTACACAAGAGACAGTGATCCACGTGTAAGAAAAAGTGCCTTGAATTCCTTAGTACGGATGCATTTGCGTGGATGTCCTTTAGATCTCGGAATATATAATTTGTCCGTTATTGCATTGAGAGATGATTATGAAGAAGTGAGGATGGGCGGTTTAAATTTGATGGGGTAAATTTATTTGGATATTTGTAGACTTGAAGCGCAACGCTATACTTGAAAGCAATTTATTCTTACACCCCAATCTCTCTTGGGAAATTTTTAGTGTTTTGAGTGCATTATACCCAGAGCATCGTATGCGATTAGCTCATGAAGAAATCAACGAAACTACACGACTTATAGATGATGCATTCAATCGAGTTTGTGATTTAGTCAATGATTCTGCTGTCACTATCAGAACGAAAGCGTGTGTGATGATGGCCTCCTATCAACATGTCGGAACAGACACATTGGCACAAACATTCAGTAAAAAAATCATGTCGAACTTCAAAAGAACTGTACCCAAATATAAGTTACAACAGAAGAAGTATGCTAGGCTTGCAAAGCAGGGAGGCTATATACCTGTTGCTGAAGGAGACATTGATGTAGAGTCGGATGAGTTTCATTTGTTGGATTCTGGCGCATGTGGCGCCTTTATCCATGGTCTAGAAGATGAATTTATGGAAGTTCGAAATGCATCTATCGGTAAAGAGAACATCACAGCAAAACAATTTACGAGAGATTTTAAACAACTAATAAGCAATACTCAACATTAGATTCTATTTGCGAACTATGCATGTATAACGAAAATTTGACAAAAAAGGCTGCTGAATTTTTGGTTGGTAAATAACGTTTCGTTGATAATCGTAATCGTCTGAACCTGTATTCATATTTTATTTTTTTTCATGGCAGATATGTTTAATGATGATATTGAAAAGATACGGCTGAATGCAATTCAAAGTTTGCGTAAAATCGGCTCTCGAACGGTATTGGAGTTTGATGAAGAACAACTGGAAATAGCAGTGGGTGCGTTCGAAGATAGCGATCCAATAGCAAGACAATCTGCGCACGAATTGCTCACGTAAGAATTGAACTTTGACAGATAAAGAACATACGGCATACTGAACAATGTTACGTCTTTCTGATTAGTGTGATTCGACTAACTGAGCAAGAATCATTAGTCACTTTATTAACCGCAATGGAAGCAAATATAAAACGATATCCGACAGATATCCTGTCAATTTATCGATGTCTTTGCGAGGTTGGGAAAAGACATGAGGATTATGTTGAACATCTTATACCAACTTTATTAAATTTGGACAAGCGTTACTTACCCAAAGAAGCCAATGTTGAAGATATTATGTGTAAAATATTACAGTAATCGTACATTTCAAAATGAAAAAGCTGACTTTTGTTTCTGTGTGGTAGATACTGCCTATGTCATTCTGATTGCCAATGCATGTCTTTCCAATATCAAGCTGCTCCAAGGACTACCAAAATACATTTTTCGCCATTTTGCGTATTTCAAGTCCAAGTATCCTGAGTGCTTACCGGACTTACGGGTAATTAACAAGCAAAATCTGCAGGGAAAAGAGAGCATGACTAACGTTCTTATGTAAAGAAACTATACAAAATAGCTGGAATAAAGCTAGAAGGAGATGTTGATTGTTTACCTATGACTTTTAGCGGTAAGTATTTGTAAATTTATCTATCAAACCATTGGATATCATACAAGCAACGAATAATGCTAAAATAATACCGGGCATCCTTTCAAATTTTCCGTATTTAGCATCAACTAGGAAGTTAATTGCGGCAGATGCAGACAATTATATGACAACGACTATCGATACATTGCGCGCTATCAAAAGTCAGTTGGAGAAGAACGAATTATCCACAGCCTTATTAACCATCGAAGTAGCAATGCGTAATTTCAAATACATATCCAGGCTGAAGCCAATTTTACTTGGAAAATCAGAGCTTGCACAACTCTATCTTGAATGCTATGAACTCGTTATAAAAGTAAAGCAGAGCCATTCCTCACCCACCTATGCCGATACAGCACAGTCGATTGCAGCCTCTTTGTTGAAGAAGTCATACATCATACAGTATACATTTTTAGGATTGTCGAAACAAACTTTAAGAGCAGCGATGTATTATCGCATAATGGCGAATATGATCTGGATGTTTGGTATATTGAAGAAAATGCCTATGTAAGTCATATTGTTTGAAATACGCAATTTATTGCTCGTTTGGGCTAATATGTGTGTCGATGTGTAACATAATTGTGACAGTTCCAGAAATGCATCTTTCAATACGAAAAACATGCTCATTGCTTTTCAACAACGGGTGACAGCAATTGAGCAAGAGTTTATTCGAAGTCAATTTATTGAAACGGCTGACGATACTCAACCAACGATAACATTAGCAGAGTTGAAGAAGAATCTTTCAACAGCCAGCGAACTGCCATTAACGGCAAAAATTACCCACTTATACAAATTTATGATGGTACATTTTCATTTTTTGCCATAAAAAGATAATGCTTTTCTCAATTGCTCATCGTACGTATTATATTTTGCAAATACATATAATCAGTCCTTTATACCACTAGAAATCGATTTTGAAAACATTGTCAAGCATACAACCGCAGAGATCACCCTGCCTAAACCAAATGTCGACAAACCGTTCAAGTTCAAGTCAGAATATCCAGTTGCAATGAGGGTTGAAGCCGACATATTCAATGCGTATGATACGAATACAATTGCCGTGGAGGTATTCAAGAGTTTAAGGAAGAATTACTATTCAGTGCGTGAATAATTTCAAAGGAACTAAAAGTCTCTTAATGTAAATAGATTATACTACCAGACCAATTGTCTATCATATTTTGGCCATCGCCAAGTCATTTTAAACCAGTCAAACCTTATTGCTACAAGTTGAGCACAGATGTTCAACTATCGTTGGAACCATGGACAGGTAAGCAAAGTCCGGAAACTTAGCTATCTTAAAATATGAAAAGCTCACTTGTTACAACATTGACGTTACGATAGTTCCTAAAGAAATGATTATACGCATTGTTCAATCATTCGAGCCAGATTTGCCGGAACTCGATGAATATATCATGAAATACCCTGATTACGCAACCGTGAAGACCTCATCTAATATGGAGCCGTCTACAATACCTACTTCATCTTGCGTTATCAGCGAGCATTTGAACTATAGCCTATGGCCTATGTCAATGAGTTCCGCGCCAAATTCTAATATTAACTTCATTAGACCACCTTTGTAAATACATTTAAAGAATGCTCTTCAACATATCAAATTAAAAACTTTATCGATTTAAAATGAATATAAACGCTCTATTGCAGAAGAAGATTTGTTCTTACAGCTGGATGTGGTTGCTAACAGGAAATTACTGTCATACGTCCTGGATAAAAATACCTGAAGGTGGAATCGTTTTAAGTAACCATTATCATCTTCAATAGCAGTTAGACATTGACAACAGGAATCATTTCCCGTATATACAGGATACTTATTTATTTTTATCAGATCCAATTTTTTTTTTATATCTCGTTGAAAGTCAGCTTTGATAGCCATTCAAAGTACACCATTTTTTGTAATCGCATTGTTCATGTGTTTGTAACTCCAGAAAATTTGGCTTTCAATTTTCACGTTTTTCGAGTTCTTACACGTGGTTTCTATATTGAAAACAGCTTCTAGAATGATACCACTACAAAAAAGAAGAAGACCATCATCAGAAACAGAGCCTGATCCAGATAAATATCAACCCCACTTGAAGAAAGCGAAACAACAAACGACAGCATTCCGATTAGGCAACTGGCAGGAGTATGAAGGATCTTGCCCTGTTTATAAGCAGCCCAAAGAATTGATCTCTTACAGCATCGATCACGATCGCAAAGTTTGGTTTGACAATCGTGAAATGGTATGATTGTTTAAATGCAATGTTGGTTTGCTGAGTTAACATTGAAGACGCTGATAGTGAATGAAGTAACTGAGTACTTCTTTTTTCTCTTTTTCTTTATCAGAAATATTATTATCCACCGGGTCTGAAGAACGAGAAACTGGACTTGAATGTTGGTTATGAAAGATTTCTTCAAAGAGATGAAAGTATTCTAGAGCATATAGATACCCTATTAGATGCATTGACTGAATACAAAACGAGACAGTCTAATAATACGATAGCGGAGAGCGAAGTGCATGCCGATATTGTAAGTAGTGTGGTAAAGACCGTATGCTTCAAAGATCAGCTTATTTTTTACCCTTGGCACGTATATAGATCACTTGGCGGGGTATTATGACAAAGATATTATGCACTCCTTATTCAAGAAAAGACGCTTGGGAATTTCGGGCCACTCGATACAATGTAAAGTTTTTTTTTTTGGCCGTAAAGTGTTTCATCAACAGCTGACAAAAGTGACTCATTCTATTCATTTCAATAAAAGGACAAAATCTTTATAGAGGAACAGTCTTTGAAAGACAAGGATGTTGACTCAGAAAGCGAACGACAAAAATTGATGAGTTACTGGGGCTATCGATTCGAAACAATTTGCACAGTGAGCAAGGCACCACACGAGATAAATAGTCATCCAGAAAATAGAAAAGAATTAGTGGACCGGCTGAACCAAAGCGCGAATACAAATGTCCAATACTGTGTCGTGGTGAAAACGAAACTAGGCGACAGCACTATTATTATGGGGGCCGAGGTTGATTGTTGTAGAGACACTAAACCCAATGATCCTGTTCGGCAACCAAGTAACTATATTGAGTTGAAAACATCTCGTGTGATTGAGACAGAGAGACAGCAGCTCTCCTTTGATCGTTACAAGTTATTGAAATTCTGGGCACAGTCATTTTTGGTCGGTGTACCGAGAGTCATATGCGGTTTTAGAGATGATGAGGGTATCGTCAAGTCTATTACGGAATTCAAGACAATGGAAATACCTCGTCAAGTCAGAAGGCATGAAAATCAGACTACCTGGGTAAGCCTTTATTTTTTTATTTTATTTTTTTCTTTTGTTTTTTTAGCTGTCCACAGGCATCTTGTAAACTCATTACAAGTCCTGACGCGGATACAAAGGAATACATAGCTTAGCACGGATGAATAGATGGCTATAAAACGCTAACGGTGAATTGATTATACATCCCATAGAACCCATCTGTTTGCTTGAACTTTGCAAATCAATTATTGCAATGGATAAGGACAAACATCACAGTCAACAGTGCCACCACAACTTATGCCATAGACTTCAAATATCCTTTCCGCGAAATCAGACTCTATTGCACTGATGACTCGAATGTCTTTTTGACGCAACGGTTTATACGTGGGAGAGTGCAGCATGAAATAGGCGGGGAACGTGCACACTAGTGAGAAGGTGTATAGTTGACGAAACATGTTTCTCCTGTATGTTTATTTATAACTCTCCACAACAATGTTACAAACAACAGAAGAAGGCAATACTCTCGGATAATACTATTGATGATGACGAATGCATAAAAATGTATATATAGATCTGAATCTGTTACTAAAATAAACAGAGAGGATCGAAAAGGGCAAAGTGTATTAGCAATACTATCAGCTGCTGCGAGCCAAAAAATAAAAAAAGAATAGAAAAAAAATAAATAAAAAATTGGGCAGTATTTCTGCTTTGTCAGGTCTCAATCTAATACAACAAGACTCCATTCGTTGAGTGGGCATGTTTCAAAATGCCAGACCCGTGATTTTTATGACGAAAAGAGCCAGCGCCACTTGCCCGCCCCTCCTTTCTGCCCCTCAGAAAAAATGGCTTCTGTTGATTTTTTTAACAAAGGTTATACTTTGCGACTTTATTAAGAACTGGTTTAAGCCCTCATATGTCTTTTGATAAAAAAGAAACTAAACTAATTTTACGCGTCCTTTTTCATGATTTCCGTCTTTGCTTTGCATGACTGTATGGGTTAACCTATCTTTCGGTACAATTGATTCTGCGAAAGGATGTAGAGGAAAAAAGGGAAACCGAAGCAGATCACCTGGGTTTATTTTAGTTAACACAAATGTCTCTCCTTCTCTCTCGGTTAGCCAGTCTCGTCTAGATACTGATCTTTTTTTAAAAATGGCGGGCTCTTAACGTTACAACAAAAAATAGATTACAGTATTTTAGGTTTCATAAGAGACGATTTCGAAAATTTTGTGGACGAAGTTGGTACCTTAATTGGGACGTTTCTTTTTTTTTAGTGGACTATAGATTTTTGATTTTAGACGAACTGGGCTTTTACGGTAGACGAAATATTTTGAGTAGATTTCGTTTGCTTTAAAATAAACACATCCCTGCAACATGAATTACATAAATTATAATCCTGCAAGTGAGCCTATGCTTTCCGAAAATACTTTTGCTATGGACTTGGATGAAATTGCTGTTACTTTCGGGCAAATGGAGAAGATCGTCGACTATGATGAAATGCAGCGGCGCCCTGTAGTCGATGATGCGAAAATGGAAGAAGCTGTTGAAGAATTAACAACAGAATTCAGCACTATCGCATTAACGGATAAGTCCAAGAAGCGCAAGCAATATAGTGAGCACAGCATTAGACGGTTGATTCACTTAATCCAAGAGGCTGGGCTTACAGTTCCCAAAGCTGCGGTTGAGTGTGACATTCCGAGGTTCACCGCTTATAAGTTTTCAGATCAGTGGAATGTTAGTGATGGTACAGTCCTTCCTGGTAGCAAGCCAAGAACCGGCATCTCTCGACCAAAGAAGCTTTTTGCAGAACATACTGAGTTTCTTATAGCATTATTTGATGCGAGACCTTTGACAACAATTGAAGCTGCAAGACAGGAGCTCTGTGCCAAATTTGAAGGTTTGAGTAGACGTCTCAAAAATCTGGTTTGTACTGTCCATTCATATGGCAGCTTTGTTTAAATCCAACGCTAAATTACTGTATCGGATCAAATTTTTCAATATCTGCGTATTTTTAAATGTGACATTAAACGCGTAAATCATACTGTTATTAAGAACGTTGTTAAACGAAATGTTATGTTGCCAAAATTTAGTGATCATTCTTATCTTTCACCTTTTTCAATTATTTTCTTATCTTCTTCTTTTCTTTCACTTCATTACCTTCAAACCAACGTTATTTTCTACACACATGTACAAGACAATCATCATAGATAAAATCAATTCAGTGAAAGAAAATCATACCAAGAAGGAAAATCCGTCCGGTAATGGCATATCACTATACAGTGTGTAGTTTGAGACATTAGTAACCTTATTGTACACTTTTCAGAGCATACCAAATGTAAGGACTGTAATGATTTGGGTCACTTTAATAAAAATTACCCGGGATGCAAGTACCATAAAGCTATATCCGCCGATGATGGTAAGTTGAGCCTCGACCTGCCTTTAGCCACACAAGCCAAGTAATAGACCATCTCTTCCACATATAGTTGGGACTCGCAATAAGAAGAGAAAACAGAGCGCCAGTGTTAAAGCAGAGAAGAAAGCAGTGAAAAAGAAGAGAACAGCATCACAGGCTGTAGAGTGTTCCAGTTGTGGGAATGATGACCATGCTTCTCCTCGTTCGCCTCTTTGTCCTAATCACATACAATCAAAGGACGAGGCCATTTCATCTGTCCTTGACCATGATTCTACTGTTTTTGCGAGGAAGCTTCCTATCGACAGTGCCGTTTTACCACAGTTTCGTGAAAAGTTCAAGGAAAAGGTCATCTCCTGCTGCAAGGACATCAGAGCTATAGTGTTTCGCTGCCAGCTATTTGTTAATGCCTACCTCGTGCATAATAAGAATGCCATTCCTTCAGAAGTCTTCACACAGCAATTTTGGTATTCTGTTGGACAACTCGTTACGGGCAAAAAGGTTACTCACAAGAAGGCGCTGAACGACGACATCAAAAATTATTTTGATGACTTTAAGGAAAAGCATCCGACAATAGTAATCAGTCAGAGCTTCACTAAAGGTTACAGCCACTGTCTCACAGAAGCCGCCAAGGAGATAAGCGTTTCGTATACTAACTCTATTGTTGAGCTTTTTGAACAACGAGTGCTTAAATATCTAACCTATAAGCTGCAAAACATGTTTGTTGTGCGTGTTGTTATCACTACTATAATTTCGATTTCTTAGTTTCTAACCATTTGTATTTGCTTTATTATAATCAGAGCATGAAGAAGGCCGACGCAGTGGAAATATCAAAAGCATACTGCTACCAAGTAATTTGCAAAGGCGAACCTAACTGGCCTGATAGAATCATGCTTAGTAAAGAAGACAAAAGCAAGATAGAGACGCTATGCAATAGCTTTGAGAAACTTATAACGGAAAAGGTTACGTTGCTTTCCTTATCATCCGATCCCGCCAAGTTTACCAAAGCATTATGGCACATCCTATCCTCGTATGAAAAGGAACATGACGAACATGCAGCTTACGATGTCCGTAGATTACCGTTGCCCAAGCGCTTCTTTCCTTTCCCTCCGCCTTCGCTCCATTGGCGTTTCATCACCAAAAGCGTCAACTCGCTCCTCCCATTCATGTTTCCCGGTACAGCTCCAAAAGGCTATACAAATCAACTCGAAAAGTTTTATCAACTGTTCAGCTTCAAAAAGATGGGATTTGATAGGTAAAAAAAAAAAAAAAAAAAAAAAAAAAAAAAAAAAAAAAAAAAGTTTGGCAGAAATGTTGTCATTGGTATTTACTGAATTTCATTTTTTGTGACAACAGTTTGAATAACCTCAAGACAAGCCAAGAGACCCTATTCCGTAATATCGTCCGCTCGGATGGCTTCACTGTCGACTTTATTTTTAGTAAGAAGAGAAAATCAAAAGAAGAGAAAACCATCGAAGACCATCGGTTGACTTTGGAAGATTTTGATTATGCCGAAATCGAATCTGGTTATAGACCCTGCTTCATTGATCCTGGTAGAAGAGACGTTTTCACAGCAGCAATTGGGATAAACGTAACGAAGCACCAGGTGCGAAGCTGTTCTACCAAAGAGTACTACCATATGACTGGTAGCACTAGGTATTCAGCAAGGCTGGAACAGAAGAAAGCAGACAAAATCAAGGGCATCGAAAGTGATATGCCAACTGCCAAGACAGGCTCCAAAGCCCAATATCACTGTTATGCAGCATACATCTTACAGCACTTGGAAGTCTTGTTTTCTTTCTACGGTGATGACACTGCCAAAGATCGATTTCATTTATACCAAGGACGGAAACGTGCAGCAGACAAAATGGTAAATATGCTAATTACTGGCAGTACAAAGTATAACGAGGATCTCAGATTGAAGAAGAGAGAAGAAAAAGAAAAGAAGGCCTCAAAGAAGAAGAACAATGGCAAGGCGGCTTCTCAGAAAAGACGAAAAAAGAAGAAGAAAGGAGCACCAGAGAAAAAGAGTATAGAAGAAGGGACATCAAAAGTTAAAGTGAAATTGGAGAAGAAAGATAGGTAAAGTTCATAAGCAATCATCATCAACAACTTATAGAAAGTAACATGTTTTTTGTAATAGTAGTTCAAATGCCAAATGGAGGCCCCAACCTTTCAGTGTCGGTGATGTCAAAAAAGTACCTCTCATTGTATTTGGCAATGGTATGTTCGCTAAAGATAATGTCGCATTCAAGGGTCACCGATGTGGAACGGTGGGTGTTTTGTGGCGTGCACTCAAGCGACGTGAATCAAGCGGAGACCTGGTTGTACTTGAAATCGATGAATACAAGACATCCAGGATATGCTCCTGCTGTTCGAACAATACTTTGGAGAGGTTGAAAGGCGTTAAGACCTGCAGTATACTTGTATGTAAAACTTGCCATATACTGTGGAATCGAGACGTCAATGCTGCCAAGAACATGATGAAAATCAGTTGTGCTATTTAGAAGGCTTTAGGAAGGCCGAAAGAATTTACACGGACAAAATCATAAGACACCCTCTCCCTCAACATCGCTGGAACGAACCCAGTTTGATAATTACAGGTAAAAAGAATGGAAAACCTTATACTTTCTAGTGTTGTGCAAACTGTCTAACATTTTATTCTTAACGGTCTACTATTATCTTACATCCGCTTAAACTTAATTTCCTTATCGTCTAAAAATTTTGTGTGTGTTGTCCAAATTTAAAGTTAATAAACTGTAAGAGACGTCAAAAAAAAAAAGAGAGGAGTCGGTGTATCAAAAAGTGATTACTATAAATATTTGTTACAGTAGCGATCATCTGCATTCCCCTCACAGCTCACTCTAAGACAGCTCGTTCTAAGAGTAATCTACGTTGGCGCTCTTTTTATTTTTAGAAAGATATAAATTTGTCGTTGGAATTTATTTAGAAGCCTCACAAGAAAAAATATCTTTATTCATTCCTCTTTTACTTTTATTTCATTTTATTTTTTATTTTTTTGTTTTTATCTTTGAAAACACATTGGTTTTTTTTAATATCAATCCATTATGGGGCGCAAGAAAATCCAAATCCAACCTATTAAGGATGACCGCAACAGACAAGTGACATTCTTAAAGAGAAAGCATGGCTTGATGAAGAAGGCTTATGAATTAAGCGTCTTATGTAACTGTGAAGTCGCTTTGATCATCATTCCCTCAAACAGTAACAAGATGATGCAGTATTCCAGTGCTGATATGGATACCTTGTTGAACCAATACAGAGAAAATACTCTACCAAAAGAGATCAAAACCAACGAAGATGTAAATTATAACACTGAGATTGTGGAAACCCACCCTCTTTGGTATTCATTATTAACGCGCATTCGCTTGTTTTCTATTAGTTTATTGAAAATAGCGACATGAAAGAAGGAGATAATGATTCGCACTCTTTCTCTGAGACGGATCATCTTTTCATGAAGAACCATCATCCACCTATTTTGATGGCTAATAGTCGTTCTATGCAACCTCAACAGCATTATTTCTACCAAAACCCTCCTCACGGAATGATCCCTGATGGCGGTATGTCACTGTCTTATCCTACACCTCCTCATGGTCCAGGTTACACTATGCAAGCATCCACATCCGCACCTGCCCCCCACCCTATGATGTTACAGCCGCATCAACAAATGACCTCATCTGTTCAGAATCCAGCATCATCCGCAACGTCATCGTTCAATCCTGTATACCAGCAACAATTGTATATGTTGCAACAACAGCAAAAACAGCGACAAAGACAGCAATCCTTACCGCAGCATCCTTCGTCTCAAGCGATGTCCATGCCCCCACAATGTAATACACCTAGTCTCTATCGATCCCCTGACAACTCACCTTTACAAGAACCCGACCAGTCACCCAAATCAGAGCCTGGCACACCTGAGAAAAAGCCTGATTTTTCAGTCAACATGGCACGCACTGCTACTCATACGACCTCTGCTACGAACGGCTATTATTCCGGTACTATCAGTAATAGCTATACATCTGCATCAGCTGGTATAAAGCAAGATATGGTGAATGTAAGTTATAATGGGATGATGGAAACATAAGGAGTGGACAGAACAAAAAAAAAAAAAAAAGGACGTGTCTCGCAGGAAAGTAAAACAGTGTACTCATTCCTTCTTTTTTTGTTTGTCTATTGCATTACAGATCTCCAATCTACCTCCTCCACCTTCTGGCATGCCACCCTTTGCTGATAACTTGACCTCATCACCTACATACTATCCCGACTTTTATCAACCAAACCCTACTGCCTTTGTCATGGCGAACCCGATCCATAATGGCATGAACTCAGCCAACCAGTTTTTAGTGCCGACAGAGCAGACCAATATTAACAGACCGACATCTGCTACTGCTGTTCCCCCTACGACAATGACTAATGATAATGCGAGGTACGGAACATAGATATCTTCGAATAGATGAGTTTAATGCGAACTAAATCATATTCATTGCTTAATAATATAGTTTGCTAAGGAAAAGATCATTCAATCAATACGTTTTTGAAGATAGTCTTCAGCAATATCCTCTTGACAAGAAGATCAAACACGACGCATAAAAAGCCATACAACCCATCTATCTTTTCGTTTCTTATTATATACCCCGTCATTCAAACTCCATCTTTGATCATTGTACATTTTTCAGTTCTTGTATTCTACGCTCCCACCTTTTACTATGTATCTCTACATATTTATACGCATATTCGCTTCATTTGCTTGTTTGGATTCCATGTAATAAACACAAAGTATGAAAAATTCACTTAAAAACGCGCACTCTATTCTACTCGTTCGCGTCGTTTGAACTTCTTGAGCATGACTAGACTACTCATTCGATTTTCGTGTCTTTTGTGAAACCCAAAAACTTTTTTTCTCGACGCTGAACTTTTTATTGTCCTGGGACTGTTACCAGCATTTATCCAATCAGTGTTGATCCGGTAAAACTGTTGTCAAAGCAAAACCAGCTGAGTGCAAAAGGAGAGGTTCCCCCTCTTTTTTTGATAAGGAAAAATGAAAGGGCCTTTTGATAGCCGAGCAAAAAAAAAAAAAAAAAAAAAAAAGTAAGGGTCAAAAAAAGAACAGCGACAGAAAGAATAAAGATTCACAATCAAGTAATTCAAATTGAATTTAGGTAAAAGTGAAAGGCCGTACTGTTTTTTTGGATTTATTTTTACAGAAAGCCCTGCAAAATATCAGGCGCCTTTCTTGCGACGAAGTGGTCATAAAGAATAATCGTTCGACTAATATTCCATCAATGAGGTCATTTTATACCGGCTACTTCCAAAGTTTAGTATTTTGACACTGACAAGTGTGCGTATATCCGTGTAAATTGCTTAAAAAAAATAAGATGACAACGGTTGCTATGCAACTCGAATGACAACACTAATCGCCACGTTACAACCGTTACCATGGATACACACTGAGTGCTTTCCCCAAGCAGAAAATTGACCATAGTTACCATAGAAAAGTAACTTTTAGGCGTTGTATGAGCTAAATAGCTTAGATTACTTTACATCCACGTGAAAGCAAGCACCAATGATGTCAGACTGAAGCAAGAAAAGAGGGAAAGTGGATTTTGCCTTCATACCGTCTCTTTCGCGGTTTTAGCGCGTTTTAAGGTTTGATTATGGAAATGAACAAGGGTATTTACACATGCTACATTTGGATTAGCTACTCATTATAAACATGCATAAATCTAAAGTCTATACACAAGTTATACCATTGCAACGACCATTATTGATGGTCTTTACGAGCTTTGAAAAGTCATGAAAATGTAGTGCAAAATACACGACGCAGCCCCGGGTATTTTTCAAAGGTCTAGATTGCTCTAGTGAATACAAGGAATTTTAGTCTATGGAAGATCTTTGAAATACTCGATTATCAAAGAAAAGAAAAAAAATGGATTATTAATTCCCAATTTTTTTTTTTTTTTTTCCTTTTTCATCACATTCTGCAACCGTTACTATGATGAGTATCACTACAGCTACTATGACTACTGTTAAGGAATAAAATAGAAAACTATTTTTATAACAAACAGATGATTCTTATTTTTGCTCAACCTGGATGAGCAATAGTTATTTAGTGTTGTCACTGTTAAAATGGATATCTCACATGTGCTTTTATGCTATTTTTTGAGGCTTTTTTCTGTAAGTGAGCAGTAAGATGATGATGATCAGAATGAACGCAAGACCCTAGATAAATCTGTCATTCTACGTGAAGCTTAGAAAGCAGTAAAGATGGATCGCGCTTTTTCTATTCCGACATCATTTGTATTAGAACTTTTTGTCATTCCCCGTTTGAAATGACTAAGCTTGAATTGTGAGTAAAAACTTGGTTCCAACTCAGTGGACTGCTTTCACTCAATATCTATTTGTCCTTTTTGGCATCCTTTCCCTTTTGGAGATCGTTGGGGCTTTGAGAAAGGGCGACAGTTCTCTGAGAGAGAAACAGGCTTGTAGAACGATATACATATACGGTAAGAGCGTCTTCAACAGTAAAAAAAAATAAACGCGCGCCTTTTCTTTTGACGCTTCACGATGACGAAATCAAAACCGTTCGTTGAATCTACGATGCCATTGCCGGCCGCGGTAAACCATTTTTGGTCGTTGTCAAACTTCTCATCCTTTCCTCTCGAAGATAAAAATAGATGATACGCGCCATTTTGTTTTTCGTGTTTCTATTAAAATACACCGAAACAGTGTCGTAGAGCGGAAGCCAATAGAATTTCATGAAATACTTGCCTATTGTATCTTTTACCGGCGCATCCATTTAACAAACAACCAGGCATTGTTCCAAAAAAAAAAGCCAAGAAAGGTGCACCAAGATGCATTCGGGTAAAAAGAGCGACAAAACAACCACGCTTGGCACATTGTCTCAACTATCATGTAAGGCGAAAAGGAAAAAGAGTAAGCCATTTTGAAGCAGAAAAGTACTTTTGTAATTCAGGCGAGCATTATGCACTCTACCACGCAAATTTCATGCTAGCATGACTCTCATATATATCTTTTTTTTTCGCTACCATGAATAGTACACTGCTCTCAGTTAATCGGTGTTGATTCAAAATAAAGACCCACTAGTTTGATCTCGTTAAGATTTTTACTGTTTTTAATTAAGTGATATTTAACTCTACAAGTCGTCAAATATCACACCGCTATTAAAGTCTGAAAAGTTTTGCAAAAAAATTTAAAGTAACATTTGTTTAGTCATCCCTATCTGACGATGACCTCTTTTACCTTTGCTCCGAACAATCAATAACTTAAATTCGCTCATACTATAGTGACGCCATCTGGTTTACCTACCGATTCCTTAGAGTGTTTGTCCCGCGAATTGGATAGACAAATGATAACCCTAATCCATAAAGCATTATTAAAGACGTGTTTTTTATGTAAGAGTAATTTGCCCTTTAAACAAAAAAAAAAGTGTATATTCGCTTCAACCAATCATTGTCGGGCTTTTCTTTACTCACTAAGCTAGTTTCTGTCGAATCAAAATTGCAAAGCAATTTCGTATGCGGTTGTAGTGAAGGCTAAATTTCTACAAGTAAAAATAAAGTCAAACTCAATACTATTGTGTATATCCTTGCTACTATAATATTTGTTCTTTGCTCAAAAGTGGAAAAAAAAGAAGTTCTTATGTGGAGTATATCACGGCCGATGATGACTTTTGTTATCATGTCCTATGCGTTCGTTTTTCGTACACAGTCAACTTTACTCAACGCGTTTACTAGAGTGGCAGAAGCCCAGTAGAGGCTACCCAATTACCTCCTACATACGCTTACATTACCTTTTCTAATGATTGTTGTAAAACAAAACAACAAAAATTTCAATATGAATAAAAAAAACGCCCCCTTCTCCTCATACGAAGATGTCATATTCTGTTGCTAATTTGAATCAAACTCGAATAACAACATTTCTCATTCTTTCTTTTACTTTATTTTGTTGTTGTTTGTTTTACTTTTGATTAAACTAACAATTCTCAACTTATTCACATTATCGCTGATGACGCGCTCCAAACGATCCTTGAATGAGCCCGAGTCTGCTACGAATAGCGACAGTGAAGACGTTCGGTCTGTTCCTACACCAACCGCAAGTGACATAGACGAGCCAGTCAAGACGTATGAAGCTGCAAACAGTGTTGCGGGAGAGGAGGAAGCTCCGTCTGCCTATCTTGTATCCAATTTAGAGGTAATTTAAACAGTGTCGCTTCAACAAGGGACAAGAAAGTCAACATATAACTAATAAAATTCATCCCACACTGTTTATATCATTTCTGCCAGCAACATGGTGTTCAAAGTGGCGATATAAAAAAGCTGCAGGCTTCAGGTTATTATACAATTGAATCAATAGCTTATGCTCCAAGGAAATTGTTATTAGCCATCAAAGGCCTTTCGGAAACTAAAGTTGACAAAATTATGAGTGAAGGTAAAACATGAAAAAGCAAAGCATCATGAGAAAGGGATGCTGACATCTTTTTTTTTTTTTCCCTCCTATAAAAGCTACTTCAATAGCTGACTTGGGCTTCACAACGGCTTTAGACGTTCACAATAGAAGAAATGAGATGATTTATATCACCACAGGTTCAAAAGATTTGGATAAATTGTTAGGGGGTGGCATCGAAACGGGTTCTATAACAGAAATGTTTGGTGAATTTAGATGCGGTAAAACACAGATATGTCATACATTAGCAGTAACCTGTCAGGTAAAAGATAAAGTATAAAACATAAAGTTCCTTCATCCAGTAGATTGAACTCATCGATATACCTGTTTTTCTAATGGCAGCTACCTACCAGTGACGGTGGTGCCGAAGGAAAATGCCTATACATTGATACCGAGGGGACTTTCAGGCCTGAAAGAATAGTGTCTATTGCTTCCAGGTGAAATTATACACAGTGTAGTTTCATTATATCCCATCAGCATTTTATTAACAACAAAAGATTCCCCCTCTTGTAGGTTCCGCTTGGACCCCGAAACGTGCCTAGAGAATATAGCTGTTGCCCGTGCCTACAACACCGACCATCAAACAAAATTATTGATACAAGCAGCTGGCATGATGTCTGAGACCAGGTAAAGCTTAGACCCTATTGCAACATACAAACTAGTCTTCCCCTTTGCTAATTCTTGTCCATCTCCGCTTGACTATTATGCTACAACCCTAATAGGTTTGCACTCCTCATCGTAGACAGTGCCATTGCTTTATATCGAACTGAGTTCCTAGGACGTGGCGAGTTGGCAGCTCGTCAAATGCACTTGGCTAACTTTTTAAGAAAGCTGCAGCGTTTGGCAGATGAATATGGAGTGGCTGTCGTCTTGACAAATCAAATGATGGCTACGGTGGATGGAGGTGCTGCTATGTTCAACGCAGACCCCAAGAAGCCAACGGGTGGTAATATAATGGCTCATGCTTGCTGTACTCGTTTACAACTTCGTAAAGCAAGGGGTGAAAATCGCGTTTGTAAAATCTACGACTCACCGTCGTTACCAGAGAGTGAAGCAACCTTTTCTATTACTGAAGAGGGAATTCAGGACGCTGAAATATAGCTTCCTCTTCGGTAGATTGTCTCATTGACTGGCTAATCATCGCTATATAAATTTGCCTATGAGTGACTCAATGTTGATTAATAATTCTCTGTCCCTTTCAATAACTCATAATAGATTATTTTTTTTATTTTTTTTCAATGTCAAATCTTACAAAAAGCTTCTCCACAATTCAATGCTTCATAGCTATACACTTTTATACACAACTTGAAAGAAGTAAGGTGATAACATGTAATTTAGTATAGCCGCATCGTGTATTAACATTATGCCCGTTGACACAATTAAATTAAAACGTTAATACTTGTTCGAAAGATCGAAGGATACTGTAGTAAACAAGCAATTGTTTTTATTAGTATCATTTTCTCTTTTACCAACATTCCACGTCCATAAGTAAGGACCATGTCCTTTTATCTCTTTTTACGGATCGCTGGGACCGTCGAAAATCTCTCAAATTTGGCTAACAAACAAAAGTGATTTAAACTTGACCATTATGTTATAAAGACATGTAGCGTATCACCTGTTTGCTGTGTTTATATAAAACTGCTTAGCTTCTTCCTGAAGAAGAAGCGGTATTCTAAAAGTAACTGGCTCATGGCAACGCTGAAGTTCCTCTTCTTGGTTTTGCCAACCGGCCTGAATCTGTAAAACAGTACAATCAATAAAAACAACAATATCAATGAGCCGTATTGATTAAGATCTTCGACCATTAAAAGCGAACACCTATTACAGTCTGTATTGCTTATTCATAATATTTATTTCTGTAATCTTTCCAATCAAGGATTTGGGATAGTATGGATATGCACACATTCTGTGTAATTTGTTCGTTCTCATAATGTTTTCGAGTCATACAGCGTCAATAAAAATCAGCAACCTGCTCAGCACAAACGTAATAACAAAGAGCCTTGTTAGACCAAAACATCAAAGGCTTCATCCAAAATTGAGCAATCTCTCATTATAAGAGGGTAGGTATTTATAGCAGCCTTGCGTATTTGCTTTATTATTTAAGTGAGGAATAGAAACAACCGAAAAAAGCAGCAGATTCTCTTTCCCTTCCTATGTTTTTCTGGTTCTTTAGCAAAACGAGGGAAATGTGTTGGAGGAGAAGAGGAGGAGCCCAGCGACTGAGACAACTATCCTATTACTTAACTGCACACTATTTAGTCATTCTTCGGGAGTAAGCTATCTATTATGACGGCAATTATTATTTTTAGGATGGAGCAGGTGCTCCAAGTTTTATGCATAATCATTTATACATCAATAAGCGTCAAATCTGACGGTTTCGTATGATACCTAATTCATAGCAAGCTCTTTCCAAGTACGTTGATTGTATTGCTGCTATCCGAGAAAATAGCAATGGAAGCTAATTCTGACGCCCCATAGGTAAACTCGATTACTCCTACGACATAATTGCATTCCTAATGCCGCAATTTTTCACTTTGCAAACCATAAAATATGATGATTTAGCTTATTCAATGGTAACTCATTGCTGTACTACTTTGAAGCTTCTCTATTTTTTTGCGGTGACCAGCGCTTATAGATCACTTCACGGATTCCGTAATTGTTCAGGTTCGAAAAATCGGTATTGTTGTTAGGGATAGTGACATAGCATAATATAAGTGTCTTTTTCACTTGGGTACAAATACGATTCAATCTCAATAACCATTTCCAACTCTTTACTTCTTCTTTGTTTGTGTCTCTGCTGTTGATGCTACTGCCAACGGGTATGATAACAACTGCAAAATCTGCATGACGATATTCCGGACCTAACTGGTATAAAACTACGGAATGTAAAAGCAAGTCGTTGATAAGAATGACTAAACGTCGCATTTGTACAAGAAATTTCAAAATATTTACCAAAATCGACACCAAATTTTGTTCCATTTTTCGGTATCCATCCTAAGCTGCGATAATAATGATATACGGCATAGTTGACATTGAACGAGTTGTTACACTTCTTAAATGCTTCCCAACAGTCTCTCACAGACATTGGTTTCTTAATGATTTTCCGTAATGAATGTGAGAATTACATTTAGTGAAACGTTTGTAAATTATGGAAAAGAAATCTCGTTACCTGATCCGCGTTTTTTATTGAAAGCGCATTCAAAGCAAACTTTAAAAAGAATGCCTCATAAAGGTCCAACTGAGTTTTTTCTACATTCATTCCACCAGATGTAAAGATAATCAAATCTCTCAACGGTAGCATATCATTTATTACGTTTCCTTCTTCAGGTGCTGCCGCTGGTGTCTTGCTAGCCAATTTTTTATGGCGTCGTTGTTCTCTTCTTTTCATAGTGATATCCTCGAGAGAGACAGTTGTGCGCTCAAGGGTTCTATCGAGCCATGTCGGTCGACTTCTAGAAAGAGTTCCTTTTCCAAAGTACCCTTGATCATATAGGGAGTTTGTAGTAGAGTGCTCAATCCATACAAATTTTCCAAAACTCATAAAGATCCCCACCGACTTTGTTGATCGCTGGGAAATAGATGGCGAGATTGCATACACCATCCGCAAAAGTGTTTGTCTTAAGAAATCGTATAAGCCTTTAGGCTCATAAAGCCTGATAGGTAAAGGTGAAGCATTTGTTTGTTGTACTTGATCCGGGTTTGCACGATTCATCCAAAGAGCAAAAAGGAAAAGGCTTTTTATGCCCGAACCTTTTTCTAGCCGCTGCTTCCTTTATACTCCTCCTCTCTTCTGCTAACAGATTTTTGTAGAATAAAAAATAATAAGGAAAAATGGAGGAGAATATCCCAAAAATATACGCAGACGACATATTAAGCATGATATCAAAGTTAGAACAAGACATGATAACAATAAAGTAAAGATATCCAGGCATACTTTTTGCGATCCTTTCCGTTGCTAATTACCAACTGTAAACATAGTGCATCACAAAATGAACTCCTAGAAGCCATTAGGAATGTTGAAGAAAAAGTCATTGATGAAAAAGAATACAATTTAATAAAGTCAAAAGTAAAAATTGCAATTGTGCATATAGAGTGAATTTTTTTCATACTTATGCAGTATACGTGTTGGTATAACTAGATGGATAAGGTGTCGCATTATAGAACCAAACTGCTATCGCTCAGAGCAACAATGTCAATGCTGACAGGAAGGTCTCAGCAGTTGAAAGACAGAGCTGAAAAGCTGCGGCGGATGAAGTTAGATTATTTATCACAAGTTGAAGATATCAAGCGTATCGAACGTGAAAAGGACGAGTTCATCGCTGCTAGTGTCTCAACACCTATTAGCTATACATCAGGAAAATCAGAAATACTGTTGCCAAAAACCAAGAAAAAGAAAAAGAAAGCAAAGGCTCGCCAAGTGTTGCTAGATGATGAAGACAGTAGCAGTAGCAAAGACACAGCTTGGAAATCGCCAAAGCGTTCACTAAGCCAAAAGGACTTGACTAAACAAGACTGATTGTTGCATGATTAAATGTATTATTGTACATTTTTACTATACCTATCATTACCAGAGACACTCTATTGGTCTCTCTATAGATCTTTATACATGAAAGAGTAAATAAAAGAATCCCTCAATTTAATAACAACGATGATAATACTTCAACGAGTAAAAATGGGAAAAAATTATGGAGAAAAGATCTTTGCTTTTGGTTGTTTGTTTGTTTAAGCTCTAAGAGCACGTCTATCTTCCTTAGTTTGTGCCTTGAAACCAGTCTTAATTGCAGAAACGGAACGAGTAGAGCCACAGTGCTCACAAGTAACAAAGTACAATCTGTTGTCTTTCGTCATGATGGTATTGGGAGATTTACAAGTCTTACAGGTGACGTATTCGACGATATAGCGACGTAAAACGTTTTCGATCTGCTTTTGTTGGAATCTACCCTTGATAATAAGACGTTGTGCACCATCAATAGAACCCGTTGTACCCAATTCAGCAAATAAGAATTGAATAACGTGATCCGCAGGACGGTGAAGACGCTTGCTAATTTCGGCAATATTGGCAAAAATGGTTTTTTTGTTGCCTTCACGGTGAATGGAAGGAGGAACGATAGTATACTTCTTCTTTTCTCCAGCCAATTCAGGGTTGTTTTGTCTCAAAATGTTGAATACTCGATCTAGAAGCTAATGATAAGAATTTTAAAACAATTTTTAGCATTAACCTCTACTTTTACAGTCACCGAGTTACTGTTTGACTTAGTCTCTGTACCTCATCATATGCATAATCTCTATCACTCTTAAGCCACGCTTCTTCGCCCTCTTCCTTTTTGGAGGGTTTGGTGCTACTTTCTTCAGCAGCTTCATCGTCATCCGCATTCTCGTCAGCTAAATCAGCTTCAAATTGGGCCATGGATTTCTTCTTCTTCTTCTTTTTCTTCAAGGCACCGAAATCTAAATCTTCAGCATCTTCAGCAGGTGTATCTTCGTCGGGAGTATCCTGTATCGTTATTAATCAGCATTGTTAATAACTATTAAAACAGATACTTTTCTCATTATTCAATAACGATCGAGTGATTACCTCCACAGCAGGTTTGGATTTCTTCTTTTTCTTTTTTAAATCGGCAAACATAGTTTCAGGGTCTTCCTCAGCGTCATCTAAATGCACAATTCAAGACAGTAGACTGTAAATAACGCTGATTGTATAGATGGTTTGGCTACCAAAAGAACTATCATTGAAATTCTTCTCACCATTTTGTTCAGTAGCTGTAGTCTGAGCAGGCGATTCCGTAGCTTCAACCTCAGCGTCAAAATCAACCTTCTTCTTCGACTTCTTCTTCTTTTTTAACTTTGAGAAATCGACCTATACATAAATTGCAATAGCTGTTAAGTTGTAGTTCTATGGTGACAATTTTGAATTTACTGATAAAAGAAAGACATGTACTTCTTCATCTTCAAACTTATCTTGAACCGGTTCTTTCTCCATATCAGACATGTTATCGAGAGGAGACAAAAGCAAAGGGAAAAGAAAAAATGCTTCGCGTTGAAACGAAACCAAAAAAAAAAAAGCTTTTCAAATTTATTTGCTACGTCACTTCTCTTAGTTTCCAAATTTAGACACAAAATTAGAAAGTTACATGGTAACAGTACTTCTGTTATAAAGGGCAGATAGAGTATATTATATACAGTATTACAGATAACAATTATTTTAGGAATACCATATGCGATGGAGAGATATTTTATCGCAACCTCAGTTGCATTTGATAATCTTGAGAAAAGACGAGGGTAAGAATGCAGAGCTTATAAGCCACAAATGTGGGTACAATCAGACATGCTTTAGGTTATCAGTTTATTTCTAAAAAAGAAAGAATACCGCTGTGTTAGAGAGAAGAACTGTACCTCGTGTCGTTCCATAATAATATCTATACCAATAGGCTGAGTGATACATATCAGTGAATGCTGCTCTAATGTCGCTGAGAGCTTCAGATTTCAGATGCGTCGGAGAATTGTACCCCGTAGCGAAATACAGTCTCCTTTCAATCAAAAACTGAAAGCTTCATTATACCCCTTCTAAGTGTTTTCTCTTTTTTTTTTTGTTTTTGTTTTCTTCTTTTTTGTCTTCCTCTCTATATCCGTATTCTTTCATTCCGCAGTATACTTCATTGATTTTCCAGGTTTTTGATGAGCGAACAATCGATTAAGAAGAATGGTTTAGCCAATGATATAATTGAGTCAATTATGACACCTGGTTATACAGCAAAAGGTGTAATAAAGATCATGTTCTATGCCTTTTATGCATTATTTATTACACTCTTAATCATGATATTCTTGACGGGTGGCAATCTCCACGTAATTGCTCTGTTATTGTTAGCAATCTGCCTCTTTGTACTAATTAAATGGTATTAAGCACACGCATATTCATATACTAAGATGTCAAGAAACTCTAAGTTTTTTCCTCCCTTTCACTCACGATATTAGGTTTCTTATTTCAATGGAAGAAATGAAGTTGGAGCAGCAGCAAGGAAATGATAAGAAACAAAACTGAACAAAGCAAATGACGCACGTTTTATGTTTTAGATATCTTTTTTACAAATTTATTATATTGTACCCTCATTCAGTTTATGACAAACAGTTGATACCAAATGACTGTATATGGGATAAAAAGTTCGTAGATTGTAATCAGTCATCAAAAGCAACTTTTGACCCAGCTTTGTTATTTCCGCTTCCAACCCCATTGTAGCGTGTTCATTGTTGTTTGATGCACTTGCTGAGAAGGAATGTTGTAGCAAACCTTTGAGTAACACAGATCGAATTCGTTGATACATGATACGGTATATGTCCGAGGTATTTTTTAGATTCTGATTTATCCAATTCGACCAATATTTTGCCTGTTCAGTAACGTCCTCATCATGACCCAGAGATTGTTTAGCCATAAGACAACCTTGGAGTGCCAGATGAAAGCATGATACTCGCCCATTTGATAAAGACGCATCCTTTAACAACTTTGAAAAACATGTTTTCAGCTTGTGTAAATCACGAGAAGTTGCTTTTTTACCAGCGAGTAATCGATAAGGCATCAATAAGATTCCAATCACAATCGTATTTTGAAATTCGTGACGCAGCTGTTGCTTGAATCGCTTTTCATCGTATGAGAAAGTGATTGGGAAGGTGGGAAGTGGAATATTGAGCGCGTGACAAGTATCCGAATCATTTGTCAATAGATCAAGTACACCTAAAAAATCGATTGGAGGTTAAAGAGGAAAAGAACAGTTAGACATAAGTTAGGACATGTTTTGACGGAAAGGAGAAGAGCATATAATTTACCTGTGTAAAATATTTTGACAAACGGTGCATCTTTCTCCAGAGCTCTCCAACTGCCAGCCAGCCAATCAACCACGGACGTAGTATCTACTTCACCTTGCTCCATCTGTGTCAGAAACAATTTTAGCTCTAAGCTCGTTCCAGTATCTAATAGGTACGGTCGATAATGTTGTAGGGCTTTATTAGCACAATCCTATTAGAAACAATAGATAGATCGGATAAGTGATAACGAACTCTTACTACACATAATCAGCATGGCTATCCTTGGTTTAATCATTACCAGCTTTATTGTTTCTAACGTCAGAAACACGAGTTCAACCGCTTTTCCATATTCCTTTTCCTCAATTGCCTTTTTATGGATTTTATCTGCATAATCTGGACACAGAGGACTGAGGATTCTGTATAAGAATTCGAACTTGGAATCAATGTCAAAGCAACCTCTCAGTAGCTGTTGTTGAATTAGATCGGGATCGAATACAGATAAGATGGATGATTCGGTAATATCTTGTGGCCAATGCCATACAAAGTGGATTATGTCTGGATGAGTTGGGAAAGGGGCTATTAGTGAGATCAATATTAATGCTAGTTCTGTAACAATATTGCGAATGAGATAAACAAGCTGATAAAAGTCATCGCTGTTATACATAGTAGCATCAGGAGTAATGGTAATGCTATCCGGCGAAAAGAGAAATATCCTTTTTATAAGTTGATCAAATTGACGCCAGTACATATCGGCTTCCTGTCGCTTATCGTCGGTTAGATTTGGTCGAAATGTCAAATTTGGGTCGATCAGTAAGTCATGTCGAATCTGGAGGCTATTGAAGAGTTGGGGAATAGACAGTTCGGATAATGCATCGGCTGTGATTGGAGGATATGTTAATTTGATTTTGTCGAGTGTATCTTGAATAAAATGATGGTGACGTTGATGAAGATGAAGAAGTTGATGTTGACGTTGATGCTGATGAGATGGATAGGAATTGAGGCTCATTCTTTCTTTATCTGTAAATTGGAATTGGAAGGAATGTTGTTCATGATAGCGTTGATGACGAAGATGGTGAAGGTAATGGCCGCGTTGCTTCACTACCAGCACCGGTTTATTATTTTGGGTCCTGAGTTTGGCTGTGATCCAAGTAGGCAGCGCTGATCTGCAGAGTGTTCTACTATTGTAGAACCCCCTTTTATACCTTTTCGCTATACCGCCTCGACTGGTAGTCCGTTGTTGTAAAAGCCAAGCAGTTCTCACTGCACTGAAAAAAGCTTTTCGATTCCTTAGGTGTCTTTCCGTCATAGGTGATGCTTTTGGTTCGAACGATATTGCAGGTGCTGACTGTCGACGGGCAAATCTAGGAGCAGCAAATATTGTAGTTGTTGGAAGTATTTTTCTACTGGTGCTATTGCTGCCATTACTATTATTGCTATCTGTATCACACGTTCTTTCCGTACAGGAAAAGCTTCTATCGTCTATTGCAGCATGATGATAAGATAGATTGGCGCTATTATTCACAACCATAGGTGTTGGTTCCGGAGTGCATGGATTGCTCTTAAACTCCTCATCAATAGCGTTGATAGCTGTCGTATCTGCATGGTTAACATTATTACTATCTTCATCATTTGGCTTTTGCATAATCATCAAGTCAGGTGTAGACTGTTGACGATTGGTTTTTCGGGTTTGTAAAATTTCATCATCCAGCATTTGTTTGATTGTTAAAGTATGAATTTACGAAAGGAAAAAGAAAGTAACGGTATCTACAATATGAACTGGTTATTTGGAAGCTATATTAGTAACGATAAAAAAAGAAATAAGTTTTTAATTATTCTCTCTTACTGTTTACAGCAAAAAAAAAAAAAAAAAAAAAAAAAAAAAAAAGAAAAAAGACAAAATTACAAAAGAAGTATATATAAGAAAGACAATGAGTCTTGAAAGGATAATATAATTACAAAGTATGTATAATATGTACAAAAGAAAGAACTTTTTTTAGTAGACAAAAGATCAAAAAAGTAAAAGGAAAAAGGCTACTTTCAATTATGGTCTATATAAGACTTTATATCTTTCTGGGAAGCAAAAAAAAAAAAAAAAAAAAAAATGTATCTGTATAAAAAAAAAGGCGAAACAAAGGTTTGTTTCTAACGGAAACAAATTATTCCCCTTTGGTAAAGCGTTTAATTTAAAGCAATTACTGCCTCGGCGGCTTTAAACAAATATATGTGCTCTACAGGTCTCAAAATAATTTATTTTTTTCTGTTTGTTCTTGTCTACACATGATGTAGGGGTACATTACGTAAATACCCTCCATTTTACAGTTATGGACAAAGGAGCTATCTTCTTTTGCTTTTTTAATTTACAATATCTTGATCGATCTTGCATAGCAAACAACAGTTGAAGAAAGTGAGTCGGCTTAATTGAGTACATCGGACGTTCATTGTTTAAAGCATTTTCGTAATAAGCATGTAGTGTTACTGTTACGCTACTCCAACAATGAGTCTACTATAATCAGCCCTTTATCTCCAGAATTTAAATAACAGCTTAAAGTCGCTTAGTCGTCTTCTTTCTGAACGCTTAACTTATACTATACTAAAACCAATTGATGAATGCACGATGGCATTACGTACATTGAATGAAAACTATTCTCTTGCCTGGCTGGAAATGAGTACAATTACTTTGTTCACTTTGATGGGTAGTTTATTCACTTTACTCAGCTTTATCAAAAATCATACTGAAAGATCAAGATTCCGACTTGAAACTGTTTGTGATTCTATTAATACAGCATCAGAGCAGATCGCCAATACACCTTACATACTGTTACAAACATCCTTAGCGGCTGTCGTCACAGCGAAGGAAAATATTCATCGCAATCTATCCACGGCGATTCTTGTCATTAATAACGTAATCGTCTGGCTCATTCGCATGTATAAGTCGACTTACCGATGTCTTTTGGAATTGGCCGTGCGCTCCGTTTTATCTTTGGTAACACAAATCGCTGGTCCCGTGCAGACGGTTGCTCAAGGTGTCACTTCAATTCTTAACTTAGGTAATAACGGCGGTGATAGCTCAACAGCAACACTAAATTGGACTGGATCACTTACAGGCCTTCAAAGAAAAATTGATGACTGGTTTAAAAATGATGATGATCTGATACGTGGATGGATCGACACACCATTTCACGCTTTACAGACACAATTAAACCACACATTTTCATCATGGCAACCTCCTAATACCACAGGTGTAACTACAATACAGCAACAAAATGGAGTTGCTGCACATTCATTACAACTAATTCCTTGTCAGCCACAACCTTTATTAAATGCTCTTAATAATGCAGAATCCCAACTGATTCAACTGATTCAAATCTTTATCGGTGTTCTATTTGCCATATTCCTTATTTGTGTCTTAGTTAATCTATTGTTCATCCGCTTCCGACACGATAGGGTTACACAAGCTCGTCGTTTATTTTTGTTGAGACATCACTATAATAGTTGTAACACTAACAACAGTGCTGACGGCGATTTGAACAATCATTCACGTACTTGTCGTTTTGAGAACGACGAACAAGACCATGTAGACAAACTTCTTTGGACCATGTCAACGAAACTATCTTATCATAAACGAAAAAATGTTCTCCATCAGCTTTTATGCTTTATGGTGCATCCGATCATTTTGTATTGCCTTGTGGTAGGTCTAAGTGGGGTGATCTTGATACATTGCTTAGCATCGGTCATAGAAACCAAGGCTGCCCAAGTTTCGCAAGACATGGTGCAACATACAGAAGCATGGATAACCAATACAACAACAGATTATGTACTTTTCTCTCAAACACAAATCGCTGATATCAATCAATGGTTAGATAACACAGAAATGAGTTTGAATGATCAAGCGTTCGGTGTGATTAAAAGTTCAGCCATGGCTATGAATGATTCCTTAACTGCAGTAGTTCATCATATTCATGGGTTCATTGAGACTGCATTAGGTGGTACAATGCTAGAAAGTCCCGCTAAAGAATTGACACAGTGTTTATTGCTGACAAAGATTGATAACCTACAACAAGGTTTGACTTGGCTAGCTGGACATACTTATATTCACTTGACTAGGGTTGACAATGCAAATTACATAACTAGATTTCAATCAAAATTACAGACGTCTATTAGCGACCATATCAATTTTTTAGTTAGTGATAATGGTCCCTCCTTTTTAACTGACCAGTTAAACAGTATGGTAAACTTTTATTATATGTTGCTTATATTGTGGTGCATTTGTCTATGTATTGGGATAGCATTTCAATTGAAGTATTACTTTTACGGTCCTCGACCTGATATTTACCCTTCTATTGATCTAACTTCATATTCTTCTGAAAAGCAGTAAAAATTATTCTTCATTTATTTTAATTTTTGTTCTCTCAAAAATATCCACTCTAATTCTAATGTTTCCCTCCATAATTGACTATGCTTTCCGAAAGCAACTGAAACAGTTTCTTTAGAAGACACAATCCATCTACGAACGCCCCTTTCGTACACTTTATCCAATCTTAAACTATCATTGATAAGTTCAGATTGTATGATTGAATTCCAACATGCTTTGGCTAGGACCAAAAAGTGTTGTGCCAGCATGGGATGATAAGGGGGATAAACTAAACAGTACTGAATCAAAATATACATGCCCAGTTTAACCGCATTTTTCCAATGTCCTTCTCCCATTTCATCATAAAATAATCTCGTACAGGTAGATAATGTCGACAAGCGGTAAGGCTTAATCTCATTCGTATTGCCCTTGTTACTGTTGTTTGCATACGACACTATTTTTCTGATACATGTGTCCATTATATCATCGTAAGTAGATGGCACCTTGGGTCGGGCTATGGACGGCAAAGGGTCATCAAAATCATTTAATTCCTCTTTAAAATTAGTAGTTGGAGGACTAGTCACTGTCGTAGTTTGTTGATGTAGATCGAGTCTATTCCAGGTTAGTAAATAAGGTGCAAAGAATTGGATAAAATAATGTGTATAAGAAGCAATGTCCAAAGACTGATTCGGCTGGAGATTCCCATCACTTTTCCTATCAAATTTCTGACACATTTCCAGCAAATCCCATTCTTCCAGATGCTTTAAAATGCATGCTCTCTTTTTCGATGTTTGTGATTGCTGAGGTTGTTGCGACTGCAATTTTAACAGTAAATCCTCCGCTTTTTCCCAGTCTGATTCTTCTTCGCCTAGAATATCGTCGATTAAACTTAAATAACTGTTGCCACCACCACAACGTGGACATTGACATGCGAAGAAGTATTTATCCTTCAGAGCCTTTTGGCGATGCGATCTTGAATGAGCAGGGTCCACATAAGATATAGTAATCTCTGAGTTTGGTTGGATGTCTTCAATAGCATGAATGGCAGCGATAGCACCGTCAAACATCACAACAGCATTGGGTCGACATGAATGATTGAATAACGAAGCAATGGGATAAGTGCCCTCACCAATGGGAAACATATTAATATCATCAATATTAAAATTGTTTGCGCTGAACACATTCAGATAGTGAACTAACTCTTCCACACTTAAATGTATGCCCTGCTCTTGCATGCATAACTTTTCTGAAACCTCTTTTGCTAGCGATCGGCGTTTCTCTTTCACTTTATCATTTTGTAACGTATCATGGCCCATTAGGCTGAAAAATGCTTCCATTGTAGCCTCTACTGTTTCTTCCTCTTTATCTATAGTATTATGCATTCTTCTTGCTTCCTCTTGTTGCATCCGTTTCTTGAATCTCAAAACATTAAGGGCCACCTTCTGAAGCATTTCCGAATCCATATCATGCTCTTCATTTCGCGTTCTTCCCTCTGGTACCAATGTATCGGTTGTTGCTTTCTTACATACATATTGATGATAGCTGAGCCATGCATTCTTGAAACAGGCCATATCACAAAAGTAGGCCTGCTTGCACTGAGAGCAGCGTTGTAGGTTAGGCTGCTTCCGAAAGCAATAATTGCAATAGTCTTTATTAGCTTGCGGTAAAATCACTGTACCTAAGGGTTGCGATGTAATGATAATGGAACCTTTGGGTATATGTTTACTCGCTGTAATATACCGGCCTCTTATTTTGTCATTAGAATCTACTAATGCTATATTATGTTGACGAAGATATCGTTCCATGATGATTATCTAATTGTGAATTTTTAAAGAAAGAAAAGGGGGCAAAAAAATCGAAGTCCTTGATGCAACTTTTAATTGAGTTTCTACAACAACGATGCTTTTTTGAATCACCGAAGCAAATCAAAGAAAAAAAGGGATCAGGCACAGTTTGGAAATCCAAATCAAGCGTACATATACTAAACACGACGTATATGAGTGCCAAAAAAAAGCATTGTACATTTCATTGTGAAACCGCAAAACTTATATATTTCTTTTTCCAAACATCTGACTGACAGTAAAGGTTTGTGATTATCAAAATATAAAAGAGCTGAGAACTTGCTCTCCTTTCCTAAATTGTAGAATCTATATTTGAGGTCCTTGAACTTGAGTTGTCAATAATATGCTACTAAGTGGATAAATTAATACCTAAGCTTGATATGTATAATAAATGCCTTTTAATGTTTGAGTGTGATGGCAGAAAATTTCTGCACAAAATTGAATCAAATGATTGGCTAGAAAAAAAACTGTGGATTTGAATATACGTAAAGAAATCAACATCCATTATTTGTTACTCTTTTATCCAGCTGCAATACTCTCTCAAGCGTACAAAGTTAGCTGTTTGGATTATATATGTCTCTTCCCCAAGTTACTGAACACTCAAACTATACCAACGATAACAACACTATAACACATCAATTACTGCCAACTCCCATTTCCGAATTACGCACGAAGGCGTACATCAACATTGCCGAAACCGAAGTTTATGGAGTTAAGCGATGGCTGAATTCTGTTACCAAACTGTACGCGCAGGTAAACCAGCAGTTATTTTTATATAAGGCATGTCATTTCTACATATCTCTAAAATACTCTTCCAGGGTGATTTAGCTATCTCGAAGAACGAGTTGGAGAATGCTTATATATCCTATATGAGAGGCTGCAGGTATAATAATAGAATAATAATACGAAAATAGAAAATGAACTTTCCTAAAAGTGTACTAGTATTATGGTAGAGGTAGTAAGGCTACACTCTGGATACAAGGACATATGTAATGATCCCATTTATTTGAGTTTGAAAAAGGTATTGCAGCCCGAATGTATATACACAAATGCTACCCACTGGCGATGAAGTACTAATCCTTTAAAGCATTTTTTAGAGGACAGACAATGACATTTTTGCGATATTGGAATATTTGGCTTTAACTATAGAAGCTCACTATTCTCAATACCAACAACAGCTGTATCAAAGCTCAAGGAGGAATAGTAATAATCCTTACTATTCAACGTTAAACTATCAAGAATCTTTAAGCAAATTGTTTAAGCAACACAAGACTCCACCGTCAGCTGAAATGGAATACCACACTGCCTCGAACAATGCTGTTTTGACTGAGATAGCACGAAATACTGAGAACAATCGAGAAGCATTTAAGCATCAACTGACTTTGAACAACCTACCTCATTGGACAAGCAATCCATTGTTACAACCGTCAACGATACAACCGTATGAACTGGCACGCTGTATAACCACAAAAACACTTTCACAAAGCATCTTGATTATTGACATACGACCAAGAAACATTTTCACTGTAGGCTGTATAAAGCATCAATGGATAATCCAAATTGAGCCTACCGTTCTTTTGAAGCAACAAAAGAGGTAAAGCTTAACATTTTTCTCTTCAACTTTTTCTATACAGTGAGTAGTTTAATGACTGAATACATTAGATCATAAAAAAACCACAAAACTGTAATTCCGTATTTTAGTCCTGCGCTTGTGGATTATATCCAGGCATCTTTAGCAAGCCATCCGCAGCCCGAACTTACATTGTTTGCAGAAAGATGCAGATTTGATGTGATAGTTTTCTACGATGAAAGCTCAGGACAACAACAAAATGCCGAGCCTACTGCCACTGCTATCACAGAAGAGGCAACTATTTTAAGAAGAGCCTTGGAAAAAGAATCATTCATAGACAATATTAGGAGGCCGCCTGTCATGTTGGCTGGCGGGTTCAATGCTTGGCATTCAATAATAGGAGAAAGAGGCATTTATCGATTTCCTAAAGGAGGAGATAGGGACGAACAGCTTAAGGAACAGTATTCAAATTCTACGCAGACGCATCCTCTAAAATCCGCTGTTGCTGCTGCAATGCCACCATTCAAAGCAATCGAACAGTCATCAATAACACAGCCGCAGTGGCAGCAAAATGGACAGGAAACTTTCATTCATAACAAACCCTTCCATAAACCAGCCATAACAGCAGCAGCATTAACATCTGAACAGAAACCAATTCCTCAGTTGAATGCTAATGGCAATTTTACTAAATACAGCAGCAGTGATAGTGATCGTAGTAACAATAGCATCCATACCCATCCCAGCTCATACAGGACAGCTTCTTCAACATTTTGTCTACAACAGCAACAAAGACCTTCATCCGCTGAACCAACTGTTTCTATAAGCAAACCATCAGCTCTTGCAGAATTTCATCAACACTCATCTACCAATAATTCACATACTATTACCGCTTCTTCTAGCTCTCCTACTAGTCAATTCCGCCTTGGTGTATCCATAATACAAACAAATGGTAAAACGGGCTTAAAAAATTTGGGTAATACCTGCTATATGAATTCCATAATTCAGTGCCTAAGTGGGACCATACCACTTGCTCGATTCTTGATTTGTAAGTTTTTCTGGTTTTTTCTTTTCGGGGGGGGGGAGGCGAAACAAATTTGAGAGAATTTTACTACGTCGTAGATGTTCATTCACTGTGTAAACATTTGCTTACATTGATGATTTCTACAATGGTTATCTATAGCTGGAGAATACAAGCAACATTTGAATCGTAAGAATAAGGCGGGAACAGGAGGTGCATTAGCAGAAAGTCTCGCAAGGTTATTACGTGTTATGTGGAGCGAAAGTTACAATTGTGTTTCACCTTTGACATTTCGGGAAGTCTTAGTTCGCTTCGCCCCTCAATTCTCAGGTGCCGATCATCAGGATTCTCAAGAGTTTCTAATGTTTCTATTGGATGGATTGCATGAGGATTTGAATCAAAACAATACTATTGGAGTGAAAGTAGAAGAAGCGTCGTACGATAATCATATTAGTAACGGTAGAACCCATACACGATCACAAGATGAAGCGACAGCAGCAAGTCTAGCCTGGGATAAATATCTATATACAAGTAATAGTATCATTGTTAATTTGTTTCAAGGACAATACAAAAGCAAACTTACTTGTGTATCTTGCAGATATGTAAGTTGGTACATAATACAAGATAGCGCGATGTTATATACACTGACTGCAAAACTATCCTTATAGACATCTACTACATACAATGCTTTTATGTCATTATCACTCCCTATACCTACAAAGAAACTTAGATTATCCAGCATTACACTGCAGCAATGCCTTGATTACTTTGTTAAAGAAGAGACTTTGGATAAAGGAGATGCTTGGAAATGCCCAAAGTGCGCTAAAAAACGAAAAGCATTAAAGAGAATTAGTTTGACTAGATTACCAGAAATTCTTCTGATTCATTTAAAGCGATTTTCAGCTACTGGGCCTTTCAGAGAAAAGATTGACAGTATGGTAAAGTTTCCCACGAGGTAAAGAAAAGCATTATAGCTTGCTAGCTTAGTTACAATACACTTACAAAAATGCATGCTAGAAACCTGGATTTGTCAGGTTATATGTCTCCAACATATAGTGCAGATCAAAAACAAAATCTGCAGGCCTTTATTTACGATCTTTACGCTGTCTCTGTAAGTTGGTCTATCTATAAAACATTATTTTTTCCGCTTTAACTTACTCACTGATCGCTTTCAAAAGAACCACTATGGGACACTGTTAGGCGGGCATTATACGGCATCCATTAGAGAAGGATTAAAGGACAAGTGGCACCATTTTGATGACACCAAATTTTCTGTCTGTGATGAAACGAAAGTTATTGTAAAGTATATACTAAATGAACTAAACGTTCCGTCATATAAATATACTAACTAGAATATTTTACAACGGTTGAATATGTAGACAAAAGCTGCTTACAATCTCTTTTATATAAAGTCGAATAATTTAATATCACACTAAAAAGAACAGAATATATTAAGGAAATACTTCAATTTACCTTCTGTTATTTGGAAAGAAAATATCCTATAAAATGAAAGCATATTAAAATTAATAATATAAAGAAGGGAGACGAAGGGGATGCTTTGCTGAACTTGACTACTTGAACAAAGAAGGGGAGGAATACTTGTTTACACATAAAACTTTGTTGGAAGAGGCAAAGAAAAAAAAAAAAAAAACGAAAGAAAAAAAAACCAAAACAAAAAAACAACAAGACGTGGGTTTGCTGCCAGGAAAAAAAAAAAAAAAGAAAAAAAAAGAAAAAGAAAAAATATTTTCTAGTAAATGGAAGCATATCAATCAAATAAATAGGGCTATATAAAGATTTTCAGTAAAAGAAAAAGATGAATTTGCATGATAGAGGTAAGTTATAGACCATTAGTTTAAAATGAGACGTAAAATGTACTATGTATATGTAAATGTTGAGCCTGAATATTGTAAAGGCTTCATATTCAAATCGTAGCTGTTGAACTACTGGTGGAAGCAGAGGAAACCATCAGCATCTCTAAGCGGGGATCATAATAGTTTCCGTCGACAGAAGAAACGGGTGAACCAGTGGATAGTATGGGTGTCAATTGTTGGGAAACTGGGGAGTAATTGATATTATTCGAGGATGAGGAAGAGTACATTTCCATATGCGAGGTTAGGGGGGCTGTATTGTGTAATATATGAGTGGAAGTATTATCAGCAGTCAGGCGCCTGTTATCGTTGTTGCTCTGATTACTGGTGTTCATAAGCTCGTACTACAATAGGAAAAGAACAGAAAATGGTAAATATCTTCCGAAAGACGCGTGCCTTTGTATTATCCTCTGAAAAAGAAGATGTAACTATACCTGCTGATAGCGTTGGATGTGAGTTGTTGTTGGCCAGGCAGTAGCAGTAGTTTGAATTGCCGGGCAAGATTTTCTTCTCCAATCTTCAGTATCTATATCGTAACTTGGTTGCTGTTGAGAGAGGCTATCGCTAGGATGTTGCTGTGGCTGTTCCGTATTTATAACAGGAGCCAATGGGTGAAGGGGCATTTTAATCCATTCTTCCATTCCAATGCTTGCATGTTGATGATCAGCATTATTGCTGTTGTTGGCATTGTTGTTATAGACACACGACGCAGCTGCAGCTGTAGCAATAGAACGAGCACTATTACCATTGCTGTTATCCCAGAACTTAGATTTGTCAAAAAACTGACCATAATAATTTGAAATATCTTGTGAACTCTGGTAAAGGCGTCGATCACTTTTTGAGCTCATTTCTGGTGTTTGTAAGCCGATAGTGTTAAAGTCAGATGCTGTTGTAGGCTGCTGTTGGTGCTGTTGGTGCTGTTGCTGCTGCTGCTGCTGTTGAGATTCTTTTTCTGAGACAGCACCTTGGTTACCATTGCCGCCACCGGATTTACGTCGTTGAAGTTTGGCTTTAGCTCTACGGTTTTGAAACCAAATCTGAACTCCACGTGGGGTCATATCTAACTGCTGGGCAAGTAGTCGACGAACGGTTGCATTTGGTTTGGGGTTCTCTGAAAAAGACTTTTCTAATACTTTGAGTTGTGCTCTAGAAGTACGACGCCGGTGTTTGATTTCGAAAGGATTGTAGAAGGTCGCTCTGAAATCTTCCATTGAATCTATAATTAAAGGCTGATGCTGCTGCTGCATATAGCCAAGTGGAGTGAAATAAATTGACGTGTTAGGGCTGTTATCATGTCCTTCAGCATTAGTAGAAACAGTTGCAGTGGTAACAGGCCCATTGAAAGCATGGTAATAACCATGCTGATGACGAGGGTAGTAACCGTTCGACATGGGAACAATACTAAGGGATTGCTCAAATGGCTGCACTAGCATTTCAGGTGACATTGTTCAAGTTAGAGTAATTTTAAGGTGGAAAAAAAAATTAAGACTAAAAAGTAGGATTGATTAAAGATAAAAAACAGTATAAATGAAGACCAAGGTATTTATATCAAATTAAAAAGTCAGGCATTTTACTAACTGAAGGATAAATGGGGGAAAGGGACGAACGCAGTAATGAGGATACTGTATGTAAGCGTAAAAAAAAAAAAAAAAAAAAAAAAAAAATATGTATAAATTTAATCATTCAGCAGAAGAATCTAACGCAACACGGACAGACGTTATCACAGAAGGTTCGTTGGTAGGAGGTGATTCAGACCAAAAGGAAAAAGGGACAGCTCTTTGCTAAATAGGAGAGCACTGATGAGGAGGGAAGCTTAGGCGGGATCGAATCTTCTGCTATTAATCGCTGGTACACGAGATGTAGGAATGATGGTTACAAAAATTCATAAACTCTTTCCTTTTAAAGTCACTAATGGATGGTCGTCCTTCCTTCATATATTGGACCCTTTGGCACTTTTAGGGTTACACACATTAACAGGATGCGTCTTGTACATGTTTACAATACCACTTATGCAGTCAACTACTTTTGCGGAAAAATGGAATTACTTACAGGGCTTATGCATTTCTTCTAAGCGCTTCTTATGCGGCGCCGGCGTTGATTTACCGGGATGTATCACTGAAGCCTGCAACCCAGAGCTATAGCAAGCACCATTACTCTTTCTTCTATAAGTAAAAAAAATCCTGGCTGCACTCAATCTTAAAGAAGGCCCTTGTTTACAACAAGATATCATGTCTTTTCATACATACAAATTAGGAAACTACAATGACAACGAGGGGGGAGGGGCTTCTGTTATGCGACTACGATGTAAAGCTGTTTCAAAGTAAAACAAGGGAGTACATACAATGAGTGCACTTCTGAATCGCAGGGAATAGCATATGTACATTAGCATAAAACAGTATATAGTTTACATTTTTTTTGGATGACGCACCAAAGAAAGGTTACGAAAAAAGGAGATGAGCCGACCAAATTATTAGCCGATCCGCCCGCTCTTTTTATTTTGGTATTGAGGGTTACAAACAAAAAAAAAAAAAAAAAGAAAAATATAGCGTTGTTCAGCTTTCGTATAAAGTATATGTAGGCTGGAAAGAGACATCTATTCCTTTTATTAATTCAGAAGAGTCTAAAACTGAAATATCTCACCTTTGCCTTGATCTTCTTTCGTTTTACTACATTATTTTCATCGAACAGACTCAAATAAATATCTTAAACAACTTTTCAAAAATTGTCTGCAATCAACCAAGCTGGCTCGTTGTGCAGAAATGTGTACCATACTATTGTCTTATTAGATCGGATAACATACGAAGGATATCCCCTGTTTTCATTTATATGATTTTTTTATTCTTTTTTGTCATTTTTCTTTGACTGATGACATTGGGATTTTATTAATAATTGATGTATATGGGATGATGTGCAATGGTGTGTGCTTTATCAAACAACCATGCAATGTCTCCCGCCTCCCCTTCCCCTCCCCCCGCCCCCCTCTAATAGATAATACACAACATTCCTGGGATAAATCAAATCTTAAAAAAAAACCATTCCTTCCTTGTTGAGCCGAGAAAAAGCACGAGCGCTCGCATGAGTAGTTACATACATCGATAGGAGACGCAACAAAAAGGAAATGGCTGGGGGCAAAGTAAGTGTTGAAGATATAAAAAAGAGAAGTATCAATATATAGAAACTCTTTATACTGCAACAACAACTACTCAATATTAGCTATATAGAAAGCTTATTGAAAGTAAACTCGCTACTGTAATGGGCTGTTTTCGATATGCCATTAAAGCATAATTGTAAGATATTCTTGATTGTTCACTAATGCTATGTGCCAACAAGTTGATCCTAAAATTGCCTTTTGTTGTATTTGTTTTTGAGCAAAGAAATTTAACTTACATCATAGGTTCTTCAATTGTCTGGATTAGGAGTAACGACACACCATTCCGCCCTTTAGTAGGACACAAAGGGCATATGCCAATTGGGTCACTTTTTTGTCCGTGCAGATAATGGAAAGGGATGTTATTTTTTCAATCGTAATGCATTTCTTCTCCACAAATATGAGTTAAAGTGACAAAACGTTTAGTATAGCACATACTCGTTGTGATGTCGATCACGATTTTATAGCCAGAACTTGAAGAATGAGAAATAAAAGGGCTTTTGATGGTAATGGTGTAGCTATTAAGTATATGCGCTTCGCCTACTCCTATGTAAGAAGGTCATTCTATGTGATTTCTTAATTTTCTCCGTTACAGAATGCACGGTCTTTCTGGCTACCTTTTTATGGTTAAGCAGACATCATATTATTAGTGTAACGTTGTATATCGTAATGTAACAATATTTATAAAGAGTATCATATGACCATTTCCTTTTTTGTAGCAGATTGGGAAAATCGATTGCCTAGATTTCTTCGTTCATGATTAATGTCACCTTTTATTATTCAAAAACGTGTATTAAGTCAATTAAGGCATATCAAATTTTATATCAAGCTTTTGATTCTACTTTTATCGATCTTGCTGATATAGTAGGGCTGCATTGGTGGATGCCTGGAGCCCTTGTCCTTCTTCTTCCATGGTATATTTGTTGATCCAATCCAAAACTTCCTTATGCCATCTTAAAGAATTGGCTGGTTTCAATACCCAATGATTCTCATCGGGGAAGTAGACAAGTCTGGAGGGAATGCCTTGTCTTTGAAGTCCTGTGAACGTCGATAAACCTTCGCCCAAAGTTAACCTAAAATCTTTGCCACCATGAATGACTAAAGTGGGTGTTTTCCAATTCTGCACAAAGTTGGCTGGTGACCACTGTTCATATCCTTCTCTATTTTTGGGTAAAATAGGTGTTCCGCCGAACTAGTATTGAAGAGAAAAAAATAAATAAATAAATAAATAATGATACAGAGTTGTCAATGTAAAATAAGATAAAAATACAGCTTGTTCGGTTTCTAGCTTACCTCTTTTTCTGAAAAGTACAATTCATCTATACGTAGAATAGCGAATGGAAGTGTCAGTTTCATGGTTATTGAAAGAATTGTTCTATGCATTTTGTAGATTCAAGTTCGACTTACCAGTTGTATAAAATACTTGTGAGGTAGAGAAAACGCCATCGTGATTAACAAGCACTTTGAATTTATCGCTGTGGCCGTTGATCCAATTGACCATAAAACCCCCATAAGAGGCACCCAAGCCTGCCACACGTTTCGCATCTAGGTAGGAATACTTTTGCAAAACATATTCCAATCCCTTTTCCAAATCGTAGAAAGGATACGAGCCCCAATTTTCACCAATAGAGTCAGTAAATGCCTGACCATATCCTGTAGAACCATGAAAATTAATGGCAACTACAGCATAACCTGCACCTGCAAAAATTTGAGGATTCCAACGAGTTGACCTATCCATACAATAAATAGAAATGCATATTTAAAAAAACAGATCTACCGTTTTCTTATTTGCTACTGACACAAAATACATAAATCCTTACCAGTTATCATTCCATGCTCCCTGAGGGCCTCCATGAATAAGAAAAGCGACTGGATACTGTTTACCCTGCTCATACCCTGCAGGCTGGAGATACCATCCATGAACTGTTTCATCCAAAGATCCTATAAAATGAAGATCTTCTGCATCAACTAAATCAAAAGATTCAAGTTTCTTTTGTAATTGGTCTTCAATGGCAAAACGTGTGATTTCTTTCGACGAGGGATCGAAAATGTAGGGTGCTACTGGATGCTTCATCGAGCTGGAACCATAAAAGATTTGACCTGTGGGAAGAACGGTTAGGCCTGTAGCGTATCCTTCTTCAGTGAGAGTATCAATGGATTCCGTTTCAATGTTGATTGCGAAGATCTTGTTGCGACCGTGGTCTTCTGCTGTGACGTACAGAGTCTTACCATCATGAGAAGAAGCGATTTCGTGCGGGCTTCGATCCCACTGACCGGCTACCAATTTTTTGACTTGTTTCTCCATATCATAAAGAACAATACGGTTGCGATCAGATTCATATTGAGGTGTATACATTTGGAAATAGACCAACTGGTTATCGGCGATGAAATGAGGGCTAGAAGAAGCGGCAGGAATATCATCATTGATGGGGCGCGGTTTTCTATCATTGCTTTCATCGATCGTAGTAGGGACAAGGTATATATGAGAGGTTGTTTGCCATGCATTATCCTTGGCAGTACTTTTTGCAAGAAAGGCAATCTGAGAACCATCTGGTGAAATAGCATAGTCAGAGGCATCACCAAGAGGAAAGGCAGGGCATTCGAAACCTGTATCCTTCAGCAAATTTACTGGCTCATGAGACACTTCGTACTTTCCTTCCTTATTCACACTAAGAGATACGACGAAGAGGTTGTTTTTTTTCTCGCCGACATACGCATCCCAGTGTCTGTCAAGATAACGGTGTTACAAATGAGTAAAATTCACTTCCCCAAAAGAGTAAAATATTTCCTAATATGGAGTGCATTTCCTTTTGTCAATTTACCTCACCATAAGTTCATCAAATACCATTGCAGTATCCTTTTTGTTCGCTTCGATATATTGATCCCTTTCCAGGGTTTCTTTAAGAGTTTTCATCTCATTATAAACAGAAGCAGAGAAAGCCAATAGTTTCGCCTCAAGGTTGTATTTCATATTGCCGAAAGGAATAGGAAAATCAGTTAAGCGATAAGAGTCCTTGTTTTTCAAATTCAAAACGTAAAGCTGGTCTACTGTAGACTCGTTCTCTTTGTCTTCTTTTCCGTTATCCCCATGGTGCATGTAAGCGACATGATCATTATCTAAGAAAAAAGGTTCACTATCGGATGCTTCGAAGGAAGGCTTTGTCAACTCTTCTACAGAATTCTCATTGATGTTTAAGAGATAGAGGTTGCTAACAGACTTTTTTTCGATGAAAAGAAAGGCAAGGGTAAGTAACACATATTTATTTGCCTTGGGAAAGACGTTTCTCTCGTACCTTGCCCTCTGTAATGTTATATGAGGACTGTGCATAAACAGCCAAGGCTCCGTTAGGTGAAGTGACAGGTACACCAGGCCTGGGCAATTGTATCAAATCCGAGGGAGTGAGTAATTTTGCTCCTACAACAACCATGTTCAATATGAAGGAAGTACTGAAGAAAAGAACAGTACTTTTTAAAAAGATCATTTTTGCTAAAATGTAGGGAAGGTAAGTGACTTTTCGACAGTCAAAAGAAAAGGGTGATTATTTATTGGAATTTTTTTCAACGGTACGGGAAATATCTCAGCTCGCTTCATTGATCAATGATATTACGTAAATGACAGCGAGGGCATTTTTTTGGATGAACCTAAGATGAAGTTCATAACCGAAAATCGGTTATTTTAGATTATAGCGTCACGAAGATCGACGCTGCGCTAGTCGTTCGACTAAGATAAAAAAAGACACAATCTCTTTTATAATCTAGAAAGATTATTTTTTATTCTTTTTGTTAGGTTTTGAAGAATGGTTAGAATTGATGTATCCTAATTCATCAAGAGTTTTCCTTGCGACATTATTTATATCTTTAAAACGATCAGGACCCAAATGGATACCTCCAAACCACCGAGTAACAACAACAACCACATTTTCAACCTCTAGAATTTGCATCAAATGTGCCAAACGGCCTATAACGATACAATGTTGACCTTAAGTAAAAGAAAAAACAACTCATTTTTTTTTTCCTTTTCTGAGCTATGTTACCTCCAGCTGCTGATTCGCCATCATCATCATTATCTTGTAAAACTTTACCGTCAGGCATCATTATCCGATACGCCAGGATGTTATGGGTGGCCTTGGCAATCTTTTTGTTTTGCAATAAATGTGCAAGTACTACTTTCACTTCATGCACTGTATTAACTTTAGCAACATGAGCGACGAAAATAGATTTTCTATCCACCAGTGGCTCGCTCGAGAAAATGTCAGGAGGTGTTTCATTTATATATCCATTCGGTCCCATGAGTGATCTCACAGTAGGCCTGTCGTGCGCTTCGTCTTCTTCACTGCTGATCGCTTTTACAAAACTATTACTTTTACTAGCATTGTAGTTTTTAAAATCCTCAGGGTTATAGTCGTATATCTCATCATCTTCTGCTTCCTTCTCTTTCTCTTCGCTTTTCAGATCCAGTTTCGCCACAGTCTCTGACAAGTTGTCCTCATTGTTACTGTTGTCGTTATGGGTGGGCATTTCAACTTCCTGCTCCAGATACTCCCTCAACCAATTGATCCATTCAAATAAAACTACTACCGTGGGTGTGAACAAAGACTGAAAGCCCGCATCAATAGCATCTAACATGTCTTCATCAATCTTTCTGATTCCACAATATATAGAGGAAATTTCATAAACAGGCATATCTCGACTAGGATACGTGGGTGGGAGAAAAAATCGCACAAGAACTTTCCTTGGTGATCTTAATTCAGGCTTATCTTCATCAAGATTCAGCGTGAAGATGTAGGCATCGGGCGAAGATGCATCAAGTCGGAAAGCTTCAGGATATATAGCCTCGAGTGCCATAACCTCTTCATTTTGGAGTTCTCTATTTTCAACTTCTTCTTCATTATCCATAATGAAGACTTTGAAGGCTATCTAGAGTATAGAAGAAAAGGTCGGTTATAACTCTGCTGAGACCTTCTTTGAAAAAGAAAAATCCATTTATTTTTCAGTTTGACTGGAGAGTAAAGAAAAGAAAGATGACACGAAAAAGTCCCGACCCTATTCAACAATATTACTTTTTTTTTCCCCCCCCCCAATTCTCTCACACTTATGAGCATTTTTTAGGCAATATTACTGTAAAATCATCATTTGACAAACGGTAGGCCATTCTTATGCGCTTTGGTTTACAGCTGAAGGTATATTATGATTGATAATATGGGCAGAAAGTTTAAAACCATTCGTCACCATGTAACGAATAAACGAAACAGTGCAATTACCAGTTATATGAAACTGAAGACCTCCCACTACACAAAAACTATAGCACAATGACTATAGGATATAGTTCAAAATATCAGAAAGGTCCATAGCAAAAGCCTTTCCAATTCACGTTTTAAATCTCGAGGCTTATATAAGGCTTATGAAATTAGCACTGTAACAATACATAAACCGCCTTAGTGTATGTCGCATACTTTCAATCTGATTGCCTGCATTTTTAATTCAAGGTTTGCCATGACTGCCGTCATAGAAACCTCATTGAAGCATTCATTCCATTGCTGTAGCATACTTGCTCGTCATGGTGGTGGTATGCTATGGTAGCATGATGCAAATACTGCTAAAAACCTATACTATATTACCGAAGAAATCGTTGTTTGAGAATGAAGTCATCCATTTTTATTTACCAGACAGTAAACTGGGATCATAAATTTACACAATTTGTCTCAAGTTTATTATGTTTGCTTGTTTGCTTGTTTACTTCTTTTTTTTTCTTTTTTTTTTTTTGCCTTTTTTTGTTCATTTTTTTGAAATGCTATGTTCATCCAGATTATCAAAGCGAAAATACCCTTACATGTGTGCTTTATATTTTCACATCAATATTTTGTAAAGTCCTGGTTTATTCTGCATTGACAATAATGTTCAAAGAGTGTTATATGCTTCGTTTTTTTTAATCATTTCATTGTATATGCATAAGCATTCTAGCTATTGGATAGTTCCATTATGCCTATACTGGCCTGCCGTCAATCTCTCAAGTAAGTTGATATAAGGGAACTTATTCACGTTGATACAACTTTGAGCTATTTCAATGTAAAATGCAGCATGTATACGAGCAGGTTCGAAAAAAACGCGTTGCTACGTCCATTAATACACAGATCGACATATTGGCTCGGCACGGACCTAAGAGCTGTAGTTACTATTTTTAGTAATTTTCATACAACTTAATTTTTTTTACTGGATAAGCTTTTTTTCGAAAGGGCAAAACTAATTTGATTTAAGAAAAGCTACATCCATCCTCTTTCATTATTATCATTAGTTTGAAATAGGCCATCCATCTATAATTTTTTGTAATTATGTCTGCCTATTCTAAGAACCTTTTCTCCATTCTCAGTGAGGATGGTGACGTTCGTCCTGAACCCGTCGCTGCTCCTAAGGAAGAAAAGAAGGTCGATGAAAAGCCCAAGTCCGCTGACAAGCGTTCTTCTAAGCCTAAGGCCAATGGTAATGCATTGAACATCATTGAGTATTTTAAACTCGTGCAACCTACACAGCAAAGTGAAGAAGATAAGGAAAAAGTCTAGAAAGAAAAAAGCCCACAACCAACCCTTTGTTGATTTTTGGAAAATTAAGTACAATTTAGACGTACATCTACTCAAACCATCAATTATTCAACAACAAAATGGGTTTGGACCTCACCGAACCTTTGACTCTGGACTTTTCTCCTTGGCTGCACGACAGCGATTTGTTCAGACAGTCTTATTCTAACGACTATTGTGAATTTGTTACGTTTTCTTTGATAGGCCGTGGTAAGGACAATGGCCGTCCTACTCGTGGACGTCAATTCGATCGTCACAGCGGTACTGGTATTGTGTATGTATAGACTGCATCATATACGGTAGTTGAGGTCTATCTGTTTAATTAAGCTGCTTAACTCTCGTTATAGTGATTCCGAAAAGAAGATCAAGCGTGGTTGGGGTAAGCCCGAAACTGCTGAAGCCGAAGCGTAAGTTGGCGTTTAACGAGAGACTTATATAATGCATATGCACATGGATGTGTATTGGTGAAGATTGATTATAACAAAAAATAATTACTTTAGTGCCAATGATAAGCTCAACCCTGCTGATCCCGACGCTCCTGAAGCTGATGCCCCCGTTTCTGAGCCCGAAGAGCAAGTTAAGACTCTCGAGGAATACTTAGCTGAAAAAGCCAACAAGTCATTGAATGTTTCTCTTCCTGAAGCCCGTAAGGCTAACGATGATGCCGACGACGCTTTCAAGGGTGCTGTTGCATTCAAAAGAGAAGAGGAGGAAGAATACTTTGCCAACAAGGTAGCTTTTTTTTTTGCGTTTCAATATTGATGAGTAGTTCGCTTGACTCAACCTCTTTTTCCTCTGTCTGTATAGAATGCCAAGTCTTCCAAGAAGAACGCTGACAAGCCCCGTAAGGAAAAGGTCTTTGTTGACATCGAACAACGTTTCGAAGACAAGTCCAATGACTTCCGTGGTCGTCGTGGTAATGACCGTCGTGGTGGCCGCGGTAACGGCCGTCGTGGTGGTAACAACAATGGTCGTCGCGGTGGTAACAACCGTCAACAATCCAAGACTCCTGCTGTCAATCTCGAGGACGCTAGTGCCTTCCCCTCCCTTAGCGCTTAAGCTCAAAAAATTTTAATAAATGGCCTTTTTCGTTTGTTGTAGATGATAGAAAAACTGAAAATAGCAATTACTTTTGGAAAAATAAGTTTGATTCAGTTATCTGATCAATGGTTGGAATATGGAGATAGTTGACATACCGGTGGATATATGTATAAAGAGTCAGCGCTATAGGAATAACACATCGTGTGGTAAGCAAGAGATAGAATTGGACGCAACAATCAGAGGCTAAATGGTAATCGATCATCAAGCCATAAAAAATGTGCCAGACGCGCCTGTTTTTGAGATGGATTGAAGCAGATCACAGCTGCATTCATACTATTTATAGGATGCTGTCAAAGATAAAAGTTCAGCAACGCGAATTATAACATTGTCAGGTTGTAAAGGGATGTTCTTAAAATATGAAGCCGACAATAACCTCTGAGACAAGAACTGTTGCTTTCTGTTGAAGTCTGAATTCTTAGGTACAAATATACCAAGTGAGCCTAAGCTGACTTTAAAGTCATTCATAAAGATATTGAGCACTGTCCTGCGTCTAGCAAGGCTTAATGTTGGCCCTCGGTATGAGTGAGCTTTTGGGAGTTGATATTCTTTAGGCGGGAGTATTTGAATTTTTTAAATTGAATCAAATAGCCAGGTTGATGATTGTATTTTCGAAGGAAAGCCATAAATTGATAGTAAATTAGAGATTTGCATGAAATACAGCTGCGAAACTGTTTAAAATTGTTTGAAAAAACTAGATTTACTGTAAACAATATTGTTCGTTAGTGTAAGCATATTTAATATTCGTGCAGAAGCACTGTCTTCTACAGTAAGTAAAAATTAACGGTAGAGGGAGAATGAAATGAATATGTACTGTCATATGTTACAGACGAGTATGCTAGTCAAAAGGAGACGTTGATGAGATGGACACTGAAAGATCTAGCATTTAAAGGATCCATGACATATAAGAAACTCTGAAAGGGTCCAGTTAAGCATTGTAAAGAATTGGACAAGATTCTTATTGTTATCAAAGTCGTTTGAGGATCCATCCGGTTATCTTTACATTTTCCATGTCAATTTTACAATGGGGTTTAACCTAATCAAGCGTCACTATAAAAAAGAATGCAGTCGCTACAGTGGGATTAATCAGAGAACTGAAAGCTAAACTTCTATCTTTTAATGTATGTAAGCAATGAATGATGGTCTGGAATGTATATGTGTAAGTTGACCTGCTTTATAATAATATTGGCACAAAGTTCTCAAACTGAAACACTATGAAGATCTGTTCTGTACTGATATAGTTTACGAATTATGAGACCCAATTCCGATACAGACCAATAAAATATGATAAATGTATATGCTATTAAGTACGTGAAGAGACACAACAAAAACAGAGAAGAAATGCTATAATACTTCTATGTTAGAGTTGAGCAAGAAATAGAAGTGACCACACCGGCAACAGATGACCAATATCAAGAACAAATTCGAAGGGTGCAAGCAGAACAAGCTTATTTGGTTGATACTCTTGCAGACGTGCATATTGAAAAGAAACGATTCCATTATGCTATAGCAGATCTTCAAAAGATGCATCAACAGACACGTGCAAACGCTGAAATCGTTGATCAGATCAGAATAGCAGTCATTTAAAACGTTCAGTGACAGTTTACGATACGGAAACAGCGGCCGAAAATGGTTTAAAAAAACTGCAGAGACAAAAAACAATATCGATGGTCAGTCTGCAGATTAAAGCGAATAAGAGCAAGCATTCTCTCTGCAGTGATTAGAACAGAAATGGAAGCGTGGTATCGCCTAATGAAGGGTTACCTGCAACCACTCAGAGACTTCTAGTTCTCTGACATGGCCAGAAATTTGCCCGCAGCCATGAGATTGAGAAAAAGTGCCATTAGCGGAACTTTGCGTTCAAGAGCGCAGATACATTACTGCTCAACCCCACGAAAAGCCAGTGATGTTTGTAGGCGATAGAGGATATGGAATCGACTCAACTCTCAAACATCATCTTCGCTTTGGTGGTCCCCTGGAAGCCAAGAAGACTGTTTCAAAAAGGTCTTTCGAAAGCAACCAAAAAGAAAGACGAAACAATAGGGGTTTATTTCTTTGTGTTAGCCCCTGCTGGGTCCCCGTTCTGAATTACCGTGTCTCTGCTCAAGCTTTTGCTTTCTCGGGCATTGATACGTTGTTTCGGGGTGGCATTTCCTCACTTTCACCCTCACTCCAGGGCTTTCTTGCTGCATTACATCAGTTTGTTGCTTGAGTGTAGCTTTAGCTCTTCTCCAACGCCTTTTCTGTTCAAAAATATATCTCGAAATAAAAGATAGTTGTACTGTGCCTATTCTACTGTGATCTGTGAGTAGTCAAACGAAGAATGTCTAAACCGTCTTTTGAGTCTCGAATGAGTCTGAAGGTGCAGATATTGGTTTAATGCTATCTATGAGACAGCAAGCTGCTTGTCATCAAAAATGCCGCCAACCTCTCAATAATATGTTGGTCGTAGGGGTTAAATATCTTTGATTTTTTATATGAAAAGCATAGTTATTGCTACACGAACAAGCTTCGAGTGATATTTCAAATACGATATATCTTACTGGTTAATCACTTGCGAACCCTCTCATTGCTAATATAGTTGTTCTAGCCAGCTTTGCACAAATTGTTCACAAGTCTTTAAAACGAAAATCAGGCCGAATCACAGAGCACAAATCAGATTCTGATTTGACGCAGTTTCTAAATGTTCCTATTTTTTTTTTTCCTGTGCTCCACATTTGAGCATCATACACCCCTCCCCCCCTTAAATTAATCTTTCTTGAATATGCTAACTCCAATATCAACACTTTCTTTTCTTTTTTTGACTTACATTTGACTTCAATTTATACGAAAAGCATTTTTAAATTCCAACGCATCTACATATTACGCTGTCTTTTAGCTTTTCAAAAGGTTGATCCCAAATGCGTAAAGACTTATACATTTTTTGTATATTCTACCTAACAGCATATACCTTTGCCTTCATTCCTCATCAACAATCATCAATAATCAAAAGACAAGGTATTGTGCAGTAGACGATTCAATATTTACTGGTAGTGCTGGTCTCATATTGTGCTTTTGACATAGCTATAGCTTCTCGAGCATGTGGCAATGAAAACAATACGATATCCATATGTTCACCATCTTCCGGTTCTGTATGGTATAACGATACAGATCAAGAAATAACATGGAAGTGGAAGTAAGTCTGCTTTCCAAGTTTTTCTTCTTTTGCAAATGAATCCTGATTTTTCTATGTCTCCTACAATTATTATGAGCCTAGCAATCCAACTTTATTACACTACGTAATGTATCGCTATACTTATTGCATATAGTAACGGTACAGACTAATTTGTTGCTGTGCTTGTAGGACACGTTGGATCTTTATCTGCTCTATAAAAACGATACAACAGCGACAACGTTCCAAGTTGTAAAAACTTGGCCAGAATTAGAGAGGACTAAAGGTGTGCTTGTACAACATATTGATGATACTTGGTACCCTTCCGAAATGGATTTTTCAACTACAAACAATATTTCTTGGACAATGTTCTTTTACATAGTTGGTTCTGGCTACGACATTCAATCTGATCTTGATTTAATACCCACACGGCTTAATTTCTTTCCAGTACCTCAAGTATTCACTCTTATACGTACGATAATTCTACTGGTGAAACTTCATAGAAAGGATGTAGAATTCTAAAATTAACCTTCAATTTCCTCAATCAAAATAGAAAGTGCTCGTAACACCACTGCAACTGAAATATCACCATCAGCATATTCACCTAATAATGACACAAACCATCATACATCCCAGACCTCCACTTCCAACCATGTCAACAATTTACCTGGCTGGGCAATCGCTGTCATTGTCATTGTAGTCTTAATTGTCATTGCTGCTACAGCTGCGTTGATATGGGCTCTCCGATACAAAAATAGAACATCAGTAAACGATAAATTCATTATCTCGAAGAAGAATGGTGGCAGTACAGATGACGAAAAACTTCCAGTATTACTAGCAGCGACAAATAAGACCGAATCGAACGTTATGATCCATTCTGCAGTATCAGGTATTACTACGACGACAACAGCAACACCCGTACCAGCGGCGACTGTGTCAACTGTACGCACAACAATAAGATCCACATCATCGGCTGCTATAAATAAGCAAAACGATGCTTCAACCTCGCCTTTGAAGAGACCTTCCTTAGCAGATCTAAATGATCAGCAGCAGTCGAGCAGTATCTTATCTTCTACCGATGCCCTCATGATAGCAGATACCTTTAGGCAATTTATGCGAAAACCTGATTGGAATGAAGAATTAGATGTCGTTAAGAAGTAGCAGCAGCATTGATAAGTGTCAAAGCGCGGTTAAACGAATGCACAAAACGCGCCCAGTAATTTTTTGATTCTATTCAATCTTCCCAATTCATTGTCTTCATATAGAAATTTTTTCGATTCTTGGAAGTTTATACTCATCAAAATTAATAATAATATTTTGGAAATATGCTATTCCATATTCTTAAAGCAGCAGCTGTATTTAAGCAATTGCTTTTTCCTTCTCTATTCTTCCTATCAAACTGCACACGTCATTATTGTTTTCGAAAGTAAGAAGCGGAAATTAAATGAAATGCGACAACGACAAAATGGAAGAGGGAAAAGGGGGTGGGGTACATCCTAAATCCGAATTTCAAACTTCGCATGAAGTTATATGTTTTTTTAATTGATTTAATTTATTTCACTGCTACTTGTATGCATGCCCAGATTACCACTACCTTGAATTAGCTCACTTATATTTTCCAATGGCGAATACGAATAAAAACCTCCCGACTATTAATAAACATAACAACAATATAGACAGTAAAAGACATGAACAACACACCTTTGCATCTTCTAAAGGCAATAAAAACTATATGATCAGCTCAGGTTCACTTGCGATTCTAACAACCGCCAAAGAAAAAGCAGGTGAAGCTGTGAATTCTGCAAAAAGCTGGTTGTCAAGGCCGATGTCATCTGATTGGACCTCATCATTGACGCAGTTAGAATCGTTATCCAGAGTTATGTTTAGTCCATTAGCAGCTCATCCTGTATATAAGTCAGAATCCATGATGAAAGCTCTCCAACTTATGCAACAACAGCAGCAGCGTAACAGCAGTGATCCTTCCTCGTCATCTTCGTCAACTTCTGTAATATCGAGAGCGCTGATAATGAAACCATCCAAAGATTATATTTTACAAGGTAAAACTTATAGTTGGCCTTCTAGTACAGTCCTATTACAAGCCGAAATACCCGAACAGCAACATGGTCCCGCTGTGAGTCTTTTTCAAGGATTTGCATCCACTTATCCTTCTCTTGCAAAAGGTTCATTAATACGAACAAAAAAAAGAAGAAGGAACAGAAAACACCTCCAGCGTCAGCATGGTAAAATACCAGACAGAGACCTTCCCAAATCTTTGACACAGATCATTGCAGAAAGGGAAAAGCGGATAAGGGATGCTGATAAAATTAGCATGCAGAAATTGTCTACCATTAATGAAATAGAGCAAATAACTTTGCAAATTAATGAGTTATTGAAGCAAAGAAAGGAATTAGAGGGAAAATATGCTAGACTGGAAGAAAAAGACTTACAATATCAGATTATAAGTAAGTAGACATTCGACGAATCGAAGCATATAAGATTGAAACCAAACAACTGTTTATATAGTTGAGGACTTGAATGATGCCATTACCGATATAGAAGAAGGTGGTACTGGCTGTTTAGAAACCATCAACGAACGAAAAACCGTTAAGGGCGCGTCCCTACAAAATAGAGATGAGGAATACGTTGACGACGATGGTGATATTGACGATGAAGACGAAGACGAAGAGGAAGAGGAGGATGTTCTGATCGATTATGAAACAGGCACTTGCTTCAAGACTTTACAGGCGCACACAGACGACATACTCGACTTGGACTTCAATCATCCGAGAGGCATGCTTGTGTCGTCTTCATTAGATGGAACTGTGAAAGCGTGGGATTTATATAGATATCGCTGTTTAGGCAATTTGGAAGGCCATAAAAGCATTGTACGATGTCTTCAAATGGAAGGTTCTCATCTTTTGACTGGATCAGACGATTCAACGTTGAAGTTCTGGGATCTTTCAACGATTCCAAACAGCTCGTCCGATAGTTCGGTTATTTCTTCGTCTACAGTAAGTGATGAGGCAATAGTGACCAATGAGTTGTTCACTTTAGAAGGTCATCGTGCAGAGATAACAGCCATAGATTTCAATGATACCCAAATCGTATCGGGTTCCAATGACAAAACAATCCGACTATGGAATATCGAAACACAACAATGTCTTTCATCGCTTGATGTGCTATGGACAAGCAAAGGATTGGAAACTTCATCAGTAATAAACCATAACTATGCCTATGCTGCGCACGATTTTGTTGGTGCGTTACAATTTTGGGATTTCGCGTTGGCAACGGGGACTTCTGACGGTAAACTGAAAATGTGGGATTGTAAGTCGAACGTTTTTGAGATCAATAGAGAGGTTTTATTTTGAAATAGTCGGCTAATTCACAATTATCTCTCAATTCAGTAAGAACTGGTCAAGCACATAGAACGTTATCCGGGCATAATGCCCCTATTACTTGCTTACAATTTGATGAAGTTCATATTGTGAGTGGCAGCTTCGATAAAACGATCAGGATCTGGGATTTGCGCACCGGCTCTGTTTTTGACACACTTACTTATACCTCACCTATATCCAATCTACAATTTGATGCAAATAAGATCATCAGTTGCGGTTCAACAAGTGATACGATAAACGTAAGTGCATACGCTTGACATGATTCAGACATACGTTTTTTGTGACTAAAGCAAGTCTTATTTTTTTGAAAAGATATATAACCGCACATCTTTCCAGCATACTCAACTAAAAGAGCATAAAAGCCCTGTATCTTCTGTGCGGTTCAATAATGATGTACTTATAAGCGGTGCGAATGATAATCTTATCAAATTGTGGTCTATTTCTAACTGGATGCAAGCCTAGATATATACTCATTCTCTTGTAAATATAACGCTATTCATTTGCAAATTGTATTAGACTATTTTAAGCGTATGATGAAGCCAAGATTCCCATCGGGCAGTCCGCAGTATTTTTGAGGTTTGATTATAATACGATAGATACTGTTATTGATAATGAAAACGTACATTTTGGTCATTGTTCAAAATACTTATGTGAAAGAGGGAGGGCAAAATACTGTTACTGTATTATATGTAAAACTTAGGTGTTCTTTATCATTGTCCTCCTCCCAACAAGGTTTTGCTTTATGAAGGAATAGTTACACGGAAACAATGGCTTACTACTCTAATGTATCAATAATTACCGCATCTGCTATACTTCTATCACTACATCCATTCAACTGCAGACTGACTTCAGTATGCTTCGGCTTAGCACAATGCTATTTGGAAAGCCGCTTGTTACCATAAGCTCGTTTTTTCAACGAAAAGCTATAGTTCATTTGCATAAATATTTAGCACCACCACTCTATTCTTTGCTTTCCACTTGATCAAGCCGCCACTAGGCTAGTATAGAATAAATATGAACTCTAATCAACGTTGAAATATTTATTGGATTTCTACATAAACTAGTATGGAAAATCAGAGAAAGGATAATATCTGTACAAAAAATGATATATAAAAGGAAAACAAAAAAAGCAAACAAAGATGTTAAAAAATTGAATAAAAAAGACTGATTCAGAAGAACTAAAAATAAATATTGGGGAAGCAAAAAAAAGTAATGGCAAAAAGTGTTTGGGAAGAAATGGAATGTAAGCGTAATAAATAAAATCAAAAATGATGGGTTTGGATATGTCAGTATATCATATACTTCTTATATAATGATATGTTACTCCTAAAAGAGGAGTGGGCAAATTCCGGGTTTTTGGATAAACTATTGCAGTAATGATTGATAGGGATAAGTTCGCAATTGCGTTTCATTAAAAGGTATCAATGACCATGTCTGTTGACGTCGAGAAATAGTCTACGGCTGCTTCATCCGTTTCAAAATCATGTACTTCCATCACTGTCTTTCCCTCGTCTGAATTCAGGGATCGACGTCTCTGCATCACAACTACTGCTTTGGTTTCTGTAAATTGAACTTTCCACACTGTTTTAGCCGGCAAAGTGAAATTCCGTATCAAACGTCCTAATTTGAGATCCCAAATTTTTACACGACCGTCATTGCCTGCACTAACTATGCGACGATCGTCAAATTGTAAACAGGTCACTGAATTATCATGAGCTGAGATTTGATGGACACACTCATAGCGCTGAAGGTCCCAAACACGTAAACAACCATCTGAACCAGCACTAACAAGTGTTGTGCCTGATAACTGTAGTTGTCCCACTAAGGAGGTATGTCCCTGCAGAATGGCAAGACACTGCCCTGTCTCCGCGGACCAGACACGGATATGGGAATCTAAAGATCCTGTTACCACTTTCTGGCCATCGAATGCAATAGCATAAATTTGTGTATAATGACCCGTGAGCACATGCAAACATCTTCCTGTTCTCAAATCCCAGACTCTCGCTGTTGAATCATAAGAGCCGGATACGACGATATTTCCATGAATTTCCATACAGCGCACACTTGCTTGATGACCAAGAAGTACGTGAATCAAAGTACCTCGTTGAATATCCCATACTCTCATCGTTGTGTCTCTTGAGCCTGTTATTGCGATTCTCTTGTCTTTCATTTTCAAACAACGTACAGTTGAGTTATGACCACGTAAAACGTGACGCAATACTCCGGTATTCAAATCCCACACACGTACATCCCTGATGCAAGATAGGAAAGCATTTCAAAAAAGAATATGAGCAAAGCTGTTCTTTTGCCCCCTTTTTTCCTTTTTTCTTTCCTTTTCCCGAAAAAAGAACCTATATATATATATATATATATATATTTTTTTTGGCTTACCTATCGCATCCACCTGTCACAAGTACTCTTTCAGGATCATTCTTTCCGCCACCTTTGAATTGTAATGCCCAAACACCGCCTTCATGCCCTTCCAAAGTCCGCACTTTTTCTGCAGTCTGTGTATCAAAGACTTCAATTTTATGGTTATCGCAACCTACCACGATGAACTTTTCATCGTATTGTAAAGAAGTGACTAACCCATCGCCAAAACCTTGTTCTACTACTTTGACTTTGCCGCCATGGGCCCAAGCAGAAGCGATGTTGTATTTTTTCTTAAAATATTCTCGGTATGAAAAGTTAAGCCGTTGACTCGGCGGTTGCAAAAGCTCTCCACCACAAATGCTAGAGTTGCGTCGACGATACTGATGTTTCATACATAGTGCTTTCCATGCAGCTTCATCTTTCAGTAAAGAGTTCCAGAATGTAGAAACAGTGGCTGCTCTGGCTAAAGTCTTTGGATCGTCAATAAAGGTCAAGACATGGAGCGAAATTTCGATCGGCAACTCTTTGAGGAAATCAATTTTCAGTCGAGGAGATATAAGATTATTGAGATAAGTGAGCTGAGAGTTATCGCAGCTATTGATCATCTCCTGTAAAAAAAACTGCTTTTGAAGAGGATTCAGTTGTTGAAAAGCTCGACTTAGGCTCTTTAGATGCGCAAGTTGTTCTTCGTCAAAGGCATATTCAACTTCGGTATTTTCTAAGTTGTTTAATGAGATTTTAGGTCGCTGGGAAGGTCGACTTAGACTTTTGAAATGGGGCAATGGAGTGTTGTTATGTGAAGAGGAGCCAAAGTTGAAGTTAGGCGGCGTTGCTGGTGGCGAAATATCATCTAAAGGACATATATCCATGTTTATTGGTGATGGAAGTAGAAACGATAAAGGAAAGAAATACGTTTCTAATGTAATCCGGCTAAAATAGAAGGATAGAAAAAAAAAAAAATGAAAAAGAACAATAAAAAAGAAACCAATTTTTTTGGGATGTTTTAGGATAAGTGAATTTAGACCAAACCGAATTTAGAATGCAGAAAACAAAGGCTTTTAAATGGTTGTTATCTACAATTTAATAAGCCACAGTCAATTGTATTGGTTGCTTTGGAACAAAGAATGAAAACTGCCTCCTTGTTGGGCACTCGTTAATTCTGTAGGCTTCTTTTTTTATAGATTTTGCCTACTTTCCATTGTTATAAAGAGTACCCAATAAAATAATTCGGTGTTAAACCATCTTTTTGCTACGTTGTTTTTTTGACTTTCGATATCTTTGTCAACGGCATTATCAATTCAAATTTCCGGGCATTGATCCATCTTTCAGCTGACGGAATACAACACACGGCGAAAAAAAGAGAAAAAACCGATTGTGAGCATGATTTATATTACAACAGTGGTGACGAAACGTCGACATAGTGTGCGTTCTTAGCCTTTGTTATGGATTCTATTGAACTAGAGTGAATAGGGCTTTTTTTTTCGAAAAAAGATTAATTTAGCTTGGAGAATTTCATTATTTTGCTGGAAGTGGTTGTGCTTGTAGGGCAAATGATCCATTGCGGGGGAGGGGCAAGAAGGAAGCAATTACAACTTTGATTTTTTGAAAGGAGACGCATCTGCAGGAATGAATCCGCCTTTTCGTAACACAGCATAAATCTCGTATAATGCGTCTTCGTCCTCGATAGTAGCTGGCATATTCACAGTTTTACCATCCACCATTTCGCGTATGCTTCTTCGAAGTACTTTGCCACTTCTCGTTTTCGGTAACCTAGGTACTATGACAGCACTTTCAAAACAAGCAATGGCACCCAAGTCTCGACGTGTAGCTTCCGTTAATTCTTTCAATAATGTTCTTTCGTTCGATGGAGTATATCCATGCTTTGCGACTAATATGCCTAATGGTACGTGACCCTTCAGCTTATCCGGTAAAGGCACTACGCAACATTCCGCTATGATAGGATGGGCACTCAATATTTCTTCAATGGAACCAGTCGAAAGACGATGCCCAGCCACATTGATAATGTCATCCGTCCTTGACATAATATGAACGTAACCACTAAAGACAAAATGGAGTAGTTCTTCAGTAGGTTGAAGCTCCCAATGAAAAAGAAAAAAAACTACAAAAAGGGGGGTTCATCCTTACTGTTCATCAATAAGACCTGCATCACCTGTATCAAAATAACCTGGATATTTATCGAAATAGCTAGCTTTATAGCCTGCTGCATTATTCCATAAACCTGGAAATGCAGCGGGTGGCAAAGGAAGCTTTAAAACAATATTACCAAACTGATTTGGTTCCGTCGTCTCTTCCAAAGTACCCTCTTTCAATACACGTATTTGAGAGCCAGGTACTTGTTTGCCAGCTGATCCAAATTTAACAGCCGTACGTGCGTTCTTTACAGCACCAGAACAAATGGCTGTTACAGGTGAGCCCAATTCTGTACTCCAATAATTATCGATCACTGCACAATTCTCAGGAACAAGCTGCTGACACCATTTGAGTGTTTCTGTGTCACTTCGCTCGCCCGCCAAAAACAGAGAGGTTAATGAACTTAAATCATACTTTTTGGCTAGTTGTCCTTCTGGGTCTTCTCGAGCAATGGCTCGTACAGCAGTAGGAGCTGTAAACATTGTCTTTACCCGATTTTCGGATACAAGTCGCCAAAATGCTCCAGCGTCAGGTGTACCCACCGGTTTGCCTTCATATAGAATAGTCGTGGCTCCTATGAGCATTGGACCGTATACAGTATAGCTATGGCTTACAGCCCATCTATGAACCATAATAAAACCCGTACGCTAAACATCAGAAATTGCTAGTATTTCACGTTTTTCGTTTCGGTTTTACCCTATATCACTCGCTGTGAATATCGTATCCCCTCTTCTGATGTTGAAAACGTAATCAATTGACCACCGTAAGACAACGGCATGTCCACCATTTGACCGTACTACACCCTATACATAAGATCAAAGAGAGAGAGAGGATGATGCACATCAGAACACAGTTTAACCTCAATCCAGTAGTGGTTTCAAATACTGCACCTTTGGTTGCCCTGTAGTGCCACTTGTGTATAAAACATACAGAGGATCTTCACTTGAAACCGGTATACAGTCTTTGAAATAGGCACCTTTACGTTGAATCTTATCCATCTCATCGTCAAAGTCGCGATCACCCTGCGCGTAATTCATTAATGCTCGCGGTTGATTGGGCCTTTGATAAACCATTCGAATGGGAACATGATGACTCGACAATGTCAAAGCTGTTTCCAAAAGTGCTATTTTCACGTTACAGAAGCAGAGTTAGCATTCCCCTCAACATACATTCAAAGTAAAGCCAAAAATTAGCCCCTTTTAAGGCGGGAGGTAAACATGCGAGAACAAAGTAAACTAAACTTACGTTTATAAGGAATAATTCTTTTTGGTTCAATGCCACAGCTTGCCGTAATAATCATTTTAGGCTTGCAGTCGTCGATTCTTTTGGCCAATTCCTTTGGTGCAAATCCTCCAAACACGGCACTATGCACAATGCCCAAACGTGCACAAGCCAAAAAAGCAAACACGGCTTCTGGTACCATTGGCATATAAATCAATATAGTATGTCCTTTCGATATACCGTAAGAATGGAAAACACCTGCCAGTGTTTGTACTTTGTCTAAAACTTCGCTGTAAGTATACTTTATTTTAGTTTGAGTAACGGCTGAATCCCAAATAAGACATGGTTGTTGAGCCATAGATGGATCTTTTAAAATATGTCGGTCCAAACAGTTATAACAGGTGTTCAGCTTCCCATTAGGAAACCAAGTAAAAGGGTTAGGTCCTGGACGTCGGCCGAGGATGGCTGTGGGTTTTTCGAACCATTCAATATCTTGAGATGCCTTTTCCCAAAGCTGTAGGTCTATAAGGTTGCTTATTTCTTTTGTATTCATGTATCTTGTTGTATTATTGCACTTTTGATAGTGCCAAGATGGGAGAAAATGCAAGCAAAAAGAAGAAAAGAGAAAATTAAAAGATACAAATTTTCGTGAGAATACCAAGACCTGCAGTTCTCCCTTTACCCACTAAATTTTGTGAAGCCTTTTGCAAAGCGTTATAAAGATCTGCCATATTGTTGCACAAGCTATATGTTTATTATGCAGCCAAACAGGTACAGGGCCATCATAAAGGTGAACTGTGACAGGAAAAAAAGCAAACCCCTTTAAACAACCAAGGGTTGTTATTCTGCCTTTATTATGTATAGAGTAAATCGCAATATTCTGCCTGGACAATGAGTCGCTTTCATTACCACAATAACCATTTCGAACGAAGAGGCCCATCCACATTTATTCAAGTATGTCATCAATATATTTATAATATATTGATTGCGCTCATTAATTGCTTTTCGATTTTTTCCTTTTTGTTTATAACATTCAAAAGGGTATCCTATGAATATGGATATGGGTTCAGTATGGCTACCAAGTTATTGAGCTATCTGCCAGTAAAGTGAACAGTATGTTGCTGTGATACGTGCCATAACGGCTCAAATATCTCTAATTGTATTCACCGCCATGCATTTTGCTCAACTACTTTTGTCTTTTGCTCAAGCAGATATTCTAGATTACGTTCGTACTACTATGCTTTTGAATATTTTCGATATAAAAAATAAGCATCGTTTCAACCATTCATCATGCCTTTAAATGGAAATTATAAAGATAAAGAATGGTAGTTATTGACTTTACATATTTTCTACAAAGATATTGCTAGCATCCTTGATATCTGAATGGGATTGCTGCTCTCAGTCTGCCATGTGGATTCAAATCTATCACTGTGTATGAATCCTTTAGCTGCAAAAGAGCTTTTTTTTTTTTTTCAATAGGAGACAAACAATTATGACATCTATTGGGCAAAAAAGAGCAGTTATTTAAAAGGTATATAAAGGCGCTCATTTTTCTGAATTTCCGCTTCTTTTTTCTTCAGCGCAGATATTGCAGTAGCTTTGATTCCTAAACTGGTTTCCTCTGTTTAGATGGCCTAGTACTCCTGTTGTATCATGAGGGTCCTTCCATTCATGTGTAATGCTGGTTGTTGCCACTTGCCTGAAATAGGTGTCTGTCGGTTCCTCGTGAGCCTGTAGCATAAGGGTAATGTCAACCAGTCCCATGGGCAGCTATGTTGATGTCTCTCCTCATGAGGGCTGCCTGGGCAACTACTCTCCCAGAGAGTAGGCTAGAACATCAACACCTTTTTTTTATATTTATAATGCAAATGAAAAAAAAAAAAAGAAAATAAACCGGTTTACTTATACTGAGCTTTGCTGAGGGATAATGAAGCAATTTAGTTACGTTGATATACTTCTACGTGGACTCTTTAAAATAGGGGCCTTCATCATATGGTTGCGTTAAAGATAAAGAGAGTGACGACAACTGTCAGTTTCAGATTTACCTAGAAAAACTTATATGACTAGAGCTCGCACAACTTTGATCTGAAACTTATTTTATCATCTCATCTTGCGCGTTGATTTTAGTGTCGGAGAGCAATATCGAATAAGTATCGATCACCTATCTATTGACACCAGTCTTTTTGAAGAAAAACAAATTGATCTTTTGTAGATCGCACTCTATGAGAATTACACACAGACAGAAAGAAATACTCAGCTTACACATAGAATACAATCAATAGACCCTTTTCAGTTTAAAAATCTTCAGACGAGCATTATTTCAAAACAAGGGCACACTTCCACCCAGAACCGACTCCAAGATATATGATGTAATGGTAGTCTCTTGGAAAAAAGAAAGTATAGCATGACAATGTCTGCTGAATTCACCCAAAGCTTTTTTTCTTCAGATCACTGCTAATTTTTGAAGCCAGTTTCGCTGTTATTTTGTTTTTGGGCAATGGATAAACAAGAACGGTTTCAAGAGAAGTTCTTGTTTGAACCATAGAATCTAACTTGCCAATAACTGTTATTGTAAAGGTTGAATTGCTTCACAAGAGTTGCCTAGTGCTTTGTTTTTTTTGGATTTGTATTGTTAAGCTTTTTGGACTTTACTGTCTATTCTGAGTCGCTCTCATTTGTGGCCGCCCCCCGCCTTTGCAAGGCTTTTTTAGTTTTTGCTTGGTTTTTTTTTTTTTAGAAGACCCATTTGTTCAAAGAAACAAGAGCTCTGACACTGTAACGAAGGTATCAAACGGGCCCTCGTGAAAGCAATTAATTAAATTCAAGTTACACTACGTCTGTTATTTACGTGTGGACCATTCACGTCAAAAGCTACAGCAAACAAAGAGTTCCACTAATTTCCCCATCATTGCCTTCCCCGACAAAAAAAAACCTATTTTTGAGTGCTGATGGTCTGTGTTTTAAATAAATAATCAGCTAATGCTGTGTCTAAATGTAGAATGCGGGACAAACAGCTGACCTGGGCCAAAACTAAAACTTTGACAACAACGATTTAGAATGTAAATAAGCCAAAGATGGCGGTAGTATATTTAAGATACAAATATTAATTAGTGAAATGCATTAAATTGGTGACACTGGGTAGGCATTCATCATAGTAATAGCAGTAATAGTGAAAAGTATGACGGAACAAGAGAAGGGAGGGATATCAAATTACTAGATAAAAAGTAATTTAGAGGAACGGATGGCCGAATAAATAATTGCTGTATGTGTGTGCGTGTGCGTGTGCGTGTGTTTTGTTTGTTGGGAATTGGCATACACTTTATGCTCTGCCAAATACATCTATTCTATAACCACCACCACTACCACCTGCAGCCGTCGTCCTTGGAAGGTCCAATGTTGTAGTGGTAAGACCTCCTAGGAAGGGAGCCATGATGGATCTGTCCAAGGGAGAGATGTATCGGTATTTCTGCCTATAATACCCTCCTATCTCAACTGTCTGGCGTGTTGTTGGATAAAGGACCAACGAATGATTTCCGTTCCAAGCTAAATTATAAGCTTGGTAATCAATAGATCGACTACGCGTAGATCGAGGGCTCAGCGTATCCATGACTCTTTGAATCCTATTCTTTTGCTGAGATAAGAAGCTAAAGGAGCATTCAAAGCCTGTTGGTTCAACCCATCTTTCGCCTGGTCTTATTTTCGGCTCATTGCTTGGCGTTTTCGATATTTTGTAGGAGAGGGACAAGTTTTGCTTCGTTGGGTAATGTTCCTGATGCAAGCCTACTTCCTTGATGTGCAGCGGTAAAGATGATTTGATCAGGTTGTCGACGAGGGATTGGTAAGTGGTGGATGAAGTATCTGTCATAAAATCAGGTCCCACTAGATACGCTTTATAGAGTACTGGTTTCCGTAACAATTTTGAAGTGTACATGCGTAGGCTAATTTGATTCACTGGCGCGAAGGACAGTCTTCCCTCAGTAGCTTTGGTTAATTTAAAATCAACAGTAAATCGCCAATGACTCTCTTGATCAAAGCACAATCGTAACAGACAGCAATTGTCTTGATGTAGTAGTCTATTGATGAGGACCGACTTTACAACGGTTTGAAGTTGCTTATTTGACTGATACAGTAAGTTAAGGATGTCAGGCACAGAAAGATACTGACATATCGACAATAAGACTTCATTAGGCAGTCTGCAAAAGCCTGATGTATGCCTAAAAAGCGGCTGTTTTGTTGCTGTAGGTAGAAAATGCATGTTCCTCGTTCCTGGACTGTAAAGAATGAAGAAAAAAGGAAAATAGAAAAACGGAAAAAGAGGGGAAACTGATCCCCTTTTTATATTGTGTGTCACTCGGACCAGCCAATCATAATTCGTGAGAATGCTTCTTACCAGTCAATTCCTTGACTGCTTGCATTAAATGAAAGAAGGGCATGACCTGCTTTACAGTTGTTTGCGTTCTTGAAGTATCATTTGAAAACTAAAAGGTCTGACTTGCATTTTGGCTACCGGGGTTTTGATCTCAAATCGTCTAAATCGTTTTAAATCGTTTCAAATCGTTTCAAATTGTTCTAAATCGTTCAAAATTGTTTTAAAAGCGTTTGGGTCTTTTCATCAACAGCTAGGAAATAAACCACTGCTATACTATGGCTTCATTTTATATATGTTTGAGAATATCAGTTATTCATTGTTTGAATTGTCTTTTATTGCAATTAGATTATCAAAAAGCGAGTCTATAAAATGGGTGAAGCTATTCGAACACTATAATATCTTGTCAGCTATTCAACCAATGATATGCAAATACTTACATACCTTTACACTTTATTTCATTTTTATCAAGCCGAAACATTATAGTATGAGTCAATCTTCACTAGCAGATAAACTAAAATTGCATAACTATTTTATTTCAAACTCACGTTCAGGACGCAAGTTTTACGTGTATTGTATTACCGAGGCGACTAATATTGCACCGTGTTCTTCGTCTTGTAGAGCCTCATAATTAACAGGTTGCTCTTTCAGATCAATAAACAAATAACAAAGTATTTCAAAAACCTTTAGTCACTTGTTCGTTTGCCTATACGTTGTTGGTCTCTCCTTTTTATAAAAAAAGTAATTACCTTCAACAGTATTCGTGTGGGTATTTCCACCACGTACAAACTGTTGAGAATGGTTAATTGACTCATGAAGAAAATGAGAACCTTCAATATTGGGGATGTTATCATAAGCACGCCAACAATCCGAGTATATAATCGATCCAGGAAGAATAAATCGTTTAATGATCCTTTCTAACGTGGCGGCTGTACGATCGTGTACGATTGTCAGAAAGACTTTTTTTCTCTTGAGTTCTTTCAATACCACCGAAAACCCAAACTCCTTCAACATGATGTCCTCGATGATACTTTCGTTTGCCAAACTTGGATTCATCGATTTCAACAATTATACCTTCACCGCCTAAAAAACTAAGTTAATACAGTATACATATATTTTTTAAATTGTAATATTGTTTACCCAATCATTATATCATTTTCAACAATATCAGCTTCAATTAACTTGAATATTTTTTTTATTATTCCAGAAATAGTTCTTGAATTTAATCTTGCTGTTTGACGTATATGAGCCAAGTTTGAATCCGTAGCCCAACACCAAATAACATAAAGAATTTTATTTATAGGTGTCGTTAAATTGTAAAAGAAGGAACCTTTTCGTAAAGCAATTTCACTTCTATTACAACAATTTCTTCTTGGACACTTCCAATAAAATACACGATCTGTTTTCCATTGTAGTGTCATATTTGTACCATTACGGCATTGCATAGATTCATAAGATACTCCTTGTGTACAAAGATTTTTTGGATTCTACTTTGAGTACATATTTGGCGACTTCCAACTTTCTGATAATGCCAATGGTAACTCAGAGCCTGTGCAGTTGGCTTCTCGTTGCTCTTGGTCCTCAAGCTTGAGTTTTCTAAAAAACTCAAGAGCTCAAGAGCTTGTTCCGTTGTGACGAAGGTATCTGAGATGTTTTCATTGCTGATATCACTCCAAAGAGAGCAACCCTGTTTTTTCTTCGGGAAATCGTGAAAGACGACCACGACTTATTCAGCCCAAAATGTACGTTCGTAGTCCTTGCAAGGTTTCGTTTCAAAGACTGTAGTAGAGCAACTATTGGTAAAGCTAGTTAGCAGAAACCTAACAGCGCTGAGGAGTTGTTTTTCATCTTGGATTTTACCATTAAGCTGTCCGTCCAAACAGATCGGGGGTAAATCATCCAATGATCGCTTCAATCCAACACACAAAAATGATCGCACAACTGGAAAGCTTAGTAATGAATCGAAGCTTGTTTTCATTTTCTGTGTTTGTTTGAAGTGTTCAAGATGTGATATTTGTGGTTGTTCTATTGTTTAGAGAACGTGACTCATAAATGGATCTGAACTGTAAGGTGAAATGAGTCTCCTTTAGTCCTTTTATTATCTACTGAAAATCAGAGTAAGGAGCGTGCCAACTGAATATTTGAATTCAAAAAAAAAGAAAAAAAAATAATCGTTCCTGATATTCTCAACCAGTAAGAATGCAGCATTATACACCCGCCTATGTCATCTTTATCAGAAGGTATAATATGTGTCTGCAAGTATAGTTTAAAATCGTCTACAGTTTCAAAATAATGTACGCAAGATGAACAAGCAAACTGTCTTGAATACTGTCATGCTTTACATTGCTATTTCATATTTACAAAAGGATAGTCAGCATTGTCAAAAAGGCGATGATTTAAGCATTTCGAGATCAAACTCCGGTAGCCGATAGATAAATTCGCCAAATCCCGCACAAAAATCTTTGTATTCATTTTAGTCCAGAAAATCCCGTGATTTTTGGGTTTACTGTACTTTTAATGAAAAGTTCTTTCTTTCTATAATCTTTGCCTGATGATCCAGCATTTTTATCAATGATCAAAAACTTTCTACTGCTTGTGTTTCCCCTAAATTCAAAAAAAAAACTCTATTGAATTCTAAGCTTTCTATTGGTCCAAAAAAATTCGATTTTTTGCTTTTTGAAAATTTATATTTCTCGAACGCAAAAACACTGCATCTTTATCTCTATTTTTTCCCCATTTGAAATTTTTTCTTGACTGGTTATGTCGTCGTATGAAAATGATGATGGAAAAGCATCAAAGAAACTCACACGTCGACAATCACTAGTTGAAGCTGCTAATGAGGCCTTACCTCCACCTGTTGATTTCGAATCGTTACGTGTCACTGAAGAAAGACTAAACACATGTTCGAATAAAAAAATTCGTCGATTTTATGAAGTAAAGAAAAGAATTGAGTTGAGCTATTTATTCATCATACATACGTATACGTTTGTATGAGACACAATGGAAGCGAAACAACAGCTTTAACATCCTCTATTACATCCTTTTTATATGTTTGAAAACTTCAGCAACAAAACTTGATGATTTCAAGGTTCGCTCAAGTGGATAGAGTTATCAATGCATTACAGAACAATAAACCTCTTCTAACGGATGTGACAAAAAATGGGTATGGCGCAGTGTATGATGAAGAAAGTGGCCTGTACCAGGACGGTCTAGGCAATCCAATGCCATTGGATACTGGAGCGGGAGAGAATCAACCATTACTCTCCAATAGTCGACCCATTACACCAACGTCTGACGCTACAGGAGACGATGCTGACAAATCACCATCATGGATTATTCATACAGCCATCAACTTATCATTCCTCGCCAATATGGCTCTGTTTTTGACGAAAATGGTCATCGCGTGGTATTCAGGGTCTATGGCCCTTTTGGCCTCAGCCTTTGAAAGCTTTTTGGATATCGTCAGTAATGCCATCATTTTCTTCACTGTACGCATCATTCGTCAAAAAAATTATTATACCTATCCCGTCGGCAAATCACGTATGGAACCATTGGGCATCATCGTATTTGCTGTAGTTATTACCACTTCTTTTTCCCAAGTTTTAATGACCTCCATCAAGAAGCTTACTATGGGAGCCGATGCGGAACCCATAGACCTAAGTATACCGTCTTTATCCATTCTGGGCGTCAACATTGTTGTTAAAGCAGCGTTATGGGGATGGTGCGCTAGAATCAAGGGTAGTTCCAGTGTCCGTGCCTTAGCCTACGACCATGAAAATGACGTCGTTTTCACAATCGCAAGTACCTTATTCCCTCTGGTAGGTTCGTGGGTTGGTTGGCATTGGTTGGACCCTCTGGGCGCTATTATTCTGTCCCTCTACATTATTTACGAATGGATGGGAGTTCTCATCGGTAAGCGTTTCTTTTTGAATGATAAGATCCATTAACGAGATCGTCGTGTCAGAAATAATTGGCTTATTGATGAACATGGGCTTATGCGGTTTGAATTGATAGAAAACATCCGACGTCTTACCGGTCAAGCAGCAAGTGCGGATGATATTAAACAACTAACCTACATGGCCTATCGGTTTTCAAAGAAAATTGAAGCAGTTGACACAGTGAGAGCTTACTATATCGGTGATCGTTTGGTAAATGATAACACTACTTTGTAATTGAAAAACATAAGGCCTAACTTTATTTCTACTTTGGGGGGTGGGGGGACCAAGTTAGTGGAAATTGACATTATTTTACCACCAGACTGTCCGTTGAGGGAAGCTCATGACGTTGGAGAAGCACTCCAAGACGCTCTTGAGTTAATGAGCAATGTTGAAAGAGCATTTGTACATTTGGATTATAGCGCAGAACATGCCATTGAACATAGGAGAGTCGTTGATGATGTGGGCTTTAACCCTTAAATGACCAAGATATCCAAACTCCCTCATTTGTCTAAAGGTATACGCTATTCCCATTCTGTCACTTATCTATTCACAACCATTGTCAACTGCATATACATACAAATTTGTAACACACAAAGCCAATTTTATACATACAGATACTTTCAACAATGACAACGACATAATACGTTACATTATCTTTTTAAAATATACATTCTTTATTCATTCCATCAATTTTTATAGCTACTACTTTTTCAAATATTGCTGACATTTCTTTTTTAATTGCGCTGCTGTATTTTGGTATATGTTCAGTTCTTTGTCCCAGAACATGGCTTTGTAGTCATCACCATGCTTATTGATCAGTTTCTGAATCCAGTCGGTTTGGAACTCTGATTGATACTTTTCATGGTGAAATGCATTGGCTGCTTGCTCCTCTAATTGTCGCACAACGTCGGTTTTTGCCTCAACCGGTGCAATCTCTTCATCCAAAATATCATCGTGCGATTTCTTCTCACCAACAATCACTCGTAAAATATTTCCTTCTTCATCACGTTGAATCAAACCTTCTCCAGGTGCAAGCTTTTTCTTCAATTCTTCGACTTCAGCATCTGTTAAGTCCACAAGCGCTTTCATCGGTGTGGCGTCGTCTTCCATATCCTCACTTTCTTCTGTTTTATCCTTATTGTCCGGATTAAGTTTTTCTTTACCGCCTGTAGAACCATTTAATTCTGTCAATAAGCCCAACTTTTCATAACTATATGCAATCGACTTTTGGTTAGATTATTGTTAACATTAACCATCAACGCAAAAATCCAATTTTGCAGCTTACTTTTGTTTCACTGTCAACTTTTTGTCCCAATTTTTCTTGATAATGGGATTGCCCTAGTTACCGAATCACAAATTTATGTCAGATCTAGATCTGGATCGATTTGGATAGGAATTTTTAAAAAGGAAAAAAAAAAAAGAAAAGAGTACATACAACTATAGTCACTCTTTTTTTATGTCTATCGGCTGTTCTTCTTGTATTCTTCTTTGTGCGTCTAGCAGCTCTCTTTTGAAGTACGGTACCCATAATTGATTAGTAGATTGAAATGTGTTGAACAGTTTGCGAAAGGCTTCTTTTTTCTTTTCAACATTTAAAATTCAAAAAAAGTTTCCCATGACTGCTTTTAACTGTCCTAGAAAAGCTCAAAATTCTGTAAAAAGCGCTCATCCTGATTAAAATCGGAAATACTACTAGGCAACTTTGGAAATATGGAGTATCTTACATGAGAAAAAATATTTACTTATTTTAGATAAATTTTAAAATAAATTCTTGACGTACTCACCAGAAATTACCCAAATTGTTATTGAATTGTGAGTTGAGTAAATAAGGTCGAAACAGTAAGCATTCGGCCTTTGGTTATAATTTATGAATATATTACAACTTACACTGTAGGGATGTGTGAAGGAGTGGTATCAATCACACATGTAGGTCTCGTTTAAAAGATGTTTTTGGCAGCATTGACGGCGCGATTCCAAATTGTATTACAGTTTTATACTGCAATACAGCATGTACTCTTCGCTTTGACGTCGCTGTCGTTACATTCTCCAAATGTCGAATGCTTGCATTTATTACAGCTAGTCATATATTCATTGATGAAGCAGATTTCCACCTTTTCATCTTCACCATCAATAGATACTTTTGCCTTCTTATTCGGACACAGATTGCTTGTAGGCCATGCATGTGTGGCTTGCTTACAGGACGGATACGTAATCATTTTCGTTGTTTTATTATCAGCTTTGAATTCTTGGAGAGCTTCTTTTTTTTACACCTTTTTGGCAACAATGGGTTAGACGAAGAAGCACTCGAAGAATCATTGTATGCCATTGGTATTAGTGTGCGGGTAACTGGAGCAACGTAGATGACTTGATAGAGTCGTAAATAAGATAGTCTTACCTATCCAGCTTGGACCTTTATAAGGGCCGTTCTGAACTGGGAGGCGTTGTTTGCCTTTCCAATTTTGTTTAAAAGAAAGAAAGCAAAAAGGAAAAGAAGACTGTGTGTTCTATTGTATATCGCGTTCCTTTTTCTTTTTTTTTTTTTCCTTTTTTTTGTTGTCCAAGACTTCCTTCATTAACAACATCACGACAACTGACTCAATAAGTGACGAGTTCCCTACATCTTAATAAAATGGCAGTGATCTATTGAGTTGTTGGCTAAAAGATCCTTGCCCAGAACAAGACTAGATGCGGTGTGGAAATACTCTGAACAAGTAACTGGATTAACACTTGAATAATGAGATTTATTAGACGTAATAATACAAGATATTGTTATCAGAAGAACAGATCAAAAAACTACTGAACAGACGACTATGGATTTGGGACTAAGATTCATACGTGCTACGTCTGAAACGCAGCCAACGAGACAGATGGTCATTACACTAAAATTAATTCTTTTCAAGTACTTTTGATTTTCTTTTATTAGAATACGGATTTTTCGCGTTCCTTTTTGACTATCTCTTGTGTCCAACGCTTCGATGGACCTCTTTTTAAGTTTCTTATCCACGCAGCTTGTTTTTTGTTCAGGGCAGTGGCAGTGGCAGAATCAGCAGTGTCACCAACGGCAGTGCAGTATCAGCAGCGACAGTATCAGCAGCGGCAGTGGTAGCAGGACATTCGCATAACTTTTTCATTTTTGGAACATTGTCATCAGTTGGAGGCTAAAAAATGTTTTTAGTACAATGTATTACAGCTTTTCACGTGCTTAAGGAGCATAACTACCGTAAACCACAGCTTGTTCTCCGAACAAAGCTGGCTTTACTTCAAAATCAAATAAAGGGCAAAATATATTCCTGTTTACTGCATAAATATGGTAAAATTTGCCAGCCTAGGTACTGTCTTCGAAATGAAGATGGGCATACCTGTAACCAAGTTGAAAGTTATTTCAAACTTTCTACACAGCTTTTTTTGCTTTTTCTACGTACCCGTTATGCCGCTGTTTAAAAACGTGAATGACTTTTACTAAAGAGCATTTATTTACCCTTGTTTTGACATCTGTGTCACTCAGATCCAGCAAACCTTCACCTTGTATGTAAACATGACAGTCGCGTTTCCAACAAGAGCTGCAAATATTTTCCATATTGTCGTTGATGGGAAGAAATAGGAAGTCGTTGATGGAAAGAAATAGGAAGTTTTGCGTTTTGAAGAAATACTTGTATAAATAAACGTAGGTTTTCTCACAGGTCACAGATAAGAATTTCAAGTTTTCAAATACGATTAAACTTGATTTATTAGAAAGACTACTACATACTGTATCAGAAATTGCCTAGAACAGGTCAAAATACGGAAATTGCCTAGAACAGGTTAAAATACGTGATGGAATTAAACCCCCAAAAAGGGAATTAGTAAAAAGAAAAAAGATAAAACATGGAATAATTTTTTAACCCAATGGGGAAGTCTCCTCTACTCTGTACAGATTTATAGAAGATGAAAAAAAAGGAGAAATTTATAATACTAATATGGTAGGAAAGAAGAGCAAAGAAAAAGTGCATAATGATCATCTTCTATATAATTATACCAAAGACACTATTGACAAAGACGAGTTAATGGAAAAGATTGGCAGTGGCAACGAAAGAATAGACGATGAGTTTTTAGCTATCCTGGACGATTACAAATATTGCTTTGTAGAGTTCAATGGACTTGGAAGAGTTAAAGACAACCCGGCAGACCCGTTGTCTAGACTGATCGGTCACTAACTAACGATATCAACGGCGGTAACCACAAAAAAAAAAACCAAAAAAAAAAAAATGGAAGACACAGAGCAGAGTAAAATAAACCCTTCTCATTACACTTTTAACTATATTTTCTGTCATCTCTCCTTCCATATTATATAGTAGTTCATATTTGTTTATATATATACATCATCGTTTACCCCTTCTTTATAACAATCATGGATATCCAACTTACATGTATTCAGGTTTAAAGCATGGATTGATAGAAGACAACAGTAGTGTCATCAAACAGTCGAATTCTGTGGTGGGAGCATGATACACAGGAAGGATGGATTATAATTCGATTTGACAGGGATAATGTATTATCCGAAGTGGAGTTCTCGTATGATACCATAAATGGTAAATAGGTGTGTGTCGGACTGGTCGCTCAGGAACGGTACACACTTTAACTCTTTGTTTATACTATTAAATTAAACTTTTCAACAAAAAGGATAACAATTTTTTATACATATATTTTTACTTTCAGAGTCTTTTAGCTATTTTTATTTTTAATTAAAGATGTATACATTTGGTTACCGTGGATACTTAGGAATAATTTTTAGTTAGAGTATAAGGAAAGGACATACCACTGAACACACGGACCATTGGGGATAATATTTGTTAGAAATATTCATAGATCAAAAACAAGTAAAGAAGAATAATCATAGTAAAGCTATTCACAGCTACACACCGCCAGACTCCTTGAAAAAAATATTCGAACTTCATCATTCAACAAATTCGGACTTTGGAAAACTTGTCTTTTTTATTGAATAAAATTTGATGACCTGTGAGCACGTAATGTCTTTAACTCATTGGGTCTGCTCTGGCCAGTTTCAGTTTCAGTTGCTGTTATGGAACTAACACTCTTTTAATGGACAAAAGGTAAAATGGTAAGGAGAAGAGGAAGTCTGAGACCTTGTAAATAAATATGGGCAGATAAGAAAATACATGTAGTGTTGTTTAGGTGAATAATTACATATATTTGGCCTAGGTAATTATAGAGGACATCACACTATTCCTCAAATAATTGTTGATACTAGCAATTAAGATGCCCAGCTATCTTTTAACGATTTGCACGCTATGTTAACCGTTTCGCTGACTGTCTTGCAGGCTTTCTTTTCTTATAAATAGTTACATATGCAATATCTTTTTTCTTTCTTTGAAAGGCACGACACTATTTTCCCTTATACATCCTTTTGTCCTAATTGTGCGACACTCTTCTCTGAAAAGATATAACACTTTATTTTATTCATCATAAATAATTATAAAGTCTTCCTGAATTCCTTGCGAAGCTATTTCAGTGATATCGAATTGGTGCATGAAGCACAACATAAACTACTTACAATCAAGCAAGGTGATTGTCCTGCCTCTGACTATGTGACCAAATTCCAGAACTAAGCTCTCATTTCTCAAGTCAAGGAACCTGCCCTTACAAAACAAATTGGTTATCAAAGACCTACTTGAATGTTTAACACCGTACAATCAATAAGGTTATCTCTCTTGATAACAGGTTTGTTTAACTCCAACGCTCGTTTCAACAATCGTCATTCATCCCATTTAACTCAGCGTCAACAACAATCATTCGCTCCACAACATAACCATGATGTATGGTTGTCAACTTTCTTTTGAAGAGAAACTTTGTCGAATCAACAACAAATCTATGCTCTTATTGTGGTGGCGGAGGCAATCATGCCTATAAATGCCCCCAAGAAGTTTAAAAAGCCGCGTCCCTCTTCTGCCTCCTCTTCAGACGCCACATCTTCATCAGATAGTCATAAGCTTGCCCACACCGCTATCTTTACCTACCAGGAATTTCATCGGGTTCAATGTCGAGAGAACGAACGATGTTGAGTGATAATTCAAAAAGTCCATCAAACTATCTGTTTGTCGTGTGCAGTTGCAACTTTTTGATCATCGCTGATGTTCGCCTCTGCCCGCCCCCAAAACACCTTGACTTTGTTACTATAATAGACTCTGGTGCTATGTCAAACTCTATGAACAAGGATTTCGCTACCTCCTATGGCTTTACACTCATTGAAAAGACAAGCCCCGTCAATGTGATCACTGTTGACACCCCCTCCCCCTATTAGCTCTGGTACAATAACATATGAGGTCCTTACTTCGATCTGTATGGACCTTTATACAAAAAGAATCACGTTTGATATTACATCTTTTAGCCAGTATCCAATCATTTTCGGCATTCCATGGCTACAGAAGCATGACCCTGAGATAGTTTGATCCACCATGCCATAGTCTTCAATTCGCAGCAATGCATTTAAGACTGTCTACCAAAAGCTCATAGCAACTCAGAAATCAGTACTTTCAATATATATAAGAATCCTGAATTTTCCAGTAAAACTACCGGTCATTCATCCGCTTATTCTGACCCGCCTACTGCAAATATTGACATTAAAAGTTGTTTCAGCGTCTGAATTCATGATTCATATACAAGATGGCAATTACTGTTGGATTCAATTATCTCAAGTATATCAAACTGCTAAAGTAGCTTCTACAAAACCTATAATGTCGAACAATACTAATTCTGAAAATCTTGAGAACATTCCGAAGAACATATCAACTTGAAAGAAGTGTTCAGCAAGAGAAAATCTGATACACTCGCTCCACACCGCTTCTGCAATCATGAGATCGTTCTTGAAGAAGGCAAACAGCCACCTTTTTGACCCATTCATCCCTTGTTGCAAGTCGAACTTGAAGAACTATCTAAATATCTGAATGAAAACCTAGAGAAGGGGTTTCTCAAGAAATCTACTAGCCTGATGGCGCACCTATCCTGTTTGTCAAGACGAAAGATGGAAGCTTACGACTCTGTATTGACTATCGCGGTTCAAACACCATCACTATTAACAATATAACTGTTATTCTACTGATTCAACGAAATGATCGACCGACTCATTCACGCTCAATGGTTTAATAACCTTGACATTCGGAACGCTTATCATCCAATCCGCATTAAATAGCGTGATGAGTGGAAAACTGCTTTCTGCTGTACATACGGACATTTCGAGTATAACATACTAAGTGAGAACAAGGGTAAAAAAGGATTTAATCAGTTGTTACTATGTGAGGGCTGGGTCAACCATTGTAATAGGGCGTAGCTTAGAGAGGGGTCTGATGGAGGTTGATCCAATCCATGAAACAAATGGTCGAGTTCATAAAGAGTGTGGCAAATGGCCGACCAACGATGTTCCATGATTGGCGAGTGGCGGCTGATCGAGTATCCCAGAAAGTATGGATTTTGCGATATTTTTAGGATCAACTTTGACTTTAACCTTAGATTTCTTAGTAAACCAGTAGGTTTAGAGCACAGGAACTATACTACTGGAAAGCTGGCAATTAGCTCCATTACATGTACAGCTTCAAGTAAAATATATCGACAAAATCACGTCATCATATTAGTATTGTGTAATAAGAGTAATCGTCAGCTTTTCGATAGGTATAAGTCTCCTCGCTTTCGAAAGTAATTTTCTTATAAAAAAACCCACAATTGAAATCAAATTTTCGAGTGTATGTAATTGGCAGAGTTCCCTTTACCTCTTAATAAAATGGCAGTGAAGATATCATTGCTATCTACAGACAGTGGCGTATCTCTGCTCCTCAGCTAGTTTTTGATGTTATAGTATGCTTAATATATTACACAGGATAGTTAAGTGCGCTGGTTATTGCTCTTGCTTCCTCGTCGCCCCTCCGCTTTTATTGCCCCGGGTTCAAATTCTAAAAAATTCATCTCAAACTGAAAATAGCAAAATCTAAAAAATTATTATGAGTATTTCTTAAATTATTGTTCTGTTCGTCTGAAGCAATCAGTATGAAAGTCCGAATTAAAAGTTAAAAAAGAATTATATGGATAGTATTAAATACAAAAAAAAATAAAAAAATTATATAGATAGGAACACACAAAAACTGCATACCCACTTTTGTATCATATACATCGTAGGCAAACCAGGCAACTACAGATACTTAGCCTTCAAATGGTCTTTTGCCGGTTTCTTTAGTATAAAAAAGCGTACGCAAGCAAGGGACCTGAGTGATTTTGTTATGTAATCTACAGCATCTAGACTTCCTAAGACTATGTGTAATTTTCAACCAGAAACTCGGGCACCCTTCGTTTCCAAATCCATACAATTTTTAAAGACAGAGATCATCAGCCTATTGCAAAAGGAAAGGCTTTCACACTTGAGCTGTCTTTATTGTTGAAACCTGTCGAACTGATGAGAGCAATTGCCTGTTTCCTTCTTCTGACTAAAGTGTTCTGTGTAACTGATTTTTGAATAACCGCGGAAATAGCTTTATACACAACTTATATTGGGCCAATTGTTTGGAGATTTGAGTGGAAAGTTTCGAATTCTAATAGAACTTTTGGTAACCAATAGAAAGTCTTTGATCATCAGCAAAAATAATAACAATTATTACAGTCCAACCTCTATTTGACAGTATTTTCGCCGTGAAAATGATTCCATAGGTGGAAAAATCAACTATCCCAAGTGTATCAATAAGTGAATGCTTGGTTGTATTTATAATAAAGAATAGTACTTACATAGAGCTATTATTAGACTGAACCTGTCACTCTAATTCCTCCCCAACCCTCTACCAGCTTAAGCAAAAGATCATTGAGAGCTTCCTTGTAAATAATTATGAATGATCACAAGATACTTTAAAAGTATAGAACTTTTGGAATTCTTTTTCCAGTTACCTTTGACTCATATACTTCGGTATTTGATAGAATACTCCTGTAGTCGTTGTGATATTAGACCTCTGTTTACTTCAGGTTGATTGCAACTACCAGCATTCAGTAATACTTTAAGGATAATGTTATACGCGTTTCCTCAAGAACCTTGAAAGTCCAGTTGGTGAATTGTTACAGCAATTTTCTGCCGATATCCAAACCTTGTCACTTTTCTTTCTATTTATACTTGTCCCATCATGCCTTTTCAAGGTAAACTTTCCGCGCATAGCATTGCGCATTAAGTTTCTCAACCCCTGATTGCATCGAAGATTGAGTAAAAAACAGTGGTGTTCTATTTTGTTTCTAGTTTCTCATTGAAGAATGCAGTCAAATTGCATACTAAGTATAAAACATAGTAAAAGACCCAAAGAATGTATAAATTAAGTTCGAGACCTCCCTGTATTGAATGAAGAGTATCCATTCACAACAGTAATATAATCATGACAACTTATTTCATGTAATGTAAAAGAACCACAAGGTTTGGTCCCATATAAACATTGTAAGTAACTTGATTATTCGGTCAACTTATGTACCCAGTTTAATATATTTATTCTTTTATTTCATTATGAATAATAGAGTCTTGGCATTGATAATAAAGAAAAAAGATATAATTTGAGTGCCAGCTTTTTAGCCTTGACGCATATTTTCTTTCAATAGTCTCGCCGGAGACTATGAAGCCAAGCATAAGTGCGGGTTATTACAATCTGCTTGAGCATATTATAAGGAGGCTAAATTGAAGAACCACATCAATTGAACGTGAACATGATTTTAGTGAAGAACAACGCTTTGCAACTAGCCGAGAGTCTGCCTGCCAATCATATTTAAGGAAAAAAACCAATACTATGTCATAAAAATAAATGCTCCAAAATTTCTACACTTCCTCATCATTAAAGAATATAGTAGGAAATCTAAAATATGTTGGTAATGTAATAATTATTTTAATTATTTGTGTCTTTAATCTCACAATATTTCTACTGTTGAAAACTGCCTACAGCAGCTTAGCTATTCAAAAGGTCAACAAGTTACTACCAAAATCTGAAACTTTCTGCTGACCTCGAACACTTTTATTGGCTTGAATTCACAACTTAATTAACTAAAATTCTAATTCTCAAAACGCAAAACTGTAGCGAGCGGGGTCACTGCGCATCTTTTTACATTTCTCTGTTCGCTTCCTTTTTTCTTTATACTCTTTTCTCCAAAGCTTAATTCAGAGAAGCAAAAATCAGTCTATTGCTTAGATAATGATTTTAAGCTTCTTTTACTGACATAGAATCCATTTAAATCCAAAAATCTTATCCACACCACTGTCGTCATGATGAATAAGCTGAGTGAGAATACAGGTCCAGTACCTGAATTTATACAGAAATTGTTTGGGTAAAAACGGTTAAACAGAAAAAGGAAGTATGTGAAAAGCATCCACACTGATAGTCTTTGTTATTATTGGTCTATAGAATGCTTGCAAATGATCGTTTGCAAGATATTTTGTCTTGGGGTATTGATGGCACGACCTTCATAGTCAAAGATACAAACTTGTTTTCAAAGACAATATTACCAAAGCATTTTAAACATGGCAATTTTGCAAGCTTTGTACGCCAACTGAACAAATATGATTTTCATAAAATACGCCATAATGAGGATGAAGTCAGACTCTATGGAGATCAGGTGATGAAAAATAAAAGTGCCGAAACTCTTATGTCTGTGCCTAACATAACCATGTGTGCATGTAGGCTTGGGAATTCGTGCATCCACAATTTCTGAGAGGCCGGAAAGACCTCTTGCCTCACATCAAAAGGAAAACATCCAACTACAAGCCCAAGAAACTTCAAAGAGAGTCCTCCTTCGCATTCAATCAGCAACAGTTCCAACAACAAGAAGGCCATGCTAAAACTTTAGAGGAGATTCGGGATGTTGGACTTCACTTACAGCGTCAAATAGATCAACTCTGTCAATCAAGACGAGTTATTGAAGAAAGAATACTAGAAATGGAACAGAATGATTCTCAAATAATGTCGGAATTATCCAACTTAAATACAAGTTTAAAGCAGAAGGATGACCTAATCAAGGAATTTGTTGATTTGATGAAAAGTAGCAGGAGCCGTCTTTATCATCAGACCGCCGGTATTTTTCAAAACAACATTTACTTTATACATAGAGCGGAAGAATTTTAATTTAGAAACTGATTTAAAACTAGGTACTCACTGTAATGACCAGGAATTGCAGAAGGATTTCAACCAATTGCTCGAAAAGTTCCATAATATATATAGCATGGAAAGCAGCAGCAGTAATAGTAACAAGCGTATTGATCAAAACTTCAATGAGCAACAGAGAACAGGGTTAGGGAAACCTTTGCATAAATCCCTCCGGAGAGTTCAAACTCAAAAGCCATCCTCTATCCCAATGGAATCTGATACGATAACAGCAGCGGCAGCGGCAGCCAATATGAATGCTGGAAGTCTAATAGGATCACCCGTGAAAACAGCCGATGGTCTTGCCTTTGTGACTCTGGGAAGATTATCTGCCAACATGGCAGTAAGAGACAATAAGCCAGCTATTGAGATCATGGCTGCGGATCAAACACCCACCATTGCAAGCTCAACAAAATCCACTACTTCAACAAGCTATGTCAACGGCAGAATACAGGGTTTGAAACGTAAACAACCTGACGACACTGTTAAGACAACAGAAGCAACAACATCATTAACAACAAAAGTTGACTGCACCTCACCTTTTACTCCAACTACTGCTGCAGGTGATCTTACATCATCAAATAATGGCTGGACAGTGCCTCCTCGTATTTTATTAGTAGATGATGATTCAGTTTACCGAGACCTTAGTGGAAAATTACTGAAGGTTTTTGGCTGTACGATCGATTTGGCCAAAGATGGAACTGAAGCTTTAAAAAAGATGGGATTGGAAAAGTATGACTTAATCCTAATGGTATGGAATGATTTATAATAGCTGTTGTATATCCACCTGAGAGACTCAAACGCAATTGTTATTAGGATATTGTTATGCCCAAGATGGATGGTATCTCTGCTACTCGTAATATTCGACAGTACGATGCGCTAACGCCCATCATATCAATGACATCCAATTTCAGCCATAATGATATTCTGCAATATATTGGTAGTGGCATGACAGATATTTTGCCAAAACCGTTTTCCAAACGTACACTTTTCCAAATGTTGGATAAATATTGTGCTCACTTGAAAGCTATACAGCAAGTGCATGGCATTGATATTACGCTTGCCCATGCAGCTGCCTTGCCGCCCGTCGCATTGGACGACATTTCATCCGTTTTTTTTATAGATAATACGACAGCAACAACAGCAAACAATAAAAGGGAAGACAACGATGGACATTTTCCTGTAAAAACTCCAAAAGATCATGACGATAAGACAGGCAGCAGCCATAACGTAAGTGCTGGCACAACGTCAACTGCTACTACCGCAAACACCATCAACAACGCCATAACCACCACGACAAATGTATTCCCATTAGCGCCGTACCCTTATCCTGTGACAATGAATTCAGTTTCAGCAGATGATGGTTTGAACACAAGTAGTAATAGTATGCATGATAAGAAGGAAGCCATTCCAAATGGCCATGTCTATTTTGATATGCCCAAGGTTACATTTTGGCCGCAACAAACAGCTCAACAACATCACCCTCCGCCTGCTATCGTTCCTACCACGGCAGGTAAATTTCAATGGGCTGTGCCCACCACTGTCAATGAAATTCAAAGCGGTGCATTTCCAGTTGGTCCACCGTCCAACCCTAAATTGGCTAATGAATCAAATAAAAAGCCAAAGTTATTATAAGAAACTCCCAATCATGAATTATTTTTGTACATAGACATCCACATGCACGTAGATTTTGTATCTTCGTGAATAAAAAAGTACCTTCCAGGAAAAGCAAACTTTTTTTTTTTTGAAATATTTAAAAAATTGAATTAAGAAGAATTTTTTAGCTATTATGTGCAGGTTCTATCGAGTCTTATCGAAATTGCTGGTATATAGTAAAGCCCTTTCTACGGGTGATATCTTGTCTAATGCTGCCTTTTTATCATTTGGTTGGAAATCAATCCTCTAAAATAAATAAGTTACATCACAATTTGTACATAGTTCGCTGGGAAAATCCCAAATGAACCATCAGGTTTTCTTCCTTGCCACCATTCACAAGGCATACCAGTTGCTGGATCTACTTTCGACAAGACTTCAACAGTTTCCCCTTGCCGTAACGGTAATTCGATCGGATTTTCTGCTACGAAATCATAGACTGCCCGTGCAACCTCCGGTGGGGCTCCTCCAAATTGTGGTATCAACATTCTTTCCTGCAACTGCCTTTTTCTATTTTCATTTGCTCTTTTGATCAGTCTATACGTGATGTAAGGTAAACCGGTTACCAAAGCTAAAAATATGATAAGAGGGCGTTTGCTTCTATATTGTAGCTGCTTGGTTTTAACTTTGCTGTCATCTAATTGTTCATCTTCCTCCCCTTGCTCTGTGATCTGTAATGTATTTTCGCTACCTTCTTCTTGTTGTTGCTCTTGCGCTCTATCTTCCTCCTCTAATAATTCAGGCGGGGGCGTTCGTCCAGTAATACGATATAATAAACGTTTCAGCCATCGTATCAGCCGAAATATATTAAATATATTGCCTAAATACTGCCTCAGATATCCAAACTGCTCTGCTACTCCTACCATGGCCATAAAACTAGAGTGGGTAGCCATATAAGTTGAATCCAGCATTTGTGCAAATCCACCGAATGCACCCACGAGAGATTCAATTACATTAAATGTTGCTCGCGTACTAGCTTCCATCCTTTGTGTTAAGCTGAAATCACCATCCATAGGCCCTCCCATCTCACCGTACATACCACCAGCGCCACCAAATCGATTATATCCAAATCGATTATAACTGCCGTAGCCGCCATAACCACCATAGGTGGAGCCATAGCCACCATAGGAAGAGCCGTATCCCCCATAAGATGATCCATATCCTCCTAAACGATTATAACCGTAGCCTCCGTACCCTGTTGAGCCATATCCACCGTATCCTGATGAGCCATATCCTCCATAACCGGTTGTTCCATAACCTACAAAGTTGTGTTTAATGTTTTAGCTCTACCCTACAATCGTTTTTGCTAAAAAGAGTAACTTGACGGTAGAGAAATACCTCCATAAGCCGAGCCTAGTCCTGCTGTCGTTCCAGAAGTAGCTGATCCCAATCCCATGGTAGAAGGCCGATTAGGAACTGTGGGTACACCTGATGGTGTTGTGGTTGTTGCGGTTGTTGACATGTCAGTCATGGGTTGTGCTGCTGCTGCTCCTACTACTGCTGCTGAACTTGTATTGCTATTGTTACTAGTTTCCCAAGGTTTTGGGGGTGAGGGCATAATTCAGTGTAGCCTTGTTGTTAAAGTGGATGATGAAGGCTTTTCAGTCAGACGTGTGAAAAGAAAAATAGATTGAAAACTCCACACTGTAAGAAAAAAAAAGGCTTAAAATCAAATTTAAGGAATCACCTGCTCGACCCCACATAGACGAATGATGCATGTGAAATCCAATCATATGCTTCATAGCAGTGGATGACCGATTTCTGTACGTTACCTTCTTCCTTCTCAATTAAAAAAGGCAGAATATCTAACTCTCAAACATGCAAGCGTGCAGTATTGTCTTAAGGGGCCTGTTTCAATGAACTTTACTTTGAATAGATGGGATTCGACCGCTAACGTATGTCAAGACTTACACATGAACGAAACCAGCTTGTACAATCTTTCAGCTTCCTTTTTAGGGCAAATTCGAGACACTCAAAAGCGTAAATTTCCTTTCTGTGTGCTAAAAAATTTCACATAAAAGAGCGACCTTCCGTCTTCGCCTTAGATAAATCTTTCTATTCATTCTTTAACACTATGTCGAATTTAATGAAAGGACTTCAACTCATAGGGTACGGCTCACCAAAACAGTCGCTCAATTATCGAGAAAATATCCTTAAACCAAAAATCAAGTCTCCCCATGATGTTTTGGTCCGTGTCATGTATGCAGGCGTCAATCCTATTGAAGCAAAGTTTGCTGCTGGTAATATGCGAATGGTCTCCTCTATGCTAACCTCTTTACCTTGCATCATTGGTGCAGACTTTTCAGGTGTCATCGAACAAGTCGGCGACCAAGTGACTGAGTTTAACGTTGGTGATGAAGTCTATGGTTCGTTACAGCTGGCCTTTAGTTTGGATGGAACCTATGCTGAATATACTGTTGTCAATACCAAAAAAGCCTCTATCGCTAAAAAACCAAGTCATTTATCATTCGAAGAAGCCGCTGCAGCAGGAATTGCTGTTTTAACGGCTTATCAAGGCATTGTTTTATCAAGCAAGGCAGATAACACTCGCAAACGTAACATTTTGATCGTAGGTGCTTCAGGTGGTGTGGGTAGCTTTGGCGTACAGATTGCAAAAGCCATCTATCCAGAAAATTATGTCGTCGGTATTTGTAGTAAGAAAAACACTGAGCTTGTCCACGGCTTAGGGGCCGATAAAGTAATCAACTATGATAATCCAGATGAATACAATTCATTTATCAACAACGCAAAGGGAACTTTCGATATAGTGTTCGATTGCGTTGGCGGTGATGAATACTACAAACAGTTGGACCCTCTTTTGAATAAAGCGGGCATCTACACCACAGCAGTAGGTCCCGTTCAACATATCGGATCGGATTACGTTGGTGTTATTGCTGGGTCGAAAATTGCCGCGAACATTGCTTACAAGAAAATCTTTGGCGCACATGCGTATAATATGATCGTTACAATTCCTCACAATGATTTTAGATCCAAAATAGCGCCTTTGTTTGAATCAAAGGCTATCCATTCGAAGGTTCCAGAAGGAAATATTATACCATTAAAAGAAGGTTACCGAGCCCACGAACAACTCGCCTCGCATCGCACGGTCGGTAAACTTGTCTTAAAAGTGAGTGATACGTAAATAACTCCGTCCCTTCAATCCAACCTTGCACGACTTTTTCATTATGTTATCAATTTTGCAAATATTCTTTGTTGAACTGTTTCATTCAAGCTTTAATAAACAATTTTGATGTAACCTTATTTCGTTGGTTGACTACAACAATAAATAAAGAATGAAAGCGAGGAGTGTTTTCATACGTGATTTGCTAACTATTCCATTCACGTGGAATTCTGTCCTCTATAACATGTCTCATAGTGCTCGTTATGCTGGAGATACATAGACCGTGAACTAATGTTTGGGGAAAGCTTGAAAGGCTTCCATTCTTCTTTTACAAATTTTTGCGGGGTCGCAAATAACCATTGCGAAAAATAATTACAAAAAAAAAAAAAAAAAAAAAAAATAATAATAAAAAAAAAAAACGACAGCAACCAAGTGCACATATTAGACGTACATTCTCCAACGATACCCACCCCTACACTTCCTACTTTTTTTTCGATTACTGAATATCCGATCTTCATTGTAGATAGTTTTCGTCTGGACAATCTGTTTACGCCTTAATGATCGCAAGTAGATTCCCTTATTTATACAAGATCGGCATAAGAAATCCTCTTACTAGGATCGATGTAAGACGATTACAATATTCACGATGTCTTTTAAACGAAGAAGGTATGTTTGAAAGTACTGAATATTAAATGGTGGATATTTGGCAACAACGCGCAAAAGAACGAAACACTTAAAACTCTATATTGAAAACGAATCCATAGTCAAAATAAATCCAGCACAAGTACAACTCCTGTCGTCAGGCCTACAAGCTCAATTATTTAAGCCTTACCCGATCAAAGCCTTAAAAAAAACAAAAGAGACCGAGTTGAAAGAAGAATATGCAAAAGAACACTTAACATTACAAGAAATATATGGCAAGAAGAATGATATTCGGCCACCCATCGACCTACAGCTTCCTAAATTACTGGGGGCAAACTTGGAAGAACACTTTGTAAGAATTGGATTAGAACAAGCTGGCCCTTATTTGGAACAATGCGAACGATTAACAACGATAGATTTACCGCCTATGCCAACGACATGGCGAAAAGCATCTGGCTGGACCCGCTATACAGCAGATGGGAAGGCTGTTGCTGTCGATTACCCTTTAGAAACAACACTTGTGTTTGATGTTGAAGTTTTGATGAGTGAAGGGAAATACCCGACGATCGCAGTGGCAGCATCCAACGAGGCGTGGTATTCATGGACTTCCCCTTACTTACTGAAGGAAGACGCTAATAAAGAGCAGTTGATATCTTTCGGAAATACAAAGCAGCCACGCTTAATAGTAGGGCATAACGTTAGTTATGATCGAGCTCGAATCGCTGATGAATACTGTCGAGAGCCTTCTCGGATTCGGTACATGGACACGATGAGTTTGCATATTGCAGTAGCTGGCCTCTGCTCGCAACAACGATTTGCTTGGAATCAGGAAGTCAAACGTAGAAATCAGGATGATGTACAAACGGCAGGAGAGTATCAAACGACTTTTTTCGATGTTAGTACTCTGAATAGCTTAAAAGATTTGGCTAAATTCTATTGTCAGAAAGATATCGATAAAAGTCAAAGATCAGTTTTTGAGACAGGCAATCTAGAGGATGTAAGAGTTGACTTTAATAATCTGATGACCTATTGTGCGAATGATGTGGCATTAACGCATGAAATATACAAAGTTGTATTTCCTCGTTTCCATAAGAACTGCCCTCATCCTGTATCCTTCACAGGTATGCTTCATATGGGAAGCTCCTTTTTGACAGTGACGGAGAAATGGGACGATTACTTGCAAAAGTCTTCTGGCAAGCATCGAGAACTTGAAGAAGTATTAGATTCAAAGTTGATAGATTTAGCTGAAAAAGCGAGAGCTCTCGTTGATGAACCCGAAAAATGGCAAGCTGATCCCTGGCTAAGTCAGTTGGATTGGTTAGTCAATCCACGTCAAAGAAAATTGAAAGGGTCACCTAAATGGTATAAAGATGCTTATTGTACGAAAGAAGGTAGACTTAAAATCTCATTACGTTCCCGAATCGCCCCTCTGTTACTAAGGCTTAAATGGCAAGGATATCCTTTACACCATATCACAAAGTACGGCTGGTGCTTCAAAATACCCATTGACCAAGCAACGATCGCTCAACGAGGAAAAGCTGTTGAACAAGATGAGAATTATTTTTATTTAAAAGTACCTCATAAGGATGGTGAATCTGCGAATTGCGGTAATCCTCTCGCGAAAAACTATATTGCATCCTTTGAAGACAAGGTTCTCAGCTCTGAATATGAAGCTGCTAGAGAAGCACTTGAATTAAACGCAAAATCAGCCTATTGGATCAGTTCAAGAGAACGCATTTTGAATCAATTTGTCGTATGGGACACTAATAGTACAGTAGATATGAAACTTCCACAAAGGGAGGACGGAAAATACGGCATCATTCTACCTCAGATGGTAACTATGGGGACTGTAACGCGACGCGCTGTTGAAAAGACATGGTTGACCGCTAGTAATGCAAAACAAAATCGCATTGGCTCTGAACTAAAATCAATGATACAGGCTCCTGAAGGGTACAAAATTGTTGGTGCAGACGTTGATTCAGAAGAGCTTTGGATATCCAGTGTCATTGGTGATGCACAGTTTGGCTTTCATGGAGCCACTGCATTGGGTTGGATGACACTGCAAGGTTCCAAATCAGAAGGCACAGATCTTCATTCCAAAACAGCAAGTATCCTTGGCATCAGTCGTGACAAAGCAAAGATTTTCAATTATGCAAGAATTTATGGTGCAGGAGTGAAATATGCTACGAGTCTATTGATGCAGTACAACCAAGATATGGATTTGGAGACAGCGAAACGTCGAGCGGCTGATCTTTATTCAAACACCAAAGGTGATAAAGAACATTATCAGAAAAACCCTTTCAAAAGACCGTTCTGGCACGGCGGGTCTGAAAGTTACATGTTTAATGCCTTGGAAGACATTGCCTTATCGAAAGAACCGAAAACCCCAGTATTAGGATGCACCATTACGGATGCTTTGAAGCCGAGATATACAGGTACCCAATTTTTAACATCAAGAATTAATTGGGTTGTTCAAAGCTCTGGTGTAGACTATTTGCATTTGCTGATTGTGTCTATGGCTCACTTAATTGAACGATACCAAATTGACGCGAGGTTCATGCTTTCTGTTCATGATGAGGTTCGTTATTTAACCACTGAGAAAGATCAGCATCGTACTGCGCTAGCTCTTCAAATTGCAAACGTATGGACGAGAGCCCTTTTCAGTTACAAACTAGGTATTTTCAACTTGCCTCAGGTAAAAATTTCTTCACATACTTTTCAGATCAGCAATAGACTTTCCTTTTAACCAACAAAGAACCACGTTATTTTTTTTTTCTTTATAACAGACCGTAGCCTTCTTTTCAGCTGTCGATATAGACCATGTTTTCCGAAAAGAACCCAGTATGACATGTTTAACACCCTCTCATGAAGTAAAGATATCTGAAGGCGTCAGCTGCACAATACAAGATACTATAGCAGCATTAACCAGCGAGACAGACAATCATAAAAAATGCCTGCTGGGCAAATCAAAAAAGACGAGCGGAAGTAATATACCGCAAGAGACAGTTCAAGCTATCATCGATCAGATAAGCACTCCTAAAATAGATATCAATTTACCCTTCTTGAAAGCGCAGATGTATAAAGACTATAAAAAGCATATGGACCCGTCGATTAATGGAAACAGGGAAACAGAAGAAAAAGTTTATCGCCGTAGAAGAGTTAGAAAAATAGAAGGCGATGAAGGACACTAATCTTTTGACTTTCATACCAGTTTCTCCATTTCCTTTTTGTATATAATTATTATTATACCTGATATATTGCCCTACTATTACTATTTAATACCGACATCGCTGTCAATTACATCCCCTCGGCGGCCTTTTTTTATCCATAAAGTGGTGTTCGAAAGCCATATGGTTTTTATGAATGTCATTAAATTTTGCTAGAGAACGTGAGGTACGACATTTCATATTGACTGAAAGCCTGTCTCTGAAAACCCCCCGTAAAACAGTTGAATACTTTTGGTCTTGTTCAGCTATGAGATATGAGTATATAATGAAAGATAAGACTATCTTAATTACAGCTTTGAGCTCATATCCTCACCGTATCTAAAGTGTTTCATAGGATTATAGAGGAAGCATTGTCTGAAGAACTGATACGAATGGCAGGTTTACGCTACATAACATGAAGAAAGTGACTGAGACGGAAAAAGTCTCTTTGACAACGACGCTCGCCGGCTCTGCTTTACAACATTTACGATCATTGCAATTAGTGGTTGAAGAAGAGAGGTTATATGCAAGACGTTAGCTTTTCACTGGTATGAAGAATGGTATTTTACAAATCTTTAATTTATTTTTGCTATCACGCTTAATAATAGTGCATTTGCTTATTTGAATTGTCATAAGTAATTGACAGCTTCAAATACGGAGAATACATTTCTAAACATTGCTTAGTTCTTTTTTTTTGGATTTGTTGGCAAAGCAAACAAATGGGTATCATAATATTTACACTATGTTTTTACCGCAGTAAAGGTAATACTTTTTTCTGCTGAAAGAGATGAAAGTAACAGACTCTTTCCGTCAAAAACGACATTATATGAGTGACTAAGCCTGAATAAGTTTTTGCAGGATCGACATTATATTCGAGGTCGACATAGTCAGGTTCGGCTGAACCTGGCTTTGCGGTATTCAGAGCAGAGATCAAACGAATGTTTAACTTGCTATGAGGAACATCCGAATCCATATTGACTATATTTGCAATTGGCAACTGGAATTAGGCAACTACCTACCTCCTTCATTGTGCTTTTTCTGTTTCAACCTACATTGAATAAGGACAGGTGCTGAACGTTTCTCTGCCAGTATTTTAGCATTGGGCGTCATGTTATTGTTACGTCTGAATTCCTCTATACTTGGTTTTTTCAGCGCAACATAATTATCCCAAATGCTCTCATCTTTGATAGCAAAAGTCAAGAACATTGTAAATGATCGAAAACTGGACGCATCGTACAACATGATAGCACTATCAACGAGAACGTAATGCATGAAGTCAGCTTAATGATAGCAGGTCTAACAAAAATTCTGAAAACGTAACTCTTCATATTTCTGTAACCAAACCGACATAAAGCCTTCCCTCCAATGCGCATTCTTCATCCAATCGTCAGGTCTATTACTCACGTCCTTTTCTGTCACAGATACAGCTGACTTTCGTAGCTTTTTGGTCGGTTGGTTGAAATCAGTAGTGACAAAATGATTCACCTCCTGATATAGCTGTTGATGATCCTCGTATGGCCTTTTAGCATTCGATCTGTAATCTGACAATTTTACTTCGGAATCATTGTCTTCCACAATCTCTTTATCTGCATCTTTGTAGCTCTTTAACCAATCCTTGTTGCTGATATTGCATAAAGAAGGAGATTGCTCATTTGATCTCTTCAGGCATGCAGCAGCTTTATCTTTAGCAAGACTGACTGTGCGACGGGGAAAGATAACTCTATCTCCTCGGGAATCAAAATCGTCATTATTGTCGTCCATACTACCTTTGTCCAATGGACGCGACATTTTCAAAACTTTCTGTTTAAATAATCTATTCTTCGATCTTTGTACTTTATCCAGGATATCCTCCGTTGCACTCGTTGTCGTTGTTCTTATATTATCAGTAGCGGTAGGTTCACGTACGGTTGATGATAACCAATCGTCACGAAAATCAGACGCTATTTTCTTCTGGTTCTCGATAATTGCGTACTGTTCAATGAGGGTAAAAATATGTTAAAATCAGATATGGAAATCTTAGGTACTGCTTGGTTTACCTTTTCAAAGAAAGATACAATGCGTTCGATCCAAGAGTATAGGCATTTTTCATCATTCAAATTCCATTCACTGACCAATGGCAAAAGATGGCTGATACCGTTATTATTATGCTGTTTACCACTGCGTAAAGATGGTAAGGTCTCTTTTTTGAAAATGATATCTGGGGGAAACATATAGTTATGCGAGTCAAATATTACTTGGCCTATAGAGTCCTTCTCAGTGAACAACAGAACCATTATTGCCAAGGAAAATGCAAACTCTTACAATAGATATTATGCTCATTTCTCAACTTAAGCTTTAGCTCCAATCGGTCTTTGATGACTGTCGATTCTTCTGTTGGTATACCATAGCTATAATGAGATGTCAGCTGTTTCGTAATATGGATCGACTCAAGCGTCTCGAGCTTCTTTATGGCTTTCTCCAGCTTTCCATTTACATCTGATTTAATGGTGATTGCTTTGTTCGTATCTGCCCATCTTGTTTCTGTCACATTGCGATCCATAACTGCACAGAGATTTCTGAAAAGAAAAATTGTAGAACTAGAAAAGAATGTGTTTTTTGACAACTTCATATTCAACTTATGCGGAATCGCAAAAATTTGTCTCAAATATCCCAACATCGCTTTTTGAACATCAATATGCAGATTCTCAACCTGAACATTTTAGTTGGCACGTTTTTTGCAAGAAAAAAACCATCGCACTTTTGAAGACCAAATTGAGACCGGTTGCTGCAATAAACCGTGCTTTTTAAGATTCTGTTCCAGTCAAAAGTAAGTATGACCAACATAAGCTGTTTTCCGTTTCAAAACAAGCCCTACTCCAACTCGCTAGATCTGAATTCTACGACATATAGATTCTAATTTACATGGCGTAAGGAATGATGAAGCGTCCAGAATATTTCCAAATTGCGACAATACTGTAAAAAAAAGAATGAAAAGGTGTAACACTTTTATCAGTCAACTGTACCCTATTTTTGTTCAGCTGCTAATGGGGACCAAGGAGGATATGGTCTTCAGCACAATTTTACCAAATTTGAGGGTTTTCAACATTTTCGATTTAATTTTCCCCTTAATTTAACATTTTTTTTTTTTTTTTTCTCTTTTCATTAAAAACAGCTTTTATCTTTTATTCTTCCTGTTATACGCAATCTTCAGTCATCGCCATCGCTGAGCACTCACCTTCCGAATTATCAGACTAGAATAGAATGTCAACTATTTCATCAACAACCTCAGGAAATAGCAATACTCAAAGCCATCCTGGCTTGTATGAATATCTAACTGAACTCGTATCCAAGCGAGTGGCTACCATCAAATACATACGGAAGGCACATGAAGGAAATACGCATTGGTTCAATACAATATTGCTAACAAAAGAATCCCTTCAGCAAACATATCCGAATTCAAAAATGTCCAAGAGGTTAGTCAATTCAGTTTAATCAACTAAAGCAGAAAAGATGTAGCGGTATTAACGTTTAAACATCCATTAGAACGAATCATTTTTATGCGCTAGGATTATCATTAGGCGCCATACTAGACATCACAAATCCTGTTGATTATATAAAGGCATTGAGTCAGATTATGAGTGAATTTGAAAGACATACAAACGATGATTCTAAGCAAAAGATGGTAAGTGAGGCACCTCAATAGCTTCAGGTAGCATAGCATCCCTAAAACAGAAGGAAGAGAAGGTCGTATTTGACACTTTTATCTTTTCTCCAACAGAAAAATATATTTAGAAAGAATAAGAATAAGGACGAAAACAATTATACAGATAATGCGAATGACTACGGTTATCTGATTATACCCCATATTGTAAGGCGGATAACGATCGCAGTAAATGCTACGGTAACAAATTTACTAACCGAATTTCACACTGTCCAATAGCCCTTTGAATTAGATTATTTTGAGACCTTCTACACACTACTGGATATAATGGCAGAAGCTTACCAAAAATTATTGATCGGAACTGAAGGGCCTATTTGCACACAAGCATATTTTGAAGTAGTGTTGAAATGTGATGGAAAGTTCAAGGTAATACGGAACAGAGAGTGAACCTCCGACAGAATGAACTTGTTATCAACCTGTTTACATTTGTTCATATGAAATACGTAGAAAATTATCACAATCATCACAAAAGAATTAGATGCAACGGCAAGAGATGCTATTAAAGAGGAACTAAGACTAATAAATCCGCTATGTCAGGTGATATCCACAGCTACAACAAATACAGCGAGACTTCCTATGGAGGTCGATCCAGCTTTTGCTGATGTCTAATGCTACTGCTGTGAATAATAAAAAAAAGGGCCAGCTGTATAGACTAAAAAAAGTATTTGTTGCGGTTCTTTTATTTTTCCCTTTTTTCCAACTGCTCACACAATCAAATTTTCATTATTTATTTCAATATTTTTTTTCTTTTTTTGTTCTAATCCTTCAACTTTCTCAGCTCTATAAAAAAGAAAAAAAAAACTTATTTATTCCTAACAACTAAAAAATACCAAAAGAGAAGAAGGAGGATGGAATATGTTGGAAGAATCGGTAACCTTTTCAGCTCATTAAACAATTTCTATAATGAACTAAATCCAGCAACATTGTCCGGAGCCATTGACATCATTGTGGTCGAACAAGAAGATGGTGAATTGGCAAGCTCACCATTCCATGTTCGATTCGGCAAATTATCAGTATTATTACCACAGGAGAAAAAGGTACAGTATATCTTGCGAAGGCAGAGTGCTCGGACTCAATGACAGAAAGAATTGGGGGTGGCGGGGAGGATGGTTATACAGCTAGTGTGCATGGTGTGTGCACAGATGATTTTCAATGCAACAATGTGTCGGACTTTTGTTATTACATGATGTTTACATAATACTTTTATGATGGCTTCTAATAATGTGGTGAAAAAATAAAGGTTGAAATCAAAGTCAATGGCGACACCGTACCATATTTGATGAAAGTGGGTGAAGCTGGCGAAGCCTTTTTTGTATTTGAAACAGACCATGAGGTGCCTGAAGAATTTCAAACCTCTCCAATTTTGCAAGCTTTGGCTGAAAATAAGTCAGAAGTAGAGGTAAGAAAAAGTTGGCCGAGCCATTAGAATACAAATTCTTTTTTGTTTTTGTTTTTTTTTTCTACTATTACATGACGGCTTAAAGATGATCATTGTCACCAACACTTTGTTACCATCTATAAGGAACCACCGTTTCTTGATATTAGTGAGAAGAAGGACGAAAAAGGTAGCAATAAATGAAAAAATCTGATTTGAAAGGAGCAGACCGAATCCTAACATTAATCTGTCTTAATTTGTATATTTCAGAGCATCTTATGATGGAAAAAGTTGAAAAGGAAGATAATTTCGAGGACGAAGAAGATGGAGACCGCAAGAAAAAGGATTTCTCACATATACCCGCTGAATTACAATCACCTAAGATGATTATCGAAGAACAGATGGATAAAGTAGTTACCAAAATCGATTCACAACGTTATGGAAATGAGAAAACAAAAGAAAGTGGAATGAAGAACCATATACATTCATTAGACGACGGGTCAACCTTGTTAGAAAGAGTTGCCCCAGAAGCAATCACTACCACGACAATAGCTAAAGAAAGATTCATAGTTAGACCTTTGAATGGAGACATTCATTCTTATTGGATGGACGTGACACATACGCTAACAGAAATACCGCCAAACGATGATAATGGCATCAACAATAATGGGGGCCATCATTCAGATGAGCATAAACAAGAAGAAAGTTACCACACTTCGACTGATAAGGAATCAATTGTGCTTGATATATCTGGTTATAAAACAGCTTCTGTGAATAAGGATGACAAAGATGCTGAAAAACAGTATGAACAGTGTAAAAACACTATTGAAAGTGATACCGCTGATATGTCCTCGCGTAATAAAGATCGAATGAAGCAGACTTTGGATGATTCATTGAAAGAGTCGACAATGAAAATAGTAGCTGATAGCCCTACGCCAGACGACACCCCCATGTCCACAACGATGAAAACTCCCTCTAAAGAAGCCCCCGCTGAATCAGTTTCAGTGGACGATTTATCGACGAATGTAACAGCAAAACCTGAAGATACCTCCATATTAGAAGAAAAGAAAAAGGAAAAGGAAGAGACACTCATGGAAGATGTTGAGAAAGCAATCGAAAAGTCCATTGAGCCCACTGCTGAAGAACGGAAACGGTTGGAAGAAAAGATCAACAGCCAAAATGACAATGAAACTGTCAAACTAAAACCTGGACGTACTTATCGTATAGAAATGAGTCTATGCGGTTTCTCGTCATTTACTTTTGACAAAGAAGCCAACGCTACCCTTTTTAAAGAGAATCAAGTTAATTACAACACCTTTGTTCATAATCCAAGTATTCTAAATGATCATCGTTTGGTGTTTCGATATGATGGCCATTACTTTGCAGCAGCTAAAAACAATCCGTTATTCACATCTCTATTAATTTTCAAAAAGCCTTTACAGAAAGACGATCAGCTGGGGACAGGAAAGAAAGACGATACTGGGTCTGATAATTTATCAGACAGCAGAGATACTTATTCCTATGGTCGCGGTTGGAGACAATGGTTGAGCCGGTCTTCTTCAGCGAATGCCGTACCTAGTCTAGAAGAGTACAATAATGGTGTTATTAAACCCACGAAAGACTCAATGGAAAGCGAGAACCAACCTGTACATCACGGCTCGGCACCCGACAGCACGAAACGGAAGGACGACGGTATCACTTATAGTGAACAGACTACCTTCACTACTACAACCAAGACAACCTCCGTTGGCTGGTCGCTGGAGCACGGACAGGAACAAGCTGGCAGCGGGCCTTTTTTCCAAAAACGAAAGAACTACGCTAAAACCCTTCGTCTTACCTCTGATCAGCTAAAACAGTTAAATTTGAAAAAGGGAGTTAATACCATCAGTTTTTCTGTGTCATCGGCATATCAAGGTACAGCAACTTGCGCTGCAAAGATCTTCTTTTGGGATCACGATATTCAAATAGTTATATCCGATATTGATGGCACCATCACAAAGTCCGATACTATGGGTCACCTGATGACCATGATCGGTAAAGACTGGACTCATGCAGGTGTTGCTCGATTGTATACCGATATTGCCAACAATGGTTACCATTTCATTTATTTAACCAGCCGTGCCATTGGTCAGGCTGACTACACACGAGATTATTTGAGGAAAGTCATGCAGGACAACTATCAACTGCCTGACGGCCCCGTGATCATGTCTCCAGATCGATTATTTACCTCTTTACATCGTGAAGTTATCATGCGGAAACCAGAAATGTTCAAAATGGCATGTTTGCGGGATATCCAACGTTTGTTTGGCAATTGTGATCCATTTTACGCAGGGTTTGGAAATCGAATCACAGACGCTATATCCTACCGTAGTGTGAATGTTCCCTCATCGCGTATTTTCACCATCGATGCTCAGGGTGATTTGAAATTGGAATTGTTGCTTGGTTTTAAATCCTCCTATATCCATTTAAACGATATGGTAGATCAGATTTTTGCGCCTATCAACAAAGCAGTACGGGAAGAATTCAACGACTACAATTTTTGGAAGCAACCAATGCCAGACATCCAAATACCTGAACTGGATGAAGAGGAACCTTTCCCTCCGACCTCACCCAAACCAACACCCATCAAACCTGACCCGCTGAAGAGCTTACCCAAAGAATCCGTAGTAGCATACCAACCTGAACCAAAGCGAGGTTTGTTGAGAAGCTTGACATCCAGGTCATCTTCCTCAACCACTTCGAACACAACAGCTTCTGCTACTGCCGCTGCCAAACGCCATAGGCGTAAGAAAGAAACGCAAACAGCCGCCGCTAAAACTTCAACCATTAAGAAAACTCCTTCTATTGCCACCATTCCTATACCCCATTATTACCGGCCTCTAATGTCTTCCAATAGCGCACCTGATTTATCCTCGGATATCAAACTCACTGCCTCTGATAAGTCTCACATCAATGAAAATAGTAACCTGAAGAGTGATGAAGAAGATTATGATGAAGAATTATCTTCTGGTCAGGTATCTCCTACAGTTTTATCGTCATCACCGCGATCTTTACCTGATGATTTCAAGCACAATGAGTCGGAAAGTACAGAATTTATACCTCAATTGCCTTCACATTCAAGATCCACGTCTGGCATTATGAGTAAAGTGATGGGTGGTGTTTTCTCTAGAAAGAGTGTAAGTACGACCACTGCAAATCTTAAGTCAACTAAAGAAGTCCCCAAGGTCAAAGAGAATTCTAGAAAGATTGATGAACGACAGAAGGACTCAAAAAAGAAGCAGGAAGTTGAAGAAAGTAAGGAAAAGGCTGACTTGGAAGAGTTGGAAGACGAGGATGATCTATACAACTCTGAAATCGATGATTTGGATTTAGATAAGATTCCCTTTATATAATGAAATACTTATGTTATTCTTCCATTTGTTTTATCTTCTTAAATTTTTTGTACTATATTAAGGATTCTGTTTGTACATTATTATTTATCGTTATATTTTTATTGCTTATATTCCCGGCTACAATAAACCATCAATCGTGGTTACAGTAACTCTTTATTATGTTTACTATGTTTAGAAATGCATGCATGGTATGATCTAATAAAGAATAGTTAGTTTATATGCTTGGAGTTATGTTTACAAATTCAGTAATGCTTGTTGTTCATTTTGGGTTATAGGTGGTCTATAATATTTCAAATGCACCGTTTAGTGTTGCATTATTCGGCGCTGGATCCAAGTCCAGCAGTTTAGTCAAAAATCGATAGATTTCCACATTGCAAAATGGCTTCACCACAGTGTTGGGCAAATATAATTCGTCGATTTTAGGTCCTTTGGCCGCAAAAATGGCTCTCATTTCATACGCCATATTATCATAGCCGTGGATACCCATGGGATGATAGTCCTTTCCAGAATTTATGTCGAAATCTGTGCTTCGAATAATGGCGTAACCAACGTCAGGAATTAACAAAATAGGAGCGATACGTTCTGTAGAGTTGTAATGAAAGCGTTCGGGGACTTCCTCACGACGATACAGTTTGAAATGAGGGTTGTCAACCCTTTGGGTATAATCGTAGATTTCTTTGTAGATTTTATCGAGCGCATAGTCAGGTGCATCCTCTTTAGGGCGCAGACCAAGCAGCGGCCATGCTTCTCGTTCACGTAAAAAAGCTTCAGATTCGGATGATATAAATTCATCGTAAAAGATAAGTCTTGATTTATCAGAGGCAGCCATACCATGATCGCTTACTACTACAATATGAACGTGTCGATCGATATTTCTTTCCGCTAAGCCAACCATTAAGCGGCCAATGGCATTATCCGTCATTGTCAAAACTGAATTCAACTATTAACAAGTCAATTATTCGATTCATCTACGCTTACAAATCTTAAGCAACCGATGAAAGTAGCCTTATATTATTACCTGCTTTCCATCTGGACCACCGCCATGTCCTTTTTGGTCTATCTGTTGTATGTAGACATTGATGGATTGCGGTCTTACTTCCAGCGGTAAATCCAACCAACTCAACACGGTATCCATTTTCTCCATGGCTGTGGTAGTTCTAATATAGGGCACATAATAATCCGAAGAAATACCGTGGATTGGAACGTTGGAACCTGGCCACATAATGACCGCTGATCTTTTGCCTTGAGTTTTACTTGTTATCCAAATGGGTTCTCCTCCCCACCATTTGGGATCTGCACTAATAGTGGCATTTTTATGAATATATTCCTCCTTGAGAGCTGGATCGTAAAATTCGTTCGCAACAATGCCGTGTGCCTCAGGATACAAACCAGTTGCCAGAGTCCAATGGTTTGGGAAAGTGATCGACTATAATCGTAAGAGCTATTTTTAGCAGATTATCTAACACCACGCTATATTGTTTGACGGAAAAAGGAAAGACAAAGGAGTATAGTTACCGGGAAGGATGGAGTCATATATTGAGCACGTATTCCTTGTTTTGCAATCAAATCAAGGTTCGGCGTTACATTTCTGTCAAAATAGTCGTTTCTAAAACCATCCAAAGAAATGTATATAACTGTTGTGTCAAAATAATGGGAACCATTGAAGTATAGTTCGGATGGCTTTGATCGCTGTTTATCATCAAGTGAACGTAATCTGAAAGAGGCTATTAAACCTAAAAAGCAAAGCAAAGATATTATAGCTGATACTTTTAAGCAGTTGTTCCACTTTATTCGTCCGGTAAGTATTACGTTGGCCTGATATTGCATCCGTTTAAGTGTATATTACCTTTGCGTAATAATTATTGAATGCTGCTGCTCGTCTACGGATGTCTTTGCCTTTAAACTTATGATATAGATCGCTTTGATCACCAATGTCGATGACTTGACTTTTTAATAAACTATCATTCTCCTCGGCATCAACATTTGCAAAAGGATTGCCATAAACTCTATCGTTCAGAACGGACGATGAGGATGAGGTATTGTTGGTATTGTTACTATTTCTTCCATAATTATTCATTATGTCAGCGTTGGCCAGAGCTTTGATATCTTGAGAGCTCTTTTTGCTCCTAAGTGACAATGAATATTCTGATTGATTCCGTGAAGGAACTGGCCCTTTTGACATAGAGATTATTAATTAATTTTAGATATTGAAACAAGTGTATTATAAAAATAGGCAATTCCTTATTTTTGTTCAATTCACCTCAACAAAGGAATTTTGAGTGGTTCATGCCGTAGATTCCGGAACTATATTAAAATCCTCCGCTTTTTAAGTCACCTTCGTCTTTATGCTTCTCTACGTGTACTTGCAACTGTCTTTTTTTTTGATTTTCGTTACAACAATATGCCAATAAAACACGATCGTACTGTTCTTCATCTTGCTGTTACTGAAAATACTGTAACTGTCGTCGCCTTTACAGTTCGACGCTGCTACAACATTCCAATCGCTAAAAGATCGATTACACTCATTTATGCATAGGCACTAAGGGTTATCCTGTACATAGCAAAAGAAAAAGTGGAATGGTATAATGCCCATAATTTACATAACTTAGTGCTCAGTGCACTCTATACACCTATTCTGGATTACATAACAAGAACTCAAGGACAGTCTAGTGCCCAAAGACAGAAAGATTCAGACACAACGCAAACAATCCAAAGTAAAGAATTGAAGCCTATAACAGTTTATTTCGGTTAAGACACTGATTCGCTCTATTAAATCCAAACTGCTTAAAGTGGAAGGATTTCGTATTTTATACAGATTTGCGGCTCGTACATCTCAACAGACGATTATAAGAGCGGTAACGTTCTGTTGTTTAAGAATCAATGATCAATATGCTAACTTCTTATATCCTTACTACTTCAGGAAAAATCATATACTTTCACAGATCAAGAAGAGAGTAATGAAATCGATACTCAAGACCGCAAACCAACGGTTCAAACTAAATATGAGCCGCTATCCTTATACCCATATCAGTTACTAGTGTCAGTGGACAATGAATTGTTTGTTAGCAGTACAAATACATTAGATGCTTATTTCACTGCATTTTAGATGCCAGATAGACAATAGTAAATCCTTTCCTGATGTTATATTTATATTTATTGAAAACTCGTAAAAGAAAACATGTGAAATAATGAATGCTAGCAAACTATGGGTATATATCATAGAGTTCTTTAGAGCCGGAACATTGACGAAAACTTTTGTTTCGATATCGCTTTGTACAAAATATACATATAAGATGGTGTACCAGATGACGCTACATCAATAGTAAAGCTGGTGTACTATACTTTTTGTTTTTTAGTGGCTGGTTGATCCTTGGGTCTACGATCATCTTCATCTTCGGAATCACTTATCAGATCTATCACGTCCACTGCTTTCGGTAAAGCTATTTTCACAATATTCCTCTTATCGTCAGGTTTGTTATCATGTTCCTGGTCATCGTTAGAATCCTTTGTGTCCTCATTGTCCGATTCAATATCTTCCATTTTAGATATTTGATAGTTTTCGTGGCTTTCGGTATATTCAATTTCTATTACATTTCCTGGCAATTCTTTCAAAAGAGACTCCATCAATAAATCCCTGGCTAATTGTTTAGGTCCTACTGTGTTATTGCAATGAGGGCATTTCCAAGCTGCATTTTCAATCTTATTGATCAAAATATAACCAAGGAAATCAAAGCACTACCGTATATGTGTTTGGTTAGTATTCCGTAATGTACCTTAACCGTTAAGAGTCAAAAAGAAAATTCATCATACATACATCTACATGTCTACAATTGCGACCTCGTACAGGTTGCTTAATTCTCTTGAGTGTAATAGGGCATTTTAAGCTTAACCTGACAGATGACTGTATCACGACCAAATCATCATCGTCATCATTTTGGTTTGAACCACTTCCTAATAGTTTGTCGATTAATTGCTGACTTTTGTCAATAGAAATCGTAGCATTCGCAACCACTTCTTTGATATAGTTTTCACTGTATTGCTCATAAACAGAAACAGAAAATAGGTAGTTTCTCTACAATATAAAAATCACCCGTATAATGAGTTGAAGGTCTGAAGAGCTTAAGAAATTCTTGAATAAGATTTGATAAAACCTACCGGAATTAGCATGTTTTGCCTAAACCTTAATATATTGTTGCCTTCAACAATATGAGGCGTTAGATCGTAAGGCATATCTTTTCCGGTATAGCTTGGAGTTCCGTTAGCCAATACGATTCTCATTTTCTAAGGCATTAGACAAAAGTCAATTTTGATTATTGCATTGAATCAAAATGCTATACAAGTTAAAAACGTGGTTTACCTTTGTTATTCCTAATTCCTGACCATTGAATTCTACTGACAAATTCTGCGGCCATTCACATTTTCTCTCTGGCCCTGATTTTATTGAACCATGAAAAATATATGTCAACGGCAGTTCACCATTAGTGTTTTCCAGGGTAGTATTGATACCGCCTTTGTATAGAATTTTATATTCACTTGGGGTTACGTAAAAGCTAACTGCAGAATACATCTTCCCTGGCTCCAATTGCAATTTGTTGAGAACGGATTTCTTAAAGGCTCTATAATTCAAGATATCATCTGGAGTATTGTATTCTCGTTGCTTTGGTTGGCCCTGCTTGGGCAATTGTAATTTGTCGAGGGAAGGAGAAGGATGGGGAGACGGCGTTGGTGGCAGTAGTGGTACAGCTGGTGATGATTGAAATCGCGTAGCAGCAGCAGTAGGATTAGGCGTACTAACAGAAGCTGATGCCGCAGAGATAGTGATGGTAGTCTGTGGTAGTTGAAGAATAGCGGCAGTTGTACCAATAACGTTGTCATAATTGGTCACTGTTTGTTGAGAATCTGATACTGGAGATGATAGTGAGGGCTGATTATGGCTAATTGTAGATGTAGGCAATGCAATAGCTTGTTGTGTTATAGCACTCACGCTATTAGAAGTAATGATAGAATTTTGCTGCTGCTGTTGCAGAGGTATATTACCAACCACAGGTGAGCCATGATGACTGCTACTATTAAGGCTAAGTGATGATTGAAGATTGCTTAGTGATGATGAGGAGAATTGAATAGGAATAACGGCAGTGGTAGACGGTAGTGTACTGCGCGCTATAGATGAAGGAGGGACAGCATTTGTAATGGTTGTCCCAGTAGCAGCAGATGTAGAAGATGGTATATTTACGTAACCTATATTCATATCTCGTGGTGCAATGTTTACTGAGGATATTGCAGGTATAGTAGGCTGACCGTAATTACTAGTTATATTTGTTTGTCGAGCTAAGGTGGTTGAACCGGCTGAGGGTACTGACATAGATGACGAAAACGAAGTGATTGGAGCAGGCATGATAGATCCCGCTGTTGCATTATATTGGACTGGAGATATTGATGTGTTGGCATTCGCCATATCTTTGAATTGCCAGTATTGTGTCCTCGGATCGCGAACATCAATATTTGCACGTTTTAGAGCTTGAGCATGACACTGAATAGCATTTTGAGCAGTATTCTGAGCGGCATTCTGAACCTGTGAATAAAGATGACCCTGCTGCCGGTAATCAAGGGAAGTTTGTGTTTGCTGGTAAGGGATAGTTGATGATATTTGCTGAGGTAATTGTTGTCGAGACTGCTGCTGCTGCTGTAACTGAGGCGAGGAGACTGTAATAGAGTTTACGTTATGAGTAGTTTGTAGCGGTTGAAAATAATGCGGGCTTTGAGCAACTTGAAATTGCTGCTGAGCCTGCAAATGTCGAAACTGTTGTAACTGCAGTAACTGTTGTAGCTGTTGTTGTGTCCATTGTGGCTGTTGCTGCTGTTGTTGCTGTTGTTGCTGCTGTTGCTGGTGCTGTAATCTTTGCTGCATTTGTGCTTTTAATAAATGTGATCTTTGAAAATCTTGCTGATATTTCTGTAATAACAATTGTTGCTCGATTTGCTGTGGCTGCTGTGGCTGCTGTTGCTGCTGTTGTTGTCGATGTTGTTGTTGTTGTTGGTTTCTCAACTGTTGTCTTCTTGCCTCCTCTAAAATGCCTACCAGGTTCAAGAAAGTTAGTTTTTCATCATTTACAGTTATACAGAAAACCCTTACACAAACTCTGTTGCCGGCGCTGTTGCTGCGGCTGTTGCGGTGATGAAGGTAATATAGGTGAACTAAAAGGCGAAGATGTTGTCGTAGTTGAGGTTGGTTGCGCAGGAGTAATGTGAGCATTTATGCTGGTTGATGGTTTAAAAAACTGCTCAAAATTGAAAGTGTCGAAACCCGACGGTTGAGCAATATTTGAAGATCGGCTTGTGCTTGCAGGTGATACGGCCGGTGAAGGGTGAGTGTTTGATTTGTGCGAGGTAACTGAAGCATCACTTGGCCTTCTTCCTACAATGCTATGATGAAGTCTAATATAACTATTTTTTATATATTCTAGGTAGTAGGTAAAGAATAAATTGTTGAGTCTTTTTAAAAGAGAACTACAATACATAACCTAATTAACCATACCTTGCCCTTTTTGTGAAAAACCAGGAGCGCATTTTGCATTAGCAGCTTTTAATATCTCCATACCGGACCATGGACCATACTCATTGGCTTTATCGACCAGAGCTTTAATGCAGTCCAGAAAAGCAACTTCATAGTACGGTATAAAAACACTGGCATCATTCATCCACTGTAAAAGCTCATCACAAGCCCCACCATACTTTGCTAAATCGCGTAATTCCTGAGCTAAATCTTTAAGTCTGCTAAAGTTCGCTTTATAAATTTGCTGGAGCCGAGCATCAGTAACAGATTCATTGGCATTCGTTGTAGTAGGCTGTGTTCGTGTCTCTTCAGCGCGATCGGCAGTAGGTCGGGTTTCAGCTGCTGTTGATTGCTGTCGTTCACCTAAAGAAGTGTTATTGTGATTCATATTGCTTATCTGAGCTATTAGAAATTTAAAAAACGCCAGAAGATTGAGGTTAGTTACATATGTTATTGAGAAACAGAGAAGAACCTAAGCTTGCTTAACGTACAATACAGGTTGGTTGCATGCACTCCATTTACATGTGAAACTAAATTAGTAAAACGTAATCGAACGTTAGATCATACGTCTATTCTAGTTACCGATTAAATCAGTGCCTTACTAAATCAAAAAGATGATCTGACACTATAATATAAGAAAATACTCTTACTACATACCTTTTCCCATCAACTGTTCACCGTTAGACATACACCCACAACCAAAAAAAACCAAAAAAAGAGAAACAATACAGAAAAAGACACTGAAAACTATGACTGCAATTCAAGCACAGTGAAAAATAAAAGTTTGCTTCTAGGCGAACTTTCAGCGAGGGAAGACAAATGAAAGAACTTTTGAGTTCCAGGCGGAGTCTAATTCAAGCAGGAAGGAACGTTCAGCCTCTTAAAAAGGTCTATTCACTTTATACAACGTATAGTCATTGAATTGAGTGCCTGAGATGTGACAAATTCTATTCAGAAAAGACAACACTCAGGCCGACGTTATGTGCAAATAGAGCAATTGTTCTCTTGCACTAAAGTACAGCCATACTACCCAATTCCTCTATTTACACCATCATCGACGACAAGAAGAATGCATAGATTATGCCCTATACTTGCGTAGATTTAGAACTGTCTCAATAACAATATCTATGCTTTCTAGAATGTAAAAAGTATACACTTTTACGCGTTCAAGTATTGAATCAATCCTTACTTTTTTACCTCGATGGGAAGATCTGCCGATACACGTCATGTTTGCTTGCGGGGCAGGAACAATATTAACGCGCCAACCTTAAGTAATCACGTTCGTGAATTCAAATTGGAAGCGCATTCCTTGAACTGCTTTATACCATCTGTCAAAAAATTTTTGTCATCTCGTCGCACGGTATGAAAAAGGTGATTCCGGATACCGTCTATTCAGCAAGGTAGAGTTGCTATGTTGACTTTTGCCTTTCAGCATGAACTGTTGAATGTGCATAGTCCTCATTTCGACTATCAGTATCTGTCTTGATGTTGCCTTCTCTTTTTTGCCTCCCGCTTCTTGTTCTTGAACTGGTTTGTGGTCTGACACAGAGTATCTGCTTTCTTTGTTCTTTTCTTCTCGTCTTCCTGCCAACAAGTTTACCGGCACCCTTCGTCATGATTCTTTTTGTAACTTTTCCGGTCTTGGTGGCTTCAAGTATATGGAAAAGGAGCATACTTACTTGTCGGTACAAGCATATGGTGTTTGGAAGCATGCTTTCTTTCGTCGCGTATACCATTCAAATAGACAAGGCATGGACTTGACGGCCACCAACATACTTGATAAGGCAAGAACATACGATAACTGGATGGTAAATACTTTGCTTTTTGGTTTTATACTGTATGGGTAGTTGTAATGACTAGTGTTCTGAACTTTATATTCTTTCATTATAACTGTAGAAACATCATTCAGATTATCTTGAGCGTATTGCCAGCCGTCAATGTGGTTACGGTGCTCGTCTTGAGTTTCGACTCAATTGTTCTGAGGCTTCATCACTGATAAGCAATGTTACTTCGGCGCAAACACTGTATGTATCCATAATGTCATTCTTTTCATAGATATTCATAGATAAACACGTTTTCTAATCCATTTCTTAACTTTGCGAATAGAGCCAAGATCGAAAAGTGTATCCACTGGTACCCCAATGGGGAACTCTTTGGTTTTGTGCTATATCGTCTTCGCGCATTGAATGCACTGGTCCAGCGGGTAGTTGTCAGTAAAGATCGTTTTACTGGCAAAACTTTGACTTTCTGTTCGCTTGTTGCTTTCTGGCTAAACTCGTTGGTTCATCGTGAGCCAGATGATTCTCAATGGCGTCCGGTTAAGAAGTTGATCTCTGAGTACCAGCATGCTGGCTCAGCTTTCCCGTTTGTTTCTGGTTTGTTTGGTGGCTCGGACAGCTCATACTCTCTTTCCGTTTCCTTGGGCAGTGTCGATCTGAAGAAGTTGACAGGTGTAGATGTACCGACCCTAGTTGAGCCAATGTCATCGTCTTCAGCATCAGCAGCACCAACTGTACCAACTTCATCGCTAAGTAATGATATATGTATCATCCAACTTCAAGCTCAACTGTTGAATATGGACATCAATGATAATCTTCCAGGATTTGAAATGTTTAACAACATAAGAGTTAGAGACGAGGTCAAGCAGTTCATCAAAATTGATCATGTTAGCAAAAGTACTTATTGGTGTCTTGCGCAACACATATTCATTGGGCATGTTATGATATCGCCAACAACTGTCAAGCTTTTCTCTCAATTGATACTTACTGAAATGGTCACTCTTTTTGCATCTTGGGATCGATATGGCACAGAGTTATTTGATACTGTCGATAAAGTCAAGCAAATTGGATATCACTTCTATTTCCGTCAAAACATCAATGATCTACTTAAGCCGGATACTGTTGATTTCACCACCCATTCACCGATCAGAAAGTGGCTTGAAGAGTTTATCTTTCCAAATGTTACCAGTATCTCAAGTAATTTCGCCAACAGTTATTATATTTTAAAAAGTGGACCATATAAGAAATTGCAATCACGAGCATTCTTCATCAATGCGGTATACCAACATTATCGACAACATGGTGCAATGTTTGATAGATTCAGAAAAGAATGTATTGATTATATTATGTAACATGTTTATAGATTCAACCGAATGGAGAAGGGCAAGGTTTGGAGGACGAGTGGTGGCAAGCTTTTACTTTATATTAAATAGTAGTTTTATAAATAGAATAATTAATAAAGTAAACGGTTGAGCAATCTACTGGAAATAAGTAGCAGAGGGAGGCTTCGTGTAGCGGTGAGTAGGGTTCGGGGCGCGTTGCGCTTTTGAAACGCGCGGAGCGGGTTTATATAGGGTTATAATGATTTGGCCAGTGCCTTTGTCACGGAACGATAGCCAAAAGTTATAATTGGTGCCTTGGGATCAAACACAATGGTTATTATTAGTTTGTTTGACAGTAGGAAATTAAAACGACAAAAGCAACAGTCAAGATAACCTGTCTAAAAGAAGGGATTCCTGAATTGAATATACCTTGTGTATTTCGAAAGACGTGATAAAGTATATTGGTCTTCAGCTTAAGCCAACCATCATCGAGAGACGTGATATAAATCAGAACAGTAAATCAATTAGGTAGAATTGATATAAGAAATATCTTAAATCAGTTCGAACAAATGAATTTTGGGAAGTAATTTTATTGGATGCAAACTTATAGTCGAAGCATAGAATCAATAATTCAGGCAACTATTCGTTTAAATCAAAAGGTACCTTCATCTGTTGGCGCTCCCACAAGCAATATTGACTCGACAGTCATTCACTTGTGTGTATCGCCCGAATCTTCGTTGACTTGGATCAGTAACTGCTGTCCAATCAATAAAAGCGATATATCCTCTACAGCGTATCAAACGACGATATGCTATCTCGTACAATTACGGTAAATTCGTAATCAATTTGACTGTATAAATTGACCTGTGAGTAAAGCCCTCAGTCGACCTATACACTGCCTTCATATCAATACCTTGTGACCGTGTCCACAATGATTGTATCATCTTGTTTGATGTGAGGAGCAAAAAAGCCTTGGGATTAGCAGTACAATCAAACTTACGACATCTGCCGATTTTCACTGCTTCAAAAGCGCCACCGGAAGAGAAAGGTGCTTCTTGGAAGCAGTCTTGCTTCCATGGCTATGTAAACGTCAGTCCATCTGTTTTATTCAATATCAATTGACAGAGAGTTTAAATGTGTTACAAAGTTTTTTCTCCCTCCAGTCATGTAAAATGTTTCTGTTGCCGGTCAATTGAAGCAAGTATTTGAATTTCTTGTCTGGTGGTGACAATTTCTTCTCCTTTTGCAGTTGTTATATCATGGACGTATGTCAACGGAATCCAAGCACTCAAAGCACATACGCCGGAAATGTTTGAAAAACATATTTGATCTTAATTGACAAACTATGCTTATCAAAAATATATCTTTGTCTACATAAGATTGCGATTTGTCTTACATCAGTTAAGTAAGTTGTCGTATAAAGTGGAAAAATACGCTTTGAGTCTTCGACGTGAAGTATCTTCTCCACATACAATAAATGGATCTCAAGTAATCTGTTACGCATATCAATATAGAGTTTATTATGTTTGAATCTACAAAGTTCGTATCAAAAAAAACCAAAAAAAAAAAAAAAGATGTGCTTGTGTTTGTAGTGCCGAAAATCGTCCTTCCCCAATCCAACGTTAACCATCTCATTTAATCTTTCTCAACTATACGTTGCAAATGATCCTCAATTTCTTCAGTATTTAAAGTGCGGAAATCAGTGTTGTCTTTATCAACAACACCAATCTCTATTTCACTTGCTTTGAAGTCGACTGCTAAAACAGTGGATAATGTTGTAATGGCAAGCTATCAATTTAAGGTCGCTGTCAGTATATACATATGTAGCCTTTCAATCACCCATCGTGTATAATATACCTCAATAGCGTCTTCCATATTCAATTCAGGATTTTTCTTTAATTTCTTTTCCAAATGATTTAAAGCTTCTTGTTGTTTAGCACCAGCTGCAGTAGCTTTATAACCAACATAGTAGCCTGCAGGATCGCATTTGTATAATTGAGGTCCTAACTCTTCGTCAAAACCAACTAGAATCATAGCTATACAGAAAAAAGGGGCGTTTAAATTTTGTTCAATGTAGCACTCACAGACAGTACATAATACATACAAACACCATAAGGTCTCATCGCAGCTTGTTGTGTATAGAGCTGATTCGTATTGGCAACACGCTTAGCAAGCATGTCTGTTGGAATTTCATAACCATATTTGTAACGGAATTCAGCTGCTTCTTGACGAGCTCTTGTCACCTGAGAACGAGCATCAGCTATTGGGTGGGATGGCATGACCCAATGCATGAATGAGTTTCGTATACATTGTACCTTTTTTAAAAACTTTTTTCTGTATTCAAAGATTTTTACCAATATTGCCTGTCATTACACATCCAATTTTTGGTGTCAATCGAAAAACATGAGTAACAGTTGAAGGGTCTAATAACTTATCCTGTACAGAGACAGGAACAGGAACAGTTTGGATATTGGCATAAGTATAGGTACCATTGCGCTAACTTTCTCGATAAGTGTAATAAGGCTTACAGGTATTTTCTTCTGGGTGACAACGACACATCCATCGCGGCCACGAACGCCAACAGATGTGATGCCACTGTTTGAAATGGCTTTGAATGCATATTCTAATATGTAAAATGAAGGACTGACTTAGCATAAATACTCTTTCAGAGTTGGCAATCGTCTTATTTCTGTTTTTTTTCTCTAGGTTTACCAACTTGGTATAATCGGCCTTCAGGGGAGAAAATTGTAATGTGACGATCGTAACCTGCACTGGATCCACGACTCATGTTGATTTTATTTGAATTGACTAAGAAATGAAATACTCAAGAGAGAAGAGAACTGTGCGTTCCAAATGAATTGTAAGTGACAGGAAATACGCGTCCAACTCGCACACTCAATAAAGGACGTCATCTCGAACAAAAAAAGTGTATCGGTAATTGAAAGACTGATTGATGTTCACACATTTCGAGAACTGCTGCCATTGCGGTTTTTTAGTTTCGGGGTTTAGACAAAGCTGCGATCAAACTGGACGGGAACGAACCAAGTTTTTGAGATTGTATTCCTAAAAATCGTGCTAGTTTTTGTTCAAGCGATAATAGGAAACGGACCAAGATGATGTCTTCCCAATCGAAATGCTGATAGCCATAATGTTGTTGCTGCGTTGAACTTTGCAGTTCCATAGTGTGTTGCAAGTTTTGCAAAGAAGGATACTACAGCCACGGACGGTGTCTAGTCTTCTAATGTATCTGAGCGGCCCAACGAAATTCCTTTTAACCTGATTCTTATGCTTTTCTTCAACAGATTTAATTTTCTGCATAATAAAACTTTTGTACATGAATAGGGGCTGAAAGTTACAAAAATTGCGAAAAACGAAAAAGAAGGGATCTTTTCTCATTTAAAATTCCTTCAGTTAGAGTATCACTTGAAACAAAAAAGACGAGAAAAATGTTACTGAAAGACACGTCCTAAACATTGCAAATCACCTTTTTTGATTATTGAAAAAAGCTAATCTAAAGGATGATGAATGCGGTTTAAAACACTTGGCTATTTTGTTCTAGAAAAGAGCTGCAGGTGATCTGAATATGAATCCTTACTCTGTTTAAAAGAAATCAGGAGTTTGTCTAAAAAACTGTATTTTTTCCATTCAATTGCAGTGAAGGAACAATGAAATTTGATCTTTTAATGCTATCTCCTTCGCTTTGAACTAATGCTACGACTTTGACTATAACTAGAGTCTCTACTGTAACTACGACCTCTCCTTGGACTTCTACTATAGCTACGGCCTCTACTACGACTGCGACTACGGCTGATAGCTTTCACACTTCTGCTTCTGCTTTTGCTTCTGCTTTTGCTTCTGCTTTTGCTCCTACTGACATGCTTTAGTCTACTACGGTCTCTGCTTCGACTACTGTCGTTGCTACTGCGACTATAGCTTCTTCTTCTTCTTTTGAGATTTCGCCTTTTAGGGCTAACTGAACGTGACCCAGAGCGAGATCGCGATCGGCTGTCGCTTAAGCTACTGACACTGCTCGAACGACTACTGATACTTGAGCCACTACTGCTTACAGTACTACTACTAGTGCTGCTTGACCTACTGCTGCTACTAGTAGCACTACTATCACTTTCACTTCCACTATCACTTTCACTTTCACTATCACTGTCGCTTGAACTATACGAACTCGAAGAACTTGACGACGAGGAACTGTGAAGAGGCTTTAGTTGCTTATCTACCCAGCCACAGATGACAATGATCTGATCCCTTTACCTTGATCGACTTCTCCTCCTTCTTGCTTTCTTTTTTTCTTTTAATATTTTATCTGCTAAACCTTCCTTACTCTGAAACTCTGTTGGTAATTCGGGTTGGTATAACTTGACCGGTTTTTTCAATTGTTGTGTACGAGTGGGCCTCACTTTGTAACTTCTATCTTTCTTACACTCATACGTCTGGAGCAGGTTGAATCAATAATGTTGCGATTATTTAATTGTTCGTTCATGAAAAGCATCCCGTTCAATCAGCTTACCCAGTGTCCATATTCCAAACAGCGTTGACACTGTGTTGTGGTAGAGGCTTTTTTATCTTGCGTACGAAACTTGGGACCTGTACGGTACATTAAGGATCGTGATCTTTTGTTAGTAAAAAAAAGGGAAAAAAACTGTTGAAAAAAGAGAATGCCGGATTTGGTTCGTGAACCGCGCGATAAACTGCAAAATGACGTCCTATAAAAAAGATTGTGTTCCCGCTGCTGACTTCTTTGCTTTCAACACTCTTCAAGCAAAAGTAGAAAGACAAAAAACCCTTCTATTTTTTCCCTTTTTCCTTTTTTTCTTCTCTTCTGTTTTTTTTTTTTTTTACTTTAAACACGAAAGTTATAAACAAAAAAAATGGTAAGCGTCACTCCTCACATTTTGCTGCGTTCTGTTTTGGAAAAACGACGTTTTGAGTGAATGAGCGAGAAAGGATTGATTTAAGGGGAAACGAGGTTTGCCTACAGACTTGAAGGCGAAAGAAAAGGACGGACTCTTTTAGACGAGTGGAGGAAGAACAGCGAGTGTTCGTTCGTTTGTCAAGAGCTTTTTTTTTTCTTTTTTCTTTGTGTATCGCAAAAAGTGTTTGGTCATCTCGTACTCCCTCCAGTGAAGTAATGGCAGGCTCATCTAACAGTTTTGAAATGTCTATAGTCTTCTGGAGTAGCTGTTAACGACCAATGTCTTGAAGTTTTTGAAGAACTCAAGCTCCGTAAGAAGTACAAGTACATTATTTTCAAGTTATCTGGTAAGAAAGTGCCCTCGAGAAAACGCAGAAAAGAAAAAAAAAAAAAAAAAAAGTACGGCTCGAGCTAAGCTTAACTATTTTACAAAAATCAGATGACAACAAGGAAATTGTCATTGAAAAGTCCTCAACAAATGGCGAATATCAAGAATTCTTGGACGAGCTTCCTCCTAGCGAACCTCGTTATGCTGTTTTCGATTTTGAGTTTGAAAAGGGCGCCGAGGGTAAGAGGAACAAGATCACATTCTATACCTGGTAGGTTCCTTGCTTTAAAGGGAAAAGTATTCAAAAAAAAAAAAGGACGCGTTTTTCTTATGTTTTCTTGGCCCTTTGTCTCTTCTATAGGATCCCTGATACTTCTAAGATCCGCCAAAAGATGTTGTATGCTTCTAGTAAAGATGCTCTTCGTAGAAAGTTGGTCGGTATTGCCGTTGAAATCCAAGGAACGGATGCTTCAGAGGTAAAATACAGATTATACTAAAAACTCAAAAGCCATGTGTTTGTCATTTAATTTCTGACTCGTTCTGTTTTCCATAAATAGGTCGCTTATGAAACTGTCTTAGATAAGGCTAGTCGCACTTCTTAAATGTTGCTTTTGTCCCATTTATTTACATCATCTCGTACCTAATTTTATATACACATTCTTACTTTTACTTGGCCAAAAAAAACCCAACAACATAAAAGGCAATAAAAGCAGGATAGTACAATCATTTTGTGAAAAAGTAGGAATTAAGGGCTTTTAACACGGACGAAAAAAAAAAAAGGTGAATGTCTGTACAACTCGATGAAATAGAGAGTTGTTGTCTACGATTCAAATCAATTCAGGTAATACGTTTTCAGACAATACATCTGGTAAAATACATGACTTTACTATTTATTAGCGTTAAGATGAACATCATCGGGGATATCGGGACAAACGTTTTGTTCGTCATGCGGAAAATTCAGAAAAAAAAAAAAAAAAAAAAAAAAAAAAAAAAAAAAGTTCATTTCTGTCTCGAGTTACAAAAAAAAATTCGCTGCTTGTGTTATCACATTGGCACCCGTTTATTAAGTCGTTGGTAGTGTGGGTCTCTGTTCATATCGCCATGAGTTTATTGGTGGGAGAGTATAAGAATTTGTCGTTGGTTCATGGATACTATTTGTGTTGTTGCTATTAGCCGCTGTTGTGGCATGATGGCTTGACATGGTTACTGGGGAATCTTCTCTTTTGCCATTAGGATGGAAGGGACTTTCGTGCCGTTTCCCATTATCTTGATGCGTATCGTTCAACTCTTTTTGGTATTGTCGATCGGCCAGCGTCGCTAACGTATCCAAGGGTGGAGAATCACGTGCACTCAACATCATGGGTCTATTGGTGGTGTTGATAGCGGCAGTATGAGAGGGAGGATGGGAGGAAAACGGAGGAGGACTGAAATGCTTGTTGTTGCTATCAGTGTCCTTTGGATATTGTCTATAGTGGCTAGGGTGTTTATGAGAGGAAGACATAGTAGGGTATGACAAAGGTGGCTGTTGTGGTAGTAATGACGAAGGTGGGTGAGGCTGATGTGCATGAGTCTCTGGCTGCTGTTGCTCTTGTTGCTCTTGTTGCTGTTGTTGTTGTTGTTGTTGCTGTTGTTGCTGTTGTTGCTGCTGTGATGCATATGTGTATTGGTACGATTGCTGTTGAAATGATGGGTTAGCATAGGGTGGGTAATATCCCCCGTTGGGATCTTGCCGAGCTTGCTCTACATCATTATCTGCGTCCTCCTCAGTTAAACCTATAGTTAAAGAACGTATTGATTGGTTAAGAATAATAAGTGCGTCCATGAGAGCTGCTGATGAAAAAGGTTAGCCAAAGTGGATGACTAGAAACAAAAAAAAAAAAAAAAAAGGATATTGATCATAGACGGTCTGTCAGGAGGCACCCATTCCGATAGATGCTCATCATCTAAAGAGCCTTTAAAGAGAGAGCAAGTGTTAGTTTTCCTATCATTCTCTATAAAATTCTTTGCTGCAAAAATAGTTTACTTTTAACGTGATTTGAGTAATATTCTTGTTCAAGTAAATTAATCTTTTGCTGTACTTGATGTATCAAAGATCGTCGGAGAGCTAACTTGTCCCACTATATTAAAAAAAAAAAGGGGTTGGATTAGAAAAAGAAATCAAATAAAAAAAAAAAAACACGCAGCGGAAAGGCAAGGTGGTAAAAAAAGAAATTTTACATAATATTGAGAATAGGCTGCATATTTCTGCGAATTGAAGAAATTGAGTACATTTCCTTCTGCAAACGATCTTCGTAATTCTGCTATCTTTAGCATTTTTGCCCTTTTCGACTCAATATCATGTAACAATTTATGATATTCAGCATGTGTTCCGCTCTTGACAGCTTGCTCAATCTCTTCCAATTGTCGTAGTCTAAAGAAACACAAACCGCATAAGCGTGTGTGTGTGTGTGTGTGTGTGTGTGTGTGTGTGTGTGTGTGTATATATATATACATGATGCGTAGGGCAGTACAAAAAGAAATAAGGTCAAATGATATTAGATAATGACCACGTCAAAGAGCCGTCTCATGAACAAAGCATATATACCTTTCTTTAATAATCACTTCTCTCTCGGCTTTTTTGGCTTCTTTGGCCCCTTTGAGTTGTCGAGAGGCCGATGTTCTTGTTTCACGCTCGTTGTCATGATGACTGTTGTAAGCACTCGTTGACTTATTACTGTTACTACTACCGTTGCTATTATTAATTTGATTGGACGATGCTGAGGAATGTGATTCAGCTCTTTTTTTGTTGCTTGTGTTGCTTTTGCTCGCTGCTTTTCGCTTCCGCTTTCTCGAGTCCGTTGTTTCGTAACCATTCGATTCAACAGATTGCGATCGCGTCACTCTGATCGCACCACTGGCTGAAGCAGGCGTGGACGAAGGAGTGGCTGTCGTCGCTCCTGCTTCTTGTTGCGGTGGCTCTTCTGAATTTTTGTGCACTGCTGAGGGAGAAGCGGGTGATTTTATATCTTCCATTATTGGCGAAGCTGCCTGCGGCGACCTGTTGCCTGCTCTCCTTGTTTGAAGCTTACTGCTGTTATTATTACCATTGCTATTATTAGTATCATGGATGATACCACTGTTATCGTTGGTCATAGAAGCAGACCCTTCCAATTCTATCGTATCTTTAGTTTGTGACATGTTTTAAGACTGAGAAAGAAAAAAAAAAATCAAATAAAAACCACAGAGCTCAAATAAAGAATGCAAGTAAAAAGGGAAAAGGGAAAGGGAAGCAAACCAAAGAATTAAAAAAAAAAAAAAAAAAAAAAAAGAACCAAAAGAAAAGAATCAATTTATTGGCAGCTTTGATTTTGGTCGGAAAATATGCGACTTTTTTGAAGAAGAGACACACACATAAACCACAAAAAATCGATCCATAAATGACGTCGATCTTTTTTTTTTTTTTTTTTTTTCCTCTGTCAAGAAACGATTCATGCTCTTGTTGCATTTTCTTGTAAACCAACAGACTACGCCATCATGAGGAATCAGAAAGTGAGAAAGCGAGAGAGCGAGAGAGAGCGTCGTGGATGGGGTGGAAAGCGTAATTGCCTTTATTACCCGTATTCAGCTTTCGGTATAAATGTAACCGCAGGTACTACATTGAAACCAAACAAAAAGAGCCTATCGTAATTATCCTAAATCAACCCGTTCTATGGTGAATAGGGGTCGCTTATATTCAAATTTCTTTGACTAGGTTTGTTTTGTGTATTTTCAAACGAAACAAGTCGTCTTTTTGTCAACGTTACTGTCAATAAAAGATACACACACGATATTCTATCATTCGCCTTTTCGTTTTTGCTGAATAGCGTTTAACGGTGGGAAACGAACGGTCATGTTGTTCTTCATCCCAAGATTGCTATTAAATTTTCCCTCAGTTACGGACTGTGCGCTCCTTAGAACGTGGTAAAACCCATTTCAATATCCTTTCTTTTTTCATAAAATTCAAATACAGATAAGGCAATATTATTTAGCTCTCATCTCTATTCAAAGCAAAACCTCAAGTGGCAAGCCCTTTGTCCATAAAACTCTTATCAACTGCATGTATTCAATTTCACAGATTTTTTTTTGTTTTGAAAGGGAAAACAGCGCCCCGACACGTTCAGAATTTTTTGCGTGAATAAAATTTGGATCCGCTGCTTGGTCCGTTTCCGTTTGAAACCGATATGGTGAGTTTTAATGTTGAGGACCAAGAAACAGGACAAATTGTACTGCAACGGTTCCTAAGAGGTAGCTTCACTTTCGGTTGTAGACGCGTCTGAAAGGCAATAGACATGTGTGCTTCTCCTGCGAAAAAAAAAACAAAACAATCGAGTCTTTACAAATGCAGGAGTCATATTGAGATTTTTTTAGTTTCCCAATCTCTTCCACTTACTTTACAGTTATTTTGCATTCTTTGTGCAACTTACTGCTGCCCACAATGATTAACCAAACATGAGAGTTTAAATTAAATCTCCAGCATTCTGCTTTTGAATCGGCGAAATACCGAGACCATTTGAGACCCATTCTTTCTCCCCCGCCTCATCCTTAATTGGTAATTGAAAAAGTATAATTCAAACGAACCAAACAAGCCACCTCAGGCACGCATAGTAGAAACATGAAGCAGTCAGAATGGGCTTTCTCTTTATGTATGTAAACAGCACATTCGTTCATCAAAACTAACTGTATTTTGAGATTCTAGCTATCTTTTGTGAGCCAAATGGAGGTTGATTATAGTGTTGGGAAACAAGACGTTGAAATATTGAGACAATTAACAGATAACAGGATAAGTATACAATCGTCAATTTCAATTGAGACGCCACTACTGAGAATATGAGACATCATTCAAAAATTGGAAAAAAATGAAGCTAGGTTTAGCTTGTAAGGATACCTTTTGCTGTTAACCATCGAAATTATGGGTTTTGTGTAAAAGGCACTATGATCCGCTGTGGCACGTCGTTGAAACCAACAAGTGACCAGAGCAAACCTGCTGAGCCTTTTCTGCACATCCTCAGAAACTATCCAACATGTTTCCTTCAACCATCTATTTCTGGTTAGAAAACCTATTACAGCCTTTATACATTTATGTAGGGTAGAACATACGACCCTCTGGTGTTCTGAAATCACTAGAGTTTGGTGTTCTACACGAACTACAGGTCTTTCAAAAGATGTATTAGACACTTTTCAGTCAACAAACAGACAAATATCAATTCTACTGCTGCAAAATCTACTCTTACTCTTTTGTTCTGTCCAACAGAAATGCTGTCCTTGTCTTGAAGGTTGAGCAATCAATCAACTGTCGTATTTGTTTAACGTCTTTTTTTTTGTTTTTTGTTTTTTTTTTTGTTAATAAGCCAAAAAGTAGGCAATAATATTTGTTTCAACCAATAGCTCCGTAAGATAATTCAAGTTGAATCAACAATACTGCAAAAGTTTGAATATTGAAACTAGGATCAAGTCCATTCATAGTATCTTTGTCAAGCAGGACTTCTTTGTGAGCTTAAAGCTCTACTTTTAGCGAATTAGCTTTAAAAGCACGATAAAGAAGAGGCCTATAATATAACGGACAGAAACTAAAGAAGAAAGCGAAAGACGAAGTATGTTTAGCAATTACTCAGTATAAACTATCAATAATCCACTGAATTATTCAATGATCTGATGTCATATGGGTGTATATACGATAAATCGTACAATGCAGTACTACTCATCAAATTCATTGCTTATATAATAAAAAAAAAGGAAAACGAATACCTGTGCTTTTGTTTCCCAACTGATGTAGCATATATAGGGAATACTACAGTACTGCATTCAATGGATGAGCTGGTATATCCAACCAGTCAAAACTTATTCTTTGGGTAATAGAAAGTTGGGGCGGTTTTATTTGTCACTTTTGAACAAAATGTACCAACAGTCGCTTTGTTTTTGTTTTCTTCTGAAACGGCCTCTGAATGTAATCTTCTTTAAGAATGCCTCTCACTCAAATGAAAAGCGTATCACTTGTTTCTCGGATACACGCTGGGCTTTTATTTTCTACGTAAGCAAAAAGAGCTAAATGTTGCACATATCACTAGCCCTATTTCTATTAGCAGCAAAAATTGCTCATCTCTAAAAAGTAAATCAAGTGAAGCTTCTTTGTAGGTTCTACGCCGCGTAGGTTAAAGGCAAAACCTCAGTGAATCTTGTTCGCAGGAATGGAGCAAGAAACAGGCGCCCAGTTAGAGTCATGAAAGCAATATTGAGAGCAATATTTCTGACGCGCCTCCATTGGCTCTGTGCTCTTCTCGGTTCGTAGTATTTGACCTCCAGCATACATGCAATACCGTGAATACAGAAAAAGCACAGATTTTCCAAAGTCAATTTGCGGCAGACGCTACAGATGATTAATTCGTGAAACACTCCGCTAACGAAGAAGGACAGTAGCCCTCGACCTTGTCTTGTGGATAGAAAGCCAACCTTCTGAGGCTTTTGTTGAGACGGCTTTGATGTCTGTCCGTCCTTATCCGTTCCTCTTCTTCTAGAATAGTTTTCAAACACTTGACTGTGCAACAAATTTCGGACAATGAGATTCCATCTACGACTGGAATAGGAAGTTCTATGAGCTCTCTCAAGCGCATGATAAAATATCGGTTGTAAATCAATGCATTTACCTCCAGAAATCTCTGGGACTGACGAGATAACATGGAAACGGCAAATAGTTCAAATCAGTAAAATCCATACAGCATTTATTCATGACAGCTGTGATCTTGCTTTCTTGCCATTACCTTGTTGATAAGATGGGAGAGTCAAACATATCTTGCATGCACCAGCCGGAGAAGCATTGCACGAATCCCATCAAAACATCCATGCCTCCCAAGATGAGATAGGCCTTCAAACCGAATAAAAATGTGCTTAAAAGACTCTCTTTACTTAGCCATGCGTATTTCAACATATCATCGGGCTTAGCGGGCAATAAAGGTTCGATAACAAAGTATAGGAAGGTTAATTTACCAACGCCTCTAAATACCTTTTTCAAACCTAACGTACGATTATCCTTATCCGATGTCATCAGTGGATGATCTACAACCGTATTGTACAAGGCGCGAAGCCATTCTGTCAAGGTAAACTCTTCTGTAGGTAGATAAGCACTGTAAGCAGCTATAAACCAGGGCACAGCAGCAAAGGCAACATTGTTGGGAAGATAAGGTGAGACAACAGCTAAAGGAACAATAGCGTGAGTTACTGTCAATCCGAGTCGCAATGTGCTTTTCGAGATGACCAGCTTGTCCTGATGTCGCAGAAGGACATAGTCTATACCAAGCATCAAAGCATAAAGCCCTGTTAGTTGACTTGATGTCAATACAATCGGTTTTGGCAAATCAACGTTCAAGATCGGGGCCGAGTAGATTGGCATTTTATAGAATAAAATGCTGTGGAAAGTAAATTTTTATCAACTTCCCGGTTGCCCCCAAATTTATTATTACATACAAAATTGAGAACTCTCGGTAAACAGGCAAGTTCGCGGTATTTCATCTTTGACAGAGTTCGTGGTTTCGTTGAAAGGCTCTCAAAACATGAGGTTGTATAAACAATGTTCGTACGTATCGCATGGTTATTATGGTTCCTGAAATATTCAAAGCGCTATGGAATATTCTATGATCTTGCAGCGACAAAAATAAAACTAATTTGGCTTTACTACTACTCTATTGCTTTATCTAAAGAGTTCAGAAAGCTCTATAAACAAAAATTGTTTACAGGACTACAAAATCAAGAACATAAACACATTTCATGTGCCAAAGTTCTTAAAAAGAAGGTTTATCGATATGTCGCAGATTCATTTAAAAGGAAACAACGACGATCGTGCTGTGACGCTGACTGTGACTTTAAGCTATAAAACAAATCGTTTTTTAACTTAAATTTGTGTTTACTCCCCTTTTTCCCTCCTGACTGAACTCTTCTCGCTGGTCTTCCAAGCTGCTGTTATCAGTAAATGTATGTGGATTATACGAAATCACCCTTCATTGATATACAATTGCCATCAGCTATTGTTGTACCATCGTACTTCCTTATAGTGTTGTACAGTGCGATTTTATATGCAGACTACTATCTGTTCCGTTATGAACACCGGCTACATCATTTTGTATCTCCAAAACAACTGCGACTAGTCATCATTATTTACCATATCCTTATACCCATGATATTTGTCTCCAAATACCCGCATTACAACCTTCTATTTGCGGCAGCGCCTTGGTTTTTGGCTGTCTACACAGCATCCCTGCCGCCTGAAAAACTCTCATTTCAGAATTGGATTCAGGAAATGATCAATATTACGATTGATAAGACGAAGGATAAGACAACAATTCAGCAGCAGCAGCAGCAGGAGGAGGAAAGTAAGCTTACGCGCGAGACACGAATTCGGCTAAAAGGTCTCCAAAAAGTTGCTTTGGGCTTTTTCAAATTGGCATTTATGCATGTGATTGTCAATCCATGGTTGCCTACCTATGGTAGTGACGCGTTAGAATATGCTTGGCTGCACCCATTAAGCGTCATATATACTCTCCTTTATGGCATCAAGGCATACTGTTTTTTGGGCGCTATTGACATATTCATGGGCGCTGAACAAGCCATTTTCTCTTGGGATATGGTCGATTTATTTGATAGTCCTATCTTGTCGGCAAGTCCGAGAGATTTTTGGAGGTACAATAACTGTAGTTAATAGTGAAAAACATGTCAGAACAATATCCTATTCACCCTCATCATTTTTACACTGTAGTCGTCGATGGAATAAGGTTATTCGTAACTTGTTGCATGAACATGTGTTCACAGGGAAAAGCCGTTGCGAAGATAACAAGATAGCAGATTGGGAAGCGTCTGCGTCAGTCACAACACTAGAACCTGCTATCATTGAAGATACCAAAAAATCAAAAACGAAAACAGTTGCAAGCACAACAAAAAGAGTAACGCGTAGTACATCAAAAATTACGTCTAATCTTGGCATGGGCTCTGATTTAACAAATCAAGGTGTTCAGGAGTCGCTTGTGAAATTGCAGCAAAAACCTCACAAGCAGCAAACCAGGAAACTCAGACATCCACAGACTCTAGCGGAACATTCCACATATAGAAGCATTGGTAATGTTACATTACGTACAACATGAACCCCTGTAACACAAAAGGCTCATTATTTCTTTGATAGAAGGAGTAAACGCATTCAATGAACGGTGGAAGTGCCTATGGGGTTCTAGACGCATGCGTGGTTTGTTATCATTCATTATCAGTGGTGTCTTTCATGAACTTATTATTATGAGTACGTGTAGACATATAACATTAGAGAACCTATTATTTTTCACCTTGCAAGGCGTGGCCGTCATGTTGGAGTTAGAAACTCGTACGATGATACAACCTCATGAGGAATTGGATCTTAGACGACGTGTACCTCGTATAATGTTGCAACTGTTATTCATGGCAATCACTGGCAGACTATTCACCGCACCCTTCCTTAAATATAATTTTCTTGCTCCCAACTTTAGTCACGTAAAATATGCATTTTAGCCATTTTATCATAAAAAAGTCTGCATTCAACTTTAGCTTATACGCTTATTTTCATATACTTACCTATGATAAAACTTTAAATTGCCAGTTAGACTTTACAAGAAAATTGAAGCAACGGATAAACGTACTTCAACAATTAATCAGTAAGCGATATTTTCCGTGGTTAGAGAGACGAGAAAGTATAAGCATTTCATTTCCTGTTTGAACGGCCGGCTTTCTTACTATATCCATCCTTTCATAAATACCATAAGCCCTCCTCCTCCTTCTCGGTTTCTAAATAATATCTATAGTTCGCTGAGCCACAGTAAATGATGAATCATTCCCGACTTTAGCTTAACTTATGTATAAACATCACGGTTTTGGCATATATAGTATCTGATTGAAAAAAATTATTTGACTGATTTCGAGCACCTAAAAAGACTTGTAGTTAACGGCATCTTTGATAATTCTGTAACTGAACAATACTACTTGAAAGCTTCAAGTGCTGTTACAGTTTAAAAGTATTTAAAGCCTGTAAAGAATTGATTATCACTGTAAGCAATACTGAAATCCGCTGCTAATGTAGTTTACGAAAGTGTAATTCTTGACGATGGCGACCCCGCAGTTTCAGATGAGTTAGTAGGACCCAAACAATGAGAACCGGATATTTGAGCTAATTATTATGGTGTTTGTACAGATTTTAAACAGCACTAATATTATCAGTTACACTATACCGCTTTGAGTAGCTGGTTATTGAATAGTATTGCGTGCTTATATAACTGATATAAACATCGTTACTTCTGGCTGTAATGCCATTGACAAAAAAGTCATCCTTACGGATATGTTATCTATCGAACACAATACAAATAGTAGGCAAGTTCCTATCTGCAAATGATAATTACGTAATGGATAAATGAGATCTCCGTGTTCATTCATGCTACAATCCTTATATTTATCCTCGTAAATGGCTATTGACAACCGTTCAATATTACTCGTAAAACTTTTACTATTCTGTAAAAATAATTTATGGTTCTTTAAGCATTGTGCAAAATGAAATGGAGTTAACTAAAACAGTGGTTCAAAAGTTTTAACAGCGCAAACACTTTTTGTATACTACAGAATGGCCATACTTGTGCCAGGATATTAAGATTGGCACTAACTTTTGCTATGGCTTCCTTCTTCTGTAGAGCTTGCAGCGGATAAGTGCTTTCTCAGGTCGTTTTTTAAACAGCGTGAGTTTTTTGACACAAAAATTTAGTGAGCTTCCAACTACTGAGTTAACAATAAAACACAGGTACACCTTTTTGCGAGAAAAAGACAAAAAACCACCACCAAAACACTTGTCATTCCATTATATATACAAATTGATGAATGGAGTATTTCAATAAGACAGCATTGTCAGCTTCCAAACAACCAGAATTACTTCAAGATGAAACAATTTTGTTGCGACAAGGACGAATTGGTCTTTACGAAGGGTAAACCAGCACTGATGTTTTAAAGTCATGTCGTTATGGACAAAACGGAATTAATGTTGCATAACCATCAGAAAACATAAACTTGAGCACTTTCAGGATGGCATTTGTTACTTGACAACACACCGCATAATTTACGTGGACAAATTGGATCCTATGAACTATTCAGCAGAGCTTAGCCTTTCTTACGTGACGCACATTGAGAGCTATGTAGGTATTGCTTCAATGTTTTGTTCGAATGCATAATCTTTGACTTAAATGTGATATGAATAGAGCGGGTTTTTAAGATCATCTCCCAAAATCAATTTAAAAATCGATGTTGCAGCAATAAAGGCAGAAAAGCAAAAGACACGAAGCAATAGTAGGAGTATGAACAAGCAGGCCAATAATGGCTCTAGTAATAATACCGGTATATGGGCTTGTTCAATATGTCTCTTTGCGAATAAAGCCGATAATAACGTGTGCGAAATGTGCGGTGTGCATAAACAAGAAACTCAAACAACGACATCTTGTTCCATTGTTGCACCTGATCCATCAATAGACACAAATAACAATAATGAGAATACTTGCCCAGTTTGTACATTTATAAACCATCCGAGTATGATACAATGCGAAATTTGCGGCGCAACACTATCAAGAAAAGCCATGACACCATCTACTTCCTCCGACTCCTCTAATTCGATACCTAACAGTAGTCGTAATAATCCACTGCCTACCAGTTCACCAAATGCTTCTAATACTGGAGAAATTCGTTTGTCCTTCAGACATGGTGGGCAATCTAATTTTTTCAACAAACTGAAAGTAGTGTTGAGTAAAAAACAATGGCAAAAGAAACAGGCACCCTTACCAGTAGAGATGACAGCACCTGCCACTCGAGGTGTCGGCATTAGTAAATCTTATATTCCGGAAGATGGTTAAGTCGCAAACTTTATCGCTTAAATAATAACACATTTATTTCTTTATTCTATTATAGGTGCTATTGAGGAGCGTATTCAAAAAACAACATTGGAGGCAAACGAAACCTTGTCCGATGCCTTTCAAGATTTAGATAAACTAATGATGAAAGCAACAGAGATGGTTAAACTAGCAGAGTCAATATCGAATAAGCTTTATAAAGATGCTGCAAACCAAGGAGATGAACTCGGGACACTACGATCACATTTGCTTAACCTTGGTATTGCTTCACCTGTAACAAAGTAGGTTTTCTAAAGATATGTCTGGTGCTTAAGCATTGTAATTCATACCACTCACTATTTTTGTAACAAAAGAGGGTCTGCTGGCTCCGTATACCATCAAGAATTAGCCAGAGAGCTAGCAGATTTTTTGGGAAAGCTTTATAAAAAGAATGATGATATGAAATCGTTGACAGATATTTATTGTTTATTTAACCGCGCTAGAGGTGTCGGTACGTAGTTTAGAACATAAATAATTATGAGCGTCTGCCACTTAGCTAACGCTTTAACCTTAAAAATATCATAGCCCTCATCTCTCCTGAAGATCTATACAAAGCAAGCCAACAGTTTGAGTCTTTAAGGTTGCCTTTCAGATTGAGAAGATTCCCTAGTGGTTTATTAGTAATTCAATCCATGGATATGACGGATGACAGAGTAGCATCCCGTATATTGAAATTTGTAAAAGACGAACATAACGGCTTGACTGCTTTGAGACTAGCAGAAATTCAGGGTTTGGCTCTACCTGTCGCTGTGGAACAATTGGCAATAACGGAGCACCTAGGTTTCATATGTCGAGATGAAGGCCCAGCAGGCATAACCTTTTACGAAAATTTATTCATATTGCAGACAAATCCAGCAAATCTCATGGTTTAGTACCTAATATAAAATAAGCTCTTCTTTTACTCTACTCCCTTACCGTTCGCGCAATTTATCCCCCTCCCCCCTCTCCCCCCCCCAAGAAGAAAAGGAAAAGAAAACCAAATAGCATTTTTACTCGATAAACAAGCTTTGAGCTGATGCTTTGAAAAAAGTGACGATGGCTTTAAAACTTAGCAGGGTATTTCTTTCCAACTAATTATGCTATAATTTAATCAGTGTTGACATTAATGATCAATGCAGACCTTGGCACTTAATTGGAAAAGTGCTATACTATGTATCGAAGCATCAAACGTGACTCATTTTCAAGTGTTAATCAACCAAAATTCGTAAGTTGTTACTGATACATTCATGCTACTTTTCTCGGATTCTAAGCTGTCACATATTGGGCTACGAATTCATTTGATACTCGCGAAAGAGGCAGTTTGGATCATGTAATATGCCTCAAACTTTTTATTTGTACGAACGAGCAGTAATTACGCTTTCAAAGACAAGGAAACTACGATATATTGACACAAACACTTCAATAACAATAATCTTGGTTTTCATCAATGAGAAACCTTAGTGACTCCCTAAGAGATGAGTGCTTCCTTAGTACTTCTGAAAGTATGAGATTTTATATATATGATGGATACAACGAATACCACGTAACTGTGGCTTATACTCTATTAGAGAGGGAAAGAAACAATATTTATAATTCAAATCAAAGCATTGTTATAGCAATAGGATTAATACAAAGAAAATGTGACCAGAGGAGGATATATAAATAGAACTGTAAATGTAAACTGTATATGTGTATATATTACTGTCAAGGAAAAAGTAGAGAATAGAGACGATGTCGGAAGGACAAGATTTAGTTAATAATAGGAAGAGTGTGTTATATACGTAGTACTGATCTATGATTCAATATTGCTCATAGATGCTGTAGGATCCCATTGTGCATCTTTCGCGTGTTGCGCAGCAATATTCTTGAAGTAAGCTTGCGCCTGCGCTCCATTTTCTAAACTTGCTGTCATTCCTTCGATTGCTAAACTGTTGGGTATACTTCTAACTAGGCCATCAATGGCTAAGCTGTTGGGAAAACTTCGTACAATGGGCCGTTCCATAGAATGAACAGAACCTATTGATCTTGGGATCGGTGGCATTTCGTCGCCATTTATAGAACGTGTTTGTACTGAATTCATCCATTGGGAGTTTTCTGCAAGCATACCATCCGCTTGACCTTCTTCAGCGGTTGCTGTATAGTGTGCCTCCTCACTATAACTTTCTAAATAGTTAGTAATCCAAGGATGATTGAGCAGTTCTTCTGCAGAAGGACGCTTATTAGGATCGCGAATGAAGCATTTCTTTAAGAAGTCGATACCCTGTGCAGATAACTGAGACGCGTCGGGCAGTGGAGGATGCCCTGTCACGACATGGTACATAACGGACCACTCATTCTCCAAAGTGCTCCAAGGACGACGGCCAGTTGCCATTTGCACAATGCAACAACCGAGAGACCAGATATCCATTGAACCTTTACGACCTGTGTCACTGCCTGTAATAACTTCAGGTGCCTATCATTATATAATCAAGATTGTAAATTGGGGGGTTTTGTTTTACTGAGGTAACCCTTCAATTGTGCCTACCATATACATCGGAGTGCCAGCCAAGCTACCAACATGCATATTCATGGTTGTACGTCCCATAGTCTTCTGACCCTTAACTAAGATCTTTGAAGCACCAAAATCAGTTAATTTCAATTGACCCTGGTAATCGATCAAGATATCTGGACGTATTCATTAGCATTCAATTCTAGAGTGTCTGCTCTGCTTAAATTTTATACTTACTGTCAGGTTTAATATCACGATGAACAACATTATTTTCATGTAGATACGCTAGACCGCTAAGCAGTTGATAAGCATAGTCAACAATATACAATTCATCTTCAATGCGACCACCATGATCTAGGAGCGCACCCAAACTGCCATTTTCACAATACTCCATGAAAATGTATACCCGATCACGATGCACTTCCTATGAAATAATTTCATCATTAGAATCCAAATGGAATGATTATGCCAAGTTAATAATTACCATTCCATAATACTGAACAATATTTCTATGATGAAGCATTTCCATAACTTTCATTTCCTCTTTAATAGATTTGTGTAATGCAGATAACGAACTAGAATCTGGGAATCTAATTTCCTTGACTGCCATCACAGTGGATGTATCAAGATTAATCGCCAAATATACTGAACCAAACGTACCAGCACCGATAAAGCGACCTTGTTGCCAGCTGAAAGATATATTGGAGGAAGATGGAGCCAAGAAGACAAGCGATTGGTCTTCTGGTTTCTGATCGTCAAGTATTTTACCGATAATCTTTCGTTCCTGTTCGTCTTCTGTACGTCTGTTTTCAATTTCATTGATTTTGCGCATCCACGCATCTCGTATATACATTACACCACCTCCACCTGTTGCCGCTGCATCATTGGATGCACCAAAGGTTGAGCTGGTAGTAATATTATCCTTATCGGCATTCTTTGATGTCATGTAAGAATTTCTCTTTGCTGTAACGCCACGCAGACGTTGTTGGTCCTCTTTCAATTGAAGTTCGTATGTGTATCTTGTACCAAGAATATCAAAATGTGAGATCAATAATGCTACACAACGTGCCACTTTACTTTGTAATGTAGCGAATTCGGTTTCGCTTAACGCCAATATATTGACACCGCGTGTCATGAGATGAACGAATTCAAGGGCAGCGACAGCCCATCGGAACGTCTTTCGATCCGAAGGAATACAATCGTCCGTAATGAACGAAATCCAATCAATCGCCAATCGTACGAGCTTAAGATCCAGTTGAAGTCGTACTGCCAGTTTTAAAAATTTAGACGCGCGTACGCCAAAATCACTTGCAAAACTAAAGCACTCTTCGACAAGCTCTTGACAACCTAAACGAAGGGTTTTATCACGGATAGTGCTAACACTAGAGATGGTAGAATCAGCTAATTTAAAGACTGTCATCTTGATTTTGTGCAATTCTTTGTCGATTTTTGGAATATGAGCACGGTGCTCTTGTATAATCTCTATGCCTGAATGCTGGACAGCTGACCAAAACGCTGCCTTAGCAGGAGCTAACCTCTGTGCATCACCGGTCGTCAACCGCACAAGTCGCGTTTTAATACCAAGGTGAATGAAAGGGGTAGAAACCTCGACAACTTCACCTGTCCACATAATATTTTGCCAAGGCGAGAATATCAAGATATAGTCATCGAATTCTGCCTCATGGTGTATAGTGTTCGGATCATCTGGCACGAATGGAGTGGGTACTTGTAATGTTCTATTTTTTGCAAAGCATGATTTGATCAGAGTTCTAATGACATCGTCTTTCCCGTACAGTGATGGTGATGCAATAATATAAATTCGCTCCTCCTCGAAGGATCCTGTGTAAACTAAGAAATGCCCTGTTTCAACTAAACATGTCACGAACTTGTCCATATTGTCTGAATCTACGACATATTCTGCTGCATTTTCAAACTGTCCCATGAAGAATCTTAATCAAAAAGCATATATTAGCATTAAAAGTTGCGAGTAACAAGACGGAGATATACTAACCTGGCAAATTGAAGTAACTTTCTTGCGCGCATTCGCATTGTGTGTAATAATTTGGTATATTTGACTTCAATACCGTTATCTTCAACTGACTCTGGAGGTATCTTTAATTTTGAAATATAGTCATGCATAACATCTTGTAGCAATCTATTGGTTAATGAACTATTAATAGATTGATGAGTGCATGCTCTAACAGCATTGTAATAACACCCGTTTTTTCTGAATGTATGGCTTACCAAAACTGTTCGGCACATTCCCAATCTGCTTTATCTACAGTTTGACAAATGGTTTCTTGTAAAAATGCCCACTCTTTCTCCATCACCTCTTTTTCTCGTAAGTTATTTTCTTTTTCAAGGTTTAGTTTCCAAGTGATCAGTTTAAAATAGAAACGAACCGATTCCATTAATACTGCGTCATAGTTTCTGTCTATAGGCTCATCTTCCTCTAGTACAAAACCAGGTGCCGAATGAGTCAATTCTTCGTACTCTCTTTTCACTCGACACGCTAAAGAGAGTAATCCTCGATAGTCTTCCATCATAGCATCTACCATTTGTTTTGGCGGTTCTTGCATTCGACTTTTATATTCCAAACGAAGTTTCAATGCTTCTTCAACTAGTGAGATAGGGAAGTAAGCTAATTGTCGTAACTGAGTAATAAACGATGGTAAATTCATTTCTTGGAACTGTGCCGAATTAAGTATCATTGTCTCTTTTGATTTAACGAGAAGAGAATTCAAGGCTGATAGTGTTCGTTTATCAAAGGTATCTTGAAGCGCTGATTCTTTTAATAATCTTTCCACAAAGGAAGTATCGTTGTTTCGCGCATCCTCCTTACTGCTGTTATTTGTTTCTGTCGTGGATGGTTCTTCTGGCTTTTTTCTTGCAATTTGTAAATCTTCTGAGCCTGTCCAATTTCGCAATATTTTATATTGCATACTTAGACTACGAGTAATGGTGCACCAAGAATTGAGTGCATCTAATCTCGTTTGAAACTCTATTGAACCGTATTGTGGGTGAGCTTGTATCATTTCTGCACGAGTAGTATAGAGTGATTCTATTCGATCCACATTTTTTAAAACTTCGGCTACTTTTCGCAGTGCATTCTGCTCATCATTTTCTTCAACTCTGAATTCCATGACCATTCTCAAAACGCTGCCTATTTCTTTTCGACTGTCTTCTAGTGATTTCTGTTCCTGTATAATTGTTCGACCGCGTAATAAAGCACGCAATGATAGCCAGATTTCTTGAATGGGTTTCTCTTGAGTAAATTTATCAGACGTCGACAACCTTTTCTTTTCTGATTTCAGGATTTCACCTAGTAGAACGGACTGAAGCATTTGTTGCCATTCTAATCGCTCATGCGTGATTTCAGGAGCTACTGTGGAGAAGGTTTGATTACGGGCATAAAGTTGGTTGAAAGCTGTTTCATCGTCTTCATCACTCATGCTATCCTCCTCCTCATCACTATAATAATCTTCATCCTGATAAAGATTCAATGACGGTGGTAATACTGTATTGGTATAACTGGGAGTTATGAAAGGCCACGGTGTGGTGGCTGGTTGTGCATTGGGATAAGCATTGTTCATAGGTTGATTCGAAGGAACTGGTTGAAGATCTGGTTGTATTGTTGGTATTGGCTGGGTATGCTGTGGTACCGGTTCAACTTTATCACTATCCTCCGTCCAATGTACTCTTCTAGTGCTCGACATGATTCTTTGTTAGAATGGAAAGTACAAACTTCGATAGAAGAAATAAAATGGAAGGTTGAATTAGATATTCAAAAAGCTGGTTTTGAAGGACCGAAAATGAGGGACAGAAATCAAAAAGCGATCCCAATTCAAATACAGTATTTTACCTTATATTTTAGACGATTTACAATTTTTAATGAACAATATACATTTTAATTTTAGATTTATTAAAAAATATTTTTAGAAAAGTCCATAGTATTTTGGATATTTGGATACTCAATTATTCAGTGATATTCAAGCAGCATTAAGGATGACATACAATCGAACCCTAGAAATTAGTCTCTATCAGTAAGAAAGTCGCCAATAATGGTTTTATTGATGTTATCTTGCAATAGGGCAAACTACAAAAAGCTTGACAACTTTTTTACTAAATGACGATGTGTTCCGAGACCAACAAGATATTCGTTGGTGCATTTTTTGGACAAGAATTCCAAAAAAAGGTTAACTTTGAATTGATTGACATCAAACCATTGATAGAGGGCTGAGGGTCATAGTATAGCAGATACCATAGCGGAATGGGATGGTTATATTATCTGTTGTCAATGTTTTTGTATGCGTTCATGGATGACTTTCAAAGATAAGCACTATAAAATATATTGCTTTCTTATACTCAAATGTTGTCTCTTTCACTTTAATTCACGTTTGATGATACATACTATGACCCATGTTCAAAACAATAATTGATGAAAAAAAAAAAAAGCAAATTTTTGAAAAGAAAAAATCAACTGCTGTTCATGGTAACTTGCCTTTTGAAAAAAAAAAGCTCTTATCATGCGTAGTGTATGCCTTGGAAGCTTTTAAAAAAAGTCACAAGTGATTTCTGCTATCAAGAGATCTGTCAAGGAAAACCTAAATGGCCAACTGATGACTACCTTACCGAAGATATAAAAGCAAAGATCCAAACCTTCTGTGAACCTTGGAAGAAGAAGCTGGGGAAGAAAGTGAACATGAAGACATTATCTGCTGATCCTGGGTCTTTCGTACCCTTTTTGTTATCTTTGAACGCAGAATTTGAGAGAGAACACGATGATCATAAGTCATTTGACGTAAGACGACGTCCTCTCCCAAAACTGTTATCCTTACTGCCAAAGGTTTCTGTTCACTGGAGGTTTATTACCTTGAGTGTGAACGCTCTGTCTTCTTTTGTGAAACGTTCTTTACCCCGCAATTACCAAAGCCAATTAGAGCTGTTTTTCCATGTCTTTGATTTCAAGAAACTCCGGTACAAAAGGTAAGCATACAGTTAATACGGTATACAGTCGAGTATAATGTATGAGCTTTAACTTCTTAAGCACATGTAGTATCGCTGAACTAACACCGAATGGTGATAGCAAAGAGCTCTTTGGTAATATTGTCAGAACGGATGGGTTTTCCATTGACTTTCTTTTTATAAAAGACAACAATCTGGCCATGGTGCCTCCTTCCAAAAATTGGATCGCACTCTTGATGATTTCTCTCTGGATGAAGTTGACAATACTTATTTACCTATTACCCTGGATCCCGGAAGAAAGTCTGTTTTTATTGCTGCTATTGGCCTTGAATATAACAGACAAGTGCGAAGATGCACTACATCCGAATACTATCATATGGCAGGGTCAACGAAATATTGTAAGAAATTGAACAGTATGAAAGCTGTTACAGGAATAGATCTAGTAGAAAGTCAAATCCCCTCGTCAAAGACCTCTCGTCTAGGAGTATATGAGGCGTTCACCAGTTATATGCTCAATAACTTAGACGCTCTCTTTAGTTTTTATGGACATGAAACAGCAAAGGACCGGTTTACGTTGTACCAAGGAAGGCAAAGAGCACCCGAAACTATGGCCAACATCCCACCTCGATAACCAAAAAAAGATCCTTTTTTTTTGGTTCTCTCTAAAAACACTATCCTTTGAAATGAAAAGCTTGAAAATACTATTCTTCTTAAGGCCCATTCAGTGTGATTTTTGAAGGGATTCCCCTTTTGCCCCCTGCAAAAACCAATAGAGTAGAATATTTTTTGCTGCTCCCGATATTTTACATAACAAATCTGTGATTATCTAATTTGCTTTTTTTTTTTTTCTTTTTTGAATACATATACCTTAAACTACTTTATAATGATTGCGGATCAGGAGTAAAAAAAAATAAATAAATAAATAAATAAATCTGTTTCTCAAGCAACAGAAGAGTAAAATAAAATGTTTGTTTGCGTTTTACTCCAATTAACAATCCATTCCCTTTTGGCATGATCTTAATACTAAGTTTAGACAGCAAAAAGAAAAGCTATAGGCAACAAGTTGGTGGCATTTTAGAAAAGATACTCATGATATTTAATCTATTTGAAGACCGTTTGATAGCTTTTTACTTTGTTAGAAAAAAAATAAAAAGATAATAGGAAATTACTCAATGATGATGGCCCTTGGATTCTTACGACTCTTCCAAAAAAAAAAAAAAAAAAAAAATAGTAAGAGGGCGAATGTACTTTTGCTAGTCAATTATTTTAGCCTCAAATTCTAGTTGAAACCTTGGGCTCATTGTCTATGTGGTAGTCTCAGAGACAACAGAGATAGTCCTTAATAAAATGTTTGCTCTACATGGGTAATTGTACGTTCCAAGCTGTGTAGTTGCTATAGTATGCTTCGATTATAAATGAAGTTTATAAGCGTTATAAGAAACAGGGATTATCTGCATAGATCTACAATCTATGAACATCTTTAGCGGCATCTTTAAGCAGGGAATTTTCAATTAAAGTAGAAAACAAAAAAATGCTTGCTCTTTACAAGATTCTTGCACTTATAAAAGGATATCAATTTTGCGTTCAAAATCGTTTTCTTCCTTCTCATAAACTTTTCTTGCCGACTCATAATGCAAATTAAACTTTTGAATCTCGCTTCTACCGCTTGCATATTCGCTTTCGTGTCTGCCGCACCTGTGGTCAACTCTGACGGTCTTGATGCTTCTGCTTTGAACGATATTGAAGCCGTCGGTCTTAATGATATTCACCTTACCCGTCGGCAAAATTTACCTTTTGCTGCTGTTGGTGGTTATCCTGGTTCAGGTAGTGGTGGTGGTTTTTTTCCCTTCAAGCGATAGTATTTTTTTTTGTATACCAACAAAGACGCTAATGCATCAGAAAAGATGGTCTTTTAACAATGATTTAAAAGTTTAATTTAAAAAGTGAGAAGGCTTGCTGTTCTTGAAGCATCTAGATAGCAATTGAAGAAGCTTCCTTCCATCATATTTTCTGGCCTCAATGCTATGATGAGATTACCAAATGCAGGAACGCACGAAAATTGTAATTATTCTGGTTTTTTTTTATGAAAAGATGCTCATTGACTATTCGGTAATACACAACATTTACCAACATTATAAATAATTATGTTATCGTGAAAAAAAAAACCCAATTTATATCAAATGGGAATCAATTTTATTTAATTTTTTTTTAAACTGATGGCTCAACTTTAGTGAACCAAGCAGGATGTCTTTGACTTCGGTTGAAGCTTACGTCTTTTAAAGTATTTAAAATACCTTTCCAAATGTCGCCATGGTGCTTTCTACGCCAGATGAACTCAATAAGCATCCATGGCATCATTTTTTTGGTTCTCATTTTCCTAGCCACGTTGATTTTTATGTCAGATCACGTTCCTAACGTAAAAGAAAACGGTTATTAATTGATGAATATAGTTGAACCTGATATATTACATACCTTCAATTGTGTTGGTACAGACATCACCATCACGAAAAGTGACAGAATGGTTCACCGTGCGATGCTCTAAGCCCATACCGAGATTCACCATGTTCTGATACGCACTCCAGCAATCAGTATAAACCAGTGTTCCTGGTTTTACAAAACGTTCAATGATACTGGAGAGAGTGGCTTCGTTCCTGTTCTCAACGACAATGAGAAAACACTTTCTCTCATCTGTCCTTTCTACCCCGCCAACCACCCAGACACCTTCAACTCGATGGCCACGCCAGTATTTCACTTTTCCGAATTTGCTTTCATCAATCTGAACAATAATCCGGTCGTCATGAGAATCATATCCACAAACTTTGCAATCATCGAGTGTGATATCCTCCTGCAAAAGCGGACGCCAGTCATTTATTACTCCTCTTACGGTCGCAGGAGATATTTCAGCTAGACTGGCTTATATACATCGGTCAACGTTATGAGCCCAGTAGAGTAATATCGTCATCGTGGTCGAAATGGCAATATTACGGTTGTAAAAAACGAATCCACTCGGATAGTTCGTGATGAGCCATTACAACATCTGGTGCCATCTTCTCTAAGGACACCATGGCATCACCACTGTTGTTGGTGCTTATAATAACGCACGGCAGAGCCACTGGAACAACGAACGATCTCTTGTGTATCTGGCCAATAGAAAATGCAGGCAGCCTCTGTTTCTATGATGATATGCAAATTGTTGGTGCTCCTGTATTCAAGGGTACCGGCGTTCTTCATTGCAAGCAATGTCTAAAGCTATGGCAGAGAGACATTAACGCCGCTATCAATACGATGACCATATCTCGAGCAGTTTGGTCTGGAGTGGGAAGACCCAGCGTTTTCAAGCCAGCGAAGAAGAAGAAAGTATCGCCGTAATAAACACGGTTTTCCTTATCTTTTAAGGATTTAGATCATTACAGGTGAGGAATAGTACGGTTTTTTTTTTTTTTTTTTTTTTTTTTTTTGTTTCGCACTGCTAACAAGTTTTTGGAATTTGAATTATTGTTTAAACGGTCTATATTTTGGTCTACAACACAATTGCAACTCATCTAAAATGTAAATATTTATTGTCCAAAAAAAAAGTATTTCATCTAATTAGTTAAAATACTGTAGTAATGAAAACAGAAACATTGTCTTTGTGACACTTATTGTAGAATAGGGAATTTCTTTTTTAAACACATGTTATCCTGATTGGTGCTAGGAAACATCACTTTTTCAACTGTACTACAGATGCATAATTCTTTTGAAAGTGATAGGAACGAAGCGAAGAGATCCACTTTGTTATTCACTGTCTACCTGCATATACAGCAGGCTGAGCTTATGTTCTATAGGTTAGGCGACGCTGAAACAATTATGAGCCTTCCAATCGAACAATTGGAAAAGTCCGTTCAAAACGAACAGGTGAGAGTTATGAAACCCGTTCTGGACTGCAAAGAGCTTATAGAAGTGCAAATTTTAGCGGGTGAAGAATAACTATGTTTTAACATAAGGCCAGAGCGGTTATAAAATAGAATAAGCGGAAGAGGCATAGCAACCTTGAACACAGATCGTTTTTGCAAGATTTTAGAAGCCAGCAATGCCAAACTGAGGCTTGATCTGGGCATACTAAATTTGGGAGTTTCCGTCGAACTTGTCATCCAAATTTTCGGCACTTACTGCCTAATGATGAGTGGAATAGATAGCTTATACGAAAAAGATGATGCATTATTATTATTTTGTAAATAATGTTGATGGGGAATATTTTTATGTACATTGATGGGGCTATTCCCTTTAAGCGTGGGTAGTGGAAGATTGCTATACTTGCAAAATACATGACTGAAGTCGTTCTTGATTTGAACTCTTGCTATCACGCATTTTTCATAATGCTAAAATGCATAACGGGTACTTCAAATTTGTCTCCAGTAATGAGCCTCGATTTATAAACCTGGATTCTTTCCATATTCGTATACTTTATAGATTCTCATGTAGTGGGTGGATCCAGCCTTGGCAGTTTTTAGTTGTATAATTGCTTCCTTCCAAGGTTCTATCCGTTTCTTTAAAGTTCAGTGTTCGCTTTTTTTTTGTCAAAATTCGGGGATTTTTACAGCCCCATTTTCACATTTACAAATATCTAAAGTTAGCTCTTGTTGCCACCAAAGACCGTCAAGGTCGAGTCTACGAGTCAAGGTCAATTGCATCCGAGCTTTGTTGTCCTTGAACATACTCTTGCTCACGTATCTGCTCGCTCAGGGTTGTTGCATTTTTGACAATGAATCTAGCATACCAAATTCGAGTGTGGCTAGCACAATCTTCGCATGTATCAAATTCTTTTCGAAAAGTATGGTAGCTTGTGTTTCATCTTGGCTGCGTGAGTGCGTTCCCAGATGCGTCTCCACTGTTGTCTTTGATAGTAGACGATATATACAATAAAATGGTATAGTTCACTTTTATTTAGGACAAGGATGATCATACAATACGGCAGCGTACATTATAGTATTAGTAATACTTTAATACTGTGAAACAAGTGTTGTGTTAAGTTGACAGCATCGTTAGATACGATGAGTCTCGTATGAATTGTACGAGATCATCGTATCGTATTATCGCTGAATTTTACTTAGTTTGGTCTCCTTAAGTTTTCTGTATCAATTTCGCGTGCTATTTGCTACCTAGCAGGCTTGAATTACAACAAATATCATACTGTCATTTGTCAAGATTACCGACAACGAGAGATCGTCACCGCATTCAGGCTAAATTCTTGTTGCGAACACATATGTCTGTAAATGCCCCTACTGACGAATTCTCTACCATATTTACTTGGCAATACACACACTCATTCTGATGAGGTTTGCCACCCACAATGAAAGAGAGAGGGACGAAGAGAAAAACTGGTATATCTAGCCGTGCCAGCCAACATCAAAATGGAAGCGGTGATGATGATAGTGGACGTAGTCATATTTTTTTAAGAGAAATAGCAGATTTTTAGTAGCACTCTCGTTCAAGACAGATCATTTCCTTCTGCTGATGAGTAGGTATATAAGAAGTTGACAGTACAAACATTGCTGATATCTTTTCGCGCGTTTCCTTATCTTTCATGATGCTTTCGATTCTCCACTAACTTTATCCGAACTATGCTTACTGTTATGTTCCTACGCTACTGCTTAAGTACGGATCTTTCACGTGTTGGTTTCTGATAGTGTTTGTAACCTTAGTCTTTACAAATGATTCGGTTTGACTTAATCGTGACATTTTATCCGTACAACTTTATTCGAATAAATAAGCAAAGCAAGTAACAATTATGGCAAAAACAACTGTTGTAGAAGAATGCTAAAAATACAGGATGGGATATGGAAAATTAATAAGCAAGGATTTACCAATTAGTTCTTCGATTATGCATTGAATCAAGGTATTTGAACATTGTGCCAGGTACTGCAGTCGAACGGTCTCTCCAATGATATGCAAAAATCTGTAGTACTCTCTTCTTCTCGAATTGAGTATTTTTGAATAGACTTGGAAGGGAGTTTATTCTTCGACATTGGGATGGATCAGTGAAACACCATGGCAGAATCGACCAGGGCTTAATTCCATTATGTAGAATTCTTCTATAAATTCTATAATACAGCTTGGAACCGAAAATTTCTGGGCCCTTAATAAGATGTCGTTTAGGTGGTGATGGTTGAGTTTTTGAAGATGTGCCGCTATCAGCCTCAACCCTCGCTCTAAACAGATCAGCAGCACCTTCCAAAATTTCACATACATAGGGAGATTTTTGATAGAAATGGAACAAAGCACCTGTAAAAGGATTACCAAACATTCCAGTCGAGCAGCTTCCTTGAGCAATCCATTCGTGCTCAAATAATGGTGATAAATCTCTTATGAACATGGTATCCAGATCAAACCAAACACCACCATACTGGTAAAGTACCAACATTCTGAGTAAATCGTCTCTTCCTGTACCATCATTTTCATCGTCCACTAACGTTCTCCAAGCGTCCTTGAAAATTTCGATGGGGGTATTTTTCGTTAATGCGACTGGATCAACCACTCTATAACTAATTCGATCAAAATTTTGCAGTCGTTGTATATAATTCCAGTTTTCTGATTGTACTAGTAGCTTTTCGTCCTCCGGCTGTATCCAAACGGTTAAGGTATGATTTACATTCTGTGTAGCTGTAAATGATCGTAAAGTGGCAAGCTGCTTTTCATCGAAATTACCAGAACTAGTATTTGAAGACCAATAAGTATGAAATGATTGTTTTCTATCAGAAGAGGGGTATCTTGGTGTTTTGAAAAGAGCTGCAAAATCGTAACAGGTGTGTGCCTCCCAAACGGGTAGACCAGGTACAAAGTTGCCTGTAAATCTCTGATTGCCTTGATAATACGGACTATTCTTCGATATATTAGTAAAGCAAGATGACAGCGGTTCGATTACAACCGGCTGTGGTGGAGATAACCAGTTTCGCAAGTATACATGTGCATTCACTTCTAATCGGCAAAGTATAAAGAACGAGATGAGTCCGAACAGTATGAAAAGAATTCCATACTTCAACAGATTGTAGATGAGTCTGTTGTTTCGCTTGATGCAATTTCCACTTTGAATTAGTATTCGGTTAAAGAAATAAAGCCATTGCATATTCTTCTTCTCTTGTTGGAAAATGTGAAAAGGATAAAAGAAATGTTGAAAGTAACAATTCACAACAATAAATCAAAGAAGGAGGAGGAAGAGAAGCTAAAATTGCAGACGAAGCTTTTATATTACTTATAACCAATCAAAATTGGCCGTTGGTTTCTCTCCTTTATAGCAGCAATGAAATATTTCTGTTTTCTAGATTGTTGCACGAATGACCATCGGCTCATCAGGACAAAGAAGTCTAAAGAAGAAAATTATGATCATTTAGAAATTAGCCGCTTATTTTGACATATCGCGTGTGTTTTTTATGTTTTTTAAAGAATCCGTGTAGTTTTGGGCTATTTTTTCAGCAACGGTGGTCCATCACAATGTTACTATTTCGATTACATTGATGCTCCTTGTAAGGATAACTGTTGAGACTTGGCTCTCAATGTTGGATCCACCGCACAACGATAATGATCCAATATAATTGAACAATTCTTCTGAAGCTCTATTTTTTGATGACTGAAACCAGGGATACTGAGTTTTATGAGGCATACGTGCATAAATTTTTCTCCCTCGGCAACGATCTGAATAAGTGCATCACTGTTATGGCTGTCAAAAAGGTCGTGTATTTATGAGTCAAAGTTTGACTATCGGGAGGACTTTTCGGACCTGGCGCCGAAAAATCTTACCATTAGATGATTTCGTTTTCTGTTATACCATTCTAATAATAAATCATATATGTTTGGATCAATAAACACCAAACAGCAATATTGAGTTCTTATGAATGTTCCTATACATCGCCCTCTGCATAGTTATTCTGAGTTTTGCCAATAGAAGAGACAGTTCATCAAATTTTCCTTTATCCAAATCGTTCGCGACAATACTAGTTCTCATCGATCTCTCAAAAATCGGTAAATCAATTGAAAGTCGCAATCAAGAGCTACCCAACGAAATGCTGAGCAAACTTGTTTAAAAAACAGTTCCGTCAGCTGACGACGCTAGCTTTCAAATATTGTTGTTTGTTAAAAGTTCAAATTCAGCGGAAAAGATATTCAAGCCTGTCGAAGGAGTATAAATTGAGCAACAGTTTACTTGCAACAGATCATTCATCCAGTTCCTTTTTTTATATAAAAATTGTAAACATAACTAACAGTTTATCGATGAGAATATCCCAGCAAACGAAAGCTTGTTTTGTCACTAGTTTAGTGACCGTGAGCCTTTTTGTAGCCCAGGCAGCAGCAGCAGCAGCAAATGCTGATGATTTAGTAGATCTTTTGCCTACTATCTACGACGGCAACAATTATAAAAACATTGCTTTTATGGCCACTGTTGGAGGCGCATCACATTATAACTGGGTTTTAAGCATTGGCGATGAGCTAGGAAAAAGAGGCCATAATTTTACTTTTGTTACTTGTGTAAGTCAAACGATAAAGTGAAGCATAGTTATGTAGTTTGATCTATCGTGCGGGTAAAAAAAGAACAGGGTTATTGATAACGTTCACCGCTAATATAAACAGGAAAGGGACACCAAATTCGCCAAGCCTTTCGATCATGTTGCCACTCATTCAGTTGGGCCTTGTACAGATCTTGAATCTTTAATGGCTAAGGGTGAGTTGAAAGAATTAATGAAGAAAGGAAGTATCGAATTCTTAACAACCGGTATGGAGCTTATGCAAACGAATTATGAGCAAGGTAAAATGATTTTACACTTTGATCCATTTCTTCTTCAAATAGTACTATACTTCTTTGGAAATAACCTTCCATCTCATTTTATTCGTTTTTTGTTCAGACTTCTTGGGCACAAAACAATACTTCATTGACAATAATATTGATCTGGCTCTATGTGACCATTTCTCTGATGCTTGCATGGACGCAGCTACCGTTTTACGCATTCCTTTCATTTACACTGGCTCTTTAGATCTGACAAAAGGTATATAGCATTTCAGTGGTCATGGGCAGCCTCTGTATTTTGAGCCATTAGAATTAATATCTATGCATGATAGACTCCAGCGCGCCGTACATTAATGACTATGCTATCTTTACACGTGGCCCTATGACAACAGAATTTGAATCGATTACAACCCGTTTCTACAACAAATTTATTCTACCCATGCAGATCATGAAAAAAGTGGTGCCTTCTTTAAGGCGTTTTGAAAAGCGCAGAAGAGCCGTTGGCGTCAATGTGGGGTTACAAGATCCAACAACAAGACTTAAAAACACCTTAAAATTAATAGATAATCTTCATGGCTTTAATGCTCCTCGCCCCTCAGGCTCTCTTGTTGAAAATGTTGGCCCTGTCCTTCCAAAAAAGTACACTCCATTGACTAGAGAACTGAAAGAGTTTCTTGATATGCATAACCGCGTTGCCTATGTTGCTTTTGGGTCCAAAGCAACCCCTTCCGAAAAAGAAATTTGCTTTATTTTAAGGGGTATTCTCGAAAATATTGAACATGGCGATTTAGATGGCTTTATCTGGGCTACAGTTCATGCCGCTGGCTTCTTCCCTGACTCTATCACCACTTCCTCAAATACTACTTATTTTGTTCACGACATGTTTAACGGCTATTACTCTAATATTCGAATGACCAAATGGGCTCCTCAAACTGCCATTCTTCACCATCCTTCTACCTACCTATTCCTATCTCATGGTATGACTTTAATTTATGAAATGATACAATTAAAGAGACAAGCCTTTTTACTAATCTCTGCTATTGTATATAGGTGGATTAACGTCCTGGTTTGAGAGTATGCATTCCGGAACTCGTATGATCATGTTCCCATTCTTCGGTGACCAACCTGCCAATGCTCATACCGTTGAGCAAAGAAAATTAGGTGGCATTTTGAAGAGCACTTTCACTATGGATGAAGCCGTTGCCTTGTTTAAGAGAATCATTAAGGATGAAACTAATGAAATTACCGAGAGTGTAAAGCGATTCCAAGCGCTGGCTCAAATCTATACGAGAAATAGTATCACTCATGCCGCAGACATCGTAGAAGAAGTCGCTTATACCCATGTTAATGGCCGTCTCCTTCATCGCGAGTCTGCAGATCGCCGTATGTCATACATAAGAGCACATAATATTGACATCTGGGCCATGCTTTTTGCTCTCGTTGGCATCGCTCTATCAGTGGGCGTGCTCGTCGGTTACAAAGTTCTTGCTGCTCTTGATAAGCAGCAAAGTGCAACTAAAGTGAAAACAAACTAAACTCAAAGAAGGCCTTTATTGCTTCTTCCTATCATAAATCTATCAATACCCCCGACCTTGGACATTATTTGTCAGCTTTTTTTTTTTCTTTCTCTCTTTACCTTAGCTGCCAATAAATAAGCTGCTTTATATGTCTTCCATTCTGATAACTGACTTTTTACTATGTTTTTGAGTAAAATTACATGGTATTGACTTTTTTATTTTACATACAGAATGAATGCAGAAAAAAATCTATAAATTAATAGCAGGCGTTGGTCTAGCTGCAAAATATATTTTTTTAGTGATGTGATGGCTTTGATCCTAGAGTAAAAGTTCGGTAAGCTCAGGAACATTTAAGAGTTTAACAAAATCAACTTTCTCAATTACCATCTACTCGCAGATTTCTTGTTGCTGATGGAATACGCACTGTGAGTCCATCTAATTTTTCGCTCATTACAACCTGACAGCCTAAACGAGATCTATTGTAATATTAATAATAGCATTAGCTTATTAATTCGACCTAAAACTTCTTATGCATCTTCTATTCCTCAATTATATCTTTACGTATCCGTCAATCCAAAAGCTAAATCTAACATATCATTTTCTTCATCAGAGGGTTCATCCATTTTATCGTAATAACTCTGCTCACAAATAACATGACAAGTTGAACATGCCAAAGATCCTTCACAGGCAGCTATACACAATCAAACAATAGAATTGCCTCATTGAGTCCATTGATGTTAACAACCTCAAAGCTCCTGTGCGGATTAGTAATACCTTCCAAATCGATGTCATATCTTTGAGTAAGGTCAATAATTGTGTCGCCATCAGTCGCCTTTACTGATATCTTTTCTCCATCTGGCGTAATGAAATTAACAGTATATGGTCTGTTTTGTAGAGAACAACATGAATAGAGTCAGCCATGAGATCCTCTTTCCTTGTACACCCATATCATATATGATGGCATATGTCAATTCTTACCCTTCTCCTCGTTTTATATGTTCTCTACCATGAAATAAAGCTATACAAAGATACATTTTACATTATTCATCAAAAGCTCAATTACTAATGGATAACAGTAATCCTTTTTTTAATATAAAAAGGATTAAAAAAAGTTTTTAGTTATACATACCTGGGGCTGACGAGAACGATCTGAATGTGTTTCTTTGAATTGGCTTGAATGCAACTTTGGTTGTAAATAATCGTAACAAAGACATGACAATTTTTTATATACAGATTTACAAGCTGATCAGTAGAATAAAGAAGAAACAGACGAAAGAGAGGGGTGTTTATGAGGCAGGTGTCTTAGTAAAAGAAAAGAAGCGGACACATATCTGATCTTCGGTATAGAGCGGGGACGTTCGCACTGGATTCTGATTGGATCAATAACACAGTTACCTGAAATCTGCCCCGGGAAAGCAGAGAACAATAAAGATCTGATTAGCACAGCTGACAAATTTTGCCTTCAGTTAGTTATATAAAACGTTTATAACAGAAACAGCATGCTTTTACAGTTTTACGCAAAAAAAAAAGGAACCATTTAACTATCTCAGAAAAACTGCATAGATGATATTTCAGAAATCTTATCGTTGTTATACTACAGTCAAAGTCTATTAAGGACAGTCTGTATGCTATTCTGTCTTTAAGTTTCGACAAAATGTACCTCCGCTTGATGCCGTCTTTCTTTATCAGCATGCTTTCATGCAATCGAAGAATAGTAGCGTTTCAAAGTGTGATTTTTACTCAGTTATGGTACGCTTTGTCATGTCACGGGAAAAAAAGCAATCACGGTGAAAAGCCCGCCCTTTCGTACCAGACCATCCACCCAGCTTTCCAGGAACATGAATCATTTTTCGGCTTGATCAAATCAGGAAATAATGAAAAAGTTAAACCGTGATACGACTCGCAACGTTATTTACAGCAGTGAAGGATCATGTTCTAGTCCTTCTTCGAATTCAATAAAACAAAGCATTTGTACTATCCATGCTTTTTCTATCTGTGGCCTTCATTACTAAAGAAGAGATAGAAGTAGTATGACTCTTGTGAAATCCCTATCATTTGCCGTAAGGCCTCCTCTTCATTCCACGTGCATCTCATCCTTCTTTTGGACTTGCTGTCAAGGGCGCAAATTAAAAAGAAAAAGCAAGAAAAAAAGGAAGGTTGTCTGCTAATCATGACAGGGTACAGCTTTGACAGAACCAATAAAGGCTTCGTTTGACATTTAAGTTTTGAATTTCCGAGGTGTGTAAAATGGAAAAATGCCTTTTCTCGATCCCCACTAATTTGTTATCTTTTTTCTTCTTCACTTGCATTTTCAGCTCACTATGAAGTTTGGCAAAACATTATTAGCTAATCAAATACCAGAATGGTCAAGAAATTACATTGCTTATAAATCTTTGAAGAAAGATATCAAGCAAGCGTCGACGCATCTACCGCCGCCTGAAGAAGAAGTCACTGGTATAACAAATAAAAGAGCTTGAAATTGACGGTCGTCGTTCTGCATGAAATTCACTTCATTCCTTTCTCTGCAGGGATTTTTTTCAAACTAGACAGAGAGCTGGAGAAGATCGACACCTTTTTCGCTCATAAACAAGCATTGATCCGTCGAAGACTATGGATTCTGCAAGAAAAATATGAAAACTCAATAAGTGAGAATGACGAACTGTTGTCAGCTTTAAAGGAAACCAAAAACCAAATGAACAAATTGATGTGGTTTGCGGAAATGAATTCGAAAGGTTTCCGCAAAATACTCAAGAAGTAATGTCGGAAGGAATTTATACATGAGATCATCATTTTCATATGCACTGAATACGTGACTATCTCTCCTTTTTACGGCATCCTTAGGCTGGATAAAAAGTTGCAATTGGACACTCAAAATGCCTACTGGGAAACAAAGGTAAAGATGATTTAGTTAGTAACTGGAGTTGTGTGTCTCGTTCTTTCTTGCTGTGTCGAAAAAAGTGTGCATACCCACCCCCCATGCTACCCTAGGTTGCTGTTCTACCATTTGCTGTGCCAAGTCAGCTACGTCAGGAACTGGACCAAGTGCAGAAATGGATTTCAGAACTGTCTTTATCGGTTCAGCAAAACAGTGAGCTGTTAGTAAGCAGCAATAACAGCAAATCAAACCTGAAGCTAGCACGTTACTCTTCAAAGAATGAGGATATAACGAAAGCCATTCTTGAAGACAACAAAGAAGAATTGGAACTTCTATTAAAAGAGGGCACGAGAGTGAGTGTCAAGTCATTATGCATAGAATCTGTAGCGGATAGCTTCCTAACCTTATTTGTCCTTTCGTCATCCCCAGACGAATGATACTATTTTGGAGCTGGCTGTGCAACATGAATCAACCAAATGCCTGTCCTATCTTGTGAAAAATTTAGGATTGTCACTAAAAAACAATCGCGACATTAACGAACGAAATCTGTTACACCGTTTATGTATACAGCCTCCTTCGTCTATGGCCATTGTGGAATGCTTACTTGATCTGGAACCCTCACTACCTTTACAGCGTGACTTTGCCTGTAGAAGACCGTTACATTATGCCGCTGAAGCCAACATTGCAGACCTGATTCAAATATTGATGCGCCATGCAATCAAACAAGGCTATTATACCATAGAAGAGGGCTTTTCTGTTGCGGATTGGCAGGATCGTGAGGGTTACACTCCTTTATTCTTCGGTATTCTTCATGGAAGCACAAGTGCAGTCAAGGAAATGATTGACTTGGGCCAAGTAAAAGATATTGATCAAGCCATGGCATCCTGCGCCCAAAAATCATCACATGCTTTATCGGATGTCGCAACTATGCCAAACTTCTTGAATAATGATGTCGTGGATGGGAGCTCGGAAGTATTGCCTGAATTTGCTCGTACCTTTTACCATCCATCTTCAGTTGCTATTGCATGCAGATTAGGTAACTTGGATCTGTTGAAGCTACTTATATCGAAAGGTGCTTCGCCTGAGATTGCCGATGAGGATGGTGAAACACCTCTCTTGTTTGCAATAAGACGCTATTTCAAAGATGGTGTGAAGGTTTTGATTCAGGAAGGCCATGTGGATATCAACGTGTCTGAAAAGATTAATGGCTGGACCCCTTTGATGATTGCCGCTGCTGAAGGTTTCAAAGATATTGTGGAGATACTCTTGAAAGCGAATGCAAACAAGGGGAAATTAGACAACGATGGCTGGACAGCCTCTGATCATGCTGTCTTCCGCGGTTATTTGGATATTGCTCATTTATTAAAGTCTCAAAATAGCTTTCAAAATATACAAAGTAAGGTGCTCGACAGTAGTAAAGCAAGCAGTACAAATTCTTCCACGACCAGTACACCCTCAACTGCTAATAAAAAAGAAGCCATCACCAACAACAGCAGTACATGCTCCGGTACATGCTCCGTGTCTGATGAAGATAACAATAGTGATTCGTCCCGCGGATCCATATCTCCTAACAACAACAGTAACAAAAAGAAAAACTCAAAATCAGTTTCGAAAGCCAGTCGTTTGTATGGTCATAAATACCTTACGGATTCGTGCATGATCATCATCACACTTGGCTCCAACGATATCAGAAATCCAGTATCTCAGAAATTCATTGATCTTGCAGAAAAATTCACAAGCGAAGATCCACAAAGAAGGCTATCATTGTCTGTTACAGCTACACATGCCTCGGGCGAATGTCCAATTATTGATCTGCCTTCGGATTTTACCTACCAACGTTTCTACCCAGATCCCATTGTTCTTTTCTCGCCTAAACCTGAAGAAGTCAGACTACGCTTTGACCTTATCGAAACATTTGGTCCCTCTCGCGATACCAATGTTCTGGCACGAGGCACAGCTATATTGGCGGGTGATTTTATTTTTACCAAATCGAAAGGCTACAAAGGCCCAGTGGAAAAGGGCTCTTTACGTGGAGCTCAAACTGTTCCGTTGGTTCAAGCAAAGGATCTAGATTGTATTGGCACATTAGGTTTTGAGTATTTTGTGATCACACCGTTCCACAACAAACATATGCGAATTGGTGATCGTTATACTTACTATAAATCTGTCGATACGAAGGTGATTGGACATCGTGGTTCTGGAATGAACCGAAAGGGATCTAAATTGCAAGTTGGCGAAAATACAGTATTATCATTTATTACAGCTGCTTCCCTGGGCGCCGAGTACGTAGAGTTCGGTAAGCTTTTGCATATATATATAGCCATTTCAATTGTTGATAAATGTTTATACCTACTCACACGGCGGTCATATCTTTGTTCTGGCCGTTTCTGCTAGATGTACAACTAACAAAAGATCTGGTTCCTGTCATCTATCACGATTGGACTGTGACCGAAACAGGATATGATATTCCTCTGAATGCAATTACTTCTGAGCAATTCCTCAACTTGAGACGTTCCGGTCAAATTAAGGAATACCATACTGGTATCAGCGGCGAAAAGGCTATTATCCTACCTACCACCAACGCTGCGGATGATTTATCGACCATTTTAACAAAACAGTTACCTCCTTTGCCTGTACCTTATTTGCATCATCCGCAAGCTCAAAGGGTTGTAAACGGCAATGGCTCTCTCACACCCTCCCGTACAAGCCGTTCTCATTCGTTCAGTGCCGGTAGTCCTCGTTCAGAACTCAGTACAAACCCATTCGAATTGACTCGAACGTCTAAATCAGGAAAAATCAAGGGCAATGGACCTGAAACAATCCAGGGTCCTTTCACTACGCTAGCCGAAACATTACGCAGTGTACCAAAGCCCACTGGCTTTAACATTGAAGTGAAATACCCCATGATTGACGAGGCTGAGCAAGATGAATTGACTCAGTTTCAAGAACTCAATATATATGTGGATACTATTTTAGATTGTGTTTATAACAATGTAGAGGAAGATCGACACGTTATCTTTTCCTCATTCCACCCTGAGATCTGTTTAGCTCTCAATCTGAAGCAACCTAATTACCCGGTATTCTTCTTGACTGATGCTGGCACATTACCGATGGCTGATATGCGATGTAATTCTTTACAAGGGGCTCTTCGCTTTGCTAGACAAGCTGATCTGCTGGGTATTGTAGCTGCTAGTGAACCGATCCTTATGGCGCCACATATGGTTCAGGTGATTAAAGAATGTGGACTGTTGTTGTTTACGTATGGTGTATTAAACAATGAAGTTGAGAATGCAGTTGCTCAAAAGTATTATGGAGTTGATGCTGTCATTGTCGTAAGTCTCCTGATCTAGTTTGATATGCTATTGGAAGAAGCTGACCCAATATTATTTCACTTTCATTAGGATTCTGTGCTTCCTGTAAGAAAGGGCTTACGGGGAGACTAAGTGCATCGATGATAGACATATTTTAGACGCATGGAAGGCGGCCAGGCCTTATTTTCGGATATTCTAATTATTGACAATTCTTGCTAGCATATTTATATTTCCGGACATTGCTTGAAGCAAAAGTGTCCAAATGTTTCCTGAAGTTTATGTTCCTCAAAAAGCAATAAAGAACAGCATTATTGAAATTCTATTAACCTGAAATGAATGTATTTTGTATTACGCACTTGATGGTGTGCTGTTTTAAACGAAAGCGTTCTCTTCTGAACTGTTCACTTTTGTTATTGGAACAGCGATATTTTATTTAGACCATTTTCAGACGCTCATTATACAATAAATTGAAGGGTACAGACATATGTATTACTGTCTTTCATTTTAACTATTTGAGTCCCTCATGACTTTTTACAGATAAACGATAATGAACACTAAATCAATCAAAGTAAAGTCAAAATTCAAGTCGAGCGAATATCTATAGACTTTTATTCTCTTTCATCCCCTTCTTCTAAATGATCTATCATGGCCGTTTCTTTTTCTTCATTAAGTACTTGCTTATTTAGAACGAAAAAACTCACCAAAATCAAGATACTTCCAATCACTGTTGACGTTGGAACCATAACGCCTGTCAGCAACACATCAGTAACAGCAACCGCTGGTACGGTTAGCATTACGCCTACTGCAGCATAAACAGGATTCACCAACGCAATAACTGCCATAAATGTCGCATTATAGATAACACTCATGGAGGCTACTAGTAGGATATATTTAAATGTCGTCCATTCAGGTAATTCAAAAGGCTCTACACCGCTCCAATGTAATAACGGAAGTGGCAACCATAAAAAAATGAAAGTTGCTATACCAATAATACCAGTCATAATATTCGCAAATAAAATGGTTGGCTGTGCAGGAGAGGCATATTTTTTGTAGTAGACTTCGTAGAACCCATAAAATGCGGCACCTGAAGTGGCAACTGCAATGCCCAACCAACTATTTGTATTTTCACCACCACTACTGTTCCCATTCAGAAGACTGCTGCTATCCCCTTCATCTGATGACGAATCTGCCCATATAGCCATTGTAAGAACGCCCAACATAGATAAGATAACAGCAAACCCTTTGGACAGAACGAGTCGGTCGTGCAACATCAAAATGTTGAATAGATAGGCAAAGAAACAACCTGTATTATAGATTGCTGTCAAATTGGACATAGAAGTTAGGTTAACACTAACATACCATATATAAGACGGCAATGTGAGCAGCACTGCCAAAATTAGACACAGTTTCAATAACAATAGAATTCTCTTTTTGTTGCTGCTCGAATCATCGGACGGATTACCGCTGTTGCCTTCATGTCGGTATTGCAAAGCATCTAATGAAACAGTAACGCATGAAACAATCTCCTGTATCACATCATGCAATCTTTCATGAATGGATAAGTAGCGTCGAGACTCTTGTTCGTTTCCATCTTCTTCTTTGTTACTATGATGACAACTTGAAAAATATTCGGCGAAAAATTGTAATGGCAGCATAAAAATATAACACGAATGGCTTATGTACCTGAAAATTACAAATTTCAAATTTAAAAATCAGTCTGCTGTTTCGCTTTTTTTTTTCCTGATTCATTTGTGTGGGGTAGTTATCCTGATTTACAATATAAAATAGGGTTTTGCATAGTTAGTTGACCTTTGCACATATTGAGCGAGCTCTGTTTGTATAACAAATGCTATGATACAGATAGCCAACATAATGCCGGCTAGCATGGGTCGAGATCGCGCTGGCTTTTTGGTTACTTGCATTGATTCATGGATGACATTGTTATTGTAACGATCGGTAGTAGTAGGAACTGCGTGATATACAGACATATTGTAGCTTATAATAGACTGGTACAATAATGGGTATTGATTGATTGCTTCTATCTTTAAGCTTATGTGAATGCTTCTTGAAAAATCAAAAGCATACTAAAAAATCAATACACTTTTAAAATCTGCAACTGGAAAGAGAACTACAGATTTATAAACCCCGCATTTAAGCGGAAATACAGTGTTTTAGCTTCAGTTCTACACTTTATACATATTTTATTGGACAATATATATTTTTAATTTAGATAATTTTAAATTACTTTAGGATGAAATGGTATTTTAGGAATCCACAGTATATGCTTTCTGTTTTATCGATTTTACCCATCTCGAATAGCGCTCAATTTTGAATACAAATCAAAGACTCAAAAGCGCGGCAGCAACCTGTAAGCAGCTGGTAATGTTGAGAAATCTGTTGTACTAACCACATATTACAGTAACAAGTTCATTTCGAAAAAGTTTATATTTTTATTTTAAATGCTTCTTGCGTATACGTTCTTTTTCATATTTGAACTAGCATTACTTAGCCGGAAGTCAAATACTCTCATTGCATTGAATGCTCCAGTTGCCACGAGCTTTTAGGTTGTATTGAAGAACTGGAAAAGCACTTTTTTAATCCTATTCTGCGCAGCAAACAACCAATGAAGAAGGAACAGGTAGTAATAGCAACAGTAATAACTACATCAACAAGAAAGTAAGCTTGATTGAGCTGTTTGTGCTCTTTTTTTTGTCATTCAACGATCATCCACTTTTCTTCTTACTCTCTTTTTTTTTTCCCTTTTTTCTTTTCTATTTTTACGTTATTTTACAAATTGTTTCTTACATCTTTTGCCTCAAAGATCTCTTTAAACGAGAGTAAACAGGTTCACACACTCAACTTCCAGCTTATTTCAAAAAAAAAAAAAAAACGAACAGATCGGGCCCAAAATTCATTATGGAAGATATGAAAGGATTATTGCAAATGTACTCTCCTCGTTTTCAAGAATCATATTATCCAATGAATAATAATGCTGATGCGGTAATTACCCATTAACCAACAAGACCAACAGCTACCTGTATCCTTAAATCGACACCCTGGATCCTTGCGTATCATTTGTCCGGCTCTGAAATGCAGACGCGGATGAATTGGAAGACTTTGACTTTGGAAGAGTACTCTTTGCTGCAAATGAGCAAGAAAGATGCCTATTGCGTTCCATCTGACACACTCTTCAAAACTTTGTGTCCAAGTGCAGGTGTAAGTCTCCTATTATTCCTTCTAATCATGAACGCAGCTTCTTTTTTCGACAGGGTCATTGACGTGTTTGGTGAGATAATAACTACAATACTTGAGTACGTACAACCAGGTAGAGAATACATTCTACCACGGTCTATCTATATTGCATCTAATACAGGTTATGTACAACATAGAATAAGATACAGGTCTAAGTATAATAATCACTCAATAAGCATCTGAACCTGAAATTAGTGACTAGCATACGCGTCCTCAAATAATATAATTCCCATTAAACCTCACAAAGTAAATAATCCTTCTACTTCATCTGAAGAATAATAAAGACACCTAAGTTCATAGTCATCGACTTACAACTGTTATCAATCTTTAATTAAGCAAATACAACAGTCATGTCGATCATCAATTATTTCGCAGATAATAGTAACACCGTTTATTTTGATGTTAAGAATTGTTATGCAGCATGTTTAAATATAAAAAAAAAATGTTATTAAACACTTTTTACTTAACAGGAGATGAAAAAATGATAATGAGTCGTCAAGCTGTAAATTTATCAATAGCATTTCAGAATCCTAAAACCCGAATTGTGCTGATGGAATTAGATTTTCAACGATAACTCACGGCAAGAATGGGTGATTTTACCAGGGTATTAACAAGGGAAATAGACGACCATAAATGTTACATTAAAAAATGAGCAACAGTTTCATCTTGAGGTACTTTAACCAACTCCAACGACTCCATATCCAGCTGATGAAAAAGTCTATCTTGTTCAGCCATATCACTCTATGAAGGATTTGAGTTATTAGCAGTAGTAGTATATCATATCACTCCCTAAATACGCACCAGCAGGAAAGCGAAAAGTTCAAAGACTTTGGTATACTGAATGATGCCAGAGAAAGAGAGGGGGACAGAGGCAGAGCGGCATTCAACAACTTGCCATTGGGAAGCAGACTTGATTTTATATCGAACTAAAGTCATCTTATTTCGAATTATATGACAAGTGTAGACTCGAACCTTCTTCATCGTACTGAAAGAGGCTTTTTTGTACTTTGATATAAAACACTTCAAATTGTCTGAGCCACTCTTCATATTCTTCAAGGTATCGTTCAAACTGTGCGACAAAATGCTTGAATTGTTAAATCTCAAAGAAAGAGAATGTTAGTGATCACATTTAAGATAAAAAATAATTGATTTATCATACCCAGATGATTCAATAAGAAGATAATTTAACTCTTTGTCAACCAGTTTTCCGATACCATCAAGTAGCTTCAAGCTACCCTTATCTTTGACAAAGTTATTTGTCACAAGCCATACATAATCAGAGTCTTTAGCCTTTTTCTCACACCTAGAGTCCCCATTTTTATTAGTACGCTCCTGTTTAAGTATTATTATCGGATAATACCTACCAGACATACTTCAGCTTTTTTGTTGTATTTCCAAATGCTTTAAAGATAGGAATGAAGATTTCGCAATAAACAGTTCTTTCATCGTTTTGATTATATACGTGTGTACGCATACAATTCAAGAGGAAGTCAACAATAGTGAATTTTACAAAATTCAAAAACGGCAGGTCAGGGACGGTTCCTAATTTTTCAACATATCCTTTTCAGACCAATTTACAATTCTTACAACCCAATCCATGACATCGGATCCTAAGTTTTTCAAGCTTTGTAAATTGTTTTGATCTTGCATCATAGCTTCGTATTCAGCTTTGGTTTCATCGGAGGCTTCTGATTCACAAGTGCTTACACATGTATCGAAGTAATATTTGACAATTGATAGATCTTCAGCTTGTATGACGGATTGTGCGGTGAAATCAAGTGTTTGGCAGGAGGTTGAAATCTGTAAGAGACTACAGATCCTTATGAAGGTTAGAATAACCGCGAGTGATAGATTTGTCAGAACAATTAAACATTTTTTTCTTTTACAACAGCAATCCGTAAACCTAAACACAAGTGATACATTAACAAAGTAAGATAGGCCAAGTAGTGATAAATACATACGTCGTCTTCGGTGCTGAACACATCATCACCATCACTTATGGTATTTTGAGCACTGTCATCTTCAGTATGGCTTGAGGCAACTGGGGATATTGGGTATGATTTTTCGTTGTATTCTTCAAACAACATCTGGTTTACATTTCTCTAAAAGCTTAATTATACGTACATACTGTTGTATCCAAGATACAACTATTCGTCTTAAACTACAGAACGACTTCAGTACCTGCTTGACAATCTGATACACATCTACTTTGACACCCGCTTGCGGCTAAGATCTTATCATTCTCATGATAGTTTTAGTTCAGTTGTATTAATAGTTGAATACCCGTTAATAACCCCGTTTCTCATATAAAGGTATCATTCTCAACAAACTTGAATAAAGAGTATCTTTGTTGTGTCTGGTCATTTTACTGTCTTATTTTATTTTTATAAGTCTTTTAAAGTAACTGGATTTATCACATACCTTGTCAATTTTTTGCTTTTTGTTTGGGTCTTTTCTAGAGCTTCCTTCACCAACTTTTATTCTTTTGGCTATCACTTTGTTGCCAGCAGCAATTCTTGTTTCTGAGTCTAAAGTATTTTCGCTTCTCTTTTCTCTCCACTCTACTTCTTTCAACGCATAAACAGCCATAATTTGATTTTTGACGGATTTGTTACTAAGATAAGTTTCCAAACAGCCACAGTGATTTTGTACAGCTTTGATTACTTCTTCGTTCTCTCTAATCTTCTTTAGGAAGGTTGAGACAGCCGCTAACAGAGCATGGCCATTCTTTGCAATAACAAGTGATGCTTTAAAATAGGCATCCAACAACTCAGGCATCTTGAGCCAAGTTTGCAATTCCCCAGTAAATAAATAAGAAGGTAACTCCAAAGCCTGTCTTAAACTATTGGGTATCTTGTAGTCTTTGATAGTAGCGTATGGTTTGGGTATTTTGGGTGGTATTATGGGCATGTTTTGTTGAAAATAAAAAGGGTGGAAGTTCTAAGCGCGTTCGCGAAATTCATTTGAAGTGTTGTATTTGCTTATTAAAAAATTGATAACAGTTGTAAGTCGATGACTATGAACTTAGGTGTCTTTATTATTCTTCAGATGAAGTAGAAGGATTATTTACTTTGTGAGGTTTAATGGGAATTATATTATTTGAGGACGCGTATGCTAGTCACTAATTTCAGGTTCAGATGCTTATTGAGTGATTATTATACTTAGACCTGTATCTTGTTCTATGTTGTACATAACCTGTATTAGATGCAATATAGATAGACCGTGGTAGAATGTATTCTCTACCTGGTTGTACGTACTCGAGTATTGTAGTTATTATCTCACCAAACACGTCATGAAGTTCGACGTCATTGTCTGGACATTTAATTTTACTAGGTTCACAAAAAAAAAAAAAAAAAAAAAAAAAAAAAAAAATTCAATAAATCATGCTTTCATTTAATTAGAACTACCTTACATCAACTCATATGAATATGTTATGCTTTGTTTTCTACCGTTTGAGCCACCTATGGTGCTTGCAAAGTACAAGTATTGAGTTAGTGCACACTGTTCTAAGCAACCATTGAGGTTTGTTAGAGATTAGGCGATCTGAACGTGTGCCGATGTTTGTGTATGTATGCCGTCTAATTTTACACCGATATCCTAGTAAGTAACAACTTATTTGGCTTGCTCCCTAAGATAGATGAACTAACTATATTGATATTTTGAAAAATCCTGCAAGCGATAGGGAATTCGAGCGCTTTATGCCACTCATGTGAATCTGCTATGCTTTGTTTTCTACCGTTTGAGCCACCTATGGTGCTTGCAAAGTACAAGTATTGAGTTAGTGTACAATGTTCTAAACAACCATTGAGGTTTGTTAGAGATTAGGCGATCTGAACTTGTACTGGCATAAAGCTTAGTTTTATTATACACAGTAAAAAAATTGAAGCAAAAAGGAGATAATAAACGTTGTGGCTTTCCTAGTACATTTCTTTACTTCTTGCTGCCTTTTCTTACCTCCAATGTCAGTTTGCAACCCGGCTTTTGCAGTAGGAGATTCCACGATAGCTGGTGAGTCATGAGAAGGCCAACCTCTACTGGGATCCATATTAACATCAAACCCGAATTCGTCAAGAAATACGCAGCTTTTGAAAAAATCCACTTCTTGACCAATACAACACGCACTAGAAGAGTAGTATCACAATTTCTAACTTTTGGAAGATGTTTTCTTGATGCTCAGACCTGCAAAATTCTTGATCAAATCATCCGTTGCGTCCTGAATAACTGCCAAGGAACTATCGTCAAAAAACTTAACAAGCATTCCTTACAGCCATCGTTTAGTCGACTGATTGGTCTGTTTGAGGTGCGATTGGTTTCCTCAAGGGTATATTCTTTTCTGAATCATTCTTATAGGCTTGTTTCCATATGCGTGAGGTATCATAATTGGCGTTCGCGGCTTTGGCTGCTTCCTTGAGCGTCATTATTTTTGATTTCAAGAAATAGAAATATCGCATGCGGTTCTCATCAGCGTAGCCATTGTACTGAATAGCTCTTTCTTTTAGGGACAGGCTCTTTCATTACCACATCGCAAGGAACAGCTGCTTCTAGCTGAGCTTTTTATTTTTGACAACTCAATTGGAACGACTTCTCCTCAACAAAGGTTGTTGCTTCTTTTCCTTTGTCATCGACAATGTTAGCACAACCGCCTTCGTGGAAAAAACTGCTTTTTTTAAAACTATTAAATGTGAGAGAAAACTTTGTTTCTACAAAGCAATCAAATACAAAATATTTCCTTGACCAATTTATTTTCAAACATGCGGGCAATTGCATTTCTTTTTTTGACCAAGCTATTTTAAAAAAAGTACAGATAACAACATAATTGATCGCTTTTATATTGGGTGAACGTCATTAGTGGCCATTACATGTACTCTTTATTTCGACATTTATCCCAGCACTTGTAAGAATGCGAAACGAACCCTTTGAAGTGACTTTTTTCCAAACTTTTGCAGGCTTTCGTAACTCTTTTTGATAAAGTGTCCTCCTGTAAAAACCTATGGCGCTTAACCTTGCTCTTTGCCACTGCCCAGAATTGTTCTATTGGGTTAAGCTCGAGAGAGTAAGGAGGAAAATACACACATTTATATCGATACTCAACATACTTCTTTATGTTTTCATGTGTGTGAATGGTGAATTATCCATGACTATATAATGGTCTTTTATGTATGGATGTTTATCCATTTCATCGAGAGTCGTTTTTTGGGAAACTAATGTAGTGGTCTCTTACAGTCCCTGAGCTTATATATCAAAATCTTTAATTTGATGATGGAATTTTCCTGTTCCCAGGCAGCTTTTTTGTTTCGCTTTTCCTGTATATGCAAAAGTCCTCATGTCATAAAATCTATAAGTATTTACAATCGTCATTATTGTAACAGAGATATAGGCTATCTCTTATACTCCATCATCCTCTCATATTTGTAATATTAGTCCTTCCATCTCTTTCGCTATTCTAACATCATCTTTGAAAAGTAAAACCAAATAAAAACCCACAAATATTGAGCGCGCTCCGCACGGCAATTGCCCCTTTTTTAAGTAAAAACGTAATTGTCCTTTCCGTTTACACCGATGTTCATTAAATGAAGGATATAGTATGTTTTCTTTTTTTTCTTTTTTCGTTAAAGCAACAGAGGCATACAATTTTGGCCTGGAATTATCAACTTCGCTGTCAGAAGTATAGGGAAGTCAAATTTTGAGTTGTTAAGGCAGGTGGAAGGAAGAGAAATCATGTACTGCAACAGATAACTTTGTGATAATGTTAGGGCAGGATTCGACTTATCTACCTTTCTTTTTCGCGTCATTTCTAGCTATGGCGTTTATTCTTTCAACGAAGTTCGGAACCATTTAGTTATACAGTATTGCTCATAGTAAACCAGAACTCTACTCTTCCTATAGTTGTTGAGTTTAGCATATCATATAAACGATACAATTGTTTATTAGAGATTAGAATACGTCGATGCAGATACAGATTATGTTTCTTTACAATGCTGATGACTCCGCTTCTTGTGTTGTAAGCACTTGAATCACGCAATACGAGGCATATGTGCTCCTAATAATTCGTTGAATCTTGTTTCATCTAACTGTACTCCTTTGCGTCCCAAAATCTCATCAAAGAATGGATCCTCCTCCCCTTCAGTTATATGACCAGTGACAGCCAGGGCAGCTTTTACTTCTTCTCCTCGATGCTCACCGATGAAGCCCATGTTCAAAATTCTGACCGTTTCACTGAACCCACCGCCCCAGAGTAGAGGCTCTAGTAATTTGAGCACGACCAAACCTGTACGAAATAATATGATATCACCGTGTAATAAATAGATATCCCATAACCGTGATGATAATTCAAGTGGAATAATGGAGGCAAATACTGTCATGAACCAGTCAGGCAAATAATTCTCGGGTGTAAGGGCAAGATTTTTGAAATGAAGATATAATTTTGGCAAATTTTCGGCAAAAATAACATTGAAGATTTTGAAGAACCCTTGTATTTTCTTTTCGTCAGAGTTGTATAAGGCGGATAGAACCTGACTGTTGTTAATCATATTTACAAGTGAGACAAAGGCTTCACATGTACTCATATTCAGTAAAAGAGCACCGGCTAAGAATGAAGCACCTCTGGTCTAACGATAGTTGTTAGATACGTCAAGGTATTTTTATCGCAAGGTTGAAAGCAAGAGATTCTTAGTATACTTACATAAGTGAGATCATCTCGATAACCCACGAATGCATGAAGAACTTTCCGTAAGGAAACAAATAAAGGCCCGTCTGGCTATTTTGAAAACGTTCAGTCGATATATATGATGAAACAACATAGATATCGAATTAATTACCTGAAAGACACATAGACTAGGTAAAGTACGTAAAATGTCCTCATCAATAGCCTTGTTCAGAAAATTGATTACTGCTGGATCTGTGATAGTTTTATCAGAAACAATCTCTTCTTGACTACTGATTGTATTATCGTCATCGTCTACATATTCACCGTCCAAATTTATGACTGCATCATCTTGACTTTGTTCAGCTTGTAATTCCAAGGCAGCTCTACCACTATGTATGCCCTCTTCTAAATCATCCTCTAGTGGTTCATCTCGGCTGGTAAATGAATATATTGATGAATTCGCCTCTTCTTCATTGAAACTAGCGTTTGTAAAATTGGTAAACCCAGCGTAATGCCCATTTTCTCTTAATTCGTCATCTTCAACATAATCTCCCGTCACTGAGGAGCCTTTAGAATCACTATCCATTTTGGGTTCTCTCAAGACATCCAAACTACTTGTTCTTCGTTGTTTATGGATTGAATATAACGGTGAATCAGTATAACTCATATATGGTGAACCATTGTTATGAATGTCTGCAGTTATGGTATGTGGCACACCATTGTGTACAATATTATTCTGTTGGTTGGCCTCATTCACTTTTTTCCGGGATGCTCTTATTGCCCGAGGTATGCGCCGTGTGCATTCTGCAAAAGTCGTTTTCGACACATTGAGCTGATTGCCAATACTTAATTGCCAAGCTTTCCTTCTACATCTTGGCGGAATACCTTGGTCCCACAGATTCCTTGTACGCTTATCTTTCACACGCGTTTTCCAGTGTGGTATTATGTCAGTCTCCCAAATGTGAATAGCGTGATTCATTTTCTTATCTTTTTCTTCTTTTTTACGGTGAAGTTCTTTTTGTTTTTTAGCTTCTAATTTTTTCGCTTGTTTCATCATGAATTCATATTCTTGCAAGTGTTTTTTTTCTTCTTGAGGATCTTTAGGCGGTAGTGTTCTAAAAACAAAATGTATATATGAGCGCGTTCGAGAGAGTTATAGAGCTTATCGAAGTGTCTATATATTGAATAGTTTACCTTGGCCGAGTTTTTGATACAACAGTTTCTAATGGTGAAGGCTTTTGATTGATCAGTTTGGATCTTTTAAAAGGATTTAGTCTAAAAAAGTGCAGTAAAAATGAATCTGTTAGAACTTGGCCTCCATCGTATTTTCCGTCGTACAACTATCATTGGCTCCATAATTACGTTGATCTTCGTCTTATAGGCATAGAAACACCACCAGAGGTTACCACTACATCTGCTTCGTTGACATTCCTTCGAGCTGCACCTGGCGTAGGGGAAGTATGTGTTGGTTCTGAACCATTGGCATTGCTTAGTACTCCATTGCTTGTGTTCATTGAAACAGAATCATCCAACACATCAGAAATAGAGTAAAAAGGGCCGGAGAAATCTGATGCAGTTATTGTCATTTCGTTCAACTGATGACTGTCTCTGTTACTATCCGTGCTATTCTTATTCCTAGTGTTACTGGCCAACTTGCCTAATGATGGCCCCCGTCGAGGCATAAATTTCATAAGCTTCGAAGAACTTGTGCCGTTAGCATTATTGCTATTGTTGTTGTTGACAGAGGCTGGATCGTTCTCTCCTGGAAGATCTAAGGACACTTCTTCGAAAAATTGATCATAGTTATTTCGGTTCATTGCTGAGGACATGACATGGTAAGTATAGTTCTGTTGTTCTTGCTTGTCTTCTGACTGCTGCTGTACTTTTTGCTGTTGTTGCTGCTGAGTATGAGGCAAAGGTAAGTCTTCCAACAGCCTATTTGCTGTCAAGCTTTCTGCTTTATCGTTGTGCGAATCATTGCCATTATCATGTATATGTATTTCAGATAGAGTATCGGACAACTCAACAGAGTCAAATTCTGTATTTTCGTCATTTTTATTGTCGTTCTCGTTCATCGTCATTTAAAGTATGAAGAATACAGACAAAGAATATAAAAGTGAAAAAAGAGAAATTCAGAAGATAAAATGTTTATAACAGGCATTTTTAAAAAGAAAATAAATTTTGGCGAGAAAATGTATCACAATTCTTTCTCTCAGCATCGCATAGTTTATTATCGTTGTATCAGGTTGGACTGCTCTAAAATACAATTAGGGATACATTTCCTTACTAAAAATGCAGACGCAATTTATAAAACTTTCATCAGGCTGCATATGAGGCCGAAATTGTAAATCGCCGCATCATTGGGAGCGCCTATCTTAGAGAAATTCAATAAGACTATTTAAAACAAAAAAAAAACCGCAGAAGGTTAACTGCTATAAACCTTGTATATGTATTTTCTGCTTATTAGGTAAAGAAGCTCAGGGCAAAATCATCTCAATACCTAGGAAAAAGTAATTTAAAGATATTGCATTTTTGTCGTAGCGCATTTTGCATGAAACGCTGAAGCTGAAAAAGAAAGACAGAGTGACGTTTTTTTTTTGGTTTTTTTTTTTTGCTTTTACCATTTTATTCTTGCTTGTTCGTCCAGCTTCATTATTCAATTATCCGCGTTTGTTCCTTTTATCATTTTTTTCAAGCATATTACAATTTAGTTAAGAATTGCTGCAATAGTATCTGAAGCTTGAATATCCTTCTCTCTTTTCTTTCTATTTTAACCTTTGCTTTCCTATCTAAACATGTCGCGCATTACTCATAGAAGAAGCGGCATACGTCGTGATTCGATCGATGAGGAGTCGATCGCTCTGGATCTCACGTCTGATGAATATAGCTGTAGTGAGAATGAACATACAGCCGATGACGATGCTGTATCTCATAGTAGCGAATACACATATGAAACATATACCGTAACAGAATCAGTAAACACAAGCAGTGCTGCATCAGTTATTAGTAGTGGAGTAAACAAAGTAGAAGAAGTAGGGAAAGGAAAAGGCCATTCTGCAGAAGACATTGAGGAAATAGAAGAAGCACAGTCCAATATACAGTGTGAAGATAATCTCAACGAAGTGCCTGTTGCTGAGCAGCGACATTTTCTTAATGATATCGATAAATTATCAAGTCTTACCAGCAGTCAGAAAAACAATAATGCAGTACCACCACGCTCTACCACACTAAATGAGTCTAAAAAAGTAAAAGAAGGAACAGATACCGTGCTTGATAATATCAGTAGTTTGAAGAGGAAGCAAGAAGCTATGGCGTTAATTCCTGCAACAGAGCAGACAACAATAAAAAGCAACCGCAATGAGTATGTCCAACTAACAGCAAAAAATGCGGCAATTAGTACTGTTGCAGAACAAAGCAAGACTGAAGTTGATAAGAACAAAGGCTTAGAGGCGAAATCAAATACATTTGCAGCACACTATTCTAAAAAATGTCACAGCAGATTATCAAAGCAATTGCACAAGCATGACATAGAAAAGGGTGTTTCCTTACCTATTGCTGCATCTAAACAAGGACATAGCTCCATTAATCCTAGAATACACGCAGCTTCTACATCAATTCATTGTCGACAATCTGCCTCCTCCAATGACTGTGGCGCGAGAAACCATTATGCTTTCTTATCATTCAGCAAGTCTAGAATCTACAAATCCAACAGTTCCATACCGAATGGAATCTTTACCGCCCGGAAGTCATCTCGGTTATTCCCAGTTGAAACCTTAGAATTTCAAAGAAACAACACTCATATTGCAACCGGTATTTTCACTTCTCAAAGGTCTTTTAGCACGAGAGCGAACGGTATCTTTACAGCTCGAAAGTTGAACAATAATAACTTTAAATATACCTCGATAAAGGATTTACTAAAAGGCCAACCGTCGTCTTTGACTGCTTCACGAAAAGATCGAGTCCGTCAGCACGTTAATAGTAACATCGGCAATAAGCAAAGTAACAGTGAATCGCACAAAGGCAATATGAATTCATGGCACAAGCTAAAGGATGAGGGCTGTGGTAAGACTGCTGAGATAACTACTTTTGCTGCTGCTAGCCAGAAGCAGGGTTCTAATCATGCCGTACATAGTCCTGCAATCAGTGACGAAATTAACGAACAAAAGAAAGCTACTGCATCACTTGCAACAAATAGTGAGCATAATTCTCCACCAACCTCAACTAAAGGTAAGTTTAAACTTGGAGAGAAATGAAAATTTTTGATGCTGATTCTCTTTTCCATATATTTTATTTTTTTAACTTTGTAATCATCTAGCCAATGTTTGCTGGTCAATGCCATTAGATGATGAGGCAGTTGTGCTTGAACGCTGGAATCAGTTTATTCAGACAAAGAAAGAACGTGAACAAAACAACAATAGTAGTTGTCACAGACGGTCTGACAGAAATGACGGTATGACAAAAGTTCAACATGTTGATAGTATTATATCTTCCGATTCCACCGCAAATCTATCAAGACCATCTAATTCTTCCATAATGAAAACTGCTGCCGAAATTAAGCCTCAGCCTGATACGAACACTTCGCGTTCAGCAGATCAGATTATTGATCGCAATGTTGCCTATGATAATGCGATATTTGTCAACAATGAAAACGATGGCAATACTCACACTGCTGGTTCAACCCATTCAAAGCTTCAAACGAGCAATTATGATACTGCGACCAAAAAAACAATGGAAAAGGAGCTTGAGAATACAACTCATTCTACAAAAACCGAAGAAAACGAGCACATTCCATGGTGGGAGAAACCAGAATATAAAAATAGCAGTATTACGCAAAAGGTGGAAAGAGATGGCTGGACACCTGAACTCACAATAGCATCAAAAAGTATTAACGAAGAGTTTATACCTCGATATGAGGACACTACGTCTGCTATAGCAAGGTCACCTTCAACGGAATATACACTAATTGCTAGTAAAAGGGAACAGCGGCGAACTGACAACGATTCTGCTGTCCATGCTTTAAAGGTCCCTGCAGCCCATAACGATAAATTATCTTTTTCAGAAACCAATTCTGATCAACAATTGAATAGCAGCCAACATATATTAAACGAGAAGGCAGCAACTGAAATACAGCATGGGGCTGCCATTAAGGAGCAACCTATTTCTATATCATCTTCCAACAAAAGCAGTATGATAATCGATACAGCTGATGCAGAAGATGCAGCGTCACAAGATACCAGTACTATTCGTAAAGAGCCGCTTGCTCATAAGATAAATGACACTTCAGCCAGTAATGATACCATTGATACCCCCTCTACAACTGAATTATTAGCAGAAAACGTTGACGATACAAGAGCAACCAATATCAATAACAATGTTAATGATAACACCGTTTCCATATCTTCATATAATTCCCTTTCGCTGATCACTCGTCCTTCTAATGCACCAAACTTTATCCCAATACCTTTGAATAGAATTTCACCTTTGTTCAGTACTGTTAATGAACAATTCTACAGCCATAGAGGAGAAGAGGATGATTTAGACATAGAGATTATTATAGAATCGGAAGAAAGTGAATGGGCACAAGAAGAAGTTCTAGGCATGAAACCAGCTGAATATAGAAATCACAAAAGGAACCATCGCAGTATCAGTAATACTACTAGTACTAGTATCACTTCCACAAGAACTTATAGTAATAATACTAATCAGCAATCATCCTACCATCCATCACCACAAACAATAGCAACAACAGCAACTGTACCTATGTCCCTTCAAATACCATCTACAGCACCCGCTCCAACTACAAATTCTGCACAATATACCGCCGTTCCTTATGAAGTCAATGGAATGGTATACTATGGATATCATCCAGCCAATTATAATAATAACTATTACATATATCAATGATCTCTCTATTCACATTTAGAAATTATATGCTCTAAAATAAAGGTTGTCTATATACTGATAGAGTATATGAACTATGAGGCGTGATTTCAAGACAGATCAATGAAATATGATAAATGTATTTGCTATTAGTACGTGAAGAGGCGCAAAGAAAAAAAAAAAGAAATGCTGTAATACTTACACGTGAGGTGCAGTGCCAAAAGTTAGAGTTGAGCAGAATGACACATTTGACAGAAAAAGTAGTGTTACTGAGGGCTTTTGGCAGTCTTGTTCATTTCTTCATTTTTCTTACCCAAAAGGAGACAAAGGAATATACTAGAACCAATCAAGCTGAGGTTCTAGTCATAACTTGGCTTCCTTTGCTTAACACCCAATTAAGCAAATGGACAAAAAGTGTTAAGAGAGTCTGATAAATCAGCTTTATACATAATCTTGAGAGCACTCTTTTTTTCTAGCCTGAATAACTCTCCTCTCAGATGGGAGCATTTCATTGGACGAGTTCAAACTGTACTGAAATTTTTGTGAAAAAAACTCAATTAAGCTCTTTTTTCGTAAAATTCTGACATTTCCCTTTTACTCTTCTTTAACATGACCTCGATTAAACTGACAGATAACCAAAATCAGTCTTTTGAACCCATACATCAAACACTATGTGAAATGTAAGTCTCGTTCGTGGCAAAACAAAACATGTGATGAAGGTACCTTCTTTAGTTCTTATCTTATAATAGCTCACCGTTGAAATGACATGGTTTAAATTTTATTCTTTCCTTTTCGTTTTCGCACAGTTGTCAGAAGCAATTTTCCAACTATGTCTGCCCGCGCTGCAACTTACGATATTGTTCACTTGCATGCTATAAAGATACTCAACATGCCAACTGTACTGAGTCTTTTTACAAGGACACCATTGTAGACGAAATAAAAAATCAGCAACTCGATAGTGAAAGTAAAGCCAAGATGTTGGAAGTATTACAGCGTTTAGAACAAGAGAACAAAATTGAAGCTGCCACTGAGGATGACGATGAGGATGACGATGAGGATGACGATCTTGTTGAGCGTTTCCAAAATATCGACATTGACAATGCCGATCCGAATGTTATATGGAATCTGTTATCAGATGAGCAAAAAGAAGAATTTAGGGAAATGTTGAAAGGCAATCATTGGAAAGATTTGGTATCTTCTCATTTACCTACATATGTACCTTGGTGGACATTCCCTAAACAAGTTATACTTTCAGATGATAATAACGGCGTCAGCAGCAATCATACGACTATACCCGGGTTTCCCGTCTCTATACCTGATTTCACCGATATAGCACCACAACCCTCAACGCGATCGAGTCAACATATCCTTTGGAATTTAGCACATATTTTAGGCACCTACAGCTATTTAATGCGACATACTATGGGTGAATTATCGTTTAAAGAAGTAGGAAGTGAAGAAGAGGGAATAGAAGTGATTGATCTATGTTCTACACTTTCAGCACATGTACTATTCAGCCAAGCAAAAACTTGTCCTTTCAGAAACATCAATGATCTAATTGTCGACTTGGTAGAACAAATAAATGTTACTGAACAGCAGTGGCAGCAAGATGATCCGTTATCCTCCGTTATTCATATGAAACGATACGATTTGAAATTGCTTTTATTAGAAGATATCAAAATACTTCTCTTTGATTGCAAACGAGCTTTATACCATTTTTGGGAGACTTTAAATGGAATTGTTGTGGATAGCTTGAAGAAAAGTAAAAAGAGAAAAAGCGTTTTGCTGGCAACGCGTAAATTGTATTTTTATTTAGCAGCTGGTGGTTATTTCTTAGATAAAGATAAGGACAGGTTGGATATGATCAGATTGTCCATTGAAAACGAAATTATTCGAGTCAATACGGAAAAAGAAGAATTTCAAAAAGATGTAGACGCAGCGAAAGAAAGCATACGTCAACCAAAGCAGCATAATGATGGTAGTGATAGTAGTAGTAATATTAATTATAATAATAATAATAATAAAATAGAGGAATTGTCATAAGATATATTCCACTTGTGCATTTGCTGTTTGTTCAGAGCTTTGATTTCGAACCATCATCTACGTCGTGTGAAGGCTTGTCATTAATTCTATCTATGGTTTTTTTTATTTGCGGAATGATCAAGTCTGGCGCTTCATTAGGCACCATATGTGTTCCCTCAACAAAATCAATGGTAATTTTCTTTTTGTTTTCATTCACTACAGTGCCTGCTTCTTCTGGGGAGCAACTATACCATTGATCAGCGTTAGATTGCAGTCAGGCATTTACTTGGTTTCTTTGAAGGTTTGTAGAGTACTTACAAAGAGGATCCCAATGCATACACAAAATGAACAGGGATTTTCAGTATCTGTAAGGATCTGTGTGCAATGTAACTTTCATATTGAGACACGTTAAAGATATGCTACCGTCGGATTTGAAGTACAGTATGATGTGTTAGTGCAATAAATTATTATATTCTTTGATTAAGATGCTTACAAATTCCTGCTCTCTTGGGCACTTCAACTTGACAGTGCCTTTTTCAGTATCATATATGCCATAATTCTACCGTTAAAAAATGAGTTTCTAACTTCTCTTAGGTTGAGATTCTTCGAAGAAACCTACCACGTATAATTCTAGTACATCAGGATGTAATAGCTTGAAAAATTCTTTTTTTAACAAATTTTGTTTACACTCTTCTCTATTAAGCCATTCGTCACGTCTTTTTCTAGAAGACAAGACGGGGAACTGTTGTCTAATTTTTTCTGGAATCATAAAAGACGATAAAACGGGCTCGATAACACATAGCCCTGTGAAAGAGTTTGGGTAAAAAAATTCGCATAGAAGCCTTGTAAAACAGCCTGTTTTAGCGATTGATCAGAACATTGTATACTTTAAATCGCATATCTTACATTGAAGTTGCTCCAAAACTATGGCCGATGCCTACAAATTGATCATATTTCTCGTTTAATCCTAGTTCGTCAATAATCTGCTTTACGTCCATTGCATTATCAGACCATCTATCTAATATGGTTGCAAAAATGTCTATATACAATATTTCGTTTAATTTTTTGCAAGTTATTTTATTACAGTCTTACAGGATTCAAGAAAGGTTCCATCATTTAACCGAGCTGAGTCACCATGATTTCGTGCGTCCCAGGAAATGAAGGTAATATCTGTTGAATTATACTCTTGCAAGGTTCTCAGGTAAGCAATAAGTTGCCTCATTAAAGGATGAAAGGCCTCCTTATGAAACCCGTTGGAATGAGAGAAGATGTAAGCTATCTTTTTCTTTTCTTTGCTGCTGCTGCTGCTGCTGCTGTTAACGGAAGAAGGGAATTCATGAATGTTAACGACGAGCTTCTGAGTGTCATGACCAAAGGTGGATGGATGGACTGGGATAACTAGAGTCTTTGTTGGCGCAAGATACATGTTTATTAGTTAGACCAAAAAAACGAAAAAGTACTTTAAAAGGTGGCAGTCTTATATACTCCACAAGCGCAATCAAATAGGCAAATCGAAGATTTGTCGTGTGAAAAGTATTACAGTGTTTTTAACGTGAATTTTAGACGACTTGCAATATTTATTGGGCAATTTTCATTTTTGGTTTTAAACTTACTCACGATTTTATTAGAACAATTGCGTTTAACTTTAGACGGATGGAATCACCAGTTCATAAGGCCATGTTCTTTATGTAAGTATTTTTGCAGAGTGTTTCTGCATGCCTCGTCCAACCCAGGCCAATCATCAGGCATAATTGTCTCGTACGCTTCCTGAAATTGCGTTAGATATTACTTTTAATCCTTGATCAGCATTCTCAATAAGGTTAAAAATACGAGTAAGAAGGCATGAATAAAAGCTTGTATCCACGCTTATTTATACCCTCTACAACAAATTTACAATGGTAAACTCTACAATTGTCCATGACTACAAAAAATCCTTCTATATCGTGTTTATCCATTAGGTTTCTTCATTTTCTAGCGATGATTAAGTCTCCAGTCTGTATCGCATGTGAATCATGTAAGAAGTTTTAATTGAACAGTTTTGAGTTCGAATGGTGCTTGCTGCCTTACGCAGCAAAGATATCTGCATAGCATCGAAGCAACTTTCCAATGCCTGCGTATTTTAAACGTGCCATTAAACGCGTAAATCATCTCGTTATAATAAATGTTGTCAAACGAAAGCTTATGTTGTTAAATCTATTAGACATATTTATCTTTTCAACTTCTTCAACTTTCTTCTTCTTTTCTTCTTTTTCCTCTTTATTACCTCTCGCTCGGTGCTACCTCTATACGCTTGCATAAGAGTATTATCGAGAATAAAATCAATTCAGTGAAAGAAAAGTACACCAAGAAGGAAAATTCCGTTCGGTAAAGGCAAACCACAATACAATGTGTTGTTTGGGACATTATTAACCTTGTTGTGCACTTATTCAGACTATACTAAATGTAACGACTGTGATGAAATGGGTCACTTCAATAAAAGCTACCCGAAATGTAAATATTACAAAGCTGTATCCGCTGACGATGGTAAGTTGAGCATCGATCTGCTTTTATTCACACAAGCCGAGTAACAGACCGTCTCATAGTCATATACTTGGGAGTCGCAATAAGAAGAGAAAAACAGAGCACCAGTAATAAAGCAGAGAAAAAGGCAGTGAAGAAGACGAAAATGGCATCACAAGCTGTAGAGTGTCCAAGTCGTGGGAATGATAACCATGGTTATTCTCGTTCGTCTCTTAGTCCTAATCACATACAATCAAAGGAGGAGGCCATTTCATCAGTCCTTGGTCATAATCCTACTATTTTTGTAACGAAGCTTCCTATCGACCGTGCTGCAAGGCATTAGAGCTATAGTGTTCCGCTGCCAACTATTCGTCAATGCCTATCTTGTTCATAACAAGAATGACATTCCTTCAGAAGTCTTCACACAGCAATTTTGGTATTCCATTGAGCAACTCGTTACGGGTAAAAGTTTACTCACAAGAAGGCGTTGAACGACAGCATCAAAATTTATTTTGATGACTTTAAGCAAAAGCATCCGACAATAGTAATCAGTTATGGCTTCACCAAAGGTTATAGTCACTGTCTCACAGAAGCCTCCAAGAAAATAAGCTTTTCATATACTAAATCCATTCTTGAGCTTTTCAAGAAGCGAATGCTTGAATATCTAACCTATAAGCTACAAAACATGCTTGTTGAGGGTCTCCTTTCTACTGCTCTCATTTTAATTCTACCTTTCTAATTGCGTGTATTTGTGTTATTATACATGAAACATGAAGAAGGTTGATGCAGCAGAAATATCAAAAGCATACTGCTACCAGGTAATTTGCAAAGGCGAACTCAAGTGGCCCGATAAAATTATGCTTAATAATGAAGACAAAAGCAAGATAGAGATGCTGTGCAAAAGCTTTGAAGAACTTGTGACAGAGAAGGTTACACTGTTTTCTTATCATCCGATCCCACCAAGTTTATTAAAGCCTTATAGCACATCCAATCCTCGTATGAAAAGGAACATGACAAACGTGCAGCTTCTGATGTCCGTAGATCACCATTACCTAAGCACTTCTTCTCTTTCCCTTTACCTTCGCTACATTGGCGTTTCATCACGATAAGCATCAAATCGCTTGTCTCATTCTTGTTTCCTGGTACGCCTCTTAAAGGCTATATGAATCAACTCGAGAAGTTTCACCAAGTGTTCAGCTCCAAAACGATGGGATTTAAAAGGTAAACGGAAACAGTTTGGGCTGAAATACTGTCTTTGGTATATATTGACTTTCGTTTTTTATGGCAATAGTTTAAATGACCTTAAGGCAAGCCTGGAAACATTATTCCGTAATATTGTCCGTTCAGGTGGCTTCACTGTCGATTTTCTTTTCAGTAAGAAAGGGAAAGCAAAAGAAGAGAAGACCATCAAAACCATCGGTTGACTTTGAAGGACTTCGATTATGCCGAAATCGAAGCTGGTTATAGGCCCTGCTTCATTGATCCTAGGAGAGAAGGCGTCTTCACAGCAGCGATCGGGTTGGACGTTGAGAAGCATCAAGTGCGAAGCTGTTCTACCAAAGAGTACTATCACATGACTGATAGCACCAGATACTCTGCAAAGCTAGAGAAGAAGAAAGATGTTAAAATCAAGGGCATCGAAAGTGATATACCAACTGACAAGACAGGCTCCAATGCCCGATATCGCTGTTATGCAACATACATCTTACAGCACTTGGAGACTTGTTTTCTTTCTACGGTGATGGCACTGCCGAAGATCGATTCCATATGTACCAAGAACGGAAACGTGCTGCCGACAAAATGGTAAACATGCTTATCAATGCCAGTACAAAGTATAATCTGGATCTCAGATTGAAGAAGAGAGAAGAGAGAAGAACAAAACAAGGTCTCAAAGAAGAAGAAGAATGGCAAGATGGCTTTAAAAAGACGACGGAAAAAAAAGGAGAAAGGATAGCAGAGAAAAAGAGTATAAAAGAAGATACATTAGAAATTAGTGTTGAACTGAAGATGAAAGACAGGTAAAGTTCATAAACGATAATCATTAACTACTTATAGAAAGTAGCATGCTTTTTATAATAGTGCATCAAACGCCAAATGGAAGCCCGAACCCTTCAATGTGGATGATAAAAAAAAAGCCTCTCATCGTGTTCGGGTAATGGCATATTTGGTAAGGACAACGTCGCACTAAAGAGTCACCGATGCGGGTAGGTGTTTTGAGGCGTGCGCTTAAGCGACGCGAAGCAGCCGGAGACCTGCTAGTACTAGAAATCGATGAATTCGAGACGTTTAGAATATGCTCGTGCTGTTCCAACGATATTTTGGAGAGGTTGAAAGGCGTCCAGACCTAACGTATACTTGTTTGCAACACTTGTCATATACTATGGAACCGAAAAATCAACGCCTCAAAGAACATGATGAAGATCAGTAGTGCCGTTTGGAAGAAGTTGGGAAGACTGAAAGAGTTTACGCGACCAAAAATATAAGACTACCCCACCTTCAACATCGCTGGAATGAACCTAGTTTGATTTTATAGGTAAAAAGAACGAAAGCTTGTACTTTCTACTGTTGTGCAAACCGTCTAACATTTACTCTTAATGCTACTATTATATTAAATTCGTTTAAACATAATCTATTTATCATCTAAAAATTATGTTTGTGTTGTCTAAATCTGAAGTTATTAAACTGAATATGTCCATATTGTTGTATCGGGATCAAAATTTATTTTGAGGTTATAAAACCTTCTGTTACTTCACTGTTTCATTCATAAGGAACTACAACTAAAACTAAACGTCATCCATAGGTCTAGTAATACGAGTGCTCACAATTTTTGTAAAATTGAAAAAGACAATAAGTCGAAATGAAGATACAGTATCACAAAAAAGTAATAGACGAGGGGTAGATAGTTCGTGCAGCATTTTTTACTCAAGTAACAGTTCTTATACACTGCAGCATCTTGCATAGAAACAATGGTTGTGGTAAAAATCACGTGCAATTGATAATGATTGCTTCCTCTAGCTCTAGGTAAGAACAACGAGAACTTAATTTACGCCTTGACAGAACTTTGCCTCCCCTCTACCCAAAACATGCCCTTTTAAGATGCTCTTTTCCTGTCACTGTTGTGGTTAGATTGTTATTATGACCATAAAGGCTCAATCTCATTTGTTGATTGACTATCATTCGGACGAGATATTGTACAAAGATTTAGTAATTAAACCATGTAGAAAAGCCAATCATAGGATACCTGTTGTCAAATAGAAGGTTTTTATTTTCTAGTTGTACTGAGGTGACTAGGAAACGGATCCGTTGTCCGTGGCTGGTGAAACGTTAAACATCATAGATAATTTGTAATTGACAGTGTACAGATAACATATTTAAGTACAAATTGAAAAGCTTCATGTTCCTAATATTGCACGAGGAGTAAAATGAGCATCCGTTTGACATATTTTTCTGTTTCTTTCTCTTTTCTTTCCATCTAATTATTCTTATCTATTACTTCTGCTACTAGAGTTCTGAATAAATATACATGTCTCAATAAGTGAGAGGCATCTTGATCGATGCCAACTATAAAAAGCAGTCATAAAAAAGAAGGAGACAACACCACGTTAAAAAACACATCACCAAAACAGGGTCGACATAAACAAAAGAAAAAAAACCTGCTGAAATTCATTTTCAAATTAACCAGTAACAAGAACAAGAACAAGAAAAGAGAAAAAACAAAACGAGCCCAGGATGATATACAGCCGATGGAGGATTGGAGATATCTATCTCCTGATGAACCACCTCTACCCTTTCTACTATTGAATGAAGCTAACCAACAGCACCAATCTACTGCTGGGCGTAGCTTTACGGCATTTCCGGAAACCAATAGAATTATATCCGATGCAGCTCCGATATTCAAGGTACACAATTTTCTGTATGTGTGTGTGTGTGTGTGTGTGTAAATGAGCGAGAGGTGTGCATTTGTGTGCATTTGTGTGCGATATGAATGTCTAAAAAGATGTTCAAAGGGGAGTTAGACTTCATCGAGTCAGATGTTTATACGGATTTTACCTCTGAAAAATGAACCTTACATCAACTGTGCACATTATTTAAATGAGAAACAAAGGCGAAGGAGGGGGAAAAAAGCAGTAAAAAAATGATCGGGAATAGCCAAAAAGGAAATGAAGGAGGGAGGATTGTTTCTGTTCTATTTTATGCTTGAACAAAGAAAGAAAACCTGCTGTTTTATTGTTCTTTTTGATTGCATGTATTTATAAACTTTTCTATTTTAATAGGATGCTAATTTTTTATTTGAATCAAAAGCTTTTTCTTTTCCTCAACAACACCAATCTACCAACAATTTTGACAACTATTGTGGCCGTGAATTATACGTAATACCAGAAATACTAACAGAAGAAGACGAAAAAGACATTCAACCTATGCCGATACCAATTCCTATAACACGTACCAACGCTCATATCAATAGTAGCAGATATAATTATGAGATAAATGATCCGAGCTCATCCATGACCTACAGCAGCTTCTATGTTGATGATAATCTAGATACAGAGAAAAGACAGATTCTTGATGACATAAACGAGGAGCAACAGTTGGGAAATAATAATGATGAGATGGGAGAGAAGCAGGAAACCAACAAGCTTGTTCACAGTCATAGCGGCAGTAACACGAGCAGTAGTGGTAGTGGAATGATACTTGTTGAGAGTGACGACGATGAAGATGATGATGAAAATGACAAGCAATACCTTCATGTGCCTATCTCGTACTGGCCAACAAAGGGACGCTATTATGAACCCTACTTTAAACAATCACTGCAATATAATGAAACACCTTGCAAGATCAAGTTTGCTAAAATGGTGACAGCTGCTTACCAATATTATCAACACCATCATTTTCAGATTTATGATCAGCCTAAAGAGATGCATCTACTGTTTGATCAGAGAGATTACATCAAAGGAATTACGTTTATTTTGCATGATGGATCAAGAGAAGATTTCCTGGATTTTGGTGGGTAAGTAACTATCCTTGCGCATATTGATGGCAGAGCTTACGTTAGCAATACTAATTTTTATATTTTAGATCTCCTCAATACATTGCTCCAGAATTATCTGTTCAAACAAAATTCAATCCTGAAAAGGCTGATATTTGGGCACTGGGCATTTCATTATACCGCATGCTGAATGGTAGATACCCTTTCTTCGACAGCGAGGGTGATTATTTCATATCTCATAAGGAGTTGTTTAAAAAGATGTTGAAGTCAGAATTTGATATACCCAAGAAACAGATATCAGCAGGTAAATTCATTAGTATCTGTGAGATCCAGCTGGGTATTTTTTCCGTTTCATTAACATGCATATCTAAATATGACTTTAGAGGCAAGAGATTTGCTCCAAAGAATATTAGCACCAGCGAATATTAGAGCTTCCTTTGATTTGATTATGTTCCATCCATGGCTGAAATCATTCGTTGATTTTACAGCGATCACAACTTCTTCTGCTACACGTGACATACCAGATCGAATTACAGTCAAGAAGAGAACTCTGAACAACAGCATTGCATCATCCTTTCAACAAAGCTATTACCATACAGCTGCCAATACGGATATGGATGGTCGACGGCCGAAAAAGCATCTCCTTCCAAAGCCGACGAGTCAACAAGACGAACATTATTTTAACTTTAAAAGGAAAAAATCTTTGTCCTCTCTTTCATCACTCCACTTGTTTTCGAAAGTAAAGGCAGAGAAAAATTTGAAGAGACTGTCCAATACAGTCCAAAAAGCATTCAAATTTGTAGTGCAAGGGCCTTATCCACCACCTGCAAACATTCACGATTTGGTTGTCGAACCTTCCTATCGCCGGCAATCTCAGCATAAAGACAAAAAAAGAAGAAAATGATTGCCGCCAACCAAGTATCCCTATTTATTATTCTTCATCTAATATCTGTAAAGTTCTTTGCTTATTTATTCCCATAGTATACCACATCCAAATGAACATTTTGTCTATTAATCGAACCATTCTGTAAAAATAGCGAGATATAATAAAGCTTTTTCAAAAAATCAGTCGTTATCAATTGTATCAGCTCAGGATGATTATATGGAACTTAAGCAGTAAGATGCTATAAGATTGCAGACCAAACTCTTCGTTCCGGTCTTGCTATTGAATGATAAGTGATAACTCTAAGGAATACAACTGTCGCACCTTGATCAGTGAGAATATTGACCTTATTCATGTCTGCTATTCAATCCTTGCGACGGCTGCCGAGCTGTTTACTCGTGCTTAAACCGCTGGGAGTTCTCACTCTACATACAAATACCGTTTTTATTTTTTTTTCGTTTCCATTGTTTAGTAATGTAGATTATAAAGATATAGATTGACCGCGAAACCTTCTTTTGTGATTCCTCTTTATAAAGAGGGCCAAAAGAAAGTATTATTAAAGTCAAACCAGATATGGCATCTTGTTTCGTTCAGGAAAAGTTGTACCGATCAGTTCAGCAAACTTGCAAAATCGAAACTTGAAAAAATATGAGATAAAGAAAAAATAGACATTGGGACCCCTTTTCGATATTTATATTTTTTGACAGGCAAAAAAAAAAATTTTCTTTTTTGGACGGTTGAAGTCAAATATTTATCCACCGCCAGTCAGTTGTTGATTACTGCTAAGGTTGAAGCTTGCGGCATCCTTAGAATGCCCACTGTTGATATTAAAGTGCTGTAAAAGACTATAAAAAAAGTTACAGTTTAACCAAGAATAACCATTATAAGTATGATTCAGTCATAAGAATAGCATACAAGTATAAGAAAGCGTAGAAAAGGCGTAGTGCTGCTATATGCCACCCAACTTAGAATATCATTCTTAAGCAGTTATTATACAATGCCGGTTTTTTCTACTTGAATGTGATCTCTGTGATTCTTTGCTGTCCTTTCTTTTTTAAATGTGGTTAGTTCCTGCGTCTCCTTTTATGATGCGCCACAAAATTCAATGGAGTTGCTATTGATCGCACAGTTTTGGTCGTTAACAAATGAATTTCATTGAATATGTGTTCGAAGAATGATAACAGCAACAGTATGTACAATTTATCACTTGATTCTCGGTCATTTGGATTAAAGCAGATTATTATGCCCTCTTCACAGAAAGCCTGATTAAATATAAATTTCGACTTTGTCCTATATTGAGTAACGCACCGAAACCAAACAGAATCTTATAGCAGCCGTTTAATTTGATATTTTTCAACAACTGAGCGAAGCTTCTGTGAGTTGTCCCTAAATCAGCTGGGAAGAAAACTTGTAACTTTAACACACCATTGTGAGCTTTTGCCTTATTTCTGATCGTTTCTTGCAAAGTGTTGAAAGTTTATCGCAGGCTTATAAAGTTGATATAGCCTTTGCCTTATGGCCACGGCGTTCTGAATAAGATTTCTGCTAGGCATATCATCTAAATAGAGCCAGTCACCTACAGCAAAATGGTGTTAAGGAGGAATGCATAACCTAGAAGAAGTAGTATAGATATTTGAGGGAATATTTAACTGAGAGAAGGTTGGTGTTTTCCACTCAATCCCAAACGATAAACGATGAACAATTGCCAATAAATTCCTGTGGTATCGAAATAAGTCAATCGATGGAGAGCAGAATTATCAAACACCAGTAACGTTTTGTTCGAGCTTTTCTACTTGCTGCATCACTTCTCAGACAGTGCATTTCTCGATGGCATGTTTGCTCCTTTGAAAATAACACCCATTTCAAATGTTGAGAAACTAACGCATATATCTATTTGTAGAAATAACAACTTCATCTTTTTTTCAGTAAGGTCGGTTTTTGTCACGGATTTTAGCAATTATATCTCTGAATGCCTCTTGCTTTTCATCAGCAAGCTGACTGTAATTGTACTGGAGGGGGAATTTATAGATACATAATGTATGCCTAAAGTAGTATCAATACCATTGTCAAAATAGACATAGGTTAAGAATAAGAATAATGAAACAGTACAATTAATTGTGACAATCTGATGTTAGTTTGCTGTTATTCTACTGATGATACCAAATCATTGACGATCAGTTACATCGCAAGATAGTCATGCATACGATAATGCCACGCGAACGTGAAGACAACGAAAACGCTCTTCAAGGAATTGTTTACAAAGTTTATCGATGAACTTTTGGGGTAATATGAAATGAAACGTGGAAAAAAGGTGTTTATGACGTTAATTTGTATATGCCTTTCCTTCTACTATTCCAAGATGAAAGACGCTGAGTCTGATCAGCAGAGTTGAAGATTATGGTTTTTATGTATGAAACTGTTGGAAAAGAGTAGGAAATGACTGATCTTCTCAACCATTTGTACGTAGCATAGTTTGGTATATCCAGTATGGTATTGTGGGTTTACAACAATTCTTTTATGATTCAATAATACACAAAATAGAAAAGCTCAACCGTAGTATTGAACAGCAAGAAATCAACTATACTGATCCCATTCGCAGTCGACTACTCTCTTAAATTGTGTATACCAGCTCTTTTTGTAGTAAAGACGTCAACACAACACACAATTGTCTTTAGCGTCAAAGATACTGATCCTGTACCAACTGTTAGGTTGAAGAAGATACTATCGAAAAATCACAGGAATCAACGAGTGATGGCGGTAGTGCGCTTTTGTCTGAAAGAATCAATTAATTCAAAAGAAAGATTACATATGCTTGCACTTTTTATCCAGAACGCATGTTCGAAATGAAGGCATACTGCTCCCTTTCAAATAAATTTCAATGTCCTTTTTCGCTTCATGCTTACAAATATATAGATCAGCATACAGCATCTTCTCTTAACTGTACATGGTTACGTTGAACAAATGATAGTCTCAGCATCGTATTTGATTTTATAAAAGCTCAAAATCCCTTTATTTTCTGTAAGCATTAGCTGATATCAGAATGTGACGGATGGTTTGAAGCGTCATGGCTAACTCTTTTTTGAACGGGGTGGTAACAGACTGGAAATACTCTTTATCGAAGAATTTTAATTTTATATTGGGAGTTGGCCACTAAAAAGAGCTTTACGAATATCTACCGATTTTTGACACCGCAGATTTCTTTCAGTTGATCATTAAAAATGTTGGAAAAAACATCCTTTTACAGACAGGCTCGAATTTAAAAAACATTGTGGATAACAGTTTGTTATTATCTCCTCTTATGCGAATAATAATCATTCATTTAAGGCATTGTGAATTCACTGCTTAGTATCCGATTTGACACCGTTCCAAATAGTGGTAGCTATTCTTTAGTTTATTGAATGTATGAGAACGGTAGCTGTGAATTCTGAGGAATTCATAATGCCTCTGCACATATTAAATGTGTAGCGAGAAAAAAGTTGATAATAATACAGCAAGAATCAAAGTAGAGTGTCGATAAATTCCTAGATCATAAGAATAATCTGTTCGTATACCTGCCTAGTTGTTACAAGTTACAGATTCAATTCTAACAGTAATTACGCTTACTTTGATGCAATATGCATTTGCACTGCCAACCGTCAGTAAGAGTCAAATATGCCTATCTCTTGTGAGTTATAATAACGGACTGAGCCATCTTTTGTAACTATGCAACTTGGCAAATAAATCTGCGATAATTGCAAGTTAGAAATGCCAAGGCTGCAGAGACGGATATTGAATCTGAACTATTGATATTAACAATGGTATTTCTGATGACATTTTATGGATGAAAATGCTAGGTCAAGACTTTTTGCAATTAAAAAACAATCACACATGTTGAACGACTTTATACAATATCCACCAATTGTCCCTTAAATATGTTCCATATTGTAGGTTTCTAAAAGATATGCCTGCTAGGAATATCAAGTTCGCTTTGAAATAATGGGATTGATTTTATAGTAGGATTGGCTGTCCATTTTGAATCGAGCAATGGATTGTACACTACTAGTCCTTTGTTTGATGGTAGTATTAAGGACGATGCTTATATTGTTGAAAAATGCGCAGTTACTTGACAAAAAATAAAAGGATAAAAGAGATGGCAGAAGAAGCCTCTCCTCAGTCTTCTTTCATTTTACAACAGCCATGAAGAGCTAGTCACCTGCTGCGTCTTGACTGCATAAAATATCAGCCGGATGAAAGGGGAATATGCAGGCGTTAACTGGCATAATATGCGTTGTATAGTTGACTCAACGAAAAAAAAAAGAAGAAAGGGCGCTTTTCTCTCCTTTCGGTGATAAAAAACAAAGCTGCTCTTTCCAATACAAACAGGATTCTTTGTTTGCTGTTAAAGAAACCAAACATTCTTGTCAATGTTAACTTTGCAAAAAGAGGCGGAAATTGAAATATGTAAAAACCAGCAGAAAGAGAAGGCGTTTGAGTGACGCATTTTATACATATGTGCGTTCGCTTCCCTTCCCCCAAGCTGTTCATTTTGGTAACCTTTTTTATTTTCCACACCTAATTACTTTTGATTGTATCTTACTTATCTTTTTTTTTTTTCCTTTTATCTTTTGGAACAACGCAAAAAAAAAAAAAAAAAAAAGACTTATTACAAAAAGGAAGAAATACCTTTCGTTTCTTTCTCTTCTTTTATTTCTTTTCTTTTTTTTTTAATTTTTTCATACCATAACACCTCTTCATTCTTTAACGTAATTTATTTGAAACCATGGCAATAAATGCACGACAATCAATACAATATGAATTCCAACCACCTTCGAATATCGAAGCTATTCGTTCCAGTATTGTCCAACGTATAAAGCTACAGAGAACGTCTGCTCGAAACAATATCCTTCCTCTCACTCCTCCTAGTACGAACGATAAGGTTAATGATAAAGAAGAACAAGAGCAAGAGTTTTATCGACTTTATTCAGAAAACGGTTTGCCTTCCCCTCCTATCGAAACCTGTTCATTCGATTCACATCCTCAGCAGCAGCAACAACAACAAGACCATGAAGAAGACGTTCATATGGTACCACTGGACTCTCCTCCATCCCCTGTACTCTCCAAATCGTCAGTCGTCTCATCTGCAGAGAACTATTCTTCAACGGTTTTGGACTCACCATCACCAGTTGTACAATCGTCAGAGGCTATTCGTGAAAAGATCCGATTATTGAGAAAAGAAAAGCATTTATTGTTTCAAACGATGAAAGAGTTATTAGCTCAACCAGAAAAGCAAGAGCAGCAAGAGCAACAGCAACAGCAACAGCAACAACAGCAACAAGCAGAAATTCCATCTCCCCCTACATCAGTTTCCCTTAAGCCTTCTTATACCACTACCACTTCTACAACTACTTCTACAACTACTACTACTACTAAGAATAATACCCTTGTAAATAACTCTCTTGTTAGTAGTAGCAGTAGTAATGCAAAAAAATCCTTCAACTCACCTAGTACCACTACTGCTGCAGCACACCACCACTCTCCTTATCACCCTGCTTCCCATCCAACCTCGATAGAAAGGTCAAGGTCAAATCATTTACTATCAAAACCCTCTTCCTTCTCCACAAGACCTCTCCGATCACGTAGTATGAGTCAAACCTCCAGTAGTAATAGTGGTAGTATGAGTTACCATCCGCACTACCACCACTATGCTTCGCACTTTTATTATCACCATCATCATCACGCTCCACTTCCTCACCATTATCGACCCATTGAAAGAAGGTCCCCTACACGGTACAATAACAGTAGCACTAGTAGTAGTAAACCTTCTTTCCTACCTTCGTCTTCATCTGCAACTACATCAAATATGGTAAGTTACATAGCACCATCTCGAAAAAGAAATAGAAATCACGCTTATATATATATATATATATATATATGAATACGTGACAAAAAAAAAAAAGAAAAAAAAATCCAAAACAAAAACTCATCTCTTTATTTTTTTTTTTATATGCATGTCATATGTAGTCTCGTCGTTCAATTACTTCTTCCACTTCTTCTTCTAACATTCACGCTTCCAATGCGACCGTAGCAGCGTCAGCAAGGTCATCATTAAAGCCTTCTTCTACACTGCCTAATATTCATTCTAGTACAACCGCTTCCGTATCTAACGCAGCTTCAAACTACAAATACCATCGTTCAACGTTTATGCCTCGTCCAGACCGACATTCAAGAGCTTAAAGAAAGAAATTCAAAAAAATTCAAAAAAAAAAAAACAAAAAAAAACTAGAATTCTTTCCCTAGTATCAAAAGAATACATCCATAAAAGAATCCACTTTTATTTATTCGAAAATAAAATAAACTAAACCCCTAACCCTGCTTTAGCCCACTGCGAAACAGTAAAAATAGAAAGGAAAGCCTATTTACTGCTCATGAAATAACGTAAGCAATTTTTTCAAAAAGAAAAGAAAAAAAAAAAGTTGCCTATGCACCCCCTTCTTCTTTTTTGTCTGTTAAACCGAAATGGGCTCTGTAAGAAAGAGAAACCAACTAACGTCATATTTATTATAAAGCCCAAAAAAGAAAGAAAAGAAAGTTATTCATGTGTACCCCACGTTTAAGTTCATTATCAAGTTCAAATTATTTTGTGAACCGTAGTACATCTTGAATAACTCTAATACAAATAAGTTTCATGAACACCTTAAAAGCTTATGTGCATTTGAATAGGAAGGAACTAAAAGCGAAAGACTTCTTTTGGATATCTTTCTTTATTCTCTTTCTAATGCTTATGAAAACAATTGTTACAATGTCCTTTCTTGAACACATTGGCTGTATATTCATCACAACCGCATTCATGGCAATTTGGTATAGTATTATCATCGTTATTCACTGTTGTAGCTGCTATTGGAGGAAGTGGTGGAGCTGTGCGAGAGGTGGTTGAAGGAGTGGAGGCTGCTGAGGAGGAGGTACTACTGCGTAATGGCATAGGCGGAGGAGGTCCACGAACGGAACTATTGCTTCTCGTACGAGAAGCAGGTGGAGGAGGTGGAATTCTGTTCATTTTGTATGTGGGTTTTGATGGAGGAAGAGTATTGGTAGGTTGTCCTTCATTATCATTATTGGGTCTAATGTATGAAAATCCTCTATTATTGTTGTCGCTGGCACTGCTACTGCTCGTACGATTGGAATCACCAAACGGTGATGGATTATGACTTGTTTCTTCAACTTCGTCTTCATAACCACCTGTTTCATGCTGCTCTTCTTCTTCTTCTTCTGGTATATAAGCATGTTGCTGTAGTGAAGAGGAAGAGGATAAAGGTTGAGTAGAGTTGCTAGAGGAACGTGCACGCAGATTGGGTCTCGCTGGCATAGGAGGCCCCCCATTACTGCCATTATTGATCTTGCTTACGGCCTCTGTATAATTGACAGGGAATATACCACGACGAATCATGCCGTTAGCTTCAGTAATTTCACCGAGCCACCAGCCTTCATCTACCTCCTCCACTACAGTGATGATATCGCCTTTACGGAAAGATAGTTCGTCGGCACTTTCCCCACCAAATTCAAAAATTGCCTTTCTTCTATTTTTTGTATTATCTGTGTCAGGAATACTAGCAGCAGATTGAGCTACCATAGAATGTGCATCATGTAAGTACAAGTCTGTTTTCAACCCAGCAATAGATAGCATTCACATTAGAAGAAACAAGAAAGAAAAGAGAGCTTACATTGTCTGCGTGGCAGGGAAGGTGGGTTTATACGTGGACTATGACCACCACTGTTATTGTTCATAGGCATCTCATCATAGAGTGAATTTTTGCGTGGTGCTCCCAATCCACCAGTAGTAGTGATGGTGCTGGATGAAAAACTACGCTTTCCACCTGTCATAGGTGAGTTACTACCATAGTTGCTAGTATCACTGCTTCTACTGATAGATAGCCTAGGTGATGCCTGCTGTTGTTGACGCTGTTGCAGTAATTCTTCAGCAGTAGTAGCAGAAGTATTACTGATAGAGCGGGACAGTCCTATTCCACTACCCATAGTTGATGTACGGCGAAGGCTATTGCTGTTGCCTCCATTGTTCTGTGAGCGTGGTACAAGAGGCTGTGTCCAGTTATCTCTCACTTCATTTAATGTCTCTAGAGATCGGCTTAAATATTCGCATTGTAAATCTAAAAGATGTCTGAGGACAGCGCAATGTTCATCCTGGACATAAATAGATGCATAGATGTTTTTAACAAATGATGACAGCGGTTATTACTTGTTTCGATATACGGATAAGGTGCAGAAGAAAAAGGGTTATTTACCTCGAAATCTTGTAAAGCTACCATTTTTTGTATCAAATCATATTCAGTATCCTCATATTTCATTTTGGCTGCTTGCATTTCCTGTTCCAATTCTGGCTTTTCCTTTTTGGACTTTTGTAATCTATTCAATTTAGCGTCTAAATCCAATCGTCTAGACTCTAATTTCTTCTTTAAATTCTGATAGTCTTTATAAAGTGCCATGCCTTCGTCCAACTTTTCAATGTAACTCATGCCCACACTGTCTGCAAATTCTTCTTGATAAGCGGCTAAACGAGATTGAGCTTGACCTACGTTGATGGTAGCAATACCGAGGGGTGAGTCTTCGTTGAATTCGTTACCGTAGAGATTGAGGCAGACCCCAAAGACATCGTGAGGGGGACGTTTGGTTTTGTTATCTTCTGGGGATATTTTGACTTTCTTTAACTGGGATTGGAGGAGAAGGATCGAAGTGTGGAGTTTCTCAAATGCAGCGCGTTTACGGTCAGTTTCAACTTCAAGACGTTGAAAGTCTTCCGTTTGTGAGGTTGATTTGGCAGAACCAAACTTTTCACCCGTCCACTAAACATAATATAAAGTAAGACAGTTGGTCAACATTTCTCGGTTGCGGTTAAAAAGGAAAAGAAGAAGCTTTTTATAGACGAAGGACAGATGATGGTGAGGTTCTTCTCATGAGGCCGATGAGGTAGCTGAGGAACAGTAGTAAGTGAAATAATCCACTTAATAACGGAATATGTCAATATTCGTCTCGAATACTACAGACAATGATATTACCGTTCCTTTCCTCTTCTTCCCTCTACTACTGCTAGGCCTTCTATCCTTCTTCCAGTAAGATGTGGAATCCTTTTTTACCTGTTTTAGTTTGCCGATATTTTTAATAACCTTCTGACTCATGACTGCCCCTTTTGCTTAATGAATGTGAATAAGTGTTTTGAGTATGCACCGTAAAAAGGTTTAAAGAATGGAAAGAAGGTCAAAAAAAATGGGAGAAAGAGGAAGGGGTTTAGATATCAAAAAGGCTTTCAATAATTTAAAAAAAGAAAAAAATGTTGGGTGGTCTTTCCATATTATGGAACGGATTCAAAGCAGAGGAGGACCCGCACAAGGATCGAAAGGAAAAAAAAAAGCCAGACTTTTACCAGTTTTGGATGCACAAATTGTTGTGTCTCATTTAATAAATGGTCTTCATAAGAGCCCTTTTTTTTTTATTATCCTAATGTTACTGATGTCCACAAATCATGTGAGAAAAGTGCTACATACGTATCCAAGAGTCTTAATGCTTAACTACAGGTCAAGTTGGCTTTCAGTAATATAAACTCTGAGAAAGCTTTTTATCGGTCTCAACAACATGACAAAATCCCATAGGAAAAGCCTTTCCACTTTTAGAAACAGACAGTATCAGTTTGCTTTATCATTTTGAATTCTGATGAATCCACATTTCAATCCAGCTGATAATAACACAATGAATTCTGTTGAGATCTTAGTTTTTTCTGCTCATGTTTAAATACGACCAAATTATAGCATCCTTTTATCCCAACATATGCTGCATCATTATCCATTGTGCCTGGAAGCAGTTTATGGTTTTACCCCAATTATCGGCATAATCTGGGTTACCAAATTATTAATTGAATAATTTATACTTTTTTTATTCGTTTTTATTATTGGAGTTTGTAGTAAATTTTTTTCTTCGAAAAAAGTTGATAGGATAGAAAAAAAAATATATATGTATATATGTAAAAAAATATATATATATTTATATGTATAATGAATGCTATATAATATGCGGTTTATGCTTGAGCAAAGTTGAATCTGGAATGTCTACGTACCGGAGAATCTAAATTAGCAGCAACAGCAGCAGGATTTGTTGTTGTAGTTGTATTTGTAGCAGCGGGAGGAGTAGCAGCAGCAACATTAAAGAAAGAAGCGACTGCATTGTTAGAAGTCAACATAGACATGTGAGCGAAAGGATTGAAGAGACCAGTATATTTCGGTGTAGGCGTTGAATACGTCAAGTAATCCAAAACGGAAGGAATGGTCGACGAAGAAATGGAGGCTGATTGTATAGCTTCTAGATTTCTTTGCGCTGCTGATGGCTCCAATAACACTTGCTGCTGTATGTCATTCTCTTCTTTGATATTCTCATCATCTAATTTCAATGCTGAAATACCTACACTGAGGGTGTCACTGCTATACTCGCTACTGCTCATATCTTCATCGTAGTACTCTTCTTGTTGCTGTTGTAGCAGTACTTCTGGGTCCAACATAGGAAATACTTCCCGGTACGCTTGACCCAATACAAATCCAGTCAAGCCTTGTTCAAATATAGAAGGTGATTTCTTATTCTTTGTCTTTTCCTTCTTCTGGTTTTGAGTATCTTTCTTGTTGTCTCTGTCTTGTTGCTGATCATCTTCATTATGAGCTGAGGTCATCATCATCTGAGACCCTGTTGGTTCGCTAACAACAGAAGAAGCTTCAGATATTGTGGCTGCCGCTGCCGCTGCCTTTTGTTGTTGTTCCTTTCGTTTCTTCTTTTCACTTTTACGTTTAGGCATTGGTGGGAATTGCGCCTTTTGCTGAGCTGCTGCTACAGCATCAGATAAGGAAGGTCCAAAAGCATCAGAAACCGTCATGATAGGTGTAGAAGGTGTACTACCGTTGCTAGCTCCCATCTTAGCCCATGACGCTGTAGCGGGTAACGCTGAATCATCGGTGGCAGCGTTGGAAGATGCAGTAGCCTTATGAGAGCCTTTTAGACTAGCTGACACGGCAGGGAAATCTTCGCTCGATAGAAGAGGTCGTGGCTGATGTGAATGAGCCTGTGCGGCCGTTGTTGAAGATGAAGATACTGCTGGTGTGTGACCATGCGCTGCTGCTGCTGTTGTTGTTGCTGTTGTTGTTGTTGAAGAAGATGAAGCTGTTGGATAAGGTTTGCTACTCACTCCCTCATATTTATCGTCTTCAGTGAGCATGTCGCGCATGTGGTGTTTACTAATTTAAAAAAAAAAAACGATACAACGTAAGAATATGGAAGAAGGGGAAAGACATCGCTATTCGCATTTTACTGCGCGCTTACCTATTGGCCAGTTCCTCTTTTGAAATAGTATCGATATCATCTCCTTGCTCATGGAGGTAGAGACAATTCGGGTTTGGACATGTCATATTACGTAGATAATAAGTACAGTATTTTGTGGTACCGTAAGAAGCCCTAGAATTATAGTGAAAGGCTTCTGTCAGAACGCCGAACATAATTGACAAATGACTCACAATTGGCCGTTTCTCTGTCAAATACTTACCTAACTACTCGATCAGCAATCAAGCTTCCATCGACAGCAGCAATAGCTTTTGCTGCATCTTCTTTTCTGTAGTACGTGACATAAACAGCAGCACTTGGTAGAGCAGAATTTATACTGATTTGCGAGGGAGGAAGCGTAGGCTTCTTGTTGATGACAACTTTAGAGATTTTACCGAACTGACCAAAATAATCGTTTGAGCGCACAATCTATACGCATAGAGTAGGTCAAACCAAGAGGTCAATAAGCTTGAATTGTAAAGAGATATCATACTTATACCCTTACCTCTTCCGTTGCTAGCTTGGGATGAAGGCCAATGATATAAACCAGATTCTTTTGCACAACTCGCATATTGGATAAATGACGACGGTTGGCAGATTCCATATCCTTTTGTTGCTTTTCCTTTTCTTTCTTTTCTTTCTTTATACGCTGTAACCTAATATAACACAAGTTAAATATACTTTGAACAAAATTTTTCATCCCACAACACATTTGATCTTGTCTGAATTTGACATACTCATCAGCACTAACAGGTTTGAACTGTGCCATTTCCTCAGTATATTCTCGACGACTATGACAAGAATATGAAATATATATATTCGAGTTAGTACGCAACAATAGAGATCTTAAAGACCAAAATCAATTTTACCATGCAGGACAGCGACCATTCAAGTTTTCCCTAATATGGTGCCAACAAAATCTACAGATCTTTATGAAAATAAAAGTTTGTTTAATTCCAATATTTTCTCGTAAATTGTTTAAATCAGTAAATGCCACACTGTAGTAGTACCTGATAGCCACAGTAACAAGGTTTGAAGTTTCTATCAGCAATATCAAACTCCTCCATACAAAGAGGGCAATCAAGTTCATCATCGGATTCCATTGTTAATTGTTAAGACTTCCAAAGTGAAATAGAATCTTTTTTATTAACGGGAAAAAAAATGTCAAAAAAAGAATGAGAAAGAAAACTTTTGGCAGGACTTAGGAACGTTTTGTTTGTTGAACATATCAAACTCCGATAACAATGATTAGCAGGATTTATTGCCACTGTTTGAAATTTGAACCTAGAGAATATATTGCCGTATACCAAGGATAACCACGGAGCAACAAACACTAACCTGTGAATCCGAGGCATAATGAAGTAGCCGTGTTTAAAGTGTATCTTGATGGCAAGGAAAGGTGTAGATGACTTTATTGCTCTGTATCAAGACATTGATACGATTTGCTGTATCGCAGAACTTGTATTTGTTCGCTGCAAGGGATTCCCTTTAACCCTAACTGTATAATATCTCTACTTAGTATTCATAATTATCAATAACATGTATTTTTGCGGCCAAGATAACAGTCTGGCGTATGATGAATTGAGGTAATAGAAGTGATTTTCGAAAAAAGCAGACGCACAAAAAAAAAAGCCTGGGGAAAACTTTTAAAGTGACGCAATTGAATTGATTTCGTCTTTTTGTTTTTTCAAATATTTGCTTTGCCGCCGAGTTCAAATACGATTATAAGCAAGGGGAACTTTGTCTCTTTTCTCTTTTTTTTTTTTTTTTTTTTCTTTTCCGAATTTGAATATCTTTTATACACAAAAGGTACAACCTGAGAAAGATCAAGGATAGCGAGCCTTAGAGAATCACAACTAAAATAGTCACTTTGACATACGTAGAATCTTATTACATTAAATCATAATTAAAGATGGGTGGACCTGAAGGAAAAGCTTATATGGGTTGGTGAGTGATAATTGAGCACAATGTTGATGACTGCTGACGAACGCCCAAGATTAAGACTGACCCTATTTTTCTTATTCACGGCATGATAGGTGGGGTCATATGGGAGGACCTACACAAAGAGTACGTTCGTTAAGATGATAGAAGCGAGAAAAAAGCAATAGTTCAACATACTCGCAGAACAAAACTAACACCGAAAATTATTATGATAATAGGGTGTTGTAACATATATGATATCTTCATTTGAACAAAAGCCTTTTGCTGGCGCTCTTCACAATGCTGTCTTCAACACAGCTCGTCGTGTCGCTTCCCAGATCCCTTATGTTGGTGTTCCCTTCGCTTTTGGCTACTGGGTTTACTCTTCAGCCATTAAAGAACATGCTTACCTCAACTCCAAGGCTGGACATGCCGCTCATGAAGGGGCACATTAAAAAGAACTTATTTATATAATAATTATGCGAAAAATAATGATCAATATACAACTATAAACGCAACTGTTACGACTACCACATCATCACTTCACGGCTACTTTACATCTAGATAAAAAAAAATGGAACAAAATATGTCTCTTCTTCGATTCAATGTATAATGCGAGTATTCCCCATTCAATATCAACAGATGCTTTCTTTTTTTCTTTCACAAAAAAGCCTTGGAAGAAATCCAGAACGCTACTATGACCTATCTTCTTTTTGAAATGCTTTTTTGTATAGTATCGGGTCGTTAAGCTTTTGAGGGACAAGAGAAAAAGTCATTCGTTGGTTGAGTTTATACGAGTATAGTGAAAAAGGAACTGTTGCTAGTTATTACTCTATTCTTTATAACTGAAGGAAGTGCCAACGATAGACCGTTGGGCTGTTGTATTAACCAATAAGCCTGTTGTTAACTTCGAGCTGGATCCAAATGTCTGTGGAAAGATAAAATAAAAATACATTTATCTTTTGGTAAGACAGTCGCTGACTCATTATCATACAACGAGGCAATGAGCATAATGGATAACAAGCCAGCCAAGCCTTCATTCCACATTTTTAACTATGATACAAACGTTTTCATTTTCAATATATTAATTTATTTTATGCAAACTAAGAGTATAAAAAAAGGTCTATAAAAGGTTATTAATGAGTTAGAAAAAGAAATGTTATCCAAATTACTATAGATAGGGGGCAAATGCTTATAACATGGGATATCAATTATGTAAGTAAGTAGTAAATGTGTTTAGGAGGAAATAATATTAACGTTTTTGCTTTCTGAATACATAGACAAAGAAGCAAAATAGCATACAGTTAAATACAGTGTAAGCACACACAATACCAAAGTTACGCCATCTGTTGTTGATGTTCCAACCGAGCCTCAATTCGTAGTAATCGCTACCTTTGGAGTATTGACAATAGTTACATAAACCAGTAGCGTTGGGGTTGTCGAGGTAACCGGTACCTCCATTCTCAAAGTAAGTTTGCATGTATTCACCACAGGTTTGTCCAGGAGGAGCATACAAGTGAAGGTATTCATCATTGGTACAGCGAACTTCAACACCATCCATTAAATTGACGACCAGACCTTCAATCACATAATGGTATGGATCCAGCCAGTACATCCACGAACTCCAGAAATGTGGCATACCACTCGGAGGCTGCATGATACCAGCGAACAAAATCAAGATGGAGGTGAAGAAAGGATTGATGACGGCAGCCATAGGAGGTGTAGAAGAGAACGCGGCAATGTTGAAACCAAGGAAGACAGAGTAGCATAAGAATACGATGAAATGGATGTAGAAGAAACCAACGCGATCAGAGGTATTCTCTAAACCAGCTGTCCAGTAGAAACAGAATAAGAAAATGGTACCGAAGACGATCAGATAAGGAATTTCAACCAACAAACACGAGAGAGCGAAAGGTGCCCAGCCATAGTATTTACTGGCATGTTCACGACGGAACCACAATCTTTCTTGCATGAAACGAGGTTGAACCAAAATAATCATAGCATTACTCATCAAAAGGGTAGTGAAAACGGAGAACATACGGTTTTGCATATCAGAAGGTGCATTACCAAGCTTCCAGAAAGAGAAACCAGAGATGAGACCGATGAAAACGACATTGAAGAGACGACCCATATTATAGGTGGGACAACGCCACCAAGAGATGTTCATACGCATGTAGACAAGTTTCAATTGTTGGAAGAAAGAAAGGGCATAGGTAGAGGCATGACGTTTGTGGTGAGGATCAACAGCGGCATCAACTTCCTGCAATTCTTCTTCAAGAGCCTTGGCTTGAGCAGAATTAGCCCAAATATCAGCCCAATCCTGAGTAACCTTAGAAGCAGTTCCAGCACCAACGCATTCCAAAATGTATTCGGCGGGGTTGGCATTGGGAGAACACTTGGGGCCACCATTCGATTCGAAGTAATCAATCATAGTACGACAATTTTCACCAATTTCACCAAAGTAAGCGGTACGACCACCACGCATCTATACAGAGAAATAAGAAGGTCAGTTATCAGCCTTTCAAATGAGAGGAGAATTTAAAGCATTACAAAAGAAAAACTTACCAACAGCAAAAGATGATCAAAATGTTCGAATAAAGTGGCAGAAGGTTGATGAATAGTACACAGAACTGGCCAGCCAGAGTCAGCAAGTTTACGAATGAAACGAATAATGTTGAAAGAACTTTGAGCGTCAAGACCAGAGGTAGGTTCATCCAAGAAGAGAAGCTTAGGCTTGCCAACTAATTCAGTAGCAATGGTTAAACGTTTACGTTCTTCGACAGAGATACCAACACCGGCTTCTAGATCACCGACAAGGGCATCAGCAATCTTTTGCATTTCCAACAGTTCGATAATTTGATCAACATAAGTATCTTTTTCTTCCTTGGGAACCTCAGCAGGTTGACGAAGGTAAGCTGAGAAACGGAGAGCTTCACGAACAGTGGCATTAGGATTATGGACATCCATTTGTTCACAGTAGCCAGTAATACGTTCAAAGTCGTTACCAAGTGGCTCACCATTCAAAAGAATACTACCTTCGATTTTACCAATTGTCTTTCTTTGAGCCAAAACATCCAGAAGAGTAGTCTTACCCGCACCAGAAGAACCCATAAGCGCAGTGAGATTACCAGGCTTGACAATACCACCAACATCATTCAATAGTTGACGAGTGCCGCCTTTCACAGGAACAGTATAATTAATGTGATGCCAAGAGAAAGTAGTACCTTCAGTAACAGCTTCCATTTCTTGATCTTGGATAGTTTGAGTTTGATTCAACATTTTTTCTTCGTCTTCTTCCTTGGGAGCACAACCCTTCTTGTAGACCTTGGTAATAGAACCTTCCTTTTGAAGATCAACGTATTCCATAGCAAGACAGGTGAGAATTGTAAAGAAAAAGAAGAATAGAATAACAGCAACAAAGTCGATCCAACGTTGCCAGACAGAAAAACCATAGTTGTACTCCAAATAATCATCACCTAGAATGTAATTCACACCGGGGTTAGCACCAGGAAGAATACAGGTCTTGTAACGTTCATCAGTGTAAGTTGGGCCGTTAGGGACAGAGTTTATGCCTTCACAACTGAAGTGCAATCCTCTCATTTCATTAGAAATCAAAGCTTTGTAACCATAAGCGAGAGGGTTGATCCAATAGATCCAGAACAACCAAGGATGCATTTTGTTGTAAGGAATTTGATAACCAGAGTAAATTAAAGCAGCAATCAAAAAAATACTGGACAATTGCGAGGCAGTGAAGAAATTAGGACTGATGGCACCCCAAAAACGGAAGAAACCATTCATACATAAGTTGGTCACGACCGTTATAATGAAGAAAGTAAAGAACTAAAATACGAAAAAAAAAGCAATTGTAAGTAAAAAACTGCATTAAAGAAAAGAATAGTGCGAAATACTTACTCGTCCTGCTTCAACTTCTAAACCCATCATGAAATAGACACAGAGTTCAAAAATGATGACTTGAATGAGGGCCAAAGGTATATCAACAATAACAGTAGCAAGATAGTAGGCAGAAGGATGGTATAACGCATAATGTTTATGCTTTTCCAATACACGACGACCTTGCATGAAAGCTGACAATTCAGATTGGGCGATCAAAGCATTGAACAGTAAACAGAAAAGAATAGAACCACCACGGGAGAAGGCACCGCTAGCTGTAACAGGCATTTTGAAAAATACGGAAGCAGTAATAAGACCCTTAATGATGACACCACCGTAACGGGAAATAAGAGAGCCACGATCACCCATAACAAGTTCGAATTGACGGATAGTAAGGGACTTGAGTTGTTCAGTGTAGGAAGCAAGGAAAGGAGACTGTTTGGGAGCATATTTTTGATGAGCGTCATGGAAGGCTTGTCTGAAAGCTTCTTGTGGTTTATCACGATTAATTTCTTCTTCATAAGCACGTTGCTCTTCCATCATTTGTTGGTAAAGTTCAGAATTCTTGTAAACGTTTTCAAATTGGACAGAATTTATAGGCACCTTTCCGTCGAAACCATCACGGACCTCACGTTCATTTTGATTACAAAGACCAGTCAAGAAATCAGGAGTGGATTTACGGTCAGGACAATGGAAACCCATGTCAACAAAGAATTGCTTGGCTGTAGCTGTGGGACCAAAGTAAATACAACGTCCTTCATCCAAAACCATAACTTTATCGAAAAGATGGAAAATACTATCAGAAGCCTGATATAAAGTGGAGATTGTAGTCTTGTGAAGAATATCAGTCATAATACGAAGCGAACGAACATAATCAAGAGCAGAAGAGGCGTCCAAACCACGAGTAGAACAATCCCAACAGTTGATAGAACTACGAGTAGTCATTTGTTCAGCAATGGATAAACGCTTACGTTCACCACCGGAGAGACCACGAATGAAAGCATTACCAACCATTGTGTTCATTTGCTTTGTCAAACCAAGCATATTACCCAACATGTAAAGAACGTTATCGATGAACTCGCTCTTACTTTCTCCAGGGAGTCTTTTACCAGGCGTTTTATTCTTCAAAGCGAAACGTAAGGTTTGGCGAGTTGTTAAAGTGGGATAATGAAGATCTTCTTCTTCATTATAACAGACTTCACCACGGAAATGCTTGCCAAATTCCTCAGCCTCTATACCGCCATAAGTAACAGTACCTTGAATATCCGTGTAAGACGCACGCATATTAGCAAGAACACGAAGTAAAGTAGTACAACCGGCACCGGGACGACCAAGAACTAAAAGCATTTCACCAGACTTACAGAAACCATTGTTTTCTTTCAGAATGGTTAAATCATGACCTTCGTGCTTGCCCCATCTCCAGAATTTAAGCACAGGAATAAGACAGGATAAATTGGTGGAGATAACTTTGGCATCAGCACCTAGACCTTTCACAACCAAATTTTTCCAAATAACGCCCATATTTTTCGGTTTCAGACCTGCAGCCATAATTTGCGAATTTTGCTCGGTAAGGTATTCTGTCAAATCAAAATCTTGCTGATCTCCCTTTTCAACGTCAGCAGCAGGAAGTGTTGCGGCTGATTTTCTACGCGATTGAGCTGTCATTTCTCTGCGTACTGATTGATATTGTTCAATAGCATTGTCAATATCAACTGCGTTGCCTTCGGCTTCACCGTATCCGCCTTCAGTTTTACGAGTGTCAAATCTCTCTAAATCGTCGCCCTCTGACAAATCGGCGTTATTTCTTCTGGGATCGTCTTGACGTAAAGTATAACGATCATCACGATTAGGGTAGTCAGCCCTCAAACCTGGTTCGGCTGAAGGCATATCCATTTTAAAGAACGATTATTTTACTAACTTGTAAAATCGATCGAAAATTTGAACTAGGAAATAGTGGGAATAAAATAGAATAGAAACGAATAATAGTAAAGAAAAGCTGAAAGCAAAGGATCTATAAAACAGAAAAACTTTTTTCTGAACAATACACGATAATTTTTATGCTTTATTTATAAGTTCATCTCTCATAGAAAATTACGGGATAAGTTTACCCAGAATTCATTTTCCGAACGCCTTTGAAGCAGGATTTCGCATGTTTCAAGCAGAGTATCGAAACAACAGATAGCTCCAAAAGGGTAAATTTTGCCTAAACTATTCAACCTGGATTCTGGGCATAAGTTGAAGATGAAAAAGAAATCAAGCATTTCTTTTTCCCGGATATGATCTGTATCGATACCCAAATACTGCTGGAAATTTCGCTGCAGTGCAGTTGTTTCTCATTGAGAAAAGGATCCAACTTTCCCAATTGCTTTACAACTGTATCCATTATAACTGCTCACATTTTTCTGATCTACTTCTTTCGTTCATGTCTATTCTTGATCTAGCAGCTTAACTGCGACAAGCGGTAAAAAGTTTTACTCTTCCATGTGTACCAACAGTGTATATGAACGGTCTTTTATTTACAGCAAGTACTTGCTGTACAAGTCGCGAATACTCGTTTTCTGTCTTTTTTTACATGTTACACATGATCCAGAAACTTCATTGAACTTTGTGATACTGCACTTCGTGTTGTCCCATCAAAAATTTTCTCCTACCTCCCCCACAGAAAGACACCCAAGAATGGCAGGCATGTTACCAACGTTTTAATTACCGGTCAAAACCCGATAGTAAAAGAGCGTGGTGGAGATTAATTTTGTTATGACAATAAAACGGTATTAGAAATGGCAGGCCTTTCGGATTTTGTTGGCAGCTTTCGAAGCACCCGCCAGGTAGTGATCTAACGTTTAATTATAACTACGCCATCATTCGTATCATAGTATCAACATTTATCTATAAGTGCATCCTTCTGGCGAGATTAAGATGGAAAGAATGTTTTCTTAATGAAGCTTATTCAGCTGATGAATAAATCTACTGAAACACTTGATATCTATCTTTTTGAATATATTACTAGTAAAGTTTACGGATCTGGGACTTATTTTACCAATAGTATCAAGATAGCTACAAGTGGAGCATTATTGCTGATAAAAACTTTTCAGATCTTCTACAATACTTCAACCATATCTACTGTGACATTGAAAAAAACAATACTTAACTTATTGTTATAAATGATAAAACTCTATCGTTTCATTGAGAAGAAATCCAGATACATCCAGCTATTTGATGATCGATATCATGCTGCAAGAGTCCTTAAATCGGAGCATTTTGTAATCTCAATTGGAAAGTGGATCATCAATAATGCATTGAAAGAAGAATATTCGATCAACACAGCTGGTTAGGCAAACAGTAACAGTAAAACTAGTGGAGCAGAAAGTGGGGATACATAGCTTTTGCATATATTTGCTTTTGAGACTGTAACATCTTTATTAATGCTATTGTCGATGAAACTATATCTTCATTTAAGTTAAACTCTGTTGTAGAAGGTTCAAATCCGCACGAGTTGTACTTGACAGATTTCAATGTCCTTCAGATATGGATGTGCAGTAGAGAATACTAAGATGACTTTATATACAGTATGCGACTATCGCATAAGATGTTCTCCTCCATCGTTCTCCATCGTTCTCCATCGTTCTCCATCGTTCTCCATCGTTCTCCATCGTTAACTAACTGAATTTTATTGATGGCAAAGCCAACTAAGGCTCTCTCTCGTTATATTAGCTCGACTTATGAATCAGTCAGATTATCAACAGTATATATTAGTTTACCACCTTGCTCATTGAAACTCTATTCGACGTCTATAAAAACTTTTTAAACCGTCTACTTCTATTAATTACGCAAATGTCAAAGGAAAACTCAAGCCTTGTTCATTATATTGTTGTTGGAAAATCAGTAATTATACAACGTCAGGTTGCGAAACAACATATCGCTTGTTTATATAGTAAGTCCAGTCAAAGTATTAGGCCGAACATTGTCTTCTCATTGATTGCTAAATTTACACTTAATTTTCTCATAGAGGTATAAGTTTACTAGGTTCAGTGTTTTAGAAGATCTTATCCAATCTTTCTCAAACATTGGGTTCATTGACTTCCTTCTTCCCGTTTGGTTTCGTCTTTTACTTGCGTTTTTTCTTGGTTTTCTCATCAGCCTTATTGAGATTAAAAAGCGGTTAATCTCTAAGTTCAATCCAAGAAATACATATAGAAAGAGAGCAATGTAAATAAATTTGTTTATCTATCTCCTTAACATCCTACTGAAGAATTCTGGTCAAGGGTCAATTTATGTACAGAGACATCATTTTGAAAGGGATACATTTACTCCAAAATGCCTGCCATTTTTACTCCTTTACTGTTTGAGGATTCTTCCGTACAGAATTAACTCTCCGTCAAACTGCCAAAGTCTGAGTTTTGTTCCATTTAAACGTTCTTTAAAATTTTTGTGGCGAGAAAATCCATTGCCTTGGAAATCACTCTGAGTGCGTGAAAATATTAAATGCCCGGAGCGAGAAAAATGAATGTCCCTTTTTTGAGTCAAAATCAAAACTATTGCACATAATGGCTCTTGGTTAGAGCAACAGATTATAAGTGTTCGTTTTCCCATCATACATGAACTGGAAAAGGTTTGCAACGTGCAAGTAATAAATATTTTTGGCTCATGCTCTACTGATTGATGACTGATATGCGTTCAGGAAATTCATTGTAAATTCATGAGTATTGAACTGAATACGGCAAAGAGAAATTGCTTTTCAAACATAGTCTGGAAATAGCACGTCGTATAATAATCACAAAAATCAAGTACGTAGTCTTCATTAAATTGGTTGCTGCTTAGGCGAAAAAAATTCTAATAAAATCTAAGATGCTCCTATAAGTAGCAAAGGTTTAATGTAATTGGGCGGTAAGAATTTGAAACAGCGTGCTGACGATGAAGCTATGATTATTTCTATCCTAAAATCGCCCAATTCCAAAGTATTTAGCTTGATTAGTATGGATATTGTTTGTAAAGGTTTTCCGAATTAGCCTGCTTAGTGTTTAACAACTCCAAGGATCAGTAGAGCTTGTTTGTTTGGTTCTTACTTTATCTTTTTTACTGTTACTTTACAGAAAGATTTGATCCAGTTTAACAGGTATTTCTCCAACTAACTTAATGCTGAGTTGTTTGTAACCAAATTGTTAAAGCTTGATACAACTCAACATTCTTTAGATATATTACCACTCAACATAATCGCTTTGACTTTTGTAAATACTTGACGGCATCAACTTATAACCTTTTTATTGAGTGAACCCAAGGTTCAATGATATATACAATACAAGGTAATGAATTTATTTGAAAGTCCACGTACGAATTAACGCGGAAATTTGATAAAGCAAAGAAACGAAAAGATTATGTAAAACGTAAAGAATATTAAGTGTTTGAAATATGTAAATATAATAATAATTCTATAATGGTAAAAAACTGATAGTTTAAATAAGATGTTATACTGATTGAATTTGAAATGGTATGAACATTTAGCGTCTGCCCTTTCTCTTCAAAAATACAAGCAAGAGGAAGACAAAAACGTTGAATACAAAGAATGCAACGAGAATACCAAAGTTACGCCACTTATGGGATGCGCTCCATTGGTTTCTTGTCTCGTAATATTCTGGGCCAGATTTGTAACTACAATAACCACAGAGTTCAGGCTGCATAGCATCAGGGTTGGTAATATAACCTGTATTGCCCGCTTCAAAGAAGTTAGCCATATACTCTCCACAAGTCTGCCCGGCAGGAGGGGGGAATTTAAGCAGGTCGGATTCATTACATTCAACAACAAGATGCTCGAGTTCATTAACGGTCAAACCTTCAATATAATAGTGGAAAGGATCCAACCAATACATCCAGGAGCTCCAGAAATGTGGCATAGAAGAGGGAGGTTGCATCAAGCCGGAGAATAGAATGAGAATAGAAATGAACAGAGGGTTGATGACAGCGGCCATAGTGGGAAGTTCAGCAAAAGCAGCAATACAGAAACCAAGAGTGGCAGCCCAGAATACTAAGACAACAAATGTGATGAAGAAGTAACCAGTCGCCTGCGATGTCATGGACATACCGGCTGTCCAATAGAAACCGGCCATGTAACAGAATGCATAGAAGATAATGTAAGGTATTTCGACAAGGATCGCTGATATACCGAAGGGGATCCAACTGTAGTAACGAGAAGCGTATTCACGACGGAAGTACAGTCTTTCAGTCATATACTTAGGTTGAGCCAGAATAATAACAGTCAATGCCATAAGGAAACTACTGAAAAGAGCGAATTCCTTATTAATCATATCGGATGACGAATTTCCGAGCTTCCAATAAGTGAAACCAGCAATTATACCGGTAAGCGTAATATGACAGAAACGGCCAATGTTGTAATCAATCGAACGATAGTATGCGAGAGCCATACGTTTATGAACAAGCCAGAACTGTGTTGTCAGAGGAGTAGCATAGGTCAAAGCTTTACGTGTTGGGTTTTTGTCAGCAGTATTTTCAATTTCATCGAGTTCAGCTTGAAGTGCCTTTGCTTCCTCGGATTCGGCCCAGACTTCGGCCCAATCCTTAGTGGCTTTACCAGCAGTACCTGCACCGACAACTTCAAGAATGTATTCAGCGGGGTTAGCGTCGGGAGAACAAGCGGGACCACCGTGAGACTCAAAGTAGCTAATCATTGTTTGAGAGTCCTTGCCGATTTCACCAAAATAGGCTGTGCGACCGCCTCTGACTAATAAGAGAAGATGATCGAAATATTCAAATAAAATAGCAGAAGGTTGATGAATGGTACAAAGCACCGGCCAGCCGGCATCAGCAAGTTTACGAATGAAACGAATGATATTGAAGGAACTTTGAGCATCAAGACCAGAAGTAGGCTCATCCAAGAAAAGAAGCTGGGGTTTACCGACCAGTTCCATACCAATGGTGAGACGCTTACGTTCTTCAACAGAAATACCAAAGCCGCTGCCAACATCACCAATCTGAGCATCAGCAATATCATCCATTTCAAGAAGCATAATAATTTGTTCAACATATTCATCCTTTTCTTCCTTAGGCACATCAGCAGGTTGACGAAGGTAAGCAGAGAATCGAAGGGCTTCACGAACAGTAACAAGTGGTTGATGGATATCCATTTGTTCACAATAGCCGGTAATACGCTCAAAATCGTTCATAAGAGCCTCGCCATTCAGATAAACGCCGCCTTCAACTTTACCGATTGTTTTACGACGAGCCAGCACATCAAGAAGAGTAGTTTTACCGGCACCAGATGAACCCATCAATGCAGTCAAATGACCAGGTCTAACAACACCACTGATACCGTTAAGCAGGTGAAGGGGACCACCTTTGAAAGGTACGGTGTAATGGATGTTGTGCCAAGAGAAAGTGGTACCAGTAGAGACATTATCCATAGCTTCAGTAACCTTCTGTTGTTTTAAGCGACGTTCGTCTTCTTCTTCATCAGTACGAGGCTTAGGAGCTTTACCAGGTAGGAACAGCTTAGTGAGTGTAGAAGATTTGTTGTCTCCAAGGATTTCCATGGCCAAAGCAGTACAGAAGGTGAAGAAGAGGAAGAAAGCGACGACTACGATAAAATCAGGTGCCCATACTTGTGATGTCTTGAAATCAAAGTATTCATATAGATAATTATCTCCTAAGATGAAGTTTTCACCATGTTTACCGCCTGCCATAGTACATACTTTGTGGTTCCAATCGTCATAACCAGGGCCAAAAGGAACAGAATTACCAGGTCCTTCACAAGAATACTTCTGACCTCGCAATTCGTTAGAGATCAATGCCTTAAAACAGTAGGTGAAAGGATTCATATAGTAAATCCAGAATAGCCAAGGATGCATTTTGCTGAACGGGATAGTGTATCCTACATAAGTAGTGGTGGCAATAAAAATAATACCCGTTATAACAGTAGCTAAGAAGAAGTTGTTAGTGAGAGCACCCCATACACGGAAGAAGCCATTCATGCACAAATTCATGAAGAACAGAGTAACGAAGAATGTAAACCATTTGCCAGCATCTAGGGATAGATCCATCATGAAGTAAGCACAGAGTTCGAATACAAGGACTATGACGAGCAATAAAAAGTTATGTTAGATATTACTAATCGGTCTCTTAGAAAGTGAAAAGGCGTAATATAATCCTACCTTGAACAAAAGCATATGGAATATCCATGATAACCTGTGCAATGTAAAAAGCAGACGGTCTATATAAAGCATATTGCTTGTGCTTTTCTAAAATGGGGCGACCAGTTAAGAAAGAAACAAGTTCAGATTGAGAAATCAATGAATTGAAGAGTACAGAGAAGAAAAGAGCACCACCACGAGAAAAGGCACCGGAACCAGTGAGTGGAAGCCTGAAAAAGCAAGAAGCCATAATTAAAGCTTGCATGATAATAGTACCGTAACGCGAAATGATAGCTTGAGTATCTTTAATTTGTAAATGATGTTGACGAATGGTAAGAGCTTTGACTTGTTGATAAAAGGAAGCAATGTAAGGAGAGCTCTTTGGTGCGCGCTTCTGATGCTCTTGATGGACAGCATCAGCAAATTGACTGGCTTTATTTCCTTGACTAACTGATGCTTGGTAATCCTCAAAGTCTTGGAGCATTGATTTGTATAGATCGGATTCAAAATATCTTGCTTGAAATTCGCTGGGATGTTTAGGAGCTGAGTCTTCGCAGCCAGCCTTAAATTCTCGTTCAAGGGGATTACAAAGACCGGTTAAGAAGTCTGGAGTTGATTTTCTGGAAGGACAATAGAAACCCAAGTCGTCAAAATATTGCTTAGCACCACTAGTAGGACCATAGTAGATACAGTGGCCTTCATCGAGGACAAGAACTTTATCGAAGAGATCAAAGACAGCATTCGATGCTTGATAAAGAGTTGCAATGGTTGTAATATTGAGAATATCTGTCATAACACGTAGGGAACGAACATAATCCAGGGCTGAAGCCGCATCAAGACCACGAGTAGAGCAGTCCCAGCAGTTGATAGAACTACTGGTAGTCATTTGTTCAGCAATAGAGAGACGCTTACGTTCACCACCGGAGAGACCACGGACAAAAGCGTTACCAACCATTGTGTTCATTTGTCTGGTAAGACCAAGCATATTTCCCAGCATATAAATGACACGGTTGACGAATTCTTTTTGCGATTCCTCTGGCAAACGTTTACCAGGGGTTTTGGTGCGAAGAGCGAATTGCAGTGTTTGTTTGGTTGTTAGAGTTGGATAGTGTTGATCTTCTTCTTCATTGTAGCAAACTTGACCGCGGTATTGAGATGCAAACTCTTTCGGGTCAATTCCACCATAGCTGACTTCGCCACCAACATGTTTATATGCGGCACGCATATTAGCAATAATTTTAAGGAAAGTTGTACAGCCTGCACCGGGTCTACCAAGGACAAGTAACATTTCACCTTCCTTGACACAACCGGTAAGATTATCAATAATAACCTTTGTACTTGTCTTAGGCTTTATGAAGAACTTCCAAAACATGCAAATTTTGAGAACTTCTGACACCAGAGTTGGAATGGTAAAGGCATCAGCACCTATACCCTTTATGCGTAAAAAGCGAGAATAAAGTCAGTAAAATATTTCTAGTTTTCATAAGCGTAGACAAAGAACAATTCATACTTCAACGTGCAAGTTCTTCCAAGAAACACCGAGATGTTTTCTTTTCACACCGTTGGCTTCCTGCTCGCGTGAAATACCGTTCAAATATTCGTCGAGATTGAATTCGTCGCTATTTGCTTTGCCTTCTTCAGCCTTGGAAATGCTTTCTCTACGACTGATACGACTGAGTTCCTTTTTTAGAGACTCATACTCATGCTTGGCGTCTTAAAATCAAGAAAGAATGTTCATGTAAGTCAAAAATGATGTACTCATTGAAATTTGCAACTAAAATCCTAAGTCAACCTTCAATGTCGACTTGATCTGCGGAAGGTTCGCCGTAAGTTCCATGAGGTAAGAACTCGTCCCTCACTGTACTGTTGGTCGACGGTTCATAATTGTAATTGGGCTGGGACACAATTGCAGCCGCCGATAGATCTCGTTTCTCTTCCATACAAGAAAAGAATACGTAAGTAAGGTAAGAGAAAGATTATCAGATTGAAAAGGAAGGACAAAATGCTACGTTTCTTTTATAACAAATCGTGATTGATAGCCGATTGAACCTGATTCAAAACACATATACTTCCGCCTATTAGTCGGATCAAACAAGGTAATTCTCCAGCGAATTTCATTCGATAAGAACTTTTTTCTTGCATTAAACATTGTCCATAAATTTTGCTCGTTACTTCGTTGTAAACTTTGTGCGAACTGATAACAATATTTTCACTATTCTTTTCTCTTTTCTTTACAAAAAAAAAAAAAAAAAAAAAACAAAAAAAAAACACTTCAATATACTTGTTTATGATCTGTATTGCTTTCTCTGGCTGCAATTACAAAGATACGAATACTTACTAATCAAACTGATAAGTTAAAAAAAGGAAGATCGCGGTTAAATTATGCCGTGCCTTACCGATATCGAAACGGCATTTTTTGGTGCTTCAGTTCGTGTCGGTGCTAAGTCTAGTCTACAATGAGCGAATCACGTCTGAGTTTTCTATTATAAGAAGAAGAATTCAGTGATACGATATATTTTGTTATCCGTATCTATTTTGACAAACATCATGGTTTACTTGAAATTTGAATTCCCTCTATAACGAAGAGACCTGAAACATCATATCAAAATGGTGTTGAGTTCGAGATTAGAAACAGAGACATCTGTTATGAGGATGCTTTGTTTCAGAGTATGTAAAATCCACCTTGATGCTAATAAGCTTAACAACAATGGGTAGGACGGCTGCAGTCGTTTTCCCGTTTCTTTTGCTCCTTGAAAATACCTTCACGTATATTTGAACTACTTTCTATTGATATGTTTGTTATAATCGAAGGTGCTACAGATTTATGTCGTAACAGCCATTCGTGACCAGGAGGTCGGTTAAATTTTACCGACTTGGGGGCGTCGCGTTCGAGCGATAAAGCTTTTTTTCTCAGTTGGCCTGATTTTGAAAGGCTGATTTAAGCGAACTGCGACCGCAGTAAATAAGACGAGCTTTAATCAAAACGTTGATTAACTCTATCTATCTATGGTACTCATATAGAAGAAGAACCGCGTTGTTATCAGTCACCAAGACTGATTACTATTTCTACTGAGGCAGCAAAAATAATTCATGATGTATACACTTGAGATACTTGGCATAGAAAATGAAGTACTTATTTTGACAGGAAGAAGGGCTTAGGAATGCATTGATACAGCTCCATACAATAAGTGATCGCTTAATGCAAACTCCAATATCCTTTAAAGTCGAAATTTTAGCTCGAAGTTTCCATTCAACCAATATTGTTTCGCTGTCATAATCAATGTCTGTAGATCTATGAAGTTACAGTTATTTTAATACTCCGTTTGAACTAGTCTTTAATTGATCTGAAACTTGCCATATGGAACCTTAACACTGTTATTGATCTGCTGAAGTCATGAATATCCAAAGAACAGCAGTCCTTATCTGTTCAGTAGTAAAATGCTCAAAATATGCAATTAATTGCTTCAATCAGGCTCTCTTGCGTAATGCAAGCCATTACAAACTTTGCGTTGTCAAATTTTCATCAAACAGAGACGTAATCTGACGGCAATGTAAGAAAAAGAATCGCCGAACATTCGAGAGTGCATTTTCCTTTTTTAATCTTATCCGGTAAAAAGGTCTAGAAACTTCAAATCCAGAAGTGCCTAAATACAGTAAAGCAGTAGTAACAGCTGTTTAGATAGTAGTGCGTTGGTAACTTCTTTCAAACTCTTCGAGTTCTTTTTCCTCTTTCATCCGGGCTTGAAGTGCCTTATCTTTCGCTCGCATTTCAAGCTCCTTGCTCATCCATAATTTTACATCAAGTTTGAATTTTGACTTCTCCTTGAATAAACCAATCTTATCTTTCGACAAAAGAATGTAACCATGTTTCTTAACCAAGATTTCTGCTAGTTTCGTCTGCAGCTCATCTGTTTCTGCATAGAGATAATCAATCTGATGTGCATGAGCCCAGAACGCAACCCTTTTCAGTAACACTGTGGACAATCCATTATCTTGACATTCTAACTTCACAGCCAAACGACGTACACTAGCTTCATTTGGTTTATGCGCTCCGTACAAGATTCTGGGTTTATACTTTGTTGTGTTTTTTGCGCTTCCTTTCAGCCGCATAATAGCATTTCTGACGGTTTCAATTAGACCAACGATTGTAAGTCGAATCATGTCATCCAATTTTATCATAAACGTGGCAATCCATTTCCATTTTGCCTGTTGTACTTCTGGTGCATCACGTGGATGTTGAGAAGCCGTCATATACGCCTTATTCAATGACGATCTGTCAAAAAAAGGTGCTGGTCGTTGATCCATACCAATACAGCCCACAATCTCGTTATTTAAGGTTAGTACCCAAAAATTTCCTTTGCGAGGAGCCTCAACTGTTCCGCGGTAATAAATATCAGGCTCTTTCAAATCATTTTCAATTCCTTCTATCACCCGATTTGTGATGTCGAATTTATCTGTATACCATGAAAGTCCAATAACTCCACCGATAAAAACGACAATCGTGATCAATATGCATGTGCCTATGAGCAGAGAACTTGGAAAACCTAGTTTGCTCAACTCGGTTGGAATGACCTTCATCATGATCGCATAAAGACTGATCCATGGTATTAGAATATAAGGTGATTGAGCACGGATACGGACTGCTTGGGGAACCAAGTTGTAATAAGTCGAATAAAACAGATAGTGTACATATTTTTTGTCGGTTTCTGCGAAATAAGGTCGTAGAGCTATGTCAACATTCGGCTTTGTGAGGGATGATTGACTTTGCGCATTTATATCCTCGACTACAGTTTTTTTCTTTGTTTGGGTCATTTGAAAAAGTTAGATCAACTGAAGGAAGGAACTGCATTTCTTTTTTCTAATTTTTTAAACAATACCGTCATAAAACAGATCAAAGAAGATAGTACGAGCTTTTCTTTATTTAAGAGCACGTGCGATAGGTTACGTTAGGTAAGGTGGAAGTATGTCAAATAGAGAAGCCTCCGTGGACAGGCTATTGGATATTTTTTTTCTGTGTTTCCATGAAACAGCTCAACTTACCAATCTATGAGAATGTTGAAAAAAAAAAAAAAAAAAAAAAAAATTGTATGTGCTAATTTGAATTTTAGGTGGTAGAGCGATGTTGAGCTTATTTGAATTGAACCAGTCTCAAAGCTTCTGTAATTATTGATTCCCTGATAGATACTGCCTTTGCTCGCATATATCTTAGGACTAATGGCTATGACGCCTACCAAGCTTATTCATCAGCTATTTTCTATAATTTTTGTTACGCCGGTTGAAACAAGCTTATTGGATCTTCTTTTGTTTGTGCTACATATAAAAAAATGTGTGGGCATTTCTGCCCTTTCTTTTAAACTTTCCCCGCGTTTTTTCTTTTTATATTACAGTGTCTCTGCTATCAGCTGCTATCAGTAATATAAAGCAATAATACCCGTATGCCCCTTGCTTCAACAACTAAATTGAGTATAATTGCCGATGGAGGCGATCAATACATAAAAGTAACTGACGATGTTTGGCAAAAACTTTTGCAACCTAATCAAGAAGATCCTGGTAGGTTTTAAAACTGAATCATGATGACAACGGAAGCTTACTTCCTCAAATACGGTAGACTGCATAGCGGTTTCGGTGACTATACCAAGTTTGAGTACAGTGGAAACATCTGGTAACAGTGACTGTAGATTATCAGCTTTCATAGCCTATTGCCAACCTGCCAACCATGTGGTATGACTAAAAAACCAATTCGTAACGGCTATTGACACTATTAATTGATGAAATTGTTGTAATTGTTGTTAGGAAGATGATGCTTGTCTATATATCAGTGAGCAGTTGTTAGAGTCGGTATATGGCGTAGATTCATTAGCGCGTGTAGATGAATATGAAAGTGAGGTCGACGAGCAGTATACATGCACTGCACGTATTAAAACTGTGGAACTGATAGAATTAGACGAAGTCATATTGGGCGCATTGAATCAGCAATCTTTTGAATTTGCTCAGAAAGGTAAAATAATGAATAGAAAACAAGTAATAATACGATGCTTGAGAGATCGACATTCGATTTACAAACGCTTGAAGGAATCATTCTATCATAGATCAAGAAGAGCTTGTCAGGAAATTCATTGACGGAAGTCCAAGAAAAATCATCCGTAGTTCAGGGCGATACAATTTTATGGAGGAAGGGCTATCGTACCGGGTATTAATGACAAACCCGGTTCAACAAGGATGTATAATGTCGAGTGAGCGTACAAAAGTTTTGGTGACGGATATGTCTGACACTATCGCAGTGGATAACAAGCGCTACCAAGCTCATGGAAGTAATGTAGCGCCTACACTAAACATGATATCTACCCCAGCCGTCCCCAATTTGAACGATCCTGTTGAATTCAATGTGAAAATTCTGTCAAAAAAAATATCACCGATTCAATTGTATCCAGCGCCGAAAGAGAAAGATGACGATGAAAGTCGGATATTTTTAAGTATCTCCAGTCTAGCGCAGTGTGGAATCTTTAGTGGTGAATGGGTACTGATTAGCGGTAATGAACCCAAGAAGTCTAGATTATGCAAGGTATTCGGCATCGATGTCAAGCAGAGTTCGTAAGTAGCTATATGAAGAGTGCACTGCTTCAGCAATTTTTATTGACTATTTTTTTCACAGGGACTCTGTTCATCTTCCAGCATCACTATATTTCAACCTCGGTCTGCCCCTTCCACCAGCATCTGCTGATAATAGTAAGGTTACAATTACAAAGGTGACCCCACCTCCCATTGAAGGGCCACCAGTTGCTCAAGCAGTGACAATCGCTCGAGTTGCTTCACCTGCATCGATGAATAAAGCATTACAAGCAGTGTGCTTGAATTCTTTAAAGTCTTGGTTTGAGGAAAGAGAGCGTATCGTTTGTAAAGGTGATATAATCTCAATCCATTTAAACGAAGACGAAGCTCACTTGAGTATTCCAGATGACGACAATAGCATTCAAAAGCACACTAAACAGCCAACGACGTTAGCTTATTTTAAAGTAACATCGCTCGAAGGAGACGACACGGTTGACGGAAATATACATCCTGCTTACTTCGGATCTGGCCGTCGCATCGTACCCAGTCAAACACAGATGATTCAGACTGGAGTTGAAAATTCGCGTATTCCCATTGGGCATATCTCACATTACTATGATTTTGCAAACAAATTACCTATAACAAGATCAGCATCAATAATTTATGACCAATTACAGGAGCTAGTGACTTCGTCTTTGCATCCTTTAGGTAGGGATCTAGAATTATCTTGTAATGCTTTGTTTCACGGTCCACGCGGTGCCGGAAAAGCGCTGTTAGTCAAGGAAGTTGCTGAGGAACTCGGTGTGCATGTTTATGAGTTTTCTGTATATGATGTGGTGTCTGATACTGATGCAAAAACTGAAGCTCATCTACGGGCCAAGTTTGATAAAGCTGCTGCTTTGGCACCTTGTATTGTGCTTATAAGACATATGGAAGGTTTAGCCACGAAAAGCGCAGCTGTAGAATCTGGACAAGGTAAGCAGTTGCAGTAGCGTATCGTTCACCGGTATATCGACTTACTTTAATCTGTAGAGCCTTTACTTGCCACCGTTCTACAACAGTGTATGCAAGATATAAACACAGCGCATAAGACTACAGGCTACCCAGTAATGGTAATTGCTACGACGGGTGATATTGACGCTTTACCTTCAAGTATTCTGTCATGCTTTCGACACGAGATAGCTTTGCATGCACCCGATGAAGCGACACGTTTGAATATTCTCACTAATTTGCTACATAATAGCCCTTTGGCTCCTGACGTTTCGCTCTCCAATATAGCAACTCAAACAGCAGCCTTATTAGCCAAAGACTTGGTTGATTTGGTCGGAAGAGCCGGTGTGTTAGCCCTTCAACGCGTTGATCGTGCAATGTAAGTTGAAGGAAATAGAGAATAGAATATTCTTCGAAGCACTCACATTATCCATTAGCAACCGAGATATAACCGAAAATGACTCTGAGGAAAGCCCATCCACTTCGTCTTTAGTGCTTCACACTGCTGCTGTCACAGTACAGGATATACAAGCTGCTGGTATTATACTTACCGCCGCTGATTTCGATACAGCGTTAGGAGAAGCTAGAGCGAGCTATTCTGATTCTATTGGTGCTCCTAAGGTAAATTAGCGATAGATGATCAATGTCGCATTACATATGTCATTAACACTTAAACCTGTAGATTCCTTCTGTCACTTGGGACGATGTAGGTGGTATGGCTCATGTAAAAGATGATATTTTGGATACTATTCAATTGCCCTTAGAGCATCCAGAATTATTCGGAGCAGGTCTCAAAAAACGCAGTGGTATTCTTTTGTATGGTCCACCTGGTACAGGAAAAACTTTGCTCGCAAAAGCTATTGCTACTTCTTGTTCATTGAACTTCTTCTCTGTGAAGGGTCCTGAATTGCTAAATATGTATATTGGTGAGTCTGAAGCCAATGTCCGTCGTGTTTTTCAAAGAGCGCGTGACGCCAAACCTTGTGTCATTTTCTTTGATGAACTGGATTCAGTTGCACCGAAACGTGGTGAAAAGGGTGACTCTGGAGGTGTTATGGACCGTATTGTGAGTCAATTATTAGCAGAATTGGATGGCATGTCGGAGGGAAAAGAAGAAGCGAGTGCAGGTGATGTTTTTGTCATTGGAGCCACCAACAGACCAGACCTATTGGATCCTGCATTATTACGTCCTGGAAGGTAGCCTACAATAAGTAACTATTGTACGTTTCTAATTACATATGACTAACTTTTTCCCTCTTTCGCTTTCTAACTGTTAGATTTGATAAACTTTTATACCTAGGTGTAAGCCAGGATCATGAATCACAGCTAAAAATTATAGAGGCTTTGACCAGAAAGTTCCGACTTCATCCCGATTTAGACTTACGAAAAGTTGCTGAGCGATGTCCCTTTCATTATACTGGTGCTGATTTTTATGCTCTTTGCTCTGATGCTATGCTCAAGGCGATGACTCGCGTAGCTAATTCCATTGATGACAAAGTCAAACAGTTAAACAAAGAGCAGAGAGATAATCTGCCTAATCCATTGACAGTCCAATACTACCTGTCCCATCTTGTAACGGATGAAGAACTCTCTGTACAAGTCCAAGAAATCGATTTCATTAAAGCTCTCGAAGAGTTGATACCTAGTGTTTCCGCGACCGAGCTGGCGCATTATTCTAAAGTTAGAGAAAAGTTCGAAAAAGCTAAAGACGAAGAAGAAGACGATGAAGCAAAAGAAAATGATCTGAAAAAAGAGCGGGAGTCAATTGAAGCCAAAACAAGGGAAGAGAATGAAGCAAATCAAAAAGTAATAGTGAAGGATAGTAAAGGCAAGGGGAAACAGCGCGCTGTGTAGATTTCAGGTTATTAAATTGCTCGTCATGATCGTCAAAAACTTGAATAACGTACAACCTAGTATGAGCATATGCTGTGTACTCAATAAAGCTAATGGGTGAACTTAAATAAACGCAGATCTTTCAGGTTTTGCAGGTCAACCATTTTAACATCATAAAAATCAATTCACACTGTGACAATATTGAAGGCTGAGCTTCTACCAGAATGTAAACATCGAACAAAAAAAAAATGTGCACGACCAGATTTGTTATATTCCATTCACATTTTGTATCCGTTGAACAATACGGACGTAATTGTCGACATAACAACTACAGTACTCAAGTACTATTATCAGGTTGAGGTTACAATTCGCTGTGATCTATCTATATTGAACCCAACTTTTTAAGTACATACAGCATTTCTTTTATCAACGGTGTAAGGAGGAGGACCTTCCAGGCACAGAGTATTTCTGGAATTTAAAATTTGGAGTATCTTTAAGATATGATATCCCATTGCTCTATGCTGCATTTCATCAACGAACATTGTCATTTGTAGCTTAAAATTGATAGCCAACAATATTACACTTCTAATAGAATCACTACCAGTAGTCAGCAGTTATATCTTATAAAACTGACAGTGGTAAAGAAGGCATGACAGTATTCACGCATGGGAAGGTGTGCTTTAATTCGCTTCAAGGGAAGTATTTATGTGGAATTACGATACCGCATTTCTAGGAAAATGCAGAATTGACAGTACCTGAAAACTATTTATTATCTTGTGATTCTGTAACGACACTTATTTACTAAGTTGACAGAGAAATCTTTGCCCAAAACAAAAACTAGAATTGACATTAAAATGAAGGAAACTTACATAAGACAGACGGTCAATACTTTATAAACTGGATTTATTATGAGAGAAAATACAAGGTAGTATTATAGAGAGAACAGATAGAAACACTGCTGAACAGGATTAATGAGCGTAGGTATATATTTATATGTGGTCTAGCTTCAAACGTAACCAATGATAGATGGCCATTACAAGTTCCTACAGAAAAGCGAAGGAAGACAAATTCCGATTTTGAAAATTGACGGTTCGATGTCATTAAGATATAAACGTGAACCATCAATTTTCGCAAAGTTGAAACTGCCACATCAAATTACAGATAGACTTTTACTATGGATGTCAGCTTTTACTGTTATTTTATTTCTTTCTTTGAAAGATTATAGCTCAGCTGTATAAATAGTTTAAATCCAGTTGAATACCCCGTTCGCACATGTTAAAGGACACTCTCAACTGTCATTTTCCACTGTCAGATTCTATTTTGTATGTGGTTGGTGGCTAGATATGTCAATAGTCTTAATTACTAACTCAATAGTTCAAGTCTTCCGTAGAGATCACACGAGGGAGAATATACCATTAGATATAACTTTTTTTTCCTTGGAATATCAAACAACAGGTTCCGTTTGGCCTGCGTTGGGATTCCATTTCAACAATGGATTCTGCGAACAGCTCGACCAACCCATAAAACTCCGTCCCGAACACTCACGTGCCTTATTTTTAATTATTTTGAATCTCAATTGAATTAAGACAAACAAAAAATGTGAAGCAGCATGGCGCAGCAGGAAGCGCGCAGGGCTCATAACCCTGAGGTCGTCTGATCGAAACGGACTGCTGCTACATTTTTTATAATTTTTATGGTCTCGGTCTTGGTTAATGAGACAGCCTTCTAAATTTCAAAGGCCTTCTTCTGTTCATTGATATTAATTTTGAAGGGAAGAAAGGATTTCTCCTCTTATTTATTTTATGTTATTCGTCCTTTGACAGCAATTACATTGTTACAATAGGCTTATCATTTTGATTACCCATTTTTTGTGGCACGACACTTGTGCAGTTTTGGTTCGTAGATCTGTTGTTAACATCAATTTCGTTTAACATCTCAGCGCAAATGTCATATAACCACGAATGCTAAACGGGCTGAGAACATTATTCATTATAATTGCTGTAATGAAAGAGTTTGCTTCTTTTATAAGATGCAATTGCAAAGTGTGCATTTTTAGTATCTTGCTATATTTTTATTATTTACGTTTCTCAATAAGACAGTATCCAAATGTACTCATAGACAACCGCCCAAATTGGGGAAATGAGACACTGTCGAGTTTTATTGTATGAGTTTCTATTTCAAATGTACAAAAGATCGCCAACTGTATAATGTAATTGTTACAGCTCAGATGGTACTAAACTGATCATGGGAACAGTTATTTTTCTTTTGGTGGCTTCAGATTCTCGGCTTGATTGTATTTTGGTAAACGTGAATTCTTAAGCTAGCTATTTTATTCTATCAAATGACACTCGTATATAGATTGATACAGAATTGTTGAATATGGAAGAGCTTAAACCAAGCAGAAAGCAAAGCAATCACAAACGGCACTTGCTTTACACCTTTCGTGCTGACGCTCAACTGTGTCCTGTCTATTCAACAATTAGTACACATCTCAATTACCTGCTGGCGTTAGTAAACAGACTGATCTATGATATAATCAGATGCTCAAGACCTCTTCCATAAGCATTGCTCTAATTACAATCGAAACTTCTTCGACCATAGGTCGCAGTGCATTTCTACGAGGCAGCTTTCCTACCCCCGGCTTAGTGTCAAGTTCAATATTCTTTACATTACACCTCCTTAAGTTCCTGACATTCCCCCTCTTTTCTGAAATCAGGCTATGGGCTGCTACAGAGGTAAGTTAGAAAGGGGAGAGCTTCAATTTTAGATAGCCGGGCATATTTTTTTTATTTAAGCAAAGGTATAATTCAGCATCCCTGCAATTTCAAGTCGATAATTACACAAATACATATATGAAAGCGAACTCGGCGTTTGTTATACTGGATTTGTTTATAAGTATGGTTTATGGTATGGAGCGGTGAGTGATATTCAAATGAAGACAGTTATGGACGGTTCTATTCCTGGCGTGTATTATCTTTGTACATTTCATTCCAGTTCCCTATGGACCAGTCAGCAACATTTCCAGTAAATTTCTCTTTGGTAATTTCTTCACCTGAAATCTTTATTGAGCCAACCAATGATCCTATTCGAAAATGCTTAGTATACATTGGTAGAAAATGGCAGTTTCTAATGCATTGATTACCTCCTATCCAACCTCTAATATTTCCCATGAATATCTGACCAGCACCTTTTTCATTAGAGTCATCGATGAAACCAACTGATTCAGACAATTGTAATAAGGATGCATATCGTTTTTTTTCATAATTTGTAGGGTTACGCATAACGCGCAGAAGCTCACGTTTCAACCGTAAGCGTAATCCTGGTATATGTGATATCCCACCGATAAGAAGCATAGAAGATAACAGTGGTTTACGAAGATCGACTTGTACTTTCAATAACGATTGTAGTATGCACTGTACTATACTGGGCTCATCATCGTCGCCCTCAAATAGCACCTCCGTTGTTCTTTCACGAATCCAGCCTGGGATCAATAATGTAGCTTTCGTACCGTCTTTCAAACTTATTGGGTAGTATAGATCCGTTGCATTGCTGTTTTCTCTATAAGAATCAAAAAGGGATTTCAGAGTGTCATGCTGCAAAATATTATCAATCGGATGCGGCGAACAAAAAAGAATCCTGGTCTTGATCTCTTCCAAAAGCTCTTGAGAAAGGATATTGTCGGGTATATTGTTACGAGGCGCCAATGTTAAATGCAAATTGGTAGGCGGGATATATCGTCCATACTGGAAAAGAAGCTCTTTGAGTCGTCTGGTTATTGATTTCCCAGCTAAGGGGGTAGTACAGATGTAAGGTATTAAAGGTCGCGATATATAAATCTAATAATAAAGCATACCATTCGATAAATTGCCCGTGCGCGATATCAGAATCGTTGCAATCATGCTTTCTATACTTACAGGTAAAACAGTTGTTTCCAGATTGCCAATATCAATAACTAGGCCCGATGTTAAGCCTGTCGTCAATAAAGCCATCAGATGTGTTGGTACAAATGATATAGAAGGAACCTGGAAATAATCAAAAAGGAGCCGAGCAACAGTTTGCTTGAAGATAACAGGTGCCAGCGGAGACTCGCAGATTATCACTTTTCTCGACTTTGGATCTGTCAATAGTAATCTGCCAAACGTGTCAGAATCTTTAATGTGAACCCCTCCTGAGAGTATACGTACGACCATACCGAAAATAAATAGTGTGCAATAGTTTTTTTAATCTCTCTTCAATTTCTGCTAAACTGTCTTTGGCTCTAACGTCCAAACTGTATAAGTCACCGAACTGTGCTTAAAGCAATTAGTTACTATATCATAAGTTCACCGAGTCTTTCGTTCTTTATTACCTCTTGATCAACTCTCGTGATCTCTCCATCATGGTTTCTTGTTCGACCTAGATTGGACCAAGTCGGGACTAAATGTCTTGGTACAGATTCACCTGAAAATCCACATTTAATGTATAGCGATCCAATGTCTAGAACGACTCTATCTTCTGTGCCGTAAATGGAGTGTCGCCGAGCAAAGCTATGAAAGGACGTCGAGGAATAATTCGACAAATAGTTGGAAGACAAAGAATCAGAAGACATCGATGTTGTGGTCATATTTGCCTGCGAAACCTTAAAGTTAGGTGTAATTGTATTTGGATAAAAAGTTCATTTCGGCTTACACAGGACCACAGAAAGGAAATAGCGGCAATCAAAATGTACGTGTTTCTTGTCGTTCAGGAACAACACTCATGAGGCCCGTATCTTTACGAAATCAGCATCTTCGAAATTACATTAAAATTGAATACTTGGTTTTATCATGGCTTATTAAGGAACGGGAGCACAACAAAATAGTTATGCAATTTCATTCAGATATTCTGTCATAGATACAGCGAATCTATTTGTCTGAGGACTAAACGAACATAGTAACATCCATCAAAAAAGACACATAGCTTATAAAAAAAATGGCAATGTCAAATTTTATTTCTCAAATTTATATCAGAAATCTTGAGATGTATATAACTGAAATATATTATAGAAAAAAAAACAAAAAGGGTGTATACATGTTAATTATGAGAGTATTGTAAAAAAGGGTAATGAAGAGAGCAACATAATAATGAAATAGGGAGTATTGATCAAATTTACAATTCATCGTGATCTCTTAAAGGTTCATCATCATCATAGGAACCAGCACCGCTATCGGCGTATAACTTAGTAGTAATGGGGTTAACAACAGATTCTAACTCTTCACGCTTCTCGTCATAATCTTCACGGAGAGCAGTAGGATTTTCATCAATCCAAGCAAGCTTGTCCTTGATGGCATCTTCAATTTGTTCTTTTTCATCAGCAGAGATCTTGCTAGCAAGAACACCATCCTCACCTAATTGACCCTTAAGGGTATAGATGTAGTTTTCCAACTTGTTCTTGGCTTCTGTACGATCACGTACAGCCTTATCTTCTTCGGCGAATTCTTCAGCTTCTCTGACCATACGTTCAATATCTTCTTCAGAAAGACGGCCCTTATCATTGGTGATGGTAATGGATTCGGATTTGCCAGAAGCCTTATCAGCAGCACTGACCTTCAAGATACCATTGGCATCAATTTCAAAGGTGACTTCAATTTGAGGGACACCACGAGGAGCAGGAGCAATGCCGTTCAATTCAAACTTACCAAGTTGGTTGTTATCCTTGGTCAAGGCACGTTCACCTTCGAAGACTTGAATCAAGACAGTGGGTTGGTTATCGGCGGCAGTAGAGAAGATTTGAGACTTCTTGGTGGGAATGACAGTGTTACGAGGAATAAGTTTGGTCATGACACCACCAGTGGTTTCGATACCGAGAGTCAAAGGGTTGACATCCAACAACAATACCTTATCAGATGATTCTTCACCAGAGAGGATACCACCTTGAACGGCAGCACCGAAAGCAACGGCTTCATCAGGGTTAATACCCTTGGAAGGTTTCTTACCGTTGAAGTAATCTTCAAGAAGTTTCTGGACCTTAGGAATACGAGTAGAGCCACCAACAAGAACAATTTCATCGACCTTATCCTTAGTGAAACCAGCATCCTTCAACACTTGTTCAACGGGCTTCAAAGTCTTACGGAACAAGTCATTGTTGAGTTCTTCGAACTTGGCACGAGTCAAAGTTTCGGAGAAGTCCTTACCCTTGAAGAAGGATTCGATTTCAATACGGACAGACATTTGAGAGGAAAGAGCACGCTTAGCATTTTCAACTTCACGCTTAAGTTTACCCATAGTCTTGAGGTCGGTAGTGATATCTTCACCGTTGTTCTTCTTCTTCCAGACTTTGACAAAGTGATCAATGACACGAGCATCGAAATCTTCACCACCCAAGTGAGTATCACCAGCAGTGGCCAAGACTTCAAAGATACCATCATCAATAGATAAAAGAGAAACATCAAAGGTACCACCACCCAAATCGTAAACGAGGACGTTCTTTTCACCATCCGTCTTGTCTAAACCGTAAGCAATAGCTGCGGCAGTAGGCTCGTTAAGAATACGAATAATGTTGAGACCAGCAATAGTACCGGCATCCTTAGTAGCTTGACGTTGAGCATCATTGAAATAAGCAGGAACAGTAACGACAGCATGGGTGACGGGTTTGCCGAGGTAAGCTTCAGCAGTTTCCTTCATCTTGGTCAAAACCATACCTGAAATTTCTTCAGGAGTGAAAACCTTGTCTTCGCCCTTAACTTCAACTTGAATGTTGGGAGCACCATTTTTGTTGACGACAGTGAAGGGGAAGTGCTTCATATCTTGCTTAACTTCCTTATCAGTATAACGACGACCAATAAGACGCTTAGCATCGAAAACAGTACGTGTGGGATTAGCAGAGTATTGATTCTTAGCAGCATCACCAATTAAACGTTCATCATCGGTAAAGGCGACGTAGGAAGGAGTGATACGGTGACCTTGATCATTAGCGATAATTTCGACACGACCGTTCTTTTGAACGGCAACACAAGAATAAGTTGTACCCAAATCAATACCAATTACTGTTTGTGCAAAATATGAAAATGATGTATAAAGGACACGTAATGGATAAAGGAAAATTTCATTTAGTGAACACGGTTTGTCTTCATCGCTTTCAAATATTCTAGCGCCTTCCATTCCATTCCTTTGACTTTTTACTTACCAGTTCCATAAGACTCTTTATCGTCAGCAGCTTTGACTAAAGGTGCACTAACGAATAATGCAAGGAAAACGGCGAAAAGGGCCAAAAATGTGGCCTGTCTCTTCATTTTGAAATAAATATAAACTGGAGAGTAAAAACAAGAAAAGGAAAACAATAAAAAAAAAAAAAAAAAGAAAATGTACAGCTTAAATTAAATACCTTTCGAACGAAGAACCCTCCATGTATCAAATTATGATTGGCCGAAAAGAGATACTATTTCTGTATACGTCGAATCAGAATTTCCCAAGTCAAGTACATAGCGGAGAAAAAGAGGCAGAATTATCACTTGCGTGTTAAACAAAAGACACAAAGACGAACACGATAGCAGTTTGTATGAGCCATCGATTATCTCAACCCTATTCGTCCAAGTATCAGGAATTGGATGTTTCAGGACGACCTATGCCTTGGTTAGTATTTCTCAGATTCAGAGTGCATTGTTTGTCATCCAGTAATTTCTAGAAACTTGCTGAGCTGTTCAGTCACATCTCAAACATTTAAAAATAAATTACGTGTTCGCCTTTCATTTTAGCAGAGTAATGAAACTACTAGAGCGCTATGTGAGAGATATAACTGTTACTAAGATGAAGGCACTGCATTTGTCAATGAAAGGGGACTCTACCCTCAATATATGCAGGTCTTTCTAACTCTTATTTCGTGCGGATTGAAAAACGTACTATACAATATCAGCAGAAATTTGCTGTAGAATTATGAAAGAGAACATTTGCTGCTTAACTCAAATACACACAGATCTACTATTCTTCACAATGAATGAAAAAAAAAAAAAAAAAAAAAAAAATACTAGCAATTGGAATACTTAGTCACTTAAATGACGATTTTTGTTTTTGTTCAGGTACAATGAAATAAGTACAATTAAATAATTGACTGTGGCATGAATAGCTGGCTTTAAACAGCCACATTAGAAGGATTTCCGGTCACTTTTAATGCGCTTGATTTCTTATAACTTTTTTGTTCTCAAGCGCAAACATTATCCTGCAACTCTAACGAAATACCAGTTTTTCAACACCATGGCCATCGAAGAGAAGAAACGTAAACATAAGAGCAAATCTGATAAAAGCAGTAAAAAGAAGCATAAGTCTAGTAAAGCTACCGAAATTTCTCCTTCAGCCGTGACAACCACAGCAGACTCAACCTCACCAGCACCAGCAACAACAATCAGCTCTACTGAGCCCACATCTTGCTTCTCGGAAGTCGTTGTCCAACTGTACCTTCATTTAGCACCCATGTGGTCTGGTAAGACTATGGAAGGTGTTAACGAACAACTGAATGCTTTCTTAATGAAGTAAAAAGGATTTAAAGTGTATTTTTACGCTCTCACTTGAAAAGGTTATTGAATATTTGTTTCTGGCTTTTACCTTGTTAGATATGTACCAGAAGTTGATGGTATAGTACTTGCTCATTCAAATGTTGAATTTCTTACACAAAAAGGAAAAGTATTATACGATTCTCCTTTCTGTCACTTCTTTATATCTGTCAAGTTCCTTGTCTGGAAGCCTAAAAAAGGAACTAAACTTGGTAAATTACATTGTGTATCTCAAACTAGGGTTTTGTAGATTAATGTTAACGATGATATTCTTTTTGTTAGTTGGACGTATCAATTTGCAATCAGAAGATCATATTGGTTTATTAATATATGGAACATTCAATGCCTCGATTCCCAGAGCATTTATACCAGTTTCTGAATATGAATGGAAAGTGAATGAAGAAGAGGCTGCTACAGAAGATAAAGACGACGAAGAAGAAGAAGAAGAAGAAGAAGAAGAAAAAACAACTGCAGATGATGCTGATAGCAATGGTGCAACAACGAGACAAAGAACACAATATGGCGAATGGGTTAATAAAATTACCGGTACAAGTATAGGAGGCGAAGACGGTACACTTGAATTTACAGTTGTTGAGTAAGTTTACTGTTTTTCTTTTTTTTTTTTTTTCATCACACAACGGTTTTCCTAACCTTTTTTGCTTTTTTCATTGTACTAGTATTATTGAAGCCAATGATATCTTGAACGTTACAGGTTCTTTATAATATTTTTGTGCATCTCATTTTTTTTTAATTCATTATTGTATTTTAGAAGTATTTGACGTTCAGTCAACCCCAAAAAAAAAGGAAATATATAATTGTATATACAGTACCCTCGGTATTTACATACTCGTTTCGGGATGGGTGTTCGTTTGAGTGGATTTCTTCTATTGCATTTAGAAGGTCTTTTTGACCGAAATTTACATATCAATGGTATTCTTATTAGCCAATACCTTTCTCTTCATAAATGAGGCAAACAGTTCTGGTATTAAATATTACGTAGACTTAGATAAACCAATTGTAGTGAGCAGCGCGAGAGGTGTTTAATACCGAGTCTGCAGAATTGGAGTGACGAATATAAATATCTACTGCCATTGTCATTAATTTTAAAATAACACCCTTTGATCCGACCAGGGAATGGTTACCTGTATTACTAAATAGCCAAAATCAAATGTTTATCTTCTTTCCTTTACAAACCGTCTGTTTTATACACTTATTATCAAGCATAGATAATATCTATGGTACACTTGTGAATAAGTTCCGGCGGTACCAATTTTGCTAAAACTTATTATGCGCATGATTGTAAGTTCCGATCGTATCGTATTGTTTTCAATCCGTTTATTTTTGTTGGCAAGTGTGGAGCTTCCTTTTAGCACTGTTAAGGCGCGGCTTCATCTTCTTGCGCCAAGTAATAGCAGCCATTTTATAATAGCTATTATGAGGAAATATTCGAGAGTATACACGAGCTTTCTGAATATACGAACGTTCATTATTCCCGCCATAAGACCCTCCCCCCCGCCCACAAAAAAAAAAAAGAAAAAAGAAAGGAACCGTAAACCATGTCACTTAGTTAATCATTTCATTTTATCATGTAAACTGGTATTATTTGCACAACTGATCTAATGTATCGTCCAAATTTTAAATAGTATCCAGTTAGTTAACCGGTAAGAACTATCTTTAACTTGTTTAATTTCGATTTTGTTCAAAGACGCAAACTCATGATGTCTTGATGCTCAAATAAACACAACCCAACAATAAGCGAAAAAAAAAACAAAGAGGTTATGTATGGATTGGACCAGCAATAAGTTGGATTTTGTTTATTCAGCATCAAGTACTGGAAGAATAATTTAAAAAGTGGTATTTAAATAAAAAAAAAATACATGAATATATGTCTGATTTAAATGAAATCAATCCATTTAAAGAACTCTCCAAGTGATATCACCTTGACCAATATCCTTATCGCCAACAACTTTGGTAAACAAAGCTGGGGTGAGGTCAAGTGAGCCATCATCACATTCAGGGCAGGCATCAAGGATGGAAGCACGTGCTTTACCATTGGGACCTTCGATTTCAATCTTCTTACCACACCAGTCAGAGTTACTACCCAAATCACCATATTGAGGAGCATTAAGAGCGACGATGTTAGAATCGTCATCAATGTGCTCACCATAACAAGCGGCTTTAGTACCACCATTGTGCTTGGGGGAGTACCATGTAGCGACACCAGAGTATTCATGCTTTCTCTTGGTAGCAGGAGCAGCAGCAGCCATAGCGGAGAAAAGAGCGACAATAGCGAAAAGAGAGGAAACAGACTGGAATTGCATGATGATACGATATGTAAAATTCTAAGATATGACTCGAAACTGGATTTGAATAAGAACGGCCCGCGTACTTTGATGATATATATGAACAAAGGATATAGAGTTGCAGAAAGAAGGAGAGGACACTAAACTTCTAGTCTTATATACATTTTGGTATTACCATTGTAATCGAACAGTTTTCTCTGAGTTCGGTTTTGCAGATAATGTCAAATTGAAGGAACGAGGAATAACAGTAATATGAAACCTTCAGATCTGTGAAAACAGAAATGGAAAGATGAATCTGTTGAAGGGTCCCCGATCCATTTGATTTCTTTTAAGGCAACCCCATTAACCTTGTGTTCACCGCTCAGGCCATCCCTTTGGCCAGTAGGAGAATTTTTAAACATGAAACAGTGACCAAGCGCTTTTCACAAAATAGCTCAATTGCAAAGAAAGTTTATTCCCAAAAAGAAGAGAAAAAGAAAAAAAAAAAAAAACGCAGGCAACAGGTCAATTGACAGCACTGACATTCATCATGGTCCACCATGTTTTTACTGAGCAAAGCTCTAGATTCGTCTGGTATAATTCGGTCAGATCGAAGACCAACTTATTCATTCATTCATATTTTGTCTCCAAGAAACATTGAGGGGTAAAAACACGTCTTTTCGAAGTGTCTCTAAATAAGACGCTATTAAGTCCCTTCGAGCCTGCCTATCAGCGTTGTGCAGAAATTATCACCTTAAACGCGTTTGCTTTTCCTAAAATACCATTGTTTACTATAAAGCGTATTTGAACATAATTTACTCTTTTCTAGAGCGTTCACTAGAGTAATAAGGTATGTTATTTGGACAGAAGACTATATGAGATATTTACACATAAATTTCCCCCGAAAAATTCTTTTACGTGCCTATAATCTAGACTGCCCATCTATAAGTAGGAAGGGATGCATTTTACATTCACTCTTCAGACACAGTGAAACGGATTTTATTTATTTGTAAATAGGATGACTTAATCAGCATCCCGTAAAATTTAAATACTTTTTGTGTACATATCATCCAATGTCATTAGGTCTCAGATGAAGAAAGATTAAGGTACCAAGGTTTTCGATTAACCGAGATAAAAATCGAAAATACAATCAACAGTATAGTTTGACATATGAAATTCAACCAACCATGAATATATATGTTGATTCTATAGTTTTTGATAGTAACTCCACTATATTTTCATTAGTATAGTTTTCTCTGGGGAGGTCGTGCGAATCGTAGGAACACATCGGGCCTCGAGCTGTCAGCCAGTGCATTATTCTCCGCAAAATTGCAGTATTATAACTCTGATAGGAAGTCCCAATTGCACCTTTGTTAAAGATTTTATTTCTATAAAACCTATCACTTTCGTTATCAGATATGCATTTGTGGCTGACTTGTGATTTGTTAAAATATTTATTTCAATAGTATACCTATACTCATGGTGCTTTAGCGTTCCAAAAACTGCAAATGTCGATGATATGTTAGAAAATGATCGACGATTGTCGATATAAATTGACTGAGGATAGCACAAACCATTGGCTTTTGTTTGTTCCCCCCTCTTTGTAAGTCCGCTACAAACAACAAGAAGACGTATCTTCCCGCATTAATTTACTTAATTATGTTCAGCGGAATAAAACGTGTGATCTTGTGGTCGGTATCAGTTTTAGGGCGTCGAAGAGCGAATATGGAATTCATCAGAGTTTTTATAAAGTTTTTACATTGTAACGTTCGCTAATTCGCAGATTTCATCGGCGAAGCAACCTTTCCTTTATCTTTCAACTTATTTTCAACCCTGGCCATGGAAGCGCTCATAAGGAGAAGGCCACTAAATTGCAGAATATGATTTCATTGACACAGACTGACGTGTTTACGATGATAGGTGTTAGAGAGACCGCTAAAAATAGATTATTTAAAGCTGAATAGATCCATCATTTATAGGTTCTTGACGATCATATAGAAAGAACAGATGCAGTTATAAGACAGGCTTTCTTACCTGCTTGTAAGTTTTTGTTTCAGAATGCGAGTAGTTTGGGGGAAGAAGAGCCGTATTGATCAGATAATGATAGCATGACATCATATCAACGCACAGGGTTTTTTGAAAGAATTTGTATTTCACAGAAGAGACCTTTCAATAATTAACAGTAGCGGAGATCTCCTATGCTCTCAAATGGATGTCTTAAACAATAGAAGTTTGATCTTTCATGCGATGCACGTCGAATACTTTCACTGTACCCAATATATATACAAAGCTAAGCTATTTTGAACTTTTATGTACAAACTCTTAAGCTCAAGATGCATCTTCAGTCATACAAGCTGCAGCTGTTTAAATATGGTCAATTAGAAAATGTTTTGCTGTTGGGCATACTATAACTGACGAGCAATGTATGAATTAGATATATCTGCAAAATTACAACTACTGGGAAAGAAAAAAACGTTCCAAATAACTTATAGTTTAAGCCTTTTTCCAGTATAGTTTTGCTAGCATGCAGTTCCTGGCAATTCACTATCATCATATGTAGATGCTGGAACATACAAAGTCAATTCTGATTGGGGAACTTTTGCCTTCTTAAGGAACATCAACACAGTTCAGATATTTCATGTAATTAATCCATTCTTCAAGACATGAACGCATCGAATCATTGCCTTTGCATCGAAGCACATTATACTAAAAAATAATACCCAAGTCAAAAAAAAAAAAAAAAAAAAAAAAAAAAAATTCAATGAAAATCATCACAAAACACGCGAACACTTTTCTGAAAGTGCAAAAAATATCGTCACCTGCAGGGTTTGAACCTGCGCACGCATAGCGTATGAGATTTCAAGTCTCACTCCTTAACCACTCGGACAAAGTGACTTTATTTAAAATTTGGAATAAATATTATAAATATTCATAATTTAAAAGAAACAGTCACGTGAACGCTCGGTCTGAGTATTTTGGTATTGCGGCTCAAATTAAAAGGCCGAACTTGCTACAAAATGTTTAATGAGCTTATATGGTTTGTGATTGGTATAAGATTGTTGTATTTGCTTGATTAAAGATATATAACTGTTGTAAGTCGATGACTATGAACTTAAGTGTCTTTATTGTTCTGCAGATGAAGTAGGTACATAATCTATATTAGATGCAATATAGATAGACCGTGGTGGAATGTATTCTCTACCTGGTTGTACGTACTCGAGTATTGTAGTTATTATCTCGCCAAACACGTCACAAACACAGCTTTCACTGATGGTACTGAATGCGATGTGCTTTATGTTCCTCAGTCTTCTGCCTTCTCTTCATTACCCCCCATAATCATTGAATTTCAACATTCGGTCACCAAGAGTTTCATGTGTCGTTGTGTTCAATATTGCATCAACGTATACAACCGATTCAAAACTCACCCTATTCTCCTCATATTTTGTATCAACAAGGTCGAATCTAAGTCACTTGCAAATCAGTTTAAGCCCAACTCTGAAAAGCCTTACCTTCTGGAAACACCATCGAACCATTTTGCCGAGTGTTGCTATATGATGACTAGCAAAAGCATTAACGCTGATGTTAATGATGTAAACGAGGAGATGAATCCTCTTATTGCATTTGCACACTTTCTATTTTCAGGCCGGCAAAGCATTATAGGAATCGATCAGTGGGACGATCCCACGATTTAGAGATTATACTCCGTTGCAAAGGAGATATTGACTCATTCCGATATTACAGAAATGGTAGGGATGCAAGCACTACAGACAATATGCAAGGCAAATCTAGAACAATTTGCCAAGATTTCTCAGCATACGACTGATAATCCCAAACGCGCTTACCAGTGCTCCGAAGCAGGACGTACATATAGCGAAAAATTGAAGCGAAAGTACGATCAAATGCTTGAAGTAGCGAATGCTGAAGAGAGTATAATTCCCATGGAAGAGCCTGAAATAGCTCACGCGGAAATAAAGCACGATCAACTGTCAAAATCCTCGTTAATTACCTTTGTGGAAGATTATAAGACAACGTTAACTGGACGAATGAACTGGGATCACTGCTGGGTAGTAGGTCAAAAGCAAAGATTATTCAAAGAATTCGGTAATGGAGCTAGTTTAAAAGCAATTTATTATCGAAGAAAAAAATTTGATGAGCAATAACTTTTTCTCTGTCATTGTATTTATTTTCACATGTATAAGTCTACCATTGCTACTTCATACTAAAGAAAAATTGGAATGCTTTTTATTCTTCTGTTATATGATAAATAAAAATCAAAAATTGAACTTTTTCATACTTATGTAATTTTCGTAAATTAAGAGTACATAGAAAATAAGTAGCTATGCTCTTCTTCAAAATCATCATCTATGTGTCATCATATAGCCTAAACACACCCATATACCTTTTTCTATAATATTACTCTACATGAATCTGGAAGATATTATGTGTAAGAAATGTAAGATTTCTCGAAATCGAACAGGTAGGTTAGAATAATAACATTGTTTATCTGACTAATTGCATACAAAAAGACATTGTAAAAGTATTAAAACAAATGAGTAATGTGGAATCAATTGCCCTAGTAGTAAAGGAAAACTTAATTCTTTGATACAATGCAAAATTAGATCTGTATAAATACATTGTCATAATTATTGCTGGGGTTCAGAATTAAAATTGAGATCATGCTCTACTATAGTCTGATGCTATACACGCATTGCTTGAAATTGGAAACGTGTTATTTTTATAATGATTATTGGCTGAGTAACCATTAAAAGAAATCAACCCAAGCTGTAAGGCTAATGCTCAATATGAAGATTCCAGATGGTATGCGAAGTAAAATATCCACTGTGAATAACAATGGATTGGATAGAGCGTTTATTGGTTTCAATGTCCAATTCAAGTAACATACAGCCTATAACTACTGCAGTTTATTTGTAGCAGTCTATTCTGTACTGTTTAAATATCAGTCCTGCTGTATCTCACAGTACATAACTCATTCTGTTACAGCTATTGATATCTGGTATTCATTGCATGTATATAGCACAATAACCGTCCTATTACTATGTCGAATCTACCTTATGAAGGCTACGCATCCATCTGGAGCAGGTGGACTTGTCAAAGTATCCACAGCTTGATCTAGTGATCATGCAACTGACATATTTCCCCGTTATAACCAGGAAAATAGTATTATTTGGGAAAATGATGTTCGTGCGTGGTGTTCGAGCAAAGTGAAAGTTATTATGAAGGTTATCTAAAACCTATTAAACTATTTATGCCAGCGGCAGTAACCAGTACTTACAAACTGATATACCTTTGATGACGGACAATATACAATGCATGTCTAGATATTATTTTACTATATATTCAATGTCTTATAGTAGTATATTATAGTAAAATAAGTAAACTATGTATCCTATGGAACAACCTGTTCAGCCTTATACGAGATAGCTAATTCCTTCAAAGAGTCCAAATTCATTTATTAAATTACTTTGAATATTTCAGCAATTATGAGGTGTGACAATCTCGTACAATTTGTGTGCAAATTCTTTACATCTCATGTGATCCTGTCAACTAAATATAACACTTAGTTCACGGTACTCATAAATAGAGTTTATGTAGTTTCTATTTATATTTTGGTCTGCAATATTGAATAATTCATCTTTACTCTGAATAGAGTGAAGTATATATTTGTATATCATCTATCCTCTATTAGGACACAACTCATACTGACATGCAACTCGCATATTATGTCGGCTATACCACCTTTATTCCGTGGTGGCACGCAAATTGAGGAGCCAATTTGTGCGTATTATGCATTCTACCATGCGCATTTCAAGCTAGGGTGGTTGGCATGCCTCTTTTTTCTTTTTAATGAGTAGTACACTGCTCTCAGTTGATCGAGCTCGGTAACAAAAGCCACATTGATAACACCGGTAACGTCGGTAACGGTTAGTCAGTAACGTTAAAGGTAACAGTTAGTTCATAGCATCAGTAACATTAGTAACATTGTAACTTTTAAGGATATAGCAACAGGGCTGGTAAATGCACTCGTAAGATATATTAGTTCAACAACCGGAACGTAGTAGATAACGGTATCATTCCCTGCTCTGGAATAAAGCATGGCTGGACGTTAGAGATTCAAACATTCTTTGTTAATATAATAGCTGTTTACGCAACGAACAACATCGCACACAAATATCGCTTCCTAACTAACATTTATAATCAATTCCACAATATGTGAGCTATATAAATGGTGGCCAATGATTGTAGATGCAACTGCATAATTACTCTGGGTTTTGCAGATAACACGTTATAGATCAATTTGCTTTGGAGTAAACTAGTAAATTTTTCACCTAAAGGATGGACTAGTTCTTTCACGGACACCTCTGACTCATTGAGTATTATTTGACCATAATACATTAGTGCCAGTCATAGATCCCGGTATATTCGTAGACAACAATCACAATAACTCTTTCTTTGGTTTGATTTCTTTAGGCTTTCGTGTTTATTGTCTCTTATTATTATTCTTTTAATTATCCCTGATATTAGAGACAGTCAACACATACCACAGGTTTACAATTTATATCTACTCTGGCCGCTTCAATTGCTCAAGTGGAATTCATGATTGTCACTATACTGAGGAAGTTAATGATCAGGAACGAACACCTGCGCTGCATTAACAATTTGACATTAGTTGTGCTACTGTTAACAATATAGATACCTAATATACCAGACGTAATATAATTAGATTATGGTATACTGTGTGTACTATTACAGCTGTACGCATTGGAGCATCAAAAGTATTACATCAATAAACATGTCAGAAAAGCTAATGCTTTTGTTCATCGTAGATACAAGAGATACGTTTCATTTCTTAATGGATAAAATCGTCGTGTCTTAGAAACGCGTTAAATGAGTGCTTTATTATTATTATTTCTGCACTGTACAGACAAGTCTAGAAGCCTATCTCCTTTAGCTACAGGATGCGGGAGTTATCTATTAGTATTCTTAGAATTTATATCAGAGAAATGTAGTGCAAGTTAAGAAAAGTAGTATCCTTTGTCCATTTCGAATTGAAGTTATTATTGAACTCTTATTTTTCTTGTTATATGTAGGAGTAGACAGATTTAATCATACAGACTTTAGAAAAGCATTTACAACGGAAATGATGCAGATGCACGTATCATTCATTCACGCGCCTTTTTCGATGCTTTTATGACAAATTTATTCTCGATTGCTTCTACAAAGATGTACAATGAGTACACTTATCTCTGTTTCTTCTTTTTTTATATTTGTAAATTTCTATCAAGTTTATATTTGGAAGATGATGCATAATTGAAAATGTTAGGCCTACTTGCACATTCACAAAAATATTGGCAGGCTTTGGTCCAGACATACTGTGGATAAAATTGCGAAATTAGAAAGTTAGGTCATTTTCTGCTTTATCATCGTTGATGTTATGAATACTTGATTGTGATGTTTCTAAGCAATGGATAAAAAAGAATATAGAAGCGAGTTGAAGATTTCGCATTAACAAAACCTCTCCAACGCAGGAATAAAACGAGTAATACCGCGGAATCGGAGTGAAAGTGTTGAAATGAAAAAAATTAAATTTAGCAAAACGGTGATTTTGAAAGCTAAAAATGGGAGTCTTTTCAAACATCAAAAAGTAACTAAATATACTGAAAGCTAACAATCGAAACTGCATACAGAGAATATTTATTAAGTTGAAAAAAAAAACGATTGTAAGCATTCATTTGTCATAGAAGCCTGGGTTAGTTTTTTTTTTAATTTTTTTGCTTGTAAAAAGAAAATTTCGACAAATTTCATGGTAACTGAGTTTTTGTTGGGTTCCCCTTTTTTTTTAAAAACTGTAAACCGTGTTCACCACAATTCACGACACCGCATCCTTACACTAAAGAGCGCCACTCTCAAGGCGGTCATTTAATACCAATGAAACATTTAAAAAAGGCTCCAGCTTTATTTCAGTTTCTTTTTTTTTTCTCTTTTTACTTGAACTCACAAACAACAACAATCCTATAAAACAAAAATGTCCTTTGATACAGCCGCCATTAAGAACAATATCATTCCTCATGAAAATGAAAACTTTGTCTATTCTTACGGTACAGCTGGTTTCCGTTCAAAGTAAGTATTGCTGTCACATATCGGCCAAGTGGATGCGAGATAAATTTCTAAAACGAAACTTAGAGCCGACGTGTTGGGCTCAGTTATGTACAAGGTTGCTATCTTAGCTGCTTTGCGCTCCAAAAAGCTTAATGGATCTACTATTGGTGTTATGATCACTGCTTCTCACAACCCTGAAGAGGTAATATAGATGAGTGAAAAGAGTACACAAATCCTTCCTTTTTTCATTTTAACCGACAAAGCCTTCTTGATGAATTTTATAAAGGACAATGGCGTTAAACTCGTTGATCCTCGTGGTGAAATGTTGGAGCAATCTTGGGAAGCTTATGCAACCAAGCTTGCTAATGCTAAGGATGGTGAAACTCTTGTTCAAGCAGTTGAAGATGTTATTGCTCAAAATAAGATTGACGTCCAGATCCCCGCTAAAGTTATTTATGCATATGATACAAGGTGAGTACTTCAGCATAAATTAAGTGGAAAAATGGAACCCGACACTAAAAAAGGCTGCCATTTTTGATCGTAGACCTAGTTGCCCTCACTTAGTCGAATGCCTCGAACATGGCTTAAAAGATGCCGGTGCTGGAAGTACCAACTTTGGTTTGAAGACAACACCTATGCTTCACTACCTTGTTCGTTGTATAAATACTGCAGGCACCAATGATGCCTATGGTGAACCTACAGAGGAAGGTTATTATAAAAAGTTGGCTGCTGCTTTCTCAACTGCTGTTGTAAGTTACATTTATGAAGGAATATGCTCGAATGTTTTGACACCCCCCATCTCACTTAACACGCCGTTTAAATTGAATTTTCGCCTCGACAGAAAGGAAAGCCCCGCTTGTCAACTTTGATTGTTGACTGTGCCAATGGTGTCGGTGCTCCCAAACTTCGTGAACTCAGCAAGCATATCCCCAGCGATGTTTTATCAGTTCATATTGTAAACGATGACATCGGTACAAAGGGTCAATTGAACAAGAACGTAAGTGAAAGGATCTTTTGACGTTGTTTTCATCAGGAAAGGACAGCATAGCTTACAACTGTATTTGATTTTAGTGTGGTGCCGATTACGTTAAAACTCAACAGCGTGCTCCCCCCAACATGCAGCTCAAGGCGGGTGATAGATGCTGTTCTTTTGATGGTGATGCTGATCGTATCGTTTATTATTATGTCACTGAGGAAGGAACCTTCAGACTTTTGGATGGTGATAAAATTGCTGGTCTTGCTGCGGCATTCATCGCTGAGCTCGTCAAGGAAGCAGGCATCGATTCTATCAAGGTTGGCGTTGTCCAAACAGCCTACGCTAACGGTAGCTCCACAAACTATCTTACTAAAGTATTGGTAAGTTTTCTTACCCAACCAAAGAATGTTATATTCAAAACTGTAAATCTCATATTATTTTTGGTGAATAGAATGTGCCTGTTTCTTGCGTATCCACAGGTGTTAAACATTTGCATCACGAAGCCGAAAAGTATGATGTGGGTGTTTATTTCGAGGCAAACGGTCATGGTACTGTTCTTTTCAGCCCTGATGCTTTAAATACTATCAAGACAGCTGAAGCGTAAGTATAAGTTGTTTTCTTCGTGGTATTTCTTGACATGCTTACCAAAATCGTGATTTTCGCATAAACATAAAATAGTAAGACACCTGCTCAAAAACAAGCGATTGCTCAACTCGCTGCTTTGACCGATTTGATCAATCAAACTGTTGGTGATGCTATTTCTGATATGCTCATGGTGGAGGCTATCCTTACCGGCCGTCATTGGAGTTTGGAAGAATGGGACCAAGCCTATACTGATCTTCCTAATCGTCTTGTCAAGGTCATTGTTTCTGATAGACATATTTTCAAGACTACCAATGCAGAACGTCAATTGGTTGAGCCAGCTGGTCTTCAAGCTGAAATTGATGCTCTTGTTGCCAAATACAGCAATGGCCGTTCATTCGTCCGGTAAGTGCTATAAACGTAAAGTGTGGGTTTCTTTTTTTGTAGATGAAGTGCATCCTTCTGAACCTCATCTTCCCTTATCATAGTGCGTCTGGTACTGAAGATGCTGTGAGAGTATATGCTGAAGCGGCCACCCGTGCTGAAACAGATGACCTTGCTTTCAAGGTCGCTCAACTTGTTTACGACCGTGCAGGTGGTGTAGGTGCACGCCCTTAAAATAGAAGTACAGTTTCACCAATAAATACCAAAACTACGACTACATAATCCATCTGTTTAAGAGAACAATAACATATTTATAGTACAGGCGAAACACACGGATACGCTATTATTACCTTCACTTTATCACTTTTACCTCGTTTTTCCACACTCAATTCATGCCATAAAATAATAAAATTACACATGTCTTATTCATAAATTGTTGTAAGAAAAATAAAATAAAATTACCCATTTGTAAATTAAGAAATGAATAGCTGTATCTACGATAGAAATATTCTACAACTCCCAGACTTTAACAACGGCACTTAACCATGTTGTTGTTGTCCAGATCGGTAATGCTTGTTGCATAGCAGATAAAACACCCACATTACCAATTTTCCGTTCTTCTCCACGGCTGGCGAACCCTTCTTCTTCTAAAGCAGTAAATTCAAAACGTATTCTCCATTCATCCTTTTCTGCCTTGGCTCTTTCTTCGAGAGGAACCTGCAGAGCCAAGTTCATGGACCATCCATCGTTGCCATAACCGCTTACATGACGCACAACATAACGAGAGGGTTGCGATAATGGTTCTTCGTCCTGAATGCTCCAATTAACAACCATACCATCAAAAGCGATGACGGTCCAGGTATAGGTAGGTGCAGAGCAAATAATCGAGAATGAACGGATGCCGGTGGAAGCATCGTAGCTGTCGTTGAATACCTTCATTTCCGGAAACGGTCCGTCCAAGGCGTCCAATAGTCGTTCGGGCAATTGTAGGCTGTTCTGTTGAGCTTGTCGACGTACGTAAGGCTCTGCATCAAATCGATAGCCGCCCAAAAAAGCACTGAAGGGGTAGATCGAATCCCAATCATTCATATGGCTGCTATCACGTTCTTCACCCGTGACACCCAACCTATCCTCGACAGAACGCACGATTTTCTGAATATAAGGGCCGTGATCCGCCTGAGCGACACCCACCGTCAACTCTCCTGAAGTCAAGTTTTTCAGCTGCTGAACAAAAAGTCGCTTGGGATGGTCTTCATCGTAAGGGAACGCCCACTTTCCATAGTCGCCTCCACCGATATAGACAGCACTCAAAACGAGCACTTCAGCTACCAACAATAGCACAATGATCCTTTTCAAAAGGTGCTTACCGAATCGATGGACGTGTGCTATGCCAGGCAGTCCGATCATGAAGACAACCATGCCGTAAATAAAAGCAACAATGAAATCAACAGGCGTTTGCACTCCCATGCGTCCTGTCAAAGGCACAAAAATGTCTACCAAAGCGAAAGCATAGGCAGAATACAAAAAGGACAGAACAAATCCACTGATGATGTAAGTGACAGTAGCCACTTGTGCCTTGTAAATTTTTGTCGTGGCTGGGCGCAAAAACTCGTTGAGGATGCACATGACGAGCAAGACAGAACCAAACAGCCAAAATATATAAGAACTCGCAACACCTGTTTGAGTGGTAAGGGCAGTGCTCAAAGCAAAAAATAACATCAATGACACGAAGGAGCCATACTCCATGTCAAAATGCTCAGGGCCTGGCAGAGAATAACTCAAGTATTGAACAATGTACGAGCCTGCGAGCCCCATTGGGCTGAAGAACAAAGCGCCGTACCACTCGTTTCTAAACCAACCCATATGACGGCCGAATGTATTTGTAGTGATCAAGAAAGCCACCGTCATGGGAAGGATCATGGAAGCAACCATACTAAGGAAGACAGCAAGCGTGGATTTCGCGTAAGAAAGTAAAATATGACGAATGGAACGATAAGGCGAGGAATGATGTGTTTTGATGACAACCCAAACAAAATAGACCACAGAGAGAGCCACTGTTGTCATCTGGATGATATAGGCTGTCTTCCATGAATACACAACGAAAAACAAACCGTGAAAATCGAAATAGACCACTTCGCTGGACGGCTCGATGCCTTCCAACTGACCGTTTCTAGCCAAGTGCTCTACGATGGCCAAGACATTTTCCCCCAGGTGCTGTATAGCTCCACTTTGGAGGTTTTTGGTAGTATCCAAATGAGTATGATACAGGTATGAGTTTTTGTAGATGGCCATATCAATACCCGTCAAATTGCCGTATTGTACGAATTGTCGAAAATCTGTATCGGACAATATGAGCCCAGTGCGGAAAACATCATTTGCCTAAGAATGTATGAGAAGAAAGGGATGAGTGTGACACAGACTCGCAAAAAAGAATGTGCATTTGAAAGTAAGGGACCCTTCGTCTCCTGTTATATTTACCATCACCGTTCCATGTGGATAAGGAACGTGTTTGTAAGCTTCCACCATTTCGCGGGAATTAGCCTGGAATAAGATTTCCTGTCCAGTGGTACCGCAAGAATCAAGATTGACAACTGATCGAATGCTAGCGTTCGGCGGGGAAGTGTAAAACCTTTAGTGTTTTTTTTTTTTTTTTTTTTTTTCTCATTCAAGTCATCTGTGTGTCAAAATATGTTTCTTACGTATCCTTCAATTCATGCAAGGTGATAAACGCGTGAGATGCATCTTGTAAAGATTCTTCTGCACCATTGAAAACTGTAGAATGTCGTTGGATCGATTAGTCACTTCCCTTGATAACAAAAAAAACCAAGAAAAAAGTCTGCCCATAAACTTACGAAAAACGATCGAGTTTTTGTATCCTGTCCAATCTCTTTTACTAAGTACACGTACAATATCCATCATGACCGCTATGCCGGAACCATCATCGCTGGCACCTGGAGAACCCAGTGTCGTATCAAAGTGAGCATTTACAAGTACTGCGTTCTTTTCACAGCTACGATCGTCATCGTTCGTAGGATCAACAGGGCAAGATAATCTGACAATGATATTTGTCACGTTGGTATATGCTTTTAAAACCACTGTTGACAATGGGGGAATGTATATCTGTAAGATTGTTGTGATTAAAAAACACATCCATTCCATCCTACTCGTATCTTACTTCTATCCATGATATCGAATCGGTGAGAGCTCGAGCCATGTTGAAGCCAAACATCAAACTTGGGAGAGCCGGCGATACTTTGAGCCTCTTTTTTATAATCGTATATAAGCTGAGTCAAGTACTCGTAGCTTTGTTTCTCCTCTTTCGTACCGACAATACCTTTTTCCGACCCAAAAAAAAAGCAAGTTAGCTGTCAAAAAAAAAAAAAAAGAGGGGGGCGAGGGAGGCGAGACCATAAACTTCTATGACTGTATTACAGACATGAAATGCCCATTATTTCACTTACGATAACCAATGGTATCCGATAAATGTGATATAATAGACACAGCATTGTTCTCTGAAAAGCTAGCAATGCCATTACTGTCATAGCCTAGGTGGTGGGCGGGCTTTGGTAACTTGTAATGGAGACGAAAAGAGATCGCGATGCCCAAAAGTAGACTTACGATGAGGGTCGACCAGGATAAACAAACCTTTCCAAAAGTCCGTTCCATCGAGCCCTCTCCACCAGGCCTTCGTTTAAATTGTCGACCTATCATTCTGCCTTAGCTTTATGAACGAGTAGGTTTATCTAGAATTAGATTTAAAACTGTCAAGAAAAGTTGAAATAGACTCTGAGAAAACAACCAAACGCCAAAAGCTAAAGTTTCTTTTTCTTTATTGGGATCGGCCTCCGTTGCCCCTCATTTTTCCACCACCACCATCAGTGCTTTCGGAATCCGAATTCGGACCTGAATACCTTTGATTTTTGTGATCGAGAAACAAAAGCGTATTAGAAAATAGGACTCGGTTGTCATATCTTTATGAAATTCTTTTAGATAAAAGCTACACACTTTGAAAAGACGGCTTAGCTTTGTCAGAACAAGAGAAGGTAGCAAGAGAGCCAGGGTCTTGTGACATCCAAAAAAAAAAAAATCTAACAAAAGAACAGCAGATTCAAACAGATGCTGAAGCCAGGAATTGATCCAAGGTCAATTTCCTTAACATTTTTTGCCTCTTGCGATTCAGCTGATGAACAACAGTTTAAGACTATCAGTTGCACATAAAATGTAATGTGCAATGAATAAGGATAAAGACTCCTACTATTTCCTTCAAAACGCTTCCCTAACAAGGCTTAAATCTACCATTGGAAGCTGTTGTATTTATAGGTTCTACGCGTTCGGTTACAGGCAGGTGCTGTTACATTCGTCTCTACAAACACAGGCGCACTCATAGTAAAGTAGCCTATACTTGATTATGGTGTGACTACACAAAGCTGGCCTCTCCTTCATGGACTATGTACTATTATTACTGTTATTTAATCAACTTGATCCATCGAAAATAAGACACATCTAAACGCGCCGCCCCCTTTCATTGCACTCAGAATTTTTTTTTATTATTTTAATTTCAGAGTCCTAGAGTTCCGTCATGCTTGGTATGGCTAAAAGATGATTCAAAGGTGTGTGTTGTTTATTATTGTTCGTTGACCTTTATACAAATAGTAAATAAAGAGTATGTACAGTAAAAGTAGTATGGGTCAATTTGTCCATCATTAAAAAATTAACTATAGCTGTTATAGAATACTGGATAAAGGCGTATACATCTTAAACGGGGGGTTGCCAGTTCATTCGTTGTTGTTGTTGTTGTTGTTGTTGTTCAGCGTTTGCTTTCATTCAATTTAGCCGCTGCTATTATACGACTTTATTGGCTTTAGCGTGAGCGGTATTGCGACGTTTAGTGACAGCAAAGTGAGTGATGGTGGTTTGTGATTTGGATAATGTTCGTTTAAGTGACGGTTGTTTAGCTGTGGTTTTCGCGCTGTTATTTCGGCGTTTCCTGACGGGCGTGTTTTCTTTTTCATCGTCGTCGTCGTCGTCTTCATAGTCGGCACTCTCTTGACGTTCTTTGGCAAGGCGTCTCAACTTGAGGGCAGTCTGGTTCATCAGCTTTTCATCGGCCAATTTCTTGTTGGTCCACTCGACCCATTCATCGGTATCGCCCAAGACTTCGTAGTCAAACACTTTTTCCCATTCTTTGGTGGGGCTGGTACGGTTGACAAAGACAACGATGCCGCCTGGCTTTTCGTGAATGATTTTTGCTGCTTGTTTGATAAACTTTTTCAAGGCAGGGATTTTGAGGGACGTGCCCATGACGATCATCAGGTCGGGCTTCTTTTTCAGATCATTGACTTGTAGTTGACCGATGGATTCGCCGTTGGGATGGTCTTCGTTGTACAGCACGATGGCCGGTCTTAGGGTGCCGACGGCTAATTGTCGTTTGCCCTGGCGAGCTCTTTCTGCTTCTACCGATTCGCATTGGGGACAGATAGGCGCTTCGCCCGTCATGAATTGTTGGGCGTAATCGTCGGTAAAGTCGTAGGTGGCGCTGCATAAGGTGCAGCGCACCTCTTTCATGGTACCATGCAGTTGAATAGCAGGAATGTTGAGATTTTCTTCTAGAAAATCAATGTTTTGTGTATAACAGCGCAAAAGTTGGCCCTTATGGGTCAAGGATTGGATAAATTGGTGCGTGAGCGTCGGGTTGGCGTTGGAAATAAGGGCTCGTAGTTCAGCCATAAAGGTATAGAAGCATTTAATTGTCTTTTCGTTGCGAAAGAGTGTCGCGTCGAACAGTTCTTTTCCACGAAGAACGGTATCAGGATGGCGTTGTTTCACTAAATTATATAAACCGTCTGAAGAGCGAAAATCCTATGCCAAAAAAGTGATAGTGTTGAGTCATGGGCTTGCCCATTGTTTCCATCTGGACTGGCCGAAAAAGCCTCCACTTTTTTTTTTTTGGTTTTTTTTCTTTTGTTCATCTTACAGGTATGCCGCTACTACAAGAGATGCCTGCACCGGTGACGACGATGGCACGTTTGCTCTTTGCGATATAGGACGATAGATCTGTTATAAAAGGATCGATGACCTCTGCAGGCTCTGAAATTGCAATTTTCACTTTCATTTCCGCGATGGAGTGTGTGAACAAGAAGGAGAGTGGGGGAGAAAGCAAAGAAGGGAGTAGGAGGAGCACCAAAAAAAAAAAAAAGAAAAGTGAAAAAATTTTAAGCACAAAATTGTCCGTTCAAGCAGTTTTTTTGCCAGGAAATTTGAAAATATGTGAAGGGGGGGCAAAAAACTTTATGCATTCAAATACAAAAAGAAGATGATGTATAGCCGAAAAGAAACCCACAAAGATTCAACTTTTACACATTATGTAAGTACAGCTATTTATCAAAAAAAAGTTGGAACGTTGAAGTGAATTGATGTGTCTATAGAGTCAGCCAAGTAATAGAATGGCGTTCAGATCAAAAAAATAAAAAAAAATAAAGGCATTTACGATTAAAACTATCGTCGGCCAATTAGAATAAGGAACCTAGGGCAAAATCAACAATGGCAAAAAAAAAAAAGACTCAAAAAAGCTCAACACCCATTTATTTTTTTCTGCTTATGATTGGATACTTTAAATGCTTTAGAATCAGCCGTTTGTAAGTATTCAAAGCATGGAATGAATAAAACTATCGTCATCTACCATGCAATGTAGCGACTCTCAGCAGAAAAAATGCATCAAACCAGTACGCTTTTTTTTTTTTTTTTTTCAATGAGAAAGAATATGCCCCATCCTTACATACGCGAAACCATAATGAATGCAGTGATAACCTATTCGCATTGCCTACACCGGAGTTTTTGAGACTTCATGAAGACTGCTTCTCACGGAACACAGACAGCAGATAATACTGCCTATACCTCTTCAGCTTACCGCGATGAATCGCTTATACCTGGGTTTTTTTTTTTTGGTAAAAGGTAAATGGAGAGGGGTACTCCTTTATACTCTAGACTCTTATCACAAGGATCAAGCGGGCAGCACAAACAATACAAGTAACGAGAAGAGTTGGAAAAAAAGGAAAAAAATCATATGATGCGGGTCACTTTTAGCCATCGATTGTACCACCCCTCGTTAAGGTTCCGTGAGTTGACTACCCTTAAGTCCAGGTTGCGTTACATGGTTACCTTTCTTTTTGCGGCCGCTTCATCACATATCAATGATCGCTCATGTCATTCATGAAAACTAATGTACCGACATGAAAGAGCATGATGTATGTACACAGACACACAAACACACTGTATATAGTTAAAACATGAAAAAAATCGAAAAAAAAATCGTATCACGCGTGCGTTACACTATTTCATTAAAAATGAGAAATATAGAATGGTGTGATATGCAAAAAGTACTAAATAATGGTTGCATTCCACGCTCTTTTGGTATAGTTAGAGTCATGAAAGATGTGGATGAGGGTGGCATTTCGAGGAAAACTCATTTTTTATTCATACACTAACGATTTTTTTCCCCACTGGGTAGATATATAATATATATAAAAATGTAATATGAAAGTTTTGCAATGATTTGTATTAAACAAAGATAGTTGTAGTAAGTAGTAAGTAGTAGTAAGTAGTAATAGTAGTAGTAGTAGTAGTAGTAGTAGTATTCATAGCGGTAGTATTATTGTGTAAAGAGTAGAACATGTTGTAGAGAAGCAAGATAATCATATCAAGTGACAAGGTGTGTGACTGATAGTTATTTGTTGTGATTCAATGATCTGAAAGATAGTGCAAAGTAAGAAGGATTTGAGTGTAGAAGCATGATTCCTTGTCACTACATTCCATCAAGGGGGTGGGATTTAAGCAGTAGCTTGGACGACAGGAGTTACAGCTGGAGCAGTAGCTGTAACAGTGGTAGAAGTAGTAGGATCTTGCTCTTCTTCCTTGACAGCTTCTTCGACAGGAGCAGCAGAGGTAGCAGCTTCTGTAGTATCATGAACGGTTTCCTTTTTTTCTTCAGAAGTGCTAGGGGTAGTACTATCAGTAGCAGCAGCAGCAGGCTGCTTTTTCTTATTAAAGTTACGGAACATTTGAGTGATACGACGTCCTAAAGGAGAACCAGAGCGTTTTTGTCCTTGAACAGGTGCATTGGATTCTGCAGCAGCAGCAGTAGCAGCTAAATAGAAAATGGATGGTCAAGCATTGTTTTCAGTATTGTTGTGGGTCAATAGAATAAAAATGCATAAAAGAAGGGGATGCAACTCTCCATGCTATGAGACCATTTCTTTTTTTTTTGTTCAACTTACCAGCATGAGTAGGTTCAGCCAAGTGGTTGTTGGATGTCTCATCCGCAGCGCTAGTCACAGCAGGTTGTTGCTCATCTGAAGAAGCACTAGCAGCAGTGGTAACAGGAGGATCGCTTGTTGTGTTACTTTCCGCAGCAGTAGTAGTAGTGCTAGGTTGTTCAGTTTCTTTCTTCTTGTTGAAGAATTTTCCAAGAGGGCCCTTCTTGATAGTGTCGATCATATTTTCTTTATGGTCCTTTGGGATAGCAGTGGTGCTCTCCTTTGTTTGACCTTCTTCAGCATCCGTCAAGTTATTTTCCTCGGGAGTTGCTTCAGCAGCAGTGGTGGTTCCTTCGGGAACTGAGTTTATAAGATGATTAAAACACGAGTTTTCTTTATTAAAAGACCCATTTTTAAACCATTTACCTTCAGGAGCAGCAGCGACAGTTTCTTCAGACTTTTCAGCTGTAGGCACCGGACTCTATTTATCATTGTGACATAATAAAAGTGATAAAAGGATGAGTAACCATGACACAATCTTTTCTTTTTTTTTTTTTTTTTTTTTTTTTTTTTTGAAGGCTATAGATCACAAAGACATAAAGAAAGGGAAATATTCTCTTTTGAAAGATGAGATGGTAAGGTACATTGGCTGGGCCAAACAATCCAAAACAGAAAAAGTAGACAGGTTACACCAATCTACTTTTTTCTGTGGATGGTGAACGTCCGCATTTGGATAGTTCTGGTATGCAAAAAAATAAGGGGTGTTTGTGTAGATGGGTGGTGTGCGTGTGTGGAGGGAGCGGTGTGTGGGAGCACAAAGTCCGAAAAAGGAAACGCCAAAAAACTTTTCTGATCCGACGGATAGGAGGAAAGGGAAAAAAAAAAAAAAAAGTTGATTTCTATGTAGAGGTGCACTACTTTACCTTACTGCGGAAGATACTACCCAAGCCCAAAATAGACTTTCTCTTTTCACTCTTGGAAGAAGTAGGTGCAGGCTTATTTTCCGTCTTTTTTTGTTCGGCTACATCAGCACTGTTGTTGTCTTGTTGTTGTTGTTGTTGTTGTTGTTGTTCTCCAATGTCTGTAGTGGCAGCAGCCGTTGTCTCGGGAGCCAGCTCGTTACTTTGTTCCTCAGCCGTGGTGGTTTCTTCAGGAACAGTAGCGGGCTGATCTTCGAGCTTGGGTTGATGTGTAGCCGTCGTCTCACCAGCAGTGGCAGTGGTTGCTTTCTTATCAGAGACCTTTTTATCGACAAAACTCTTGGCTTTGCCGATGAAAAGAGAGATACGCTTAGTGGCACTTGTTGACTTGGTAGGCGAGGGAGCAGGTGCTTCCTCAGTTGGCTTGGTGTCGGTAGGAGCAGATTCAGTGACAGGCTCGGTAGAGGAAACGGGTCCAGTTTCTTCAGGAACGGTAGCCGTAGCATCGGCTTTTTCGCCTTCCTTTTGCTCAGGAAGAGCTTCTGTGTTGTTGGATGCTTCAACAGCATCGGCAACAGCAGCAGCAGCAACAGGAGAAGAAGTAGTAGTAGTAGTGGTGGTGGTGGTGGTGGCAACAGGAACATCCCCTACGTCAACAGCAGCAGGAGTAGCAGCAGCAGCAGCGTCGGTTGAAGTATGAGTGATAGGTTCAGTGGTAGACATAGTATCAATACGTTGGAAAGAAATAAAGAAAAGTGACTTGAAAAGAAACGAAAAGAAAAGAAAAGAAAGAAAAAGCAACAGGAGATCAGAAAACAAGACTAAAATAAAAATAAAATCGAATCACACAATTCGTTAAAAAAAAAAAAAACCTTGTGTCAATTAATCTTAATTTCATGAATGTCGTGATTGCCCTCATTTTCGTGTTGTTTAAAAAAAACCAGAGAAAAACCAACGCCCAAAGGCGGAGCATCAAAAAAAAAAAAAAAGTCCTTTTTTAGTCTCTTTATCAAAAAAAGCAAACACTATTGATAAAAAGAAACCTTCATGTTATAAGCATGCATGTAGTTATTATAAAGTTTATGTCATGGTCTGAGTTCGTGCTTGCTCAAATGACCAGAAAAAATTTATGCATTGAAAAAAGAAATTGGCAAAAAATTCCTGCTGGCCAAAACGATACATCATACAAAGAAAGTCGGATCTAACTCTTTTTTTCTTTTTTCGCACTAGATCAGAAAAAAAAAAAAGTCAGTAGAGAGTACCTCAGACACAAAGCATCCACTCTAGCTACAAAACACTGTTATAGGATCAAGCAGGGAAAGTCCTTTATAGCATGACCCAAGGAACGAAGCGCCCAAGTGGACGATCATCATCAATCATTATTGTTCTGCCAACATACATGATTCTACTATCAACGAGTGCTACTTTATATAAAAAGTAACTTGCTTTGGTAGATCCGTGCTTTTCGTGTGTTCCTCGTTTGAGACAGAGTGAAATGAAGCCAATGAAGACGCTGTTCTCTATACCAAAAATAATCCATTTATTCTCTAGAGACGTAAAGCTGTGTTAAGATTCCTGAGAGTGCATATTCATGAATCACCACAAAGAAAGACGCACACACACACACATACACACAGTTTCTCCTTCTCATCATCCAGTTGTCGGTGAAGAAAAACAAATCGCAAAAGGACACTTTCATTTTAGCACGCTATATCTGTCACAATCTGTTTTTTTACTAGGTTTGTCTAAAAACATTTTTAAAATCAGACACGAACAACAAGCAATAATAAAATCCTTTCCTCCGCACATTGTTCGTCAAAGAAGAAGGTTGAATGACTGGTGGGGGGGGACCTCTCACAACAGTCATGGATGATTTACGAGAGGGTTCTCATGAAAAGAATCATTTTTCGCTAAAGAAGACGTGCTTTAGACCACGACACTCAACGTTGTTATTCACCGTCATAAATGAAAAAAGTCAGTGCTCACCCGCGCACATTCAAAAAAAGAAAAACTAATTTCCGTTTCGCTACCCCTTACAAGTAAATAAAGAGTGGGGAGAGGGGGGCACAGAATCCGCTTTCTTTATTCAGTCTTTTTGTACCGCTCTCACTATGGATTCTGAACGATCCAAACAACAGGTCGGCAATGATGACGGCCCTTTTCGGCTTTATTTCAGCATGTTTACCACATGTCTTTTTCATAGTATGATTCTTTTTGTAAAAAAAAAACAAAAGCCAGAAAAGAAAAAAGTGGAAACGAGGACTCTCTCTCTTTCTCTATACATATATATATGTGTGTGTTATGTGTGTATGCATGCATGCGTTTAAAAAAGAACAAGCAAATCATCTATCATCATCACTTGATGCCTTTTTCAAACATGACTGCTGCTTAGAATGAATAATAAGACGGGATACTATTTATATGTGAGAGATGCAAGCCCGACCTATGAATATCATTTCCATCACCACCACCTTCTTTAATGACTGGATGACTCTACGCATGTTTGATTTTTTAGGTTTTAGGCTTTTCGATTTGAAGTGTAAGAAATAAAAGGGCACTTTTGAAAGCTACTGTATTTGTTGGATGAGAATCTGAGCTTGGCCTCACATTCCAAAACTTCACAGGGGGAGGGGGGGGGGAAAAACAGAAACACTTTTTCCATGCTTTCTTTTATCATGTCGAGCCATATCAATCGAGTAGATAGGTATGACATGGTGGTATGGACTTCAAACTGCCGATGCAGCTCTTTCACATGGTTCTTTGGACGAGTGACTTTCTTGAGAAAGGAGACGCCAAGTCCCATGATAAAAAGATAGAGTAGCCCACACGGTGACAGGATGGGTTCCAACTACCTGTGCTATACGAATGAAGCCCTCTTCTTTTGTTTACCAATACGGCTTTTTTATAACTCGGTTAAATTAAGAAACCGATGGAGATCGAGATAGACACATAGGATAAACATGTGCAAAATCATAAAATAGAACACGTGAAATTTCATGCTGAAATTGAGAGCGATTTGATTGGCTACCATATCTCTTGAAGAAAAGGGGGTGTGGGACTTCTCATCAGAAAGGGGACAGACAGAAACCTTAGATCAGAGACATGTTGACTTCTTTTTCCTAATGTCAACAAGAAGAGGAAATCAATGAAATCGATAACATTTTACTCACACTGTAGTGGATGATGGAAAAACCAAAACAATGAAAAAAAAAAAAAAAAGGTGAAAAAGACGGAATTTTAAAAACATTCCTTTTTTTTCTTTTTCCAACTTAATAAAAAAATTCCATGAAAAAAGGACAATAATACATGGCCACAACGCGACTTGACTATCGCGATACGAAAGAACCGACAGCTGTTTGTGTGTATACCATATCGCAGGAATCACGGTATCTTCTTATCAAAAACGTGCCCCGTCTGGGACTAGAACAAGAATTACTCCATCGATGTCGAGCAATGGGAGATGTCGAAGAACATGCATTGTTGAATCCACAGACACCCTCCTCGGAAAGCAGTGATGCCACAGACACTTATTGGATCAAGTATAAAAATATTACTTTTGCTCGATTAGCGAAAAGGAAGCTAGATGATAAGCCGTTCTATTCCAGCCTGCTAAAAGTAGTTTATGCACCAGAATATGAAACCTTTGACGATATAAGACAGAAATTTCAAAATAGGGCAGAGGCGGTCCACCAACGATTACTTAAGCTTCACAAAGAAAAATATGCATTTCGAAGAAACAAGAGACCACGAGAAAGTAGTGAACAAAGAAAAGAGGAAGCCCCATCCAACATCTATGGTCCTTTTTTGTCAAATAACGAGAGAATGGATTCGACAGTGAATTCAACTGGTTCCAAGGACGGGGATCGAAAAAGGCGCAGAAGGATTTGACGTACATTTTGAGAAAATAATTCAATAGCCGCAGCCCCGATGATGGGATGAAGGGTGGAGAAGAAAATTCCATGCCTGGCCTAAGCGAAGGTTTTTTTCTTTTCTTTAGTGGAAATAAAAAAAAAAAAAAAAAAAAAAATTTTTTTTTTCTATAACATTAAAAAAAAAGGACATCTTTTTTTTTTTTTTTTTTTTTTTCTTTCACCTTTTTTCATTTTTTTTTCCCTTTTCTTTTTTTTTTTTATTCTTTTCTTATATCAAAAAAGCTAACAAAAGAAAGCAAACTAGAGAAAAGGACTCCTTTTTTTTTTGCGTTGGATTTCTTCTGCTTCTTCTTTGCCAAACAGTTTTTCTTTTACCCAAAAGAATCATTTATAAACTCATTCTACCTTTTTTTTTATCCTTTTTTATCGTTTTCAGGCCCTAGCGTAAACAAATTAAAAAAAAAAAGAAAAACACATCTACTTTTTGTTTTTTGTTATTGCAAGCATTATCTCATTACCCACCCACCCACCAACCCACCAGCTCCACGAGAACCCACCAACATCCATACCACCACCCACCACCACCACCCAGGCAACACTACTCAGACAACTACTCAGACAACTACTCAGACATCACCAGCACCCTTCGCCCATATCTATTTATTTCCAGTACAGTTCCTGCCTTTCTTTGCTTCTTTTTCTTTTCTTGTATACCTCTGTCTTTCTTATCCTTGTTCCAGACCATGGCCGCAGCAACCTTAAAGTGGACACAGGTAACATCCAAGAATAATAGCAACAAACGATCCAACCAGAACCAACAACAACAACAACAACAACAACAACAAAGCAACAGCACCTTTGACACGACTATGCGAGATCCCTTTGCTGGCATGAACTCCAATATCAATTACGAAAAGGAAATTGAACGATTAAAGCAGTTGTTGGTGGATAAGCCTTCCACTCCTTCAGCAACAAGTTCGACCTCCAAAAGATCAAAAAGGTCTCACACCCATACATCTTCTTCCTCATTCTCATCCTCCTCTCTTCACCACTCATCTTTGGCATCTGCTTCATCTTCCCATGTGCCATCTTCTGCTTCTTCTATTGCGTCGACGTCTTCTTCTTCGTCGTCTCTACCATCCTATTCTCGTTCTAGTTCTCCTACTTCTTCTTCCGCTTCCTCCACAAGTTCGCTTATTGATTTAGATACCACCTCTGCTACGACACATTGTCTATCAACAGACCCTCACCACCACCACCACTCCCATCCTCATCCTCATCCTCATCCTCATCAACAACCATCCGAAAAAGATCAAGCCGTCGTCACCGAAGAAGAAAAGTTACGATTCTTAGCATTTGTTCGTCATTGGACAGGTGATTATTATAACAAAAATATGATGATGTCAGCACCGACGCCAATGCCACCTACTCCTCCTTCTCCTCTTTCTCCTCCTACTACTACTACCACCTATTCCCTCTGGGCCGATCAATCACCGTGGAGCAGACCTATCGATCCTTCTTATCAGCACCAGCACCTCCCTTCACCGCAAAAAATGCCCTTCCACCCCACGGCCTCCTCCTCCTCCTCCTCCTCCTCCACCGCCTTTACCGACTTTTCAAATACCAGCTATTACTATAATTACCAACCTACTTGTATTGCCGTCAATCAACATGGTCAATTGCCTATTGGTATGGGCAGACGAAGACTTGCATCCTCTTAAAATCCCCCTCCCCCTTTTTTTCCGGTTTCTTTTCACCCGCACAAAGGGCCAACCCTTGCTTTTTATCTGTAATCAATATCTCTTTCTGCATATCGAATGATACTATTTTTTTTATTTTATTTTTTTTCTTTTCTTTTGGAAAAAAAAAAACCCTAAAAAAAAAAGCCAACCCAAGCCAACTCACCTTTGTATTTATCACTATTACTAATTTCAAAATAACCCTTTAAACAAACAGTTACAACGCACCTCTCTTTACGCAACCCTACAAGAAAATTTATTTATCTTTTATATATTTTTTTTTTTTTTTTTTTTTTTTTAATTCTTTTACACAACTAATACTCGAAAAAAAAAAAAAGAAAAAAGAAAAGCTTCTCATCTAATATACAACATGACCCCATTCGACACCATTTTATTCATTTTCTATCTATTTTTTTTTATTTTTTTTTTCTTCATCTAAACAACTTTATATATTAAAATCAGTTTGATACACGTTCGAATTTTTTTCTCAGTGTCACGTTCAATTCTCTGAGGGCGCGTACCTATTGGATTTCCTACTTTTGAAAATTGCGTGTTTAGTCCACTAACGCAGTGCATTGAAGAAATGCAAAACACAAATCAGCACATGGGCAGTTCGCGATCTGCAAAGCTTGGAATGGTTGATGAAAGAAAAACAAGCCATGTCACACATACGAAGAGAGGATCGTTCTTTTTGCTACCAAGTAACAACAGATCCTGCTTCACTGTACCGAGTAGGATTGTCTTTTTTACTGTGGATCATTCAAAAGAAAGGATGCCGTCAACTCCGACATGAAAGATAAAAAAAAGTTTTGCTATTTTTGATCATGACAATAAGATAAGGCTGCTGCTGCTGTCTTGGTGTTCATACCCGTGGGTTTTTCTTTTTTTTTTCCCAAGCAAAAAAAAAAAAAAAATGGAATGGAGAGGCTCAGAGTTCACAGACGGTGCTTTTAGTGTAACACGTCATGTCCCCCCCCCCTTTTTTCCTTTATTTGAAAATACCCCAATAGGTCATGACATTTTTTTCTTTAATCTAAATCTTGAGTGTAATTGGCAGGGAAATATCCTTTCTTGTCACCTATTTCACCTTCCCACCAAGCGTCTCTACTTTCTAAACGCTTTGTGACAACAATGTGATCACCCGCTTGAAACGAGATATCTCCCGGTTGGCTTGCCCTGTAATCATATTTGGCTACCACCACTGCTAATTCTGTCTCTTCTCTTGCTACTCGTTTCTTTTCTCCTAAAGCAGGTGGACCCTGCGCCATGACTTCCGATAAAGCAGTCGGTTGTTGACCATAGGTCTGTGGTTGTGGAGGGTGAGCATGACGACTCCTCTCGCTATGTTGGTGATGGTGGGTAGAGGCAGAACGAGGATGCGTGTTTGTGTTGTTGTTATTGTTGTTCTCGGACAAGGTATAAGGGGGTGGAGGCTCTTCGAATCCTTGATGATTCTGTGCTAATGGCATTGCAGAAGTAGGAGTAGAAGCAGAAGCAGAAGCAGCAGCAGACAAAGACGTCTGCTGTTGTAACTGATGTTGGTTTTGAATAAATTGTTGTCCCTTGGTTGTTTGAGAGCTCTTGGGACTGAAGGGCAGACCCGGTCGAGGTCCTGCTCCCAGCCGCGTCAACATGTCATACAGTCGAGCGGCATCAGCCACCGGTGGTACCATGCCTGTCAAGATCTCTTTGGCGGCTATCGGACGACCATAATAAGCGGCATTGGTATGGACGCGTTCAGAAATTTTCGATCCTTCAAAGGAATAACCCAAATAAAGCCCCTTGGATGCACTGTAGGCGTACGTCGCTGCTATGTATCTTTCCGTAGAGGCTGCGGCAGAGACATCCGCTGCACGGCCAAAAGGCCCAGCCGCAATCGAAGCCCCCACGCCGAGTTGAAGCTGTCCGCCCGAGTCAAAAAAAGCTTTCACGGCAGCACGGTAATTCATGACAATGATCGAGTCGATGATTTCACCACCTGCTTGATGACCAAAGCCCTAATGTATGTGTATTGTGTATATGTGTATGTGTGGGTGTGAGGGGGGGGGTGAGTGACGACGATAGGAAACTAGGTTGACGTAAGAAGAGGGTCACTTGACTCTCTCATTTTTTAATGTTTACCAAAGAGGACATAGATACTCCCGACGGCGCCGACCAACCTATCAACAAAAGTACTTTTTCTTTTAATACCCCCGTTCTCTTCTCTTCTTCTTTTCATGTAGATTGAATACGTTACGGCCATCAGGAAGCCTATGCCACGCGCACAAAAATCAAATAAAAAGGAGGGTTGGCTTTTTTTTTCATGTCTCGTTTCTTTTTCATTCTTATTGTTTACCTTGCAATAATGATACCCGATCCACTCTTGGCTGACAACATCAAACCCACTCTGTAAAGACGAATAAAGACAATACCATGAGCATTGGCCAAGACATTCGAAGGAATGAGCATCTTGACATCCCGACCTTGACTGGGATCTATTTTATCATGATGTTTTGTTACAAACTATGTTGTTACTGAAGGAGGAGGGAAGGAAGCTTCTCCTTCTCCTCTCTGTCCCATGTTCCCCTCTCCCTCTTTCCGTTTTGTTGAATTTTACCAGTGAATAACTCAAGGATCTGAGTAGCACGTTCGATATCGGCTATAGGTGGTAGAACAAAGGGTTAGTTTCTGGGAGAAACAGAATGGGGGTTGTGTGCTGTCGTTGCACCTTTTAGTTCTTTAGGACTTCTCTTGACCATCTTTATATATTTTATAGAAAGAATAAAATACAAGAAGAACAAAAAAAAAAAAAAAAAAAAAAAAAAAAAAAGTATTTTTCTTATACGAGTTTTTATCATGGTGGTTTTAGATATCGAATTGTTGGGTTCCTCATGACACTCTTCCCAAGAAATGCCCAAAAAGCAGGAATTGCACCACCACTACGCACGCATTGGCATAATTGAAACACAGCTATCATTTTTCATTTCCTTGGGTACACGAGCCACGATGTGGGCGCGGGTTACAATATATTGTACCTTAAATATTTCAATAACCTGATCTTGAAAAAAAAAAAAAAATGATACAAGCTCATCCATCATCATTCCCTTTTCTTATCCCTTTTTTTTTTCTTGTTTCCCTCTCTTTTTTCTGTTTTCTATTATATATTAAAAAAAAAAAGGCTTCACAAGAGAATATTCTTCTTTTGTTAAGAGAAGCTTTACTGTTGAACGAAATAAAGAAGGTCTCCTCGTTTTTTTGACTCTTTTTAAATTAAAAAATACGTCTCTCCTCTCTCTCTCTCTCTTTTTATTCTTTCTTTTTTTTCTTTTCTTCTTCTTGGTGTATGAATTCAGTGAGCTTGGATGAATGACAGACATCATGAATAATATAAAACACATCAAAGAAAAGCCTTCCTTTTGGAAAAAGCTAGGCTTAGGAAAGGTGAGCCATAAAAAATCAGAAGGTAGGTAAACGGGCAAAAAAAGAAGGGACCTAATTTTGAAACAAAATGGATTCAAAAGGAATGAATAAATCAAGTTTTTTTTTTTTTTCTTTGATAAAAGTAGATCAGACATCTGTCAAGAGCAAAAAGTTGAGGTACAGAAAAACAAGTCATGATGGCACCCAAACTATGTTTCTTCTCTAATGTCAACTTTCTATTTTTCCTTAGCCATGCACCCTCCCTACAACAGCTGTCTTCTTCTTCTTCACCACCCGCTCCTACACCCATCTCTACCTATTCCACCACCTTCATTTCACGGTATGAGCAGCAAACACCGCCCATGCCTGCTGTACCACGCAAAAGCAGTCTAAAGCATGCTGTTACGATCAAAAGCACCACGACGCCTCCTGCGCTTCCTGTGATGGGACAACAGCAAGGAAAGGGTAAGTTTTATGATTTTCAATCCTGTTTTTTTTTTTTTTTTTTTTCTTTTCATCAGGTCTTTGCAACTTTTTCTGTGTCTTCCCATTTGCATATAGACGACAGTGATTCCGAAAACGAAAGACTGAATGCACGTATCATCACCAGCGAGCAGCCTCAGGTTACACCGCTCACCACCCTCAAGCCTGTTGCTCGTACAAAATCATCGCTCTCCTCCACTTCCGCTGCTACCACAACCACTACAACTACCACGCCACCTTCCACGACCACCTCTACCGTCACTCCTTCCACCACCTCCTCTGTATCACATGATGATAATAAAAAAAGAAACCATAAACACAAAAAACAAAGACAACCACTGCAGCCTGTTGACAACCTTGGGCCACTCAAGACAACCATGGCCGTCATGACCCACGACAAGGACACCCCAACCGCAGGAAAAGAACAGGAAGAAGAAGAAGAAGAACAAGAAGGAAAAATCATGGCTTCCTTTGTGATGATTGAAAATGACACAACAAAGACAGTGCCAACAACAACAACAACAACACCCACGGAGCGAAAAAGCCATCCAGAAGAAGAAAAACATCAAGAAGGCCGAAACAAAGACAATGACGGTCTGTGGCAAATCATCGCTCACTTGAGAAAAGAGTTAGAAAATGAAAAAGCAACGGTCCAAGCACTACAAAAGCAGAAAGAGGCCGTGGCAAAAGATTTGGATTACTTTGAAATGACCGTCGATGAATTATATGCTGAAAAAACGCAGTTAACTCAGCAGCTGGAGGACGAAAAGGTAACCCCCTCTTCATTCACACTCATTCAACAAACATCCACTAAACAAAAATCAAACCTCCCCCAGGCCAAAAGTCAAGGTCATTTGGAAGAATTGAATATCGTATTAGAGAAAATGAAATCAAACGCAGATAATGCAAGAGACAAATCATTTGCATTGGATCAAGTGAACCTAGAACTCAAGGTAAAAAAAACAACAAAAAAACCAACCCACACAGGGCTCTACCATAGACAGCCACGAGTTTTTTTTTAACTGGAGGACGCTTCCATCTTAGAAAGCGCAAGAGGAGAATAAGGATGTGCACCAACAAATAAAAAAGAAAGACAAATCACTTTCGGAACTAAAAGTAAGCCCCCAATCACAACCTCCACCCCTAGCCCATTGTCCATTCCATAAAGCTAATTCACTTGTTGATAGAAACAATTAAAAAAATCGCAAGAACACACTGAACGTCTGAAAGAGACAAACGACAGTTTGAATAAGGAATTGCTCGAATGGAAGGATCAATATGGTCTCCTTCAAAAAGAAACAGAAATCCTTAAAGCACAATTGGAGCAACAACAACAAAAGCAGCAGCTAGAGCAGCAGCAGCAAGAGCAGCAGCCTGCGACCGCATCAGAAGTTCAACACTTGGAAATTGAACCTGACCAAAGACAAAATTTTGCAATTCATGGCCTTGACATACCAACCACACGTACGCCAAAGAAATCGAAACTGCTACAGAAGAATAAAAAGAACGCATCAGCAACACCAAAAGATCAGAACGATGCGTTAGATAACGAGCTAGACAAGCTACTGAAAGAGAAAGAAAAGGTAAGAAACAAACTACGATAAACCCGTTGTGTACAGCAAAAGCCCAACACACCTTTAGCTTCAATCTTCTTATTCAAAGATACCTTTGTCTGGAGGTGGTCATCAATCTCGTCGACGCAAAGAAGAGTTGGAAGAAATGCTAGACCAAGTAGATTCACAATTAAGTAGAGTAAAGCAAAAACTCAAACGATCGTAAGAAACAGCAAGCAAGAATTATCCTTTACTTTACTTTATTCCTCTCATCGTTACTTCCAAGCTACCCTACAATGAACAATGTAAAACTAAAATAGAGACACTCCCCCCTCCCTTCTATCATTATACCATTACAAAAGGACGACCACAGTACGCTTATTATTATTCCAAGTTTGCTAGCCATCATTTTGAAGATTCCAGCACTACTCCATGATCCTTGATTTGTTCCATACACATCTTATCCACTCATTTTTTTACCCAACAAAACGTTCTCCTCTTTTATAGACCTTATGATGTAATTAAGCAATACTTGACAAGTATTAAAATAGAAAAAAAGCAAAGGAAACATGGCCTGGTGATGATAACCCAAGTCGTAAGCTGTTATTTTTATAAAGATGTATCCAAGCGATAGAGGAACCTATGCTAAAAAAACGGAACACTCAATATTAAAGATGCCGTACATATTGTAAACAAGCATACTCGTCAATTCATAACTCTCCATCACACTTTAAAATGATTAGAGTAAGCTTTTTTTTTTTAGTTTTTTCTTCTAAAGTCCAAGATACAATGCTTTTGCGCATTGGATTTCAAAATTTGCGAGAGGCATATTTTGTATCTGCAGACAGACGAGACCTTCCCGAGTATCCATTGACTGGCGAGACAAGGGGAAATGACCTGATTGTATAATACCATCATCAAACCTTTTTCTTTTTTTATCTTCTTTCATCGCCCTTTGCAAGCTCAACTCTATTATCTTTTTCCTTTTCCCGATAAGGGTTTTTTAGGGATACCAAGTCTCTTTCTGAACCGGGCCCAGGCAAAAAATGGTTATGAAAACGCTGGTTGCTCGATAGGTCATGAATACGATACTGTTACAGCCTAAAAAAAAAAAAAGATCTCGTACGCAAAAAATGCGAAAAAAAAAGATAAAGAGACACTGTAAAAGGAAAAAACTAGATTTGTTTAATTGAAGATGACAGAGTGATACAGGTAGTGTCATCTTCATTAAGACTTTCTTTTTCTTTACTGCTGAACTTGTCCTTTCACCTTTGCTTCGCTCTCAAAATAGATAGTATTTATCCATAAAAAACTGTTGTATTGAAAGAAATGTCATTATACGAATCAACACCACGCTTGGATCTTCCATCCCTACCGAATTTCAAGCAGTTATCAAAGACGGTTTGGAGAGTCCTTGGTTTGAATCCTGGCAAGTTTACTCTGCAAGGTAACGAAATTCTAAGGCAAAGGTAATTCGAACCCGTCTCACCTCTCGTTTGCTGTCACTTGCTATATACACTAGGCACAAATACGTACATTGTTGGCTCGGGAAAACGTAAAATACTCATTGATTGTGGTGACGGCCAGCCAGACTATCTACCACTCTTGATGCATTCCCTCAAATCGATAGATCCCGATGCTTATATATCAGATATTCTTATCAGTCATTGTCATACAGACCATTGTGGAGGATTGAAAGATATACTATCATCTGAAATCAATCGTCCGCCATTGGACACATCATCCTCTTTCATAAGTAGCAGGCAGTACCAGCAGCAGCAGTTTATAAATATCCACAAGTACCCATTAGACACAGATAAAGGCTGGTACAAGGTGTTTTGGGAAAGCCTGAAAGAACTTCCTGATGATACCACATTTTCCGATCTAAAAGATAACCAAGTCTTTACTCTCAGAAACGAAAAAGACAAAGACAGCCCTCCATTGCATATTCGCGTGATGCACACACCCGGTCACGCTAAAGACCATTGCGCCTTCTACCTCGAGGAGGAAGACATTTTGTTTACAGGAGATTGTATTCTGGGGCATGGGTCTGTTGCCTTCGAAGACCTCCACGACTACATGAAGAGTTTACAAAGAATGGAAAAGTTGCAACCCGCTCGTCTGTTCCCCGGACATGGAGACGTCGTAGAGGACTCCATCCAAAAAATACATCAATATATAGCAGCAAGAAGGGTCAAAGAGAACCAGATTCTAGATATATTGAGACAGGACGTAAGGGTTCATTGGACACCGATTGAATTGGTTGAATTCATGTCTTCCAATGGTAGTCATAGTAGTAGTAGCCATAGTCAAAGTAGCAGGAAAAGAGAATACAGCGAACCATTAGCGGCAGTAGCTGTACGCAACGTGGGATTACATCTTATTAAACTGTATTTTGATGGGAAAGTGGAGTTGACCAACCTCGCTGATTACAGAAAAAGACATGGAAAGGACTTGGATCCTTATCATTCAGAAAACGTATATACTATTATGAATGAAAAATGGAGATACATCGACACAAATGAACACAACAATAGCAAATTATAAAGCCTTTTATCATTCCATAGCAATTGTTTACCCATTCCCAACACCTGTTAAACTAGATTAGATCTTTATAAAAACCGTATAAACCGTATAACCCTATGAAAGCCTGAAGGAAACTCTTTTTTTTTCTTCAAAACAATACGATGTTGCAGGCTATTTAACTGCAAATAGATATCCGTGACTATAAAGAAAGGTTGCCCAGCTGGTAAATTTTTTCTTTTCGGCTTTCAAATGCTGTCGAGAGAAAAAAAAAAAGGCTTCAAGTATTATTTGTGGCTTGGCGTGCGGCAAAGAAAAAACCACTCTCAAAGTGCAAAATTTTTGCTCCCTCTCTTCTTATTTTCACGCTTAGTACATCAAGCATGTCTACTTTCGAAAAGGTAATTTTGTTGTTCCAAAGCAACATCAACAGCATTGTAGCAATGCGCAGCCCACAATTTCGAATGATCAGCTTTTTGGACTCTTTTGTTTCATTTCATCTGACACTCGTTTTCATCGTTTCTCCATACATTAGACTCTTGTTATTGATGGTAAGGGCCATTTGTTGGGCCGTCTCGCTTCTGTCATTGCCAAGCAAGCTCTCAACGGTCAAAAGATCGTTGTTGTCAGATGTGAAGCCTTGAATGTCTCTGGTGAATTCTTCCGTAACAAGTGTATGTATTTTCAACAGGTTTTTTTTTTGAATTTCTTTTTGTCTTCGTGAAGTATGCAGCGGATACAAAGATATATTAAATCAGGAGAAAAAAAAAAGAGAATGCGAAAACCATTCATATCAGCAATTGAAACAATCAAAGTGTCAACTCGATATTCAGCATAAAATGTCAGCAATTCTGCGCCGGTTTTTTACGAAACACAACAACGACTCAGTAAAGTTCAATTTTGAAATTATCAAAAATTTGCTCGAGTGATCCTCATCAGTGTAGCCAGTTATACCTCAATTTTGAGCTTCTCCGTTTGTCTTCCTCTATCATAGTTGATGTTGCATATTTCAAAGGATGAAAAAAAGGAACAAAAAAAAAAATAACCAGCTTTACTAAGTTTGATGAATTTTCTATCCTTAATGTAAAATATAGTGAAGTACCATGCTTACCTTAACAAGCGTTGTATTGTCAACCCCAAGCGTGGTCCTTTCCACTTCCGTGCCCCCTCTCGTATCTTGTACAAGGCCATCCGTGGTATGATTCCCCACAAGACCGCTCGTGGTGCTGCTGCCCTTGACCGCATCAAGCTCTTCGAAGGTGTTCCTCCTCCTTATGACCGCGTCAAGCGTATGGTCATCCCTGACGCTCTCCGTGTCCTCCGTCTCAAGCCCGGTCGTAAGTACACCACCATCGGTCGTATCTCTCACGAAGTTGGCTGGAAGTACCAAGACGTTGTTGCTAAGCTCGAAGAAAAGCGTAAGGCCAAATCTGCTGCTTACTACCAACGTAAGGTTGCTCTTGCCGGTCTCCAAAAGAAGGCTGTCGAATCCAAGGCTGATGCCGTCAAGGATATCAACGCTTCTCTTGCTCAACTCGGTCACTAAATCTTTTTTTGATTTGCACTCATTTTGTTTCTTCAAACGGGGAATTACAAATTTATAGTCGATTGTGCAAAAGAGAGAAACAACAATGCGAGATATAGAGAGTCAAAATATATCAAACAATAAATATGAACTGACAACCAAATCTCTTTCATTAATCAATATATACTATGCTTTATGAATGGGGAGACGGGGTTGGGCATATAGAAAGAAGAAAGCTGGGAAAGGGAGATGGAGCGTAAAATAAGGTTTTCATTCATCTTGCATTTATGTTTATTGGCCAATGTTCTTTAACGTGTAAATAAGGAAAGGCAACGGCTAAATAATTCGAAAATCCAACTAAAAATGCTTTTGCCTTCCATTGGATGGTTTCTGGGTATATCTGTTATTCGATAGTCATGGATTGTATCTATTTGAGCAACCACATGCTTGGGTATGACCTTTAAAATTTCATGTATATTATGGTGGTCTAGGTCAGAATTCATTCTCCATGTTAATGCAGTCTCTTCATTGGTATTCACTGCTGTGCTATCCATATCTACCACCACTTGATCGTTGCTGCTATCATCGTCATGATATACAAGCTGTAGACCCAGAATATCTTTTAATAGGTGTATGTAAGATTCCATCGTTTCTTCATTATTTTGTGTCAAAACATACTCGCTCATATTCCATTCCACGAGATGAGCTTTGTGTCGAATTTGGAATTTGAGCAGGCCTGCTAAACCACGGAGAAAAGGTACCGATCCCACATCGACTGCATTTTCCTGGACAAATTGACGAACGAGCGATAGTCGCTGATGTTGGTCAATATGAGGCAACTGCGACTCTTGTTGTAAGAGTGCTTTCAAATGCTGCTTCAAGGCTACTTGTTTTTCAGCATGCCAGTCAGTTCGAATCTTACTTTTCGCTTGCAAAAAATACGATAACTGATCGGGTTGCAGTGTAAAAAGATCGCTTTTACTTCTATTACAACCTAATTGTTCCAGCATCGTTTGATATTCACTATCGCTGCTTTTCCATTCATACAACTGATCGTTGTTCAGTGTTTTGCAACCTTCGAAAAATAATACAAAATCGCTGGTATCGTTATCGTTATTGAAAGCTTTTGTGCATATTGTGTGCCAAAACTCTTGAGCTTCCAGGGGAACTGAATCCATCTTTTGTTTTGTGAAAGCGTATTAGAATTGCTAAAAAGACATATAGAGAAACAGCAGATACAGCATTTTAAACAATAAGCCGGAGAAAGCAAACAGAAAGAAGCCTTTTTTTGAACAAATGGGGTGAGAACGATACCTGAAATTTATTGAAGAATATGGCTATGTATTCTCATGCTTTTCTCTACTTTAATGATTGTCTAAACGACGCAAAGAAAGCATTACCATGATTTTGTTGGCGAAGGTTTTCTGCAATCATATTGTTTAAATTCAATATTTCTTCTGTATGTTACGTACTTCTCAATTATTAACTGGGGAGATATAGAGACCTTTAAACGCATCTATTCATCTTGCATAAAGCATTCCTAATACTTAGAGTTTTCCTTATGGTTAAAAGGTCCGATGTGTGCTTCAGAGGATGGTTCTATATATGCAAACAAGGTCAATGACTCTACCTTTATATGAATTCCGGTAGCATCACTTTTAAAAAAGCGACCATCCCAGGAGCCTTCAGTGGGGAAAGGTCATCAATAAGCAGCAGTTTATCGAACTAGCCAAGTGTTTCGCAACAGTAGCGCGACCTCGTTTGCGCAAGTTGAACAGGCTATGCTTTCGTATCCCACCATAGAAAAAGAAACACTCTAATTAGCTTAGTTAACGCGTTGGTCTATAGTAAGCCTGTACCTCTAATTGTAGGTAAACACGCTGTATATCCTTTATTCGGTGAATAATCTACACAAAAAATAACAAACTTTTGTTAAAGCTAACAGAACATACCCGTTGTCCAAAACTATTGGAAAGAAAGGCTTTCCAAGAAAAACTGGTGATGCAACTATTAACGTCAAATCGCATCCTGTAGGTTATATAGTATTTGAAAGTACCAGGATATTTATCAAGTGGAAAGAGTAGTTAGCACGTGCATTTGCATTTTGAAGCAAACATATGAGAAAGAGAAAAAGACACAAATACGAAGAATCTCATTTGAACCGCTGTTTTTTCTGTCTTGGAGAGACCAATGCCCCAATACTGCAGTGGTAGAAGCTGTAGAAGCAGCTGATGACAATCTATATATGATGAAGTTGTGTTGGCTGTTTAAACGTATCAGCTTAAATCGTAGTTGGTAGTTAAGAGCCAGAAGACCGAGTCATATTTCTACCGTAAATTCTTATTTGTACCTTTCTAATTGAGAGTATTTACTTCTTCGGCAAATTTACGATTTGGTTAAACGAAATAGAAAGTAGTTTATCACTATTACTGAGATTAGGTAACACAGTGTTCCTATGGAAAGAGATACAATGTAGACAAAGGACTCAAAGGCCATATTAATACTCTCGGAGTTCAAGTATCATGCTATTCGCCAAAACGGATTGATGTAGTCAATCAAACCCTGCGGCCGAAAAATGTATCACAAATATGTGGTTATATTGTTTACTTTTGAAGGAATATAGAAGGTAGTCCACAATTTCACTATGATCATGGTGCTTTTACTATGACAAGGTAATTGCAGGCCTAAACGTTAGCACGGTATTCATAACGAGCATAGTAGTAGCTGATAAAATAGAAGTTTTTTTCTTCTTCAAGACTCTATAGCAAGTAATGATTAACAGCTTATAAGGCTGATTTATTCCATGTGCTCAAAAAGGTATCATTCTGAAGTTCAGCGTGCGTTACTAATACATCGTATAACGTTCAGGTAAAGCTGACTTGAAAACTTATTGAATAATATTTGGATAGGTCAAATGTAATTTTAATAAATAAACTTTGACCAGGATTAAAATATTTTTTCAAGAAAAGATTGGAGTATTTATACACTTTCTATGAACTAACTGCGAATAAGTTCTTGGGTTGCGGTTACTGATTATCCTGGAAACCATTGTATTGCGGGATGTAGTATGCGGGAAAGTTGTTTACTTTAAAATCCCGATTTGTATGTTGAAGGGAGGCTTATGACCCTTATGTTTGGAAGCGATTCCACCGAAAAGGCTCGCAATTGAATCTGACAACATTATTTTAGTGGCTTATATCAGGTGGTTTATCCGCAGCCGTCCAGTTTTTCAGTCACAGTAGCAAGCGAAAAACTAACGTACCAAAATCTGCTAATATTTTTTTTTTTTTTCCCTTTCCTACCTTTTGCCAATACTATTTTTCTTTTGTACAAACAACCTTAGAGCTGTCTTCGTCCTCCTTCCTTGAACTACATTATCCTTCATTTACAAAAGAAAAATTAATATGACGAAATATATTGTCGTTTCTGGTGGTGTTATTTCTGGTATTGGCAAAGGTGTTATCGCTTCAAGTACCGGTACTCTTTTGAAGAGTATGGGTCTGCGTGTGACAGCTATCAAAATTGATCCTTATCTTAACATTGATGCTGGTTTAATGAGTCCTTTAGATCATGGTATGTATGATTTTTCATATCCTGGATAGAAAGGCTGCAATTTTTTGTTACATTTTTGGCAATGCTCCTTTACTCTCTTATCTTCGCTGCTTGGCTTGTTTTACTAATGCTTCGTCACTTTTCAATCATGCTTCGCTCGAATCATGTAGGTGAAGTATTTGTTTTGAACGACGGTGGTGAAGTTGATTTAGATTTGGGTAACTACGAACGTTTCCTTGATGTCGAATTGAGCCGTATCAACAATATCACCACTGGCAAGATCTACAGTGAAGTTATTGAAAAGGAACGTAAGGGCGACTATCTTGGTAAAACCGTGCAAGTTGTCCCTCACATCACTGATGCTATTCAAAATTGGGTTGAGAAAGTCGCCGAAATGCCTATTGATGGCTCTGGCGAAAAGCCTGATGTATGTATTATCGAATTGGGTGGTACAGTTGGTGATATTGAGTCAGCTCCCTTCGTAGAAGCGATGCGTCAATTCCAATTCCGTGTTGGACATGACAACTTCTGTTTGATTCATGTCTCTTTGGTTCCTGTTGTTGGTTCTGTTGGTGAGCAAAAGACAAAGCCTACTCAAATGAGTGTTCGTGATCTTCGTGGTGCTGGTCTCACCCCCGATCTTATTGCTTGTCGTTCTTCCAAGATCCTTGAACCCAGTGTTGCTTCCAAGATCTCTATGTTCTGTCATGTTGCTCCTGAACAAGTATTGGCAATCCATGATGTCTCTTCTGTCTATCATGTCCCTATTTTGATGCGCGAACATGGTGTCATTGATTTCTTCCGTCGCCGTCTCAATCTTGATGCCCTTAAGATCAGCGATGAACGTCGATTGGCCGGTGATGAACTTTGGAACAAATGGACTACTTTAGCTGGTAGCTACGAAGACCTTCATGAAACCGTCACTATTGCCCTTATTGGCAAGTATACCAACCTTCACGATTCTTATATCTCAGTTTATAAAGCACTTGAACATGCTGCACTTGCCTGTAAGCGCAAATTACAAATCAAATGGATCGAAGCCACCGATTTGGAACAAGAGACTCTCAACACAGACCCCATCAAATTCCACGATTCATGGCAAAACCTCTGCTCTTCAGACGGTATTTTAGTACCTGGTGGTTTTGGTAACCGTGGTATTGAAGGAATGATTATGGCTGCTAAATGGGCTCGTGAGAACAAGATCCCTTACTTGGGTATCTGTCTTGGTATGCAAATTGCTGTTATTGAATTCGCTCGTAATGTCTGCGGTATGGCTGATGCTGACTCCGCTGAAATGAACCCTGATACACCTACTCCTGTTGTTGTGTACATGCCCGAAATCTCTAAGACACACATGGGTGGTACTATGCGTCTTGGTCTTCGTGCTACTGTCTTCCAAGAAGGCACAGAAAACTCTCGTGTTCGCAAATTATATGGCAACAAGCCTTCTATTGATGAACGTCATCGTCATCGTTATGAAGTCAACCCTGAACATGTTGGTAAATTCGAATCTAAGGGTCTTAAATTTGTTGGTAAGGATGAAACTGGTCAGCGTATGGAAATTGTTGAAATGGAAGGTCATCCTTATTTCGTTGGCTGCCAATATCATCCTGAATATTTAACTCGTCCTTTGACTCCTTGTCCTCTCTTCAAGGGTCTCATTTTGGCTGCTGTCGGTCAACTCGATGCTTCCTTGTAAATAACTTATTGTATTTTTCTATTTTTTTCTTTTTCTCCTTCTCCACCCAATTTTTTCTTTTTTTTTGTAATAGAGATAATTATAAACCCCACCATTTATCATTTATTGTTAATGAATCTTAATAAAATAAAAAGTGTATATAGTATATATTCATTATCCTCCATCGGAAGTCAATAAACTCAGTATTTATCGCCATAGACTAAAGGCAAGCTCGCACTTATTTAACGTTTTAGTGACGCTCCTGACACCGTAATCAACGACTGCTGCCAACTTTATTATGGTATCTGAATTAACTGTTGCAATAACTGATTGGTATTCTTATTCTATTGCTCCATCACGTCGTCTTCATTGCTTTCTCTGTCTAGCAATGTTGTGCTTAGTGCTGATGGGGTTACATAATTCAGTGCCTGTTCAAGGTTGCTTTGTGTGATTTCATCCAAATTCTGCTTCAATGTGAGCAATCCAGCTTTTCGGACCGCTGCCCTAAGATCGGCACCAGTGTAACCCTCAGTTTTGGAAGCAATAAGATCAAAATCAACATTTGCCTCCACCTTGGTACTCTGTGCCAACACTTTTAAAATTTGTACTTTCTCAAGTAAAGTTGGTGCTCCCACATATACTAGTCTATCCAACCGTCCTGGCCGCAAGATCGAATCGTCAATAGATTCCGGATGATTGGTGGCTGCTAATATTATGACTTTTTGGTCCATCTTGTCAATGTGATCTATTTCGATTAAGAATTGTGATATAAGCTGTGAAAAAACAAAAAGAAAAAAGTTATTGATAGAACAACATAGTACCGCGCGTGAATGAGCTTACCTTCCTCCCAACATCACCGGATGAATCTCTTGATGCAAAAATAGCTTCTAATTCATCTAAGAATATTACGCAAGGACTACATCGAACGGCAGTTTGGAAAACTTTTGCTACTGCCTTCTCTGATTCACCTACCTCCCCTTTGATAAGATCAGGTATACTTATGGGGAGAAAGTTGGCTGCTGATTCAGTGGCTACAGCTTTCGCCAACAATGTTTTACCTGTACCAGGAGGGCCATAGAGTAGCATACCTTTAGAGGGTCGAATTCCCAAACGCTTATATGCATCAGCATGCTTGTACAACCAAATGACTGATTCTTCCAGCGCTTGTTTCGCAGTTGTTAGGCCACCAATGTCTTCCCAATAAACGGGCTCAGGCTTTTCCGCCATAACAGAATCTTGTAGACCAGTAACTCGAATACGATCAAAGACGTGGTCAAAGTTTTTGAGGTCAACTAATATTGAAGGGCAGCTTTATTAGCGAAAAACAAGTGTGACGCAGACTCGTATAAAGTACCTTCGGTTTCCTTGTTGTTCAAAGCATCTTCCTCAGCCAATCGAAACCATTGTACTAAATCAGCTGCTACAAAAGCGTGGGCTTTCGATGATAATTCTCGTATAGTTTTCTCTTGCAATTTAGAGTGAGACTTAAAGTTTGTGTGGCATATATGTTGCATTATTTTGAAGCGTTCATCAGGTGTTGGTATTTGCAAATGGATCTCATCTAGGAATAAATTTCGAATTTCGAATGCTAAATCATCTGGTCGACGAGTTGTAGCCACTAGCATCATGATATGGTTGCTGTCGCATTCTTCAATCATAGTTTGAAGGAGGTTTTTCAACAAAAAATCGTAATTCTGTCGTGGAAAAAACAAATCAATATCTTCTATCAAAAGGATACTCTTCTTCTCATTGTTGGCTCTCCATAAAAGGCGTTTAAGTCCTTTAACAATATGCCCGTGATAGTCGGCAGCAAGTTGCCCAAGTATTGCTGAGATTATTGGTACGTTGTAATCTAATGCTAACTTATGCACAAGATATGTCTTCCCTATTAAGCTCAGACACCCCATTAAATATATTTTTATAATAATCCTTGACCCCAACGAAATAAAGCTAGATTACCTATGCCTGAATCGCCTTTGATCAAGACTTTACCGGCAGACTCGCCTTCTAGAAATGTCAATCGGAATGCTTGTTCCAATCTACAGTTGATGAAAACACATCGATCAGTCCATTTCCACAGGATCTACTCATTGACTCTCAAAAAAATACCTAGCTCCTTCTTCTCCATAACAATCTGAAGCATATGACATGAAAATAAATCCCTACTCGGCTAACTACAATCACGCAAAGAACAGAAATGACAGATAAATACAGCAGGAAGCAGGAAAAAATAAATGATGAAAAAAAAAAAAAATTGATCGGCATAAACTAACTTTTACTTTTAAAATACAGTGTCTACGTTTATAGCTTTAAGAATACTGAATTATACATTATCCGTTATTTATTGACAGACCGCGGGTTCGTGTGCCAAATCTACATTATCATCATCGGCAACACTTGAAGCATACAAATAATCATTTATCTCGTCATCCATATCGTATTGAACACGCCCTTTTCGTCTTATCACTCCCTTGGATTTTTTGGTCTTTTTGCCAACAAATTTAGGTGCCGTAATACCTTTCAGCATAGGATTATAAGCATACGTCCCCGCAGAAACGCCATCGTCCTTATTCGTCTCCTTGTTTCTATTTGTTTCATGTTTTAGCTCTTCTTCATCATCATCAGAAGACGAAGAAGGAGAATCCACGTCTTCAACCTTCACCTGCTTCGTTGCAACATCAATAGTCATAACTTTATGTTTACTACTTCCACCTAATTTTTCTAAGCGTCTTAAATTTGATTGCTGCTTCTTCAGTAAAAGAGCTCGCTCCTGTGCTGTTAACCAAGGGTTCAACTGATCACTGGGTAATTCAAAATCGGTGGCTTGATCGATAACCGTGCTACGTTTGGCACTTGTTCGTTGAAACTCCAGTAGTTTATCTTTATGCTGTTCAGCTCTTATTCTGTCCTCGTTGTCCACATCCATTTGGTATGTATACATATTATTTCCCCCGCCAAGTTTCGACGCATAAGCAGGCATACCGCCACTATTTCCTGATACAATCGCTTTTTTGGGTTGATTTTGCGCTTGTTTCTGCTCAGCTCTTTTTCTTTTGGCTTCAGCAATGACAGCTAATTGTTGCTCTTTTGATAGCACAGGTTCGCCGCAAAATGTACATGGACCTATCCCTTCAGCTGTACAAATGATCTTTCCACAACTCAAGCAGTTGGGTGCCACTGTCAAAAGAGGATGCTTTGTTGCTTGGCACTGACATGGCTTCCTTTTTTTACCAGGTTTCTCTGCCTTTATGTCTAATTCTCTTAAAGCTGCTTCCAATGTCATTTCTTTTTTTGGTTTCTTTTCTTTCTTCTGAGCGGGCGGTTTGGTTTCTTTCGGAAAAGCCGCTTCACGGATATCCTGTGTAGTTTTTTTTGAACGATTTTTCGCCTTTCTCGCTTTACGTAAACTGTGATGATCATAAAGCAAGAATACTGTTAAAAAGAAAACCTTCGCATCATAGAATACAACCATTCATTGAGTTTTACCCAGCAACGTAATCGTCTTCCTTTTTGACACTAATATTCGCAGGCCACATTGTTTCGTAAGGCTGTTGGTTCGATGGTAAAGAAGGGAAGGCTGATGCTGGATTAGCAGCAGTGGATATTCCTGTAGACGACGATGCTGCGGGTATTTGAGCTGGTGATGCTTTTTCGGTTTCAACAATCGACGATGTAGGTGTGGACTTTGCAGGTTTTGAGAAAAAGCGCCGTTGTGTAAAGTCTTGAATGAAGTCAAGCGCCTTGTCACTGGTGCCTACCATTTCCTATTTCATTAATCGTAGTTAACGAGAAAGGTTCAGACGATTTCGCGCGATTGCAGAAGACTGTTACCATAAGTTGGCTTGAAAAGGCTTCAGGTGTGTCATTTTTCATAAGATACGGTATAATTTGTGTTTCTAGAGTTTCCGAGTCAAAACCTAGGAAGACACTGAGTTTGTCTATTGCCCAGCTTTCAAGAGACATGTCGAAGCAATATTATATGTGAGGGATCTGTAAAAATATACTGCATATAAAAACCGCAGTTGAAATGACATCTTTTACAAAAGTGTTTAGCAGCAGCAGCAAAAAAGAATCGTCTCCGCTCAAAGACAAATGATACTCATTTATGCAAAAAATAAATTTAATATCTCAGAAAGTGGAACTAAGTTTATTTACTATGTACAGGGTTTAAGTGATACACCTTAGAAGCGTCTGATCAGAGTTAGTCAGTTTGTATGAGGAAAGCTATTATTATGATAACTATTTCTTCGTTTCCATTTTATTGATTACGGCTTGCTACATCATCGTTATCCCTAGCACCTCCAGGTCCTGTTGTTGTATATTTATTGCCTCCTGGTTCATTCTCATCTTGAGCGGCTTCCATTGTTCGGTTACGATGGTCTTCAGGATCATGTTGAGTAGGTAAATCAGCACGATTACATTTTTCAGCAGCAGGATTGATGGTATTGGTTCCTTCAAAGTGTGTATCAGTTTTATTCTCACCAGGTCTAGGGTGAATCTCTTGATCTTGTTTTAGACTTTGACCGTGGCTTGTTAGTTCAGCTGCTGCTGCTGCACCCTTACCAAAGGCAGCCTTCTCACCACGACTATCTTCAGGGTCGTGTTGAGTTGGTAATCTAGCACGACTGGATTTCTCTGGATCTGGGTTGATAGTATTTGTGCCATCGAAGTGCGTATTGGTTTTGTTTTCAGAAGGAGTAGGCTTACCAAAGTCATTGCCTCTGGAACCATCTGTTAAAGGTTTTCCTGTCAAAGCAGGGCCACCAACATTTAATGCACGATCCTTCTTATAACGATGTTCGGCTTGATTTCCGGCAGCAGAAGTTTCGTCTTGTCCTTTCATACACAGCAGATATAATGTCAAAATCAACTGAATAAGCTCTTCTCAAAGTGCTAAGACTATTTTACATACCGTATTCATTGATATCCGCGTTTATAGTACTGTCAACGGCTGGTGATATCTTTGAAATACCGGATTGAAGCTTATCATTATCTTCTGTGAAGACACGAGAATCATTATCCTGGCTTGAAGCAGCTCTGGGATCACTCTGACTGGCCATGTTGTTATATGTCAAAGAATAGTTATGAAATTTTTACAAAAGAAAAAGATTAACAAAATGCATGCTACTCTAGCATATGGGCTTTTATAAGCTGAATAACCCAGCTATAATTATAATATCATCAGAATGATATCACCCAAACTAAATTTGGTTTTCGATAGAGAAGTAATAAAAAATATTTCTTAAAGCTTTTAAACAAAAAATAAATTGACACTAGCATAGTAATATTCTCTATTCTTTGACATTAAGGTATGTATGCTAAGTGTTACAGTTGAACTTGATGTGTCAAAGCGCAAAACGTATAAATGGAATACCGTTCCGAATTACACGTCTATTAGGAGAAGTGTTTGAGCTTTCACGGCTTTGATTGGCCATGATTTCGAGATTTATGCAACCCAAGAAATGTCAAGCTTGCTGTTGAACATTGGCACTTCTTCAGGATGTACCATAAAAGACATAGCATCAATTTTACTTATAATCTGATAACTAATTTATCAATTATAGATTTGAGTGTGCTCAAAAGTTCAAAATATAAATAAAACAAGAGCTCGTATCTTCATGATTATTATTTGGCGTAAAAGTGTATTTTATTGTGATATGATAAAAGATTCCTGATATAGTTGTTGTACTATTTCTTATCCTTATCATCCTTCTTCTTCTTATCCATATCTTCTAATGCTTTTTGAATTCGCTCATCATTCTTATCAACACCAGGTAAGGAGCCCAACACGGCGGACATCATTTCTTCGTCGTCGTCGTTATTGTTTTCACCGTTATCTTGCATTGACATTTCTAATGCTCGTTGAAGTGCATCATCTTCATTTATATCTTCCATATTTTCATCTTCGTCAGGAATAGCAGGTGCTCCCGCATCCTCCATAGACATAGCTAAAGCAGCCTGAAGTTCAGCATCTTCTTCTACATTGTCCCCGCCTAAATGTTGTTGTTCCGCTTGCATAGATGAAGATGACTCTTCTCCTTCCTTTGTATTACTACTGCTGGATCCATTCTTGGCTGCTTCTGCTTCTTGTCGTGCTTTTTCTTCTTCAAGTGAAATACGTAATGCCTATGAATGGGGATAAAGAAGGTTTAGTCTCCTTCGTCAAGAATCCTGACACGTTTTGTCTACTCACCAAAGCCAATTCAGGATCAAGGTTAGGATCAATGCCGAATTCAAAGTCTCCGCCGCTACTAGCACCAAAGTTGCCTGCACTACCATCTTCCCCAGCGACAATAGGTGTAGAAATCAGCATATCGCTTAAAAGATGAGGGCCAGGAGGAATGGTTACTAAATGGCTGTTATCGCTGTTATTGACATTGTTGATGAATGCTTCCAGTCGTGAAGTATTGTCGGCTTCTTCACCGAAGTTTATAACATCCACTGCTACATTATTCTTTTTCAGTTTTTTGGCGAGTTTGACAAGTGTTTTCTCGTCAGTTTCGATAGGGCTGGCGACGAATACAATGATTCTTTGACGTTGATTTCTATTTTGTCTATGTTTTAAAGCAAGCTGATGAAAAAAGCAAAGCTAAAGTTAACGAACAGATCTATAAAATGTCCGTCTTTTCATAACGACATACTTGGGCAATTTGAACACTAGTCAAAAAGTTTGGCTTTCCACTTGCTTTGATGCCATGTAAAGCACTGAGAATTTTGCCTACGTCTGTTGTTAAAGTAACTAAAACTTCTGGACCCTTTCCAGCCGCTGTCATAAGCCCAACTGTGTTTTCGGGATTAGATTGTGTTTTTGAAGAGAAAATCAGGTTGACAGCCTCGTTCTGTGCTACTAATCTGTTGGGTGAGTAATCGCCGTTGCGCATCCATTCGGAATTGTCAACGCTATGTGAAAATTGTGACAAAGCAAGATCAATACAACTCCTTCGATACGTTGCGAGACAAATCACATTCAGTATTTACACTATCATAGATGCTTCCATAACCATTTTGTTATATGTTCTTAATTGATTTATATGTAGTAGAAAGGTGATAAAGAATCGGAAATAGAGCTGCGTGCTATATTGAATTTACGCGTACACTAATTTCAGTTACAGTACGTCATCTGAGAAAAAAAAAACCAGTCATATCGACAATGTTCGGTAAAGAAAGATAATAAGCATGAACCATCAAAACCACTTTTTATCTGACTGTATGATCAATAATTGTCTAATGCTATTTATTACAGTAAAAATGCAAAGGAGAAAAAGAAAAAAAAAAAAAGATAACCTTTCATGAATAAAATATTCAAAAGTGCAGAAAGTGAAATCATCATAATTAATTGTTTCGTAAATCATCCATACGTTCCTTTAAACGCTCATAAGTATTGGTATCATCAAAGACATCTCGCACCTTGCCCATCAGGCCTTTAAGAATAAGGCGAGCTTGGTAGCGCCAATCCTCACAGACAGGCGCACCATCTTGAGTCTTGGAACCCAGGTTTTCATACATGTCAACTGTTTCTAGCGCTACAGTTGCAACATCCTGGAAAATGCTTTCTTCAGTTTCAATTCTAGGGTCATGCATAACCGCTCTATAAGCTTTTACAGATGTCTCCAGCGCATCAACATAACGGCCTTGCCATAAATAAAACTTGGCACATATCATCCAAATATCAGGAGAATTAGTGATACGGCTTAAAATAACTTCTTCTAATAGACGCTGGACATGTTGAGACAAACGAGCACCATCACGATCGAAAGGATCTTTCCAGTTTTGCACAACGCTTTCAACCAGCATACGTAAGACACCGATATCAACAGCTTGATCTCGCACTTTGTCCCATCTTAATTCTACTACTCTTTGCATAGCGTATATAGCATCGGCAAATTGACCAACATCGACCGACACGAACAAAAGATTTTGCCACATCTTCCAGCTATCGAATTTGATCTTGGTTGCTTGTTTCAACGCTAAAAAGGCATCTGTCTTCTTGTCCATCTTGATATAAATACTTGCCAAGTTATTCCAAGCTTCTGGTTGTTCGTTATCAAGCGACACCACGCGTTGAAAAGCACGGCTGCCAACTTCCCAATTCTCGGCAAACATAGCAGCGCAGCCAAGAATGTACCAAGAACCTTCAAACAGAGGGTTGATGTTGAGGGCCTTTTGATAACAATCGATCGCCTCTTCATAGTTTTCACGTTTATAAGAATAAGAACCAAGACTGCGCATTGCACGAGCATAATGATGATTGGAGAGTTCCCATGATTTGCGCCAGTGCTCAGGCTCAGCCTCTAGATCACCCAGGATACACCAATATTTAGGAGAGTTGGGATTTTCCTCCATCAAGCGTTTCAACACATCTTTGGCCTTTTCTGGTTGCTCCAACATCTGATAACAAGAAATAACATCTTCCCACATTTCTAATCGTTCAAAAATTTCCAAGGCAGAACGAAGTACACCAAGAGAAACAAAACGACGAGCCAGCTCACGTTCCATTTCCCATTTACTGGGCAGCAAAATATCGTAAAAATAAGCCAAACGCTCCTGCACCGTGGAATCTTCCACTTTGATTTGATCGACGAGGGCTTGTAACTGAAGGGCTGAACGCTCGACAGTACGACCTTTGTTGGCTTCTAAACGAGAACGCAAGAGCAGACCCATTGTATGAACCATCCAATTGTTGGCATTTTCAAGCACACGAGTAACGTAAGGCACCATTTGTTCTGTGGTTATACCATGGTCAGGATTCGTATTTTTCACATTAAGACAAAAAGCTAGCAATAAACATTGATCAATGACGTTCAAGTTGCCATGACGCTGATCAGCTTCCTCTGTATTTTTTTTGTCTTCTGTAAAGTTGATGCGCTCTAGCAATGTATCATCGTTCAGATCGAGAGTTTCAGGTTTTGCGGCTTCTTCCTCTTCTTCGCCCTCCTCATTCTTCTTGAAGCTAGGCGTCACGTCTTTCTTTGTACTTTTTGCTAAAACGACCAGCTGGGATACATCAAATTGCTGAAACTTTGTACGACGGCCTAAGGAGCCTGTCAACGACCACTCAAATCCAGATTCCTTTTGTGCTGATTCCATCTTTTCTAAGGCATCTTTATCACGTCCGAAAAAGCTGTTGATCAAACCTAATTCCAGCTCATGTCGAACCCTTAGTGCTGTACGTACATCTTCTTCCAAATCTTTGCTAGCGTCTAAATCTTTCGTGCTTTCGTCAGCGAGAGCTAATAGCTCGGATTGTAAAGAGCCTGTGAACTCATCCAAAAGTTGCTGTTGAATAAAGCTGGCACGCATGGCCCAGAAAGAGCCTGTCAACGTCTTTCCACGGACAGATTGTAATAACTCACGGGCAACTGCTAATAGGCCCAAATGTTGTGTTAAATGATATACTTCTTCACCGTCTACAGACAAGGATTTTAAACAAGCTTCGTGCATTTTCTTTTCCGTTTTATCGTCTTTCTCGCCGTTGTTGAATAGTTCTGATAAGGAAAAATCTAAAAGAGGACCAGTCCAGTTGACTTGAACAAAAGCATTCAAACAGGCAATACCTGTAGCAAGGATATCAAAATTGATTGCTTCGTTATTTTCAGACGAAAGAGAAGTGAGTCTGTCTTTTAACCAGCTTTGGAGATCGCCTGTTTCATTCACTGATTGACCATCGGTTTGTTGACAGTTCTTAAATACTATGCTAGTTTTTATCACGTCTGAATAGCGGCCTTGTTGGATATGGTCTACAGTGGATTGAATTGATCCATTATCAGTTTCAAATTTATTGAGCAAAATAGTAGCAACTTCAGCCTGGAGGATGGACATGATTAGTAGCCAATGGAAGAAGAGGGGTAAGTCGATAACTACAGCAGCTCATGCAACAAGAGTAAAAAGGTAGATCAAAATAAAATTCGTCGGTGTTTGATAAGCCACCGCTTATTAAAGCCAGCATGAATTTGTAAGACGAAAAGGAACCTAAAGGAACAGGATGGAACGCAATTTAAAAAAATTAAGGGCGCTGGTGTGGGTTTCCTTTAGGCCACAGAAAAGTAATATATGCAGTTGTTGTAGTAGTTATATGGCGATAGCCATCAAAAACATTCCACAGAAAGGGTGAATGTTCTATAATTTGACACACATTTCTCTTATAAGCAAACCATGGTCAGCTGGACAAGTACACCCAGTATGGGTAAATCAACGCTTTACGGAAAAGGGCGGAAATATTGTTCACTTGCCTTGAAGCCGTGTTTACAGTAGAATTACCCACTCTAATCAGGATTTTTAAGATCCGTAAACCTGGATAAGTAATTACAAATCTGCATGCGGTTTTCAATATCTTGAATAGGTAAAAGGGATATTGTATATTGTAGCATCCTATACGATTAGTAGGCTTAGAATTAGGCCAACTTAGGTTTTCACTCTGTGTATATGAACATAAAGTGAGAGTTTATCTTTCCCGTCGAACAATAGAAAGAACATCTTGTCACTTTTTTACAAAAATGCTTTAACATTCAAATCTTTTCTTTTTTATTTAAAACAAAGACTCCAATGATATACATTTTGTGCGTCTTTCAGACGGTATTATATCTGTTCAACCCTTGATTGAAGTAGTAGGTAACTGGGTGAAGAATATAGTGCCTCAAATCGTAATTGTTTAACCCCAGCAACGTAAATCTGTTAACAATTCGTTGAGCCGATAATGTTTGAAAATTTTCGATCAAATAGTCATCAATAATAGAAGCTTCAGTTGAGACTTATTTATTCATTCCAATTGAACAAATTTGAGAATAACAGAGGACACTTATTCATAATAGATATGTCTAGTCTCTCCGTGATACAGTCGACATGCCAATAGAAATACTTATCGACATCCGAAAACAGCAATGGGCATTATATTGGCACAGGAGCAAAAAGCAGGTAAGCGAAAAAACTAAAGTATTCATCCTTACAGCTGTTGAAAGTAACTTTTAATCACAAACACATCTCTAATTAAATGATCTAGCTTAATATTGAAAAAAGCAAAACAAAACTTAGACGGTGCACATCCACACATCAAAGAGAAAAATCTGAGACGGTAGACAATATGGAATGGGGGATATTTGATAATGGATATGAGACCTTACCGTTCAGAATCTGTAAGTACAGATTTTAAAAAATCTTATCCGCCATGTATATACCATGCTTTCCTCAGGGGAACAGCGAGTACTCTTTTCAGTATTCTTCAGCGACTTCATGACCAATGAGGCTTTTTAACGTCTTACATGGCGACGATTTGCGGATGATATTAGCTTGCGGTATTGCAGCTATCTTACACACGCAGACGCTCCTAGAGGATAATACAGTAGCAGCTATTGCATCTGATGGATCAATGTATAAATTTTGGTCCCCTTTCAAAAAAAAAAAAAAAAAAAAAAAAAAAACCAAAAAAAAACGATGAGGACACTGAAGGAACTCCTCGGAGAAAGAGTGACTCAACGAGTCAAATAAGTTTCATTTGACGAAAGGATGAGGTCTGGATTTAGACGCATAGAGATTGTGTAAAAAGACCGTAAAGTTTACTTGTTTATGAACTGGTCATTTTTCTAGACGGAACATAGTGAATTTGCCGTGCCTATTAGTAAAGTCACGTAATGGCTATTTAAGGACTGCTGCTCTACCGCATTGATAACTAAGGAGTTTTTAAGGTCCTAGTTGATAGTAAGATAATGACGCCACCATCTATAGAATTGCAGTTTGTTGGTGATGATAATAGTAGTAGTAATGGTATTGGAAGTGAATGGAGATGAATTACAATATGGCAATAAAGTCGAACAAACAAGGATAGAAGTCTTCCCATTTCTTTTTTACATCATATGTCTTCCTGATGTTAAAAACAGAAACTCAACCCTGATCATTGGAGAATTCCACAATGATATCATACTATTGCCAAAATAAGCCATTCGCTGTTTCTGTGTTGCATGATGCTTATTTGTATCTCAGCAATTCCACTTTTCCCCTTCTCTCTATAATACACCCCAAAAAGAAAATATCCTATAAATAGGCAGCTAAGAAAAAAAGTACGCATTTTATTCTACTTTGAGCAAAATCAATAAATTATTCCATTATCAGCCGTCACTCTTCTACATCTTGACTACCGTCTTGCTCGATCATCAAAAACAAAGCCATCGGTCATGACAAAACAGACAAATTCACCCAGAAAGTTCACAAGGGATCAAATCATGGCCATGGCAAGACACGAGTACGCTCGTCAATTAAGCATATACACAATGAATCAGTTATCGAAAGGAAGAGCCTCCTCCAGAGTAGTTACCTTGCCAACGTCTACCATGTCTAGTACTATTACCGCTTCTACTGTTAGTTCTTCCGCAAGACGGGTCCTTCACGATAATACCACTAACGATAACGCCACGACATCTGCTACTGCTTCAACTACGATAACATGCTGAATCAAATCAACGAACAAAAGTTAGACGTTACCCTATCAATTTTTCCAATTTTGTAAATATGCTTGAAAGCCTTCAAAGTACCTTTGTATAACAATACCCACACCTACATCTCTCTTATTCCTTTACATGTTAAATGCTTTTCTTTTTTTTTTTTTTTTGCTTTTGTCATCTTTACTCTATTGTCTACTGTTTATATAACACTGCTTTTCACTATAGAGAAAATAAATCCGTATTTAGTTATTTTAAAAAGATTGCCATATTGTATGAAGTTCAATTCTTTTTCGCATTACTAGACTCAGTTTAGCATTAAAACATATCATGACAATCCTTTTTTCTTTGTCATTGTCGTTTTCGTTTCTATCCACCGCAACAAGTCGATTTAAAATGGAGCATAACGGAATGAGACAAATTAGGAAGTCAATCCTTTTTTAATTCTCTGCATGCACAGTATCTATTTTGGCAAAATAGAATATGTTTGTTCAGGTACAATTTTTGATCCAATCAAAAAATTACAAAAGTGTTTCCATAAATGGCAGAATCCGCTTTTTTATCTCTGTGGTTCATACCAAAGGGCCCTTACTTTGCTAATGTCGTCATCCTCTTCATAAGCCTTGAGCACAACCCCTGGCTTTTCAAACTTCAAATTTATGGGTTTAAAAGGTTCCGGTAAAATGTGCATGAATGACATATAAAGACAACAGCATACTTGGAAAAAAAGAAAAGTAAACTTTTGGTAATAGTACGGGAAATAGGGTTTTTTTTTGTATTCAGACAGATTCAGCTCAGAGACAAAAAAAAAAAAAAAGCTTGCGCCTCTACGTTTTATCAGCTGTTGTGCTTGACGTCAATGCTTGTAAAATTTCATTGTTACCCAAGATCTACATCTCACAGCAGCAATAATGATTCGACGTTGATTGGGACTAAGAAAGCAACTAAATGCATAAAGCTTTTCCTTTGCCGCAAAGAATACTACGATTATATTTTTCTCAGTTTAATTTAAAGTTGATCAACTATTGTACAGATTCGCATTGAGAGGGCGCTTAAACCAATATGTGCCAAAATAGCTGCATATTCCCCCCTCCCGAACAACAACGTGACACTCAGAAGTCAAAAGTAGAGCAATAAAGGAAATGATTCCTAATATGTATAGACATGTTTATATGTTGAACGGAGAGCTCCTGTTAGCTTTATGATTCTATTCATTCAAATTTCGGAGACGGTATCGGAGCAGTTGGAACCGTTCCTTATGTGAAAGCAAACGACATGATTCCGTTGACATGGAGTAAAGCGAAACGTTTATCATTACATTTTGCTTCTTTGAACGAGAATTTATTCTTTGAAATGTATACATAATGAATTGTCTGTACACATCAGCGCAAATATGATACGAGACGTGGTTCAGCAATAATGACAATCCGATAGCGTTGTCGCAACCTTGATGGCAAAAACAGTCCTTTATAACGTATAGTTATAGAAGCAGCTCATCTGGTACAAAAGACAGACATACAAAAATTCTTTTGACTTTTTCAAATCATTGATGGTAGTTCAACTGTCAAACAGTAACTTCGCAAATGTACATCGCACAAACTCATAAATAAGCTATCTATGCCCTTTTTTGTTTAAACTTTCTTTGCAGTTTAAATTTAGATTTTCAATGACGAAATAGACCTAACTTAACTTTATTCTTAGTCATCGCAGCACACAGCTTCTGCAGTTACTTTGCATAATGTAACAGAACAATAAATAAGAAACGGGATCTTGTTCCCTGTTTTCTAGAAAGTGTGAGCTAAATACAATGTACTCGTCCATCATGTTCTTTATTGCATCATAATTTCGTACCTAGACATGATACTATTGTTCTATTGATTGGTACTGTGTGATGAAAGTTTGATGTGCAAAAAGGGAACCTATCACGTATTTTTGACTGGTGGATATAGTAAAACGTTTCAATCTTGATCTACAGAGGCTATATGTTCTCCATGAATCACGTTGTTTCCGCGTAATGATCTACAGGGAAATGGAAGAAAAAAGGGTCTAGATCAGAGTCTCTGATTTCCCAATTCATAAACCAACAGTGTTTTACACACTGTATCAGCTTACCCCCAAAAACGCTAATGTTAAGATTAACAACCTGATCTTCACGATAGCATTTCCTTCTCAGAAAGATTGATTGGCTTCATGCGGGTTATCAGCTGCGTAGTTTGACATCTCATACAATATCATCCAGAATCTAATATCAATACTCTATCGCTCTATTAAAACGCGGTTTTGCATCATAGACAATTTCAAATCTTATATCATCCTTAAAAGGCTCCGATGGCATCATACATATACATTGAAATAAACTTACCGGTATATGAATGGCGGAAAGAATGAAGGGATGCATTTTACTCTCTCATACGTTTTTCCTGCTTTGTGCTCTTCAAGCGAGAAAATAAACTTGCATCAAGTGTTACAAAGAAATCCCTTAAGTGCCTGCTATATAGTCACTGTTACAAGATGAGGGTATACGATCTTTTCCACGTCATATTAAAAGTAGGGCGCATTTGCAGTGTAAACAATGGCTTCATCCGTACCACTGTGAACATGATACGCCTGTATTCAAAGACTTCTTCACTATTAAGAAAGTGAACACCTGTTCTCTCTGTGTTTGTTTCCATTCTAGGCCGAGATCCGTGACAAGTAGGACAAACAAAAAATATTTACGTGCGCATGCTGTGGCGCTCCGTTCAAGAATGTCTAAAAAATTGATTGGTAATGTAGACGTTTGAATGTTCCTTATTCAGTAAGCCTAGCGGGCATACTTATACATTATTCAAGTTACCGTTTTGGAATAACCCCGCTCCTTCGCTTCCACGAGGTGAATAAAATGAATCTTTGCTGAAAGCATCTTTGCAAAAGAATCACCGAACTCGCTTTAAATGCATTGATTGTACTAATGAAAGAGATTGATCATCGAAACCCTGCTATCATCGTTACATTAGCATTGAAATCCTCCAATATAAACTCTGCTTTTCTTTCAATAATTAATCAAATCAAAAACATCAGCAACAATGATATAAGAGAAGAACATGTGGTCAATCAACCAGAATATTGACATACACGATGATCTGATTAAAAGATACTCACTCATAAGAGATATATCGTCGAGTGCAGGCCTACTAGGTTGGCAAGTAGGTCTCTTCTCTTCAGTTCAGTCACTGTTTTTAAGCTTCTATAACTTATTTCACTTTTTATTGATCAACCTATGCTTGGTATTATAAACATTATGGACAACTATCATTTACAGATTGAAGAACTTCTTATAAAAACATTGTTTCTATCAATTTCTAATGTTTACTAGTATAATGAAAACGCAGGAGTATCCTATTGCTGGCTTAAACATTGCGGTTTCCTCAATTTTTACACTGTTATTGTCCTTTCGTCCGTGAGTATTATTCTTATAAGCAAACCCTGCTGTGAGCCTCAGTTCCTATGCACGTTTTTCGCCAAAGTATCAAAGTGTTTTGTGCTTAACTAAGTGTAGAGTTTTTGATTGCACTTTTTTTTTTTTTTTGGACTGTTCTAAATACTGCTAAATGAGTACATTTTAGCCAACTGAAGCACTCAATTAATATACTGTTCATCACCTCAGGTAACCCATACCATCTTTCGCTTCGGCACGCTAAAAGCTATCTTTCGAGTTTGCAGTAAGGCTATCCTAATCGCAGCATTTACTAATCATCATAATATTTCTTTCAAAAAGAAAAAATAGTAATTGTATACTTGGTCGATCAGACAAGAGTATTTGAACACTAAGTAATATTATTTATTCAAGTCAGTAATTGTGATATTTAGTTGTTAAATTATGTGCGTTTCAAAAACAATTGCTTGGACAATACGCAATAAACGCTTTTTCAATTGGTTCCCATCTCAATATGACTCAAAATATCAGTTGAAGAGATAATAAGCGGCTACGGCTGCAAACCACATGCTTGCAACCATAGTGAGCCCTTGGCTACCATAGTTCATTGGGGAATCTGAAGTCGATGTGGGCTGATTGGAGGAAGAAGAGCTTGGTAAAGCAGCGCTTGCAGAAGCACTGCTAACAGGTGTAGCAGTTGCTGCTACGATGGATGAAACAGCAGAGCTATCATTCGTCCGTCAACAAAAAGATGTGAATCAGCGACATTTGGGTAGTGAGAAGTAGCATGAGCATGTATCAAGATTTATACTCAAAGCATGCACTTACGTTGTATTTGTATAAGTTTGAGCAATGGAGCAGTACGTATCCTTTAAGCCTTGCTGTGCTGGTCTTCCCAAACTACTGGGGCAGTTGTCGTAACATGACAACTTGGCTGTGTGCCACTAATTAATTCCAAAGTAGCAAAATGTCAGCTCGAAATGTACATAAATGACATTTTATAGATACTTAATGTATCTATGTATTTTCCCCTAATACTGTTTACTGTTCCAAAGTTATTTTTACCTTACAGAGACATGCGTAGTCTTTGCAAGTGTTTTGTATAGTTATTAATTAAGCAGTCGAAGAGAGAGGATATCACCATTACAGTATTATTTGTATGATTTACCTGCATTGATACAAGTTTTGAGGTAATTATCTTCATTGCTAAGACATGTATCCAAACTATAACATGAAAAGCAAAAACACAACAAAAACAGCTTTAGCGTCTGACCTGTAATCCATAAGAGTGAAATAATACTATCATTCACTTACACATTCTGCGCTGCACAAGCCGTTGTCGATTGAGCTGAAACCCATTGGACGAGGAAAGCAGCCAAAACCAAGACAGTGTAAGTAGACTTCATCTTTTCAGGAAACCTATCAGACAAAAAACAAATTTATTTATTGTGAACGAAAAGAAAGAGAGAAAAAGTGAAGGGGCGAAATAAGAGCTCGAGGTTCTGAATTTCGTTGTGAAACGATGCAGTCAAATACAGAAAAGGGAGGGAAACTGCGAATGCAATGAGAAAAGGGGATGAACACAGAAGAAACGTCAAACGAATATCAAAAAAGGAGACAAATACTGTTGATATCCCTTTGATCAAAGAGCCAACCATATACATTGGTTCAGTTCAATGAGCAATTCTAAACAGGAATTTTGCCTGTTGTTGATAGAAACAGGGCACATCTCTTACAGTACTTTTTTTAACCATGTAACCAATGAAATTATTCGATTTTATAAGTTCTGTACACGCTTTGCTTAACGACCATCGTCTTGTCTTTGAGGATTGAACACCTCTGAGGAAGCTACAGCATTATCGAATCCATGCACACATATACAATTCCTCATTAGATTTTTGCAGTAAAAACAGCAGTCTTCCCCCCCCCAGAGTTATCCAATTCCTTTGAGAGTAATACGGCTTCAACTCTAAGAGAAATGAAGGTCCGGAGTATCACTTCTCACAAAGGCGATGGATGAGCTGCTCCGTCCTGATATGGGGGGGGGAGGAATGTCGAAAATAACCTTATGCATAGGCCCTTTAAAAACCATTGAAAGTGCGTCAAACTTTTGTGATAAATGGTTGTCGGCGCTGGTAAAGGGTCATAGACAGCTATCTCCATGGATGTTTTTTGAAAACAAACTGACCTTGTTCGTTACTTACACTTCTGAACTTTGACACCGCCATTGAGACATAATGTTTAAGATTATCTCCTCAGATATACACCTGTACAGTCATTAATCTGCGTACATCACCTATATTGATGGCCAAGAGAATGAAGAGTTAGTAAAACCAGCTCACTTGAAAATGTATTGATTCGACATTTTATCACAGCCTTGAAAGAGCGTATTCGATCAGATACTACTAAATGCTCAACTGTCTACTGGTAATAGTATCAAGTGATCGTTGATGACCTGATGAAATGATCCCTGTATCCTGGATGGTTGATGAAGAAGAAGACACAGTCATGTAAAAGATTTCGTTTTATCTAGCGATGAAAATTCGAGGCCTAGTATATTACAATTCAACAAAAAAAAAAAGGCAAACATGTTACCGGTATGTATGTATCAGATGCTCTGCAGCTTTGCTCACATATACTAAAAAAGTAATGTCAAAGGGTGTCAACCATCTCGACAATTGCGTCTTTGTCGATGGTTCAGACTTCAATGCGTGCATGGTACCTGGTAGAGCCAGACCAAGAAAAAGAAAGAAGGCGCTCGTCCTTATGAAGGCTAAGCGAGCAAAAAACATTTTAATCACTGGTGCAATCACTTCAAAACGCATAATCTCCTTTAGGCTGTTATAGTTGACCATGGAACGGATAACGAGATATCCCAAAGTTTACCGACAAGCTATTACAAGGATTGGATGAACAATGTCCTAAATATCCGTTTTTTACCGCTATGAATAACGCGAGTTTCCATAATGCTCCTTTTATTACAGAAAGTTCAAAAATACTCAACAAACTATACCTACTTCCTCCTTACTGGCCCATGTACAATACAATTGAGTCTTGTTCAGCAAATTGAGGAACTGTGAAAAAGGTACCCAAAACAAGCAGGAAGCAAAATGCTCCAGTCATCACAGGAAAGTGAGAACGAAGCAATGCCTAAAGATTGCTATGGTTGGGTAAAACATTACATGAGTAACCTGACGAAATGTCTTAAGGAATTGTTCTTGATGATTTAAAATATACATGGATACGACTTCTTTTCTTTATGAGATCAATAAAAAAATAAAGGATTTTAATTCAGGCCTCAGGAAATTGCAGTGTAGGATTTATTGTCGATTTCTCGAGATTAGCAGAATTTTCCCGACTTTGACTTTGGAGTACTAATGTTGCTATTGACATTCCAACGTAGACAAAGAATAAATTAGCTCGCTATCACATTTTTTGTTAAACTAGCCTTGTTTCTTTCTTTTTCCCTGCTATAACGAACGAATTTTTTCTTACTTCAGCATGCGTTGTCTACCCTTCCTATATGAACACAGTCTGACACGCGAGAAATCAATCACTACTCTTACAGAAAACTTATTTGATATAGAAAGTAAGAATGACTACAGTTGACAATTGTACCACCTTTTCTTAACGTTCCTTTCCTTACTTTTCATCTAAACCGTGGTTACAGATGCGAAACCAGCCCTTCATGAAATCGAGGCTTACGAAAAGTTACAGAAAACGCTCATCATCCCTATGGAAGCAGCTAAGAAGAGAATAAAGTATCAATATAAACCAGCAACGGAGGACATTCGTCGATTCGTTAATTCACCTGAAAACACGCATTACGAAACGAAGGCTGAAAAGGCTGTTAGGCCAGCAGTAACCATAATGCATGTATTCTATAAAATAGCCAATGAAATAGGTCAGAGTTCTAAAAGATCTATTATAAATCATAACAGATATTCATTGACTCGTAATTTTCGCCATTAGATGTAGGTGTAGCATCTTTGCTACTTGAACTCTATAAAGGTGAACCTGATCCGATCAGTATCAGTGATCTTAGCAAAAATCCTGGTTTAACTAAATTGTTTGCCGATGTACTCAGCTATGCATACGACTTTGATAATTTTAAGGTAAGCGATGATAATGAAATATTATATGGAGTGAAAAGAAAGGAATGTCACTATCATTGATTATTTCTATAGCTTGAGCATCCTTCATTGCAAAATGACTTTTCTTTTTACAAAAGACTCTTACAGAGGGGTAAAGCAATAGTAACAAGTGATGTTTCGACGTCAATGGATGAAATTTTTCCATTTAATGGAGAAATGACTGATGATGACCTTGTCCACAGCGTCTCAACTATTACTGCACATGCTACGCCCATGACTTATTATGTTGTCAATGCGGTGATAAGGTATTCAAAAGTGCAGCATCAAAAGAGAAACAGTATTCATTTAATTTCAGCAAAAGACAGTCTTAGTGAATGGCTTCAAGCTATCTGGAGAGTATCGTTCGTTGCATTGACCGTCAAAAAGAATAAGTTAAAAAAGACAACAAAAAATAACCGAAAAGCTGTAGCAGAGGATGAACAAATTCAGCCCCACGTAGAATATTTGTTAAAGGTCATGATATTAAGCATTTTATTGTATGATTCTGTCAATCCTGGAGGAGCATTTCAAAAAAATACATCCAACTTTGTAAAGAAATCGCTAGATTTGCTGCTTCATTTCTATCGTCGGCAAAAAGCTGAAAACGGAGTAAACTCACTAAGAAACTTGATGACTATATTATACTACAATTCGAAACATATCCATGATAAAGCTACACCAAAATCAATCCAAACCATGATACAATTATTTCAGTAAGAAAGTAATGATTCGCAATAATGAAATATGTTTAGAGATATTGTTTTAATTCATGCTGCATTGTGTATGAACTATAGGTTACATTAAAGACACGAAACTCAAAAAACAACAATAAAATGCAAAACATTATATAATATATGCGTATTACAGGTTACCAAATGAAAAAAAGCAAAAGAGAAAGGAAGAAGCACAGTATCAAAACCCTGCTAAGTAAAAAATACTCCTAGGCATACAACATATTCTTCAAACAGCATCAAATGAATAGTAACAGAGATACACCTGTTACATACCACATACATTTGTAAGTGTGAACTTTTTATCCCTTAGGCTAACAGAAATAACTAGATACAGAAGAGCAACCTTCATAATATACTGCCATTGTTACATAAGAGCTGCTATAACAGAGTTTTCAGCATCAAAAATCTGGAGCTACCATCAAACTTACTAGGTCGTATATGCTATTTTCCTGTAACTAACTCCAAGCGTCTTCTTCCCTATTGTCACATCGCGTCTTGTATTTTCTCGCACAATGTTTAAATTCCTTTCCGATGAAGTTCAAGCGAAAGCTTTTTTGGCTCACGATATGTAATCGAACGCGCTGTGCTTTAACAGAATACATATACTTTTTGATTCACGACTTGTTATAATTTTTTTTAATCATGGCCTCTACATCTTATGACTTTGGGTACCTCATCTGTATTCTTCCAAACTTTTCCACATCTATTGTTGAAGAAATCATTAATAATAATTCTGCCTTTGAAGATCGGGTGAAAGAAAACTCTTCCCGTTACGCCAACTTCATCTCTAGTCACTCCTACATTCCCATTCCCACGGCATCAGATCTAAGTCTGGCTTGAACCACCACTCCACTCACACCTTGTCTTGATGCTATTTATTGCAGGTTTATTACCATACTTTTTTGACTCGATTTCTTATGAAACAACTGTATAGTTAACTTTTTTTTTTTTTTCTTTTTCTATTATAGGCGAAAGCAATGGGCGCCTTGAAGAATTCTATAATGCTACTATTTCTGATCAGTCTTTTTTCTTTATTTTCTTGGTACACTTTTGGCTTCCTAACCACCTCAGCAAACAAGATGCTTGTAGTAGTAGTCCTTTGGATGAACATCATGATACCAACCACTTGCAGTAGTAGTCTTCGGATGAACATCACTGGCTTGGGTTCTCATGCGAAGTGGAGGAAGCAGTGTATAACGATATGTTTAACTTTATTTTTTTTCTTTTTTTTTTTTTTTATAGACGAAGCCATCTCGAGCTCGCCACCGCCCCTCATCCACTTTGCTAAGCACTCTCATGCCCACCTACAATATTCCCGTTTCAAAGCCCATTGGCGCAAACTCCTGAAGACATCGTTATGGAAACAATGCACTTCGACCAGTTCAGAACCAACAACTAACAGTGAATTTCGCAAGCTAACATCTGAGTATCTCCAAAAGAATCTAGCACAACATCAACTGGGAACTAAACTACTCTCAACATGTCACAATAAATGTCAGATTGATCCAATCCTATGGCTACCCATGTCCTTTAGTGAGCATAGCCGGATGATTCGATGGCGCCTTGAGTGGCTACCGGGTGGCCTTCCTCTCACGATCCCATGCCATAACTCGTCTCAACATGCACGACCGTCTGTTCGTCCCTACCATCATCCCTGATCCTATGTCATTCTTACTGAATATGCTCCCCACAATAAGCCCCGTTGTACCCACATAATTGCTGCTTGGCGTAGACGATGGCCTGTAATGTGCTCAATTCTTATTGAATTAGATCACTTACAACTCGGCTTGACCCCCCCCACCACCACTCTTAGATTATCTCCCCGGCCAACACTTTATAGACTGGTTGTTATCATAGCTATTAATTATTTGACTGTTACCTTCTCCCTCTTCCTTTTCCTTTCCTGTTCACCTTTTTGTCTCTTAAAAGGGTTTTTAGTTCTATACAACCACTGGAACTGGCCAGAGCAGACCCAATGTGTTAAAGGCATTACGTGCTCACAGGTCATTAAAAATTTTATCCAATAAAATGAATTCTTTATGCAAATTTATCAATTTCGGTGTTTTTATTGTTTTTTTTTACAGACCCGTATTGAACTTTGACAATCAGAATTCCAGGTAACATCATTCGCGTTTGTACCAACAAAGTACTTAATTTTTTCTCCTGTTGCCTTTATAAAAAACCTAATCTCTATAACAATGGCTTTGAAAAGAATACAACGAGTAAGAATCATAAACGTTGGGAATCAGCAACATAATTAATCAATCTACTGACAATCACATTACAGGAGTTGTCAGATTTAACCAAGAATCCTCCTCCTGGTGTAAGTGCTGGTCCTATTGACGAAGACTTGTTTCACTGGCAAGGTAAATTAGGGTAAAGAGTAAATTCACTGACGGTTAAATTGATTCTAACTAACATTTCTCACTTCTACTTGAGGAACCTTGAACGGACCTGTAAGTTAATAAATCTTCAACCCTTGGATATGATAGACAACATCCGTCTCACTATAAATTCGTTAAAATATAGGAAGGAACACCTTATCAAGGTGGTCATTTCAAATTGGATATAGTTTTCTCGTCGGATTATCCATTCAAGCCTCCTAAAGTAAACTTGACCTTGATCCCATCTTTCTTTATATGATAAAATGGACGATACTAATACAATGACATAATAGATGAAATTCATTACCAAAATTTATCATCCTAATATCGACGATGATGGGTCGATATGTGTCGATCTACTGAAACCTGATATTTGGAAACCTGCCACCAAAATTATTCATGGTATGTTGTGAGGAAAGGTTTGTACCTGTCGGTGCACGATACTGATATATATTCATCACTATTTAGTTCTAGAAGCCTTAGCTTCCTTGTTAAAGAATCCCAATCCTGATGATGCCCTCGTGGCTTCTATTGCCGAGTTATATAATGCCAATAGAAGTAAATTTAACAAAATTGCTAAGGAATACGTTGATAAGGTAAGCTTTCTCTCTTGGACAGACATAAAATAGAAAAAGCTAAATAAATGCGAGTAAGAGAGTCGTTACAAAAATACTTATTGAAATTGCCTCGTTTTATAGTATGCTAAATCACAATAAAAGTAAAGGCAGAGGTACACAAAATGTGTTTGTTAAGTGAATGAGACAAAGATTTGCTTTTGTAAATAGATTTATTCAGGAAAATAAAAAGTTTAGTTGTATCTTTGAAAACGTTCTTTAAGCTAGCAAATGTGGTTTTGAGAACTGTAATATGGATAGGGTCTATCTGTGCTAAGACGGTCATTGAAAACTTTTTTTTTTTTTTTGTTTATTGAAATGGGGTTCGTGACCTTATTAAGCAGGATACTAATATTAAGAGTGATAAGTAGTAGAATAGTAAGCTTTCATAAAGCTGTTAACATATGGGTTTCTGCTGTTCAGAATAATCTTTGATTCGAACATTCTAAAAATAGAGAAGAGATTTACAAAATTAAGCACTTGTTTTTCTTATCCTTTCGATTCTTTCCTTTAAGGCTTCCCGGGTTCATTCCTTCACGCTGAGCTCTGATAGCTTTTACTACTTGATAAAAAGACCTTTCTACATTGACACATGTCTTTGCTGAAGTTTCAATGAAATCGCATGCCAGTTGCTTTGCCATAGCAGCACCTTCTTCTCTTGTCACTTCCCTCTCTGTTACTTTATCACACTTGTTACCAACCAGCATCATAGGAACATTATCAGCGTCTTTTACTCGAAATATTTGATTTCGAAATCGTTCAATGCGCTCAAAGGTGGAACGAGAGGCGATCGAATAGACCAGCAAAAATCCTTCACCATCCCTTAAAGTTGAAAAGCGTCAAAGTTTTGAGTTAGTTGTGATGAAAGCACCAATTAACTGAGTGACTGCAGCAAGCAATTGTTTACCTGATCCATTGATCTCGTAATGCTGTATATTCCTCTTGGCCAGCTGTGTCTAAAACCTCCAGTATGCATGGTTGATCATCAATTACTACTTGTTTTCGATAAGAGTCTTCAATAGTTGGATCGTAAGTCTATTTTTTTATATCAAGTTCGATTAACACACACACACACACACACACACATACTCGTTGGACATGATGCTGTGTTTTTCTGCTAACCATATTCAGATTGTACCTCTATATTAAGCATGTAGTTATTGTAAGGGATACTGGTTAGTTAACATGTGTTATATGAACTTTAATTTATGATATATCTTTTACCAACAAAATGATTCAGACAAAGTTGGATTGTTAATGCAGTCTGCAATTCCAAATCAGAGAATTAATTGATTAATCAATGATTTGCACAGATTTTATTCCTCGGCGTTACCTTTCCAACACCACCATCACCAAGAACAACTAATTTGTACAGCATCATATTTTTTAATATTTCCGTCTCAGATAACTTGCTATACTACAGTACACTACACATCGTAAAACAAAAGGAAGGTAGTAGTAACATAATATTACAATAAATGGTTTCAAGGTAGGACAATGGGACGAGGACCACGTTTTTTTTGGGGTTTTTTTTTTGATTTTGTTATCAGACACATAGAATCATAAAACAAAGTTTATAAGATATCGGTTGAAAGATAAAAGAAACACAATAGACAAAACGGTGTCGTTTAGTTCAGTCTTATTGAAACTGTTGGTGCTTCTTTTAATTTACCTTGTATAGCTGTAGCAGATATTGTCTGTAATTTTAATTATAAACGATCTGTAAAAAAGTTGAAAAGAAAAGAGTAGTTATGAATAAGGAGTTCAGTATTGCTAAATTGTATTTGATAAGAAAGAATAAGAAAAAAAGGAAGGAATCATTTACGGGAGGGTAGAGGATCCAACAGGAGAAGGATGAAATCTTGTAAGTTTGGCTATAAAAGCTATAAAAGCTGATATTGTGAAAATGGGAAAGTAAGAAGAAAGGAAGGAAGGGAAGCTTTGTGCTATCAATGAACAAACGAACAATAATACTGTTTTTTGAATATGAGTTTGCGTTGAGATAAAAATTGATTTGCGCGAACATTAAAAGAATATTTGCGTCGAGGTAAAAATAGTTTTGCGTTGCTTAGTAATAAATTTTGCGCCAAGAGATTAGAAAAAAAAAAATATAAAATATCGTAAAGGTTTCGACTCCTTTTTTCTTTTATTTAGTTTAAATATTAGAACAAACATGCAAAGCGTTAGTGAATTTATTACTAATAGTGAAATTATTTCAGATAACGATATGGACACTTCAACTGACGATTATATGGAAGATGACGAGCAGGAAGAAATGGAAATTGAGCATTTCAGTTTGAGCGAAGAATGGATGGAGAAAATAAGACGAGTTGGGAATGATTCTCTATCATATGTACGTGAATATATGGAAGTAGATTTAATAGAGGAAGAGAATGAAGATTTTTTAGGAGATGCTTTTCTCTTCGCAGAGTCAATGCCATTGAGAAAAAGACATACGGCTTTGAATGTTAAAACAAGAGGTTCTTACAGAAAATAATACTCCTAAACAAGTTGAGAAACTCTTCGACTTAATAATCGAAGAAGGATTCACGACAAAGGCTGCAGCTTTAGCCACTGGCATTAATGTACGCACTACCCAGAATTACGTTAAAACTTATAACAATGATCCTGAGAGACGACTTCCAGGATCTTATTCTAAACCTCGTGGAAGACCTTGTAATAAGTTGACTGAGGAGCATTCTAAGTTTCTAGTTGACTACATCGAAAAGAATACCACTGCTATATTAGATGAGTTAAAGTTAAAGACTTTGTGAGAAATTTGAGGGTTTGAAAATCTCTATTTCTGCCGTCCACAAACATTTAGTACATGAGCATAACATTACGTTAAACTTGAAAAAAATACCAGCAGCAAGAAATTTTGACAGAGTAATAGCATTACGAAAAGCGATTGTTGAACAATATAAGAGTGATGCAGATATGGATTTTTCTAAGAATTGTGTTTTTATCGATGAAGCAGGTTTCAATTTACATACGCAAAGAAACCACGGCCGTTCATTAAAAGGTACACCTGCAAAAGGCACTGTGAAGGATGGATTAAGCATTCAATGTCATTTCTCCAGAAGTGTTTGAATGAGGAAAAAATCTTTAAAATAGTCAGTAGGAGTGTAGCTTTCAACAGACGCACTCTGAATGCTCACTGAGATTTTAACATCATGAAGCCAAAACTATTTTTACCTTGACGTACAGGATTTTTCCTCGTTTTAGGCGGTCCATTTTTTTCAACATGGCGCTACCGAGATTTGCCCCATATGTACAACGGGTAATCAGCAGGAAACCAAATATCATTAATAAATGATATAGTAGGATCCTCAGAGACTTTACGCGTGTATACATTTTATCAATAATATATCCAAAAATATTGTTCTCAGAATCCCAATTTTTTGGTTCTTTCATCTGAAAAACAATTCAATGCTGTCCGAAATTGAACCGAAAAGTGTAACAGCTGTAACTGGGTCCAACCAACTTGATTGCGTTTGGTCCTCGGTTTGGTCCTCCAAAAAAAAGCATAAAAATGGTACTTTTTCTGTAGTTTAAAAGCTGCTACAGTTTTATAACATATATAAGTATATATTTTTTGAATTATATTGAAATCTATATATTCGTTTATATGTGAGAAGGATAATTCATTTTTCTTGCCTTAAGGCAGGTAAAAGCTATTTGAGACACACTTTTTGAAATTCTGAAACACAAAATTTAAGATAAAATTTTTACATTACATTAAGTTTTTGAGATATCTTTTAACTTTTATGGTCTCAGGTAAAAATTTTATTTTTAGATATTATTTTTTTTTTCCTGTTTTTTTTTAAACTATTTTTGTTATTTTTTGGATAAACTTTATGCATTATGATACAAGCTGCAATTGAATAAACCAACCCACCACCATTTTAAACTCTCTTAAAGCATTACAAGAAACAATGATTACTATGTAATGTCTGTAGTAATGGAAAACTTCCTCTTCTAGGTTCTTAGAACAGTTTCAAAACTAATTTTTGCGTATAAGTATTCTGGCGGTCTTAATTTTCTTTTGAATCACTCAATTACTCGATCAATGATAACAAATTACTTACATAATTGTCGCAAACTGATGCATTACTTAAGTAACAGCGATAATACTGTAGCACATACAGCCAGACAGCATACAGTCCACCATAGCTTATTTATTTTTGCATTTTAATGACTTTTTACATAACCATCACAAAATTATTGTAAGAATATTTAATAACATTTAATATCAAGCCCACGATGTTGACGTAATATAATAGCTGCTTACTCCTATAGATGTAAGAAGAATTGCTGCTTCGTTTTCGCTCAAATGGTGGGCTTCATTGGATGTTTATCTGTGGATCGGGTTCAAAATATGGAGGACCAACGTCAATCAATTTGATTGAAAAAAAAGCAAGGACCAAACAAACAAGTTGATTAATTTTGGGCCTTCGGTCCTCGATTCGAGCTGCTATCGTTGTTACATATGAAAGCGCCTATGAATCTCAATATCGTTCATTTATAAGGTTTTTATATACGCTATAATAATGTAAAAACACTTAAACTGTAGAAAAAGTACCATTTTTATGGCGGCCCAAAGTAAGGCCCGAATGCGATCAAGTTGATTAAAAAAATGCAATGATCGAGCAATCAAATTTATAAGTAGCTGATTGAGCGAGTGGCGTGTTTGGTGAGATAACACTTACAATACACGAGTACGTACAACCAGGTAGAGAGAACATTCTAGCACGTCTATCTATATTGTATCTAATAAAGGTTATATACAACATATAACAAGATACAAGTCTTAAGTATAATAACCACCCGCCCAAACACCCGAACCTGAAATTAGTGACTAATTTCTATACGCGTCCTCAAATAATATAATTCCCATTCGACCTCACACAGTAATTAATCTTTCTACTTCATCCGAAAACCAATGAAGACACTAAGTTCATAGTCATCGACTCATAACAGTTATCAGTTTCAATTGACTAAATATCTCAGCGAGACGTCGACGCCTGCGTTTAAATAAAAGTCAACTCCCGATTCAATAATCTACAAATTTCTTCAGAATAAGGAAAGATATCAAGTTCCTAACTATCGATTCATGTAATCTCCATAAACACCATAACGGTAATCCATCCATGCAAACAAGCAAATATTGCACACATTAATGAATATTAAGGCTGTTTTTTGCTGTCTTTCGGCTAATGATACTTCCCTTCTGTTAACAATCCTCACAGCATAATGTCTCCAATTTGCCCCATATCTGAAGTTAATGATAACATTCGTTTGAAACTATTGATTGAGAAGGTTAATGATGCTTATGAAGAATATACCAGATTGCCTGAGGCAGATATTCAAGCTGCAAATGTAGCTATCATGCATTCTGTTCTGAAGCTAAACCAGGATGATGTAAAAAAAGTGGTCCACAAAAACCTTGGCAGAAAGCAGCCAACTGATTATTCGTTGATGCTGGGCCACTTTTGCCTTGAAAGATTGATCAATTTGACCAAGATCGCCCCAAGCGAAGTGAAGGAGGCTGTTCAGGACCCCAATAATAAGGAATTGGTTGAACAGCTTAAAAAAAATTCTTTCACTAAGCGTATTCAGGCCATTCATCCTTCTTCTTATATTGCCAAGGAATATAAGAATGATCTCAAGGGATTGCAAAAAGCCATTGATGATATGTATGTTAAGTATAAAACGAACATACTTATTGGCTATTGCACCAAAACAGAGACAATTGCCACATTCCCTTCTGGCACCATGCATAATTAAAAATGATGAGGACACATCAATAACAGTTTATTTAGTGGGCTCAGCGAATGCCTTATCATTCGTAGAAAAGAAACTGAATGCTGATCTTTCCTTTATATTGTGGAACAAACTTCCGAATGGCGCCCCCTATACTGGTAAGTGGAAACCCTGTAAGGTATATATTACGACTATCCTGTTGTTGACATAGAATCGTAGCTGTGTCTGGCAGTCTACCTGCAGTCGAGTTTGTTCCAGCAATGCAACCAGTTTGTCGGTCGGTTCCCCCTCCTGTTCTGCATCATCCCGCTGCTTCCTCAAACTCTGTAGAACCTTATCGAAAAGGTTCGAGAGACAAGCTTAAAAGAGAAGTTCGAGGAAGGATGTTGGGCTTGTACAGTAAGTCATCAAATATTTGCGGGTTTGAACAATGGCAGAAACACTAAAAAAAGTTTCTGATAGGAGAACAAACTGGTGAGGCACAAGCTGATCATGTGCCATATAAACAGTTGTTTACGGAAAAGCATCCTACTTATAAAATTGTGGGATGGCCGCGCGATGTTCGTACCACCGTGCCATCTTCCAATTGGAATTTATCAGAAGTAAGATCAATTGAAGCTTCTCTTAAATTCCATAAAATAAACTTTACTCGTAAATGATGTTAAAAAAGAATTTCAAGTCTCATTGCACAACTATGATTTGAATTTTCATCTCCGATGTTGGAGAGGTAGTGACAGTGTTTAGAGCAGTCAAGTAAAGAATGTTTTCATAAATTCGTATGATACCGGATTATAGTATTGACGATGTAAAGCAGAGAAAAAGTATAAAAAGATCGCGCTTCAATGGTTTATGGGATGCAACCAAGACTTAAACAAAGGAAAGCTAAAATGTAGCGTCGTCAAAAGACTGATTACTGTTGCTTTCCGCTCGAATAATTTGACGCTTTACCTCTATTTCAGACCGACTTTCGCCAAAGAAGCACATTAGCATAATTTATTACACTTCTTCGAAATTCAGACTTCCCTTGTCAGACCAGTTAATGCTATGACAGTATCTGATTCTTGCTCTAACAATTGCTCTTGATAATGCTACAATTCTATGTTACCATATTCAATCGGAAAGCAACAATAGACGAAATAATTATAATGGACGCCCATTACTTAAAAGGATCTATCTTTTACATATCCAAGAAATCCCTTATTGGCCGTCCATAAATGAACCAGTTTAAAAGATCGAAATTCATGTTGATGGTGATGCGATAATCTAAGTAAAATATATTTCATAAAGATAACCTGTTTAGTTTTTATGTTACGTAACTAATCTCACCTAAGAATTATCTATATTCCATATTCTCTCCTCTTTAATCGAACTACTTATTCAAGCTTTTTAAAAAATCAGGACCAAACTTTACTAACGAGAAAAAAAAAAAACTTTTTTGAATGCTCAGCCAATTGGCCTCTGAAGTTGTCCTTAACTGCTAAGTACTACTTTTTGTACCGACTAATCGTAGGTAAAATTTATGACGTGCCATTGCTGGTATCGACATCAGTTGCTTATGTATTTATTACTTTTAAACATAAGTTTGAATATATACGTTGCTGCAACTAGCATGGTCGGAAAACTCCATTGGTTTACTTCATTTTTTCCTCTTCTGATCAATTCACAGTAGCATCTTTGTGGATGAGATACTTGTTAATTCTCCTTATTCGATAACGGTTGGATAAAGGTCCTTCATGTTCTTACTTGTGTATAATAGCTCAAAGCTAAACGTTGATAAATGCTTTATAAGAGAAAAGTAACATAATTCAGTTAATACGAAAGATCAGTTGGTAAAGTATGAGAATGCTGGATTGTGAAAATGATTGGTATCTGTATCAATAGATAATTACTATGAACATAAAATTGATATTATTTATACATAGTAGAGCATGCTACTGCAAATTGCATCTAAATATAAGACTTCTACATAACATACTTTGATAAACGGTAAAGAGAAGTATTCATTGTTCTAATAGGACTTTGCAGTAATGTTGTGTTCAGTAAACGTCCCACGCAATAGTACACAATATTTCTGAAATAAACACATCCTCATATCAAAATGAAATTGAAGTAACTGTTATTTCTAATACTGTGTCGAGAGACTGTTTTTATTGTTTATTATTATATGTAAAAGCTTTTGATTTTCATTCCTTTAGTAAAGCGTATGCTTGAAGATGTGGAAGGTTTGTTATTCACGACTTATCAACGTGAGAATTATATAATGTGCCGTTTCTATGCCTGACACGTCGGTTTCAACTAGGTTTCGTAGTGACAGAATTAGAAGTCGTGATTCGAGCATTTGTTTTCCCCAAGGTGATAAGACCACAACCAGTATATACCAGCGCCATTCTTCATTTGATATTATTTACGATCAAATAATAAGTAGCAGTAAACAAAATTCTTTTCTTGGTTTACAGATAATATATGTAGAATTATATAGCACGCCTTGCAGCAAAAGTAGCCATAGAAATGCAGTGTGGAATTTTTATTCAAAGTAATACAAATAAGTACGCCTGGCATAAGTGATAATATACAACGCTAGTTTAGTAGCTTGTAGACTTTATAGGGCTGTTAGACTCTTAGACAATCTATTTACAATTAGTAAGTGTAAGGACTGTATAGTAAATGCAAGCCATCAGAAGGTTGAGCCAAACAATAACATTTGTTTTAAAAGACTGAAATGCGTTGAGAAATAACGTGCTGATATAGAAGGCTGGCGTTTGATAACAATCGTTTGGTAATGTAAACGCTTCATTCCGATGAAGAAAGATAAATACAAGTGTACCTCGTTGCTTCAAATTTTTAATACACTCTAAGAGCAACCAAACGTTTAATGCCATACAGAAGTGCTCATATTGTGTTCTTTCCTTAATACCGAATATTGTAGTTGTACTTTGCTGGTAAAGAGTATTTGAACAAAAGGGGTATTGGGCTAGGAGCAAAACAAAAAATGGCCTGCCTCTATTTACTCAACTGGTGTCTACATCGAATTTTATTGGCAAACTGGGTTCAAAATACGGAGGACCAACAGACAATGAAGTTGATTGAAAAAAAGCGAGGACCAAATAATCAAGTTGATTAATTTTTGGTCCTCGGTCCTCGGTACGCGTCGAAAAAATGCAAGGACCGGGCAATCAAATTTATAAGTAGTTGATTAAGCGAGGCGTCGGTACTGGGTCGTAACAATATCAACAACGAAATGCAATAATGAATAAAGAAGTTTGCTCTCTTTACGTGTACCAAGTAATGCCTTTCTTTCTGCATTGACAGGTTCTGCTCATTCTTCTTCAATTGTCTCTGTTACCAATATCAACAATGAAATGCCTTTATTTTTGTGGTATTTGACGACTTGTAGAGTTAAATATCACTTAAGTAAAACAGTAAAAAGTTAACGAGATCAAACTAGTAGGTCTTTATTTTGAATCAAGTTAAGTTCAAAGAGAAGAAAAATATCTACTGCAAAAATTTAAATATCTTCTTCATATTGCGGAACCTAGAAACTGACAGCTGAGTTATTCTACTCAAAGAAGACGTACGTCTTCTGAACCGTAAAAGAATAGAATTCTCCCTTGAGGAGATTACGCATCTACCCGGAGCGGGTGGACTTGTAAACGTATCCATGGCTTGATCTACTGATCATGCAACTAACCTATTTTCCCGTGCTAACCATTATGTAGCACTGCTTGCAGGAAAATAGAATTAATTAGGAAAATAGTATTCGTGCGTGGTGTTTGAGTTGAGTGAACAGTTATTGTAAAGGATGATCACAAACTATTATCTTGTGATCATTCTTTATGCCGAAGGCAGAGAATAGTACTTATAACCTATTATACCTTGGTGTTGAATCAATATATCCTGCATGTCCATATATTAATTCTACTATATATCCTATGTCATATAGTAACGTATTATAGCAAAATAAGTAAACTATATATCCTAAATGACAACCTGTTCAGCCTTCTACGAGGTAGCTAATCTCGTATAAGAATCATCACTTATTCTATATTCGTTTCCTACTCTGCTTTATATTATTTCAGCAGTAATGAGGTGTGAGGATCTTGTATAATTTGTATACGAGTTCTCCACATCTCATATGATGCTGTCAACTAAACACAACACTTAATTCACGGTACTCATATATTAGAGTTTATGTAGTTTCTAATTATTTCTGGTTTGCAATATTGTATAATTCATCTTTATCCTTCATAAAGTGAATTATATCTTTAATATTTGTATATCATCTACCCTCAAATACGACAATTTTAACTCAACATCCCTTTTAGATGAAATGCAGAAGGAAAGCGAGCTTTTGCATTATTCTGAGGTAATTGTGCATAAATATTTACTGTGATTCTTTAAGCCTTTCCCAACCAAATATATGCGTACTTGAACGTAAACTGCTAAACGTTTCATAGAAAACAAAATAAAGTCGCTTAAACGCTTAAAATTGTTTTAAAGCCATATAAGTAGGCTTAACAGTTTTGTAGAACCTCAGATGGTTGTGAAGAGCAGCAACTCTGGCACGCTGTCGACCTGTGTGTCCGGATAAGCCTTACCCATTTACTTGTTAATCAAAAAAGCTGATACTTTTTATAAAATAACAGTACTTGAGAAGCTACACGTATACAACTGTTGTATAGCATTGACCAAAATTTTTTAAAAAAAATCCTTTTCTCGTCCTCAAACCACGAAAGAAAGCGAAACTGACATTTTTAAAGGAGCCGAACTATTTTTGACGTACACCAGATTCGCTTTTATTACATTTCTGTAAAACGAGGCACTGCAAAGAGAATTTAGTTTACCTTTCATTCCTTAAAAAAAAAAACCCCAACAAACTGAAGGACAATTCATCACATCTATGAAGAGGTGCAGGTTACTTTCTTTAGTAAACGGTGTCAAGTACTTGAATGCTACGTCGCAGCTGTGAGTGGCAGATGCACCCTGTCTACACCGAAGTAAGGACAGTCTCTAAGAAATCAATAGCTTTAAAATTGATCTGAATATTGTTACTTAATTAGGATCTCATTAATTGTTCATTTTGAATGATCATGAGAGCAAGGTTTCGTTGAATAGTGAGGGGATGATCAAGATAAAGAAACATGAAAATCACAATGGGCCCAAATACTGGCTTTCAATGGTTTTTTGGTGAAATCTGATCCAAATATCAGCCAAGTGTAAGCATTTGTGCCATTGGTAGTCAACGTTTCAGCTTGGTACAACTAAAAACGAAAAAAAAAGAAGACCGACAAAAGGGATTCTCTAGCAAACTTATAAAAGAGAGAGAAGGTTGTGATGAATAGAAGTGCTCGGTAACAAAGGTGCAGGTATATAGCTCCGTGCTATCCATGGATTGTTTCATTTCGGGCATTGGCTGACCTTCATTTCTGGTGATCATCCTTCACGAGTACGAAAAAAAAGAAATATTAGAGCAACTGCTTTAAGAAGCTGTCTCATTCTAAAGCACCCCAAATCAATCTTGCGAAAGAGCTCTGGTGGCAACAAACAGCTAAATGTTGTATATTAGATGGCTTATTGACTTGACTTGCTGTAGCCACTTTTGAGTTCAAGTTTATAAACGAACACGGTATAACCTAGTAGAATATGTGTTACTTACAAAAGTAGCCAATATGAAGAACTATAATGCCTTCGGATAATAGTGTCCATCTTTTGAACGAAAAAAAATCAGAGCGCCTAGACTCAACGCTTCCTAATTGAGTATATCTACTCTATTGTCATATTATGGTTTTTTTTTTCATCTTCTTTTAAAATATCACATATCCCCCCCCCTCCCAAAGCATGGTTCCATTTATTTACGTAAGTACTTTCGGGGAATCTCTCTCCCAAAAAAAAGGCGCCTAATGATTGGCAGAGTAATGCGAAGATAAAGGTCTAAAAATACTTGGATATACTATAAATGCCATTCATGGATAAAGTGGTTATAGTCATACCGAGATCCAATCTATCATCTTACGGCAAAGTTATTGTGGCTTTCTATACGATTTTTTCCTTTACAAATTATGTCCCTTTTTCAGCAGGGCTTTCCCCGGACATTCCATTTGTTTTGTCCCGCTACTTGCAAACAAAAAATGTGTTGTGTACCATTAAGTATCTAGATAAACATAAAACCCGAACAGCCGCAGCCCGCAACCCCCGTTTAAAGATTATTAAAGAAATCCCGAATAACGGGAACCAATGACAGTACGTTGATTTGTTATTTAGATGTGGCCCCCCCCTAATGAAATGAGTACTACATCTAAAGATTATCTGTAAAATACCAAGTGTATAAGCTAGGAATTCCAGAATATTGAAATAAACTATTTACTTTTGCTTTTCTTGAATTGATTAAACAGAAAATCAATAACCCGTATTCGAAGAAGGCTTTTGGGCCTTCTTCAAAATCAACGCTAAAAGATATTATGAAGTATTTCCTCTTACGTAAAACAAAAAACAAGGCGATTAAACTATCATTTCCGCAGACACTGACTTTGAAGGTTAGAAAACCAGTTTCTTATTAGAGAAAGTCAACCCTATGAACGCTCTTTATTCCTGGTAAGCTGTAATTCTAGCTCTAACTTTTTAACCAATAAGACATCACGATCAAGCTCAATTTCTGCCAAACGAACCGCATATTGCATTTTACTGAGCTCATGTTCAGACTTCAAGGCTTCAAATTCTGCTTGTTTTGCTGCATAGGATGCTTGTTTCGCTGCATAAGATGCTTGTTTCGCAGCATACTTTGCAACCAATGTGTTCGTATTCGATGGGCTATCTTCTGAGACTGGCTTCCGTCTCTTTTTTTTAGGTTGTTGCTGTTGCCCTGAATAAGCTGTATTAATATGCATATTGTTGTTATTGCTCTTGTGAGTGCTTTTAGTATGGGGTTGTAACAGGTCTACGGATGGCAAATCCACTGATTTCACTGGAGGTAGCGTCCTATATTTGCAGACACATTAAGATGTGTTTAGTATTAAAGTCTTCATCTGTAAAAAAGAGGTGCAGAGAGAATGGCATGGATCTACTAACCAGAACGTTCGAGTAATAGTTGAGGAGTTTGTTAAAGATCTTAGTCGGTCATCGTGCAAGCGTGGTAACATAGTATTTGAAAAGGAGTTGGACTTGGTCGAGTTTGTTGGTTCATCATAGGGTGCATGAGTATCATACTCTGGACTTGTAATGACAAGGTTACTTGGGATATATTTTTGATTATCATTGTTGGTATGAATGTTGATACTACTTTGAATCGGTGAATAAGGGTTGGTGGATGAAGAGGATGATGGGGGAACGGATGTGATTGGTGTTGTTGGTGAACCAGTGTTAGGTGCAAACGCTTCGATTGTCTTTTGCCCTCCAAACAGTAATCTGCATTCTTTGTGAAATTTACTACCTTCTTTGATTTTTTCTGTCAAAAATAGAGTAAGGGTGGGTGTGAATAAGTTCCTTGAAGCTCAAAGGACAGTTAATATCTTTTGCTATCCACTATTTTACCATGAATAATTGCTTCATCTTTTGTACAACTGTTCAGCTGTAGTCTTAGTTGTTCCCCTTCTTTATAGTTTTTCTCCAACGACATCAACTTTGACCTGACAGAAATTGCCATATATTCATCACCATCAAAAAGCTTCTTTGCAACTTCACGGCATGCTTGTGCTTTATTGCGCGTTAGTTTGCCTTCATTTTCAGGTAACGTTAACCAGTCTAATATCTTTTTGACTTCCTCGTCTGACCAGTATTTGTAATTACGCGGCTTTTTGGATAAGTGAAGCTGTTCCTGTGGCATATCACTAGAAGATGCTGATATATCGGGTGTTTCTGTTATGAACTTGACATCACGAGCAGGTGAATTCGATGCTGTCATGTATTATCTCGGTTTTATTACTTCTATTACAGATTTTCACGTGATTTTGTTTTTGATCTGCAGTTTATATTTCAATTGATTTACTTTAGAGATGAAGCAGTAAAAGTTATCTTGCTTAAAAAACGTTTAATATTTTATTTTATTTTTTTCAAGAAAAAGAAGAGAAGAAAGAAAGAGAAAAAAAATACTTAGTGAAATCAAGATTTTTTTGAACTTTTCTTTTGTTGATTTGAAAAACCGAACTGTACATCTCTTTTTTCTTAAAAAATGACACCAACTGTTAGAAATTTCGTCAGATACGCCGATCATGGGCCCTAGGTTAGAGGTCGAAAAAAAGCAGATATGAAAAGAAGTAGAAGTAAGCAATAAGCAGACTAGGTAGCTGCGTGTAGTCGGACATGAAATCCAGGTTTTGCCCTCAGCAAGCTCCACTTAGCCTAAGAACTTTTATCGCGTAAATTTGTTGAAAGATGGTTTGCATGCGGCTCAAGAAGTTATTGAGTTCAAAGTGCAGAGTACCTTACTTAGAACAGGAAATTACCAAGTCGGATACTCAATTTTGCCGCCCTGATTTGCATGTTTTGAGTTTTACTTTTTTCTCACCAATAATTCAATTTTTGGGCTTGAATAGAACAATGATACTTGATGAGTAGTTTGAGTTCATTGGCCCAAGAATAAATGATAAAGACAAGTGACAGGTTCGTTGCCTTCAAACAATGGAACAAAAAGAGTTTGAAAGAAAAGCGGATCAGCCATTAGAGCAGTTTCCAGTCACGACTCGCTTTAAATTCTGATCTAAAATGAGATTCAAAAACATTGAGCGGGATTTCACCATTTCATGCAAACAAAAGGGAAACTGATAAGGTGAAGCTAAGCTTTTCGTCTTTTGGAATCTTTTGATACATTTGCTACTCATTCCAACAAAATGGACTTTTCATATTGTCTAACAAAAGATGTGCAAATGCCGGTTTCCGTTCGCATGTAAACTTGAGTACACACAAACAAAGGAACGCCGTTAGCCATTGAAGTGATTTAACAATTATAATTTTCCGCATTTTGGCACGATTGAATCATGTTGATTGCACTTTAGAGCTACATTAGAAGGGAAATATTGCTCTAGCCAATCCGAAGAGTGAGTTTATCTGTTTTACCACCCTTTCGCGCAAAACAAAAGTTGAGAACTCAGAAAAATAATGTTCTTGTTTGCTTGATTGTTCTTCCGTAGTTCTTTACCAGAGTTGTTCGTCTCAGTTCAATTGTTTGGCGAGAGTAAGCCTCTGACCGTTCCTGTTAGAACTAGTTATAAGCATTTCAAAAACCACTATAGGTAATATAAGGAAACAATCGTGACCTATGTAAAGAAAGAAACTGTATTCCAGATCAAACTCAATTCTTTTTCAAACGGGGTTTTTTTGCCCTCCCAAAAAAAAAGCTGGAACGAATGGCTGACTTTACCTATTAAATACTGCGATGTACCTGCCTCCGCGCAACTTGCCATAACTGTATGGAATACTGCCGGACCTCGTAAGACAGTTCCTGTTGGAGGAACTACGTTACGTTTATTTGGAAGGCTATTGTACGTGGAGCGCGCCGTTGCGTGAAAGAAACTTGAATTACATTCATTCTATCTTTTTTAATTCATGTTGTATTTCACTTTATAGCACCCTTCGAAAAGGAAAGCAAAAATTGTATCTATGGCCGAATCGTGAAGCGGATGGGAATTTTAAAACAACTACCCCAAGCAAAATTAAGGCAGATAATGATGACGATGATATGAATAGATTGGAAAAAGTATAAAGGAGATGAAACAAAAAGTTTCAATAATTTTTGTTAAACTCATATCTAACTATCACTTTATATTCGTACCTTCTATCTCCGCAACTTTCAAGCTTGTCAAAAGGTTCGAAAGTGGCGACATTCAACCTGAAGAATGGCTTGATGTAATGGCTTTTCGACAAATAGAAAATATCCATAAGGTTTGTGTCAAGATTAGATTTTTAAAAAACCCTTACAGAAGCCAATAACTCAATCATTACTGCCATTTTGTTGCTCAACTATGGACCTACACCCAATGCCAGAAAGTCAGCTCAACTTCTACTGATTCGTTTCTATATATCGACTTGCCTAAATTTGATTTCCCAGTTGTTTACGGTGAAATGGTAACCCGTTTCATATCAAACACAAAAAGAGAATCAATTTAGCTCAGCAATGCTCCATTCTACTATTAGGAATATGAATTACCCGGGCCGTTTTCCTTGGTTAACGCGAATGGACAAACCACAAGTGAACAGCAGCAACAGGCACTGATGATGACGGCTATGAACCAGCCCATTTACTCGTATACTGCTACTGAAAAGGATCATCACCATCAAAAATCGGTCAAATACGCGGCTATATTAGACATGGATATGCAACGCGACAATCCAGTAGAAGCTAAACATCGGCGACTTGTTCGCAGTCATCGTAATGGACCGTTGGATCGAGACCTTAAGCCTAATCCCAAAATACGTGATGAGTTGAATGTAAAGTAGATTATTTGTAAAATACAATAATTACGCAGACTAACCCCTCTTTCATCTGTCCCTTCAGAGTATTATGTCTTATCCCCCAACGCAGACCTTGACTCCTGAAGAGAAAGATTTAGTTTGGAAATTCAGGTTCTATCTTACGAGAGAGAAAAGGGTATGGCAATCAGGGTGTTGTTAGGATGTGTTCGACAGAAATATGTACCACAGCCAATTTTTTGTTTTGTGCATTGCTTTACTATCTCTCCTCGTTTATTCATAGGCATTGACGAAATTCTTAAAGTGCGTTGTATGGACTGATCCCATAGAAGCTAGACAAGCAGTTGATCTTTTGCCCCTTTGGGTAGACATTGATGTTGATGATGCGTTAGAACTGCTAAGCAAGGATTTTGAGAATAGATCCGTTCGCTCCTATGCTGTGAATCAATTGAAAAAGGCGGATGATGATGTAAACCTAAGCAAAAAGGCAGAAGTCAGATATAATTTTACGGATATTAACTCTTTCTATTTATCTAGGATTTGTTATTATATTTGCTTCAACTTGTTCAAGCTTTAAAATTCGAATATACAGATGATAATGACCCCAATCCCAATAATTCATCGCTTGTTCAATTTCTGATTGATAGAGCCGTTAGTAATCCCGTCTTGGGTACTTATCTGCATTGGTACGGCTCACTTCTTGGAGGATGAGGAAAAAAAAAACGCATAAAGGAAACTTCTCATTGTTTTATGTCCTTTTAGGTATGTTATGGTAGAATGCGCAGACAAGGTGCATGGAAAACTATACGCCAAGGTTGCATACCATTACTTTCAGGACCTTCTCGAGGTAGGAAGCCCTTGTAAATCTAGCTTGAAGTGGAAAAAAAAAAGGTTTACTAATCTGACACTATAAGCAGATACCCAACGGATTTAGTAGACGAAACGAGTTAAGAAGTCAAGGCGAATTGATTGCTCAACTGGCAGAGTTAGCAGCCGATATCCGTACTCTTAAAGACACGCGAGCCAAGAAAGTAAGTGATATGCTCGGCAAGTTAATTACGATTCCTTTTCTCACAGTTTTTGTATTTTTAATGATGCTGTAGATTGATTATCTACGAACCAGACTCGCCGATCCGAAAAAGCGGTTTCATGATTTTCAACCTTTAACGCTCCCTCTTGATCCTACCAAGACGATTAAAGGCATCATTTCATGTGAGAATTATTCAAAGGAAGAGAAAATATTGATTACTTTTGGTATCAGAACGAAGAGCGACTCATCCTCATTTTCTGTTCGTCTTTATAGCGAAATCAAGCATTTTCAATAGTAATTTGCAGCCGTTGCGAATTACTTTTCAGTGCGAGGATGAAACGGAATATCCCATCATTTTCAAATTTGGTGATGATTTACGGCAAGATCAGTTGGTTATTCAGATCATTTCGTTAATGAATAAGCTACTATTGAAAGAAAACTTGGACTTGAAGTTAACGCCTTACAAAGTGCTAGCTACGGCTTCAGACCAAGGAATGATGCAATTTGTGCCCTCAAGTTCTCTTGCTGCCGTCTTGAATGAGCATCAAAATAATGTTCTAAGCTTCTTTAGACAGCATCACCCATGCGCGGAGCCAAACAATGTATATGGCATAGATCCCAAAGTTATGGAAACCTACACTCGCAGCTGTGGTAAGATAACGGAGAGAAGTTCGAAAGATTTTCATGCACCGAAAACTAAGAGCCAAAATATTCTACACGATTAGCTGGTTACTGTGTCATCACGTACTTATTAGGCGTGGGTGATCGTCATTTAGACAACCTTTTACTTTCTCCTGATGGCCACTTATTCCACGTTGATTTTGGTTATATACTCGGAAGAGATCCAAAGCCCTTTCCTCCTCCTATGAAGCTATGCAAGGAAATGATTGAAGCAATGGGAGGGGCAAACTCTAAGCATTATCTGAACTTTCAACAATATTGCTACACAGCGTTCACAACTCTACGTAGAAATGCAAATCTTATACTTAATCTGTTCTCATTAATGGTGGATGCCAATATACCAGATATCAAAATCGAGCCAGAAAAAGCAGTAATGAAGGTAACAGAGGATCTCTTTCAAATTTTGTTTTTGTTCTTTTTCTTGACTCATATTGATATTATGGCCTAATCAATGCCCTTCTTAGGTTCAAGAAAAGTTTAGGCTCGACCTATCAGAAGAAGCTGCAATTGCCTATTTCAGAGGACTGATATCAGAAAGTGTGAATGCTCTATTCCCGCAAATTATGGAAACAGTTCATAAATGGGCGCAATACTGGCGAAAATAATGATTTACGCCATCTTTTCTACTTGCTGTGTCGTTGTTCCTTTTTCCAATAAAGAGCATATATTCAAATATATATGTATTCTAAACATGCATAAAAGAATCAGATTGATCTATGGCTCCTGATAACTAAATGTAGATACGTCTTGCTCACGAGTTAGAAGAGCGAAAGCAACTTTAACCAACAGACTGTACACCAGTATTGTACAAGATATGTCATGATTCATTAATTTACTATAAAGAGAAGTTTATGATATGGCTTTTAGAACATGAGCAAACAATACATTTTGTTTCTGACAGATTAACGTTGTTGCTATCTTTCATGAAGTAAATCAATGAAGTTGATCTTATAATAGTTCCTAATCACTTAATAGCCGCTTGTAAATGCCAACTTGGTATTGCTTTTAGAAATCGCTACCCAAATTTTGATGACAGTCTTGTTCCATCGTTACTTTTGGACTTGTAGTGATCATTGTTTAGGTGTCATATCATGTCTTTTGACAATCACAACGCGTTCCAGCAGGCTTATTTTGCTCTAAACTTATCGTATTGATGATGTGTATGCGATATTTTACCATTGATTTTAGCTGATCAAAAAATGTCAAGAACATTATGCTCGGTAGATACACAGTTTGATTATGTTTTTCTTCTTTTAAGAGTTTTTACTTCAGCGGCATTTTCACTTTTTTGTTCAACGTAAAGGATACAAAGTGCTGTCTTAATGACCGTTTGGAAGCCAGGTTCTTCCCAGATCAACACACTGCCAAACCGCAAGCGGTGGCAGTAAGTTGATTTCGAATGCAATTATTTTCTTCTTTAACCTCTTGTTGAAAGCAAAAGTTGTAAATCACAGCGGCTTTAGAAAGGGAGGAAAAAATATGATAGCATTCACGAAGATCGCTTAAGGGAGCAGACCAGGCGATAAGCGTGCTATTTTGATAGTTGACTTTGGGTGTTACAAAAGCAGCACATGATAAAGGTAACTAAAATCATTGATACTGATAGGTTTGTACATTGATAAAAATCACCCTATCGATATGCATCATCTTTCATTTTGTACCAGAGTAGAGTGATTATGTCATGTAATAGTCCAGAATTCAATAAAAGCCCTAACGAGGCTGGCTAGAACATGATGTCGTGTTTTAGCGCAAGTACAGTAGTTTACTATTACTACCCTTAAAAGTATGCTTGACTAATATCAATTCATGAAACTGTAATGGGCAATTCTGTTTACCATGATTTTTTCTCACAGTCCATTGGGCAATTTGGAACATATTCCTGTGCTACAAAAATCAGGCAAAAACGCCTGTAGTCAGTCTTCACCCTACATTTGTTATTTATAATATGAAATGCAGCAGGGAAAAAATAAAAAAGCTGATCCTGCTATCCCTTTTTTTTTCGATAGCTTTTCTTCCCTCTCTTTCACATAACAAAAACAACAATCAATGGTATTAAGAACAAAACTCACGCAAATGCTCGGCATTAAGCATCCCATTGTTCAAGGTAATGGGAGTGGTTTCGGATGAAAGAAAGATTAGATTGTTCAATCCTGTAGAACGAGTCACTGAAAGAAAGAAAATTATAAACTTATTTAGGTGGTATGCAATATGTCGGCACAGCTGAAATGGCTTCAGCAGTTTCAAACGCTGGCGCTTTAGGCATCCTCACAGCATTAACACAACCCACACCTGATGCTCTTCGTGCTGAGATTAAACGCTGTCGCACTATGACCGACAAACCATTTGGTGTCAATTTAACATTTCTACCAGCCATTATACCACCGCCCTATGAAGAATATGCCAAGGCGATTATTGATGAAGGTATCAAAGTAGTTGAAACGGCAGGCAACAATCGTAAGTTCACTCAAAGGACAATGATTTGTAAAACAACCAACAACGGCGTGAAAAAAACTGATGAACTTTTTTATTTTTTCTGTTTCGGGATACGGCTTATCAGCTGGAAAATATATCAAAATGTTCAAAGAAGCTGGTATTATTGTTCTGCATAAATGTACGTCTATTCGACATGCTTTGTCCGCACAACGTTTGGGTGTGGATATCATTTCTATGGATGGTTATGAGTGTGCTGGTCATCCTGGCGAAGATGATATTACTGGCTTAATATTGTTAGCCAAGTCTGCCAAGACACTTAGCATTCCGTACATTGCTTCTGGTGGCTTCGGCGATGGCGCGGGATTAGCTGCTGCGTTGGCCTTGGGAGCTCAAGGTATCAACATGGGTACGCGATTTATGTGTACTGTAGAAGCACCTATTCATCAAAACGTGAAAGAAGCTATGGTCAAGGCTGACGAACGATCCACTGCACTTGTATTCCGTCCTTTCCGCAACACATCTCGAATTTTTAAGAATTCTATTGCTGTGGAAGTCAATAAGAGAGAAATTCTGCCCAATGTTGACTTCAATAAGGACATCAGAGAACTTGTGGCTGGTTCTCGTGGTAAACAAGTGTACACTACAGGTGATATAGAATTCGGCGTGTGGACGGCTGGTCAAGTGTTGGGTATCATTGACGATATTCCTACATGTCATGAGCTTGTTTCACGTATTGCTCAGGATGCAGAAGCAATTATTACTCAACGACTAAGCAAAGCAGTAGTTCCCGAAAGTAAATTATAAGGATACAGTATGTTATACCATTTATCGCACACATGGACACAGAGGCAAGGTGTCTATAGGAACATATAGTCGATACGTATAAAATGAGTAGGATGAATAAAGATCATTATGTTGTCCATTTAGCATTCAATGTTCGTCGCGTAATAAGGATGAAATTGTTGACGTCGAGAACTCATCATAATAAGTTTTTATGGATTTACTGACATGTGAAGTTCCTCCTGTCTTTATTTTGAAGGCAGCACAACCCATCATTTGTGACAGGTTTCGTGACTCATAATCATACAAAAAGAGAAGTATACTTTCATTTCCCCTGTTCGACTCGTTTATGGAGCATAAGAAACAATTTATTCGTCTGTATGTCCATATTTCTACAATAAACGTCCACACTCGAATATCTTGAAATTGTTACAAGCTTCTTCTATATAACGTATTGCAGTAGGGCAAGGGGCTGCCTTGTCTTTGCGTGCCCTGAGTTTCTATTGGGGCAGTTTTCACTTTCCGTCCTGGCTGGAAAAAAAAAATAAAGTTTTTTAACTTATGATTTGGACGTTCATACTGCTTGCTTCAGACGAACAGAAAAATAGATTTTGGAAATACCATAAATACTTTTTAGATTTTGGTAAGTTTAATTTGAGATGAATTTTTTAGAATTTGAACTCGGGGCACTATAAAAGCGGAGGGGTGACGAGGAAGCAAGAGCAATAACCAGCGCTCTTAACTATCCTGTGTAATATATTAAGCATACTATAACATCAAAAAACTAGCTGAGGAGCAAAGATACGCCACTGTCTGTAGATAGCAATGATATTTCAGAACTTTGTAAGAGCCGTCACTTATTGAGTCAGTTGATCGTGATGTTGTTAATGAAGCAAGTCTTGGACAACAAAAGAAAAAAAAAAGAACGCGATATACAATAGAACACACAGTGTTCTTTTCCTTTTTGCTTTCTTTCTTTTAAGTAAAGGTGAAAAGGCAAACAACGCCTCCCAGCTCAGAACGGCCCTTATAGAGGCCCAAGCTGCACATAGGTAAGACTATCGTATTTATGACTCTATCAAGAAATCATCTACGTTGCCTCAGTTACCCACACACTAATACCAATGGCATACAATGACTCTTCGAGTGCTTATTTGTCTAAGCCAGTGTTGTCAAAAATGGTGTAAAAAAAGAAGCACTCGAGGAATTCAAAGCTGATAATAAAACAACGAATATGATTACGTATCCGTCCTGTAAGCAAGCCACACATGCATGGCCTACAAGCAATCTGTGTCCGAACAAGAAGGCAAAAGCACCTATTGATGGTGAAGATGAAAAGGTGGAAATCTGCTTCATTAATGAATATATGACTAGCTGTAATAAATGCAAGCATTCGACATTTGGAGAATGTAAAGATAGCGACGTCAAAGCGAAGAGTACATGCTGTATTGCAGTATAAAACTGTAATGCAATTTGAAATCGCGCCGTCAATGCTGCCAAAAACATCTTTTAAACAAGACCTACATGTGTGATTGATATCACTCCTTCACACATCCTTACAGTGTAAGTTGTAATATATTCATAAAGTAACCAAAGGCCGAATGCTTACTGTTTCTACCTCATTTACTCAACTCACAATTCAATAACAATTTGGGTAATTTTTGGTAAGTGCGTCTGAATTTATTATTAAATTTATCTAAAATATGTAAATATTTTTTCTCATGCGAATATTGCATTTTTCCAAAATTGCTTAGTAGTATCTCCGATTTTAATCGAAAAAAACTGTAAAGGCCAGAAACCCCAGGAACATAATGTTTTTGCAACTTGGTTTTTTTCCTGTCTTCTTTTGTCACTTGTCTTCTCCACAAAAAAAAAAAAAAACCCCAAGAACAACTCATAGCCCTCTCCTTGTAGAACTCAACGATAAGAATGTCTCCTCCCATTGCCTCAGGACAATCCGAATCAGGTACAGCTCGTTTTTTGGGCAGTGCTAGTTCTGGTATTTTAGAACTTGTCATTTTCCATCCTGTGGATACTGTCGCCAAGCGTTTAATGAGTAACCAAAATAAGGTCGGCTAGTCTACAGGTTGACATTGGTTGAACTCAACGATAAGCTAACCAGAAGTTCATATTCTCCCCCTTGACCTATTTAGTTATGGGAATCTAGCCGTTCCTTTGCTGAAAACTGTGCTAGTGTAAACAAAGTCATTTTCAAGGTAAGATATCAAAACGGACATGGATGAGAAGACGGGCTGGGGGTAGGGTGGAGGGAAACATGGATTCAAACATAAGAGATCAAGAATGGAAGAATGAAAACAAAAATGAATTATATTATAGGAAGCAGCAGAAACAGGATTTTTCAAGAAATACAGATCATTATTCCCTGGTCTAGGTTTTGCAGCAGGTTATAAGGTTGCTCAGAGAGTGTACAAATTCGGAGGACAGCCGTTTGTGAAAGACTATTTGAACAAGCATCACCGTGACTTGTTCACCAATACATTTGGAGAAAAGACGGGCAAGACAATAATGCATGCTACGGCGGGTAGTCTGGTCGGCATTGGTGAGATCGTCCTTTTGCCATTAGATGTTCTCAAGATTAAGAGACAAACCAACCCGGAAGCATTCCGTGGACGTGGATTTTTAACGATTGTCAAAGACGAAGGCATGGGACTTTATCGTGGTGCGGGCTGGACAGCAGCCCGTAATGCACCTGGCTCTTTCGCTCTCTTTGGTGGCTCTGCTTTTGTAAAGGAATATGTCTTTGGCTTGAAAGACTATAATCAAGCTACATTTTTCCAAAACTTTTGCTCTTCTATCGGTGGTGCCGTGGCTTCCATTACTGTTGCTGCTCCTTTGGACGTTGTAAAGACCCGTATTCAAAACCGCAACTTTGAAAATCCCGAATCCGGGTTGAAGATCATCAAAGACCTCGTGAAAAATGAGGGTGTTACTGCTTTCTTCAAGGGTCTGACACCAAAGATCTTAGTGGTAAGTTTCTCGTTGTAAGGAGGGGTTGAAGTTGATACAAAGTCTTGTATCTCAAAATAGAACACGTTAAGAGCAAACGATGCACGAGGATGCGAAAGAAACAAGATAGGAGACGTGCGGGGAAGGAGGAGGGGAGGGGAGGGGTTCATAGATCGATGAAAGCAAAAAAAAAAAATAAGGGTCCTTCAAGTCTCATGTTATTTTCATCGAAAGCACGACTGATCGCAAAAAATTTAATTTGTCTCCTCTTTAGGTTGGTCCCAAGCTTATTTTCAGTTTCACTGTGGCTCAACAGTTGATCCCTGTATTCCATAAAATGCTTAATGACTCAAAATAATTACTTTATTTATCAATGGCCATCTGTAATACCTGTGATAGAACACACACACATACACGGATTGACATTAACTACCAATCAAATCAAATAATGCTCATCCATATTTGAACACTGTACTTTTTGTCGGCCAAAGCCAATCTATGTAACATAATAAACCCGTCTATTGAAGTATTCCGATTGGCTCTACAGAGTAGTGTAATTGTCATTGTTCATTTTGTTTCCTACTTGTATGTTACTATTAATAGATTGCGCATGACGTTCAAGGGTAAAAATGAGATCATTTTTTTCTCTATGACGATGCTTGACCCATTCGTTTACACACCTAATATGCCAAGTCCCTTCATAAGAAATCTTGCAGTACATTCTCAACTAGCGTTTAGCATCTTTCTTGATTGAATAATGAAAACGCTCACGACATGGGATTTTTTCTTTTTTTTTGGTGGATAAACGTCACATTACTATATGATAAAATGTAGGCTTTAACTCATCGTCAAAGATTGGACGGTTGTGAGCTCAACGGTAGATAAAATGTGTCCTAACAATAAGACATTATCCTCTCAGTCTGAGCAAAAAGAAAAAAGAATGGAAAGAGAAACAGCAAAATGAGTGCCTTTTTATATTTATTTGTAGGTTTCAACTCAGCGAGGTACTTGACCTTTTCAACAAGAAATATATATGGAAATTGCAGCAAGTGCTCTTACGATCCATGATGCGATTAAAGTAACACATGTAATGAAACTTTGAAGTCGGGGTGGTTCGTGCGTAAGATATCTGCACCCTTAGTGCAAAAGATACGCACATGCTATGAGAATTCGAGCTTAACCAAAAAGCGTAATAAATTTCATCATATAAAGTAAAAATGATTCAGGAACAAATGAAAAAGACATTAACCCTATTTTGTGTGTGTAAAATTAACTCTGAGAGCAGCGCATTCAAACGTCGTTGCATTTATTCTAAAAATAAATTTACTGAACAGCTAAAAATAGTTTCTGGAGGTTAGGTGCATATTGCGCGAAAAAAGCTTAAGCGCCAAACGATCCTTGAAGTAAGGAAGATAACAGAACAACGATGGCGTGGATTTGGGGATAGTAAGAAAACGCGGTTCTACGTCTGGGAAACGAAAACAGCCACCCCGATGATTTGCACCATTTTTTTTTTTTTTTTTTTTTTTTTCTTTGGCGCTTGTGTCAATGTTGGCATCACAAAGAAGAAAAACCTTAAAATCTTAGATTTTTGTGTATCCATGACAGCTTTAACGTGCGCGAGTGCTTAATATTAATATCGTTGGCACTTTAAGTCTATCTCTTTCTAAAAAAAAAAAAAAAAAAAAAAAAAAAGAAGGCCCCCTCAAAGTATGTTAATGTGTAGTATAACCAAAAAAGAAACGGCGTTATGAAATGGTATGTATTTATACGTGGGATGAATAGGGAACACAATGCGAAAAATGAAAAGAGCAGTAAAGATTTTTTTCTTGTGTATTTTCAGGGGGAGCCAATCAAAAATCGTAGATCAGTTCTAAAAATGGATATGCACCGTTAGCGCACATCAACTGTCTCCTGGCTAAATCGGAAAACTTATAAATACAATTGAGTTTTTACCGTCTTCCCCACTTTTCCCTGTTTTTAATTAATTTCAAATCAACAGATCAGAAGTATATATATACAAAAAAAAGCTATTCTTACTTTTTATTCATTCATCTTTTACTTTTGCACATCATATCAATGACTATATCTACTACTGCTTCGACTAACAATAACAAAAAGACATATAAATGGGCTTCAACCAATCAGAACAAAACCATCTCCGACATAGGCAAGCGTAGCCATCATATCAAAAAGCGTACAACATCAAGAAATGCACATACGCGCACAGTAATGACGACAGCTTCTGCCATCATGACGACAGTGGTAGCTGATATAGAAAAACACAAACCACAAGATCCTTTCACGGAAATCGAGCAACTTCAAAAAGATCTCTCTTTCACATACGATACAATCGCCACTATCACCGTACACTTTGACAGTCTTCACCATGCATATATTTCTAGTAAATCAGAGCTGGATAAAAACAAAAATGCTACACGCTTATGCGAAATGGAAAAAGAACTTTTAACAGCTTACGACGATTTGGGGCTTCAAGTCACCCATTTGGAGCGCAAAATTGTAAAATATGAAAAGCGTTTAGCTCAACTCAGAGACTCGGTCAAATTCTGTTCACCTATCGGAACGACCGCCTCTTGTACCAAAACCAGCACATCATTTCGATCCTCTTCAGTAACAGCATCCCCACAAAAGCAATCGCCTCCTACGGTGGAAAAGAAGTTTAGACTACCATCGGTACCTCGAGAAGAACAACAACCTCTGCAGCAGCAACCCCAGCAACAGCCACAGGATTTTGAACAATCACCTTGTATGTGTAATGATGCTCTACATTACAACAGCAGTATACCTTCCCCATGTTCATCCACTGATTCCTTGATGGCAGAGCTTAAAATAGAGAGTCCAGACTCTCTTTACAACAGCAGCCATTACTCCTATAGCAACGGTTTCATTGGAGAAGATTATATGTTACAACAAGAAACCGTGATATACGAACAAGAGGCGCGTTTGTACGATCCCGGATTTTGGTGTTTGTCGGATATGGACAATTATGGACTCTGCAGTGACACGAACAATAATAAGTTGAACATTACGTTTACTCCTCCATTTCCTTCTTGGTGTCAGCAACAAGACTATTTTCAGCAGTGTGGCAATAACAGCTTCAACTATTACTATAACAACATCAACAACAGCACTTCTAGCATGGGCAACGATATGTTTGGTTCTTACTACCCTACCTCATCTCAATATTATCAAGCTTTTTAATGCTCAATTCATTATCGCACATTCCATTCGTTCAAATCGTCGACCCCTGTAATGTTATACTGATCTATACACCATTCAACTTACTTTATCTATATACAACAGTTATTATACTCCACATTTGTTTTGTATGTCTTTTTATACCTTGTCAAGATTCCCAGTTATGAATATCTCTTATCTGCATCAACAATTTATAGATACTACTAGTCTAGCAATCACCTATGTCCTTCCATGCTCCTTTATAACTTGGTATTATGCCTCACCATATGCCTACATATTCCCCTTCTATACATATACTTGTCTATATATCGTCTTTCTTTCTTTGTAAATAAAACAGGGTTGGTGTTCTCTTCCCACATGTCTAAAATAAGATGATCTTCAAACGTTCTTCTTTTTCTTTCTGTCTGAAAATGGAATAACAGTAGAACGCCCATTACAGTCAACCAATTGTACATTATCTGTTGTCCAAAATCTAGGAGAGCCATTATGTGCAACCTAAATCTTTGCATTGAATAAAACGTTGAATAATCGGATGATGTTTTTTCTTTTAGAATGTATGAATTTTCTATCGTTGAGAGTAAACCAAACAGTAGCACGATTCATTCACGTGTAGTAAAACAGTAGACTTGAGTTTATATCGATACAGTGAGATGATGTGACAAGTGGTGATCTTGAATCCTTTTAATTCAGACTGCCGTGTTATAATACGGTTTTTAAGCCTTTCCCTTTTAGACACCTTTAACAAAATTTATTTTCATTTAGACAAATTTTATATGCTTTAGGATGAGATGGTATTTATTCTTGAGCGATTTCACTGGAAAATCAATTTTTCAGTAACGTCGCATACAATTTAACCCTAAAAATGAGTCTGCATCAGTAAGAAAGTCGCTAATGATTAATAAACACGGTTTTCCCTTCTTCCTTTAAGGATTCATATCACTCTGGCTCTATTTTTTTTTTTTTGTTTTGCACCACGGACTTCTTTCTAATTCGAATGTCTTTTTTCCTTTTCTTGGACGGTTTACATTTTTCATCTGAAAAACTGTTGTCATTTGTCGAAAATTAAAAATGTTTACTGTCCAATAAAAATTGCAACTTATCTAAAATGATAATTATACTTAGAAGCACAGGTTTAGTCTTTCTTCACTTCTTTTTTTTTTTTTTTGTCTTGGTGTAACAGTTTCATTTACAAAAAGTTTAAATTTTGACGGTATCGCTTATTTCACGCTGCTTTGTAATTATGTTACGTTTTTGTAAAACGTAGTACAAAGTGATAGCATGGCAAATCGAAATTCCTAAAGAGTACTTTTTTCAATTTTCCATAGACTTGGGAAATGAGTGATACTTCTGTGGATAAGTAGCGCTTTCTGATTTGCTCATTTGTGACGCGACGAGTAAATGGGAGCCAGCATAACTACCATAGCTTCCCATAAAAGAACATTAGCTTATAGACTTGATATCCTATTGTATTGTATTGTGGTTTTTGCAGGGATATTTAAAGTTTCAAGGTTATTATTTCCATTTGTCATCATAGTCAGAAAGGAAGGTGCGTTAAGTACGCTCGACTTTACATATTCATGTATGTACATGCTCTTGGCGTGGCATCAACAGACGTGATTGCTTCTCCAATGTCACTTTGCAAATAAAGCTGCTTGGCGTTTTGTTCTCATTTATAACCTAAAATACACACACTATCGAAAAGGAAATGGAACATGCACTAAAAAATACCTACTCAAGAAGCATCACGTGCGATTCATTTGACTACATGAGATCGTAAAAAAGGGGGTGTCGACTAATGTATTGATTCTTTAGCCTTACCAAACAGTATATGAAGTGTCCAATCTAATTATAAAATGAGCGCCTTATTGTCGGGTAATAGCATTACCAACATTTCAATAAATAATCATTTTGAAATAGAGTTAAAATGTACTCTTTGCCATGAACAACCAAGTGTGGTGCCCAGCAAAGTCGCAAGCAGCTACGGCAATCCTATGCCACGACTTTGATATACAGCATGAATAAATGTGGCTCAAAATATGAGAGACTCACTTCAAATCTAGCAGCTTTTATCAAAACAGACTCCTCGGCGAGATTGTACCGTACGTTTATTGATTGATTTGATTTGTGCATAAAAAAAGACAATCAAGGAGATGGTTTAGCTGCATCATATTAGAAGTATCGTAAAAAAAAAAAAAAGATCATGGCGACTGGTCATTTCTTCGAATGAGAAAAAAAAAAACAAACAACAACAATAAATATTAGTCCATACAAAGCTACAAATTTCTTTGTGAAATCGACAGAGTATTCACCTTGTGTGTTGTCGTAAAGACGGATTTATCGCTATCTATTTTCGTAAAAATGAATAGCAGACTATTGAAGCAATATCCATTGGTACCATCTAATGCTTCCACATGGCAAATGTATCATTCATGTTGTGTCTTTTTCCTCTGTAGAGGATGTCCTATTAGCTGTGTTGTCGCCACTGCCAAATTATCCATAGCAGTCACCAGGCTAGTTTCAAAATACCAGCCTGGATTTACATCTGAATCCATGCTATTCAATATCTCATAGATATCGTTTCTCCACACGTTGGATTTTTCGTGCAGATAAATGACGTCCATAGTGAACATTGGAGAGTTACGTAATTGTGCTCGATAAAACTGATTCGTCAAAGGCGTCGGTTTCGCTGTTCTTGCATATACAAGAATACATTGGTAAAAAAAGTCTTTGGTTTCCCGAATGTTGACGTTTTGGTCAATCACCGAGTATAGACTTTGCAAGTCTACGGTAGTGCAAAAAAGCGCATTTGTGCTTCATGTTATTGTCTGTCATAACTGATACATAGTAAACCTCCTTATCTTACCAAATGTGCCATATTGAATATTATCAATCACTTTCTCGTGTAATCTATCCAACTGCTTCAATATGGCATCCGTATCAGATGTTAAATCACACCACTGTTCGAGTGCAAAAAGACCGCTCAATAACTAAATTTTCAAAGTTTCTACTTATTCGAATTACAGCGGGGAGTAATATTTTACCCATTGGGCTTCGTCTTCCAACAAAATGATGCCATATTCATCATTACTTCCAAGCATGGTATTGATGTTTACATATCGTTTTAAAAACCTCTGGACTGTTTCGATCACTGTATTAAAGTATAAGTTGCTATTGCCAACACCACCGTTAGCTGACGGTTTTAAAGCACGACTCATCTCATTTGACACATCTATACAGAAGATCTATTATTTTCTTATCAGTGATAAGCTATCGGTGTTATTGGTGCGCGCCATTCATGAGAATACAAATAGGCTCAATTTACGATTTTTCTGGGTATATTCTTCTGAAACTTTATGGATAGAGATGGCTTCTTCTCAACATCGTCATGTTCCAATTCAATGAGCTCCATTTTTTGCTGCAAGTTGGCTTGTTTCTGAGTGAATTGACAAAAAGGACAAAATAGAAAAAGAAAAAAAAAAAGAACTTCGTGCAGCTTTGCATCATTGTTTGCATTCGTTTTATTTACAAGTCAAACAAATCACGTAAGCTAGTAATATTTCATTGATGTTAAAAAAAAAGCAACATGGAAAAGGGCAAAGCAAATAGTGAAGAACGAATATTAGTAGACATTCAAAAAAAAAAAAAGACTGGAGGGGAATAGATGTTCTTAGTAAGAAATTTGGGAAAGACAAAAAAAAAAGAAAGATAGTGTGGGATTAGGGTGTCAATGAATGAAGTTAAGAAAGGGTTATCATAGATATACAGATATAGGGAGGATCATATAAATACTTATATACTTATAAATAAAGCAAAAGAAAGACTGCACTACGCATATGGAGCAGCATTTCTATATACAGGACTTTTTCCAATCATATCCCGTAAAATATGCCTCAAATAAGTTTTATACATAACCACTGCACTAGGCCCTGGTCTTGTATATATCTGTCCACGCGTTTTTGCCTCGTTTGACCGTAAACACCACTGATCATATTGTCGGAAGAATTCCCGGTGAACATGTTCTAAGGTATCTTTGACTACTGGGAATAAAGCAACAGACCAAACTGAGCTATTGGGCTGCCCAATCACTTCAATGATATTATCGTGTTGGTCTGCGGGCCACATTCGTGTTTCATCATCCAAAATTAACGGTAAGCTGGTGCCGCTTCCAAAAGAGTTATCTGTGAGATTGCAATAAGTAAAAAGTGCGCGCAAGTCTTTTGGAGGTCTGGAGGGATCAATTGATTTTCTGATATATTCGTGTTCATGACGAGCAGAGTATATAGGACCTTTGATGCGGGTTTTCAGAGGGTCTAGAACGTCCACCACATTAGTTACATATTCTTGGTCACTAATTAATCAGAATGAAAGTTAATTTAGATAAGAGAACAATTTTAATCTAATGACTGTTTATATAAGCAACCACTTACCCTAAGGAGCAAACAGATATCTGGAATAGATTCTGTGCCCAGTCGAGGAATTCTTGTACTCTTTCTGCCAGAACGATTCTTCTTCCATCCTTTAATCTAGCAACGCGATCTCTACATTTTGGCAGGTCTGCCTCGGGTACAAATCGTTCATTCCCTTCACCCACCAATCGCACCAACGTATCATCCAAATCCAACACAAGCGGGAGCCTCCTGAAATGAAGTAACTCTTCTACCGAATCCCTCATGTTCTTTTCAAAGACATCCTGCTTGACGATGTAGCCAAAGAAATAGGTTTTCTCTTTTGTAGGCTTCAAATGCACTTCATAAATTTCATTTTTAACACTTCGCATACAGAAATAAGCTGTTTCTCGAAGACCGTTCAATTCATCCATCCAGGGATGGTTGTTCTCGAGGTTTTCGGGTTGAAATACAAAATGATGATGGTTTTGGTTGCATTGAGAGATAAGTGCATAGTAAGATCGTTTATGTTCACCCATTATTTCATAAGAGTCTTCAATGACTAATACAGGATCATCCTTTCGTAGACGTAATTCATGTAGCTTCAACTGCATGATGGTGTTTGATTGTTGGTTGTCGTCTGTTTTCAATCTTTTGGTTGGGCGCAGATGAGATTGTGGGGCTTTAAAAACATTAGCAAAAGAAATTTTGGGCCTCCAATGTTCAATACAGTCAGGGCCAAGTGTCTTTACATTTTCTAAACCTACAAATTCAGTTTTATAGTAGGAAGATTTGTATCAATCTCTAATACTGTATCAATATGGCTTACTGGATAATTACCTGTTGCACCGTTTATAGGAAGATCATTTGCTTGATAAACGGTTTTCTTAGTGGCAGTATCATTGGCCGTAGAACTGGTAGGAGTAGTGGTAGAAGAAGTGGAAGCTGTAGTGTTGATATCAGCGACACCACTCTTCAAATGGCCATTGTTATTTGGATAAGAATTTATAGCATCTTTTTCAATAAGGTATTGTAAAGAAGTACTAATTTGATATACATTCTACAAGATCACATTATTCAAATAGGGGATGTGAGGTAGTGCAATAAAAAAGAGACAAAAAACCCAGCCCATACAGAAAGAAGAAAAAAAAAAAAGGTTAGTCTATTTAAAACTCCCCCTGATTTTTCCTCTTTTCAAAACAAAAAAAAAAATAAAAAAATGAAGGAACTTACAGCCCTATCTCTTGTCCGAGGATCATTCACGTTCATAGATCCGTATCTAACAGGAGTATTACTATTATTCATAAAATTATTCAGATTACTATTGCTATTATTTACTGCGACGGTAGCATGTTGATATGTTTGTTGCTGTGGACGTGGTGATTGCTGCTGTTGCTGCTGATGTGGTGTGTACTGTTTGCTGTTCACATAACTGTGTTCGCTACTGATGTGCATGGTATGAGCATAAGTGTTATTAGAAAGACTGTTATTTCTGCTGGTATTGTTGTTAGCATTATATTTCCTGTTCACAGGAGGCGTAGAAGGCGACGGTGCCGCATCATTTAACATGCTGGATAAGTCCATGATTTCGATAAGGTGTGTATTTAGGGGGTGTATATAGTGACGAATAAATGAAGATGTTTATTCCGCTATAGAAATTTTTTTTGAGCTTTTTTTTTTGGTATAGATCAGCGGGGTGCGAAACAAATAAGGGTTTTTTCTTATCAAAGCCCTGCAATTTTTTTTTTTCTGAAAAGATTTTTGAAAGAGAAAAAAAAAGAAAACAAAATGCTGGGCAAAAAAGAAAGGTTAAAATTTGAAAAAGTTTGCGCGAAAATTTAAAAGATTGTACTGATTTTAAAATTTAAAGTTTGGCCAATGAGAATCCGTAATGTGATTGAAATTCACTATTTGATGTGCCAAAGTTTAGGGAGTTGATCCTGAGTACAAATAAAAGTAGGCCTTTTCTTACAGGTCAACTACATTCATCTTTTTTCCGTACAGAATACGAGAAAGCATAAAGAAAACGAAGGCTCGTTTGTCTTATTACTATGTTTTATTGGCCTGTTTATTACTAGTAACATTGCTAGTAGTTGTTGCTACAACGAAGCTTCTACATAATTTATTAATAGCCCTTTCGTACATCAAAGGAGAATGATCCATAAACATAGTACGACTAAATATGATCTCAGAAAAACGAGCCTCTACATCTTCACAACGGGATAAGACAACCTTGTATTGCTGTTTTATTTGAGGAATGGTTTCGATCAGGTAAACTGTGTTGGGCGGATACATCTTTTCAGCTGTCATATCTGCTCGCATCGTCTTGATCATGGCCCAGAACCATTTTTGATCTTCTTCATCATCTTCTTCAGCAGCCTTCATCATTTGTCGTTCCTGTTGCTGCTGATTCTTTTTACGTTGTTGCTGGAATTGTCCTGCCACCCGCGAAATGATCTCTTCTATAGCTTCAGATTCAGCATGCAGACTTGTTGCAATATTTTTTAAATCTTTCAGTATGCCAAAACTGAGACTACTGACAATGTCATAACCATGGACTACACTTGTCACAAGACCCGCGCAATATTGGCTCAGCTGCGACGACATGACACCAGGTGGGCCATAGGCATAGCAATGTATAGGCCGTCCCGCTGGTAAACCTGATAGTTTCGATGTGACGAAACAATAATGATTGTCTCTTATCTTCTTCTTTTCACTCCATAATACACACAGTAAACTCGCTACACCCCCACCCAATGAATGACCACAGAGGACCAAACCATAATCAGGGTATTGTAGTAAGCCTTGTCTTATCTTTTGGTAGACCTGCCCTTTCTCTTTGGCTAGTAATTGAGCCGCATCCAACATGCCACTATGGGCCTTGAAAGTCTTTTCTGTATCACCCGTTTTTTGACCAGCATTTTCTACGTTGGATGAGGGCAGTTTAAACTCGGTATAATCAAAGCTCAAGTCTGTCAAGATGTCACTCAACCCCAAGGTGCCACGACAAGTGAGAACGATGGCTTTGGCTGCATGGTCCACAGTCACATAGTGTACCAGCGCATGCATCGAGGGGTTGTGAAGGTAAAGTAGAGAGCGATCCGTATAGCTCGATAACAAGATATCTTCAACTGAGTTACCGGTATGATGGGCAAAAGCATGGTGATTTGGATGATGATGATAAGAATTGGGAAGAACAGTTGGGATATCGCCAATACCGAGAATACGCATAAATGATTCGCCGTACGCGGCACTTGCGTATTTCATAAAGTGAGCAATATTGTAAATGATGTGTTTTCGGGGAAAGTTAGCATCACAATGATTGTACTCTTCTTCTTCGTCTGCTCCTTCTCCTCCTTCGTCGTCTATGTGTTGATTTTCTTGTCGCTCGTCCTTTTCATCTGCTTCTGCTTCTTTTGCTGTCATGGTAAAGGCAGCGGGTATCATTTTTCTATTATTTGTTTTTGGTATACTACAGGAGATAGAGGCGTGTCGCTTCACCGATGGCAGAAAGTCTTGTGTTTGTAAAGCTCCTAATGTCGCTGATGGCGTCAATCTGTTGCTGCTGTTGTCAGTCTTTTGCGACTTTGAGATGGAGACAAATGAGGCTAAATCATGATAATCAGGTGAAGAAAATCGACGAGTAAATTTGATTCTTTGAGTTTTGTTTCTTTGATCGTCAATGTCTACATCGAGGTAATCAGATTGAAATGGCGGTTGCCTGAGCTTTCTTCTTTTGGGAGTGGTTGTTGTAGAAGAAGAGAGTAGAAAATTTGAATAAGCGTCTTCATTTTCGTCAGCTGGATTCTCTCCAGCCTCACAAGTTTTGCGTATGACGATGGATCGCTTATTGGTTTGATGATGGTGTACCAAGGAGTCTAATGGATAGATAGTCGTTGTTTTCGTTGTGAACCAAGTAGTTTTTGTAGTAATTTTGTAAGCTGCAGGATGTCGTGCTGCTGCTGCTGCTGCTGTTGTTGTTGTTGTTGTTGTTGTTGTTGTTGATCTACCATTTTTTTGGCGTCGACTGGCTGCTGCATGTTGCTTCTCGTTATTTTTGCTACCATAAGTATTATTATTCTTAAACTGAATGATATGATTGTTATTATTATTTTCCTCTTGTTGTTCTTTTGAGTTATAGGTCACGGACCCTTCCCATAGAACTGTCATGGGAATCTGTTTCATCATACGCTTGTGTGTTACATTTTGTAGTACAGCGAACACTGTTAACGCTTTTGTTAAGCTTGATAAAATTGAAATTTTCCCTGCTTTTGCCACTAGACTGAAATCGGGGTCTTGCACTAGTTCACGATGGACGAGCATGATAATGGACGCAATCGCACGAGAAGTCTCATTCGATCCAAATATACCATCAATGATTCGAACAGACTCCTCAGCTGCCTATTGTTTATAAATGTATATATATACATATAAAATATTGATTCGAAATTTGCATGATGAAGTTTAGCCTTGTTAGTTTCTTTTTTTTTAAAATTCCTTATTTTACATACATATCTTGGAAGGAAACTTACTTACTTTAAGACTGGATTGAATGGTTCTTGAAGTGAACTGTAGACCAGAAATAGCGAATAATTCAGCTAAAGAGAAAGTATGGCTGACAACTGACAGACCCATATTTGTATATTTATCGAGCACTTTTGCGAATGAGTTATTAGAGTCATCGATCGTTGCTACAGTTGCTATACTTTCATTCGTTGAAGAAGACGCAGCAGCAGCAGCAGCGGCAGCAGCAGCAATAGTGTGATGATGCAGTTTTCTGGCTGTCGATATAGCATTGGTGATAGCGTTTCTCGAGATGCCTAATGAAAGTGAGGTGCCGTATTTTGCTGCTTCAAACATGACATCGAAAAATAATGATGAACATCTCAGAGACACTCTTGTTGCAAAAGATACTGCTGTAACAATGTTAGCTACGTTTTCTGGTAGTAATGTAGGCCCTTCCTCTTTCAATATAGTTGTTGTAGTAGTTGTTAGTTCCATACAAAATTGACGATCGGTGCCTGATTTTTCAAGAAAATTTGAAGGAACGAAGAAAAAGCAAACTAAGGAGAAGGAAAAAAAAAAAGAGGATTTTCTGATCCCTTTATAAATAATAGTTTGAAGTCAACGACGACTGCCTCAACGTGCACACGGAATGCTGTATGAACAATACGCTGTGGCAGCTAAGCACTGCTTGTGGCAAAAAGATGACGATACTGCGTATACAACGTATTTTGGGATGCCAAATAGACTCTCGATTGCTTTTTTGCAGCTGAAGTACATTGTATGCAGCTGAATTACATTGTACACTTGATGAAAAGAAACCCCAATCATTTTCTACTCTCTCCACTTGGGAGTCACATGAGCCATCATCGTCATTCATTCTTTACCGTCTTCTGTCGGATGAGAGAGCTTCAGATTTCTATGGCATCTTTCCATAGTTGTAAGTAAGCCCCCTCCGTTCTCACAGAATCTATCATTGTTTGTAAAAGAATTGAAAGAGTATTTCGATCTATGGAAGGTGGAGATCTAATGATTTTGATGGTTTGACAAGACGGGGGAGGGGTCGCTATCTTTTTGATAAATGGACAGTTTTTGGGTAACCTGCATTTACTGCTATGTGCAGTCAGCTTTAGTTTGACTGTAGAAGGACTCTCTGTTCATCGAGGGACCTACCCCATACAATTTTCAATTGTTGTATGTGTACACAAAGAAACTTTCATGCTTTGAAATGTCAACAATGATGCTTCTCTCTATTCTTATTTGAACTTTAAAGCATCTCGTTAATTACTTGACAAAAAGCAAATTTCATTTGGACTGGGCATTTGAAGAATGAAGGCAGAATTTCTCTCCTTCGAAAGAGTTATGATTTATCACAAAAACATCCGAGAGCTCATGACTTCCACATCATTTTTTCAAATTTTTTTTTTTTTTTTGCGTCTCTGTATAATGAGACTGTCACTCAAAAGGCGAAACAGCTTTTATTGCACAGCCATCATATACCTTTGTAACCAAAAAAAAAATGTACAAAGAAGGCTTTAGACCAATAAGTGACCTACTTTGGACAGTATTGAGACTTCATATAAATGTCAAACTACTGGTCGCTTCTAAGCATTCGATGTCAATAAATGTTCTGCTGCTGTTATATATGAGCACTATTGATATATAGCCGTATACATAGAACATGTATATGTCAATCCAATATTGTTTGGTTTATTTTCTTTCCAGTATTTATACATAGTGCTCACATACCTTGTATGTTGTATCAAAAGTAAGTGCTGCATAATAAAAGGAAAGTGATGGTTCACTCTGCAACTATCCTTTCGGATGCTCCTATCTGGGAAAACGTACGAGGCAAGAAATAAAAACCTGTACCTTAATGTCAAATTGTTCCGTCTGCATAAATCCCTTCTCCAAAACTTCAGGCTCCGTACCTGTGTTTCATCTGAACTAATTCCAACCAATACACTTTACGTACCCACCTTCAAGAAAAAAGAAAAAAAGCCTGAGTAAGTAAGTGTGTGTATGTGTGTGTGTGTGTGTGTGTGTACGACAATTTCCCTTTCCTTTCGCTCAGTTCTTACCTTTCTTTTTAGTCTGTCGTAATAGACTCTATACGATTCTTTTAACAAGCACTCAGAATGGCTACACCGCAAATACCATTCATTAGTGCACCGTTCAAAAAAACGGATGATGTTGACTGGGTTCATCCCCTAAAAAAGTACATTGCTCGCGTTTATCAAGATGATCCCGAGAAATACAAAGAAGAAACACAGGCTTTCAATAGATTACGTCAAGATATTCGAGGTGCTGGAAAAGACATGACAGGACGAGATCTACTTTACCGTTACTTTGGGCAATTGGAATTACTCGATTTACGTTTCCCTGTGGACGAAAAACATGTGAAAGTTATATTCACTTGGTAAGAGAAGCATTTGCTTTTATGTGCATCCTATATGATACGGTATTGACGGAAGTGAGAGTTGTTCTACCCACTTGTTAGGTATGACGCTTTCAATAATCGCGCTATATCACAGCATTCCTTAGCATTTGAAAAGGCCAGTGTGATTTTTAATGAGGCAGCGACCTTATCAGCTATTGCCAGCTCTCAAAACCGAGCTGAAACAGAAGGACGTAAAAAAGCCTTCCATTATTTTCAAGCTTCATCCGGCATGTTCCAATACATCAATGACAATTTTCTCCACGCTCCTTCTGAAGACCTTAGTCGAGAAACGGTCAACTTGTTGAGCGAAATTATGTTGGCACAAGCGCAAGAATGCTTTTTAGAAAGCAGCATTCGAGGAAAGTCAAAAGACGGCTTGATTGCAAAGCTGGCCAGCCATGTAGCATGGGTCTATGGTAATTTGAACGACGGTATCAATGATGCTATACAAAACCGCAATGTGCATATTGACAAGTCCTGGTCATTACTTTGTCAACTGAAGCAAAAGTATTATTCAGCCACGGCTCAGGAGCATAAAGCAGCCGCATGTGAAGCAGAAGGCAAATATGGCGAATGTGCAGGCCGTTATGCAGCCGCAGAAAATGCAGCCAAAGAAGCAGTCAAGTTGGCAAATACATTCGCATCCGCTCTGCTAATATCGAATCATGCGAATGGAACGATCCCCTCGGAAGCGGGAGCAGCGGTACAAGAACTGTGCAAGACAAAGAGTGCACACTGCACAGAGAAGCTGACTACCGCCAACAAGGACAATGATATGATTTATCATGAAACAGTGCCTCAGGAGTCCATTTTGACGCCCATTGATCGCTTGAAGGCTGTCAAATCTATTCCTATTGTCGAATTGTACGGTCCTGACGAAATGAAGCGGGTCATAGGAGCTGACTTATTCTCCAAGCTGATCCCTCTCAGTGTTCATGAGAGTGCCTCCCTTTATTCGGAAGAAATAGCTAAACTATTGCGTGCTGAAAGTGAGAGATGCGATATCGCTAAAGCAGAATTGAACGCTTCTCTGGATTACATGAAACTGCCTGGTTCACTGGCTAAATTCAAAAATCAACAGGAAACTTCCACTTCTTTGGATGCCTTTGCTGAACCACCCTCCAATGTGAAAGATTGGGCAGATCAGATAGCGGTTGAAGAACGTACTGCATCCATCAACGATTTGATCAACTCGATCACCCTTTTAAAAAAGCAGGCCAAGCAATCATTGGATGAAGCCAGTATCAATTTGGATAAAGAAATGAGAGATTGTGAACAAAACCGAGTACAGTATGGTGATCAATGGACACAGCCGCCTTCAGGTTCTCTTACAAGTCAGTTCAGACAGGATATCTCGAACCATCGCCGTACTTTAGACAGTGCAGCCCAATCAGACAATCAGCTGATTGCCAAATATGAATCTGCTAGGCGTAATTTGGATATTTTGCGGGAAGGAGGCCAAAGTTTAACTCTGGAAAAGACGTATACTCAAACGCTTACGTCTCTTATATCGAATAATGAACATTCATCAAAGCAGCCAACCGAAGCCAGTCTGTTGGATCTCGACTTTGAATCAGAAGCAGAAAAGAAACAAAGTAGTAAGGAGAATATCAACGAAAAGGTGCAACGTGTAGAGACTACCATAGATAAATTGCGTAGAATTGAAAAGGATCGTGACGATACCTTCCATGATTTGAAAGAAAAGGTAATAAAGGAATCATTCTTTGCTTATAATAAAAGAAAGGGAAAAGGGATGAAAGTTAAACTGATGAGGTTATTGATTATGTTAGACAATGCAAGATGATATTTCACAACTGTTGATTCTAAACAAAAAAGCAAATGTTGAGCAACAAATTTTTGCTTCTGAATTGGAGAAATACCGAGCTCATCAACAGCGTATTTCAGCCACTATTCAGCATCAACAACAGGCCATTCAAGAATTGACAATCGCTTTTAAAGAATTGATGGAAGGTGATGAAGCCAAGACGTTACAGTTGCAATACGATAAAGCGGAAAGATTACGTCGTAACTTGACAGATGAATTGAACGAAGCAAGGGCGATTTACTATGAGGTGAAAGACGGTCTTAATCGTGGTGTACAGTTTTACTCCAATATTCGAACTACCATTGACTCCCTTCAGGCTAATATAAGTCGCTTTGTTTCTGAGCGAACTAACGAAAGAAATCGCTTGATAGAAGAAATGGAACGGAATAAAAGCTCCCAAGAACAAGAGATGCTTCGTGAAACTCTGAACAAGTATACAAGTGCTGCTAGTGCTCCTCCTCCACCCGCAGTGTCTGCTGCTGCACCTCCAGCAGCCTCTTATACACAGGTATCTCCATCACATGCTGCTCCTACTGCTCCTGCTGCTGGTCCTCCTCCTCCTCCTCCTCCTTTGCAATCAACGCTATCTGGATCATCAATAAACTCCAGTATGGCACATTTGACATACCAAGCACGTCAATTATCCATCAGCGAGCCTACGGTGCCGTCCTCTTATGGCGGCTACACACCCACTCCGCCACCCAAACCGCAAGGTATATTTCAAACCCCAGCACCTCATCAGCAGCAACCGGCGCCACAACCACCTATGAATTCATCCCCGTCAGCCGTTGGTTATGGTATGTATAGTCAGCCTGCCTATGCTCCACCTCCGTCTGCTTATGGACAAACATCATTACCTGTTCATCAGTCACCTATGCAAACTCCTGTGACCTATAATACCAATCCACAGCCCTCACCCTATTCCTCTCAACCTCAACCTCCTATGCAAAATTATTATGGAGTACAGCGGTCACAGCCAACAATGCCTCCACCAGGCCAACAGCCTGGGCAATATCCCTTGCCCTCGCCACAAGTACCGCCACAACAGCAGCAGCACCTATCTTTTGGCTACTCTGGTCCTCCTCCTCCGACAAGCCACTCTCATGGGGGACCACCACAGCAACCTCAATATCCTCAGTATCAACAGAATAATCCGGCAGCCCCTTCTTGGCAACAGCATCAACAACCACCTCAATTACAACCTCAGCCACAATATCAACCATCGCAGCCACAATGGCAGCAACAACCTTACCCAATGCAACCAATGCCACCAATGCAACCGCAGCAGCAGCAACAACAACAGCAGCAAAGGCCGCCTACGAGTAATCTATTAGATTAAGAAAGTCAAAAAGGCCGTCCTCTAATACAGTAAATTCATGATAATAAAGATATACATATCAAAATATTACCCGCCCCTCCCCCCCTTTTTATAGTTTGCTAAAGAGACAACACGTCGTATAATAACGAGGGTGATATCATCATTGGATTATATAGAGCTAGACTAAAAAGAAAAAAAAAAAACTGAACAGCAGCCTTTCTTTTCTTGAGCAAAAATGCGAATGTAGTACAGAGTCTAATCGATTGCACTTTAAAAATGGCCACTGCTTGTCCTAACTCCCCTTTCTTTTTTCTCTTTTTTCCTTTTCCCATCGTAATTATCATCATTAGCTCACTGTACATAGTGTATATATATATATATTTCTCTGTTTCTCTCAGTTTAAATCTTTAAATCTTTTTAACTTTTTATTTCAAATATCAAGCTAAAAACATGGCTGTAGAAAGGTTTACACGTAAGCGAGGCTTTACTGTGCTACTGGCAGCAATACTACTCTTATCTGTTTTGATATTTCTCACCAACTTTGTGCCAAATCGATCATCTCAATCCAAATTGTCTATAAAGGAAGACAGCCATCACGTACCATTATCAGATACGGCTATTCAGAAATCAGAGCAGAATGATGTAGCAGGAAAGGAGGAAGAAGAAGAAGGCGAAGAAGAAGATCGAGTGCAAGTGTCCACAAAGCCTAAAGACATGAAAGAATGGAAACCAAAACCATGGGGTCGTCTTAGTGATGAAATCGAGCAAGCCATCCAAAACAACATACGTCTTCATCTTCATGTCCCGAATAAGAAGAGTAAAAATCAAAAAACCACAGAAGAGCGTATTTTACTAACAGCAGTAGCAAATCAAGGCATGGCAGAGTATACTCTTAATTGGATTACTTCTCTTAAGAAATGCGGCCTTGATGACAAATTCCTTGTCTTTGCCATTGACGAAGCACTTGTCAGTACGTTGGCAGAACACGGCTATAAAGACCATGTTGTTCTGATCCCAAATGAATGGTTCCATAAAGAGCTTTCCAGTACTTTCGAAGCCTGGCTATCCAATGGTTATACACCCATTACTCATGCCAAATCATTAGTAGTAGAACGTTTGCTGTACACCGACGTCACCGTTTGGTTTTCTGATGTCGATATCGTCTTTACTTCTCCTTCCATTTACGATTATTTGGTGATGAAGTTGACAGCTCGTAAACAGACAGAAGTACTTTTTACACAAGAAACAGAGCAGCGATTGATCAACTCTGGCTTTTATGTCATGCGACCTACCATGTCAAATAAACGATTATTAGATGCATCCATTTATATTCAAGATACAGAACAAGACAAGAAACCGGAAGTGACGCAGCAAAGAGCCATGAATCGAGTGATTGAAACGATGGATTTAAATTATCAAACAAGCAGTATTGTATTGTTGGATTTGATGCTGTTTCCTCATGGTAGAGCTTATTTCGATCAAAACATGCCTTCAAAATACGGATTGCAACCCATGATGGTGCATGCAAATTATCGAAAAGGAGAGAATAAAATGAAGGATTTAAAGAGGTTCGGTCTCTGGTATATTTAACTCGACATAATAAAAAAAGAAAAAGCCCACAAGTTGTGCGGTAAAAAAATTCAAAGATTTCAACCCAACAGTGACTGACGATGTTTTTTATTTCATTAAGCTGGTTTGTGATGACTTTAGCGTATGATTTGAGCGAGTTTTTCTTCTTTTATGAGTTAAATGAGCTATTTATACGCTCCCTCTCACGAATCAAATCAAGAACAAAACTAATTTTTCGTTCTTCATTTTTGTTAATGAGTTTGGAAAAAATGCTAAAAAGCCGGGTTTACTGAACATGCGCTGAAATATTGCAAGTTTGAAGATAAATCGACTTTGGCATTGGACATTTTTTTATTTTTATTGTTGAATGATGAAAACGACAAAAAAAAAAAGAAACCAAAAAAAAAAACGGGCTATTTTTACATACAAACAGATCAAAAACTTGTATTTAATGAAATGTTGCACAGAAGATCTTGGGTTTATTTCTTTCAGCCAAATCAAACAGCCCCTTTTTTATAGTTGCTGTGCTCAGTTGCCTTTGTTTGTGTTTAATGAAAAAAAAAGGCGATTTCTTTTTGGCCCCCTTTCTTTTCATACTTTTTGCTCTTTTTTTTTGTTTTTTGCTTTTTCTTTTTACTCTTCTCCCTAAGTTATTCGCATTTTCTTTATTGTTTCTGTTCAAGCCCAGAACATACCCTTTCCTATACCAGATCAGAAAAACGTATAACGAAACTACAAAGTAGAAGAGAAACAAATTGACAACATTCATTCATGGTGGATATAACATATAAGTTTGAAGCATTCAGCTTCAATGGTATTTGCCAAACAGTCGCTTTACCACTTTGTCCACTTATTGGACAAGCCAACGGTATTGAACCCGTGTGCTATTCTCGAAATGTTGATTTAGCGGGGAATTTGATATTTCAGCCAGGTAAACTACCTTGTGGTTGGAGTTCCCCTTCCTCAAGTTGGAAAAGCAACTAAAAAAGTAGTATTCCTTCTTTTTGTGTGATAGCAACTTTGGTGATTGACGTTGTAGCTATCATTATGGCAGCCATCATGATTTATCACATTCGATCTAAATATACAGCTGTCGGTCGTAAAGAAATCGTCATGTTTTTCTATCTGTACATGATCACGACGTTCTTGGAAATGTTACTCGTCACTGGCATTATACCAACTTCTTCACCTGTCTATCCATGGTTCACAGCCGTACATATTGGCTGTATGTGCGCTACTTTCTGGTGTTTATTGCTCAATGGTTTTGTTGGCTTTCAATTCGCAGAGGATGGTACACCTTTATCCCTTTGGTCCATCCGAATCAGTTCTTTCGTCATCTTTTTATTGACGGGCTTTATTGCTATTGCTACCTTCCAACAAATCGGCCCCTTTTCGTACACTTCGCCAGGTGCTTTATGGGCCTTTTATTTCATTATCAATGGCGTCGCTTTCATTGTCTATGTCATTTCTCAAATCATCTTGGTCGTCAATACGCTGGATGACCGTTGGCCTTTGGGTGATATCTTGTTTGGTACAGCTTTTTTTATCGTTGGCCAAGTTATTTTATACATCTTTTCTGTCGTCATTTGTGATCAAGTGAAACATTATGTCGATGGTCTCTTCTTTGGTACCATCTGTACTTTATTAGCTGTCATGATGGTATACAAGTATTGGGATTCTATTACAAAGGAGGACTTGGAGTTCTCTGTGGGTTCCAAACAGAACGTATGGGAAGTCAAAGAATTATTAAAGGACGATGAATTATCACAGAGCTATCCTCAACAACAGCAACAACAACAACAACAACAACAACAGCAACCAATGTATGGTCAACAATATCATCATCATCAACCACAACCACAACCTCAACAAGCCTATCCTTATTAAGACGAGACACCCTCTTTGTTTTCTTTTTTTTTTTTTTAGCGGGGAAATAAAATAGATGTACAATTGCCCAGTAATCTTTTTTGGTTTTTTTTTCTTTTCCTTCATCCATTACTATCTTATTTTTAATACATGTCACTCACTCTTCCTAAACAACGCGTAGCAACTACATTCAAAAGCTTACTACAAAATAAATATAACAAAGTAACACAGTTCATTATTTAAAAGTAGTAGACAGACTAAAGGCTGTACTTATTGTATACTGTTGAAACAGGCATGCTTTGATTGTAATGCAAGAAATCCCACTTGGGCTTCTGTGACATTCGGCATCTTTATATGTCAGCAATGTGCAGGAATCCATCGTAATCTAGGTGTACATGTTAGTTTTGTCAAGTAAGGGTACAAAAAGTACTGTTTCATTGGACGATGCAAGTGTTTGCCAACACTTCCTCCATTCTTATTTGCCATAATGTAGATCTATTGTCTTGGATAGTTGGATGCAACATCAGCTTGACATCATGACCGTTGGAGGCAATAAAAATGCTCGTGAAGGATTCGATGAATCTGCATTGAGCCTAAAGGACCTGCAGACCAAATATACCACCAAGGCAGCATTACGTTATAAAGAGAAACTACAAAAGAAAGTAGAGCAATATCAGCAGGAACAAGAGCAAACAATGTCTTCTGAAACGACGGCTGTTCCCAAAGCAGACTCAGTCCAAAATATCAGTTTGATTGATTTTGAAGAAGAAGAAGGCTCGAAAAAGGCGTACCCACCAGAGACTTCATTAATTGATGTAGAAGACGATCAAAGTGATGTCCAACCAACGACAACGAGGTTCAATGAGTTGGCTATTTTCAAAACAAACAAAGACACAGATACCCCACCCTACATACCCAAACCGGAAACATCCGTGTTGGATGATCTATTGACTCCATCTGAGGCTAATGCTTCTACAGCCAACCATCGTGATTCTGCGATGAATGATTTGCTATCCTTCGATATGAACAATCAACAAGTGGTAAAGAATCCGTTGGAGGATTTCCTATCACCTTCGCCCACGACAACATCACCATCACCATCACCATCACCATCACCCTTATCACCGCCCATCGTGACAACGGCCAATGCTAAGGTGTATGATGATTTTTTTGACCAGTTCGAAAAGAAGACACCCGTATCACCCAGTCCGTCAGCGAAAAGAGTCGCTGTAAAGCCTATACCACAAAAAAATCGACATCATAAATCCTCCTTGGGCGTGCGTAAAGTAAATCACAGTATTTTTCAGCAACAAGCTCAGTTGGCGAAAAAAGAAGAAGATCTCAGAGAGCAAGGCATGTTGGACGAAGAAAGCATCGGTCGATATACCCGAAATGAAGCATTGAAAACAGACCCCACTTCCGTCAACATACCCACTTTGCCCAAGCCTGGCAGCATGACCATGGACCGTACGGCTACTCCTGTCAAACCACTAAGCGGACGACTCGAATATGTGTCAGAAGTGAGTAGCCGTCAACAGGAAACACGAGATGTAAAGCAAGATTTAGTAGAGCAGGATAGATTAGGCATGATGTCACTTTCATTGAATGATAAGAGTGGTAGTAGCAGGAAAAAGCAACCTGAACCAGAGCAAGATACGAATGAGGAACATTACGCTCGAGATAGGTTTGGAAATGCAAAGTCTATTTCTTCTGATCAATATTTCAATAGGGATGTGAATGATGACGGGATAAATACTGCACGTCTCTCTCATTTTCAAGGATCGAATAGTATCTCTTCCGATCAATTCTTTAATCGTTTGTCAAAACCTCAGAACAATACGATGAATCCTCTATCAAAAAAGCTACTGAAAGCGGCGACCAAGGGAGTCAATAAGTTACAAAATATGTTGGCAGACCTGGAGTAGTTTGTTTCTATCCATCAGTTGGAAATAAAAAAAAAGTTATTGTACAAATTGCATTAATTTTTTGGGAAATAATGAACTTCCGTTTCTTGTAAAAAAAAATAGAGTCCTCTTTTTATACTTTCCCCAAGTTTTTAAAACTTGCCATCACGAAAACAGTTCCAATGTTAAGGTAATGAGCATTGCTGTTTTTTTTTTTTTTCAACAAAAACCAAAGGAAAGCTGTTCATTGACCCTTATGATGAAAACCAGGGTTCCTATGATGAGACGATCCATTCTTTGCTTCACCCAACGATCGGCAACAGCAGGTTCAACAAGCCAACGAATACTAGCAGCCAATAAAAGACTCTTTTCGAGCCCTGCTTCGAACGTACCTTCTACAACGTCTAAAACATCCAAGAGTCATACAGGACTATCAACAGCAGGGAAAACCTGGAGTGAATTATCAACGCCACAAAAAGGTAGAAAGACTTTTATTAACAAACCAAGGCAGGGGTGGGAGGTGAATTATCGCTCAGCTATGCATTTAACAACCTTTCTCTATTCTACGATAGTGGTGGTAGCTTCAAAAACTACAGTGAATTTAGGGGTTATTTTAACTGGACTGGGACTTACAGGTGCTATTGTTTACTATATTACCAGCGAGCTATTCAGTTCACAAAGTACAACCAGCATTTTCAATCGTACAGTGGATCTTATTCGAGAGAATGAAGAAATCAAAGATATTTTAGGTGAGCCCATCAAAGGACATGGTGAGCCTAGCCGAAGTAAAAGAAGACGCAATCGTCGTATCATGTCGCAAGAAGTGGTAGATTTAGAAGGCAAAGATCATCTATTGATGCGCTTTTATGTAGAAGGGCCCTTAAATCAAGGCACTGTTTTGATAGACATGATAAAAGATGAGGAGAATAAGAAAAAATGGATTTATAAGAAACTATATGTGGATATACCAGGTCAAGGATTACCTTCGAAACGTATTTATTTACATCAATTATAATAACAATTGTTGCCTTTGAGAATTAAACATGCCAAAACCGAAAATGAAAGTGTTGTTCCGTTCAATGTGTCATAGTATGTTGTGTGTGAATATACGAATGAGCAAAAACAAAGGTAAAGGCAACAGTATTGCTTTTACGGATCCATCATGGTTTGAGTGCTAGGTGCTACAATTGAACAAGTTGCAGCGGCTTTTGGTAACTTCTTCTCGAATGTAATGATAAAGAGCTAGATATACAAGAATGAAGAATATAAATGAAGTATCATTTTCAAACGTCATTCATAATGAAACAACAACATCGCAACATACTGCGCTATATTCTTCCTAATAGTTGCGATTCTTCATTTTCAAAAATACGACATATTATTTCTCAAATGTGCGCGACATATTAAATATGAAATTGTGAGAGAAAAGCATGAATAAATAGAAAAATAAAGAAAAAGTGAACAAAGTATAAGAGTATTTGGTAAAAATTGTAAAAAAAGAAAAAAAAAAAAAGGTATTAAAGCTATATGTTTTATACTAACGTGTAAAATTAAAGGAAGGATTGGATATTTGTTGCGTGTATGATTGTCGTGTACTAAGTTATTGCGTTTTGTCTTGTTATAGAAGCTTTCTATTTATTGAAGGAGAAACCCTTCTTTTTAGCTGTCTTTTCAGGTGTCATAGGTCTACCGGACTCTAAACGACGTTTCTTTTCTTCCAAATCAGCTCGCTGTTTATCCAATGCCTCCTTCATTTCCTTGTGACGAGCGTATAGTTCTTCCTCAGATTGTTTCAATTTGGCCTCCTTTTCTTGCACCTTAGCTTGGAAAACGGATCTCATTTCTGCCTCCATCTTTGCTAATTTCTGTTCATGAGCAATACGTTCTTCTTCCATCTTTTGAACAGGGTTGACTTCCTTGAAGACAGAAGGATCTTGTTGAATACCCATAGCTGTTAACTTCTCGGTTCGGTAATTTTCATAAAGGACATCATTTGTATATTCCTTTAATTCTTCCATATGGGTACTAGATAAAATAGGCATATCAAATATCAGTATACAAGGTGCATATGAACAAAAAGTGCGTTCGTGCGTTGTTTTTTTTTTTTGGGGGGGGGGGGGGGGTTTTTTTCCTATATCCCTACCGAATCAACATTTGTCGAAGCTTAACAAAATCGCAATGTTCTTCATTATCCACCTCAATAACACCCCAAGGATATTTACGTCCTCGAACACGTCGACCCCCTTCTACCTCGAATTCTTTATCTGAACCGACAACAGCAAAGGGAATCTTTGACATAATTTCACGGTTCTCTGCAATAGTTTCTTGATCGTCATACTCATAAACAGGTGCTTGGTATATTTGAATTTTGTGATAAGCAATATCAGCCAAGATGCGCTCTTTAAAAGCAGCCACCTCTTCTTCCGTTAGTGTATCAGCCTTAGCAATAACCGGAATAAGATTGACACGCGTATGTAAACGACGCATAAATTCAATATCTAAAGGCTTCAAGGCGTGACCAGTTGGGCCGATGAAATAAAGACAGGCATGAATACGATTATCAACCATACGACGACGATTGACACGATTTTCTTGCTCAAGATATGCATCAAAGCGAGCTTCAATATTGTCCAAGATGGGCTTCCAGCTAGTAAAGAGGAGGGTATAAGTAAAATAGATATCAGTGAATGATCAAGAAAAAAAAAAAAAAAAAACAGGGAAAAAAAATAAAAAAAAAAAAATGAAAAAATAAAAAGTCGTACAGAAAAACGTGTCGAGTTACCTTTCTTCGTTATTCACAAAATCACCAAACCCAGGTGTATCGACTACTGTCAATCTCAACTTGACGCCGTTTTCTTCAATATCGGATGTAATAGACTGAACTTCAACAGTTTGTGTTGTCTTGTGCGATAATTCAACATTTTCTTTTGGTGGATAGAGCTGTGTGTTGAATAAGGTGTTGACCAATGTTGATTTACCGAGTCCAGATTCACCTAAAATTTTAATTTAAAGGAATTGAAAGTCAGTATTCAAGAACTTGTTTCCTGCTAGTTCACTGCAAACCACACCAAGACCCCGTTCATCCTTCAACCTCCTTACTGTAAGCTGTGCCTCTCTCTCCTTGCAATAATAACAACAACAACGTTATATGCACGCACCCCCTTCTCTTTTTGAACTCCTTCCCATCAAACAACCCCCCCCCCTCCTTTGGGTTCTGGTTTATCTCCTGCTTTGAACTCGTCTCTTGATGTAAAATTCAGATCTTTACCTACTACCATACAAGTGAACTGAAATCCTTTCTTTACAGATTTACGATGTACTTGGTTAGGAAGGTTGGCAAAACCTACATAACCTTGCAATTTTTTGCGCAAAACAGTAATCTATGTAGAAAAAAGATATGGATAAGTTATTTGATAATGTATTTTATCTATTGATAAAGAGATATTTTATTACTCCAGAAGAGGGACTGAGATTTTGGTCTGAACGGATAGTAAGAAAAGAGAACATTAAAGAATTTAAACATCTCATGATTGCTAACAGTTGATGATTGGATAAAAAGTAAACTCTTACCAGACATATGAAGATGGAATAAATAAGGGAATAAAGAATTGTATATGAAAAAAGTGAAAAAGTGAAAAAGAAACGAAGAAGGAAGCACTAATAATTGCAAAATAATTATATTTTTGCTTTTTCGGTGTTAAGCATGCACGACCTTTATTACGCCTAAATTTTTACAGGTACAAAAACTTTGAAATAAGGGGAGGTCAGATAACTGTGGGCTATTATAAAACTCAGAGCAGCAAACAAATCAGGGAATTCAAATCGCGTATTTTTTTATAAAAGAAAAGGCATCTCTACAGGAGTTACTGTTTAAACAAAAGAGGCTACTACTGGAACAAATAGACTCAATCTAGTATCATTCTACATAGAGATAATACCCGTCAAATTTGGAAAAAATATGCATACATGCATTCTTTGAGGAAAGAGTACAATGAGTACTACACTCAGCTAATTTGCTACAGTGTTTGCGATTAAAATCCGACCTTTTATACTCCTTCTCTTAGTTACCTTTTTTTTTTTTTGGGAATAACTAGGATTATTTTTGAGAACCAAACACAATCAAACATTAAGACTTTTTTAATCACATTTTTATAGACATCTTTAAAAAGAAAACAACTTTGTAAAAGAGCCTTAACTTTGCCACAGCAGCCAAGATAGCAAGAGGAAAATGATTATGAAGCTTTCGTGAAAGCAAAAATAGAAAAAACTAACAAAAGAATAGACAGGTTCAAGCATATGCTAAAGCTAGGAATTTTGTCTGAGGTCAGTTTCCGTATCATTCCTTGCCTCTTCATCTGAACTGATGAATAGCAATATGAGAATATCAGTTGTCTGTAAATTTCAATGTTCAATGGATAAAGAAATCAGTCATTAAAGCAAATGGAATTCTTTTCTGACATCGTAAATACAGACAGAGACCTTTGACACTTATTAACAACTCAAATCTGTTGCCGTAGGATTGCTTTCTATTCATCATCCTCTAACTGTTCTCTTTTTTTTAAAAATAGAGTAGCCTTTCCATCATCATTCAACACAAAAAGTTCCGACTTTTTATTCAATTTAATAGATCTAATCAGAATCAGTGTCATTTTCGGAATCGCTAACTTTGTTACTCCATTTCTTCGTTCGTTTGGTATCTAACTGCTTCATCACCTATAATGTTGGGCATGTCTGATGAGAATCGAGCTTTTTTGAAACTACAGAAAGACCATTAATGTAGTCGCTTACCTTTTTGTGGATTTTTCTCTCTAAATCAGTCGACCTTAGTGCGTGTTTCATTAGCTGTACATTCCACTTCAACTGTTCCTCAGCTGTTAATGCTTCCTCATGAAGTTTATCTATAAATAAAGTCGTTTCAAAAGATGTCATGTCCGAGATTTAGTTTTATGTTGGTGTAAAATACCATCCCAATCAGTTTCATTACCTATGGGATTTTCTCGTTTTTGCTTTTCCTGTTGTAGTTCTTTTGCTTTTTTATGTCTGCCGTATCGCATTTCGTATTTGATTTTCTTAATGCCTCTGTTGGTCTTTGGTAGTTTTAGTTTATCCTTTCGATCTTTCTTTTCTATAGAGGATGTTGCTGTTGAATTATTTGCAGACGCTAGTTTTTTGAAGGAACCAGTGCCTGCTAATAAATCCAACGATTGCTTTGCTAAACGGGATGACATTTCAATGAATAAATTTTGTTTTTCTGCGTCGTGCTAGGAATGGTATATAATGAGTATATCGTAGAGGGTCGTATATTTTACTATGAAAAAAAAAAGTGGAAAAACCGAGCTCTTTCTGAGAATTTTGTGGCTTTGAAATTCATGCGAGGAATAGTATTGGCCGGTCCGAACATTAGGAACACTAATGAAATTGTCACAATAAGGATATACAATCTCTGTTTGGTTTAGTATACGCTACATCACAGAATTGCAAAAGTTCAGTAAGTCTGGTTGCAATGAAAGTATAGGATGACCGATACTGATGGTTTATACAATTAGAAATATGGGCTTAGAAATTTCTGGGAGCTGCAAGATGGAGATCGGAAGAATAAGAACAGAAAGAAATTTAAACCATAACTTTGAATAGCCGTTTTCCGTAAAAAACCCAGCAAATGGTGGATAGGAAGGGGTGAAGTTAAACAGAACTCAAACAAACTGCTAGATGTGTTAAGCTGAACATCTGATAATGTCAGGCTATTCCTTTGGAGCGCTATAGTGTCTGTAGTGCATTGGTTTGCTGCTTTTCATACTACCTCCTAGTAACATAGTATTTCTCTATTACTGAAGGAATCGAAGGATAAACAAAGGGGCACTCTTATCAGATTTTTGGGCTGTTTTTCATCCAATCAAATGCAACGACAAAAATACACGAGCACTAAAAAGATCTGATAAATATTCGGCGTTTCATTGGATGGAACCAGCAATCCGCCTCTTTTTCAAAAACAGTCTATGACACATCCGTTAAGCACATTCATGACTATCACAGAGGTCTAAACACGCATGGTGAAAGTAGTCCTTTGAATAAAGACGTGAAAGAATGAGATAAATTACTTTTTTTGGGCGGTGACGTTTCTATTATTGATAAAAGAGGCCCCACATTGTCGTCAAGTGAACAACTTGAAAGCGATATGAATCCTGTTTTCCATAATAGCACTGTAGAGTATTGCAATTCAAATTTGTTCAAGCGTGCAATCAAATGGTCGAATTGGGAAACGTTGCTGCTGGGATGAATACGCTCGTTGTTTCAAAGGAGAAATGCCATAAGATCTACGCAAAATTTTAGGTCAGTTTTTACACCACTTTATTTTATTGTGCCGATTATCAGATTGTTTCATTGTGCAAACAGGTAAATGATTAAACTGAATACAGTTCAGATTATTAATCGACAGAACTCATTGGACGTAGATTAACTCATGACGAGTAATGTGATCCTTTAAAATACTACCATTGGGTGTTTCTTGCCCCTCCCCTGCCAATAAACGCCATTTAGATTGTCACCCATGAATCCCTGCTTGCCATCTAATTTTTTATCGCGCAACAACTGAATAGACTGTATTCTCTTCAAATGGAGTTGAATGCTGAGGATAGCTACGTTTGCATCATAGCTGATGTTGCATTTTTGAAGCAATGCTTATTTCCCTTACTAATATTTTGAAGTTGCGCTAGACATTATGATGTAATCTCGATCAATTGAAAAGAGATTGAAACATGTAATAATGCAAGACAAAATTCGAGCATGAGTAGGGTAGTTCCTCAATGACTTTGAAATTTTTGTTATGGTTAAAAAGGATCTGATAAAAGTGTAAATTTGTGTAAAATGATATGAAACAAAGGAACGATGTATGACAAATAATACAATTACCCGACCCAAAAAAAAAGGCTAACATTAAGAAAAAGAGAAAGGTGGGGAGTGGGCGGGGGGGAGGCCTGTTATCCAGAAGGCACGTTATCTGATCCAAAAATATCTTTGTGTGTCTCTTTCTCTGTCTAGGTACAAAAGTAGTTTTTTGAGTGGAGGTCAAACGGTGTTTGCTTGGCGGAGAAATCAAATCTGATAAGATGGAATTCTAAAAGGACAGATTTTCTTTGGTTCGGAAACTCTGAAGAAATATAAAAGTGCAGGCTTTCTTGTCCGTGCTTATTCTCTCCCTCTTTTTTTTTTTTTTTTTTTCTCTCTCTCTTCTTTGGTGTTGTTGTTTTGTTGCAAATACTAAAGTTCTTTATTTATAAGTTACTATTTATTCTGTCAATTATAATTACTGATATATACCTTATGTTTGACCATCATCTGAAATCACATACTGAAGACCCAACCATGGACGACACTATTACTAATAAAAGGACAAGTCATAAAATCGATAAATTAAAGTTCAATTCACATAAGAATAAAAATCTTATCCACTCTTCGTCAATAAAAAGACCAGCCAAACAGCAACAAAAAATTAGCCTTGTATATCCTGCCAGTCCATGTATGTATGTGCCTGCGAGAAACAAGTCAAGCAACGAACATGATCAGAATGACTGCTCCACTGGCCAACAACAACAGATGGAGAATACGAATGCCACGTCAACGGAGACAGATAGCCGAGATCAATCACTTTTAACACCGCCCAGCTCACCAGAGTCTATTAATACATCGCGTGCTCAGAGACCGACGGCTAAGCATCATTATAAACAATCAAGCCCAATTATTTCTGGAAAAAGAACCACGAGTACATACGAATACAATAACCGGATTTTGGCAGCCAAAAGAAAGGCCGATATACGTAGTGTTATGAACGAATTCATATCCATGAAGAAAAATTCCATTCATATGACTCAGCACACTTATAATCTGGTTCTCGAAGCTCATGCTATCTTGCGTCGAGAAGGCACTCCGTTGAATAATATGTTGAAAAGTAAATGACAAATCAGAAAGACCTTGGGTTCTTGTGAGCAATTTAGCGATGTATTACTAAGTTTGATTTGCTGCTTTTTTTTTTTTTTTTTTTTTTTTTTTTTTTAGTTTACAATGAGATGATTTATTCAGGAATTCAGCCCAATGCTTATACCTATGTTCTTATGATCCGCACTCTTTGCAAGAGAGATGTGGAGGTTCAAAAAACAGTGGCTATGTTGCGACGTCAATCTGCACGTACGGGTCAAGAAAACGAAGATATACAATTGCTCGAGTCGGAGGGTAACCTTAGCAAAGCACTCGCCATCTTTCATTACGCCATTGCCGATGGCGTATCAGTACAAGCATTCGATGTGGAGATATTCAATCAATTACTACGCGTCTTATCCCACTACGGCGATACAGTGGATGCTACCTTTGTTTACAGTCAGTTGGAGCAGCCTTTTGTTCGCGCCAAGCCGAACTCTGCTACGTATGCTGCTCTGATCAATTTATTTGGAAGAGCAGGTGATATCAACACGGCTCTTTATTACTATGGTATTTACAATCAAGTGAAACAGTCTCTTGGTCCACACGATGCATCTTACATTTACAATGCACTCGTCGATTGCCATCTAAAGTGTGGGCTACTCGAAGGCGCCTTGCACATCATTGAGCATGAAATGGTGCAGCACCAGATCAAATTGACTTGTATTCCCTACAACTCCATTATTCGTCATTACTGCGCGCATGACCAGATGGAAGAAGCGGAAGCGCTTATTCATCGCCTGGTGAAAGATCACAACGAAGACCCAGACCGACATCCTGAGCCTGATGCCAGCAGCTATGGTCCCATTCTCGCGTCTTATTGCCAACATGATCATTGGGACGCGGCCACGCGTATCTATGAAGCTCTTCGGAAAACAGACATCACAAAGGCGTACGGAAACCTCGCTAATTATGCTTTACTGTGTTTGGCCCATGGCGATCGTAAGAAAGCTCTATCGATCGTGTCTGATGATATGAAAAAAGCGAATCTGGAGCCCGACCCTATTCTTGCGGAGCGTATCATTGCCAGCTTTGCTCAAGAAAATGAATTAGCAGAAGCCACTGAAGCGATCCATCTTCTCCACAAGTCCATCTCTGTTCGTACACTGACAAAGGGCGCCCATCATCTGTTAGACGGCGCTCTTGAGATTGTGCTCCATTGTTCGTCTGTGCAGCAAGTCTTACAGGTGATGCATGCTGTTCAGCCCTTGGTGACCATTATCTATAACCATCATACGACTTCCCAGCATTCTCACCATCGTTCTCATTACTCCCTCCAACGTGTGGATAGTGATGATAACGATCTCTCTTCTTATAGAAGCATGTGTAAGACCCTGCTCGACTCCTATTTTGACCCGTCCACCCCTGACGCTGGAGAAGAAGAAGAAGAAGAAGAAGAAGAACAACAACAACAACAAAAGCAATCACAAAAACATATCTATTCTACGGAGGATTATGAGCTTCTGTTTCATGCTACTTTTGTTCTTTACGGCTATCAAGAAGCTCATCCACGACATGACTCTTTTCCTTCCTCTTCTCTGAGCGAGCCTCTTTTAAGGGTTCTCGGCAACATGCACAAAGACGGTTTGGTTCTCCCTGATCGGCTTCACACACAAATACTCTCCCAGTTACAAGAATATGGTGATGCAGAAACTGTTTTCCGCTGGAAATCAGCTTGTTTCCAACAAAAGAAAGAAGATGAACCTTCTGTTGCTGATTGTCTGACAAACGATTCAACGTCGCCGCATCCACTGTCTGTCAACAAGGACTACTTGGACATGGATCAGACCGATGATGAAGACATTATCATTCAAATTACCAAAGAAGAAGAAGAAGAAGAAGAAGAAGAAGAAAAAGAAGAAAAAGTCAACGGCCTGGAGAACTTGGCATCCCAAGCCTGTCCTGCTACTGCTTGTAAGGTAAAGAAAGCAGCTTCCCCTCCTTGTGAAAAACCTACCCATTCTGCGACTCATACAGCGGAATGTAACGTTGCTGCTACAGCCATTACGAACGACATATTAAAGGCTGTGATGCACGGTGATCATCAAAAGGCCCTACGGATTTTCGAAAACAAAATCATTTGTGGTCGCCTCATTCCCCATCCTGAACTCATGCGTGATGTCATTGCTCTAGCGGGTAAACAAGGCGATCTTCAGACCGCGCTTACTTTGTACAACAATGCCATCTATGCTTTCAAAGATATTGCGGATACGGCTACGAAGAACAATGCCATCGCCATGTCTACCAACAGTATCCTTATTAGCTACGCTCAAAGTGGCGACATGGAGCAAGCCAAGGTGTACTTTGATCGCATCAAAGCCATGGGTCGCTTCCCTGACAGCCACGGCTATGCCAGCATGTTACTCGGTAGTGCCAAGTCGGCGAGCACGGACGAAGCCACCGATGCGCTGGCTATCTACGAGGAAGCCAAACGCCACAACGTCAAGCCGACGACGTTTTTCTACAACGTGATTATCTCCAAGTTGGCCAAAGCGCGCAAGTTGGATATGGCTTTGACTCTGTTTGAGGAAATGCGACTGTTCAAGGTGCCTGCCAACTCGATTACGTATGGCGCTATTATTTCAGCGAGTGTGCGTTCGGGGTCTGAAGCGCATTCACGCCGTCTGTTTGCTGAGATGCTCTCTTCTCCGTCCTATCAGCCGCGCGTGGGGCCGTTTAACAATATGATGCAGTTTTACGTACGCCAGCAGCCCAACCGTGAGCGTGTGTTGGAGTATTTCTTGGAGCTCCGTCGGCGTCGTATCAAGCCGTCGCCTCACAGTTACAAGCTGTTGATGGAAGCGTATACCCACATTGCACCTTACGACATGCCTATGGCTCATAAATTGCTGAAGGACATGGTCCATTGTGATAAACTGCGTCCCCAAGCAAGCCATTATGCGACACTCATTTATTCGTACGGCATCCTCCAACGGGATGTGCAGAGTGCTGAGCGTGTCTTTAGTGAGATGAAAAAGGCGGCTATTTCACCCGATGAGGGGGTGTACCAAGCTCTCGTGGATACGTTTATTAGTAATGGCGCTCTTGCCAAGGCGGAGCATATTTATGCAACAGAAATGGCTTCGGAACAGCATCATGGGTTCCCGTACATTGAAAATCTATTTATTCGAGGTTATGGCGAGGAAGGTCATCTAGAAAAAGCCGAGGCTATTTTTGAAGCCATGTCGGATGATAAAACACAATTTCATACTTCTGTGATTCGAGAGCCCAGTACGTACGAGGCTCTGATTCGAGCCTATCTGAAAAATGACCAAGTGGACAAAGCCAAAGCTGTATTGGATAGAATGGTGAAGCGAGATTTTCCACCCAAAGTTGTGGGTGCCGTTGCTGATCTACTGGCTGACAAGCAGTCAATCCAATAAAGGAAAGAATCACCACTTCTTACTACTACTCTACATGATCCCTTATTTATCACGCTTCTATATTAAACGCTCGTCCAATACTAGTCAAACAATAAAATTTGTCGGTTTCGGTCCATGACGGAAGCAAATTTACTTTTGTTCATCACTGCTTTTTTTTTTTTTTTTTTTTTTTTTTTGCTGGTCCCTGAAAATAGGGCGTATGAAACAAAGCAATTAAAAGTTATTCAATCAAGTTGAAAAAAAGATTGTTTATACTAGTAGTGTTTTCCTTCCTTTTTCGCTAGCATGTCAAGATCCGTTCAAGCAAAAGCTTTAGGTAGTACCAAGTGTCAGTACAATCCGATAATTAGAGTATAGATACTCACTCTATTACAATATTATAGTTGAAACCTTATTGACGATTCCTACTGTTCGAATTCAAAACGTGCCACGGACAACAGAAAAATTACAAAAGGTCATTCAAGATGGCAAACACAACCTTCATTTCATTAGCGGTAAGAAGTTTATATTGAGCGAATTTTTCCCAAGAAAAAAAGCGAAACGAGAATGGGCTAGTGAACACAAATAGTATGTTACCATAGACTTTGACATGACCATGACTCGCCATTGGATTCGTAACCGAATCACGGATGCTTTAGAACGCAATTCGTCCTCCCACGGCATTCCGGCCAGATCAAGTATCATGACACAAGAGGTAAGTTGAGTGATGAATGGATTTTATTCAAGACTTGAGTGGAAACTGACATGGACCGGCGATGCTATGATAATAATGATAGTATAAAGACGAAACGCATCGTATATATAACAAGTACTATCCTATTGAAATAGATCAAACCATGACGTTTGAAGAAAAAGTACCTTACATGATGACTTGGTGGAAAGAAGCGCACGCTAGTATCGTTCAACAAAAGTTGAAGAAGCAAGGTAAGCACTCCCTCTACCATGCTCCTTAAAACAAATAAGAGTAAAAAGGGGGACTAAAACCATTCTCTATGACGCAGATTTACAGGAAATGGTCAAGCAAGTCAGTATGGAGTTACGGTCAGGTCTGGACCGTGTGCTAGCCCACTGTAGACATCATAGTGTGCCGTTTCTCGTCTTTTCTGCGGGTATTGGCGATTTGATTGAAGAGATATTACGACAAGCGGATCTCTACTATGAAAATATGCATGTTGTATCCAATATGATGGTCTTTGACAAAGATAATGTTTGCATTGATTTTAAAGAGCCACTGATCCATGTCTTTAACAAGTCAGAATTTCAACTGGAAACGTCACCGTATCATCGATTGATTGAAGAACGACGCAACGTCATTTTGATGGGAGATAGTCTTGGAGATCTCCAGATGAGTCAAGGACTTAAGCATGATTTATGCCTAAACATTGGGTTCCTGAATCACGATATAAAATCGTTGGAACCAGCCTACATGGCAGCCTTTGACATTGTCATTGAAGGTGATGCAAATATGAACCCCGTCATGGAAATTCTTGAGCAAATCCAGTAGTCAACCAAGACCTGAATTTTTGCTTTGATTTATGATAAACCAACCCCTCCTTTGATGTCGATCGACAACTCGTTTGTTTTTTTTAATAAAAATAAGATAAAAATGGAGCAGTGATTTGTTTTAAAGCGGGTAAAATGGTGTTTATTTATTTCTTCCCGACTGCATGAAGAACACTATGCTTTGAGGTAAAAATTTGATGTTGGGATTATAGGAATAAAAATATAACAAAAGAAAGTATATATGAAATAAGTACGAAATAAGAAAAAGGAAAAAAAAAAAAAAATATGTATAATTTGTTGTGTAGTAAGAAAAAAATAAAAAAAATAAAATAAAAAAAAAATATAATAACTATACTATATATATTCTAACATCTAAAGATGAAAAAGATGTTTTTGTATAAATATATATATATATATATATCCTATATTCTAATCCTCCTTTTTTTTTTCTTTTTGGTTTTTTTGGTTTTTTTTTTTTTTTTTTTTTTTTTTTTTTTTTTTTTTTTGTTTGCCTTTTTTTTAATTTTTTCTCCTTTTTTTTTTTACCCATACTTCAGCATTGCTTTACTACAAATATGGTATAGGTAAAAACAAATAGTAGATAAAAAAGAAATGCGTATACATAAGAATAAGACGTTTTTAAATAAACTACAAGATCAAACAACCCTTCTTCTTTTTTGGTCGTACAGGAGGTGACAGAACAGCCCTAATAGCTTCATCAAACACGTTCTTAAGACCCTTTTGAGTAAGTGCAGAGCATTCAAGGTATTTAACAGCTCCAATATCCTTTGCCATTTGTAACCCTTGGGGATAAGTTATAGGTGCCATACGTTTTTGTTTCAATCTTTCAACTGTATCACGATCCTCACGTAAATCCAATTTGGTGCCCACCAAAATAATCGGAATATTAGGTGCATGATGACTGATTTCTGGATACCACTATAGTAATAATAAAAAGGAAATATGTTTATATGTGGGTTAATCAAGCAGCTTGAACAAAAAAGCATATAGCCAAAGAGAGAGAGAGAGAAAGAGAGAAACAGGGAAAATAACAAAAAATCACGTTTTTTTTTTTTCCTTTCGTTTGGCGTGTGCATTCCCTTTTCTTTTTGACAAGCTTCTTTTTTTGGATAAAATGATACATAGACCATGTTATTAACTTACCTTTGTACGAATGTTTTCAAAGGAGGGAGGGCTTACAAGTGAGAAACAACTGAGAAAAACGTCTGTTTGCGGGTACGATAGAGGTCGAAGACGGTCATAATCTTCTTGGCCGGCTGTATCCCACAACCCAAGGTTAATGGGTTTGCCATCCACCATGACATTAGCTGAGTAATTGTCAAAACTACAAATCGTGATGGAGTCAGTTTTTAAAGAGGGCCCCCCTTTAGTCGACGTTGAGTTTTGGGATGCTTACACTGTTGGAATATATTCTCCAGGGAAAGCATTTGTTGTGTAAGATATGAGTAGACATGTTTTTCCAACGGCACTATACGCAAATAGAAACGAGTTTAGATCGTGTTTTAGCCATTGTCCTTCATCATCATCATCTTTTGGTTGGTCAAAGGTTTTATTGCAAGATTCCAACGTTTCGACTCTTTTGGTTCTCGACACCCTTTTCTCAACACGCACGTACTTACCCATCGCCTACTACAACGCATTTAATTGATTGCATCTTTTATTAAAGTGTTGACTTTTTGGTGATAAATAGGAAAGATGAAAAAATAAAAAAAAAAAAGCAAACTGCAAAAGGAAAGAAAAATAAACAGTGAAAAAAAAAAAAAGTAGGGAAAAAAAGTAGTAAGGAAAGAGAACCTGCACCAAAAAAAAAAAAAAAAAAGTCGAAAAACGAAAGGCAGCCAATTCGTTTAAGTTGTGCAACCCAAGAAATTAAGTTTCTTTTTTTTTTTTTTTTTTTTTTTTTTTTTTACAGTCAAAAAAAGGCCCCTATTCAAGCTATATTCTTTATTCTTCATATTCATATAAGAACAAAGAAATCACAGACACGTTCAAATAATGTCCATGCTGTTTACACCAAACTGTTTGTATTGGCTTTTTAATGTACGTTGATGAGACTATTTTTTTTATTTGATGTTTCTGGCTGGAGATAGGAGTCTTTTTTTTTTTTTTATATTTATTTATTTATTTTTTTTGGTTTAGCTGTATTCAATTTGAACTAGCAGAAGCGATAAACAACTTTCCGCCATTGTAATTAATACAGTAAAGTGTCTATACGATCACTACAGAGATGAAAGAGGATAGAGTGATTTCTGTTCTATGCCAGACAGTTTCAACGCCGATCCTCAAAAGCGCTTTCTTTTTTCATGTAGGCCATCCAATATATCTGCGCACGTACTCTGAGTAGTGTCTCAGCAAACAACATAAATTAAGACATCAAATACGTCAACTTGAGCAAAATACACTCAAATCATCGACGCGTACAGCTATGTATTGCAATATAGCTTAAAGCTTGCTAACTGCATTTAATGGTTCACTTCAATCTCAGATGGGCGCGCGATGGTTTTATTCTGCCCTTTCGTCTTACGGTTCCTTGATTTCAAACAAGTCGCAGGTTTGCTAACTTTGTTCTCCATTTGAATCTAGAACAATGATATATTATACTTCCAACGCATCGCGGTATTGTTGCTGACGGGATTTTGTTGAAACTCTGTGCTTTTCGAAAACTCTCACTCTGTCTGAAATATGCAAACGCAATAACAAAACTGTCCGGATCCTAAGGTATAGTGCTGGCTCTCTTATTTTTTATTCGGCTTCTCGAAAGAATTATTAGTCAGCATCGATCCTCTCTTTACAGCTAAGAAAAAAAAAAAAAAAAAAAAAGTAGACAAGTACAAAAAAACAACAACACTATGCGCTGCGTTGCTTTTTGAAAGGAGGCCAAGCTGTCCGTTGACTTCCATTAGTTATACTGGAATATTGGCTTGGGAATTGTCATGCTGTGTGGCCAGCCTATTTGGAAAAAAAAAAAGAAATAATTTTTTACTGTGAGAAGGGCCTAGAATGATGCGTCTTATTCACATAAAGATCACAACGTACTTTCTTACTTCCCGTCGCTCTACGATGAGGAATAGGTCTTGATTTGTGTCATACAGTTATGGCATTTAAAAGCCAGTGTATTCGCCAGACTGTACTTATTCTTTGCATGCGGTCCTGCACCAATATTATACTGTCCTTTTTCAGTAGCCTTGAGTACTGTCTGAACCTCTTCTTCAGCTTTGGTATAGTTCTTCTTCATCATATAAAGTAACACCATCTCATACCGACTAAAGTAATAAATATAATGATCCAATTCGATTCTGTCAGCATATTCAAACACTTGATTCAATGATTCGGTCGCCACATCATACGACTGGGTTGTATTGCAGTTTTGCTCGTAAAGCATTCTACAACCGATACCACGGAAAAATTGTGCCAAGCAATAATCATCATAAAAGTGATGTACGTTGCGTGCTCGTGCTGTATCATCTAGCCTGTCTATCTCTACGTTGATTCTTAAGATGTCGTTCTCTAATATATTGGCTGGTATAAAATCGAATGCTGTAAAGGCGTTCAATATTTCAAGGTCGGGTAATAATAAATAGTTATTTTGACTAAGGAACTTTCTTGCTTTTCTCGCAAAGAATTTCTATTCATTTGAAAAAAAGATATTGGGTTTGACTATGTGTGTTCTATCACGGAGGATCCCCCATTTCGTATGACTTTTTTCTTTTTTTACCTCTACTGGAATCGACTTTCCGGCAATCTTCTGTTTCGCACTTCCGACTTGGCCCATCAAAGAAACAACTTGCGACATATATTCTGTCTTTTGCGTACTCTCATTCAAATCATTGGCCAACATGTATAAAGAAATCGCTCTTAAATAAGTATAGACTGCTTTCGACCAGTTACTCTCTTTCTGTAAAACACTATAGATATCGTACGCTCTCTGCCAATCATGCTCGATCAAATAGATCAGGCCGAGTTCCCAAAAACACATGTATTGCAATTGTTTCCAGTCTTTTTGCTGTGAAATAGCCAGCTGATATTGATCCTCTGCTTCTTTCAGTAGCTTCTTGTTCGTCATAAGACGGCCATTGAGATATAAATAAGCAACTCCCTTGGGGTATTGTTCGAGACAGTCCTTCAAGACAAGTTCAGCAAACGGAATATTCACTTCAGATAAAGGCACCAGCTTGGAAAGGATGATATGATACGCAATCAGAAATATATTACATAACGGTGTACGTAGTCCATGGATACCCGCGCCCTTCTTCTTTGTTGGGTCCATGGTCGAATAACCACCTACAGAAGCTAAAACCGAAAGGCCATGCTTACGATCTGAGGTAAATCCGATAAATTCCGCCAACTTGATGACTGAGGAAGGTAACATGGATAAAATGATGCTGAAACAACCCACACCAAAATAGACGCCAGAGAGGAAATCATCATCCAGAGGCGTCTTTGCTGACTGTATATATTTTTCTAGGGTCATATACGTGTTGTAACTACTGCGAATATTCATACTCTCTCTTAAAAAGGCCATGACGCTTTCATCATGAATGATACTGAGTAAAGCTTTCAGCAAGTACGCTTCAGCATACACGAGTTCCTAACATGTACAGAAACAGTTACTTTTTTTTCAATGCAATACCCTCCCCTCCCCCCAAGTTTCCTCTCGTTTTTATGGTAGAATGCTACTCACGGCATGACGTTCGATAAGGGACATGTGTTTCACATCCTCTACTGTTGTGCCTTTGACCCAGCTTGCTACGAGCTGCCATCCATTTTTCTTATTCCTGAGACTAGCGGCAATTCGAATCGTATGTTTTAACGCATCCAACGCTGTCAAAATATCTTGTACTTCAAAAGTCATGACAGATTTCAGATACAAAACGAACGAATAGCCCAGAGACAAATACAAAGAGTCCTTAGAGTGAGGCTTCAATAGACATTCCGCTTCATGAATATTGGAATTCAAGAAATGGTCAAAAGCGATCCGACATTGCTGAATATCTTCTTTCAATTTCGCTTCCGTCACTGCAGGTGGTGGTATATCCAAGCTACTTGTCGAGTTTTCTAAAGTCGGTGTAGTCGTTCCACTACTACTAGCGCTACTGCTGCTGCTGCCGCCGCTGCCGCCACCGCCACCGCCACCTAATGTGAACGGACTGCTTAGTTTAGAAAAGAGCCCTTTATTCAATCCTGACGGTGAATGATGGCTATTGTTTGATTTTGTGTTGTTGGTGCTGTCAGCTGACGATTTCTTCCCAAACGAGAAATTTTTGATGAGTTTGGAATCCATGCCTTGTCAAGGATATCAAAGTCAATGAAAGTAAGATAAGTTGAATAAAAAAAAAAAGTAGTTGAAAAGCTTGATCGTGATATCTATAAACTTTTTTTATTTTATTTTTTTTATTTTTTTTTTGTCTGTATCTCTTTCTGATCACATATTTAATTGTTTCGAGAAGAAACAATGAGTAGACGGGCTTCTTTTTTTTTTTCGTTTGTAAAGATTAATCTTTATGCTCTCATTGGATGGAGATCTATGAAATTGAATTTGAGTCTGTTATAATGCTCCGATCGCTCAAGTGCATTTTTCCAAATTTGAACATCAATGGGGGGCCATTTTATAACAATCATTGGTTATATAGTTTGTTCGTATTGGATATAAAAGATCCATGATAGGGTACTATTGTATACAAGCATCCTACCTCTTGTTGGCTTTTCTCCCCCGAGTTAACAGCAGGAAATTGATGTCTACTAGGAAAAAGGAAACACTATTTTGTAAAGGTTTTTCCGCTCAGACTTAGGGTATCGCACGGTCGGCAAAATAGATTTTGCCGTACCTGAATTAGCATTCAAATGCACCCTTTTTCCATGGTCATTTGTAAGCAATGACGAAACTTTAAAAGTTTAAACTTCACTTTATCATTTATTGGGGACAATAACAAATATCGAACCTTCTATGTCTCTGTTCAAAACCATCTGGCGTAAAAAAGACCGTGGAACAGGTCTTCAGTAGAGATTTCCAAACCGCAAGCACCCAATATTTCTGTAGTTAGCTCATTGGAAGCAGAAGACAGGCGAGAGTAAAATACGGGCTTACCGTATTTTCTCCCATTCATGGCTGATAGCGTCGTGGCTGTTGATCCAAGATAAAAGTCATCACAGTGGGTCCATAACAGAAGAGAGTTTCATTCCTTCTTTTTGCATTCATAGAATGCACATCGCCGTTTTTGTAGAAGGGCACAGACAATAAGCAGAGGATGGAAACTAGAGTAATCCATACGAAAAGAAAATAAATATCAAGAGAAAAAAAAAAAAAGTGTTCTGATGCATTGCTGATACACTCTTTCCAAACACTTTTTACGCATACTTTGTGTGTAGCATTTTGAGCCAAGCACAAGCAATGATTTGCAAGTTGCTAGAAATAAATTTCGCCTAGTGATCAGAAAAGACTTGGCACGCCACAAGTTTTATTTTTGGCGTATGTCACAACTGCAGCTCTTAGTATTTTTTCTGCAATATATATTCGAAATGATATCGTTCATTCATAAAGATGGGTTGGGAAATAGGATGAAGATGGAAAAGATGTCATTATAAATAAACCAGTTTACGGTTTAACGAGCGCCTTCCACAGAAATCCTCCTCTACGTTGAATCTTACCATTGACTTGAAAAGAGATGATGGGGTGACCATTTTTCTGGGCGGCATTCCTTGATAGGACAGCAAGCCTCATTGTGTCTATACAAAGCGATTGATTGGTTGTACTGTCTGTTATATTTGTGGTTATTTGTAGTTGTGAACGCGACTTAAATAACGCGTCAAATGCTTGAAAGTGTGTCTAATTCGTCTTTATATATTATAGGAGGTATGGAAATACCACACTCTGGAGCCAAAAAAAGAACGTTGGCCAAAGCTAGGATTTCTTGAACATTGGGCTCCAGTGGACAAGGTTTTTGAATACTGGCAGCCATGCACTGATACTGCCGGAATTTTGCAGTGACGGGGCCTATCATCCAGTCGTTTTGTATGTCTGCTTGCTGTTGAAGTAGTTGCTGACGTTGGCGCTAGGGAATCGAGCTTGTCTTTGTTTGGTGCTGAAACAGGTGTGTCTGCCTTTGAGGGTGACAGTGATTGTGAGACAGGTGTCTTTGAGTGGCCAAGTGGCGTGGTAGGTGCTTGCAGAGTCATGGCTACAGGCGCTGGTTCAAGCGCGATACTTCGCCTTGGATGACTTGAACTCTTGAGAATTGGAAATCAAAAGATAGTTCGCAGCCTCTGAGCAGTTGTCATTTGCTTCTGTTAAAGCTTGGGCGCGTCGTTGATTACGCCAAAACTCAATACAATCTATGGTTTTACGCCATGTTTCAAATTCTTCTCAAAGACGACTTCTGTGTTCTTCTGGTATACGAGAAACCAGCAATTATCGACATCAACCAGAAAGCGAACACACATTAAAAGCTGCTGATGTCCAATGGTGCATTGGCAATGTAGCCATTCTGTCTGTCCAAACATGTGCGACCATGATTGATGTTGGGAGATGATAAATTCTGGAAGGAGCGTATTTTATCAACAAAAAGAAAGTAAATCTCCAAATTGCAGTTTGTCCTTTTTTGCCTGTAAAAGACAAAAATAAACAAAAATTTGGAGCGGCTTCTTCAGGAACGTTTGTCATCAAAGCGCAGAATTGGTTGTAAACATGCAAAAGCGCTCGTTGTTTGTTAGCTATATGTATATATATATATATAAGTACCTTTTTCCCCAAAAATAAATGCTTACCTTTCTGTTTCTTCTTTTTTTTTCCAATTTCTTTTAAACTATATCTCGCTTTATACAGTCTTATCGAACATGTCGCAAAACATCTTTGGCGTAACACCACTGCATGATGAGTCAGCCATCACTGAAAAGCCGGCGCTTTTTAAACCTTTGTTTATCAAGGATAGCAATAACGAAATATGGAAAATATCAGATCCACGCAATTTTAGAAGAAGTACTGTGCCCAGCTCTTTGTTCCAACTTCCTAGACAGCGACAGCCATCAACAACATCGCTGTCATCAAAAAGATCAAAGAAAGCATCTTTACCACCTCTACCAACACCACCTGTAGGAAGAGGAGCGGCGACGAGCAATAATTATTCGCAATATTTCAACACTGTTAGTACTGTCAGTACACTTGATAGCTATCCAATGACACCATCCACACCCACAAATGCTCAAAGCATGCCACCACTGTCACAGATGTATCCATCTGTAGCGTGTCCTCAGCAGCAACAGCAGCTACCATCACAACAGACATTACGAGAACTATATCTTCCTCAACCATCCATAGCGCCTGCAACCCCACCACCTTTGTCCCCGATGTTCCCCCCACAAGGGTATCTGCCTTTTTCAATGCATCCAATGCACGGAGATCAGCAAGCAATTTCTGAGATAACCAGCGAAACAGAAAACCAAGAGAAATACAATGTCAAGGAAGGACAAGCTGACGGGAATGGCGATAACGGTACAGAAGAGGTTACACTGCTCCGAGAAAGTAAATTATCCAGTCTCCCGTTGAGAGGAGATCAATTGGAAAAAAGCGAACGTATTTAGACACTCATTATTCTTAAATTTCATTAATTAGGATCTGCTCATAGTGGTACATCAAATGCTGCGGATAAGTATGGCAATAAGAAGATCCGTCAAATTACTGTCAAGTCAATCAATAATGATTATAATGTGTGGATTAACGTGGACCCTAAAGATACAGGCGAGTCGATCGCAGCCAAGATTTTTACGATAGCCAGCTTTAAAACACGTAAAGTTCTATCCATAAAGACCGCCTCAGGCCGCAAGATACCTCTTGACAAGACACCTGTTTTTGCAGATTGGGAAATCATGGAGAATTTCAAAAACGGAGAGATATGGACAGTAGAATGGGATAACACAAAGCGATCTTTTGTTGATAAGGTGTTGTCTAAACTGCTTTAGTAAAGGTAGCATTTTTATTTTCGCTTTTTCTTTTTGTTTTGTTTTTAATCCAAGAATGATTTGGTTGGGCATCATTTCATGACATTTACTTGGCGGCGACCTATACACATCCTCCAGCTTTTATATTGTGAGGGTTATGTCTATCGTTAAGTGAATCTGTATGCTGCCTCTGTTCTACATTAGGATTAGTAGTGGTAACCTTATTTTATTTTATTTTTTGCTCCTTTTTTAACCGTATTTAGAATCAGTCGAAAAGTTCAGGTGCTTTTAAGACATCTTAATAAGGGGTGGGGGCCTGGAGCTCTGTAAGCGATATCATAAAGACACACACTCCTTCCCCCTCTCCTCCTCGATTTTTTGCTTTTTTGAAATTGAACACTAGTACTCTTTTTTGTTGGCATGAACACAGAATCGTACTTGCTGCAGTTTCTTAAGGACAAACAAGCATGCTACACAAAAGAATAATAAAAATATATCTGATGGCAGAAAATATAGAAAAATGCTGCTTTCCACTTGTAATGATAATTTCCTGTTTGCTTTTGAATGCTTGTTGATCTCATGAAAATGTCCACTTCTGCTGCAATGTCAACTTACACGACCATGATGCGTGTCAATTCCGAAGGTCGCCCTTTTGCTAAAGTATAGTACTACTCAAATAGATATCAGCATTTGGCCTATTCCCTCTTATTTAATAGAAAGAAATAACCTTTATGCCTGTTGTTTTTTTTGGGTTTTTTTTTTGGTTTCTTTTTTACGATTTTCTTTTTTCATTCAGGACTTGTATGATTTATTTTCAGCTCTCTTGATCCAGTTACCATTATCACAGCATCGCTCTTTATTTAAAACATATCCTTCTACTTTCACAACAGATGAAGCCGTAGAGAAATTAGGACACTTAGAAGTCACCAATCTTGTATACACACCCAACCCGTTGGATGTCAGCAACCCTATCCTTACACGCACGACTACCACGTTCAGTATGTCAAAGGACATGGCAAAGGCACTGGCACAGCATTTCATCCATGCGCGACTGTTCGAAAGCGTGACGGATCCTCAAAACCATAGAAATATACTTAAAGATAAAAGAGGAGGTAGCATCTGGACACTAACGCCAAAAGGAAAGTTTATGATCCAAGATTTTAGCCATCGTGCTCGTGTACCTATAAAGCACATGCATGACCACTTGAATCGTGTTCAGTTGCACTTTCCTATTGTTCAGTTCGAAAGACTCTACGATGATGATCAAATTTCTTACACCAGACAGACCATCGTCGACACTTTCAAACGAATGATGGACTGTATATCCACTGACACGATTTTAATCGACGATATTGGCGGATTGAACAATGTCAATTTTATTGAATATCGAGATACCTTTTACGGTTATCAGAGCTTTGAGTGGATCAGCGAATATACTAGCGTCGTTTCCCAAAGAGAGGCTGAATCTGTTGCCTCTGAATTTCTACAAAATGGCTGGATGGCCCAACTTATTGACAAATCAGACAGGGAATCCTACAAAAGAGAGGATGTAGTCAATTTCAAGTTAGATCGAAGAACACAATACTACATGACAGACAAGGGGCGCCTATTACTGCAAAAGAACAGTAGCCAAAATAGCCACCTTTGTCCGAATGGCAAAACTTTAGCGGCTGCTACAGCAATACCTACTGTAGGATTCACAGACTGTGTTCAACGGCCTAGAAACCAAAGCTCCACGACAGTAAATAGTAGTAATAGCAGTATAAAGACTGCCAACAGCAAAACCAGCACAAACCAGCAACAACTACTTACGTCTCCACCTAAGCAGCATTCGTCATCCCAAACACCAATAGAAAATTTGAAGGCAGAGGATACTGCCGGACCCGGCTATGCGAGCCGCTTGCAATCTACCACTAACTACAGTCTCGCTGAGCTGAAAGATCTGATCCCAAAAGCCTCCATTACACAATACAAAACAGTTGAAGACGGATATGCCTCGAAAGAATCCTTAACAAAGGAAATCAATTCTCTACCAACAGATTCTGTTTTGCAGCTAGATAGTAATTACGATTTTGGATTCTCTTCTATCTCCTCAACAAGCTCAAGTATGACTACGTCAACCCTACGAACAAAGCCATCTCACATAGCTGCGGAAAAACAATTTAACCCTGAGCACCTTGAGCAAACAGGCGAAGCATGTACACAACTGAAAGAGCAGCTACAAGGTCTGGAAGGGACAACGGATGTATCATTACGTAATAACAATGTCCAACCCACCACTAGCACTACACTTTGCGATTATCAAAACAATGCAGTCTTTAAATCACACGCCAGACAAAATTCAAACTCTCAGAACTCCAAGCTACAGAGTATCCTGGAGGACCCTCTCACTCGCATGTATTTCCGTCAATTTCTAAAATCATGCTTTTGCGAAGAGAATATAAACTTCTGGGTAGATTATACAAGTTTACTAAAAAAAGTACAGAGCTCCTTTCTAAATTCTTCTGCTGCTTCATCGATGTCTACTTCTTCTTCTTCATCAACATCAACAACACTGTACAACATAATAGCAGTAGATAGTAAGATATTACCACAGTCGTATTCATACGAATCATTACTGACGCACTGCTATGCCATTTACAATAACTACTTTTGCTCTGACACTGCGTTCAATGAGCTTAATATTGACCATGGGTTGCGCTATGAGATCGCACTATACATCCAATCGATCTTTCCCAATAGTTATAACGATGACAGTTATAAAACTATGAACAAAGAGCTGGGCGACAACAATGGCAGTAGTAGTGATGAAGATATCAATAAAGGTATAGCAGATGCCGCCTATGTACCTTTCGGGTCTATTTCAGTTTCTGCTACTCAGCAACAGCATCATATCATCTCTTCGCCACCAATGAGTAAAAATAACAGCAGTAGTAGTCATGGTTTCCGAAGAAGCAACAGCTATCACCGCAATCGACATAGTAATACTTTTCAACAAGGAATACTGTCACTGAAGGGGACGACTAGTGACACTACTCTGTTGCATCATCATTTATGCAATATACTTCGATTATACGATCATGCAAATGAGCATATTTGCTCAATGATGGCAGAGGATTCTTTACCAAAGTTTCTAAAAACGCAAAAATACAAAGAGTTAATCTCGAAAGCACGAAAACCATCATCAACAGCAGCATCGTAACCATCTCAAAACAATGGAAATAGAAAAAGTGTGTTGCGAATAGCAATGCGCCAGCATTACATTTGATCATTTTCTTATTTAGACAACGCCTCATCCATTTTACTTAAGCATATACTCTAATCAAACATTTACAATTATGATTGCATATTACATGATATCTTACATATGCCACATCTTCATATTATCGTCTAAGAGATAAGAATCACTCATTCATAGTTTCCTCCTTTGTCAGCAACTGTTATAAATCGGTCACTTACATTTTGAATATATTAACGATATAGCTATCCTGTTATCGTTTTGTCTCTATTTATATACTATGGTTGCTCTTCTTTTGGTTATTAGTATTGTCGAGCAGCATATAACGGCCCCAATACATGACGGATTTCGCGGAACTTTGCTTTACTAGGATGATGAGACTCTACAGCATTTAAGAGATTCACTAATAGTAATTCTCACTTTATGTCCAAATGTCAACCTAAATTACTAAGTTCAATAACATACTCATTCAATCTAAAGCATGATAAATCATTAGAATACTCGCTTTTACGAACAGTTTTACAATTTAAGACACTGAATTGATCAGAATTCATTGTACGGATATTGAGTAGATCCATGTAATCTGCACTTCCTACATGCAATACACACTTTTCACATACTAAAAACTTATCCGTTTTTCCATGCTAGGGCCAGCATATGTGACCTCTGACCATAAGCAACATATTGCATAAAAAGAGACCATCTTCTAAATCACTGAAGTATGATTCCGTTTTTTCTTTGTTCTTACTTGCAATATATTACTAGTAGGATAAATGCTCGATTGGAAAGCATATTCAAAATCAAGGTTTCTATGGAAACCACCTGTTACAGTTGACCCACGCAATCAAAGTCGGTTCACCAAAGGACTAATACTGACTTGTGTATCTATAAGTGGGAGTATGTCAGGTTTTGCCAGTACAATTTACTTTCCAGGTACAATACTATTTTTCATGGGATGGTTTGTTGTAAACAGCTAGACATCCAAATAGGTTGATTGAAGGATAATAGTGAAAAAAACAAAAAAAAAAAAACTCAGCATCATTCTTCATAATAGGACTACCGTACATCAACTCTGAATTGAAAACCCAAGCTATAGCTACAACATTGACAGCTGCACTTTATGTATTATTTATGGGATTCACTCCTATTGTATGGGCGTCCCTTTCAGAGGCTCTTGAAATTCGCCGATCACTATTAATTACGTCCATGATAGTATTCGGATTCTCAAGTCTTGGAGCAGCGCTAGTCAATAACATATGGGGTCTGTTAGTTTTGCGGATCATACAAGCAATGGGTGCATCCGCTGGCTTATCAATAGGTGGAGGTACATGGTTAATACTTACGCAGATATAATTAGCTTTACAATTGATACCTTGAGCTTACTTTAATTCTTTAATAATAGGTGTAATAGCAGTAAGTATCCTAATTAGAATGTCTGTTGTAAAATCAGACAGTATGTGTAAACTTTCTTCTACCATTAGGATTGCTTCCCAGTTGAAGAGCGAGGTGCTGCATTTGGTAAATTCTATTTCATGTCTTTTATAGGCCCTTTGATAGGACCTATCTTGGGAGGATTTCTTATCGTAAGCCCAATCACTTGGCGGGCTACATTCCTATTCACTTTTGCGTTTGGATTGTTCATTGCATTAGCCATATTTACTTTATGTCCTGAAACATACCGAGACAATAAAAAATGGGATCTTCAACTGCCAGTCATTTCGCAGAACATGTTCCCTAGAGCACAAACCGTGGTTGAAGAGACTCACCAGGTCGATACATGCTCATCTTTTATCAGTAGAACGGGTAGTGCAAATGGAAGCAGTGACAAGGACAACAACCTAATCAACACAAGCACTTTGATTGCAGATAAGGAGGACGATAAAACACACCAGTCACCGCCTCTTCAAACCCAAGAGAATGGGAAAGCGCCATTGCCCAAAAGAATGAATCCTTTTGCAGGCATGGCCTTATTGAAGCATTCATTTGTTTTACTAGCAGCTCTAACGTCAGGCCTATCTTTCGGTTGTATGCTTGCTGTAGAAGTCTTACTTCCCGATTTATATGAGAAGAATTATGGTTTCAATTCCTGGCAGACAGGTAAAAACCCAAAATTTGGTTTATTGGAGCTATTTAACCAACAATTTGTATGTATATGTAGGGTTAAGTTACATGGGCGGAGGCGTTGGTAACGTGATTGGCTCAGCTTTGCAGAGCTATCTGTCGGATAAGCTATTGCTACGTGCGCGCCGTCGCAGGGGAGGTGCAGCAGTTGTTGAAGATCGGCTATCTGTAAATCTCTGGCCAGCTTCCATTGTTATCATTTTGGGCACCTTGGTATGGGGCTGGTCTATCGAACTTAAATTAAATTATTGGGTACCTATTGTAGCTTTTGGTATACAAACATTTGGAATGAATCAGATAATGGCAGCAACATCTGCTTATATTGTCGATGCCGTGCCTGGCTCCGGTGCATCTGCTACTGCAGCAGCTAATCTGCTACGCATGGTCTTAGCTTGCATTCTCACAATTGCTGCAGAACCACTTGAAGCAGCCGTTGGCCCAGGTTGGACATGTGTGTTAATGGCCGGTTTGGGATTTTTGGGCTTGATCTGTCTAATTATTATTAAAATTTGGGGAAAGAAGCTTAGAGCAAATAGTGGGTATCCCGATATTGATTTTATACAAACCGAAAAATAATGCACCTTCTACTCCTGTAATTTTACCCTTCAAACTCTTTAAACATACTATTATGCATTTGTAGAACACATCTATTAAATATTATATAAAGGGACACAACTAGAATGCACGTAGTTTGAGAACAATGGTAAAATCAGTACACAGATTCATGGTGCTATTGAGCTTGAAGGCGTTCCCACAGCTCTCATTAGCAATTATAATAGTTAGATCTCGAAAGACGGATAGTCTGAAAGAGCACATATCATCTGTTAAGCCTATAAAACGATATATTATGCTTGTCAACGAAGATTTTTCCGCTTTACTTGAAATCACTGCTTCACACATAGAACTGAGATTGGTATTATCTTAGCAGCGCAGGATATCCGTTCTAAACGTACTTTTCTACAGTATTAAGTTATCGTATACTATTAACTAATGGTTGTCTCTTCTAATATCAGCAGAAACAGTTTGAACAGTTTCCAAATAAACCTTCAGAGCTTCAGGGTCTACTGTAGGCAAAATACCATGCCCCAAGTTGGCAATATGCTTAGAGTCTTTTCCAAATGCATGTACCATTCGAGTAGCAATTTCACGAATGGCATCAAATCCACCATATAAAACAGTTGGATCCATATTTCCCTGTAAAGCAACCTTATCTTTCGTCATTTGACGTGCGTATTTGGGGTCAATAGTCCAGTCAAGCGATACAACTTCATAGTTCGATTCTGATAAATCCTCAAGAGCATACCAAGATCCTTTGGCGAAAATTGTCATAGGAACAACATCCAAGCCTTCCTTGGTTAATTGTTCTTTCACTCTTGTGGAAATTTGCCTGATGTAAGGAAGTGAGTACTCTTTGAAATCTTGAGGGGAAAGTTCACCACCCCATGACTCAAATACTTGTAGCATCTATGAATTTTGTACCTCTATCAGCGAAAAGAAGATTATATATTTTCCTTCTGAACGACATACCTGCGCACCAGCTCTGACTTGACCAACTAAAAACTCAATTGCGATATCCGAAATACGTTGTAATAAAGCATGGGATTCTTTGGGGTATTTCCATAACCAGCTTTTTGCTTTGGATAGTGTTTTACTTCCGCCGCCCTCAATCATATATGCCATTAATGTCCAGGGGGCACCAATAAATCCAAAGAGAGGCACACGACCCTCAAGTTTGTGGCGAGTTAAAGTAATGGCCTGATAAACGTACCCTAATTCCTTTTCCACATCAATATTATCAGACAAACGAGCAAAATCTTCAGGCGTCTCGAGAGGTGCAGGAAAAACAGGTCCTTTTCCAGCCACCATTTGAACTTCAAGACCCATGGCTTGTGGAATAACAAGAATATCAGAGAAAATAATCGAAGCATCTAAAAGCTTCCCGTACCGCCTAATCGGTTGAAGTGTCAATTCACAAGCAAATTCTGGAGTACGGCAAATCTCAAAAAAGCTATGGTTCTTCCTCACTTCTTGAAATTCTATGTGTTTTGAATGATAAAAAAGCAAAACAAAGGGCATGCCAAAATATGATGAAGACCAGTCAATAAATAAGGCCTAGCAGCAGCTTTTTCGCGTATAGTTCTCTTGATGGAATCCACAATCAGTTACCAGGTAAATAACGTCCTGCTTGTCTCATGATCCATATAGGTACTCGTTCTACTTTTTCGCCTATAAGTGATCAATGACAATACGAGTCAGCTTGGTGAATCATAACCGAATTTCTCCAACACAATACAATAGAGTATCTTACCCCTTGAGGCACGCAGAATGAGGTCATTTTGAAGTTTAGGAAAGTTTTCAGCTTTGAGATTCGTCATGGGGAAAGAATAGTTTAAGCTACTTTAAATTTAGCTAGGCAAATTGCTCAGGCCCTTTTTAATTTGAATAACAGTCAGTACACCTCGGAAAATACAGATAAACTCTATTGTGAAACAATCGCGTATGCAAACAAAGTACACTTCTAATTGACTTGACAGGTTAAAGCACTTGACCGTTTCTATTACGAAATTCAACGGAAGGCATGAGGCACTTTATTTCAATTAAAATCAAATAGATTTTACGTATTTTCCTTTTCAACAGATTAAGCAACGATAATGCTTGCCATGATTGAGAACAGCAGGTTAAAATATACTGAGAACGCTTTTTTAATTAGCAAACAAATGCAATAGAGTATTTTAGCTTATATTTTAGATCATTTACAATTTAAAATGAACAATATGTATTTTATATTTAGATTTATTTTATAAAATTTTTAAATAAAATTCATAGGTTTTTGGATATTTGGATACTCAATTATTCTATGATATCCAAGTAGCATTAAGGATGACATACAATCGAACCCTAGATGAGTCTCTATCAGTAAAAAGATGTCAATAATGGTTTTATTGACGTTATCTTGCAATAAACCAAATTACAAAAAGCTTGACAACTTTTTTATTGAATGACGATATCATCCAAGACCAACTAGATATTCGTCGATACCTTTTTTGGACGTTTTCAAACCAGCGAAGAAGAAGAAGGCATCGCCGTAATAAACACGGTTTTTATCATTACAGGTAAGGAATAGTCCTTTTTTTTGTTTTTTTTTCGCACTACTGACAAGTTTTTAACGATTTACATTTTCGTATACAACACAATTGCAATTCGTCTAAAAAAAATATTAATTGTCCAAAAAAAAAATTGTATTTTATCTAAAATATTAGTTAAACTACTGTAGAAGTCCGGGATATATTCATTTTCTTTGACATCATGAAATTAAATTTCTCCTTTAATAAAAAGCATGGTATAAAATAATAAACACGGAAAGGAAGTAACGTTGTGCTCTTTCCTAATATTCTACTCTATCTGATTTTGACACCGATGAAAAAATTTCTACTAATAACATCTGCCATTATTACTCTGCTATCAACAGTAGTCTTTGGAAGACCAGGAGAAGAAGAATATCTAGCCAATAATAATGAGCACACATTTATACAAATTCTCAGTTGGGATGAGGCTTATGAAAAAGCCAGGCCCTTAGTCGAGCAAATGTCTTTGGAACAGAAAGTCAACATAACGACTGGCTTGGGATGGGAAGGTGGACGGTGTGTTGGTAACACCGGGAGTACCATCAATCCAGATTTTCCTGAATTATGCTTACAAGACTCACCGCTTGGTATCAGATTTGCCGACGGAGTTAGCTCCGGCGTGGCAGGCGTGAACGCAGCTGCCTCTTTTGATAAAGAAGCTATCCGTAGACGCGGCGAATATATGGGCGCCGAATTTCGTGCTAAAGGAATTCATGTTCAACTAGGTCCCGGTGTCAACATGTTGAGAGCGCCTGAAGGTGGTAGACTTTGGGAAGGTTTTGGAGAGGACCCCTATTTGGCTGGTATTGCCGCAGCGGAAACTATTCGCGGTATTCAAAGCCAAGGAGTTGTAAGTTTTGCAGCTTTATTTCTATATAATGAAAGACTATTTTTAATTTTTAAAATATCTTATGATAGATGGCTACTGTGAAACATATCATTGGAAACGAACAAGAAATCAATCGTGAAAAGGTAACTCCCAGATTTATACTTACGAGTGGTGCTTCGATGTTGAAGGAACCTTATTAAAAACACATATTATCAATCAGTACTCAAGTGAAATAGATGAGCGAACAATCAATGAAATTTATCTATGGCCATTTGCAAGAGCAGTCGAAGCAGATGTAGCTTCAGTTATGTGTGCATATAACCAAGTCAACGGTCAATACGCTTGTGAAAATGATTATGTTCTAAACCAATTGTTGAAAACCAAGCTAGGGTTCAGAGGCTTTGTACAGAGTGATTGGGCAGCGACACACTCGACCGATCTTAGCGTACTCAATGGATTGGATATGACAATGCCAGGTCAGTCCTTCGCTTACATTTAGCAAAAGTTTACCTCATTTGACCAATATATATTTAGGCGACATTACATTCCATTCTGGAGATTCATACTTTGGAGCCAATCTGACTAAAGCAGTAAAGGAAGGAAGAATTGACGAGGATAGGGTTACTGATATGGCAATGAGGATAGTAGCTTCTTGGTACAAGGTAAACTCTATCAAACTGGGATTATATATACTGTTATTCTCTGTTAGTGATTTAGAAATTTCTTATTCAATTCTTAAATAGTTAAGACAAGATGAGGTATGGTCAGTTTTTATATATGACATTCAACTGGCTTCTTACATTTTCTATTTATTATTTGAATTAGGGCTTCCCCGAAACCAACATTGACAGCTTCAGACCAGAAAACGATAAGCATATTAACGTTCAGGGTAACCACCATATTGATATCAGACAACTAGGCGCAGCATCGACTGTACTTTTGAAAAATGATGATAATATATTGCCCTTGAGCATTTCCAGAAAAAGGAAGCTTGCTGTTATTGGATCTGATGCCGGGCCCGCCAAGAAGTAAGCTTTACAGGAAAAATTAGTAGTGCTTACAATTATTTATTCAATGCATTACCATTTTATTATCGTAGTGTATTAAACTGCCCCGATCATGGTTGCAATGATGGAACACTAGCACAAGGCTGGGGCTCTGGTACAGCAGCTTATCCATATTTAATCACGGTAAGTTAGGTACGCGTATAATGAAACATCTTTTGGATCAAGCCTCTTATCAAAACATATATGTTTTACTCCAGCCTTATGAGGGTATCAAAAGCAAGGTTGGAGACCGTATGACTGTAACAAAATACCTTGACCACACGAATTTGAAAAAAGCAGCTAAAACTGCGTCCGATGCCGATATTGCCATTGTATTTGCTAATTCCAATTCAGGCGAAGAATTCATCGTCGTCGACAATCATAGGGGCGATAGAAATGATTTAAATCTGTGGAATAATGGTGATGAATTGGTAATACCGAAAATTGGGAACAACGTCTGCTGAATTCAATTCCATTCATTCTATTTTAAATATCTCTAGATCAAAGCTGTAGCCGATGCTAATGAAAACACCATAGTTGTTATACATTCTGTTGGCCCCGTCAATATGCCTTGGGTAAGGCATCCAAATATCAAAGCTATTCTATGGCCTGGTTTGCCTGGGCAAGAATCCGGCAACAGTTTGGCTGATGTATTATTTGGTGATGTTAATCCATCAGCAAAACTACCTTATACGATCGCTAAAAACCCTAAGCATTATCCTGCAACCATATCGCTTGGGAATACCACTGAACACGTTGTAAGGACACATATATATGTAATAACTTGGCTAATACTGAAATGAGTAAAGCTAATGGTAAAAATAATAACTTAGATTCCTTATGAGGAAGGGCTATATATTGGCTACCGCTGGTTCGATAAAAATGATATAGAGCCTCTTTACCCATTTGGTCATGGTTTATCTTACACCAAGTTTCAATATTCTCATGGTCGAGTACAAGTTGTACAAGGTAGAGCAAACAATATAACAGTTTATGCAAACATCACTATAAGTAATGTAGGTCATTATGATGGTGCTGAAGTCGTCCAGCTTTACTTGACATATCCCGCTATTGCCGAAGAGCCTCCTCGAATACTTCGTGGTTTTGAGAAGGTATTCATTCCTCGAGGCTGTGAGGAGACCGTATCTTTCAAATTATCAAAGGAAGAATTAAGTTACTACGCAGTCATTGACCATGATTGGGTTGTACCAAGAGGCGATTTTGTTTTACATGTTGGCTCTAGCAGTCGCGATATTAAATTTTCCAAAAGATTTACACTAGATTAAATTGCAAATTATGTAAATATGGTTTTTGTGCAGTGTTAATGACTAGCTTCGACACCCTCATGATGAAACTATAAATTAATCCATAAAATGTTAAATATTTTAAGTTAAATTAAAAAGCTTCTGGTAACTAACGGATGGTTATAAACTGGATACAGTTTACTCTGACCGACAAAGGAAATAAGAGTGCTGTGACACTGTTGTTCAATTTAACTTACAAATTCAATTATAAACCATCACTCCTCTAGTCACATTGAATTAACAATTGCATCGAATGGAATTGAAAATACTATCCGAGATGAGTTCAAAGTAGTTACAAATGACACGGTATCTTTTATTCTTGGTTTGAAACAGACATTATAGTGGTTCTACCTCGTGAGAGATATACTGACTAAGGCAAGCAAGCAGACAATTGGCGTAATCCATTACAAACATGGCTAAGGCTGAAAGAATCTAGGGTATAGTTCGTTTAAATTTCTTCAGAGGAATATAAACATATAAATCCGGCTATTCCTGGCTGTAACTTCTCAGCTTGGCTCAGAATAATTTTGAAATCAGCCTTATGATAAAGAGCCAATGCATTCATACTTCTGTCAATCAGATCTTTATCATCGTGCTGTTTCGAGATCGCATGACTGAAGGGTAGTAATAATTAATATAATAAAATTCAAAGAGTAGGTAGAGCAATAAACACACTTACGTTTCATTTTGTACAAATTTAATCAGTGCTACTGCTTTCCGGACCACAAGTCGCTTCCATTGCCTCATATATGCTTCCCTCATTCTCACTGGTAATTTTTGTGTTTCTTCTATCAAGCTTTCTACCATAGGTGCTATGCATTCCATTTTTTCCAAAATGATGACGCGTTTACTATTAAAAAGTATGTCAGTTATCACGCATGCAATGCCAGTGATTTGTTTCAATTTACCTCCAGTCATTTAGATGCGTTTCTATTGATTGCGGTTGAGAAGAAGGCCTTTCGGCATAATTGGCGAGCTTTTCCTCTAATCTGGATGCTTTTAAATTAAGATATTTTGTTCTAAGTCGAGCGTACCCATTATACAGTGGTGTCCTTCGTACAGTTAGTTTGGTAATATCAACAACAGTAGTAGGGATCAAAGATTCCAAAATTGCAACCTGTATGCGAGGGTCCATTTCTTCCAGATCCTTAATATCAGAGAATATACCGTTAACAGTTTAATCGCAACACTGTAATAATGTTAGTTCCTACCTGCGTTAAGAGCCCTTGTAGATATAAGTCAGGCATATAATGGTGATGCTTTCTTGCATGGCTTGATTTACATCTTTCTTCTATAGTTAGGAACAATGCTAGTGTATTTATAACCTGTATCGTTTGAGCACAGTTTCCCGTTACCATTGCATTCACATGTTTGTCCTACCTGATTCATGGTGATCAAAGTGTTACCAACCAACAGTGTGGAGCCAAAAGTTTGCAGATGTGAGGTGATAACCCTTTTTGAAATTGAAAATTAAATTTTCTTTAGTTCAATCTGTGTAACAGAAGAACTATAAACAATTTCACAAACTTCGCCATAAATTGACTTTCCAGCATGTTCTTGGAATCATTATCTAATATCGTTTGCCCAATCTTTTATGAAATTTCGAGAGTTAATAATGGATCATACTGACACGGTTTTGAACACACTCATACTTTCACACATTCGATTGGTAATGAGACTGACTCCAAATCCATAATTGATTTGACAAATGGTATTAAATACTGAATTTGGTAGTGGTTCAAAACCGTCGACCATGGCTATTAAGCAACACGGTTGGTGTTAGGAGAAAAACCAAACACATCACCTCAGCTGAATTGTGAACGAGGCTCTATATTGCTTACCAAAGATAATTGCTGATAAACCTTGCGTAATTTTATTAAAGGTTCTACTAACTGTAATGGTATTCGATCGCATAAAAGTTGAAAATACCGGGAAAAATTACGCAGATAACGCACAGGCACCACAAACACAAGCGCGCATAGCAACTCTATCGTAGGATCATAAAATAAAAACCCTGCACAAACGATGGCTTCGTGTCTATGCGATAAGACAATCCATTTAGGCTCTGCAATTGCTTTTATATTTCTTCCCACTTCTCCATTCAATATTTGTCGTGCTATGAGTGTTCTAAGCTTTTTTCTCTTCTCATCTACTGATACATGGTTTGACCATACTTTTTCTACCTTTGGGCCCATTACATATGACCATTGTATTAAAAGAGCCTCTGAGAAAAAGGAAGAATCAAAAATGCTCAACCCATCATTCAGTGCTGCTGATGCAGATATGGCCGGGATAGACTTTTGAAAGTTACTATTGCTGGCTCCCCTCATATTCCTTTTGCTACTCGTCAACGTCATTTCTACGCAAATCATCGTTGTAAAGTTTAGCATTGATATACTATTATCCTGTAAGTAAAAATGCAAATACCATCTGCAGCAAGTTGGAGTGCGGCCACTGCTTCAGAAGGTGCTGATTTCACTAGAGGAGACGGTAAGTCGACTTCAGTTGAACGAGGTCTTGCTCGACCGCTTTCGAATGTCGGTGATGGTAGAGGAGTATCCGTTGAGAATGGTGATGGTTGTGCTTCAAAAGCTGGAGTTTTGACATGGTGATGATGATGATGCACAGAAGGTGTACGATGTAAATCACTCAGCAAAGCGTCGTTATCAGCTCCTTCCGAAAATGAACTACCAATATGGCCATGACCATCGGTTTTGTTCAACCTTGAAGTGGAAGTAGACGACACTGATAACTGGTCCAAGTGCGAAGCTGCTTTGTCGCTGTTTGTGGTTACACCTGTCACAACAGCCGTAGTCGTTATTTCCAACGTTTGTATAGCCGTTGTTGAAGTCAATGCTCTTGCCATTTTCAAACGATTAGGTTGGCAAGGTGATGTTGGGTCAGTCATCTTCAGCTATTGTCGATCTAACTATCTTAACCTGTGAAGTGAGAAAGACAGAGAGTAAGAGAAAATTGTAATCCGCTTACTTTCTCAAACGGATACTCGGAAAATCAAGAAGCTTAATGAAAACTATTTCAAAATATCACTCTTTTGTATGTAGTCACAATACTACAACGTGCATGATAGATGTTACATTAGGTATTTTTTTTATACATGGAAAAAGCTATTCAATCATTTTACAATACCAGCTTGGAAAGTTGAACCCAAAACCAGTGGGGCAAAATTTTCATTATACTGACAAAGTCTTTTCATTCTTAATGCTAGTCGTACAGAACGCCTTAACCTTCTCGTAATTCCGCAAAGCTATCAGTTTCTTCATTATAAACCCAACTGGTAAGTTCGACACCATAAGGTTTGGGTCGTAGTTCATAAACACTATTTTGTTACAGCAGGGAATGAGAGATTACTCTTAAGATCATAACGTGCTGAATTCATTCAAAAGCTAACTTACGTGTGTATTGGTACAAGCATATGAGGCATTTCTTGTCTAGACCATTCGAGCAAATAACCCAGTAAGATACGCAATACAACCCTATGAGTAATTATCAGACAAGAGTTACTCATCCTCTCCAGCTCAATAATCATTGACTGCAATCGATGAATAACATCTATGTATGATTCGCCCCCCATTCCAGGATAACGATAGTAGAGTTTGTCCTTTTGTCTTGCCTCAAATTCGCCTGGATATTGTGCTTTAATTTCTTCGTAAGTCATACCCTCCCGAGCCTATACCCAGCATACATGAAAATGTGGGCCAATAAGTACCCATCTATCTAATCGAGTCCCAGTACTAGGCTTAAATACTTACGCCTGAGTTTATTTCGTTCAGAAATCGTATATGCTATAAGATGAGGTAAATAGTAAATATAGTGTGTGAGCCTTTCAGTTCGAATACAGAATCCTTAAGCATAAATTATGAACAGGTATAATAGATTACCTTAATATCATACTCATCCGGATCAAATGCAGCTGCTGTTTGCATGGATCTTTTCAACATACTGGTCCATATTGTAAATTGAGAGCTGTTAATTGCTTCTGCTGTCGCTTGCACTGTCTTCTCTTCTACATATCGACTTTTCGCTTCTTGTTCCTCATCATCTGAATCTCTTAACGGGTCCTTTGATTCCTTTTGCTCCTTCATTTTCCTACGCGCTAAATCCAAAGCAAATGCAACACGTCGTTCCTTCACAAACCTTGCTAAAGCTTTTGAAAACTTTTTACCCAATGTTGACAAGGGTGCGTCGCCTCCAATTCTACCGGTCAGGTTATCCTCACTTTCGCCATGACGTGTGACGAAAATCTGACGCTCTAAAGTAATAGATCGGATGATATGAAATTAGCACTAGATTTTATGCATAACAATCATGTAATCGTATACAGTAAATGGATTTACCTGCCAAATTGAAGTTCATTAAATAAAATACACATTGACCAGATAGATAACCAGAAATATTAAAAGCGATCACTTTCTTGCCTACATTAATCAATTTGCAGTATTGTATATCATGCTCCTCTTCCCATTCGCTTATAGTTTGGTAAGCTTTTTCATAGTTGAGAACACGATGCCTGAAATCAGATAATGCTTTGGTTGGGTCTTTATCCTTATAATCTGGGCCTGAGAGCTTTAATCGAAAATTTCGTTCCAAGACCTGTATGTGACGTCACCCAAAAAAGAAAATGACTATTACGTTCCTTTGCCATAGCAAATCTCATCAATCACTGTTTTTCGTACCCTTGCGTCAGTACAAAGTGATTCTAAAAACAATACTTTCATATCTGGCTCCTTTTCTAAGCGATCAATAAGCAGTTGTCTATTTGAGATTCAATAGATGTACTAAATAAGCCTTCTGTACTATGTCTGTCACACGATAAATGCATGAACTAACAAACCTTCTTTGACGGGTTGAATTTGTCGCGTCATGAATAGCAACACGCCCTCCTCCATTTCGTAGCCAGTCAATCAACTGTTCCAAAACTCTTAAGGCTAAATCATCACGTATTTTCGAGCCATCCTTATTTTCCGGGTCGAAGAACTCGGCTGACTGATTATGATGTTGGGATGCTTCATCCGCACGACGCAAGTTGCCAACGTTAAAGACCTATGAAAAAGAGGGAGAGACAGAAAAACTTTAGTCAAATTAGATGATACTTAAACCATAATGAAATTGATTTATTTTTTATTTTTATTTTTATTTTTATTTTATTTTTTTTGCTTTTCTGACGTACCTTTGTTTCATATTGAAGCCAGTTTAAATAGCGTCGTAATTTTTTCACGATATAACTTTTTCCTCTTGCAGGTAATCCGACTATTTTAAACAGATGAAAAATGAGGAAGGAGGAATATAGATATCTCCATAACTGAAACGCGTTTAGTTTTGAATATCCTTTTACCCATGATTACGACAAGCTTACTGTCCAATTGTCTATTTGCTTTGAGGTCTAACATAGCATAAAGAGTACAAGTCAGTAGATGTACTATGAAAGATAAAGTGTGTTCTAGGAGCATGAATTACTTGGAGTGACGATAGTGTGTACTGCTCCAGGCACATCGAATCCAACGCTATGCCTGTTCACCAGTGTATAATCATCCAATTTAAATGGTGAAGCTGCTTTTAATGGCTGTTGCTTCACTTGTTGCTCGTCTTTATTGCTTTCTTCAACCATTACGGGTATTTCTGGTTCTATTTCTTGTTGCGGTGATTGACTTAGCGATAGACGAGACCAGTCCTCTGCTTCCCAATCTTCATCTTTCTTTAGCACAGGCAAGTGCTTGTCTTTACGCTCATGATATTTAGCAAACATTCTACAATTATTAACGAAAGGAAGGAAAGATAATTAAATAAAAAAAGGAAAAAAGAAAAGTAAATAGAAGTACACCTGCCTGGAAACATCTGCTAAATGTGGAGTAACAATTATACCCCCTTTTTTCGCTTGTTCAAATTTTTTATTTCCAGTGGCATGAATTACAATGTTTTAGCTTCAACTTTACACTTTATACAAATTATATTGGACAATATATATATTTAATTTAGATAAATTTAAATTATTTTAGGATGAAATGGTATAATATTCTTGGACGATTTATTGAATGAATAATTGTAGACATTACTTTGAAGGTCAGTGGACATTTTTCAATAGATAGTGGCATTACGTTAAAGTACTACGAGACGTAGTGAGTATTATAGTGTGACACAGGTCTTATCAGCAATAGATATAGGGTTGTAGTTTACGAGACTTTATTTATGGATCATATGAATTGATCTACGCGTTAAACTAATCCCAGACACGTTCTTCCGCCACGTAGATAACGGTTGTTGTTGTCAATCGTAACAAAAAAATAGATGTTGTCAAACTCGAAGCATTTACAGATAAAAATATGTTTGACATCTTTCCTTTGATTTCCATCTTCTTCTTCTTATTCTTCTTTCATCTTTCTTTCCTCATCCTGATAGCTATTACTTACCATGTACAAAGCCCAAATCTTGCAAAAAATTAAATCGGTGGCAGAAGCCCATAAGAATAAAGTCAAAGATGAGTCCTTCCGTAAGTAACACATGAGCGCGCTGCCACAAATAAGTTATAGTGGTAATCCTCAGATTATGTTTTGTATGACTAGTAAACATCGAGTGCAAGGATTGCAAAACACTCGGACATTTCAGCAAGGCATACCATGAATGCAAGTTTTACAAAGCAGTTTCTGCAGCTGATGGTAAGTATCATGCTCTCACTGCAAGACAAGTTTATGTTTGCTTAACGGAAATTTAGTTGGAAGTAGCGGTAAGAAACGTAAGCAATCAGCTACAATCAAGGAAGAAAAGAAGCAAGCAAAGAGAAAGAAAAAGCAAACAACTGGAGATATCAAGTGTATCAGTTGTGGCTTAAAGGGTCATTCTACTTCTCGTTCTCTCGAATGTCCCAATCACATTGCTTCAAAGGAAGAAGTTATTACCTCGACGCTTGGAGAAGGCTCCACTGTATTCACGAGGAAGCTCCCTCTTACGTCTACTGTGAAGCCAGCGTTTCGCCAACAATTCCAAGAAAAAGTCATCTCTTGCTGCGCTGACATAAGGAGAATAGTATTCTCTAGTCAATTATTCGTTAACTCGTACCTCATTCATTGTCAGGAGAATAAAAGGAATGCAAACAAAGGCGAAAAGAAAGACACTGATAAAAACAGCAACAAAGGCAGTAAAGAAGCCAACAAAGAAGACAGCAAGAAAGTCAGCAAAGAAGCCAACAAAGACAGGTCTATTCCTGATGTATTCTGCCAGCAATTCTGGTATTCAGTAGGTCAGCTAGTAACGGGCAAGCAAGTTACTCACAAAACGGCATTATCCGAGAACATAAAACAGTATTATACAGACTTCAAGGCAAAGTTCCCTACTATCGAAGTAAAACACAAGCTGACCGTGGGATATAGCCATTGCCTTACAGAGGCAGCAAAGGAATTGAGTGTCTCTTACACGAACTCCATTGTAGAGTGCTTCGAGCAGCGCTTAACAAAGTTCCTTACTTACAAATTGAGAACTATGCTCCCGGTAAGGCTGTAACCGAGTACCTTCTTAATGCTCTGCTGTTTTATTCATTTTATTTCTCTTTATACACATTCTAGAATATCAAACGCACTGATGTACAAAGAATTGTACAGCTGTATTGTTACCAATCTGTCTGTCATGGTCGTCCTCATTGGCCAGAAAACCTCGAGCTGGCGGCCGTTGACAAAAACCGAATTGAATTACTCTGCAAACAATTTGAAGAGTTCATTCCAGGAGAAGTAACCCTCGTTTCTCTTTCTGCTGCTCCTGCAAAGTTTGTTAATGCGTTATGGAACATACAGTTTACGTACGAGCAAGAACATATACAGCATAAACCGTACGATGTCCGTGTCCTACCACTTCCTCAGCGTTTCTTTCTCTTTCCTACTCCATCGCTGAAATGGCGTTTCATCGTGATAAGTATAAACGCTCTTACACCCTTCATGTTTCCCGGAAAAGTTGCCAAGGGTTATACAGCCCAACTCGAACAATTCTGTAAAGTCTTCGACTTCAAAAAGTTTGGCTTTAAGAGGTAAAACTATAGAAGAACTTCTTCAGCAAAATTATGCCTAATAGTAAACACACCCCTATTTTTGCTTCTGTCATAGTCTAACCGCTTTGAAGGAAAGTTCTGATGTAATGTTTCGAAACATGGCTAGGTCGGACGGCTTTACTGTAGACTTTTTGTTCAGCCGCAAAAAGAAAACAAAAGAAGACATGACCATTCATAATCACACCGTGACTTTGGAAAATTTTTCTTATGACGAAGTACAAGACAATTACAGACCCGCTTTCCTTGATCCAGGGCGAAGATCTGTCTTCACAGCGGCAATCGGACTAGATCATAACAAACTTCAAGTACGCAGCTGCTCTACCAAGGAATATTATCATATGACCGGAAGTATCAGATACGCTGCAAAGCTGGAAAAGAAGAAAGCAGGCACAATTAAAATGATCGAAAGTGGCATACCAACCGCCAAAACTTCTATCATCGAACAACATGACCGTCATGTACAATATATGTTGCAGCACTTCGAAGCCTTGTTTTCTTTTTACAGCGAGAGAACTGCTGAAGACAGATTTCGTTTATACCAGGGTCAAGAGCGTGCTACCAACAACATGGTCAATTTGCTTATTAATGGAACCACAAAGTACAATAAGCAATTGAGGTTGAAGAAGAAGAAAGATCGAAGCAAGTGGCCAAAGAAGAATACCGACAGAATGGCTTTTTGTAAACGTAAAAAGAAGAAGAAGAAGAAGCAAAAGGTTCCAGAAGAGAAGGAAGAAGCAGATGCGAGAGAAGTAAGCGATGTTCTCGCTAAGAAAGATAGGTAAGGTTTTTAAATGATAAGCAATTCATCCACTATTCGCAGAAATATTGATAGAACTCATGCTTTCTACAGTAATCCCCTGAAGAACAAGTGGAAGCCTGAACCCTTTAGTGTAGGCGACACTAAAAAGATCCCTTTGATTGTAGTTGGTAATGGCATGTTCGGGAAGAGTGCAGTGCCCATCAAAGGCCATAAGACTGGTGTCGTGGGAGTTCTTTGGCGTGCCTTGAAGCGAAGAGAGGCTGCTGGCGATTTGCTCGTATTAACCATTGATGAATACCTAACTTCTCGAATATGCAATAATTGTCGTTCCAACAATCTTGAAGCATTGAAGACAGTTCCCGGCCAAAGTATCCTTGCCTGCAAAACCTGTTCGATACTTTGGAACCGGGACGTCAACGCTGCTAAAAACATGTTGACAATTAGCGTTTCGATCTGGAAGTCAACGGGAAGACCTGCGGAGTTTTCTAGAAAACCAAAATCACCCACAACAACCACTTAAACATCATCCTCTAATCGCCAGCACGAAGCTGGTTTGATTTTTACAGGTAAGCGTCTCAATTTTGTGGAGTTTGATCCTGAAACTATAACTTAATGATCTCAAAAATTTACTTTTTTCGTCTAGTTATATTGCGGCTTCGTCTAAACCCAAAGCTAAAAAACTGTAGATATACTTCTTAATATTTGTCAAATGTATTCAATAGTTAGTTTGTTACATATTTTGCTATGAACCGATTTCGACTTCAATCACATATTCAATGAAATATATCGGCATAGTAAGTAAAAACAGCTTCTCGCTTCCGCTGGCTAAATACATGCCGCCTCATATATTATCGCTATGGTATGCACTTTAAACCCGCTAACTATCTTAGTGGTACAATCACATCCATGCTTCGTATTAGATAGATTTTTGGAGGCATTCACACTCTTGATTACACGACTTTTAAGACTCAAAAACGATAGAAAATATGAATTCAGTTTATGCTATGATTCTTAAAAAAAAAAACTTATGGTCTAATACTAATGTACACAAATAGTTTGAGATATCTGGAATTTTTTACTTCTACGGGATGTAAAGCTATGAATCCAAATGAATTAGGAGTGACCTATTCTCGTCAACGAAGCTCCACCCATCTGCGCATACAAGAATTAGGTGTGAGATCTATTCAATAATAAGGGTTGTGTAAATACTATAGCCATTCATCCGAGATCTGGTGGAAATGATTTAAACCATACCAAAATTATCCTCTGCATTGCAATGGCATTTCAATTGTAATTCTCGCGCAACTGGACAATGAATGAATGGATCATGTTTGTAACCGATATCGTTAAAGAATTGAACTTCTGATTTGTTTAAGAAAAGGCCGACAGCAATTGAATGGACTGGCGCATCACCCCATCTATATATTGAAACAGATTGGTACCATTAGCAACCACCTGTTTCAATAGACTATAAATTATATTGCACGCGTACCTTTCATAGAAGAAACCTCCGGACTTATCCAAATAGTCAAAAAATGCAGTATACTCTGGGCTTCTCAAAAACTTCAAATCACCAATTTCAAAATTACTCCAAAAGTGGCATAAATTATAGCTGTTACCGTTATCGTTTGATATAAAGTCTATTAGGTTGTTCTTGGCAATCAGTTCACGGTTCTCCTTTATAAATTGCTTTGTGGTTTCCCATAGGGTAGGAATGGTAGCTTCAAATTCAATCAGAGATATAGTCCAGCCATACTTCTTATTGTTCTCCTTCATGTATAAAAATGGATCGTAATCAATATCACAATAAAATTCAACACTAGGCTCTACTCGCCAATAATATTCATAATCTTGCAATAAAGGATGTTTGTAAAAGAAGCCACTGTTGAATCTGTTGGGTAAACATTGTTTATAAATCCGTTAGTCGAATTACAAATCAATACCTTCTACGGCTTTGCTTATCCTTTAGGTACCTGCACATGTGTCTGTAAGATAGACTTCCACCATAAATGATACCCTTCTCTTCCATCTCTTTACGTAGTCTGTCAGCTTTTTCGATATCGATCCAGTCAGGATAACTCCAGTGCTCTTTGGGAATGAGGCCTATTGTTAAAGCATCATTAAAATTTATTTTTCTCTATTAAAAATAAAGCCGAGAATTCGGTTATGCTCTGTGCTACTATCGATACCATATTTAGTTTCGGCATTCGTTAGACTTGAGGTCAACTCTATAAATTCCTCAGTGAATTCTACATCGTTTAAAAAGACATAAGGGTAGTTGAATTTGTGATTGAATCTTGCTTCTAACTGTTGAATTGTTTTTCGTAAAGCATCTAGTTCGTTATTTCTTGTCAAGATAACAAAAGCTGCTTTGACTCGAGTGGTATTTTGCCATGCTGGTGGATCGTTGACATCGGGCAGATTTGGATGATGTAGCATTGACGGATGTGACACTAAGGAGGATGATTTCCTCGAACCATTACTGTTGTTGTTCGGTGCTCTTAGCGGCCATAAGAAAAAACATATACAAAAGAAGAGAAAACCGATATACAAGAATATCGGTTTCCTTTGATTTGAATTAATAACAACCATGTTATAAGAGATATGTGTATTGTTCTCCTTCCGTTATATAGAAGAAGAACCAAAGGTATCCAAAAAGCAAAAAAGAAATAAAACGAAAAAAAAAAAAGCACAATTACGAAGGAAAAAATGGGTTCAAATTTAGACGTGAAATCTGCGATCTACCAGCAAATGATTTTATTACGGCTAACATTGCAAGAAAAAAAGCTTTTAATGAATTACAGTGGATCCTTGAGCAGTTGGATTTTGACTAGGATATTTTGTATCGTCTTTAGCGTTCATTGAGGGAGGTGGAGGTGGCTGCTTAGACTTCAAATCTGTTGATTCTGTGAATAAGACATCAGTTTCTGCGCGCTATGTATTATATTCTGAAGACAACTTACTCTTATTAGCATTCGTTCCTTGCGGCTTTGGTCTGGCCCACACAACCTTTAAAGAGTATCCCTTCAGGTTTAACCCAACCTCTGATACTTTCTCTGCTGCGAGTTCTGCTGATGTTCTCGTCGTAAAGTTAATGAATGCACACTTTGCTTTATGAGATACAATAACAGATTTGATATCACCAAATACATAGAAAAAGCCCCTAGACAAATTTTAGCACAAAATTTAAAGGAGTATATGGAATCAATTATCTATTTCCGCTGCTAATCATATTCGATAATCCCAACTTACCTGAAGTCCTCTTCAGTTATATCACTATTAACACCTGTTACAAACAATGTTGTTACAGTTTTATCTTCTGGTGGCACTAACGAAGGCGCACCAGTACGAACTCGGCTTAGCATTTTATGAGCTACTGGATCATTTACACCATTATAACGATCACGAATATTTTGTTTTGCTGTAGCTTCATTTTCAACAGGGAGTTCGTGTCTATACGGACAGGCATCTCCACGTTTACATTCTCCCTTCAAAAAGAAAGAACAAATGTGTGCTCTATTACGTTTGTAGTATGGCTCATTTCTTACTAGTTGATCCAAGATGCCTCTACTTTCTGGCGTAAGCCTACTGGAGTCATATACGGCGTCACCTTCTTCAGTCTAGAAAATTAATGTTAACAAGACTAAGCCATCATGAAAATGAATAAGAAGAACAACCGTTGATAATAACAAATTTTACTTGTTTGGCAAGATTTTGAGCAAAATACTGTCGATTTATATCTGTCGAAGGTGCTTCGGATTTCAAACCTAGAGCTTTGTCTCTCACTTCCACCGGTAATCCTATCATAGATAAAAGATAATACTATAATCAGAGGTCTCCTCTCAACACACATCGATTCCTTCACCAAAAATACCATATTGCAGATCGAGGATACAAGTTTGACAAACATTCTTGACTTTTGCACAGGTTTGACAGATCTCGGTCTTTTTATGTCTCGCATGGCTCCCAGGTTGCCATCGGAATACTGTATAGGGTCTTTGGCAAATCTAACATGATCGTATAAAATGGTTAGTGTATAATGCACAGCACACTTTTGCTGTTCATATTGAACAAATTACCTTGCACTCTTTTCCATATGGTAATTTAGTCTAAAAAAATAGGAAAGTTAGCAAATCGTATTTGGAAAGCGCGAAATGACGGCAGCATACCATTCGCACATAAGGATTCTCTCCAAGACATGTTTCGCATACAATAGGAAATTCCTACATCAGCAAAAATATTCTAGATATTAATATGTGAAATCAAGGGATATTCGACGGTTGTATGCAATTTACAGAATCTTCCCAGCCTTGTTTGTTAGGATCAGCTTTTGTTAAACTCATCTATAAATCGTTGAATGATATTTTTGAAAAAGGAAGCATGAAGGCAACGCTATAAAACGAAGAATACGCAATTTTAAACTCCCGCATCGAACTTTTTTTTTGACTTTTTTAAGCTCGATAGATGTTTACCAAATGCAAATAATTTGAATGTCTCAACAGGATAAAAAATAATGGAACTCTTTTAAGCCATTTCAACAGCACAAGTGCTTATAGAAGTGTTCTTCACCGAGGCCTGCGCAGTTTTTCAAAAAGCCATTTTTAAAAGAGATCTTACGAATAATTTCAATCTAGATAACGACTTACAGTACTGCATAAACGAACAAAATAAGATCAGTTTTTTTGTTAAGCCGCTTAGATATTCCGGCAAATCGATATTACCGTTCTTACAATTTGCCATGTGAGGTTCTACTAAGGAAATATTGAAAAGGTTATCAGTAAAGAGAAGAAATCAACTAAAGGAACGATTATCAACAGTTTATAATCTCTAAAAAAAAACGTTTGGTAAATAGCGGAACGGTACCTCCAGATGTATAACCATATGTTGCGGACAAAGCACGCAGCGTTGCATCTGCTATGAAAATTGAATTGGGAGCTCTATACCATGTAACGGCTTTTCGATAGAGAACAATATCTATTATTAATAGCCGGAAACATTTTGATGAGCTTGCTAGGGAGACTATATTACTAAATGAATAAATGACTTTACAAACGTGTATCTACTGTTTTCTAAAATCAGACCACCAAAGAAGAAGAGTGTGATTGATGGTAAATGAGTCATGGAGGATATGGAAGAGTTCTACTCTGCCAGAATTTCAAACATTGAGACTCGTAATACTTTTTTGTGTAGCAGTATGCTTACCTATTCTAGCACAACGTCGGTTTATAATGGCTTTTCCCGCCTTCAGTTCAACTGAACAACGTGCATTGTCCATCTTAATCGGAGTGTTGAAGAGATAAGATCACTACTATGATATATGATTGATAAGTATGAATATGTACCTGTTTTTTGCGTTAGTATTACTTTATACTTTTCTTACGATGGTTGCTGTCCAGATTTTAATGCTATGGAAAGCGAAAATGTATGATGCAGTTGACTTTCGCACCAAATTTAAGACCTGTTTGTGAAGATATTATACTCATTGCACAAAGAGGCTTGCTGATGTCGTATGGTGTCAGTACTCAAATCACTGCTATTGCCATTTTTTTTTTGTATACGTATTTGTTGTACTGTCTTTTCTTCTTTAGCTATATTATTGAATTTGCTGATTACGGCATCGCAATCACCTGAAGTTTCTACATAGTGAAGGGATATTTTGATTAGCGAACGAAATTTGGAAGCTTTCCTTAAACAAAAAGGAAGTTAAGGGAATGATGAGTATTTCTTGAGGTTCGAACAGAGAACAAGCCTACTCCTTTTTCCAACGAGTTGTCAAATAGCAAACACTCCAAACCTTTCGATATTGCAACCTTGAAGCACAACTAATACCAAAGATCTAGTAGACTTCCAGGGTGTAGGCATGGATCAAAATTTACTTTGCCTTTAAGTAGAATAGACAAGATAAGATTTAGAGTAAACAGATCAAATTTGAATTAGACCACTCTACTTTTTGCTTCGTTTTCCTTCAGATACCAAAATACTCAAACTCTTTCTTGATCGGTTTTCAACAATCGTTTGAAATCTCAATTCTCTGCAAGAAGTAGTCATAGTTTATATGAGATTTTTCTTTTTTTTTATTATATAAAATTTATGCAAGCCCTTTGTAGATTATCAGACTTAGACTACGAAAAAGCTAGGGGATGTATGCAGAAGGATCTTACACCAAAAAGGTTCTTGTGTAATTTACCAAAAGAGGAAGTTCATGTCGGGGAAGAATTACCATTCATTGTATGACCACGACGGAGTTATTATTTTAATGCAACATTTCTGCTTTTTTGCGCTTCATCAGTTTACTACAGTTTTTTAGCTCAGGGTTTGAACAAAGCTGCGATGGACGGAACGAACTAGAGTTTTGAAACGTTTTACTTAGAGTTTGGTGACCCAACTACACTAAATATCTTCTTTCGATTATATACAAAAAAAGAATGTCAAATACAGTAAAAAAAAATTGCCTATTTTGTCTAGAAAAGAGCTGCGAGTGATCTGAACATGAATTTTTACTCTGTTTAAAAACAGATTAGGAGTTTGTCTAAATCTAACCAAAAAAAAAAGTAAACAGAAACTTTATACTTGGTATTCCTCTACCTTCATAAAATAAATTCAAGGCCTGATTACAAATGAAAACTAATCTAGCGTATTGCATTCAGAGCGCTTGGAAGCCAAGCAGTGTCGTCAATTTCGCAATGAAACCTACAAAAAAGTCACGTCCCTCCATCCTCCGCTCGCCAAACTATTTGAAAAAGCGAACGTTTGTTTAATAAGAGTTTCCTTTTCGTGCACAAACTTTCTTCTTTTCCCTTTCTTCCAACTAAAAAGTATCAGATACTTTTATATACCACTAAACTCTTTATTTTTGCGAAAGCCATCGTTATAATGGTAACGAGTCATGTTACGTATGCTTGTCAATGCTTAAACATAAAAGTACATCTTGCCAACAAGTATTATCTTGATGGTCATCAGAAGTTCCGAAAAGAGAACTTTATTCGACTCAATGATTTGCCTATTTCAGGTTGGCAGTTTGAATTAAGTATGAATGGCGTTGAAGTAGTAAGTCAGAATGCTTGTGTACTGGCATTTGACTGAAATTTCTAAGTGTTTCTCTACGTAATAGGAATATGCCAGTCTAATACGATCGACACGAAATAGCAGCAAGCATGGCGACTGGATCACATTTAGCTGTCAAAATTGTAATACGGGTGATGTATATTCCATCAAACAATCAACTGAAGAAGATGAAGATGAACAGGAAATGAGAAAGAAGTTCGACACCATTCATTGCCATCGTTACAAGGATCAAGAAGGTCAAATTTCAACAAAACAAAAGACTACAAGCCCATTAAGCGATCTGGATCAACCTATTGTTATTATTCACACAGGAACGGTTGTAAGTAGTCTAGAACAACAGATGGATCAAGGGCTCTTTCTTACTGTTTTATCTTTCTTTAGTTTGGAGCAGAAATTGACAGGATCAAAGAGAAATCCAACTTCTCTCATACTTTTCATATTGTCTTGAAACCGGATTTACCAGGCAGTCAAATCTCATTAGAAGAGCACAATGGTAAAGTGTAACGAGCAGGAGAAAAGTTCACGAAATGCTTTAACTATATTAATCATTATGTTGATTTGACTTTCAGGTGCTGAGGAAGACAGTGAATTGAGAGCCCAGCATCGCCAAATACAACATCTCTTAAAAGAATCCTTAGTTGATATGGAAATGGCTACCAAAAACCGCGTTGAGGCATATAAAGCCGAACAGGAGATGCTTCTACGAAGAGCAAAAGAAAAAGCCATGTATGACGGTGCAATTCTATGGCAAACTATTAAAGAAGCCACGAGGACAGTACGCGATAAAGAACGTACACGGTATTTAAGCCTATCTCAACAGCAATTCTTGAGTCAAAAGCTAAAGAATAATAATAGTATGAGTGATTCCGCCTTAATGAATGTATTGAAAGAGAATATGATTCAGCAATTGCCCTCACCATCATCCTCAAGACGAAGTTCGTTGGCAGCATTAGGACGCCGGACAAGCCTATTCAATATTGATAGAGCTACATCAACTTACAGTAATGGTGTAACCAGTGGAGGTCCCCAAAATACAACAATGATCAGACGGTCTAGTTGTATTTTAAACGAAAGCACCATCACGAATAGTTTGAGAAGAGGAGATGGAACATCAGATATTGTAAATTCAGTACAGCAGCAGCAGCAACGGCAATCTGAACTAACAATGCCTCAATTTTATAGACGAAGATCGTCTCTTGCGCCAATTTCAACTATTCCCACCACTCCTACAACATCTAATTCTACGGCCAACAATCCTCGTGATATTACTACCACTACTACGCAACCCTCAACATACATTTTTAACAATGATTTCGTACACCCTTTAGCTCAACAACCGATAACTGCAGCGGAAAGATTGGAACCACAACCAGAATTAACGGAGCAGGAGGGACTATTCCAAGTTACAACCATAAATGCCTTTCAAAAGGAGGACGATAAAGAGCATGTCTTTTCGTTGGATGAAGAACACCCCAAGAGAAAGCATGAATTTTTGAATGGCAGCATTAAAAAGGATGAATTAAGGGGAAAGCCTTCCGTTAACAAATACATAGATAGTGATGATGAGGAGGATGAAGAGAATGATAAAGAAGAAAGTGAAGAAGAGGACGTCGACAAAGTAGCTTCGAGCGAACATGATCTGGACGAACCTGCAGAGGAACAAGCGTCGAGATTTGCAACTTCTGTCCCCATAAATATTCAAGGCTTACAACGCCAGAACTCGTTTTCTTCGTTACATCTGTCTGCTTCTTCTTCTTTAAGTTCTTATCGTCAACCCGACGCTCCTACTATTACTGTTGACACTGAAAAGCTCTCATTTACGACACTCTCATTACCTCGGTTTGGACATTCATTTAAGGAGCAGCGCGAGCAATTGCAACAACAAAAGCAGCCTACCAATAACGATAAAGAGCAACAACAAGGAAATCAAGCACGACGCAGATCCTCCATATTTGGCATTGATCACACAGCTGAAGCAGATAGACGCGCGTCGTTGAAGATCATTACTTCGACGGAATGCAATGAAAGGGGAGATGATAATCTGCCTCCTCACTTAAGGGAACGAAATGGAAAGCGTCGATTTTCCAGCAATTTGAATTTTGGTACGGCATCTACAACCGCAGCATTACATAATCAACCCCACTACTATACACACTACAAAGATACCCAACAACGAGGACGACGGCGTTCAAGCAAAATTGGTAAAAGCCAAAGATACGACAGTGATGACGAGGGCACAACGGAACCATTCATTCCACCGCATATTTTAGCGGCGAACACATATATAGATGAAACAGAGGCTTTGTTTGGTTCTATACCTAGACATGGTACCAGATATCGGCCCTTAGAATAAAAGAACTGCATCATTTGCATATCGTACTTTTGTTTATTCTATAAATAAATACGCTATGTTAAAAAAAAAATAACGAACATAACGAAATAATGCGAAAAAAATTGAACGGCTTAATCATATATTTTGAGACAATGTTCTTCAGTTATTAAATGGATATATGAAAAAACCAGTATATTAGGAAGGTAAGTAGTGTGTTTACATTTACGCGAGCTTGCTAGTTGCAGACAGGAACTTTACATCAAAATACAGCCACAACAGCCTCCACCCTGACCTTCAGTCATGTCAAAGTTATCCTTTCTTTGCTTTTTATTACTTCCATTGCCGTCTTGTTCTTTATTCATACTACGAATCTCTCTTACAACTTCATAAAAGCAATCATCCACTCGAATACGCTGTTTGGCTGATGTTTCAAAGAAGGGACAGCCGAAACTTTTGGCCAAATCTCTACCTTCTTGCTGCGACACTTGTCTATCTCTGTCTAAATCACATTTATTGCCGACCAGAACCATAGGAAAAGCATCGCGGTCTTTTACACGTCGAATTTGCTCGTAAAATGTGTTGACTTCTTCGAAAGATAAGCGGGAAGTGATAGAGTAGACTAATATAAACCCTTCGCCATTTCGCATATATTGTTCTCGCATAGCACTATATTATTTTTGTGTGTTTCATAAAAGCAGTATGCCATTAGTATTCTTTGAAGCTTAGCCTTTAGATCCTGTTGTGTGTGTTTTGCTGATTAACATGTAGGTACCTATATTCTTCTTGTCCTGCTGTATCAAGGACATCCAATAAAGCTGTTTCTTCATCAATGACGCATTGTTTTCTATAAGAATCTTTTCCGGAAAAATAACAGCTGACAATAAGCAATTGAGCAGAATACGTGAATTCAAGATCACTTCTGATAAGTACTGTACCTTCAATGGTTGGGTCGTATTCGTCAACAAAATGTGATTGAATGAATTGTATTGTTAAAGCAGACTTGCCGACGCCTTACATTCAATATTTTCCAGTTAGAAAACGATTTTTCTGTCCATGAAGTTTAAACAACTGTAAGACCTACCACCGCCTCCAACAATTACAATCTTGTACCTGAATCACAGAATAGTTTATTTATTTATTGTTTGTTTGTTTCCAAAAAACTCAGTTTGATTAATACATTAATCACCATGTACAACAATGATTAAAATTGCCTAATATTGAACTTACTCTCTAAGAAATGATGAAGATTTTGACATTCGGTTTTGAAATAGTATGGTGTAAACTGATGTTTAAATGTTCAAATATGAGGCAAGCGGTCAGACAAATGGTCTTGAGACAAAAAGAAAAGGAAAAAAGAAAATGAGGGGAAAAAGCAAGCTTTTTCTGCTTTTTAGGTTGTTCGTCATACCAGAGAAAAATCATTTAATGAAAAGGAACTGGGAAACAAAAAAGAAAAACAAAAGAGGAGAGGAGAAACTGAGAGAGTAACAAACATGATGATGGCGTGTAACAAGTGTTTCATGAGCTTAATTGCCGTTAAAGGGCAGCATTTGCCATCTGATTTTCTTCTAACATAGAAATAATCTTAAGCAGCACAGCGCCTTGCGTAGTTGAACAAACAAGTCCTCAATGATTGGCGGGAAACACTTTTTCTGCTCTCCTCATATTCTATATACAAGCTTCTCCTTTTCAAGGCATTCAGATTTTACAAGTTTTACTGCCTTATCGTCATAACCCAACGTTGTAAAATCAGCTTTTACATATTATACAAATTGCTCTTCAAACTTTTCCCTTTACTCGACAACCCCTATTATTCCGTTCATTTGATTCCATTATTCCTCTCATTCTCTATTGTTTTCTATCTTTCTCTCTAAATCTCTAACTCTCTTTCTGATAAAAGACGGCTTATATTAACGCTCCCCGCGTTATATACCACTGCCATATCCCAAATTCTAACTTTCCTATAAACCAGCGCTAAGGTACACCATAGAGAACGGAAGATACATAGCAATTTTCCCATAATTGAATAACTCAATTAAGCAAAAATGTGCAGTACCTGAAACGATATTGTATGTCTGCGCCATTTTCCTACTGTTTCTATTGAACAGATATGTATTATATACATATGGTCTTCCCTTTAATTCATGACAACAATAAAAGTGAAAGCTTTAAAAATAACGAAAATGTTGCATTATGTAGAAGTATTGTCCTCTGCTTAGAAGAGATCAGTGTTGGCGGGGAATTCGAAAGCAACATCCTTGCCAGTAAGCTTCTTGTAAACGGCAGAGAAGGTGTCGAGCTTATATTCGAGGTTGGTGGCATCCTTAGCATCAAGGAGACTATATATGCAAAGTTCAAAGAGGGATAAAAATAATAGGTTTAGCTTAAAAGACATCTCTTGAAATTTGTTCCGTTGATAATCAGAAGTAGAATACTTACACCTTGAGGGTCTTGGAACCATCAACCTTTTGACGGAGTCTCTTACCAACAATTTCGGTAGGGTACACCATATCGTCCAAAATAGCATCGTGGACAGCAGTCAAGGTACGAGATCTGGGACGAGGTTGCTTACCTTGGTTACGACGACCGGGAACAGACAAGATACGGCGTTGAGCAATAATGACAACGTGACGATCAGAGAATTTCTTTTCAAGTTCACGGGTAAGTCTAAGTTTTTAAAATTAGGATAATTTGTTAGATTTCAATCATCTAATCGCTAAGCTATTATGATCGTTTTTTGTCAGTTGCGTAGCTGCTACTCGATGCTTACTTTTGTTGAACCTTGTGGTAACCCTTAAGCATAGGGACGGGAACAAAGATGACAAGAGCCTTCTTACCAGCACCGAGCTCAACCTAAACAATACAAACGAAAGAGCCGTAAGTAACAATGTACTTCGTTTCTTTGCAATCATCTTTATCGTCGTCTTATCGACATTCTTACCTCCTTAGCACTGGAGATAGTAAGAGCACGAAGTTCAGGAATGCTGGATTCTAAATCAACGAGAGCTTGAGCAACAGAGAGCTCGAATTCATCAGCAGGAGCGGCACCATTGGCCTTTTGAATCTTGTGCGAAGCCATTGTCGTCTTAAAACTATAACAGTGTCGTTTAACAGATCAAACGATCCAGATGCCACATTAGTTCGCAATGTCAATTTTTGATTCGTCTGATATTCCTCCCCTATCCATCTATCTATAGATTCAATCCATCTATTATCTCTTCACACATCCAACCCTTTCTCATCTCTTTCCTAGAATGTTCTCTTCTTTTTATATATCAAATATGCTTATGGCCAGTACATACATTTTTGACCCGGAAAAAGAGGAAGTACTATATAATTATGCTTAATCTTTGTCTTTTTCCCCTCCTTTCAAAAATTAACCACTGCACACTCTTTTCCAAATTCAGGAATTGCCCGCCGCACCTGATATTTGCTCAGAATTGACTCTTTGCAACTCAGTTCGCCGCTACATCGATCAATCTATACAACCCTATGCCTACGCCATGCACGGATATGTAGAGATCAATTATCAATTAAAGATGTATATAAAAAATTAACAATGATGGCTAGAGTTTATTCCATAAAATTAATTAAAAGAATGTTTAACAGATAATGGGAAGATTAAAGAAATGGTAACAAACTATATCTAAGCTTCAGACTTGGCAGGAGCTTCTTCAGCCTTGTCAGTGTTTTCACCTTCAGAAGCGGCCTTTTCATTCTCGTCTAAAGACGTAGCAGCCAAAGAGGCCGTAACCTTAGCAGTTGCGTCGGCATGAACGCTAAATTCAATAGGAATTTCTTCATGGAGACTGAGGGCTTGTCTAACCTCAGATCTATCAAATTTTGTTGTTCACAGTTAGTTTAAAAAAAAAAAAAAAATAGCGGACGAATTGTTTGTAGTAGTCATACCTGAGTGCTTCAATCTTTTCTTCGTCTTTGGAAGTTTTGATCCACAAAGCAAGTCTATAAAAACTCTTACGAATAGAAACAACAACACCACAAATTTCTTCTTCAGTGGCTAATTGTTCACCGACAACGGACATAAGCTAATGAAGGAAAAAATAAATCCAACGAAAAAGGAGATGTGGTTAAGAAACATTATGTACTATAATGCAAATAACCAGAAAATTTTTTGGCTGAAAAATCAGATCGTACAATAGACATCCAATATTCGTTGATGGCTTCACCTGCTTTGGTTTTAGGAAATTGAATAGTGAATTTACCACCTTCAGCATTAGCGGGATCTTCCCATTCAGGACGAACACCTTCCTTAAAGAAATGGTAATTGGCGTTAGGAGTGAGGTGATTGACCTTAGCGACATTGTTGAAGGTGCTGAAAGAGAGAGAAAACGTTAATGTAAATGTTAGCTGTTTAGCATAATTGTCAACCCTTCTTTCGAATTTATGTAATACCTCCAGAAGTCTTCTACTGTATCGACGGTAATGATCTCCTTCAAATTATCGGCCCAAGACTGGGCATTAGTCTTCTTGCCAGGATTATCAAACCATAAAGTCCATTTGTTCTGAAGAGGATGCTTATTGGTGTAGTCGATAGTCTCAGTCAACTTGAGGACTTCAGGAGTAACAGCAGCAGCAGCCATAATTCTACTTTTGAAGTAATAGCATAATTATATGGTCAGAGATCTGTCTTTCAGAAATGCAACGAATCCTCATCATTCTTAATTTTACCAAAGTGATTTGAAGAAAATTTTACTTCGTCCTTCTTCCTCTATTGTATATTCATTTGCCCCAACGTCAACGCACCCAACTCAATTCAAATCTTCCACCACGCTTTTTCGAGACACATAAAACTCCGAGCCGGCGATGACCCGATCGTTTGCGGTTTTGTCCCCTAAACTCCCAGAAGCCCCAAGCGGAAATAGATTTGGTCGAAAATGACCCAGAGTGCTTGAAATGCTTGTCTGTGAGGGAATAGGGCTCTGTACGGGAGGGTGCGATAAAACGAGCACTACAAGTTTACATGAACCATCTTTCCCATTTGACGAGTCATGAAGGTAACGTATAAGGATGGATGTTATCAAATAGATGTATATTTGCAGGACAGGCGTCAGATATTTATTGCAGAAAATAAGTAGATCATAGATGGATCGATAATACATTGATCTGTTAGGGTTTTAAAGCCCATTATATTCTCGGCTTCTGTCAATTTTCTGAATGTTAAATGCCATTGAATCAGTTAAACTCACATTTGCTCTTTGTATACGTAGTTGAACATTGCCAACCCAGCCACTGGCTGTCAAAAATTAATTGAAATCGAAGATGAACGTCGTCTGTAAGTAACTCAATAATTGTAGAATAGATATGGAAAGTAACGATTATGCATGCAGCTTCCCGGCCGTCGAAATCTATAAGATCAGTATCAGTGTAGAACAGTTTATGCTCAATTGTTATCCTTTTATGGCTGTTATTGTTTATGCATCAATGCTGCCAATAAGCGAAAGGTCACTTTTTAGAGTGTAATCTTCAAATTCGAGTAGATATTTAATTGTTAGAACAGTCGGGTTGATTGCATGATTGATGTTACAACGATTGATGTTGCTTTTTGGTTGTGAAGTCCGATTATTCTAACATATGTATGATGTTGTAGTCGTGGCTTCTACGATAAGCGTATGGCACAAGAAGTCTCCGGTGACTCCCTTGGTGACGAATTCAAGGGTTATGTTTTCCGTATCACCGGTGGTAACGACAAGCAAGGTTTCCCCATGAAGCAAGGCGTTCTTTTACCTCACCGTGTTAAGCTCTTGATGTCCAAGGGCCACTCTTGTTACCGTCCTCGCCGTACTGGTGAACGTAAGAGAAAATCTGTCCGTGGTTGTATTGTTGGCTCTGATCTTTCTGTCTTATCCCTTGTTGTTGTTAAGCAAGGTGAACAAGATATTCCTGGTCTTACTGATACTACCGTCCCTAAGCGTCTTGGTCCCAAGCGTGCCTCCAAGATTAGAAAGTTCTTTGTAAGTTTGTGTAAACGTAATAAACTTAAATCATCAATGTAGTCTAACCCAATTTTCCGTAATTCTATGAATCTTCTACTTTTTAGAACTTGAGCAAGGAAGATGATGTTCGTAAGTACGTTATTCGTCGTGAAGTTCAACCCAAGACCGAAGGTAAGAAGCCTTACACCAAGGCTCCTAAGATCCAACGTCTTGTTACTCCTCTTACTCTTCAACGTAAGAGACATAGACAAGCTATCAAGCGTAGAAGAGCAGAAGCTTCTCGTGAAGCTGAAGCCGAATATAAGCAATTGCTCGCTAAGCGTGTCAAGGAACAAAAGCAAGAAAAGGCTGAACGTCGTCGCACATCTTCTATGCAAAAGTCTGCCTCTGCTTGAATGTAGTTCTTGATTTCAACTTACACATTTGACATACTTCCATGATATATATACACGCTCCTCTTTCGACTATTTTCTCCATTTGGGATAAATTGCAAAGACCTACTACAGTAGCATAACTTTTACCTTCTCGCTTTCTGCTCTTCTCAATCATCTTTCACATAATAAAAAGTATTTTATTAGGAAAGATACAGGATCAAAGCTTCAGCATTTTGAAGAAAACCGTGCAGTGGGCATAAGCAAACTGAAAGTGAATCAAGCTGGGAGTTAGAAACCCGATTTAACGATAAAGAGCGGACTATATGCATATACTACGAAAGGAACATGATCAACAGAACAAGCTGAAAAGATACGTTCAAAATTCAAACAGGGAGCCCGAAAATATCAGTTTAAGATTGATGCAGCAGCCTATAATTGAGATATAGAGGAGAAAAGGATCGTATGTTGAGCATCCTCCACTTTGGGCTGTGTTTGAACAAAAAGTTGTTGAGATCAAAGCATCAAGCGGGCAATCATTACAGACAGTTGAGAAAACGACAGTTGATGATTTATTATCGGAAGCAATCAAATGCCTGATACCTCCCATTGATTGCTAATGAGCGGCCTCGTTCTGGTTGTCCTTTGTTAGGACAAACAAATAGAAAAATAAATTGTGATCGCTAGACTTTATTCTTGATTCTTGCTTTTCGGAGGAAATACTAAGCTGTCCTGAACAGATGAAGCATGTTGGTTACATCTTTTCGTAGTTGTTACTTCGTATCTGAAGAAAGGGTGGATTTTCAAATTAATTTTGAAGAGCATAGTCCAGAAAAAATTATAATAGCTTAAGGCGCAAAACAGGAATATACATGTAGATGAGAAATTCTGTACAGCATCATAAGTAATGATTATCTAGTTGAGTGTATGATTAAAAATTGCCATGAGAGCGTGATATAGTCTTCTAAAACGGAGCCCCAAAAAAAAAAACCAAAGATCTATCTACTTTATTTATTTACAGACTTTAGATCTGATGAATCATTTTTTCAGGGCACTTCTATTAAATTTTATAAATGAGGGACTTCATCGTCCAGTATATGATGTACAAATAATATAAAGTAAGAATAGAGGAATAGAAATCCAATAATAGAAATATTCATGCTAGTTTTCAAGTGCTTGCATACGATACAGCTTCAGAGGTGTAATTTTATAGATAGTCAAAGGACATGATATTTCCTGTATTAACAAAGAAATATAGGTTGCAATCATTCTAGGAGTTTCTCAAAATCGAACATTTGGCAACAATCAATTACCTTTTCTTTCTATACCACGCTTCGTAATTTAACTATACACTTTCATATTCAAAGTCGTGACATTTTCTCAATCACTGTGCCTTTGCCTCTTCGTAAAACGTGGTTTTACTTTTCTACAAAATTAATGGACATTACTCAACTACTTGCATTTGCATAATTTCCTTGCAAAATAATGCCCCTCCGATTGAGACTCAGAGCTAACGTACTGCAAACTTTGTTTCATTTTTTAGCATTAGACTGGATTCAAAGAACATTCGCCAAGGAGCAAATGTTGCGAATGACCATAAAGGCCAAAAGACACTTTTTATAGAGTAGTCCGAATAGTGTACTTATTAACCTTAGAGCTTTGATTTCCGGAAGACGTTTAAGTAAGAGATTTTCAGGTTCGTTCAAACAAGGTATTTTTGGCTTACAATTAGCAAAGCTTATAAAAAACCTTCTTGCTAAGTCAAAATTCTATACTATATGGTGTGACACGAATAACTAAAACTATTTTTGGAAAGCAATGGAGTGGAATCGAGAATATGCTTTTTTTACAGTCTATACATCCCTTTCTTACATTTAAGGACCTTAAATAAATCATTGGAGCTTGACTCCCTTACAAAAAAAGAAAATATGCTTTTCAATTGAAAAAATAGTTTGAAAACTAGCTCTTCCGCTTAAAATCTTTGTGTACATATTATTTTGTATTTGGTTTAATGATATTTGCATTGCTGTCTAATTGAAAGTTGAATCAAACAATTGAATAATGCTACAAAAGTGAGCTAAAGACTCTGTTGTGACGGCATATGCTGGGGCCGTACTCATCATATTCGGCCTTTGTATGACATGACTTATAAAATTCACCCTAGGTTAAACGTAAATCAGTGTCAATAACGTATTGAGTAGACCAGCTAATGCTTTGTGTCTCTTCACTTACAGTAGAAGCTAATAAACTGCCACCAAACCAAACCGCATGTCGTTGCTTTTTATGTGAAATAACATTAACTTCCATAGGTGTTGCCTTCATAGCACCCCCACTCATCTTTTCACTGTCTTGAATACGCTTATCGACAACGCGTTTGATGTCACGTTGAAGTCTCTTATCGAATCCTTTGAACATAGTAGATCCACCAGATAACACAATATTTTTATACAAACCTCTACGAACATCAATAGGACTGGTTTGAATAACTGTGTCTACTATTTCTGGTAAAGGTGTTAAGAAATCAGAACTGGCAATTTCTGGGTTGAAGAAGATTTCCGGTGCAAGGAAGCGTTCAAAACCAATATCAACTGAATAACTCTATTTGGATGAGCCTCAATATCAGCATAATTTGTCATGAAAGATTTTCCAGTAATTACCCCATACTCACCTTGCCAGTTACTGAATGTATACCGTCATATTTTTTGAAATATTTACTAGGCTCTTGATCGTACTTTTTGAATTCTTTTACAATATCCGGGCAAACGTAACTGTAATCTTCTTTAATAGCTTGTGCAATACGGAACGAGTCTTCTGGAGGGATACTTGTTTCGCCTCGTTCACGAAGCAGGTGCTGGACAAACGAAGTAATGTCGCTACCTGCAACAGGTACACTTTTGATTGAACTAGCAATAACATAGCCTTCGGCCTAAGAAAAAGGGGGATTTATGAGCGTCAACAACTCAAAGATTGTGCGCCATATACAATCTAGCTTATTCAGGCCAAACCCACTTACAACTGGAATGACGTGAGTAACACCATCACCAGAATCCACTACAGTACCGGTTAGAGTTTGCTCGGTTACTTTGCTGGAAGTCCAGGATGCTGCTAAAGCCAAAACAGCTTGAACAGCAATATAAAGACCTTGAACGTTGAAGGATTCAAACATGATTTCTGCTGTCATTTCACGGTTTTCTGGTGCATTCATAGGTGGTTCAGTCTTTTAACATAAAATTACAAGCATGATAGTTAGCATGTATTGAGTTTTTATCTGTTGAAAGTTATTATTCCCAATCGAGGCTTTTACCAAAAGGAAGTGATGGTCTTCCGGTTCACAGCGAAGATATTTGAAGATAGATTGTTCCCAAAATCTTTCCATGTGATCCCAATTGCTGATTTGGCCGTGACGAATTGGATAATTCAATGCCATTGTTTTGGCTTGTGCAATTGCCTCATCTCCGATGTAGAAGTCGAGGTCTTCAATACCTCTTTTTGACGCTAAGTTGCTAGTCAAAAATGAGGGTTTACTGGGAAGACTCGGTCTACCACTGCCACCGGGGACTTCACGAGTGGCAATGGCAGTTGGAAAAACGAAGGATGGTTCATTATTTCCACTAAAACCGAGCTTGGTATACCTAGATTTCGAGACTGTGTCAGTTATTTACTTTCGAGTTCTGTTCAAAGCGCGCGTTGACGGTTATCGTAGGATAACATTTGAACGGATACGAAGTCAATTTAAGGGGTTTATTTTTTAACCATACCCGGTACCGTTGTCCATTACCACTACTGGAAGGTTAGTCATTTTCGCTTATTTATTGTCTGAATTGGTGTGAGCAATGTTAAAAAAGAAAAATTGATTCACGATATGGAGGAAAGGTTCAAATGGAGATAAGGTGTAATGGTTGGCGGCAGTTAAATTACAATGCAAAACTTAGCAGTTGCTGTTGTACACATTAGATAGCCGCTGCAATAAGTGACATGTCAACTTTTGCACGTCAACAACATCTCCTGAACTGTGAGACTGTATGTGTAGTCCCAAACAATATGTATGAACTTAATCCTTCAAACTGCTGACACAACATAGGTTACAGTAGACTTAGGATTATGTATTGAGCAAAATTGGTACATTTTGTCTGCACAAGTATAGCGATAAAATAGATACGTCACTAAATTGTGGAATAGGAATCCTTTTCATATTGCCCACATAAGCTCTACAGGAACCAAAAAATCCAACCTTTCAGGGCTGTTGTGCTACGTATCGGAAGGTTAACATGCTATCTCTGAGAAATATGAGAGTTGTCATTGAATAAGGATTCTTTATCTGAATTTTGGTAGTGGCCTCTTGAGTATATCCATAGTCAGTTATCATTTGAATGGAGGGTACAGTGGAATCGTAGCCGTAGAGTTGAGTGTCAATCCAATATGTAGATTTTAAAAGCTTGATGTTATAAACATCGTTGTTAACCATAGTTTGACAAAAACTGGGAACAGCAAGCTGAAATGTTCGCTCTTTTCTATCAATATATTTTTCTCTCCAAAAATTAGAGCCTGTATCAATAGTTTCGGTATGTTGGGGACAAACAGTTACATCTTCAGGTAAAACTATTTCAATCGTTATGAAAGTGCTGAAAGGCATAGCTATATGTTATGTGGAGTGGCTGCTAATTATACTACTCAATAAAAGTCTTCACTTCAAAGAAGGAAAAAGAGTGATAAATTTTATCATCAATAGTTAATCTACTTAAAGGACTATCAAACAAGTTTTTAAGTTGTCACAGGTGAGATTGAACGAACTTATATACTACTTTGTAAGTGAACTGTAAACGGAAAGTTCGAGCCAGATATGTAAATAGATGCAAAAAATAGTATCTCGATTTTTCTTGCTAAGTATGTCTATTTTACTTGCTCTCTTCGCTGCTTGATATGACTATGTTTATTGCGACTGAACAGCCGTATGCCCTTATCAGTTTCAAAAGTATCGAAGGCAAATAACTATGAAATTAATTTTCAACTTTGCAACTATACAAATAGGTACTCCAGGAGCCACCGTGTTAGATGTCGGTTGATAGACAAAGAACGCATTGAATATTTGTCATGTGCAAAAAAATTTTGATTCTCCTATATCACAGATTACTAAATTATAAAAGTCCACTTCATCCACGACTGTCTCATTGTTCTGCCTTTAAATTGGTTTAAGGAGACCGAGTGGCTATGCTTGCCGTCCATTGACGCTAAAACAGCTTTTTATGAGGATTACATTATCGTTCATTTGCTCAAACTTGATACCATCAATCAGTTTTAAGAATATACAAATTGGAAGCTTCAGAGATAAATATGTCATGACAAACACCTCTTATTCTACACCAGTTATTGCAGTCTCATTTGCATATTTACTATTAACCTTTACACGCGTTCTTATAATGTTAATGATCGGTAATCATTCCTTTTTACCGCATTTCACCAACGTCGTCTTTGCGATACCAATACCGTATAATTCCCTCGCCTAGTACCTAAAGGACACTTCTAACAAGATTAACACACTAATCAATAAAAGTACCATTCCCATACGGAGGTTGACAGTGGAGTTGGTTTTCACCAGTACATCTTCGAAGATTGTCTAACTTGCGTTTACAAATTTTAATTATTTCAGCTAGTTTAATTTTTGAAGTACTAATTATTATATATACTATAAATTATATTTAGAAAATTAATAACATTTATATAACTATAGAATTACCATTGAGAACAAAGTCTAATTTTTTCTACAAACATCTATCGCTGAGTATCACTAACAAGCAGACCTAACTTTTATACCCTATTTTGTTGAATATTCATTCGTTATTTCCTAGACTGCTTGCCTTTTTTTCTCTGTTCCAGCTTGTGCTGTAGAGCATACAGTTTTACATGTACGATTTAACTTCCTGTCATGTTTTTTTTTTCTGTCAGAAAAAAAAGACGAATCTACCAACAGCCGTGAAGAAAGACTTCAGAGACCTATGCACTGATCGACGTGTTATCCAATAGAATACAGTGAGAACGGTAAATTTTGTCACTTTGAGAAAATCAAACGTCCATAACCAAAAAATAAATGTCGCTTTCCCAAAAAATTAATGGCATTAAGCCAAAAATAATTGTCCCTGTATGTCTAGAAATTTTGTCCTTTTGAAATAAAGAAATTTCACAAGGATCCGAGCCATAATAGAGACTAGGAATTTAGGGTTAGAGCTATACGAGCGTTCTGAGGGATTAGGACCTGTATTTTTTTTAATTGGTGTATGACAATCTTAACGGTGTCGATGTCGGTGTCGGTGTCGTCATTTATTTTGTTTTAGTGTCTGTGTCGGTGTCGATGTCGATGTCTGTGTCGATGTCGGTGTCGGTGTTGGTGTCGGTGTCGGTGTTGGTGTCTGTGTCGGTGTCGGTGTCGAAGTCGATGTCGGTGTCGATGTCGATGTCGTTTGTCGTATTTGAGGGTAGATGATATACCAATATTAAAGACATAATTCACTTTATGAAGGATAAAGATGAATTATATAATATTGCACCAGCAATAATTAGAAACTACATAAACTCTAATATATGAGTACCGTGAATTAAGTGTTGTGTTTAGTTGATAGCATCATATGAGATGTGGAGAACTCGTATACAAATTATACAAGATCCTCACACCTCATTACTGCTGAAATAATATAAAGTAGAGTAGGAAACGAATATAGAATAAGTGATGATTCTTATACGAGAATAGCTACCTCGTATAAGGCTGAACAGGTTGTCATTTAGGATATATAGTTTACTTATTTTGCTATAATACGTTACTATATGACATGGGATATATAGTAGAATTAATATATGGACATGCAGGATATATTGATTCAACACCAAGGTATAATAGGTTATAAGTACTATTCTCTGCCTTCGGCATAAAGAATGATTACAAGATAATAGTTTGTGATCATCCTTTACAATAACTGTTCACTCAACTCAAACACCACGCACGAATAATATTTTCCTAATTAATTCTATTTTCCTGCAAGCAGTGCTACATAATGGTTAGCACGGGAAAATAGGTTAGTTGCATGATCAGTAGATCAAGCCATGGATACGTTTACAAGTCCACCCGCTCCGGGTAGATGCGTAATCTCCTCAAGGGAGAATTCTATTCTTTTACGGTTCAGAAGACGTACGTCTTCTTTGAGTAGAATAACTCAGCTGTCAGTTTCTAGGTTCCGCAATATGAAGAAGATATTTAAATTTTTGCAGTAGATATTTTTCTTCTCTTTGAACTGAACTTGATTCAAAATAAAAACCTACTAGTTTGATCTCGTTAACTTTTTATTGTTTTAATTAAGTGATATTTAACTCTACAAGTCGTCAAATACCACATCGTTAATTTCGTTTCAGCCAAGTCAATTGAAAATTATATTCAAGACTCCATGGAACCGTTTATGGCACTTGCCTATTTCACCTCATCGCAAGCACAAGACTTGAAATCGCTAACGTTTGCTGCTCACTCGACGGTACGCTTTCTGTGGTCTATCTGTAAAAAAAATATGACGAAGAAAAATCAGAATGAAATATATCAGGTACTTGATCAAGCTACAAACAAAGTACAAGAAATAATCGAAATACAAGATGAAGATCCTATTTTGATGCTGGAAAAAGCCAAAAACTTTGCCAAAGAGTTTCTAGGAATCATTGAGAACCAGAAAAGAAAGTTAAGTGAAGAATATGAACTAGATCTACAAGCCTACACAAAAGAAAAAATATACAGCAGACGATTTTCAGTTTATCGAAAGCATGTCAGTACCAAACAAGCCGAGAAACTGGAAAAAGATTTATGATGCAGGAAAAATCAAAGGTTTATTTAACTCTTATACCTCAGCAGACTCGTTGAAAAGTTCTTATCACCATGCCATTAAACGTACCAAAAAACAAAAATAACTTTTTATTTATCTTTCAAATAAAGTATTTTCATTCCTCTTTTTAATAATTGTCTCGCTCAGTAAACTAATAGTTTGATTTTCTACGTTGGAAGAAAAGGAAAACATCTTGTCTGGATGAGATAAAAACTGACATAACGCAAAGAAAGCATTCAAAGGTTGATCGTTTATAGGTGTGACATCCAAATCGGAAAGAAACATCAGACATTTTTCTGCCCAAAAATCAGATTTGATCTTTACCAAATGGGAATTTGTTTCGTCTACATTTGAGCCAAGACAGTCTTTGTGGGCAATAATTAATACAATTGGTAAATAATTGAATCTTTCGTAAACAAGTGTACAGTATTGCATAATTTTCAGAATCAATACTTGATTAACTTCACTTTGAATAGTTACAACTATTGGTTTGAAACGTTCGTCGCTTTCATTCTGAGATTTGTATACATTGAAAAAACCTCCAGCCTCTGGCCATCCATTCTGATGCACCACATAGTTGTTTTTTGGAACGTGTGTACCTATAAGTAAAGTCATGTGTTATATGAGAGCAGTGAAGTTTATAAGAGGGCTATGATGTATCATACCGACCAAAACTTGAGCGATCAAATTTATTATTTCTTGTTCGTTCAGTAGAAGCTGAGCTATAAGATCAGTGTTTGACTTCCATTTAAATTGTAGATTAGGAGTATCCATACTCTCGTCTATTTTCTATCAAGGACAGTGGGTTTCTGCTTACTTTTTTTTGTAGTTACGAATTTTTCTAGCGGGTCCGGCTCGGCACCCCGAGTATGGTGAATTTTTACTTACCTTTTTTGTACACCACCGACGACATCGATACCGACATACACCAACACCGACACCGACACCGACATCGACATCGACACAGACACCAACATCGACACCGTTAAGATTGTCATACACCAATTAAAAAAAATACAGGTCCTAATCCCTCAGAACGCTCGTATAGCTCTAACCCTAAATTCCTAGTCTCTATTATGGCTCGGATCCTTGTGAAATTTCTTTATTTCAAAAGGACAAAATTTCTAGACATACAGGGACAATTATTTTTGGCTTAATGCCATTAATTTTTTGGGAAAGCGACATTTATTTTTTGGTTATGGACGTTTGATTTTCTCAAAGTGACAAAATTTACCGTTCTCACTGTAGCGTTTTTTAGGTTCTCGAGGAAGAATATTTAAGCGGACATAAGAACTTATGAAAGATGGATATTACTCCTATTGCTCTTTTTTGGTTTTTTTTTATTTTTCAAAGCAACGGTTTTAATTAGGCAATCGTCGTCAATCGTCAAGGAAGATTTCAAATATGGCACAAGGTAAAGTAAATAAATATTTGCAAAACACCCTCTTCCGTACTGGGTGTTGGAAAAGGAACAATTCAAAGGTGATTCATAAGTGGAAATGACAACCAAAGATTAGTGCTTTGTATTATCTGGGAGAGAACTTTATCATTTTTTTACTTTTACCAACTCATCTCTGTCCACAGTACCTCGTAACTTTCGCTTGCTAGAAGAATTAGAAAAGGGAGAAAAAGGGCTTGGAGACGGTGCCTGCAGTTATGGTTTAGCTGACGACGATCTTCTGATGCACAACTGGCATGCCACCATTCTCGGTGCTCCTCACGTAAAATATGCTTCTCATTGTTTTTTTTTAATCAAAGCAGACATAAAATGGTACAGGATATGCTAACTTCTTTATTCATAAAGTCTGTTCACGAAAACCGTATTTACAGCTTGACAATTTATTGTGGTGATCAATATCCCAATCAACCACCTGTCCTTCAATTTGTGTCAAAAATCAATTTACCTAGTGTCAATCCTCAAGACGGAAAGGTACTTTTTCTCAATGCTATTATGGCGTAGAATACTCTACTGTAGCAGTAGTTACTGATGATTTACAACTATCTTTATAGGTTGATCCTAACCGTTTACCTTGTCTCGCACATTGGAAGAGCAATTATACACTTGAAACTGTTTTAACCGAGTTAAGAAGGTAAGATTGCTTGAGTTTATACATCGAAGAAATTGTAGCATGGTATAGTCGTATCAATCGTTTATTTGAATATAGGGAAATGGCTACGGTCGGTCGTAAATTACCCCAACCTCCTGAAGGCACCACTTTCTAGAATTAAAGAGACAAAGTCTGATCCTTGTAACTGCATTTTCAAACAGCAACAAAACTCATATATAAAGATTCAAATAAAGAAACTTATTTATCCTCATATGGTTGAGATTTTTATACAACACTTGGACTGGTCACCCACGCTGTTTTGAAGAAAATGGACAATCCTTTTCAGCAAAATCTATCTCGTTACTAGCGTACGCGCACAGCATAAGTCTATGCAGGAATTAGTAATGGTTGGGATTTGACTTTATTTTGAAGAAAAATGACAGACGATTGGATAAGAATAATCAGGTTGATAGACCGCAACATTTGCGTAAAAATATCCTCGAAGAGTCTTAATGGCTAAAAAGTGATAGGGATATGGATCTTTGAAGTACGAATGTCAAATTATGAATATCTTTTTACTATTTACAATTGATATACACAATCTCGGCACATGCATGTAACAGAACTTATTCTTTGATTAAGTTTCCTCTGCTTGTTTGACGAGAAATAACATCTCAACCATTTGTGTATACATCATTATAGACAAGCGGTGTTGATTTTCCTCCGCGATAATTGATACGGGTGTCATGTATCAAAGGACTGGCCACCAATTCAACGTCAAAGATTGGTAAAGATTGACTTGGTACGATTGCAACCAAGAATAAAGCGAAAACAATAGTAAACTGCTTCATTAGTTTATTTATTTTTAAAATTGTGGGGCAGATTGCTGAAAGAGACAAAAGATTAAAAGAATCATTTTCAAAGAAATGTGAATTTTTATGCCTGTGGGTTGCTTTAGGATTTCAATATTTCCACGAGATAATGTCGACGTAAGTGTTGATTAGGATATACTGAGTATAAAAAAGGCTTTGGTCGGCATTCCGCGCATTAAAGTTTCGGTAATTTTGCGGAAGACCCCTACACTCATAATTAGTATTGCAGCCGGTACGAAGAACGGCATCAAGGGCATAAAACAACGAGCCAATGAGAGAACCCTTTTAAAAACAGCAAAATGATATGCCCTTTGGATCAATGAAAGTATTACCAACTAGTCCAAACGCTGTTAACAACTGAGAAAAAAGAACCCTTTTTTGATTATTAGAATGGCATCAACAGCAGTCGAACCTTGCAAGTACCAATTCTTTGCTAAATGTTTCGCTAGGATACTTTCCTTTCAGTACTACGTTCTTGTTATACTGAAAGTAAAATTTCTAATATAGCTGGACGTACGGCTATCAATTAGCGCTAACAGTAATCACAGTATCCAAAAAAAAACTGTGAACCTTCGATTAGGGTCAGTCCAACTGTGATTGAATTTGTCGATTTATTTTCGAAAAGGAGACAAAGTAATAGTTCTAATAGCTGAAACATATGGTGATTTCAAGAATTCTTTGACCTTTGGATACGTAACAACTCGACCCAATTGCAATTAATGAACCGATTTTGCTTGCTTTTTTGATTCAGCCTGATTTCGATACATGTAATTGATTTGACCAGCCTTCTTGGGAATTGTCAGAAATTGCTCTGGGACTGCACAGTTCAGTAAGCACGTCAGCTGCCTGTTGTCACTTGTGAGGAAAGGCCTGCTTTGCAAAAACTCAGTTATCATCTCTACGGTAAGCAGTGTAAATGCATATACATCATCCCTAGCGCATTATGACCTCCGAGCGACCGTAGTCACAGTTGGTCAGGTAAAATCCGTAGTACAAGATCAAAGAATGATCCACATAAATTAAACGGATCTGCGTGTTCGCCGAGAAGCCTCAACATAACTATGTGTGCTGGAAGAAATAGTGCAAGGATGTTTAAGAATACCACAATATTCATGTCTATGATTTTTTTGTGTCATTGGTTGCTTTATTTGAGATCTCCAACCTTTAAATGGCCTTTTGATTTGTAACATTTCGTACTTTATTGTATGTCATTCCTCTCTGTATAGACTTAAGGTTTCTCTTTCGATATTTCTTGTCAAGTATAAAAATATTTCAAAATCAGTCTATAGTTGAAACCAACAAGTAATTGATACTTTTGGGTCAAGCAGAACAGTGCATTGTCAATAACATCTACATGGTTTTGAATGCTATAAAAGAACGATTAAAAATAAGACATGTTGTACATATTAATAAACCTTATGATAACTAAAATAAAACATTATCTATAAAGCTAGAAAACAGTAAAACAATATTTTACAATTGTACACAGCTTAGGATAAAAGATCATTAATAAGTTATAGATCGGTCCAGAAGCGGGTTCACTTCCCTATCAGAAAGCATAAAGAAAGCATAAAAGTATATGCGAAATTTAGTGCGCTACCAGCTATTTGCAAGAGGCCGTTTGAGAGTTGTTTTTAAGAATCATACATCTAAAAAAAGACATGTTAAGAATCCGATAGCTTAAGGCAAATGTATTCAATCGATCTTGAGTATCTTCCGATTCATTCAACGAGCAATTAACTTTTATATAGTTTGAGAGAAAATTACAGTTTTCTTTATTTTGGGCGAAGACCAGATTTTGGTCACTCTCAGCAATGTTGGTGTTATCTACCTATGTAAATTTCTATGTGTTCAGCCTAGAGATCTGTCATCTTCTATAAAGCATATTGTACTATCCCAGGCAAGGTATGACTGAAATATGACTAAGCGCTTAAATGATCACCAACTGGTCATAATTACAAAAGCAAGCGTATTTTTACTGATAAGCGGTACTCTTTATCGATTAGAAATGATTAATGGTCTAGTTTAGAGGATAGCACAGCTACCATTATGCTGCTTGATATAACTGAGACGCAAAGTACGACAGACTGGGTGATTATAGCATCATTTGGAATAAATAACATTAGTACATGATAACTGCATGATGAAATTACATAACACATTGGAAGAAGCTATATCAAAGCGATCAAAACAAAGGGTATCATTTGTATTTCATCGCGTATGCGTGGGCAATCCGAAAGTTTAGATTACTATGCCTTAATCCAGGGCAAAAAAAAATAAAAATCAAATGGCACAGTAGTGGAGATAACTGTGCGTGTCTTTTCATGTTATTTTTGACTTGAACAGGCCTGTGCAATTCTAATTGGAATATCCTATGCTTGTACAGTACTCTTTATAATGAGTTTTCAGACTTGTGTTGTTATCCAACTAAAGATCGATGGTAAAATCAATGGACCTTTTTTCTTTTTCCCTAAGCACTTCGCTCGGTCTTCTGGAAAGCGCTACGTAGTCAATAAGAAAAAACAAGAATAACAAGAAACTATAGGATAGTCAATCCATGTTTAGCAGCCCTCAAGAGTGAATACAAAGATATACTTGAGTTATATGAAGCCTACTGATAGATTTATAATAGAATGTAAATAAAACCACAAAATACTGCAGAAAGATAGTGCAATAATTAGCAACCGTACATTCTACACACATAAAGAAAGAATTTGTTTCAGATACTCGAACACAACTGATATATGGTCAGGCGAGGCCATATTGAGGGAAACTGTCTAATGCTATGTTACTGGTAGGTTCTTATTCGGAATACATACTCTATTTACAAAATCGATCTGATATGGTTTACGATAAACCCTCTCCCACTGACAGAAGCTTGTATCAGACGTCAGAATACTTTATTTGTGGCGTGCAGTCATTTCGTCTTCATTAATTTTCAAAACACGAAATATTGTGATTTCCCTTATTGGAATCAAAAGGCATTTTCAAATCTGTGATTCGCATTTTACGACCATTTACTGTCATGGGTAGAAACTGTCAGGCCCTGCGTGTAACGCGTACCTCACCATGGGATAATTATTATGATTTTAAAGGGATGTGCAGTGACATACATGGTAATGACAGTTATTCTTTAGTATATTTCATTGTGAATATGAATATTTTGGTTAGAGTAGATACAAGTAGAAATTATGGCTTCATCTTTACTACTATGTGGCAAGGTCAAATTATCATAGAACAACAGAATAAGGCTGAATCGCATACTCAAATTCACATAAGCGCAAAAATATAACAGAAATGAGATAATCTATTAATTAGAACTTAGCTTGAGAACAAACTAATCTCATAATCCTAAAGCAAGGATAGACAACGAAATTGAGCTCATATACTGTAATAGCTTGATCCAGTTAGATGACCTGTAGAGTTGTTCACTTATTGCTAAACATTACCGACTATAAGGTAAATCAAAATTGTGATTCCTCCTCAACTATGCTTGAACTTTATTATCACTTGTAAGCACCCTTATGATAATTCACCAATGACTTATCGAGAAATATTGCATAGGACTTCATAAGGACATCGACAATCAGCATTTCAACACATTCGACGAAGCTTCTCACCATAGTAAAACAATAACTTTTGTCGGTATCAATTTTCAATGGAGAAAAGAAATTATATTTATACTGTGTTAATTTGGCTGACTTCATTAGGTAAAGAGGCGAGCCGAATGCTGCCCAATATAATGGCAATGATTTGGTCACGGGGTAAACTAATTTGGTTAATATTGGATGTGACAATTTTATTGAATATGTACCATTCAAGCGGAATTGATTTGACAGATGGAATTGTAGTACCAGCAGCAACAAGATTAGCATAATGGTCACCATTATAACGATGGTTTCCGTCAATAATGATAGTTTCTTCAAACGGAGAACAACATATATGCTCAATATGAAGTCGATAACATGAAAAAGTGACTGTGCGAAAAGAACATTAGATCAATTTACTCTCCACACACATGTACAGTACGGTGCTAAAAGGGTTATCGATAATTTGAGACTACCCAAAGCTTGAAATGTAATATTTTTTTAAACGAAAATCCATCAGCAGAACCAGCTAGGGACAATTCACATGAGAAATGATAAATATTCTTTTTTTCTGTTAAAAGATGACATACTTCAAAAAAATGAGAATGCAACAGTGACGAGAATTGTAAGACGACAAGTTTTTCAATAAAGAGCTTGAAGAGGCAGAAGAATCAGGAAATCAGGGAATCAACGAGGGGAAAGTTACGACTGACTCAACATAGCCTTTAGAGAATAAATTAAGGCGTTTTCAAAGTTTGTTGGTACTACTGACAACGGCTATTCGAATCCAATTTAAAACGTGGATTTCTAACTTAGGAGTCTATTTCTCAAAGCGCATTATTATAATTTAAGGATGTTAATGATGTTGAAAATGAGCTAACAACAGGAAGCCAAAACACAACAGTCATTAAAAAAACTGTAGGTGATACCGGACGGGAGACGAGGCGATGCTGGTGTGGTAAAGTTACAAAGACGTTTGGTTGATTAGAATCGGAATTTGAATATGTTTGAATTACTGCGTTAAATTGCCGTGTAGTATGATAGAAGCGCAATAAATTGTTCCTGGCCTTTTTTATTCCACATAAATCGAGTTTGCCTACTTGGCCTTCATCTAAACCTCGATTTGCACATATCAATATCCAGAAGAGACACATATTTACAGTTTCCTACTTATTTACAGGATTGTATCACAAGCCATATACGAAAGGTCTGTCTGTCCCCGCGAAGGGTTCAACGAAGAAATAATGAATGGTGTAACAGCGTCTAGACACTCCGACATGAGGGACAAGCGCCTTTGATCTATTGCTCGCTTCAGCTCGGAAACAAGCTGCACTATTATATAGTCTTTGATTTTCAGACGAACAGTAGGAAGGGAAATGAAGATTGATATTGCATCAAGGAAAACGAGATTTCACTGCAAAAAAGACGATCGTAGAGATACTGTGTATATACCCTTGGCATGCGTTTTCACTCCTTTCTCAACTACAGAAAATCTTAGTTTGACTTACTGATTATAATAAAAAGCCTGTGCGTAAAACTTAACGACTGGCCGGCCCTTGGCAGTTGTTATCATCCCGCCCTTGACCCCGACCTTTTCTACCGTAATTATCAACTCGGATATGCACGAATAGGTTTGCACTTTAGGCGAACGAAACTGGTACCGTCTGCACAAACATAAAAAGAATAAAAACTTAAAAATAGAAGAAGCAATTTAAATTAGTTTTGTGTAATTTTAGTTGCACAAAGGCACAAAAATCCAGAACGGACAAGAGGATGGAGGACAATAAAAACGACTAAATCAACTGCCTTTCGTTCGTCCTTCTTCCTTTCTCCTCAATTTATTTTTCTTCTTCCCATCTTCACTCCCTTTTTGATATGAAATTGACATTACTCTTAACATGTTTCGCAGCTCTTTTAGCTGTCACTTTAGTGCAAGCTGACGATATGGCAGATGCCTTGAAGAAATTCTGTGGAGGTATAGATCCCTTTGTCTGACTAAAAGTAGACAAAAAAACCCCCAGTACACTTACGCTCCCAGCAACGTTACCCTTTAAACATTATAGGTATTGCCATCACAGCTCCTTCAAAGGGACAGACATTCACCAATCCTAAAACAGTCAAGGTTACAGTTAGTAAATATCACGCCTCAAGTCAAACTTTTTTCTAAACTTTCGAAAATCGATTTGTCTGACTCACATCTAAATTTCAACAATCAAAATAGCTAGAAAACCAAACGCCCAAGCCAAAGTTATCAATGCTGTTGATGTAAAGTATATTGTTTGATTGCTAGTTATTGCTTTTGTTGTATATAAGGAGTAGATAATTGACAAATAACTGTTTATCCTCGATCCAATAATACCTGCAGGCTTATTCTATCGATAGTAAAGGCAAAGCAACTTATCTTCAAACAGTCTGGAAAGGAAGCTATAGCTTAAACAAAAAGGCTACTCTAACGTAGGTGGTTCAATCTTTTTATGAACACATTTGTTGGGCATTTCTTTGACTAGGTGCTAATTAATTAATTCCCGTTGCCTGTTTATTCATATAGTGTCGATTTAACAAAGGCCAAGCAGGCTAAGTTTCCTGGACAATTCGAATTCCGGTGAGATTATATGACAATTTCTATTCGTCTTGTAGATTAAAATACTTACCTGTTTTGGTTTTCAAAAAATACACTTTATAAACAATTATAGTGTTTGGGTCCATAATAAGGCTGGTCCTGATTGTACCTTAATGTCCAAGGTTTTCAAGGCCAAATCTTCATCTCACTCTAACGCTGTTGAAGAAGCTGAATACCAGAACTTGAATGAAAATATTGATCGTGGTTGTTTTGGAGTTGAATTAACTGCTCCCAAGTTGGGTGGCGAAGTCTCAGCAGACCAACCTTTCACTGTTCAAATTCAACGTGATAGTGCCGCTCATACTGATTCTCTTCAGAAACTTGAACTATACAAGGTTGAATTAGACTCACGCCAATCCACCAAAGTTCACGATACTTGGAGTGGTAATGAAGACATTCAAAATATGATAAACTTTAAGGATACCATCCCTGCTTCTGCCAAGGCTGCCAACACTGCTTTCTATTACAAGTTGTCTGCTAATACTCAACATGACGAGACTTGTGAATTCTACTCTCATCCTTTCTACCTTAACTAAATATAATACCATATCCTCGTTAGTATGAAAAGTCCCTCATTATACGTTTTCTGTTTGATTTCTGTACCCTTCTCTGTATTATTATCGTGATCTATAAATAAAATCAAGGAACCTTTAACAAATAGAGAGCAATTGATCAATTTATTCTATTTACTGATATTGTACTCTTATTAGTCATGGAAATGTACTGTATGTTTAGTAGTAAGCAAATATAATATAGGGTAAAAGTATAAGTTAAAATAAAGTAATAAAACAGCTACTATCGATACTGCTACTTGGCTAATCCCAAATTAATTGACCATATTCATTAATGCCCGCGGTTGATTGTGGTACCTTGGATGACGAGGACTTCTGTCCATTTTTACCCCAGGGCGTGTTTTTGCCTCTACCTGTTGCATAATAATCTTGGATCTTGATCTTCTCCAATTCTTTCTGATGTTTACGTAATCTTTCCTCTTGAAGTGCAGCAGCAGCCTGTTTCTGTGCTTTTTTCTTGGCATTCCGTTTCATATTTTCGCGTTGCTTTTTATCTAATCCTGGAATATATCTTTCATTCGCTTCTATAACAGCTGCTGTGATGGCAGCATTCTTGTCAACATGAGTATTATTAGAAGCGGTATTTGACTTTTGATTAACACGTCGGCCTATTTTGAGAATAAAAGTAAAGGAATGGACACTGAATACGACTGTTGCTATTGTTTTTTTAATGAAGCGACTATTCAAACTTACTTCTAACTTGACTCCATCCTTCTTCGAGAGGAACAGGTTCGAGTTCCACTTCTTCTTCTTCCGGTTTAATGCGTAAAACGCGTGCATAATGAGTTGTTGGATCCATATGCTCATCAATTTCTCTAATAGGCTCATCATTTTCCATATCGTCTGATATTTTTGCTTCTTCATATTCATCTTGCTGGCTTCCATCTACATTACTACTCTTGTTGTTGTTCTCATATTTAACGGAATTAGGGTGATTGTCGGTCTTCTTGTTTTTGTCAGATGTTAACTTTTGTGAGCGTTGTTGATTTTGAACAGAATCGATTTTCAACTGGTCATCAACTGCTGTATTCACTGCTGCTTTATTCTTTTTGTTCTTTTTTTTATTCTTACTTGTTTTTGTTGCTGTTGCTGTGGTATTGGCTGTGGATTTTTCTGCTGCACGCTTCCTTTCTTCGGCAAATTTTTTAAGTCGTTGTTGTCGTTGATATTCTATATCGTCCAGTAACGGTTCCTGTTCAGGACCACCTGTTTTATATATTACCCAAATTGGGAAAAGGAATACGAGGATCCAACCTATTAGCCGCAAATAGTCTTTGATATCCAGGTCGAGCATTGTTATGCGTCAAGTAGCTAAGGAAAATATACTTCTAGAAGACAAACGAGGGAAAAGCGAAAGAATGAGAGAAATCTAGGACAAAATGAATTGGTGCTTGATTTCAATAGCCGAATCGTATATTGTGCACACTCAAGGTAAATTAAGTTTTGATAGTGCATCCTCTTTGAATTGAAGTGAAGAGTATAACAAGTTCTCAAAAGCTTTTATAATTGTTCTTTATCCTTTTATTCTACTGATAATCAACAGTTTACTACTATTATTATTAAACATGCCATGAGCACTCCTAAGCGAAAGGTGTGATCATCTGCACATACTTTGCTAGACGCAGAAACTAGCTCTCTGCAAAAATGATCGATGGCTAGTACGTGTGGCCCTTCTCTCTGTGTGGCTTGCACACCTTGAATCTATAGCATGGAAAATGTTGCTAGCTTTCCACTGAACATTGATAGAAATGGTGCAACAGTAATTCACGTAACAAGTCAAATTTACTGGTCAGAAAGACTGCTCAAGATGGACACTCTTTATACACATTCTGTTTGATTAGTGTGTTTCTTACCTGTATTTCGTCTTTTTCGCACTGTCATGGCGTAAATTTCAAAACAGTTCGTTTTCTGAGCCAATTTAACCTCACACATACAAGTAGGTTTTACAAAGTGATTCAAGTTTTCCAAAGTATCGCTGAAATGGACCAGAAGGACTGTATTTAAGTGTAGTCATAATAGACATCGCTATGCGCTCAACATCATTCACGAACGTTTTTGAGCTCCAAAATCTGCATCATTTTTGGATATAGTTGGATTTAAAGCTAACAGAAAAAAAGCACTCAAGATGTCTCTAACTCAGAATACCAGTTACGTACTACATGTTAATAGGGCCCTTATATGTGCTGCTGTCAACTTCCTCTGGTATCCCGCTGCTTTACTTCCCATATAACTTTGATATCTAGCCCATGAGCCACGAATGAGCGGTATGTAAATGAAGTATTCTTTTCTTTTAATTATGGCACAAGAATTGAGTCAGAAGGCGCAAATCTCTCACTAACCTTATACTGACATGGCTTCCATTCATTCCTACATTACCTAGGAACTCATTTCTTATCTTTCTATTGACTGCAGTTTTTACTATAGAGGAATGCCTGAGTTTAATGCAAGTCATAGCTGTCGGCATAGATATTAGCCACCTATAGGCATCTAGGGCAGTTAAATATGAAACCATTTCCAGATGAAACTAATGGAAAATGCTTGAAAGAATTTGGTGAGGCAACCAGGGTTTGTGATTGCCATCGAGCGTTTCATATCTTCTGCTCGTTCGAGATACCAATGTAATATCTATTGGTGCCAATAGATGTGGTATCTTCAGAATTTTATCATTATTATTTATTTTAAATGATATAATAATATTAAATCGAAAGAAGCATATGAAAAAAAAAAAAAAAACAGAAACAAGGAAAAATGCGTGATGATATGACAATAATAGTAGTATTTGATGCTGTAAAGCGTCTTGAGAAGTAGGTAGGACTTGGTTGAATAGCAATGAGTTTTTAGCCTGCAGAATTGTAATTAAGGACTTGAGGTTCTACTTATAGTATGGTATACGTCTTGATAACCTGTCATAGAATCCCAGTTACCCAGTTGAATGCTTTCCTCCTCAATATTTTGCAGAGAACTTAGGTCAGTGGAACTGGAATTAGCAGTAGTTGACTTGCTGCTAATATTTGTATCTGTACTGGAGGCAGTGGAAACACGATGCTTGTTATCATTAGTAGCCAACAACTTGGAGAATTCGGACCAAGGTAAATCCATGAAGCTAGAGTTCTTGGGAGTAGTTATACTTGGGTCTTCATTGATGAGATTAGGGACAGTCTTGATATGTTGAAGCAGCTTATAACCAGGATCCATTTTATGCACAAGTTATGCGTTATCTAATTTAATGTAAGAGTGAATAATGCACTAAAAATGATCGCCTAACTTTCGGCTCTTTTTATATGAATTTATGAGCCGTGGGACTTCTGATACCATAATTGTGTTAGTCCGCATGAATAAAACGATTGGATGTGTACTTGAACTGATTGGTGGAATCTAGGCAACCAAAATTCTGTGAACGGAAATAGCTGAAAATAGCTCTTCAGATAAACAAGTCCTCCACAATAAATTGGATACCGAGGAAAGGGGGAGGGGGACCTAGAACTTTTTAACCTTTCCATAATTGGTTAGGAGTTGATATACTCAGCTCAATCTAAAGAGTGTTTATTGCCGAAAGGCCATAGTTGGCTTAATTTTACAAAGACATGGCAGCAAAATAGTAGATTTGGATCCCTCATCAACAGAAGAAGAGCAGAAAAGCGAGGGAATTACTCTGTTATTTCCAAGCAGGTAGGTGGATCTGAGACACGAAGGTGAAAACGCTTCCGACGAAGCTAGGACTGCACAATGAATCAAAGTGCTATGACCATATAACCAACTGACTCTCTCGCTATGTTGATTACCTGTTTGGAAATGTGCAAACACTGAAACGCAATTATCATTCTTCGCTTCAGAGTGCTTTGAGCTGTCAAGCGGAGATGGCCACTGAACAAACTATGTGGTTTGTAGTCATATCATTCTTTTGCAGAAGTCTGCTTGTGGGTTAAAGCTTGACAAATAACTCAACCCCCAGTTAAATGAGCAATCTGTTTCTCATTGTGTAGCTAATATGTACGTTGCGGACTATATCACAGTTTCATCAAGAACTTAACCATCTGCAATGAATAAGTCCTTCCATAGCTTTGTTCGCCGCAGATATTGCTATTTTCAGGCTTTGAGAAATTTTGATATTGAAAATGGGCAGTGGAACGACAGAGAATAAGCAACAATAAAGCACATGTAGATCATAAAAAGAAGGAGAATGCTTAGGTTACGAAACTCCGGTGACACCTGAAACTTTGCCCAAAAGTTGACATATAAACGTTTCATGGCAACATATGAATCAATCCTAAAATAGTTAAAGATACATTTATAAGGCATGAGGGTGGGCTGTAATCTAGCTATAACGGTTCCAGAGTAAATATTGTAGCAGAGCTTCTTTAAAGATAAAATATTTTGCGAAGAAAGAATATCTAAATTCACCTAGTAATGTTTATGAATGTTCTCTTTGATGATATAAGATTAGACTTAATTATCGTATTGTTGCCTTACTGCTTGATCACATCTCGATTAAAGCATTTGTTTTACGCCCACATTTTAGCTGGTTAAAAAAGAAGTTGCCTGAAAAATGAAAATCATAGTAAGAAAATTGGGACAATAGTCTCTCAGTATCGAATCAGAACTATGCTGCAATTAGCATTGAGGACAAAGTATACGTATTTTATCATTCTAATAGCAATACATTACGAATTCACCGAGTAATATCTCTGCAATTCTCTTCGACTTGCTTTCTCTTTTAACTTACAATAATATTTTAATATGTACTTATTACTTATGCAATAATAAAGTAGAGTCATTACGAACATTGGCTATGGCAGGTGTGTCCTTAATCTTCACAGTTGAAAATACTATGAAAGAAAAAAACAAGTTGTTTATGACTGAATACCTAAATGAATGGCTTGACAATACGTGTAATCACTTTTTAGTAATCATTACACTTGAAGAATCTCTAAAATGCCATCATGCACAACAATTTTTGCTTTGACAGTAATATAATGATAAATTGAAATTGCCGTCATTATAGGTAATTATAATGATAATTACATCGCTATTTGCTGGAAATCCCTAAAGACGTAACAACCCAGTTCTTTAACTTCTTGAGAACGGGTAAATTTGTTAAGTATGTACAATGGGTAATCAGCAGGGAACTAAATATCATTAATTAATGATAGAGTAATATATTCTGATGTCTTGTAGAATCTAACAAATGTATGAATTATTTGATCCTTCTAGCAATCAAGAACGACTATTACTTACGTCCGTTACGAGCATTTTGTTAATTTTATCTGCACTATCTTTTGTTCTTTCAATACTTTATCTTCTTTCGAAAATGACATATCTCCCTCTTTGAGAGCGAGTCTCAGCTTGACTTGAAAAGATTGTACCAAGAAAGTGAGATACCAAGAGGAATATATGTGAGTTCGACTTTTATTTGTAATGGCTTTACTTTCCGAAAAGTTTGATAGTAAAACAATAATTTTAGGTAATTAGCCAAGTAATCTTTAATCATGTACATAATGCCTTGATTAAAGAACCCTTTCAAAATTTGAGATCTCATGCCCCTATATAGGCCCAAATAACCATTTTCGTTCACAACTTTTCTATATGTAGCTACCATACTACTACTTCCTACTTTTGCAGATGTGTTATGCTTCTGTTGATGCTGGTCATTAATCATAGTAGTACGCAATAGTATAAATGGATAAGTGATTATGGTAGCTATACTCTTCGATAAAGCAGGCAGTAAAAATATTTGAAAACTGTTAAGTGTGTGACAGTTGTTGTTAGTATAGATTCTTTTCAACCTTTCAAATACGAAATAGGTAATAGAAGGGTTTGTCACCAAAATGATAGAGGCGCGGTAACCTAATGTAATTGGATGAAAAGGGTCAATTGCAATAGTGGTTATATACTATAATATTTACTTTTTTGAAAAGTTTCTGATATCGACCATAGGCATGGCATTTCCTTATTCCGATAACTTCATTAACTTGTTGATTCTTTACTCTACCTCTCCAGAATTCTTTGATGCCCTTTTGTTAGGATAATTGTGTTGCAATTTCTTTTATTCCTCTCCTCTGTTGTACTTTTGAACAACTATCAGCACTTCTACTGGCACTGCTACTCTGCAAATGTATCGTCATATTGGATACAGGTGTGGTGGAAAATCTTGAAATTAATGCTGCTTCTGATCCTAAGAACAATTCCTGAGCAATATTCAAATCGGCATTTTGCTTGCCCATAGATCGATTTAGCTTCTCTTGTAGATTACGGAGTGCTGTATAACAATAGAAATAAATGAAGTTAGAAAGGACAGTAGCAACTGTGTCAGAGCCAAGACCAGCGTAAAGTGCTTTGAGGCCACCCTCTTGTTGATAGATATCATAAATAGTGTGTAGAATTCCTTTTTTATCTTTTTTATCGTTATTGAGTTGCAGTCGAATTGTTGATCTATAAACAAGATATACTAATGGTTAGTTTTCTGTGTTTGCCCTTAATTCTCGACGTAAATCGTATACCAATTTCCGTATAATTTACATATCTAGCGGATAGATAAACAAGCTGGCAATAGTGGAACCATCAGCACCCGAAATAGCATGTCCGATAGGCTGTAGCTTAAACTCTTCAAAGGACTTTACTTTAACTTCATCGTTCCTATTCATAATATACAAGCACCTAAGATTAGCTCCAAAATGTGTTGCTAATGAAATTAATCGCAAAAGACAGCAGTTGGAAGAGAGAAAATTAAAGGAAAGTATATTGTTAGCCTAGGCGTTATTTCCCTTTTTTTAATTCATATTAAAAAACCAAGAGTTCTCAGCATTTATCATTACTGTATTTTCGCTTCAGATTTGGATTATTGAAAAAATAAATAAAGCGGCCTCTTTTTTTCAATATGGAACTAATTTTGCAATCTGTTTTGAACGCTTTTTAAAGATAAAATTGGACTGATGGCAAATGTTCAGTGCATAACACCTTTAGGAATGGGAGCATAACAGTCTGACCAACCCTTCTCTCACATATTTTCTCTTCACAATCCCTCTTGAAAGGATACAATATAGATCTTATTGAACTGAAAGCTCTGCAATTGCAGATTCCGTTCGAGCATACGAAAAACAGATAACATTTTATTACAATGAATGACGATCTAGAGAAAGTATATGCCTGAGACCGTTATAATAGATGGTATGAGAGAATAGGAAAATACACATAATAGATTAGGTAAATACTGTGTATATTTGGCGCAGGTGATCATTAGAAATCTCACACTATCCGTACTCTGTAAAGCCCACAATGTTATCCCTTTGAACCTATCTTCTCAGCTCTTGCGGGAAGCGGCTGCTCTTGACTGATTGCCAGCACAAATATTGTCTTCATCCTTTCCATGTCCCACCGCTATGTGATATGTGACTAAATTTGTTACTTCTCAATAAAGAAATCTTCAAAAAGAAAACTATTTCCAAAGAAAACTCACACATTGTAGAAGACTTAGACGATGTTAGCAATCGACAGCCTTCAAAAGTAGTTGAGCCGGACTTAATAAAATGGGCCAATATAGTGATAGCCAATTTATGTTATCAAGGACTCTAATTTTGATCCATTTGATGCTCTTAGACTATTCTTTAAAGCTAGCTACTTTACTACATCTTGCTTCAAGAAATATCTACCCGACATTTATTGTTTTATATCGCATATCTCCTGATGTGTATACAAAAATTCTCAATCAGGAAACTTATCAAGTAAACGAACAAAACGATTGTATATGTTTATTGCGCTTAATACGGACAATCTCGAATCTTTCTATGGACTAGAATACAACGAAAAGCAACGTTTTGGAATATACACTACAGTTCGCTATACATGACAAGGAGGGAAAAAATAATTTTTTTTTTTTTTTTTTTTTTGATAAAGTTAGTGCGAAGGCCAGCAACAAGAATTAATCTTTGACTATGAAGAAGGAATGAAGTCTATCTAGAACTTCATGCAAGATAAAGCCGATAGATAAGGCATTGGATTCGGAACTTTGTTTAATAGAAGGTAAGCAGAAGTGAATAGCAACACAAAAACACCAACAGTCTTAGTGGGAGCATTCGCAAAATATGCCAAAAGGAAACATACTCCTATTATTTTGTTATAAATACTCAATAATAATGAGCCTACACGTTTATACATGAGAAACATATTTTTTTTAGTAACACTCTTGGTATATATCTGATCTATTATTTTAGTATGATATGAGAGTTTCGAATATAATGTAACGCTTGGTCAATGCGTATGATAAATATTGCACTTTTTTTCGCTTGTCTACGTTGAGGAATTATTAAGTGTGAAATTTGTTTTTAACACTAGATTGTAGGCTTGTAATTCATGTAGACAGGAGACTTTGGAAAACTTAATTGCCGCCAACGGACAGACGATCCATGCGATATTGATTTGCAACAATTGTAATATTTATTGGAATCCTGACGTCAACGCGGTGAAGAATATGTCTAGCATCTCTAAAGCCATCGGGGTAGGAGAAAGAAGGCCTGCTGAGTTCACTCGATCTCATCCTCAGACCACTTGACAAAGCACCATCTCCAATATGGTTGTCTCTCCTTGTCGAGAGACAAAAAGATTCTACAGGTGAATAAGTCTACATTTTATCGAAAATCTATCCAAAATATTGTACTTAAAACTCCCAATAGTTTTGTTCTTTTGATCTTAAAATTAACTCAATGCTTTCCAAAACGGAACCGAAAAGACTGTATTAAGCACTTTTTATCAATCAAAATTAACACTTCCCCAGTGCTCTTATCACATGCGGCTAATGGCAAATCGAAAAATTGCGAATCGTGTAACGAAGCAACTTGTAGTACACAGGGCCTCCTTGTGCAATCCGAAAGTAATGTATACATGTAGTAAGTCGAGTAGAGACAATCAAATATCTTGTTGTTGATTTTGTATCCGCAATGAATAGTATCCTAGTATAGACTTCATAAATTAATACAAGCATGAAAACATATATCAAATTTGGTAGCTCTTTTTCATCATTTTTTAGAATGTATTTCCTAACAAGAGGTTGAATTTGTTTACAATAATTTACACAGGCTATAATCAATGCTTTCTAATAACTTTTTACAGTAAACACCTTTTGCACAACGTATGCTGAATGTTTTGAATGAGACAAATGATTAATAACATACCTGAGTGATAGGTATCAAAATATACGGGTTATATGACAGATCGACTGGATGAATTACCAATTTCATCCGTACATACAGGATTTAGCGTAAGTTTGATCAAGATGTCTGTATCAAGTACAATGTGAAATTGAATACTTTAAAGTTGTTACCGGCTTCAATGCCCAGTTGTACTTGAAGGCGACATTTTTTCTGTTTGCTTCACAATTATGCGGCTTCTCTAAAAGGGCTGAAAAATGACGTTGACGTGCGTTTGGACGGTGAGCAAAATTCATACTCAGAAGCTCTTTACTTCTGCTTTAACGCGCGTCACTTCCGCTGGAAGAGTAGTAATCAGTCAATCAAACAAAGCAAGTTCTTTTCTTTCTTTTCTATATATTTCTTTACCAACAATAAATCTTTAACACAATCAAACGTTTGATTTATAATGGAAAGACTTCAACGTTTATTTGGATCTGCAGCAGCCGGTTTAGGACAGGTACTTTACGCAACAGCTTACAGATCCGCTTGTCTCGCCAGTAATTTAATCGAACCCACACATACCATTATTTGCTATTAATAGGGTATGCAGCCTGGTATGGATACACCCACTGTCGACAATGCTGAAATGGTCTATATCTCTTCCCTCGCTCTTCTAAAGGTAATTGACAGATAAACTCAAATTTGAGGAAGCACTCAGATAGTTAACCCATCGCCTAAATTGCATTTAGATGTTAAAGCATGGTAACGCAGATTCACAGCATTGGAGTTACGCCAATGTATCATCGTATAGATTTTTAACAGCTAAAGCCCAATTTGCTTATAAATTTAGGCCGTGCTGGTGTTCCAATGGAAGTCATGGGTTTAATGTTAGGCGAATTTGTTGATGATTATACAGTTCGTGTTATTGATGTGTTCGCTATGCCTCAAAGTGGTACTGGCGTATCAGTAGAAGCTGTGGACCCAGTATTTCAAACAAAAATGTTGGATATGTTGAAGCAGACTGGCAGGTATGATTAGGAACGACTACCAGCGTGGTTTTAACCAAATTTTGAAAAGAGCGAATCATCATAGATTACATATGAAAGATGAATAGCGTGTACTTACAACTACTTTAACAATATAGACCTGAAATGGTAGTAGGTTGGTATCACTCTCACCCTGGTTTTGGCTGCTGGTTATCCAGTGTCGATATTAATACACAACAGAGTTTCGAACAACTTAATCCTCGTGCAGTTGCTGTCGTCGTGGATCCTATTCAGTCCGTCAAGGGTAAAGTCGTGATTGACGCTTTCCGTCTCATCAACCCTCAAACTGTCATGTTAGGCCAAGAACCTCGTCAAACTACCTCTAACATTGGTCACCTCAACAAACCTTCTATTCAGGCTTTGATCCATGGCCTCAACCGCCACTATTACTCAATCGCTATCAATTATCGAAAGAATGAATTAGAAGAAAAGATGTTGTTAAATTTGCATAAAAAAGATTGGACAGATGGTCTCACATTAGATAACTTTACAGAACATACTGAATTGAACGAAAAAAGTGTGGGACAAATGCTGACATTAGCAGAGGCTTACAACAAATCCGTACAGGAAGAATTAACAATGACACCAGAACAATTGAAGACAAGGCATGTGGGTAAACAAGATCCCAAACGTCATCTGGAAGAAAAAGTGGAGACTGTGATGGGAAATAATATCGTGATGGCATTAGGCGCAATGATTGACAGTGTTAGTTTTTAAAATGCAAAGTGAATAAAAAGTAGTAAGATTCCAGAACCAATTCATTTCTATAAACAATTGTTAAAGTCAAGAATAACTTATTTGTACGATATACGATTTTATAACGATAATGGAATAAGGCCAGACATTCAATACTCATGATTCTGGATTTCTTTTTTTATTTTTTTTTTATTTTTTAACTACTACTACTATTACAGTTGTAATTAGATTGCTGATGTTAAAATAAATATTAGAACTTCAAGAATTGTTAAAGTTAGAATTTAACGGAAACGAAGATAGAAATTAACCTGCATTACAAAAACGAAAAAGAAAAAAAAAATAAAATAAATTAGTGAATCTAGCAGAGTAAAAAATTGTTAAAGAGTGATATCATCTACTTACAATAAGAGCAATTACTAGTAAAATACACAAAACTGCAGGTCCCCAAAGATCGTCATACCGGCCATCTATACGACGATTAATCATCCAAGCACGTTTTTCAAATCGATATAATGCATAAATAGCGATGCCTGCTGACAGACCGATAAAGATACCACCCACAGTACGAGAAACCATATCACCAAAGTTCAACAAATTTAAAGCCACCGTTAACAATAAGGCACAAAATTGTAACCAAGAGATAAAAGTACGTTCATTGGCAAAGAAAACCTTGGGCTCCACTCTGACTTTGACTTTCTGACGTTGTGGTTTTCCATTACCATTACCGTTAGCCGAAGCAGCATTGATGGTGCTGTTATTGTTAGCAGATAAAAATAGTTCGTCACCTGTAACGGGAATGCCTAATTCTAGATCAGCGGCAGACTTATGGCTATTGCTAAGACTATGATTGCTAACACTGGCTTTGGGCATGACTGTATTTTGATGAAATTGTTGCTGACGCTGATTAGTGGTTGTCGTATTATTACCGTTAGTTGTGGAAGGGAACTTTTGCAGATTTTGAGGAAAAACAGAGGAGGAGGAAGAGGAAGATTCTTTTTGTTTCGATTGCTGATAATTATTGGGTTTATCTTCTGGCGGGATAGGGGGTAATGCACTACTTCTAATATCTCTTTTTGCAGAGGCAGAAAGGTTTTGTTCTGTAGCACTTTCCACATGTACTTCATGGGCCGAATTTGATCTCATCAAATTATGCTCACCCATTGCGCCGCCTGCTTGCACCACTGCTTGTTGATTCAGTCTTTCTTTTTCTTCAATCATCGCTCTTCTATACTTGCCATCAATTAGTGGTTTAAAGCTTCTGGACCGTGTCAAACCAATGTTCTCTGCTCGAGGTTTTCGAATATCCACGTTCAATTCAGCCAACCACCAAGGTAAGAGAGGCAAACGTTCCCGGTAAAAATGACAAGCACCATGCAAATATTTTGAGAAGCGAGGCACTTCATGTACTAGATGCGATTCAATCAGGGACGTTAACCAGGAAGGGGGTTCTTGCCCTAGGTGTGTCTGAAGTTTAGTTTCCAAAACTGCATACGGGAAGCGCAATATATCGGATTCTTTCACATAAGAGAACGGGGTATCTATACCAACGTCATTACGGCGCCAATTGTAAGTAGGCTGTCTTCGCCATTGTCCATCCAAATGATCCTCACGAATAAAAGTGAGATCAGTGTCCAACGAAATACGTAACCGTTGATCTCCAGGTAACTGAAAAGCAGTTCGATTATAAAACGCACGCAGCATGGGTTCCAACCGTCTTTCTCGAAATGATTTCTGCACGCCTTTAGCAATGAAACGAACATTTTCAATGGTATTTTTGTCAACGGGTTGCTGTTGCTGTCGAAGTTCCTTAACAATTTGTTCAGCTGTATATAATCCCGTCATGAAGTTGTTGACTTGGTTCTCCTTTACACGAAAACGATCTTTGACAGACGCCCCATCAAGCCAAGAAGCATGATGAGTCTTACGTTCAATAAAGATATTTGTCGAATTCATCGGACCGTACCTACAAATGTCATGTTTAAAATGATTGTGTGAGCCTTAATTGTATTAGGAGACCATTAAGTTCCATAAAAGGCTTTTCTCGGGGATTGAAGGAGAAATGGACAATGAAAACCAGCAAAGAAACAAAAAAAAAAAAAAAAAAAAAAAAAAAAAAAAAAAAACGAAAAGGGGAATTGTCATCTGTCTTAGAGTCGTTAGTAAAATACATATGAATAGGAAATTTCACAGTATCATCAGAGAGTATCTATAATTAAGCTTTCGCTTCGTTCCCCGTTAGTAACAACAAGAAAAAAGTACAAAAAATACTTTACCATCTAAAACGTATAGCTTCTGCACCTTCATCTCGTTGTAGTCTACCAGTATACAAATCAAAATTAGGATTATCGAAATAAACGCTAGAAATAGCTGAATCCGAAGGTTCCCATTTCTTATTTTTATCAAAAATCAGCACTGGTAAATGCAACATAATGATAGACTTGACTTCAGTGATATTATCAGGATGAATCCAATATTTAGCTGTCGCACGTTCGAAGGCATTTTGATCTCCTCCTGAAGCACTATTACCAGGTGATGACTTTCCACGATTACGACAGATATCATGCAATGCAGAGATATATATAATCGCTACGTCAAAACGTTGCTTGTCCAAAGGCTTTTCTCGAAGCTTGCCTACAAAATCATGCTTGAGATTCAAGCCTGTCCATTTATCATGCTTTTTGAGGATCTTTTGAATGGCGACGAAGTTGACGCGCGTGAAACGAGAAAGGTCGTTGACGTCAAAAAGAATCTCGGTTAGGGCTTCATCCATGATACTGTAATTGACATCTGATGCCATTGTGGGATTTTTTTGAAGGGTTTGTATGGTGCGTTCACAATAAAGAATGCGAGCATCTATTTCTGATAGTTTAGCGTTGACAAAGTCGTATACTTTGGTGAGCTCATTTTCGAGAAGACCAACAAATTCGATTTCGTCCTTTTCTGACCAGCCATGATCAAGCTGCCGAGACTTTAATTCATGTTTGAGCACATCATAGGAAATGTATGATAGCCGCCAAGGGGCAAATATACTCTGCTGTAGCTCTTCTCCATATTTCATGTCTGTGTATCAAATCCTGCTCAGTTATAAAGCTGTATTCAATGTAATTTGTTGCCTTTAAAATTCTATTCAGTGGAGTAAAAGAGAAAGATGCTTGTAAACAGTTTGTTTGTTCTTTAATACACCCTAGAGGTTCTTCTTTAAGATGATACAATAAAATAATCGGGTTAATTGGAAAGAAAAAGAAGAAAGAGGAAAGGTAACAACACTAAAGAAGAATAAAGAAAGGTAAAAAAAAAGGAGACAAAGGAAATTGCAAGTATACAATTTACAATAAAATAACAAAGCGGCTGCTGCTTGTATAGATAACTTTACGACTGCAAATTTCATTGATGCAAAAAAAGTTAACATTTCTATGCGGTATCACCAAAAGGATCTTCTGTACTTAATCGCGCTATTACTTTATGTCGTCCCTTTTCAATGCTGCACATCCAAGTATATCTAATCGTGCTTGTGTGCCCTCCTTATTGTTACTGATCCTTCCGTTCATTTGCCGTTCTATGATTTGTATTTCCTCAGCTAACAACCAGCGTTTTTATCCTTTCCAAGCAAAGTGATCAAGGGAGATATATGACGTTGCCACTGCACATTTTCAGTATACAGATTACAGATAGAAAGAGGTTCCCTATCGTCTTAACATTTTACTACTGTTATAATAAAGCATAGTTCTCCTTCAATACGACTGACTAGGCTTTATAATAGAAAAGCCCCTTAGTAAAGCAGCCCCCTTCTATCCAGTCAAAGAGTCATTCTATTAATAAAGCAATGTGAGTATCAGGATAGTTTTTCTTTCTCTCAAGGAAAATTATCACCTACAGTTAACTTTGTTTACATTGCATCCCTCATGCATCATATATCAAAAGTTATCAGCAGCTTTGCTTCTGATCCAATCATTATTAAGACACTCGACATCACGAGTCACTCCAAATTTGATGTGACAGAATGCATACAGTGTTCGTCCATAAGCAATGCCATGGCCAATCAAAATCAATGTCGTTGGTTGCAGGGCAATCAGAAATTCAATTTGATAAAAGAAGGGGCATGTGAAGGTTGTTGTTAAGAATGGCGGACCTGAACCTAGAAAATTCAATTGTTGATCAAACTTAGTATTGTAAACTTGAGGCGCGGATAAATATATTGATAGAGAACAGAGTAAACAAAATATTTGTATAGCGAGACCCAGAATGAGAAAAAGCAAAAAGAGGCAAAAAAAAAAGCTATATAAAATGAAGCAAGCGGGAAAGGAATCATGTAGCCATTGTTTGAGAGAAATGCAGTCAGTGTTTATTAGGGCATACACTGCGAATATCTTTATAGCATCAGAACAAGATAGTAAAGTATTATTGTAACAAGGGAAAAGAAGATTTGAGGCCAATCAGTACTTGCTTTTGAAGTTGTAAATTCAAGCAAACTTACCTGCAAGAATTAATTGGACGACGGGTCAATCTATAAAAGACCGAAACGGTGGGTTCAAACTCCATAGTCCGTGGACCAAAATGGTGTAATATTCGTTTGGTGTGGTAAGGTGTAGTATTCCCGGAGAGATAGGTATAACAATGATGTTGTTAGGTGCCATCACCGTAACGCATTAATACGGTCTTCAATGAAATTTAAGGTTTACCGAATAGTGGTAATATTATATTGAAGACTGAGCCTGCGGAGCGCGGTGTTGATTAAAGCAGGAGGGACAGTAAAAAGAGCCATTGTAAGAAAGTGTGAGTATTTTACCAAAAGTTAATAAAGACTTAACTCACGCTCCAATAATGACGATGCTATCCACATGTATTTCAGGTCCACAAACAAGAAAAAGGAGGGGAGACTGACCGAAAAAAGGCTAGTGTGGTCAAAGCTATTTTAAAGGAGTATGACACTGAAGAATTATACGATTGCTAATAATCTATCATTTTCTGTAGTAAGTAAAATAAAACAACAATAGTGCATCCTTATATTTAGGCCTGGAAGAGAAAGGAGAGAACAGAAAACAAGATGTAGACGTGAATCGACAATACCAATTTTCAAAGTGCCCTTTAACGTGTTCATGGGATCGTTTCTTTATGCGCCATTTGGTTTAAATTTTTCAATTCAGGGATTACATAGCATTAGACTAAGTTCAGTTCATATACTAAGTATTTAGAGCATCACCGCCAATGATTCTTAAATGACTCGCTTATTGTTGGCAGAAAATCAGTTATTGGAAATACTCAAATGAAGGTTACAAATACAACACGGGCTTATGTGCATTACATTATTCAGATTGAAGCTAGGTTTTTATCTCTCTTAAACAAATGTATCAGTGCATCAATATATACTTCCATAAGTGTGGCTATTGTTACCTATGCTCTGATAGTAATTTGAGAAAAAAAAAAGTGTGGAGATTTGCTTATTTCAAGTATACAGCAGCTGTTATTAACAACGATACCACTGATTCATATACTACTGTCGTTGAACTGAGAAGGAGTTTGTTGAAGCGGTAATGCATATTTCCATTTTCTTGTGAACAATTGTTCGGCAAAAATTATACCATCTTATAGTTCCTTATTAACACTCTTACTATTAAACTCCTCATAGATAACTTTTCTGTACGTATTCTTCTTCTATCTTATATTCAATTCCCTTATCATGCTTCCGTCTGTTTTTTTCCACAATAACATGCAATATTCAAATTAAATGTTTTTATTTAAAAAAGACAAAAAGGGACTCGTATTCAGTGATGGCTATAAATTTGTAAATGGAATGAAGATGTGAAAGAACGTCATATAAAGATGATGCAACAATATGTGTTTATTAATACTGATTTCAACCTCTATAAATCCTACATCCTTTTCGTTCTTCACTTTCAATATGACTACCAAGATCAGTTTTCCGTGTATCAGGGTACTAAATCTTTTTTGAATAAAAGCGCGTCTTCTATGGTTATACAAGTTCGAAATACTAAATTTTCGCCCATAATTTAAAGGGAAATCCAAATTCAGTTAGTGAACATTACATGTAATAAATGCCTCAAATAAGCTTGAAAGCAACGGTCTATTTACAGTTACTATTTCGTCGCTATCAAAGTTATTACTGGAAGCCAATAAAAGATAGAATATCTCAAAATTTAAAGCGTCCCACTGCTTACCTCAACAAATAAGTTTAGCAAACTTATATCATTGTATATTTAAGTTTATATGCTAATTTTAATATAAGTTAACGTTATTTATTATACATTTAGCAAAGGATATAAAGAAATAGTATACTAATAGTAAATGTCGTCAAGCTATTGCATAGGACGACGAGTAGAGTTGTATTTGATAACAGCTTCTTCGATTCTCTTGAAAAAATCTTCTCTACTATTCTTGTCCGTGATAATAAAGAAAGGCTCCCAGCTCATATTACGCAGGTAAATCGCGATACCTGTTGGTTCGCGCTTGATTGTTTGAATTTCAGTGAAAGGTTCTTGCCATTCCACGGATAAGTTACGTGTTCTAATTAGCATGACCCGGTTGTTTGTCAACATCGCTACACGTTCATTGTTTTGAACATGACAATGGGCCAAGTAAGTGTCATTCAGGTATTTTCCACCATCAACATCCTTAAGCCAGTGCTGACCAATTGCTTCACGTAAAGAGTATGGCTGAAGAATTCCATCTGAGCCTATGTAACGAGGATATCGGACACGCTCTATCATATTGATATCTGTGGGTGTAGCTGTGTTTCTGATACCTTCTGTAATGTTGCTGGTAAGGTCAAAGATACCAACAGCAGGCTTGGTTACAGCTCTATCGAATTGAGCAAATCAAGCGTTAGGAAAATCTAATTCGACTCTAAAGTGTTTGTTGACAATAACCATACCCTACAAGGCCTTTTCCGAAGCCTTTAAATAAGCCTCCAACACCTTCTCTAGACGCTCCTTCAAGTGGACGTGTCTTTGAGATAAAGGAAAGATCGTTTAATGTTTGATAAAGATCTGTAAAAAGTTAACGCTATTCAATGAAGCTTGTAGAATTATACTTACCACTAGTCCTGAAAATCCACTGGCTACACTGTTAGCAAAAGACGAAGCACCTTGCGCCACACCAACCAAAGCATGTTTAGGTCTATTTCTTGCCAAATTCTGTCTTCTACGGTCTTGATATTCTCTATCCATTGTGGCGGCCGATAAACCTTTACCTATACTACCAGTGAATTTAGTGAAGCTATCGCTAACACCAAATACACTCTTTTTCACAAATCCACTAAAGCCCTACAAAGAACTAATTGATTACGATCATTATTCCCAAAGTTGATCAACTTATATGGTATCTTACTTTAGCAATTCCATAACCTAAATCCTGAGGACGATCACTCATTATCAAACCTTGCCAAGGTTCGTAAAATAGTTCCGCTACACCAGAACTCAGGTTATTAAACAACCCCACAGGATTACCTAAGAAGTCAGCGGAACCCAAAATACGATGCATTTGGTAAACCAATTGATCCGTATAATGGAAATATATACGGCTTGCTAAATCGGATCCGTCAGCCATAATATTTTCAATAACCAAAGCGTTGAAGCGAAGAGGAGCTTGATTGATATTGCCAATAGTCATGGTAAGGGCATTGACAAGGTAGGCCAGAGCAGTGTTCGAACGCTGAGCTTTTTGCATTTTCTCGTCATCATCGGCAGTACCCGTATTCTCCTCACCAGATCGCAGAAAAGACAAGTTGAAGCGAATAGGCTGTATACTGAATGTTTCAAAGTAAAGTTGTGCAATATTATCTCCCGGCTTTACATCAGGTATATCGGCAGAATAGTTGGTCCATATTGTTGCTTCATCTTCTACTTTGCTGTCCTTATTTTGTTCTTCGATATGAGCAAATTTCATAAGAGCATAAATAAACGTTTCTTCAATTTCAATACTCATCTCTTGTAGTAAAATAGAGAAGTACTTGAAGTAAATAACACCGTGCGAGTTATCCTTAACTCTGTCTAAAGCTAGCTGCACTGTTGGTAGAATCTTATTGCCTGCACTGTTATCTTTAACATTGTTCCTACTATTGCCATTGTTGGTCGAATTTGTAGGATAAAGAATTATAGGAAATGCGGAAGATCCATACATCTGATTATCAATCTGTATCCAATCTATATTGCAACGCAAGGAGTGATACAGAGTTGAATCTGTAAGCCTGAAATTTATACCTTTGAAAGTGGCATATGCGAGTTCCTCAACAGGTCGTTGACTTATAATTGATACACCTACTTCTTTGAGCTGAAGTTGGAATACAGCGTTAATGGAAAAATTAACATCAGCGGCTTCAAACCCCTCCTTAGCGGCACTGTCTAAAGATGAAACTGAAGCAGTGGAGTCAGTTCGGCGCATGGATGTGCTGCTGCTGTTAGTATTAACCCTATTGACAGGCTTAAAATGACTTTCGTTTTGTATGAATGGTTTCAACTCCATAATACGCTGTGTACCATAAATCTTTGTATCGATCGATGTAATCGCAGCTCGACCGTCACGTGTGGCATGTCGGAAAGGCAACATACTGCCAATTTCTTGAGGATTAATGCTTCTTTCACGTCCATTAATATTTAGAATGATCTTTTTATCCTTATAAGCAGGAAGATCCCAAGAGTATGGAACAGATTGCTGGGCTGGCAATCGATATCGTTTAAGACGAGGATTGCGGACAGGAGCCGAACTGTAGTCATCCTTAATAGCAGCAGGATCTTCCTGATAGAATATGACATCTTCATCTGTATGATTCACCAAAAGATATGGCCAATTGTCATCTGCTTCCTTCGTCAGAATAATAAAGATAATTGCTTCTTGAATTTTGGTAGTGATCCTCACCAGCGTATCTTGATGTTGATGGCCATCGTAGTAATCAGTGGGCAGACGAACGTGAATATCGCCTATTTCCTGAACGTTGAAGGGTGCAGACCAAGAATTACTGTATCCTTCCAGTTTAATAGACAACTGTTTTTCGTTCTGTATACGAATATTGTATAAAGGCATACGCTGCTTAGCGTCCAAACCATAGTCTGTCTTGGTCTCAGGGAAGCGATATCGAATATTTTCATCAAGTTGGTTGCTCAGCACGAAACGAGGCGTTATTGTAACTGTCTTGGTCAATTTGAATTTTCCTTGCCCTTCTTGTATATTGATACCTAAATGAATTTCTTCTGATCGGCGCTTATTTGGTAGGGCCACATCATAGACACTACCAATAGCTTCGAAACTAAGGGGTTGACTCCACTCAGATGCTGCTGCTTTGATTAGAGAACGATTGCGGTTATCCATGGTTGGGTATGAATACATAAAAGGTTCAGGTCTGGCGTTCGGTTGGCATGTTTTTGCAGTATCATTGGAAGAGTATAGAGCTTCTGACCAAGCAGGGTTCGGCCTAAAGGTAATAGGCAATTGTGTCTTATTTATAATAATATAGGGACTGAAAATACTATACCGCTTGGCACCTCCAGAGTCAGGAATGTCCACAGTATTAATATGAACATTTAACTTCGAGTTATCCTTTTTACTAACAAGCTCGATGGCATGATCTACCTCCAAGTCATCTGATCGTTTTGTACTAATAATAGCATAATCGCTGCGTTTGTATTCCGTATCTGGCATTTCAATATTAAAGAGAACCAGATGATTATTCTCAATAACGTGAATTGGAGTGATACCTCCTTTTCTCAGAAAGGAGCTGAAATCTTGTCCTGTTGTCTTGTCAACAATACGGAAATTGAAGTCATATGGCAAAAGGTTTTCAATCTCAATAGGAGCACTCAAACGAATTGCCATAGCTGGATACTGACCAAACAATATACTCTTCCTGTCCAGAATAGCGTTAATTTGGAAGATGAATGGGGGCATATTTTGTTCTTTTTCATCACCAAGACAACCAAATGTACTAGGAGGCTTGATAGGGCTGGCGAAATCCTTCCAGTAGAATGCTTTATTAGGCCATCTATATCCGAAGCCAGCTATAGAAAAAAGATCATGAATTGTTAAAAAAAAAGAAATCCAGTCCTTCCTTTTGTAAACTGTGCTCAATCAATGAGGCTTACCATCAGGGCGCATACAAAAGCGATTGGTAAACGCTTTTTCGATAGGAATAGAATAATTCTCTCCGGGAGCAATTTTCACCGCAGGGCCATCCATTTTACCATTGGTATTGATCGATGCCAAATCAATGGATAGCAAGGTTCTATTTTCAATTACCAGTGCTGATCGTATAGTAACTACCTTAATATTATTGATCAACTCAACCTGAAATACAATATGGTGTTGTATGTTATCAATCATAGGTCGAAGTGGATGCATATGTTCTCCTTCCCTATCGAGGTTTATGTCTCTTAGGCTTTCCCACAGAGCACCGTCGATTTGCACATTCAAATTATTACTGACAAAAGATGTAGTTTCACGGCGCTTCTTCCAGTCTTCAAACCACCATGGCAAATCGGCACCATTTTTAATTTCTTTGATAACAGGTCCTTCCTTTGAATCTGCAGTATTCCATACAAGAATATTGTAACCAGTCCTATTTCGCAATTCATAAGGCGCCACAGTGCCTCTTTCACCGCTATAGATAGTCTGTTCAATGATGAAAGATTAGCTCAATAATCATACAGCATTTTCCCTTTATCTCTTATCGTACCTGGCCTTCCTTATCTAATAGTCCTATAGTAGAGACTGCACTTTCCAAGAATGATTGCGATATATTTAAGTTCAAAATGGATGATGAGCTAAGTTTCACATTAAGGGGCTCTGATTTATTCATAGCATCCCGTGCGAGATCCAACTTAAAGTTCCAAGGCTCCAAAATCGGCTCCCAATGTGAATTCTTAAGATTGAAGTAATTGATATAAGTTTGAAATTCAACAGAAAGAGATAAATCTCTTGACCAATTTGCTATTTCAACGTTAAAAGGTTGCAGATTCATATCTATCATAGGTGTTTCGTGCAACTCTTCAATAAGAATAACTTGTGCACCATTGAAAGAAATACGTAATAATTCCTGGGCCAGCATCGCTTCGTTCAAATAGTCAACTTCAGTCTGTGCTTTGGCTGTGGAAGAAGTTAATGCACTAGCATCAGTTAACCTTTCCTCAGTTAGCGCTGAGTCATACGCCGATACTTTGGTCCCTCCTGCTTCTGCGTTCACACTCTTTTCATAAAGAGCATATGCTTTGTTGAAGATATTAGTGACTAACATAGCATCACGATAAGACAATCGCAGAATAAGGGGATCGATATTCATAACTAATTCAGTGAGAAGACCTCCTTCTTCTGTATGAGGATTTCTGTTCATAGACAAGTTAACATCAAATGGCTGGAGGAAGCGTAGGGTAGATTGCTGACGCATGTCCATGCGACATAAGAACATGCCCAATTGTTTGATAACTAAAGCTGTTTTGTTCTGTTGAGTGATTGTGAGTTCATCAGTAACTAATACTACCGCTTCCGAATCTTTTTTGTCGGGATCTGCTAATAGGATGAATTCAGCATGAATGATGTTTAACAAGTAACTTAATTCTATTCCTGGCTGCTGTTGTGGTTGCTTCCCTTCTTTCGATTGAGTATCGTTATCAGATTTTACTGGCATTGTAGAATTGCTTGGACCTCCAATTGCTGGTAAAGTGAAAAAATTTCCAAGCATGAAAGCGTGGTCCAATGATAAAATCACCTTAGGATCTCTAATAGTCATAATCATGATACCTGAACGAGCAGGATCCGGAGCTTTGACGTCCAGTTGGAGCAGGAATTGGTGTGCATCTTCAATGGCAGGCACAATATGGGTAAATTTGCTGTTGACACCGGGGCGGGTATCATCAACAGTTAATGCATGAACCACCACTTTGACCATCATAGATTCATCCGTGAACATCTGGAATTTAACATCAGTGTCAATAAGGGCGATGCGTGAGAGACTAGGAGGATGCTGCACTTCTTCCAGCTCAGTAGAGGGATTCATGTAAATCTCTAGCCCTATGGTTTTCGTCTTTAATGTAATTTGTATGTGAGGAGTATAATTTCTGTTCCCATCTTCTTTCATTGAGACGGTACTATCAGACGGTTTTTGAAGATTTTCATTGTCATTGCCTCGAACTTTGGTTAGTGGAAGGTGGCGGTCATCAAAGGGTTTGCTGCTGTCGTTTTCAGTGGAAGTAGCAGCAAAGGTTCTGGAAAACATATTGATTGCTTCCATCAGAAATATGTATTGCCGTTTGGTTAATCGCAAGCTAATATCCCCAATTTCTCCTGCAATATCCACGTCTGGACGCGCAGTAGATGCTTTTAGTGGTATACAAATGTTAAAGTTCAAATCAGTATCATCTACCATAGGCAAGGTTTGCAATTTATCTTGTTGAGGGAAATAAAACTTCGACGTTAAACTGATAGCACGGAGACCACATTGAATATGATTAATACAGTTGTCTGCATTATCTACAAATGAGTTAGATACCCATATTTCTCCCAAATGAGCAATCACTACATCTGAAGGATGATCATGTAGTTCAGGAAATAGAACAACAGGGCTTTCAATGACAATATCAAAATGCATTTTAGTAGCGACCTGCGAAAGCTGTTGAGCAGATTCCAAAGCAGCTTGACGGGCCATATCGTAAGTAGTCTTCATTTCAGCAAATTTATTGAGATAATCCATGAATTGGTGAATAGGCTGTTCTAAAAAGTTAAATTGAGCAGAACCCATACGAATATACAGAGCATGATCATATCCAGGGTAATCTTGACGTCCATCGTTGATAAAAGAGTCGTACCTTAAATCGATGAGTTCTTCACCTTGAATGGTAAGAAGTTGATTACTGAATAAATGTTGCTGATTTGGTGTCGTCAAATCATCCGTTAACGTAAAGTTGGCAAACTTAGCAGCGACTTTAACTTGGCCATCCATAACAACTGTGGATAAATCGCCAAGGGAAAGTTCGCCTGTAGCTAATCGTACACCATCATTATTCAAAATAAAGTTGACACTGTCTAAGAGCAAGCGAACATAAATACTACTACTTTCAGAACCGTTATTGTTAGATTGCGCCTGAACCTCGGAAAGTTCCTTAACGTCATTTTTTTGAGGATTTGCAGCCATTAGCGTATCTGAAAGTTTTGTAGCAGTAGTGTTGCCTGTGATGATATTGCTGCTATTAATCTCTTCCATTATATCGACAAATGTGTGCATAATGTAGTTATGCATTGTTAGTATTGAGCTACGTGTGACGATGAAGTTTAACGTTGATAGAGTGACTTGAACTGTCTGATCAATTCCCTTATACTTGGTCATATAATCAGGATTAGATTTATCACAGCGTACATATTCAACATCTACCAAATTCTTCGAATTTAACTGCTGTTGTTGATGCTGATGCTGGTTATGCTGTTGGACCACAGAATAATCTGAAGTGACTAGATATTTAAACTCGTTGCCATGCTGCATACGGTCTCTTACATCGAGGGACTGCAAAGAAACACGCACTGTCATATCTAGTGGACGAAGACTGTAATCCAACACCAAATTCTGCAAATCAACCTCGCATAATAGTTTTTCAGCTGGGGCCCCTTCAATCTTCGTGTGTGGCTGTTGCTGAGCTTCCAAAATGTTGGCAAGCACACGATCCACCTTAAAGTTTAATTTGAATGTTTGCTCTTCTGCATTAATAACTTCCTTTGAAGCTTTCTTTATCTCTTTATCTGCATCAGTAGAAGCCAAGTCATCTGTTGCTGAATCATCTTTTATAAGGCTGGGCTCACTTTCTGTGTCTGCTATGAGCAAGTCATCCTGACTTCTATTCCAAAGAGGTCTGTTCATGAAATCGAACCAATTCTCGTCAATTTGACTAATCTTTTGCTGTTGCGCGTCCGGATTTTCAATACCGAAGTTTTCATTACTAGATGCACTACTTATTAATCCTGAGGCTTCAATCAAGTGCGGTATTTGCAAAATAGATCGGTATTTTGTGTCAGAGAAATTGACTTTTAATAGAGGCAAATGACCTGTTATTTTGAATTTAGGCATATCGACTGATTTAGGCAAAATACAGTTTTCCACTAAAAATGACATATCGATTCGATCGACCAAATGCAGGTACTGAAGCTCTTGACGAGGATGACGAACTTGTTCTAAGCAAGCTTCAATTGATTCGCCAATTAGAATTTTGGTTTGAGTCAATTGAACTGTAAATTTATCATATAGAAGTTCTTTTAGTTTCATATTGTCTCCTGTTGTCATGTCGTTTCCGCGCTTGGATTTGATCAAAGCCAGTGTTTCCGGCGGAGCTATGCTACTCTCTACATTGATGTGGCCAGCATCGACCACAATACCGTGCGAGGTAATAGAAGTGCAATCCTCAGGAATGATGATGACTGGTGCATCCATATCGATTTGTAAATCTAGGGTAGTATGCTGTTCCAGAGCAAACTCCAAAGTAGCACGTGTCTGGTTTTTTATATCTTCAAAGGTATCTCCAGCAACCTCAATTAGTGCATTGATACTATTAGCGCTGGTTTCTGGTGGTGTGAAGAATTTAACTATCTCTCGAATAGTTATCGGATTATATACTATATCAATATTGCGCATGAAAAGAGCCATGGCATTATCTGCACGGTTATCAAGTGGTTTATGCTCAAATTTGATGGTAAAGAAGGGGTCCTCGATAGCAGTCTGTTGAAGCATCTCAGCTGATGAAGATTTCCTTCTGCGTTGTCGTACAATGTCTTTTTCATCTTTATCGTTAGCTGCCATTAATTTGTAATAAGGCGAGTCAGCTCTAACACCATCATACAAGCACATATCGCCTAGAATTGCAGTAGCTGTTAAAGATTGAACGTACTGTATCATACCGAGTGAAACATTATCAAACACAAGTGATACAAGATCAGTAGGTTGTGATAACGGATCTTTTCGTACTGTAAATGAACCCTTTGTCAACGATATGCTAAGCCTAAGTCTCATTGTATCTTTTGGTAGGTCAATGGATGCTGCAATGACTGCTTTGTCTGCATCATAATCAATCACATCGTAAAATTCTAACTTTTGTTCTTCAGTAATCACAAGATCCTCGTCTTTATTCTCGCTCTCGTCAGTTGCTGAGCCACCATTATTACCATACCACCACTTACTAATACTCCAGCCCTGTTTTGCTCTAAGTGCTGCTTCTTCCTCCTTTTGTTTTTTATCAATAGCAGCTATCAACAAAAAAAGCTCATAAGAATCTGTGCTAAACCTAATATATAATAAATTGTAACATGTAGATTTTACCTAATCGAGCTTTTTCTTTTCGCAGCTTAGGCTTGGCCAAACTACGATAAAATCTAAGATCTTCATAACTAAGGTCCCACTCTAGTTGCCGTAAAATTGCTTTTTGCTCTTCTGTCGCTCTATCCAGTCTATGCTGCACATAACAATCAATATACGCCTTTCGATTTTCACTACGCTTTTTGATTCGTTTCCATGTCCAACGCTCGTTGCGCTCATGAATCTCTGATAAGACAGCCTGTGCAGCGAATTGGAAATATTCCAAGGGATGAGATTTGGGCGTCCTGTCAGATGGCGGCCGCAGCTCCTTGTACTTTTGCTTTTTGAGATAGGAATGGAATAAATCAATCATGAGTATGGCATCGCGATATTGCTCGTTATCAAGAGTGAAACAAAGCTCATCGAATAGAAGGGAAGCGTCGATCTTTGGTGTTTCCCCTCCGAAATTTTTGCGCAATTTAATCTAAAATCAACAAGGAAAAAGGGTGTAAAGGGATTAGTACACAATTCAATGCTTTTTTGTCTTTTTGATCTTCATGACATTACTCTTCCAGTGCCCGAAACGGGCTTCAAGATATATTGATGCTCAGCTAAAATATGGCTTTTGGTAGCAATCTAGCAAGATTTTTCGTCAGTTGAAATATGCATAACCGTATTCATCCTTTTCAACAATTTACCAATTCCTGGAACTTGTCATATCCATTTAATTCTGCCAAAGTAGATGCATTTGTATCCCAATAAACTGATAATGATTCCAAAGTAGCTAACTGATGTTATAAATAGACCCATTAGTGTTTCTTACCTTAAAAAGAGAGTTTTATACGGCTATTTCTTACTTTGTGCACTGTTTTCACGACATCACTAATTGTGTTCGGTATCCACTTTTCATCAGTAGTGATGGCTGATAACTCCTTCAATGTGATGCCTGCTGCAAATCTATGATCCGTAGAAATATCATCTTCGTATCTAATATGAATATTGGTGATAGAGAACTGAAGATTATTCAAGATCTTCGTCATAAGTTGAGTAACAAAAGTTTCATTTTTAGCGTCTTCATCTGCGTTGTGGTGTTGTGATTGCGTATCGAGCATAAGTTCTGCATTTTCGAGGCGCCTCATTTTGTTTTCATGGTCACGCTGAGCTAACTCTTCAGCTGACATCTATATAAGTATGAAAGAGAGGGTTAGTAAGTGATATACAGTCTATTGGTAAATACTACATATACGGTATTTGTTATTTACAGTGGACTCGTTTCGGGGGACTGCCAGAATGTATGCATCTTTTATATGAATAATAACAGGCTTTCCACGTAAGTTATTCCAAGGAATGGTCAAAGTTAATTCCCCTAGGTAACCTGCATTGCCATGGAAGAAGGATGTCAGTCTAATGTTTAACTTACAATTGTTTGAAATATTTGAATGGAAAGCCTTAATTCTTACCCTCCAAGACGTCAATAGGTAAGTTGAATTTGTCCAGGGCTTCTCGTCTTAATTTTAAATGTCGTAAGGTAACCTCTCCTATATCAACTGCAGTGTTAAGCTTCAGGTTGAGGTGTATATTTTCACCTGATCACTTACCTGACCATATACCAACTTTCAGTTGGCTGTAATTCAAGTTAGAAACATACGCGCCCAATACTCTATTCAATAGAGTAGAAACAACAGATTCTAACATAATACAGGCAAAGGGGTATTTGATATGTCTAATAAGTGCAACAGGAAAGAATTTATGCTGCAATTATGCAGTGACATAATGACGATTGTTACTGTTACGCCTAATTAGAAACTCAGGTGTTGGGTTAAAAGAAATTTCAAATGCCCTTTTCCCCTTTTTTTTTGATTTCTTCCAAAATACGGATTTATTTAAATCAAGTTTCCAAAATTATCATTAGAAATTGCTGCTTCTTCGTTTAGAAGATTTGTTGGAAAATTGATATCTTCATGATCATGGCGGCATTCCCATAAACTAAGTTGATATAATGTCATTATGACTAAGAAATGTAACAAAAGGGAATAAAAGATAAAGAAGTATCTAGACCATTTATGCGAAAATAAGATTCGCGTTAAATTTAGCGTTAGTTTCTCAAATGGATTTAAAGCGTTGTAGCGTCGATTTTCCTCCTGCAACAAAAGATCGGAAATTAAAAGTGAGGGTTAGGCATCATTCTTATTAACTTCAATAGCTTGAGTCCAGCAATACCTTTCGATGAAATTGTGTGAATGGATTCATACTTTCTTCGTATAATTTACCGTATTTAACTGAAGGATCATCTGCCTGTAATGATGGCTGTCTGAAATGGCTCTTTTTGAAACTTCTCACCGAGGAAGAAGGTTCATTGTCCATGTTGACAGATACGGAACGATTCTGAATTATAAGGATTTAGTAGGAGCGATAGATTCCATCACTTATGATAAATTGTTGTGCTTACAGTGATTCCAGTATTATTCTGTTGCTGGCCCTCTTTCCAAACATGAACAAACTTTAGTCTTTCGTAAAGTTTCAGATTATCTGTTCTCAAATTTTGTATTTCTGTTTGTAAGTCTTGTACAGTAGATTCAAGGCTTCGTGTTCTTTCTTCTAATTCAGCGTTTCTTTGTCGGAAACGATCTCTTTGACTCATGACGATGGGCAAAATTGTTTTATCTTCTTTTCCTCCACTGAGCGCATCTGCCGTACGAGGTGTCATTGATCCAGATACTTCTACTGATGTTCTTGGGTCTGATATTGAATAACGACCTGTTGAATTTTCTGATACGCTAATATCGCCACTGTTGGCTACTGCTTTTTGCTGACCCATACGTAGGAGGTCCTCTTCTAATCGTTGATTCAACTGTATCTTTTCATCTATTTGCTTTTCTAACGCCTCAAGCTTTTGTGTTTTCTCGTCAGAGCTCTTTTTAAGGTCACTATAAAGAACTTTGATCTGCGTATATTCGCTCTCCAGTTTTTTGATCTTTTCCATAAGTTGTACTTCCAAGCTATTGACTATGGATTCGTCCTTCAAGACGTCATCTGCTTGGAAATCATCCTCATCTTCGCCTGTTGAAAATTCAACATACTATTGTATTGTTAGCCCGAATGCAAGGTTTTTTATTATACTGATTTTGTACCTTCATAATATGCAATTCACGCTTAATATCGTCGTAATCTTCAAATTTCTTCAAGCTCTTCTTCAAAGTGTCACGTTCCTCCATCAATGCCTCTGTCTCTGCCGTGAGATCCTTTATCTTCTTATTAAGTCTCAATTCTGTTTTATTCAGCATCTCCTTGTATGCCTCAATATCCTTGATCAATTTTGTAGTTTCCATAACATTCTGTGCATGATCATTCCTAACAATAATTTGACTTTGAATGAGCAGACTAGCAACCAGTTTGTACGTTGTCCATGTTTACCTTTCGGTTGTGCCATCACGTAGTTTTTTATTTTCTTCTTTCAAATCATCCTGTTAGAAAATGCTCTTTTCGTTAATTGTTATTCCTTGTTATTGAGTCGTGTATCTGCAATCGTCTTACATTATGCTTCTCCAGCTGAATTATTCTTCCATTAGCTCTTTCCAAATCCATAGTAACAATATCCAATTCTGCTAATTTGCCAACCACTTCCTCATCTAATCGAACAATGATCTTTAGTCATTGAAAATACTTCATTTCTCACCATCCGTAGCTTCATACCATATTTTTGGTCATGGCCAATCAGTTGCGCTTGTGTGTCTTCATGAGATTGTCTCAATTCAGCTAACTGATCCAAGGCTTGGTTGAGTTTCTTTTGCAAATCGTATTCCCTAAGATTAAAAATCATTGTATTTTGTTAAGATTAATTTTTCCTCAACTACATATGCTTTTGGCAACGTTACCGTTCTTTATTTTGTTTGATTTTATCGCTATATTGATCTCTCATTTCCTGCTCCAACTTGCTTATTCCTTTCGGCTGATTGTCAGCTAGCTATAATGTATGACAGCATTAATATAAGTATATGCTATGAACAATCTTGTAATTCTTTCGAAAGCTCCACCAACCTTTTCTTCTAACTGGCTAATCTTTTGAGTCAAATCCTTATTGTCCTTCTCTAAGATTTCTAGCTTTTTGTTCCGTTTCTCAAGTTCCTCTTTCAAAAGACTGTTTTCATTTTGCAATGCACTAATGTCGACCATTTGTGCACTTTGATCCTAACATACAATTTTGGCAGTTGGCTCAACCGATCTAAATAAAGTGATATATGCAAATGGACTCACAATGGCAGCTTCAAATAAAGGCGCTGGATCAGGAGCGTCCGCCAGGAGCTTGTAAATAGTCAAAAATGCGTTTTCTGCGAACTTTGTACGTTTGGTGATACTGTCAATTTCAGACTGATACCCTTAGAAGCCAAAGTCTGGTCAGCAAGATATAAGAACCAACATCACCCATATAGCAGCTTCTTAGAGTTTTTTTTAAAAAAAAACAAACAAAAACTTAATCCAACCTTTCAATAATGGCTTAAACTTCTGTATTTTTTCTTCGTCAGGCATCTTTTTGAATTCTGTCAACGTTAATTTTGGTCAATGTAAATTGTTTTCATCTGTAACCTACGTTCCACCATCTGTACCTCTTGTTTGTTCTGCAAGTTTTTTTCTCGAAACTAAACCATCTTTTTGGTTTTCCACAATAGTAAGGCCCTGTTGATCTAGCTCTTTTTGAAGATTGACAAGCTGAATGCCTCTCCAATATTGAATCGCAGAACCAAAGCTGTCCTCCATTTTAAACTTCAAGAACAAACGTTATGCACAAATGCGAAATCTCGGTCAGTCAAAAAAGTAGGTTAAAACTTTGAGGACTTTGAATAACCGGAGTATTCTGAACTCGTGGTGTCCAGTAAGGTGAAAGCGCCTTCCCCCCTCAACTGTCAAAAAAAAGGGGCATCTGCATAATTTTGAACCACCCTGAACGTTTGTGTAAATACATTTGACATGCCACGCTTATTGACACCTAATCAAGCCTCTAAGTTGTTACCAAGTACAGCAAACATACTTAAACGTGCTTGCTTCTCTACAACTAGTATAGCGCGTGAATTACAGCAACAACAGCATCAAACTGCAACCAAAACGACCCACTTTGGCTTTCGAGATGTCGCCGAAGAAGAAAAAGAATCTCTAGGTAAGTAATCGAAAGCCACCACACATAGTCCGAAAATACGAACTCAAGTCTCTAATCATGTACTTAAATCAGTTCATAATGTCTTTGCTAACGTTGCTGGCAAATACGATGTCATGAATGACGCCATGAGTATGGGTGTGCACCGTATTTGGAAAGATGAGTTTATTCGCTCTATGGCACCAGGCCCTGGTACCAAGCTTTTAGATGTTGCTGGAGGAACTGGTAAGAGCAGCTACGTTTATTAGTGTGTACCATTGAGAAGATATTGGGGTCTCACGCCACTTTTGACCTTTAAAGGTGATATCGCTTTGAGATTTTTAGAATATTGCAAAAGAGTCCACGGCGACAACACTGCCACGGTCAAACTTGTTGATATCAATGAGCACATGCTGGCAGAAGGAGAAAAGCGGTTTAAAAAGACACCATTTGCGAATAGTAAAAATGGAGCTCCTATCAACGTCCTACGCATTGTCACGTATAACTGATTGCCTGTTCCTTTTCTCTTTCCTTCTTTCTTTTCCGGTAGCCAATCAAGCTAGCTTTTTAGTACAAAATGCTGAGAACCTCACTGATATTCCTAGCGAATCAGTAGATGTATATACCATAGCTTTTGGTATTCGTAACTGCACACATGTAGATAGAGTTGTGAAGGAAGCATATCGCGTTTTGAAGAAGGGTGGACGATTTATGTGTCTTGAATTTAGTAGGGTTGACAATCCATTAATTGGAAAGTATGCGTCATAAACTTAACATACACGCACGTCAAGAGATGCGATGAGAGGCCTATATTTTGTATCTGACGCTTATTTGACAATTAGATTATACGACATATATTCATTTGATGTAATACCCGCAATCGGACAGGTAATTGCTGGTGACCGAGACTCTTATCAATATCTCGTAGAAAGTATTCGGAAGTTCCCCCCTCAAGAGAAATTTGCAGAGATCATCCGTGATGCCGGGTTCAAAACAGTAGGCAAAGGTTATGAGGATCTTACATTTGGTGTAGCTGCAATACATAGTGGATTCAAGATTTAAGAAGCTAATTGAGGGATAGATACTAACTCTTACTGAAGACATATTTCCAAGAAATAAAAGATATCTGTTTCGTGAGTGTTCACCGAAATTTGAGATTTAACATACAATAATAATTTTCTCTTTGCTCAATAACAAACCACCATAGTATTTCTTTGTCTGTTTATGAATCAATATTCAAAAATAGTTTACTCACCAATTAAGAAAAGTCAGTACAAACTAGCAGATTACGTTGACTAACACTTAATATAAAGTTGAAAGAAAAAGAACATCAACCTTTTTCTTTACATTTCATTTTATTCAAACTGTGCATTATTCGAACCAATTATAAGCCTACAAGCACCTCAAAGACGTAAGAGACCACCATAAGTTTAACAGTGGTAAAAGTAGAAGTTTGTTCTGTCATGGGAGAGATTTATTATAAAGGAGTAGAGATAATGTAAAAACAGAGACAAAGATAGAGGGGAAGATAAGAACGGAATTGAATATTGTCTCAAATACCTATATAGTAATAATGGTAGTATTGGCCATAAGAACTAACAGGCGCTCCGAAAATAGTAGCAGTACTGTGCAGACAGAAGCAGAGACTGAAATTTGATACAATTTATTCCAATAAGCAAACGGGTTAAGTTCTTTGTAGTAATATTTGTTGATCATTGAATTAAATATCAGAGCATAGAGTGTACAGGCATTACAAAAAAGGATTGGTAAATCATCTTCAGTGAAAATCGCTACATGTTGCAACGATGGAAATATCGTCTCCAAATCAGAAGGCTTATAAGTGCTTCCTTTAGTGTATGTTCCTCCAGGAATGGGATTATGTCAGAAGGCACTTCTTCCAAAAATTCTTATCTTAATTATGGAAAGAATGAATACTGTATCAATTCATGGAATCCAACGATAAAAGTTGCCGTCGTTATTATCATAACAGTATCTTGAAAAGCTTGATCACTTTAATATATCAATATTTTGCTGCAAACGCATAGGTGTACCAATTACCAAATGTGGTTCATTGGAAAGAAACAGTTCTTCAACACTGATTTGGCTGCTTTGAAGACTTCAGAATCGTTCTTCTTTGAGAAATTGTTAGACGGCCTTCTCGTTTTTACAATTCACAGCAAAATACACTCCGGAAAAGGTAATAATGGAAGCGTTCTGAACTCGCTAAAGAAGAGAACAATATCTTAGCATTTCATCGATATATTATCACTTTAAAGACTTATAATTCGCTTAATAGCTGTTTTTATTCCATATAACATTACTCGTACATTTATTCGTACTATCATTTCCCACATCCATACTTAAAAGGCTGTAGAAGGCAAAAGTAATGTTTTAGAAGTAGCCTATTGTTGAAAGTATGACAATAACTTTATTACTGCTTAGGATCTAATGTAGGATCTGATCTAATCCTAGCAATGTGAATGTTTTCTTCCAATGTTATTCTATCCACATCAACTATCAAATTGTCATCTATAAAAACGGGTGGTATTTGCTCCTCATCTGAACTTATTTTAACGTAAAGTTCAGCCTTCTTTGATATATACGGCTTCTTCAAATAGATATAGATCACATTCTCTTTCTTGGTTAAGCATTGAATCTCTGTACCAGGAACAATATGTAAAGTAGAACCCATGAATGCATCTTCTTCATTCAAAGAACTGAAAGGAATTGTCTTCAAGAATAACCTCGCTTCATGTGGCCTTAAGTCAAAGGACTTTTGAGGAGGGTACCAGTCAACCTTTGTATTGTTGTATAAAGGATTAGTATATTCAAAATAGTAAGTCTTCTGCTTTTGCTCAGTTTCAGCCGGTAAGCGTAATTTTTGAGGAAGAGGTGACAGATTGGTAAATAGCACGTAAGCTCGGCCGTTGCATAAAAGTGTTGTTTGATATATATCATTACCAATTGTTTGCACTTTTTGTACTTGGGCATTTGGCTTTGGAAAAATGGAACTAAACAAAAGATGTTCTTGTGGGCTATAAAGACCTACATCATCGGACATGAGTGTCAGGTCACCAAATATTATATTTGTCAACAATAGCGTGTGCTTCTCATCTGCGGTCAACTTGTTATTATTAGATCTGATAAAGAAGACATCTGGGTCACTGCCGAAAACCGTGCCTGCCATAGGCCATCGATTCATCGTAGACGTCATAGCATTGTTGGTCGATACACGTTCACGCACGTTAGATGCCCTAAGGATAGCATCATCCCACCAAGGTGAGGCATCACTACTGACACGAGAATAATCAAATCGTCCCCATACAGAAGGCAGTGTAACACCTGAACCTAATAGGATAACTCTACCCGCAGATAACTCCTGTATAAGATTTATGGCGTCCCATGCAATTTCACCGCGGGATTTTCCAAGACGAGGTATCATAGCTGCTGCGAAAAGAAAGTCAAGCTTCAACAACTTATAGCCCCATTTATCAATTACTTCGTCAAAGACGTCAGTAAGATATCCTCTGGCACCTGAATTATATATATCGATGGCATAAAACCCACCCCAATTGGGGCCTGCTAATACAAAAGAGCCATCTTCGTGTCTCAATAACCATTCTGGGTGCTCCTTTACAATTTTGCTCTTGATAGATACGGCATAAGGTGCTAGCCATAATCCGGGGATATAACCTTGTTCTTTTATATTGTCGGCAAGTTTTTCCATACCACTGGGAAATTTTACACGGTCCACATCTAACCAATCACCCACAAGTCGTTGATAGCCGTCATCAATTTGGAAAACATCGATAGGGTAATCATATTTTTTGAATGCATCCAAACTAGATACAATGTCTTGTTCTGTTACTCGTTCGTAAAAGTTATACCAAGATGACCAGCCTGTCCTATGACGCGCGCTCTCCGCTATTGGTTTTTGCTGCCCTTCATTATTTTGGTAGTAGGTTGCATACTTCTCCCAAATAGATCTCAGCCCTTTACCGTTATCATCTCTTCGCGCAACAAAGAATTTCATTGATAATGAGTCGCCCTTTTTTAGCCTTTTCCCTTCAATATCCTTGTAGAGCGAAAATTGTCCATTAACAAAATCTGCTTGGTAGTAGGTGTATCCAGATTGCTCTGAAATAGAACCCAGAAACACAACATGATTTGTTTCCATGTGCCTCATATAGGTATAACCAGTCGAATGAATATGACCCGGCCTTCCTGAGTAGTTAAAAAAGTCATAATCACTATAGTAACATAATGGCAAAGTTATTGTATCATGATAACTAATAGCGTCTCAATAAATAAATAGATACGAATTCGGTAATGCATCATACCCTTGGAGATTCATTTTCGTAAACCAAGCTACGGGTCGAGGGATAGCAGCCAATCTGTTATGTCTCCCCATTTCTTTCGATGTGCTCCAACACTGAAATCCTTCTGCCATCATTACGTACTGTGACAAGTCATACAGATTAGCAATGTCAATTTGAATGTGCTTTAACTGTAGATCGTCTTCCAGTGACTCAAAAGTGTATTCGAGTTCGTATTCTTCATGTTCACATATAGTGTGAATTGTTTTAGTTACTTTCACTTGATTAACAGACACTGAACCGGTCGCTGATAATTGAAATTGCAAACTCTTCTCTGTACCGTTAGATGAGAGAAAATTTATATTTGCAATAGAAGGCTCAGACTGTAACTCGTTATAAATATCAGAGGCAGTTACTGCCATTGTTGTTAGAGACAAAATGCCTAGTGGGTTAAAGAAGATCTGCAACACAAGCCAAGCTATTCGGCGGGCTTTAAGTAACATTTATAAACAATTTGCTGCTCCTGTATATTATGGATTTAAAGGTTTTCTAGCTGCATAAATGCTTAAAAGAGGAAATCAATCGATTTTGAAAAATGTGAGGCGCTTTATGGTTCGGTTGAGTAATAAATTTGAAGCCGTCATTCCTATGCATCTGTCTAGAAGTTCAGTAAGAGTCAGCGAATATGCAGTTTTCTTGGCTATAACATACACTTACCAGATGACTCTCAAAAATAGAAAATACTCAGAAAGTAAGCAAAGAAGGAAGGGAGCAATTGGCGGGTTTGCATTGTGTGTGATATGGTGTTTTCAACAATTGTGACAACAGAAATTTGGAATGCATAAAATTTTGTCTGAGATCAAGCATCATTGTTACCTGAGTTATTTTTTAAGTTTTTTTTTTTTTTTTTTCTTTTTAATTTTAGTCTTATGCTTTATGCCAATCAGGCCCTTAATTAGTTTACATGGCTAACCAGATCAATAAGCCTGTACACCAGGCCTTCTCAGATTATGATCTCTTGGAGGTAAAAGCATGTAAAATATGTCATAAGTTCTCTAAGCTGACATAAATGACTATGACGCTTTGCATAGGTGTCAGTCTTACAGAATCAGCACAAGATCAGCTTGTCATCGCCTGTTTTATGGGTAATAAACAGTAAACTCTGATGCAGTTTTGAACGCAATGACTAAACTTATCTTTTCAGCGTTTGAACTTATGTGCAGCCAGTAAAGAAATCCCATGTACTTTTTTTATAGGTGAAAATCTATTTACAGAACATACTCTCAAACACACTCCTAGAAAGTCGTCTAATTGATTTGATTATTTTGCAGCTATGAATTACAAAGTGAAAGTCTACCGTTTAGATACTATCAATTCATGCTTCAAAGATGCTATAAAAACACTAGCTAGCCCTAATGCTTTAAGAACAGGAGGCGGACCTCATGATTCAGTAGCTATCCATCATTTGATTCATTGTCTTCTTTTGCACGCTTTTGACTTGATCTAACTGACAGTAAAATTGCCAACCAAATATCACTTTTACTACTAGCCTTACATCATCAATGCAATCAAAGTTGATAAATTATTAAATGAAGAAGTGCTAGTTTCCGTTGCTGAAAACGGAGAAATATGTATCTGGCGAACCGAACATCTTGACGAGCCACCTATGATCTTCAAGTAAAGTTAGCGCAATAATAAACCATCCCTAAAGATCACAACATAAGGTAAACTAATTCTCTCGTCCTCATTTCTTAAGTAGTAATAATGGCGTATCAACCTGGGGCATTGCTCTCCACAGTGAACAAGGACTTTTAGCAGTCTCCGCTAACAACTTCAAAATCACTGTTTACAACATGCTAGAATTAACAAAAGAGAAACCTGTGTTTGGAGCGGCATCAATAGCAGTCAAATACTGGTTAAAAGACACGGATAAAATCGAATTTGAAGGGCATAACCATAATATCCCAAATATCGATTTTAATGCAACAGGTAGATACATCGCTAGTGCCTCCATTGATTCAACATGTAAAGTCTGGGATTTGTACAGAAGACAGCTTGTTTCATCTACCAAGGTACACGGTAGCGTAGAAAGAGGACTTCGTGATGACCGAGTTTGGTGTTGGGCCACTAAATTCATAAAACCAGGAAATTTTAAATACCTGGCTTGTAATGATAAAGAGTTGACAGCAAAGTACATGGAAAGATATCATCAAGGTAGATCAACTTCCTTATCGAGTTTGGATTTGTGTCATTCTGCAAATATACCGGCTTTTCCCATGAGCGTATCGCTCATATTTGATCTCGACGATGACGATGTTGATTTCGAGATATACGAAGGGGAAGGCGACGAGGAGCTTGAAGCAGGAGACGATGCCTGGGATGATATGGAATTGCAACATGACGAACAACAAGAATCTTTTGCACGTCAAATGGAGACACGACAAGAGGATAATGTTGACCAAGTAGATCAGTTTCAAGACGAAGAGGAGGATAGAAGGAGATTTACAGACGTCGGTGAAGAGACTGTGTCTATGGTGCAAGCGGAGGAAAGAGGATGGGGCGATTCGTTTCAGAATGACGAAGCAACAGCAGCAGTTCGTGACAATGTAAACAATGAAGCTCAAACGAACGTCGCTATACCTGTAGAGCAAGCGTTACAAGTAGCTCGGCAGGACATGTCATCAAATAATTTAAGTAACATCGACATAGATCAACTTCGAAATTTTCTACTTAGGCGAATCAATCTGCAACAGAATGATGCTAGGCAAAGCAATAATAACGATGCAGGTTCTCCCGGCTGGCTTAGCGATAGCGCACAAAGTTCTACAACTATAACCTCATGCAGATCCGAGGATGTAGAAATGCTTACGCAGTCAGCAGAAGAAGAAGAGAATGATACAGAAGACGCAGCAGCAAGTAATGACCATATCATTCCTAAAATTGTAAGAAGTGTTTCCAGAGATAGCAGTCTTACACAAGCAAGCAATTCTGCAGCGGACAGATCTGACAGAAAGAATAAACAACAACAAAAGCTGAACAGGCTACAAGAGTTTTTAATACATACTACAAAAAATGACGTTTTCCTTCACGACGTAAGAATACCTAATATGAAGAAAATACGAGCAGAGCATGACATTATTAGTCGAGTCGACATACGAACAGAAGAGCTTTTAAGTTTGTTAGATCGCATAAGCATGGTGGAATGGCTTCCGGAGCTGGAACTAATGGTTGTAGCCAGTCAGAAAGGAACGGTAGCTTTAATGCGTGTTTTGCAAGTCGAATTTGAAAATGGATTGCAAGGCTGTTTCTTCAACAATGAATATTATCTACCCCACCAAGTACTTCAAACTAGCCCGCTATACGGAATCACTGTACGAAAGGTAGAATCAGAAAGATTTGCACCAACTGCATATGAAGTTTTTTTATTTTACCATAATGGAAACGTGCTAGGATATACCATATCATGCAAAGAGCCATATTTTCATCTTTGAAGGCCCTTTGATTGTCTTTTAACGATTCGATCATAATTAATATATTGATGTATTCTGATGTCAAAGCACTCGTCACCATGCCTGTAGTTGATTGGCTTTCTACTATTCAATGTTATAGCTACATAACGTACCGAGGACCGATGGCCCAAAATTGATCGACTTGATTGAACGAGGCGTCGGTAGTGGGTCCCAAATTTGCTGCGAAGTTACATTATCGTACCTATTCAAATAACAGACGTATAAACGTTCTTTCGGCTAAATTGCAATGGGCGGTCCGCTGACGATATATGTATTTAACTAAGGAGACAATTTATAGGGTAAGAGTCAATAAAACAGAGAAGAAAATCAGCAAAGCAATAAGATGGTGTTGTTCCCTCGAGAAACACTATTGCACGAAAGAGTAGAAAACACGTCCCAAAAACAATGCTGGGCCAGATCAATCTCCTGCTAATTATTTACCATAAATATCAATTGCTTGTGGGCACTACTTCACAATTCACTTGTCATCATGAAAGTACAAATTGCCATCCTGATGTATAGTCGTTCCACTCTCAATTCGAGGATTTTTGAAATAAATTCGCGGAGGTTTTAAAAAAAAGGAAGGGGACTAACAGAAAAAAATCAGTGATTGTTCGAAGTTAATTTCGCGTAAGAGCTCTGAAAGAGCCCTAAATATCGTGATTATAGCCTCTCCACAAGAGAGCTTTTGTTTAAAAACAAGATCGAAAAGCTGATGTCAGTCAGGGCTGCTGCACTTCAGGCAGGTGTTAAAGAAAGCACTGCGCGCACCTGATGGAAAAAATACCAAGAAAACCCTGAATCATTTGTTCTCGGCAAGAGCACCAACCGCCAGAATAGACCAAAAGCACAGCTTCAGGAAACGCATAAGGAATGCTTGAAGCAATTTTACGACGAGAATCCTAATGCATATATCCATGACGCTGTTGAAATGCTCACGAGCAAGTTTGAAGGCCTTGATATTAAAAAGTCTAGAGTGCATGAATTCATGAAAAACGAATGTAACTTGACCTTTAAGCAACGACTCTCTGGTCTGAGGCAAGAATGAGTTCGAGCATAATTAAGAAACGCTACAATTGGGCTGTTGAATGGAGTCAAACGGACATGGAATATTCCCAAAATTGCGTATTTATTGATGAAGCCGGCTTTGACATTAACATGAGGTCTAGCAGAGCATGGGCACCAAGGCGCCAGATGGCAGTAACTACTACATCTACGACAAAAGCCCCCACTCATACCATTCTTGGTGCTATTTTAGTAGTTGGTGTAATAAATTTGAGTATACGTGTTTCAAGACAGCCACCAAAAGTGAGAAAAATAAAAGGTGGTACATGGAGAGGGACCATCGTTACTTGTCACTACAAGCATATGGTTTTTGGAAATATGTTTTCTTCCGTCGTGAATGCCATTCGAATCGACAAGGCATGAACTTGACGGCCAACAACATTGTTGATAAGGCAAGAACTTACGATAACTGGATGGTAAATACTTTGTTTTTTGGTTATATATAGGTAGTTGTAATGACTAGTGTTCTGAACTTTATATTCTTTTATTATTAACTGTAGAAACATCATTCAGATTATCATGAGCGTATTGCCGGCCGTCAATGTGGTTACGATGCTCGTCTTGAGTTTCGACTCAATTGTTCTGAGGCCTTCTTCATTAATAGGCAATGTTACTTCGCCGCAAACACTGTATGTATCCAAAATGTCTTCCTTTCGGTGAATATTCATAGAAAAATACGTTCGGTAACACATTTCTTAACTTTGCAAATAGGGCCAAGATTGAAAAGTGTATCCACTGATATACTAATGGTGACATCGTTGGTTTGTTCTATATCGTCTTTGTGCCTTGGATGCTCTAGTCCGCGTGTGATTGTCAGTGAAGATCGTTTTACAGGCAACACTTTCGTAATGGCCATTTCTGTTTGCAAGTACCACAAATGGACGTCCGATGGTAAACCCATTTGTGGACACTGCAACAATATTGGTCACCTATCGAAACAGTGCCGTAACCGATGTCCTCTGCTCCTTCTTATGCTGCTATTCCTACCGAGGATGATTCTCTTGCCATCTTTTATATTAACAATACACAGATGAGCCATACAACCAAAGCCACGACCTCTAAAGCGACTCCTAAAATAAAGGTAACTATCCAAGGTCATATGGCTTAAGCCCTCGTTGATACTTGTGCTAATATTTCTGCAATTCGGTCAAGCCTTTCTGTCAAACTAGTTCTGTTCGCAGACGCTTGTCTTGTTGGCCAGTTTTCGTACCAACCGATATAAATATAGTCTAAACCCATTATTCTTGCTCAATAGTGTTTTTATCTGTTCTCTTCGTATTACTACCTTTTTTTTTTTACTTGACTACCTATTCTGTTATCAAATAAAACATACGCTTTACATATTGTTGTAACTCAACTGTTCAGTTAGCACTTATTCTTAATCTTGTTTTTTCTTGAGCAGAGATCTCTAGTCAGCCTCGTAGATCAATTGTCATTACATCCACCTAATCAATGCTTGCATTTTCCCTAATCTGCAGGTGATTTTCCTTTGGTATTGTGTGTATTTTACTTATTCACACTTGTTGGATTGACTAATCCTTCCTATTGTCTTTCGCCACGATTTTCTTTTATACAGCATTTTTTTGCTATTGATATGAATACACCAACAGTGTCATGAAAACATCGGTTTACTTCAGGCTTTTTGCTCATGGTTTGTTGACTTACAGATTGTTGTGCTCGTTTTTATAGCTTTTCTTTGTTCAGGTAATCATAAAATGCGTTTAGCAGACTGAAAAACGAAGCCTTTGAAATCACTAAATTATTTATGCCTCACTGATCCTAATTATGGGCGATTCTTTTTGCCAAAAACTTGCTTCGTTTAACTTTACTTTTGTCGACTGATCAAAACTGCTCAATTGGGTTCAGTGCAGGAGAATATGGAAGATAATTTGCATATCGATATCATCGAGAGTAAATTATACTTTCTTATGTCAGTTGAGCTACGAATAGGAGTCATGGAATAATGTCCCTCCATTTCTGGATACATGTTCGTTTCGTCAAGAGTAGCTTTTTAAAAAGCTCAAGTAAAGTCCTATCAATGTTCTTATGCTATAACCATCAAACTCACTTACGATCGTTCTCTGCTTAATGGACTTGCAAAGTAACATTGATTAAACTTATGGCAGAAATTGTACAAAAAATAAAAGTTGCTTCGGCTTCAGTCATTGACACTGTAATTACTGCAGGAGTAGCTTTCTTTGACCGAGCCGTACCCCGTTTCGCGTTAATGTGAAAGGTCAATTCTTTGAGAAAGACACAATTTGTTGTGAAATCTAGGTCAGCTTGTTGCCACTTTTGAGTCCAATTGTATCTTTGCTAATGCTTTTCTTCACTGTTTTTTCCACAGAATGAAACTGTGCTTACTTAATAGACAGATTACATTGAGTTGTCATGGAGTTATAAACAGTACTACGAAGATGTGATCCTCATAATTTTGTTTCCAACTCTCCACCACTTTATTGACAACGTCAGAAGGATTCTCATCGATATAATGAAGGGAAATTGCTTAAGCTCATTCCCAAGAATACCGACGGTGCCTTGAATTTTTCTTTTTTTTTTAAAAAAAAAACGCATTTAGTGTTTTCGAAATAACGCTCTGCCTACCTCTACGCTGCCCGGCTACGAAGAACCAATTGTCCCGCAGTAGTAGAAGCATTGAAAATTAATGAAAAAAAATCTACTGTTGTCTTCACCAAAGTACACCGTTAGCGTCGCTTATTGCATAATTGCATGTTTCTTCATCCCCCAATGGAAGTATAACGGGATTTGATGGTCCTTCTGGAGGTTTATTCATTAAGAATTGAGTGAGAGAACGTATCGTTCAACAACATACGACTCTTCATCAAGAACAAGATCCATCGGTTCAACGCCTTGCTCACCGACAGCATGCGCTTGATCTTCATAAAATTCGACATATTAAACATTAATATCTGTAAAATAATTGTAAATAGAAAGAAGAGTGCAAAATGGACATAGAAAAGATCGTAACCCCTTCTTTATACTAATTACTACCAAAGAATTTTATTTGGATAATTACTCAGTGATAATTAATGAACGGGATTTGTAACACGTGAGCAAAAACGTACAATTTTTTTTTTTTTTTTTTTGCACGACATTGAACTCAAATTCAGCGACTTTACTTTCTAGATATGACTGTATTTACAAGCATGTCTTTCTCCTTTTTTCTGTACGACCGAATGGAAGGCTTAATGTATAAAAATAAACTAGAAATGCGGCTTTATAATCATTTAATTAAAAAAAGCTTATATAATGCTTCGTAAACCCTTTTGTTTTCTTTACAGCATTCCTTTCCTCTTCTTTCTGCATCTTCATACTTGTATCCTTTGGCTTTTAGTCATTTTTCACTTATAAGCTTCCTACAGCTTATTTTGATTTTTGTACATATCCAATCTATACCACTTGCCTTACATTATTATTCTCTACTGTTTGTAAATGCCCCTGCTCACAAAAATCGTTGACCGTGTGACCGAGACCAAATGGTCAAAACTGTATATATCAATGGCATGCTGCCAATGTATAATCATTGTGGCACTTCAAGCCTCTATCTGTTTTTTAAACACGTATCAAGCGCAACTTTTACCAGAACCTTCGACAGATAATGCTCTAACAGCAAGCTCGACGAGTAATGACTGGATTCCATTAAGAGCGGCAGACCGGCTAGGTCGAATCAAGTGGGAAAATATCGCTTTCATAGGCTTTCAATTTTGGTTTTTAGGCATGGCTTTTGATGCTGTAAATATATAATTATACTTGAAAATTGTTAGTTTATAATAGGCCTCCATTAACCTTATTCCTCTTTTGTATTATTCTATATAGACTGTTTATCAAAATACGGCAGAGATCTTAGCTTTAGCTATTTTAAACGTAGTCTGTGCTGTCTTGGGTGCTCTTCAAGTGGTAGATGGTGTGAAATGGCTTACGAGTCTGTCTACTACTTCTTATTCAGTAGCGCCTTTATCAATTGCCGAGAAAATCGAAATTGCTCTATCAGTAACGATTATGGCTTTTGCTATCATTATGTCATTTCTCAGTTATCAAATGTCAAAGCAATTTGGTTGGAATATCTATAAAAAGATTGGTGCTGATGTGCAGATTCAAAGTAAGAGCGCAAATTACCCTACTCTATTTACCTATTTTATTCATAAACTAACATTGTGCTTTATAGAAATGTATCGCATCTTCCAGTTTTTTGTTCTATCTTTAAAAATTGATATTTTCGCGCAGTTTATGGTGTCTGTCTTTTACCTGATTCAATTTGCATTGAAGCAAGATGTAATCATGTGGGAAACGGTTATTCAGTTTATCGTTACCATTCTCCTGATACCCATGCTTTACTTTGGCCGTATTGCAGTGAGTAATACATTTGATCTTAGACTCTGCAAAGTACAACATCTAAAGAACGGTTTTTTTTCTTCCATTACCATCCATAGGGGAGCAAGGAAAGTAAAATTTACATGACTATGTTCATTACCTTTGAAATGTTGGTGTTGTTTGATTTTGCCTTGATTTTTTCACAAACATTACAGCCTAATAATAACTGGTATACTTGGATTTGTCTTAGTAAGTAATCTAGGCCTCTTTTATCCACAATTTAAGAAGCCATATCCTAAATTTCAATGGCTGACTTTTCCTTTTTTTTTTTACAGTTTGGATTGGAGTTGCGTTTGCTTTGGTATCATCAAGTTTAGGTATTGTGTGTATGCGAAATTTTGGAAAAGGTCTGAAGCCCTTCGTTCAGAGAGGAAGAACAAAAGCCAAAATTGATCTAGAGAAAGGTTTATCGAGAAGAGATGCCCACAAGAGTTGGCAAATTGATGATGACTAGGGCTCTTTAGCTTTTGTAGAAGCTATCATTATAATCGCTCGCTGGACGAACTATTTAACTCCTTCAATGGCTTTTTTTCGTGTTTCTTCTTTCAAAGCCCTTTTCAGAGATAGTTTTTGTAATTTATACGAGATAATCACCATCTCGCTTTTATTTATTGGCCCTACTTGTTATTCTCATCGTTACGTTGTACCACTTCGACATGTTTACAAGTAAAAGGAAAGGAAAGTAAAGGATGGCTGGTTCATCAAAACTGCTTCCCTTAAAAGTCATTATCTATGAGTCCACATCACTTTAATTCGTTACTTTTCTTGGAAAAGCCGAGGAAATGCAAGTATAAAATAACAACGGATTCGCCGTAAATGGTGGAGACAAACAGTGGCTGAATCCATTTACAATCGAGGGGTTAAGGAAGTAGCACAGTAGTACTGTTGACTTTCAGGAATGTGCCCGAGTCTTTCTCAAAAAACTGTGTTTTTAACATCAATTGAATCGCAAAAAGGGGGCTATCCCTTCAAATCAGAAAAAAAAAAGCAGCTTACATTCTTTAAATTGTACTTGGAGAGTGCTAAAACCAAGCCCGACGGACCGGTTGGCTGTTACACGTATTTATATTACACTTAATACGCCTAATACACTTTGTATGGAACACGCTGAATACGTTTTGAAAGATTTAATTTATGCTAAGCCGAAAAATCTTTCAGGTCTAGAATCCAGCAAAAAGTCTATCGGGGTATACTCACTGAGTATAAAGCACTTATTTGCACATAATTTTATTGTATCCCTATTCCATCGCTAAATTAAATAAACTCGAGAAGCCGACATTCTACATAAGGAAAAGTATGTCTGACAATAACCAGTAAGTTGCCATCACACTCATTGGACACTGAGGACACAGTTTCAATGAATGAATCAGAATTCTTACATTTGAAGGACGAAAGAGGAAGATGAGGGTCTTTAATAAACAAGACATCACAGATATTATTATCTCTTCGTGTCCCATCACATCCACTTGCTCTATGTAGGATGATCCCGTCCTTATTCAATAATTGCTCGTCTTGCACCTAATCTTTTACACAACGCCTTAATTACTTAATCAGATGATTCAGCACTTAATAAAATCTGACGAGCAGGCGAAAAATGCCGACCTTACAGGTGCTCGCACTTTGGAAACTCTTTCGTCCATAAATTATCCAAAGGTGCCATAATTTGAATTATGTCTTTGTTAGATCTGGCAAATCTACTGGCTTCGTCATACTCTTTTCGCCTTAGCGATTGGCATCAGTTCTCTCAAATACATTATTTGGCTTAACGATTCTTGTGTTCGTCACCTTTAGAATTCAGTCAGCTAATAGTGAACACTTTACAAATCTTTCCAACAACTTTTTAACCGAACAGACAAATTGACAGTAGCGAAGCTTTAACGGGACATAAGGCAATTGTACCCTATCTTTTTCTTTTAGTTTTGTGACGGACTTCAATTTTTGGGTATCCAGTGTTGTGTGTCCTGCTCGCATTGGCACCCCTGAAAGTCCTGACAGGTTCCGATTCTTATTGTTTTTGTTGTAGTGCGAGAAAATACAAAGCTTCCTTTTTCCTACAAATTTAACCCCCCCCCCTCTCCACCTTTAGTGTCCTTTAACATTTCCATTTATTTTGATATACAAAAATGGGCCTTTCTGAATTTTTCTCAAATTTGATGCCTACTGTATTCGCTGAAGAAGAGCAGCCGGTTGAAGAACCAGTTGAAGAAGTCGAAAGCGAAGCTCCAGCCGAGGAAGAAGAGGAAGAAGAAGAAGAACCCGAAGATCCCAAAGAAGCTATATTTGAAGGTAAGACTAGGAGCATTTGTCTTGATACTAGCATATAACTGATACTTCACAACGTTTAAGCTTGTACGGAGGAATGTTCAGCATTGAAAAAACATCTCGATGAATGCAATGAGCGTGTTGAAAATGGATCCAGTGAAAACTGTAAGGTTCCGCATTGTATAATGTCATCGTAGTTGTGGTGACTGACTTCAATTTTTCTACTATAGGCATTGAAGAATTCTTTCACTTTATGCACTGTGCTGACGAATGTGTAAGTTTCTATTGTTTTGACAATGCCATGTTATTCCGCCCTGAATTTTTCTGATGAACCCCATGCTTTATTTTCTGATTTATAGGCCGCGCCAAAAATCTTTGCTGCCACCAAATAAGCTACATTAGCGCTCATTTACACACACGCCCACCACATCCGATTGATTATCATATATTTATTACTTATGAAATGAAAATAATACAAGGAATGAGAAAAGATATGAACTATATCTATAGAAGTATCTATTTGAAACGTAGTGATAAAACAAATATAAGCTTTATCCTTCGCTGATTCTTTCGCTTTTCGCCAATTTCTACTGTACAATATCCAAAGAAAATAATTAAAGAAATTAGAAAAAGTTGGAAGTTTTCAGTAATGGACTGTCTACCAGAAATATCAATGTATTGTACGGTTAAATAATTCATTTTATTGGATAAAAGTTTTAATGACCTGTGAGCACGTAATGCCTTTAACACATTGGGTCTGCTATGGCCACTTCTAGTGGCTGTATAGAACTAAAAACCCTTTTAAGAGACAAAAGGTAAAAAGGAAAGGAAAAGGAAGAGGGAGAAGGTAACAGTTGAATAATTAACAGCTATGATAACAACCAATCTGTAAATTGTTGGCTGTGGTGGGAGGTCAAGACGATGTTGTAAGTGTTCTAATTCGATAAGAATCGAGCACATTACAGGCCGTCGTCTACGCCAAGTAGCAATTATGTGGGTATGACGTGGCTTACTGGTGGGGAGCATATTCAGTAAGAATGACATAGGATCAGGGATGGTGGTAGGGACGAACAGACGGTCGTGCATGTTGAGACAAGTTATGGCAAGGGATCGTGAGAGGAAGGCCACCAGGTAGCCACTCAAGGCGCTATCGAATCATCCGGCTCATGTATTGTACGTTTAAAGAGATATTTTATTACAATGAAATTTTACTCAATGAGCACACAGATTCTACGTCCATCTTCCTTGTATTTGTATCAGAAGTAGATCTTTAAGTGCCTTAAGAATAGTCATTTACCACCAAGAACGCTTACCTGCATAAGTCAACGTCTTCTTTTCTCTTCGGCTCCTCTTTTATCGTTTTTTTCTTTTTTTCTTCTTGAGCCTCCATACGCTCCCGTTTTGTCTTTTTAACTTTGCTTCTAATTGTCTTCTTCTGGCCATTCTTCAGTCGTCTTTTCCTTTTCTTGTTTCTGTTTGTATGTTTTCTTTTCCTCCTATTATACTTGCGACCGCCGTCAATTAGCACATTAGCTACCTCAGCATCTGCCCGTTGTTTGCCTTGGTAATTGTTGAAGTTTAACTGGGCCCATTTTGAAGCTGTAGAAGTCAATAGTGTCTGCAGATGTTGCAATGTGTATTTCAAGTACACAATATAGGTCTCTTTGGACATAACCTTCGGTGAAGGCAACGACGACTCAATGGACGTTATTCCTTTCCTTTCTTTTAATTTCTTCGAATAAGTGCTTCTCCTCGTGTAGCCCGCAAAGTTGGCTCTTTCACTTTTGCTGCAACTGCGTATCTCGTGATTAACATTGTTGAAGCCAACCGCAGCTGTAAAAATTTCATGCTGCCCAGGATCAACAGTAATTGGGTGAAAATACTCACCTACTTCCACGAGATTGAAGTCGTCTAGTTGTAGTAGTGCCTTTGTATTACCGGAAGTAGCCTTTCGTCTGACAAACTGTAGTGTGATACCATGTCCATCGCTTTGGGCAGTGCAGTTTAGCTTTATTTCACGATCGTTAACAATATCATCGACGGAACTGTATCTAAACGTATACAAGTTAAAAACGCGGTGAAAAACCTCAACCTGTTCTCTGTAGGCGTTTCCAGGATACTTTTGGCTCGTTATAATAGACAGCGTTTTGTGGTTGATATGGATATGGCGCCATTTCAAAGAGGGCATTGGAAGCAAAGAGAAAAGTCGTGGCTTTTTTTGCTCGTCTGTAGTAGCTTCGGAAATAGACAACACCTTCTGCAGCATCAAGCCTAACGCTGGTAAGAACATAGACCCATTGGCAGTAAGATTTTCTATGTTCGGGATCGCGGGCAGTACGTCTTCAACAGCTTTGCATATGGCATTAGCCTCCTCTAACCGCTCTAAACCGGCCACCCCGTTTGGCCATTCGTAGTCCCCCTTCATTATCTTTTTGAAGCAGTATTCGTTGACGATTCTGTCGATTTCTCTCTTCTTATGCTCCTAGAACATAAAATAAACAGAAATTCGTGAGACACTCTGCTACTACAGTTGTTATGGATGCGATCATGACTTACAGGGAACAGATGCTTCAAGCATGTTCGAGCGTAGTGCTTGAGCCTATTTTCAGAATTCTCTACTATAAAGTTTGAATAAGTAGTGGCCAGTGTCACACAGGCCGCTGCCATCGAATCGCTGTATCCTTTCTTCAGACTGTAAACGATTGTAGGAAATTTGCTTTTAAAGTCATCGAAGGCAAGCGTGACCGACATGTCCATGTATTGTTGATTTCTGACCTGCTTCCCTAATATAAGCTTGCAGATGCTACACCAGAAGTTCTGCTCATAGAGGTATGGATGACCAGTCATTGTTTGGTAGTTATCAGTAATGTGGTAATTCACAAATAGTTGTGCTCTATACACCACTTGACGGGTAAATTCTGCTAATTGGATGATGCTTTCTGTAGCGATCTGTGCAAACGCCAGTCTCATCAGTGTGGTTAGAAGCAGCTTCCTGCTGTAGACTTCATGACCATCTTCAAACAGCTGGCGGAGTAAGACATCCTTTGGGGGCTTGTAGTTCAAGCATAGTGGTAAAAATGACCCACTATGGCCTGCTTTACCGCAAGAGGAACAAACAACATCTTGTTCTGCTCGATTCTTGATTTCTTCCAATTTCTTCTTTTTTCCTCTAGCCTTTGCAGCCTTAGTCTCGTAATCATCCTTCGCTCCTGCTTTTCTTTTTTTGGCTTTAAAACGGGTATGGTAAGAGATCTGTTTACCTTTCATTCGGAAAGTGATAACACGGCTTACATGCATCGTAAAGCTGGCATTTGTAACTTTTTTTGTTGATATGACCAACTTCTCCACAGTCCTTACAAATTCCTACATTCGTAAGGAGTATTGAATTGTAAAACTCTGTAACTGAACATAAGATTGCAAGGACATACCTTCAGCAATTTCTCTTTTCTTTCTTTCTAATTTTCGCTTGAGATATCTCTTAGTTTCTCAAGAAGGCATAATCACATAAGCTTTTAAAGAGGTAAATAATATTAGAATGGGAATATTTTCCCTTGTAGAAAACAAAAAAAAAAGTGATAAGGTTCTAGATGAATAAAGATGCCGAACAGTCAATGAGAGTGCCAAACTATGAGTCATTTACGTAGAACACAGCTGGTCGCCTAGTTGTCATGGCAATTAAGAAAAATGTACGTAATCAGTTCCAGACAATCACACTATGACTACTTGAAAGAAAAGACAGTCTGTTTTGAATCAGATACGTAGTAGGACGTCACAGCCTGTTCTTATATTAATCCAATAGTACGTTATCGTTCAGAAGCTTATGAATAAGGAGCTTCCTGACAATGTATGGTCTCCAACATTTAGACAATTTATAATGGTAGCAAAACAGAAAGAAACGGATATCATGACCATACCTCACTTATTAAATATGCTATCAACAAAAGCAGATATAGGCCGCTTTTTCATCTATCTTATTTACCAGATGTTGATCCTGTAAGTACTTACAGTAATCTCTTTTCGTAATGCTTGATTTAGTAATACTCTGGGTTTAGTGATATCATTTTGCTTTTCCGAAGGTAGGAATAGCGTGCCTAAATCTAAATCAAACATTCAATAATAGTATTAGAAGTTTCTACGCCAACATTACAAAATGGCATATGTCTGAAACTCTTCGTTGCTTATTTTTATTATTAATCCCATTGGTCTTTCTTCTTTTATAAACTTTTGTTATATCTAAGCTACTGCAGATCTTCGGGAGATAGTTTTGCAAAGTTTGTTCCATACAGTTAAGACCTATTTTTTGTCAAATGTCTATCTTCAATAGCAAACAAACCTTGGACTTTTAGACCTAACTTCTTGAATATATTTGTTTTCTTCACGTGCTTTATCAGAAATATTATCCATGAGGTCTGCCTTACGGCAGCATGCGTTATTCACTTTTACTCTTTTTATTCATTCACACAGATGCTGCTCATGGTTTATTACTGTAAGTCACAAAGCTTCTCAATTCTCCCAGTGTGCAAAACCTTCAGCTCAAAAATTATGGCACATAGCGTAATGTTCCGATTAATAACAGCAGTAAATAAGCAAAGCATATGAAATAACGTTAAAATCGCTGAAAAGTAAAGCAGTAGAACAAAAACAAAAACTAAATAAATAAATAAATAAATAGGAAATATCGACGTAATGCAGCAGCATTTTATTGTTGTATTTGAGTATTTGAGTATTTGATGGTTTATCTGCATAAACCTCATACTGCATATATTGTTAATAGCTAAACAGTATCCATAATCTGCTACCTTAACATTGTATAATGGTATCATTTTGTTTCATTTTAAATTAATCACAATTCGATCAATACAAAAGGGTGTCCAAAAAAGCTCAATAAAGGCTCCATACTGTCTTACATTGAAATTCATATTTACCACAACCAAAACATATTTCTAAATCTTGAAATTTATAGTACCATAAGGCTTTATTTTAGTGTAGATATATATAAGCCTCTGTATGGATGAGTCAAAATTATACTATTTCTGTGCCAATTAAAATTATGATGACATCTAGTTAGGTTTTGAGGGGAGTATGTGGTTAAACGTTGAGCAATATATTGCTAAAGAACTGTTTAAGAGTGGAGTCAGTCTTTTTTACCTAAGCTTCAGTTTACATAGTGACATTATTGCTATAGATAGCATGTAAAAAGTTGAAGTACAGTATGAATGATGGAAGATAAACCTATTGAAACTCCTCGTTGGATATTCTCGGCTTCAAACAAGGAAGCATGTATGAGAATCAAAGTGCACAGCAACATGATTGTGAACCTAAGTACAACGATAGTAGTTACTACTTACAGCTTGAAAAAATAACCAACCTGCTAGAAATATTGGAAAGAAAATAACATAAAACAATTTCAGTTTAGAATAGCCCGTACTTTCCTTAATCTTGGTGTCTATACACTATGAATTCAAACCTTTCATTTTATTGTTATTGTGACATTATGTTGGCTTAAATGCCAGGATTCTTTATAATTCTATTTATTCTTAACTCTTGACAGCTTCAACCTTAGTAACGTCGACCCAGCTACTATTTAGTCTGAATTTGCTATCCTCTACTTCCGTATCAGAGAAGTCCAATTCAGTCTCACTCTCATGTAATCAATTTTGAACCTGCAATATATCCATTGATTTCACATTGCATACACTTTATATGCATTTTTGACTTTGTTCGTTATATCTCTTAGAGATAAAGAGCCTTAATCACCGTAAAGTCACTTCACATCTGTGGTTCTTTGAAATTTTCATATGGAGCAAATTATTAAGTCTGATAGCTTTATTCTAATGTGTGCTATACTTGCATATTATGACTGGGTGGTCTGTTTTGTCAGTCTCAAACATGCTGTCTCTTATTTTCATTTTTTTTTTTTGCGTAACAAACATAAATAAGCTATTTGAGAGTTATTATATAGCTACTTTCAATTTATTAACAGATGTAGAACTACTGAGTAACAAATTAGGAGAATGGGGAGGGTGGTTATGGCTGAAAATGTATATAAACGATGTGTGTCTTCAGTAGAGCGAAGTGGCGGGCAGATTCGATATATTCCGGTTATAGGGAGAGGGGAGGATGAATAAATATGCGGTGCGTGTATTTTCAAAATAAAAAAAAGTGCGATATGTATAAATATGGTTACAGCTCCATTCCAGCAGCTTCATCCTCTGAGGAATCATCAAAGTTTACGGAACTCATATCGTCATCATCATCACTTTCATCCGCTGCAGCGTCAGCAGCTTCTTTTGTAGCATATCTAGAAACGTAATCTGTTGCTTGCGTCAGCTTACTTTCTATGAAATGAAATAAACATGAAAACAATAATAAATGTATGAATATATACCTTTTACTTTGATATCATATTTAGCGGGTTCTCTCATTAATAATGCAGCTGCTTCACCATTTAGAGGATCTGTTGGGTTGGGATATCTGAGTAGTTGAGGAAGAAAGACTTCAAAAATATTAATCATATCTACAAGTCAAACTTTTGATGAGTATCCGATGTTTTTCATGTGGTCCTCCATGATCTTTCGCAATACTTTACCAAACATTGGACTCCAGGTTTGATTGATGACGTCCAAACAAACAGAACCACTCCTGTTATGATGATTAATCGAACAACAAAAATAAGGAAGAGAGGGGTTTTAGATTAATCACCAAAGGTTTCAATCAAGATCCTCCATACAGTTAACACTTACACTTCATCGATATTGGGATGAAATATTCTGTTCATAAAACCAATGCTAGGTGATTTATATGGATACTGATCAGGTAACTCTACATGTACTTTCCATACCCCTCCACTGAAAGGCGCTAAACAAATAATGCATGTGAGCGACTTTTTCTCCTAAGTGTTGTTCTTTCTATGAAATAGCGCTATGACACTTTACTATCACTAGGTCCATGAAAACGAACATAGAATTCTTGCATATTATCGTTAACTAACGTAACTTCATAGTCGCTCATTAAGCTATATATGATATGTATAAGCAATAGTAAGCCAGTGTAGCGAATCTCTTTCTATTGTCATCCTTTAATTCCTTACAGTTTCATAACGTCAGTTTCGATTCTTCTTCTGGGCGTAGACATTGTTGTAATGTATTTTGTGTATAGAATGTAGAAATAAGTAACTTATGTTTGAGCGTTTGACGAATGTTGCTCCCTTAAATATTTCAAATATGTTCTGGAAAAAAAGAAAAATAGAAAAACCATTCAAGTGGAGAGAGATTTCTTTCTTTTTTTAACTTGTCTGTGTGCGTGTGTGGAAAAAAAAAAAAAAAATTGTTCGGCAACAAAAACAGAAATTAATGCAAGTGATTGGTTGACGTTTCATCGTACCCATTTTCATCATCTCTTTACTACAGTTTTTTTTTTTTTTTTTTTTTTTTTTTTAATTCACGAACTTTATTAGAAGTAACTGGAAAATTAGAGATGATATATGGCAATAAAAGAAATGAAAGAGGCATAAACTGTAAAACTGCTGAAAAAAACCATTAAATGTATACTACAAGCTCGTACGGAGTGTTCTGAAGCGAACCTCGTCTTGGTAGACGGTACAACTACAGTTTTTCTTCACCAAAATCAGAAATACTACTAGGCAACTTCGGAAAATGTAGTATATTTATGAGAAAAAATATTTACATATTTTAGATAAATTTAATAATAAATTCAGACGCACTTACCAAAAATTACCCAAATTGTTATTGAATTGTGAGTTGAGTAAATGAGGTAGAAACAGTAAGCATTCGGCCTTTGGTTACTTTATGAATATATTACAACTTACACTGTAAGAATGTGTGAAGGAGTGATATCAATAACACATGTAGGTCTCGTTTAAAAGATGTTTTTGGCAGGATTGACGTCGCTGTCTTTATATTCTCCAAATGTCGAATGCTTGCATTTATTACAGCTAGTCATATATTCATTGATGAAGCAGATTTCCATTTTTTCATCTTCACCATCAATAGGTACTTGTGCCTTCTTGTTCGGACACAGATTGCTTGTAGGCCATGCATGTGTGGCTTGCTTTCAGGACGGATACGTAATTATTTTCGTTGTTTTTATTATCAGCTTTGAATTCTTGGAGAGCTTCTTTTTTTACACCTTTTTTGACAACTTTGACAACACTGGCTTAGACGAAGAGGCACTCGAACATCATTAGTATGCCATTGTATTAGTGTGTGGGTAACTGGAGCAACGTAGATGATTTCTTGATAGAGAGTCATAAATAAGATAGTCTTACCTATGTGCAGCTTGAGCCTTTATAAGGGCCGTTCTGAGCTGGGAGGTGTTGTTTGCCTTTTCACCTTTGTTTTAAAAGAAACAAAACAAAAAGGAAAAGAACACTGTGCGTTCTATTGTATAGCGCGTTCCTTTTTTCTTTTTTCGTTGTTGTCTAAGAATTGCTTCATTGACAACATCACGATCAACTGAATCAATAAATAACGGCTCTTACAAAGTTCTGAAATATCATTGCTATCTACAGACAGTGGCGTATCTTTGCTCCTCAGCTAGTTTTTTGATGTTATAGTATGATTAATATATTACACAGGATAGTTAAGCGCGCTGGTTATTGCTCTTGTTTCCTCATCACCCCTCCGTTTTTATAGTGCCCTGAGTTCAAATTCTAAAAAATTCATCTCAAACCGAAACTACCAAAATCTAAAAAGTATTTGTGAAACTTCTTCAACGCAAAAACGATCGCTAGCAATTCACGCTTGGTGACCGGATAGTTACGTTATTTATGATATTTCCAAAATTCGTTATTCTGTTCGTCTGAAGCAAACAGTATGAAAATCCGAATCATAAGTTAAAAACTGTACTTTTCAAAGAAAGTTTTGAATAGAATTTTCATCCCTCTGCTTCATGATTGAAATGATTTTGTTCATTGAGTTTATAAGTAAAAATGCCCAATCTCAATGCTTTTTGTATGCTTAATTGTGCAAAAAAAACCAAAAAAATGCGCGTACACAATTTGAAGAAAACAAAGCACGCATGAAAACTCATCATCTGACTTTTTATTTTTATTTTTTTTTAAGCACTGAACAAACGCCCCACATTTTTCTTTTTCCATGTTCACTTAGCTGGGTGCATGTTTCCATACACCCTTCCCCTTTAAACACGTAAAAATTTCAAACCGGCACTTTTTTTTGAGCCTACATCTTTGATCTATTCTTAAAATCATTTCAACCATCAGGCACTAAATTCTAACATAGTAAATTCTTTTTACAAACTGATGGATGATAATAGCGCAAATCAAAGTTCGTTTATCTCTTATCAATTATTGTTACAGTGCTGCTGTTGCTGCAACTCCCCTGATTCGAGATATGGAAATAAAAACTTTATATTAAATTTTCAATCCCTTTCATTTTCATTTTCCTACTCTTTCATTATTTCTTTCTTTTGAACAGTTCCCGACAACAGAAACTGTCTTTGACTCATTCTCAATCGAAAAATTAATAAATGCAATCGATAAACTTCTAATTTCAATATACCATGACTCAAGAATATATATTTAAGAATAAAGACATCTGGACGGCTACAGATTATAAAGAGGAAAGGCAACGCATCCGAGATTTTTGGTTGCAATTGTCAGAACAGGAAAGAAGATCCCTCGCTGAAGTAGAAAAAGATACCATCATACGTCGAATGAAGGAACATCAGAAACATCACTGTCATTGCACAATATGTGATAAAAAGAGGTATATTCTGTACATTAATTGTAATCCTCCTATTATCTAGCCAAATTTGTTAAGAATAAAAAGAAAATAAAACAAAAAAATGAATAAATGAACGTAGGGCAAGCATTGATATTGAATTAGAACGTCTTTACGATGCTTACTACGAAGAGTTGGAAGAATATACCTTTCGTCAGCAACAGAAAAGACAATTATACAATAGCTCTACTACCACTTCGACTACGACAACTACTGCGTCAGTTACATTTGGCGTAGAAGAAGTTTTTGACGAGGAGCAAGAGATGACAGATGACAATGACGAAGATGACGACGAGGAAGATGAAGATATGATGAGTGATTCAGACAACAATAAGACAGATGATGATAAGATAGCTATTAGGCGAAATCTAACTAAAACAGTGAGAATCAAAGGAAATATGCTGGCTTTAGCGAATGATTTTTTGAAAAACGATGGCAGAGGGTTTATCAGTATGATTGAACAATTGGCTGAAACAAAACGGAAAAGAGAAAAAGAAGCAGAAGAAGTTCTTCAACAAGAGCGATGTACAGCACACGAAGATAACCATTATGATGATACTGAGGCTCAGCGCGATGACGCAGCATCAGATAGCGAATATAACGAAGAAGATGAAGATCACGACCAACAAGAGCACGATCATGAGGAAGAAGAAGACGAAGAGGACGACGATGAAGATGAGGACGACGACGAAGACGAAGAGGAGGAGGATGAAGAGACCGCTGAACTGAAAAAGAAACAAAGAATGGAAGAAGGTCGAAAAATGTTTCAGATATTTGCTGCGAGGATGTTTGAACAAAGAGTTTTAAGTGCTTACAGAGAAAAAATTGCTCAAGAAAGGCAGAAACGTCTCATTGAAGAACTTGAAGAAGAAGACCGCTTAAAGCAAGAACGAGAGGCTAAAAAGCAACGTGAAAGAGAGAAGAAAAAAGACAAGAAGCGGTAAGGAGTAAAATTTTGAATTCTACGTTTCATCAAGTCTGTGATTTAGCTAACATTGTATTTTTAATTGCAGACAACTGAAATTGCAGCAAGAAAAAGAACGCCAGGAGTTAGAGAATAAACGAAAACAAGAAGAATTAGCAGCTAAGATGGAACGTGAAAAGAAATTAGAGAAAGCGCGTTTAAAAAGGGAAGAAGAAAGACGTCAGAAAGAAGAAGAAAGATTACGAAAAGAGGAGGACCGTCGAAGACGAAAATTAAAAGAAGAGGAAAGAAAGCGTAAACAAGAAGAGGAATTACGTCAGCAAAAGAAGAAGCAATTGGAAGAGAAGAAGAGACTTGAAGCAGAAGCAGCAGCAGTCGCAAAAGCTAAACAAGCTGCTGAGGAGAAAGCTGAAGCTGATGCAGTGGCTAAAGCGGAACAAGGAAAGACAGCAAAGGAAAATGAGGAGAAGGAGCGTAAACGTAAATTACAAGAATTCACTTATGCACAGCAACAACAGCAACAGCAGCAACAGTTAGAAGAGCAACAACGGATACCAAATGTATCTACTATTGGAAGTCCGTCGAGGAAGAAGAAAGCTAATGATGTTAACAAAGTGAACAATGTCAGCGATCAAGCACAGCAAACACGACAAATAACTTCCTCAGTAACGCCATCCAACGTTTGCCAAAATAATAACGACACATCTTATTATTCTTTATTCTCCAATGTTCTATTCAGACAGCCTATAACTAATATTTCTAAACCGACCTCTTCAGCGTCTAATCTCACAAGTAGCAAAAGTGCTTCATTCATCGGCAGTAGTAGACGACGACGACAAGGGTTCACAGGTTTATCAAATGATGTGAAATGGACAAATGGTAAAAACGAAAAACACATTGTTATTGAGTAGGGAATAGTTGAACATTCATACACTTAATTCTCACTGTATTTAGGCTGGACACCCTTAAATGCCTTCTCGGATACTGTTCACGATAGGATCTTTGGTGATGTCTTTGTAAGTTGCTTGTGTGGGTTTCGTTAAAAAGTATTTCTTAACCAAGTTCGGTTGACTACTCTAGGCTGGAAGGTATACACTAATACTGAAAAAGGCGAAAAAGGCATACCTAAAATTGAATGAATTTGCACAAGCCCAATTGTATATGACGCCTGAATACCACACTTTTGAGCAGCTGCATCAAATGATTCAGCAACTAGAAAAAGAAGAGGAAAGAGAAAATAAACTGGCCGTTACTACGACAACTACAACCATTTCGACTAAAAAGGTTACTTTTGAAGAATTGTATGAAGCAGTGACTCAATTAGACAGCGGTTTTCAATGCGTCAATCATCCTCAGCAAGGCTTTATTGTACATTTACCGTCAAGTCCCTATAATTCTACACCGCTACAGTCTACTCGGCCGATATTATCTCAGTCCATTTTGTTACGGCAGCCATCACCGCTTTCACAAAGTAGACAAGTCAACCACATTAAGCAACCAACTATTACTCAATTCTCCGCATCTGTTCCTCCCCCAGGGAATACTATTTTGGACGTCTTATTGACAAACAATACCACACCATCAGCCGGAGCCATGTCAACTAATTCTCTTGCAGCAGCCATACCGCCACTGCCCCCAACTACGTTAACAGCATCATCTTCAGCTTTCTCAAATTTCTTTTGAGAATTGCTCTGTTTTTTTATGTGATAACTCATCAAATGCGTTAGCTGTCTTGTACTAACGGAAATAAAATGATTAGTGTGCGGTTATGTTGCAGTATAAGTTTCCCCTGAGCTGAATTAAAAAAAAAAAAAAGCAACAGAGCCTTTTTTTTCAAAAGAAAAACTCTTGCCTTTTGTAAAATGTCGTGATCGGTTGGAAGAATGTCTTTGCCAGAAAGTATACTTAATATTAGAAACAACCAATTCTTTACTCTGAAAACTGGACTGAAAGACTATATCATAACCAGAGTACGTCATTATGAAAAGTTGCATGAAGATTTCTTTCAAATGATTATTGCATCAGTTAGACATAGATTCGTGACGAACAATTGCCTTCTCTTAACTTTTGAATAGGCTTCATTTGCGAGAAATGGAATAAACAATAGTAATATAATAAGCCTCCTATTAACAGAAGTCTCTGATGGTGTATACAGCATACCAGCTTTACTCATACCCTCTCAAGTTCAAACAAAATTTAAGTAAAGAGCAGTAGCACTGGTTGATTATCATTTCATCCTAGACAACGCAGGACACTTAATCTTTCTTCCTCTGTGTTATTCTTACGTGCATAGATTGAGCGATTCCAATATGAATGATTGCCAGGAGTTGGTTGGCAGAATGATTAATATCGACCAGTACATGGTGTCAGCCTTTCGAAAAGAATCGCAGTTCCAGCCTTATTTGATTGTGCTAAACTTCGATATATCTTCTCAAGAAGGGATCATTCAGGAAGAAAAAAACGTTCCCAATATATCTAGTCACCCAGATGTACAACAATGGTTAGAAAAATTGCAATTGAGTATACCCGACAAAAGCAGGCCATTGTCATCCTACTTCAAATTGAAAGGTACAGGAGGAAGTTTCTTCGATACCACTGGCAATGGCGCTTTTAATAACCAAGCTTACATCTTTCCTCTTATGCCCTTTATAGTTTTGGAAGAGAAATTTTCAGCACCTTTCGAAAAAGTAGAAGCTGCAATTGAAAGTATATCATCGTTCGACAATGCTTCTCAGAAGAGCATCAGTAGTAATGCTTCAATAGCATCTATCAATACGTCAGTTGAATCACCTTTGCCTTTGCAGCCATCACCACAACCGTTAAAGCAGAAGCAACAGCAAGAGCGAGTATCGTCATCTTTTGTAAATAGTCTGTTAAGCAATGTTAGTAGAAAAATTAACAAGTGGTCCTTTTGGAAACCAAGCAGTAATGAGGATACGCACATACCTACAGAGAGAAGCCAGCAGCAGAGGTGGACCCAGCAACAAAGGTCTGGAAGCAATAACTATCAAAAAGAAAAGAAAGAGAGTACTCTGTCATCATCATCATCTACATTCCCAAAGGAACAGGAACAGCAACTGTCAAAAACGAGCATAGCAATAAGCACAGAATCTCCTTTATCAAACGACTATAAAAACGAAAGAAATATGAGTGAGATTACGGTTGAAAATCCAATTGGAGGAAAGAAGTCGAATGCCCATGATACAACTGCAGAAACAGACATGTTAGAAGAGTTTGAAATTATGAAACATTTGTCTGAACCTTCGGATAGTGAGAACAACCCAAACGTAACTAAAAATCAAAAGAAGACAATTCAAGACGATTATAGGTCGAATAAGAAACCAGCTGTTGCAAATGGCGAAAAAGTCGAAATGGAAGTAATACCAAGTAAGGATTCAGTTGCAGTCTCAGATAAACCTATTGATACGGTTCAAAGTACATGTGATACTCTTATAAATGAAGCAACCGCTTCGGAGACCGTTCATCATAATGAAATGCTTACATACAGCGATACCGAATATATACACACCACTGAGTTTGGTATTACTCATGAAAACGATAAAATATATATGAAAGACGAACCGTTGGTGCAAACGACAACTCAATCACTACCATCTGTTACTACAATGAGTACTACCAACAAAGCTCAGCATAAACACTCATCTGTAAAGAGACGACTATCTAACAGCGAAACACCTATGAAGAGATTGAAAACTAACCGAAACACTATCAATCGCACGAATATCGCCCTTCCTTCCGCAACCGCATCGGACAGATCAATTGCCGTGCATAAAGTTGCTGAAGAATTGAATAGTACAGCTGCCAGTCAGAGACATAAACCTACTGTTTTTAGGCGTCCTACTGTTCAAGAGTACCAAGTTGAAATCAGAGATAAATTCAATTCTTCAGGCAAAGCATGCGACACATCAACGTGGTTGCCAAGCTTTTCCTCTGGCACAAGATATTTAATTATGAATGCTACTGATAGTAGTGGGCTACAGTATGAAAAAGATGAAGAAGAAGAAGAAGCATCAATATTAAACCAAAAACAAGTTATTGAGAGTTTGTTAAAAGATAGTTCGACGGACCCATTTATGAGACGTCAACTTTTAGACAAGTATAAACGCATATCTTAGTATACTGTAATAAACAATTCAATCATTTAAAAGGCAAGCTATTCGTCAGTTTAACATGAGTATATATATATACAACTTCTAGTTTGACTTTCTAACTGTTATCTGGTCTCATCTGTCATCGGCTATGCGTACAGTTACTTTTATTGCGGAATACTTTCCTTCATGGAGTACTTATGATTTTTCGTTTCTCTCCCAGAAAGCATAAACTATCCTCTCATTGAATGCTTTGGTACTGTAATTGATTTTGATTTCTATTCGTATCCTCAACCCCAAACCTGGTATCACGGATGACCGGTTGTTTGCCACATTCTTTGTGAATCTGACTACTTGCATCATCAACAGGAGCTTGAGGTATTTGCCATAGTTCACAATTCTTTTTCACTTGAGCCGTTCTTTCATAAATCTAATACATTTGTATCTGCTCTAGGCAATTTGGATAAGTTTTCGTGTCCATTTGGCTTTAAAAATATTTGTGATAAAAAGCTTGTTTGAACGTAAGTGATTTTGGATAACAAATTCAGCGCTACAATAACAGAGGAGGATGCAATAGACTCAAGGTTCAAAATCCATTAGTTGAAGTTGCCTTAACTACTGTTCCAAGCGTCTACTGTAAATCTCTGTTACACTTGCGGATGATTTGAGAATAATAACTGAGAGAGCAGTTCTCTTGTTGCCGTTACAAAATTTCAGTTCCCGTTTCCCAAGTCTTTTTATTTCTGCTTTCATTTTGATATAATTCAACCTCTTGATTAATTATGAGCACAACTGAATCATCACAATTTGAGCTTGTTAATCCACCTGAAGATGGTGTCAGCAAAGTTATATTTCACCCAAGTGATCCGAATCTCTTACTAGTATCCTCTTGGGATAAGGTAATTCTTGGCAACAGTTGATTTTGCATCTGATTCCGATGATCGATCTTTACTGAGCAGACTCACACTTGCATACCTTCCTCAATAACTTTAGACATTACGGTTATATAACGTGGAAAAGAATGAATTAATGAAAACAATTGATACAGGAGCTGTAGCCCTTGATTGCTGTTTCGGCGAAAACAATACTGCATTTTACGGTGGTTTAGATCACAAGCTAACAAAGTAATTCTAGAAAAGCTTTTGAAATGTTCGAATTTTAAGTGGACCAAGCTGATTTGCAACATTCATTAACAATAGAGTAGACCTCGAAACGGGAAAGACAGAAGTTATTGGAGAACAAAATGGTCCAATAAGCACCATATGTTATGAAGCAGAGACAGGTGAGTTGACCAAGATTCTCTTTCATTATAGAAATGATATGAACTTACGTCTGCTATTTTTCTTTTTATTGTAAGACCGGGTATTCGTAGGCTCTTGGGACCACACACTCTGTGTTTGGAACGCATCTATGAAGAAAAAATCGCATGAGGTTAGCGTAAAACACAAAATATTCAGTATGGATTTACGCAATAAGATACTCGTTGTTGCCACCAGTCAACGCAAAGTATTTGTATATAAAACAGACGACATGTCAGAAGTATGGCAAGAGCGAGAAACTGGTTTGAAGTATATGTTGAGATGCATCCGATTGATGCCGAACGGAGCAGGCTTTGCTTGTTCATCAATTGAAGGACGTGTCGCGTTTGAATTCTTCGATTTATCGCCCGAGGCGCAATCTAAAAGATACGCTTTCAAAACACATAGACATATTGTGCAAGATACCGAAGTTGTTTATCCAGTTAATACCCTTGCCTTTCATCCGAGGTAAGTCGTAAGCGTAGAGCACTTATTGTTATGTGATAAGCGCTAACATTCAAATCCTATACATCACAATTAAACTGAAGGTATGGAACTTTTGCTTCTGGAGGTTCAGATGCTGTAGTTAACATATGGGATGGAGAGAATAGAAAAAGGATTAAATCAATGACAAAATTCCCGGATGAAATAGCATGTGTCAATTTCAATTACAATGGTACAAAACTTGCTATTGCCAGTAGCTATACGTTTGATGAAGGACAACGTGACTTTAGTAAAGTAGCAATTTATATCAAGAACGTTGCGGATCATGAGGTTGCACCCAGAAATCAACAATCAAGATAAGTATATTTGGATGCTGTCGTCATGATCACCATAAAAAGTACCGCTGTTAAACGATGGATAAACTATTTATTGATGTGTAATTGCACGCAGAGCAAACTATCTATCATTATCTCCTTGCATTCCAGAAAGAAAATGAATAAATAAATTTGATTTTTATCTATAAAGGCTCTCATGCTTTGTGAAGGTTGTGTTTGCAGTAAATCCTATCTTATCAATCAAAAACCTCACGAGATGCTAACCACAAAACACGAGCATCGGCGTTTCAGGAAAAAAACGACAACAATTAAGGTACAAAATTGAACGCAGGGCGAGAAACGACGTTGATTGGTTGCTTGCTGCAAAGCGTTTATTCCACGAACTTTCACAGTTTTACTCTTTGTTCCCAGCTTGCTTTATTCTGCGAACTTGATCGAGCATTAGCATATAATAGACAAGGAAGCAGTTGAAAACTGAAGGGAAACTAACAACATTACGTTTATTAAGAAGCATAAACCAACAAATACGAATTCAGCGCGTTCATTTCAACCTTTGATACTCACAGCATCCCCAGCTTTCTTTCATCTATTGCTTGCCAAAACAATACTGAAATTGCAAATATGAGAAGGGACGTTCGCATTTTACTGGTCGGCGATGGTAATACTGAAACTCGAACTAGGTCATACGTTTCTGGGTTATGGAAATAAAGAGCCTTAACCCTGAAATTCATCTTAAAAAATTTGTAGAGGGAGTTGGGAAAAGTACATTGATTGCCTCATTGATAAAAGAGCAATTCATTCCAAATGTACGTATACTTGTTTTGAGGCAGTATATGAGGATGTGTGATAAAACAAGTTCAGCAGTTGACGGCTAAAAGCAAAATTTTATAACTAATCTAATCCTCACAATAGGTTCAGCATCTCATACCTGAAGTAACTATTCCACCAGAAGTGACACCAGAAAATGTAACAATGCATATCATGGATTCATCTGGTATGTTTAAGACAGTAAAACGTAAAGTAAATGAGGTTGATATTTGCTAAAATATCGCTGTACGTTTATACAGCTCGTACAGAGGATCGAGAGCAGTTAGAAGCCGAAATACGCAAAGCACATGTTATTTGCATTGTGTATGCTATCGATGAACCGAATTCGTTCAACAGACTGTCACTCTACTGGCTACCTTACATCAGATCACTAGGCGTTAATGTAAGATAGGAGCTCAATGCCATGCAGTGATGTCTCACTTACGTATTATTTTTCTTTGTACTCCAACAGGTACCAGCTGTATTAGTTGGAAATAAAATTGATCTACGTGGAAATGATGTGGCCAATCAAAGTCTAGAGGATGAAGTGATACCTATAATGAACGAGTTCAAAGAAGTTGAGACATGCGTAGAATGTTCAGCTAAACAATTACTTAATGTCTCCGAAGTATTCTATTTCGCACAGAAGGCTGTTTTACATCCTACTGCCCCATTATATGATTCAAGGGAGCACGTATTGAAACCACAATGCGTGGAGGCCTTAAAGCGTATATTTAAATTATGCGACGCGGATAAAGATAACGCATTGAACGATAAAGAATTGAATGAATTCCAGGTACAAATACGGTGAGGTGTAGGAACAAACATTGGCTAGGTTTTATTAAAATCAAAATCGTTAAATAGAGAAAATGTTTCAATGCGCCTTTACAACCGCAGGAGCTGGACGGTGTAAAAGATGTAGTGAGAGAACATGAACCAGCAGGCGTGAGCGAAGAAGGCTTAACAGAGATTGGTTTTATCTTCTTGCATTCACTATTTATACAAAGAGGACGTCTTGAGACGACGTGGACTGTATTACGAAAATTTGGCTATGGAGATGATTTATCACTCAGAGAAGACTTCTTATTGCCAGTGTACATATTAAAAACGAGAGCTGTTGCTATCAAAGAATACGGAAATCTTTCGTTTCTAAACTAAGATTTTGACTTTATCATTACTTATAGGTTTGAAGTTCCATCAGAATGTTCAGTGGAATTAAGCCCTTATGGTTATCAATTTTTTGCTGAATTGTTCCAAACTTTCGATAAGGATAAAGATGGTGCACTAAACGAAATAGAATTGGACTCTCTTTTCAGCACTTCACCGGAAAATCCTTGGACCAGTACTGGCTTCCCACACACGACTATTACTACAGAAACAGGAGCCGTGACATTGCAGGGTTGGTTAGCTCAGTGGAGCATGACCACTCTTTTGGATCATAAAACGACTTTAAAATATTTAGCTTATCTTGGATTCGAAGGCGACACTAGAACAGCACTCAAAATAACAAAACCAAAAAGAATTGATCGTAAAAAGGGAAAGATACAGAGAAACGTATTTTCCTGTTATGTCTTTGGTGCACCAGGTTCAGGAAAGGTAAAAACTCATTGCTCCACTTATCAATACTATTGCAATCCTCGCTCATCTCCTAACCCTTGCTTATTAAAGACTTCTTTGTTAAAAGCATTTGTTCATAAGCCATTCTCGGAACATTATCAACCAACAAAAGAACCTTTTCAGGTTGTAAATTCTGTTGAAATGAAAGGAGCAGAGAAATATTTGGTGGTATAGTAACAGCAATGTTATACTATAAATCGCAGAAGCTCCCAAATGAATATACCGTTTAATTCGATTTCTCTAAAACTTATACAATAGATGCAAGAAGTCGAACAAAATCAAGTAGCTGACATTCTATCTGATAAAAAGAAAATGGAACAATGCGATTTATTATGCTTTATCTATGATACTAGCGACGCAAACTCCTTTGAATATGTGGCTAACTTGAGAGTAAGTTTATTGTTGTTATGAGTTTTCGGGACTACTTCGCCTTTCTAACCCCACCCTCTCTATCTTATAAATAGGAAAGCTACAGAATAAGTCACATTCCTGCTGTATTGGTTGCTACAAAATGTGAATTGGACTTAGTAACTCAACGCTATGAAGTTCAACCAGATATTTATTGTAGGAATTTGGGTCTTGCTGTGCCATTGAGTGTGTCTGTGAAAGAAAATCAGATGGCAGATTTATATCATATACTGACAGGTGTGGCTATGAATCCGTAAGTTCTTATTTTATTTTATTTTGTTCTTTTTGCAAGCAGGCATTCTCAATTTGTTTCTCAATCGCTCCCTTTTCGTATAGTGCAATTGCTACACCTGGTTCATTAAAAGAGAAGGACAATAAATCCTACTGGACTACAAAGAACTATTTGACTTTATCGCTAGTGGCAGGTGTGGTAATTTTGACAGGCTTAGCAGGTTATAAATATTTAAAATCACATACAAATTTTACACAATCGACTATAAATGCTGCCGCTTCTGTGGCGTCAAAAAGAAAAGAACTATAATCTAATAAATACATCAGTGTACCAAACAGTATTCATTGCATACGTTTCTCTGGCAATAGTCGGGCCGAATAATGTCTGGCGTAGCGCAATAAGATAAATGAACAACTGATCGATTAGCTTTATGCTTCTAACTGTAATTAACCGCTCGCTTCATAAATGTTAGGATAATGAACAATCAGTTCAAAGATCCATATACGTTTCCTTATTACAATAGCACAGACAATTATTTGTGATCTTCACGCTTTACTGTGGCGGATATTACAACATAGAGTCATTACCGAACGAAAAATCATGCATTTGCCGAATCTATAAGAAAAGAGTTACAAGCTTCCTGGAGTTCTCATAATTTGTAATTGATTTTTACCCATTCTTTTCTTTTGTATTTTATACAATGCAATCAATCCTCGTTTGGTTGCAATGTCATTTTGCAGGGACAATGATTTGCGAAACCAAAGTTTTGCAAGAGTAGAATTGGAGATTCTGGGCCTTCAAAGCAAAATATACCGTTTTAATATTGTATAAAAAGAACTAGATAGTGTACTTTTATCATATTTTCAGAAGGAAAAGGAGTGACCGGAGAAGCCACATATTATAATGACTTTTCCAGTATGAACATAAGCATTGCTCGAAGGATGATAATACAATAATCATCAAAGAATTGTGAGCTTACTTGGCTTCTATTGTTAGAAGAACTCTATACTACAGTTTTTTTCTCAATAGTTATGGCAATAGTTGGAGACATAATATTGTTTGAGTTAAGCTTTGTAGTAACAGACACCTGTACCTTCAAGTTCTAGCATCCATGTTTCCCAACATTGTTATGGGAACCAGGAGATACGCAATTTACCTCTATTCTATGCTGATAGATTACTATTATCACTGTCCGCATCTTGATAGGATCTTAAATCATTATAAGGACGTGATCCTTTTGCCTCAATAGTCAAACTGTACTGGAAGGCTCGGTAGCAGTTTCTTTCTTATATAAATTACTTTTGACCAATCTGTGTCGGTCTGCAAGGATGTAAAGTAAACAGTAATGCTGGCTCATTTTGGTATTTGTCATTGAGAAATGCAGTGAAGACATAGCATGATAAGAGTTTTGAGCAAAATATAAAGTGGCAAGTCGATATGTAAACGAGTAACAAATAAGCCTCATGCGCTTTTATAGTGAGAGCTACGGACAGTATGGTAATCATTTTTGTAGCTTAATCAAACGCGCTATTTTTTTGAAGAACAGCGTTAAAGCTCTCGAAAATTATATATGAGCAAAAGATTAGATGTTATTGTATTAAAATTACGCGTAATGGGATACCAGCAGTGGCCTCTCAGTACATATAAATTGGCTATTTACGACTGCGCCTTTCTACTACTTTATGCTTTGATACCAGGTGATTTACTAGTAATAATCCATGTCAGCGACATTTTTCTTATTCCCCTGCTGGCTAGCTTGTCTATAATAAAATTCGACGACCTACAGAACAAGTTATTTAGCTTATATACTGATAGTTGGCAATACACATTCACGATCATTACCTGCTCACTTGTTGTAGCTGATTCCGGATCCTTATCATCACGGATACGAATGAATCGAGGAAATCTTAAGGAGATACCTTTACTAGGATCCACTTGACCTACACCTGCCATATACCTGGGACTTACTGTCAAGTCGGCACATTGGATTTCCCATACTTGCACAGGTTCTAACCATACATCAGGCTTCACTGGATTTTCACCTAGACAGTAGAATTTTTTCGGTTGTTCAATGATATGGTTTTTGAAAAAGTCATAGAAATTTTGTAGGTTTTCGTCAGAGAACCCTGTTGCTACTTTCGAAATGGTCTGGAACTCTTCGGTTTCAGGATCATAACAAGCAAGTAAATAGCCACCAAAGACAGCAGTACGTCTGCCTCTGCCATGGAAAGCACCAATAACGACCAAATCCATACTATCGCCTAAACCAGACAGATAATCTTTCTTAACTTTAAGCCAATTTCTGGAACGCTTGGACGGTTCATATGTTGCTTCAGGGCTATCGAATGCTTTCACCATTAAACCTTCACAATTGTTTGTGATAGATACATCCAAAAAGTTCTGTATATCATCTATATTGTTAGAGTCCATATGACGAGCAAAATAAAATTCATTTTCTGTTTCTTGGAACGCTTCTTTCAGTTTTTCACGACGTATTTTCAATGACTCTTGCAGTAGCGATTGACCGTTGAGATAGAGACAATCAAATGCAAATACAGCAACTCTAACCTTGATTTCTTCTTCTTTCACATCTTTTCGCTTACGCGTGCTTAAAACCTGAAATGGTAGAATTTTGCCTTCGGCTTTATCCCAGGCTACGGCCTCACAATCCAAGATAAATGTCGTTGTGGTAGGTTTGATCCACTGTAGAACGTAAAAGAGAAGTGGTTGTTTAGCTTTGCTAAAAACACTTTGCAGCAATACATTCTGACTGTTGTAGCCTCACCTTTTTAATGGCGTTCATGATATCAGGGTATCTAACAGACATATTTTCAGAGTTACGACTATACACCTTAATAATACCATCCTCTAAACAATGAATCTATTCCATAATATCATTAGATGTATAGCCTCCATCATTTTTTGATTCGTTGCTTACCTGAGCACGCTCGCCATCATATTTAAACTCACATGTAAAAGTTTGATTTTCAAATCTATCGAGTATTTCTGTTAAACTTTTTGTCGGATGCGCCAACATAGGTTTAAGGGGAACACCAGGGTGCATTGTACAATTCTCTAATAATTCATCGATAGGGTATTTCAACAAAGCAGGGATAATGATATCGTAAGTAGGTAATTGACTACGAACATATCCAAGTATTAATAATTCGGTTACTCCTGCAAAGTTTTTCTTTCTATACGTAATTAGTATTTACTTGTAAACATATTTCAGGGTGTCCACTGCATGTGCCAGCAACTTTTCTTTTTCAGCGGTTGACATCTTCTTATTTCCTAAGGAAGTATATTGGCAACATATGTTTAAATTAAAGGAAGCCCTCATATCCGTTAGGATAATAAGATATGATCCTTACCAGGTTTACTGAGAACTACAGCTTGCGCTAAGGCGGAGAGTATTGTTTGTTCAGAAAATCCGACACGCAGCCTGCCTTCCAAGTGACGTATAATGTACTTCGCTTCTTCATCTTGACATGCAACTAATAAACTCTTGATCTTGCCGACCTTTTTCGATTGTGCCTATTTACAATGATTCAGTATTTTCTTTCATTTACTGCGGTAGGTTGCTCAAATACATTACAGCATTGCCTTGTATAAGGGCAATCTCTTTCAATGTTCGAAATACATGCAGGACAGTCAATGGCTTCGGTTTGAAGAGCGTTTTTTGTGACCCTTTACTATGCTAGTAAAAGTAAAGCAACTGTAATTAATTCTCGAGTTCTCGAATAATTGTTTGTTATTATTGTGAATATGGAGATTACAAACCTTTGCTACAGTACCCAGATCACCGTAAGTCTTGTAGTCTGATTTTATTTGATTCACATTTCTTCCTGTGGTTTCTGCTATTGACTTCATCAATAAAGACTCTCCAATGCCTAGTTCCAGGCCTTCAAAATCAGGACAGATCTATTGTGCGATATATGACATGCTGAAAATGAGTTTCTGCATACAGTATATGATAACACTTGTTCGTTTTCTTTGAATGCAAACCTTATTGATACAAAGATATAGCAATTCTAATAAACTATGTGGAGACAGTTCAATCACCTTGAGAAACAATTTTACAAGATTTTCAGTTATTTCCAATCGCTTGGTCGTGCTCTCACATTTTTGAAATGTTCTACATAACACAGCGTATGGTACACTATCATCTCGATTTAGTGGCTGAGTGTTATTCCATTGAGATCATTTTCTAGTTTATAACTTACGGTTGACCTTGCTTCCAAGAGATATCCTTTTCAGCGTTAGGGTTTACAGCAGCACTGTTCGCACAAAAAAGAAATTAGTCCTTGCTTCCACAATAAGCTTTATTTTTTTAGCACTTATTTGTAGTCCATACATGGTATGAATGATCTTTGTCATTTCGACTTTTTCTTTTTTAGCTTCTTTTTCTTCCACAGCTGCAATTTCAATCTCTTTATCGAAAGCTTCATCCTTTTCTTCTTTACTGATTGCACCGTCAAGATCCATTTTTTCTTCAGGAATGATCTTTCCATCATCATCCCTCTGTGTTTTTTTTCTCTTATTTTCGTGTACTGTTGTATCATCTTCTTGATCCGACCCTTCATCAGTATCCGATAAAATGATTCGCCTTCTCTTATTCTTGTCTATATGTTTGCGAGACACTATTCAATAAACTGTCCAAACCGAAGCCATATTGCTTCTGTTTTGCATACCTTCATCCACAATAGCCAAGGCGCTCTCTTTTGTTGACTTTTCGGTCGGATCAATTGAGTAACTAGTTATTGTATCAGTCATGTCGCTTTTTTGTGAATTTTCTTCAGAATGTGTCGTAACATCACTTCGATCGTTCGACCGATCTGGATCTTGATCGACATTCTGCTTCAAATGTGCTGGTTTGCTGGCACTGTTACTGCCGAACATAAATCTACAGTAACATACAAAAAATAAACTGTCAAAAAAACTGAACACATCGCTATCGTAGGCTCTATCCTTACTGTAAGGTTGTTTGTTTTTTCACAGTTTTCTTTTGACTGGCCATAGGGTTGTCTTGATTATCAGAAGGGCAAAAATTAAAAAGCAAATGGACACGAAAAGTTTATGCTGTCTGAAACTCCCCGCGTCGCGCCAAGTTTATTTTCTTGATTTCGCACTTTGCATAATTTGCATTAGCACTAAGAAATACTATACTTTTCTTTTCATTATTACATGCAATTTCATCTGGTATTTCCATTAAATGTATAAAAGCCAAGGCATTTTAGAGTCATGAATATTCTTATAGCAAGTCTGCCCAAAATAATTTCAGGAAGAAGGAAATTTCATAATATTGTTAAATAATTTTAATTTAATAGATGAAAGGAATAATTCTATATTTGACGATAGAGCAATAACGGTTCCAGTCATCTCCATACTTGTTACGGCATTTATCGTCATCGCGACGTTCACGATGAATCAATAAGATTGCAAAGTAAATACTGTAGAAATAGGGAATCCAGGAATTGAAACCACAAGGTAGACACCAAGCAACCGACATTAACCAATCACCAAAATAATTGATATGTCTAGCCTTACCCCACCATCCAGATGTAAGTAGACGTGTACCAGCTCTTGTTTGAATAGATTGGAGACCTGCAACACTTGGATCGTTGGGATTTTTACGGAAAGTGTCCTTTTGAGAATTGGCTGATCTGAAAATCCAATAACCAATGAGTTGAAGCACAACAATGGCAACCAAATAAGGTGTACTTAAATCGACAGGGTGATCGGCGAGATAGCGTGCTTGTAAACTGTACATCATAGGAACCCAACATAAGTTACCAAACGCTAGCATAAAACCAAAACCATCGGTGGTAATGTCCATTGTTGTCAATATACTAGCCTCATTCAGTAAAGCGTCAAAAATATACCAAGCTTGGAACACATTCACCAAGACCATCGAATAAGTAAGCCTTCCCAGTTCAACCCATTGACAGATAGCAAAAGTGATATTTAAGCATAGCCACATAATCAACCCTGGGCGTAATTCACAGAAAAATTTGATATCAAAGTTACCAATACGTGGATTGAGTTCGCGTCCAATCATAAACTGCAAGGAATAACGTATATTAAGTATAGCATTATTGTTAATGAAAGGTGTAATGTTACTTACATCGTAAATAAAATTGCCTGTGTTTCCCCCTATAGCTAACATTTTTTTACCAATGAAACTGCGTGCATAAACAAAAACTGAAACAAGGAAAGAGAAGAAGATAGAGAAGAGAGCAATATCTCCAAAATGTCTTCTAACCCACAAGAACAAAAACCATCCTTGGCCACGTAGTGACATAATTGCCATGAATGCGAATGTTTGAAGAACAGCGATTGCTAGGAAGGAAGAAACAAAGTGATTGATCGTTAATAATTAAGTCTTTATGGTGTTCTACTCCTCATCTATCCTCTTACCATTTATTTTATACTTTAGGCGTGAGCCATCACGAAGAGGAACACCCTCCACTTTTTCTCCTGGCATAGCAATACTGTAGACAGCTAATTGAGTGACAATTCCTAAATAGAATAAAGCTGCCCCCCAATGCCACTTCTTCAAGTAGTCAATGATTTGTTCCATATTAAATCCAATAACAAAATTAGAGTAAAATCGTTGGAAAGGATTGTATCCACCGATTCTGTCACAACCGTAAGCAAACATAAGTACAAGAATAGGTAAACAGATTATCATAGCTAATGCTCCTAAAACACCACCAAACCTGTCATACCCAAGTGTAAGCTTGTAAGTATATGTTTGACAGTTTACAGAACAATCTTTGATTGGATTCAATCTCACTCTTTGTGTGTTGTTTTAGGATTTTCGAAAGTAGTTTGCCTACCGTTGCTAGTGGCAGTACTAGTTGGTCTACTTGCTCGAGCATTCCGGGTGGTTCGCTTGGTGGACATGAGCGCTTTCGCTTTCGCTTCTTTCTGCTCTTTCTTTTGGGCAGCGCGGCGAGCAGCTCTATTGGGCGGTAGTTCGTTACTTGTGGGCTGATCAACAGCAGGATCTTCCTTTTCCTGAATCTTTCCAGATCGCGTCTGCACGGTCATTACAATATAAACTTTGACTAAAACGGACGAAAAGAAAAAAGAATGTGTTACTTGACAGCACAGCGGACGACGAATATCATATTTTATTTTCCGCTATATGTTTCTACTCGTGGTGGAGACGAGTAAAAAAATCGGAATTGTTTGAATTCCAAAACAAATTTACGAGCCGCACCTACAATTTTCTGTAAAAATGGAACCAGTTTTGTGGTGGCAATTGGTAGGATGCTGTTAAGCAGTCGATGCGGGTGTTTCTCGAAAGCAAAAAGCAACGCCAGGGAACAATACTTATCCCTGGATATTCCTAAGTGCTCAAAAATTCAGATTGATTTCAAAAAACATGTAAGCAATATGATAGCAACTGATGAGTTTAAGGGAAGAGGAGGGTTTTTGATCAAAAGCCATTTGCTGCAAAACAAGCAGCTGGTAACAGAAAAAACCAGGTAGAACATCATTTCGGATGACCCCTATGGTCTTGACACACAGATTCCCCACATGGACAGAGTTGCCGGCCCGTGGTGTTGCGGAAGGTAAAGCCAAAGATACTTCTCGATCTATTGAGTCTAGAGGACATCGATGTGCTTATCGTCCATCATACTCACCTGAACTCAATCCTAATGAACAGTTTTGATCTGTTCTCAAGAGTAAAGTTAAAACGCAACAGGTTCTTGGAAAGCGAGACGTTGGTGACACGAATCAACAAGGCATCAAAATGTTTGGAATTGAGTGATTTTGAAGGATTTGTTTCTCATTCTCATTAATGTTTAGATAGCTGTAGCAACGGAGAGCCATTTTGATATGATGTTCAGTTTCCTTGTACGATTTATAATAACAGCAAAAACACACCCAAAAAAAACAAAAGTCGAACATCGCAGGTGTACAAAGAAAGTTGAGGCAATCGAGCAGGAATTGAAGACGAGAGGTGTCGTCTAACATCAACACTGGGACCAATATTATGTTATGGTGATATCGTTTAATGATAATATGAGTACTATTGAGTGGACAAATCATTGCTCAATTAGCAATGATGGGGTGCGCTGGGAATCTTTCTGCGTTCTGATATTTTTTTGCCAATTTGGGATTGTTGTATTTGCTTAATTGAAATTGATAACGGTTATAAGTCGATGACTATGAACTTAGTTCTCTTTATTATTCTTCAGATGAAGTAGAAGGATTATTTATTCTGTGAGGTTTAATGGGAATTATATTATTTGAGGACGCGTATGTTAGTCACTAATTTCAGGTTCAGATGCTTATTGTGTGATTATTATACTTAGGCCTGTATCTCATTATATGTTGTGCTGTACATAACCTATATTAGATACAATATAGATAGACCGTGGTAGAATATATTCTCTACCTGGTTGTACGTACTTGAGTATTGTAGTTATTAACTCACCAAACACGTCAGCCATTGACTAATGTCGCTTACACTGAAGGAGTCAGGCATCTTGCTCTTTCAAAATCACTGTGGAAAATATGAATTCTCTCCATATTTTCTGCAGATTGTGTATGATGTACTTGTCATTTATAAACCTTACCAATCTTTTTTTGCGATAACTTCGCTTACTTCTCTCGCTTCACCTTCTTCTTCTTTCTGCATTTAGAAAAATCATTCTGTCGCTATTCTTCTTTGGCCATTTGCCTCGATTCTGCCACCGGTTTGATTTTTTTGCAAAATTTTGGTTTTGCACATGGATAAGTAATAGATAACAGGAGGAGGAAAGAAAGTATAGAAGAAAGGACAACAACCGTTATTCAAGTGGCGGAAGAACGCGTTTGGGATCAGTTATTGCCTAGATCAATTCATTTGACCTTTATTTTATTTTATTTTTTGCGGGAAGAACCAATAATGAAGTCTCATAAACCAAAACCCTGTGTCTATTGCTAAAAAATCTGTACCCCGCTAAAATATTCAGTACGTCTTATAGTACCTTAGACGTAGTGTCGCTATCGATTGAAAAGTATCTTCTAACTGCAAAATAATGTCTTCATTCAAAGAGTAAAGACTAGTATTATATCAATTTTAAATTATTCCGGCTATAATCTCGAATTATCGTGTTCTTTTAATTACATGTCATCAATATTGATTTTATCAAAAGCTTTTGTGGCTGGATAACTAAAGGAGCATGATTACGTTATGAATAAATAATTTGCAAACAGGAACACCCGACCACATATTCAATTTCAGGAACAACCTTAAAAGGACAAGTACACCAGGATTAATATGCTTTTGACTGAGCACGTCATACTTTAACTACAAATGAGTATGTCCAGTCAAAAAAAGAAATCGTCGGTACAGCCAAAGCCAACGAAAGCCTCTTTATTGCGTTTACAAGCGAAACAGCAACATGAGCTACCTTCATCCCTCGCTCCGGCAATGACAAAAACGACATCTTCACAGATGAGGAAAGGGTTGCAATCGCAACAAAGCTCTTCAACATCTACTACATCTCCTTATACTTCGGCAGGACCTTCTGCTGGTCTAAAGGCTTTTATGGCAAAACAAAGAGCTCGTATGGCGAACGATAAATCCAAGGCATCAGAAATCAATACAGAAGACAATCATTGGCAGCCGATAAGTGCTAAAAACTATTCTAACCAGGATAGTAGTAGGCCTGCAGTAGAAGCAGATTCATTGCATTCGCAACGAAAATTAGCAGTAATAATAAAGCAAGCCAAGGCCTCTGGTAGATTGGATATTGCAAGCCGATCATTAACTAGAATACCGAAAGAAGTAATTGAAATGTACTTATAGTAGCTGTACATGTATTAGCTCGTTGTAGATAACTTTTACTAACGTTTTAAATCATACAGGTATCATGTGGACCCTAACGCTATTGTCATTGACTTCAATGCCTCCAATGATGCCTGGTATGACATGAATGAACTGATAAAGTTCAATGCAAGTAATAATCAAATAACAGCAATAGATGAAAGAATTGCTGATGAATTCAATGCTTTGAGGTATATGGATGTACGTACTTTTTTTTTTCTAACGAGTGGATGAGAAAAATATAATCACAAACAATGAATCTTTTTGGTCTATATTTAACAGTTTCGCGACAATCGACTCACTTCACTTCCTGAAAGATTTGAGAAGCTTCAAAATCTTACAGCACTTTTTCTTCAATATAATCAATTTAAAGAGTTTCCTCGCATTTTATTCAAACTTCGACAACTCAAAGAATTGAATCTTTCCAACAACGAAATAGAAGGTGATGTTAAAGTGGAGAATATTCAGCTAGAGCAACTTGATCTTAGTCACAATAAAATTAGCTATTTTGATATGGCAGAAGATAGTTGTAGTAGCTTGGTCAAACTCAATCTCAGCGATAATCGACTTAAACAGTTACCGTCTATACATATAATGAAGCATTGGTTGAAATTGCAGGAGCTTTTAGTCAGTCAAAATAAATTGAGAAACCTTATATCAGGTAGGGAATAAATATGCTAGTCTTTGATATAACAACTAGCATTAATTGGTTGGCACCTTAGTCGCGAAGAATGAAACGCTTGATTTACCGTCACTCGTTCGGCTCGATGCAGGCAATAACGTAATATCTAAGGTCATTTCCAAGGACGAAGAAAGTGTAATGGTAAATGAAGAAATCAAGGTGGTCATGCTACCCAAACTTCTGGAACTTACGCTCAGTACCAATAACATCAATGAGTCAGACGAAGGTCTCAGGATATTATTCACCGGTGCCCCAGTTATTCAGATTTTAGATTTGTCATCGAATCAATTTGGAATGATCCCAGATATAATCATTGATAAATTAGAACATTTGGAACGTTTGGATATACGAGGAAATCAGTTACGCACCCTTCCTTATGGTCTAGGAAAATTGTTAAATTTAAAGGTTATTCATTGTGAGAGAAATCCTATGCGTTCGTATTCATACATGAGCCAAACGCAACTTATTGAATCTCTAAGATGTAACTACCAAAAGCAAGTTGAAAAACTTGAAGAAGATCAGCAACAACAACAACAACAGCAGCAGCAGCAGCAACAACAACAACAACAACAACAACAGAAGCAGCAACAAGAGCACAATCAAGAACAGAAAGAATCATGCCTACAAGAAGCTACCGTTAATGTTCGAACGAGGAAGCCAAATGATGGTGAAGACAATGTAGAGCGCTCCTTATTAGCATCTGTCCCGGTCAACCCGATTAGAAGATTGGACTTTTCTCGTAAAGAGTTATCGGATATTTCTGACAACTTATTACAGTTTACCTATGACCAAATACCCGGAATTATACAGCTAGGTTGGTACAAGAATTTGAAAAATCATTTGTATGATTGTAAGCCCATTTTCTCACCAGCTGTTATTTCTACATAATTTGACAGATCATAATACCCTCACTGCATTCCCCTTGAATTTCAATAACATATCCGATTTCATTGTTGAGCTTAATCTTGAGCACAATCGAATCACTCAGTTCAGTTTAACAATGAAGGGCCTCAGCTTTGCTAATCTCAAAAAAATCAAGCTGAATAATAACCGTCTGAAAAGTTTGGATAGCAATGATACTATAGCTATTTCCTTTCCAAAGCTTTCAGAGCTAGATCTTAGTTTCAACTCTCTTACTTCGCTTCCAGAGAACCTTTCAGGAATGCTACCCTGTCTTAGATCGCTCCATATCAGCTCCAATAAGCTGGATAACCTTACTGGGAAGCATTTTGATGCGTTCAAAACCCTTGAGGTGTTGAACCTCAGCAACAATGACATAGGATATCTCCCACCAGAGTTGTCAACTATTCCTAACCTGAAAGAATTAATAGTATATGGAAATAGGTATGTGCAATCGTTAACTCCACAAATATTTATTATCACACTGACTTTTCTTTAATATTGAAATTGTAAACAAAGATTCAGAGTTCCTCGCCCTGCGGTTGTGGATCAAGGAACACAAGCAGTACTGGATTTTTTGAAAAGGCGTTATTTGGCCTCTTTGAATAACAACGATACTGTGTAGCTGTAAAATGAAAATATTACAAAAGTAGTATGTATAGAATATCTGTTACTCGCACCAACTATACATATAATAAAAGATGTAATAACTCTGATAGTTTAGCAACCGAGATAAAACCCACGCTCATTACTGTAGACTAATGCAACGTTTGTTTCCTAATTCTAAAAAGTATATACATCTTGCAGTTTTACGTTGGCTTTTCCTGGTTTTTTTTTTTTTTGTCTTTTTTTTTTCGCTTCTTCTCTTTCAAGATTCATTTATGGCTCACCTACTAGGCCTTTCTCGTTTTAATTGTTTTTCAGTAAGATGTGCTTTGCCCCGTACACGTTGTAGTGTAAAACTTCTTGAGGGTTTGTCTAGTGGTCCAGCCTTTCTTTCCCTACGTTGTTCCAGAGGGTTCCTAATCTGGTCATATTTTTGGACAAGGGTACAGTTTTAAATATACGGATGTAAGAAAATTTGACGCTACCATTTCTTTTGTAATGCTCCCTCATAGCGAGAGCAATTGTCAGTATATTGCCCTACAGTAGCTCATTTAGAATTCAGGTCTTGAAAAGGACCCTGAACCTCTACTTATTTGGAACCGTATATTGCACTTACGGGAGTGATCCCGCAAGCTCGTACTTTAGTACGATAGACGTTATCGGACTATGACTAGCAGCTACTAGAGTCTAGATGGTATATATGTTTTGGATTGGCACTATAATTGTCGAATTGTTGCGTTCTCTTTGTGGGATCGTATGCATCTTGGAAATTTGGCCAGTGACCACAAAAATAGCCTGTCCGGCGTTGGTGTAGTTCTCTGCGTAGGTCACCCACCTTCTTAGCAAAGGAGGGATGGGATACTTTGATCCATTGCTCAGATTTTTCTGAAGCTTCGAAGCCGTATTGCTAAAGCGAATGGAAAAAATGGATCATTGTCTTACTTCTGTCGTAGTAGCTTCAGCCAAAGGGATGGGAGCCTAAAGTTATTTTTTCTGGGGACACATAACTTTCTACTTTCTCACAGTTGGCCCTATTAGTGGTTAATGTTATTTGCGCAATTGATGGAGCTAAAAGGAAAATCTTCATCTTTTAGCCATTTTTCTACTTCTACTTTTTTACTGTCATATCCATTGAAATTAAAAGCTTGTTAAAATGCAAAATTTCTTCCCTCCATTTTTGCACAATCTTCAATGTGAATTTCATGCTTTTGTTGAAATAACAACTACAATACTCGACCACGTACAGCCACGTAGAAAATACATTCTACTACAGTCCGTTCATATTGCATTTAATACACATCATGTAAATAAGTAACGAGATAAAGGTCTAAGTATAAATAATAACATATAATGCGACTGAACTTGAAATCTCTCGAGTATCCCCACTAGATTTTACATAGTAATGATATCGCCACTTCATCTGAAGAGTAATCGAGGCATTAGAGTCTTATTTATCGATTTCACGAATATTAATGTAAATAACCCTAAAAAATAAACCAGAGTTTCATCAAATTAAAATGCATTATTTTTTCTACGGTTTTTTCATAACCATATTTATTTGAAGATTTTTTGATTGAATAGGCTAGCTGCATTATATATAGAGCTTGAAATCCATATATTCAGTAAAATTTGCGAAGTATAGTGACACGTATTCCTAAATGACAGTGTTGCTGAAGCTCTGATAGTGAGCTAATGCTCTCCTACCATTAAGGGCCCTGAAAAGTGACCATTCAGTTCTTTTCGTAAATGCAAATATTCTTCTCCCCCAAAGCTATTATAATACAAATGTTCATAAGTTTCACCGCCAAAAAAGGAACATAAGAAAAGATTCGATGGAATACTCAACACATTACCTTTCCCATAAGAAATTGGTGAGCAAATGATACACATTCTGGTTAGCATTATGATATGAAATTCTGTGATTGCTATCTGTGAAAAAGTGTACTTGGAAGTTGTGAATGTTGGCCTGCGTTAATTTATCTACCAAAACAGCTGTGTTTTGAAAATGTACATTATCATCACCAGTACCGTGAATCACAAGGTAACGAGCATTCTCAAATCCTGTCATATTGTTGACGGCACTTTGAGCATAACCCTGAGGATTAAGTTCGGGTGTAGACATATATCTTTCAGTGTAAATTGAATCTACAAAGATTTATCAGAACGAAAGAATGCAAATCAATATGAGAGGAATCATGTGGCCGAGTCAGTCAGATCATTTTGAAGTTAATACCATAAAAACGCCAGTCAGTAACGGGTGCAACAGCCAATCCTGCGGCAAAGAGTCCACTATTCGCTTCTATTACTTTGGTAGCCATGTATCCCCCGTATGACTATAGTGATAAGCATTTGAGTGATCGGATACTTCATTTAGCAAGCATCACAAAACTGTTTTCGTTATTTACCCAACCCCAAATAGCAATTCGTGCAGGATCAACATACTCTAACATTGACCAGTGTCTATTGCATGTTTATCATTTTACGTTAGCAATTCATATTTTTCAATTTCTCGCTTATCAGTATTCCCAATACCTTGCGGCATTGATTTGATCAATTGTTTCCAATTCACCTAATCTGCCTCTAACATTTGAACGATAGCCTCGTCCTCGGAATCCTGTCCCTCTCCCATCCACCTACAAATAAGCCTTTTGAGTTTCTCTTTTGAAAATTATATTATACTGGTATGATGCTTTTCTTACAGTGACAATAATATATCCTAGTTTGCTTGCTAAAAATGTACTCCAGGATAATTCGAATCTGTAGGAGGCCAACTGTGACCCTGGTCCACCATAAACATGGAATAAAACTGGATATTTCTTGGTGACATCGAAATCTGGTGGTACTATTTCCATGGCTTCCATTTCTATGCCTCCACTTTTTACAGGCACCATTCTAGCGCGTGGTAAATCGAAATCTTCCAATAACGACCTAAGATTTTCGTTTCCCTCCAGTTTAAATGCAAATGTGCTATTGTCAACCTTCTTAACTACTGTATACGGAACATCTGGTCCTTGATACTGTAATATATAGTATGTCAGTTTCGGTGAAAACGACGTGATTTCATAGTAGCCGTGACTCTCTGGATCATCCGGACAGGTGAGACATTTTTTATTCTTTTTCAATAGCTTTTTGTTCGTTTTCCTGCTGCTGTTACTGCTAAAATCAATAACATAAAGATGGCGTTCTAGTGGAGACCGCTCGGTAGACGTATAATGGACAAGCTGCTTTTCATTGTCTACTGTTACTGTTCCCGGGATCACTTCCCATTTTCCAAATGTGATCCATTGAGGGCTTTGCTTCTTATCTGAGGTAGCCGTCAATATAGCTAAATGCATGAAGCCGGACCCGTCATCAATAATATCTAGGTATCTTACATGGCTACTAGATGACGTATCATCATCATCATTGCTACGATTAATGTAAACCATGGTTTGTGAAGAATCTATCCAACCTCCATCTGTTGGGCTGTACGTTCGAATAGTCTCGACAACTGTATTACTGATTGGCTCACCGAGGATAACAAGATTTGTATACTCGACAGTCTGGATACGATTTGTTTGTTTGAATAAGAGATGGCTATGTGTCTCGGTTGCCCATATGATATCTGTAATAATTCTGTCAGATTCTCTTAGATGAGAATAAGAATCTTTTGAAAATGTTGCTGAAAACGTAGAATTACTGGTATGTAATGATGATTGCAGTATCTCCTCATTCTTGGTAACTGAAACTGTGGTATTGGATGTGAGTGAGTAAATCAAAAGAGAAACTATAGGGTTTGGTGCGCCAGCCTAAATAAATTTATACGTCAGCAATACATCGCAGGATATACCGCATATTTCTTATCATACCTTGGGGTATTTGATTGGTAATTGGATGGGATAACTATCGTTCAATACCGTGTATAGGGGTATGTCATAGACTGGTACATGTGTCTCATTGTATCTGATGAACGCTATGTGCGAAGAATCAGGAGCCCACCATAAAGTATTGTCACTGGCGAACACTTCTTCCTCGTAAACCCAGTCTGGTATGCCATTAAAAATAGTACTAGAACCATCAAAGGTTACTTGCGTTGTTGCTTTGGTACCAACATTGGTGATAAATAAATTATTATCTTGAACATATGCTAATTTATGGCCAGTGGGACTCCAAGCGGCATATGCTACAGAAGGTACAAAATTGACCGTTGTATTTTCGTTCAAAGGGTATAGAGACTTATCTGCAAATTTATAAATGTATATGTTAAAACGTGTTGAGTACCTCCATAGCTACAAATAGGTTATCGGTTTAAACAGGTTAGTAACCTACAAAGAGTATTTCATCTATTTTTCAAACCCACCTTTGTGACATTGGTTTTTATGAATAAGAATTCTCCATCTTCTGAGATTTCGAATGAGTCGACAGTCAGAAGGTTTCCACCTATTGTCTACATTGATATTGATATAATTTAGTTATATAGCTCATGTATAAGATATCAAGAGCGTACTCACCAAATCACTTGCTTTTACAAAGAGTTCTGATTTTCCGGTTTCTACAGATTTTAATAGAATGTCCTTGGTCTCAGGATCTGTATAACTGAAAATACCATCTCTAGGATCTTAAATCAAGAACGAGCACTAATGCATTAATACCGAGCTTTCCATGATATAAACGTAATATATAGTTTTACCATTTTTCACCCATACAAGTTCTGGTCGTTTAACGAAAAAGGATTTATTGTACAAATCTGGCAGGTCAATGTGTCTGTTGCCGGTCTTGCTGTTATCTGCTTTCTTGAAACCACCTTCGACGGCTAATAAGTCAAAAAGCAATGAGTTAAACAATGACGTGAGTCTTTTCATAGATACTGCTTATTGTCAACATTTACCTGGCCCTAGCCTGTTCATAATTATAGTCCATAATAGCCAAATTATCAAAATCATGCCAAGAAATCCAAAACATAAACATTTTCTTCCGTTTGCATAAGATAAGTAGAGCTAGAGCAAGGTTTAAGTGCGGTTAATTTCACTTCCTCCGTTTTTAAAGTCTTTGTATATTTACATTCAATTTCTGCATTTTTATCATTTCTTTCGATTTATTTTTGCTGCCCCTTTCAAGCAGATCAGCATTACTATCATAATAGTTTGACTCCGCTTGTAGCTGATTTGAAGAGGGCATTACAAAAGGGGTAACTTCATCATCATCTTCCTCTGCTGTTATTATTGTTGCTTCGTCTTGATAGTTTGTATCAGGACCCTTGATATCTATAATATTATTCTTATTGTGCATAATATGAGTACTTTCACTGCTAAAGCTGCTATCGTCGTCGCTGTTTTCGGTCAATGAGTCGTCGTCACTTAAATTATGTCTACTATCCATAACATTCAGCAAAGAGTCGAGATCAACAATGTGTGACATTTCAGTTGAATCAGACGGATGCGATTTAGGTTGTTGTTTAATGAATAAGTTTCGAAAAGTAAATTGTGAGCGATAAAGAGTTAGTCTCGGCATTACAATTACAAGAAAGCACAAAGAGAGTGATTGAGAAAGTGGGTTTTGACTTTCACAAAAAGTTAAATACCTTTTTTACGACCTTTTTATTGGCCACTAATCCGGATTAAAGCAAGGCGTATAAAAAATTAAGTGTGGTTTAAACAAAAAAAAGAAGAAAGAAACAGTTGATTAGGAAGGAAAAAACGAAAATGAGGTACCTTGAACAAGCCAAAGATCAAGGAGAGAAAGCGAACTTCTTTCTTTTTGAATCTAATTTAACGATCCGCTCTTGACAGCTTCGCTGCAGTACATATATATGCGCATGAGGCAGCTGCTTTGTTTATACACACATTCTACCATAACAATTATACAAAATTCAAATTGTTTCATCTGCTAAACTTGTTTTTATTCTGAACGTTTAACGAAAAGCAGATATATTCAATATAGAACAAGAGACAAGGTTTTAAGGTACCATGTCAGTGTGATTCTCCCTGAATTCAACCATAATACTGTACACTGTCTCACTTAGTTCGACGATCCTAAAAATGTTCATTTTTTCCATCTGCAAACTCTCTAAATCAAAGAATTGAGTATTGCTAGAAGAACCTGGGTCCCTTCTACCAGTCGTATAACTATTGTAGTGTGCATTCAAGTTAAATCAGCCGCTGGGTGATTCTTTTATAGCAGTTAAATTAGTAGTAAGAGTGTAATTTCACTTGGATGCATCCAGCTATTCTCTTATTGTTTTCTGACTTCATACTGAACGTTTCTATATCTAAACCATGCAGTAAATCCCAATCCATCAGTTACTTATTCTAGAAACATAAGCTTTTTTAAAGATACTCTTTACCATTATGTATACCAATTTTACGATCGTGTATAATTGTCACTAAAGATACCACATCAACTACTGCATTGTCCATACCAACCACTGTAATGGTATCGAATTTGCGTAATGATTTTTCAATCTATAATCTAAAATGTTAATGCAACAATTCGTGTGTATTAGGGTAAACTTGGATTCGAACTCACCCATCTGATATACCTCTCATAACCGTGTTCAAATCGGTGTCCATCATTTGTTACGGCGCTGATGGAGGTACAGCTACTCCCTAAATTACTATTCCTTGTACTTGTTGCCGCAATTCGATGTATAGGATCAATAGCAGCTTCAATTGTTATGAACTTTGTTTCTTCAGAAAACTGATCGGTTAACGGTGTGATTGTGACTGATGTAGTATTTTGCTGCGAAGATTTTCGTCGTGAATGTTGTTGTTTTTTTAACGATGGAGATACTGTTTGAGTCTGTTGTGATTCACTCTTTTTGTTTGACTTTTTGTTTAGTGTGGTTGAGGAGAGAACTATCGGCTTCTTTTTTTTCGCTTTCAGATCATTGTTACTTTGAGAAGACTCAGTTTCCTTAGTAATTGTTGCAGTCCTACTGCTCTTTTGCTTATCCTGCTGTTTTTGGCGTTGTCGTTGCTCGTCAGACTGTTGTTTGGATGTTGAGCTTGTTGTTATAGCGGTTTCTGTGGGCTGTGTCTGGAAAGAAGGTAATGGTTTGAATTCATGAGCGAAGGGATTAAGCATAGTATCATCTGTCAAAGATTGTGAAGAATTGAAGAAGTTCGCATTAATTTTGTCGGGCTTGCCGGCTGGGTTAATTGCAAAAAATGGGAATTTCTCAGTTGCTTGCGAACAAATCCTGTCATTTTGATAAGAAGTATACTTGTCTTCTTTTTTTTTTTGTTTTTAATTCACGAACTTTATTAGAAGTAACTGGAAAAGAATTAGAGATGATATATGGCAATAAAAGAAATAAAAAAGGCATAAACTCTAAAACTACTGAAAAAAAAACCATTAAATGTATACTATGAGCGCGTACGGAGTGTTCTGAAGCGAACCTCGTCTTGGTAGACAGTACGAACTCCTGCTAGGGACCAAGAGATGCGGTCAAAATGGCAACGCCAATGATATTTCCAAATACGCAAAAGTACCATACTAACCTGGACGATACTTGTCTTCTTTTCGCTTGGCCTTCGCACAAGATAATTAATAAACTGAGACAATTTTATAATTTAAATTTAGACATACTAAAAAATAATTTTGGATGACAAGCTTAGTTTTTGGAGTTATTACTTGTCTGTTAAAATGCTCAATGCCAAATGTTTCATCCCATATCCGTACTTTGTGAAGCCCACAATATTATTTCCTGAGCCTGTTTCTTCGTTGCTTTTGCAATAAGCGGCTGCTCTTGATTAGTTACCAATAACAGATTGTCGTTGTCCTTTAAATGTTCACCCCTCTGTGATGTGCGACTAATTTATTATATTTTCAGTGAAATAACCTGCAAAAAAAAAAAAAAAAAAAAAAGAAAAGTTCAGAAGCTAAATATTCTTCAATGTAGTATGTATTTGCCCGCACTAACGAAAGCTGTTGAAATAAGGATGATTTTTGGCAGTGAAAGAATTGCCATTAGTTTCAAGCATGTGTAACAATTGAATATCGGTATAACTGATTTCGTCACCCATCAATAAGGCTCTTTATTCGTCTGGGCTTCCAAACGCATTCCCATTGCGAAAGGTAGTCAGGCAAAGCTGTTCCTTTGTAAGCCTTCACATCACCTCCCTTAAAAAGAGCAGTAGTCCGTTCGTTAGTTCAATCCAAAATGCTATCAGGCATCAATCAGTTAGCTTTCGTCATCTTTGTTTCCTTCATATTGGCCAACTTTACGAGAGATGTATCTCACCATGGATGCTGTCTTAGTCACATATATTACATTGACGTACATAAATGTGTGAAAAGGGTTCAAGGCTCCTTTTGGAAAGCAATTTATTCCTCCATTTTGGCCATTCTTCAATAGATATTCTGATATTCTTGAAAGCCATTCGAGCATCGGCAGGAGTAAACATAAAGGTTCACCGCGCCCGAACACGCACGGATTTACTTTGTGCCAGTAGCATATTTTTGTCAATATGTATTCTATGTCTAACAAGCGGAATAAATACTTATAAGCCTGAACAGGAGGTTGAATATAGTGAAGTTCAATCTCACCAAGTTGTTGCACCATTTCTGAGTGAAATAGAAAAGAGTTGAATACTGAAAAGGGACATTAACTTTTTTTTTTTTTCCCCAGTTCTCAGAAGACTACAAAAAATAGCACTCGGTGCTTAAGTCATTTCTAAATCAAAATTCTATCGAAGCAGCGAAGGCGATATACGCAATTGGGATTGTCTTAGAAGGAAGGAGCCTCGAGTGAGTAATCGATTTATGCTTTCGAAATAGTCTCATATTCAAACATAGAATCTTAACATTTGAAGATAGAAATCATTTAGAGAGTTAACTTACAAATAGTAATCAGTCTTTATTATGTAGATCTTGGAATATACGCGCCCTTGCTTCTTCATAAGCTGCTTGTCTTTCTTCGTAAGTCATATTCTTTCTATCTAGTTTCGGTTTGTTATCATTATTGACACTTTCACTGCCACTATCTACATTTGATAATGATGTACGAGGACTATTTGTTCCGGTCTCACGACGCATGATTTTGAATTGAGGCGATTGATTCCTGCTGTTAGTGTTGGTGCTGGTATTAGTATCACTTCCGTCGCCATTTGGTGTACTGGTCCCTGTATTTTCCCCATAATTATCGCCGGTTGTTTCGTCTTTTAACTGAACATCTTGTAAACGAACAGAAGGCCTGAATAATTCCAAGAAAAAAAAATCAACATAAACAAAACAATAAAAAGCACAAACTTCGTTATTGGCTGGAGCTTACATTTCTGTCAAGTTGGTTTTACAAACGTACACTCCCTTTCGCATAGCATCATGATAATGATTTAGTTTATAATAAGGCGCTAACTTATGGACCATAAGACGCTGGTAAGAGTTCATGTTTGGTATGTCGAATCTTAGCCTACTACAAAAATTCGAAAGATTCAGGTCAGTCACACTCCCCTGGCAACCTTGAATAGACTTGAATGTACGTTACGTTTCATCATTAATAAAAGCCTCAAACTGTAACTCTAGTTTCAACAAAAACAGTCTCTCTTGTGGTTTCCTCAGCAAATCCAAGATGAACTCATCTGGTTCAGTTTGAATGACCTCATCATTAAACTGCTGCAAAGTAGGTGGAGGTTGATATACCTGTTGTTGTGCTTGAGGAACTGTGTGCGGTCGATTAACTGGCTGAAAACCAGCAGTGAATGGCGAAGGTCGGAATGAAGCTTGCTGAGCCATCAACAATAATTGTTGTTGCTGTTGCTGCTGGTAATAATTTAGATTATCGGAAAGAGACAGTGGGTTACCGCTATAACCACCACCACCACTGTAATAAGCATTCTGTAAACTATCGGATGGTATATAAGATCTATTACCACTATTATATGCTTGGTAAGGTGCAAATGGAGGTAAGTAAGAATTCTGTTGGGTCATCGTGAACTGATGTTGTGGCGGTTGTCTAGAATATGAAGGCCCAAGTGGCTGTTGCTGTTGTTGTTCTTGTTCTTGTTGTTGTTGTGGTTGTTGTTGTTGTTGCTGGTATTGTTGCTCATCTCGATTACTATACATTGTTGGTAGTAAGAAAGACTAAACTGATAGTTAACAATTAAAACGCGTTTTTTTTTTTTTTTGTCAATTTAATAATCTTTCTGACTGGAACATCGGAGAAGTTCAATAATTACCACTAGTTCACTAAATTAACATAGTCCTAATTCTGTTTATATGCCTTTATGCAGTTTTTCTTCCAAAATATGCTACTTAAATAGAAAATAAAAGAAGAAAAGTCGTACAGCCTTATAAGTGCAAAGACAATAAAAGAAGGAAGAGCCATTCTTCTCAAAGTGTATTGTAGTGTTTATAAGCCACAGTATACACCATGCTTGCATTTGCACTGGTTAAATTAATGCACGCGGGGTTTCTCTGGGAAAAAGATCGAATTGTTCTATTTTTGTTCTTCCTTTTTCCGTTTAGTTTCATCAATTTGACTGGAAGCCATCTTTCTTTCCTTAGTAAAGTTCCCTTTCCACTTTTACATATATACCATAAGAATGCCTGAAGACCTGCAACAAAAGCCTATACAGAGATGGGTGCCACTGGAAGCGAACCCCGAAGTAAGTGTTATCACACAGTTTTTGTAGTCTCGTCTAACATTTCTTTGCCCTTTTTTTTTTGGAAGGTTTGGAATAAGATTATTCATGAACTTGGTGTAGATAGTCGATACAACTATGTAGATGTTTTGGGTAATTAAAAGATATATTAATGGATTGGTATTGCATAGCAATGATTGTTGATACACTTCTCTTGTGACATACACTAGGCTTCGAGCCTGAATTATTAGCTATGCTACCTACTCCTGTAGAGGCCATAATTTTTTTGTTCCCCATAACAGAAGCCTATGAGAAATTTAGCGCAGAAGAAGAAGCACATTTAGCTCGTCATGAGCAGAATATCAGTCCGGACGTGGTTTTCTTCAAGCAAACCATAGGCAACGCGTGTGGTATGATTGCATTATTGCATTCGCTTGCGAACAACGATGATGAAATCATTGGTAAATATGATACCTCAAAGCAAGAATGTTAGGATAAGGAAAGTCAAATTTTTGATGGATTGATTGTTAATAATGTTATAGGCCCTGGATTGTTCAACGATATTATTGAAAAGGCAAAAGACATGTCTGTTGAGGAGCGTGTTGAACTTTTGGAAAATTGCGAGAAGCTTGCTCAAGTTCATGAAACAGCAGCGGGTGAAGGGCAAACTGAGGTAAAAAAAACATAACAAACCTCACATTGTTGTTTATAAAACGATGTAAGTTAGACCTGATAAAATTAATTTGATTTCTCTCTTTCACAGGCACCCGATAAAAACGATTCCATTAATCTTCATTTTGTATGCTTTGTTGAAGTTGATCAGCATCTTTATGAGTTGGATGGTAGGAAACTGTTCCCCATTAACCACGGTAAATGCACAAACTTGGTGGAGGTAAGAGTAGTAGTTATAGCTCGAGTTAAAAATCAACGTAGTAAATTATTAATCACTCCAAATTCTGTCCTCTTAAAGGGCGCCGCCAAGGTTATGAAGCAATTTATGGCTCGAGAGCCTGATGAAAATAACTTTAGTGCCATCGCATTTTGTAAAACGGCTGAATAAGCGTTGACATCTCTCTCCTTTTTGATGAACATTGATAACCACATATACAAAAATTATGATACCGAATGACGAAACGGACAATAGTATGTGTTATTACTATTTGGAATAAAACAGGAAGAGTTGTGAATCATATGATTATTATTGATAGACTATAAACAGATTAGATTAGTGCATACAGTTCGCATTACTATGCTGTCGTACCTCATCAAAACCAAAGGTGCCAGCGAATGGAATAGAATGCCACTCAGTGTAGGTTGGGGTTGTAATGATATTAGGTCCTACTTGATGGTTTCCGATATTGCATATATGTTGTTGTAGTGAGAGATGATTGGAGCATTTGATGTTTGGACACTCAGATATATTGTTATGTCATTCGATGTGCCGGTCCTGTACTACGACAGAAACCTATAGAAAAGGCCTTGTGTTAGGATAATACGAAAAAAACGTATCCTTTAAAAGAAAAAAAAATATCTTTTTGGAAGGCTTTAATTCTGCAGTCTTTTGTTATGGGATGTTTCGAAATGAATTGATAAAACGGCACACATTGACCGAAATGTATTCGCATCTTATCAAATACTCAGATTAGAGTATTTCAAATGTCAGTCAATAAAATTGTGCCTAAAACCGTTTGAATAGAAGTGGAAAGTTTACGTCGAAGTTTGTAATAGATGGTTTTTATCAGATGTAGTTATCGTCACTGAAGAATCGAAATAGATTGGGCCATTCCTGATGTTCCACAAACCGAAACTTTCGCTGTTTCTTATCAGATGTGCAAAAAAAATCTAAGATATTCTCAGCTCCCACTTTCCGTTTTGTCTTGGTTAAACGCCTGGTCTATTGAAGTCTTCACTCTCTTTTAATTTAAAAATACTCTTAGTAAACAGAATAAATTCTCAAGCGATCAAAAGTAACCGAGTAAATATAAGTACACCGCATTTGAAAAACCAATCCATCCATAGCGGTCGTTGCTCCAATTTTGTATAGACTTTAGTGAAATCCCATTCGGAGTCCAGCCTTACTTTTCAACTTTTTGGTTTTCAGTTTATGTCGTAATTGAACAAACCACAAAGAGAAGACTGGTTATGATGAGCAACAACCATAGACATAACAAGAGCACAATACTACGCCCTTTGAAGGCCAAGCCTTTCAATGGTTTTGTATAGCTCATAATAGATGTCTCCGCCCATTCACTACCAAACCCCCACATTCTTATCTAATCTCTATACTTTGGATCTAAAAATTGAGTTCATCTGATAAATAAAGTTCTACAGAAAAAAAATTTTTCCCTCTGTTACATTGTTTTGTTGGATATCAATAAAAAGATAATCAAACTCCCTTTCGAATGGAGAAGTGCCCGTGTCAGTACGTTTTAAAACTTGTCTCTTTTACCGAAAACCGTGTAACTTTTTTTTTCGTTTCTTTTCTCAATATTAAAAGTATATAAAGGCCCCTTGCCGATCTTTTACAGGCAGTTTCTAGGAAAAATTTCAGCTGTCATCTGTCATTATTGAATGTAAGCACAATGCGCTCTAATTTATTAGCCTCAGTCTGTATTATATTACTTCTCATTATTCTTAATACATGCATTGATGCTGTAAGTGATATTTACCTCCAAAAAAAAACCCAATATACTATGTATAGTAATCATTAACTTCTTATTTATAGTTACAAACCGAACGTTTAAATCTACAGCGTAGAGCTGATGAAGACGAGGCACGTCGAGATGTCTCTCCCGATATTCATTCATCACTAACTTCCACTATCACGAGCATAAGCGCAGCGGTATCTTCCGAAATCCCTACCATTACAGCAATAACAGCCTTAGAGCATAAAGGCATCAAAGACAATTTATCGAACGCGAATTTCAATGACCCAGCTACAGCTCCTTCATCTCCTCTGGCTAACGCTGAGCATGACAAAAGACAAATTGGACCCAGTGGACTTGATGCACCCGACGGACCCGGTGGACCTGGTGGACCTGATGGTCCTGGTGGATTTGGTGGACCAGATGGACCCGGCGGTCCTGGTGATCTTGGTGGTCCTGGTGGACCTGATGGTCCTGGTGGATTTGGTGGTCCAGATGGATTTGATGGTCCTGGTGGTCCTGGTGGTCCTGGTGGATTTGATGGTCCTGGTGGTCCTGGTGGTCCTGGTGGTCCTGGTGGATTCGGTGGTCCTGGTGGTCCTGGTGATCTCGGTGGTCCTGGTGGTCCTGGTGGTCCTGGTGGTCCTGGTGGATTCGGTGGTCCTGGTGGTCCTGGTGATCTCGGTGGTCCTGGTGGTCCTGGTGGTCCTGGTGGTCCTGGTGGTCCTGGTGGTCCTGGTGGTCCTGGTGGTCCTGGTGGTCCTGGTGGCCCTGGTGGTCCTGGTGGCCCTGGTGGACGCGGTGGACGCGGTGGACCACCCGGTGGTTTTGTGTTTGTTTTTAAAAGCCCTGAACTTTTACAAGGAGGTACATTATTTTATGTTGGTATCGCTGTGACAACCTTCCTTTGGGCTACAGGGAAAGCTATTGATATCCAAACGGAACGACAAGAAAGATATGCTGAAAGTCACGTCCATAGTATTTAAACATCCAACATCTTTTATCTAACCATACACACCATAGCATATATTTTCCCTACATTGTTTATTGCATTATAACCTACAAAAGCTAGCTAATTCCATTTTTAAGCACCTAATTTTGTACACATACCACTATTCCCTAACTCTTTACTCGCCATCGTTGATGTATCATAATCTTTTTATTTAATCTATTCCATAAAGTATATACCGTTTAATTTGTGGTTTTTTGTCATAACTTCTGTTTGAGAGTTTGGATCATGCATAAAGCAACAGCTAGTCTTAGCTGCTCAATGTGCCTTTTTGGGCTTGCATGCTTGACTGAAATCTTCTGCTTCTGAACTTGATTCAGTATGTCTCAGATAATTCCCGTACTTTGTTGAACAAAGGGACATTAGTACTATGAGCCTTGTTCTACATTGGGAATTCCCACTATGATGTCGTGTGATTTAATGGTCGTTCGTATTCTTTTGCCTCTAATATTGTTATGCTGATTAAAATTAGATATCTAATGTAGCAAGAATATGCTGTAGATTTCTACATAAAATCTGGCTTTTGGGATTATGAAATCCTTCCCTGTGAATACAAATCACAGCGGGATCTACCTATATCATTATCTCCGCTGTTACCACAGCTGAAGTGTTTGACCTTTCAATCGTCGGCAAATTTGATAATATTACATGACGTGTTCGGTGAGATAACAACTACAATACTCGAGTACGTACAAGCAGGCAGAGAATACATTCCACCACGGTCTATCTATATTGTATCTAATATAGGTTATGTACAGCACAACATATAATGAGATACAGGCCTAAGTATAATAATCACACATCGAGCATCTGAACCCGAAATTAGTGACTAGCGCGTCCTTAACTAATATAATTCCCAATAGATCTCACAGAGTAAAAATAATGACTCCACTTCATTTGAAGAATAATAAAGACACTTGTTCATTGTCATCGCCTTATAACAGTTATCAATTTCGACTCAGCAAATACAACATTATATCTAAATTTGGTCTAATTTGAGACATTTCCAAGAAGTTTGCTTTCAACTAACGAAGTTCAAACGTAACTTTATTGACTAACACAACCAAAACCCCCAAGTTCGACTGGTACATGCTGACCAGGATCGCAATATTTCTCATCGTCTTCAAAGATGAGACTTATAAGTATCGAAGTCAGCAGAAATCTGCCAATTCATGTCTAGAAAAGCTCGAAGGATAGAAGCATTATCAAGTATTTTTTAACGCTACGTTGCTGAGAAAATATGATCCTTAAGTTCCTTTTGCAGGACGAAAGAGCTTTCTCTTAGGATTTATTCTTTGAAATCAACAATCCTTTCCATTGCACAAATAACATGGTCCCCCTTTCTTCATTTAGTTTCAAGGCATTTATCGCAAGGTGTAATATCTGTTGGTTTTTGTTCACCGTATCAATTGTTTCCAAGCTCTCCTTATCCTATTCTTGATCTTCTCAAACGTATCTTTTTTTTCTGAAAAGAAAAATACGAAAATAATGTGAACGCAGTTTAACTAAAGTCTTTGCCGGGAACTAGCCCTGAGGCACGACGTTACTCCTGTTTTAGCCAGTGCTCATATAGACACGCTTCGTTAACGTAATACAGTAGGTAGCGTAAGCGAACTTTCTCTACTGAGAGAATTCTAACAACCTACAAGAGTATGTTGTGAGAATAAAATCCCAGGAACTTCCGTATTGTGTTAAGCATTTATCACTCGATAAAAATATAGTAATAGCAGAGTTTTACACTTTATTTTAGGGATATTATTCGAAGAGCCGCATACCAATCCATATCAAGTCGGCATAAGCAACTGAATACGATGTCCCTTGGTAGAAAGATGAAAAAAAAATAGTGTGATCAACCGAGTCGCACTCTAATAAACAATGGGCATTACTTACGCTACATCTAAATATTTCTTGTATTAAACGATATCGAGCAAGTTAACGCCATTATTCTTAAATACGCAAGGGCAGTTTTGAACGAGGCTTATGGCTTATACGTATAAAATCAACAACAAGAAATATGACATGAAAGTCTGCATATACATATTTAAGTAGAACTAAGAGAATCACTGTATACCCTTCTCGTTTAATTCCTTTTCAGAGGTAGTCATTGCTAAGCTCAAAGACTTTTTTGACTGCTTATCATGACATTATGAACGTTACTGCGGGCTTACTGTATTAAATTCAAAAAAAAATTGAGTTGAAATTCTTTATAACGGCAAGCTTCGGGAACTATTCTGATACGGATCGGTGCGCTCTCAAATTAAGAAACAATTGCGGTCTATGAATCACAGCATAATCCTGCTCCTCGAATTCAATAAGTGAACTTCTTTAGAATTTGCTGCTTGGGAGTTAGCTGTAGCGAAAAATATTATTAGACAAGTCATCCTTCAGGTACTCCGGTAGTTGGAGATAATAAGATTCTTTTATCCAGTGGTTTGAGGATAAGACAAGCACCTAACGTATGATCTTACAACTCTTTAAGTCTTTCATATTCTAATCTGGAAGTTGAGATTACTTGTAAGCGAATAAATAGTATCGCACAAAACGACTCGATAGACACTTTATTTTTAGCAACATGCAATTCGGCTAGAAACTAAAATAAAGATACTTATTCTCACTTGATTTTTTCATCCTACCTCAATCCTCTAAGGACTTTTGCAACGCTGTTCCTTCATGACAGAAGTTGACATACAGTAGCCGGTCTAAGTTGATATTGTACACGACAAGCAATCAAAATAGAATATATGCAGATACAACATATAATGCTTACTTATTGGGCATGAATTCATTTGAAAGATTATAACAACCCACTGATATGAGTCCTTCTACAACAGTATAACAAAAAAGCAACGGAGAGCTCAGTGAGACCATTTGAAGGCGATGAGTAAGAGAAGACAAAACAAAGCGGTATACATGTACATACTTGATCTTCACATTTGAAAGGATTTTAAGCCATACATTTCCAAAAGGAAAATAACATTATTAAATTTTATGGTATTGTAATATCTATTAAAACTGTATTAGTCTTATTTAAAATGCTTTTCTGCAGTTGTAAAAAAATGTTTCTGTTTCATAGAGACATACAATCTATTAATCCTACTAAGGCCTATATTGTGATTGTGGCATTTATATTATTGACACAGTGCAGGCTCGAACGGCTTATCCACCGGAACTACAACAATATGGCAAGAGAGCTACATGGTTCAGTCCTTTTACGCCACCTGCCAGAACGGCTATAAAGATTAACCATTGCTTTAAGTTCTCAGCGTTGTTTTCAGGTTTTGGCTACTAGTCAAAGGCACTTTAAAAGTCAAAGAGCATCCAGCGAGTAATAGCCGAAAAGGGGATAGTGTTATCAGTGGGCGAGTTTCATAGGTATATAACCTTAGGGACATTTTTGAGACTAAGAATTTCTTGAATATAAAGCTCAAGTAACTATTCCATGGTAAGACTGATTTTCGTTAAAGAAAATCAAAGTGTCGCATAAGAAGAACAAATGAAAGTGAAATAATTCTTTATAGAAAAGTAAATGAGGTAAAACGCAAACAGGTAATACTTTACAAGCTTTTTGACTATACATACTAAACTTCCTCTTCTCGTGCTTTCCTTTCAAAAAAGAGAGAAAAGTCAAGGGACTAAGCATCGCGCATATGTATCCCCAGAATATTTTGAATAATGACAACTCAATGGTAACTATCAAACATACAATTTGTAAATGAAATAACTCTAAGCTTTATCATCCAGCATTGGAATAGCGTCACGGATGCTGCAGCAGATGTGCACTCAAAGCTCTCTGAGCAGATATGAACAGGATTTAAGCTAAAACCTAATCTAAAGATTGGGAAATGTTTGGTTATCCGGTTCGCCGGGTTAGCCCAGCGTTTCCGACAGTACGAGGGTGCGGTGTGTGATTTTCTTTGTTAAATTTTTTTTCCCGTCTTCTGCATACATTTCATTTTCCTTTTTTCTTTTCCCTTTTATCTTAAAAGGTAAGGAGTATTCAACCAGTACGTTTTTTTACACGTTTAAGGTAAGGTATATTACTAGTCATATTCATAATAGACTTTTGTATTTTGCTAGATAATAACAGAGTTAAGATCCCTATCTCACACAAATCGTTTTTTTTTTGACGGCACTTTTTCAGATTAGCAAGTAAAGAGCCTCTCATTACCTTTGAAATCAGCGTAAAAAGAGTACCAAAAAAAAAGAAAAAAGAAAAGAAAAGAAGAAAGAAAAACTTACTATCGACTATAAAAGCGAGAAAAGGAAAAGAAAAGAAAAAACGAACCAGGAGCCAAAAGGATTCCAAAAGAAAAGAATAAACCATCATATTATTGCAACCTTTTTTTTTTTTTTTCTATTATCATCGCTTCTTTTTTATTGATAAAGTACTTGTTTGCTATACTTTTCCCAAATTTTATTTGAAAAAAGAAAAAGAGGACTGCGCTCAAAATCGACATCAATGAACACAATGAATACTGATAGACAACACCAGCAAATGCAACAACAACATCCAAACCATCACCTTCATAATCAAGGGCCTGTGACTAAGGACATTGAACAAATTCGCACAAATTATCGCTTAGCATTGAAAGAATTAACTTTTAACAGTAAACCAATTATCACAAATTTGACAATTATGGCTCAAGAACATCAAATGGCTGCAGGTGTCATTGTTGGCGAAATCGAGAATCAATTAAGAAATGTAAGTTGATATTTTACAGTAATGAGAAATAATAACCTCCCACTTTTGTATTGGCTATTTTCCTCCCCGTATATACTTTACCTTGCATTTCTATTTTATGTCATACCGTTATAATTTATATTATAATTCTCGTACATTTATCTACGATTGTATAACGGATAAAATGGGAGACAGTTTTGCACGTACAAGGGCTAGTAACTGGACGCACATTATTATAAAGGTAAGAAAAAGTCGGACCTGGAGTAAACACAGGACAACCATCTCAATGTTGGATGGAAAACTGTGATCTAATAATTTACTCCGGAAGACGTCATTGCCTTGGTGTCCGTGCTGTCTGGTTAATGAAGCTCTTGTAAAAATATTGCCTTCGTACGTGCTATATGTCGGCTACCGCTTATTGATTTTTTAAATATTGTTGCGATCATAAAAAAAAGAAGCCTCATTTCTATCATAATCTATTAGATAATACTACTTCAAAAAACGCAAATTAGTAACCTTTATTTTCTCTTTTCTTTCTCTTTGTCTATACTCGTTTTCAATGCAATAGAATGCTCCGGCTCAGAAACTTCCTGTATTATACTTAATTGATTCTATCTGCAAAAATATCGGTGGCGTTTACATTGTTTATTTCGGAAGAAATATGGTCAATCTCTTTCTAGACGCTTATACTTTGGCAGACCCTACAGTTCGCAGAAGCTTTGAAAGGTTATTACAAACATGGAAAAATGGTATGCCTGGCGGTCAACCCGTGTTTTCTCGTAATGTCATAGAATCCATCGAAAGGTCCATTATCTATATCCGCGAAAAAACGCCAATCTCAAGATATCCTCATCACCCTTCCCATCCTAATACTACTACTAAGAATAAATATTCTTCCCCTCATGTAACCAACTCTTCTATACATGTTAACCCTAATTTTATTAAGGTAAACACACAAAGACATGATATAGAACCCTTATTAAACGTTAGAAAAACCCATGATGTAAAGCTGAAACTATTTTGCTCACTTCAATTTACCTATTGACCGTAGGATCAACACCATCGTTTAGGCGCAAATACCTCAAGAGATCCCCGAATGAAATCGAGTCTTGCTGCACCGCATGCTGCCTCTGCTGGAGATAATGCCTCACTACAATTACTCTCTCAACTACAATCAATGCTTCCGTCTTCTCAACAAACCATCAACTCTCCACTCTCCAATGCTACTCCGCAAGCAAATATCCTAATTCCTCAATTGATCAATCAGGTAAAGGTTCAATACTGTTTGTTAATTTGGAAATATACATAGGCGATGATTGCTAACATGCCATGATTCACTTTAGATTAAAGCAATCTTGCCCACTTTACCTCCCGCTCAAGCCACATCAATCGAACAGGTTTTATCACAAATTGTGGCTGCTTCTCCCGTTCCACCTACGTCTACTTTACCGGCAGTAACCACAGTTTCTACAGCCTCTCCATCTTTAGCAACAGCACCTAATGGGCTGCCCCAATCATATGCAACACCGGTGTCAACTAATGCACCCACACCTATCATATCAAATATTCAAAATGCCCCTTTAAATACTATTCTCTCTACCTTATCTAATGTAACGCCCATCAATACAGCAAGTCCCGTTATAACTAGCACTTCAAATCTCCCACAACAAACACAGCAACCTACAGCAGCTCCTCAGGTGGACACGGCTGGTCTACTGAAGAGTTTGACTTCACTGGGCTACCTAACACCTACACCTCCGCCTCAACTTCCTGTGCCTTCCGCATCAGTAACACCATCCTCTACTTCGACTCCACCACCGCCTCCGCCTACCGCCACCACTGAGACCGTTGATTTAAGCTTAGATGCTATGGGCCCTTTCATTCTGGAATCAAAAGATTTACAGCGCCTTAGACCAGGTGCCATTGAGCTATTATATTCTGCTGAGCCTTTACAATGCAAACAATGCGGTTTGCGATACCCTGAAACAGAAAAAGGACAAGCAAAGATGGATGCTCATTTAGATGCTCATTTCAGACAGAATAGAAAGATGAAAGAAAGAGTGAAACGCGGGTTATCGCGTTCTTGGTTTGTTTCTGTTGATGAATGGGTTAGAGGCGAAGGTGGTGAATTGACAAGTCAGCAAGCACCTACATTTTTACATGACAGTCAAGTAAAGAAGATGCAAAAGAGCAATGGCCAGTCAAACTCTCTGGAGGAAGATGAAGCAATAGACCCGAATGCTTATACAGTTGTCATGCCTGATGATACGGAAAGAAAGCCGTGTCCCATCTGTGGAGAGCGTTTTATTGATTTCTGGAATGATGATGAAGAAGAATGGATGTTTAAGAATGCTATTTTGGTGAATGATAAGATCTATCATGCTACTTGCCATGCAGATGCAGTTAAGAGCGGGTCGTTTGAGGATACGAACACTTCGGAACAAATACAAAATGCCAATGGATTAAAAAGAAAGTCAAATGAAGAAGGCGATGAAGAACAGGTAAATTTGCGAACATGGCTCTTTGTATCTTTAAAAAGTAGCTTTTTCTAACCGCCTTTTAATTTTTTTGTAGTCTGCACAAAAACGTCGCCTAGAGTAACTAGCAATCATTAACAATAATTCCCGTTTGCGCTATTATCAGTTTTCGGCACAATTGATAACAATGATTTTTGTTTTATAAAAATAAAGGAAAACTAAACGTTGAAATGTTAAATAAAAACGCGTTTAATTTCAATCTAATATCGTAGAGTAGCTTTTATATCTGAAACAGCTATGTCAATTAGAATCTTGAGATAGAAAGTAGTATTACGGTTTGCTAAATTTTGTACATAGATAATGATAAATTATATTTACAAAGTGTATAGAAAGAATAAGTAAATCTTTTGAACGTTGTCCCCAGATTTGACCGTTAAAAATAGATTCTTCTTAAATCAGCAGGTGTAGTGATCTTTTGACACTGAGGACACAATTTCTTCGACCCAAGCGTTCGTAACCAACACTCTTCACAATGAACATGCCAACAAACAATAGATGTTAATGGTGTTTTATACGGTTCAAGACAGATCAGGCAGTTATTGGATTTAGACGCTTTTTCGAGTTCACGAATACGTGCTTTTAACGAGTCGATCAGCAGAGATGAGTGGTTGTCGTCAGAAGCCAAAGCATCTTCGCTTTTCAAATGTGCTTCCCAACCAGCATCAGATACAGTCTCTTCAAATCCTAATCTTCTGCCATTACTAAATAGATGAATTGCAGATTTAATTATGTCAGAGCATTTCAATAAAACGAAATTATTTCAACCGTTTAAACTACCTTTCTGCTGATGTACTACGAGTAATACCTCCAGATACCATTTCCCTCAATGCGTTTGCATCTTCATCATTTTCATTCACTAAAATATCTCTTTCTGTGTACTGGCTTTCACCATACTGAGCTGCATCATCGTCTTCGACATCCAAATCCTCATCGTCATCATCTACTTCGACTTTACTTGCAGTTGCAAATCCTGCACCTCCGTAACCACCTTCCATCAAAGCCGTTGCTCTCACACGTCTATGTCCTGCCCATTCATATTCTTCCCATGCCCCAGTATCATTGTTTGAACGAAGCTCTTCTAACGTATTATCACCCGTACTTGAATCTTTGCTATGATTTCCTAGACCAACATCCTCTTCCTCCTCTTCTTGTTCATCGGTATCATTGTTATTTTGATTTGAAAGACAGTTGTCGATATGTAAATTGATGGCTTCCAAATCGCCATAAAGACGTTCATTACATATGAAGCAAGTTTGTATCTCGTCTCCACCTGCTGCTGCCGCTTCTTCTTCTTGCATCATCTGTAGAGCAACTTCGGAATCACGGTCTGTTGACTCAAAATTCACATGAAAAGAGGAAGAACTGCTGCTGCTACCATTGAGTTGTATCTGATTTATCCTTTCTGCTCTTTTGCTTCTATTTTTTCGAATTCTATCAATCGTTTCTTCGTGTGCTGATGGTTTTTTGGTACGTCCTTTGCCTTCTAAATGCTTTCTTGCAAGAACAGCTGCTCCTCGCTTGCCCTTACTGTGAAAAGACAAAATGAATGTTTAATAAACTACTCTGCGTTATTTATGTTTATATATTTACTTTTTGTTCAATGGATCAGTATATACTTCTGAAGTCGTTTCTGCCAAGCGACTTAGTTCATATTGATAGTGTTCTGCCCAATACTGAGGTTCAATACGATATTCGCAAATGGAGCATTTTGGTAAATCTCTTCGAGCTGATGGAACAAGAATTCGGTTAGTACTAGTTGTTTGGCATCACTTTGAGAGTCAGTGGAGACTGAAAGTTTCTGTTACCTTTTTTACTATTATTGTCGTTCAGAGTTTCTAACTCTCTTCTTGATACTTTCGAACGCTTCTTCCTATTTGCATAAAAAAAAGAGCCCAATTATAAATATGCTCCGATATACAACGAGCTATTATTTTTTTGTCAGTCTGAATGAGATGGGATGTCATTTACGTTGATGTCCGTTGTACAGGAGCTGTACTACTACTTGGTGAAGCCATTAATTTATTGGAGGTATATGTATAATGAATCGAAAAATGTGTATATCGTTTATTAGTAGACAGTTGAATACTTGAACATGATGGATGCAGATCGGAGCATTTCATTGGACAACATTTTCATAAGGTATTATTATGCTGCTGCTGCTGCTGTTGCCTCAACAACCAAAGAGAAAGAGCGGCGGCGAATTTTTGTCTCCACGCTGCTCTCGGACAACAGCCTTTTTGCTTTGTGGCTTATTGTTAAAAGCTTAAGAGGGTCCACTAAATTGTTCAGCACAAGCTTTCACATAAGTTATTCATAGAAAAATGAGACTCATTACACATAATATGTTGCAATGCCACGTTAAAAACTGCAACAACAACAATTTCCCTCTTAAATTTCAGAATGTGCAAGTCGAGTTAATAGAAGCAGATTTCAATCCTGAATTCTTAGCAAACATGTTGAATAAAGTTGAATGGGACGCTTTGTATTCTACTGCTATTGAGGTTAGTTACGATTAACGTTGATCGGTTTAGAAACTTATTTTTTGACGTAAGCTGTTACTTTTGAATGAAATACAATAGCTCGGCATCAATACCCTTCCTGCACAAATTCCTGAAAATGCAGCTGAAAACGAAGAGTTTTTGAAAGCTTTACACAACGTCTTATTGGAAGTAAGTAGATATTGTAGCAAATCTGCATTGACGTTGACGATTTATAAATAGCTTTGCAGGCCTAGTTTGTACTTATTGAGTTGCTCGCTTGCATTTTAGACACATGTTCAACAAGGAGAGATGGTTTGCCCCAACTGTCAACATATCTACAGAATTAAAGACGGTATTCCCAACATGCTGTTGGCTGAACATGAGATTTAAATGACTATTTATGAATTACACCGAGATACACTCCACAGTTTAGCATACAAAGCGATACAAAGTAGCCCAGTTACTACAGTGTTATAAGCTGACACTAGGTTCTTACAATCCAAACTTTGACACACCTGAATTTCATGTTACCATCGTTAAACAAAAAAGATGATAGTACAGAATAAATAATTGTATATAAGCATAGCTAACATAACACAAAATAGACTGGGTTTTTTTTCCGGAAGAGTATGGTAGAATTCTGATTCTTAAAGTTGCGTTATGTTAGATATTGTACAAGTAAGCAAGTGATCAATATGTCATTTCTTAATAACATGGTATCATTATCATGCTCATTACTAGTTTGAGTTTACGATTCTTTTCCCTCCCAGGCTACAGCAACTTCAAAGCTAGGTAAACAACAAGTTTCTATATTGTAGCAAGCCAGTAATTATCAAGCTATTCATTATTAGAATTCTAAAAGTTGACAGAGTTTGCTTTCAATCTAATATTCCTCTCTAAAAAATTTTATTCGCGCTATGCAACTTCAAAACCAAAGAGTAAAAATGTATTTGGCAACTGTTAATCAGGCCTTTTTTTTGGCAAGCTATATGACACTGATGCAATTACTAAGAGCTGAAAGGGTTAAGTTTAGTTTCATCTCTTTCTCGAGCCCGCATAAACGATAAATGTGTCAAATGGTGAATATGATAAACTGTAAAGTCTTTAAATTCTCTTGAAACAAACGCCTACAACCTACAATATTCAACGATTAAACTGACATTTTCTTTGAAAGAAGAGAGAATAAAGCTCAAAATGGCGCTAATGCCAATCAAGTTTTCTTCCCTGGACTCGTAATAAAAACCGAGCTGAAGAAGTGCTAATAAAAAAACCTTTCAACAAAGGCAAATACCTTGAGTACCTTGTGATCTCGTGTACACCGATAGGCATTGTTATAACTATCTTTTCTGGTAATCATAACAGAAAAGTTACAGAATAAGGAGGGCATATAGACGAATCATCCAACCTCTTCTCAATAGAGTAACATCTCTTGTCATAGAGATCAGATATACTGATGGCTCACAGTTCTTTTGTCTCCGAGGCGTACAAGCAACAATGCCACTGTAGAGCAAACGGCACCGAAAACATTGCGAGAAATAGCTTCAAATAAGCTATAGTATAACGGTAAATCAAACGTTTACTAGAGGAACTAATATCGGCACAAATGTATACTAACGGTCTTATACTTTAAGCCTATTATTTCATGTAGACAATCGAGTGTTAAAACGCTTTCATTTTATGAATTCAATGTAAACCTTTAGTGCTCAACGTGAACAATAACGATACTATGAACAGAGTACTTTATTATATGTAACTTAAGTCTTTCCATTTTTTGGTATTTTTTATTATACTTCTGATGTAGTAAATCCAGCCTTTTCACTCCTCTCAGCTAGATTTTCCTGCGGTTCTGCAATCTTGTTTCAGTAGGGAGGTTGACAGTCAAGTTAGTAATCATGTGCACTTCACTGATTTATAAACTCTTCATACAAACTTTTGTTGATGCATGTTTAACGAACCATGTCGTATTTTCCTCAACTTACGCTTCAAGAAACTATGAATGCTCGTCATTTGGCTGTGTATAATATCCCTTTCCCTCTGACCTAATACTGATACATAATCCTGGTGTGTTGTGCACCTATTCTTCTTCTATTGAGTGGAAGTTAATAGGGCAGCAGAAGTCATAATGCCAGTTTGAACGACTGTATAGGCCTTGACTTAATCTTGTACTAGAGTAATTTGTTTCGACTTCCATTACGTAGAGATTTATACCAAGTTGGGTTGACAAATCAAGCCTAGCTTACTTCAACCTTAAGTGCATCTTGAGAGGCTTATGCTCATTTTCACACATACTATCGTTTGCAGCAATGAGGTTTATTTGGTGCAGACGATTGATGGAAAGTTCCTGGTTAGTAGCATCCATTGAATTGCTTTCGGGAGCGTCATAGATGTAATAGTCAGAAGAATGACAAGAATGAAATTAGCTTGCATTGGAACTTTCCTTCTTACAGTTTGCAGTGTTAAAGAATGGGTGTGTAGCTTAGGGTAGCTACTCGGCTGACTCTTATCGGAAAGAGTGCGAGTTACGTCTGTATAAGACAAAGTGAATCGAAATAAATATATAGACCATAAAAATACATGAATGGCTCAAGGCCTTGACAGTTGTCATTACATATTATCTCAGCTTATGATAATCGCTCAAGATTTACACTGTTCAGAACGAATTTTCTGAACCTCTTGAAAATTGCACTCATGCAAATGAAATATCGTATCTTCCAAATTGCATTTTTTAAAAATAGGAAAGATTTTTCGTCTTCTTTCTTTTTCTTTGCTACATAGGAGGTCACCCACAGTGTAATCAACCTACGGGACAGTACTCGGCGCTGATCAAATACTGTGGTCTAAGCATGGTAATGTGGTCTTCAAAGTTGCCTTGCAAAAGTGGTGTTGGCTAGGGGCTGGTAGGTCTCCAGGTCTATCGTCTAGATGCCTGAGTATGAATGGTTTGCCACAACAGTTAATACAATATGTGGAAAAATGAACACCATAAAGATGTTTTCATCTTGGAGATCTGGGGGTTTCTTCGAAGTCAGATGAACTTCCACCTTCTCGTGGTTGACTCTGTTAATCAAGCTGTTATTATTATCACCTTGAGAACTAAGAGAAGTTCACGATATTTTTTAATAATTTCCTAAGTAATAACGCGTTCTAATTTGCTTTAGTATATATGACTGATGATCACGACATTGTTAGCATCACACTTTGCTAAATAAAAACCTATTGGTTATTTTGCACCATAATCTCTAATTAAATTTTTCTTACACGGAATTTGAGGCCGTGGAACTTGATTTATAAAGTTAACAGCAAACTCCAGAACTGCTTTTGTTTTTCAGGGCTAACGTCATCTATGCTGTTAAAATCAAGGGGTTGATCAACTTATACCTCTAGACCCTTACTGTTGCAGTTCCATAGAAAGTCCCTTTTTATTTTCTGTCTCATAAGGCTATCCTGCTATTGATGATTCCTGTGTGCAAGGATAATATATTTTCTCTAATCATACAGTCGGCTCTCAATCAGCGCAGATAAAAAGTTGATTTCCAACTGTCTTCGGTCATTTCAAAGTGGTTGCTTTATCTAAGGCGTTAACATATTGCTCAATATATTTTTGATATCATATACAAGAGCATTATTGCATGCTTTATTAACTTTTGAGAATAAGTCCTGTTTATCACCATACTTATCTATGCTTTACTTTGTTTTTGATAAGAGCCAACAACTATTTAACTCAGGCGTGTAGTTGGGTGGCGCGCAGCAATAGCCTCCATTGGGTCATTAGCTTTTCGGTTTTCTTATTATATGCGTCGGCGCATTGTTCATAATTTGATAAAAACTCTTCTATTCACGGTTCGATAAGAAATCCAAGTAATGCCCAGTAGTGGTCCCCTTTTTTTACAGCTTGTGAGGAATGGTAGCCTTTCTTTTGCAAGCACAATCACTCCCAACTTCCTTGTTCATTTGTGCAACTCACACATTGATGTCCACGATCATTACATTTAAAAATCGCTCCTTAGATAGTATTCGATTCAGCCTTTGTCCATGATGTCACGTATAGCTGGCGTATTAGCAGCTGATCAACCAGAAGAAGGTCTTATAATGTTATTAAAAGCAGGCTTGCCGGAGAGAACGCAGTTCTGATGAAGGTCCATGTCCGACTTACCGTACTGTATTATCCATTCGTAACCTTCTGTCAAACATTCAGAGTCGTTTCGAACTACACGATGACGCGTTGGTACTTCGGTGAACCGGTTATTTGACACCAATTACTATAAGTTCTTCCTGTGATATTTCCATACCTCCTGTAACGTAAAGCGTTTTATGATTCCTCACTTACGAACTTGATTCTGGCGATTAGTGCAGACTACAACACTGCACCTACCAAAATATCTTTGTTCGTGCTCCTGTCATGGAACATATATGTCGTGCTCGGCTGTTAAAACGTATATGAAGGCTCATCCTTCGTATGACTGGATGTTTATCAGTAACCCCTTTTTATTATAAAGGCTACGTGCCTCATCATCCTCTCCACTTCAAGAGCGAAAACAGGAGGCTGCTTCATTATTACTGACGACCTACAGATCTATGAATTACGAAAAAATTGAAGAAGCAAAGTAGAAGATTTCGCGTCGCAAGAACAAAAATGACACATCTGCAGCCAAGCCTATCGTCAAAAATAAAAGACTTCAGTTGCAGCGACGAGTTGAATCTAGAGATGTATGGTAAAAGCGTTCTGAAAGCAAACATGCTTCAAATTTGTTAAAATATTCTTGCCGGAGCCATTAAAGGAAAAAATAAGGCACTGGCAGATAAAGCCACTAAAGGATATACAGGTGCATCAGGTTCAATTTTCGATAAAATAAAATCAAGTATTCATGTTAGACCACTTCCAAAGTATAATATGATACAGTTCCAATAAACTGAAGATGCAGAACTACTGCGAATACGGGAAAATAGGTTGAAATAAAACATTCTGGTAAGATTTTATCGCTCTCCGTTGGATCGGTTGAAGATCAAAGAATAGAATGAGATAAAGAAAATAGACAATAACAAGTCTTTAGAAACTCAGAAAGCTTGGAATTTATTTTCCATATGAAATTTCAGATGAAAAGCTGATAACGTGGACAGAAGCCGATTGATATTCATACTTTACGATATGGGTATCCAGGCTTACTCACCATGGAATTATGAATGGTTCTGACTTGTAGAAGTATCCAGAGGAACCAACCCAATAAATTAGAGCGAAAGGAACACCGAAAGAGAGAAGCGGAAGTGTAAATTTTACTCAGTTTTTAATTGTTCTGAATTAGTAATTGCTGTTAACATGAAGGCTGCTTATGATGAATATTTTGGATAGTTGGCTAAAAAGACCTGTTTATCGTCTGGAGAATTTCAGAGTTCATCATAGAAGCTTTTTGTGCAAGCAATCGATGCACGTGGATACAGACCTTTTTTCATGGCCATAATCGCCTACCTTAAATCCAGTTGGGAAGTGCTGGACCAAGATCAAGAGTATTGTAGCTGAAAGCGCTTGGATTTTAAAGTATTTTGATTGCTAGAATCAAGAAAATTTGCCTAATTGCCATCGTTAAGGAGTGCTTAGATTGGATTAGACATTCAGAGCCTTCCTAGATAGATATTCAGATAAAGAATTGTCCTTAGTATGATTATGTGAACTAATCTCCTAAACAAAGCTTTATGTCTCTTGTAGAGTCAAAAAAATCTGACAATTGTGGTACTGTTATAGTCAACTTGAAGCTTGTACATGTTTCTTATCAATCAGTCGGGATAACGTAATGTCTGAATTATGAACTTCGCCAATTTTTATCCAATAAAAATTGCTCTAAAAGTAAACAAAAGGGAAAATCTGTTGCGTAAATGTAGAAAGGAAAGGTTGCCCAGAGACATTTCGCAGTTAAGGATAACGACGCGGTTTGCATATCAAACGAATTAGAACCGTATAATGTAGGTAATTTATATTTCATGCATAACATATTTGGTATAAGAAGTGTAAGCCGTTTTCCGTTTTGCAATTCTTTTATAAAATATAACATCTCAGATGTGAAATCCGCCCAATAAGCACAGCTTAAGTAAAACAAGCAAATTTTTTCTCTGTTTTGCCATGTTCTTGAACAATAAAATCGATGAAAAAAAAAAAAGGGACGCCGTCTACCAAATCAACATAATGCCGCAACCCAATCTCGCAGCGATAGCATGCGTATGAATTCCCCTAAAAGAAAAGCTGTATACAATTACATCTTTATTAGAAAATCATCAAATTGTAGTAAATTTGCTCGCTGGCCAAATGCCTCGTTTGGGTTGTTTGTCTCACCAAAAATGAGCACCAAAATTGAGAGAATTGCACTCAAAGAACTCCGACTTTGACCTGAGCAGACCATGCCCTCTTCGCTCCCTTTCCTTTCCTTTGCTTTTATCCCACTAGATTTAACGGAAACAAAGACGTTTTTCTTTTATTTCCTTTCTTATTTAACTATTTCCATTAATAAGAATTCAATTACTAAGCTTTACGACAGCTATTACGGATAAAACTTTCTTGCATATTATTCATATCATTTATCTGTAAAAAAATTCTTGTTACTGAACCTTTCTTATTGAGACGATTTCTTCAGTTCTATAACATCTTTTATTTGTACATTATATTACATCTTCCCCTTTGGGGACAACACATCAATCAAGCACAACAACTTCAAATAAACCATGATGAATTTACATCAACAGTTAAAACAGCAGAATTTCGGATCTAACAACAATAGTTCCGATCAAAGTGCAACGAATTCAGTCTTTTACTCTTCTGATGCTTCAAAATCCTCACCAGTCCCACAGGCTCATTTCTCTATGGCACAACAGCATCAACAAGTATTGTCATTATCAGTAAACACAAATCCAGCACACATATACAATACCACTGATCTTGGTTCTTCACCCTCTGTGGTAACATCTCATCATGCTGATTTGGCTTCTTCAGCGTTGCCGATGATGAACTCACCAAATACTTTGACGCAGACCTCTATACACAACAACACAAATACCAACGTCAATGATAGTACACTGCACTTAGTATCCACGGTAAAATATTTATTACTAGAGATAGATCAAGAACTCGCATTTTTCATGCTCATAACTTTTTTCTTCGTTTATAATTAGAACAATCAGTTACCTGAGTCTATTGCCACCGAAAACACGAACAACACAACTCCAACTGCTGCTACAGTAACAACAACCATTTCTGAACATGCCAACAATACAACTATGTTCGAACAACAAATGACTATAACTTACAATGCTGAACATCATAAAAATTCACAATTGCATCAGTTACAACAACAGCAGCAGCCACAATTACAGCAGCATCAGCAGCTACAATCGCCACAAGAAATTCAGGCACAAATTCAGGTACAACATCAACAGCAGGTTCAAGCGCAAATGGAAGCACATGCCCATGTTCAAATGCAAGCTCTTGCTGAAGCTCACCATGCCCAGTCTCAAGCGCAAGCACATGTTCGGGCACAGGCACAGGCAGTACAGCAAGCCCATGTACAATTGATAGCTCATCAACAGCAGCAAATTCGGGACAGTGTGCAACAACAACAACAACAACAACAACTGATAAACGGTATGCTAATTTCTCAGCAGCAGCAACAACATGCTCAACCAATTGTACCTTCGCAAAATACTACTGCTGAACAACACCAACAACAGCAATTATTACAACAAAGTATAGACGAAGAAAACGAACGTGTTGCTGCTGCAGCTCAGCAAGTAATGGCTCAACAAATGGCACAGCAATATGCTTTGTTGCACAAACAGCAGCAGCAGCATCAATTGCATCAACAGTTATTATCTAGCCCATCTAATAACAGCAATGAGGCTTTATCGCAACAGTCCCCGGCAACCGCAAATACTCCTATCTCACACGAGCTGATAACTGATGGCAATCCTAATGATTTACTCTCCCAACAGCAACAGCATATTGCTGTCGGCTCTACTGGAGGTACGGCGTCTGCTGCGACAGTATTACCAAGCCATACTGCTGCTGCTGCCACCACACAAGAAGCTCCCCACATCGTTTTATCACAAATCAATGCAACAAGTCTTGGTAACAATAGCAATAGCAGTGGTAATAGCAGTGTCGCTACAACGCCTACGGCTGCTGTCATAAATCCACTTCCGACTACAATGCAACATCAGGTGGTGAAGAGTGACAATATCTCTTTACATAATGCTATTGTTCAACAACAATTTCATCAACAGCAGCAGCAACAACATTTGCAAAATAATATTTATTCTATAAACGAGAGTACCACATCTTTATGTGGAACAAAACGGAATGTAACTGACACTCAAGCTTCAGGAGTTTCTCTTACTCGTAGAAAATCAAGAAGGCATACTGTCTCTAGCTCTCATCCACCCACCTTGAATATTGACACCCATAACTTAATGAATATGAATTCTCCTCGGTCAGCCGCTGCATTATCACAACAGCAGTTTTTTCAACAACAATTACAACAGCAACAGCAACAGCTGCAAATACAACAGCAGCAGCAGCAACAACAACAACAACAACAACAACAACAACATCAAGCTCAGCAAGCATTGAAACAGCTACAAGAACAACATTTTATTTCTCAGCCTTTACAAACCACTCAGTCCTTACCCTCACAAATATCACCGCTTAATTCACAAAATTTGCAACAGCATCAATATATGAAGGGTAATATTAGCAATAGTAGTCTGAGTAATGATACTTTGCTGATGGAAATAGATAGCAACCAGCAAGAGACAGTAGCCGTAAAAAAAGAAAGTTTTGTTAGTCTTCAACAAAAGCCTGTCGTAGGTAAAATTTCTTTGCCGCCAAAGCCCACACCTCAAGAATTAGGCTTACAGCAACAGTTCTCTATGGTACAATCAGCTCCAGTAGTTGCAACAGCAACAGATAATAATATAAAGCTTAACAATAATACATTCACTGTCGATCAGGAAGAAAGTAAATCAGCGGATCATCCCGCGACTAATTTGGAAGGCAGTTCAACAGGCACTTCTGCGAAGGACTACGAAAATATGTCAAGAGAACAGTTAATCGCGCGGCTTATCGTTCTTGAGAACCAAAAGAAGAGAAATACTGATGAGAAAATGGATGAAAAAGCTATGGATATTGAAGAAGACGCAGAAGAAATTAAATTAGAGACAGTAACAACAACAGCAGCAACAACGGTTAGTGCAGGTACTACTAAACAAGAAACAGTCACTGAAGTTGCTGATGATGATGAGGAAACACCCGGTGAAGATGAAGAAGACGAGGACGACGACGACGAGCGGTCACTTTCCGCAGCTGATGAAAACTCTATAACAACAGCAACAACGAACACTACCACGACACCACCTGCTCAAAATGATAACAGCAATATTAATAATGCAATCAGCAGTAACCCTGCACAGCAGAAAATTCATTCTACTCCAGATGTTGCTACTGAAGATGATACTAATAACGGACCTAAACAGTGTAAATGGAAAGATTGCGGTGAAATGTTTGGTGATTTAAAACAATTGATAACTCATTTGAACGATACGCATGTTGGCAGTGGGAAGGTAAAATGATACATATTAACCTACACATTCATTGCGAAAGCATATTATATTAACGTTACCCATTAATACTTGTATAGCCTACTTACTGCTGTCAATGGGAAGGATGCGCGAGAAATGAGAAACCTTTTGTAAAACGCCATAAAATGTACAACCATCTTCGCACACATACTGGTGAGAGGCCGTTTGTCTGCGATAGACCCGGTTGCGGCAAAAAGTTCTCGCGTCCAGACTCGTTAACAACGCATATTAAAACCCATTCAAATGTTCGACCTTTTATATGTTCAAATAAGGGATGTACAAAAGCTTATTATCATGCCAGATCCCTGAAGAAACATGAGAAAACACACGAACTAGAAGAAGCTGCACGAATTGCCTCTAATAATATTGCCGAGAATGCAACAGTGATTGATGGCAGTAATAGAGCAGCAATAATCAATTCGATGCTACCAACATCAGATAATAATGCGATTCATCAACGACTCCAAACAGATTCAGTAGCACAAGTTCAAACACAGATGCAAGTCCAGGTACAGCAAGCCCAAGCTCAAGCGGTGGCAGTAGCAGCAGCCCAGGCAGCCATGACCAACTTATCACCTTTTAGTACGGCTAGTGCACCGGCGACTGTTACTCCAGCTTTACTTTCTAATAGCAATGTACCTATGGATTACCTAAATAGTCAGCTAAATGCTAACACCATTGGGAGTAATAGTAGTACACTTCAGCAGCAGTTGCCGATAATGAGTAACAGTCATTCATTACCGAATACACCGCTTACCGCTAGTACTCCTGCTTTACAACAACAATCACAGCAACAAACAAACTATACTTCAATACAATCTCAAACACCATTGGCTACGGCAACTCCACCTTTACCACCATCAAATTATACCCAGGACAATAATAATGCTACGTCTATCAATACTACTGCTCAATATCATACTTCTGTTTTAACATTTTCTCCAGCTGGTTTGGTTGAACAACAACAGCAAAGTAGCATCATAACTCAGCAACAGCAATAGTTGAAAAAGACGTTTTGCTTTTTTCTCCTTCCTTGATTCTGTGAATCGCAAATGTATTTGTATACTATCTTTTGTTATTTCTCCTTGGTTTTTTTTTTTTTTACGCTGAAATTCTAGCACGCGTATCTTTATAAACACTGTTATCCTTATTTGTCTAAATATATATTTGATTTATTATTAACGCTCATTCTATATTATTCTTATAACTATGCTATTATACTTTTGACTTATTGCAATATCAACATTAATTTATCGCATGAATTATAAACAAATGCTGGTCTTCAAAAAGTTCTAAATTCCACACTTGGTAAGATAAGCCTACTGGTTCAGTATGTGACTCGTTTTCATTTCACATTTACAAATTTAGCAAAGTTGGGTGTTGAATTTAAAAATTGAACTTTCCAAAAATGTCTTTTTGACATTTTTTTATTAAGAAAGCTGTTAACAGTACCAGTCAGACAAATCAGCATGGTTGTAAGTCCTCATCATTTGAACTAGAGGGTAACGCTAGAATATTTTCAGTGAACTTATAATTTACTTGATTCTCTATTTGATACTCCATAGAAAGTCAAAGTTTTATCCAGATCTTCAAACGACTATGTTAGAGAAAGAGCCCAAGATATTCATAAAATACAACGCAATTACGATCCCAGTGCCCACCCATTTGAACGAGCCAGAGAATATACCAGAGCATTAACTGCAGCCAAATTAGATAAGATGTTTGCCAAACCGTTTGTGGCATCCATGGCCGGCCACATCGATGGCGTTTATTGTCTGACGAAGCATCCTACGAAACTCAATTCTATGATTTCCGGCAGTGGTGATGGTGAAATTCGTATTTGGGAGTTATCGGAACAAGCAACGACTTGGAGAGTGCAAGGCCATCGTGGTATGGTATCTGGTGTTTGCGCTGCAACGGAAGAGGGAAAATTCTTGTCTTGCTCTACTGATAAAACAGTTAAAATTTGGGGTGATGGAACTGACGCATTAGAAGTATATAACGGCAAATTCGCTTTCACAGGTCTCTCTCACCATCGCTCAGAACCGCTTTTTGCTACCTCTGGTGGTACAGTAGAAGTCTGGGATGAAAATCGATCAGAACCCATACATGATTTTGCTTGGGGAGCAGATTCTTATCAGTCTATCAAATTTAATCAAGTGCAAGAAAATATCTTTGCTTCTTGTGGCACAGATCGCACAATTGTATTATATGATCTAAGAACGAGCACACCTATTACAAAACTTGTAATGGCGTTGAAGACAAATGTGATTGCATGGAATCCTATAGAGGCGTTTATATTCTCTACGGGCAATGAAGATCATAATGCCTACACTTTCGATATGAGAAATATGTCATCTGCACGAAATGTTTTGAAAGATCACGTGTCAGCAGTAATGAGTGTGGACTATTCACCTACAGGACAAGAAATTGTAACTGGATCTTACGACCGTACAATTCGTTTATATGATGTGGGATCTGGCCATAGTAGAGATTGTTATCATACCAAGCGTATGCAAAGAGTTTTCGCTGTGCAATATTCTATGGATAGTAAATATGTGTTATCAGGATCAGATGATGGTAATATACGTATCTGGAAGGCACATGCAAATGAGAAGATTGGAGTGAAGGACTGGCGTGAAAAGAACAAACTTGAATACTCGGCTAAGTTGAAGGAAAGATATGGACACTTGAAGGAAATTCGCAGGATCGAGAAACATCAAAGAATACCTAAGGATATTAAGATTGCTGATAAGAGAAAGAAGGAAATGTTATATGCAGAAAAGAGAAAGGAAGAACTAAGGCGTAAACACTCCAAGAAATATGACCAGGAAAAGCGACGCGTTCCTGAGAGAGAAAAGTCTATTATTGGTGTTGCTAAGTAGTAGATCTTTCCTACACATTCTTTACGTAAATAGCCTTATCTAATATATATCCATCTCCACACCTTTTTCAATGTCACTGAATAAAAATGCTATATCTTTGTGGGAAGCCATTTAAATTTTGTTTTCACTATGTCATGTGCTCTGTTTATTTTGTGTCTCATTTCCCCCACACCAAGCGATTTGCACAGACGCAGTTCGAGTGAAAAAACAACGAACAAAGTTTAAAAATCCACTTCAAAACCCGTTCTTTCGCATAAAAACCAATTGCACAATTCAACGTTTTTACTCTTTTTCAGATCCTCTCACCTTAAATACCTATATGTCCGATAACAATATACCTGAAATAAACGTTAGCACCACTGCTGCTACAAATAACAGATTGAGACCAACTCAAACTAACGATACGACAGAGGCGACCACTGCCGCCAATACGTGTACTAATATGAAAGAGGAGTCTTCATCACCAACTATAACAAACACTAATGTTCAGCAAGGCGCCGATGACAATTTAACACATCTTCCGGAGAAATTGCGAATTTTGAAAGAAGCATTCCCTAATACAGATATAGACGTAATCGAGGCTGTTCTTCAAACTCAAAATGATAATGTTGAAAATACCTTTGAGTTGTTGTTAAGTATGTCCGATACCGACTATAAACCTCAAACAGTGTCCAGTCCTAGTTCTACAGATAATTATGATCAAAATGATACACCACCTATGCCACCAAGGCCTTCTTCACAAGAGCAGCAATCAATGAATAATAGCTCACATCCGCTATACACTTATTGGCAAAGGCAGGCACCAACAACAGTGGAAGAACAATTACGTATGGATGAAGAATTAGCCAAGAAAATAGCAATGGAGGACGAATTGAGGGCAGAACGACGTAAGAATCTTTGAAGATGGTGCCAAAAAACCGCATGATTTAAATGATTAATAATTCTTATTGATAATTAGGTCGACAAAGACATTTACAACATCAACAGCAAAGACAAAGATCACAGCAGGACGAAGATGAAGATTCTATTTTTAATTTTCAAGGTAATAAAGCGAGCTAAACGTTCTTATATGGGAGAGTAAAAGGCTTGAAATAATCATCTTTACGTAGAGGAATTGCCCATAATCAAAGAGAAGATGATCGAAGCGGGCAATGCAGCCAAAAAGAAGATGTTGGATTTCTTCAATCAAATAAAGACAAATACGCAAAAGGGGAACAATTCACCACCAGCAATAAATAATCAACAATCACATATAAATGCACGTTATAGAGGTCTACCTACTATTGATGACGGCGATGACCTTCTGATAGGTGATATCTCCGCAATAAACTTATCAGATCAGGATGTGTATGCAAAAACAGGAAGGAAATTCGATAACGACTCCAAAGTTACAGCATCACATCAAGGTAAACCTTGCCTTAGGCGCTCGTTTGAAGAAAAAAATAATGGAAGGACTCACGTTCTCCTTTATCTCTAGAAGACGGAGTAATACATGTCGATCCACCTTTATTAACAGCAGTAACAAACAGTTTGGGCAGTAAAATAGAAACATCTACTTCTGATGCTCAATTAAAGGCTGACGAAGATTTTGCACGACAATTAGCCGAAGAAGAGGAGAAAGGTCCGCCCGGTAACGATTACATATGACCTTTGCAGAAGCAGTTACTGAAATACATTTTTCATTCTATTTATCCATTGTAGCGGCAAGAAGGAGGAATCACACGCCATCTACGTATACAAGTACTGCTGATGTGAGCAGCCCTCCACAAATGCCCCCTAGAAAGGTTGGTGGCCCAACTGTAGTCATCGCACCAAAATCACCGCTTGAATTTGATTCCGACTACGAAGGTCATATACAAAAGTATATCTTGCAATTATTGTAGAGATGCTAACAAGCAGTTTCTTTTATATAACGCAGATGTGAGATTAACAGCTGCACCAACGGCTACGTCGGCAAAATATGGTACAACTAGTGGCTCCTCACCAAATGTTACCAACGCTACTGTACCATATGTAATAGGTGATGATGACGATGATGACGATGAATCAGACAATCTTGTGGATATTCAAGCTGATGATGGAGACGATCAAAAACCGCAAGAAAAGGCAAATGATGATGCTATTAGTGGCACGAAGTATAACATCAAGAAAAAACATTAACCATAGTTTCAAAAGTGCTGTTATAATTCACCATCAAATCGCCTACATAGGGAGATAAACAATGAATAATTAAAACCCAGATTTAAATACTATTTATTTTCGGTTTTAATTTAGACTTTCCTGTTACAAAATCGGATATTTTGACAGACTTTTTCAGAAAATTTAAGTCATTATTTTCGGACTACTTACTTTTTACATTTGGACACTTGTAATAACCATCTGAGGCCCGCCTCTTTTTGCACGCATTTGTTGCAGTAAGTTTTGTTGTTTGATCGGCCCAGAAGAATTACGTACATTCTCCTTAGCTGCCATTTAAACTGATAGTCCAGTTGTATTCTATGTAAATGACTCACAATCCTGTATTCTCATTGACTGCTCAGCATCTCTCTTGATCTAAAATCGTGTCACTTTAGTGTCATTTTTCCCTTAAAGAAAGCAATAACAATAGATGATTGTATAAATTAAGTTAAACGCCTGTTTCTTGTCAGTAACTGATGAAGTGACAAATAAACGTGTCTCGATTAATAAACGTGTTTCGATTTGATGTCAGAATTTAGCGCGTCTAGATTGTTTTTGTTGTCAAAACTTCTTTGTTGTCCAAATATAACATTCTAACAAAAAGTTTCAGTTTATAAAAAGATAAAAAGTTGGTACCTTTTCCCTTTTTTTATCAGAGTCTAGTTATATCCTTTAAAGAATTATTAAAGAAGTGTTAACAGTGGAGCATCAGGTAGATTAAAATAAGATCTCATCACGAGCTACTCCCAACGACTGTACTGTACATATTTAGTTTGTAACTGAGTGTTTGTATCTTTTGAGTAGCTTTTTTATCATGCCGTCAAGAGAAGTTTACCTTGAAGCAAAGTTAAAGAAAAAGCAACAAAAGAATAAAGAGATTCAGTTCATGATTGCTGTATTCAGTTTACTATTCGTTTATGTATTCTAACAGAATCCTTGAACCATTAATTTCTTGAAACATGTTTCGATTGCGGACGGGAAGGACATGCCCATAAGGGCTCATACTTGTGTCCAGAATATAATGGTAACAGATAGCTGAAGAGATAGTATTTCCTGTTCATTTCCACTGATATTTTGTTCATACGCTTTTCTAGCCAAGAAGCGAAAGTCCGGAAAAGACAACTACGAAACAAAGCAAGCTAAAGATAAAGGCAAAAAGAGAAGGCTAGAAGCGAGAAAAGCATCGCCATCGAATACTGTGAGTTTAAAACCTCAAAGGTGGATCCCAAATTGCCAAATCAAGTGCCCTTATCTAGAAGTAATGTCATTTTCGTAGGTTTGTAACAATTGTAATGGTGTCGAAATGAAAGAAGTACGAATTTCGGACGGCTCCAGCGTCTATGGTACCAAGGCCTGCAAAACCTGTGGTATAATATGGCAAAGAGATGTCAATGCGGCCAAAAATATGCTTACTATTGCAAATTCCGTATGGCCGCCCCGACATTTTCTCTCGCCATCGCCATAACGAAAATGGTGCTGCAGGTTCTATACCGACGGCTTAAAGATTTTTACGCGTTTAGGCGAGTTCATCTTGTGAAATTTCTCACTGTGCATTTCTGAGGTTTTATTAACTGCTGCTTAACACTACAACATACTCAAACAGGGTAGGTTACCTACCCTGTTTGAGTAATAGTAGTTCGCACATTTGGCATTGAGCATTTAGACAGAAAAGGTATGATCCCAAAAACTATACTTTTCATCCAAAATAATTTTTAAATTAATCTGAATTTTAATTGTAATATAGTCTCAATTTGATAGCCATTTCGTGCGAAAGTCAAGCGAAAAACAGTATTTATTTAAGGCATCTACAAGATAGCACTTTGAGTGTTCAAGTTTTTTCACCTTGTTTACTGTTTTCGTAATCAAATCAACTCGGCGTTTTGAAAATGTATAATCTTCCTCCAGTTATAACATAGGGTTTTTGTCGTGCCAATGCCTAGCCACCTTTTTATTTTTTGAGAGAGAACTCGAATAATAGTGTGGAGCGTTAGTCTGCTTACATATTTTGAATACCAAACACAGTGATTACCGGCTGTTATTAAGTATAATACACGGTTTTCAGATTCAAGAAAGAACCAAGAGGAGAGAGTACTTCAAGATATTTATACGTTCCTGAATTACAATATATCATTCCAAGCAATCCGCTTGATGATTAAATACTACCCAAAGTGTAGGAAACAAGCTTATTAATTAAAATATAACAGGGTCACAATTATTAAAATATAAAGAGTCCTTATCGAGCAATTCATCATTGCACTCTTGTTTCTTTATGTTTCAATAAGGTCTCTTTATTGATCTGAAAGTCGTGCTAAGCTGGATTTAACTTAGTGTAACAATATACATCATAAAATTTTCTTTCTTTGACCTTCATGAATGCTAAAGTAAGAAAAATGTAAAAAAAGGAAAACGCTTAGTATTTCTTTTTTTTTCTTTCTTTCAGCTCTTTCTTTGCATCAAAAGTATAACATCATATTATGAGTAATCCTTTTCAAGAAAATGTTCACCAAAACCCATGGGCCACACCTGCTGGTCCAGTCTATGGCAATGCTTATGAAGATACAGCACCTATTAATACGACTACTATGCCGCAACCGGTGACGACAGATTCTCCAGCTTTGCCTCCCCGAAGAACACCAAACAATGATAGTAACAGCATTCCTAAAAAAATGCCTTCACCATCCGATTATCATTCAACAAATGCACCAGCAAATTTTACAGATAATGCTTGGCAACAATCGGCACAGGAATCGAATAAAACGTTAGCGGAGGATGATATTGTTGACCATGGGAGAAATGCTTGGTCTACTAATTCACCTCAACCGCAAACAATAAATGCATATCAATACAGCGGTACAGCCTATGGAAATACACCAACAATGGCCCACACAAATGCATATTCTAATCAGCCAGCCGCTAGAATGGACGCTGATCATCCAGACGATGCCAATAACAAGCTTGAAACAAGCAACGATGCATCAAAAAAGAAGAAGAAAAAGGACAATGATTTTTTGGACAATGCTATGAAAAAAGATGGCAGTTTGCCATCGAAGATTAGGTTGTTACTGCGGTTCATTCTGCTCGTTGCGGCTGTGGGTCACTTAGGTTTTGCGGCTGGTGCATCACCGGTAAGCCATCTTTGATAAGTAACAAGTATGATCGGATTGTAAAGATACCTACAGAGCAGAGAAAAACTGAAGTATACATTGCATTTAAAGTTTTCCGGAATGTCCGTACCATTCAACAGTAGTGCTTGTTTTTACTTCCTAGTTGCAGTGGTAGGTACACAAGTATTGCTGTAGTATCTAGTGCATTTATGGACTACAATTTATCATTCATTTCTAATAGGCAATCTTATCTATCATTTATTCGGGCTATCATACTATATTTTATTTCTTCAGAAGATTTGGTAATGCAGCAAGCATGAAACGTATAATATTAATATTATGCGATCTCTTAATGGCGTTATTATGGGGTATTGGAATCATTGTAGAAATTGCTAAGTATAACTGTCCGCCAGGACAACATAATGGTTGGTGCAATTTCTACAATACTTCTATATTCTTCGGATTTGTATCCTTCGTTCTTTACGTTGTCTTGCTGTTCTGGGATATTTTTGCCAGTTGCTGCAGCAGTCGAAAAGATTAATAGATAGGAAAAGAATCATCAACGTTCTTCGACCAGCTCAACAGTCCTCCGATGATATCACGGGATCCTTCGATTCCTTCCTTTTGCATCATACGTACAGCTAACTGCGAATCATTACCTAATCTGCATATCACAAATACTACGTAGCATACTTATCAATAAAAAGTTGTATTTTTAACGCCATAATTCGAACTTACCATTCTTATCTGCTACATTCTTTTCCTTCATCAAATTCTTTATAGTATCCATTTTTTTACCAAAGTCGTCGATGGGGATATTAATACTATTCGGTAGCTTGCAAATACCAAATTGAACTGCTGGTCTACAATCAATCAAAAGATGGTTATCCCCTTTGTGGACAATATCATTATATTCCTACGAAACAGTACACAACATCAATTTTTATCGTCATGAACAAAATAAAAACTAGTTTGGCCAATCACCTTCGCACTGATACGCTCTTCATTTTTTAAAATATTTGCATTCACAGTTTTATCATCAGCCGCGCCATTACAGAATTGAACATAATCAATCAATTCAGTAATAGTAGGATGTTCACCACAAATAGCGCAATCCTTCTTTTTGCCACGCAGCTTCATTGTTCTGAACATGGGATTACTCATTCCACTGAAAATCAAGAAACTAGAGTCATCTAGACCAGGGACTTCCAAAGCAACTTTGATAGCCTCAATAGCTTCCAAGGTGCCGATAATGCCAGGTACTACATTAGAGAAAAAATACGTAACTTTAGCTATTTTCCGCCACTATCCATGTCTATGGCCGCGACTATACTTACCAACACCTAGTACACCATTATCTACGCATTTACCAACAGTGGCAGCGGGGGGAGGTACAGGGTGAAGACAGCGAAAACAAGGACTTCCTTTATAATTGTAAATGGTAAGCTGCCCATCATTTCTGAGTGCACTACCTGAAACAACTGGTTTTCCTGCCAAGACGGCAGCATCACTGAGTAAATATCGAGTAGCAATATTATCTGTAGCATCAATGATGATGTCGTATCTATTTGAAGGGATGAAAAAAAGAGCACGTGTTCTGTCAAAAATTACACCAAGAAATTTCAGGCAAAATTAACAAACTTACTGTCTGATTAATTCAAGCGCGTTTGTTCTGTCAAGCGTAAAAGCATAAGGCACAATATCTGCCTCAGGATAGATACTAAATTGATGAGAAAAGACGGTAAGTGGCTCTTCATTCATAAGAATCATGCAGAATTTTGTGTGTAACTCCTCACCTTTTAATTGTCATAGTTGCTGATACAGCTTTATTAATTCCTTTACGAGCCTGAGTATGGATCACTTGTCTATGTAAATTATTTGTATCTACCGTATCATGATCCACAATACCAAGACGGCCTACACCGGCTGAGCCAAGATAGATAGCTACAGCTGAACCCAATCCTCCTGCACCTACACAAAGAAATGTTGTATTACGTAGTTTGAGTTGTGCTATGATACAAAGAATCAAATGTATCAGTTATGAATTGCTTTTTCACGCTTTTAAGAAAAGTAAATAAAAAATTGATCAGTTACAATCATAACCAAAGCCTGGTGTTACTAATTGACGTCCAAAACGGAAAATCTCTTCATTGCTCAACTTTTCTACTTTTTCGAAAGGGGCAGCTTTATCTTCAGGTCCAAAAGCTTTAGGTAGAACTTGTTTATTAGCTTCTAATTCAGCAATACGCTGGCGAAGTTTAGCGTTTTCTTCCTCGAGATGGTGGGCATCCATAATTATATATAAGCTGATCGGCTGAATTGGTACTGACAGCGATTAAAGTGCAAAATAGAGCAAAATGATCTGATAATTTAATTTGAAAGCAGCAGCAAGCCACCCTTTGAAAGAAGGAAAGCGGGATTAAGTCTGCCCATCACTTTTTATCAGATCTGCATTAGGGCAACAACTCTTGTTGTACCGCATTGCTTCACGTTTGCATAGTAATACAATTCATTTTAAGCCTATAAGGCATATCAAGAATAATTATTTCTCAGTGTGTATCGTAATTGAGCCATAAATAAAAATAAAAGACGTTGTCTGAACAAGGCCTGTCATTCTAAGTTCAGTTGATAAAGCGCAGTAAAAAGTGTTTCGTGATATTGTTAAAACGGATTTTCCACATTTTCTTACATTGTTTAAAACCATTGTTTGCTTTGTCAAAGCTTTTTCGACGACACGTATATGTAATATGTCTCAACAACAACTGCGGCGAAGTCCGAGAACTAAGCAACCTATTGCTTTGAAGAAAGAACGAAACACGTCTATAGATATTAAAACTGAAAAGAAAAATGTCTTTATAAAGAAGGAAGAACCTGAAGAAAGCAGCCTCTTAATACCTGAAGACGAGCAACCCCTCATTGACAGCAGTAAGAACGATGAACAAAAACTTACAGCATCCCCTCCCAAAGATTGGAACATAGTCTATGACTTATTAGCAGAGTTCCGAAAGAAAGAAGAGGCACCTGTAGATACAATGGGTTGTGAGCGACTCGCTGATCTTGACGCTGATCCCAAAGTTCAGCGATTTCAAACACTTGTTTCGCTTATGTTATCCTCTCAGACGAAAGACACTGTTACAAGTGCTGTAGTACGTAAACTACAAACATCGCTAAAAGGTGGGTTAACTTTAGAAAGCATTTTGGAAATGGATGAAGGTGCTTTGGATCGTTTAATCCAGCCTGTAGGATTCCATTCCAGAAAAGCATCTTATTTGAAAAGGACGGCAGAAATCTTAAGAGATCAATACAATGGTGATATTCCTGATACGTTGAACGGATTAACGAGTTTGCCAGGGGTAGGGCCAAAAATGGCGTTTTTGACATTGCAGGTGGCATGGAATAAGAATGATGGTATTGGTGTAGATGTTCATGTTCATAGAATTTCTAACAGGTTAGGATGGTGTAAGACGAAAACACCAGAAGAAACCAGAGTGGTAAGCTGTTATTGTATGGTGTTTTGAGAAGAGTTTACACATATTCAAAAGCGGGTCTTGTTCCTCCGAAAATATAGAGTCTGCAATCGTGGCTGCCTAAAAATAAATGGAAAGATATCAACCCTTTACTAGTAGGGTTTGGACAAATTGTTTGTTTGCCACGAGGGCCCCGTTGTAATAGTTGCCCTGTTAGCCGTTATTGTCCTGCATCAGATATTAAGACTGTTGTTAAAAGAAAAAGAACAAATTGAAGAAAAGACTGTTGGCACCGTAGATATCAAAAAAGAAAAGTTATAATAAAGCCGGGTATTGTGTTCTTTTCTAAGGCTTGTAAATCTCAACTAGCGACAGCTGTTTTCAAGCTTCGAATTGAAAGGCTCCTCGCTTCCATTTTTGCAGAAAAGTGCTTATTGACCTAAGTATATTTTACAGTAGAAATAGCCCTCTGCTGCCAACTAGCAGTGCACGACTGTACGCTATAATTCATGACGAATTTTTTTGTAGACGCCCGTTTAGCTTGTTAGTCGCGCTGTTTTTTTCAGTAAACGTGGTTGTTCAGTGGTAAAAATGACATTATTGGCGTAAAAAAAGTTCACGGTTGCAAGATCTGTACAAAACAACAACAATTAAAAAAAAAGTTTATGACTTATTTATTGAAACTAAATAGAATGATAACTTAAGCAGCTTATCATCAATGCGATATACAAGCAATGTACGGTGAAATTAATTCGTTCAAATCACCAATACTGCTGCTGAAACATGAAAAGATATCAACGAATAATAATAGTCTTCCTTCCTTTGTCTTTGCTTTTGAATTGAGAAATTAATACCAGTTTCGTTTGTGTAAGCAATGCAGAGGAAGCAGATAGCTAAGAGCAATATTGAAAACGCATCACTATATGTCAAACTTCTCAGCATGAGAAGATGAACTCATAACTACAATTTAATGTCAATCCATGCACAAACGTCCCCTTTGGTTCTTTCATTGTACACTGAAAAATGGAAAAGGAAGAGTTCACAGTAAACTGAATGTTTCCATACTCGTTCCTTAAATTCTCCCTCAATAGGAATGTAGTATTACGTATTCGCATGTCTTTGGAGTACAAAAGGACATGTACAAGTGTTATTATGATTATAGAATGCTTTATATATTATGGGAGGTATTAGAATACTACAACCACAGATGGTAAGCAAGTTGAGTTATTGTCATTCTTTATGCAATTATAGCCGTTTTATTTCTCCCTTACATACATAAACGAATCGGTTTTTATAGATGAAGTAATTGAAGATAAAGAAAGCAGACGGAGATGCTGGAGAAAAATATATAGTAGATAGTAAAAGTGAGAATGATAGAGCTAATTTGCATGAAGGTAAAGAATTGATAGACTGAACATTGAATAATACGATTCTTATCAGTAACTTTCATTAAAGTTTTTTTTTTTGAAGAAATTGGGAGTGAAAGCCAGAAAGCAAGCCATAAATTACATAATCTTAGTTAGGAGCTACATCATTAGACGTTTGCTCATTATTGCCTAAAACTCAGTCCTATTAACGTGTCTTGGATATTATTGAAGGACCAGGCCAGAAGAGATGGATTGACGAACACAGAAGCATTCGCTTCAAGAATTCGACGTCTTCCCTTCTTTAAAATGAGCAATTTATTCTGGAAATGCTGGGTAAGGACAAATTAACTTCATAGAAGTGTCCCAAAAAGTAGGCTAGTATTTTCAAACATCTGGTAAATTAAGAGTGGAAGCATAGTATCAGTTATCACTAAGCGCGCATGTTTGGTTATTTTTGAAATCATGGTTGTGATAATTGCGTGCTTCTTCAAACGGGTTACTCATCTACAATATCCTATGTTTGCTTGCAAGCTAACCCTAATCATTAAGTGAATGAAAATTTTTTTTGTTTGTGAATACCTCTACTAAATTTAATATAGCAGCTATATGCATGAATTCTAATATTATCGTCAACTTGCGTTATTTTGAGTCTGTTTGTCGTTTAGATGATGATTCCTTTACAAGCTTTGTGCATTCTATTGCTTTTTCCCTTAATGATATAAAACATCGCTGTGGCATGCTTGTACAATTATTTTGCTGCATAATGAATATTTTAGCTCAGGCTCATTGTAACAGAGTGCTTCAAGGAAAACAGTCAAAGTAATATTACTCTCAAAAGCAGAATTAATCTAATACTATCGTATCTAGAAGATACAATAGAAAAGGATGGCACCTTTATTATTCTATACGGCAATCAAGCTTTCTTAACAGATCATTAAGTTATTATGAGCGCGAGTTAATTATAACATGGACGATACGAAGATTTCAATGTACAAGTGAAAGGGAATGCTTTTTACATAAGTAGCGTAAGTATCCATGAGTTCAAATTCCAAAAAAAAGTAAGAAAAAAACCTGTTAAGGTCGATTTGCCACAGTATCTCTTTAAAGCCTGGAGCAATAATTAGTCTTTAGAATGAGGCGGTTCAGCAATCGTGGTAGTGATATCATCTTTCAAGTGCGGTACATGTCTAACTGTATTGGTATGATCGGTGTTCTGTTGATATGGTACAATCTCATTGACATGAAAATCAATTGCATTTGGCACTTGCAAGTACCCTGTATATGACATCGGCGGAGGATTCAAATCTCCAGTTGTACCGTTGTATTGACTATTTTCCATGGTACTTGAGGGCATAGAATCAGAAACGACACTATTAGTTGCAGAGTAATAAGGCATGGGGTGAAGAGCATTCGCATAGTATCCATTATCTAGCGTTGTTGAAGGATAATATTTGGATTCTCTTCCATTTTCTTCGCGATTAGTGCCACCTATGACATTTCCTTGTGTTGATATTGAAGCTCCTGTGATTGCTGTCAGTGATGATTGCTGGAGCGGTGCTACTAAATGCCTGGGTGTGGGTGGCACAGTACTTCCTACGCCGATTGTGCTACCACAACCATCGTCTTTTTCATCATCATCTATCAATTCTTCTCCGGTTGCGGCATTATTTCGCTGATGGCCCCGATAATACGAATCGTCCTCGTCATACAACATATTATCTTGACTATTTTTTTTCCGTTTATGTCGACGTACCAAATAAAATAATAGACCCACCAGAGCAATGGCTGCTACACCGCCTACCGTTCCACCGATAATGGCACCAAGATTAGAGCTATTTTTTGACGCATGAGTTTGAGTTGATGTTGATGATCCGTTACTACTACTGTGATCGTTGGAATAACTAGTTGCTGAAGGACTGGCAGGTATATAGCTTTTGACATAAGAATAAGAAGTGTATGTTTGGGTATAGACTACGGTACCAGCCGCAGTAACGGTTACATGTACGACGCTATGGGTAGGTTTTATCAAAACACTATCGTCATCATCATCTTCATCCCTCTCCTGTCGTTTTCGAAGATGCTTTTGTCCCTCTAAATCGGTGATGGTAGGTATTGTAATGCATGATGTCCGTGATGGGATTGACAATGTGCTACTTACGCTTTCCTGTCATTACATTCAGGTTAGTCATTATAAGAGAATGGTATCACATAGACAGATCCTTTACCAGGTAAGAAGTGGTTGGTATAACCGAAATCATTGAAGGTTTGTGATATGTAAATACAACAATATAATATCTACAAGCGTCTAAGAGAAGAGATACTCTAATGTAGGTATAAAGGGTATGTTCAAAGTATGCGAGGGAAAAGGGAAGAAGAAGAAGAGCGAATCTTCGATGCAATAGAAAGAACCAGTTGATATGTTATTTTTAGGGTTTTTTTTTTCATTCACCCAAAATGGCTATTTTGTATTTGAAATTTCATCGGCGACAATCCGACGGTGAGCGTCGATTGCTTGGCTTTTACCATGGAAATGAAACATTCCCTGATCCTTGTAAACTTTCTTTAAATGTACACTGGCCAACTTCGAATGCATAATTTCCAAGAAATTACAGTGGTAGTCAAAGCCATCAGCTCATCTCGTTGTATATGACTGAAAAAGAATATTAATTAACTTTTTTTTTTTCGCATAATTACAGCAAAGCTCTCACAATCTGTTAGCAATGCAGCAATAATTGGTGTATGGACTATATGGCGGAAGACAAAGGTGTTACAAATTGGCGTAGAACTGAACTGGTATTTGAAAGCTATTGAGAGTTATGGTGCTTTCTAAGGTTTAGAAAAGACTTGGTATAATGCTTCAACGCGTTTAAGCTTTCTTGACATAGTTCTACCTATTATATATCTCACAATAACATTTAGCATTTACTCTCATCAATCAGTCATGTTTCGTACAAAATGAAGAATGACGAACGGATACAGCAGCAAGAAATTTATTTACCAAAAATAGACTCTATCCTACAATGTATAGGTCTCTTATTGGAAACCTATCTATTTATCAATTTATTATGCAATGTAAAAGGTTTGTATAATTGTAAAGAGAATCCTTTCTATAAATGAGATAAATACTATTTAGATAGCACAGGTTTCATCATAGTCGCATGTAAGCATAGGGGCCACAGCTTCTAGAAATTGATCGTGAGGGCAGTATTCATGTTGACAACCAGGGAAAATGATAGCCTTCTCGTTATCTAAGACTCTGACGTATTTTTGAGTGTTTGTTTTATTTTTGGAAGACAATACTTGAAAAGCGAGGTTGTTGGCGAAGAAGCTGAATTTCGATAATTTAAATTTACGGTTATCAATTTCGTGTTGAGAAAGATTCCAGGCCAGCTTGTAATCATCTTTTTGAAGACCAAAGAAAGTACGAAGAGGCAAAAGAGTCTCATCATGTCCAAACTTGAGATCCAAACGAGGGAATTTCTTACCAGTAGTGGAGCCATGGACAGCAGCCTCAATATTTTCAATTATAGCTTTACCCAGATTACAGGCCATACCAGCATTCAATTCCTCATAGCCGTAAGAAAGCTTAAACCAATGTTTAAGATCATCGTAGTACTCTAATTTTATTAGATCATCCTTGGTGAAGAGTCGACAGAAAGTATCGGCTGTACCACGCATGGTCACATCAAAAGCACAGCCGCTCATCAAGTTTTCAACATCAGTAGCAGTAATATGTAAGCCCAAATCCTTGGATAGACGGGTGGCTATGGTTTGTTTGTAGAGTTTGTCTAATGGCTTGACGGCTTTGTCAACGAAATCACTATCGTCGATTTCAGTTTTCCAGCGTTTGCAAGCTTTATGGAAGGCAAGCATCTTATCCTCTTCTTCAGGATAGGTAAAAATAGGAATAGCCATCGTGTTATCCTTGCCTAATTGACCATATCCCTTGAAAGCTCCCATTAAGAAGGCTGAGGCAGATTGAGATACTCGGTCGGACCAGGAAGCGTAAGCAGTAAGAGTAGACACATCGAAATCAATAGCCGATTTAACAATTTCAGGGTAGCTAGCAGCAACTCGCTCACCATGAGTATAATGTTCCATTTGACCATGCAAGTCCAACAAGCCCGTACGACTGCGAACCCATTGGTTATCATAATTGTTTGTCCAACCGGTAAGGGAATCATTCTTGCTTTTGCTTAATTCTTTGGACGAGTTCATTCATCGCATCAATATCATCATCCCCAGGATAGCGTGTACCATGGCGTTTTATCAGTTGGTATTGTTCAAGAATGTAGTCGTTATCAATATGGTCTTTGTTAGGGATGGATTCAGTAGGGTAACCACGATGTGTACCAATATGTTTTGTGACGTAAGCGATATCGAGTAGTTGACCATGTTGATCAATCTTTTCAGCTGAAGCAGTAGTAACAGATGCTCTGAGAAAAGCAATGACAGCAGCGGTTAATAACGTGACCTTCATAGTAATCTTGCACCAAGAAAAGAAGAAAGACAGGTCTTGTTAAATGATATTTGGAAGGATTAGAAAAAAACCTCAAGAAAAGAGAAACCTTAATCATTTTGAACTATTTGATCTTTTAAAAGCATAACAGCACCAGTAGCTGGATTTATAAAAGCTGAAAATAGTGAGCGTTCTAAAATCGCGGCGCAATTTGGAACGGTTTGCAAAAGGGCCCTCTTTTCCTATTTGAGAAAGATAAGTAAAACGTTTTAGCAAAACACGTACATATGAAGTGTTATACTACTCCTAATTGTTACATTTCGCCTTTCAAATCTGTACTGAAAGAAAGATAGAATAGCACTTTGCGCGGATTATTCAGTTTTGCAAGCAAGGAGTAGGGGTAAGCGCTGGGGATCAAGAATCAAACAGCCTCAATTGAAAACAATCAGCTCCCAGAAACCGGATGATGCAGTCTGGTTCCTAGGAATCGACTCTCGAAAAAAAAAACCAGCATAATGTATCATATGGATTTAAAAAAGTCTTATATGTCAAACGTCAACAGTTGGAAAGTAGTTTTGTAAAGACAAAACGCCTTGGTATAACAACAATTTATCGCAGTTCGGTAGTTTTTTTATTGTAATGGACGGCTGAAGTCAGTGATAATATGCACGTGTCGTTAGATCAGAGTATAGTTTGTCACAACAATCTATTGCTCATCTCTGACACAGAATGTCTAGTACTGTTTTTAAATCTCCGAACACTGATCTTTTCCCCAATCGTGCAGATTCCTTACATATGATAACAGAGTATATCAGCAAATGATTAGTTAATTATAAATAAATCACAATCTTTCCGTGAACTGGCGAGATATAAGCTCTACACTTGTACAAATGTACAAAAGGGAAAACTTTTCATAACTAAACATCCGGAAAAATAATGATAACAACTACATATGTGTACAATATCATAATCGTTCGATTAATAGTAGGTGATTCTAACTATTATTTGCACCATGCTAACAACTTATCCTCCTCTATATAAACACTATGGCAGTGACCTTCCTAAGACTCTATTGTGCGATTGAAATGATGTTTAGTATACTTTAACTGAATAAAATTTAAGTGGGCCACATTATATTTCTTCCTATTTCACCTATACTTTCTTTTGCTGGGTATTGTTGGTTTAAGCTGTTGAACTTGAAGTACCAACATAATTAGTATTGCAAGTGTATATTTACGACCTCTTTTTATTGAAAGCGCAAGAAAATGGCCGGTTTTTCCTTCACTGATCATCTCCATTTGTTAGATTCGCTTATTAATTTGTGCACCAAACTGATAACACAAACTTTCATAATGCATTACCGATAAAATGTTCGGAGAGGATAACTATTGTAATGTAATTCCCGTCTACCGTGAACATCGAAGTATTTTGATATCTTTTTTTGTAATGATTTTATACGATTCTGTTGAATACACGCATTCATCGCATGCTTTTACTTTGTTGGTAGCATTTCATGGATGAGGTTGCACAGACGGTAAGACTTATGGGGTGAAAGATAGTGGAAAAATAAATTACCATCATCTTACTATTTCATAATAATCGGCAAAGCTCAAAAGCTCAAATTGAAATGCACGTTCCAGCTATTATGAATAAGCCGTAAGCTAAGAAGTGCCTTTTTCAATTGTTATCTAACGAGTCGAATACGCATGAAACTCAACAGAATGTGACCAGGAATATTATATTCATTTGACAATCATTAGCAGCTGATCGATAGACCAATTGGCACGTATATTTGCTATCCAGACCCCACACCTTACTGAGGCGTGTTGATACTATGTACACTTGCTTAGCTAATAGCCTATACCATGGCCTCCTATTAGTTGAATATATACATTCAATAGCGATTTATTTATCAATGGCTGGAATGAATTGAACATTGATTTTTTTTGTATAAATGCCAAAACAGTATTCGTAACCAATCAAAATTAGCACCGCATGGATAGGAACAAATAATATATTAGTCGCTTGTTAGTTCGTCTACATTGCTGATGATGTTTGTATAATGCTCAATATTGCAGGTGCACTTCGTTCAATAACCTATAACTGAACTCCATGGCATTCATTCACTCTATTCAATAGTCGTCCATTCAAAAGTTAAGATGAAAAGGTAAACGTGAATTCTATTCTTATACTGTTTATCGCGTTCGTTATGTACGTCACATTTAATGCATATGCTTTGACATAAGTGCAGATCTCACGTTCAAAGGGCCATATTTTTAAATTTGGTGGATTTCATTATGCAATAAGCTGTAATGTACAAGGTTGTTTTTATTTAAGAATAGATATAGGAAAATTAGACGTTAGATACCTAAGATAGCAAGATGAGTATAATAGTACGTTTGTATTTAATGAGAGTTAGATAATTCATGAGGTGTGATTGATTTCTCTGTCGACAACCATTAGACTACCGATGAATGTCAGATTCTAAACGAGATAGAAGATGATGATCAGTTACATTGCAAACTTATATTTCTAACAGTTCGTAATACATACCATTTTACTTCTCACTTCAACAATATCTTCTGGTACCAAGAAGATGGTAGCACCCAATTTACGAGCAATAGAAATAGCAAGTTTAGCATTGTTGAAAGCGTCTTCTTCAGTTGTACCCCTAGTCACAAGGTTGTAGTCGACATAACCAGGCTTAATACCATTCAATACATCCAAAAAGAAGATACCGGTACTGAGAGCCCTATCCTTGAATGAGTTCATTTTTGATTGCTTTCCGCCACGCTGTACGGTATCATTAGCCCAGCGAATCATGTCTTGATCAGTAACAGAACGACCATCCTTTGTAAGTGATTTCAAAGTTTGAATGATATTTTCACGCATCAATTGCCATGTAAGTCCTAAAGTCAGAGTTCTCTGACCGTCAACAATATCTGAGCCTTGAATACCAACAAGAGAAAACTTGAGCTCTTGACCAAGTAAAACAGCATAGTTACAGTTTTCAATTTGCTTGAATCTAGAAAGAGGCTGATTTTTGCCGACTTTGCGCCAATTGACGCTACCAGGGACTACTTTATCAAAAGCTTGTAATAAAATCAACCCGTCCTGTAAATCTTCAAATAAATTATATACACCAGGATCAACGTTCAAGCTGTTTAACCAAAGTGTAAACACTAACGTTCAACAAGAAAGATCAGCATTGTATTTTGTGAATTGAAACCCGCTTCACTGACTGATGATGAACTTACTTCTAGCTTCTCTTTCACCTTCCGCATCAAAGTCCTCAATTTCAGGAGCTTCTTCTTCAGACAAAGGTTCCAGTCCAGGATGGGTATTGAATAAATGAGCAACGAAAGCCAAGTTCAGCTTGGGATTACCAGCCACCAAAGCCTTCGGTGTCAAGTATTTACGGCAATCGATCTTTTCAGCATTATCCAAGACCATTTCGGCTCTACGAAGTACATCACGCTCCTGAAGAGGAGCACGAGAACAAACTTCAGGTTTGAGTTGATTTAACAAGACAGTGTAGTTTTCACCATCAGCAACGTCTTTAGAAAAGTTGGCCACCCTACATTTTTATAAACCTCGTCAGTCATAACCATTGTAATTTCCCTCTCTTCCATTTACGACATGTTACCTTCTTTCCCAATTAGCAGCCTTCAGATGATAATTGAACCATCTTAATAAAATTTGATCAGGTGGTAATTTCAACAAATCTTCAAGTGTTTCATCATTTTCCAAAAGACGGTACAATTCAGGATGTTGCTTAATATCGATCTTGCTTAAAAGACCACGTTTGATAACTTGCCAAATTAGACCCAAAATTAAATGTTCACGACCTTCAATAATGTCAGTAGAGCCTATATTGACTACTGAGCAGCCAATGGCCTTTGCTGAATTGATGACAATATTATTGTTTTCCACCATTTGGAAGTTGTTGATCTTTTTGCCAGTATTCAAAACACGTTCATCAATGGTATCAGGGACAGCGTCGTTGATCAACTTACACAAAATGAGACCATCTCTACATTCATCAAAAAGTTGCATTGTGTGCAAAGGAATAGGTAGACGATGACCGATGTGAGCATCACCGGCAAGCACACCGTTGATATGTCTGGTAAATTCAGTACGTTCATCTTCGTTGATGGTATGGGTGACGTTGGCATTTGAACCGTGCACTTTAATTTTGTTTTGATGTACGTCGAAAGCTCCTTTATTTCTACCTTCCTTTAGCTTGGCAGCAAGCTATTTTGCCAAAAATGAAAGACACGTTAGCTTTTTGTCTCACATTCATAACACATCTTTTGCTCTTTTTTAAATAGGAAACGAAAAGACTTGGCAAAGGTTCAATCATGGACGTATTTAAAAGCCGACATTGCTTCCTTTGACTTTCAAGCCGAGGAGCGAAAGGAATTCATGGACAAAGGAATAGGAAGACTAGCATAAGATTTCATAAAGAAATGCTTGTCGCTCCCTATACCAAAATGCGGCATACCGAGTCTTTTTTGTATCTGTCCCCTCTCCTCTGTTTTATATTTACCTCAATAAATTCTTCTACATCAATCTTACCAGAGGCATTGGTACTGACGTCTTTGAGTGTAGCACGAATTTCATCATAGTTATCACTATAACCAGTTTCCTTACAGGCTTGTTGAATTTCCTTTTGATCAAGGTAGCCATCTTGATCCAAATCGATTTCGCTATTTATAATGAGAGTGTTATTCTCGTGTTTCGTCTTTTCTTTTTTCGTTGGAAGAAAAAGCAGTTACAGACACCTCTTTGCTTCGTTCTTACCCGAAACGATCTATCAAATTGTTGATATCATTCACTTGTAATTGTGGATATCTTCTTTGAAGCATAAAAGCGTTAAGGACCATTTTTCAGACGTTTATTTTGTTTAAAATTGTTTGAATGGAAAAGAGAAAAAGAGTTGAATGAAAACGGAAATTCCCAATTTTTTTTTTTTTGTTTCTGGGCGGAACAGTGGATTTTTGGGCATTTGTTGAGAAAAAGGCATTCCCATTACGTCACGTCCGTTGGTTACTTTTTAATCCTGGTATTGGCGAGTACGACAGTTGCATTACACATTTAACTCTTCTCGAGTTTACTGTTTCTACTTATAAACGCTCAGCAATTACCCAAAATATAGAAGATGTACAATGTCAAATGATTGTGAAGATCCTATTTATTTTTAGTCTGCAATAAAGACTTCATTTATTAGGGTTAGATACAGCGTTTCATCATATGTTTTGCTTCGTTAATGCTTGGAAAATAAAGTAGAATAACCAATATTACAGCAATTAGCTTTTCCACTGCAAAGACACGGTGGCAAAATTTTGAGGCAAAGGATTTACGGTTACACGAACGTAGATTTAACGTTTGTGAACATCTGTGCACGTTTGAAGGCTGTGCTGTTGCTGCTTGATTCAGTCGCATGGAGCCTACATTTTGCTCAAAGTGGCTCATTTAAGTGATTTAGCAACTTGATTTCTACAATTCTATACCGTGAAGCCGTATCCTTAACAGAAAAAGATAATTTCAAATCCATGTATTGGTATATCTTACAATTTATTCGCTTTTTTACAATAACGTTAGCAATCAATCGGTGGAAGCAACATTGACATTTTTGAGGGGATTTCTTTTTCTATTTTAACAGCCACTAAGCTCATATGCTATGCTAGATCATGTACTTTGAAGGTAAAGATGAAAAGAGTAAGAAGTGATTAGTTGATTGGTATATATTCAAATGAAAGCACTTGATAAATGCTTATAATTATTGGAACTGTATGAAGTACAAATATATATTCTATAAGAATGGAGCATAAGGCATAAAGTAGTAGTACTTTGGCATTTGGTAAGTAAAACATAAGTAATTAATTATTTCTTTTTGCAAGAAGTAGTGTAGATGAGTAATTTGTTCCATTGTTTGCTTAGTGTGCAGAGTACAGATGATGAAGATGAAGCAGTTTTTCGCTCTTCTGAAACTGGTTGCTGCTGCTGTTGTTGATTTAAATCTGAATCTGATCGTCTCCTTCGCAATGGAGAATCAGCATAACATGGTTCTTGTTGCTTCTGTTGTCTTTGCTCCTGTCGTTTAGTTGTTTGTGACGATATTAGCTCTTTTCCGTTGGTCGATTTTTGTGTGAATTTTAATAAAGGCAATGACAGCCGCTGTAGTTTTTTCTTACGTACATGGCGCTGTTTTACAGTGCTTGTAGCAGTGGGAAGTATGGAGGGAAGTGTATGATAATCTTGTTCTACTTCGTCCGTCGCCGGCAGCGGCTCTACAGGTGAGTATTTTAAAGGCTTTGGTGGATAATGTATTATGATAGGTGGTTTCAAGTTATTAAGAAAGATAGTATCAAAATTGTGATTATTACTAAATGCAGTACTATTAATGGGTGTGGTTTGAATTACTTTTGTCAAGTGCTGAGATTGCGAAGAGGTACAAATTTCTTCATTATTATTGTTATTGATATGTTGGGAAGTGTTAGTGATGCTTTTTAGTGTGGGCGGCATTGATCGCACATCTTTTCTTTTCTTTTTCAACGTTGAGAGATGGGAAACCAATGGCTGAGGGTTCGTATCATTGTCATTGTTATTGAAATGTTGTTGTCTACTTTGGAACTTGTCCCTTAAAAACATAGAAGACTTTCGTAACAAGTTCCCTACAGATCGACTATATTTTAAGGTTGAGGTGGGTGAAGTAATCGGCATATTGTTTTCTGCAGGAGTAGTGGCTGTTAGAGCATTGTCTTGAGTGATAATCGAACAGCCCTGAATTTCGGGATTATTCGTACAGGTAGAGATGGAGGAGGCCATATTTGTTTCCATCTGGCTATCATTATTGTATTTCCCTTCGCTTTCTCTTCCGCTTGCCGTTACTGCATGCTTAATTTCAGAAGTAGGTCCAATAAAATCATCAGCGCTCATATTATACTGTAACTTATTGGTGGGGAGACATCAATTTCATTAATTTCCCCAGTTTGGTCAAGGAATATAAAAAATTGAAAGAATTCGTACCTGATCTAAAGACAACAGTATGCCACTGTATAATAACTCAGCACTCTTCAAATCAAATTGTTTCAGCAAGTCTGTCGTAAATGAGTCATGAGTTGTTATTGAGATTCCACTTGGCATGGGCAACCATTCTTGATTGCCGCTTGTCATTTACTTTTCTGTTGGTTTATTTTATACGGATAGACTTAAAATAAGTCTAAGGAGAAGAGGTTTGTACAGTTTGCGAAAAGAAAAAGGAAGGAAAGTCGGACAAATCGATGTCAAGAAAGTTAAAACCACCCAGCATATGTGAAAGGCTGATAGACATAGGGGTTGTCCCTTCCTTTTACAGCTCTCAGATACAATATAAGAATAGAGCACTTTCCTACTGTTTTTGTTATAGCTACACGTGGAAATTCGACGCCACCAACTAATAGTCGTACAGTGCAATAAGATGTAGTTCTGGGTCTATCAACTTCAAAATAAATTTATTATAATCCATGATATATGCAAATAGTAAGTATGCTATTATGTTACGGTGAGTGAATAACATTAGTACTGGTGTAATACAAAAATAATTAGAGCGTGCGGGTCAATGGTATTTAAAAGCCTAAACGGTGAATAGTATGGTCTACTTCAACATTCTCAATCGTACCAAGTTGATCCCACCACTTGAATAAGAAAGATTCGCAAATAAGCTTAAACCAAGGTGTAATCAAAACGTCTACAAATAAGAAATGTTTCAGAGCACTGACTCTTCTAAGACAATGATATACATTATTCAGTAGCTTTACCTTTATCATTAAACATGGCCTTAAGTTCTTCAGGGGTAACATATTTGACATCACGTACTTCGTTGGGACTGATATTCAAATCAACATCAGCCTTGATAAAAAGGATATAATCGACTATAAGAGATACAATACCAAACTGTTAATATCTAGTCCTTAAAATCGTACAAAGGACCTAAAGAGAACTTACTTTCATGTTCACCCCATTGAGAATCATCACTAGGAGCCAAATAATGTAATCTAGTCAAATATTTAAATTTATCCACAGGCACTTGTTCGGGCTTAATACCCAATTCATGTTCTAATTTGCGTTGAGCAGCATTACGAACACCCAACTGATCTTTTTCAATGATTTCAGAAGGAATACTGAGAGGGTGAGAGCAACATGTGTTAGTCCAACGGTCAGGGAATGTGATTTTTTCAGTAGCACGTTGTTGAAGTAAGAGTTTGCCTTCTGAGTTGAACAAAAATACACTGAAGGCACGGTGTAGAAGCCCTTTATTGATATTTGTCATTAAGTGACCTAAGATGAGAATAAGTTAGAGTTTGCTGCCATTATGCTTTCGTCTTCTGTCATAGAATGCTTACAAGTCTTTTTTGAATCAGCACCAATAGCTTTATCATTTTCATCTACGACAATACACATCTCTTCCATGAGACGTGCTTGTTCTTCATCATATTCCTTCAAATCAGGTGCCATCTTATGTCTATAGCAATTGGTATCAGTGCAAGTTCAAGAGTAAAAGGAGAAAAAGAAATGTTGATTCTGGGAAACAAAGAAAATTTTTAAGAGGTTTCCTTTTTTTTTTTTTTTTTTACTTTTTGCTTTTTAGTTATGCGGACTTTAAAATTTTTATTTTCAAGCTATCCCATTCTGTCAATACGGAAACAAAAAATTCTAACAACCCTGTTCCTGACTTACGAATATCGAAGATTCAAGTTATAGTACTGCAAGTTTTGTCCGCTGTATTCTCGTCAAATCAATATCATTCACATTATTTAGCACAAACGACGAAGTTGCTTGCTAATCAAAAACATCTTATTCCGTAATTAGTAGTAGCGATAATCCATTAGAAAGTGAATGTTGCTTCGCGTTCATAGAAGTTACACAAAGAAGAATAAAGCTCTTTTGGCAGATCATAATTACAGAATATTGCAGCAAGGTGTGCTTCTGGATACTTAATTTGTTTCAGAGTACACAGGAAAGACACCATAGCAGCTTACAGTTCTCAAATAATGCTAAATGAGGGTTGACGAAATCCTTCATTTCTTAGCAATCGTGGCAAAAGCACAAATGCAAATAAGCAGTCGAGATAAAATATAGTGATTTAAGTCATGTTATAAAGTTGTTTGGTAAGAAGTCTCATTTTGATTCTTTGTATTTCTTTCTTTTTATCCATCTTTCTCAGGGCGGATAAAGTAGAAAAAAATGTTGTTATCGAGTGTAGCCTTGGAACAGCTGCAGAAGATGGAATCACAATCCAAATGCGAAAGAATTCGTTCTTTTATCCGCGAGCAGAAGCAACACTTACCTTATTATACACCAGTTCCTGATGTCATAGATTACATACCGTCTTCCTGTTACTTTAAATGTACAGACAGTGATGACAAAGGTAGCGACGATCTAAGCGACATTACTTCTTCGATAAGTGAGATTATCAGAAGAAACTATGAAGCTGAGAAGAAAGAACGAGAAGATACGCAAAAGACAGCGACAATGATTGCTAAAGTCGATAAATATACGAGGCCTACTACGAATTATATCAGTAGTAACAGAGGCATTGAAGGTATAACAATGAATTTGATGGTAAACAATGTGAACAAACAACCAAAGCAAGCCTCATCGTCTAATGCAAGCTCGTCAAGAAAGAGTAAGAAATCGAAGCAGTTAATTACTAAGCTTAATGATAAAAGTAATTCGTCAAATCAGCACAGCGGCAATAACCATTATAAGAGCAAGTTACCACAGACAAAATCAAAAGGTTTCCATCTATTACACGTAAGTTTTTTCCTTTCATATATTCTTCTTAAGCTACTTTAGTCGAGATGCTTATCATTGTGCTTTATTTTAGAAATTTGTGTCACCCAATCTGGAAATCAGTCGCATCACTGTAAGTAAAATTAACATCAGCGCATACGAATGTCACAGCATGCTAAAGGTTTTTCGGTTCTAGATGAAGAATTACCATAATAGCCACAAGAGACCTAAGCTTGGCTTGTTTAACAAGGGAAAGTCATCAGCAAATGGAATTTCAATACCAGAACTGGTTTTTTCAGAGAATAAGTTTTTAACAAGGAAGCATTATATGATGGCTGAAGGAAAAGTATCATCAGCAAGGAATAGCCTTCCATCAAACGCAAAGGCTTCGTATAATACTGTCCTCTCGAGGAAGTGTGAAGAAGCAAAAAATCGAACGCCTTCCATTTCCAAATTCTTTTCGAACAACAATGGCAGCCATCGCTTATCTTTGTCACCCATAAACAGCGCGGCAACAACCAATGCTTCCATGTTACGAAAAAAGACAATATCAAGCATGAAATCGTGTTCGAACATTAATGAAGCATTGATCAATACAGGAACTGCAGTTTGTGACAGGTCGAAAACATTACCAAGTTCAATCAATGAGAGAAAACAAACAAAGGCAGTAAATAATACCGTGGCTACTGGTATAAATAGTACAGCCACTAGTGTCTCTAGCCAGCATTGTAGTTCACCGGTTACTTATCGTTTGCGTAATTTACAGGACCTCTTTGCTCAGAATCAACATCAGCAGCATAATGATGGAATAACTGACAGACTGACTGATTCTTTTTCCTCACAACGAGCTCAGCCAAATCAGAATCGACGCAATGCTCTTGATAAGAACAATACTCCGCTTGTCATATCAGTCTCTTCATTGTCGTCATCGTGCTCTAATGCTAGTATTAAACAACTACTAAGAGAATGTCAAGACTCGATCTTGTCTTATTGCTCATCTAACGCTAATTGTAATACACAATATCAACAGAATTGTAAGCCAACACGTGCGGTATGGAAACCGGCATTGCAGGCCGTTTCAAATACCCCCGTTTTGCAGTTGATGCCTTCTTATGCGCCTCCACGACCTTGCTACTATCCATCATCAGCGTTTTTCTCAAATTCTTCCTCATCTCTTGTATTTTACAATGATTATAATCAAGCACTCGATCAACCACAACATCAAATGCAACATCGACATGCCACTGCTACGTATTACAAATGTGATAATCGCACTACTACTATGAGTAAATCAAAGAAAGAGGGTATGGTTTATGCTGATGATAGTGAGGAGAGTTGTATAATGTATGACAGATTTTCATTTGCCCAACATTATCAGGAACAAAAGCAGCAGCAGCCAACACCATCTACATTTCATCCATCAACTCCATCTCAATGTCGTCAACAGGCCTCCTACTATTATTCTCATTCCACCACCGCCACCACTGATCAGCAACAACAGCAAAGTCACCAGTACGCTGATAATCAGCTATCTTCTATTAGTAAAACAAATCACAACAAAAGGAACATAATAGCAATCAGCATTTCGAGTGATAATAGCAGTAGTGTTAAGGATAGCCATTCTTTTGTATCACCAATCCAAGACATTGAAAGCAACAATTTAAAATGCCAAATCCGGAATAATCACACCCTTAATGGCAAGTGCAACAACAGCATCAGCTACATTAGTAGTAGAATGAAATCCGCTAACAGCAATGACAGTGACAACAGTAGTCTTATATTACTTGAACCAACAATGGCTGTCTTTAATGACGAGCGAAATTCTGTCAATGATAGTATTAATGATGAAGAAGAGGATTTGAACTTACAGAATTTCTGGTTGGAACAATCATACAAAAGAAAATTATAATAGTATCTATTAGTAACTTCATTTATCATAAGTGGTTCTAATAAATATTCATCCGTGTTTAACGTATTTTAGTCTTCTTTTCCAGCATTTAATTTGGCATAAATCAAATCCAAATTGGGCAAACCTAATTCAGTCTACATGGAGTGAGGAAACGAGCGTGGATTAATGTTTTTCAATTGAGATTGTAATTATTCTTGCTTTTATAACTTTGACCAAATAATACATACCACAGTATTGTCTGCTGCCTTCAGACTTGCAATTCTTTCTGCTGAAGTCGTTGTTGTGTTATGCTTCTTTTCGGAAGCGCATAGAAAATAGCCGCAATCCTTTCGAAGAACAAAGGCAATTTATTACATGCAACCAACAAGAAAGGTTGTTAAAAAAATAAAATAAAGTAAACGAAGACTTCTTACCTTGGACCATAATGATCTACATTGCCAGCAAAAACTGAACCCACAAAAAGTACAGTCAATTTTATTGCAACCCTCATCACGGTTTATCATCATTGAGCAACTTGGGCATCTACGACTGTACTTCAACTTCCATTCTATGGTTTTTACGTCATCATTATCCAGATACGTAGAGTCTTTCCCTTTCAAACGAAGAAGCTCCTCCATATACTCTTCACAGCTTAAGTTACCATGCGCTTTGTCTCCACATTGTAAACAGAACTCTGTCTGACAATTGAGGCTACAAATAGGACAACAGATCATGATTGCTTAGCAAAGCATAATCATCACTTAAAAATACTATGCCCTCTATTACTCTACCACTCTATGTTTGGAAAGAATGAAATATGGTCAAATTGTAGGCGTCTCCATGTTTCAGGTTGCATTTCCAGTTGCAGTATCTGTAAAGAGATATCCTTTACAGATCGTTCGCTTTCCTTATTATTGCGACATAAATCCAACAGGCTTTTAAGTAATTGATGATGAATTTCAAACAGAGTTGAGTTTCTAAATTCTAAATTGTTGAAAATTTGTACAAACTGATTATGTCCTTGCCGCTCCTCTGAGGGATATTTTTCATAAAATTTTATGATATTCTTCGCTATCAGCTTAGATAAGCTGTATATTAGGATAAAAAAATAAATAAAATCCCAACCCAACCTGGTTAAAAAATCTTGCCTTCATGACTTTAATGATTGATCTTTTTATGATATTGCTTTACTGTACCCTTTTACATAGACCCGCTTTTTGTCCGTCGACGAAGAGTTGCAAGGTATCACTTCCATTTCGCATGATGGACAGTGTTTAGAAAAGCTTCTGAAGGGTCGATTGAACCTATTGTAGATTTCAATGGTTGATTCTGACAAATATTTCTTCCATTCACCTGGAGGGATTGTTGCTCGGCACACCGGGCACTTTATAACTGTTACACTTAAGCCCCAACTTGATTTCACAACTTCATTGACATATCTAAATATTATTGTTGTGTTAACTCGAGTGCTTTATTCCATTTCTAAGGTGAACTTACTTTCGAAAGCAATCCAGACAAAATTGATCTCTGCACTTCTCTAAGCAAAAGTCCAGCTTTGAATCAAAACATATAGAGCATCTTTCTAAAAAAGGCTGCGCCTCAGTGTTATTGGTCATGCTTTTGCTGCCTATGCCCCAAGAATCATCTTCTGATCCACTTATTGCCCGCGTTAAAAAGCTGTCATAACTGAAGAGAAAATCGAAAATAATATACATGTGTTTTCGCTTTGCTGACAAGTGAATAAGCTCTTGGATACATTTCAACGCCGTTATAACAATTTGAAATACGAAATGGACAGGAATTAAAAGAATAAATAAGGCAGGAGTTAAAATGAAACGCTTGATACAAGCCATAAAAACAGATAAAGATGTAGCAAGGAATGAACGATAAAAGTAGTAGAAAGCAATTGTTGTTATCCAGTTCGATGTGTATATTCCTGCCTTTGTTATGAATATACAAACGTGCACAACACTTTTTACATGTCTGCTTTTCATACTATGTAATCGTCAGTATCAAATAAATTGAGTATAGACAATGAAAATGAGAGAAATGAAGGAATTACAAACCACAGAATTAAAAGGAGATAGATTAGGTGATCAGGTCGTACAAAAGCTGCATATCTGTATGCTGTCGTCTCTTTTCCCGCTCTTTCATACCGACCAAAAAGGATTGTATCAGATTTTAGAAGAAACGATGCAAGTCGATGTAATAGGATCTGTAAAAATGAATCCAAGGCCGTTCAATTTATAATCAAGCAAGTTTTACCACAATAGAACAGTTTTACATTTTATTCTTTCAAACTATAGAGTTACATCTTTCATTAAATATTCAACTCGTCAATTTTGATTATTGGTCCCAATTGTAGTCTGTTAGCAACTGGTGTCTTTCTCCAATGACAAAAGGTAATGTAGCTCTTTGGTAGTAGTCTGGGTATAATTCTAAGTTATTTATAACTGTATCAAGTAAATGAGCCTGACCCGAAACAACTCCAGGTGCATCAGTAAAAGCAACAGCTGTAATATGTACATGGAAATGGTAATAGGAAGGTTGATAATGAATGAATAGGCGGAGTTGATTTGGTGATAGGTTGGCTTTTTCTTTTACAAGCTCGTAAATCTTCTGCTTTAGTTTTTTAAGTAAAGGGAGATGTTCACTACGTAAAGAACGCAGTGACAGTATATCCGAACGCATGGCAATGGCCACCCAATATAACGTTTCAACGCTACCATTCCATTTCATATCAGGCAATATAACAAAACCTGTGCCAGGATCCTTGTCGTGATAAATAACACGGTCCGCTTCAGCTGAACCATCCAAAATGTTATGCACCCATTGGATACGCTTCACTGGTATTTGTTTTATGTATGCTATTGTATTAGATTCGTATAACGCAGGTGTTTCAATAACCATGACGCGTGCCTGTGCTTCGTATTTCGCAATATGAACGTCTGTTGCAGGGTATATGGTTTTAATACGAGTGTCTACCAAATTACTCTTTAAAGCAGCGGTACACCAACTGTAAATGTTGTTCTCAACGAGATCTACGAATGAGCTTTTGTCTACGTATATTGGAAGTTCGGAAATGATTGCATCCTCATATTGCGTCTTCTCAAATGAGAGGATGCAGTCTTGCCCTTCAACTTCGCCGAGAACATAAACTATTTTTGCCTTAGTATCGTTCGACAATATGCGTTGAAATCGAAATTTTGCTAGAATCTCTTCAATCGTAAGCATTTTTGTAAATAAAATGCTTCAACGAAAATAAGAATTTTGACCTTCCCTTTTTTTTTTTTTAAAAAAAAAAAAAAAACGAATCCATTCATGTCGGCTGCACAAATGGTCACAGCACTGGATATTTTTTGTCCTCTACAGTCTCCCTCTTCTACTGATTACATGCTTTCGAACATCTTTGAAAAAACATAAAATATGCATAGAAAAAGGCATACTTCAACAACTTAAATATATAAACTGATGCATGTGGTTTCCATAATATTGTCGTGCGGTGATCAGGTACATCTTTGTTCGCCTTTGACAATAATTAAACACTTCTACGAGCAATATATAAATGCTGCTGTAAGTTTGATTCATTGGACCACCCAAGCCAAAAATTTGAAGTGAGAGATGCTCTGTTTATGACAAACAGTTATTTATGACGTTCAGATGTGATTCGTTTTAATCATTCTCAGATGAACAATGTTTTTCCCTTTTTACTTGCATTTGCTCTGCTTTTTCTTCTATATCTTGATGCAACGTTTGCTACTAAAGTGTTCAACGAAAAGGTTGGTGACCCTTGCCGATAATCCTCATATTGAGCTTATTAATGGCATTTTTGATAAATGATAACAATTATTTATGCCATTTGTTATAAAAGTACTTTCTCTTTCTACATTTAAACGCCTCATTTAACATTAAGGTGCTTCGGATGTTACCGAGAAATACATTACTGGTGCCTTTCCTACTCTAGGAACAGAAACGGCCAGGGCAAGTCCTAGGACTTGTTTCAGCTTACTTAATTTTTACGAGATGTGCATCGTCCTTTAAGCCTCACCTTTATTGCGCCAATCAAATTATGTTATTCTTTCTCGTCTAATCTAGATAAGATAAAATCTGAGCTTATACACAAATGGAATGGTCATGGCTTAAGGCTTGAATTGACTTTCTGAGCAAGCTTTTGCTGAAAAATCGCAATTGTGCACAGTAAAGGTACTTTATATATATTGAATGTAACCTATTAGCGATAGCTAAAACTGTAGGGTTATAGTCGAAAAATCCAGTGCGCTATGTATGACTATACGTTTCTGAGCTTACCAAAGTCGTTTACTGTTAACATAAACCGTTTCAGATATAGAGCGCGGATCCATCTGTTGGCGTTTTTTTGTAACGGACAGCGAAAAACCCGCAATGATGAAAGATAAAGATATCAAAACACTTGAGTAATTTGAGATCGATTCTTTTTTCTCCTAAAAAAAAGCCAATTTTCCATTTTTCTATTGCAATACCCATTGACAGCATATAAATGGTACCATCGATAAACCTGTTGTTAGACTCAATGCATTAAGTTAGTATAGTATACGTAAAACAAGGTTCTGTTGGAACGCTTACTTTGCCGAACCTTGTGAAAACGAAAGTGACGCATTGCTCACAGTGAAATATTGATATCTGCTTTTCTAAAGAGAAAATGGCGTGCTCTTACATCTTTTTGTTAGTTTTCTCAAAATGCTACCACTTTCCGCGGAATCAAAATACAGTATGGTACTACACAGTGGGTATTGAGAGTTGAGAAAGATACAGCATCAGGCCTTCAATGAATTAACGTATTGTGTGCATAATCGACAGTTCTATAATAAAGGTAAGTATAACTTAATATTAGGTGCAACAGGAGATAAATATACTAAGCTACTTACTTTTAATAACAGGATAGGAAACAGTAATAGGCCAGTAATGGATATCAAAGCTTTGACATACTTTGTAATTGCAGCATGTCAAGAAACATGGCTCTTGAGTCAATTATGTGATAAACATTATTCAGTGCCTTTGAAGCCATTGAAGCTGCTGTCCCCTAATTCATTGTTCCAATGCAAGTAAGTCTTTTGACTGACTACAAAGCAATTAAGTAAACAATTATAAATGTTTCACAATCTATCATTGATGGATTTGCCAAGCGTTTTGGCTTTTAAGAAAATGAAAGATGATTTGCTAAAGAGGTTATGATAGGTTAAAAGATCATTTCCCTTACAATTTGAGGGTTCTTTGTACCTACCGTCAAAACGAGTATTTGGGTAGATATAGGAACAAGTAGGTACATGTACGAGATATACGTACGCATAATAGTTGCACTGTATAGTTATTGTTTAATTTGATTTTCTGCCAAATGCTACGGCATTGCTTATCAAAATGACAATATGTAACCAAAATGTGTTTATACTTATTGTTGAATACTAGGCGACCTGTTGCTAGACCAGCAAGCGGGATTATGGCTAAAAAAAAGAGAGTTTCGGATACAAATTAGGGTCGTTTGTGTTTCTTTCTGCCCTTTTTTTTTCTTTCCATAAAATCATTAGCGCTTTATTCTTTTTCTTCTCTTCTGCTTTTTGATAGCAGCCTTCGATAATTTCTCAATTTTTACTCTTGTTATACGCTTCCCGTATTCCCTAATCAGTCATCAGACAGATATTCCAATCATATTAAGCCGAATAAGCATAGTTGATAACCAAGCAATTAGCATATCATTTTTATATAGCATTTCGCAATACTACAAAGTAATTCAATTCGAGTACGATAATACAGAGACATTGTTGCTACTGCAAAGATAATGCTACTGGACTCGTAAAGCCCAATTCTCACATCAGCACATTGAATTTTCTATTAAACCAGCAAACAAATAGTAGACCACATCTATTACTATAACTTATTCACTTCTTCAGAAACGAACTCAGAAGAGTAATATACCAAATATGAGCATGTCGATCAGTCAAATATTACAACCAGAAAGTCAAAATCCAGATAACAGCAAAAAGAAAATGCACAGCAAAGGTATAACGACGGGTGTAACGCTGAGACCAGTCTCTATAACAAATTAACCAGTTATACGTTTATCCGTTTAGTGAAAATCTTCTACACGTTCAAGGGTTCAGATACACATTGCTTTTGTACTTTCGATATTGATTTAGATGATCTCAATGGCCGAAAATGGGTGGGTGTTCCTTTGAAGCAATGTGTTGCTTCTGTATGCTCGTCAAGGTACTTTCGTATAAGGGACTATCATCACAATACCTGAAAAGCTTATTCTCAGTATTATGCAATAATTTCTAGTCCAGATCAATTGGTCGACAGCAATACTGCTGTTTACAGCGCCAATTTTGAGGAAAGTATTACTGTTGAGAACTGGTCTCATCTACACGACTCCCGCTCCAATATTATTTGGGAGGGCCACGGAGATGTGACGAACATCTTAAACGATAATGAAAAAAACCCCCTGTTAACAGGCAAAGTAGTACCTGCTGATGAGTTTAGCTCATATAAGTTCTACATAGAAGTGCTTTTGCAATTGCATCCAGTACGTAAAAATATAAGACGAATACTACGTTCAACATCTTAGTCGGTATCTATTATTCTAACAAAGCTACCATATAAAAAATATAGATACGACATGTACAGTCTCACAGCAATACAAATAGTACAGAAAAAAACGCGCATTCATACCTTCCGCCAGTGCATTCCTTGTGGTCAAATAAGCTGATCGCAACTAGCGAATCGCCCTTGTCGCAGTCAGCAACTTCGTATCCTTCTTCATCAGCAGTTGTAGAACGGCCTTTCATGTCGGCACTGTATCATCTTTCTGAATCTCACTCATCATTTAATCTGCACCAGCAACATCAACAGCAGCAGTATCAAACTAAACATGAGTTGCGTGAGTCCTGTCCTTCAATCAGTAAGTCTCCTCTCAGAACCGAAGACTTATTAGTAAAGGAAGTAGATCAAAAGTGCTCACCACCTTACCATCCTGGTCATATCAACACGCAATCGTCGTCATCTTTTATCGCAAAAAAAGTGAGTCAATGTGAAAATGCTAGTAACAAACAGTTTCCATCTGCCATACATCTGACTGTAGGTAATTATCAAAGTCTCGATAAAAAAAGAAAGCTCAGTTCAACCCCAAGAAAGCATCAACAACAGCAACAGCATCAGATGCAACTTCAAACCCCTTCTCTTGGCGCATTCTCCTACCAAAATCATAAGCAGCAACAACAACTGATGCGCTATAAAAGCGATACTGGTAACGACAGTGTCGAGAACAGTAATACTGATGACTCTAAAAGCAATAGTGGCCTTACAGGACTACATCATCAACATCAACACCACTTTCGTACTTCTTCAGCGATGTCTCACCAGCATACATCATCATTTTCAACGCCTACTCCAACCATAATCCGCGACTTATCACCGAACAATACTTTGATGAAGCCTAGCATGGACACATTCTATCATCAATCACGAAGGAAAAAGAGAGATACGAAACCGCCCAATGTAAACGATATCCGTCCATTTGTAGAAATTGAAAGAAAGCCTGACGGAAGTTATGTTCTCCCTGCAGAAGTAGACTCATGGACAGTTCTAGATCTAGGCACTGTGATATGGAATAAAGCAGCTTTTCACAATCAAAGATATATTTATCCAGTCGGATATCGCGTGAAAAAGTAAAAAAAAAAAAAAAAAAAAAAAAAAAAAAAAAAACCAAAAAAAAAAGAACTTGCTTATATTCCTTCCTTGATACAAAACATTTTAACCAGCTTATTATGATTTATAGATGGTATCGTAGCATGGTAAACCCTCATAGTGATACTCAATATACCTGCGAAATTCTAGACGGTGGAGATGAGCCTATTGTTAGTATTCGTTAAGTTGTATAGTATTATTTTTTTCTTCTTTCTTTACATTTTAACTTACATTATTCCCGTCATTAATTGTACGTATGTTATAGTTCCAGTTACAAGCTGATGATAACCCTAGTGAATGTTGGCGTGGTCCAACTCCTACGACGGTGTGGACAATCGCTGTCAGAAGGTTGGTATCGGTTTATCAATGAGCATTGTGTTTGCTTACTTCGAATTCTAATCAATTTCCTCAGAGCATTTGCTATTCGTAATATGGATTACGGTCATAATCCCGTTGGTCCCGACTTTTTCGGTCTTCGTAAAAATACAATTGCTAAAATGATTCAAGACCTACCAAACGCAGATAAATGTAAGAACTACATTTGGCAAAATTTTGAAGCCATGACACACTCAAAAGGGAAAACCGTTAGAAGGAATACAACAACAAGCTGTTTACAGACAGATAATAATAGTAGTTTTAGCAGTAGTGGTAGTAGTAACAATAATAACTCTACCCCGTCAGTCAGCTCCACGAGACGCATCACTACGTATGATAGTACCAATAATGATATGCTTTCTATGCATCGTCAACAGCAACAGCTTGACAGCGAAAGAAAGAGCGAAGATATGGTTCTATGCGAGGCGAACGGTTTTAAAGTCAATTAATTCTTATGTACTCGTTCGACAGTCAAAATAATACTTTTTACTGTTGCATTCTTGTTTGTATAATATCTTTATGTACCCTGATCCGGAGCTGTTTGTGGCCTATTAATGACGGCTTAAACTGTACAATACTGTGTTATTAATACCCCATTTGTAGTCTTTTCTCCCCTTAAAAAGCTAATTCTCTGTATAAATAGGAGTAATACTTCTAATCCCGTAATATACTAGCTCTCATATAATACCAATAAATCTAGATGAATGTATACTCGACAAATGTTATTTGAGGGTATGAATGCAAAGGCCAAAACGCGCTGTCATCATCAGTATCGACCCCAAAACGTCAAGAGATATTGCTATATTACGATTCGTCATTGCTTTTAGCAAATTCAATAAGTTGTATCGTCATTCTTTATTACTCATTTCTTCCCTTCAACAAAGAGTGCGTTTGGCAATCAGTCAGCAGAAACCAGATCATACGAGATCTGGATACAAAAAACCCAAAAAAAAGCCAGAAACCCCTAACCAGAATTTTCAATGTTTAGCCTCTTCTTACGTTTTATAATGATTTTATTGGCATTTGTAGACATTCTAAGTGTTCTATAAAACAATTATTCATCAATCAGTAATCACTGTCTTCGCATACCCCGAATTCAGGATTTTTGAGCTGGAATTATGATGTCATTTCTGATTTGCAAAACTTTCTCTGCACAAAGTCATAGAGACTGAAAAGGTAGCTGAGGCCTGATAAAACAGAAGACGAGGTTACACGTTTCAACGTTACGCCTTTACTGTTATTAAGTGACAACGGATTTTTGACAGATTATGTCGAATCTTTTGAATTCCCGAAAAACTGTCAATCTGGGTAATGTACAAAGTGCCTTTTAAGCGATGCATTTCTGCGTACAAATGAAAGGTACGATAATTGTATAAAAGAAGTTGCTTACAGTTTTTGATCTCTGAAACCTATACAAGATGGTGTTTGTCTTAGAATACTTTTTTCCTTTCATTTTTAAAGAGTGGGTAACCGCAACCGCAGATGAAAAAGTTTGGTTCTATTAACAATCTCCGTACAATCAAGCCCGTGCATTTAATGTTTAGCCAAAAAGGGAAAATTTTTGTGGGACATGTTATGTAAATGGTTACCCGTGTATCATTGTCACTTTTTAGAGAGTGGGACTCTTGTTCGAAGTGAATTCTACGATGGTCATTAAGCAAATTTTCTACTCTTCAATAGCCTGACAAAGATGATTGAAGCATTAGTTGCTCTTATCAACATGTTTGCAGTTGCGAAATGTTAAGCTTTGGATTTGGTAGAATAGCTCCTGCTTATGGGAATCCAGGAACGAAACAAGAAAAGAAATGCTGTATCTAGATATTAACCAACCTGTGGGGTTGCTGTCATTATCGTCTGTTAATTGAGCAAATTGGCACGCCGATCGAAGCGATATCACAAATATAGAGGCTTACATAAGACTGTGGGCGGTATTACATTACCTTTGAACTTAAAAGTCAGTTCGAACGCTTAGTTTTGTTGAGCAGTATTGTGGTACAGTCTAGTCGGTTCAGTTTCGGACAGCATTGAGGTGATTTTCAGATTAAAGAACAGAAAAATTGGGATTTTGAGTACAATATTTTTGGATATATTATTTATAAAATGTAGACTTACTTCCTGTAGAATCTTTAAGTCTCCCATCGAGGGGAGACAACCACATTCGTTGTGGCGCTTTGTGATTGACGACAAAATGGGCCAGGTCTTCCATGGCCAGTCCAAATCTCTTGAGCAATATGATACATGTTTTGAGCCGCCATAACATCACGATTCCAAAAAATACTACAATTTCTGCAAAAGAGTATCTGATGGATTTCTCTACTTGGTGTACGAGGACTATTCTTACATCCGACGATTTACACGAATTACAGATCTATACACACATTGATGTAAATCAGAGTTTTGAGCTATGTTTATGATCATATGCAATTGATTACATACCTTTGATGTACGAAATTCATCAATATCTAATACTAACACTAGCCCTTGTTTCTCTTTAGTTTTCAAAAGTTTGTATATTTTCCTTGAAACACCGGCTTGCAAACCTTTAAAGCGAACTTGCGCTCTATTGGTTAACCCGTCACCAAACAGTACCAGTGGCATTTTGGACTTATCGCCAAGTTCAAATGACCTTTTGTACGTATGACGACTATTCAGAGAAAAGTGAGAATACATTATTACAGTAACGCATACTGTGCGCATCATTTGAATCATTCTATTTACATGGTATTGACTGATTGATGAGCTATGCCGGGATTTCGGCGATTGTTTTGCTTTTTACGTCTCTTGTGATTTCTTTTACTCATCTGCCGTGATCTCTTCTGCGGGTTATACTTCTTTCCTCCATTCAGCAGTATGTTTGTAGCATATTCTAAGGATACTTGTCTTCCATGAAAATTCTTCCAGTTCAGCTCTGCGGTTCTGTACCCATAGAACTGATGCAGAATAGTCATATGTCCGCACATATACTGTATATGATCACGATAGCGGCTAGCAGATGTTGTTTAACAGATGGGATTAGTGACTCTATGCTTTTGATACCCTGTTGCTGTTTCAATTCTTCTTCTATCGCTTATTGTCTTCACTCCGAGCATGTTATTTTTTTTTTTATCAATCCATCCTTTTTCACTACATATGCTATTGAAATAAGCTAAAGAGTATCTCCAAGCAAAAATAAAGAAAAAGCAGCAACAGAATAAAAAGATTAACTTGGCTTTACACATTTTGGTCACTTTTAAGGCGTACTGATATGGGTTTTCTACTTTTGGTGACAAAAACATGCGCTGACTGTGGAGAAAAAGGGTTTGACACCGGCAATGGCACTTGTGCTCAAAAGATGAAAGCAGTAATAGATAGCTCTTTACCATCTTTTGATGGCGCAGCTTTCTATGACAAAAAAAAAAAAAAAAAAGAAACAGGAGCTGGAAAGGACGGGCTTGATACAAAACATAGTTGATAAGACATCAAACGTCTGTAACAGGCAACTTGAATATGCTAAGCCAAGCTGCAATATGATTGATACTACTTTCAATATTTTTTTGGACTGAAACAATTGTCTTGCAGAAAGCAGACAAGAAACTAAAATGTTGAAAGGAAATTCTGACTGCAGTATCAAAGACTGCAGCACGATGTGATTGGTCGTGCGAAACTGTCTGTACTATGTACCCATTAAGCGTGAATCAGGGAAGAGCAACAGCATGCTTTTGACTGTATATAAAGATTCTTCTTATTGAGGAAGGTTCGTTATGTGAACATGCAAGAATAATATTCGCTGAGAACGATAGTCACCCAAAGAAATGCCTACTTACGATAGATCAGCTTTTTATCTTTTAAGCTAAAGATCTATTTACCAATTGCGCTTTTTGCTAATGGAAAGGATCGATTTTTAAACTTTTTAACTTTTAGCTGATATATTTCTTTACAGCAACTAATACTTAAGTATGAATTGAGTGGATAGGAAGGCCTTTTTTATAAAGAAAAATACATTAGCAACGAATACAATTGAAATTAGTTATGGGAAGCGAAAAACATTCAATACGTTAAGAGAACAATGGCACGACCTCCTATGTAATCTTTTTCAACTTTCTAGGTATTCACTCATTATCAATCTTGACAGTAGCTAGCTTGTCAGGTGCAGAACAGACCCTTAGTGTCATGGTGTGAAGTCATTTTACCTCCAAATTTTAAATGCTACAGATAACTGAATCAGTAAAGCAACACATTTTGATCAGTCCTAAATGACTGCAGCTATAAGTAGATGCGAATAAGCTTAATTAGTTTCCTTCTCTCGAAAGTGCTATCACTCAAAACTTGCATGTGCAAACGGTATTTTTCTATTTCTATTTTATCTTTTTCTGCTGCTGAACTGCCTGAAGAAAAACGGCCTTAATATAAAAAATCTACACGAGACACAAAAATAATTACAAATACAATCGAGACAATTTTCATTTATCCAAAGCATGATAAAGACAAATAAAGGTAGTAAAAAATAGGTTTTTATTATCTTTAAAAATAAAAAAAAAAAATAAAAAAAATGGGTCTGACATATTGGCTCATTCCTATACCATAAGTATAGAAACTTAACAGGCGGCACCGCGTGTAGGTTTGTCATATAGCCGCCCTACCGAGCCTAGGCTAGGCCCAGCTCGGCAGGGTATACTTTCTTTGGCATGGGAAAGTATCCAGAAGCCGACGTCGCCGACGATGGAGGGGATACTGAACGAGGCAGACGACCACCAAACAACAACCGGAAGAGCCTAATGTGGACTTGACGAGACTTGACGAAACTACCTAGAAGAGCCTAATGTGGACTTGTAAGACTTGACGAAACTACCTAGAACCGAAAAAATTAGACCTAAGAATTGACCAGCGCTAAAGAAAAAGAACCTAGAACCTACAGAGAAACGGGAACCACCAGCCAGATGCTCCATCCAGACCCACCTCCATCGCCAACCCCTAGAAACCTACGTAAAAAGAAAGAGTGAAAATGAAAAGAAAAAATAAAATCTCAAGGAAGGAAAAAATAAAAATCTCAAGAAAGGATCTCAATCGACATCTTCGGTCTGCACTATAGCCACTAAACAAAGGTTGCTTCAGTAAACCAAACTTGAAAAAGGAGGATGAATATGACAATCAAATACTTACCACTCAAGTTTGCTGACAATAAAAGAACATAGCTAAACTCATCAAGAAAGGTTCTAAATCGTCATTTTCAACTACACTAGCCACTAAACAAAGGTTGCTTCAGTAAAACCAGACTTATAAAAGAATTGATGAATGGTATAAATTTGAAAATAAATACTTTACATTCAAGTTTGTTGAGAAAAAGAGGATAAGGAAAAGAAAGAAAACGTAAAAAACGAGCAAAATTTCCAGCTCATTTATAAGAAAAAAACAAGTGTATTTTCTTTCTTATGGAGGAATTTGCACCGTCTCCTTTTTGTTGATATTGCATCTATTAGCCCTTGTTTACATGTGAAATAAAGAGACATCATCATAAGTTGAGAAAAAATTTATGATGTGTTACAAGATAGGCGAAAACGTCCAATTTGGGCTATTGATAAAGTTACTTTTTACAGTAGTCGCAGTAGCAGTACTTTATTAAGTTTGATGGTAGATACACTTTTACTTTTGAAATCCCTTTTTCTTAAGAATAGAAATAGTTACTGATAATGGAGATATGTACACTCTTTCTCAAAAAGACAAGTAGACGCGTTGAGTTCCAAAAGTTGATTACAGACATATTATTGCCATGCCTGGAAAGGTTGCTGTCTACGTTTTTATTTTCCTTCACCTCATCCCACCTTCACTTTACTGTGTCTTCTTACAGAAATGAAAATGTCTATTTATACAGTTTCTGTATACGGTTGGCCTTGTAAGAGATGAAAGAAAAGTTGTGTGTGACGTGTATCGGCAGTGAGCCAATTCTCGTATAGACCAAACAGTGAAGTGCATGAATTGCAGCCTTTTCGGTCTTTTTTTTTTCAATTTTGCTGTACAATACGAAAAAAAGAAAGAAAGAAAGAACGTCAATCCCTTAATCACAATGCCGAATATAACCATCGATTTCAGGCACCTGGTCGAAAGCAAGAATAATGATTCACAAATGACCCGTACTACACGGCGACGAAAAAGAAAGCACGATGAAAGTTTAGTTGATCCATTCACTCAAGAAGCTTACAGAATATACCAACATATAAACAACTTAAAAAAGTTCCTCGTCTCCATTCGACCTGCTTACTTAAGTTCCACCAATCGTCCTTCTCGTCTAGCTGCAGGAAGAAGCACGAAATCAGAAGCACAAGGTGATAGCCATTCGTTATTCTCTATTTTTTCCGGTGACATTACGCACTTAACCGATCGAGAGCGTGATGAGATTGACTTTCAAGCCAAGCTTATCATACGACGTTGTATGGATAGAATCAAAGAATTGGAAGATTTTGAAAAAGAACGACATGAGAAAGAATCAGCCAAACCTGTTAGCCGACTGGCTCATTTCTTCAACGCAGTGTTATCTTCTGCAACAGAAGAAGATACATTGAATGTACACCGAAGTAGTATGACATGGTTTTTAAATCAAAAGTTGACGCAGGTTTCTAAGATACAGAAAGATCAACAGGAAATTCGCTTGAATAGAGAGATTGAAAAGAGTGAAAACCAACTATCGAAATCGATTTTTGCTCATCCTCCGCCTGATTATACGATTACAGGAGCAACAACAGGAGCAGACAACTTAGAAGCAACAGTACAACGACAAGAATACGTTGAAGAAGAGGAAAACCCGTTCGAAGAGGAGTTGACCAACGACCAAATACAAATGCTTGAAAAAGAGAATTCACTTATGCTGGAAGAACTAAATAATACGTTGAATCAAGTGCGAAATGCAGAGAAGGCTTTGTTGGAAATTTCTACACTCCAAAATCAGTTGACAAGTCATTTAGCCGCACAAACAATCCAAACAGATAGGCTATACGCAGATGCTATAGCAACAACTGAAAAAGTAAGTCAAGGCAACTTACAGCTTATTTCCGCCAGAGAACGGAATAAGAGTAGTCGAAAATTTATGCTACTATTTCTCGTCGGTGCAAGCTTTGTCCTTTTATTTTTGGATTGGTATTCTTAAATAAAAAACTGTTTGCATGCATTTTTTTTTTATTTTATGTTGCTGGGTATGAAAATATTACGCTCTAAGCGGAGGTTAAATTTGATTTGTTATTTAATGCTTTTTGCTCACCTTATGTCCCACAGGCGAATCCAACTGTAGAGCAGAAAAAAACCTTTTTTATTTTTCCTCTTTTAGCTCAACGCAATACACTTTTTCTTCTTTTATTTTACAGAAGAATATTTTATGTTGACCTTTTAGCAGTATCCAAACTATAAGTTATCATTATCAACTCGATTTAAAAGAGGGATGTCTACCTTTTCTTCGCCTCGTACAAGCGCAGCATATGGCACCTCAACTGTAAATATTAGAGATAATTCAACCGGTACAAAATGTAAACATATACGACCTAATGCTACTACTCCCAGTAGTAGTTATCGAAGAGATTCCACAGCACCGCTTATTATGACACCTCCAATTCAAACTCACGCTATAGAAGCTGATCCTTTAGACACCAACTTCACTACCTCATTACAACGCAGTCAGCCCTATTCCTCAAGCTCAACTACTTCTGGCTCTCACCACAGAAGGGGACCTCGCACTGGATTGTTAAGACGCAGACGAAATAGTGAAAGTTCAACTGACGATGAGGAGGAAACTGGACGGAGAAACGAGGCTGCCGAAGTAAATAGTAGTGACGAGGAACAAAGCAACTTTGACTCTGAGATGGATGACGATGACGATGACGATGAAAGTGAGACAGATAATGAAAGTATCGATATTGCACCACCAAAGCCAAAAGTTGTATCAGCTAGTAAAAGAAATGATGTTAGGATAGCTGGTCTAAATGCTCTTCCAGACGATAAAACAGAAGAACAATCCCTGCTATTAGAAGAGGAGGATGTACAAATTACTATTACAGCCTATAAATATAGTCGGCTCCAACTGCTTATATATCGCGTTTGCTCCCTTTTAACATTGGGCATTATACCACTCGTTTGTCGCTGGATTCCTAAATTTTATGTTGCATGGATCGGTGTAAAAGTACCATTGAAAAATGCTGAATGGCTTGTATTTGAGGTAAAGCACTTTTCATACGACGTATCTGAATAATCCAAAACTCTTGGTTTGGTAATGCTGTTTTATCTCTTCAATATACAATACAAACTAGAGTGAATACAAAGAGATTGAGATTATCAGGCCCTTTAGGGAGTGGTACAATGGATCAATAGGTTCAGTATTCTGCTATGACCAAATTAAAGAAGAGCTTGCTCAATACAATTTGGATATTGGTGAATCACAACAATTATTAAATATGAACGAACAAATCAGTCAGTTGATGCTTGTTGACTATCGATATAATCGTTTTGCTTATCATCCATTATTGCATAAATTTTTAAATATCGGGTAAAGTATTTACACCCTCTCTTCACACTGTTGCTGCGGTGGTAAATGTGAGCTAACATTTTACACTAGGTTTTGGAAAGATCAAACATGGACTACTACCAAGAATCTCAAATCTGGACTATTAGCCGAGAAATATCACGCGAGATTATCAGTTTTTGGACCTAATTTAATCAACATTAGAGAAAAACCAACATCAAAATTGCTAACGGACGAAGTACTGAATCCATTTTATGTATTTCAAATTGGCTCAATCTTATTATGGAGCATGGATGATTATTATTATTATGCATTCTGTATCTTCTTGATCAGTGCATTTAGTATCATTCAGACCCTAATTGAAACCAAGCAGGTAAGGGTTTATTATGCGTTTGCTTCGGAGTAAAAAAAAGAGTTTGCTAAAACGGTTTCCAAAACCTTATTTCCCATATGATAGACAATGAAAAGAATGAAGGATATGTCCTTTTTCGAATGTTCTGTCAGAGTATTTAGAAGTGGTTCATGTAAGCAAATCAAGATTTGTTGGAATACCATGTTTCTATAGAGGCTAATTCACTCACTGCAAAATTGATCCTTTAACGTTCCTCAGGGCAAAATATTAGCTCAGTGGAATTAGTACCTGGTGACTTATTTGACATTACTCACATACATACCGTTCCTTGCGATGCAATGCTTGTTTCGGGCGATTGTATCCTGAACGAATCCATGTTAACTGGCGAGTCTGTTCCAGTTTCGAAAGTACCTATTAACGATACAACACTACGCAAAATGAATTTATCATCGTCCAGTATACCAGCAGAAATATCCAAGCATTTTTTATTTATGGGCACCAAAATGGTACGAGTGAGAGGAACAGATAATATCTCAACAGCGACTGCCATTGTTGTAAGAACTGGTTTCAATACAGCAAAAGGTGCACTTGTTCGGTCGATGCTTTTCCCGAAACCTAACAATTTCAAATTCTATAGAGATTCCTTTAGATTTATTGGTGTATTATCTATTATAGGTAAAAACGAAAGGGTAAGCTTCAGAAGAAGCTTGCCCCTTAGCGAAAAAGGTTGCTTATGATAAGAATTTTTTTTTACTAACGAACATTAAACTCATCTTTTATGTGTAGCTATTATCGGTTTTTTGATTTCATCTGTCAATTTTGTGCGCCTAGGAATAGACACAACAACAATGATCTTGCGTGCATTGGATCTGATCACGATTGTTGTACCGCCAGCATTACCAGCTACACTATCCATCGGTACGAGTTTTGCCATTGGCCGATTGCGAAAATTGGGTATCTTTTGTATTTCGCCTCCTCGAGTCAATATCAGCGGTAAAATTGACTGTATGTGCTTTGACAAGACAGGAACATTAACAGAGGATGGATTGGATATTCATGGGATAAGGGCAGTTGTTACTACTGCTAATCATCGAAAACTTTTTGATGAAGAATGCCAAACGATCGCTCAAGTTGATCCCAACAATGACGATGATCCTACGTCCACAAAGACCAAAGTATTACGCACTATGACAACTTGTCACTCTCTTAAAATAGTAAATGGCGAGCTTTTAGGCGACCCTCTCGATCTGAAAATGTTCGAGTTCACCAGATGGGAGTTGGAAGAGAGTGGTGGAGCAGCGATCGCTGTAGCAGCAGCGTCATCATCTAAGAGTACCAAGCGTCGAAGTGATTTGGCTTTGGAAACAAAAAAGAGTGCCAAAGTTGGCATTGTACCTACCGTTGTTCGGCCTCCTGGTGTTAGTAGACAGGAAGAGGTCAATATATTGCAACAACAAGAAGAGAGTAGTGCACCACCGCCTATTGAATTTGGCATCATCCATACATTTGAGTTCGTTTCTTCTTTAAGGAGAATGAGTGTCATTGTTCGTAGACTTGCAAGTCCAACCATGGAAGTGTTCGTAAAGGGCGCTCCTGAAGTGATGAAAGATATCTGTACGCCAGAATCGATGCCTGAAGATTTCAATGAAAGACTTTACAAGTATACACATTGTGGTTTCCGTGTCATTGCGTGTGCCTCCAGACAATTATTAGGCGTCAAGTATCACAAGCTTCATAAATTGAAAAGACATGAAGTAGAGACAGGCTTAACATTTTTGGGGTTCATTGTCTTTGAAAACAAGCTGAAGCCTCGTACAACGTCAGCCATTACCACTCTACGTACTGCTGGAATCAGACAAATCATGTGCACAGGTTAAGCGTTGCATTTGATTTTATTATTGAGAGTTCTCCAATATCTAAACCTACTCCCTGGTATTTCGTTTTAGGGGACAACGTCTTAACCGCAATTAGCGTGGCCCGAGAATGTGGACTCATCGATCAAGCAGCTGAAATCTATACCCCTCGATTTTTGAAGGGTTCATCAACAGACCCAGACTCTGAGCTTTGCTGGGAAAGTGTTGTAAAAGAAGGAGACGAATTATCTAAAGACACTTTACAGGTACTTTTATTTGTTTACTCTTCTGGAGAGTTTGTGTCTGAATCTTAACTTTTTAACGTTCCTCCCTTATTGATTGTCTCTCAACTTTATATCCCCTAACTTTATTCATACAACCTATTAGCCCCATACTAGCATTGCTCTTAATGATCGCTACGCTTCGTACGGTCAACAAGAATATTACTTGGCAATCACGGGTGAAGCTTTTCGTTGGATGGTAGATCATGCGCCTACAGAAGCCCTTCAACGAATGCTTGTGAAGGGCGCTATTTATGCTCGTATGTCACCTGATGAAAAAGCGGAACTTGTTAATGAGCTGCAAAGCATTGGGTATTGTGTGGGTTTCTGTGGCGACGGCGCAAATGATTGTGGTGCATTGAAAGCAGGAGACATTGGCATATCTTTATCTGAAGCGGAAGCATCTGTTGCAGCTCCTTTTACTAGCAACACTATGGACATCGAATGTGTTATTGACGTGATCAAGTAGAGTATTAAGTGTAAAATTGCAAGGAGTCAAAGATACTAATTTTAATTTTACTATTTTTTATTGCGATAATCTTGGTTTCCTTTCTAAAGGGAAGGAAGGGCTGCGTTAGTTACCAGTTTCAGCTGTTTCAAGTATATGGCGTTATATAGTCTTATTCAGTTTACTTCTGTTACACTTCTATACGCCTTCGGTAGTAACCTAGGCGATTTTCAATTCTTGTACATCGATTTATTTCTGATTCTACCTATTGCTGTGTATAGTAAGTTGTCAAAGCAGTTGCTACGTTTCGTATATCAGCAGGGATAGATTTACTGATACTTTTTGCTATGTTTAGTGGGGCATACAGCTGCATGGCCGTATCTTCATAGAAAACGCCCAACAGCAAGCCTAGTTTCGAAAAAGGTTTTAACATCGTTGTTGGGACAAATTCTGATAACTTCAACATTTCAATGCGTCTCCTACTGGGCTGTGCATCAACAATCGTGGTAAGAGGAACTTCATTGTTGTTGTTATTGGTTGGTTTTTTTTTCGGTTTAAATGTTGCACACTCTAATTGTGATATTTTCTTGCAGGTACGAACCTCCCACATTCGACCCCGATGGGCAAAATATCCTATGTTACGAAAACACTGTTCTATTCCTTGTTTCAAGCTATCAATATATGCTTGTTGCTGTCGTATTCAGTGTTGGGCCACCTTATCGAAAACCTCTTTGGACAAATGATAGATTGGTTTTGACATTAAGTATCCTAATTGGCCTTACTTCTTGGTTCGTTCTAGCCCCGCCAGCTTTCGTGCTGGATTGGATGGAGCTGAAAGTCCTACCGTTGTCCTTCAGGTGGTTTATCTTATTTTTAATCACCCTGAATCTCCTTATCAGTTTACTTTGCGAAAAATACGTTTTTGGTCACCTTTTGGAAGTGTTTCCCAAGCTGTTGAGCAAAATACTGCCACGTCGTTCCGGTGGATACTTCCTCCTTAATAATGGTAATAATACCAGTCATAACGGAAAGATCTACTATAGAATAATGGACGAAATGGGGCTACATGAAAATTAATAATGCTCTACACTGCACTATGTTTCAAATGGAATAAAATAAGCTTGAAAAACTCACTCAAGCCTTGCATTTTTCTTCATCGTATAACAGTTCGTTTGCATCAGCTTGCAGTAGAAGGAGTCTACAAAGCACCTACATTATACTTTTGAGGGCTTTTTTTTTTTCCCTCAATATTAGAGTGTGGTGGTATGACAAACAAAAAAGGGGAGCCAAAAGATTGGGTTTCCTTTAAGGAATAGTAGGCTGTGAACGACCTCTGTATGTACGAGCAGGAGGCGGTTACGTTTTGAGTATCCGTACAAAGGTCACGCAGATGAGGGAGAGTAGCCAAAAAAGAAAGACGCGAAAAAAGCTAAAAACATTATGTAAAATGTTTACTTTTAACTTTATTGCTGTCTCCCCTTTTTCCTATTCACTTTTTTCTTTTTAATTGTTCCCTTCAAATCCTGTAATACTTAACTAATGGACTATCAACAACGTGATGATGAATTTTTCAATAATAAAGCCTTGATAACATCGCAGCAATATCAATATAGCTCCAGCGACCCTATGCCAGGTAACAGCTTATTCCACCAAATGCAAAGTAGTAGGAGCAATAGTCATTTCCCGTTGGTGGCATCTGCCTCCAACGAGTATTACGATCCTGCAACCACGTCCAGTTGGTATTATAATGCTACTACGGAAACTAACTACGACGATCTAAATCAAGCCGAACGTGGCATTGCTGGTTTTGTATCAAAATTATATCAGTAAGTTATTCATGAATAGTTTCAAATTGATACTTTCCAAAAGATGATATTTTAACCTTTCAAGAAACGATGTAGGTGCTTGGAGGCCCCCGATAATGGGCAAAAATATGCTCGTTGGTGTAAACATAATGGAGTTGATATGTTCATAATTGATTGTATACCAAGTGCGTCAAAAAAAAAAAAAAAGGATGAAAGTTGATTAATTGCACTTCCTCAGTATTGGACTTACTCTTTTCCATTGCTAACATCAATTAGAATTTACGGAAATTGTACTACCACACTTATTCAAGCATTGTAAATTCGCCTCATTTGTAAGACAACTGAATGTAAAGTGTGGCATTGATTTTATTGGGATTTTTGCGCTCTATAAAACCACATATAGACGAAAGGTGTTAATTAATAAAAACGCGTTTTTTTTTTCTTCCACATATGTATAGATTTACGGTTTCCAAAGGGATACGGACGCACGCAAATCGAAAGGAAATCGAGATAAAGAAACTTGCCGCTGGCATCATATTCACTTCCGGCCTGGACGGCGTGATTTATTTCACTTGATACGTAGAAAATCTCCACGTTATACAAGGAAGAGAAAGCAAAGTTTACGTTCTGAGAGTGGAGAAGGGGATGATGAAGATCCAGAAACTGTTCTTAACCTAAATTCAGGAGATGATAACGAATCGTCTGATACATCCTTGCCACAACGAGAAGAAGATAATTCAGAGCTGAAATGTGAACAAGAAGAAGAAGAATTAGAAGGACAAAGCACGGGCAGTTTAGGTCAGTCATTAAGAGGAGCTTCTCCTGCACCTTCATCTTGCTCTACTTTCAATGTTGATGGGAAAAATAAGAATCTACAGCGGGAAAACTGTCGCTCATTTCAGCAGCAAAATGATGCCACAATTGCAGATCATTCTTCATCTCAGTTGCAGGAACAGCAAATGTCAATGCGAACTGCTGTTGCTACTCCAAACCTAAACCTAATGTGCCACAACAAACCGGCATTTCCTACTGAATCAGAGACAATACTGCAAGGCTCCGCTTACCCTCCTTCTCTACCATATCTTACCTCTGCTACGATGTCCACGGGTTTGTCTACACCAGCTGTACATGACGGCTATAAGCGGCTATCATTTGATACATCCATTGTTCGACCAAACCACGTATTGCCACAAGAGTTCTTACCATGTGCTAAACCTGAAGAAATGTTAGACATTGACACGGAAGTTAATGGTCAGGGTCAACATGCTCCACAAATAGTGATGCAAAATGAAGAAGAGCAGCTTAAAATGCAATTACTACAGTTGAAAAGAGACTATTTCCAAATGTACAATATCCTAACTGGTGAAGTGAATAAGTCATTGCGCATAATTAAAGCCCAACGCTCCAGAATTGAATTTTTAGAAGGTGTACTGCATAATGAGCAACATCAACGTCAGCAAATCAATTTTTCAACAGACGATATATCAACATCCATGACATCGACACCTACGATATATACCCATCCAACAGATGCATTCTTGCCTTTACGTCAGCAAGAGATGAGTAACAACAGAGGCATCGTACATTCTCATCAATACCACGAAAATGAAGTAACGGTAAGCACACTTACACCTACGGCTTCTTTATACCCCACAGTTACAACCCATCATAATCATCCATCTGGCTGTTTAGTAAACGAGCCTTTTACATTTGACGTACTTGATAATCATGCACAACTTTCATCTGCAGCCTTTACCGTAAGCCCACAGCATCATGAATGGTTTACTTGACTTTCCATGGAATTTAACAATGAGAAAAGTATTTATGCCCACACTTTAATATCCTTATATGACCTAAATTATGTCTTTTAACGTACATTTCACAATTCTATGCTCCATTTCTCCACCTTGTTTTTTGACTATTGCAGTCTGATTTTTGTATTTGTTCAAGCTATTGTTTAATAACAGACGATGTTATGAACTAGTCTCCTTTTCTTGGTATTTTTTTTTCCCTTTATTGAATGCAGGCAAGCTCTACTTGATATACTCCAATAAGAGTACTATTATTACAGATAGTAAATTGATGAATTAAAAAAAAAAGTAAGTCTCTCTGCAATGTAATCACGACTTATTATAGCTTGGAATAGACTTGAGACCTATAGTAGTTTCTTCTTTGGAGTTGATGTACCCTACACCAGTCTACCAATATCGAGAGCGAGTGAAATATGACTGAGGAGGCCTTCCTTTTTTTTTTTTCTATAATCTGATGGCTAAGTTTTGTTTGCATGGCATGAAAGTATAATGCAGTGGCATGTTTCCTGATTTGCAAGTCCATAAACTACTTTTTTAGAGGTTCGGATTTTAATAACAGACGGACTTTGTGAATTTTTATGCATCATGAAATAACCTATTGTTGAAATCAAGGACTTTAGCGCTACGTGTTGGGATAATTCCCGACTAGTAGCTTATTATGACGAGATCAAAGCTTTATTTCCGCGTTCTATTTGTATTAACGTTATGATCGTTGTGGTACTGTCAATTACTATGCCCGCTTTTAGCCCAAACAAATAAAGGATTTGGCAGCAATAGCGGAAGTAAGGCGAATTGCAAAATCAAATTAACCTCGTAGAAATATTCGAAAAAGAGGCCGAGTAAAAAGAAGCAAAGGCAATGGAGTTTATTCTACGTGTATTTGTTAGAAGAAAAAAACCTACTGTCTTAAGTCTTTAAACGACAACTTTTTCTACTTGTTCCTCTCTTCGTCTCAGTTCCACCACTTTTTTGTTTTGAAATTTTCAAACGTCTTTCATGGAAACTACGACAACCAACTCTTTAAACAGCGGTGGTGAAACGACACCACTTTCCTTGGAAATGTCTTTTAATAATGGTATACATCTATTTGTCTCTAAAGTGAAATGAAACTGCGTTACGCCATAGCAGTACTGACCCTTTCGTGCATTATCATAATGAAATAGCTTATTTAAAGCCCTCCTCTAATAGAGGATATTACTCTTCAGATAGATCAAGCGGAACAACAGCTGTAACAGCCGATACAACAGCTACTACAGCAGCTCTAAAGGCGAAAAGTACTAAATCAGCTGGTAGTACACCGCGCGTGATTCAATATGACCCTCATATGGGTACAGATCAATCTACTATGACCGTGATTTTGGAACAAGCTGTATCCAACCCTAACAATACAGAAGAAATCAGACCAATGAATGTCTGTTTTGGTCAGTTAATCGTGAGTACGAGTCAGCAGCAACAACATGCTCCCAGCGCTGCTCCTAATAACACATCAAATAGCCACCTTATGTGGATCACACTGGTAGCCAGAGTACCGAGATTTTCAGACACAGGTGTGCAACGTGGAGAGCCAGTTCCATTGGCTGTTTGTACTTATACATCAATAACCAAAGATACTGCGATTGAAACAATACCTTTTGGTACGTTTATCTATAAGAATGCCGCATCATCATCAGGAAGCGAAGGTAAAAATAAAAAAAAAAGAAAAAATTAACGAAAACTTATATTGGGAGAAGCCTCTCTGAAGTAATCAATTCCCTTTTTCTTTTTTTTTTTTTTTTTGTGTATCCCATTCCTTAGCAACCGAAATTGGCAGAAAAAGAGTTGTCTCCGAGGAATTTGACACATATCAACACCAAAAGCGTGCCCACCAGCAATTGGATGATGAGCAGCAACTATTCAGTCAACTTTTGGCACCTTTTGATGAGTCCCCTTCTGCATTTAACCCAGCCACTTCCAATAACAGCACGACGACCAATGCTGCTACTGCGATTTCAAATTCAAATCAGGCTTCTTACAATTTCCCTGCCCACCATGAACAACATCTTCAGCCGCACCCAGCACAACAACATCATAATCAACCAGAGCTACAACCTTATCCCTCATCCTTGCCGACGAATATTCAGGCTGCACCAGTAGCCATCGCTAATGATTCTTCAAATGCTAATACTTCTTATTTGAACTATCAGCAACACTATTCACCTTCTTCGCTCGGTACTAGCGGCGCAATGCCAACTCATCAACAACAGTTGCAGCAGTTGGCTGGGCCTCCTGCTACACACTATAACCAACAGCCGCATCAGCAACAACAACACCAGCCATATCAGTTCAATTTAATGCCTGCTTCTATGACTGCCCCTCTGGGTAATATGAAAGCGCATTACTATTCTTCCTCTACAACAAACAATGGTTATACCGCTGCAACTACAGGCGCCAATCCTACTGCTTCTGTGTCTGCTCCTACGTATTATGGACAAACCCATACTGCCTCTTCTTATCCTTATCAACCGCAACAACCGCAACAACCGTATCCATATCAACAGCAGCACCAGCCTCAATCCGCTATTTCGCACCCTTCGACCACTCAAATGATTATCCCATCTGTACCCATGTATGACACTAATATAGCACCTTTTGCTGGTGTCCTTAGCAAGGCCAACTTGAAGATCATTGGTGACTTGATGGAGATGACCTATGGTTGGAACGAGAGGGAGTGGGCCAACGGACGGCGACTTGTTCAATTTTGGAGACGACAACATGTTGGCAATGGTGAGGGCTCCAGAAATATCAATGATAGTGCTAGTAGTAGCAATGATAATGAAGTAGAATGCGGTTTTAAAGCAATCGACCAAGAGGAATATCAACAACAACGTATTCGCGAAAACATGGCTTCAAAGTACACGGCCACCACTACTACTACGCCTAATACAATAAATGGTCATACAGCAAGTAACAGTACAAATGGTAGTGGCAGCATGATGAGCTCGACCAGCATGAAGAAGGCAAACCCACTCATCATCTCTTGTATATATTGGCGTGAGCATAATGATTTTTACATCACCTCTGTAGACTGTATCTTTCTATTAGAAGGCTTAATTGGTGTGGAATTTACTGTAGAAGAAAAAAACCGTATACGTCGTAACTTGGAAGGTTTCCGTCCGTTAACAGTGAGCAAGTGCAAGCCTGAATGTTCAGAGTTCTTCAAATTGATCATGGGATTTCCTCATCCCAAGCCGCGTAATATCGAGAAGGATGTCAAGGTATTTGCTTGGAAAACTTTACCTAGTGCTTTAAAGAAAATAATACGCAAATATACACCAAGTTATAGCAGTACAGCAGTCGTAAATATTAATGCGGCTTCTGGCAATAATGCTCTATAATGACTACATTAGCAACTTCATCCGCCTTTCTTTTTTTTTTTTTAATCATTATTACAAAACATACTGTTCTATTATCTATTAAAATTTTACTTATCAATAACTACAGATATACATTTCTTTTTGTTGATTGGGGAGTTCATAGGAGTGAAGAAATACCCTGGAAGAATAAAATGAGAGCAAGAATAGGCTATATGAGCAGCAAACTATGAGCCAGTGTGCTATCATGCCGATAGAACTGAGTATCCATTCTTTTATCGTCTATTTAACCAGCAAAACATAGCTGCTTTGCCTGAAGGGGCTATGTGACAACAAATGATCGTAATTTTCTCACAGATGCTGGTTATACTACTCATTCAAAAGGCTGTTGTATAGTGTTTGAGTAACCCATTAACATATTATAAATCTATCTATATACGTAAGAACGCAAGCTGAGAAATTATGAAAAAGTATTTATTACCAGTGTCACTGTTGACGACGAGATAGGTAACGTTATGTAATTGCAAAATAGTAAAATTCAGATTAGAAAAGTGCCAGGAATAAGTATGAGAATTACTAGGGATGGAGTTAAGCCCCAAAGTTAGAATTATAAGAGAGGATGGGGAGCTATCATGATCATCATGTCTTTTCTTGTCATACGTGTATATAGGTACATGTATAAGAATAAAAAAATGAAATGAACGGATCAAGAATAATTTTGAATGACATAGAGGAAAAAGAACTTTTTAGTCGTCATTTTCGACGAGTGTATTTGCAGAAGTGATGACTGAATTCAGTTCTTTAAAAGAGTGCTGTTGCTGTTGTTGTTCTGAAGATAATGGTGATGGCGGTGGAAATTCTTTAGTCATAGCCTCTTCCATTTGTTGCATGGTTGTACTCAAAACAAGCGCATCACCTTGCTGTTGCGTCAATTGCACAAGACAACAATGAGCATCGGGCATCATCAGCAGTTCAATACGGCACTTCACTTGACGTAGCTTGCCTGTGCCATGTGGAGGCTTCCATAGGATCTCTACTTTGTATCTTGTAGTACCAGCACGGTCACTCTTTTCATAAAACCGTGCCTCCACGAACTGGTTCATGTTTTGATGAAGTGCCTTTAAGATCTTTACGGTATCCGTACTATATACAGTGAGAGAGCATACTTTGGGCTGCTTGAAGAAGAATAAATGGTTGAGCCATGATGCTTTCGTGGAATGTGTTGCTGCTGCTGTCTGGGTTGAAGAGACAGTACTATGAACACTCATAGATTGATTGCTTTTGCTACCCATAATCTCCAAAATGGGAACATTTGAAGTGGCAATAGTTGAACTGTTGGAAAGTAAGCTAGGTGTAATAGGTCGGTTGATATGTTGTTGCGATAAATTGGATGTACTGATGTTGCTGCCCCGGCGATCCACGGATTTGAAAGATACTTGGCTTGCTCTTCTGGCAGTATTGTTAGCGTTATTATTGTTATTCGTCGTAGCAGTAGCAGTAGTAGTAGTAGTAGTAGTAAATGCAGTGGTAGTGGAGGCCATAAGCATATTTTGATTGGAGTGCCTATGCATGTAATTTTTAGGGACAGCAGCTGAAACCGTAGGAGTACCTACAACTGGAGATGGTATGGTAGCGGCAGTGGTTTGATAGACAATATTACTGTGAGAACTGGAACATGTACTACTGCTACTACTTAATGTACTACCATCAGATAATGCAGGAGGAGGCAAAAGACTTGATTCAGATGATTGGGCTGTAGGTGGCTGCTGCTGCTGCTGCTGCTGCTGTTGCTGGAACGATGCAGCAGCAAACGAGGTAATCTCAAACTTGGTATCCAAGGCGTCTTTATGACTGCTGGCGGGTCCGCCAAACATGGATATATCCACTTGTTTGCGTTGCTTACGAGCATTGGAACCGAGTGTAAAACCAAATCTTGAGTCATTCACACCTTTGAAAGCATTTGGAATACGTAATGACATGCGCTTAGCCTGTAAAGTAGCGTGTCTACTAGGAGAAGCAGACTTTTGATTGTCTTCCGCTGACTGGTTTGCATGAACGGAATCTTCGTCCTCTGAAGGGTCGATTCTGTTGCGTTGTAGTATAGTGCTTGCTGGCCTAACTGTCCCTTTCGTTGAGGTAGTATGGGTAATAGATGTGATGGCAAAGTCAGTTGTGTTAATGGCCGTGCGATGAAAGGGGTTTTTGCGACGGAGGGTTCCCACGAGGGTGGATGTGCCTGATTTGGGTGTAAGTGCAGGCGCACCTGCTTTAGAAGGATTACCACCAGGAGTAGCAGCAGCTGCATGAGCGCTTGTAGTTGTTACTGAATTGTTTATCATTTTATTGACAAAAGTATCCGTGGTATTCCTGCATAAAGACAGGAAGTTGTGGAGGGGGGGGGGAGGATTTTCAGAAAAGCACAAAGAGCATTTGCTGATGAATGACGAAAGATTCTTACCTTGGTTCTTTGCTTTGCTGCTTTCGTGAAGATGATAGTACACTCTTCACAAAACGTGTATAAAAGGTCTCACTCTTTTTCATTTTTGATGGCTTTTCAAGAGGGAGGGCGGGTAAAGGAGGCTGGGCGGGATGATTGTTTGTATTGATCACAGGTAGTTTGGTTCGTACAGTAGCAGCGGAATGGCGTCTCATCAAGTCTTTTTGACTACTGTTGGTGGGCGGAAAGGGAGCGTCGTTAGAAAGCCAAGGCGCTGAGGGTCGAGGGACAACGGCAGAACCACGTCGAGCAGTCGTAGAGGCAGTTGTATTCTTTGCATCGAGCATAGAAAGAGACTTTCTGTCTCGATCAGAACGATGAGTGATTGTTCTATAACGGCGTCTTGAGGGGTCTATCATAAGAGGAATGAATAGAAATGAGTTCTTTTTTTTTTTTTTTTTGGCCGATGATCACCTGAAGACTATGAGGTGAGTTATTTTGGGCATATGTATACCTGCAGAACTGCTCTCTTCATCCTCGTCACTTTCATCAGCATGATCTGCTTGCCAATATCTTTCGGCATGTTGTTTTAACAAGACATAAACAACTTTTTGCATGTTGTGTCTAAGAGAATAAATGACGATGCTTAGGTTGATGCTGTAATAGGGCACTTTGCTTTTTTCCGGAAGTTCGTGGGGGATAATAAGAAATAAACTTACTCTTTTTGAAGGAGTGCTCTGATAACATTCTCATTACTTGATTCACTCCATAAGAATTTGATTGTCTCCAAGATACGATCATCAATTTCCGATGCATCGTGTACGGGCCGACCAATTTCTTTTTCTGTTGGTGGAACTGGTAATGTAGATATATTGAGAGGAGGTGTTTCCCGGAACCATGGATGAGACATAATTTGTTGCATCTAAAAAGAAACTGAACGGTTGAGTCTCATTCTCACTGACCAAAAATAAAAAAAAACTGAAGAAAATTACATTGAGACGTTTCGATGGGTCTACTACCAAGATACGTCGGATAAGGTCTTGAGCAGGTACAGAGATATTGTCAGGCATGGTATATTTTCCTGATTTGACTTTTCGTAACAATTGACGAATATTTTCATCATCAAAGGGAAGGTGACCGGTTAAGAGAGCATACAGAATAACACCACAAGACCATATATCACAGGCGGATCCATTGTAAGGTAAGCCCTAAAGTAAAATAGATGTCAGTCTGTGGCTATACAAACATCCAGTTCGGGTCAATGAAAGTCAAGAACCAAAACCAAAAGGTACATACAGCTACAATTTCAGGGCTAGCATAATGCGGGGAGCTGCATCAAAGAAAACGAAAAAAATAAAGTTTCAGAGCCTTTTTTACTGTACTGCTTTTTCGTATGGATCACCCCCATTCAAAGATAATGATGATACGTTACCCGCAACTGGTTTCCAGCATGGAACCTAAAGGTTGTAATGAAGCCATACCGAAATCAGCAATCTTTATATTATTCTTTGAATCCAACAGTAGATTTTCAGGCTTCAAATCACGATGGCTAATAAGGTTTTTTGTTACGTTAATAACTGGTACTGGTTTTTTAAGGACGGAAAATAAGCATCTGAGTCCTTTACCAAATCAAGTGATGATGGCAATAATCCAAACCCAAGATAATTTGCTGGAAATGATGTCTTGCTTCAGCTTCGTCAAGACGACCTTTACTGACGAGGTATTCGAATAATTCACCTCCTTCGACATATTCCAGAACTAAATGCCTATACAATAAACCAGTTAATAAATAAATTCTAGTAAGAGTGATTGAATCAAGGAGAACGCTTGTGTATAAATGTGCTTGAGTGAGGGTAAAGTGTGTTATATAGTATACGGTAGCAGGCGATCAGATACACCGAAAAGGTATAGCTCTTTTTTTGATTATTCCAATCTATCTGTGGAAAGGAGACAATGAAATTTAAACTATTTCTTTTGAAGAAAAGGGGTAGTCATAGTCATAATGGTGATAGTGGTGATGGTGGTGGTGTGCGCAGTAATAGCTACAAAGGATAAGAAAGATCCTAAAAGGGACGCACAGAAAAAAATACATATAAAAAAAAAAACAAAAAAAAAAAAAAAGAAATACTTTACAGGTCAGAAGAAGATGGGTCGTCAATCACATCAGTCAAAGACATAACGTTGGGATGATTAATTAATTTCATAATGGCTATTTCACGTCGAACTGCTTTTTCAATAGCAGGGTTTGCAGCTAGATGGGCTTTGCTGATAATTTTGATAGCTACTTGTTCTCCTGTCATCCTGTGTACACCCAATTTAACTCGGCCTATAAATAAATAAAGCCGGATGTTTGTATGTATGTATGTAAGTAAGTAGGTAAAGTGAGTGAATGAGCGAATCAGAAAAAAAAAAAAAAAAAAGTAGGATGGTGTGTGTGTGTGTGTTGTCTCTCTATGTAAACATAGGGTTGCGACCTTGTTTATATGTTATGCACGTACCTGAGGCACCTTTACCCAGTGTTTTGCCTACGATATAGTCACCAATACATTTTCTAGGCTTTTGTTGAGAATGAGTAGATAGGGCTCCTGAGCTTCTTCTTCTGTCTCTCGATGATTTTGAAGATCTGTTCGTGACAGTGGTTGCAGCCGAGCTTCTACGAGAATTAGGGTTGGATAGATAGTTTTCTGGAATATTAGGTGCTGGATAATGGAACATTTGTGGTTGTTCAGGCACGGCAATAGGCATAGTGGAATAGTTATGATATGGGCTGATACTGTATTAAATAGGGTAGAATGGGTTTTTACTCAATAAGTTGCAATCAAAAATAATGTAGAAATGGAAGATGGGGAAGGAAAGAATGACAGTCTTAAAAGAAAGGATTAAATTATTCAAAAGGTTTTAAGAAAAAATAGTGTAGAGAAGAAGAAGGCATAATTTTCAAGCAGAATAGTAAACCCGATAAAAACCAACAAAAAGTAAAAGAGTCTCTACTTTTGGGGGGAAAAGGAGAGAGCAGAATGAGCAAAAGGAAAGGGTAAAAGAATTCCTTTTGCTGCTGCTGCTGCTGCTACTGCTGCACGTACATGATTAACGTTTAGAGAAAAAACCACGTATAATAATAGTTCACTTACAGCAACAAATCATTATAATGAAATGTTACATGGTAAGGCAGGAGTATTTCCTTTAGTTTCTGAATATAGGAGAAGAAAGGGAGTGTAAGCCCAATATCCAATAATTAGATTTTGTATCAACTTTTCAACAAGGGGGTTTTCCAGTGGGAGTTGAATGAAGTAATAATTATTGTTTCTAGCGGAGAGGCCATGAGCTATCTTTAGGCTGTCTGAATAAAAGTATGCTTGGAGCAGATAGCGGCTTTAAAGCATTGCTATTTTTTTTTTGTTTCTGCTCAACAGTGTATCCATGATGAAGACACATCAGAAAGTCACTACCAAATCGAGAAAGTGGAGCAAAAAGTGCAGCACTAGGTTCGATGATAAAACAAAAAGCAGGGTCCTTGCCTGTGAGTCCTTTTTACGTCCAAGTCATCATGATGCGTGTAACCTGTTGATTTCAACGATAATGCATCAGCACGCACTTGTATATCATTAGCTGGCTGTGTCGATCTTTGAAGGTCTTTATAGACTGTAAAAGAACGAGGAGAAGGAGGAGGAGGACGGGTTATGTAAAACGGAATGATCCGTCACTGTGACGGATGTATATACTTGTAAAAAAAAAAATCACTGATTTTGCATTGTCTTGTTTATTCATGATTTAGAAAGAAAAAGGCTGGCTTGGTATATAATGAGATGTGGAAAATTGAAAGATTCTTCTTCAAAACAGCCGCCTCCCCGTGTGTTTACTATGAAAAGAATCCGTCACCGTAAACTGCGCATTCCAAAGAAGCAAGATAGTCGAGTCTTTGGTTTATCTTGGTCACAGTTTCTGCTAAAGAGTCATTTCCGTTCTCTAGACTTTGTTGTTTTAAATAGTGGATGAGAAGCGTAAGGTCTTCTCTACCTTTCAGATACCACCATGCCTGCGTGTGTTTGTTGTTTTCCTCATTGTCTGCTTGCCGTGGTGATGGGTCCTGTTGCTTTCCTGTTTCTTCTGTGAGGAAGCCAGGACCGATGATGACGACGCCATAGGCCCAATAAGGCTCACTGTTTCTATAATCACCTGTTTGATGGAGATGATCTACAATATCACTAAAGATCCAATATTCGTTGCCCAAATGATCACGACCTGCTGGTTCCAATCGTTTACGTGTTTTCGCTTGGTGCACATGCATTTCTATTTTTTTGGACTCCAACGTCATGCGTTCATCTCGCATGAGCGTCTCTAATGCATCCAATTCTGCTTGCGCCGCTTTCACTTCTTCCGCTTTGCCACGAATCATTTTCAATTGTTGAATACGATTATTCAAAGTATTTCTTCGATGCTTGTTTTTCATTTCTTCCACCGAATGTTCTTTGGTATATTTTTTGAATTCCAACGCGAGATCTTTAAGAGTAGCTGTTTGCTGCTGCTGCTGCTGTTGGTTCCTTTTAGAGTGTGTGGAGGAGGAGGACGTTTTGGTCGTTGCCGTTGTCGTTGTCATGGTCAGTGAAGAGCGAACATGACTATCCAACAGCAATAATTCCAAAAGCATGCAGATCAGTTTGAGCTCGGTTTCGGGGGAAAGTAGGCTTGTGTTTCTGCCTGAGGTGCGATAACGTTCGATGCATCTTTCCACATGCTTGATCTTTTCATCCGAATCCTCCTGTTGATTCGCTTGCTCATGGCCATCATCTATGTCCATGGCATCGTTTTGCAGTTGAAAGTCCATTGTCTGTTTTAATTTTGCGATTTGTCGTGTGGTAGGAATGGGGACATCGCTCATGTCAGCGAGTGCTAATAACTCTGCTATATCCTGCCATCGTTTTCCAGACATGCCCTCCAGATACAAGATTTCCAACAAGGCTTGTTGCCTTGAAACAGCATCGACGTAGTATTTTGAGAGTTTTTTCTCCGTGATCCAATCCTTCAGTATTTTCCGCGCTTTCTGAGGAAGGGTGATCGCTTCCTCTCCTGTTGCTGCTGCTGCTGCTGCTGCTGCTGTATTTTGTGTAGATGGATGGCCGCTGCTGAAACTGTTTTGTGGTACATCATAATGGGAGGAGGATGTTGAACTCAACGTGGTCAAGAATAACCATACAATGTACGCGCCTAATCTTTTAATCTTCCAATCGCCTTGTGCATTCTGTAAATTGGCCAAGATGCGGTAGTCCACTTTATAAAGATCGCCAAATCGAAATAGAAATTCTCGAATCTGTAATCGAACCCATAATTCTTCTTGTGTATACAATAGAACGATGGGCTTTAATTCGGGTGGTTTGATGGGTTGGATTGAACTTGGCTTTCGGTGAAAAGATAATTTGGGTGCTTTGTTTGCACTTGAAGTGCTGTTAGTCTTAAGGGCTTTTTTTTTTTTTTTCTCTTGAACGAAAACCCATAGGATGGGACGAGTTGAATCATTTGCTTTCTTACCTTTCAGCGTTCTCTATCGTACAAAATCTAAGGGAGGAGAAGGCGTGCAAGAAAAAGAAGAGTGTGCTCAGTCTTTGCTTTTTCTTTTGATGATGATGAAGAATATTTCAAAAAAAAAAAAAAAAACCATTACTCGCAATCACAGAGTCCTCTACAAGCTAAGCATGCCCATTGATAGCCTGTAAGAACAGGTCGATGCTTCACCGGTCTACCACTTTTATAGAGCCAAGTCACAGCCTTATCCTTGTTTTTAATCTGTTTCAAGTCCTCGTTGGTTTTTGCTTGGATGCACTCCATGCAGAATGTGTTTGTGCATGGTTCGGTTGTGTTTTCCTTGTAAGCTGTACATTGCACTCTTGGAACACTTTTCTTTAAAAAAATCATTGATTTAGATATCTCGCGGGGAGAGAAAGAGAGAGAGAGAGAGAGAGAGAAAGGGGATGCATGTAGGAAGCAATACTTTACTTTACAATCTTTGCAGTGAGCATGCTGTAAAGGACTTGTATGTTTTCTTTTATTTCCAATGGTCAAAGACTGAATCGACTTTGATAATGGCACAGTGTCATCTGGTGGCTCAGAGGTCGATCTGCTGCTACGTGTATTTTCTGTTGTTGTGGTTGTTGTAGGAGGCGAGGCGGCAGATGTAAAGCATAGTCTTTCGTGTAAGAAATTGACAAATCGGTTTGGTTTTTTTTTTATTTAAATAAAGGAAAAAAAAAAAAAAAGAAAGAAAAAAGGAGTTTTTTTTTTATTCATTTTTCTACCTTGTCTGCTGATATTTTGGCTTGTTGTGGTTTGTCTCTATTCCTGGTGGTTGCTGTTTACTGTCTGATTTTGCCATCATGAAAGGTAAAAAAAAAAAAAAAAAAAAAAAAAAAAAGAGAAAGAAAAAGGAAAAAAATAAAATAATCTCACTTTTGAATTGCGCGCAATTTGTAAAGGACCAAAAAAAAAACCAAAAAAAAAACGCGTTTCGTGTTCGCAAAACCGTCCCCTCTGATAGTGTACAATTTCTTTATTAGATAAAGCGGGGTAATTTTTTTAAATTCTAAAAGCATGGTGATGGATGCTGTCGAGTATTAAATGAGTATATAGCGCGCGATTCGAAAAAAAAGAAAGATAATGTATATTATGTATAAAAAAGTAAATAAATAGTGCTTAAGGTGCGTGTTCAATCCTATAGATGTATTGTATAAAAAAGTGAATCTACCTTTGAATACCTCTCCAAAATGGAAAAAAGGAAAAAAGTAACCCAATGAGGAAGAAACATACAAAACACAAATCAAAGGGAAAAAAAAAGGATAAAAAAAGCATGCCTCTAGGGTGTGTATGCATGTTACATAGGGTAAGGGAATGAGTGTCTCTAATAAAGCAGAGAGCAAAACTCATCTACTTTGTCTTCTAGCCATTCCCAGCGTCTCATACCAACGACCCATTCTGTAGGCAACAAACTATAACCAAAACGTGCACCGAGCATAGCGCCAGCGGTGGCAGCATTTGTATCTGCATCGCCCCCTTGCATGACAATGTCCATCAGCATCCTTTTAAAGTATTCTGTTTCCAAGTGAGGAGGTACCTCTCTTGTTAAACAATAGAGTGCGGCACTGAGACATTTAAACGCGTCCTTTTCATAAAGCCCAGCGTCTAGATCCAAGTTTTCTAGAGATGTAGGCAAACAGTAGTGTAAGAGTTGTAGATAGTATTTATGCATTTGCGTCATATCCGTTTCAGGTGTGACGAACAACGGGTCGGTATAGGGAGCCGTCAAAATAGACTTGTTGGTTTCCACCACGTTGCGTACAAGTGCTTGTAATTTATCATTGACAGGTAATGTGTCGATAAAATAAACATCGTCATTCTCATCGTCATTCTCGTCATAACCAACCACCACATCCGCCTCATCGTCTATGTGTCTCTCAGGTCCTCCGCCATAACTACTTGCGGGTGAATGCGTGGGTTCTATTTCGAGGTCTTGGCCACGTAACAATCTATAAAAGAAAGAGAGAGAGAGAGAGAGAGAGAGAGAGAGAGAGGATTAGGTTGGGTTGTTTTAGCCCCCCGTTTTCCAAAATACTACACCTTACCTGGCTATAAGAGTAGAGGCAATGACACATGAGATGATACAACGTGGATCAGGATGAGTGACACGGCAGCAGTCCGCTGTGTTTTCTACAACGGTGGTACCGTCCCAGAATTTCAGAGCGCCTAATAAAGGTGCTCTCACGAGAGCACCACTGGCTCCTTTCAAATTACTCCTTTGCTTCCATACTTCAATAGCCGCTTGTTGCTATATATATATATTGAAAGGGGGGGGTGAGCAGTTGAGATGTAGAAAAAGAAAAGAGAATGACCCACTTACAGGGCTGTATTTGTAGGTAGGATGTTGCAAGACAGCCATATTGATCTCATTCATGCCAGTAGGTAATTTCTGTAGATTGCGAATACCGTGTTCGCTATAGTCTCGTAATCGAAAAGCAAAGTCTTTGGACAGGAAATGACCGTTATTTTCTAATAAGGATTCCATGACTAATAAGATTTGTTCTGCGTCATCTCCAAAGTCACTAAAAAATCATGATAAAAAAAAAAAAAAATCAAGAAAAATAACATCATCATCATAGTCATGAGAGACGGTAAATGATGAATTGTTTAGACGATGGAAAAAAAAAAAAAAAGAAAAAAGTCGCTGATTCGTTAGATTTTCATCATGTAACTGCTTTTATTTTTCCTTCCTTATCACAACCCCCAAAGGACGCCCATTTTTTGAAATTGTCGTTATTATTTTTTTTTTTTTTTTTTTTTTTTTTTTTTTGTTTTTCTTTGTTGAAGAATTTACTTTTCGTCAAACTTTGATCTATAGTGATCACGATGGAAAGGTAGACCATCTTCACCCATGCCAAAACGTATAGGACCCTTACCGTAAATCTCTCGGACGTCTGACCGAGATAACCCTTCGGTGGCTAAACCTAAGCTATCTCCTAAAATAGCACCTGTAGAAGAGAAGACTGGGCATGAATCATAATGAACGATTTTGACAAAACAAGTAAATAATCCCACTTACCGAATATCAATCCTTTTACTTTATCAACAATGGTCGTTGTCTCTAAATTTGAGCATCCCGATGGAATACGCATGATTTGACTATGTAATTCGTCTATGAAGTGAAAAATGAACAAACAAAAAGAAGGGAAAAAAAAAAAAGGAAAAAGAGAAAAAGGTAGCTTCGTTCACTAGTGCGGTTTTTTTTTTCTGCAAAAAAAAAAAAGGGGGGAAAAGATAAAAAAAGAATGGGAAGGGGGAAAAAACAGAATTTGTTTTTATATGCGAGAAAAAAAAAAAAAATAAACAGTAAAAGTAGAATTTCACAATTATACCATTCTTCAAATCAGGAACCAGATTTTTTTTTTTTTTTTTTTTTCCTTTTTTTTTTGCATGATGTAAATTTACATTTAATCCTTTTATAAATTGAAACTGCAAAAAAAAAAGTAGGTAGAAATTGAAATTGTTTGAACCATGTTTGTCTATCTTTGAATTGTTGGCATGTCATTTTTATTCTAAAGCTTTGAAAAAAAAAAAAAAAAGGAATGTTCAACTCTCTCTTTGTCTCTGTCTCTGTCTTTGTATGAGTAAAAAGCAATGGTGCGAGAAAGAGAGAGACGGTGTGTGCAATGACAAGCTCGTGTTACTTGATGGAGTGGACCCAAACGCTGGTTACAATTTTCTTCATTACAAAGTTGTACAGAAACCAAATGGTTTGGAATTACAGAAAATCAAAAAAAAAAAACCATCCCCAACCCAACCCAATTCCGTACTCCGTCCTTTCCTATTCTTTTTTCTCTCTTTTCTCTCAGGGCGTCCCTGAATTTCCCTTTTTGTGCAATTAAAATATCTGTTTTAAAATAGGCTACAAAGCTCAAAGATGGATGACAAAGCATTGCATCAGCAGCAATAGACAGCAAGTCGAAGGCACGCTTTTTTTTTGTCTTTGGATTTTCTATTTTAGCACTCTACTGCTCTCTCGATACACGCTTATGTAGAACAGAAACCCAAGTTGACATTCAAAGAGCGGTTTCGGAACCAATGTAGGATCGTTTAAAAAAGCAGTGTCATTCGTTGCTCTCTCTTCCATCCTACCCTCTTCAAGTAGACTACAACCAATGTGCCCTCAAGATGAGGGTAAATAGCATGATTGATATTTAAGAAACGGATCATTGCATCAGCATGATTCAGACTGAAAAGAAAGTTTGGTACTAAAGCAAAAAGAGAAAGAAACCGCCCGAGTCTATCCATCCCATCTATGGTACAACAAAGAAAAAATAAAAATAAAAATAAACCGAATGACCATGATGAATGACGGTCCAAAGGAAAAACAAGTGGGATTCATTTGTATACCACTGTTTTTGCCATGGAACGAGCCCATGGAGGATGAACAACGACGGATGCCTAACAGGCAGTCTGTTTTTTGTTGCTTTTTTTTCACCCCACATTGTAGATAGTAGAGTGACCCAACGACTTTTACTATGTGGATGGTAAATTAAAAATGAGGATACACAAGCACACCTTCAAGAACGAATTTCATGACGATGACTATACTAAAAGTAGATCCTTAAGCACTCTAGGATTGCGTAAAAAAGGAAATAAGACTGACTCTTTTTTTATTTGAATTCAAATTGTTGCTTTGATGAAAAAAATTCTATAAATGATGGAAATTCAAGTATCAACTTTTTAATAATTCGAGGAAAATAAATTATAATGCATCTATGCATGCATGATGGGTTTTGTTTCAAAGTTTCATCTTTTGAACGCCCATTCGCAAATTCCAAAAGAATTTCAATCATTTTTCGAGATAAAATAGCCAAAAAGAAATGGGTATTGTTTCTTGATTTATTTTATTAGTTTTTTTTATTCCTTTTTGTAATTAGATACTTTATATAAATAAATGGTAAATGTTGAATAATAAGAAGGGTAATTTTGCTGTAAGAAGTAAAAAAGAGTCGTCGTTGGGGGTTGGGCGGTTTTTATTTTTTTGGTCCAGAGAAAAAGGGGAAGCAGGAGGGGTATAATTGGAAAATACACTATTTTTTTTTTTTTTTTTTTTTTTTTTTTTTTTTTTTTCCTTTCTCTTTAAAGCCATGGTCTCCATGTCTTGTACTTTTTTACAGTTTGCTGTTGTTGTGGTGAAGGTGGTGGTGGCAAGTGAGACGGAGGATGCTCCTCCTCTGCTGTCAATTTTCGTTTTTTCAAGTTTTTTTCGAGTTCGTCTTGTTGCTGAACGTAAGCAGCAGCAGAGGCTAATATATCAATAGGTGTCACATTAGGATGAAAGATGAGTTCATTAGGTAAAATAGGAGATGATAAAAGAGAAGACGCAGAAGATGAAGTGGATGTAGTAGTAGCAGTATTAGAATGATTCGTATTAGCCATAGCAGCAGTAATAGGCGGTGTCAAAGGAGGTGTCGTAATTTTGGGTGTTGTTGTTGTTGTTGTTGTTGTTGGTATTGCTGTTTTTGACCAATAATTAAATTTGACTCGCTTTGGGTGATTGTAACTATGATTGTTCATTGTCAATGGATGGACATTATTATTATTATCATTAGGATCGCCTGTGAAAGGTACTGATGGATCTTGCTGTTGCTGCGGCGGCGGTGGATGTTGCTGCTGCTGCTGCTGCTGCTGTAATCGAAGACGATTGACTTTAGCACGTCGATTTTGAAACCAAACCTGTATGAAGCGAATATAGAGTATTTTAGTTACACATACACATCAAAATAAACACAACAAAAAAGAACCATAAAAAATGTAATTCTTGGGCTTTTCGATGATTGGTAGATCACATGGGCTTCTTCTTCTCTCAAATTTCTCATTTTTTTTTTTTTTTTTTTTAATTTAAAAAAATAATAATAATAAAATTATACCTGCACTTCACGATTTGTCATGTTCAGTTTTTTTGCTATCTTTTCTCTTAAATCATGGTTTGGTGTATCTGTTTGTTGAAACAATTCTGTCAAGATGTGTAGTTGGTCGGGTGTGATTCTCTTTCGTTTGGGACGGCCTTCATCTTTATCTGAACAAAAAACAAAAAAAAAAGAAAAAAAAGAAAAAAAGCAAGACCTATGTTTAGTTTGGTTTTTCTTTTTTTTTTTTTTTTGCAGGTATTCTATTGTATTAAGGAGTCATCGTCTTTGTTGTCGTCTGTCTTTCTTTACCTTGGCGTTTAAAATTGAATGGCTTTTCTACGTTACTCAACTTGAAAGTTGCCATTGACTAATTTAGACTGTTTATGTTATATTTTGGGCAAAATGTGTTATATAAAAGTGAATCAAGTGTATGAGACTATTTATAAAGAGGAAAGGTGGTAAAAAAAGGGGGGGGGATGAAAAGAGAAGACGTAAAAAGAAACAAAAAGGAAATTAAAAAAAAAAAAAAAATTAAAATAAAAAAAAAAGGATGAGATTTAAAGTTTCTTTTTTAAATAAAAAGTTCAATATAGGCTTCTTTTAGCCTTTGTCTCTCTCTCTCACTCATTATTACTATTTCCCCTTTGGAAAACAAATTCACCTTTACGCACCCCTTTATTTTCTTCCCTGGCTGTTGTTCTTGATTGTTCCCTTTTTTCCAGAACAATGGAGATGTAAGAAAAAAAAAAGAGAGAAAAAAATAAAAAGTCTATTTTACCCTCATAGGCTGGATTTTCATTACCCAACCTTAATTGTTTGATTTTATTGTCGTAATTTGAAATGAATATTCATTTATTTCTGGTTACGCAAAAATTGCCTTTTTATCTTTTTACACGCGTACGATGAAAAAGTGTATCGACTCGATGCAGTGCCATTGCGACTGTAAACAAAAACAGTTTTTTTGTCTTGGTTTAGAAAGCGATTCGCTGGTAGGAACGAGTATGACCTAAATGAAAATAACCTGGAGTGTAATGAAAATCTACCATGGCTCTTTCAAAGAAATCAAAAATAACGCGAATAGGGATCATGAGGAGAGCAGAAAGGAATCTCCAAAACAGCTTCTCTCAATCTCTATCCTAGTCAGCCCTTGAAGGTTGACTGTGACGGACAAGCTCATTTTGCTTCCTATGCATGTTGAATGATCTATGGCTATACACGCTGCTTCTGTAATACAACTCACGATGATCTTGGGTTGATGCTACATCCACATCAAAGACACAAGTACTGAGAGGTGTGTTGTTGGTTTTTTTTTTTTTTTTTTTTTTTTTTTTTACAGCAACACTCTTCATTCTCGACAACAAATAAGAGACGTCTCCCCTAATGGCATCATGCTTTTTTGATTTTCCTAATTTTTCCATTTATGGTAATTTGCTGTTTTTGTGTAAAAAGATGGTATAAAGAAAGCTGTTTTAAAATAAAGAGCACAGTGGATGATTCGCTTGAAGAAATAAAGGTGGGCCTACTATTGTTTGATAGGTGCCTTTACTGTTATTGGCAGCACTTGACCGGTGCTTTGGCTTGGGTACAATGGCGGGTACTGAAAAAAATAGCTGCATTTTTTAGTGCCTTTTTTTTTAATTATTTTTTTTCTGCTTTTTGGAAAATGACAGCGTTTAAAAAAAGTAAAGGCGTCATTCTTTTTTAATATATTTATTTAAACTAGTCAATAGCACAAGAAGGAAAGAAAGGGCAAACAAAGGCACACAATAGAAAGAGGGACTTTAAAAAAGCGTTCTTTTTTATATATTTTTTTTTTTTTTTTTTTATTTTTTGGTTGTGAGATCAAAAACGTCACTGTGCGTTTCAAATCTTTTTTTTTTTTTTTTTTTTTTTTCCTTTCTCCCACAGACACACACCCATCTCTCTCTCTCTCTCTCTCTCTTTTCTTTTTATTTTTTATTTCCCCTTTTTTTTCTTGAATTTTCAGTTACTTGCAAAAAAAGGCCCTTTTTTTAAAAAAGTAATAGAAGACACCTTTCACTGCCAATCGACTTTTATCCTTTGCAATTCGTCTTTCTTTCTTTCTATTTCTTGTCTCCGTTCCCTTGTCCGTTTAGCAACATTTTTTTTGTAAATACCTCTTTTTCACTCACGGACTTGTGTTACATTTTGTATCAGGACACAGAGAAAAAAAGAGAAAAAAAACAGACTCCAAGGGGAAAACAAAACACACCCGCCAACCCGCAGTCAGCTCAAGAACCGAAAACCATAACAAAACGGAACTATTTTTTGTATTTTATTCTCTTTCTCTTTCTCTCTCTCTCTTCAGGTTATTATATAACGAAAATCAAGATTTGTTGTTCTAAAAATAACTACAATCTTGTCAGAAAGCTTAATTATTGAAAAAAAAGGTGGTAAATGAAACGTTCTTGTACAGCAGGAGACAATTCACCTATTATAAAAAAGAAATTACGTGATCAAACAGAGTCATCACCCAACGATATAACCAACACTTCGATACCACGGACAACGACATCTACTTTTCATTCTAAACAGCCTGCTTCTGATACCATTCTTACTACGACAAACTCAAACTCAAACATGTCATTGTCGCCAACTGCAACCAATGTCGATCCTACCATGGGTCATTCTCCTCCTTCATCTACTGCCACAGAACAGCCAAGACAACCGACGAAATTGGCTTTACTGAAATACATTCACCAATTAGTGCATAATTTGGAACAGGGAAACATCGATCATTGTTTATCGAATAAAGTCGACATGAATAAAATTCTAAATATCCATCCATATGAGATTTCCGAGAACAATGATAAGCAATCATCATCATCATCATCATCATCATCATCAACATCAACATCCTCCTCCTCCTCGTCAGCAAATCAGAACGATAATGCGACAACCACCATGTTAGACTTATTGAACTCTATTGATTTGAATCTCAAAAAGATTGCTCAACGTCAGTTACAACTAGAGACTGAAAATTTAAGAAGCCGAATCATGATCCAACAGCAATATCAGCTACTCACAAATGCAGCTGCTGCTTCATCTACAAACACACCGAGTAAGCAGGATCACGAGGATAACACTACGGTCATACAACAAAACAGTCATCATCGTCATCGTCATCAACAACAACAACAACAACAACAACAACAACAACAACCGTATCATCTTGATTTACATCCAATGTCATCTTTCCACCCTACGAATGTCACTGCCACCACCGCCTCGCTTGATAAACCAAGTAGCAGCAGTACACCCGAGGATAATTTGACATCCATCTATGATTCCTCTTTATTGGAGAAATTAGAGAAAAATGTATCCAATCGTTCTTTACATAAACAACGTAGCACAACAACGACAACAACAGAGCAACCCGCAAGCTATTTTGGTAAAAATATTATTATTATTTTTTGGCTCCAAAACGCATCTCACTCACTCTATTTTCTTTGATAGATCCTTTCATCTCCACATCCTCTACTCCAACGCCTGTTGCTGCTGCTGCTGTAGCTGCTGCTGCTGGTTTAACAACGATCTCGTCCTCCAATGTCACTTCACCTTATCACCCTTCCTCTCATACCAATACCAATGCTACTACTACAACTAATACTATTAATACTATTAATACTACTACCAATTCAGCATACCCTCCTATTTATTTCAACAGTCATCATCATAGTAATGCATCTTCCACACCCTCCTCTTCAACTATCACTACACCTACTAGTTTATTGACTTCGGAAGCTATTGTATGTCCAGATTGTGTTATTCAGGCAGTAAAAGTAGCTTCAAGTGTATTCAATGGTGATTTGAGTAAAAGAATCACTTGTCAACATGAGCGTTATTTCGGTACTTTACACGCTGCTGCTGCTGCTGCTACTGCTACATCCTCCACCTCCTCCGCCTCATCGTCCAATGATCATCACGATACCACACCCTCCACCACGCCTCCTCCTCCTCCTCATCCTCCTTTCTTTTGTGACCCTCATCATCCTATCAACACACTCAAAAATGCCGTCAATGATATGGCCGATCGTTTACATTCCATTGCAGATGAGGTCAATTTTGTGGCTCATGAAACCGCCGTGAAAGGAAAACTAGGTGTCCAAGCACGTTGTGGAAAAGAAATGAAGGGTTTATGGCTTGATTTTGTCGTCAATTTGAACAGCATGACTCAAAATCATTTGGAACAAGTGAGAGATATTGCTGATGTATCTACCGCCATTGCGAGAGGTGATCTCAGTAAAGCCATGACCGTACCTGTAAAGGGTGAAACTTTGTTGTTGAAGAATACTTTCAACACCATGGGTAAAACCTCTTATAAAAAAGAATATTTCTTGTCCACAGGAAAAAAAAAAAAAAGAACAACAAACTAACGAACGCTTTCGATTTCGATTTCTCTTTAAAGTCAATCAATTGAATTTGTTTGCTTCTGAAGTCTCCAGAGTAGCTCATGAAGTAGGCACAGAAGGAAAACTCGGCGCTCAAGCCAAAGTACAAGGCGCCGATGGTATATGGAAAGAACTGACCGACAATGTCAACACCATGGCCGCCAATCTCACCAACCAAGTACGTGATATTGCTCAAGTATCGAAATCAGTGGCTCGCGGCAATCTCACAAAGAAAGTCACCGTGGAAGTGAAAGGAGAAATGCTGGATTTGAAAAATACCATCAACACCATGGTGGATCAACTGTCCATCTTTGCAACTGAAGTCACTCGCGTATCGCTCGAAGTAGGCACAGAGGGTAAATTAGGAGGACAGGCCGTGGTGAAAGATGTCGCCGGCACCTGGAAGGATTTAACCGACAATGTCAACATGATGGCTTCAAAAATCACGGATCAGGTCAGAGATATTGCTGTCGTCGCAAAAGCCGTAGCCAAAGGTGATTTAACAAAGAAAGTCACCGCCAATGCCCAAGGAGAAGTATTAGAATTGAAAAACACCATGAATAAAATGGTAACCACTCGCCTTCTAGACCTTTTTTTTTCCATTCAACCCCCCCCACCTCCCTCACTCACTCTCTTTCTCTTTCTCTCGCTTGTAGGTGGATCAATTACAACTCTTTTCTGCTGAAGTAAGAAGAGTATCGCTAGAAGTAGGTGTCGAAGGTAAACTCGGTGGTCAAGCCGTCGTCAACGACGTCGGTGGCACGTGGAAACATTTGACCGACAATGTCAATACCATGGCTGCCAACCTCACCACCCAGGTCCGTTCCATTGCTGAAGTCACGAAAGCCGTTGCCATGGGCGACCTGTCCAAAAAAATCGAAGTCGAGACCCGAGGCGAGATTCTTGATTTGAAAAACACCGTGAATGACATGGTGGATCAACTGCGCGTCTTTGCATCGGAAGTCACCCGTGTCGCTCGTGAAGTAGGGACAGACGGTAAATTGGGCGGCCAGGCGAGTGTCCCGAACGTCGATGGCACATGGAAAGATCTGACCGATAACGTCAACACCATGGCGACCAACTTGACCACACAGGTACGTTCCATTGCCGTCGTGACCAAAGCCGTCGCCAACGGTGACCTGTCCAAGAAAATCGCTGTCGATGTGCGTGGCGAGATCTCGGATCTGAAAGATACCGTCAATAACATGGTGGACCAGCTGAGAGTCTTTGCCTCCGAAGTGACCCGTGTCGCGAGAGAGGTCGGTACCGAGGGTAAACTAGGCGGCGAAGCCATCGTCCCCAGCGTCAGTGGCACCTGGAAAGACCTGACCGACAACGTCAATACCATGGCTGCCAACCTCACCACCCAAGTCCGTTCCATCGCTAAAGTCACCAAAGCCGTCGCCAAGGGCGACCTGTCCAAAAAAATCGATGTCGAGACCCAAGGCGAGATCCTCGATTTGAAAAACACCGTCAACAGTATGGTCGATCAGCTGAACGTCTTTGCGGCCGAAGTCACCCGTGTCGCCAAGGAAGTCGGCACCGACGGCAAGTTGGGCGGCCAGGCCCTCGTGCCCAACGTCGATGGCACCTGGATGGACCTCACCGACAATGTCAATCATATGGCCACCAACCTCACCAACCAAGTGCGCTCCATCGCTGAAGTCACCAAGGCCGTCGCTCTCGGCGACCTTTCCAAAAAGATCGAAGTCGAATCCGGCGGTGAAATCTTGGACCTGAAAAACATCGTCAACAACATGGTCGACCAGCTGAGAGTCTTTGCTTCTGAAGTCACCCGCGTGTCCAAAGAAGTCGGCACCGAAGGCCAGTTAGGCGGTCAGGCCGTCGTCCAAGGCGTCGCAGGCACCTGGCACGAGTTGACCAGCAATGTCAATATCATGGCCGCCAATCTCACCAGCCAAGTGCGATCCATTGCGGAAGTCACCAAGGCCGTCGCTCTCGGCGATCTGTCCAAAAAGATCGAAGTCGAATCCGGCGGCGAAATCCTCGAGCTCAAGAACATTGTCAATAACATGGTCGATCAGCTGCGCATCTTTGCCTCCGAGGTCACGCGTGTGTCCAAGGAAGTAGGCACCGAAGGAAAGCTGGGTGGCCAAGCGACCGTGCCCAATGTAGCCGGTACCTGGTACGAGCTCACAGATCACGTCAACATCATGGCGGCCAATCTCACCACCCAAGTCAGATCCATCGCCGAGGTCACCAAAGCCGTTGCTTTGGGCGACTTGTCCAAGAAGATCGAAGTGGAGACCCGCGGCGAGATTCTCGAGCTCAAAGACATCGTCAACGACATGGTAGACCAACTACGTATCTTTGCTTCGGAAGTTACACGTGTCGCACGTGAAGTCGGTACCGACGGTAAGCTCGGAGGCCAAGCCAGCGTGCCCAAAGTAGCCGGTACCTGGATGGATTTGACAGATAACGTGAATCAGATGGCGGCTAATTTGACCACTCAAGTCAGATCCATTGCCGAAGTCACCAAGGCCGTCGCTTCCGGCGACTTGTCCAAAAAGATCGAAGTAGAAACCCGAGGCGAGATCTTGGATCTGAAAAACACCGTGAATGAAATGGTCGATCAATTGAGAGTCTTTGCCTCGGAAGTCACAAGAGTAGCGCGTGAAGTAGGCACCGAAGGCAAGTTGGGCGGTCAGGCGCGAGTGCCTAATGTCGATGGTACCTGGAAGGACCTGACCGACAACGTCAACACCATGGCTACCAATCTCACCAACCAAGTCAGATCCATTGCTGAAGTGACCAAAGCCGTTGCCTTGGGTGATCTCTCCAAGAAGATTGAAGTAGAATCGGGTGGTGAAATATTGGATCTGAAGAACATTGTCAATTCGATGGTCGACCAGCTGCGTATCTTTGCTTCCGAAGTCACACGCGTAGCCAAAGAAGTAGGCACAGAAGGTAAACTGGGCGGTCAGGCCACTGTGGAAGGCGTAGCAGGCACTTGGATGGACCTTACCGATAATGTCAACACCATGGCCGCTAATCTGACGACGCAAGTACGATCGATTGCACAGGTCACAAAGGCAGTAGCGAAGGGTGACTTGTCAAAGAAGATTGTTGGTGTCGAGACACGTGGTGAAATGCTCGATTTGAAGGATACCATCAATGACATGGTCGATCAACTGAATGTATTCGCTGCAGAGGTCACGCGTGTCTCGAAAGAAGTAGGCACGGAGGGCAAGTTAGGTGGCCAAGCCGTCGTCCAAGGCGTCGCCGGTACGTGGTACGAATTGACCAATAACGTCAACATCATGGCCGCTAATCTAACAAGTCAGGTCCGATCCATTGCAGAGGTCACCAAGGCGGTGGCGCTGGGCGATTTATCCAAGAAAATTGAAGTAGAGTCAGGTGGCGAGATTTTAGACCTCAAAAATATCGTGAATAACATGGTGGATCAGCTTCGTATATTTGCTTCAGAAGTCACCCGTGTATCAAAAGAAGTCGGCACCGAGGGGAAGCTCGGTGGCCAGGCCGTAGTCCAAGGTGTGGCGGGTACCTGGAATGAGTTGACAGACAACGTCAATATCATGGCAGCCAACCTCACCTCTCAAGTAAGGTCGATTGCCGAAGTCACCAAAGCGGTCGCGAGTGGAGACTTGTCCAAGAAGATTGATGTTGAAACGCGCGGTGAGATTCTCGATTTGAAAATCACGGTAAACTCCATGGTGGATCAGCTACGTATCTTTGCTTCTGAAGTAACGCGTGTCGCCAAGGAAGTCGGTACAGAAGGAAAATTAGGCGGACAAGCTACTGTAGAAGGTGTCGCCGGTACCTGGATGGATTTGACTGATAATGTGAACACCATGGCTGCTAATTTGACCACTCAAGTGCGATCCATCGCTCAAGTCACCAAAGCGGTTGCCAACGGTGACCTCTCCAAAAAGATTGATGTAGAGACCCGCGGTGAAATTCTTGATCTAAAAGACACAGTCAATGGGATGGTGGATCAGTTACGTATTTTTGCGTCTGAGGTAACTCGTGTGTCTAAAGAAGTGGGCACCGAAGGTAAACTAGGCGGACAAGCGACCGTCCCCAACGTTGCTGGTACTTGGTTCGAGCTCACGGATAATGTGAATATCATGGCTGCTAATTTAACAAACCAAGTACGATCCATTGCAGAAGTAACGAAAGCCGTTGCTTTAGGTGATTTGTCCAAGAAAATTGAGGTGGAATCAGGTGGCGAAATCCTAGAATTGAAGAATATCGTCAATAACATGGTAGACCAGCTGCGTATCTTTGCTTCTGAAGTCACACGCGTTTCGAAGGAAGTCGGTACTGAAGGAAAACTAGGAGGCCAGGCTTTCGTCCAAGGTGTAGCAGGCACCTGGTACGAATTGACGGCCAATGTAAATATCATGGCTGCCAATCTTACAACTCAGGTACGTTCCATTGCAGAAGTGACAAAGGCAGTAGCGAGCGGTGATTTGTCAAAGAAGATTGAAGTAGAGACCCGTGGTGAAATCTTGGATTTAAAGAATATTGTCAATTCCATGGTTGATCAGCTGAGAGTGTTTGCTTCAGAAGTAACACGCGTTGCGCGTGAAGTAGGCACAGAAGGCAAGTTGGGCGGTCAGGCGAGAGTGCCTAATGTCGATGGTACCTGGAAGGACCTTACCGATAACGTCAACACCATGGCAACCAACTTGACCAATCAAGTCAGATCCATTGCTGAAGTGACCAAAGCGGTCGCGTTAGGTGATCTCTCCAAGAAGATTGAAGTAGAGTCTGGTGGTGAAATATTGGATCTGAAGAACATTGTTAACTCTATGGTGGATCAGCTTCGTATATTTGCATCAGAGGTAACAAGAGTAGCTAAAGAAGTCGGTACAGAAGGTAAACTGGGTGGTCAAGCGAAGGTCGAAGGAGTTGCTGGTACCTGGATGGACCTTACTGATAATGTGAATACCATGGCTGCTAATTTAACTACACAAGTGCGCTCGATCGCTCAGGTGACAAAAGCTGTAGCGCTGGGTGATTTGTCAAAGAAAATTGAAGTCGAAACGCGAGGTGAAATTTTGGAACTTAAAGATATTGTCAACGGCATGGTGGATCAGTTACGCATTTTCGCGTCCGAGGTGACACGTGTGTCGAAAGAAGTCGGTACCGAAGGTAAGCTGGGCGGTCAAGCGTTTGTCCAAGGCGTAGCAGGCACATGGTACGAGCTTACAAATAATGTCAATATCATGGCGGCGAATCTGACAAACCAAGTCAGATCGATTGCGGAGGTAACCAAAGCAGTTGCTCTAGGTGATCTATCCAAGAAAATTGAGGTTGAATCTGGTGGTGAGATTCTAGATCTAAAGAATATCGTGAATAACATGGTAGACCAGTTGCGTATATTTGCATCCGAAGTCACACGTGTGTCCAAAGAGGTTGGTACTGAGGGCAAGTTGGGTGGTCAAGCCGTTGTACGAGGCGTAGCAGGGACTTGGAAGAATTTAACGGATAATGTCAATACGATGGCGGCTAATCTTACTACACAAGTTCGTTCGATCGCTGAGGTCACCAAGGCTGTAGCGAATGGTGATCTGTCAAAGAAGATTCACGTCGAGACCCGAGGTGAAATTTTGGATCTCAAGATTACGGTCAATTCTATGGTGGACCAACTGCGTGAATTCTCCTCAGAAGTCACCCGTGTTGCTAGAGAAGTCGGTACCGAAGGTGCCTTGGGCGGGCAGGCTAATGTACAGGGTGTTGCTGGTACATGGAAGGACTTGACCGATAATGTGAACACGATGGCCACAAATTTAACTACGCAAGTGCGTTCTATTGCCGTTGTCACAAAAGCGGTAGCCAAGGGTGATCTTTCTAAAAAGATCGATGTTGAAACCAGAGGTGAAATCAGAGAATTAAAGTAAGTTTATACTTTTTAAGCGCCATTTTTTACTGTTTGTTTAACGAGGTATTTTGCTTTATGATAGGGAAACTGTGAATGACATGGTGGATCAACTCCGTGTTTTTGCTGCCGAAGTGACAAGAGTGGCTAGAGAAGTAGGAACAGAAGGTATGCTTGGTGGTCAAGCTACTATCGTTGGTGTCGATGGCACTTGGAAAGATCTCACCGATAATGTGAACCTCATGGCCAGTAATCTAACTGACCAGTTGAGAGCTATTGCAGCTGTTTGTAAAGCTGTTGCTCAGGGTGATTTAAGTAAGAAGATTGAAGTTGAAGTGCACGGTGAAATTGCCGAATTGAAAAATACGATCAATACGATGGTGGATCAATTGAGCTCCTTCGCCTCAGAAGTTACGCGTGTTGCTAAGGAAGTCGGTACAGAAGGCAAATTAGGTGTTCAAGCTCAAGTAGAAGACATTGAGGGCCTATGGCGTGATATCACTAGCAATGTCAATACAATGGCCTCGAATTTGACTACACAAGTCCGTGCTTTTGCACAAATCTCTGCGGCCGCTACAGAGAACGACTTTTCTCGTCTCATTACTGTTGAAGCTTCCGGCGAAATGGATTCCCTAAAGACAAAGATTAATCAAATGGTTGGCTCATTGCGCGATGCCATTCAAAAGAACAGATTGGCAAGAGAAGCAGCTGAATTGGCCAACCGTTCCAAGAGTGAGTTTTTAGCCAACATGAGTCATGAGATTCGAACACCTATGAATGGTATTATCGGTATGACATCGCTTACTTTAGAAACGGAATTAAATAGACAGCAAAGAGAGAATTTGATGATTGTATCAAGCCTCGCCAATAGCCTTCTTACTATCATCGATGATATTTTGGATATCTCCAAAATCGAAGCTGGCCGTATGACAATTGAATCTATTCCTTTCTCACTTCGTTCTGCTGTATTCAGCGTACTGAAAACACTTGCTGTGAAGGCAAATCAAAAGAAATTGGATCTCATTTACCACGTCGACCAGTCTATTCCTGACCAGCTCATCGGTGATCCTCTTCGTTTACGTCAAGTTATTACAAACTTGATTGGTAATGCCGTCAAATTTACAACACAGGGCGAGGTTGTTCTTCGTACCCGAGCTGTACGCATGGAGGATAATACGGTTCGATTAGAGTTTTGTGTTAGCGATACGGGTATTGGTATTCAAGAGGACAAATTAAATGTTATCTTTGATACTTTCTGTCAGGCTGATGGAAGTACTACGTAAGTATTTGCGTCAACTTTGCAAGAGTTTGAGATGAGGCTACTGGGTACTAAATAATTATACAATACACTGCTGTAACAATAGACGAGAATATGGTGGTACTGGCCTTGGTTTATCGATTTCACGGCATTTAGTACAGCTTATGGGAGGCGATTTATGGGTAGAATCGAAGTATGGCAGAGGTTCAGAATTCTACTTTACTGTGAATCTTTTGCGCTATAGCCTTGAGCAAAAAGAGGTTATTGAAAAAATCCGACGTTTCCGTCACAGACGCATTCTGTTTGTGGATACAATGGGCGACGTTACTGGTGTATTGGAAAAAGTCAATATTTTGGGGCTAAAACCATATCAAGTGCATAGTATAGAAGAAGCAGCGAGTATATCCGAAGCTAATTCAAGCAAAGCTAAGCACACGCCTTTCTTCGACACGGTTATTATTGATAAGATGGCCTTAGCAGAAAAGATTCGTGAAATTGTTCCTTTACGTTACACTCCAATTGTTCTTATTGCTCCTGAAGTCCAGCTTTTGAATATGAAGTTGTGCATCGATCTAGGTATAACAGGTTACATCAACTCTCCCACTAACCTTGCGGATATGTCAGCTGTGCTATTGCCCGCATTAGAAAGCCATGCTGCTCTTCCTAGCGATGCTTCCAAGACTGTCCCGCTAAAGGTATTGCTAGCCGAAGATAATGATGTTAATCAAAAGCTCGCTGTGCGTATCTTAGAGAAGTTTGGTCACCAAGTGAAGGTGGTGGCCAATGGTAAATTGGCCGTAGAGGCCTACGAGGCACAGATGTTTGATTTGATATTGATGGATGTTCAGATGCCTGTGATGGGCGGTTTCGAAGCCACGCAGAAAATTCGCGAAATAGAGCGTAATCAAAACAATAATGCGCACATTCCTATTATTGCTTTAACTGCTCATGCTATGATAGGCGACCGAGAGAAGTGTTTACAAGCAGGAATGGTAAGCAGTATAACACATACACGGTTCGAATATTGTACAGCATTTCTGATCTATTGTTTTATTTCACATGTAGGATGAATACGTCACAAAACCATTAAGATTCCCCGAATTAATCGCTGCTATCAAAAAGTTTGCACCACAGTCTGCGCATATGATGTTGGAAAGCAAAAACAAGGCCTCGAAGAAGTAAAACTCATTTGCAGCTTTATTAACTTATAGAATTTCGTTCAATAATTTATACAAGAGTAACTCCTGAGTTACAAGTAATACTGCCCAGTCATATACTTGCTGTTGTGAATTCGTTATACCTCTTTCTCCGTTATGTACATATAAATAAAGTCTGTAATCTCGTTTAAACAAAAAAGAAAAAGACAAAATAAAAAGCAGGTGCGAAGTTGCTCTGGTTGGGAAGTCGAACACAACAATAAGTTATTGTTTAGCTTATATTTGTGTTTGATTCTGTGCTGGCTAAGTTTATATTCATTTATCAAGCCATTCATAACAGATTTAAGCTATAAGAAAACTTACATTCGCATAACCGTATATCTACATAAAGCAATTGGCTTAATTAAGGACTTTGCAAATGTAATCAAATCACTTTTGCATGTATGCTGTAGGTTAAACACCGTTACACATGTATTGGTGGGAACCCTTCTCTTGTAAATGATCACACACCATATGCATCTTGTTTGCTGAAAAAAAAAAAAGAATGCATATCACTTACTTCAGCATCAATTTTTGTTCTCCTTTTTCTTCTTATTTCCAAAACTTATGTCGTCTGTAGCCAAAAAACGATTAGAAGCTATTAAGCACCATCTCAATCCTGATGCCACGCCTAACTTTGAAACATGTACAGTACATCCTTTTTTCTCCATTCTTTAATGTACGTATTTATCTTAATTATGTGCAACATTCACTTTCTTTATCAGTACGTATTCATCGAAGAGATGGTCAAGTACCTTACATTACACCGCTTGATCCTCTTCGTTTCTTATTGAGAAGTGCTATGGTTTATGCTAACAAAACAGCCATTATCCACCGTCACCGTTCATTCACTTTTTGGGAATTATCTGAGCGTATCAGAGCGTTAGCGAATGTGCTGCTAACGAAATACCATGTCCGGCCAGGAGACCGTGTAGCAATACTTTGTCAAAACATTAGCGCCTTTATCGAAGCACAATATGCTATACCAGCCATTAGTGGTGTCACTGTGCCCATTAACACAAGGCTGTCAGCTAAAGAAGTAGAATACCTTCTTGAACACTCAGGAGCTACTGTCCTTATTATACAAACAGAATTTACTGACAAGTTAACGGATGAAGTTCGTGCTCTTAATTATTTGAAAATAATTGAAGTAGCTGATAGTGAAGATATCCATTCGGATTTTTATGAAAAGTTACTGGCAGACGAGAGCAAGAATTCTCGACAACTTTCATGGAATGATATGCCTACTTGTCAGGATGAAAATCAAATGCTCTCCATTAATTATACGTCAGGATCAACAGGGAGACCTAAAGGGGTAATAGTAACTTACCGTGGAGCGTACATGATGGCATTAGGAATGGTCATACAAGACAAGCTGACGCCAGATACAAAGTTCTTGTGGACATTACCTATGTTTCACTGTAATGGTAGAGTAATGCCTTTCCATTGATTTTTTTTTTTCACCTATCTACTATAGCTTTGAAATACGCTACTCACCACTAAAATGTTGGTAATAAAGGATGGAGTTTTCCATGGGCTATTGTTGCAGTTGGAGGTACACAAATCACGCTGAACAAGTTGGATTACACTCAAGTTTGGCAAATGCTCAAAAACGAAGGAATTACTCACTATAATGGAGCGCCGACGGTCAATAACGAAATTTGTAATCATACAGATGCAGTAAGGTTAGATAATCCAATTCATGTACTCAGCGGAGGTTTGTTCATATTACTTGATATGTCCTCAATCTTTTTAAAGGCTCTGACGAAGCGTTTCTTTTTGACAATATACTCCACAGGATCGGCACTATCCAGTACATTGATAAAGCAGATGACATCTCTTAACTTGATCCCAACGCAGGTTTATGGCCTCACAGAGACGTATGGACCTGCTGTATTGACATATGATTACCATACTCGGAGACAGTATACGGAAGAAGAACAATACAAATTATTGGCGCGACCGGGTTACAATATCATTACATCAGACGAAATACGGGTATTAGATGCAGAAACTGCAACGGATGTAGAGCCAAATGGGATGCAAATTGGTGAGATTTGCTTTACAGGCAATGTTGTAATGAAGGGATATTACAACAACATAGAAGAAACAAAGAAAATATTCAGAAATGGTGTGTTATGGACAGGTGATTTAGCAGTCAGACATCCTGACGGCTCTATTGAGATTGTGGATCGTAGTAAAGATGTGATTGTTTCTGGAGGAGAGAATATCAGTTCAATAGAGGTTGAGAATGTGATTGTTCAGTTAGATGCAATCCTGGAATGGTCCATATAGTTTATTGTTTTGTTATTGCAAGAAGACGATCGTAGTTATACTAAAAGCGAACAATTTTCCTGTGTGATGCTTTTCAAATAGTGCCATTGTTTCTGAGCCAGATGATAAATGGGGCGAAAGACCTGTCGCGTATATTGTTTTAAAGAAGGACAAGTCTGTAGACAAGCAATCGATTATAGAACATTGTAGAAGGAATCTAGCAGGCTATAAGGTATTTTTCTTTACTTTTTGTGAATGTACCAAAGCTCAAAGTTTTTAAATCGCCAACAAATTTACATGGTTTTTCTTCTAGTGCCCGTCAAAAATCGTTTTTACTGAAACATTACCAAGAACAAGGTGAGTCCCAAGGAAATAATTACAGGATCTATTAGTTCAAAGCTGACATACTTACGACATCCTGTATTTGCTTTACAGTACCGGTAAGAGCGTTCTTTTGTAGGTCTCATATGTATGGGGGAGCATAGTATTAATAAGTTTATGTTTGTATCACTAGGAAAAGTGCAAAAGTATCTTTTACGTAACGCATTATGGAAGAAATACAAAAAGAGGATCAACTGAAAGAGTTAGCTAGAAAATGATATGAGGTTGAAATAAAAGCCTGATTTTTTGATTAGGTACAACGTTGCATAAAGGACGTTCCATACAATTCTCCGCACATTCTCATCTAATACCATATTTGGTAATTAAAAAAGCTATTGTTTGCTGTAAGCTGCTGCAAAATTTGTTTGGCCTTTCTTCTAGCCACTATAGCCACTTTCCGGTGTGGTACAGGTTGCGTATCTGATAAAGTATCTTGAACCTGATTTATCAAAGCATTCGTGAATGTCAGGAATCTTCCTCTTCTTCAATAGTTTCAACCAATCGTAACGCGACTATAATGTTTCGGATGATTCCACTATCTGAGCGTAGACAGTTCTTTTTGTTGGGACTGGTCACTCTTCTCTTTCTCAATTTTTTCTTCTATTTTTTAGCTTTTAGTCTATTGTAATTGATCTTGCTTAGTTCTATTTATTGTGCAATGGGTGCTCCATCAGAACATAAAAACAGTAAATGATTTTATCCGTCTCGTTTACATCTGTATAACAAAGTGTATGTATTGACACGTTTATCTGCTCAATATACCACATAGTTCCATTAAATGATTATTCAGGGTATAACCCTAATGGAGCAGGAGCCTCACAGTCTTATCGGCCACCGTCTCCACCGCCTCCAGCATATCAGGACGGCCTAGGGAACTCGACAGCAGTACCTGCTACCAATATGAATAATAATATGAACGATATACCTATGGGACAAACATTCTATCAACCCCCTCCTACACCAATGGATCATGCCCCACCTTTACCTGCCGACGAGCCAGACCAACGAAACCGAATTGTACAATTTTATGCACCTCCTGACAATCGTAGGCTTGGTGTAATGAGAAGATTGACATCTTGTTTATGCTGCATATGTATTATTGCGCTAGTGATAGGTTTAGCTGCAGGTTTGACAACACATCGATACGACAATAGATATTGTGAATGGTAAATGACTATTCTAGCCAAATTCGAAAAAGGACTTCTAATTAAAATGTTAAAACTTTTCTGATTCCCTTCCGTATCTGTCACAGCCGTACAAACATGGACTGTATGCATTTATATGGTAAGTAACTGTGGAGCTTTCTTTAATGCACACTTGCTTTTTCTTTTTAATTCTGATCGGTTGTCCTTTGAACACCGCTCCTCTGTAGGGCCTGGAGTTTACTGCTACCAAAATTGTGAATGTGCTGCTAGATTTTAGATTGGTATAGGGCATATAGTTTTCACGGAGTCTGACATCATATCCTATTTATTTCTATATTATGACTTTCTTTTACATATATAATATACTCTTAATACCTCTGATACTAGTGTGGAATTGTACTGGTCAAAAGCAAGCTGATTAAAAAGCATATCGTGAATTAAAGTGCATAAATGTTCACCAGTGATTTCTGTCGGATGCACGTGTTTTTTTGCCGTAGTAATATGTCTTCAAAAAGCGGAAATAACCTCATCTCACGCGCTTACATTTTTGTATTCATTTGAGGATCTTCTTTTGTTACCGCTACTGCTACTTCTACTACGATTACTGCTACGACTTCTTCAAAGCAAAGAAGTTATCCATTGTCTGAAAGTTTAAAGCTCTCTTCAGAATTAAATTAATCTACTACAAAAGGTACTTTGTTTGTTTGTCCAATCTGAGTCTTCCAACCAATGCTTCTTTGAAAAGTACTTTTATGGTTAAAATGTTTAAATTGCCTGGGAGCTGATCACAACTATATATGTTTATTTTAGTGGATATTATTGTTATAGCCAGCGATAAAGTAGCCTACATGCAAGCTTAAAGGATATTTAATTAATATCAATCTGAAACCATTTTACCATATGGCTTTAATTAAAGAGCTTCATTAAGCGGAGCGGAAACAGGGAAACTCTCAAATCGAGTTTGAAGGGAAACATATAAAAATCCTGATAAAAATTTTCTTCAATCTCCTCACTCTCGCTCTCTCTCTCTCTCTCTCTCTCTCTCTCTCTCTCTCTCTGTCTCTGTCTCTCTCTCTGTCTCTGTCTCTCTCACAGTTTACATATTACATACAGATTATACCTTTTTTCGAAGATGATGAAGGCTAAACAGAATCAAATAGCCCATGAGGACACTGATTTTTCACATAACAGGCAAAACGATCCTCTGTTCAAAGCGGCAAGAGCATCAGTGGAAGACAGTAAATCTCTGTTGCTTCTATCTTCAGCCATGTCCAAAGCCATTAAGGCAAAGTATAATGCTCAAGAAATAACCATGAGATCAACGAAAAATGATGAAGATAACCGTTCTATCACGTCAAATGAAACGTCATCATCGCAGCTTCATGACACGAAAGCCCTAACAAACCCTTTGCAACATCTCTTTTCTCGTCGCCACCATCATCGCCATCCACTTTCCATTGAAAATAGCAAACCAGAGATGGCGCCTTTTCCGTCTGCTTCTGCTTCTACGCCAACTATGAAATCGAAATCCAAATCAATTAGTCGAAGACTGGTCAATTTCTTGCCTATAAAAAGCAGCCATAGCAAATATTCCTCATCTGCTATGAGTACTGACGCTTCTGCTACTACGACGCCAATGTCCTCTTCAAGTAAAAACAAACGAGTATTTTTATCGCAAAAATCATTAGAATTTGAAGCTTTGTTAGAAGAATATCCAACGAGGACAATCAAAACTAGCTTAACGCCTTGCACAGCTGCTTAGGATCGTACGCCCTTGTGTTCCTCTATTTATGTTATGTAATAATTTCATTATTTTTTTACCATTTATTCGTCTTCCTCATCCATTATTTATAGATTATATGCCTTAATACTTAGACTTCATACAATTATATTTATTTTATTTGATATTACTAATAATAAAAAGTTTACTCTCGATAAATCATAATGTCCTGCAGTCCCAATCTGGACTAATGGTTACTGAGGTCGGTTTCTGTTCACTTGTATTGCTTAAGCTAAGAGTTGCTTCCAACATCTTGCTTCTATAAGTGCCGAGCATTGTTTTTATTATTGAGCGCAGTTCAATATTTACCATTCCTTGTTATTTACGTGCAGTTTCTGCAACTGATTATTTTTTTCTCTTTTTTCGCTGTTAACTCTATACAAGCACGTGAAGAGAGAAAAAAAAAATAATTGTGTTGTCTGGACGGCTTTTCTCAACCATTTTACACCTCAATTGTAACTTATTCGTTAGCAATGATTGTTGTTATCAAGATTGAGCCTGTATAGAATAGCAGATAGGTGAAAGATGAGCGCTGCAAGGGAAAAAAGAAAAAAAGCTTGTGCATAGACGCTGTTGTCACTGTTCCGTTTTTTCTAAGACATGTACGTCTAACTCAGAAAGATTCAGTGTAAAAAGTGCCCATGGATGGCTCACCTTCAAACGCTTTAACAGACGTACGTTGAATGTTACCTAAGCTAAAGCTCTACCTAAAAGTTCGTTCCAGCCTTGTCAGTCAAAATAGAAGCTTGAAAAACTTGCATTCGAGCCTTAACGGGCTTATTTGAATGTGCATGTGAAATATATCTTCGCCAGGTAAATAGAGTTCGGACAGAGTCACAGATCGTGCTATTATTAGGTTGTAGGTATCTATATCGCTGTTGTCAAAAGATATAAGGTGAGACGTGTATCAGCAATCACGGCGGCCGAATTGTCAAAAATTACTAAAAGACGTTATAGTATGTTGGGCTTTCTTCATACAGCCACCCAGTCAAATCAACTCTATGTAATCGTTGCTCATGTTCCCGAAGAAAAAGCGGAACCTGATCTCCTCAATTGCATGTACAAACCTTCTACATATAGATAAAAATACCATGTACGCATAAAACTCAAACACAAGCACACTCTTATCATCGAAACCTATTGTCATATCCCAAAAAGAAGAGTGTTTAACCGAAACTGTTAATTTTTGCTCCTTATACTGGGGTGACCGATCACAAAAATACGCGCTACATAGTTTCGCTCTCTTGTTACGCAAAAAACTTATGTAAAAGAATGCGTGTGAAAAGGGAAAGTTAAACACAGCAGACGTCCCTTTTTTTGCAATCTAGGCATCATCTTGATTGAAACGATCAGGGTCAGATGAACTGAAAATGCCCTTACTCGCGAACTTTTGCCAATTCTCACAGTTAAAGATGTATTACATAAACAGGGCCCTGTAGACAGTTTGACGCACAAAATAAATGAGAACAAAAAAAGAGTGCAAATTGACCTCTTTGCCACAACTTTATGTGAAAATGAATGCTTTTTCGGTCATTTGATACTTGATCGGTGTTGTACCCACTTTTTGCATGATGAAAATTAATTTAGCCAACCATGGCCAAACCCTATTGCAAGTGAAATGAGATGACAGTAACACGAACCAGATTGCAGTGCTACTTTTACGCAAAACACGCGTTTTCTTATAGGATTACCTAAGTTTGGCCGTGTCGATGAACACTAACGCTTTCGTCCCTTTTATTGCACCCTTTTTTGAACTGAGAGTGCAATCACTTTTGCAATCGTATTTCCTTTCATCCCTTACACGAAGGATACGTACATTGTGAAATGGTTCAACATGGTCCATTATTGTGACCCTTTTAGTACCTTGTTATACAGCTTGAACTTTTGCGATGTCTCCTTGTTCTCAATACATTTATTTTCATCTGCGACGGTTAACATCTATTGAAATTGAGAAAAGGTACTGTATACTGGTATCGCAAAAAATTGTTTCTCTATCTTGGAATAGATGATTTAATGATTTAAAGACGATGAACGAACAGACTATTTGAAAGAATGTGAAAACTGTCTATCAGCAAGTTTACGATTATATAATTGCTTTATGTCAGTGTACCTTATGACACAAGCGTTTTACAGTAACATACTCTCAAGGAGTGTGATTCTCAGGCATTAAAGGGCTAAATAGAGTCGCCATGATACGAAATAGTGAAGCTTATCACTTATCAAACTAACTCTAAACCTTTGCACCGTTTCTTGTTTATCTTTTAACCACATGAAAATCAGGAATAACTCATCGAAACAACATAAATAAAGAAAACAAAAGACGTAATGACCGAACCGAAATAGTAAAAACAAAAGGATTCCGAGGAATAATTTAATATAATCAAGCATACATTTGAACTATTGTCTTACCAGAACGCTTAATGCATTACTGACACACCAAGAAAAAAAGGTTACACATCCACCAAAAACGATCGAGTTTATTATTGTTCTGAAGATAGTGAATGATATAGGTTCCCTTTTTTTACAAGAAACAAGATAGAAAAAGGTTACTAGTCTTTGGCAAGTATTCTCATGATTCTATTTGTTTTTCTATTGTAAGCTTTTTCACACATTGAATGGTGTCTAACAATGGATATCAACTGAAAAATGAAGGGGGGGAAAAAGCGTATAAAAATGAACCAACTTATTCCACTTTTCATTCAGTTTTTTCTTTCTTTTCCTTTATCTTTTCTTGAAATTCAAAAACTGTCTACTTATCTAAATTAAAAAGATAATCATGAAGTTCGGCTCAATTTTGATTACTGTCGCTGCTGCTGCATTATGCTTGGTTGATATGACGTCTGCTTCCCCTGTTGGAGCTCTTCAACGTCGTGCCACAGATAATAATAAAGTTATTGTGGGGTAAAGTAACCAGCTCAAAAGAGACGTACTAATGGGGAGTTCAAATCCTTTTTCAGGACAGTAAATGAAACTAACGCTTTCTATGATGGCTTTCTATATAGCTACTTTCCCAATTGGCTTTACGGACGTTATACGCCGTCGATGATTGATTTCTCAAAATATACTCATGTAAGGACAGAGAAAGATAATCTCCAATCACTAGTTTGCTAAAACGAACGACTATCAACATCTTTATGCCATAGATCTACTACGCTTTTGCTATCCAAAACACAGCAACTACGCCCACATGGTCAGATTCTGGTTTATTTGACGGTAAGTTCCCCCCCCAAAAAAAAAGCATGCCAAAAGACGTCAGACAAAAGAAGAGATTGATGTAATACATTGGCAATATCCTCTCATTGCAGATTATGTCCAATATGGTTTCCCCAAGCTTGTTTCTTTAGCCCATGCTGCCGGTACCAAGGTGACTGTGAGTGTCGGTGGTTGGTCTGGATCCACCCAGTTTTCTACCATGGCTGCTTCTGCTAGTAATCGTGCTGCCTGGATTAAATGGAATGTTGATTTCATCACTAAATACGGTACTGATGGTGTCGATATCGATTGGGAGTATCCCGACAATATTGGTGCTGGCTGTAATGCCGTCAATGCGAACGATGTGCCCAATCTTCAAACCCTTGTGAAAGAACTGCGTGCGGCCCTTGACAAAGCCTTCCCCAATAACTATAAGGAAATTACTATGGCTGTTCACATTACTCCCTTCGGCGGTCAGACACCTGTCACTGATGTTTCTGGATTTGTCCCTTACGTCGATCGTTTCCACGTGATGTCGTTTGACGTCAATGGTGCCTGGAACTCTACGAGTGGCCCTAATGCTCCTTTCCATAATCAACCCGGTTACGGCTACCCTGCAGGCTTTGTGGAAGGTATTGAAAGCTGGAAATCAGCGGGTGTCCCCTATAACAAGTTAGCAGGTGGTATTGCTTTTTACGGCCGGGCGCAAACACTGACAGTGACTTCTGATCCCACAACCCAGTACAACCCTGCTGTTTCTCCCAACCCTCCATTGGGTGACTCTTTGGATGGTCCTTGGCAAGATGCCTACTGCTCCAAGGATACGACGGTGGCTTCTGGCGTCTGGAGATGGACCAACATGCGTTCCCAAGGTCTCTTGACATCCCCCACAACCGCTGCTTCTCCTTGGGTGCGTCATTTTGACAACATCACTCAGACCCCTTGGTTATATAACCCTACCAACAAGCAATTCATTTCCTACGATGATCCTGTCTCCCTCGGCGTCAAGACAAACTGGGCAAAGAGCGTGGGCTTAGCCGGCTTATTCGTTTGGTCGGTTGAGCAAGATAATGGCGAGCTTTTGAATGCTATTGCTCCTATGATTGCCGGTAATACGAAGCCTACGCCTACCACAACTACTGCTTCTTCAACCCCTACTGGTTCTGCTACTATTACATCGAGCGCTACCCCTACTTCTGGAACCGGCAATGGATGTGGTGGTGTTGCTGCTTGGTCGGCCTCTACCGCTTACAATGGTGGTGCGACTGTTTCTTACAATGGAAACGTATACCAAGCTCAATGGTGGACTCAAGGTGAAACTCCTGGAGCAAGCGCTAATTCTTACTACGTCTGGAAGCTTGTTAAGGCTTGTTAAATTATTTTGCCCATAGTATAGTCATCTCTATTACTATATATTTATTTATTCTTCAATCTATCTGTAAACCATATTATAACTGTGATTCCAACCTTTTCTGTCAGAATAATAAAAAAAAAAAAAATAAAAAAATAACGTGTCAGGATAATATAAAATGTACAGTTCTCAGAAATACTTGGCAGAGAAAGAAACTGTGAATTTTATCATGAAATACATATGAGAAGAAAGCTAAGCATTATATACTAATTTGCATGCACTATGCATCTAGAAGCTGCTGAAATGGTGGATAGATTAATCACATGAAGAAAAATCTGCCAGCCACTCACTATCTTATCTCAAATGATTAATTGTGTAGGTGAAGACCCTGCTAAGTGCGTCTGAACATGTGAGAAACATGTTACCATTGAATGAGATCACAACCCCTCCATACCAGGAGAAGAAAAAGCTATACAAAAAAAAGGGAGCCTACCGGTTCATGAAATAATCATTGTACTAGTCTCATTAGACAATTGTGGATATTCTACTTATGAAAAAAGACAACGAGAGAAAGTTATCTCAATAATCTTCGGTGAAGAGAACGCTTATAAGAAGGGTACGTCAGCCACCATTCATTACAAATGATTATGATTATGGCAGTTCATAACCTGCGCCTATCAAAAATGCCTCCATTAAATATTCAAATGAGCAGCGTGGCTTTTTCAAATACACCTTTTCGATTGCCATTTGCTTTCAACTGAACGAAAAATGGTTCCGAATCAAGAAAATAAACTAAATCAAGGCTGATTCATGACTTTAGTTCTTTATTTGATAGAATCGTCGTGTCTTAGTAGATACCAACGTCAATAGAATTACTTCAAAGCAACAGCTTCAATATCATGTATAATCCATGCAACTAATAAAGAATCCCAGTATTTATTCTTTGCGTGTCTTACTTTTGTTCTTGATATCTTTTCCGTCATGATTTTGTTCGTGGGTCGAACCGTAATGCATCGATCCTTATGTTAAAAGGAATTGATCTGATAATAGAAAAAATTTCATATCGAAAATTGTCAGCACTCATTGGATCTGGAGTCCCTTAAAATTTGTAAATTATTGCTGGCACACCAACTGACGTCAATTTTCATCTTACCGAAACATCAGCCGGGATAGATGCAGAATTCAGGCAGGCACATGTGTTTGTTTATCTCTGCAATTCAGGAACCATATTGTATTTTAGCTGATGTACAAAGAAAAAAAGATGCATTAGAAAGAAAACTGTAGGCTCAGCCTTTAACGAGACACTATCCATTTCTAAAAAACTGCTCAAACACACATACGAAAGACATTGTCAATACAAAATCCTTTGCTATTTTATATTGTAGTATACATCCGCGAACTCCTTTGTCAGGACCTTTTTTTTTTTTTTTGTTTATTAATCGATAAGAGTAGTATATAATTTAGTTTTTCTTTTTTTTTAAATAATTAAACACCCAAAAGAAGTCTTCTGGGATCTTCGACAAGTTCTTTAATTCTAACTAAAAATGTAACAGCTTCACGTCCATCAACAAGTCTGTGATCATATGTAAGCGCAACATACATCATGGGACGGATCTCAACCTAAACGTTTTCACAATATTTTGTTTTAGTTTTGCTTTGTTTCTTTTCATGACCTCATATTGCTTTTTCTTTTCATTTTCAAAACTATTACCTTTCCGTTAATGGCAATTGGTCTTTCCTTGATAGCATGCATACCCAAAATTGCAGTCTGTGGTAAGTTAATGATGGGAGTGCCCATCAAAGAACCAAAGACACCACCATTAGAGATAGTGAAGGTACCGCCAGCCATATCTTCAATTGTGATCTTATTGTCGCGAGCCTACATAAGAGAGACGATACAAAGATACCCCAAATTTCAACCACACTGAACTTATAACAAAACATAATTTCTTGTATCTCAATTCTTACCTTTTTGCCAAGTTCAGCAATATTCTTTTCGATGTCAATGAAACCCATATCTTCAACATTTCTTAAAACAGGTGTGACAAGACCTTTAGGTGTAGAAACAGCGACACTCATATCAACAAAGTCGTGGTAAACAATGTCAGTACCGTCAATAGAAGCGTTGACAGCAGGGATTTCTTTCAATGCTTCAGCGGCGGCCTTTACAAAAGCAGACATGAAGCCGAACTTGACACCGTGTTTCTTGACTACGGCATCCTTGTATTCACTACGTAAGTTCATAAGGTTGGTCATATCGATCTCGTTGAATGTGGTTAAAGAAGCAGCCGTGTCTTGAGATTGCTTCAAACGCTCGGCGATACGGAGACGCATGCGGTTCATCTTGACACGAGTTTCGTTGCGACTGCCATAGACCTTTTCAGTCTCGGATGAGGCAGGAGAGGAAGGAGAAGAGGAAGAAGGCTTAGGTGCAGCAGCAGGGGTGGAAGGTTTCTCTGGCTTGGATTGTTCTTCCTTCTTGGGTTCCTCTTTCTTTTCTTCTACAGGTTTGGATTCTTCCTGCTTGGGTTCTTCCTTTGGTTTGGGAGGTGCAGCGCCTAAATGATCCGGAGAAAGGAACAGTCAGTCTGATGGGCATCATGATATAATATGTCATTCACTTCTAAATGACCACAAGAGAGAGTCATTGACTTTTCACAAACCTTCTTTTGGTGCATCACCGAGCTCTAATTTGAAAAAGTCAGCGCCAACCGACACGTTATCTTCTTCTTGAGCGTAAACTTCGACGATGGTTCCTGAAGCAGGAGAATTCACAGTGACATCGATTTTATCGGTTTCGATGGTGGCAACTTCTTCGTCCTGTTGTACAAAATCTCCAACCTCTATAGTAAAAAAGAAAAAGAGTTTTAAGTTGTCACGCAGCTGGTCTTATGAGATAGCATCCTTGCTGCTCTCAATATCGCTGCTGAAGAGACTTACGTTTCACCCACTGCTTAAGTGTGCCTTCAGAAATAGATTCTGCCATTTGAGGAACCTTGACAACCTTATCAGCTATTAAAATATGTGAGACGTTACTATTAAATTCTTTGACTTGATCCTTAGAGGAGTGGTTGATTGTTCGATTAAATGGCCTGTAGCCAACAACATGCCCCCCGTCCCCCGACCCCGCTTTCAATCCTTTCAATTCTCCTTATTGTTTTTTTGGTTTTTTTACCATAGGTTCTGATTTGATTTGCAAATATACTCTTTTGAAAGGTATTTGATGATCTAAATTGTTAAATCAGCTTATTTGTTCAGTATAATATATCTTGCTGAACACTTAGAGCTCTAAGCAGTGGGAGGCCATACCTTAAGTGCTCTGAGCCAACGGTATATAAAGCTGCAGGAGCTTGAATGTGTAAATTTCTGACTTGTGAAATATGACGCACTGACTGTGTTGCGGAATGACTCAGACGAGTTGTCAATCGTCTAATGAGAGGCGATGTACGAGAATATTGCATTGTCAAAAAATGTGATTTAAACAAAGATTCCAAATGTTGTAAATGGAGCAAAATAGAAAGAAACGAAAAGAAAAGGAAAAAGTCAGGTCTTAAAAGAGTGGGGAAGTAAAAAAGTGGGGAAGTTGGTTTTATTTACTTTTTGTCATTTAGCACACAAACACACGCACCACCACCACGATCCACCAGCTAACCAACCAACCAGCGTCCATTCACCCTCCACAGCCACCACCTGTAGGGCTCCTTTTCTTTTCGATGCAATAAAGCCCAAAAAAAAGAAACCCCGGGTAACGGCGGAAAGAGAAAATTAATGTTCGGGATAAATTTTTAGCACGTACAAATTCTATTTGGCCCACTGTTCGTGTGATGTAAAATGTCCCATCCGACGTTACCCGTTCAAATTCTTATTATTTTATTTTATTTTTCCTATCACATATATGGACAAGCTTACCTAAGGTCTCGCCACATAAGTGGCTGAAAGCATAAAGCGTTATTCTATGTATTATTTTTTGTAGGCTAACTAAAGATGACGAAGGGAGGCAGAGACTGTTTAAAAAGTGAAAGACCCTTGTTTACTTTTGCAGGGACGGTGAAATGAAGGCCGAAATGAAAAATATGTAGACAATGAATTTTTTTCTATTTTCGAATTTTGGTGCGTCCGGAGAAGTTCTGGGTAAATTAAGGTTACGTTTCTATATTTAAGCTTTGTCAGTCAATTATCATACCATGAGGAAGATCCTCTTTAAACCATGCTTTTCTAAGATAGCGACGAGGTATTGAAGTTGAAGGGCTCTGTTGCAAAGTGACTGGGCAAAAGACTTGTGGAAGGTTGTTAGGGCCTCCGGCCTTTACGGGAAGAGAATCTGTAACAACTTGTAGCAGAATGATATAACAGTTAGTGACAGAGGCCTACTACATATTTTTCATAGTATTTCTACTACGATAGCGAGTTCTACCTATTTCTATTGCTTGTTTATAAGAACTGTCGACGCTTTTTTTTTTCAAATGTTGGTCTTTTCTTCAAGAAAAAAAAATCCAACTTTTAATGGCATTTAATACAAGCATCTGTTGCTTTCCATCGTTCACTATTCGTTTGATGATAGCTATTTAGAATGGAGTTTCAAAATAAAATGAGGGGTTAAATGAATCAGGAACATTATACTTGTTGATGACAGCAGTGTAATGATGAACTACCCCCACATCATTGTTGATTCAAGTACGTGAGGAATATACTAAGTATGATTAATTTAAAGAGCAAGTACAAACATTTCTACAATGGTCAGATTCCGCAAACTAGAAAATTACTCATTTAATCATCTCAGCTAAATACATCGCTTAACGTTTCCTAGGGTTATAAGAGCCTTTTCTCATAAAACCAACGTGACAGAATTAAGCAATACAAACCTTTCTGTCATTGTTTCAAAAAGAAGCTCATATTTTGCCATTTGCTCAATAATTGCGCTCTTCTTTTGGCCCTTTACCCTGAGAAAATTTTGAGGCAATTATGCCAGACCCATTGCAACTAGATCAAGCATATTCATGTTCAAATTTAGTACTTTTGTATTGTTTCTTTTCGAACTGATTAACCGAGTGTAATCGGACTTTTTGGACAGACTTTTTGGACCGGTAATGTGTATCGTTTTGGATTAAATTACTAGGAAATTTTTTGAACGACCTTTCTGTCATCAGTATCACTTTACAATATAATATAAAAAAAATTTACTTTTTAGATTATGGTAGTTTTGATTTGAAATGTTTGAAAATCTGAAGTTTTTTCAGGGCACAAAACAAAGAAAAAAAAAAGAGGAGGGGTGCGAGGAAACAGAGCAATCACCGGCGCGCTTACCTTCGCTGTATAATATGTTAAGCACATTAAAACATCAAAATCTAGTTGCGGAGCAGAGATACGTTACTGTCTGTATATAGCAATGATTTTTTAAACTTTGGTGAATGTTGGCTCTATCAAGGAATCATCAACATTGATCCAGTTACTCGCACTAAAGCCGATGACAGACGAATGATTCTTCTACCACTTTTCGTCAAAGTCAGTGTTGTCAACGAAGGTGCAAAAGAAAGTTAACAAAAAAAAAAAAAAAAAGCTGCAGTAACTTGAAACAGAGATCATGGAAATCTGCTTCATCGATGAATATCTGACTAGTCTGATATATAGTAGATGCAACATCCTAGTTTCGTGAATGTAAAGACAGCAGCGTCAAAGCGAAGAGTACATGTTGTATTGTAATTTAAAATCGCGTCCTCAATGCTGCCAAAAACATGTTTGATATTTTTATGTTTGCTGCAGTAAATAACGATCAAAGACCCGCGGGTTTCAAAGGAAACTAATTCTATTGACTTGTGTGATTGATATCACTCTTTCACACATCTCTACAGTATCATTTATAAGATATTTATAAAGTATAATCAAAGGCTGAATGCTTACCGTCTAGACCCTATTTACTCAACTCATAATTTAATAACAATCTGCCTAATTTCTGGTAAGTACGTCTAAATTATTTTAATATTTTTCTCTCATAACTTTTACTCAACTTTTCCAAAGTTGCCTTGGCAGTATTTTCGATTTGTAATTGAAAGGACTGTATTTGCAGTAGAAGCCCCCTCTTCCCTTTCGTCATTATCACAAAATTAGAAAGATCAGTAACGACGAATCTATTGAAAAGAAGGTCCCTTTTTCGATTTCTTTCATATCTTTTCTGCATTTTGACCATGACTTTGACTAGTTCAGTTGCCGATCGAATAGAAAAGAAAATGTTTGCTCAAACAACAACCGCAGCTACTATTACTTCTACTTCTACTACGATATCGGCAACCACAAAAAACATTGATAAAAAACAGTCTATGTCCGAACTCAGAGCAAGTTATCCCCTTGAAGAACTCATCAAATTGTATAGTCCAGACTCAATGGCACGAAAATTGAATAAAGCAGATAAACCAACAAGATTAGTCTTGAATGGCGTCAATATTTTGAACAAATACAGTCTCGACAGTGATATCGTTATGAACAGAATAAAACAAAGAAAAGAAACGCACAATCGTGTAGAGAGAAGGCGAAGGAACACTCTGGTAAAGTAAAATTCACGTTCATTGTTGCTTAGTCCACTGCTCTTTTACCTGTTTCCCGCCTTATAACATGAGCGTATCACTAGAATTTGTTAGTCAGCAGGCTATCAGATCTTGTTCCCCGCAGTGTTTCAGAAAAAAGAAAAGGTGAAAAATGCTACCGCGCAAAAGTGCTTAGCTATGCAATAGAATATATTGAAGTGATCCAGAAAGAGAATGAAGATCTCCGTAGGCAGATGGGCCGCCTGGCAACCCTATCAAAGGCAACAATGGCAAATGAGCTGCCGCTTCAACAGTAATCATCAGCAGCAGACTTTTACTTTCCCCAAACAGTTACTCCTTTTTTTGATTGGAGGCATTGTACGAACCCAAAAAAAAGGAGGAGTCTTTTATTAAAATAGCTATAGTTTAAAAACATGACAAGACACCACTTGCGCTTGTCTCGAAGCGATCAGAAAATATGATACAAGGCTCATTATATAGAGTAGAGTTAAAAGTATGTGATTGAGATAAATAAATTCAGGTTATAATAACAAAATAAGAAGAATAAAGAGGTCTGGAAGAGGTTCGTAGTCATGAAAGCGATATGAATTAAAATAGTGTTTAGAGATAACGTATGCAGAAGTAACTACAGATACAATAAAGTAGGGTATATATGCAATTCGATGACTTCAAATGGGACAAGGTATTCATTCTGCCACAGCTTCTAGCTCTCGTCGTTTACAGAAAATACCACGATTTGGATCTGTATCAAAGTAAGTGATACCATCAACACTTCCATCACAATTTCCAACTAATTTCATAAAGACATTCAATAGGGTAAAAAAAAAAAAAAAATGTCAGCCGATCAATTTCAATAGGGTAATGAGGCATTTAAGATTTTACTTACCACCATGATCGAGCTCAACGCCAATCCATTCACCATGGCCGAACTCCACAGCACCTATAAACTGGACATATCCAAAGGTAGGTAACGGTCTCATCGTCAGTCTTACCCTTGAGCCTAAGGTAATCGGTAAGGGCATATCATCGTCGTTATCTCTATCACCAAAGAGATAACGCCAACTAGATCTTCTAGGTTTGGGAGAGGGTGGTGGACGTCGAAGAGCATTCGCTGTTAACCCTTCCTCAGGCAACGATCGTACCGGTTTAGCTTTGGGATAAGCTTTGATCGGTGATTTGGAGCGAGGCGGGGTAACGGGTAATTCGAATTTGATCTTTGTTGGTCGGCGAGGTGTAGCCGCCGCCGCCGCTGCCGCTGCCGCTGCTGCTTCTTCTTCCTTTTTCAATTGTTGCTCTTTCTCTCTTTTTTCTTGGTTGTCCATTCGAGCTCGTGTTTCCATGCATAGTAGTAACTCTAAATTGCCAGTGTCTATCATATCGAGCCGTTTTTCCAGATCATTGTCGGGCGAATCATAAATCATGTCAGGAGCAGGTGCAGTGTGACATTTGGTCAAAAATGGTCTGATATTTTTATTATTGAATAGAGAAGACTTTGACATGGCGTCTTTATCATCACTTTTTGTACTAGAAGAATCATCGGTTGCTAGATCATCACTGGTGGCGCTACCTTCGCTACTATGCGCAACAGTCGAATGGAACGGGGGCGGTCGTAGGTACTTGTTACTGTCATCGTCTTCTGAAGAGGAAACACTGCGTCTCTTTGCGTCTTTATCTTTCACTAAATCATCCTTATAGCTAGAACTGAATCGTTTGGTTAACTTTCTTGCTCTTTTCAACATAAAATACTAGAATTTAATGAAAAAAACAATATGGAAAAGAAAAAAGAAAAGAAAAAAGAATAGCAGGAAAATGGGAAGAAGAAAAAAAAAATTATGTAAATCAACCTAACTGATATTGGATGGCTGGGTTAGTTTTTTCTATAGTCTTTTGTTTGAGGATTTCCAAAAATGTGAAACTCTTCACAAAAAGAAAAAAAATTAAAAAAACAAGGAATACTGCGGCTTGTTACTGAGAAACACCCTCTCCATATAAGCGCGCACAGCATGGTCTAATCCCTTTGACAGCATAACTCACTGTAATAATGCGGATCAGACAGTGATTGATTTGAAAATATGACAAAGACAAAACAAGGTATGGAAGTACAAGCTGCGCCATTTGTTACAAAAAGAAAGAGCGATGTAACCTATTCTGTTGTATACATACCTCAACATACGCCATGTCCAAAAAGGAATCTGGTTTTTCATGCCGCTTTGAGGAAGAAAGAGCTCAAAAAAACAGTCTCGCTGAATTCATAGGGCGATAAAGAGACGGGCTTAAGAAAAGCTTTTGCAGACTGTATTTTAAGGAGAACTAGCGACACCCACAGACCAAATCGAAAGTTGCTTGTGGCAAAGGTTAGACAAAATAATCCATATCATGTCATGTCATGTACAAGAATTCAAAAATGGTGTGATTCTGAAGATGGTACTACACAAATTTTACTTCTGAATTTATAAAAATTATAATGCAAGATGCATAGAAAAAGAAAAGAGCTTCTAGATCTTTTACAAAAAGATCTTTTTTACTCTGTTCAATTAAACGCTAAACGCTAGTTATTGGTTCTGTGATCTGCAACAAACCATATTCTTCTCTACTGAGCATTTCGTTCTAACTCCTTCACCACATTTGCTCCACGTAACTCTTATGAAAATGTCGAGACTTAGAAGTGAATATGAAGATAGCTGTGAGTTGAAGTGTAGTGATTACAGCAACGGGATGGTTCAAGAGCCTGCATGTTATTTGGTGCTTTTCTTTCCCATTTTCCTTGTTCTCTAACGTTAAATGATGATACATGTCCCGACCTCAAAAAGGTAGCTCTGACAATCAATAATTTACCGTACCGCATACTCTTTCCTAGATCAACCCTGAAAACATCCAATGTGCAAATCTTGTTGACATGACGAATACAATACACTTTGTTACAAATGACTGAAGTTTGAATAAGGAACTCTTCCACTCAATGATGAAATGAGATTCGTTCCCAACATCCTCACTTGGTTTAAAATACATGCTGAATCGTTTTTTTACAGCAAGAATTCCCGGCATTCATCATGCTTTCCTGAGACACATCAGAAACCATGACATTCGCAAACATCGTCGAATGAGTTTTTAAAGTTTTCTGTTTTCCAGTCCCTTTACCGTTAGAGGATCGACTGTTTAAAATTAAGAAAGTTTCAGTAGGGTATTGTATCCCCTGGAAAGATGCATAAAGAAGGAAGAAGTAGCTACGGTGAAAGAACTGTCAACAATATGAGAAAGGCAATAATAATCACTAGTTCCATTTTGGTTATTGCTAACCTATCTGGCACGTCAACGTCTTTTGAGTCATTCAAATCGTAGCATAACGCGATGTTCATTATAAAAAGTTCAGATTTATCTTACCCTTGTCCAAATTGATGTAGCAGTGATCATTATTGGACCAAATGCTTTTCCCCTCACCCACCCCCTCAAATAATACAGATTGGTTTAAGCATGCATTCACTGGTGACCAGATAATACATCTAAACCATTTTTCAGACGAATAGGCGAATATGTGATTTAATGACATTGCTGTATGCTTATACTTCATCGGTCATAGTCAGCGTATATGTTCACAAATATCAGAATATCCTTTCATTTACATCTCCTGAATACGACAATGGTTCGGCTTTTGATTATGTGGTTCCCCACAGGATGCATACGTAATTGTCAAATAGGTTCAAGAGCATTAATGAGTCGCCATCAGTTGCACTTTTTACATCATTCACACTCATCTTTTATAAGCTTCTCGCAACATGCATTTGCACTTGTAAGCGTTGGCCATGTTTCTTGATTTCGTGCTTGATGTAACATGAATGATTATTTTCCTGTTTTCATCAACTCAAAGCATAGAAAGAAATAACGTATATAATTGGAACTCGTAGGGTATGCAGGGAACAACAAAACTTTCTGCTTAATAAGTGGCTTAAACAGACATATTAGAAATGAAGTACATAGGCTATAATATCGATGCCATACTTTACTGGGATACATTATTCTCTAATACAAAGGAACAAAAAGGAAATAGAAGAATTAAAAACAGGAAAAAAGAAGGAGTATGGGCCAGTTAGATTAAACAAAAGGCTCCAAGTTGATTTCGAGAGCAGTGGTAGGGTTAGCTAAATCGAAGTTTTGAAGAACAAGAGGATGAAGTACACCGAGGGCACCAATTTGAATGCACTTACGGAGCTTGGTCTCAGGACAAATGTATCTTAAGAAGACATGGGCTGAACGACCAGGGAAGAAGGTAGAATTAGCAGCTTCTTCAATCCAATAACCCAACTTTGTCTTGTCATCTTTGTGGATTCTAGGAGTGCTAAGCATAGCCATAATACGGTCCAAAAGACCATGAATAATCTATAAAATAAGACGAAAACGAGATATAAGTCTTCAAATCCAAATAAGGATACTATCTACAGTCAGTTAGTTAACCAAGTACTTACTTCAAAACCAGAGGTCTTTGAGGTATAAGTTGCACAAAGATGTCTTTCGTTTCTAGCTCTACGGTCCCGGCTTTCATCTTTGAAACCAACGTCAGAAACTTCAAATACCTTGAGAGGCATTGGTAATTTCTTATTGGAGTTCAATGTTTTGAGAATACCAGGTAAGAGCGAAGTACGTACTACTTGATACTCAGCAGTCTTGGGATTAGCAAGCTTAATAGCTGTTTTACTATCATCAGCACGGTTGAGGAATTGGAAATTTTCATCATGAGAACACTAATTTTTGTTTTTCATTATTGATGAAGAAATTAGTAAGAGTGAAGGGATACGACGTCGCCAAAAAAGTTACTTCATTTCACATACCAAAATCAAAGGGGCAACTTCAGTGAAACCAGCCATAGCTAATTCTCTACGGACTTGATCACTAAGCTTGTTCAAAGGCAAAGCAGTACCAAAGGTAGTGACACTAGGCATTTTCTTGGGTAAATTGTCGTAACCATAAGAAATCGCAACATCTTCCATAATATCACAAGCATGTAATATATCCCAACGAGTAGGAGGAACTTTGACTACAACTTCATTGCTATCCTTAGCGCTAATAGTAGCGTCCAAAGACATACGGTTGAGAAGACGGCAGATTTCTTCACCAGGGAGATCAAGACCCGTACAAGAGTTAATGTAATCAACCTTAGCAGTAGCTTCACGAGGTTCAAGGTTGGGGAAGATCTTGGTAGTGTTATCAGGATATACGATTTCAACAGGTTCAATTCTGTATTTTAAAAGGAAAACGTATGAAATTATTAGGCACACTGTACGATAGCGAGTGTCTTCCATAGCGAGTCCAAAAATCAACTTACGTGAAGGGTTCGGCACAGTATTCAGAAAACATGGTGACTAAAGTATTGAGGGCAGTGCTGGCCTTATGTTCATCTGTGGCGGTACATTCGATGAAGACATTCTTAGTATCGAGTGTGATCTTTGAGTGATCAGAGTTGATAATTGGTGGAAGTGAACAAACTGTACGGTTGGAATCGAAAACAACAGGGTACACAGGCGAATCACGGATGATGTGAAGGAATTTGCCCAAATGTTTATCTTCCTATTTTCGCAATCATCCCATCAGATATATCAGAACGCTGTAGTACATTTGGAATATAACAATTGCATTCACTTACAGCATAAAGTTCCATCAATTCATCACCATCAACTTCAACGTCCTTATTCAATGGGATGAATTTGATATCCTTATGAGGCAAGGCTTCGTAAGTAAAAGGGCCCTGGATGGTATCCAAATCATGAGTACCCATCGAGGCAAGTGTTCTCTTTCTATCAGCATATTCAATTGATTGAAGAATGGGTAGTGTAAGGTTCAGGGACTGCCTTTTGTCTAAATATGAGTCATTTTTCAGTTGTTTCTTACCGACAAATGTTGTTGTGAAGTTTATCCTGAAGATCAATGAAAGAGGCATAGTTCTCGGGCGTGAAGGTGATGTTACGTAAAATAGCACCCACAATATAGGGTCTTATTTGTTGAGTCTTTTTAAAAAAATTTGTTAAAAAATGATCAGTTTACTGTTTGTATGATCCTACTACATCCATATCATATTGCTGAAATAACTTACAGATTCCAAAACACGAATTTGTTGCAATTTACCGTCAGCAGGTTTGGCAAGCTTATAAACAGGAGGCTTCTGTTTACCTTCGAAAACTCGAAGGGCACGAGCAAGACCTTCTTGACATAATAAGTCATATCTATATCGACAGATTCAATGAATATCAAATCAATAACATTTCCTCCATTATCCTTCTTTCTAAGAACTACTGATTTAAACTGCTGTACCTGTTAGCAGGGATATCAATTTTTAACAGTGCCCTTTCAGATAACTCTTCAGTGTTTTTGCTTCCTTCTTTTTGTGCCATTTCTTTTTCAGAGGTCTATAATGCAAATTAGATGACGTTAGACCACCACATATGATCGTCATGAAAGTAATAGAATCAACGGATTGTTGCAAGACTAGGCGAGCCGTCCCAACTGGTCTATGCAATCAACAGGAAAATGAATGCTGCTTACATCTTCTTCAAGTTCGATACCGAAACGGAAACAAAGTTCGAAGAATTCCTCAGAAGCTATAAAGATAGAATACCGTGTTATGCAAAGTCCATAATTGAATCCAGTTATGAAAACAAAATTTACTATAATTCTTCTCAAGGGCCTCGAAAAGTGCTAGCTTGTCAACGTTAACGGTAGGCATGGTTGACTATTTTACAGTTTAAACGAAAAAGACTTATAAATCTGTAAGCGTGTCGACTGACTGAGAAACATCAAAATATCTGAGAGATTTTAGTGGCTTATCTGATTAAACATAAATATTACATAAGCAAACGAATAGTTGTGGTAACCAAGCTATTGATTTTTACTTTAATCATTTTTATTGAGGGTAACTAAGTATAAAGGACATGAAAACAACGTAGAAATGCAAATAAAAATTGTTATGAGCTTCTACAAATCATCCAAATTAATCTCTTTCCCTTCACTCAATTCTTTTTCAAGCTCTCTGAATAATTCCTCATCTTCATCCTCCTTCAATATGCGCACCTGTCTGACAGATGGTTTCAAAGTGGGTATATCTTCTGTCATAGTATCATTTCGAGAAGCATTTGGTAACTCTTCTTGATTTTTGATTACTGCCGATGCTAATTTTTCGTTCATCTCTGCTTTTTGAATAGCAGCTTTTTCCTCAGCTGTGAATTGACGTTCTGTCGCAGCACGTAATAGCTCTAAAAGCGTCCCTTCATCAATTGCACGCATAACATCCTCAAATTGCTGCATGAACGTTGAATTAAATTAGAGAATGAGTCAACATGATTGCTTCAATCATAAAGTTCTTAAAAATAACTTACTCCTCTATATTCACCACCTACGTAAAGTTGCGGAAATTCTTTAATCCTGCCTGTCGTAGATCCATTATTGTTGCATCGTTTAGCATACTGTCTAGCTGCCTCACTCGACGCTACATCCACTAAACTGAATGGTATATTTTGTGCTTGCAAAAGCTGTTGTATCTTCTCCTGATTTTTTTTTATGATGGAATGGCCGCTTACTGATGAATAATAGATCTGTACCTTTTTAGGATCTAGTGGAGTTAAAACCGGTTCTGCTTTGGTGGGCATGACTGTATTGCTCAGGGCTTTTAATAACGTCTTGCTTTTGCTTTCTACCAATGGAGCAGGCGAGGTAGGGCGCAATTTCGTGAGCTGTTCCCTGCTTGGCAGTGGCCATGAGACAGCTTCAGTGGGCTGAAAGCGAGTAGTCCATTTACCACTATCCCTCTTTGCTTTGGTGTCATGCTTCAGAAGTTTATTGAGCTCGTTCTGTTGATTATTCTCTAGAGTGTCGAGTTGCGACTGATGTGACCGCTCCAAATCCTTCAATTCTACAGCATGTGTATGCTCAGCTTGCTCAAACTCTTGCAGAATACGTTCGAGATGCTCATCTAAATTTATTGCTGATGTGGCACTTTGAGCATTGGCCGCAGCCTTCGTTGCTTGTTTCTTCGCTTCTTCCAATTGCTTCATTAATTCGGATCTCTCCTGAGCATGCTTCTTCTTGAGTGAAAGTATGCTTTCGGATTGCGTGGTTTGTAATTTACATAATTCATCCATATGACTTTGCTTGAGTGCTTCCAAGGACTTTCTTTGTTCATTTAATTGATTCTCTTTCTCAGCCAGCATTTCTTCATGTAATCGAAGGCTTTCTTCATGTGATTTTTTTTGCTCCTATTGTTGAATCAATCATTCACCTGAGTTGAACTTATCCATAAATAACGCTGCTCACAGATAGGCCAAACTTACCTCCAATTGTTTATACAGTTCATCAATTTGACCAAGTGCTTCCTTATCTGTTTTCTCATGATCGTCAAGCGAGGCGTCGTTCATTTTTGATTTTAATTCTTCGAGCTCCTTTTCTTTCAAAGCCAATTGTCTGGCCGTATCCAACTTCTAGTGAACATTATCCATATCAGCATCTTGTTCTATGTTCTGTATAATTATTTTCTCGTCTTACCTCAGTCTTTAAAGCTTCTAACTCTGAAACAACTTGCTCCATGTTCTTTCCGTTCTTATCTTCGACCAACTCTTTCTGTTCTCTCAGCAATGCCTCATTTTCGTGTAAAAGTAACTGAATCTCAACACTATTAGTATTGTTCCTTTCTTGTCGTTCTGATTTGACGGAAGGCAACGAATTCGGTGATTTTGGCTGTTGCATCAAAAAATTGCAATCCCCATCATTATCTTTGGTGTCGTCTTTTGCATTTACCTCATCCTTTAGACCTGACGAGTGCTGCTTCTCGTCTAGCGATGAACATGCTTTTTTCATCTCCTGCTCCTTTGCCAGTACATTGTTTTCTTTCGGCTGTGTTGAATCAAAGTTTTCATCGGTTGCTACGTTGCCTGCATTCGGCTTTTTTTCCTCGAAATGATTATGATTCTCACCATCAACCGTTACAAACGCATTATGTCTATCATTATTTTGCTCGTGCTGTTTCTGTTGTTGTTGTAATTGTAGCTTTAACCTCTCAAGCTCAGCTTTCTGTTCGGCGATCAATCTCAAATTTTCTTCATTCTACATAACAATCGCAGCATTCGTTTTAGTTATTGTTGTGTAACTGTTCCTCTCACTTTTGCCTTGTCTCACATTAACAATTTTTACCTTTGCTTTTAAATCTTTCACTTCCTCCTTCATCTCCGTAATAGGGTATCTCTTTCCAGTTGGCTTCCCTACGGTACCAATAGCGGAAGCGCCAACACTTCGGATGGACGAAGCGACACTATTTGGTCTAGATGCGCCATTGGCTATCGGGCTAGCGTTTGAAGCTGCTGTTGCCAAACCAGCTGCTCTCGTTGCATTCAGCGGTGAAATAGAACGTTGAGGTTTTGTTGCTGTTACTCCTGTTGTTGCTGACGGTCGAGAATTATGTCCAGATTGGTTGCTTATGACACTAGCCCTTTTATTGTTCGTCAGTGCTTCAACCGAACTACGAGCAGCTGTGGATGTTTTTTTGCCATTTACAGACATCATTGAAGCTAAACTTGAGTTCGTTTTCGAGCTTCTAAGCCTTGTTGTGTTTAAAGTTGGAGATTTTTTAAGGCTATTGCCACTTGCTTTTGCTCCTGATCTACCAGCGGACATTGTGGTTGTCCCGCCAGGATTCAGACCTTTTTTTTCTTTTTTCCTAGGCCCTAAACATACCATTCTTTTGTAATTATATTGTCTTCTCCGTGAAGAGAAAAGAAAAAAATAAAAAAAGGAAAATTTGAAAAGTTGAAAGGTAGGACAACAGAAGAGAGAAAGAAACAGCAATTAAAAATATGGGAAAGGCCAAACTGGGTTATTTCCTTACTGTTATGGCATTACAGTGCGTACGATCCCAATTGGCGGATTGCAGAAATTAATCTGCGGGTATTCAAAATACCATTAAAGAGAAACAGCAATGAAAAATTCCAATCAATATTTTCCTTGGAAACGAATAGCAGCCTCCATATCATCAAAAGACATTCCTTACAGAGTGAAAGGAAATAATTGTTATACTTCTTTGTATGTTAGGAGAAAGCACTAACCTAATTCTTGACTATATTTCCCGATACATATTCCACTACATAGTTGCTTGCAGTAGTGCTATCAATCAATTTGCTGCGTTCCAGTGACGTGCTTGACTGTTGAGCATGAATAATATAAAATATGTTCGCTTTTGCTTACAAATTTCTTTGACTGATAGCATACTGCTGAACTTAATGAAATTGCCTATATGATTAGAAACATATGAGAATAAAAAGAAAGATTATTTCAATTGAATTTAAGGAAATTAAGCCGTGGCTCTCAGAGTACCTAATACACATGCAAACAATCATAGTTTACAAGAAAAATCTAAAAGTTTTTAACAAAATTGACTATGATCGCTCCTTTCAATGATGGTACAGTTTTGTGATCTGTTATATTGCAAACTGAAGGTGGAACCTGCGGTTAATGCTTAAGCCAAAAGTATAGTAATCTTCTGACAGTAAAGGTTTACCACACAGTGATGTGGATAATAATAATCTGACAAATAAGTAAATATAAAAGAAAAGACTATTGGTTATGAATGGTTAAGGTGATTACATATTATGAAGTAAAAGAAGTAATAACAATATAGGTTCGTAGTTTGTTTCGTTTTCGGAGGTTTCAACGTTAAGATAGAAACTAATAATTACACCGTAATTATGAACTACCGATCAATACAAAAGCTGCGTACTGCTGGAAGAGCTAAGTATAAATATCTGTCATCTCTTCCTCACTCTCAGTACAGGCGTGAGCAGCACTTCTACTTTTTTCGGATGAGTACCGTTGAAGAGTGACTTTTGCTTCTTCTCGACTTGTTGGTGTTACGGGCAGGTGATCCAGTTCAACCAGCTTCGGACAGTGCTCAATGAGAAAAGAGCGGAATACTTGCCTACGCCACATATTGCGTTCAGATAGGGTGCTTCGAAATTCTTCATCTTGGAATATCCAGTTCGGATCCAGTGCTGCCAAAAGATAAGGTGAAACTCCTTGATGCTGATCATTTACATCCTCACCTTGCTCGTCGTAATTAATTATAGATGGGTGCCAGTTTTGATGGTATATAGGGGGATAGATTTGATCACACATGGGGTTATTTCTGGTTTTTTTTTTTCCAAAAAAAAAGACAATGTTTAGTCAGTAATATTAGTAACATCTCCTTGCATTCTAGCTTCGTAAATTACCGTAAGTCTAAATATTGTAGCGATCTCATATGGCGTACAACTTCGATCACCTCATTGGCGCTCATGAGACTATTACCAATCAAAACTAAACGCTTCAAATACTTTAATCTCTTCAATGCTCTTATGTTTGTCAAGCGATTATTGCTAAGGTAAAGGGTTCCCAAATTAGGTACATGCCGACTGAAATTTGAGGGTAATACCTCAATATTAGCTGCACATAATTCCAAATAGTCTAACGAATAAAAGTCAATCAAGCGTCGCATATTATTAAAAAGGCTTCCTGACAAATACAGCTTTCGTATTCCTCTTAGATATTGCAAGTTATATTCTCTATGTTGCGAAGTGATAGTAAAGGTTGTTAGAGACTGAACTACTAAGGAAAAATGAATGCTAATGTACATACACGTTCTGCCCTCCTTGATCACGCATAGAAAAAGAATCTAACCGTCTCACACAAGCCATACCAATAACACGCTGTATTTGATTTTCGTCCAGGTATAAAACATGCATTTCTGGGAAACTTGACATATCGAATGACTTTAATCGATTAAAGCTCAATTGTAGTTTAAATAAACGCTTCATGGGTTCCGATATTTGTACTGTCATGATATCATTATGGTCTATGGCAAACAGATTGAGGTTAATTCTTGTATTCTAGGACCTTAGAACATATAAAAAATAAATTGCTTCTATCTCACCTGCATAAAGTTCGCGTAAATTTTGTAAGCGTTCGATTGAATCCAGACTTTCAATGTGATTAAATGAAACGTCTAGGGTTTCCAATTGATTATTTCTGTTCAAAACGTAAACATGAGCTTAACCATGCTTCAGCTTTATAAGATACAGATTGACTTACTGCATAATCTGTTTAAAATTTTCTAGCGTTCGCAAAGAATTATTCCTCAAGTTCAAAGATACCAGACCACTTAATACTCGAAACGGTTTACAACTTGTTATGGCGTTATGACCAGCATCCAGCCTGCGAAGAGATTTCAATTCTGACATTGTATCTTCATTCAAGTATTTGACTGAGTTATGAGATATGTCGAGGTGTTGGAGTCTGTCCAAATTGCCCAATTTGATTTCAGTCAAGTTATTATCTGATGCGTAAAGATAAATGAGTGATCGGGGCAATCCAGAGATAGATCTCAAGTCGTTATGGGAACTGATATTTAAATTATTGAAAAAAAAAATAAAAGAGTGTTAAATGCTTCTCGACAGTCGAAGGTAGTTATTCACTGCAACTTTTCAAACATTACATGTTAAGGTATTCTAGTTTCGGGAAACATTGATCCAGATCATGCAGTTGCATCAAATGTTGCCTGCTCAAATTCAGTTTCTTCAATTGATACCAGTTTGAACTTTCAGAGCAAGTTTTTTCCAACATTATAAAAACGCTCGATAATTGAAGCCTTCTGAAGTCAGTTGTGTTCGGCTGAAAGGTCAAAGTGTGTGCAATTCTGGCCTTTATTGTAGCTGAAGTAGCAGCAGGAAGATTATGCTTTTGCTGCGGCTGCTGAGGATGCTGTCGTTGTTCCCGAATGTTGTTTTGTAAATCATCTACATTAATATTGTTATCTGTGGGCTTGACAGCATTAGTAGTGTTCGATGTTATATATTTGTCAAGGACGGAATGTTGAGTAGTAGGGGAATTCTCCGCAGGGCTTATATTATGCGTACTATGTTGTATATCGTGTTGGCTAAGTGATGGTGGAGTAGGCTTAGCAGAATAAGCTTGCAGTTTGTGTTCGGTGAGCTTGGGTGGTTGACCAATAGAGAGGAGCTGTCGTGCGTTGGAAACTAAGCTGGGTTCAGCATTTTGCTTCAACCTACCTTTACCTTTAGGATTTATGATAGGTCGATTGGCATTTACCTTATAATTGCCAGAATTAGAATTTTCTTCCCCTCTAGAAGTCGAATAGAGATTGGTGTACATTTGAAATGGCTGTAATTGTTGAAGACCTTGTTGTACTGGTGTTGCATAAGTTGATAATGTCGGCATATGTGATGGTTGCGATGTGTTGCTAATTCCATTCAACAGGTCGGGTAATGGAGGGTGGAATTTGAGTGGTTGGTTTTTTGTTCCAGGATCGAATCTTAGAGCTGGAGGGGAGTTTGTTTTTGGTAAACTGAAAGGAGTCAAAGCATCTGTTGAAGCTATTGCAAACAATTGATGTGAAACAGTAAATGAGAACATAACCGAAATTACTAAAATATATCTTCATCTTTAAAAAATACTTTACTTTTTTGTTGACTGTTGCTAGGCCCTAGTGGCGTACGTTGACTATCGGTAACCAATGTAGCTTGAGCAGGTTCGCATGGAGATGGTGGTGTTGATTTCGACATATACGGTATTGATGAACCAGAAATGGACGTTTTCCAGACTGTATTTTTGTCTACCAAAGATTCCCTTGTTTGTTTCGTAACTGAATTCTTGGAATGCGCTGATTCTTTGGTAGTAAGTTTAGGTTCTAAATGAGGCGTTGGGCTTATGTTTGAGGGAACAGAAGCAAGAGATGAGAAAGAAGCAGAAAAAGGATTGGAAGATTGAGCGAACGCAGATAAATCTCTTCTTAATTTATCGTCGTTTAATGATAACATGTCATTTGCAAATGTATCATTGTCATTTTTGAATTCATTGTGATGTTGATTAGCGGTTTCATTATCTACTATCAATTTCATTTTAGTGATAATGCCGTTTTCCTTTTGATTATTTTGACAGCTTTTTGTGCTACAAAAGGTGATAGCATACCATCAATTTTGCCTCCAATGTCGATATTGTTCCTAGAATGAGTGCTATTATCGTCTTCATTGTCGTCGTACTTACAATCGTTACGAATTTTAAACAAATCTGTTTGGTCTGTGTCTGCTGTTGTAACGGTACGAACTGTAATTGAGCCTTTTGCCGTTGTCGTATTAGGGGGGCTTTTGTTATCTTTGTTTTGCACAATTCGTAAATCATCTTTATTGTTAAAGGATAACGAACTTTCGCAAAAAGCACCCTCTTTTTTATCAACAGTTGCATCGCTATTCTCACTCATATCTGTAAAGTGCTGTGCTTCATACTGATCATCAGTTTCCTCGCGTTCCTCATTCTCATTACTGTCATTTTTGCTGTTACCATTACGAACATCATCTGCAAAGTAAAATTTTGGCATTGATTTGAACCTATCAAAATTCAAGACAGGTGCTCGCTGACTTCGTCGTCCTTTTGATGTTTGTCGCTGTTTTTGTAGTATCGGGGAAATCATTGTAGGTGCATGGTCGAAATTGGGCGCTGAGATGTATTTAATTCTGTACGCTAAGGATGGGTTTATCAACAGAAAATTGATCCATGAGTTTTTAAATATGCTTTTTACATCTGATAGTCGCACAACAGCCTATATTTAGATGAGAAGGGGCGGTTGATTTTTAAGTTTTGTCAAAAGTCTACTTAGTTGACATTTGCTAAGTCAGAGTAGAAAGGTTACTCAATTAAGTAACAATCTTTATCTCTTGTTTGCTTCTAATGTTTGTGAAATAATATACAGATACTTGAGAATCAAATGCTTATAGATCATTCATGGAGTTTTGTGAAAATCAAACAATTAAGTGAAGGAACCTCAATTGTTAGCCCCTTTTCATGCTAAGGAAAAAATTAATAACAAAACCTTTGCTAGTATTTACTATATAGTTACAATCAGATCATAATACAAATAATGGTAACTTTTATAGATCTGTTAGATTAATAATTTACTATAAAGAAGATTATTTAAAGTGAATGGGATTGGTGAATCTATTTACGACAAGTATCATAGTTTTCAACAAACCAATCGACGGATTCCTTGATGGCTAAAGAAATCGAAATTGACATTTAGAATGGTATCAGTATTTTGATGCAGAATATGACTACTTACCAACATCGAATGGAGTGAATTTGAAATCAGGGAGGTATTTCATCAACTTAGCGTTGCTAGCAGTCTTCTTATATTGCCCATCAGCCTTGGTAGAATCGAACTATGTAAATACAAAAAAGGTTGCTTAGATTTCATCAAGTTCCAAATTATCTCAGACTCGAAAATTCCACTTACGGTATATTCTCCCTTGAAATCGAGAGCCTTGACAATATTATCCGCAACATCCTTGATGGAAACTTCATCTTCTTCGCCAACTATTGCAATATAAATTAATTATTAACATAAGATTTGCTCATATAACGCTACATAATTGCCATGAACCTTACCGGACAAAATGATGGGGTCAATTTCTTCATATTCTCTTAAAACCCAGACGAAGAGTTTCGCTAAATCACGAGAGTAGATGAATTGACGAAGAGGCTTACCGGTGCCCATAACAACGAAAGGAGTGTTGTTCTCTACTCAAAATAAGAGCTAATTGTTAACGAAGAGTCGAAATTTAAACTTTTTTTACCAACAACTTACTTTTGGCGAGATAACACTTATGAGTCAGACCGGGTAAGACGTGAGACCCTTCTAATTCATAGTTATCATTGGGACCGAAAATGTTTGTAGGAATGACGGCGGTGAAGTTACAGCCGAATTGTTCATTGTAAGCGCTTCATATAGCCAACAATATACATATATTATGAGAATCAAGAGGACAACTACACGTTACTTCTAGACCATCAAATCACTTACTGGTTATAGACGTCAATCATACGCTTACCATGAGCGTAACCGAAGTTAGAGTGATGAGGAGGACCATTATGAACCATAGTTTCATCAATGGGATAAGAAGTCTTGTCGGGGAAAACACAGGTAGAAAGACATGAAACGACCTTCTTGACCTACATTGACATTAAACCAGAGTGAAAGTTTGATTCCGTTTAGTACAGACTGAGCAAAGGAACCCATCTCATGTCCACTTTCCAAAACAACGTGTTCACTTACGTTGAACTCCTTAGATTGCCATAAAACATTATCATTGATGAGCATGTTGTCACGCAAGAAATCGAGCTTATATTTCATGTTCTTGAATAAACCACCAACCATAGCGGCCAAGTGAATGACGTGGGTAGGCTTATATTTTTCGAAGATGGCTTTGGTATCTGCTTCGTTTCTGTGGTTGAAGAGAACAAGATAAAAAAAAATCAGAAGAATGAAGTCGGATACTCAAAGGTTACTTATAACTCTTTTCTTTCCATTGCTCAGAAAACCTCATTTACCTTAAATCGCCATCACGACCTGTCAAGAAAACCCACTTTTCGTTATCCTTCTTACCAAAACGGGGATCCTTTTCATTTTCAATAATATATTGAAGGGCGTGGCCAACTAAACCACTACCACCGGTAACAAGGATAACGTTCTGTTCAGCAGCCATTTTGTATACAATAAATAGAAAGTTTAAAAATAGGAAGAGAAGAGAAAAATTGAAAGCTTTAGTTGGTGGAGGAAAGTATGGCCCCAATCGCGGATTTTGAAATTTCATATTTTTGTTGATCCTTCCCAAAATGTTTTAGAAACAAAAAAGGTTTTAAAATATCCAAACAGAAGTGGCTGGTTTAAAGGGTAAACTAAATATGCCTTGAGTATGCGCTTTAGACAATCTTTCTTTTTAAATAAACCTAGCTTATTTCATTTTATATTGAAACTTTACGTGAATAATTGAATAAGTTCGTTTGCAGATCGATGTGTTACAAATCCAAATTTAATAAGCGTCAAAAATGTTGTGAACTCCCAGAACTCGTAGCGGAGAAACAAGCCAGGAACACAAACAGCGTGATGATATTTAAACAGAATTCTTTTATTCCAATATTTTAAAACCCAATGAGTATCAAAAATTGCCCAGGGCAGATCCTAAAGTTTCTATAGTATGGACTATATATTGCTTAAAACCCCTTTGGGAACAAGGGTAAAAAAGAATTGAACCAGTTGTTGTTGTATGAGGGCTGGGTTAACCATTGTAATAGGGCGAAGCTTAGTGAGGGGTCTGGTGGGGGTGGATCCAACCTATGAGAATGTGACAAATGGCAGGCCAACGGGCAGTCCATGGTTGGCGGGTGAGGGCTGATCGAGGGGGACGGGTGGGAAGTTGATTCAAAAGATTAGACAATGGATTTAGATTGATATTGGCATCATCAGACGTTGATGTATCTGTAAGCACTGTATGGCATGTTGTTTTGTCATGATGGTGGTGGGATGATGGAAGCAGAGGTTGGAATGACCACCAGGCAGCCATCGGAGACGCCATCGGATGCAGCGGCTACGCTCTTCGCTAGTCATCAGGAGCTAGAGTAGAGGGTCTAAGCTGATGGATATCCGACACGCAGAGAGTAACTTTGAGTTCTGGTGTGGTTGTTGCAGTTCATGTAGGGTTTCTGTTCGAAACTCACGAATGCATTTGTTGAGGGCTTCATGATCAATACACTGTTGTTGTTGGACTCGGTTCCAAATAGGAGAGCGGCTTAGACGAATATAGGTTGATTTGCTGGATGGATCTTGGATGTAGGGGTGCAGTAAGGTGAGGAGAGCATCATTTGGTAAGTGGTGAGAACGAAGTATGTGTTTAGCCTGGAGAATCGCACAGCGTTCTTTTATGGATGGTAGATCAGCCGTGTGGAGCATTATTTTTACAGTTGAACGGGACGAACCACCGAAGATCCTTCGAATACAGGTATTTTGCGCCTTTTCCAGTCTGAGGATGTTAGCGAAGGTGAAAGGGCATATAGCTGCACCATACTCTAGTTGAGGTCGGATCATTTGAGCGTAAAATCGAAGGGCCACGAATTTCTCAAAGCCATGGTTGTTTAAGCCAATAGAGCTGAGGATATTCATCGTAGCCAATGCTTTCGCGATATTGATACGGATTAGTTCGTTGGGATCCAAATAGCCACCCGAGCGGAAAGGAACACCAAGGTAGGGAAATGAGTTAACTGACCGTAAGGGTGATTCATAAAGGCTATAGGTCATAGGGTCATTATGAGGGTCGAGAATAACACATTTATCAGGGTGCCAGCGATAACCAGGGGTGTAACTGTGATTTTCACATTGGTGTAATAGATGTTGTAGATGGCGACGGTCTGCCATCAGTACCTCATCGTCAGCGTATAACAGGCAATTCAGCCGAGTGGCTAGTTCACAGGGAGGTAGATGATGTAGAGGTTGATGTGAGCATAGGATAACTGGTAGCTCATTGATGTAGTATGAGTAGAGTAAAGGAGATAGGACAGAACCTTGCAGGACACCAGTGGCGGGGTGGAAGCGGGCTGATTTGACATCATGCAGAATGATTTCAATTTGTACCTCGTCAAAAAGGTGTTGTAGCAGACGTTGAAGGGGGGTTGGTATGTCAGAGGTACGTAGGCTATTCCAAATGACCTGACGGTCTACAGTGTCGTATGCCGATTTTATATCCAGGAATGCAAGCACTGGGGAAGTGTCATAGTGTCATCGCAGAATGTTGCATATTTCAACTAAGCAAAGGGCTTGATCCAGGGAGCTTCGAGTCATCCGAAAACCCCCTTGAGCCAGATCAATGGGTGGGCCAGACGTTAAGGCAATATCTTTCAAACAGTGCTCGAGTATCTTACGGAAGGGAGAGGTGAGGCTGATTGGGCGATAATTAGCTGGATCAAGTGGAGTTCCTCTCTTGTATATAGGGAGGGTTTGTGCTATTCGCCAATTAATTGGTGCATACGTCCATTGCCAGCTATAACTGATACAAGTGGTGTCGCTGAGCCAGAGATCTTTTATCCGACTTTCAGGTATCTGTTGCGCCATTCATATCATGAATACCTCAGACTATTATGTCCGTTGGATCTACCTTATTATTATCTGGCTTAGGATAGGAATATGTATGGAACATGCTGTAGCATTGAACTCTAATTATCATAATTATATTATCTTATAATACACAGACAATAAAGAATATATAATTTATCTATATGTAATCTCAACAGTGAATGATTAAGTACCAGAAGAGACTAATGTCATATTATGGGATAGTCACATAGAAAGTATTACAGGCTTTATTTGTCTCTGTCAATATCTATATACGGACTTAAGTCTCAATATACAACATGATCTCTTCATTAATTTGTATCTACAATCAAATTTTTCTAATAAATTGGCGTTTGCCTTCAAATCACAGGTATCATAAATGAACAGTTCATTTGAAAACATGAATGTGTCCACAGCGACTTTTTTTATTATGGGATAATCTTTCAACAATTCGTGAAGATGACTGGATCGACTGGAAAATCCAGCAAAATCCAAGACCGCAAGACAAATTGAATGTTTAGTTGCTTTCAAGTATTTAAAAAAATCTAAAATAAATCATAACAATTTACTGTTAGTGGTCTTTTCTTAGAACACGCACTTATTTAATGAATTTTTTACCTCGAGCATCTACTTTATCTAATTGTTGGTGTATTTTTTGGTCCACGTTAACATCTCGCTCTGCAAAAGCTGTTGAAGCCCTTGAGCTTGATGAGACAAAAATCCGAGTCGCAAAAGATCTGGAGCGCAAATTGTCTACCATTTGCTGCAATAGTTCCACACGGTTATCCATTATATCTGCGGCTGGAGACTTTCGGACGTATCCTACTATTTCAAATATATTATTCTGCAAATTTTTCAATGTTTGCTGGTAATTTAGCAGATATTCCGTAATGGATGTAACCAGACAGTCTACCAAAGAGAAATATTAGACGTGCACATTACTTTGCAATTTATGTAGTTTTACCATGGTAAATTTTATCCATTACAAAAAGATTTCTTTTTCTACCTCCATGGTTTTTTATCTTCTATAGTATTTAAGAATTTTAACCTGTTGCCCGAACACCAACGAGTAAACGCAAGTAATGTTTTGTTATTAAGGACTGTTGAATTTTCCTTTACTGTTTCAAAGATATCGTCTGTACTAGTTAATTTTTCTTGATAAATTTCTGGATTGCCAAAGTCATTCACAGTGTAAACGCTGTTTACAAACTGGATAACTTGAGATTCGGTCACTAAGAGATAAGAATTTTAGTCTTGTGTAAATCACGCTTAGTCTCTTTAAGCATACCTAGTTCAGCCTTCTTACGCTTAACGCCTGTTTCTTCTTTTTCTTTAAGTACATCCAAATACTTACGGTAGGTAATTGGATTACCCAACATACGTTGTTTCATTACAAGGATTGGTTCACATTCATTGGTATTAAAACAAATTTCATAGTTCTGAGATTCAAGTATATTTCTGTATTTGGTGACGTTTTCAGGTGTATATTGTGATATTTGTAATTGATGTTTGGTTTAGTGAACGCGATTTATAATTGATATGAAACTGTAAGGTGAAATGAGTCTCCTTAGTCCTTTTATTGTACACTGAAAATCAGAGAGGGGAGCGTTCACAGCAAACTGAATGTTTGTATTTAAAAAAAGAAAAAATAAAAAAAGTCCTCGTTCCTTAATTTCTCAGCCAGTAATAATGCAGCATTTTATATGCGCATCTTTAGAAATACAAGATGACGTGTACAAGTGTTATTATGATTCTATGATCATAATAACGAGTCAATTGCTTGAAAGTGTGTCTAATTCGTCTTTATATATTATAGGAGGTATGGAAATACCACAACGTACGTCTTCTTTGTGTAGAATAACTCAGCTGTCAGTTTCTAGGTTCCGCAATATGAAGAAGATATTTAAATTTTTGCAGTAGATATTTTTCTTCTCTTTGAACTTAACTTGATTCAAAATAAAGACCTACTAGTTTGATCTCGTTGAGCTTTTTATTGTTTTAACTAAGTGATATTTTACTCCACAAGTCGTCAAATACCACAGAGTTCATCTACAATGTCAGTTCACTTTTCCGTATTTTGGGATACCTTTTCAGAGCAAGTGTATTCAAAGTATCTTTGGTGAATCCAGTACATTGTCGGCCCGCCTTATGCTCCACCTTGCCCATCTGCCCACCATGAAAGAACGCCTCTTCATCCTACAAGCTAAGTTCCTTTTACGCTCTATCTCACTGCCTACTGATACTTTAATCTCAATACTACTCTTAAATATAGGTCAGCAACAGAGTAAATCGTTATATTGCAAGCTTGTTCGTTCTCCAATCTGGCAATATTACACTTCTTCTCCACTCAATCAACAATCCGAATCAGCTGCTCTGCGGCACTGTATCGCTAACTTCTGTGCCAGACTCCTTCACATCCAGTAATCGAACTGTCCCAACTCCCAACTGATTTCTCAACGCCGTTCTCGACTAATGATCGACTCGATCCTTTATGTCCAATGTCAACTAATGAACGCAGTCGATGTATCTGATGGCGTTTGGGTTGGCTTCCTGGAGGCCATCAAACCTATTGCCTAAAACATCTTCGTCATTACTCACAAAGTCCCATTTTATCTCCTGTTTACGCATGCGCCACCGCCTACGACTTCCCGCATCTGTCTGTGATCCAATATACATGTTCTCAACCGTCTTCTTACGCATCCGATTAAAAGCCCATCCCAAATATAAGGCTGGCAATTGATGGTCAGTACTTTGTCACATTTTGTTTGAACTCGACTACTTACACCACTCTCTAGAGCCGCCTACAATTCCTCGGTTGGGGCATCTATTGCTCGACTGGTTACCCTCTTCTTCCACCCGCATCCAATAGAACATAATCCTTTTTACCATTGAGATTTTACTTAGCCTTTGCAGCTACCCCGGGCAATTTAGATACGTTTTATATATCGTGTCCATTGGGCTTTAAAATTATATAATCCTTGTTTGAACGTATTTCATGATGCATTTTTATTCAGAGGCACATTTTATTGTTTGATGTCATTGGCTCCTGATGTTTGGTAAATTGTTCTCGAACAAACCGAATCATTTTTAGCGATAAGGCTAGTAAAATAGTCTGCTTTACGTTTCTTACTACTTCAGAGAGAACGTAGAAAGTAATGGATCGAAAACAACAGCGCAGTCTATAATAGAAAGTAAGCAAAGAGATCGCCTATCTATGGCAACAAGGCTTTCATTATCCTTCAGTCAAGCAAAGAGTATCTTTTCGGTTACAAAAGCTTTATATTACCAAGTAATGGAAGCTAACAACTATTTTCTGCAAGTCAGAAGAGTATAGTTGAAAATATACTCATCTATTATGGTATTTAGAGTCAGTGGGCACTGTCATTATAATATCGAACATTCCTGGTCTTGCGTTTTTTTTTATCTGTGCTTTTTTATAAAGCTGATAGCCAGAATTTAAGAGTACACTGAATAATTTGTATAATTGTACTATCGCAATTCTTGCTCTGATTTTTTACCGATGTGGTACTGTTCTTTTTAAGTAAAATGCCGGCGTACATACATGTACAGAATGACCAATTTCTAATAAAATACCTTAACCAACAACAATAGGGGAACTCAAAAGGAAAGCCTACTTCTACTGAATGAACAGATTACTGAATTACATTGGAGAGGGAAAAAGGCGGGATTTCAGCATTGTTCAGCTGACGCATGGAAAAGGGACGAATAAGTTTAGGTTTGAGCAATTTTGAGTGACGAAAACAGAAATACAACTGCATTAATTGTCTTCATTGTAAAACAGATATATATACGTTACATACCCTTTAAAATGCTCATTGAGTGAGTTTACAGTTGTTCACTGCTGCAAGAAAGTGATTAAGAGCAATGGGAACAGTGTTTCACAAGCAAACTACAATACTTATATTCACCTTTTATTGAAAGCTTCTTAGTTATTCAGGAATCAAGAATATGGAAGAACCTGATCAAGGTACCATCATGATCATTTGTGTTAAGGTTATTCGAGATCCGCTTTTGTCTCTCGTCATTCATGGAAATACATGAACCCCGTGACAAAAGGGTATAGCCATGAGGCAGTATAAATAGACGTTCAAACAATTTATTTGGCGTATCGTCCTTTTTCTTACTAACAACTACGCTCTTACTCTTAGTATTCGGTTGTGAATTCTTTGCCCTTTCTAGCTTTCCGTCAAATAGAATGTTAGCACCATTGCCAGTGAATCCTCTTACCGCTGAAGAAGTAGCGCATTATCTACCTTTATCAGGGCAATCTCCCGATATTCAGGGACGTATTATCAATGTAACACATCAAATCCCTTACAATATTCTGCGTTCACATCAGCATTTGAAAGAAAGTCCAATTCCTCTCTCACCACCTATGACACCTCGCTCATCCATTCAATCTGTTAGTGCTACTGAAACAAAAACTGATGAAGAAATTGACAGCATCGATAGCACTGCAACGGCAGCAGCAGTAGCAGCAGCAAAGGATCCCGTTTCTGCTGCACCTATTTCAAAATTGGCTCGACATCATCGCCGCGGTATCACTCTAAGAATGAAGTTTCACGCAGCAGACTGGACGGTTGTGGAGAGAAGAGGCCATCAAGCTTTGTATGCAGGCTTACAAAGCCTGCGTAAAGATTATGAAACCATCCATATCGGCTGGACAGGTCCTATACGTGAAGAGGGCTCTCGCAAAGACATCAATCACAAGTTGGACATGGAAGATAGAGTAAAGTTAAGATCACTTTTATGGGAGACGGGTCATATAGTACCGATTTTTTTAGATGATAAATCGCACGGCCATTATGAAGGTTATTGTAAACAAGGTAATGTAAATCAACAAATAAACAATGAGTTCATTAATAAAAAAAAAAAAGAAAGAAAAAGGGGAAAAACTCTAACTTTAAAAGAATGAAATAAACCTTTTCAGTACTGTGGCCTGTTTTTCACTATTTGGTTCAAACTTCTTCCAGTGACAGTCGAGCAGAAAAGCGTCACTGGGATAACTATGTTGCTGTCAATAGACAATTTGCAGATACAGTTATTGAAAGATACCAGACAAATGATATCAGTAAGTGACAAGAACAAGAGTTTGATGAAACAGAACTTTGAAAAACACTAATCCGCTTCAATACATCAACGCTATAGTTTTCATTAACGATTATCATTTACTTTTGGTGCCTCAAATGATACGAGAAAAATTTCCGGATGCCATCATTGGGATTTTTATCCATGCGACATTTCCAAGCTCTGAGATATTTCGCTGTTTACAAAGTAAAAGTAGAATTCAGCTAAATTTAATAGCTCTTACCTTCATTAACCATGATTTATTGCTTGACCGTGTATAGCCCGAAATCAAATTCTAGAAGGTATGCTTGGCGCTAATTTAGTAGGCTTTCAGGTAATACCAGATAGCTATTTAAGAATTGCTTCAGAGACGAACGTCTAGAACTTGGTTCAAACTTTATGTTATTTTGTTCAAAAATTCTAGACGTATTCCTATGCAAGACATTTCATTTCCTCATGTACACGGGTACTCGGTTGCGAAACGACGCAAGTAGGTGTCAACTTCAATGGCACTATTGTATCTGTAGGTGCCTTCCCCATCGGTATCGACTGTCATCGTGTCACTCAGTTCAGTAAACAGCCCGGCGTTGAACTCAAAATGAATGCTATTCGTGATATGTACCAAGGCAAAAAAATAATTGTCGGACGTGACAAGCTGGACAGTACAAAGGGTATACTGCAAAAGCTACATGCATTTGAAAAATTCTTGTTGGACTTTCCGGAATGGCGTAACAAAGCTGTGTTAATTCAAGTGGCTACGCCTACGCATGGTGATCATTCAAAATTAGAAGCCAAAATCTCTGAAACTGTTAGTCATATCAATTCTGTGTATGGATCTTTGGAGTTTGTGCCAGTACACTATTACTACCAAGACATTGATCGTGATGAATATTATGCGCTATTGTCAGTGGGCGACTTGGCATTAATTACTTGCAGTCGCGATGGCATGAATACTACTTCGTATGAGTACGTTATTTGTCAACACGAAAAGTCAGAACCTGGACCTCTGATACTCTCTGAATTTGCGGGTACAGCTGGTTCTCTTGGCGCTGCCTTATTGGTGAACCCCTACGACTATGCTGAAGTGGCACGACAGATGAATGAAGCCCTTGTTATGTTGACTGAAGATAAAACCACTAGACACGAAGTAAGAGTTTTATCTTGAGAGAGTAAATGTGAAAGGTGCTTATACGAAAGATAGCTAACTATATCATGATTTGAATTAAAAGCGGCTTTATCAACATGTTACAAGTCATACAGCTGATTTTTGGGCTCATTCATTCATTAAGCAATTGGTCAGTGTAAGTGAGCAATTAGAGCTTCGATCACATGCAACCCCTACTCTGGATGTTCAGCAACTTCTCACTGATTACAAGAAGTCAAAAAAGAGAGTTATGTTCTTTGACTACGATGTAAAAAATATACATGGTTTAAATCCTACTAGCCTTCATACTTTAAAGCCCATTTTAAGCAATCTTCCATACTTTACTTAGGGTACTTTGACTCCAATTGTTTCAATTCCTTCTGATGCCAAGCCAGGGGCGGAGATGCTGAAAGCTTTACAAGTGTTATGCAACGATCCCAATAATACAGTATGGGTTGTATCCGGAAGGGATCAAGCCATTCTGGATGAATGGCTAGGTAGCAATGTTAAAAATCTTGGGTTAAGTGCAGAACACGGATGTTACTTGAAAGCAGTGGGCTCTGATGCATGGATTAGTATTGTTGACGATATTGACATGAGCTGGAAAGCCGATGTGGAGGAAATATTCAATTATTATACGGAAAGAACACAAGGCAGCTTTGTAGAGCATAAAAAGTCCTCGATTACATGGCATTATAGAATGGCTGATGCTGAATATGGGTAACTTGTTTTGAAAAGAGCATTATCTTGACAAAAACTACATGGCCAAATACATCATTAACACTACTTAATCAAACTAGAGCTTTCCAAGCAAAAGAGTGCCAAAATCATTTAGAAAATGCGATTGTTTCTAAATACCCTGTTGAGATATTAGTTGGCAAGAAAAATCTCGAAGTACGACCTATGTCTATCAACAAGGGTGAGATAGTGAAGAGAATTCTTGCAAAGAATCCTGATACAGATCTTATTATGTGTGCTGGTGATGATAAGACAGACGAAGACATGTTCCGCGCATTGAGTGCAGCTCGCTATCAAAATAGACAATTTAAGGCGAAATGTCCTTCTGGATCCAAGATACCCTCGCCAACATTTTTATCAAGTATTAACGGTGATGATATTACTTCAACAATGCAAGAGCAACGAATATTCTCAATCACAGTTGGCCCTTCCGAAAAGAAAACACATGCCAATTGGCATGTCAATACAGCACAACAAGTAATTCAAGTTTTGGAATCTTTAGCTACTCTGTATTAAACATGCCAAATAGTCGTCATATAACCTGTATAACTCATATCTGTCTTGCGATTACAAAATAAAGCGTCTGTAACTAATCCTAAGTTAAATAGACTTTATTCAATAGAGCTCATTTCTTTTCAAAAAAGTTGGTCATGGAACTGCGATAAATACAACGGGTATACGAGAGATAAAAGAAATGTTAATATCAATGTGTGAATAGAATAAAGAGGCTATTGCTCGTACAGCTTCTTCTTGCGGGTGTTGACTTATGATTATATTCTATATTTTAAACTGTGGTATCAAATGAACGTTAGTACTGTTGCTATTAGTTTTACTGTCATTATTGTTGACGGTTCCAATATCAGTATGAGTTTTAGTAGAAGTTGTAATGTTATGAGCAAGCGGTTTAGGTAGGGATCCAGTTAGTCTTCGTTTCCTTTTAATTGGTGTAGAGACGTTCGAAATAGGAGGGGAATTCAGAGACAGTCTAGATGCATCAAGATCAGCCTTGCTACTGTCATCTGGATTACTGTCACGAGCTTGTCCTATTGAGAAACGTGCTTTAATCTGTTCTTTCATTTGCACACTAGGTGGATGGACGGGGATCACTGTATCGCTGGCTGGTGCAGGCTTAGGTCTTTTATATGAATGTCTATCTGCGATCGATTCAACCGAGGCCGGTAATGAAAACCTTGCTGGAGCCAATCTTTCCTTTTCATCTTCTTCGTCGCTCGCTAGTGCTGCTATTTCTCTCTTTCTTAACTCGCTTTCGTTCGATCTTTTGAAATCTTTAACTCTCCAGCTAGTGGTGGCTATTGTTCTCCTTCTCGGCTCTAAATCTTCAATTCTCTCTGTAATCAATCCATCATCTACTGATCCATCGCTCGAGGTAGATGCTATATCAACGAAATGAAATTGGGGTCAGTGCATGAAAAGTCAGAAGAACATAGTTTTTGAGCCATAACATACGAGTTGGTTCCACATCATTCAGCGGCTTCACTTTTCCTGGCTCCATCGATTTTCTCTTTTTCGTTCCAGTTAAAACCAATCCTTGTGGTTTTTCAATCAAAAAATCCGCTTCTGGTAATCGCTTGCCTTCTCTTTTACATCTGGAAACCCACAACAAATTAACAATAAATACATCCTTGCTCATAGCCTTCTTTAATGTTGCTGCTGAACCATTTTTGTAAACCAAGTGTGTCACAGAATCTATTTATATATGCAAAGTAAGCTTCCTATATCTATACGAAATCGAATGCAGTTTCGTCCTTCATCTTTACCGCTAAATGTTCGACGAGTCTACGTAAAGCGATTTCGTTTTTGTCATTAATAGAGATTCTTAAAGAACCATAGTAAATAAACTATTTTACCTTCGCGCCCATGGAATGCAAAGCTCGCTCAAAATTAAGTGAAACGTCGTCACCATCATCGGTCCTTTTGAAATAAGGTTAGCTTGAAAGTTTGCTTCAAACTGAGAATTCAAATACTGGGCAGATGTTTTCAAGTCATTACCTAACATCTAAACAAGCGACTACACCGCTCAAAATTTTATTCTCTTGCACTGGACTGAGTACATTCGAAGCTCCCACAGGTGTTGATTCTCTTTTTACACGTGTACGATGGTCAATCTGTTTCCCAGATGCTGTCATACTAATGTTATTATTTGTTGATTGCTGCCTAACGTGCAAGGATGGCCCTCTAAATGATGGCTCCCTTTCTCTTCTTTGCCGCTGCTGCATAGTTGCTGTATGGAGTCTAGTGGAAGAGCTCTCTGATGGATGCCTGTGATGTTGAACCACAGATGTGGGTTTTGATTTGGCGAAAAAATCACTGATACCTGATTGTCGCCTTATTCTCGGTGCCGTACCGTTACCGTTGTTTCTTGGTGCACTTGAACGATTATCATTAATAGAAGGTGCCAAAACCATTCCTTTGAAAAAAGAAGCAAAGAATAAAGCTTTTCTCGTTGTCTGCTACCACAAAAAAAAGGAGAAAAGAAAAAACAGACTTCTTCAATTGCCCTGCGCTGTCACGCCAATAGCGAATTAGATTTGACGTGTTGGCGACGCATTAATTACAGCTTTCTTTTTTGATCGGCCTCTATTCTTTAAAGCGATTTCTATGCTTTTACAGTACCTTCTATGCTCCAGTTCATCGTTTGAAACAGAAAATACATCATTGTTTGGCCTAGCAAGCATCATTTCAACAATAAACTCAATTCATAATCTTTCTGAACAACAATAAAGCTTAATGGTTTCTTTTTGTATCAAAGCAAGTATTTTAGAATAAGATATTGTATGAAAAAAGTCCAGTAAAACTGAAAAAATGGATAATAGCTTTAAAATTGATTCTTTATCAAAGATTTAGCTGGCTAATTTATACGTCATTGTGAGTTTGAAAGAGAGTATACATAAGGAGAAAAAAAGAGATGATGGTTATTATTATAACGATTTTCTCGCGTTGGTAGGATAACTACGCGTTTTCTCAAATGAATAAGCGGTATATTGGATCCTTTTAAATAAGCATCAAAAAGTGAAAGTATTTCATGGACGACGTTACAGTTCGCAACAAAGCATAAATAGGCTGCGGATCCAATGCTGAGTATTTGAGTTGTTTTAAGCAGAGGCAGACAGTTGTATTACAGGGCATATGCTGATTTCAACTGACAGTTTTAGCAACAGAACTATCAAAGCTGCTACCCATATAACTGTTGACGACTATGTGAGCTGCATTGAACGTTACATGCAGATAAACCTAGAATTAGGCTAGAACTTCAAGGACATCAGCTAGCAGCGTATTCAGGACACTGTTGGGATGAAGAATTCCATACAATTTTGAGAATACTCCATGGTGAAGGATACTTTACTGTATCATGTTTCCTTCGAGATAGCTCGCTAGAGGATATTTCACTTAGCCATGCTTCATCAAATAGCAGATGGGCAAAAAGGTTGATGTACGATTCTAATTAAACTAAGGCTTTATTACAATATATGTTTGTACAATATTACAACTTCAATTTATAGTATATGCAGATATGATCCATAGGATTATTTAGCGATCAGTAAGAGTTAAGGTTTCCAATTATTCCTGTTTAACAGCTTCATCGGCTTTCTTGGCTGCATCAACACCATCTTCTTTCTTTACTTCTTTGACAGCTTCATCGGCTTTCTTGGCTGCATCAACACCATCTTCTTTCTTTACTTCTTTGACAGCTTCATCGGCATTTTTAGCAGCCTCCACAGCATCCTCTTTTTTGACTTCTTTGACGGCCACATCAGCCTCCTTAGCAGCATCGACACCTTCATTTTCTTTATCAGTCAATTCCTTTTTACTATTGTTGGATTTCCTTTTACTGTTATATCCTCTATTTCTTCTTTTATTCTTCTTCTTCATAGCTGGCTTTCCGTCTTCACCTACTTCGCCTTCCTGTTCTTTTTCTTCACCACTGTTACTGTTTCCTGTGTCGTCTGCATTGTCTTCATTCGTATCATCTTTTTCTTTGCTGTCTTCATTCTTATTGTTATCGCTGCTTCGTTTAGCTGTTGAAGATCCTCTGCGATTGAAATATCTAGGTTTCTTAGAAGGTTTCTTTTCAGAAGTAGCAACGAAAAGTTGGATGGCACGACCATCTACTTCCTTTTCGTTCATTTCTTTCAAAACCTTTTCCATCTCTTCTACGGTCTTTAATTCAACAAAACCATATCCCTTTGAACGGCCACTGACATTTCAAAGAAAAAAAAGACGATCAATATGGTAAGCAACCATTATTGCTGTTCATTGAAAACGCTATCACATCCTTTCTACTTACTTTGATTGCAAAGCAACCATAGCAGACTTGACATCGTAATCCTTGAACAATGCTCTCAAACCTCTTGCTTTGATACGACGAGAGAGATTGGCTACAAAAACGGAAGTCTTGGGTTGAGTTTCCTTGGGCTCCTCAGGTGAAATATCTACAGAGGTAACAGGTTCGACAGCTTCTGGTTTTACTCCATCTTCTTTGTGAGCGTTAGTAGCAGCAGTCTCCTTTTTGGATTCAGCTGTATTGTTGACTTGCTCTTTCTCGGACTTTGGATCCTTGTTCTTCTCATTTGTCTTTACTGGCTCTTTAGAAGCATCACTCTTACTAACTCCTTCTTCTTCAGCACCTTCAGATTCTTCATCACCTTCTGAACCATGTTGTTGTTGTTGTTTGGCTCTCTAAATCATCAATTGAAATCATAAGTGAGAAATTGATGATGTTTTTTGTTCTTCGATAAAAGGTTGTAATCCCGAAACCCAGCACTGCAACAAACACACATTTATGCAATTTTTTATATCATGTGCTTTCTTTATCGAAGGCTCTTTTTTTTAAACTTTGCTTACAATGTGTACTTACAGCCTTACGTGTTTTGTTGTTAAATCTCCTCTTTCGGTTATGGGATTTCTTATTTGCGGACTTTTTACTGCTTTCATTTTCGTTGGTATCAGAGTTACTACCGGTCTTTGACGCCAATTCTTCCTTAGGTCTAGCCTTTTGAACGTCAATAGCACGACCATCCAATTCCTTTTTGTCCAACTCTTTGATGGCCTTTTCGGCATCTTCCACATTTTCGAAAGCAACGAAACCAAAACCTTTATGTTTATTGCCATACTTGACAATGATGGTTTCGCTCCTACAAAAGCAGGATTGTCAAGTTCAGATACATTGTCTTTTCCGAAACACCATTGTCATCTCTTTGATTCAATTTAAAAAGCAGGCGTACTTACACTTTTCCAACAGTTTCAAAGAAGGCCTTCAAAGACTCATCGGTCGTTGTGAAGCTCAAGTTACCAACAAAGACCTAATCACGCCATTTCCAAAGACAAAAACAGAGTAAAAGTGAGTTATATGTTCTATCATAAGGAAACCACTCTATGTACAATGTTGAAAGATATGTGACTCTTTCTCTGCCCAAAGTCCTGTTTTTCTACACGTTTCCCTCGCGTATTGTCAATTTCCTACAAGCATTTTACCTTAAGGTCTTCTTCGTGCTGTTGAACAGAAGAGACTTCGCTATTGTTGGTGACAGGAGAAGCAGTCTTGGTTTCTTCAGTAGAGGACATTTTTCGTTTTGTCTTTAAAACTCGCTATTTACGCTTTTATTGTAGAAAAATAAAGAATAAAAATAGTGAAGAAAGAATAATGAGACTTTTTTCGAGAAATAAAGGGAAAAATGAGAAAATGCGGAAGGGGTGCGAAATCGAAAGAAAGTGAAGGAAAAAAAATCCATTGCAGAATTCATGCTGAAGCAGTTGTCTTTCAGCTCCGAAAAAGGAAAGCGAACTGTCCAATAAGGTATGCTTCTATATGAGGACTTCCGCAGCACAAATAAGGGCATTTTAATGTACACACACATCACTGGTACACCAAACCAAGGACAAACCACCCATTTTGTGTGCCTAGTAACTGCTCACTTTGATTGGCTCGTTCTTCTCTGCACGACCCCACTTTCAATCTTGGCACTTCCTTCACATCGTACTTTGACATTTTACACTTTTCTTCCCTTCTGTCTGTTATGATACCCAAATTATGGTTGCTGTCTGTCATCATTTTAAGTATAGTACTTCTGCTCTTACTATTCAGTTCGTACTTTGTACTCGACTCTATACCCTTTGACGATAACATGTCAGAAAAGACAGCAACGACGCTCTCAAAAACTGAAGTGCAGGGCTCCGATTCACATAGTGAATCCCCTTTGAAAACTTCTTTTTATATATACCTCTTGACGTTAATCATTGGACTCGTCCTAGCAAGCTATCGAGCTTATTCGTCTTATCAAAATACTACCCGTGCAAACAAAAGCAAACGAAAAACAGGCATACACAATGTCCATTATTGGCTCAACTACGAATGGAGGCTTTTTCAACTGTACACGATCTCTCTATTGCAACTATTGCAGATCAGCACGATCATTACGTTCAACTCTTATTTAATTCTTAGCAGCTCCACTGAGAACAAGATGCGCGGAGTATCCTCGGCCTCCGCTCAGCTTGCCATAACTAATATTGCTTTCTCTGTGTTATTGTCAGCCAGACAATCTTTTCTCCAACGATATATATTCAGTGTGAAGGAAACGATCGCCTGGCATGCATGGTTCGGATGGATCGCCTTTATGGAAGCGTTATACCATGCTACATTTCACTTACAGCCTCATCCTAATGCGGTACTCACTCCGACGACTACATCCTCTTCTTCAGACTTTCCATTTTCATCATCCTTTTTATCTATATACTTCAGTGTGCGCTCAATTACAGGTTTGATCCTATTGTCCTCTCTCAGCCTACTCATGATTGGATCGCACTCTTTTGTACGAAAATTCATTTCTTATCGATTCTTTCGCAGCACTCATTTGATAGCATTTTCCATGCTCATTTTATTTGGTATTATGCATCATGAACTGTTCTTTACGTTCTACGTTGCAGTGGCACTCTTTTGGATCGTAGATCAAATGCAACGATCAAATACAACGGACATAGTTGGTATGGATGTTTTGCCTGGCCATATTGTAAAGCTCACGTGCAGACTACCAACGACTGTTGCAAAAAGTGTTGTTCCGGGCCAGTTTATGACTCTTTCATTTCAATCTTCATGGGCCAAGAGTTTACTTTTCGCCCATCCTTTTTCTATTAGTCGGGTGGAGAACGATCGAGCAATTTTCTATGTTAAATGCCAAGGAAAGCAAACGAGCAAGCTCTTACGAAAAGTAACAGCATCAGCCAACACATCACAGACGATCGGTGATGAAGCAGTCAACATGAAAATAAGGATAAGCCAGCCGTTAGGGAAGCCTCAATGCCACAAGTTCACATGGTACGAGCGTGTCTTTCTCATTGCTGAGGGTATGGGCATCACACCTTGGCTATCTGTACTGCAGTATTATGGCAACGGTCTAATACAAGACAATAATCAGACAACAAGATGTCTAGATTTGATATGGAGCATTCATACTATAGGTGAAATACGGTCATTAACCGACTAAAAATGATTGAAGATGCTGACCTTTTGTTTTATATCGATAAACAGATACGTTTTATGCTTTTAAAGAAGAGCTGGAACATTACATACAATTGTTTGGTACATCCAACCTAACGTTTCATCTTCATGTTTTTATAACAGGACAGACGTCAGATATTGAATTGCATGGTGACTTATTACCTTTGTCAGCAATCAGAAGTGAGGAGAAAGCGCACAACCAGCTTGTCAGCTTTGATTTTAGCAGACCACACTATCATAAAATATTGACAGCTTCCCCAGCAACCATACCTAGAAGTCAGCGGAGCACAGCAAATAATGATATAGCCATAGGTATCTGTGCTCATGAAAGTACCATGGTTCAAATCAATAACCTTTCGCTCTTTCATGGTTGGTCTGTTCTTCAAAAAGAAAGATTTGAATATTAATCGTCAAGTAACGTTCATTAAATTGTGTTGCCATATACCAGAAGCTCTCCGCTTTTACTTTTTTGGTTCTGAACCTGCAATACGCTTAAACAAGGATTTTATTACAAATTTTCAATTTTTCAATTTTCAAAGCCCAATGAACACGAGCAGCTCAAAAGGCTAACTAGTATCTAAAGACCCCTTAGGGCTCAAGGGTAAAAAGGATTATGTTCTATTGAGAGGAGGGGGAGAAGAGGATAACGAGTCGAGCAATAGATGCCCTAACCGAGGAGTTGTGGGCGGCTCATGAGAGTGGTGTAAGTAGTCGAGTTCAAACAACATGTGACAAAATACGGGACATCGAAATGCCCAGACTTGTGCTTGAGATGGAGTTTCAAGCAGACGGGTAGGAAGACGGTTGAGAACGTCTGAGAGTAGATCACAGACAGATGGAGGGAGCTGCAGGCGGTGTAAATAACGACAAGGGATGTTTAAGGCATTGGTTTTATACAAAGTCCTCTTATTGTCGTTATGAGGGAAGAAGAAGATTAGGTATAAGTTTAGATGAGAGATTTTTTAAAATCTAACAGGCTAAGAGTGATTTTCAATAAAGGCAAAAAGATATAATCTTACACAGGAAACTAGCTCACGTTGTTATTCTAAGAGTGAGACCGTGTTCGAGGCGAGAGATTAACCGAGACACAGACGCAAAAACACGAGAAGAAATGAGGCGGCTGTCTCGAAATCTACAAGCCTCAACGGGCCTGCCACAAGCCAAGCAAAGTACAGGCGAAGATTTGAGAAACAGAGAGACAGGAAAATGGGAGCGATAGATATGGGTAAGATTGGACTAGTCAAGTTGGCTAGTACGACGGAGCAATTGAAGGAGGTCGTCCGTAAAGTATTTATACATTGGATTGATGAAGGCGGAAAATACCAATATCCAGACTTGTAGTTTGCTTGGACAAGTGTAAAGAAAGTAAATAGAATTCCCAATTGGCGACACTTCAGTCGTATGACAGATGTGACGATCCGCAGAATCAAATTTTCTAGAAAGGAGTCGTTGCATCAATTCGCAATATGGAATTTTGTTAGGCTAAATGGAATTCGATATGGTGCACGATAGGCTGTTTTACCAGGAATAGTATCTAAACGTATAACAGATTCGGGTACTGTACAGAAAGAGTTTCTAGGAATCAAAGCATTCTTCTGGAGAAAGGGTTTGATTGCAGAAGTAAATAGAGCTTGCTGTTGTGTTGTACCGTAAGGTGAATTATTAGGTTCAGGTGTATCATCAACAATTTCTTTGTCAATTACAGGGCCATGGTAAGGGTGCTTGATAGCTAGGTTATTAAATGTTATATTCAATTTAGGCAATAGGTCCAAACCAATGACAACCTGTGTGTCTAAAGATAAAGGAAGAATTTCGAAAGTATGTGATGTATTCAACAATAGGCGACAATATACTGTACGAGCAGATGATGGAATCGAAAGTTTCCAGAAGTCAGACCATTCTGAAAGACAGAAGGACGTAGCGGAGCTGTGGTTAAACAGCGGAAGCAAGGACTTAACATCAGTGTAAGAGTACCGAAAGAAAAGTACAATAATGCACTCCAACGTACGAGAAAGTAGTGTGCCGTTGTAATGTAGTTCCGTAAAGTTGGTATTCTACTGCGTTTTCTTAGGGATCAAAAATCAAACATTTGTTTCGATGCCAACGATAGCCTTGACGGATACTGTGTTCTTCACACTACTGCAGTAGTGATACTAACTGATCATGGCCAGCAATTAAAATAACATCATCGGCATACAGGAGACAATCAGTAGAGGGCAAATGTTATTTTAACGGGGCAAGGTCGCAATCATGGTATTCATTAATATAAAATGAATACAATAGAGGGACATGATCAAGTCTTGGAGCACCCCAGCGATCGGATGGAACTGTTCGGACTTAGCATTGTTGAGCAGCATTTGATTCAACCGTCATCAAACAGATTCTGAAGAAGAGCGAACAGTGGAGCTGGAGAATAAGGAAGAAGAGTGTTTAAAATAACGTTTTGATCGACCGTATTATATGCAGAATTGGTATCAAGAAAGGCTAGTCTTGGATCAGTCTGATGACAGCGCTTCAAAGCAATGCGGAAGCCTCCTAAAGCTATATCGAGCGAGGGCTGTTGGCCAGGACAGAACCATACAAGCAGTGTTCCAATATCTTATGAAAGATGTACGTAAGGCTAATAGGTCGATAGTGTGAGGAATAGTACGGTTTTCGTTTATTTCTGTCTGTCCTACTGACCAGTTCTCGAAGTTAAATCAAATTTTATTGGACGGTTTACATTTTCGTCCACAACACAAATTGCAACTCGTCTAAAATGAAAATATCGGCCATCCAATAGAAATTGTAAATTATCCAAAATAGAAAGTTAAATTACTCAGGCACAGCCAGCAGCTAAGTTATCAGTGGAAGCAGGGGTCGCTGTTATGTAAGCATGATATGTCAAATCCTTACTTTTTTTTCACCTTTTTATAATATAGAGATTGACCGGCCCATCTATATTCCCCATATACCCTCTCTCAACTTCAATTTAACAAGTAGGTTCACTTACGATACTCAGTGTTATTCATCACAAGTCTATCTGCCCTCATGTCTATTTGTCATGGCAGCAGTGCTATTTGCAGAAATATAATCAGATCGATCTTCGCCATCCCCACCACGCCTACTCCCAGCAGTACCTCTTTGACAAAAGTAGCGGCAAACACGATTGCTTCAAAGTTACGAATACAAATACAGACCAGATACTTATCGGATACAGCTGTTGAGGCATTAAAAAAGAACAAAGATATAGGCCCTATGATATATGAGATTGAGAAGAGGAAATTCCCATTAAAATACACCGTCCATAACTACAACAAAATAATAGGCAGTTATGTGAGAAACATGAAATACAGCAATCAGTTGCAGGAACATGTAGAATATACCCTTCGCCGAATGAAAGAAAAGGGCATCGAACCCTCAGAACATACATATTTACTAGCTATTCTCGGCATGGCCAGGCAACGACATAAAATGCCATATCAAGAATCGAGAATGGAAAAGTGGTTTTATGAATTTCTGGCATTGCAAATGAAAAAACCAAAGCCTTTCAATAACTTGAAAACAGTTCTGCTCGCCATGTCTAGACAAGGGCACCCTAATTTGAAAGAAATGTTTCTAACGATACATCAGGCCTATCCTTATCTCGACGTAGAATGTTGGAATGCGGCGCTGAGAGGATGTATGAGAGCAAAGACTCCAGGAAAAGCGCAACAACTGTTTGACATAGCCCGAAAAATCAATAAGGTGGATGCAGACAGTTATATGATTATGGTAGACTCTTATCTACATTTCAAAGATCACACATCTGCGAAAGAAATATTTGTGACAATGATGAACGATAAGAAATATACAGCAGATAGCCGCTTTTATGGAACTTTTATCATATATTATACGAAATCCAGACCTAATCGAGAGACATTTGAAACAATAGATAAACTGTGGCAAGCAGTATTGACCACTACACAAAGGGATGAAAAAATACCACCTGCCTGGATAGAGGCATCTTTAAGATATTATCATAAATACGGTGGGCTAGCCAATGCAGAACAGCTGTTTCTGGATCTAAAAATAAGACACCAGACATTAAATAAGAACTGCATAAGCCTTATGTACGATATTATCTGCAAATTTTCGAGAAGACGACAGTTGAGGTCAGCTATTTCACTGTACTATGATATGCTAGCAGAAGGTTACCCAATCGATAATACGGCTTTGCTAGCTATTATCAAAACTTTAAAAAAAATCGATGATTTACCAACAGCAGAAAGCCTCATTAAGTTAATAATGCAATTTGATGTTCATACGAAAATAGCACCTCAATGTTTAAAACTAATTGGCAGAAGCAGTGAACGCTGAAGATGACGTCTAGCCCTACAAATACCCAAAATTTTGTAAATAATAACATCCTATTTATCTACGCTCTGTACTCGTATAATAAAAGATTGTATTCCATTCAAAGAGATTTATGATAACTTTATTCGACATTATAAATTTGAAACCAGATGGCACGACTCAGGTATTAAGTAACAAACAGTTATGTGTGAATGTCCAGCCTTATCTGCCTAGGAAAGCATCCAACATCGCAATAACAGCTTGTCATTTCGGTAGAACAATTAGTTGCAAAAAAAAAAAAAAAAAAAAAAAAAAAAAAAAAAAAGAGAGCAACAAGTGATGCAGGTACTGCTGTGTTTTATCAGTTCATTAGCAACAGCAAGTGACAAATTCTACTTTTTTCCTAGTCTGGTATCATGTGTATTATTAAGGCACTAAAAATATATGTGTTTGTTCTTCTTTTTACTTTTTTCTTCTTTCCTATTTCTTGACTTTGGTAAAATTTTCCTCTTCTTTCAGCTACTTCTTTTTCGAATTTTTGTACAGTTTTAGCAATAAAAATGCCATGTTTAACAATAGAGAAAGAACTTCGTGAAATGAAAATGATAAAATTCCAACTGTTGGCACGGAATCTCGCGATTAAGCCTTGTATGTACGTAGCTGATCTTCTTGACTTTGAAAAAACGTATATGGTCAGGTATGAATAAGACTGGACTCTTTTTGAAAAGCAATAAACTGGCACATTTATCTTTTAAAAGATATATGTTAACAATTCAATTGTTTATGAACGCACGTTCTTTAAACAAACAAGTAGATTTCCTGCGGATTATCGTATGTTTCTACTGGAAATTGGTGACGGAGTTAGAAGGGGAGATGGTCCATGCAGAGAAGGCATTTTATCTCTCGGCGAAACACCATTGGGCTTTCCTTTACGGTTTACAGACATTATCAAGAACCTTAAAAAACCGTTCCCTTATGAATCGAAGCACGCAATTCAATCAAGAGAATCCGAACAAAATGATTCTCAGCGAAGTAGTCTCAAACATAGTCGTATTGGTGGATATGTGACATTGGGTACGACTACTAAATCTTACGATTATTTTTGGATCCTCATATGTGAAGGGTTCTGTCGGGGAGAAGTTTGGATAGCCACTTGGTCTGGAGAATTCTTCCCTTGTACACCGAGAATGACATTTAAGGATTGGTTGCAGGACTGGGTCCAAAACGATGGACAAAAGCTGAGATTGAGCTTGATGAATACGGGAAGTCCGTACTTTGTCGAGGCAGGAGAAGAGGATAGCAGTGATGATGAGGCGGTTGATAGAGATGATAATAATGCATCTAACAGCAATGATGATGATGATACTTCCTCTTCTGATTTCTCATTCACGCGAGCAATTATGCAGTTGTATAGACGAGGTCAACCTGTCGATCTTCGCTCTATATTAAATCAATCTCATGAAGAAAGCCCTGCTACTTCTTTTTGGTTTTTTGATAGTGAAGAATTAGGATTAGAGATAGAGGAATTGTTAGCAGATGAGGATGAGTAATAATCAGAATTATTCTCTTTGTTCGAACTGTACAAGACTTGAGTGAGCCCCTCCCCCTTTTTTTTTATCTTTCAGTCTGCGCACATCTTTGCAACAGCTTTGAACTCCTTTTTTTATACTCACGTACGATACACACAAATATGAATCCTGAAGTTAATAGATAACCCCACATTCCCCTTTACTTCCCCGCAAATTTTTGATACACGTTTCTATCGCCCACAGTCTAGCATACCACCATTCTTTGTAAATACTCAGCACAACCATAAAAATGTTGTTTTACCGATGGGTCATTCAAATTGGAAAGTTAGTATATTGGCAAAAGTAAGCATTAGAGAATCTGTTACATGAACGCAAAGGTTATTTGGCATGCAATAATAACCTTGATAACGAAAACGAAAAAACAGAAAGCTCAGCCAGCTATACCCTGCAACATAACCTTATACTGTTGAACCATTTACCCCTATTCATCTTCGTTATACCTCTAACTAACTACTCCCACTTTTAGAATTCCTCGCTTCAAGGCAGCAGCTCTTCTCGTTGAACTACATGGAGTCTTTCTTTCCTATCTTACCCATAAACTTCTGGAGACGCTCCCAACTTGTTGCTTTAAGCATAGTAGTTCATTAAAACCCAATTGTACGTTAGCATCAAAGGTTTCATTTGTAAATATTTGTTACTGAATACGAAGACTGAATTATTAACCATTTAATAATAGAGAATAATGTTCCCAATTTGGGCAGTGATAATTATTGCTGTCATTGTTGTTATTTTACTTATTGCCGGTATTCTCTGCCTGAAGCGACGTAAGACTAGATCACTGTCTGTCAATACGTTAAATAAATTAGCTGGTGAGGACGATATCGAAAAGAAAACCATCTTCACGGAATCCAATCAATCCGTCATTGTTTCTGAAAAGGTGCATAAACAACCGCAACAACGACTCGTTCAACAACAATCGACAATTACAAATGCTTCCACCGTTATTGCTGCTACAGTACCAACAGCCGTGGTGTCCCAGTTATCAAAGTCTAATATTGCCAACAATGATACATCCAATAATAGCGATATTGAAAGCTCTTCCGAAGAACCGATAATAGCAGATAGCATAGAAGAGAATAAGGTCAATGAATACCGACATTATGACGAAGAGGATGCTGAAGTGCATATGGCTCCCGATCCTCCTCAGGAGATTATCATATCGTTACCCTTGCCACCTCCTTCCACATCTTTCTTTTCTGACAAAATGGAGCTAGGTGACGCCTCTCATGATGAGAATGAAAGCGGCACTGCAAATGAAGACCTTTATGCGCTCTATAGCAAATTATTAAATAAGGATGCTAAAAGAAATTCTTACTTACAACAAAAAGCAGCAACCATCAAATCTACTTTAAGAAAGCAATCTTTAAGATTACAGCCACATAAATCAACTGCACATTTTAGAAGTTCTCTTCAGAATATTTTTGCCTCAAACACGAGTTCGGATGCGCCTTCCGATGGCAGACCGTTAGTGACAGATACTTGTACAAGGAAAACAGAAAGCAACGCTAATAAAAAACAACCAGAACCGAAGGTGCAGACCTTGAGCGATTCTACTAAAGTAATCATTAATATGGCACCCAGTGCACATTCAGCAAGTGCATTTGAAGGGCAACCATCACCAATAAATGTTGCAGGTATTGCTATGAGACAAAATAATTTCAAGAAGTCTGTAGATAACACTATTACTTCTTTAGCTGCACCGGAGGTTATTGCCACTGACGAAGCTACCCCTAATTTCTTGAACGAAAATACTCGTCTTCAGGAGGACGAACGGTTTCCTACAGCTGCTCGTAATTCCGCTATGAGAGTTATCAGGTCCGCATCCATAAAAGCCAAAACGCGATCCATGATTATTGACAAGTCCAAGTTGAGCGCTCTGGATTTTGTAGAAGATGAGAACGACAGTAGAAATAAAGTTCTGAGACAAAATTCAATGACCCAATTCACAACCACAACGCCAACAAGAAAGAAAGGAGAATTTATGACGATCACATCAGGTTCAGTTCGTCGATTAGTGCGTGACAGCGTTGTCACTCAAAAGAGTGAACCGGCCTTTGCATTTACAGCTCGCGAAAAACCGGAGAGAAAATCAATGAATGTAATGGATATTGCCGGTTATTGGGACAATCATCACAAGAAACAACAAGCTTCTTTGCAGCAGCGCAGCTCAAGTTTGGATTACTCAACCGCCATTCAACAGCAACACCTCCAACAACAAGCTGATCGGAACAGTGTAGATGACGATCATACAGTCAGCAATAAAGCCCATGGTTCGCATTACAAAGCTTCCCTATCAAATTCCGTATTTGATACTCTGTCAAAAGGAAAATTCAATCCTGCAGTAGCAGCAACTCATGCTCTGCCAGATGAACCTAAAAACGATAATAAAACCAGCACTACAAGTGGCAGACTCTTGGCTAGACATGGGTCTTTGAAAAAAGGTGCAACATTGAGTAGAAACACTCTCAAATTTATCAAAAATAGCGCTACTCAAGGTGTGAATCGATCACTCAAAGGGTTGTTCGATACCAATACAGCAGATAACCTTTCAACCACTACAACTACTTCTTCATTTTCTCCAAAGCCTGATGATAGTCAAAAAATGGAGCTTACGCCTTCAGAATCAGAATCAGCTTTGACAGATATACAGACAGTAGCCAAAGAGAAGGTAATGCTTGTAAAAAGTCAGCAACAGCAGGTACTAGATCCTGTGTATCATAGTCGAACAAATACGCAAGAAACCGATTTTTCTTCGAATAAACTTGCATTGGGAGAAGGTGGAGACGTTAATACACCAGATGAATCATCCAAAAAAACAGCGATTGATGATGACGAAGATCAAATTGATGTTATGTACGCTAGTCGAGATTCTTCATACTATTTCGGCGTAACAGAAGAGGAGGTTTTAGATTTAGCTGTAGCTGACAACAGATCATCAGCGCAACAACTATCTTATCAAAACATATCTGAAGCGATGCAGGACACAGCAGATGTTAATACTACAACTGCCAATAGCACTGGAGAGGTAGAAGATATTCGTCGGATGTTGCAGGAGACATGGTTAAAAAACATACGAGAGAGTGGCTCAAGTTACAGTATGTTATCAGAAGCAACGACATCGGCCGGTAACAACAATGTGCCTACATCACCTGTTAGTCCCATCATACCTACATTTGCAACTCAACAACAATCACAACTAACCAAGTCTTTGTTAACTCAACAAGTAGTAAAACGCGCTTCTTTACTAGCAGCCACTACTAGCCAACAACAGCAACAAGACAATGAGGAGCATCTTAATCTACAACAGCAGCAGCACCAGGAGGGTCCTGAGCCTTCAGCTTCTTTTTCGTCATCTACTGTACGCACTGTAATACCGGAGAATGAACAGCAGAATGGTAGTAATAAGGTGTTAGAGCCCATAACGATCAATCGATTGTCGCCTTATAACAGCTATACTAATTCGCCCACATCTTATTCACAGCATCAACAACAAAGGCATAGTCATATGGCTAGCACATTTACTCAGCATTATGACGATACGGTTGTGCCATCTCCACTATCCTTCTCACCTCAGAATAGTGTTAGCGCAGCTAGTACTTTTAGTCGAGCCACGAGAAGCAGTAGTGGAAATAATAGTGCAGCTACAGCAATTCGTCTAGGGTCTTCATCTTCAATCAATAATAAAACTTGGAACGGAAGAATGGGGGCCGGAAGAAGATTAATAATGCCTCATAATGAGAGCTATCGTCAAAGTAATAGTTATAGTAGCAGTAGACCATCTGTCTTACAGCAAAGGTTTGATTATAACGATGAAGAAGACACCCAAGATGTTGGGACGAATAACGAGCAATTTTGCGAGGAAAATGAGGAAGAGCAGTACATTCATTCGCATAACAGACTCGTTTACACTACCATGAAGAGAGGGCAAAAGACACGCGGAGGAATTCCTTGGATGTCTACGACGAATTTGAATAATGATATGAATGAGTCATCTTCTTCCTCTTCCCAAACGTCCCATCAAAAAACTCTTGCACAAATCGAGCGTGACCGATATTTAGAAAGCAATAAAAACTATATCTAGCTAATACACTACTAATCAATAAAAACACTCGAGCATGACAATTTGCTGAGATCTGTTGGACTGTTATATTCTGATGTAACAGCTAACTCTTTAAAACATATCCTTTTTTGCGCAACATTTTGGCAAATGGAGGAATAATAAATCCGTTCCCTCGTTGAAATAAAAATACCTGAAACGCTCTGATGCAGTATTTTATGATTTTTTTTGTTTACTCAAACTGAATTATTCATCCTAGTAAGTATACAGCAGTTGTAGCAATAGGATGTTACCAATAGCAAAGACAGCTGATGAACAAGAGCGTTCCTGCCCATTTTGCATTGGGGATATATCTGATCCATTGACGTTACGAAAATGCTTCAGACCTTGAAAGAAAGCCCCTGATGCGAATCAACAGATATCATTACGATTGATCATTTAAGACACAGTAAAAATAAAGAAATATAAGCTAAGTCAATGTCGCGACGAAGCGGTAAACTGTGATCCTTTATTAAGCCATGGTGTTTATTAAGCCAAGGTTCTTTATAATACACAGTGGGAATTTAACCACTATAAATAGATGCCTTGAATCCTATAAAGTTCTGAGATAAAACAATTGAATTTACCAAATACATATTCTTTCGAACTTCTTGATAGCCTTCTTCTTCGTTGTCGCTATTTGGCTATAATATTGCCCATCATGATGCTGGAACCATTTCCTTAAAGATTTGAATATGTTAAATGGTCTATTGACATCCTATAAAGGGCTCTAAGCTCGAAGGATGAGCTTGATAACTCGAAACTCTATTAAAGAAAGTTCAAAGTTAAAACTTTGTAAAAATTAAGATAGCATCACATGCGATATAAGTTAAAAAAGCATCTGTTTCTATGAAAAGTCTTTTTGAACAAGATAACTGTTTATCTTGGACATATTCCTCGAATGACTACAAAGCAGGCCTTATGCATTCATTCACCATAGTAAGTCGTTTCACTTACTGAATGGATACTGTTCTTAACCAACAAAAATGTCGAAGAAATGATGCATGCATAGTTTATGGCGCCCTTAATTTAACTTATCCCTTATAACTTACTCTTGAGCATTCGTTTGTTTTTCGAAAAGAACCGGATCAACACAATTTATGCAATGTAACAAGCTACTCGTCCATCTAAACGCAAAGAAAGTTGACAAAAAAAGAAATTTGGCTGTAATAAGGTTTTTGTGTGCTTATCTCCTTTTGATAAGGAATGAAGGAAGCATTTCACACACATCTAATAGAAAAAGAAAAGCCATCAACAAAAAAGCCACGGAAATCACCGGTACCTTTCATAAGCCATCTCTTACTATAGCTCTCTGACTGTATAGATGTATTGTAGAAAGCGCATGATTGTCTACTCCCTAATTCAAAAGAAAAATTTTTTCTTATTCTTCAAGTATAAAAAGACGCCTATTTCTGTACTTTTCTTCGCTTTTTCTTCACTTATGGTGTTCTTATCCCTTCTGATCTAATCTCCAGGCTGTTTAAAGACCCGAAGACCATCTAAACGCGTTTGTTATCGTGATGATGATACGATGCTTTTGTCCTTTTGTGCTCGCTCAAAAACGGACACCTCCCCTGTCGTCTTACTTTCATGCACAATGTAAGAGATGATGCGTTTCCCCTTTTATCGCTTACAAAATAAAGGATCTATAAGGCAGCCCATTCTTTTATCGTTATACTACACTTGATCGCCTATCGTGATGATGATACGATGCTTTTCTGGTTTGGATCCATGTTGGAGGTGCACTTCATCCATATAGATCATAGCTTAAAATCAGATGGCGCCTTGTCGATTCAACTGCTCCTCGAATCGATGCTCTTTTTTCGGGGACTTTTTCTGGCCTTGAGAACATAGGCATTGCAAAAAAGAAACAAATCCCTCAAATCCAGGTAAAGATCGTTCCATATCTCACTATTAAGCAAATAGTAACTACGCGGCTCTTTTCTGTTCTTTATATAGATGTGCGCGCGCGTTCCAATGATGATCATCATGATGACCGGTTTATGAGCTCCAAGGGGTACCCCACCTTCCTTTTGGGATCAGATGAATTCTTACCTTCCCGTGGTTGATCCTGTTGCAGTGTCAAGATTATCATTTACAAGAACCCTTCGAGAAACCAAACAGAAGGCTTTATCGATTTTTATCCTTCTGTCACAATTTTTACCTTTCTATCAAACCTACGAAAAGCCACTTCAGAAATCAAACTACAAGTCTTTATCTATTTTTTACCTTTCCTATCATCCGTTTGAAGAATAAATGAAAGTGAAACTTCGTACTTGGCTCGTACTTTTTTAGCCAAAATATTCCATGCTTATTAGAATTTTCAGCTTATCTATAAGTAATTATGACTTCTTTCAAAAAACCATCTCTGAACTGGTCAAAAGTACCTTATGAACTATTTCAGACAAGTTTAGCTACATACTAAGAACTTCAGCATCTTGTATCTTGTCGGCTGATATGACTTGTTTAACAGTCCAGTGTCCCATACTACATTTTCACAAACGAACATTTTTGCGCGAGAGAGCCAGACACAGCATTACATTATCAAAGCTTTTTTTGTACCTTTTATTTGTTGAAATTGTGGAAGACGAGACAGATATATAATATTGAACCTAATCGCTTGTTGCGATGGAATCTTATATTATTATTTTTAGCTCATAAATGTCTGCAAACAATTCTCTTTTACGTTTTCACCTTTTTTGTGTAAAGCATATAGTAAATAGTGAAAATGAAGAAAAATAGTATTAATATTGGAGCCTTTTGCTAATCTCCACCAATTTGATTCATATGGCTTAATTTATTTAAGACTGCTTGACAAGATTGACAGAACTTCAGAGCTTCTTTCTAGCTTCCGTTTCCATGTCAGAATCCCCAAATGATGTGCATCAATTTACGCTCTTCTGCTTCTTTACCTCGTTGAATCAAACTTATGAACTATGTTTAAAGAAAAACAGTGCAACCATATATTGATTAAGTTGGGAGTATATTTTATGTTACTTCCAACACTAGTTCAGCAGGCTTTTTCGCCTGCAGCTTCAAATTTTACAACCAATCCATTCAAAACTGAAGTCGCAATACAGAGACATATGAGGAATAGCGGAGCTACGAAAACAAGCATCCCACGGAGTTACTCCACCTTTTACCATGCATTTTTCAGGAACCTTCACATTACCCTCTGGTTTTTTTTTTCGCTTAACACTTTTTTTTGAAAAGAAAAGTAAACACTATCATGTCTGCATCGAGAAGTCTATCTATTTATCGTGGTCTATTAAAAGAAGTGACTCAACAGGTACCGTAAATTCTGCCCTCCTACCCTTTCTCTTTGATTGAAAACTTATGAATATGCTGACCCTTGTTATCTGTTGCCCGCCATACAGTATACAAAAGGGGCAAATAATCCGTTATATGCACAAGAATTAAAATCTGCTTATAGAAAGAATAAGAATGTCACTGATCCTGAAGAAATTCAAATCTTGAACAACGATGCTGAGAATGTGTTGACATTTTTAACAAGTTCCAGAAAGCATAAGGTAAAAAGGCTGGGATAGTGCTGCTTAAGATTAGCTATATTAAGCATGTAACGATCGATTGAACGTGTCTGATTCTATTCTAGGAATTACGTGAAATGTACTCAACGATCGTAATGGAGCAGAGAAAAAAAATTGAGCTTTCAGCCAAGCGTGTTGGTTTGAATTTACCAAAGGAATATAAACCTGATCAATCTGCAGAATAGAATAACCCCGCAATGTGTATATATAGAGACATCCAAATCAAGACTTTGGCAGAGATTTATTTACTCATGTATAGTTCTCGAATCAAAAAACCAGCAACATCCATATCCTATAACCGTAGAGCAGTTAATAGTTGTTTAGAAAATATCATTGTTAATCTCGATAAGCATTTCTTTCTTTCACTTTTCTTATTTTTTACCTGCCAATAAGACATGTGAACACTCAAAGCGCTAATATACGCATTTTCCAACAATCCTTCTTGCAAACAGTAATCAATTCTACCCGTCGAGTTGAGAAGCTTCAATTTGTGGGCATCATCTTCAGAAGTCTGTGTAGATAAGGATTCAGTAGATGAGTTGAAAAGATTTCCATCTTGTTTCCCGCCTCTATCAGAAATGTCATTCAATGGTGTGCTGGAAGTGATAGTGGAAGAGGAGGTTGATGATGAAAAGTAGCCTCCCAAGCTACGCACGAACATGCCTGTTGATTTGAACGAATCGATCATAGCGCCCGCTTTATTGGCGGCAACATTAAAGCTTGCATCTAGCATACTTTTTAGTCCACCTTTAAGATACGGAATGGGCACAGGTTTGAGTTTTGACCCATAATGACGAGCCACCAACGGTTCCAGTCGATAAGCGACAGGATCGGATTTATGAAAAATATTGTACATATTATCAATAGCAGGGTAGACGAAGGAGATGTTGTTGTGATGACTGTTCTTGTTGTTATTTTTATGATAATCATGAGAGGATGGTGAAGTAGTACTACTTTTGAAAAAGCCTAGCTTTTTGTTCGTAGTTCTAGGTGGTGATTGTTCTAATTGTTGACGTGAGATGATTTTGTTGCTTCTGAGTAACAGCATCATGCCCAGCGGAGAACCGAGAGCGAAAAAGTTCTTGACAGGGAAATCTAGGCCGTCGTGTAAATCCGTAGTCGAGGGTCGTCTGCCGCCTTTCGTTGTCGGCTGAGAAGTGAAGGGCTGCGCACAAAGTATATCGAATGCTAGTAATGACTATTCGCAATAATTTGTTCGGTTCAGAATCGAAAACTCTATTCCACAGTTCACAAGGGCTGTTGTGCTTTAGCTTACTTACTCCCAAAGAATGTGCTAGGATATGTACCTGACCATTGTTTTTGGTAAATTGGGGATTTTTCTCTATGAAAAGCTTGTACACGCGATTGATCTCTTTGGTGACTATCTGTATCATGAGATCATGATATTTTTCTATTAGATACAGTGGCACTGACAATGAGAAAGGGGAACAAAGGATGGAACGATGTAATTAGCCTATCCAACCCCGTGTTTTTGAAAAATGGTGATTTTCAATAAATACCGTCTAGAAAAACATCGGATACTAATGTTCTGATATTAGGTGCACCCTCTAAAGTGATCTCTTCTAGCGTAGGGCAACCATCATCTTGTTGATGTTGCACCTCGCCGATATCTGATTCTGTATTAGGATCTTTACTGTCCTCTTCTGCCTCTCCAAACAGAATACTCTTTCGCCATAAAATGGGTATGACTTGAATGCCGTTGACAGCCACTTTTGTCTCTGTCGCCAAGTGGGTTGTAAACCAGGCTGATTTGAGCGTTTTCCTCAATATATTGACATCGTGAACAAAATTCTGTCCAGTCACTCTTTCGGACATTTGCTGTCCAATACCATGAATGACAAACACAAGTTGATCTATATTCCTGACCTCTTCCTCACTTTCTTCATTATCGTAATCTTCTTTCAAATGTTCCATGCGTTCTTTGTCGACTTCTTCTGCAGAAAGCTTCTTGTCTGTGCCTAAATGATACTTCTTCTCGGATGTTTCTCGCATATGCTGCGACGTTGTTGCAGTATCTTCTTTTTTGGCAGATGGCGCTGCTGCAGTGGATGTTAGGCTACCCATCCTTTTAACACCGCTATTGGGCTTCTTCGTCTCTTTTAGCACTTGATCATACCCGCGAACAATCCTAACACCGGATTTACTGCTACTTGTAAATTTGGTAAAGAAGGCTATGGCAGCATTCGACTTTATGTCGGCACTATGAATTGGGTTCCCCCCCAAACAAGAGAAACAAGAAAACCAAGAGCGAGTGTCAGTAGAGTAAATCCTTTCGCTGTGTTAGGCACCCTCGATGGGAAGAAATTTTACTAATATAAGCGTGCTTCTGTCGCTGTTTTGTAAATGACATATTGTCCCTGATAAATTCCACTCAAATCCTCTTGGAGTACTTGTTGCTGCTGTTCCTCCCCATCTACCGCTGAGCTCTCCGTCTGTTGCTGCTGCTGCTGTTGCAGTTTTTTGAGTTCTTCGCTCTCTTTTGATCCACGGACAGTTTCATTTGCATTGCTGTTACTGTTCGGCTGAGCCTCTTTTCTGCTGTAAGGTTTTAGATTGAGATACCCCCTTTCAATCTGATTCGCCAATGCTTCTTCGCAAGGCACAAAGGTGGAACTATCCTGCTGTATGAACCAAGTGGCTCGTCTGACGGCATAAACAGGCCCCTCCCAATAAATCGGACTGATGTGCCGTTTTGCGACATCCACTTGGAATAGATAGTCTTCATTGACGGGTACGGATACGATGAGATCCGACTAAATGTAGGATGACGTTATGTTCAGTACGTATGAGCCAAAAGGACAGGGGTTGTTACCACACCATGTATCATTCTATTTTTTTGCGAATCCTCCAACTTACTTTTTGCTGATACGTTTTCTCCAACAGATTCGTATCACGTACAGAAAAAGGTACCCAATTTTTCGAAGGTGCTTTTTTTGTTCCTGCTGATGATAATGTTTGAGATGATTTGCTTCTTTTCGCTTTTCGAATAGCTATCGGATCGATTATCGGATTGTCGATAGCGTGAAACCTAAACAGAAAACAAAAAAAAAACCAAAAAGATAGAGTGAGTATGCAGTAGTATTATTCTTTCGATTGGTTGAGTGATCTAATCTATACCATCGAACTATCAAAGGTGGAGGCGGACTATCATTCTCTTCAGTCATCAAAGCGTCAAGGTCCATCCCAAATCCCTGTATCAAATAGATAATGAGAGAGAGAGAGAAGAGAGAAAAAAAAAGGGCTATCGGTTGCTGAACATGCCTTTTTCCCCTCATTTCATTGTTTGTTCATGTGATTTATCATAAAAAAAAAAAGGCAGAGAGGGGGTCTATTAAATTTGTCACTGTGAATGATTTGTTTATTTGATATGTACTAGAGATGGGAAATATACGTTATATATAAAGTATAGATAAATAAAGAGGGAAGAGTAAGAAAGTATGTATTACAAAGATGATGATATTAACAGAAAAGTGATTAAATATTATACAATTTCCAGCAAGCTACAATGGGGGACGGGAGGCGGGGCGAACAATAAACATCGTCTTCTCCTGTTAGTGAAATGTAGTTGTAGTAGAATGTGCGTTATATGCAGCATTGACAGCGGTTGGGTGGTATTGATCATGGTGAGGGAAGTGTTGCTGTTGCTGCTGCTGCTGCTGCTGGTACAAATTGGGCTGCAATGCCGTATTATCATAAGCAGCGGTCGTTGTGGTTGTCGTATCCGTGTTTGTGGGATGACTGACATTCGACCATTTTTGTTGATCCGGTGTAGGCGAGGCAACAGTATATGGATGTGGCGATCGCTTTTCATCGTCGTTCTCCTGTTTCTTATCGGTACTGGCAGTGTTGTTATTTGCTGAAGGAGGAGACTCTTGACCTGGTAATTTCCCAGTTCGTTCCAATTCCTCAACCTCTTTAGCGGCTAGTTGTCATTTGAAAAAGAAGCTATGCGTCAGTAGGTGCAAAAAAAAGAAACGAATCATCAATAAAGTAAGGTAACTCACTCAAAAATCTTCCACCGGGCCCTCTAGGACGACGCATGGCGTGCTTATGTCTGCTTTCATGTAAATAAGGCTTTCTTGTTTTTGATAATTTATTCAGCTCCTCCAATTTCGCTCTGGCTGCTCTGCGTTTTAATATACGATGGTATTGTTTTGCATTTACGTACAGTGGCTCTTCTTGTTGCTGAATATCGTTGCCGCTGTGTTGAACAAGCTGTGGTGGCTGTGGTGGCTGTGGTGGCTGTGGTGGTGGTGCTGTTCCTGCTTGTGCAGCAGCGGCAGCGGCAGCGGCAGCGGCAGCAGCGGCTTGTTGATCCAAAGATGATCTGTATCCCATGGCTTGCGGTGGGGAATGTATAACAGAGGCCTTTTCAGAAAAAAAGAACAAAAAAAAATTTTTTTTTCACATCCACAAGAGAAAATAAGAAAATTCGATTAGTGATTCATGACTAACTAACAGCAGAGAAGTAGAATATCTTTTGAACAAAAGTACAATACCATGGGTGCAGTTGCGTAAGTAGGTTGTGGAGGTGGTTGTGCATATAAGGTGTGGGGTTGTGGAGGTGGCCGCCTGGGATCAGCTGTCAAAGGCGGGTGCGACTGTAAATCTGTCATATTAGGATGGGTTGGAGCATAAGCAGAATTTGCATACATATCATGAGGCTGTTGTTGTTGCTGCAATAAAGCAGCGTGCTGTTGTTGTTGTGTTGCTGTTGCATCTGTCATATTTTAAATTGTTGGTACTTTGAGCCAATGAAATAGTTAAACTGTAAAAACTCGATTTGAAATTAATTGGTTGATCAAACAGAAAATCAAATGATAAACGAAAAGGAAATATGTAATTGGCTCCAAATGGCCTCAAAAGCGTTTTTATATCCTCTCTCCTTATAAAAGAAAAAAAAAATCCTTCGGTTTCTGTTGGGCCAGGGTTATCAAAAGCCGAAAATGGAAGATGGAAAAAAAGTGGTGGAAAAAAAAAAATAAAAAAAAATAAAAAAAGATAAAATGACGTCGCTTTAACAAAAAAAGTAAAGAGCATCTCTAAGTTTAAACTTGAGTTTAGGCTTTTCTTACAATTTCACTGTCATCCTCTCATACTTAAGCCATTGGCGTTTTTCTTTAGCTGTAATTTTTGACATGACGCTTCTTTAATAGTATGCCTTATCATCCTTCACGTAAAAGATAAAGCCTGCATGCCCCACCATTAGAACATTTTTTTTTTTAAAAAAAAGGTATTGTAAGCTGTCTATGCGCTCATGATAAGATAATCGTGGGCCGTAAAAGAGACAAAAAATGGTCCCGCAGAAGAAATAATGGAATTTTGTAAAACCTTGTTTTGCACGTGTAAAACCAATGATATTTTTGCTGCGTAACACAATTTTAATGCACGCAAAGCACAGTGATGCATCAATGCAACAAAAAGAAAGGCTCTTCCAATTTTACTTTTTTTGAATTCCATATTTATGCAGTCAAAAGATCATTCAAGTTAAATTAATCTGAATCCAACTTTCTGAATGTATTCTGTGGGGAGTGAAAGGAAGAGAACCTTCACATTTTTGTTTTATTTGAATTACAAACATATCACAATTAAAGAAATGAATGTAAAAGGGGTATAGTAATATTCTAGTAAAACAGCACAAAAGCAGGACTGAGAAAGGGCATTTGAAAATCTGTTCATTGTTTGAACAAACCGAATTTTCAAGTGAACAAAGAGCCTTTTCAGTAATTAAACGATTTATAAAATTTTGTTTCTGCTCTACCGTAGTAAAAGAAAAAAAGAGAAAAGAAAAAGAAACAACCATAGAGAATAGAACATATGGGATAGGGGTGATATGTATACGTATAGCCTTTTTTTTTTTTTTTGCGTTGAACAATGCAATAGATGATGATAGAAAGGGGGTTGAAGCTTTTATAAAAGCATACCAGCAATAGCGGCTGAAATCCAGGTACTGAAAGCACCACAGATACACGCAGAGACAGCCAAACTAGCAATATCACCGTTACGCTTGGGTGCCAAAGTACTCAAGACACCAATTTGCATACCAATACTACCCAAGTTAGCAAAGCCGCAAAGAGCATAGGTGGTGATGATATAAGAACGTTCCGAAAGGATAGATTTGTACGTAGTAGAAAGAGCAGAATAAGCAACAAATTCATTTGCCCAAATCTTGGTGGCCAAGATACGTCCCACATCCACCACATCCTTGTTTTCGACACCCATAAGCCAAGCGATCTGAAATAAAAAGACAATGAGTGTTTTTTGTTTTTGTACACATTCCATAAACTACAAACAACTTACAGGTACAAATATATAACCAGTAATCAACTGAAGTGTCAATTCATGAATGGTGATAAATTTACCGATCCACGTCAAACCAGCATTGACGGCATACAGCAAGGCCAACAGAGAAATCAAATTAGCACACATCAAAAGAGCAATATTCATACCAGTAGCCGCACCCAAACTTGCAGCGTGCAAAGCATTCGCAGGCTTCTCATCGCTAGGAGGGATACGTACTTCTTTTGCGGTAATAGGTGTGTCGTCTTCGGGCACTCGAAGTTTGGAAACAGCCAACGAACAAGGGATGGACATGATGCAAGATGTCAAAAGAGCTTGACCTGACACACCCATGGCAATATAACCGTAGAGGACAGAGCCCGAAATAGTGGCGAAACCAGAACACATGATTTGATGCATTTCCGAATTGGTCAAGTAGGGTAAAAAGGGACGGATCAATAGAGCATTTTCACCTTGGCCCAAGAAAGGAGAGGCCACCGCGACAACGGATTCGGCACCAGATACCTTCAAGACAGCCATGAAAAAGACAGCGCATTTTTTCAAAATGAACTGTAAAGCGCCATAGTAATACAAGATCTGGACAGTACCGGCAAAGAAAATGAGAGTAGGGAAAATCGAAACAGCGAAAATGCCAGACTCAGCCACAACGTTACCAAAAATGAATTGCGTACCATAGTAAGCATAGCCGAGATAGCCTTGGGCAAAGGTAGATGCCCAAGAAAAGATATCGTGACCCACGCTACATCGGAAGACAAACAGCGCCAAGATGAATTGGAACAAGACAGCGCTCAAAATGGTGTCCCAGTTCACCAGCTTTCGATTCTTCGACGTGGCCCAAAGACAAAAGAAGAACACACACATGCCAAATAAAGCGACCAGACGCTGAATACGTTTGGATTCAGGCTTTTCTTCCAGAGAAAAGACGATGATGAGAATGACACCAATGACGAAAATAGCATACGCAAGAGTACGCCATTTCTTGGGTAAACGCATCCACGGCTTGCGCACCATTTCCACACAGTAATTCCAGGGCGTTGTATAATAAGATGAAGGGATATAATGCGATAATAGTTTGAGACAGAAGAAAGCGTAAATAAGACCCAAAATGAGGTTCTCTTGATTGTAACCTTTGGGGACTTGCAGAGCATAGGCAGCTGCTAAGAAGCCGGTAAAGATGAGAAAGTAGGCAATACTAAAAAAGAAGAGGGAGTTAAAGAAAGGAACTTATAAACGTCCTTCTCTTTTTCCGTGTTTCCTTTCGAAATGAACAGTTCGATATTTACTGAAACCAAGGCCTATGTCTTTTGTAGAATAATGAAAACTTGGTATCCTTCTTCGCTGCTTCTTCATCGTCATCGGTCGAAACTTCTTCCATTCGACTATCATCGTTCATTTCGGGTATATTTATAGCGGATGTCACGCCCTTTTCCGTCATATCTTGGTTTTTTGTCGTGGATGAGTTGGCTGAAGTATCATGCTTTACATCGACAACTGAATGAAGATCCTGCGCTGTATTGTGAGAATGCGTACGATGAATGACACCATTGGCTTCTTCGTCCAGTTGGATGTTTTCTTGACTTGGCTCTGGATATAAGCTTTTTTCCAAGTCAAAATCAACACGTTCGAAATCTCTACTGGTAGGCATTTCTCGTTGTGGTTATGTAATGTACGTGAAGGGTAGATCTACTTTTGTGATACAGGTAATGTCGTGCAAATGGAGCTAGTTTGCAAGTAGTAAGGGTCTCACAAAAGAGCTTAAAAAAAAAGGGTCCAAATAGACTTTGACCTTTTTTAGGTGTGTTTGTTAAAAGAAGGAAACAAAAGGAAAGAGTCGTTCCTGAGCCTTTCTTGATCTGAAGAATATGCTTAAATAAATAAATAAAAAGAAAAGAGAGAGAGAGAAGGAGGGGAGAAGAGTTAGAACGCTTACTGTTTTGTGCGGATTTATATACCATTCACTGAAAAAAAATTTTTTTTTCTAATACCAAGCCTGATGTAGCAGGGCAAGAATATCCGCCGAAAAACCAGATTGAAGGAGAATGCCCCTTCACCCAGATTCCACGGTCAGCCACATGGCTTCATTGGATGGGATTTTGAATTTCATTGACATTCATTCGTACAAAAAAGTACTTTTTTTTTTTTTTTAAAACACACAGCAGAAAAAAAATAATTTTTTTATGAATTTTTTCAATTAAAAAAAAGAAACGCTCCACACAAGGGAGTTGGCAATAAATTACAGTACAATAAATAGTACAAATACATGAGTCTTCTATTTTCTCTTTCTATATTACAATGCAATGGATTTGCTTCTGGTATTTCACAATAATAAGCTTGAAAAGTACGGTATGTCTTTGACCGTTTTTCATTGGTCATCAAGGGAAAAGGCGGGGAGCTGAGATTTTGAATAAAAAGAAAAAAGAAAATGCCTGTTATCCATCTTACTTTAAGCCCATAGAAGCAGACCCAATTTTCTTTGCCTTTGCTGGATCCAGTCCATCATCATCAAAGTCTTCTAATAAAGCGGGCAATGCTCCCATTCTACAGTATGAAGATAGATGCGGTTTTAAAGTCGTTAATAAACAAAGGCATCCAATTCAAATACGTTTAGAAATGGCTCTGTTCTGTACCTGCTAATCAGCATCTGTAACTGTAGCCTCGTATACTCTTGATATATCTCAGTTATTTTCATATGGTTGTAAACACCTACTTGCAATTTTCTGATCCACATGTACAGCTCATTGACAGAAGCAATTCGGCTATAACAATGTCTGTCAATCAATGACCATTTATCGAAATAAGATGTTCGGAACTTCCACATGTCTTCGTTTAGCGGCCTATTATTGTTCATGCCGCCGTCTTGTGGCTGCTCTTTTTGTTCGTGTTCTATTTCCTTCGTATCCAAGATAACTCTATGACATGTATAGCAGTGAATAATGACAGATGACTTTTTTGATAGACTGGACGTTGTGTTCGTAGGCGTAGACATAGATGCTGATACTGTGGGTGTCGCTGCGGAAGGTGGCGATGAGGAGGAGGAGGATGACGAATAAGAGAACCATTTTCTTCTGGTTCGCGGTGGCGACGTTTGATTCTCTTTTCTTCGTTTTGCAATCTCCTGTTGCATATAATCAGGTGTACAAAACTCCAAGAAGCATGTCTTTGCCAACATAGCCTCCAGTAATTTTTTTATGGATGTTGTAGGGTTGTGATGATAATGATGAGAGTAATGGCTTGTTACAACAGGCTTTAGGCAAGGTTCAATATCTTGTTTCAATATATACTTCATGAAGGGATAACTATGCAGTTTTGCGAGTGATGATTGCGACTGTAGTGTGTGCACAAACTGTTCAAACTCTTTCAGAAGCATATGATCGATTGAATAGTCTGCATCGCTGTCCTGAAAAGCGTGGATTTTTACAGGCTGTGGATGATTCATCAAAGCGGACATATCTAACTGAGCTCTTAAGAGATAGTTTTCGTGTGTTGATAATTGTTCGACACAATCATCTTGTTCTTTTTTCTTACTCATCGCTTCACGTAAATCATACAGTTCGCCTTGTACGTCATTGAGCTCATTCTCGGTTTGTTGAAGTTTGATCTTGGCAACATCATAACTCTCCCGCAGTTTTAATTTTTCTTGCTTTTCGGTCAAAATTAATGCATTGGCTTCTTCAAAAAGTCGTTGAGTTAAATCGTGCAATTCTGACTCGACTGATTTCTTTGATTGTTCAATTGCTTTCGTGTGAGCAATCTCTTCCAAATGTTTGGTCTCTACTACTTTGATGTCACGCTTGAGCGATTCTACCTTTTTATTTAGGTCGTCCAGTTTTTGTTGATAAGTGTCACTTTGACTTTGCAGCTCCTTCTTTTCTTCATTATATTTATGAAGAACCGATCCATGGTCCATAATTTGCTGCCTCAATATATTGGTTCGTTCTATCAGCTGATTTTTCAGCTTCTCCAGCTCCAGCATTTCTGGTATCACTCTATGACATAAACTGCAATGACCTGACTTTAAACGTTGACAAGGACAGGTATGTGTATCATGATAGTGATGGCTGCTACTGCTGCTGCTACTTCTACTGCTGCTGCTGCTGCTATTATTCGTACTTGTGCTAGTACTCGTTGTTAAACTAGTTAAACTTTCATCGTGTAAAGGCATATGCTCGTGGGCATCGCTATGGTTATTACTGTTGATATTAGTGTCACTACTCCTGACATGATCCATATTACTGTTATTACTTGGATTGCTTTTTTGCTCGCTGAAATTTTGCTGCGTCCCTGCTGTTTCATCAACTTGTGTATCGGTCATTTTGAATCACTTTTGCCTAGGGTTTGAAACATGAGTTACGTTCCTTTATTTCCAGAGAAAAGAAGAAAAAGAAAGTATAAGAAAAAGGTCAACAAAAAATGGAAAAGTGTTGATCGCAACTCATTTTCGGAATTGAATAGAGAGAGACTGTTGGCAATAATTGCAGAAAAAAAAAAAAACGCCCAAAAATCAGGGAAGGTCTTTTGATCTTTTGACGCAATGAACCAATGCATGCATATTTCAACATGTGCATGACCCTTTTCGGGCCCGATGTGGATCGATAAACTTAAATAAATGAATACCGGCTGTTGTGTATTCATAAAATTTATGAGAGACATAAAAGTATGTTCTTCAAGGCTTAAACGCACGTTCATTTAAGCAACATCAATGACGAATGTGCCTACGATCTAAATATACGTTTAATTTGCTTCTATATTTATTTATTTTTTTTTCTCTTTGCTGCAAACCCACCTATAAGGCGTAATCAACTGTAGAGCTACTGTTCTTGAAATAGAGTAGTAGTAGTAGTAGTAGTAGTATCAGTAGTCGTTACTCCTCTTCAAAGATGGGCATCCATGTCCTCGTCTTTTTGGTGGCCACCTTGCTCACTTTGTCGTATGTTCATTCAAATAAGCACTTTGGTAGAGGCACCCCATCCTTGAAGTTTGTCTCGAGATGATGTAAGTCCTCGAAAAATGGATGAGCTAATGCATCTTTTGCAGACATTCTAGAAGCTGGAGTATATCGTACCAATTTTCCCACCAGATGGACAGCCGCTTCATCTAAAGTAAGACTCCCTGTTGCGGCAACAACATCAGCGGTGCTTTCAGTAGGAGCTATAGGACAAACCTGTCGTCGCAGCAAGAATTCTTTGAGCGACGATGTCTGAAGCAATTGTTGGCACTTGAATTGACAGCTATCCAAGTCGTGCAAAGACTCATCAGGGCACCCCAAGACTTGCATCATCGCGTTCAACTGCGGCTGTGGCTCTGCAGGATCGGATTGAAATAAGACCTCGCCCACGAACAGCTCGGCTAAGGTACAACCAGCTGACCATAAATCAAAAGAAAGAGTATAGTATTTGGTTCCTATAAGGTGTTCAGGAGCTCGGTAGAAGAGTGAACACACATCCTGAACAAACTTTACGTGTTCGCACGGTTCGCCGTTTGCTTTTTCAAATATGGATGAATTGCTGAAATCGCAGATTTTTAATACACCCGACCGAGGATCGACCAACAAGTTGCTTGGCTTCAAATCCTGGTGACAAATGTTGTTACCATGGAGAGCATTCAATCCACGCAATAGCTGATATGCATATAATTTGCAGTGCAAGAGAGGCAACGTATATTGCTCGTCTTTCTTATAATGCTCAATAATGGTGAGTAAATCGGTTGGTAAGAATTCTAATAGAATGTTCAGGTGGTAAAGTTGCTCTTCTTCTTTTTCTTCTTCTTCTATCTCTTCCTTCGGAATACCAAAACTACTGTTATCATCTTTTGCAGGTGTTGGTGATGATGCAATCTACATTGAAGCGAGGCAAGACGTACGATTCATGATGAGTTAGCCGCAATGAGGTTTTATCCTTCCCTCGTACTTAAACTGCCTCAGTGATAAAGAAATACAGAGTATCGAATCTAACTGGAAAAGTGGAGGGATGGGGGAGGGGGTTGCAATAGGATATGTAGATGAAAGTATGCCTACCTTGATTTCAATACTATCGCTATGGCTCTCTGGCTCGCTTGTAAATCGCGAGTAAAAGAAAGCCATCATCTTACATATATTAGGATGGCCGTTGCAACGTTGTAAAATTTTCAACTCATTGGTAAGTGTAGGTAGCTTGACTACTCGCTCATGTTCAGATAGTGGCCTTTTGAACACCTTCAAAGCCCTTATGTCATCGTCGGGAACCGTTCTAATACTGTACACGGTGGCAAAAGTACCTTCACTGATATATTTCTTCTTTCTGAACTGCAATTGAATGTGTTTCCTATCATCATTACATCCAAATTCTATAGCATCATAACTCTCTGTTACTTCATCTCGCCCAATGTCCACCACCATAACTACAATAATTTCGTCACAAATGTGCAGGAAACAGCCAGATTTGAAAAATTTAAAGCAAGGTATGAAGAAAGAAGAAGCTTTCTTTTCTTATCTTCTAACATGCTTTTTATTGTATATTCACAAATTATGGACATACAAAGGAATTCTATATGGGAGAAGGCTGCTGCGAATATATTAATGGTTATATTTTAAAAGAAAGTGGAGGAAGGATACTATATGAAATGTACTAGATGTATGAAAGAAGGTTAAGAATGCAGATAATGAAAAAGGAAAAACAAGGAAATAAGAATTTTATGCACAAGAATGTACTCTTTTTTTTAGTATTGAATATTTGATGGATATTTTATGCCTGACAGACAAGTTTGTTTTCATCCAACATAGCAATGGATGCACCCAAACACCAACCGGTTTCTGCTCCATTGATCTTTTTAGCTGTACGCACTAACCTGTCAGCTGGGATTTCGTAACCATACTTCAAAAGGTTGTAGAGATAAGTTAAATCGAGACAGAAATCCGGCTTCTCTTTCAACAATTGTAAGGCACCAGGTACATGTTGAAAAGGTTTGGTTTCTCCACGGCAAACTCGGTCCGTTAACTCGCCTAGTTCTTTCACCGAAAATTCTGTAGGCATTCCCAAAGGTTGCGTCAAATCATAAAAGTAGGAGAAAACGTACAAATCTCTGTCCTTGAATGTTTCGGTAAGAGAGGGTTGGTAGACGCCATCAAATGCACAGGGTCCTACTTCACATAGTTTATCCTTATTGAACACTCTTTCTATGATGCCGCGACATTCAGTGTAACCTGCTCCAGTGCCAATGAGTTGAACAGTCGTGCCATTATCAGTAGCCATATTCTCTTTGTAGTTTTCTGGTAAGCAAGGATGATAAACTTTGCCGGTCTTCTTCGCTTCTGATTTCCATAGATTGACCATTTCCATTTTGATTGCTTTACGTGCTTCGTTTAGACCATAACCGAGATAAGAATGTTGGTATAATTCAAATAGGTCATTCTGATAATCTAGTTGGTATTTGTGGTCTCCTTCCACCATATTTTCCTCAGGAGTTGCAAAGGTGGGTTCGAATACAATCTGCGTGGATGCACCGCCTAAATCGAATACAGCAGCTGATTGTCCTCTCTGACTCTTTCTCAGTTTACCCAACAAATAATTCACTGTAATCCAAGCGTAAACGCCTAGAAATAAAAATAGATGAATATACAAATTAATAAATTTGTACAACAAACATCATGCTTGCCCTATTTTAATCGAATGATATCATCCTCCATCAACTGAATGGAAAAGAAATCCATCTTACCTTCATCTGAGCCTTCCATAATTTCAACACCGTTTTCACCAGCAATGGGGAAAGGAAATGTTTCAAGATATTTGCGAACAGATTTAAGGATACTGTCCGATTTATCCTTACCCAACAATCTTAATCCAGCCGTTGCCTTGACAGCAATAGGGGTGCATTTCTGAAATTCCTTGGGAACACTCTTGACTGCAATGTCCATCAAAGGTTTTAGCGATAAAGCTGCTGCTTCGGGATCATCTTTGAATGACGATAAACCAGGCTCTAGCATATGAAATACTTCGTTCTCTAGAACTGGGTCGTTGCAAACACTGAATTGATAAACATGAACTCGAGAACCTGAAGAACCCGCATCAATCATAATAGCATATTTAGTGGCGGGTTTCTTATCATTTGTAGCTGAACATAAACCGCTGGCAGCGCTGTTCGTGTCACTATTTAACTGGTCTAATGATGGTACTTTGGAATCTATTTGAGAATCGGTAAGTTATGATAATCGCTTGGCATGTTGGGCGTGAATAGAAGCGAGATAAATACCTTGTAAACTATTTTCAGCAGATGGTGTTGTTGTTGAATTTGTATCGTAAGAACGAGCGTATGGTATTGTGCTGGATGATGTAGGTATTAAGAGCCAAATAAATAATAAACAGAATAATGCGGCAGCTGCACATTTCCAAAATAGACCCTTCTTGGCTTTGACGGGTGACATTATAGCAGGAGAGCTCTGTCTTTTACTATAATTACCCAAAGGTATCGATATAAATTGTTCCGACGACACTTTGAAGAAGTTTTATGTAGAAGAGGCGTTTCTTAAAGAAAGAAGCAAAAAGCAGAACAAAAAGGAGCAAGTAAAAAAAAAAAAAAAGGCACCGATTTTTTCAATTCCCAGATTTCAAAAGCCCTAATTGAATCCTTGTTGTAGAAAATGTTTTGGGCTGGGTTTGCAAAATTTTATCATAAATCTGTGGAACCCATCAAACCAACTGACAGAAAGCCCAAAATGGAAAGAAAATCATTTTATTTTGAGCCCGGGTCGCGTAGACCCTTCACAGGGACGGGACACAAAGTAGCCCGTGCAGCGGTGGAGCAAGTACATTTTCACGTACAAATGATTCTGGACTATATTAGAGTCACTTTTTCTGGATTCCAAGTATAAGTGGGCATCCGCGTAAATCTAGAAACATCCATGAAGTGTTTTGGTTCCCAAAAAGTATATGTTGTATCGGCAATTATACTGATACTATTTATTGAATTAACCGACAAATAGTATAACATGCGCTATATTTAAAGGTTACATTAGTATATAGAAATTCAATATATGCTGAACTTTTATGGACAAATCACAAAGCAGGGCAGATAACAGCTCTATTCCTTTTACTGCCAATTCGACATGGTCTATATGTTTAACAAAGCTCTGAGGGAGAAAGGATTTTGTAATTTTTTACAATCTTATATGCGGACAGCTTGCTTCAATTCTATTGATGGCTTATGCAAAGGCACCTCCATGACAACAAACGTTTCTGCTGACCACACGAAATGCATGGTTTCAGAGGCGGATTAAGTATTTACTGTCGTTCTTGCAGCATATTTTCTTTTGTGACGAGATAAATGGATTATACGATAATTTAATGATTCACAAGTAACCTGATAATATAACTTATCCTGATATAGCATATATTATAACCTTCATCTTAGCCAGTTTATCTTCATTGACAGCTTCTTGTCGACCTCCACGTTTTGCTCATCTATTTTAAACTTAATTCTTCGGCATCATGATGAAGAATGAATTGTATCATACTATAAGCTTTAAATACAGAGAGAAAAAACAATTGATTAATTATTAACATCAGAGGTACACAAAATCGAAAGACAGTGGTAAGCTTCGTCCTGCGATTATTGCTGGGTCAGCAAAACAGTTCTTGCTAGATTTTCATTATGTAGAATATCTTAATATTGCTTATTAGCGATGTTTTATACGGGTTAATTGATAATGTTTATATGTTGAGGCTCAATTCTTGCAGTTACTATTTGTAACACTTTTGTTCGCTGAGTGAGTGCATTTGATGTTCTTCCATCTCTTGTTTATCTTTATCTTTCTTTTTATCATCTATCTAGTCAATTATTATACGGTTACGTCTTGTGTGTATGTGCTCCATATCAAATTATTGAAATGAAATTACACACTGGCTGATAAGCGGTGCAACTTATGTTTCCAAGGTCTCCAAGTTTGTATAAAATCTGTTTTTATAGCCGATACAATATAAAAGCACGCATAATAATAATCGAAGCTGATATGAATGCTGAAATGCCATGGTTGTATATTGGAAATCATCGCCTATTCACCAGCAAGTTTCTACCCCTGAACGGACTGTTAATGCGAGCTACAACAACAGAACGTGTTGCTTATTTATTTGTTTGTCCAGGAAAATTTCATGCTACTGCTTTAACTCAGTAACCGTGTGTGACTTCAATAGGAGACACATTAAAATCGTCCTTTTGTCAACTCCCTTATTTGGTACCTTATCTTCTCAGTCAATCTACTCCATATTTTGAAAAGAGAAAGATGATTATACCCCGGATAAGGAGAAGTATCCTTGGCTTAGTCACGGTGGGAATTTGTACTCTCAGTGTCAATGCTGAGTCAACACAACACCCAACTGTCGACCTAACCATGGTAGCTCCTTGGCTGGCACCTAACTTTGTTAATGAAATCGCGTAAGCTCAATTGCAAACCTTCATCTTGACATCTGACAAAAAGGGAAGAAAAAAAATAGAAGGAAATAGAAAATGCTGATACATTTTTTTGCATTAACATCCAGCGAAACGATAGCAAATCATAACGAGACGTTATTTCAACATTTAATCGAGGAATTTGTTGCTCTAGAACAAAAGGCTTCACTAAAAAATGCGACACCATATCAAATTTATAGAGACACGACAGCTATGTTAACCACCTCGCGCATGAGCCAAGAAGAACTCGGCCTATTCAACCTTGCCCTGGCTCTTCATGAAGCAGCACCGCGTATCCAAGCATTTCATCAATATTACCGAGAAGGTATTACTCGTTCATTATCTAACTATGACGATGGCTGTGACACTTGGATTCAATATTTGGAAGATCAACAGTTCTGTGAATGGGATGAATTTTATAACGCATTTAAAAAAAGTCAGTTAATATCTGCTGAAAATAGCGCACCTGCGGCAGGTTTAGAAATTCTACCATTTGATCATATCGTGAAGGCCAGCGGACAATACGCGAATCCAAGAGCACAAACTCCCGTTTCCATCGCGCTCTATACAGACCGTTTCTCAGATAAATTCAACTTATTTTATCGACAACTGAAGCAACTTGCTGATGATAATGATATATCCTTTGTCCTAAGGTACAGACCTATGACCGATGAAAACATTTCAACCAATGCCATTGCGCCTTTATATCTTTCTGGTTATGGTGTGGAAATGGCACTGAAAAAGACAGATTATTTGGTGATCGATGACCGAGAATCACAAAGTAGGGTTTTTGAGAACATAAACCATACGAAAGGCATTTATGTTGACCTATTGTTCCATATTTCAAATAATATTAGAGACAAGCATGAAAGACAAAATGGCACATGTAGGCAAAAAAATTGCCAAGTCAGCAAGTTCATTATTTGAATCGGGTCAATTGGAGACCATTGAACCTGTTACGCCTGTTGAAATTCATAGACTCAGTTTCAAAGCAGCTCAATACGTAGCTCGCTCCAATAAGCCCTTGGAAATCTTAACAGAATTGTTAAACGATTTCCCCAAGTATGCCAAGAGCCTGAGTGAGATAGATTTAGATGAATCTTTTGCAGAGGAAATTATCGATAACCAATTACATTTCCTTCGTGCTGGTATGAATGCCATTTGGCTTAATGGCAAAGGTTTAGAGTTTAATCAAGTCGATCCTTTTTAGTAAGTTTTTCAAATAAGCGATAACAGCAGCTGACAGAAGACATGAAAGGACTAATTGTGAACTGAAAACTTAACCTAGCCTCCTTCGCGCTATCCGTTCAGAATTGAAATTGATCAACTCTTTCAAAAAGTTTGGTTTTACACCCAAGGAAGCCATAGAGATCATTTCAAATCCTGAATTAACTGCTGCTCACAACCCGGGAGAGAAAAAAGAGGAAGTGTACGATATACGTGACACTTCTGAAAGTCACTTTATTACTTGGTGGAATGATTTGGAGAAGGATAAAAAGTATAAAGATTGGACAAATAGTATGGACCAGGTAACGAAGAGCTTAATTTTATACACCTATTTGAACCTACTCCTTCTAACAATGCGTGTCGTTAACCATCCAGTATATACGTCCTAATTACGCTGGTCAAATTTTTCCTATCAGAAAGAATATTTTCCATTTGGTCCATGTAGAAGATCTATCTAATGTTGAATCTCTTTTCCGTATTGTAAATGAAGTTAATCCTATGATCAAACGACTGGTCCCAATGCGATTTGGCTTTGTTCCAGTCGTGAAGGGTAAACAGGATATATGTAAGTACACATTTCTTAGGGGAAAGTACCATTTTCAATTTACACGATCTCTGAAACACGATCATTTTATCGTAGCTACTGTTATGGCTACATTATCCGAGTATTTCATTCAAGAATATGGAAAGGCTGTTAGCATGAAGTTTTTGACTAACGTAAGTAAAATGAAGTTCTACTTATCTTGAAAAGACCATACTCACGCTTGCCATTATGGTGCAACTAGGTGCTTGATTCTACTCGAGCCGAAGCTAAAAGACATCCTACTATTGATATAGTAAAGGAATCTTTTGAAAAGACAGCCTTCGAAGCCGGAAAACCTAAAACTGGAAAGAGCCTTTCTTTTGAAGACGCATGTAATACACAAGATACATATATTCAAACTGTGCGCGAATTTTTGAGACGTATGGGTATTACCGAACTTAAAGCAGAAGATGGTTTAATGTTTTTAAACGGTAGACTTGTTGAATTCACTCAAGGCGTGGTAAAGTAACGCAGCCAATAGGTTTTGCATTGCTTTAAAAAACATGAAGCCTTGTACCATAACTCAACATCTTGTATTTTTATTACAGAAATGGGTCCAAATTTTGATGCCCGTTCTGGGCGACCTTCAAAGATCACTTCAGAAAATGGTCTTCATGCGTGAATTCGATAACAAAGACTTTAACTATTATGATCATATCATGGAGCAACTCGGTGTTCTTCGCAACCGCAATTCTTACATCAAGCCTACAAACGCTCACCCACTCCGCTTCGAAAAATTGGATAACACTAGGGCTTCAGACAAGCTTGTATATTTCCAAAAAGGTAAAAACTATCAAAGAAGTGCACGCATGTCAATGATTGATAATATATATTGTTTGGATTTCCCACCCATCTTAGATGAAAAGACTGCACCAGTTGTAAACCTTTGGGTATCTGCTAATCTTGACACAGTTTCGGGTCTTAAAATGGCATCAGAAGCCCTCAAATTTGCTGTAAGTAGTACATAGTATGCTGCAAAAAAGATGACAAGCTGTTTCAGGAAGTAGTCTAATACTCTATGTTCAGTCATCGCATTCTAATGTTAGAGTAGCTCTCATTCATAATTTGAATGAGACTCTCGATAATAATGCGGAAATGTCTATCCAGCCAATTAAGGATAACATTGAACCATCATTTTCAGATTTGCTCGCCCACCTAATTTTCGAAGAAAAAAAGATGGGACTTCAGCAATTACAGGAGCTTATTGAGAGCGCTGCTGTGCAAAGTAGCCAAGTTGAGGCAGATAGCAATCAAACGCCGCTTAAGGCTACGGTTCCCGGTTCACCCATAGTAGACATGGTTGCTAAAGAGCATGGTCAAAAATGGACCGAACTGGTTGATGCATTGGCAGAAGATGGACTTTCCAAGCCCTTCTGTGGTATCGTTTTTAACAACAGAGTAAGTTCATAACGTACAGAAAACCGTTTCAAAATGTATGTTGCTGAGGTTCTTACTCTTCCGTTTGTTATCCAAACTTTATAGGTAATTGGACCTTTCCAACCTCACGAAGAATTCAGCTATACCGATTACGAGTCTCTCTTTGAGCTCGAATATAACACTCGCGTAGAGCCTATCATGAAAGCAATTCGTGAAACTGGACATTCTTCAGTGACTGGACATTCTTTGGCTGATGTTCTGTCTGATCTTGCCTATCTCATTGAAACTGATAAGGCGGATGCTCCTGACCATCTCATGATGACAGAGGAACCTTTGAACCGTCAACGTGTTTACAATCTTATTCCCGGAAAGAAGTATACTCGTTTAGTTGTGGGTGATCCCAAAGCTTCCTTTTTGGAAATCGGCCTCATCATTGATCCCCTCTGTGAAACAGCTCAAAAGTGGGTCCCTATCATCAACACCTTATCCAAAATGGAAGGTGTATCTGTCATTATGCATTTGAACCCTGTAAATGGGTTGAATGAATTACCGCTGAAGCGCTTCTACCGTTATGTATTTGATGCTGAACCTCATTTTGATCCTACAACGGGTGTGCAAGAAATTCCAACTGCTTACTTTGAAGAATTGCCTACGGAGGCTCTCTATACATTGGGTGTAGAGACAACGAACGCTTGGCATGTGACTGTACGTGAAGCCAACATGGATCTGGATAATATTGTCCTAAAGTCGTTAAGCACTGATGAGCATGGCGTGTCTGCTTTATATGAACTTGAAAATATTCTTCTTGAGGGCCATTGTCTGGATATCAACAACAAGGCTCCTCCTCGGGGCCTTGAATTCGAGATTACCTCACCCTCCAACGGCTTACAAAAGGATACGCTTGTCATGGCTAATTTAGGTTACTTTCAGCTGAAAGCGTTGCCGGGAGTGTGGGATTTACACTTACGTGAGGGACGTTCTACAGAGGTTTATTCCATCACAGATATTTCCTCGGAGGGTAAATGGAATTGGGATGCGAATGACAAGAACGAAACGGTGAACAATAAGATGGCCATCTACTCTTTTGAAGGCTTGACTGTTTTACCTCTTGTCCATAAGAATCCTGGTATGGAGCATGAGGATGTGCTAAACACAGGCGCAGCTCAAAAGATGGAAGACAAAGAAAAAAGCGGCCTATGGTCTTCCATATCCAACAAATTCTTTGGTCAGAAGGAAAAGCATACGAGTGACAAAGGCACTGGGCTCGTTGCCAAACGAAAGCAGGCGGATATCAATATTTTTTCTGTTGCTTCTGGAAAGTTATATGAACGCTTTCTTTCTATTATGATTGCATCCGTTATGAAGCACACGGAGAGTACTGTCAAATTCTGGTTTATTGAGAACTTTTTGTCACCAGAATTCAAGGTACTGTGAATCAAGGGAGTACTCTTTCGAGTTTCTCTGGGAAAAAATGACTCATGATGTTTTGTAATATAGGATTTCGTACCTCATATGGCGGAAGAGTATAACTTTGATTATGAAATGATCACCTATAAGTGGCCTGCTTGGCTTAGAACACAGCGAGAAAAGCAGCGTACCATTTGGGGCTACAAGATCTTATTCTTAGATGTTCTTTTCCCCTTAAACTTGGATAAGGTCATCTTTGTTGATGCAGATCAGGTTGGTTCATTTTTTTTTTTATTTTTTTTTGAAAACAAATGAAACGTTCTCTCATTTTCTTATCATTCTTTTCACCACTCACCCCAATTGGAACAGATTGTTAGAACTGACCTTCAGGAATTGGTCGATATGGATTTACAAGGAGCGCCTTATGGCTATACACCTTTCTGTTCTGACCGTACAGAAATGGACGGTTTCAGGTTTTGGAAGGAAGGGTATTGGGCTCAGCACCTGAGAGGAAAACCTTATCATATCAGTGCATTGTATGTAGTCGACCTTCATCGTTTCCGTCAAATGGCAGCAGGTGACGTTCTTCGCGCACATTATCAACAACTGAGTGCAGATCCAAACTCTCTTGCCAATCTGGATCAGGATTTGCCCAACAATATGCAGCATCTTGTTCCCATATTCTCCTTGCCTCAGGAATGGCTTTGGTGTGAAACTTGGTGTAGTGATGAAAGCTTGAAAACAGCAAAGACCATTGATTTGGTAAGAAAACGGAATAAATGGATTGGTTTTTCTTTTGTACAAGCCTATTAACAGTGTTCTCGTTACTTCTCTAATGGGAAACCTTCTAGTGTAATAATCCTTTGACAAAGGAACCAAAGCTTGATCGGGCTCGTCGACAGGTTCCCGAATGGGAATCTTATGATAAAGAAATTGATGCACTCCGTAAACGAATAACACCATGCACACCTATCATTGCCAATGAATTTGGTGATCAAACAATTATTCATGCCAGAGAGGAACACGATGATAAACACATCAAGGACGAATTGTAAAAAGAAAAATAAGAGTATAAAAAGAAAAGGATCTATAACTATTAAAATGTCTGCTTAAATTTTGTTCCAAAATAATCACCTCAATAAAAGTCGAGAGTTGGTACGTAAAGCATTTTCTATAGTCAGCAGATGAGAGGCTGCAGTTAAACATAGGCCATAGACTTGCAAGGAAGCGTTACAAGTGAACATCAGAGTGAAAGGTTTCCCCTTCTTTTTTTTTCCTCAATAAAACGCATACTCATAACTGTAAGTGCATATGTCTGAAGCGCTATGGGCATACTACTCTCGCCATCGGTTTACGGATGAGTGTCAAATGGTTTCTCGAATAAATACGGGGCCACTGCTTTAAGAAATTTAATTCACACACATACACAGCAGCAGCAACAACAACAAGGTCAATTTATTGAGTTGTTGGCCAAGCCTTTTTAAATTCGACCAAGGTGAAAGACAAAAAGAAAATGTGAACCTTATTGTTCTTTTAACATACTGCGCACGGTGAACCTATACTCCAGATCTTTTCCTTTTCTCTTCCAACTCACCTAGCAAAGCGAGCCCCCGTCATTCCTTTTCATCTCCAGCTTCTCTATGTGGAACATTTTCAAGCCTAAAGATAAGAAAAAGGCCTACCCTCCTCAGCATCAAAATGACAGCAATGAGGATATCTTACGAGTGATCAAGCAGTACAGTCAAAGTCCCATGGATGCTATTCATAAAAACAGTAAATTAGACCAACCAAAATACCCGTTTCTGCTACGATATCGAACGTCGAACCTCTTTGTCATATTCATATCTACATACAACATCATTTCAAATGTAAGGCAAAATAGGTGCTGTGGTTTGATTGTGAAGAGAAAGAACTTTTTTTTTTCTTTTTTCTCATTTGGGCATATATCGTGTTTCTTCCTTGGGTAATAGATCTACCATATCATATCATTATCATTAATCACTTTGTATATCATTGAACATCAAATCGACACCGGCCCTTCAAATGTAGAAACGAGTCCATTATCAAGACAGAACATCAACAATGTGTTATCCATCTGTATCTTGTCTGGAATTATTGGTAAAAAAAAAAAAAATACAGAGAAAGAAGCGGCGAGGGGAGGCATGGAGGAAGAGGGAAAGGGAGGTGTTGTTTTTTTTTTTGTTTTTGTTTTTTTGCTTGATTCATTTGCTGAACCGTTTTGCCATGATCCTAGGTGGGTCCCTATTGACGAGTTGGGTAGCTCGTCAAACAAAGCAAAGAAGAGTACCTTTACTGGTCGCTTCAATTGCAGGCATGATAGCAGGCAGCGTGTATATGGTATCTGTACAATATTGGATGTTACTTCTTGCTGGGTTTGTACAGGGCGCATCCAACGCAGCTATATGGCTTTTTAGTTCAGCATGTATTGCTGACGCATGGTCACAGCGTCAAAGCACGATGATGGTTGGATTCATCAATAGCATTTCAGCCTTAGGGGCAGCGTTTGGATTGATAGTAGGAGGTAACCGATGTAGTCTATTTCCTCTTTGTTGAGAACGGGAGGCTAATGCGCATTTGTCTCTTGTTGTTTTGCCTATCTTTGGATATTTCATAGGAGGTAATTCTTCAGTTCATGCAGAGGAAGAAGATGGAAGGGTGGGGTTGGGGCAGGAAGAGAGAGAGAGAGAGAGAGAGAGTTCTGATCTTGCTGCTACCGTTTGGATCGCACACTCATGCTTCTCTTGTCATATCATTTTTTCAATAGAGTTCTTTTACCACTTCGATCATAAAATCTGCTTTTTGAGCACGATTGTCACAGGCTGCTTGTCTCTATTAGGATTGGTTCTTCTCATTGAAAAGCACATGGTTCCCAACGAATGGCTTACTTCAAGGCAGTTGGAATTCATGAGAAAAAGAAACAAACGTCGACGTAATGCAACACCTATCCATTCCCGGGTATGGGATGCTTATACAGAGAAAGGTGGAGTATGGGGCGATCATCTATCATCAGCGACGCTCCAGCGTGCTGGTAGCCACCGATCGCTTTCATCTGAAAAAGACATGGGTACAGCCACGGCGGCAGCAGCACAACAGACCCAGAATGGCATAGGCATTGAAAAAGCAACAGATAGGCGCCTTTTTATGTGGACTTGTGTAGAGCTTTTCACTGTCATTTACAATGTCTTTGTTACGTTTGTAATTATGAGTGGGCTAAAGGTAAGAGAACAATATGTATCATGGAAAGGGGGCTAGCTATTGGCTCAACATTGGATTCAACGGGCTCATTGCAACTTTTTTATGTTGTTGTTATTGTTGTTGTTGTTGCAGCTTGTCGTTATACAAAACCTCCTCCAGACCTTTATGTTTCGTCAAGATGAAATGTTTCCAGAAGTGATTACAGGAACGTTTCTACTTCCTTACGCTGTGTCTAGTTTCATGGGTGGCGTATTGTGTATATGGTTTGAGGCCAAGATCATTACTCTAACAATGACTATTATGTGCGTCCCTGTTTTCATTTGGCTGGGCTTACCCAACAATAATTTCCAATGCTTCGTATCAGCTGTGGCACTCACTGCTATCTTATTGAGTGTCATCATAACGTCCAGTGTCGCCGGCATGGTGCAGATAGTACAGCAAAAGAGGTTGACGCAGCAACAGAGAAAGGCAAAGAAGGAGCAACCCTCTGCGCAGCTTATAGTGGGTGTCTTTGGAGCCATTATTGTTGCAGCCAACGTAGGACTCTTTGTGGGCTCTTTTGTTTCAGAATTGATGGATAGACTGCAGGGTTTCTGGCTGTGTTTCTCGTTTGCCATGCTACTGGCCACCTGTGTCCCAGCCATGATCTGCTTTATTAAAAGCGATGTCGGTCATAGCAGAATGGAACTGGAAGAAGGAAAAAAGCATACGAGTAAGATTGTCAACAATATACGGCCTATGAGTTTTGACGAATCTGTTGTATCTGATGAGGATGATGACCAAGATACAAATAGTGCAGTTGGAACCCCAAGAGTATCGCTGAGCGGTGGCGCACTCAGAAAAGATGTTCTTATACACTCTTTGGAGACAAGCCATAAAGTATAGTCAGTCCCCCTTTTTCCATATTATTATACAATAGACAAAAGTATACACCATTTATTATATAATGAAAAGAGAGAGAGAGAGAGAGAGTACTTATTTTCTCTTCTAGTGATGCGAAATAATACAATAAGAATATGCAATTCGTTGGTAAATACATGCGTGAAACTGTATAGGAAAATGCGAATGAGGAGGGGCATAGATGGATAATGGATAATCGAGGATGAAGGCTATGATACATAATGGGGAGGGGTTGTCCTTTTTTTTTGTTTTGAGGTCATCTAAGCTTCTTATTAAATAAACATTTCATTGACAAACTCTTCATAGTCATAACCTTCCTGCTGGTCAGGCGTGTCCACAATAGGCATGGACGACTTTAAGTAGTCTATCATTCGTACTGGAATTTGGCTCATTTTGAGATCCAATTCAGTGACATACGCCTTTTCTCCGGCTACGGTTCTGAACGCTTCTCGTAACTGATCTGGAGTTGTCTTATCCTCAGTGACAGATACCATGAAGCGGATAAACTGCTCAAAAGACATGTAATCGGCGTCCTCTGTAATGTTGTAAAATATACTTTCAATTTTCTCTTTCTCATAGACAATACCAAGACTTGACAGTGCATATCTGAATTCTGATACAGACAGTGTGTTGGTGTAATCCTTGTCAAAGTACCTAAATGTTTGCTCAAATTCTTCCAATTGCGCTGGAGTTAAATTGGTCATATTTCTTGAGACAATCTGTGGTTCATCATCGTGGTAGTGGAGGGGGGGGGGAGGAGAAAGAAAGAGTTGTGCTGTTGAGAGGGGTTATGTCAAGAGGAGAAGGATGCGTTTTGTTTTTTTTTACCTGATTCTGGATAAAAGCACTCTTTTTTTGTACAGCTTCTTTCACTAGATCGAATTCAAAACGTAGATCTTCTAAAGAATAAACTGTGTAATCGTTTTCTTCTGTATTTGCTTCTTTACACTCTCTATCGAGCAATTCAATCATATCTAACGACTCTTGTAAAGGTTGAAATGATTTGGTTAATCCTTGCACCAAGGCCAATTGAGAAGGAAGAGTGCCTTCAAGGTCTACCAATTCAGCTGAAATAGAGTCAAGGTGTCGCTGAAAGTCATTTGCAGCTTCAGCAAAGGCTTTACGTAGTCCTTCTTTAATTCTGCAAGATGGTTCATAGGAAAGAGAGATGTCAGTTTCTTATGACGATAAGCAAACTAAATCAAAGACACAACGCACTTACTCTCGCAGAGTTCTATTGATGCGTCGATGGTATCTCGCTTCGTTTTGTAACAATGTGTTCCAAATATTATCCAAATCCTTCAAGGTCAAGCCAGGAGGTGGGTAATACGGCTTAAGATTGTATGTCTTTGCTTTCGTCTGAATGTTCCCTAACAATGTATCGATGCTTTTCTTTTCTGCTATCCACATTCGTTTTTGTGTACTTTTATACACATCAAATGCTTCACTTTTCTCTTTTGCGTCGAAATAACTGTCTGTCAATTGGGTATTCAGCCATTCCTCTTGTACTAATTCGACTGCTTCCATAAGCTTTTTGAAGGGGAAGAAAAAAGAAAAAAAATGAGATGTGTGCTCCCCTACTAGGCCTCTCTCGATTAAAATGATCCATACCGCGCGAACTCGAAGCTCATATTGATGTTCCATATCCCATACGGACGCTAAAACATCTGCAAATTTAGCTACTCTTCTTCCGGCCGTTTCAAACTCGTCTAGCGTTGTGATGATGTTGGATTAAACAGTGAACATTGAGAAAAAAATGACAAAGCAAACACATACCACGTGCTGAAAATGCGTGAAAGTATTCTGCGACGTAGGTCATGACTGATTTTTCATCCGGTTTCTCTATATCACACACATCTTCCACATCCAATAGTTGCTAGTGAAACAAATAGGCATATTGTTATGATATCTGTAAGAAGGGAGCACACAACAAAAAAAAAAAAAAAGAGATATAGTACTTACCGGTATACCCAATTTTTTAGCAGCTTCAAATGCAAGGGCTGTATTACCATGCCTGTCAGTCTAAGAGAAAAGAAACGATGAGCTGTCACGTTGAACAAAAAGAAAACGACCAAGAATGATGTTACCTTATCTAAAGCATCGTAGTCAATCAATTCTGGGTGGTGATGATGAATCAATGCACAACTAGTGTAAAGACAAACCCAAAAGTCAGCATGACGATCTATAGGGGTCGTGATCAAAGGATACGAAAACTCACAATGCCAGGCCATCCGTCCAACTGTAAGTAAAATCTCTAATGTCGACATCCTCGTAATCGACTGTTTTACGTTGGCACCATAAAAGCAGGCCTTCTCTTGCATTCTTACCATCCTGACTAAAATTAGATTTATTCAAAACAATGGGAGTCTACATGTGAGGAAAGAGAAGAGTTCACTCTAAATACGTTCAAGGGCTTACTTGATATCGGCAATCGTGAATCTCAAAATAATCGTCCACAACATGCCCAGTACCAACTTCAGGTTCTTATTCACAATGTCTTCTGCACCTATATTCGTCAATGCAACGCCTCTTTGCTTGATATAATCCAATGCCTTGTTGACATTTTCCATCTTTTGAAATATCATTCCCGGATTTTGGTTGAAAGGTCTTAGCGACTCTCCACCAATGATTTCCTACATTGATTCACTTTTTGTTCAGTTGTTTTCTAACACTAGTAAAGCAATGATAGTGTCATATAGGTTGTCTTACAAGCAACTGCAGCAAACGGACACCATTAGCTAGATCTTCATTCAGGTGAACAATATGTGGTATACCTTTCATGTCCAGTTTGTTATTGACCCATTTCGTAAAAGCTGAACCACAAGTTAATATTGTGAAAGGAGGGGGGGGGAAGTGTCTATGTTATCCCAGGTAGAACTTACTTTTCTTTTGAGTGAGCTCCCAAGCATTTGCCATTTGCTTCTTTTCTTTTTGACACAAACCAAAATAAAAAAAAAGAGGGTTCGGAGCTTTTTTCTTTTGCTTTTGAGAAACAGTGGGCTTTTTTTTCGATTTCTGTTACCTTCAAAAGATCGTCGTATGGACATATTTCCAAGATTTGTTGTCAAATAAGCAGTTGTCATGTTTTCCAAAATGTCAAGCTTTATGTGACTAAGGGAGAGAGAGAGAGAGAGAGGAAATGAAAGAGAAAAAGGGTATCATTTTTCTTGAAAAAAAAAGGGGAAATTATAATTTCCTTTTTTGGATTTTAATAAAAAACAACAAGTGTTTTTTTTATATATAAACGTAAAAGAAGCAACTCCGATAAATGCAGCAAGTGATATGGACAGTTGTAAAATTAAAAAAAAAACAAAGGAAAGGGAATAGAGATGGACGCGTTTGTTGAACAGACCGCGTTTTTTTTTCATTTATTAAAAAAGAAAGGAGACAACTTTTCACACGAAATGACGGGCGCATTAAAACAATACAAACAGGAAAAAAAAAAAAAAAAAAAAAAAAAAAATGCTGTCAAAATGTTGTCATCATTTTTGGAACCCCTCCTGCCATCGACTTTTGATGAATAGACTTGCTTTTTCCATACGCCATTATTTAAACCTTTTTGCATGAAACGCAAATAAAGGATCCCTCTCACCCCCCGGATTTTCCATTTTTTTCTATTTCTTTTTTTTCTTTTTTCTCTACTTTTTCATAAACAAATAACAGAAAACAATGAGCAGACCACCTATTACTACTACAAACAAAGTCTCCAACTTCCTCTTGGATCCTTGGTCCACTGTCAAGGTCGTCGCACCGGCTGCTGCTGTTCAATTGGTGCTTCACAACACAGTCTTGAAGAAGGCCAGTTTGCGTGAATTGACCTTGGGTCTTACTCTGCTGAATGCTATTTGGTTTGCTACTACTTTCAACTGTAGTTACGTTGAAACCCCACTGATTGCTAAAGTGCCAAGTCTTAATGAAAATACAAAGTTGGACGTAGGACGTCATCGCTTCAATTGGATTAATAAGATTGAGGTGAGTAGTAAATGCAAGACTGTTTTATGAAAGTGAGCACTTTGGAGAGAGAGAGACAAAAGAGACATGGGTAGGACGCGCAAAAAAAAAACAAAAAACAATGATACTTACTCATCCTCTCTTTTCAACCAGGCAACTGTCAGTTTGATGAGTCTTAATCTTTACTTGAACTGGCACGAACGTATTTTGAAACATAACGGTTTTGTTGACTGTGTATTAAAAACGGCTGCTCTTGCTCCCATTGCCATTACTGTTGCTCAGAGCGTTTACTTCTTACCTAAATTCAGCAAGCGCGCTGCACAAGTTGCTCAGGGAAGCGTTACTGCAAAGGACATTTGGGACAACGATCCATTTTTCTTAAAGGGGCACCGTGCTTACATCACCTTGGATACGCTGAAGCTTTCCGCCCTGGCTGTTGCTGGTTTACGATTTGGTACAATGTTGAAGAATTAAGCTCATTTTTCTCTTTAAAAAAGAAAAAATACAAAAAAAATAAAAAATAAAAAATGAACTGTTGACTTTCACATTACCAAAATGGCTATACATTCATTCAAAAAAAAAAGCTCATCTTGTCTCAAAAGGTGAAAAGCGAACACACTGTATCTGCTATTTAAAACTCAGAGATATCGATGTGGTTGATTTTTTCATGATGAAGGTTAAAACAAAATAAATGAACACAGACCTTTCTGTAGGACACAGTTTATGCATGATGCATAAGTATGAATGGATGCACAGCGCCTTTCTGTTAGACTCTTGTTTTCTATGCAATAGGGGTATCCTTTTTTTTTGTGGAAAAAAAAAAAAAAAAAAAGAGTTTTGAAACTCCAGGTCTCATTGAAAGACTCGGTTAGGATTCCGGATGGTTCAAAAGAGGAACAAAAAGCCCTACACTATGCATGATGGATCGATAAGCTTCTTGCTGCACATTCGGGTTTTAGACTAAAATTTTTATTCAACGAAAAATCAAAAGGGAAAAACTATAGAGAAAAGATGGGTAACCAATTTCTAAAAGAACATAGTGTACAAAGGAAAATAGCTAGTTTTGGTTTGGTTTTTTTTTTTTTTTTTAAGAAGGGATACAGGGCAAAATAGGATATAGTTTTTTTAAACAAGGCAAAAAGGAAAGGACTGGGGTATATGTTTGTATGCATTTGTTGTTGAGAGAAAGTGACAAACTGCTGTGTCATTTCATCAAGAAAAGCATCTTTAGGGAATCATGTAAGAGAGTAAGGAGAGCTGTGTATGTATATATATATATATATATAGATATATTATATATCTCTCTATGTGTGTGTTGTTCTTTTGGGAAAGTAAGTGGTGATGGCTGTACATGTTCTGTTTGCTTTTATGGTGTTTTTTTTTTTTTTTCTTTGGTTCTCTTTACATCAGAATGGAAGAGGCGGAAGAGGCTACAGGTGTAGCCGTTTGTGGAAGCAGCAAGTCGGATGGTTGCATTAACGGATACAAGTCTTCCGTTTCTGTGGCTGTTGTTGCTGATGTAGTTGCAGAAGAGCTAGTTTGGGATGGATAAAAGAATGGAGCTTGAAGCATTAAGTGAGACATATTAGTCTTAGACAAGTGTTGAGGATTTATCATCCCGTACGGAACGTTACCGTGATACATCATGTGCTGCTGTGGTAGACCTGACATGGCTGCAAGCGAGGTGGGTTCAGGTGTTGCTGAAGGAGACATGGTAAAATCACGGCAAAGGTCAAGAGGGGGTGGAGGAACGGCTGTCACCGTAGTAGCCGTAGTAGTAGTAGGAGCAGTAGCAGCCACTGTTTGAGACAAATCCATCATGAGTGCGTTGGGACCCATGCCGGCCGTGGTAGGCAGTACATTCACTTTAGCGGCTAATTCAGGAGTGTAGGCGATCAAATCCAAAAGTGCTTGCTTGAATGCTTCGTAGCTGCCTTGTAAAATATGAATGCCATCGACACTCGCTTGCTTGTCTTCGGTGAAATCACCGCAGCGAACCCATTCATGATCTTGTCCAAAACGCCACATCGAAAACATGAGTGGTAAGGTTAACTCAATACCCAGCTGTCCTACAAGCTCTCCCGTTTCCATCTGAATTTGTTGACTCAGACGGAGTTGTTGAATGTTATCGAATCCTACTTGAATCCTGAAATGATGTCCTTCCGCTTGTACTTTCCAGACAAATTCGCGTTCCTGAGGACTGCTATAACAAACAAGATCCCACTCTCTTTGATGCGTATGAGGAGACGCATGAGCAAATCTTGTCCAGGAGCCAATTCGAAGGACGCTAACATGCAAAGGCACCATTTGAAGCGGAGTATTTACCATACTTGTTTGGCCAACACTCGTCGTCATCATCGTTGAAGAAGAGGCTGCTGGAAAAAGAAAAAAAAAAAAAAAAGGGTAAAAATAGACATTAATATATGTAATTCATATATTGGATGGTGGTGGTGGTGGTGGGGCTCATAAAAAAACAACCCCCCCACCCCTCCCACCAAAAGCTTAGCAACGAATGGCTTTACCATGATGTCTTCTATGAATAAGACCTTCAGACATAGCTCTTGCATCATTTTGACGAGAGATATGGATAGAAGAGGACTTGGGTTCAGGCTTTGAGATGGAGCGAGGTCTTCTACGTATGTGTTGATTATCTTGCTGCTTTAATTCTTCAAAACGTTCAGGTGTCATCATGGTACGAAAGGTGGCTTGATAACGAGGGGGAGTGGCGTGACGACTGTTGGAGGAAGGGTCTACCCATCCACCTGCTCCTCGTAAAAGAGAAGCGTTCGTCGCTGTGTTCTTGGCACCGACTGCAGCAAATGAATGAAGCGCCTCTAATTTTCTGGCTTTAGCACGACGGTTCTGAAACCAAATTTGAATTGTACGTTCTGTGACGGCAAGCTCCCGAGCCAAACGACTTCGAACGCTAGAATCTGGAAGTGGGTTATTATTAAAGGATTCTTGAAGAATAGCTACTTGGCTAGGCTTTAAATGAGTGCGCTTTCTAGTAGGTGTAGGAGATGCTGAAGATGTGTTATTCATAGTCAAAACGCGAAGTCGTCTGTAGAATTGAAAAGTCTAACGAATGAAATGGGATATCTGCAATAGTATGTATAATCTAGGTTTGAGGAATATTCCTTTTGACAGGAGAAAAAAAAAATAAAACAAAATAAAACAAAAAAATAAAACAGAAATCAAAAAAAAAAAGAGACAAAAAACAAAAAGTAACTAGAGAAAAAAAAAAGGAAGCAAAATGTGATACAGACGTTGCCGTGATCTAACAAAGAACTTTTTATATAAAAAAAAAAGGGGAGTTTTTTTTTTTTTTTTTTTTTCTGTTCTGGACAAAAAGGTAGGTGCGTACACCCACAGCACAGCACAGATAATTTTTTTTTTTTTTAAAAAAATAGAGTCAGCCTTCCTTTTTGCGTTAAAATGTCTGCTTTGCATAAAAAGATCCCCCTCTTTGTGTTAAACTTGTTCAACCTGTAGCGTTCGGAAAGCACAGTCAGACACTCACTGATTCGCGCATTGAGCTGTCTTTCAGTAACCGTTTCAAGGAGAGAGGTCCAGAGCGAAAAGCGTTAAGACTCCGCGACAAAAAGTAAATTGATAGCAGAAGAGTGTTACAATTAAAGGGAAACGCTCTTTTGCCCTGTCCTCCACTGTTCCCGAGTTCCGCTTTTTTTTTTTACGGTGCTTCCACCATTCATTGGTCACTTTACTGGGAAAATTGGTCGCTTTTCTAAATTTCAAATGGAGCTCAATGGGTCGATTTTATGAACGCTATTTGGTCACAGTGAATAGCATTTGAAATTCAAGATTTTCAAAAATAGGAAATCGATTATTTTCCAGCCAATCAAACGTTTTTCTGCTCAGTCAAATTTTATTATAGATGATTACAATTTTAAATTTGAAAACTCCATTATAAGCATGATCATCTACCACAAATTTGAATACTGAAGCCCTTCGATATCTTGAAAAATGCGTGGTCTTACTTTATATGACCTATGAATCTTGGAAGTTGGGCTATTACCCGTGCCTTTATGGAAAAGTACACCTTTTCTCAAATTATTTGGCACGCTACAAAAATTCTATATACTTAATAGTATTAAAAATTAGTTTGTGCCAACAAAGATTGTGCCAATCGGAGCTTTGAAGTGTGCCAAATTATTTATGTTATTATCTTTTGGAAATTGTATATATTTGTACGCAAATATGTATTATCAACTTCTCGTTGAAAGTAAAAACTAGCGATAATATCCTTCCTAGTGTTAACATCCAATCGCAACACTGATAATATAATAAACAAGTGAAAAAATCCGGAGAATTCTTGATGACAACGTATAGTTTACACGTGTTCATTCATGCAATATAAATCAAATGTAATAGAATAGTGGTATCCGTATGATTGATTTATTTGCTTAATGACTGTCGATTGTTTTGTTTACATAATCATTGTATGGGTGAAGATTCTTTAACAACAACTTTAATCATTAGTCTTTATTACTATTATTATTGTTAATGTCGTCATTAAATTCTTGGTTATCACTATCGCTCTCGCTCTCTTCATCACTCTCTTCTTTAGATTCTTCGTCCCAAGTTACATCGCTCAACCATTTCTTCATTATAATTTCTTTCTTTTTCTTTGTTTCCTTTAATATTCTGTCCATGCTCGATTCGTTTTCAGTCTGTCCATCATTAAACTTTGTCTCCAAGCTGTTCACCATTTCCTTGAAAATAAATAAACAACGGATTAAATATTTTATTTGACAGTCTATAAACCCTCGTACTTGCATTTACCTCAATCAGAGTAAGACCATTGATCAAAGATTCGAGCGCTCCTAATTTCAACTGTTGTGATGTTCGGGGAAATTTGAACGAATATAGATCCTCCATTGCGTACTTTTTCTTTCCAATCAAACGCAAAGAAGACACCTTCGCTTCTAGCCCCATGACTTGAACAATAGGCATACGCACATTAATAATATCTTCTTCTGATATATAACTTAATGACTTGATAAATGCATTTAAATGGCATTTTGTGGTAAGTACAGATTTGAGTCTGTCAGCGTAAAGTTTTGCCTTTGTAGCCTTTCTAGCTATTTCTCCTGTCGCGCCATCTACTACCGTTTCATCCTCCCTCAAAATTAGAACCCGAAGGTCCAATTTGAAACGCAAACCCACATTTTTACAAGTATTGCTCATTGTATCTCCCCTAACCGGTGAAACAAAAGATAAGGTAGGCTGAAGAACATATGTTGACGCATCTGATTTTGCAACTCACCAATGTAAGATAATGTGTCTATATTGGCCAAGATATAGTTCAAAGATGTAACCCCAAAATTTAACTTGCAAATCAAATTCGGAATATCGCTTCAAGTTTTCACTTGAAAACACCCAAGGCTTTTCAACATGTGCCCGCAGCCTACAAAAATTAAGAGGCATTAGTAGTTATAAATACAGATCAATAATTTGCTGATTAGACTTACACAAACAAGTAGATTCTATTAACAATATGTTCAACAGGTGTGGTGGGCTTGTAGTTTTCACAAGAATTCAAAGCGACTTTCAGACTTCCTGAATTAACGATCTATGAATAAGAAAGTTGCAATCATCAGCACGCTAATATACTGCAAGCATCCCTTGTTTACCTTTTTGAATTTGCTTGAAAGTGCATTTATGTTATTATTCTCATAAACAGGGGTATTCTTCTTTTTGCGTAATCTTTTGACCTGGACTTTGGCGAGGCCATCGATGTGAGAACCGGGTATGGAAACTGAAATATCTGTCACTTGATTCTTCGCTAAGCTATTGTATTTAAAAAGTCAGAAGATTCATGATATTAACAACGGAAATTTTGCGTCTTACTTTTGAAAATACTTCTCCTTCTTTGAAAAGTTTTTTTTCTTCGTTTTAGTTGTAGATTGCTTAAGAAACACAAGATTAGGTGTCAAGTTTACATAGAACAATCAATAATACTAGTCATTACTTCAATCTCTTCTACCTAACAGCAAAATGTTAATTTGTTTAGAATCAATCATTTAGGTTTCAATATGATCAAAATTACTTCATTTCGTAAACGTCTGATGGTTTGGCGGTCAATAGCAGCTTGCAAAAGTAACTTATCCTTCGTAACCGAAGACAGCTCTTCGAAAATACGTCTAGAACGTTTAGACATTGAGTTATTTAAGAGGAAGAAAAAGTTTTCTTCCTATTACATTGATTTATTTAAGGGGATGAAAACATTGCATTTCTTCCTATTACATTGATTAATCTAAGGGGATGAAAACATTGCATTTCTTCCTATTACATTGATTAATCTAAGGGGTTAAAAACATTGCATTTCTCCCTATTTTACAATCCTCTGTATAACCTAAAAGATGACGAAAGCAAAAATCATCAGTATCCTCCGAAATAACTTATTTATTTCTTTGTATTTTGATTCTCTTATTATTTATTGTTGCGTGAATGCACTTGTGAGCTGCTTACGGTCATCATACGTTTGAATAAGTTTACAAGTAGCCTGGCTACAGCGCTATGACACGTTTTGTGGAAGGCATTCATGCAACAATGTTAGACAGTTTTTCTGAATCACGTACAATGCACAAGCAGATAACACAAAGCATGATGAGCTTTGTGCGAACATGGGTAGCCCTATGCCTTCTTTGAGGACTAAGTTGGTCTGCTTAGTGCTTTGTAAGAAAAAAACTTTTACTCTGCAATACAGGTCCAGTAGACACATTTATATCCATACTATTCAGTTATGCTGGCACTAACCTCTCTCTCTCTCTCTCTGTCTCTTTCGCTCTTTTTAGTATTTCTTTGAATTTCGTTGCTACTTACTGTTGCGTGAATGCACTTGTGAGCTGCTTACGGTCATCATACGTTTGAATAAGTTTACAAGTAGCCTGGCTACAGCGCTATGACACGTTTTGTGGAAGGCATTCATGCAACAATGTTAGACAGTTTTTCTGAATCACGTACAATGCACAAGCAGATAACACAAAGCATGATGAGCTTTGTGCGAACATGGGTAGCCCTATGCCTTCTTTGAGGACTAAGTTGGTCTGCTTAGTGCTTTGTAAGAAAAAAACTTTTACTCTGCAATACAGGTCCAGTAGACACATTTATATCCATACTATTCAGTTATGCTGGCACTAACCTCTCTCTCTCTCTCTCTGTCTCTTTCGCTCTTTTTAGTATTTCTTTGAATTTCGTTGCTACTTACTGTTGCGTGAATGCACTTGTGAGCTGCTTACGGTCATCATACGTTTGAATAAGTTTACAAGTAGCCTGGCTACAGCGCTATGACACGTTTTGTGGAAGGCATTCATGCAACAATGTTAGACAGTTTTTCTGAATCACGTACAATGCACAAGCAGATAACACAAAGCATGATGAGCTTTGTGCGAACATGGGTAGCCCTATGCCTTCTTTGAGGACTAAGTTGGTCTGCTTAGTGCTCTGTAAGAAAAAAACTTTTACTCTGCAATACAGGTCCAGTAGACACATTTATATCCATACTATTCAGTTATGCTGGCACTAACCTCTCTCTCTCTCTCTCTGTCTCTTTCGCTCTTTTTAGTATTTCTTTGAATTTCGTTGCTACTTACTGTTGCGTGAATGCACTTGTGAGCTGCTTACGGTCATCATACGTTTGAATAAGTTTACAAGTAGCCTGGCTACAGCGCTATGACACGTTTTGTGGAAGGCATTCATGCAACAATGTTAGACAGTTTTTCTGAATCACGTACAATGCACAAGCAGATAACACAAAGCATGATGAGCTTTGTGCGAACATAGGTAGCCCTATGCCTTCTTTGAGGACTAAGTTGGTCTGCTTAGTGCTTTGTAAGAAAAAAACTTTTACTCTGCAATACAGGTCCAGTAGACACATTTATATCCATACTATTCAGTTATGCTGGCACTAACCTCTCTTTCTCTGTCTCTTTCCCTCTTTTTAGTATTTCTTTAAATTTTGTTGCTACTTACTGTTGTGTGAATGCAAACTTACTGGACAATACAAGGGATTTTTGCGAAAGCAATGAATTAAACAGATCGGAAAGCTGAGATGAATGGGTGCTACATTAACACTAATTCACAATGCAAATGACTTGAAACGGAACCAACCGAGGTAATAAACCAGATATAGTCCGTTACCTTTGTAAACCTTTATCAAACACGTTTACAGAGTCTTGGTAAATGTCTTTGAGTGGAATGTCCATAAAATTTTTTTATTTTCAACAGAGTAACTTTTTGATATCTACAGAAGTTGTTATGTGACATTGCGATTTGATTTTCTTAAAGGCGTTTTTTTAATTAGCCATACGCGATCATAAAAAGTTTAGCGAGTGACACTCATGAGATAGGCTAGTTCATCATTATTCCCTAATTTATCCTCAGCCTCTTCAAGTTCTAGCATTACGACTAACGCTCGTACTAGTCTGTCAGGCTCTTCAAGCACCTCTCCATTTTGAACCGTTGAAAACACGCTTTGACTGTGGGGATGTATTCTAGCAATGAACAATCAGAGATTTTTAGATAAATCCGATGAGACAATTGTTAGTATGAAATGGAGAGACTTTTTTATTACTAAAATGGGTCACTAATACTACCAGTATTCTCGAATCCTATTTTCGTACACAAATTATCTTAATCATTATAAATACCCTCATATTATTCTTACAATATACTTTTGCCATAAAGGCACTGGTAATAACCCAACTTCCAAAATTCATAGGTCATATAAAGTAAGACCCACGCATTTTTCAAGATATCGAAGGGCTTCAGTATTCAAATTTGTGGAAGATGATCATGCTTATAATGTAGTTTTCAAATTTAAAATTGTAATCATCTATAGCAAAAAATTACAATAAAATTTGAATGAGCAGAAAAACGTTTGATTGGCTGAAAAATAATCGATTTTCTTTTTTGGAAAATCTTGAATTTTAAATGCAATTTACTATATTCTTTAAGCACCTTCTTCTTCTGCCTTTTTCTTTCCTTTTTACCTTTTGTCTCCTAAAAGGGTTTTAGTTCTATAACAACCACTGGAACTGGCCAGAGCAAACCCAATGTGTTTAAGGCATTACGTGATCACAGGTCATGAAATTCTATCCAGTAAAAAGAATTATTTAACCGTAATGAACTCGGTACCCTTCCTTCAAAATGAAGAAAAAAAAAACCACCGCCCTTCTATTTTTAATGACGTAAAAAAAATAATCCCAGATTTAAGAGGCCATAGAAAGTTTTATCAGAAAAGGAAGAAAAAGACAATCATGTGCCTAGAACTTTTTTTTTTCTAAATAATCATATCAGGTACCTGCAGATGATCGAGCTCTTTTTCAGCCAATGAAATGTAGGTAAAATCTGACAGACAAAATACACGTTTTTGGTTTGGATTTAGGCAACTTCGTCATGTTTTTAGACAGAGTAAACATTTATATCAGATACTTGCAGTACTTCCTAGCCGTACTATTCATTATTTTTTCGGATTATCGAAAAAGATGATTTACAATGCTCAAGATGTCTCTTTCAGCAACTCGCGTTTTTCATTGTCAAAGTTATATTACAATGAGAAGGTTCTTTTAAACGGTGAAAAATCCCTTCTTTTTCCTATTTTGCATGTTTTGTCACTTTCAGCCCTATTTATGTACAAAAGTTTTATTTACAGAAAATTGGATCTGTTAGAGAAAGCATAAGAATCAGGTTAAAAAGAATCCATTGGGTCGCTCAGACACATTGGAAGACCACACACCATCTATAGCTGTAGTATCCTTGTTTGCAAAACTTGCAACATACTATGGAACTGAGATGTCAATGAAGCAAAAACCATGCTGACTACCAGCATTTCGATTTGAAAAGACAGCATCGTGATCCTTTTCCTATTATCGCAAAGAACAAAACTGGCTCGATTTTCCCAGAAATAAAACGTCTCCAGTTTTTAGTGTAGTTCGGTCTTCAAACTCCAATTTGAAGTGTCTCAAAAATTTGGTTCGTTCTGTCCAGTCAGATCACAGCTTTCTCTAAACCCGAAGCGAAAAAAGACTTTAAAGGAAATTTGTCAATTAAACAAAGGGACCGGTCAAGAAATAGGCTCTGGAATCCTTTGTCCTCCACTAGAAAAATAAATGAACAATAGCAAGTAAATTAACCTTTCTCTTTTTTTTTCGTTTCTTTTCTTTTTTTTCCCAAAGCTTGGCTGGCTTACACATAGTTATCCATCATGACAAAAAAAGGGAAATCAGTTAGAATCGCCTCTGAAGAGGATGAATCCTTAGTGATTCCTGGTACGTAAAGAGTCATGATAAATGGAACAAAAGAGTAAAGGTGTTCTGGGCAATCATCTTATATGCATTTATATGCGCTTTTAGACACTCTTCCTTTAGTGCCGCCACCCCCCTCTGCTGCTGGACAACGGAGCATCACCGGCACCGATAAAGAAGCGTTTTACAGCATTGAAATGCAACAAGAAGATCCTTTTTTCTATGATCAGTCGAGCGACAACGCCAATAGCACCTATAACAGATATCCAGACGCCAATGTCAGTATGTTACCCAGCTCTTCACATAACTCATGGTCTTCAATGAAAACAACTGTAGATCCGCATGCTATCCAGGCACTGCAGGACCCTTTTAAAGATACCGATCAAGAACGTACTTTAGCACATTACGGCACTGCGCTGCCATCGGAAGATACCATGAAAGAAACCGTTCAAGTGCTACGTCATTTAGAGTATGACGAAGAAAAACAAGAGCTGGATGAAGACAGGACTTTGGCAAGCACGGCCAATTCAACCGTGGCTGCCACCACCACCACCACCACCACCACCACCTCCACAGACGAAGATGATAACCATGACAGCAAAAAGTATGGGTTTGTTGACAGTGACCACGAATTTGATTGGAATGACGATCCGGATCAACAAGCGAAACCAAAGCGCAGAAAGACAGCACGTGAACGATTCACAGCCGTGATGAGACGGCCCTGCTGCTGGCATTATCTCTCACCTATCGTAAAACGCATTCTGATTGCCCTTTTCGGCTCTTGCATGTTTATTACAGTGGCTATCGTTATCTATTTCACTCTTCCAGAACCGACGGAAGCACAACAACAGGATCCCAATTTCACCAACATCAGAAGCAATGTGCAGTGCTGGATGTATTGGGCCGCTTTCATGTGGCATATTTTCTGGATCACCACTTGGATGTTGGATCTAGTCCCTTCGATCGTCTCTTTGTGGACCAAGCTTTTTAGGGGTCGGAGATCCGAAAGAGTCAAGTCGTACATGGAGGTAATTAGAGAAACCTTGACACAGAACCCACACAGATTCCCTGATTTTGACAGAGATTGGCATTATTTTGGAACTTTTTTTTCTTAGTACTACATGAGTCTCAAGCAATATTTTGCCTTGGTGTTCTTAGCTGCCTGGAACCTAGGTGCCTGGGCGTTTCTGATCGATTATCCATTCAAGGTAAATGCAAATTTAGCGTCCCCCTATTGGACGCATTTGGTTTGACTTTTTGGTTTGCTTTAGCTGACGTTGAAATTTTGATGAAATTTATTTTTAGTCCCTCAAGCTCCATGCTTATTCCTTTGTGGTCACCAAGGTATTCGGCTGTATTTTATCTGCTGCCGGTCTCTACTTTATTCAGAAATTAGTCATTCAAATCATTGGTAAGCAAACTTCTCAAAACCCTCCCACCCCCCATTTCATACCCCTCAATGAAACTCACGTCTTCTGATTTTTGATAAAAATAAATTAGCTATCAAATTCCATCGTACGGCATTTTCTGACAGATTGAAAGAAAACAAAAAGAGCTTAAAAAGTAAGTGCATTGATGATCTCCCCGCCCCACAAATAGTCACAACCTCCCATGCTGACCGTCCATGGTATTTTTCATTTAAAAATAGTCTTGGATACCCTTAGCAAAGCTGAACGAAAAACGCGACCCTCCTCTACAGCTGTCGGAGGTTCATACAATAACAACTTACGAAAGCGCCACAAGCACGATAGTCCATTCATCACATCGCCACCGGGATATAGCCAGCTTCAAGATACCAACAGTAGTGCATCATCACCACAACAGAAAAGCTCCTTTTTCTCTCAGTTTAGCAAATCCGTCTCCAGCTTTGTATTGGCCGAAAAACCTACCGCCACCACAGGTCGCTTAGATAAAAACAAGACAGACATCAACTCGGATGACTACGCAAAGAAGGTCGCCAAAAAGTTGTTCTACTCCTTAGCCTACCCCGACGGCTTGTATGGTCAAGAAGAAGATCCTAAAAAGTGTCTCACCGTCTATTCTTTCCTTCCCTTCTTTGACACGCGAGAGGAAGCCACCGAAGCCTTTACTATCTTTGATAAGGATGGCAACGGCGATTTGACGCGTCGTGAATTCCGTGATACCGTCGTCTATATTTACCGTGAACGAAAGGGCCTTGCTCAGGCGATTCGCGATACGAGTCAGGCACTCGGTAAACTGGACACCATCCTCTTTATCATCTTTTTGATGATCGACATCGTGATCTGCCTTTCCATTTTCCACGTCGACTTCTGGACCGCCTTGATTCCTTTTGGTACTTTTTTGGCCGCCTGCACCTTTGTCTTCGATACCTCCGCTAAATCGCTCTTCACCGGTATCTTGTTTCAATTCGTCACTCATCCTTATGATGCCGGTGACTTGGTCATGATTGACTCGACTTACATGACCGTTGAAAACATCGGTATTTTAGGCACCGTCTTTGTCGCCGGGGATGGCACCAAGACGTACGCCCCTACGTCCGTGCTCCTCACAAAGCTCATCTCGAACATCCGTCGGTCCGAGGGCATGGGTGAGACGTTGACCTTCAATATTGATTTCCGTACGGACAACGACTTGATTCTGCTACTTCGTGAACGCCTTCTCGAATGGGTGCAATCTCAATCGCGCGATTTTGCCCCAGGATTTGACCTGAGAGTCACAGATATTAAGGACATGAATCAAGTCATTCTCACGTGTTGGCTTCCACATAAAAGCAACTGGGTTGATCTCGGTAAACGCTTTCAACGAAAAACACGATTCATGCTCGCCTTGAAAGCCATCTTGACCGATCTTGGCATACAATATGAATTACCTGCTCAAAGAATCACTTCTACGTCCTCCTTGGATAATCATCCATTTACTACCGTCAAGCCACAAAACTTTGCTCAACAACAAGAAAGCCGCAGTGCGTAGTTTCATCCGTTGAGTGGGAGAAAATGTGTTCCTTCTTTCTTCCAGAATCTTTCGTGTACAAATTCTAAAAGCCATAGTAGTTAGTAAAAGTCATTGTCGTCACAGTAGTAGTAGTAGTAGTAGTAGTAGTAGTAGTAGTAGAATGAATGTATTTCCTACTTCTACACTTGTAAATACCTACATAATAAATCACACGCATAAATAAAACGCAATGGGTATGAAAAGAGTCATACTATCTTTAGCAAGTTTGGATCTCTTCATCCTACTATTGGAGTAGCCATTTTTTAGAAGGTTTACTTATTTTTATTTGATCTACGACAATTTCAGTTAGCTGGAAATAGTGTTCTTGGGTGGCACTTAAACCGACTACCCAACTTATACTATCGTGATGCTTGGAATGGACGCAACCACTGATAGCGAACGGATCAAGAGTAAGAAAACAGAGGAGATTTATTTCAAGGAAATACTGGAAAAAAAATAAAATAAAATAAATACTACTGTAAATACAGTCCATTAGGACTTTGATGTCAAAAAATACATGGAAAAAAATAAAAATAAAAAATGGATGAAAATGTACAGCTGAAGGAAATGACAAAAAAATAAAATGATAAAACTAGCTCTCTCGTTGAACCCGCACCCACGGAGCAACTAAATGCGTAAGTCGTTCATGTCATGTTCAACATATATTTCAGTGCCTAAGGAAGGCACACCATCATACAAGACGTAAAGTATACCTGATCCAGGAGGGAAAATAGCAGCATGAGGAGGAGCGGTAATTGTCAGCGTCTGTAGATCTTCCGATAAAGTATGCTCCAAAAAGACATACCGTTGAGACATATGCATGGAATGTGTGCTGAACCCAGGTCGCAAAAGCCCTACGCGCACCTTTTGAGCATCTTGCTTATTGCGGACTAAGCCTTCAAGGTGGACAAGGATGTCAAACGTCTGATGATAAGTCACGACGCGAGGAACGTGTGATATTCTGGGACGAGTAGCTGTTTTGAAAAGATAGGGAGGCGAAAAGTATTCTACGCGGAATTCGGTGGGGTAGACAGCATTGACATCAGGTGGGTCGACATTGTTCGAGCCCGCGATCCATATACGACCGTCAGGCAATGTAAGCGCAACCGAATGGTACATACGGGCAATATCTGTATTGGCCAGGTTTTGAGTCCAGCGTTGACCATGGGCAGCCGTAGGGGTATAGATGAGTGGATCAAAGGTAGGATCGTGGTTGCGCCCATTATAGCCAGCCCAACCACGCTGGCAGCCATTCACCCATAGCACGTTGCCATCCGCCATGATGAGACCGTCCGGCATCAAACGCTTATGTACAAACGTATCCATCTCCCAATGAGGATCTTTATCGCCTAAATTGATACGACCACAGGTATCATCGGCTGTCGCATTATTTTTCATGCGTTTGCTACCGCCACAAATCAGAATCTCTACATTATAGTTGTTCTTGGGATCGAGAGGGAGCATCACCGCTCCGCCCGTCAAAGGATACGAACGAGGATGGCCAGGAATCGGTGGTAGTTCCTTGACCACCTTCTGATGCTTGTAGTCATAGATGATGGATTTTTTATTGGCAAAAACAAACAAGTTACCATCCGGTAAGGTAAACACGAATGGATAGAGATTGTAGGGCATCGTTTCGTTTAGAAATTTAAAAGGGACTTCGCCTTCCGGTCTCGGCGGCCAGAACTCGTACGACGGTACATTGATTTCTTTCCGGTTGACAGCTGTGCCTTTTGTGGACCCACCCATGATCAGAATATCGCCTTCGGGAAGTTGCTCAACGGTAGGGTACCAACGATTGACGGTCATCTTGCCGGTTTTGTACTCTTCCCAATAACAACTGTTATCTGTACAGGGTGTGAAATGACGTATCGATTGCCATCCAGGTTCAGCTTTCCACGTCCGGCCACGCTTTTCGCCACCACCGGTACTGATGAAGCTGCCGTTAGCTAGGAAGCCGCCTGCAGAACAGAATGTATTTGTTTCGAGTGGTAAAGGTCTATATTGATTGGTCTCTAAATCGTACTGAACCGAAAAGGCACTCTGGCCTGAATCGAATTGTGCCTCGTTCCATTCGGCTATAAAAAAAAAAAAAAAAAAGAGAGAGAAAGCATTGGTTGCATAAGATATCGGAGAATGAAATGAAATGACCACCGCCTCACTGAGCCATTAGCCTATCTGTTTGTGATTTGGTACCTTTGTCAATAATTAATATAGTTTTCTCACTAAAGGCGCAAACGAAAATTATCAGCATTCGAGCATCGTCGAGCATAAATGATCACATTTTATACTAACTTCAGTAGAACTGCATGCATAGCTGCTACACCTGTCCTCCCTATTTGTTCCATTTTTCCTGATGCAGCGAATGGAGACACGATCGTCTGATCGTCTTCCAGCCAGTGAAAGGGTGATTCCGTTGTCTGTTGCGATAAGACGAATGTCGTCAATAATTCCGTTGCTGCTAATATGGAGACAAAAGCTGAGAGCTTCATTGTGTTGGGAATGAATTAAAAAAGTGTTGACTAGAATCAAGCTTGGAAAGAATAAAAAAAGCAAAAAAAAAAAAAAAAAAAAAAGGCTCTTGTGTTGCTATCTATTCTGGGGGGCTGAAGACAAGTAAAAGCTTCTCATCAATGAGGTGATTTTTTCTGTCTTTCACTTGAGTAAACATGCAACCAAATTTTGTATTCTCTGTGTAACACCTCTCAATATGAGTGAGCAGGCTTTCGGAAAAGAAAAGAAAATATATAAAAATAGAACATTTGAATAAAGGTGCACTCTTCTAAGGAGACAATAAATGACGGCTCGATTAACAGAGCAGGGTTTGAGCAGCAGTCTATGAAGATGAGTAGCGATTCGAACAGACATGAGAAAGCACCTTCTGTTGAACGAAGTGAAGAAGACAGTCGCACTAACTGTAGGAATCAGTCGATATATAGGCTTATGGTCGCAATAGGGTCTGCTTTCCCCGCCAAAAGAGAATACTGTATTCTAGACCCACTCATCCTTCTGTTATCTGTCGAATTGCTATCAGACATTTGAACGTAAATTGACAATGCCGCTTTCAAGCACTTCAGAGACTCTTCTTCTTTTTCCCACATCTAACAGAAATGCTCTTCAGTAACTGCATACGAGGCTCAGTCATTGCTTATAACTTAATGAGAGTTCGTCTATCATCATTCATTTTATGAAATAAACTTTGCATGTGTCCATTTCAATAGAGAACATCCTATTGGCGCTGGTTTCCCTATATAACTGCTCATTTATTTTATCCTTGTTTCCTGTACAGAGTACTGTGCAAAAATGTGAAAACCTGACTTTATGAATGACACTATAAATATTTTACTTTGTCTACGATCAAAACGAAAGAATCGAGGAAATCTTAGGTAGCCTCTTTTATTCTGTTACAAAAAGAAAAATCCCAAAATCACTTTTATTAGCCTTTATTGTATCTTTGGTCATCATATATTCCGGTTTTGGCATATTTATTCTGGGTAAGGAAGTAAGGATTGACACGGCCAGAAAAGGCATTGTAATGATTGGAAGGCTTATGTTGAGATGGATCCAGCTTTCGTAATAAGAAATCAACAGTTGGTTGCACTCTATTTTCGGACGACATTCCTGACCTCGTCTACTTTGTTACGGTGGAGCATGAACGAAGGCGTAATCCAACGTCCACAAGAGCATTGGTCACCAGCCCAATTATAAGATCCCAACTTACTATGACATTTAGGACAATCGATACGACCCTGAACCTCATCAATCAAACCATCTTGCCATTCCATAGGTTCTATAAAATACGACGAACACGTATTGTTGTGAATCGCTAGGGAAGCTAGCAATGGATTCAGTGATGCATTGACCGTATTTAATGATGTATTGACTTCAGATTCGGCTGTAGCGGATGTAGTTGCTGTCGTAATATTGATATCTGAGTTACGTTTGTGGTATGAAAAAGACAGCTGCCCTTTGCCAGCCTCATGATCTACCACGTGTTCCGAACCAACCAACATACGTCGACATTTTTTACATCGTAAAGCTTTGAACTTCTTTTGGTCACTGGCCGAAGTCAAGGGTGTATATTCTGGATCTGCAGCCAAAGCAACATGTGCCACATATCCATAGCCTACAAACAAAAGGAGTGAAGGGATTAGTTTCCCCATCCAAATCGCTTCGGAGCGGTTCTATCCCCGTTGGTTTCCATGTGGGTCGAGGCTTACTTTGTTGTTCTTCTGCCATGCTGGCTACTAGGAATCGTCTATATTCAGCATGTTTAGGGTCCACTTCGTAATTCAAATCATAATAAAGAGAGAGTTGTTCCATAAATCCTGCATTGGGGGCTATAGAGGCTCTTTTCCGTTGAATGATGTCTAACGCTTCGTCTCTGTTGATTTTTTTCGACTTCATTAAACAAGCAGCCAAGATAGTTGGGCTACGAGATACACCTGCTTGACAATGTATCAATATACGGCCTTTGCATTTATAAGCTTCTTGTATGTATTCTATCGCTTCGTCGAAATATTGAATGATATTTTGCTCATCCACATCTAAAATGTTGATATTCTATTTTAGTCCGTTATACAGATAAGATCAATCAATTATGTATTTGCAAAGAGAGGAAAAAAAAACAAAAAAAGCATGTTCTTTGATGTCGTTTTTTTTTTTTTGGTTGAAAGGTCGTTTTGTAATATTTGAGAGGTTTACCTTGTATTCTATGTTAACATGGAGATCATTTTCAAAAGCACCCAACGATAGTACATGAGTAATTTTTTTCTCGGTTAATTCGTCTTTGTTGAATGCCTCGCAGTCGCCCAGATAGATTCGAGACACTATCTCTACGCAGTGTGGCTCCATTGGATCTCTGACGGATGTGATGGACATGAACTTTTCTTGCTTAGAGTTCAGTAGCTGTTCAATCAAATCCTTTTATTTTTAATTATGCAAATTTCATGAGAGTGGCTTAGTGATATGTTCAAGACCAACAGACTGAAGTAGCACAAACTTCGAACAATAAAAGCACGTCTCCTCACTCAAAAGTCATACTGCTTAAAAGCGACTCAATATTATCCATACGCAAATTTTGGCTAGACATTTATTGCTGGTTTATGAAAAAAAGAACCAAGATTTTTGTGATTCATCGTTTGAATAATAGAGATGAAGTGTTAACTATTGCTGATAAAAGAGACACAAGTTACTTCACGTTGACGAGTGTTGATGAAGGTATCATTCTGGACACAATTTTGCCTAGACAGTTTTAACGCTACCACCAAGTAGACGAAGTACAAGGAAAATAGCAGAGTCTGGTTGGATTTGATAATCCTCAAAAGTCATTTTGTCATCGAGTGGTTTTCCACCATGAATCAAGCGCATACCATCTACAGGAATTGTCTCATAGTCTGATATTTGTTCCTTCAAGGTAGCAATGGTATTATTGGATTCTACTTGATAAGCAGTGACTTTACCATCGAGCTTCTTGAGGAAGATTTGCATTTTTTCAGTTTGAATATGAAAGTTGCTTGAAAGATTATAAGTTGGATAAGAACAAACAGAAGAAACAGCAAAAGGTGAAAAGAATAAAATCTTCTATGACATTTTTTTATATCATTGATTATGTCGAGCAATAACTGCAAGTGCATAATTTAACTGAAGCTATGAAAATAGACATGATAAATTCTTGTCGCAGGCAGCAACGACGATAGATAGAGCACACATAGCCAGCTGTGTGAAGAGTATAATTTTAATTTAGCCACCTAATACATTAAGAGGAGCAGTGTGAGCTAATTTTTTTTTTTTTTTCGATTGGCATAGATCAGAGGTAGGAGCTTTTTTTTTCCAATGAAGTAGTGTAAGAGCATGCTACATCATCGATAAACCCTTCTATCTTCCTTTGGAAAGTAGCATAAACAGACAGGAATGAGTTTAAAAGTCAATATGCTGCTGCATGTAAACGATCAATCTATCAAAATAGGTAGCTTATACACATGAATATCTACTATGTCTCGAACCTAATTCGTTTGAGCCAAGAGCTTTTTTTCAATCAATCCAAAGGAAGCCATCTTTTTATTAATAAATAAAGTAATATAAAGAGTTCATCATGATGTTGATAATTGTGAGGTTATTACATTTGAAAAGTCAATTCGGGTCTATAGAACTTGAAATGATGAGCGATTTCCTTACTAGAACGAATTAAATCTCTTTCAAAGCCTCTGTGGTACCTTTGAATGCAAGCAAACAAGAAAAAAAAGGTTGCTTTTTCCCTTTTTATTTTTTTCATAGTTGGCTTCTTCGTTTCAAATCTTTCTTTATTCTCTTTTCTTCACGTTTATAAAACCCTTTCCGTCTTGGTCTTTTTTTCTTCATATCTATAAAAATGGTAACTTATTCAAGGATATTCTAATGGAAAGAACTAAAGGCCAACTCCGGTCGGATTTACCCCTGAATCTTGAACTCATCGAGTTTTTCTGTTTTGCCAATGTAGATTCCCATGTTACCAAGGCAATCAACCGACGATGACAGACCCGTTGGCTTGAAATATACTCGAAACCACTTTTTTAACTTCCCAAAAAAAGACAATAATAGTATCAAGAGAGCACCCTCGAATGCTTCGTCAGTACTATCATCTATTTCAGCAAACGACGTTTCAAACCAGCAACCAATCACAACAGAGAGAAGCCGTTGTCGTCCTCAACAACAAATGGCTACATCACCTACTTTGCCAGTGCGGTCACCTTTTCGCATACGAGATTCACAACAGCAGCAACAAAACAATAAATTATCACATGGTAATACATATTTGATGTAACGAGGAAAAAAAAAGAAAGCGCTCCCACTCTTCTGTTCTTCTGACTGTACCTGGATCTTTTATTTTCTTATTGGTTAGAACAAAAAAGCATTCGATCGAATTCAAGCATAGATATCGACTCGTCCATTTCTTCATCATCCTCTTCCTCAATAGTAACCCTTGAGGATGACTTGGCCCATGAACTTGAAAATCTATGGAAATATAAATCAACATCGAGCACAGCCTCAAATGTAGCGAAAACAGCCCAAGTTAAAAAGGCTTCTATTAATTCAGACGATATGCTATTACAATTGTTGATTTCACAAGCCATGATTGACGCGAAAGATTACAAAATACTTAAATACGAAGAGATAGAAACGTTGAAGCAGGTATAATAGCAACAACACGCCTAATGCTAATCGAAGACCTATTGTTCAACCAACTCTTCTTTTTTTTTGGGGGGGGATTATTTAGCATCACGAACGTCTAAAAAAGCAAATCAGAAATTCAGCCTCTAGACTGGAGATAGATAAGAAGATTCACGATACATCGCAATCGTTAGCACATCTCTCTGCGAACAAGAATCGGGAATCCGTGCTTGTTTTACTAGATGAGGCAGTAGAAGCAGATCGAAAAGTCAAAATATTAACACAGAGATTAACCGAGCTACGGACGGAAGAAGTCAACACGCAGTATCAGATATTACAGCATACAGCAGGTGTATTGTACCTTGGAATGCAGAACATGGAGCAAACGCATCTAGACAAAGGGCTCAGCAATCTGCAATCAGAGGTGGAGACCATCAAACAAACATTAAGAACTATTGTGGGGCAATATGTAGGAAAAAACAGCGTAGATACATTATCCATTAGCGAACTACTAGATCAATTAGAAACTCAATTGAAAAGGTACAAAGCTCAATCTACTGCTTTAGAAACAAAGTTGGAAGCAGCTGAGCAGAGTAATCAATTGAGAATGACAACCGAACACAAACTGCAGTCTGAATTGCATGCAACTAAGATGAAGCGTATTTCTGCTGAAGCCAAATGCAATGAACTACAACAGCAAATTGACAATTTTGTGGAGCCCTGGACGCCATTGTCCAGAGCTGAACCATCACATTCTACAAGCGATGAAAACAAGGGTGTCGAACGGGAACTATCAGCAGAATTGGAACAGGCCTATGCGGATGTCCATCAGTTGAAGCAAACAGTGTCTGATTTAGAAACTCAGGCAGCCAACTTGAAAACACAAGTCGCTGTATACCAAGAAAAAGAAGATAAGCTCAAAACAGATATTGATCACTACCGTGATAAAGTCTGTCAACTGAGAGCAGATAAGGAGAATTGGGAACAAACCATGAAGAAAGAGCAAGCTTTTTTGGAAGAGAATAGCGCAGTTACTTTTGAAGAGTCGCTATCACGCACGGAAGCAGACTATGGACAACAGTTAGAAGAACAAGAGCAAAAATATCAAACACAATTGAAAGAGCAAGCGGCTATTTTGGATCAAACAACCCGTCAATGTGAAAAATTACAAGAAGAATATGACAAATTGTTGGCTACAGGCAAAGATTTGGAATTATTGATCGAGCAAAAGCAAAAGGCACTGGATGCCCGCGATATTCAAATAAATCAATTAGAGGACGAGTTACGCCAGCAACAACAGCAAATCCCACCTGAAGAGGACGTAAAAACGGCCCATTTAAATAGAGCAAGCAATATAGGTAGTATTGACAGCGGCACAAGCGACGAAATTCAAAAACTGCAGGCATTGTTTTTGGAAAAGGAAGCACAATGGATTGAACAGAGCACAGTCATGGAAGCTAATTTTGAAGGAATTTTACGAGAGTATGATCGATTAACAGGCACAGCAATGGAATTCGAAGCAGATAAGCTCGATTACGAAAGACGAATCACAGAACTCACAGAAGAAGTGAATTCTCTGGAAGCATGCCTATTAGAACAAAGATCAAAGAATATAGGATGCGAAGGTGATACGCCTACAACGGCTTCTTTACGAAAAGAATTTAGAAAAATGATAAACGATATGAAAACAGAACATCAACGTATGCTTGAAAGAGAGATAGAAGAAAAGAAACGTTTAGAAAAGCAATTGAAGGATCTGAAGCACGAAAGAGAAATGTCGCGCTATGAACGTAGTAATAAAGGTGTACAAACATTTTTTGTAGCGTGAATAAAAAACATAAATATACGCCATCTTTCTTGTACTTAAAGCCTCACTAAAAATTAGTTTTTGCTCTCATTGATTTGCTGTAATATATTTCTCCCATATTTTTGCGCGTATGCTTTGTCTTTGTGGAGGGGTTTTTTCGTCTGATTTATTCAACAAAAAAAAACTATGCATTTACATCAATATTCTATTTGAACTGGCATTTGAAGACCCTGTCACGTTACTGCTGTTGGGTTGATTTGGTGCCATATTTGACAATGCATTTACTGTTGTACTAGAGCTAGTGGCGGGGATATTTGTGTTAAGGTTAGGGTTCGATGTATTAGATGTAGTAGAGTTCGCTGATGAAAGTTGCTGACTAGCTTGTCTTTCTTCTATGGCATCCCAAGAAAATGTCCATTCTCGTTTCACTTTTTGCCACGTTGTAGGGTCGAAAAATACATACACGCCTCGATCCACAGTAACATTTGGTGATGCCCTTCGGAAAGTTTGCACGGGTCTACCATTCTCGTCTGCTTCTTTCGTTAACCATAATCCCAATTCTTTATGATAACGCCAATTGCGATTGTATCTATAAATTAATAATAATATTAAAAAAAAAAAAAGTTCAATGGATCAGTTTTCCAAATTGCATCTCCTTTTTGTCGACTTTAGCAATGTAAAAAGACTACATACAATTCTTGAGCAGCCGCCTCTTGAGCAATGTCTTTTGGCATACAATAAAACACATAAAACAGAATTTCGTCTGAGAATGTTCTCATACGTTGATGAGCAGGAGGGGTTGCTTGCACATTACGATAACATGCAGGTAAGTAGTAGCCGGGTTCAACATTCAACCCTGGTAAATTTTGTGTATCTGACCATGGTGATATGAATGTTGAATATATCGAACTAGAAAAGGGAAACGGGAGAAAAGATACAGAAATGACTGTCAGTAAAAATCACTGAAAGGATCCAAAAAAACGCGTCAAAATTCTAATTTGGTCGATCATTACTCTGCTGTATTTAGATCAAGACCAAGTGTAGTCAAGTCACTACCCAAAGCTAACATACTACGATCTGGGTCAGTCATGCGAATCACACCCAATAACCCTAAGAGTCCATAGGGATCCGTTTGTTTTCCATCCGCTGATGAATCTTCTGGTTTTCGCTGTTGCTGTTGCTGCTGCTGCTGTTGCGGCCGTTGTTGTTGTTGTTGTTGTTGTTGTTGTTGCAGCTACACAGGGTTAGAAGAATAGTTCAATTTAAGAAACAGTAACTTTCAATACTAATCAGGCATCTCAAGTAATTTACCCAGCTTTCAGATGAATCATTCGGTTTGACTTTTATATCAATGAAAAATAGGTTAGATATTTGTAGAAAAGAAAGCACTTTCTCTTTTTCTTTTACTGCATTCACCTGATGGCTGTTGTTGGCTGTCTCTTAAATTAGCATAATCCAGCCATTGTTCAGGTTTACTATTACTATTACCGCCAATAGCATTGTTGTTACTGTTCCCGGATTCCATACCCCCCCTATTGACGCTGTTTATCGCATTATCGAAAGCCGAAGCCGTACTACGTAACGCTGGAAACTCATCCATGGAAAAGGATCGTGGTGGAATGTCAGTTCGAGTAGCAACGGCGCCATTAGAAGAAGGCTGTAAATCGCCTGCGTGGAATTGATTGTTGGTTCTTCCACCACCAAAGACTAAAGGATTGGTTTTATTATAGAAATTCATACTTTCCAATTCATGTTGCTGCTGTAAATAGGCATTGTTTCCAGCTGTAGAAGCATAACTGTTGGATAGCCTACTGCTGTTGTTCGGCAGTGTTGCGTTATTATTGTTCACTGTACGGTTCATAGTCGGTGGTGTTCCTAACGCAGGAAACTCGTTCAAGTCGGCAGCGGTATTTGGGCGAAACATATGTTGTTGTTCTTTCTAAAAAAAGGTTTTTTTTTTCTTCGGTCGTTTGATGAGTAGCCTTCAATTGTATATGTAGGATGAGAAAGTTGAAAGACACACACAAATGTGAAAAAAAAATTGAACACAAAAAAGTATAGAAAACCTTCGATTTTTTTTTTTTTTCCTTTCACCTCGGTGACGTGACCTTTTAGGTCGGGCGGATAATAAAATGGATATTTGCTTTTGCTGGTTGAAAGTGTGCACATTCCCTATCATTTTGCCCCTTTCTTACTTTTTTTCTTTGCTTTATTTCAGCTTTCTATTAAACCCCGGGGATGGCTTCAGCAAAGACGCTTTATTTATTTAGACATATACAAACAAAGCAGGTCTTGGTGAGTACGAGACCCGATATGCAGGTAAATCAAAATATTATTCGGGACAAGACAAGGACAATTAAAATGTGTGTATAATTAATCTGGATGACTCTCCTCTATTTTCATGGCTGTAGTCTAGTAGAGTTTTAAAGCAATTAGGAGGATATAAACCACCCAAATTAAGAAAAGATCATTGGCGTCCATTAGTGGCCGTTACAGGCTTTAAATCAAGCGACTCTGTAGATGCTTTAGCCAATGCTCTCTTATACCGTAAAACCAGCAAACAAGTCAGTCTTGTCACCAGTCCAGAACACAAAGCGAGACAGAAAAGATTAAGAGCTGTAGATGAGATGGATCTGATCGATCGAACTCTCACATCATTACGCGAAGCTATTGAGGTGATTGCAGATAGAAGAAATGAGAAAGACTTATTAGCGCTGTGGGAGCAACCACACTTCATGAAACTAAAGGACGAGAAAGACTGGCCATCATTGTTAAAACATGGACAGTTGGAACTACGAAATAACCGATTTGTTACAGAAGAAGATAAGTCTGCAGCGGCAACTTCAGAAACTATAAATACTACAACAGTCTAAAAACAAACTTCTAATGTATATTATTTAACATCCATTCACAATAAAGAAAACTTGAGCAATTGCTATATCATTATAAATCTGCAGATTTTTGACAGGGACTCTGACAAAAATCTGGAGAACAGCAGCATTTCCGATTCAAACTCAGTTATAAGTGTTGCGTTTAAGAACCCCTTCCCCTCCTTTACCTGTCAACTTTGCAATCAAGGTTGCTCATTACTACAATGTCAAACAATAACAGCAATGAAACGAGGGAATATGTAAAATCCTACATTAAAAACACATATGCTCAGGATATACTAGAAAGTGAGCAACCAAAGTTCGATCCTAATCGGTCAACATCAGCACCACCATTAACCGCAAAACAGCAAACTGACGAAGGCGACGTTAGTTCTAAAAGCAATTTACCCACTCAAGAGAATATATCAGCCCATTTGAATATTCATCTGCCTACGCACAACCCTATACCCTCTTCTTCTACGACGAACAGGTCTACTGACACAGTACAGAATAAAAAACAGGACGGAAATATAGAGTACACACTTTCAGCGCAAGATTTCAAAGAGCAGAGAATAGAAATACATGAGGCGGCAACCACAAATTGTGTGGATTTGCAAGAAGAACTTTTTCAATGCTTTCAACACGGCAGTTGGTGGGATAAGGCTAAAATGTGTGAAGAACAAAAGCAGAAATTTTGGGCTTGCTTCCAAGCACAGAAGGCTTTTTTAAAAGAAGTCAATTATAAGTCACCTTTCAATACACAGGAACAAGATGATAGAATTTTGGCGAGAGCATTAAAACTTAGAGAAAAGATAGACAACTCAAATAAAGAATAGTGTTAAGCAACATTTAACTCGCGTTCCAACCTGAGAATAAATTGCTTAGTCACTCCTTTATAATGGTCACAGGAAGGACTCTGAGTTTGAGCCTTTCAATTTGTTTATTTAAAAAAGCCAGACATATTTGCTTGGTTTCTTGTCTGTCATTATATCGCGCATAGATAAAGTGCCTATTTACTTATTATTGAACTAAAATGATGAAGCGTGCTCCAGTATTCTTTATATCTCATGGAGGTAATGTCATTCATTTTCTATGCATATAATAAATGAAACTTCAATCATTGAAAAACAACAATGGCGTTTTCAGGTCCAACCCTTTTAGAAGATCAAGCAAAGCCGGGTCACTTCTATAATTGGCTCGGCCAATACTTAAAAGACAAGTTGAAGCCGAAAGCTATTGTCCTTATCAGTGCTCATTGGCAAGGCGTCAATGACAACCATGTTTTCGGTATGCTGCTTAGTCTTGTAATGCCTGCAGTATGAAGTTAATTAAATCAATCTCTTCGTCTTTACTTAAAATAGTGGACGTTTCCGAGAAACCCAAGTTGATCTATGATTTTTACAATTTTCCTGATAGATATTACAAACAAACCTGGGACCACAAAGGTTCACCTCAAATTGCTAATACAGTCATTAGTTTATTGGATAAGGTAGCACAGTTTAGATTGGTTCTACTTCAAGTATATTTGGTATTTAAATCGACTAATATACAGGTAAAAATGATGGAGTAGGCTGGGTTTAAGGGTATAGGCGAAGAATACGGTAATGATCATGGTGTATGGGTTCCTTTGAAACGCGCCATGATGTCCAATCTCGATATTCCTATTGTTGAAGTCTCAACGTTATCACACGAAAATATGGAAATGCATGTTAAGTTGGGAGAAGCTCTCTCTCCTTTGAGGTAAACGGAAAATCTCCAAGTCAAACTTTTCGTGAGCCATATGAGATTTGATTCTCATATTGGGAAAACCGACTATTGTAATAGAGAAGAGGGCATTGTCATCATTGGCAGTGGTAGTGCAGTGCATAATTTAAGAACATTATGGCAACATGCGGATAGCCCGTCCCCACCATTCGTTGCTCTTTTTGATAATGAAATGACAAAGGTTGCAACAAATTTTACAGCTGAAGAACGTAATGAAAAAGCATGCAGATTAAACCAGCATCAGGCATTCAGACTCTGTCACCCAACAGCGGAGGTACACTAATCAATTCTCATAAACAAATGCACAGTGTTGGAAAGCATTCATCTAACCATAAATTCTCTTTTTCCGATTATATAGCATCTCGTCCCTTTTCATGTTGCGTTAGGTGCTGCAGGAAACGATCAAGGCAAAAAACTGCTGGAAGACTATTTTTCTACACTCAGTTGGAGTTCTTTTGGTTTTGGTTTGCCTGATGATATAGAACTTCCCAATTATCCCTGATAGCATAGCTAGCATATAATATAATATCCATTTGCAGGAAAATGACAAATCGATTTCCGCTTTCTACATTTCGTATCTTAGTTTGTAATTCCACGCATGCTCTGTAGAGTGTGATTTTTTTTTTTTTTGAAACCATGAGTGTATGTTGATTTTCTAGTAAAATGCTATAGCAAATGTATTTCAATAGATTGAGCGGGTATCATTTTGATAAAATATTGACAAAGGTATCTTTAAAATGCATTCAATGACAGTTGAGAAGCATTTGGCGCAAATGGATCCTGCGTTTGTAAAGAGTGGCCATCGATCAAATTCTGCTGCAACAATGATGCTTTCAATTTGACTTCAATGGTAAGCGCATCTAGCTCATAGTGTTTTAACAATTCAGCTTTTCTCGATTCGTTGAGTTTGGGTGGCTGATACGCTGCTCGGTCTAAGGGTATAGGAGGCAAGCTGTTAAAGACGTTCCGTGCTCGTTGGTAGTTGAATGTTTCATGGGGAACATATCGTTTGGAATCCATATGCTGCAGAATCATCTCTATTGAGCCATATTTTTGTATGGCTTGTATTGCACGATGAGGACCGATACCTTGAATAGTTCCCGAAAAATCTGTGCCACAAAGAATGCATAGATCAATGAAGGCGTCTTTACTTAAGCCCAGCTCTTGTCTAGCAACAACAGGGTCTATAGATAGAATAGGACGATGCCTAGCAAAGAAATACCGTAAAATTGGTACTTCACCAAACACTAACGTATCCAAGTCTTGAAGAGAAGATGTTAGTCAACTGTTCATTGGAGATAGCAGTTGGGTTCTAGGTTACCTTCTGACACTGTGGCCTTTGTGATACCTGCTCGGCCAAGATGTGCACACATAGCTTCCGCTTCATGACCGTTGCAAGTGAAACAGAGATAACCAAGTGCCTCTAAAAAGTCTCTACATTCCTCTCGTATAGCTTGTGTAATACGGAATGACCTTTTTTGTAATGAATCCAACATTACTTGATTGTCCCTTCTCAACCTCTTCAGGGCAGATTTTGTATTTTTATACTCTTGACTCACCATGTCAGCAATCAGTTCCTTTTCGCGATAAACCAAAGCACGTACAGTTCTTGTATATTTTTCGGTATTTTTAGAATTAGTAATAGCATTTCTCAGTTCCTGCGCGAAAAGCATTAATTTTCCTTCAATATCAATATCGGCGGCCTTGTAGTTTCTTTCGTCCACTATATCCTCAACCTCTTTCATTACTGCATTATTATTTGATATCCTATTTTCTGCGTCGGCCATTGTTTGATCCAAGTCATTAAAAATACTGGCAAGATTAATTTTGTCAAATTGGTCGACATTGTCTATTGAATTTGAGAACTGTAACCAATTGTCTAATCGGATCGATTGTTCCTTTTCGAAAGCAAGGGAGTGTTTGACTTTGGAACGAGCTTTGGCTCGTTTCGCTAATTCGAAACTTTTAGCTGCTAATCGTTTAGGCCCATCAAACACAAAAATCGGTCTTATTTGGTTGAGATCGCAAAAGCGAGCAAGTTGATAAAAGCCGTAAATATGTTTGTAATTGTGGGGTTCGTCGCCGTATATGAATTTATTTAAATGGCAGCTTGCATCAAAGGCGATAGTCTGTCTAGCCAATGTGTTTGCACTTATAACACGAATAGCATTAGGTGCATGCTTTGCGATAAGACCAGTTAGACCATGAACCCCCATTGAAGACAGAATGAGTGGTACCTGGTATTGAAAACAAAAAAAAACGTAAAAATTGTCGGGTGGAGAACCCGCTTAAAAATGCGACTTTGGGTATTTTTTTTTTGTTTGTATAGTTTATTTGAGAATGACCATCAGCAAAGAAAGATTTACGAACAGTCCTATCATTTAAACCAAGGATTCTTTCTCAAAATTTGTCCACTGGAACTCATAACGTGCTTTTGGGGCTGTATAATTCTTTAAGGTATCGATGACATCTTTGCTTGATTCACAAAGGACAAAAATTTCAGCATTGTGAGTTTTGATGAAGTTTTCTAGTTATTTCAGAAAAACAATAAGCAGGTTCAATTGCAAGCGCTTACTCTACGATGCTCATAACTATTCTCAAATACCTTTAACACACATCTTGACCCATTCCGCAAATGGAGTATAGTAGTTTTTGGTATTAACGAGGATAATGGGCTTTGTGTGAATGTTGAGTTGAGACCAAGTAATCATTTCCAACATCTCTTCCATGGTGCCGAAGCCGCCGGGCAAAACAACGAAAGCGTCACTCTCATCATACATACGGCGCTTACGGCTGTGCATGTCAGGAACAACAATGGGATCACAGAGTTGCTTACTACCATGCTTGAACAATGGTTCAGGTACGACGGCTGTAATTTTGCCACCATTATCTAATGCAGCTTTGGCAACTGTTCCCATTAAACCAACGGATCCGCCACCTACATACGAGATATGATTGTCAGCCGCTGACTCATTCCTGAAATTCAAATGAGAAATCATTTATGTACTACCATAAACCAGTCTCATGCTGTTCGCAGCCAAAATTTTCCCTAGCTCTGTTATTATTTATATCAATTGCAAAAACAGTTATTGCGAATTAGAGGATAGATGGCATATTTTAAGGGCTGCGCATCGTTAATGTAATTATCATCAAATGACAAATCAATCTTACCGATAGCCTCTTGCTCAAAAACTGGATCTGCACCGTCTCCGGCGCCACAGAACACACAGACACTTTTAATGTTTGCGCCATTTACTTTATCATTCGACGAACGAGTTGAGGGAGACATTTTTACTATGCTTTGATTATTAAAATGTAGAGATTTATTTTTCTAACTTTGCGATACAAGCTAAAGAAAAGCACTAAAATAGAAGTTCAATGGACAGGATCAATTTATATTTTATAGGTTTTGCTGAGACATTGATTGGAAAAACCATTTTAGCTCACAAATGTTACAGTACTTTTTAATTCCAGATGAAAAAAATTGATCAGCAGGAAGATTGTGATTGATCCTCAGAGGCTATACAGACAATAGGAATGGACGGAACAATATTTTAAAACGTACGTAATGCAAGTATAATTTACTCGCAAGATCTAAAGATAACGATTCACAGTACCAAATGCATTAGGCGCGGCGCTTTTTCTATTTGACATGGTGCAGCGTAAAGTCTCCAGGACGCGCAGGTGCAGCTCAAGATGAAGTACTCTAAATTTTGTGTATATAGATTGCACAAGCACTGAATAGGTCAATAAGCTATTACTCCAATAGAATATGTTTATGAATCATTCTGTATAAAGAAATGTCTAAACTCAAGTTTATGCAACCTCGGACTTCATACCTTCAAAAAAGTAAACCGGCATGATTCATCATTAGTCTTGTGTATTGCTCAATAACGAATATACTGAGCTACCTATGGACAGCAGTGGGAACATCTGAAATATGTTCAATTTTTTAACCCACAAAGAAGTCATGTCAGGTTATCAACTGTATGGATTTTTTTGAATGACAAACTCTGATGCTAAGCTTAATCAACTGTGCGTCTGATTAATAAAGGTCGTACACCAATTGCTTCCCGTCTTTCAGAAACATTATAAACCACTTTCAAACACATTGTAGCAGCAATACAAGGAAATTATATGGAGATAAGATTCTGAGAAAAAACAAAAATGTCCAAACGCAACGGAAGCGCATATCACAGATGGCAAACGCCACTATCTGTCCTGAAGAAACGGAAGGCTTTCGACTATATTTTTGTTCGCATAACTTCTCGCGATGATACCCTCTTTACAGAAACTACGTTCTAAGAATCATTTTGAAGCTTCTAGACTTTTCGCATCAGGTTCTTGGAGACACTGTAAGCCATGGCTATTGCCATAAGAGTGGTTCTGTGTGTTGATCTATTCAACACTCTGTCTAATCCCATCAATATTAGACGTTCCTCTACGTGCCAGCTCGAGCTCGAGAATATAATTGGATCGATTTTAAACTATCAGCATATTAACAAATTGGGTCAAAATTTAGTTCTCAAAAAAAAAAAAAGGGCGAATTTTATGCAAAGCTTAAAAAGGAATACTTGTAGCGTTTTCCTTCCAGAAATTTTCTTTCTCTCTTTTCCCAAAATGTTTTCGAGGTTAATCAACTCTATTCGTGAGCAATTCGCAGCACGCCATACCCATCTTCCCGACAGAAATATTGGCGCTGATGCTTCAAATAGTGACAATGATAAAATGATCGATAATGACACATCTTCCTTCAAACAACGGAGTAGAAGCTCCTCTGTTACCGAAGAATTACAAAGAAGAAGCAGCATTGGTAGCAATAGTATTTTTACAAATAATGACGAAGGCGCGGGTGGTTTAAGCAAATATACCACCGCACAGTCTGTACCTATTCCACGAAAAAACTCCATAACATCTGGAACAGCAGGTCTTGGTAAAAGCGGAAATGGCAACAGTGGCCGTAGAATGTCAACTAATCTTTGCAGTGGCAGTGCGTATGACGATTATGTCCAAAAAGACCTTATGTCGAGCTCTTGGACGTAAACTTGGTTTGCAAATTCAATCAATGGATTTCCCTTGCCTTAGGAAAAAGAGCAAATCAACGAGCCCACTGAAGTGTCCTTCTCTTCTAAGAGAAAACTTTATAGATGTTGCGTGGATGGATTGAACTTCCTACACGGTAAAAGACGGCATGTAGAGCTTCGAATATCCGGGAGAATTTATCAACAACGTTTTTGATAGTATCGTTACGTCTTACTTAGCACACTATTATCAGTACTGTTTTTTAGCATGAAGAACTTTGCATAGCACTGAACTTACTTTAGCTAAATTTGTCAGTTTGGTTTGATTAATAAAACTTCGTTAGCAGTTAATCTGTTCCATTCCTTGTCCAATGAATGGTACTGTTTTGAATACTTGACTAAAGTGATCAGGCAATCTAAGCGTGAAACAGTAATAAAATATAGTAGCTCTTTTAAACGACGACAGAGACTAATTGTGCTTCGATAAAAAGTACCATTCACAACAAGCTTTGTGTAAAAGGTAGTAAGCTTCCCATTGGCATATTTATGATAATTCAATCCCCTCCGGCATTCGATCGAATAGTCAAACCTTAGCCGAAAAGAATTCTAAATTGTAGATGGTATCACGACGCTACATAAGCGACTAGGTATCGGTTTCATGGATTGAATAGCATTTTCTCTTCGATCTGTATGGTGATAGTAGTGAAGTTTACACATATGACATAGTAAAACTGCAGTATTTATGTATCAAAAATACATTTCAAAAGCTAAAGCAGATCATTCTGATATGCAAACTTAGAGAATAAAACGATATGTAGATGGTTTTAGTTATAGTCTATCAATAGTTTTTGGTCTGCTCGATTATAGGAATAGAAGATTACATTCACTCAAGACAAAGGAAATCGTGATCTAGACACATTTCACTATAAAAATGGAGGGAAATTCTAACCTCGGTCTGCTAATTATGTAGTGATAATGCCAGATTTGACTGTCCTTCCTTTATCGACTGCACTGCTATTCTGTGTGCTGCTTCAATATCCCTCAATCACACTGTCTTATTGACATGTAAAAGTGAATGCTTACACCCGCTTTTTTTCAGTATGAACGCTCATCATTGTATTGGGATAGAATGACTAAACTTCCTCTTCTCTAAAATCCTGTATTCAGGTACTTACTATTGCAGTTGAATCTTTTCGTCTATACTTCGATTGTAAGAGTCCTCAGACGGGTATCTTCTTCTAATTTGCAAGGAAAAGCTCGTTCATTACTTTTTTTTCCCACCTTGATCTAAAACTGAGACTAATCCACTGTTAGTTTTCAAGTACTTTGTTCGCAGCAGTATACTCTCCTTTTACGAACTGCGTTTGAAACAGCTTTTATGAGTGCAACTCTAAAAAAGCAAGTCTATCCTTCATTACAACTACCTTAAAAAAAAAGTATATAAGCGAGCAATACTTTTTCAGTGTATTTTCGTATTGTCCAGACTAAGTACAGTAGATATTGTACATGCTTGACTAATTGCACAAACTGATCAAGGCAATGTCGGAATATTGTGCCATTCCTTCCAGCGCATAGATAACTACTTCTGAATGAACTTTTTTTTTCTTCTGATATGGGCTTCTTTGATCATTCAAGGGAAAACTCTTTAGAAATTGTACACTTGCCGCAATGCTGGTAGGGAAGTAAGAACTCGTTATTCGATTTCATTGTATCCTTTAAAAAAAAATAGGTTTAATTGCTCAATTCTTCAAATGGAAAAATATGTCAAACCCCAGCGTAATTTAATTAAAAACTGTGCTTCAAGTTTTATTGTTTCCTTTTTCCTCATGGCTTTCTTAAGCATTGCAAGAGATGAACATTGCTTTGAAACCGACAAGATTACTATTACAAAAAAGTAACAGAAACAAATGGATAAGCAATGCTGCCTCAGAAAAAATTTTTACGGCAACAATAACAACAACAGCAAGAACAATAACAACAGGACGACGATCGTTTTTTAGCAGACGGAAAAAGTTTGTCCTACTTAGCAGTGCTACATTAGCTGTTTGTGCAGGCACCAGTTTACCAACACTGATAGAATCATCCTCTGATGACAAAATTAACTTGAATAAAAAAAATAACGAAAGTACCAAAGGTAGCAACAGAGTGCGGCATACATTATTTGCCTTGCAACGTATTGGAGTTGCCACTAAAGTAGGCGTGCAAGTCGCTATTGATTATAAAAGGACGCAATCAAAAAGGTATTCTTCAAATGAAGAACGAGTTGTTGCTATAAAACACTGCCATAAACGAGCTGCTGAGCGCGTATTGGCCGGTCTCCAAAAATTGGGTGGTATTTACGTGAAGCTGGGGCAACATGTATCTGCTATGACCTATATACTACCTTTAGAATGGACAACCACCTTAGCTGTCCTCCAAGATCGCTGTGATCCGACACCGCCAGAAGATATTCGAAAATTATTTCTGACGGATTATGGAGAGCCGTTAGAAGAAGTATTTGACGAATTTGACTGGAAGCCGTTAGGTGTAGCCTCTTTAGCTCAAGTGCATAAAGCCAGATTAAAACAAAATAGAGAGAGCCATGTTAGCTTGAGTAGCTCCCATAATGATGGGAAGAATTTTGCATTAACGGACCAGCAAACTGGACAACGATGGGTAGCTGTCAAGTTCCAGCATCCACGTTTGGACGAATTCAGTCGAATGGATCTGGAAACAGTTAGTTTGATTGTAGGCACTATCAAGCAACTTTTCCCGGATTTTGGCTTTGAATGGATATTAAAAGAAATGCAACAATCGTTACCGCAAGAAATGGACTTTGAACATGAAGCTCGAAACGCCTATCAAGTCAAAAAGAACTTTGAGAACGAAAATACACCATTAGTGGTTCCTGAAATCTTATGGGCGAAAAGACGAATATTATGCATGGAATGTAGGATATGAATTTGTACAACATCTCAATCTATTGCCGCTCTTTTGCTGAGATTTCTTTCATTTTAGTTATTGATGGTGCACGTATTGACGATTTGAAGTATATGAAAGACCACCATATCGATCCTAATCAAGTATCGACCGAAATTACTAAAGTCTTTGGAAAAATGATGTTTCTAGATGGATTTGTACATTGCGATCCTCATCCTGGCAATTTGCTTATTCGACCAACGACGACGAACAACAGGAATAGCAAGTTCAAATTTGATCTCGTTCTACTCGACCACGGCCTCTATCGTACGTTAACCGATCAATTACGTACTGATTATGCCCACTTATGGACTTCACTCATTCGCGGTGACGAGAAAGGCATCGAAACCTATTCCTCGAAAGTAGGATGTCGGCCTGGCTCCTACCGTCTGTTTGCATCACTCCTTACTGGACGTGAATGGTCTACCATTCAGTCAGCTGATTTATCTTCTTTTCGTACCAACACAGAGATGAAACGTGTCTCGGGGCGCGCCAAAGATTTTGTGAGTCGCATTTATGACATTCTTGCCACCTTACCACAGATTGTACTTCTGCTGTTGAAAACCAGTGATCTGCTGCGAGGCTTAGACGAAACGCTACGTTTGGAAATAGGTGGAGATAAGTACATTACTTACGCCTTGATGGGCCGCTTTTGCGCAGAAGCTGTGTGGCTTGATGCGAAGCAAAATTTATTACGGCGGATCAAAGAAGCGCCCAGCTTGTTTCATGCGTGTAAATTGTTTCTGAGTTTGTTCTCGTCATGGTGGGAATATCAAACGCTCGAATATGGGCTTTGGATCTATCAGCTTAAAGTCGATGTACGTACAAAATGGACTATGATATGGCATCATGGTGTTTCTGTAGAAGAAATGCAGAAGCAACGGCAATTAAAGCTTATCGATACAGCAGCAGTAGTAGCTCCCTTGTAATTAGAATTGTACTAAATACCAAAAGTAGAGTTTCTCAAGTAGTATCATGTAAATATCCTTCATTTTTGGTTCTCGTTTGTTTCTATGAAGATTAGTAAAACCACATGCAGAAATAAACCAAAAATCGAAAAAACCCATTCAACAGAACGTGAAAACTCGTAATGTTGATTGAATGGGTGAACACAGGCTTTTATTCAGCTCACGATCCAAGACTAGCAAAAAAAAAAAAAAAAAAAAAAAAAAAAAAACCCAAAAAAAAACCATCGTTCGTGTGGGGATTTATAATGTTGTAATGCGTATATACAAGCTAGATGAAATTTATTTAGATATGGTTTTAACAATTGCTCATCACGTCCAAAAAAGAGCTGTCCTTAGAATATTTCATCTTGGTTTGGACAATCAACCGAGGAATGGCCGACATAGTCATCACAATTTTCGCAGAACTATAAGAGCAGTTAGGCTTAGTGATGCATTCCTTTTGCGGTTTGAAAAAAATATCTATTTACCAATTTTCCGTTCTCTGATAAGTGAAGATCGCTCTTGCATTCCAATACATCATGACCATAAGTATCACATAACTCACAATATTTATCACCATCATCATCATGCTTGGACGAAGAAGGATGGGTTGATGATGTTGGAGTAGGAGACATGGTGTGTGCTGTAGTAGTGGGTGACATTAACATACTATGGTGACTCTGATTGTTATTGCTGCGGTTAGTAACATTTATTTTGTCCTCCTTTATTAGAGCCAATTCCTTTTCTAAATGCTGCACTTTCTTCTTTTCCGTTTCTAATTTCTCTTCTAAATCAGCCTCGCCAAAGACACGGTTCTCAACCAATGATTCTAATTCTGCCAGATCTTTAGACAGTTGTTGGACGCGTTGTTTTTCAGTCTCTAGTTTCCGCTGATATGTCTCTTTTTCAGTTTCTAATTCTATAATCTTCTTTTGCAGTAGATTGCTATCGGTATAATTGTTTTCTACTGTTGTCTTCTCTTGACGATTATCATTTTTACTGCTGTTGCTGTTACTATTATTGTTATGGCTTGCATCTTGATCTAAATTTTGTTTCTCTAAAGCCAACATCTCATCCATTAATTCGTTATAGTTTTGTTCTAGGCGTTGATGTGCTTCCAGCAACTGCTGATAGTCCTTTTCCATCTTCATGGTAGATAGTTTCATTTGATAATGTTCATCTTCTGCTTTTGCATGCGCTTCAAAAGCGTCGTCTGCTTCTTCCATCAGTCGCTTTTTATCGTTTAATTCCTTTTCAAAATCTTGTTGCAACTGGTCATACTTCTCTTCTAGCGCTCGTGTCTGCTGGTGGGACTGCTGGAGCTCGAGTTTGAGTTGTTCAGTTTCGTGGTGTAAAGTTTCAATGGTGCGTCGTTCATTATCGAGCTCCATCATGGCAAGATTCAGTTGCTCTTCTAAGCGATGACGTTGATCGATGGTCTCCTCATCGCCATTATAGAACTCCTCTTGCCCTTCTGTTCCTACTACTGTACCATTGGGGAGCGTGACAGGTTGCTGTAGTTGCTGTAGCTGTTGCGCATGTTGTTCGTCTCCAAAGCTAGTTTGCTGTATTTCTAATAGCTTGGCTTCAAACTCCTTTTTCCTCTTTTCTTCCCTTTCCCCTGCTCCCCCTCCTCCACTATACAGATTAGCTAGATCGTCGTCATCGTCATGATGGAACAAAGTACTCTGCTTGTGTTTCAAATCTGCTACCATATACTCCAACTGCTGTATCCTATAATTTTTCTTTTGCAAAACCATGGTATGTTCTTGCTTTAACTGACCCACTGATTGATCATAAGCTTGGATCGCCTCCAAACCAGCTCTTCTTAACTCTTCACATTCCTTTTCAAGACTAACGCATTGAGCTTCTCGTTCTTTCACCTCCTTCCTCACCAGCTCTAGCTGGCCGGCATGTTGTCGATTCAACTCCAACTGGTGTTCGTCCTTTTGCTTCACCTCTTCTTGCAATTCTCGAACAAGGTTTTCAAGTCGTGTCATGCGTTTTAATTGATATGACTGTTGCTCTTCATCTCGATGGGTTTGGGCCAGTGATTCCTCACATTCGGTGAGGTGCAGCTGCAGTTCACTTATCTGTGATTGAGCCGCGGCAAGTTGTTGTGAAAGATGCTGATTTTGGCTTGTTTGTTCATCCACTTGAAGAGAGAGACTTTCTTTGATGGAGACAAGTCGTTCCCATGCCGTTTCTTTTTTGGACATTTGAGAGAGGAGGGTATCACGTTCTTGTTGGATTTTTTCTAACATGTCATAAAGGGTATCTGCTTCAGCTGCACTCAATGCATCGCTTTTCGTTGTCATTGAGAGGGTATCCTCTGTGGGAGATGAAGCAATGGGTATCATATTGGCTTTTTGCAAGAGGACGGGTTTAGGTGTTGTGGTAGTTGAACGAAGCTGAGGTGTGCTACTTGCTCTTTTAGCTATGGGACTCGTAGTGCTAGTGGTACTGATAGAGTGAGGAGTTCCTACTACAGAACGCCTGTTGTTGGGAGTCGAGCTATTGGGGGTAGGTGTGGACTTTTTATAAGTCACTGTTGTATGAGATGCAGTAGTAGGCGAAGAGCTGTGTATACGATGAGAATACGATGATGGTGACTGGGAAGGTCTACTATTAGCTTTCGTCGTAGATGTCGAAGGTGTCGTCGACTGACGTATCATTCTTATACGAGATCTTTTTGCGGCGCCATTGGTTGTAGGTATAACACTGGCATGGGAAGACGTCTGAGTAGGCGTCTTCGAGGTATATCTGGGTCGTATGAGTCCCGGAGCACTACTCGTTGTTGTTGTTGATTGTTTCTTTGTGAGAGGTAGGTTGGATCTACGCGTGATAATCGTACTACTGGTAGTGGAGGAAGGTGAAGGTTTTGTTGTACTACTGTTACCATGACTGCCGGTGCTGCTACTACAACTATTTGTTGTTGTAGCGGCGGTATTGGCAGGTGATGCATGAATAACAATTTTACTCACACTTATAAAGATACCAGTATTCGGTGGACATTGAAAGTATCTCTTTCTAATAAAATAGACGAGAAGGAATTTACTCAGTATGTAGTTACTCTTTTTACTGTGTTCGCTGACACTGGAATCATCGTATGAGATGCGCTTGCAATCTTTACCCCTGAGCACTGCCATCATTTTTCCCGGCGCCTTCTTTATCCAACTCAACACCAGCCCAAATACCAGGTTTGAAATCTACAGAGCCAACAAATCGGAGGGTGCCCGTCAAGTTATGTAATGTCGGTATGATGACACGTTGTCCTATCCTGTTATCATAATCATTGCTTATAGCACTATCATTAGAAGTGGTCTGTTTGGGTGTCGCTACTGCTGATGATACTGCTGCTGCGATTGTTCGTTGTGGCACTCTGACTGAAATAGATGGATGTTTGGGTATTTTGGACATTTGTAATTTGTCAAAAACGTTTACTTTGAAAGACTCGCTCAGTGTGAGTTGAGAAAGTTGCAATGTGGAAAGGGAAAAGATAGAGTAAATGAAAAGAGAAAAAAAGGAACCCTTTCTTTTTTAATTTTGTTTTTAATTTATGCTCAGATCATATAGACTTTTTTTTTTTTTTCGTCTTTTGTTTTTATACAGCGTAGACAAGAAAGAAAAACCATAATAATTCAACATAATCAATTATTATCCAGGTTTTAAACTCAAGATATCAGCATCAGCATCAGCAGCAACAACTTCATCAACGTTAAAGAAAAACGTGTTTCTTACTACTTTATGGATACAGCAGCCCCGGATGAACCCCGTGCATCCAATAATCATATTGTCCGAGCCGAGCAAAAGTTGACCCAATCAGAAAAATTGATAATTGCTTTATTAGAAAAGAGACATTGTCCAATCAGAAACATCTTTTAGCTCCCACAGAAGAGAGAATACGCTGTCCCAAGCATAAAAAAAATTCATGATTGGAGGACATCATTAATTTGATAATATAGTATTTCAATTCCTGATTGGACGATATTGTTGTACGGCCCGGGTAATAATTTATTTGGATTAACTGTAGTGTGCTTAGTTCGGATCGAGGTTTGTCTGTCCCTGGTTTGAAACCACAGTTTGCTGCGGGAAAGACGGTATATCTTTTAAGGGGTCGAGGAGAAAGACAGATGCTTCCAAAAAAAAAAAAGGTTTATTGTTCTTTTTTTTTTTTTTTTACAAGAAGGAAAGGTGATATGAATTCCATACAAAAATAGGAAGCATAATAGCAAATAAAGCGATGAAATAAATAGAAAAGAACAAAGAGATCAACTCTTTCATTTCTGTTGAAATGAATATCTGTTTAAATACAATAAGGGTCTTGATGGGTAGAGAATAAATCGTCGGCAGCCACAATAGTGGGTGATTGTCTAAGAGGTAACTTTGTCATAATATCCAAAGGTCGACGCTTTTGATTTGTTGCTGTTGCTGCCACAACCCTTTCTTCTTCCTCTTCTTGTTGTTGATATAAGATATCATCTTCTTCAGATTGATCATCTGATAATTCATTATAGTCATGAATCAAACCTATACCAGATAAGTGATGCTGTAACTGTCTTTGTTGCTGTTGTTGTTGTTGAAGTTGATATTGTTGAAGTTGGAACTGTTGTTGAAGTTGTTGATATTGTTGTTGTTGCTTTTTCAACGTGAAATTCAACAACTGAATATGGTCCAAAGCTTTTTCCAGTTCCTGCCTGGCTTCGTTTATTTGGACTTCTTTTTGTGTCGTAATTCCTTTCAAAGCATTGATAGTGTATCTTGAGAAATTCAATTCCTTATTTAAATGGTCATTCTGTTGTTGGAGATAGTTATTTTCAACTTCGAGTTGTATATAACTCTTTTTAGAATCAGTAGTTGTAGTCATGTTGGACGCCATTTAATGTACGGAAGATAGAGAAAAAAGAGGAAAGGACGAGAAATAGATGGAAATATTTTTTGAGATAAAGTGTTTATCAGATAACCAGCTGATAAAGAATAAGAAAAGAAAAGAAAGGTATATGTATAAATAAAAAGCAAATCTTTTTTTTTTTTGTTATCTAAACAAAAAAGCGAGAATTTTTTTATTTTATTTTTTTGCAAGCGTAGGAAAGAAGGAAAAATGAAAAGAAGGGAAGCAACAAAAAAAAAAAGAAAAGGGGGTTGAAAATTTATAGAAAATAGGATTAGACTTTTTTTTTTTTTTTTTTTTTTTTGTGTCCGTACTGTGTGTGGATGTATCTGAAAAGGTTACATAAGAAAATCGTTACGTGATACAATGTATGGTGAAGCAAAACAGCTTAAACACACACACCTTTCTTTTGAATGACATATGCAATTGATTGCATAAACACACATATGAAGAAACACAAACAAAATAGACAGGAGGCTTATTAAGCAAAATCGAAACTAGAAACCGAAAAAAAAAGCGGGGCGCTACCATCCCTCATGATGTTAAAAGGACTGTTGTAACATACAATGCCCCTTTGAGAGTATCTTACCTCTCGCGTATGTATTTCAAGAGGAGGTCAAGTTGCTAGAACAACAAATACTTTGGGCTAAATTTGTACTGCAACTATTGCTACTGCTATTTTTAAAACACCCACACGCTTATGTAAACTATTTTTAAACTAGTTCATACTTTCAAAGGCTACTCTCTGTTTGCTGCGAACGGCATCTTAATGGTTAGACCTGTGCTTAGCAGCCTGTATAAGGTTTATGTAAGAACACTACTGTTTAGTCTATGTGGAACATGCAGTGTTTAGCTACAAAAAAAAAGCTTTTAATTTGTCGGAGTCAGTCGAGACTAAATACTTTTTGCTTGCCTATACGATGCATCTGCAAAAAAAAAAAAGAAAAAAGAGATGGCAACTCCACACTTTCATTATTATTGCACTATTACTTGTACTTATTCAACACCTGCATCTTATATTTATAGATTTCATATTTTCAACTTATGGCAATTTCTGTATCTTTAAAGGTAGGCATGCTAGTTTTTTTTACTGGAAAAAAAGACTACGGTTCCCTTTATTTTCTTTAGAGATGTTATACAGATACTTCTTTTGGGCATAAACAGAAAGTAAACCAATTATCATTAATGCATGCTGCTTTCCAATTTTTTTTTTTTTTTTTTTTTTTTTTTGTATAACACTTACACCATTTTCTTTAAATTGGTTGTAGATCTCTTTGTAACGCGCAAAGTGACAATGTAAAATGTAACTTTAATATATTGAAGTCAAACAGATGGTATCTGATTTTACGCTGAGATATATATATAAATGACATATGAACAAAGTTCAACTTTATAAAAGATACACCTAGACACACACACACGCACACACACACACATATTTCTTATTATGGGTTCTGCACATGAACAATTTAAAACAAATCGTTCTCCGGTCGAAAGTACTTTCACTTTCAGTGGTAAGCCAATTAGGGTATCTGCACATTGATTACTTCCTCACATTTATACGTGTTCATTTGTATATTGGTTAATCGCATTGGTTAAACGTCAAAGAGTCTAGATTATGTCATCTTCTATGCTCATCTTATTCTTATATATATCGTCTTTGTTTTAGATAAAATTCGGATCCAGTTGAGACGTATACGTTAGCTTTTTTGCGTGTGCAAAAAGAATTTTTTAAAAGTCCATCCACTTAACCTCGTGGTTCCTTGAAAAGATAAGTTAACCAAGAAATCGCATTTTGTTATTAATTAGATGTCTTTCTTTGTAACCGAAGGAAAAAACTTTTTCTTTTTATCTCTTCTATGTTAAGGTTGTATCAAAGAAAGCATTTGTCTTTTCAGTTAGACATTAATAATTGATAAGCTATGACGTTAAACTGAGGTTTGACAAGCTGGTGTTGCCTATATGTTATCACGCTTTTCCAAGTGGTTTGATTGGATGTCATGGAGCGTTACATAGAGAAAAGATCGACGGCAGTCCTTTCGGGGGGGGGGCGTTTATGGAGTTTGATGTGGGTAACTGAGACCCAACCCGTATTTTTACATATACTTACTTACTTCCATGACCGGAAAGAAAAGCCCAAGATTTTTCAAAAACATGGGATCAGATAATAAAAACAAGTAGAGCTGTTCGTTTGGTTATATTATGCTCGAATTGATCCAAAGGAACACGTCAATACTACAAAAAAATTTTAATGTCATATTCTTTACTTTTAGGACAAAATGAAATGAGCAACAGAAGCTTTTTCAAAATAAACCCATCATATGAGTGTTACACGATTAGCTTACGCCTAGTAGCTTCGGGCGTCAGTAATAGATAAAGTAAGCTACCCATCAATGCTGTTTTGAAAACTTAAAACGCACTACTATACAGATATGAACAGATAAACAAAGATGCACTTTAAATATAGATGAAGTATCTAAATAGGGTATGTGTTTTGTGTATGATCCGCACACGTGTTAGATTTCATCATTTCCGAAAATCGTCTGTTGCCCGTTTTATTCGGTACAATTTGGCAAAATGTATGCGTACCTGTCTTTGTCCGGAATGAATATGCGTTCCACTTCAAAGTGGGATGTAATCAAGAAATACTGCTCTTCTCACTTTAAAGGATGTAAGGGGTTGATTGTAGCGATTTTTAGATGTAATTTGCCCACAAACTACATTTTTTATATAGGATAACTATTTCCATGGTGGCTAGGGATTGAGTCTGAACCTTTGAAAACAGTAACAGACAATTCAATTTGATTGCGGTTGTATATGAAAAGCTGTTTCTTTGGAACACGCAAAACATTGTTACCATGTAATGGCTGTTTCTCTATCTGATACAGATTTATTCCTTCCCGGATCATTTTTGGGAATATACATAAATTAACTTGAAGATGTTCAAGTGATATATAAGATAATAATGATAGTATACATATTGAAATCATTGCGGCTATTCATCTTTTGTACAGTAGTTTATCTTATTTGTAATGCTGTGTAGGTTTTTGTAATGATGATGGATTAATTTTTGTGTAAATTTGCGTATGGATATGTTGGGTATAGTATAATGCATGGATAGGACCAAAGGAATGTTAAGCGGTACGATAGTGTGTACTATTATTGATCACATTGCGTGTTGTTCCTGGTGTTTGATTATTTTTCATTAAATAGACTGTCTTCATATTGTTGACTAGTATCACTTTAGAAAATTGTATCGATTTCTTGTTAGTATGACTGGCAGCAGTTGAAGTCACTTTATTCTGATGATGTGGGTTTATCGTTAAAAGACTGTTGTGCACTGTAGTGGAAGAAGAAGGTGTTATATTTAAAATTATAAGTCTCGGCATTTTGTAGATGTTTTGCAGGTGATTACGGAAAGTGATAAAGAGAAAAAGTGAAGAAGGGGTCTATTTATAGGGAATCGTACTTGACACGAATTATAACTGATGTATCAGCAATGTAAAATGATGTGCCAATTCAACAATTTGTAACACGAGAGTATCACGATTTGGCTTTTCTGGGGAGGAGCAGCTAAAATACTTTCTTGGTTTTCCTTGTAGTCTTGGCCCTGTATTGTGTGTGTGTGTGTGTGTGTGCATATGAAGTTTTTATTTGTCACAAGGTTACCATTCCAGAAGGAAAAAACTTTAAACAGATGTTTATTTTGATTAACGAAATAACAGCAGCTGGTATTGAACATCTGACTTGTACAGTATCAAGAATACTTGATATTCACAGAGTGATGATATCATCACTAAATTTTTCACCATTTGGTCGGCTGTAGGCAATAAAAGCCTCTCGAGCAATTCCAAACATACTATTTTACCATAAATAGAAGGGTTGCATAAGCAACAAACTTTGGCACATTCTCCTTTTCTACTAACCATTTAGTTAAAAAGCATTTAATGTCTTTTTGTGTGTATGAGTGACAATTCTTCGCATAAGATGTGTACATTTTTATCAATTTTCACAGAGCCAACCATTTAAATTTACTCTCATGGTACCAACGTCTGATGAAAGAAGAAATGACTACTGCGGCGTCAACTGTGCAAAAAGAGTACAATGACTGATATTGCTCACGACTGGACTATGAGATACTAAATGGGTCTCTGTGAAGAACGTCATGTGAATCTTTGTGCACTCTGTTGAAGGTATATTAAGTAAAAAATATGCCCCATGCCTTCACTCTTGGTTGATCAACAGTCATTCGTGAGCTAACGAGAGAGGTACACTCTCACATTAAATTGCATGAAAAATTGTCAAAAAAAAAAAGACAGGAAACAAAATGTGCATGTATTCAAAGAGGGGAAACGCCCCAACGTTGTTGCGATATTGATTCTTGATTACCCCTATAGAACACTATCATTGTTGGCAGTAAAGTGCCATTCACGGTAATCAATTGCACACATCAATCCCTGTTCATTACAAGGCTTATAGAAATTATCCTGTTTATCACATATTCATCATCATTGGACTATCTTATCCTTTACTCCTTAATGCTTACAGATAATAGGAAAATCTGAAATAGAAATGTAACCGTTTTCAATTCTTTTTTCTTTCAGTTTTTTGTTGACCACAGTATAAAGGATACGACATAGATAGCTGTACTTGGAGAAATGTCAAAGCAATCAACATTAGCATCTAACCCTCCCTCTACTATCAATAATCATTATCGTTCCACCATCAAAAGCTTGAAATCCCATACTTCTCTTTCGCGCAGTCTCTCCATTGTTTCAAAAACTCATGTTACAAAGTTGTATAATACAGGTCTGCATCATCAGCAGCTACAACAGCAACAACGCAATAGCGTTACTTGTCCTCCTATCGTAGTCCCTGCAGCGACCTCTTCCTCCAGCAATGTCAGTACTGACATTCCCGCCAATTACCCAGCTGTCTTGGATCAATCACTTTCCGACATTGAGCAATTTCAACAGCAACATCAAAAAAATAGAAATTCATATCATAGTATCAATAGCAATCATAGCAGGAAGGACAAAACAGGCAACAATAGAGATAGTAGAATTAAGGGTGTTTTAGATAAATTTATGGGTAAAGGATAACCGAGAGCAAATTTATTACCAACTAAATGGACGAAAGAATAGGGTGAGGAATGAAGGCTAACTTAGTGTGCCTTTGACTAGTTCTGATGACAAGTCAGCATTCATCATCATCTTCAATAGCAGATAAAGACCGAGATAAAAGTTATACGGACATTTCAGAGCCAGCACTAGATATCTCTGGCCCTTTTAATACAAAGCATTTGACGCATGTGGGTTTTGATGCTAGTACAGGTGAATTTACTGGCCTTCCTCGGGAATGGCAAATTTTAATAAAATCAAGTGGTATAAGTCAAACGGAACAGGAGCAAAATCCACAAGTAAGGAGATTGCATACAATTTGCAGCACTGCGTGCTCAACTGGTTCTTTTTTTTTGCTTAAAAAAAAAGAAAACAAAAAAAAACCACGTTGACTAAGCTCGCTAAAATCTCATATAAACTTTCATTTGCTTTATTGTTGCCTGTTGTATTCATCTAGGCTGTTATCAATGCTATTGAATTTTACCAAAAGACATCCAGAGGAGAAATTGATAACACTGTATGGGATAAAATACCGAAGGCAATCACTATAAGCAGCGGTAGTAGTAGTTGTAACAGCAGTAGAAGCAACAGTTTACGATCTGAATTATCAATGCCTGATTTTGCAAAACTTAAATCAACACATAACAACAGCATGAGCAATACAAAAGAAAACACGCTGACAAAATCTCTACGTAGATTGTCCAAGCTCAAATTGTCTGATTCGCTAACGAAACGATCATCAACTGTAAGTAGGGAAGAAAGTCTTTGAAAAGCAGACTCTAAAAGTCAAAGAGACTGAATCAATACGAATTTTACTAGGCCTCTAATAGCAGCCGATCTTCCTTGATTATTGATATGCAAAAGAACAAGATGGAAACAACGATGGCTCGGTTAAGCGAAATCGTTTCATTACAGAGTAGTACTTCACTAGTCTCAGATCCTACAGCAGCTGCCATAGAAAAGGAGAAAAAGGAAGGAGACGATCGGGCTACTTGTATCGTCAATGAAAAAGAAGAAGGCGTTAATGACAGCAATAGCAACAGTAATTGCAAGTCGGACAGATCAGTAACGAAAGAAGAGAATGAGAAGTACCCACCTGTTATCAAACGAAAAGCCAAAGAGCCGAAACGAGCAGAATCAGATATATATAAGCAGTTAAAGAGTATCTGTTACGCACAGGATCCTAACGAGATATATAAAGATATGGTCAAAATCGGCCAAGGGTAAGATGAGAATAAATGATCGATTGTTTGTTTTCGAAACTCATTCCTTGTTTTAATCGTTTTAGAGCCTCAGGTGGTGTATTTATTGCTCATCGATCCTTGTCAAAGGACTACGACGACGAGATCGTACCAGTAGCCATAAAACAAATGAATTTAGAGCAACAACCTAAAAAGGAGCTTATTATCAACGAAATCCTCGTTATGAAGAAATCGAAACATCCTAATATTGTCAATTACTTGGATTCTTATTATTGGAAAGGTGATCTATGGGTAGTGATGGAATATATGGAAGGAGGTAGCTTGACAGATGTCGTTACTTGTAACATGATGATGGAAGGTCAAATTGCTGCTGTTTGCAAAGAAGTGTTGAAGGGCCTGTTCCATCTACACAGCAATGGTGTTATACATAGAGACATCAAAAGTGATAATGTATTGCTGAACCTGAAAGGAGAAATTAAACTAAGTATGTTGATTTTAAGGAACAGTATTGTGCTGCATTATCGGCACTCTTTGAATAATGACCAACAACGTCTTCTTTGGCTTATTAGCTGATTTTGGTTTTTGTGCTCAACTGAATGAAAATCAAGCCAAGCGAACTACTATGGTGGGAACACCGTATTGGGTAATCAGACAGAAGCCCTCCCAAAGTTTGCGTGCATACTAACACATCATGACTCTCTTCTGTTCTTATAGATGGCACCTGAAGTTGTTACTCGTAAAGAATATAATGCTAAAGTAGATATCTGGTCTTTGGGTATTATGGCCATTGAAATGATTGAAGGTGAACCACCTTATCTCAATGAAAACCCATTAAGAGCTCTTTATTTAATTGCTACCAATGGTACCCCCGAACTACAAAGCCCAGAATCATTATCAGATGTTTTCAAAGACTTTTTGTCAAAATGTCTAGTGGTAGATGCTGAAATTCGGCCAACAGCGGAAGAACTGTTAAAACATCCATTTTTAGAGTTGGCTGACCCTTTACGTTCCTTGTCACCGTTGATTCGTGCTGCTAAAGGAGACTCATCAAATTCAACCGCGTCGTCGTCAAACGACGTAGATGAAAACAATACTGTCGCTTAGAAGCGAGCTTATATATCCACTACATTTTCTAACATATAATACTTTCTAGTAGCAGAAATGAGGCCAAATTGTTTACGACTTCGTTTCCCTATACTTATAACAATATGATATAATAAACTAAAGGCTAATAATTGAGATACTTGTTGAGAAAGAATATACTATTTTGTAGGGTAAAACTGAAAAGAGTTTCAATTTTACCTTAGCATGCTTTATAATACGGTAGCGATGAGTCTTTAGCAAATACAATATTGAGCCATTCTATTAAGTAACACCACGAATATATACATATACCATGTATAAGGACAAACTAGGGTACTCCTATACTTTCACTGTTACAGAGATTGATTAATTGTTACACTTATGAAACGTGGATGAGGAGTGAACCTTGATCGCCAATTAATTACTTCAGAAAGGCATTTGAAGAATATTACGTTTAAACAGAGATTTTATTATATAATATTAATTTTTTAAAGCCCAATGGACACGAGATATTAAGCTTATCTAAATTGCCCGGGGCAGCTCCAAAGGCTTAAAAGAAACTAAAAACCCCTTAGGGCTCAAGGGTAAAAAGAATTATGTACTAAAGGATTGTGGGAGGGGAAGAGGGTAACCAGTCGAGCAATAGGTGCCCTAACCGAGGAGTTGTAGGCGGCTCTTGAGAGTGGTGTAAGTAGTCGAGTTCAAACAAAATGTGACAAAGTGCTGGCCATAGGAAATGCCAGTTTTGTATTTCGGATGGGTTGTAGATCGGATGTGTGGGAAGACGGTTAAGGACATAGGATATGGGATCACAGACTGATGTGGGGAGTCGTAGGCGGTGGTGCATGTTTAAACAGGAGATAGCGTGGAACTTTGTAAATAATGACGAGGGATGTTTAAGGCAATAGGTTCGGTGGCCTCCAGGAAGCCAACCCAAACGCCATCGGATACATCGGCTGCGTTAATTAGTTGACATTGGAATATAAAGGATCGGATCGATCATTATTCGGGAACGGCATTGAGATATCAGTTTGGAGTTAGGGCTGTTCGATTGTTGGATGTGAAGGAGGCTAGTACGGAAGTTAGCAATACAGCGTCTCAGAGCAGCTGATTCAGATCGTTGATTGAGCGGAGAAGAAGTGTAGTCTTGCCAGATCGGAGAACGAGCAAGCTTGCAATATAACGATTTACTTTGTTGCTGGCCTATATATGGGAGTAGTATCGAGATTAAAGTATCAGTAGGCAGTGAGGTTGAACGTAATAGGAACTTAGCTTGTAGGACGAAGGAGCGTTCTTTCATGGTGGGCAGATTGGCAAGGTGGAGCATAAGTCGGGCAGACGATCTACTGGATCCACCAAAGATTCGTCGAATACACTTGTTCTGGGTATCTTCGAATTGTTTATATTGCTTCGCATTTAGGGGGCTAATGGCCAGTCCGTATTCCGTCTTTGCGCGGAGTAATTGGGCATATAACCGTAGTGAGAGCAGTTTTTCGAATCCACCAGGATTGACACCGATTGCTGCTAATTGATTCATCGTAGTAAGGGCCTTAAAAGTGTTAGTACGTGCTAGTTCATTTATATCTATACTACCACCTGGTTGAAAAGGTATCCCTAGATACGGAAAAGTGAGCTGACGTTGTAGAGGAACTCCATAAAGCTGGTAATCTATAGGGTGCGTTGACCTGTCTAGGATAACACATTTATTCGGATGCCAACGATAACCTAGCCGAAGACTATGAGCTTCACATTGTTGCAACAGGGTCTGAAGATGATTTTTATCAGTAATCAAGACAACATCGTCGGCATATAGTAAACAGTTGATATTAAGAATCAATTCCGGAACAGGCAAGGAAAGATCCAGTGGGCTTGGACGGAGCAGTGAAGGTAGTTCGTTAATGTAATATGAATAGAGTATAGGGGATAGTATGGATCCTTGAAGAACACCAGTAGTAGGGCTGAAAGGTTCTGACTTGGCATTGTTCTGGAGGACTTCAATGCTGACATCGTCAAACATGTTTTGAAGTAGGGCAAGGAGCGGTTCTGGAATATGGGGACGAAGCACTGTCCATATGACGTTACGGTCAACCGTATCGTACGCTGATTTGATATCGAGGAAAGCTAGAACTGGTTCGATCTTGTGCTGGCGTTTCAAAATATTGCAGATTTCGCTAAACAAAGAGCTTGGTTTAAGGAGCTACGGGCAATACGGAATCCACCCTGCGCAATATCGAGTGGGGGACTATTGGCCAAAAGGTAATTTTGGATGCATCGCTCTAAAATTTTGCGAAAAATAGATGTAAGACTAATTGGACGGTAGTTACCTGGATCTGTTGGGGGGCCTTTCTTATAAATCGGAATTGTTTGGGCAATGCGCCATGACTTAGGCGTATAGGACCATTTCCAGGTTAATTGGAAGAGATTTAATAGAAAGGGTGCTATTCGGTCGCTGACTGGTTGCAGCATTTCGATTTTGATATCATCCACCCCGGGAGCTTTCTTACGGGGGAGGCTTTTGATCGCATCCACAATGGTATCCTCAGATATGAGGAACTCGTTTAAAGTGAACGCTTGCGTGGGGTCAACTGGTGGTAATTCGCGTTGATACGGTGATGGAAGGTATTGGCCCGAATACGTGCCTTGCATATGAGACGCCATGAGATCAGCTGCAGCTTGTGGACCTTCTGGGGTAGAGAACGAAGGGGTTAGATTTCGCTTCTTACGGATTTTACTAAAACGTGCAATTGCTTTGGTATACTCTTCATGACTCATCTGATAACAGAACTGTTGCCATGTTTCCTGTCGACGACTTCGATAGAGACGACGAAGTTTGGCCTTGGCTTGCTGATGTTTGATCCAGTAGTCAAGTTTGTTCAGTCCAGTAGCCCGGCGCCATTTCCGATAGTAGTATTCTCGTTGATCAAACGTTTGTTGCATTTCGACGGTCCCGAAGGATTCCAAGTTTATGCACCCAGTACCGACGCCTCGCTTAATCAACTACTTATAAATTTGATTGCCCGGTCCTTGCATTTTTTCAATCAACTTGATTGCGTTTGGTCCTCGGTTTGGTCCTCCAAAAAAAAGCATAAAAATGGTACTTTTTCTCTAGTTTAAAAGCTGCTACAGTTTTATAACATATATAAGTATATATTTTTTGAATTATATTGAAATCTATATATTCGTTTATATGTGAGAACGATAATTCATTTTTCTTGCCTTAAGGCAGGTAAAAGCTATTTGAGACACACTTTTTGAAATTCTGAAACACAAAATTTAAGATAAAATTTTTACATTACATTAAGTTTTTGAGATATCTTTTAACTTTTATGGTCTCAGATAAAAATTTTATTTTTAGATATTATTTTCTTTTTTCTTGTTTTTTTTTAAACTATTTCTGTTATTTTTTGGATAAACTTTATGCATTATGATACAAGCTGCAATTGAATAAACCAACCCACCACCATTTTAAACTCTCTTAAAGCATTACAAGAAACAATGATTACTATGTAATGTCTGTAGTAATGGAAAACTTCCTCTTCTAGGTTCTTAGAACAGTTTCAAAACTAATTTTTGCGTATAAGTATTCTGGCGGTCTTAATTTTCTTTTGAATCACTCAATTACTCGATCAATGATAACAAATTACTTACATAATTGTCGCAAACTGATGCATTACTTAAGTAACAGCGATAATACTGTAGCACATACAGCCAGACAGCATACAGTCCACCATAGCTTATTTATTTTCGCATTTTAATGACTTTTTACATAACCATCACAAAATTATTGTAAGAATATTTAATAACATTTAATATCAAGCCCACGATGTTGACGTAATATAATAGCTGCTTACTCCTATAGATGTAAGAAGAATTGCTGCTTCGTTTTCGCTCAAATGGTGGGCTTCATTGGATGTTTATCTGTGGATCGGGTTCAAAATATGGAGGACCAACGTCAATCAATTTGATTGAAAAAAAAGCAAGGACCAAACAAACAAGTTGATTAATTTTGGGCCTTCGGTCCTCGATTCGAGCTGCTATCGTTGTTACATATGAAAGCGCCTATGAATCTCAATATCGTTCATTTATAAGGTTTTTATATACGCTATAATAATGTAAAAACACTTAAACTGTAGAAAAAGTACCATTTTTATGGCGGCCCAAAGTAAGGCCCAAATGCGATCAAGTTGATTAAAAAAATGCAATGATCGAGCAATCAAATTTATAAGTAGCTGATTGAGCGAGTGGCGTGTTTGGTGAGATAACACTTACAATACACGAGTACGTACAACCAGGTAGAGAGAACATTCTAGCACGTCTATCTATATTGTATCTAATAAAGGTTATATACAACATATAACAAGATACAAGTCTTAAGTATAATAACCACCCGCCCAAACACCCGAACCTGAAATTAGTGACTAATTTCTATACGCGTCCTCAAATAATATAATTCCCATTCGACCTCACACAGTAATTAATCTTTCTACTTCATCCGAAAACCAATGAAGACACTAAGTTCATAGTCATCGACTCATAACAGTTATCAGTTTCAATTGACTAAATATCTCAGCGAGACGTCGACGCCTGCGTTTAAATAAAAGTCAACTCCCGATTCAATAATCTACAAATTTCTTCAGAATAAGGAAAGATATCAAGTTCCTAACTATCGATTCATGTAATCTCCATAAACACCATAACGGTAATCCATCCATGCAAACAAGCAAATATTGCACACATTAATGAATATTAAGGCTGTTTTTTGCTGTCTTTCGGCTAATGATACTTCCCTTCTGTTAACAATCCTCACAGCATAATGTCTCCAATTTGCCCCATATCTGAAGTTAATGATAACATTCGTTTGAAACTATTGATTGAGAAGGTTAATGATGCTTATGAAGAATATACCAGATTGCCTGAGGCAGATATTCAAGCTGCAAATGTAGCTATCATGCATTCTGTTCTGAAGCTAAACCAGGATGATGTAAAAAAAGTGGTCCACAAAAACCTTGGCAGAAAGCAGC